CAATAATAAGACTTTTTATAACCTTAGATAGCTATAACCGTCAATAGCTATATTGTATATGTGTGAGGATTGGTAAATGTATTGTCGCTGTTACGCTAAGCTATCGTAACATAAACCTAGCTATTATCTATCGACAAAAGCTACTTGCTAGAAGAAGAGTTTGTAGTCGCAAGATATAGGGAATATAGTTATTATACTAACTCTCGATTTATAGGAATCGCTGATATGACGAAATCAGATGATTCGATAAAGAAGTAATAGAAAAGCTGTTATAGTGAAACGGGAGGAATCGATAAGGCAACGAGGTATCAGCAGGGATTATGAGGATCGACGACGATGGAGATACTGTTGAAACGGAAGGAATCGGCAACGATGGATGAAGCTATTAGATTATTGGATTAGGAAGGTAGATTTAGTAATGAGACAATCTCTTAGGATAACTGTTGTAGATAGTTGATCTTTTTGATTCGTCGGGATTGTTGAAGTGGGGAAGTTTTGGCGGGGTTGATTGGTTGGCTCGGCGCATAGAGCTGGGGTAAGCTTTAGCGGTTGATGGTTAATCAATAGCGCGCTAAAGGACTCATAATCTCTTGGAAGGTCTACAAGATCGTAGACAGGAAGAAAGGAGGCTATTCGTAAAATAGTATTTATGCGTTTAAAGAGAAAAAAGAAGAAGAGAGAAGCTATGGAGGAGCGAGAATTAATAGGCAGGAGGGTCACGGTCACGTGATCCACTAACGACAGGAACTCCCTTCCAACAATATTATATATTAAAATCGCTAATTTAATATTAGCGTCTATGTAGATATTAAGGTAATTTATAATTCAGGAATAAGCGATAACTTAAATACTCTGGTTCTGCTAGAAACCGTTTTGGAGTTTATCGTTAATCTCATTTAGGGATTCTTGAACTTTACTGAGATTAGATATAGTCAGAGTATTAATATCCTTCTTAGAATTGTCGAAATTGATAAGTTAAGGTTTAGTTATTTTTCTAAGAAAGTATTTACGCTTAACGATATTATCGTTAATAGATATAAAATACAGTTATACGAGAGGATTAACAATATCTAGTGTGATATTCTTAAATATATCGTTTTACGTATTTAAAGCATCTAGAAACTTAATCTACTAGTTTATCTAGTTAGGTTTTTTATAAAGTTTAGAAATGTTCTTAAAGTAATAGATATTAGTAGAGAAAGTAAAGAGGTTCGATTTGAATTATATAGTCCACGTTTTAACGGATTTGAGCTCTTTATTCGCTAGATTAATATAGAGCTCGCAACTGTTGGTAGATAACTTAATAAAAGGAGAGGATGCGATTTTAGATATATTGAGTAACAGGAATGTATCTTTAATAGATGTAAACTATATAATTGGATTGAAATTGGGGATTGAGAGTAGAGAATAGGTTGTTGAGATGCAAGATGGTTTGAATAACGACGAAGTCATAGTGATAAGACTTTTTGTAGCCTTAGATGGCTATAGCTATTAATAGCTATATTGTATATATATGAGGATTAGTAAATATGTTATCGCTGTTATACTAAGTTGTTATAATATAAACCTAGCTATCGCTTATTAGTAAAAGCTGTTTACTAGAAGAAGAGTTTATAGTTATAATATACGGGGAATATAATTATTATATTAACTCTCGATTTATGTAGGGATTGCTAATATATCGGAATTGGCGAAAAAATAATGGGAATGCTGTCATGGTGAAACGGTAAGAATCGATAGGGTAACGAGGTATTAGTAGGGATCGTGGGGATTGACGATAATAGAGATATTATCGAAACGGGAGGAATCAATAATGATGGATAAAGCTATTAGATTATTGGATTAGGAAGGTAGATCTAGCGATAAGACGATCTCTCGGGATGACTGCTGCAGACAGGCGATCCTTCTGATTCGTCGGGATTATCGAAGTAGGGAAGCTTCAGCGGGGTTGATTAGTTAGCTCGGTGTATAGAGCTAGGGTAAGCTTTAGCAGTTGATAGTTAATTAATAGCACGCTAAAAGACTTATAATCTCTTGGAAGGTTTACAAGATTGTAGGTAGGAAGAAAGGAGGCTATTCGGAGAATAGTATTTGTGTGTCTAAAGAGAAAGAAGAAGAAGAGAGAAGCTATGGAGGAGCGAGAACTAATAGGTAGGAGGGTCACGGTCACGTGATCTACCAACGATAGGAACTCCCTTCTAATAAAAGCGAGTTTATTAAAGTGTATATATTGCTAGAGGGTCGTTATTATTAGCTTAATTTCCTAGATATTATGTCGAATTAACTAAATTAGCTTTTTAATATTTCTACTATTTACTTTGTAATTGTAAAAGGCGTTTTTAATACTTGTTTAAATATACTAATTTCGATAGATCTAGCTTATTGTTATGCCTGTTATATTAGTGAGAACTAAGTTTGTAAAATAGAGATCTTAGTATAAGGAATCACTTTTAAAAAGGGTATTGAAATTACTTTTCTTTGTAAATTATATATTTTAGATAAAGATTATTAGATCCTATTTAAAAAAGAGTGATTTATTTATATTAAACTAGGTGATTTATTTTATATCGATATTTAGAGACTAATCTTTATTGTTAGTTATCATAATAAGATCTATTTTATAATAATTATAGATAACTACTCTTGTTTTTACTAGATCTTTGTTATCAAGTCTTAAAAAGAGATTATAAATTGCTTTATAGAAGTGGAAGTTTACTTATAAACTTAGTTTAGTATTATCGTTAAACAAGTCTATAGTGACGATGTTAAAAAATATAAGCTATTTATAGCTTATTATATCTTATAAGGAATCGTTTAAGATCTAACTCTCCCTTATACTAAGTAACTTAATAATATTATAGAAATCAAAAATTGTTATCTAATTAAACTATTAGTAGTAGTTATAGTGGAGTACTAATTGTTAAAATATCTCTAGTCTTATTTATTTTAAGGAGTGAATTATACTATAAATTGTCTTTAGTATTTTAAAATTAGGATAACTCTATTCGAAGTTTTTTTTAGTTATAAGCTAGATATCTCTTATCTTTAAGTTCTAGGTTGTGAATATTGGTTTCTTATCTCTAAGGAGAAGTGCGATATCAAGTTTGATCTATATATAGCTGAGGATTATCTGATTGCTTATAATAGTGGTAATAATTATGTGATTTATAATATTAGGATAAAGAAGATTGAACGCTTTCGTAATATTGTTTTTAATGAGATTCTTATAAGAGAGTTTTTTCTAGAATTAATTTACAATTTAGGGTTATAGAGGCGCACTTTGTTACTGTCTTTTGATTGCTTTTAAAGGTATATTCTTATTGATTTTTTAATAGAATGCTAGGTTATTATTGTTTTTTATAATCGTCTTATTTTACTTACTCTATCTATTAAAAATAATAATAAATTAGAGCTTCTATATGGTAATCTTCTTCTCTCTAATCTATAGATAGTTCTCGAATTAGTTAAAATGGGGGGTAGTTTTAGTAAATAAGTGGAGGTATAAGAAGGTGGACTTGGTGATCATCTTTAAGAGAGTGATTTATTAGCTTCTGTAGAGTCTTAGTTAACTTTATTAACTAGAGAGAAAGCGTATTAGGACGAGGAAGCGTATTATGACCCTCGGATTCTTAAAGAAGCTATTTCTATTATTGGTTCTAAGTCTACTTTCTAGATGGTTCTTGCGCTATCTTTATTAAAAGATTAAGTATAAGATTTACCTCTTAGATGATCTATTTAGATTAGGAAGTCTAGCTGTGCATTTATTGAAAGTCTTTAATTAAACGGCCTCTTTTATTAAGAAATTGTTAGCTTTTTTGATAAAGAGTCTTAGATTTTGGATGTTTTATTTACTGTTATGATTAATAAGTACTCTTTTCTATCTAAATTAATATTAAACGATGTTAGTTATATCTCTACTGGATAGAAAGATATTATAAATTATGTTGAGAAGGAGAAATGGTTTATTATCTTGTATAAAGAGTTCTATAGTTATCTATATAATAGGATCTAGCGAATTATTAATTGTAATAAAAAGAAAAAGAAGGCTTTAATGACCTTTCGTTAGGTTTATAAGATTAAATATAATAGTATTTATAAAACAAGGCTAGTTATTAGAGGTTTCTAATAGATCGAAGACGTTAATTTTTATAAAGTTTACGTTGTTATTATAAAGCTAATGATCTTCAAGATCTTTATAGCAATCACGGTTTTTTTAAATCTCGAGGTTTATTATTTGGACATTATTATTATATTTTTATATATGGATTTTAAGGAATTAATTGAGATTGAGATTCTGGAGAATGTTTAAAACGACTTTCTTGGTAAAGTTAGTCTTCTTTTTAAAACTATTTATAATCTTAAATAGTCTTCAAGAGAATAATATTTACTATTTTATAATACTCTTCTAATAATGGGTTTTGTTAAAACTAAATCTAATCACTCTCTCTTTATTAAATTTGTTAATAGTATGTCTATTTATATGTTTATTTATATAGATAACTTACTTGCTATATTATAGGATCTAGAATAGGTTAATCTTTTCAAAAAAGAGATTGTTAAGTATTTCGATATTTCTAATAAAGGAATTGTGGAGCGATATATTGGAATTGATATCTTTTATATTAATAAGGATATCTAGTTGTCTTAGTAGGATTATATTGAGAAAATCTTTAAGAGATTTGGAATGGTAGATTATAAGTTTATGGTGATATTAATGAATGATAAGATTCCTTTAATTCTATATAAGAAATAAGTTAACGTATTAGCGGTAAAGCTTTATTAAGAGAAGGTTAGTTGTCTTATCTAGTTGATAGTCTCGACGAGACTAGATATTAATTATATAATTATTAAACTCGCTTGTTTTGCTAGGAATCCTAGCTCGCAGTATAAAAGCATAATTAATTAAGTCTTTTAATATCTAAAGAGATCTAAATCGCTATATATCTTCTATAGATGATCTAGTTCTAGTTTTAGTGACGAGGGGGATCTAATTGACCTCGATGGATCGCTTATTGTATTTATAGACTTGGACTGGGTTGGACCTTATTTGGAAGTGGTACTCTCGACGTCTGGCTTTATATTTATACTTGCTGGGGGGCCTATTTTTTGGACGTCCAAGAAATAGCTATATATAGTTATGTCGTCTATAGAAAGTGAATATATCGCGCAAGCTCTTGCTGTTTAGGAAGCTGTATGGATTATACGACTTCTTATGGAGATGAGATAAGTATAACTTTTCAATAAATCTCTTGTGATTTATATGGACAATATAGAAGCGATTGTATTAAGCGATAACCTATAGTTTTATGCTAGAACTAAGCATATCGCGGTTAAATTTCACAAGATTCGGGAAGAGATATTGGCTAGGAGAGTTAAACTACGCTATATTTTGACTTATGAAATGGTAGTAGATGGTCTGACGAAGCTATTTGTGAAGACCTAGTTCCAGAGATTCGTTATCTAGCTGAATTTGAAGCGTTTTAGTACTCCTTTCGAGAACAGGGGCTGATTGCCTCTTTAGGAAATGCTAAGTCATCGCTTTTTCAGCATCTTTTTACGCATTTTGCGGCACTTTTTGTGCCATTTTTTCGAAGGAGATCGAGTTCGTGGGGGGTGTTGGAGATCATGGGGTTAGGTCATGTGATACGGTGCCCTAGTAGATAGATCTCTGTTTCTCTCTCTCTCTTCTCTTTCTCACGCATCATACAATCTGTCAAAGTGCATTACTGCTCTCTCTAGATCGTATTCCCCATACAAATATTAATTGAAATGTCATAGCTGGAGAAAGCCAGGGGCTTCATACTGAAACTGGGCGAGAACACGCCCCCATTGGCTTGTGCTAATGGACACAAACCGCACTACGTCCATTATGCCCGAGGGCCGGATCATCATTATGCGGGGTAGCCCGGCCACAGCCTTTTGTTAAGCTTATCAGTTGGCTTAGTGGGTTATCTTGGCCAATGATAATCTGGATGGTATGTGACGTCCCTGGGTGGCTTCGTCTACTCCGTAGGTCTGCCCAAGTCTTGCAGTGATGGATATATCCGAACACAAACAACTGGTTCTTGCAACTTACAAGGTTGTTTGATTGAGCATATCTCGTTTACTTTCGCCGCCATACACTATCCACATTTATATTCCCAGAAAAGCGCGAATAATGCATTACGTGAGGATTGAATAGCTCTATACCATCTGGCAACCTGGGATATCACAAGAACTCCCTGGCTGGGTGTTGAAGCCTCTGTAGCTGCCTAGTTCCTTGGGCTCCCTCAGGCTGGGGTAGACAGCAGTCCCAGATCGAGGATTTCTCTCTCCTCCTCTCTCCCCCCAATACTCCACCCAACAAAGAGATGTGCGTGCTTTATTCTTCTGATAGAAAGGACAACCTTGGAAAGCGAGTAAAAATGGGTGAGTCGACGAGCGTGGACATGATCGTATGAACACATTCCGAAGTATCTCAACACGGAAATACCGGTCTTCATCCACCCACGTAAGTTTTATCGTCATACATGCATGCCCAGGTGGTTGCAGAGTATTTATCGGGCTAGCACAGAGACTTCCAGTAAGATTAAACTGAGATTCTCGCAGTGCGAAACTTGGCGCAACCGATGCGCCATCCGCAATTTCCCATATACGGAGTACGGAGTAGCGGAATGCTAGTTGGCAATCTCGGGATATGGTACCATTTGTTGTATGTAAAATGTACGGAGTATTTCATGCTTGTGGGCTTTGGGGGACTGTTCCAAAGGGGCATTTTCTGAAAGAGGCCAAAACAATTTGGTTGGGACATTGGGTACAATTCCAAATCCTACGCTGATCGTCCATAGTGATGCCATTTGGTACGATGGAGCAGAGCTGCGACCGCGCTATGTGGATCATCATAGCCGTCCCGCAATCCACTTCAAAGACGCGTACTTACGTGGAACTCAACCCTTGCAATTCTCAGACAGCGAGTGAGGAACATTTCATTCAAAGGCAGCCATGGTCCTGAGCTCATGGTTCTTTTGAAGAGATACGTTCCGGTTCACTGGCACACGACATGCAGATTCATCAGAATCAGGCATTCGGTGGTTGGCGCCAAGATCTCCAACACAAAACAAACCAAAAAACAACACCACATCCCTAGAGAAGCCAGCTGATCAGTACTAATGAATTGGTGATCTGCATCATGACAAGCCACAGAAGAACGACTGGCCCATCAGCTCGGTTGAGCCCTGAGAGAAGCGTCAACGCAAGGGTCTTTTCCCCTTTTCAGAGACACACTGCTTGAGAGCTAGTTGGGGCACGGACCGAGCGGATCTTGGAAAATGGTGGGATCGCGTTTGGTGAAAATTTCGAAAAACCAATACGGAGTGCATGCTAGCACAAAGAAGTTGTAGCGATTGTGAGGACGGAAATCCTAGCCGGGCCCACCCATGGCGCCAGAGGCGGATTCTGATTGAAAAAGGGGATCATTTCCGAAACCCACACAAACACACCTAACGATTCTAGATCGTCCAATCGTGACTGCAGTTGGGTGCAATGAAGCTCCGTCATCGACCGGGGCCGTTGCTGTGGGGTTCGTCTCGATTCAGCGATGGAGCGCTTTCACTGATTTTGACAGAAGCCAAAGCCTGGAACCGCGCGTGTACTCGTATTTGATGTAGAAACTATCTGGGCGCTTGAGTCAGTTCCTCGGAGATATTATTTCACCGCGCGCCCACGTCGCGCGCAAAATCTGGCGTCTCGCACACATATTGTACCCTGTACCCGCCATGCAAGCATATGTTCTTGTAAAACGGAGCGTGCACGATGGCTGACATGGGCGAATCCTCGTACCCTGACTCTCAAGTTGGCAGTTCAAGACAAGCCTCGGAGGCACCGACGACGAGAAAGCGACGCAACGCTAGAACGGCATGTCTCAACTGCAAGAAGCGTAAATTGAAGGTAAATTCACCATACAGGCGCGTGTTCAAAATTCACATGTTGACAACGGCCACAGTGCTCGGCCGACATTCCGTGTCAGTCTTGTTTGAGGAATGGCACCTCATGTTTGATGAACGAAGATACCGACCAGCGCCGCAAGCATGCATTGAAACGCAAATTGTCAGGACTGGAGCAAAAAGGACAGCTTCTGGATGATTTAATACGCACTCTTCAAACCACAGATGAGGAATGCGCTGCTCAGGTTTTGACTCTGGTTCGGGCTCACGCCTCGCTGGAGCAGATCCGAGCGTACTTGGATGATGTGGGAAGATCTTGTGATGATTTTGAGTCAACGCCGGAATTAAAGAGTGCTATTGAGGATTTTCAAAATCTTGATGAAATCCCGAGGTCGGCTTCGCGTCCTCGGTTGGATGACCAGAAACAGTCTGAAAAGGTCATATTCGACGTGCCCTCGACACCGTGGACAAAGGTGACCAATGATGACCAGTTTGTTTCTCGTCTGATATCCCTTTGGTTCACTTGGGCGCATCCATATCTTAATTGGATTGACAGAGATCTTTTCATTCGAGATATGCTGTCCGGGGATACCGATGCCAAATTCTGCTCGCCATTTCTGGTGAATGTGATTTTAGCAGATGCCTGCGTGAGTGGAAATCGACCTGTCAATTTTTGAGCTTCGGTCGGCTCATGCATGACCACAGGCATATTTTGATTACCTCGAAGTATATGAGGATTTCGATGAGGAGTGGCCCCGAGCGCTTGACTTTTATGAGGAAGCAAAACGCCTCCTAGCCCAACAGGAGGGCAAGATCAGTATTGTGAATGTCCAAGGGCTTTGCGGACTTTATGTGGTGTGAGTCTGCATCAGCTTTAGCATCTGGAACTGCTCGCTGACGTCTCATTGCAGCTCTTGTATGATTGGGAAGGACAGGGCTGGGTGGGCATATTATGGCCAGTTAGCATACGCCACCCAAGAACTCTCTCGCAGACACAGACTGCCGCCAGATGGCGCAGATGAGGAAACGATACGTGGAATCAGTGCAATCGATAACGCCCTGTGGGGGATATTCAACTTTGCGTCGTAAGTATGGCCAGTTTCATCATCGAATTTTTCTGTCGACGACAAGAGTATCAGGCTGACATGAGACCATCGTTGGGATCATTTAGGGTGACCGCGCTGGCATATCAAAAGGGAGCATTGATTTCTGCCCCTCGACACAGGCATAGAACGCCCGAACATGACGTTCACCAGGACACCTGGCACCCATATCCAATGGGATCAGACGTTGTCAAGTCACACCGTGAATGTTTGTTCACTGCCTTGTGTGACATGGGTCAAATCATCCATGAGCTCAGTTTGAGCTTGTTCAAGGACAACAGTCAAACACTGGATATCGAATTTTCACGAGTTGCGGAAGAGCTGCATGGTCGCTTACGAGCCTGGTATGAAGACTTACCAGACTGCCTTGCAACTTCCGATGCCACCCCACATGTTTTGAGTCTCCAGTACGTATTTTCATCCCTGTGGTACTTGTGAAGACCCCGCTGACATCGTGTTTCTCGGTAGTATGAATTATCACACCACCATCCAGACGATATTTGGATATTTGAAAGGTGTGTCGACGAGTGCGGATGTTATTGAGAGCGAGCTAGCCCAGCTAGACACCGTCCGGCAACAAGCAAGGGAAATTTGCCTTATCTCAGCACGAAAATGCGCTGGAATAGTTGATCAACAGCGGGGATCATGGGGTTTGGACTACATGCCACCCACCAATATTCATTGGTTCACAGTCAGCATGTATACCCTGTTGGAAGATTTGTCCGATGATGCAAACCGCCGCGCATTTATCAGTCTGACGATAGCCGCCAAAGCAGCCTCACACCGCTGGGTACTAGCGAAGGGTATGCTGCGGCTGGTGCAGCTCACTTCGATACAGACAGGTGTGTCTCTACCACCAGAAACCGACGCTCTGTTTTCAGACTTCGAGGCCAGAGTCTGGACGTCGCAGGACCGCAGAGCCCTGAGTAGTCAGTATCCCCACTTTACACACTCGATGAAACGCGGTGAGGTCGGCGAAGTTGAGCTTGATGCATTCTTGGAGAAATTTGATGATTTGCATATCGCAAGAACGAGCGAGTCGAGTGTAAAGTTGGAGGAGCACGGGGGCAGGGGCTTGGAGGAGGTGCCGGAAGAGGCGTCGGAGAAGGAGGATGAAACGGAGTGGAGTTGAAGTGGAAAGGCGATGCTGATTAGAACTTTGGAAAGATAGCGAGCTATGTAAGCGCTCATGGCAACTTTGAAGAGCCACAGTCCCCGGCTATGGGGAGATGTGAATGTGCAATCTTTTCATAGTGGGACTCCGATACGAAAGCCATACGCATGATCTCCGGCCTCCGGAGATGTTTTCCCCCATCCACTCTTTCACTCAAAGAAACTCCCTGGTTGCAATCGACTAAAAGACACTCAAGCAATAGACACGCCATGTGCATGCGAAGGTAGGACAATGCCAAGCTAACGGGATGTCTGCACACTGCCTTGACTACTTATGATTCGACCAGGGTCTCAGTCTTCCTAGCATTGTCTATTGTCTAATACCGCGCGATGTGCTGCTGAATTGCTATCGGGGGCACAGCCAAAAAAAAACCAAAAAGTTCGCATGTGGTAGCCAAAATCACACCTCGGACAAACAAGCAAAGACCGTACCGACGATTGAGGCAGACAGAAGTTACGGACAACATGTGGAGTATGCTGTTGCTATAGCTTAGTCTGGGGATTGTTCTTTGACAGAATCTACTCAGATCCGGCCATCGGGATGTCACTTCTTCCTTGTCCCGAGTGGTGGCAATTCAAGTGGCGGGTTGGGGCAACGTTCTTTGGCAGAAGAGCAAACAATTAATCGCTGGTCGTTTCATAGGACTCCTTGTCGGCCTTCCGTTTCAACATCCGTCGATACGCAAACAATGCAATGACACCAACAACAACAACAAGAAACACGATGCAGAATACAAGCACCACTCCTCGATTCCTATCCGCCCAGTTTCCTCGTTTGACGACCGAGTAAACAGAAGGCGGCGCTCCGTTGACACGAGACTCGATTCCAATGGCAGGCATATCGTGTTTTGTGGGCAGACTTGGGTTTCTGGCCAGAGTATTAGCCTTGAGCTAGACCCGTGACGCAAATTTTGACCCTTCCAATGGAAGTACTCTGTCAATGTGTCAACAGATGGCGTGGCTCACATAATACTGGCAGCTTCTCACGGGCCAAGTTTCCTGGTCTCCAATCGTGATTCAGCTAAATCAAGAGGGCAGACCCGGTCAGCATACTGTGTTTGGGGCAGGCAGGCTTGAACGCTTGCAAGGGCTAGCATCGCAAAGACCGATACACGGTGATCAGGCTTGTTCTCCACCGCGGAGGAATGAACTTACTCTGATGAAGACTGCAAGCTGCCTGGTCAAGACAGGCTGATACCAGGGTGGAATGAGCTTGATCGGTGTGAAGCAGAAGTCGCGTCTACTTTACCGGTGCATACGGCGATGTGGTAAGTGGGAGAGGGAGCCCGGCTTCTGACGGACTGGAAGATTGCGAATGGATGATGACCAACGGGTTCCTTTTATTGTACCTGTTTCATCATTTGAGTAGCTCCAGCGTTATTTGATTGGTTTTGGTGGTTGGCGGACCACGGACCAAGCTCATGGTGACAACAAACGAAGTCCTTTGAAGCATAAAGGTCCGCAGAGCTCCGACCTAAGCACCTAACATTCAGGACAACCTTGAAACACAGCAACGCCAACCGACATATACCAACAGTCATCACTCTGATAAGGCGAACCCTCAGGAGGGGCCAAATTTTGAAATGTTTTGTTTCATTATAGAACGACGCTGAGATCATAACAAGTTGGATACCCGTTCCGGTGCTAGTACCCTCCAGCGTGACCCAACCTTGAACCCATGTCCCATTCATTTCCAGATTGACCTTATTGGACTCAACTACTCATTTTGTTTGAGCCAGTATATCTAGAGATGGGGAGCTTGACCCATCCTGCCCATATGATGAGCCTTTCATGCACCAAGTACATCATGACGATGTGATGCATTGACGTCAATCCAACGCAAGGGCGGCAACGTTCAACCACCAACTACCCGATTACCACACTTGACCAGTGTCCCAATCTGACAGAGAACCAAAACCTGAATGTCTCAGTGAGCACTTTGCTACAACAAACCTCCAATGGCTAGAACTTTTACTTGAATTCAGAGGCGACCCCAGGAAGCAGTTCCTGCTCCTGCAAAGCCTAGTTCATGGGCGGTTGTACTTATTTCGAATATATCGTGCCCGCCACTTCCTGGTTACACATTTCGAGCACCCACAAACAAATTTCATTCCACGTCTGTCAAAATGGCGATTGATCACCATGCCAAGGCCCCTTTATGGGACTGACTCCTCCGTATCCCGTAACTACGGAGTACTGCTTAATGTTGTTTGACAGCACATGTGACAAGTGACTCAGGGAAATTTGGATCAAATACGAACGGAACCCCTGTCGCTTAGAATGTGCACTGAGTCTTGGCGATTTGTTGATTTCTTCACCTATAGCCAGTCCCAAGGATGAAGCCGACTCAACGCACAGACAGCCAAAGGCCACACAAACGCATTATTTTGTCGCTTAATGGCTAAATGTACTCTGTGCTTACCTATTCTTTGGACTTTGAGCTTTTTGTGTCAAAATGGTGCTGGTACATTGCTCTGCTTTCACCCGCCCATCACCTCGTATTCGGCCGGCAGAGCGCCAATCACCAATCAGCACAGGCCCAATTCTGACTAGCAGAGATCTCAGGTTGCAATCCAAACGAGAGGGAAAAAATCCAAAACAATATCGGAACCACTGAGTTTTATTCCTTACTCGAAGCCTCGATAACCACCACTCAGATTTGGTTGTGGCTGAATCTGGGGCCGTTGAATAACGTTTCTATGGCAGAGAATGTGTCTGAGGCTTGGCTTCTATATGCTTGATCTGGACAACCCAACTCTAAACTGCGACAATCCATCCAGGATCCACAAGGTCCATTTTAACACGACCCCGTTCCCAATTCAAACGATCAAATTAGCCTGCCGCTAAATTACTTTGTCGGTGTTGGTCGGTGTATTCCCCCACCAAGTATAGATCGGCCGCTACACTAATCTCAGGGTCCACATACCAGGGCTCCGACTGGAACCAAGCATAAGCTAGAGCATTTCTCAACGCAGGCGAGGCTCAGCTGAATACGAGGTTTATTTCCCCCGAAAATTGTGGAGGGACCAACGTACCTGCGTGCAGTTTATCACGCCCATCCCCTCTCCACCTTGTAAGCGAGCCTCCGGATTTCATTTCCTAACTACATTTTATCCTCCATTGCGGAGTCCTCCAAGTTACAACGTATGCCCATCATGCTTACTCGATATATCGCTTTCGTCTTCCTGCTTCCTCTGGCTAATAGCTGGACCTTCCGCTACACCAACGAAACAAACGAGACGGAAATCATTCGCGGCAATGAGGAAAAAAACTGCACAATCGCCAATATCTCCGAGGAAAAGCTGTTTACATGGGATCCTGAAGGCAGCAAACAATGTGTTTCAATCTATCGTGACACAGCCTGTGATAGCATGGGTGGCTACTCATGTACGGCGTGGCGCAAAAATGCCAGTAGGACTTTCATGGCGTTCGACATAATGCCCGAGAATCTGATTCTCTCAAAAGATCAGACCTCAACGATCGCTTCAACTTCGACAGCACCTTCGACATCTGCATCCACATCGACAACTTCGACATCTTCAGTTTCGGTCTCTTCGAATACACCGACAAGTTCACCATCCAATGCAGCCGCTGCTGGCACTACAAACAGCGGCTCTTCAGCTGGTTTGTCTGGTGGAGCAATTGCCGGTATTGTGATTGGTGTTGTTGCTGCTGTCGCGATCCTAATCGGCCTAGTCGTCTTTTTCTTAAAGAGACAAACGAAACAAGACAAGACTGGCCCAGTCGTTCAACCCGGTGGATACGGGCCCCACGAAGCGGACGGTACTGGTTCATCAATGAGTGGCACAACAGCAAAAGAGCCGCTTACATCGCTTGGCTTCCGTCCTGTTCCCGGTTCCCGGTTTGTGGAACTCAAAGGCGACGAAGGTAGTACGGAATTGGGCAGCAGCCCAATAAGTGAGCTCGACGGAGCTTCTGCAGGAGTGCAGCCCCGTCCTTTCTAGCCCCTAAAGGGCTTGGCAGCGACGCAATATGATAGGCACGCATATTATTCTTGCTTCCGTCTGGATGCATGGTTCTTGTGCACTCCTGCCAGTCCACGTTGGAATGAATCATTGATCGATTCGTCTGTGTGGCTCACTGGATTCAATCGGCAGATCTTCGGGTCGCGGTACGGAGTAAGGAGTAGATGAGAAGCCGATTTTTTACCTTCTGTTGATCCTTTGGATTTGATACACATCGCAAACTTGTGCCAGCTTATGAGTGCACCTAGTCACTTTCATGATTATCCATGGATGTTTATCCACTATAACCTTGGAATGAACACCGATTTTAATTACACTGTGACAGGGAAGCAGTAGGTAGATGACGGCAATCTTGGAATGCATGTATATTAGGAGACGATGAAAAGAACCTTGGAGGGAGAGAGGGAGAGAGGGAGAAGCTCCCGAGGTCTCTAGACATACGACCTCGGGGCTAGTTATCGGCCCACCGGCCTAGAATATCAGGCAGCAACGGACCACGGATTTCAACAAATTGAAGATTATTGTATTTCCACTATAGTAAGACTATGTATGCAGGTAAATATTTGATGAGAAATTAGCTCCACATGCTGCCTATCATTCCGATTTCACTGATCGGGCTGTGGTGGCCTCTTGGCCTTTCTCCAGAGCTACCCGCTCATCTGACTGGGCGAGAGACCCAGCCTCACCAGATTCGTTATTTTTCTCGGCGTATTCCTCATCTGGCTTCCAGAAGTCTCGCTTTCCATGAGCAGCCCGGTTGACCCAAGGAGGGAGGAAGCCGCCCTTCAATTTCCAGGACCAGGGGTCAGACTCGTCCTTGTTCGGAGGAACAATGCGACCCCCACTGACCTTTTCAAGAATCCAGGCAATTCCGTTTAATGTGATATAACTCATAATGCCAGCAATCAAACCGTAGGCAATACTGTAAGTGAAAGGCATGATTGCGATGGTGAGGAAAGCGGGAATTGCATCACCGTAGTAACGCCAGTTGATCTCTGCGGCAGCCTTCGCCATGAGTGCACCCACGATCACAAGTGTACAACCTGTCGCCCACGGTGGGATAGAAGCGAAAATAGGTGCGAAGAAGACACTGACAAAAAAGCAGAGACCTGTGGTGCATGATGTGAGGCCAGTCTTGCCTCCTTCGGAGATACCAGCACCGGACTCGACGAATGCTGTGACGGGGGGACTGCCAAAGAGGGAACCAATTGAGATGGATATGGCGTCAACCATGTAAGCCATGGCACTGCCTTCGAAATCCTGTGTCTCCTCGTCGATTGCACCAGCAAAGCGGGCCATCGAGTACATTGTTCCAGTGGTATCCAAGATATCGACGTACTGCATGTTCGTTAACTTCAAGTGTTTCTGACAAAGAGATCTTTCGGACTTACCAAGAAAGTGATGAAAGCCAAGCCAAACTCCGCACCCTTGCCCGAAATGTTCCAATCTTGGGCAAGAAGAGTGTGCTTGATGGGGTGGAAAGTGACAACTTGCTTGAAGAAATCAAACTTGCTCGTGCCCAGCTCCGTATACGGGAAGTATGTCACGGGTGTTGCACGAGGCCAAGAAATGATCGACACCAGCAAGATTCCGATGATCACAGCTCCCTTGATGCGGTACATCATGAGTAGGGCTGTCAAGATACCACCGCAGAAGATACCAATCCACATTGTGGCACTGCGCATTTTCTCACTGCTCATACACAGACCCGTCTCAGGGTCCATCATACTCTCGGCACATCCTGCCAGTTCGATGGGGGTATCAGTAGCACCCTGAACCAACCCAATACCAGCACTATATGTGAGACCAATCAAGGCAAGGTAGAGACCAATTCCGCAACCAGTAGCCAGCTTGATAGACCGTGGCAGAGCACGTGCGAGCCACTGTCGCATACCAAGGAGCGTCAAGCCTAGGAATACCCAGCCTTCAACGAACACCGCTGTGAGGGCAGTGGAGTATGAAACCAAGCCTGACCCACGGACTCCAACCACGGTATATGCGAAATATGCGTTTAATCCCATGCCAGGTGCGAGAGCAATGGGCAAATTCGAGAAAAGACCCATACAGAACGTGCTGAGCGCTGCGATGGCGGCGGTGGCGGTGACTATATCGCGATTGATTTCTTGCGTGCACAGCGCATATTCGGCATTTGTCGCACAGAAATCGCCCATATCCTCCTCCGGGCAGACGCAAGTTCCTCCAGTCAGAGATGTGATGTTGCTGTTGACCGAAATGATGTAGGCCCTAGTAGTAGATGACAGTTAGTTTCACTTCATTGGCCATGATCTCGTAGAATGACTAACATTGCGGCGAAAGTAGCTATACCGGCGCGCAGCTCCGTAAAAAAGTAGCTACCCTTTCTCTCCTTGGGCTAGTAGAAAATGGTGGTTAGTCTCATTGTATGATGTATCAACCACGAGCTCGGAGTATGACTTACATGACCACACCCCTCCAGACGAAACCATTTCCCCACAGGGCTGCGAGCAACCCGCAGGTTGGTATCGTCGATCCAGGTCTTAATGCCCATTTCGATCAAGAGTATGGATGTATACAGCAAGGACGCGTCCCACCGCAGTATTTATTCACGCTGCAGCAAGAAAGGAAGAAATCGAAGCTTCGAAAAAACGGAAAAGAACATGGCAAGCCCCAGCCAACCACATTCCGCTGATAAGCAGCCACCACACGCGCTCGAAGAAAAATTTGCCTTCCATTCGCAGCTATCTCCTCTTTGCGCCTTGGCACCTTGGCGGAGTCGGTTTCGCCCGTAAGATGCCGCCGGAGCGCCCTCATTGGCTGTCTACTTGCCGACAGGGTCTTTCCCATGGGTCGAGGCTCGGCAACCTGGTACACAGAAAGAAAAACTGACAGCTGAGGCGAATAAAATGATGTTGGCAAACAATATATCAGGCATTTCGAGGGCCTCTTGTGCATTTGAAACAACATGCATCGATTCCTGCAACGCCAAGACTTCAGGGTGGCGCTCAGTCCTCGTGGGAATTTTCTTATCAGAAATGACATTAGTGGACTCCATGAGCACGGTCTGGTGCGATAACGGACTGTGCCGATCGCGCTCGAACTACACCTACAGAATGCTTACACCCAAACTTCTAGTATATCATCCAATATCTGAGCAACGGCCAGGCCCGATGAGTTATCAGAGCGGGCGAGATTACAATCTCAGACCTTCACTGGATATCTGCGTTGTCGTCTGACCAGCTTGAATCAAGCTGGAACTACAGCCTCGTCGTGGCTGAAACGCGTGCGACGTTGCCCGTCGGATCAAGGGACCCCAGCCTTAGTAGCCTGAACTGGTTGCCCGGATACTCGAAGCTTTATCCACACAGCCAATCCAAAAGCTCTTTCGATGTGCCGAGGCCTGGCCGTTACTTGTGTGTTGAATCACACGTGTGTGCTCAATCTTGAAAATCATCATATATTAGTGGGAGGTTGAGGAAATACACCAGATGATTGATAAGATATAGAAAATAAGGCACAAATGATTTAAACAGACTCTGAGCCTTTCTCCGAGCTCTTGGTCGGTTGGAAATCCAGCATTGGAGCGAATTTCGACCTTTTGCGTAAGGATGGTCCCCATTTGATGAATGCAAGAGGAATTGGGACCATGATAAGCGCGAGACAGCCAAGTAGAGTACCGGCCCACTGCACGCCCAAATTGACAAACATCTGTTTTGAAAACAGAGGGAACGCGGCTCCGACAGCTGATCGGATAATAGTGTTGGCAGCGAAGACAGATGCCGCGCTGAATATCAAGTTAGTTTAGATCCCATGACGTTTCACCGAGGAGGAAACTCACAAGGTCAAGTATGAGTCAATCAAGTAATTGAAACATTGCAAGAAGATCACGTAGATACCAAAACCAGTCACGAGTCCGCTGGCAGTTGGAGCCATCCAATGAATCGAATCGGTCCATCCAGTCCATCCATACCAGAATAAGCCAATACAGAAGCAGGCTCCCCCGAGTATCGCAGGGGGCAATCTCCATTCTGGAATTGGGATATTGTTGTTGGCAGCAAGTTTCTTGCTATACTCCCTCTGGTCCCACAGAATGTAGACACCGCCGAGAAATTCTCCAATGATCAATGCAAGGAATGGAAGACTTCCAACTCCCAGATTCATGCCGTGGATTCCCTGGAAAACAACGGGATATGCACCCAGTAGCGCGTACATCAGTCCATACACAAAACTCATCCACAAGGATATCTGAAAACGAGTCAGTATTCTCCTTTGTTATTTCAAGTAGTTATCCTCTCAATTATGATGTTTCGAAGTATAATTGAGGTGAGCTTACCAGAAAGACAATTGGTTCTGTGAACAGCATCCGAAAGGGGCGGCTGAAGTTGTTGGTGATCAACTCTCCCCAATCAAGTTCAATCTCTTCTTGCCTGGCTCGAATGCCCCAATTATGTGTCTGGCGTCTCAAAGTCGCGGCTTTTTCGACAAGGACGGCAGGTGCATATGTTTCTTTCAAAAACAAGACACAAAGTCCCGTAGCCAGCCACCCCATGATCGATGCAATGTACATAGTCCATCTCCATCCCAAGTAAGACATTGTGATGAATCCACCAATAAGCGGCGATAAAAATGGTCCCACGAAGACTGCCATTGCGAACATCGCGATGGCAACTCCTCGAGTTTGGTTGTTGTAGATATCGGCAAACACAGCGGGCACAATGGCAATGGGACTGGCAGAAAAGAATCCCGCAAAGAATCGAGTCAGCATTAAAGTCTGAACATCCTTGCTAGTCGCAGTGCCAATCGTGAAAATGGAATATCCAAACATGCCAACACAGATTGGCCATTTTCGTCCAAGAAGCTCACTGGCGGGTGCCCAGACGGTGGGCCCGGAAGCAAACCCTAGAACATATAGAGTGACGCCTAAGATTCCCACCTCAGTAGAGATATGAAAATGCGGACTAATCTGCCCCACAGCAGAAGAGTAGATGGCGCTGGCAAAAGAGGAAACGAAGGTTGTATAGGCGAGTACAACTGATATCCCGACTTTTCGCTTTAGTGACCAATTCTGGGGATGTAGAGGATCCTGCGCATCGGTAAACTCAACGACATATTGCTCTGGATCTGGTAAGTCTGGAGGATATGGCTTTCCAGCACCGAGTGGTAGCCATTGTTCGCGCGGAGTAATGCCAATTCCCGAGCCGACGGTGGAGCGATGCTGAAGTCGGTAGGTGTTGATGCGCTCTAACTCGACTCCATTGAGAGTGCTCTCGCGGCGATCGGCAAGATTTGAGCGTACGGGCTCTACTTCCGAGAGGCGGTGGTCTGGGCTTATGGACATCTCATCGCTTTCACTTCCACTTCCACTGGTATCGCGGGGACTGTGTTCCATGGTGAAAGGTATACTTCAATTACTTCAAGAGAGAAATACTGGGACCTGAATGCACAATATATACTCAAGGCCCACATACAATTGAATTTTAGTGAATCATCTTGGTTTTGATTTTTAGTTCATCACGTCGTCATAGAGTGGTGATGTCCCCGATTGATCCGTATGTCCCAAAACGGTAATACGCTCCGCAAAGAAAGTTCATTGGTCATTCTTCTCGACCTCGGGAATACTCTCATTCGAACTTGATCATATTGATCTATTTACCCCGGCAGTTCGAGCTAGACAGTGATTCTCCCCCACTACTAAATATCAAGGTGTTGAGCATGGGGCTGTCATTTGAGCTGTGTTGAAAAAGAGTACCTAAGCAGCCAATCAAAAGACGAATGGAAAGACAACTGAAAAGACAATTGAAAAGACCATTCAGATGAACAATAAATTACTCCAATCGCCCAGAGTGTCGTAACTATCTTTGAAATTATACGGCATAGACTCGAGGTTGCGGTGCGTAACCTTGTAGTCAGGGAAGTTTCCGAGCTCGGCAATGAGAATCGGGTGGCGCTACACGAAGTCCTTGGAGGAGGTTGTAGCTAAACTACCGCAAAATCCTTCGGAATTTCCCATCACAATTGTATCCAATTTATTATTGTTGTTGTTATGTTCCAATCGCATTCAAGTCACAGCAAGATGATTTGATTGAATGTGAAAGAGAAAAAGTAGGGTCTTATGCTAAAAAAAAGCATGGTACGTCAGCTCTGTCTGGTTACAGGTGGGTGCGCTACATAGTAGGAAGGGTAATGATGGAGAGCTGCGGGTCTTCTCAAGAGCACTGAAGACCTCTTGCCATACTTCGAGGGCCTTGTGGCCCATGATGTATCGGGCCGCGACGTGCTAAACTACGCTTGTTGTTGATGGCTGACTATAGCAGGACGCACAGGGCGTCAGATGCTTCCCTCGTGTGGATTTCACATATCTTTCTTTTACGTAGCTTCTCCATAGCTCCTCCATGACCTTCTTCTCTTCTTCTCCTCGCGCAACTCATTTGTCTAGATACATCATCGTGTTGATCACCTTCCCCCGCCTCATCCATCAATATATAATCTCTATTCAAATCATATCGAACTACGTCCGGCAGCGTTCCATCGAGAAGGCATTCTCTCATCTGGCCACACGGATTGGGGTCCTCTTCAAGATGCAATTCACGTCTATCACAACCCAAATCCCGACTGTACCTCAATCCATGCGTCAGAAAAATACCCGAACATCGGGAGAGCAAGGGCCCTGATTGCGATGGTGCATATAGAGGCATGGGGTCTAGGTGCTCCACAGGAGGGGGACTTTTCGAATGGAGGGCCGTTGGCGAAAGAGCCTCGCTCGCCTGCTTGGGAAGTGCGGAAGATGCCAGAAATGCCGGGATCTGGGGCCAGCAAGGCGTCTATGTTATGCGCCCGAGAGTTGCTGCTCCCTGTCCCTTATTGTGGGTTGCTAGTACGCTAAATGATGGTGACGGGTAGTGAGGAGCATGGTGTTGTTAATTTTGAATTTGATAAGTTTGATGGACTGAGAAAGATTTGACATACGGAGCTAAGACTGGGCCTTTATGGAATACTCCGTATGAGGAGTCGTTGGTGCCGATCGCTTGTGCCACGATCAAGAACTCTGCATTCTTCTACAGAGCCTGAGCATCGTCGAAAGTTTCTAGCTGAGCCTGCTTATATGGTTTTTTTTTCTTGCGCCGAAATTCTGCTCGTTTGGCTCACTTTCGACCAAAACGGCTTCCTCATGATCTTAGCTGTCTGGAAAGACCAGATCCCGTGTCCTGGCAGTCAACAATACCCGCTTTGCAGGCCTGATTCTTACCATTGACACCCCCAACTCTACTGTTCTACAACAATGCCAGAATTTGTGATAGAGATCTCCCGCCGGTCTACAACCTACAGTTTTCAAAGATTTTTGTGTTCGTATTCGTCACTTCATCTGATCTCACAATCTAGAGTACTGACCTACCGCTGGCTAAGACTCACAATGGTCCCAAGTTAATGATCCCAAGTACCCTAATTCCAGCACTCCAATGATCTACGCTAACCAAGACATAGTATTCTATAGAGACGCAGCCTAACTTCATAGCTTGGATCTATCCTCAATAGGCCTCAGCCTGACCAAACTCTTCCTCGCGACAACCCCTCCGCCATTCCCGGGCCTCCCAACACTACAATCCCCAATTGTAAGACCACAATACCATGATGAGTAGTCAAGCAACAAATTTTATGGGGGCCAATAAGGGACAGGAAGCAGCAACTCTCGGGCGCATAACATAGACGCCTTGCTGGCCCCAGATCCCGGCATTTCTGGCATCTTCCGCACTTCCCAAGCAGGCGAGCGAGGCTCTTTCGCCAACGGCCCTCCATTCGAAAAGTCCCCCTCCTGTGGAGCACCTAGACCCCATGCCTCTATATGCACCATCTCTCCCAGAGAGCTTAAATAGCGCACCTCCCGATGCGAGATCTCGCTCGAGATACTTGCTCTGCGCACCAAATCCACCCAGGTCGGCAATTTCGCCATGTCGCATCAATCTTGCATCCATTACCTTGATCTTCTTGGTATTTCTCTCGATCGTAACAATGGCAGCGGAGTTCGTCATCATATGGACCAAAGACTTCGGCCATAGAACAGATTCTATACCCCGTCTACGCAATCCGAACGGAATACCGGTGTTTCTTCCTCCGCTCCATTCAACAGCCTGAAGATCTTGTCAAACACTACCGAGGCATGTGTCCTTGACTACCTACTTCTAGCAAGGTACACCCTGTAATATTACACGTGAGGAAGGTTCTACGATTCAAAACTGGCTGTATATTCCGTGGTTGCTGTCGAAGTTGACCCAAGTATCGAAATATCAGCTTTTGGGATACCAGTTCCAATGATTGCACATATTGGAGTTATCCTTTGGGTTACTTGGTGGATGGGGAACATGGATTTGGCTCAAAACGAGCTCTCCTCCCGAGTTCCGGGGCATTTAACTGATAATTTTTTTTAAAAGAAGATTCTTTAAAAAAATAAGGGGGAGCGCCCCCCAGCTCCTCACTTCTGGCTTTTCTTGACTATTACAACTCATGTTAGTGATGATCGTGGTTGTGCAGGTGTGTGCAAGATATGTGGACTTGTAACGAATCAAGGGTTTCAAACAAAGTGAAAAACCAGGGAGTTGAATACTGGTCATGCACAGTGTGTGCAAGGTACGGGGTTATGCAACAAATGATAGGTTTCAAACAAAGTGAGAAGCCAGGTATTTGAGTCTTGGTCATGATGTGAAAGATTGAGGGACATGCAACAAACCACAGGTATTGGGGAAGGGGAGAATCCAAGCGTCTGGTTCTAGGAAAACAGGCTCGAACAACACATGGGGATGCAAAATGCGGAAATTGAGAGGGATATGGGTTTTGTGGAGGATTGGATCTGGGAGTTGACAGGGGACACTAAGCTACTGCTTACCCTTTCCACCTCCGTTTCCGGAGCGGCCCCTCTGGCGGGGGCGGCGGCGCCGAGTGGTGTTGGCGGCCGCGGCGGCGGCGTCCACCTCCTGTCAACCTAATTAGTTCTCTCTTGCGACACTATAATTGGAGATTGACGTACCAGAGCGCGCTCGGAGGCAATCTGGCTGACTTGACGCCAGAATTCTGCAGTCTAATAGAACGTTGGTTAGTTTTCATTCTACCAACTTGGTAATAGTGTCTGGCGGTGACATCAAGGGGGTATATGAGCCGGTAATCCGCTGGCATTCATGGAAATGGTGTATCAAAGCACCGCAAGGAGTTTTGATAGACTGCTTTCGGACCATGCGAGGTTGGAATGGAGTGTTGCATGGAAATTGAGGAACGTTGATCCCGTGAAATATAGTCAGTTGTATTGATTTGTAGTCCGTTGACTTCCATGGACATGGCAAATCAGGGTTGAGTGCACACTCCGAAATGTGCAGAAACAGGTGGATTGGGAGGCAAGAACCTCACGAAAGGCAGTTTTTTCGGGGTTGATGCTCCGGTAATATCCATGGACGTGACAAAATACAGCAGAGTGTACACTTCGAGATGTGCAGCAGTGGGTGGGTCCAAGAATACCGAACTTCGAAGGAGGGGGAACATAACAGAAGGTTGTAGACGAAAGTAGCTCACTGCTCTTACCTCGTTGACCGTATGCTTGGGCTTGTTGCCCTTTATTCAGATGTTAGCGTGATTCCAAATCCTGTAAGATCAATTCGCCATGTAATGTAGATAGGAGTTGGGGGTCGATTTTCAGCCATGCAACAAATCACTCATCTTGAACAAAATGAGAGGCAAAGATTGGAGTATTGCTCTGCAGTGTGGATAGAAACTGGGAGCTGACAGAATATATCTGTCGATTGTAGGAAGATAGAAAGAGAAGCCTGGGGCTTACTTTGCCTCCCTGGGAGGTCTTCTTCTTTTGCCTCCGGTGGAGGCAACGAGGCCTCCACCGGAGGACTTTTCTTTGCCCTTCTCGGGCTCGGGCTCCTCTTCCTATCTCGAAATTAGCTTTTTCTTTCATCCGCAACACATGAACGCGTTGATGTATATAGAGGTTGTAGTTCCATTGCACTTGTCAATCCATACATGCATGCATGTACATGATCATCAAAAGGCATGATTATGCAGTCAACATGGGGCAGAAGTTGGGGTTGGTTGAGAAACAGGCAATATAACACGATGAGAAAATAGAATCGAGGAGGAGGCATGATATGAAACTTCGCTGGGCCAAAACAGGCTTGCGATGGTGCCAAAATCTGGGCATAGTGATCAAGTGACATAAGGGGCCTCGGGGGATCAAGTTGATGACATGATTTTCTGACAAACACGCAGGAGGTGCTTGGATAGTTTGGGTCACTTGATGCAACTTTGCTTTGCCCAAACAGACTGGCGATGTTGCGAGCCACAATGATGCAGGCATTGTGATCAAGTAACAGAGGGGATAGATCACTCGGGACAAAGTGAAATTGATAGGGATGTAAGAAGTGAGATGAAGAAGAGATGGAAATGAAGTGAAAATGAGATGAAAGAGTGATGTAATGAATGTGCAAGCGACTTACCTCGGAGGAAACCTCCACTCTGTCCCCCTGTTTGTCGGCAGGGGGAGGGCGTTTGGGGGAGGAGGGGGTGGAGAAGGGGGAGGAGAAGGGGAAGGAGCAGCAGACGAAACAACTCCCTCCATGGCAGAGGACGAGGCAACTTGGGCAGACATTTTGAGAAATCTGGAAGTGTGGGAAAAGGAGGAAGTTGGTAGGATCAGTTTGGTTCTTTTCTCTATCCGTCTACTTGTAAATTACATGCGCGTATCACTGGCCAAAGGTAGATTCTCTATGATCATAAACACAAATGGGACATGTGATTCAAGTCTCCCGCTGTTTTGTAAACTACCACGTGTATTTGTATTCATCCTACCCTTTCCAATTGCTTTTTCCCATACCACCAAGCACTTTCAAACCATCTACTCCCGAATCCTGGCCGAGATCGTCGCTGCTCTGTCGAGGTCGGAGGACATTGTGAAGATGGTGAGCTTAGACTCTCTTACTACGCTGCTTCTCACGAGGTTCCAGTTGAAAATCCGAGCTGAATATTAGCACTGACAATTTCACAGGATGCATTTTGATAGCAGGTCGATTTTAAACTTTACGGACCCTGCAGATCCATCCTCGGCCCGGTTATCCCTGGTTACGGAGTACCTCCGACCCGCATAAGTGCTGGATGTGACCTCTTCCTGGGCTGGGAAAGCCGCGCCCCGAACTAATCATTCCAGCAACAACCATGTGTCGCAACCGAGGAAAACAACTTGTTGAAGCTTCGAATGCTAAATGCGAAGTGGAAATTAGCTTAAATCAAGCTGCTCGACGTGTCTCTCACTCGGTACAGCTGCGCGGCAGAAACAACCCAAGTGCCGGATTGTGGGTCAACCACTGGACCATACGACATCCCCTACTCACTCCGCACGCATGGAGGCCTACCAATTGTGCCTGGCGAGTCTTTTCGCTGATCAAGATCCCTTGTCGGGGGCCTCGGGTACTGCTGTGTGGGCGACCCGCCCGTGCATGAGCCTACGCGCCACAATCGTCGTCTTGGCATTGCTACTTCACTCGGGCATTCCAAATGTACATGCGTGCGTGCTTGAACTCGCCATCACAACTTGACTTGGCGCCAACTCTTCGAACGCGGATCTCAGTATCAAAGTTCTCATACTAAGCCAGACATCCCTCTGATGGCATGTATGGGCGGGATGAACTGACGAAGTACAAGTCCCCAATCCCTAGTCCTGTGTTCACGGCTTAGCCAAGATTTCTTTTACTCGGCCTACCGTAATTACTCGATGGTTGGTTAGAAGGACAGCCAAAAAGACAGTTGAAAAGACAGCCAAAAAGACCATTAGAAAGACTGCTAGAAAGACCGTTAGAAAGAGGCCCCGAAGGTGATGCCAGCTCTCTTCCGTTACCAATTGAAATATGAGATTAAGCCATAACATGACTACTCATGTTGCGAAGAGATGGGTACATTCCAAGGTTGTCCTTTTGGCCGCGCGTGAGCGCGGCACTGAGGCTTGTGTATGATGATCAAGTTACCTCGTCTTGCTATTAGACTCTTTTGTGTATCGGTAAAAGCTCAATATGTTAGTTTTCTCCAATGTATGCTCTTCTAGGTACCCCAACCTAAGTTGATGAAGCACATCCATGGAATGCATCTTGGAAACAGCTCTAGGATCAGCCTTGGAACAAATAAAATACCCAGATCGTGATTTGAGACCATAACGTTAGGATATTAAAAGAGGTTATACTGGTCAGAATCAAACAAATCCAATAACAACCCATAAGCATTCATGGATAGGTCGTAAAATGGAATTTGACAAAAGACCAACACCGCCCGGGCCCTACGAGGGCGCACCTTCGGCTTCCCCAGGTTCTTTCCCCGAGCTCTCTAGAGCTGCTTCCTCTCTTTCTTTTCACCTCTGCAGTCTGCTTTGTTACAGAAACCCCCTTGCACGATTCGCGGTACAGATGAATGAGATCTACTGGCAAGCATGCCTCGTCCAAAGAAATCGAGTCTGCCAAAGCAGAAAACAACCCTGCTCAGCTTCTGGCAGCCTAGCAGTGTGCCCAGTAAGTACCAGGCCCACCGACGCCAAGCAGTACTGATCCGTCAGTTGTCCCCCAGAAGCCATTTCTGTCCCAGCGGAAAACTCCATCGAGATTTCTGATCTTGCCAAGAAAGTGGCCTGTCTTGTGCCGCAAGGCCTCCATTCTGGGCTTGACGCACTGGACTGGTCTGGTGAAGTTTGGGTTGCGAAATCTGGTCCCAGAGGTGAATCGAACTGTCCTGAGTCGCAAGGCTATAATTCTTATCTTTCTACTAAAGCTTGTTCCAGCCGCGATACAGATGCAGGTACTCTTTTCCGGATATATCCAGTCCTCGATGAGACACCGGCACTTTGATGACGAGAAATACCAAACCTTCGAGGATGCGACACACGAAAGCCTCGATGATGAGACACATCAAGACCTCGATGATAAGGTATCGATTCATTACCGAGGCTCTGAAGAGGTCGTTGATTCAGATGAGATCTCTGCTAAGGCGGATCTCTCCAATGGAAAGGGCCGTGGCAAATCCGCCCCAACCTCTACTAAATGGACACCGCATGGAAACCCGATGGACATCACCGGTCAGGAAGATCCATACGAAGAGTGTGATGAGGAATGGAAAGGCAAAGCTCCCATGCGTGAGTTCGATATCTTGTCAAATGAACGGCAAGGCTCCCATGCGTGCGTCTAATATTCTGTCAGATGAATGGCAATGGATTTCTACGCTTTGCAGAGTCTTTGTTTTCCACAAGCAACCATCCTTGGCCATATCGGCATGCCAGACTGGTGTCTTTTATGCCAACCAATCAATGAAGGGACCTGAAAGTTGCTATGCACTGGAAGGGTTGACTCCCTTGTGGATTCTTCAATGCCGCAATACCGGTTGAAACCAAACGCGCTTTTGAGCGAAGCAAGATCCGTAAGACTCATCTACTCGATCTACGTTATGCACTGAGAGAGAAGATATCCGGTGTCTATGCTGGGATTTATGAGACATCCTCACGGCCATTTGTGCTTTGCGGGTACTCTAAAGGTTTCCACAGCCGTTGCAAGAGTCATCTTTGTGCCTCAAATTCGCCCAGAACGGTGAACCCCATGAAGACGGTTTGATCAAAAGCTGTCGGGTGGTGATACAGCGCTGTTCCGTACGCTGGGAGCATTCAATGTCTCTGTCGAAAGAGCGAAACTCGAGCTCATATGGGGAGCTTTCATACTACTCCTCGGGACTTTTCAGAAGCCAAAGGCCAATAATTACATGCGGAGACTATCCACTTGGCAGCTTTACAGCCGGTGAAGCTCTGCCGCCTCGCCAAAACTCCGTGGTCCATATATTTCCGGGATTTTCTGAACTCTTCCTGACTACTTGGTCACACTAAAGCGTGCAAACGATTGAAGTGTGCGAACAAAGCTCAAAAGATGCTGTTTGTTTCAATCCGCCCTGTCAGACTATCACGAAAGAAGGAAGACGAAATCTTCGACATAAGTCACGTCACCTTCTGATCCGTGGAGTGTGGATTTGTCCTTTGTGCAATCATCACCTCCGAAGATTGAGAAAAGGTACAAGGCCTATTTGCATCGGGCAATTCGTGTTTCTCTTACATTGGCGGGACTTGATGTTGTCCGCAGCATTATGAAGATGTGGACTATGAAGCTGGGATCAAAGCTGAACATCTGTCCGCGCATGGCAAGTGGAAACCTCGCCCGCTGAGCAGGCTTTGACAGTTTGAACTCATGTCCTGGTTACTATGAGAAAATTTCGAATAACAAGGATTATACCGTAAAAAAGAGGTTAGACATGCTCTCGAGTGTAGTCTCACAACTTGAAAGCTCGAGAGGAAAGAGGTTTCAATGTGGTGGCCGCCGATGCGCCGAGATGAGAGTACTAAAACGGGATGTACTATTCAACAACCAGATGCAATTGTCTGAAAGGAGTTTTGTTTATTTATATTCTTGACAAAATGATTTGAGAAAGACTTCATTGGAAAAAATTAACTAATTCACGTAGAGTAACTAAATCAAAGGTAGATCAAACGAGTGTGGATGCCAAAGGTCTAAATGAAGAACATTGTCTCTGCAATGTTGGGGTGGATGACGACATCCGCCATGCGCGACATGTCCGCAGTACCCTCAGTCCCACTGGTGCTACCACCAGAATCCAGGGAAAGCGGGTCGAACAGATCACTCAAGTAGCAACGTGCACGGGTGCAAACAAGATCGGCATAGTAAGCAGGCGGGCAAACGCTAACGGCCTTGGTAGCCCGACCAAACAGATAGCACATCTTGTGAGTAAGGTCCTGCAGAACGTCTGCAGCACCTGGGCCACCAGAGTTGGCAGGGTGACGGGGGTAGAAGATCTCGTCCCAGACGGTGAAGTAGTGGGCTGGGCGAGCAGTTCCTTGCAGGGCAGAGTGCGCCTGCAAGAAGAAGTCCCAGTCGCGAGCCTCGGAGACACCGCGATCCACCACGGTACCCGGGATGGGGTTGTCACGGTTGGAGTCTTGCTCGGAGGTTGGATAGAAGCGCGTGTTGTGGCGCTTTCCGACGATGATGATGGCCAGACGAGGAAGACCCTTCTTGGTTTGGTCGGCAGGGTATGTCTTCTTGCAGGCAGACTGGAGAAGAGGGAGCTCCTTGTCGATCACCGTGTTGTACTGACCCTCCGAGACTCCATCACGGTAAATGATGATGTTCTCCGGGAGGTTCTTGTTGATCTTGCGCCAGTGGTTCAGCCGAGAGACGAGAAGAGTCTCAAGATCGGCCACCATTTCCTGGCGCGCGCTTTGGACGCGGATCTCAGCGGGCCATTGTGCCAAGTTCGCGTCAACAGAAGCGACGATACCCGCGACGGAGGGGGCGGAGTTGGCGGAGCCGGGAGACGGGTGGGTAACATCAATTCCGACCAGCATTGTTTTGCCTTCAGAGATGAGTCCCAGATCCGACTGCTGGAGGGCTTGGTTGGCACCGCCGAGTTTGAGGTTGATTTTCAGGCCGACATTGGCATTATACTGGTCATTGGAGTTCACGATTTTCTCAGCGAGAACGTTCACGTTGCGAATACCGCAACGGACGTCGCAAACTTGCTTGACGCAGTTGTAGATGCCAGTGTCCTTAGTATAGAAGATACCCAGAATAAAAACTGGGTTGTGGACTTTTTGCAAGTCGAGGATGGCAGCTTCGATATCTGCGGCATCGCTCTTACCGGTAAGAACGACGCGCTTACCCTGCATGTGAGGGTCGACAGCCATTCCCATATCGCGCAGAGTCTTGCGGAACGCTTGCAGGGACTTGTTGAGTTGGTCCGGGTGGGTGAACACCGGGCGGGCGCCTTCCTGGTCAATGTAGAGATAGCTCCAAGACTTCATTGACGCAGGCTTGGAGAATTGAATATCGCGCATGTTCCAGCTGCCCGCCGTTATCCGAATTGTCTTAGTCCGGTTGCCATCTTTGTAATGGACGTTGGGAGCTGGGAGGACACGTCCAGGAACCGTGATAAGCTCAGTGGAAGGATTGATCCCGAAGGCAGTCTGTAAGGTCGAAGTTAGGTTAAGAAATGTCCAAGAGGGGAATTACTTCTCACCAAAGTGGGGTTCAATGGCTGCCCTAGTCCTAGGACTCCAGTGCCGCGGGTGACAATCGACTGAGCGTTCTGCCCAGGCTTACGGCCCATGACGGCGAATTTGAGCATCGATGCAGTCTGGTCACCCGAGAGCTTAGACTTGGCAGGCTGACCAGGCTCGACTTCGCAGACTTCACAAGGAACGTAGACAGGGTTGGTACGAGATCCAACATTGATAACAGGTAGATTGGGATCCACTGCAAGATTGTACTCTGCGAGATTTTGTTAGTTAGGCACCACGCGTGGGGAACTTGAGTGGGATAAAGTGATTAATTAACTTACCCTTCTTGAAGAAAGCCGCTACAGTGATGTAGCGCCCGGCCTCGGCTGGGCCGGCCTTGGGTGGCTTCTTTCCCTTTTTGCCCTTCGCCTCTGGGGCACCAGGTACGGCGGGAACAGACTTAGGGCCAGCCTCATTCAGGAAGAACTCCACGTCATTGGGACCCGCACCGTGGCGAGGGACCTTAGGGGGTTCGAAGAAGATCCACCATCGCCGCGGTTAGCCAAGCCATGGATAGGCTTGATGCGATGGCGAGCTTCACCGCGGCTATTCTTGCGGGCGATATGAGTGATGCGAACTCGCAAGCTCTTGAGGAACTTCTCCAGGCGGTAGGTGTTCCTGTTCCTGAAGTCGCCAATCACGTGGGCCAAGGGTCCTTGATTGTAGCAAGCGATGTACTTGACCTGCACGTTCAAAAGAACTCGGGCAGTTGCAGCACGCACACTGATGAAGAATCCACGAAGCGCAGAAAGGCCACCACCGAGATTGAACGATTCCATGGTGTCTTGACGAAGACTGAAGTGTCTGTTGGCACCAATGGAGACGACTCCATCATCAGTCTTGGGGTGTTGGCCCATGATCATGTTCAAGGCAGCAATGATCTCTTCCTTGGACTCAAGCATCGAGCTGACGTTGGTGGAGGTCAGATAGTTGACCAAGTCCGCCGGGTTGACATCGCCAGTGTACTGGAGAGTGACAACATGCACTCGTGGAGTTTCTGGATAGTCATCATCGAGATCTTCCTTGTACCGCACATCGAACTTGCCCTCCGTCAGCTTGACGGTGGAGATCAGAGTCGAGCGGAAGTCCGATGCGATGCTCTGTTTCTCCTTCGAAAAATGCTCATTCAACAACAATTTCACAATGTGCCTAGCTTTCTTGCCAACAGGAGCCGATCGGCCCGCGGAGTCGGCCGCGATATCAAGGTGATAGCGGGAGAGTGGCTTGCTTGTCAAAGTGATCGGAAGATAGTTGGCATACAATGTCACCGGTCTGCCAGCAGTTCCATAGCCAGGACGCTCAGGATATTTCGCCTGGCGAGGGGTCTTCTTTCCACTGACAGCAAGTGCCTTGGCTAGATCATTCTCGGTCTTGGTGACAACGGCGTTGGGCGGGGGAACCGGTTCTCCTTGTCTGTTGAACTGATCGTCAAAATTTGATGCAATAAGCCTTCTTGAAGCAAGTAACATACCTGAAGATAGGAGGGCCGTGGTTCATCGCACCACCGCGACCTCCTCCGCGACCTCCACGGAAGTCTCCTCGGCCACGAAAATCGCCGCGACCACGACCTCTAAAGTCACCGCCGCCTCGGCCACCACGGAAGTCACCACGGCCTCTATCACCGCCACGACCTCTGTCACCACCCCGGAAAGCACCGCGGTCACCATCGCCTCGTCCAGCTGGGCGGAAAGGAATATCACCGCGACCACGAGCTCCACCGCGATCACCACCACCGCGATCCCCGCGACCACGGTCGCCCCGGCCACGGTCGCCTCGTCCGCGACCTCGATTGTCACTCATGTTAAAGATATCAGTAAGACCTGGGAACCTTGGTCTACAGAATATTATGAAGGCGAAAAACAATTGTGGACGTGTGTGGACCTAACGGGCATCCCCACGTAATAAGTATCTCTCCGTTCCAGCTCTTTGTTCTGCCACGTTGAGTGCGTTGGCGTGTTGATCACCAATGAACGATTGAATGCCCCGGGGCCTTTTTGGATACATCACACCGTCTGCGTGATCAGTACTCCGTACCACAATTGCTCTCCCAGCTACGGACTATAGCAATTATAATTGGCTGCTGTGTGCTTCGTCTTTGTCTGCATACACTGTTTGTTTATGTCTCAATGAAACGGTCCCAGGATTCGAGTGGTTTCTATCATTTTTATCTGGTTTTCATAGGCTACCCGCCCATGCCAGGATCACAGGGTCCAACTGTGCCTCTACACGTATGTAGGGTCCCTACCAGTGGTACGGAGTACAACCCGTGGACTGACGCCAACATGACAAACGGACGATTGAGCTGTCACAGCCCAGTTGGCAACAATGCAAACACAACGAAGTGAGTGGACAGTGCAAAATGTTCAAACAATTGCCGAGGTAACCAACCCCAACTGTCTGGTCATTCTGGTCATTCTGGTCAACTAGTTGCAGCCTAAAGTCAGCGCTAGTACGGAGTATGGAGTACTCCGTACAATATAGTACAGTCCCATAGGTTATTGCGGACTGGGTTTACAAGCACATCTCCCAATCTTGCTTCCTATATCACAATCCACAATCAGCGCTAGAATGAAAGAGCTCATATCTTGCGAACAAACGATCGTGACAACCGCAAGATTATAAATGCATAAACAGTCTACAAATACTGGCCGTGGGGCCACTCACAGCCCTGGGATCATCCCACAATTTTGTCCAGCGTCTTACCCCTCACCGTCCTCAACAATTTTATAGGCCTGAATTCAAACAAAATGACTGTCAACGGTTCTTGCAGCCCCAAGTTCGACCGGATCCGCGACCTTGTTCAAGAGAGATTGGACTTGGGTGAAGAGCTCGGTCTATCACTATGCGTTAACATCGACGGGGAGAATGTCCTTGACATCTGGGGTGGGCACGCAAATGAGGAAAAGTCTCGCCCGTGGGAAGAGGACACTCTCACGGTTGTTTGGTCCTCCAGCAAAGTCATTACCTCGCTAGCAGCCCTCAAGCTTATTGATAGCGGACTATTGGATCCCGAGGAGAGTGTATCAAAGTATTGGCCTGAGTTCGGGGCAAATGGCAAGGAGGATGTGAAAGTGTGGCACTTCCTCACACACTCCTCTGGCCTCCCTTCATGGACAGAGCCCATAACAATCGATCTTCTATATGATACGCCAGCCTCAACGGAAATGCTTGCACGACAGGCTCCCTGGTTCACTCCCGGATCTGCGACAGGTTATCAAATGCTGAACCATGGACATCTGATCGGCGAGCTTGTTCGACGAGTGAGCGGCAAGCCACTCAAGCAGTTCATTGCCGAGGATATTGCGGGCCCGTTAGACGCGGACTTCAGCTTGGGTGTGGCCGAGGAGAAGTGGGCGAGAACTGCAGACGTCGTACCTCCTCCTCCTTTCGATGTCCCCGAGGGAATAGATATGGACAGCATCATGATCAAGACTTTCTTGAACCCCGCTCCTGACGCCAAGGCATCCATGACCCCCGAATTCAGGGCAGCTGAGATTGGCGCCACCAATGGATTCGCAAATGCACGCTCTCTGGCTCGTATTGCGTCTATTGTCTCCTTAGGCGGAACCGTCGACGGGAAGCAGCATTTGTCGCCCCAAACAATTGAGCAGATTTTCCAAGAGCGGATCAGCAGTGTTGATCTGGTACTTGGCCTGAAAATCCGAATGGGCCTTGGTTTCGGAATTCCCGTGCCGGAGACTATCAGTTACATCCCGGAGGGAAACATTGTCTTTTGGTGTGGATGGGGAGGGTCTATGGTCATCATGGACTTGGATCATCGAATGACCATCACTTATGCCATGAACAAGATGGGACCGGGTCTTGTTGGTAATGCGAACAGCGAGATTTACATAAAGGCGATCTACGAGATCATGGCACAGGAGTGAACCCTTCTTTATGATATAGAAATATCGACAATTCCCAACAAACCTGTATCGAGATAGGCGATAAGCTGAACATAATGCATGGAGCCCTATAACTGGATCCTTTATAAATCCGAGACCCGTCAATCGAACATAGCAAGTTTCTGTTCTCTTCATTTCAAGGACAGATCACAACGATTTCTTGTCTTTTGAGACTCGCTGCTTGCTACCACCAGTCTCAGTGAACACCAGTTCATCTCTTTCCCAGATCAGTTCCACCGCAGCACCAGCGGGTCCCGCGAGGGTAGCTATCAGAGCAGTTTTGAACAGAAGACTGGGCCATGAGACGGTGCTGAGAATTTGCTTGTGGGCAACACTATACAAGTGGATTGCCCAAAGCAGAACACCGGCTGATCCTATCATGTAGTCCCACCGCAGGAAGGCATGCACGCCATGTCCAACATTCTCAACCGTCAATCCAGACCAAGGGAGTGGGATAAAAAATACACTTGCTGGATGAAGCGCTTCTTGGAAACGCTTTTCGAACAGTGTCGGTACGATGACGGTCGCTAATGACACGATCCACGACACGAGGTGGGACAACGAAGCATTAATAAACGCGAATGCGTAGACCCAGCGCAAGTTAGACATAGATGCCCGGTTGTTTTCGGAGAAGAATGGACAGAACACGTAGTAGGCGACGGTGCTCAAAATCGAGACATACGCAGGCCATGGCTGCCAGATGGCAATGGCAATCTGCTTGAAATCCACGGATATCACGGATGGAGCAGGCAACACCATCATATTGGTCGGAACCATAAATCCCACAGCAAATATCAATGGCATGGTTGCTAGGACTGCACGTGGAACGCGGATGTTGTCTGCGTGAGGTCGACGAGCTGTGATCGAGCAGCCGAGCTGGAGTCCCAAAATCAAGGGAGTGGCAAAAGCGAAAGTGAAGACTTGCGCAATGAGGCCAAACACCATGGGGCTATGTCAATGGCTCAGCTTTTGTTCTATTAAACCCAACCATTTGAATTGAAACTTACTACGCGGCGACGGTCCCAGCGTTACCCTTTCTCCATGATTCCAAGACAACCAAAGTCCATGCTGCCCCAAAGGTACCTGAAAAGCCGATGCTGTGAAGTAATAGCCCAGGTCGCTGTCCATCGAGGGTCGGGTAGAAGAAGGTGGTCAGTAGAGTCAAGAGATGGTCAATTGGCTCGACGCCTGTGTACACTGTCCGCAGTGGGTCATTCACCCCCGGGAGCTTGCCAGATTCAATGGACTCACGGCCAAGAGCATCCAGGCCATTGATATAAGAGAAGTAGAAGATCGCGTAAAATACAAATGCGCTCAAGGAGAAGAGTACGTATTTCATGCTGAAGAAGGAATGCTAGCAATATGGCTCTGCCCGTGATGAAGCCTGACGACTCGATAGGGGCTATTCCTTTATAGGAGAGCCCATCGAACGTGGCGTGTGAGACCGAGGCTGGAGATGCATCCCGATATTCACATGCGGAGTACTCCGTACGTTGTACTGGATACGGGGTTGAGTGTGGGGGGTGGGGACATCTTGCATGCCCAAATTGGCTTAGGGTGGTCTTCTTCGATGTTTGGCTGGTTTTCAATTTGTTGATGCCCCGTCTGTCAGGCCGCAAGGGCCCACCAGCCAAGAGAGATCCCGGCACCTCAGTGCACCGTACTCCGTAGTGAGGGCGATCGCATTCGCATGCACGTACTAATTGATGGAAGGTGAGAGCCGCCTACGAAGAACTGCCTACAAACCCAACATCTTGCTCGAGTGCTCGGCCCTTTCCCATGGTGCTCCCACTCAATGATTTCCCATTCCTGCATTCCCTTGACCTCAGCTCTGTTCAATCGATACAAACATTGAACTTAACAGTTTAGAGTTGGCCAGGTCAAATCACTCTACTAATTGCAAACTTCAAGGACTTGACTTTGTGCATTTTCCTTCGCCATGACAGCACAGCAACTACCCTTAGAAACACTTCTTCATATTTTTTCTTTCCTTTCCTCTGAAAGCCTGGCGTCATTCGCGAGCGTCTGCCGGTCATGGCAGATAGCAGTTGAGAAGATCACATTTGCCGATATTCATCTCAACCTTTCAACTCTGAAGCGGCTCGGTGATATAGTCCGTTCCTCGGGGTTTGAACGATGTGAGCTTATCAAGAGGATACACTTCAAAGTCAATCTTCCGGAGTACAGCGTTGCAGCTCGGGGAAGTTATGAGAATTCATATGATCACAAACGCAATAACGAAATGTTCACGCTTTCCATCTCATCCCTTTTGGAGACTCTGAGTTTCTGGCCAAGTACCGGCAACAATTCAACCTCGCTGGAGCTCTACTCACGATCTCCGAGTGACTGGCGTGCATGCGAAGACTGGGCCGAGCGTCGCACTCGCCATCAAACTGCCATCGCTTTCCCCGAGGAAGAGCTTCTCGACAAGAGATGGGAGGGCTCATACTTGGACCTCACCGAGAGAATCCCATTCACTGCTGGTTGCATCCACTCATTTAAGATCCCGGGCCATCCCGGCTACCGGCACTTTGCACCGAGCGCCATATCGGAAATAGTTTCCCTCTTACCGCAAGTGGAGAAGGTTGACATGGTACTTCATGACGACGAGAAAAATGACAGCGTACTTCGTGATCGTCTTCGTGGTGGTAAGCCCAGCTCATCGTCGCGTTCGCCCCTTCAACTGTCTTTCCAGTATTCAATATTCTGTTCCTCCCTTGGCGAGCCTTTGAATACTTTCCGGGCTGTAAAATCTAACGATGCATCGATAGGATTAAATTTCAAGGGGTGGCCTCAGTCTCTCCGGTGTTTGGACCTTTCGTACCCAGGGCCAACTCCGAGTGATGATGAGACACTGGACCCCCCACCGCGATCGGCTTCAGGAAAGGACATTCTCAGCCTTGCTTTGCATAAACTTTCACATCAGTTGAAAAGTATTACCCTGAGAAATATCATGATTGGTCCCGAATTATTTTGGCCAGCAATAGCCAACCAATGCATCCCAATGTGGCCGAATCTTACCACGTTTGTGATGGACTATCAACCAGCCACAACATCTGGAAAGTGGCTGTTTGAGAATGACCCAGCGTGGGATGAGAAGGTTGATGAGCCCTGGTCTCCCTCCGAGACACCAATATCCCCGGGTCGATTCCGTACTCTTCCTAATGCAAAACTTGATGAACTGTACTGTGCTGCTGCACAAGCGGCTCAACGAATGCCCCGGCTTCGCTGCATGAGACTTGAGGCTGGGATAGGGAGAAGTTGGATCAAGGAATCCTTCGGACCCCCTGTTCATACGTTCGAATATAACGCGATACGTGGTCAAGCGATTTGGACGAGCTCATCTGAATATCATTTGGCGGGTCACGTCCGAAGTGCTTGGGATGCTGTAGCAAAGAGCCATGGTCATGCTGAGGTATACTCCGAGGTCTGTTGCGCCAATTTCTGAAGTTCCTGCTTTGTGGATCTGACTAACTGTTTGTCCCACGGCCAGAGCGTATGGTTTTATTATTGTCCGGAAGACGCCTCCGAGTACTCCGGTGCTAATATTCTCGACGACCGGTGGAGAAAGAAGTACGGATGCTTCTCATGGGATGACGACAGTTAAGTCCACAAATCAGACCTTGGAACCTACTGTTCAGTCTGTTCATCTCGATTTTCCTTCGTATGAGCATGTCTCATTCCAAAACTCCAGGGCTCGCCAATATACAGATGTCTCCATATAAGGCAAAAGCAACTCTAGTAGCCTTTGGTATAGGACCCAATCTACTTTGAAAATGCCAGGGTTGCCCTTCGAATGTGGACGCCCATTAGATCCAGCACGATGCATCGTTACTCAGGTTCTCAGTCAATAGGACTACGCACAATCAGTACGTTACTTATTTAGTATGCCCCTCAGTAAGGTCACACAAACTGCCAAGAATCCAGTCTGAATCACTCCCCCTGAATTTCATCCTACGTAGAATATCCAGCATCCTCCGAGTAAGCTGATAGCCTCGTCCTTCTCCCTCCTCGATTCAACTGGAAAATTCGAGTAGATCCTTGAAAAGGCTCGTCATTACTAGGTAGGCGCAAAAGCTCAAGCAATTCTTGATTGAATCGGCATGTGGCTCTTGATTTGAGTCGACAAACATGTATTGTTTTGACCCCGAATCCGATCCAGCAGTGCGAAAATAGCCATGGATTGCCTTTCTGCTGACTACAGATCCCAGAAAATTACTGAGCAATTAGGCTAAGATCACCTACTAGCATTATACCATTGCAAATTTTCCACCGATCTATCGGTCGACCCGTCATTCAGCCTGATCGGATCTAAATGGAAACCACCAAGGTTCCTTCGCAAGGTTCTTGCCTGAAGGATGTACTACTCAAGCGCCCCCTCCCTTCTTTGAACAGTCCTGAATGGGAGATGGGCTCTTGCTTTCCTTTCGTTATGTTGACCACAGATCAAAGCGATCGAGGGCAGTCAAAGAGGGTGACCTCGAACAATGAAAAGTAAGCGCCATCGCTCAAGCTCGCAAGCTCGCAGGAAATCAAGGCATAGAACCACTGCATCGAAGCGAGCGTTCCTCCCTCAAGTCACTGAGAAGCCCTAGGGCCGGTGTCAATCATTCAATTCTCGTTGTTGAGATGCTAGGCAGACGATGTGCGGCTCGACAGCCCCTTCGGTGACAGTTGTCTGGGAGGCAGCGGCATGCCGCAACGATTCGTGCTTAAGGGCATTATGATCAACAAGAGCCTTGACGCAAGCCGATGCTTGTGTCCAGTATAATCCACCATGTTGATTTCTCGGTGTTCGTCTTGCGATTCGATGAGGTCGAAGAATCGAGGGGTTCAGGGGACGAGATACTCTGAGAGATCCACGGCATCGGTGGTTCCAAGATTATCGCCATCGATGAGACTGACTGCATGGAGGCGAAGATAGAGAGCTAAATTCCAACATGTTAGCTGGGGGTAAGTGCTCCACGCAAATGACGTGCATCGGGGTCAAGCAAAGCCGAGCGGTTCTTTTGTTGTGCGGGCTGGTATGTACAATTTCTTATGCAATGTCATTGCCTCGTCATCCGTCCATCATTGCAAACAAAAATCAGACAAAAGCACCGCATGCGCATGCATGGAAAGCGCGAGAAGTCCCAGCGACCCAACATGTTTGTTTGGTGAAAGGTCACCTGATGGGTATTGACCGCCCGGGCGTTTGACAACAGATAAATTTCCCCACCATAGATCTCCCCATCACTCAGTTTAGAACCTTCTGTCTTTCGTCAACTTCCAATCGGATGCTAACAGTCTCCATCGATCTATCTTCAAGCTTGTGGGACAGGCACATGCCGTCCCGATACCTTTGGGATGCTCCGGGACTCTGATCTAGATTCCCTCAATGGGCATCTGGCTTCCTTCTCGCTGGATCAACAAAAGCAACATGACAGCCTTCAGGAGCTTCTTGGCCAATTCAAGAGCCTGTTAGATGACTACAGCTCCCTCAAGAGTGACTATGAGGAAGTCAAAGATGGCCGTGAGAAATACAAACGCCAGGCTCGAGGCCAGGTATGCAAAGTTGACAAGACACAACGAGTCACAAATCTGACAACTAACCAGGACCGTAATCCCTTCGTTTTGGTACTCGTTGATGGCGATGGATACTTAGTGAGCCGAACTGGTCTTGTGGCTGTTACCCGGGCTAACTGACGTATCTCAGTTCAAAGAGCATTTCTTAAAGAATGGCAGCGAAGGCGGCATTAACGCCGCTCGTGAGCTGAGTGATTCTATTAGAGAACTAATGCATTCGACAATGGGAATGCAGGCAGAGCAATGTCGAATCATGGTTCGCGTTTACGCCAATGTCCTTGGCTTGTCAAAGGCACTTGCCCGAGCCGGACTCACTGGTCACGAGGCTCGATCTCTCTCCCCATTCACCTCTTCCTTTACCCGTGCACAGGAGCTGTTTGACTTCGTGGATGCGGCAGAGAAGAAAGAGGGTAGCGACTTCAAGATTCGGGGTAAGCAGTGACTTCATAACACTCAGCACTTCGTACTGATCTTTCATCCGAAACTAGAAATGTTCCGCCTCTTCGCAGACCTCAACCAATGCCGACACATCTATTTTGCAGGCTGCCATGATACTGGATACGGCTCCCTCTTGACCCCGTACAGAGGAAGTGACCGTATCACGCTCATCAAAGCCGCAGGTTTCCATAGGGAATTTGAAGCTCTCGGCCTTCCCATCAAAGAGTTACCTTCGGTATTTTCTTCTACACCTTTAGCTACCACCAAGCCACCTACGGGTCCCGCTGGTGCTAAAGCAAGTGGTAATGGTACAAATGGTGTTCATCACCAGTCGACTGGTTCAAACGGTGGAAGCCCCACCAAGCCAATTTGCAAGCATTTCCAGAAGGTATATCATGCTTTTCTCTATACCTTGTACAAGGCATAACTGACCTTGATATAGGGTATCTGCAAATTTGGCAATGGGTGCAATAAGCAACACGTACTGCCGAACCAGTCACTAACACACGCTCCCTCATCTAAAAATTCCGCCACTTCACCAAAATTCTCAAAGGCGACATCAGCTTTCTGGACATCCCCTACCGCGATTGGTCGAACTGAAGACTTCCTCCAGTCTATGCTTCCTCTTCCAAGCATCAAAACTGAAGAATTTATTCCGGTTAACAAAGAAGGTGACCGCATTGATCCATACTATCCCCAGCCCTCGGCAGAAGCTTTTGACGAGTACCACTCCCGGGCAAAGGAGCATAAGGTGTGCAATAGTTACCACCTTTCTGGGGAATGCGGCGATATGAGCTGCCCTTACGATCACACCGATGTCTCAAACACCGTGGTCGAGGTCTTACGATGGATGCTTCTCCAGCACCCTTGCTCCCGATCTGGAGCTTGTCGTTCGATCAAATGCTACATGGGCCATCTTTGCCAGAAGCCAGGATGTAAGGCTGTGAAGAGCTGGCAATGCCGGTTCAACCAGAATGCCCATACCCTCGAGCTCAAAATTACCCGCTGGGACGTACCAACCGACCAGGATGTTATCGACCAATGGTCTGTCAGTGACGGGTCCATTGGAAACACTTCCCCGAGCTCAATGCTGTTCGACTAAAAACACATTCATGGTCTCTACAAGAAAATATCTCTCGGCGCTCATCCACATACACCCCCTTGTACCTGGGATACCCATGTATGTGTGAGAAAGAAAGCTATGAAATAATGGCCAAATGCTCAGCCAAATACTGAGTGGACCTTCAATGTTAACACGGGTTCAAATGAAACGCTTGGATAATTTAGGAAAGATGCTATTGATGTCATCTTTCAGAAAATGAAATTCATTCAACTGGCGATTGAAGCTGTGTTTTACTGACATATTCCTAGCTTCGTTGGGTGTGCCTTTGTTTTTGCCTGCAATTCTAGATCAGCACATGGGTAGCCTTGACAGAATAAACTAAAGTCTCCTTGCGACTTGCAAATTGTTGGGAATTGACATCCACGGGCGATGATAGATACAATTGATGAACTGTGTTAGGTTGTGGCAAGTGTCCAGGTGGTGATTGCCACCTCTTTTGGTGCCCAAGTGGCCATGACACCAGCATGCGCTGATCAATCCTTCTATGTGTCTAGCTTCATTGCAGTCCACTGCTTCTTTCTGGATCGTCATCCATGGAAGTTGAGATAACACATCGAGATGAGTCGTGAGTTCACCAAACTAGGTGAATTGAAACCTAACTAATGGAGCCAGGGTGATGATCTAACAATACGTAATAATAGCATTGGCCTTGCCATCTGCGGCGCAAAGTTAGCGTCTTCTTTCTGTCACATCATTTCAATGTGAGTTACATTTTTACATTTTTCAATCTTTCATTGTGACCTTGGATATGGAGCCAATTGTCTACCCGATTTTTGAGGCCAAGAGCTGTTCATGGCAGTATGTTGTGGCCTGCCCCAATACAAAAGAAGCCGCTATCATCGACCCGGTTTTGAACTTCGAACCCTCCCTGTTTCGTATCACGACAGAATCTGCGGATGAAATGATCGATCGCGTTATGAAAGAGGGATACACCGTCAAGATGATACTAGAAACCCATGCCCACGGTGACCATCTTTCCGCCGCCTACTACATACAGCAGGCACTCTGGACGCGAGGGCAGCCGCATGCTTCAATCTGCATCAGTGAGAATATCTTAGTCGTGCAAAGCTACTTTTCACACAAGTACAGAATCCCAAAGGAAGAAATCGAGAGCGCTTTCAACCATCTCTTCCAGCCCGATGAAGTATTCCACATTGGCGACATCGCTTGCACCGCACTGCACTTGCCAGGACATACACCCGATCATGGGGGGTATTATATGGGAAGCAATATCTTTACAGGAGATTCCATGTTCAACCCGGATATTGGCAGTGGAAGATGTGACTTCCCCGGCGGTGACGCTCGGCAACTATACCGGTCGATGAAACGCCTTCTGTCCTTCCCACCGGAAACGAAGCTGTACACGGGCCATGACTATCCACCTTGCAATGAGTCAACAGCCCGTGAACCGGTTCCGTATGTCACGGTCAGCGAGCAGCAAGATAAGAACAAGCATATCAAACACGATTCGTCGGAGGAAGATTTCGTTCAGTGGAGAAACGATCGAGATCAGGTAATCCCGGAGCCTAAGATTGTTCATCAAGCCATGCAGGTCAATGTGCGTGGAGGCAAAATGCCAACCAAGACCCACGATGGCAAGGCGTATATGCTTTACTTGATCGAGGTCCCAAGTGTTCTTTTGGCGGGATAGCGGGGACAACTCCGTTGAGAGTACCTGTTATAGTGCTAGTTCAATGTTGTGTTATTTTAGTATCTATTGCACAGATCCTATGTATAACACAATTAAATTGATCATTTCGGCGCCGCTGTGTGGTTCATTGGCTAACAGTCCTGGTCAAATGTTTCTTCCCTTCTGCTGAACCGTTCCTTCTATCAGAATCTAGCCCCTAACTCTGAAGTATGCCTCTTTGACTTCTTCGCGTGTATTCATGAGGCCCAGCCATTTCGAGATTAGAGGGTGTTTTTCCAATGTGAGACCAGCAAATGCATACCCACGCACCCAAGGCTCGAAGTGATAATCAACAGCAGTGATACGGCCAGGAAGAATGCTCTCTCCACCACTTTTCTTCAACTGTCCCTCGAGGACATCATAGCATCGATATGCTTGAGCTGTGTATCGTTCAAGTGCGTTCTCATTCTTTTCGGCGTTGAAGTGCCTAGGGAAGTGGTATGTCAGCACTACTCGGCTCTATCTCATGCTTTCCAACATTCACATACTTGAACCAGTTTGTCTGCCCCATCATCGGGCCCAGAGTCGACAACAAGAAATACTCCCATTTCTCGAAGTCAACCAGGTCTTGCGCGGAGTCCGCAGATGGGCCAATCGTGTTGCCTTTGTCATACACCCGGCGGATGTAATTCATACAAGCTCCAGATTCCCACGCGGTAACACCGGTGTTAGGATCTTCGATCGCAGGAACACGTCCATTCTCATTGATCTTGAGATATGTTGCGCCTTTCACCCCCTTGGTCGGATCATCACCAAATTCCCACTGCTTCACTTCATATGGGACATGAAGTGCTTCGAGGGCCATGGCTATCTTAACTGGATTCGGGCCAGAAGAGTGAGCGTGCAAGGTGAGCGGCTTGATATGGGCAGCCATTTTCAAATTTCAAATACTTGAGAGTTGACTTCTTCGAAATAACCTTGGAATCTTTGAAATGGCAGTTCCCGGTGGCTAGGTTTCAATTGCAGGATGAGCTAGCTATGATGTAAGTTTGTCGTCACAGCCTATGGTGAAAGCTTTCTTCTGCGCCGAAGGGGCTTACTGGGCACCTGGGCAATTCCAAGGGTTTAAGGGTTCCAATGCACGGTGCAGAATATGAGGTTTTGCTTTCTGGTGTGGCTACCTGGGCAGGATGGTACCACAAATATATTCTACTCGTTTCTTCAATAACCTTGGAATCAGCGTGAACTGTTATCAAGCAATCGGTTAAAGACTCTTATTTTACAGAGGGGAAGCTAATCTACAGTAGACATGTGCTCCCTTGTCATTCGTTGGGCTTCTAAGTAGATGGCCGCAATCTTTGGACCGCCAGGCCTCGGGGGGTCTCGATCGCTGACTGCATGACTTCGTATAGGCAATTTCAGCTGTGAGAATAATTGGCAATTCACTCTGCCTCATGGCTCGGACCTTGGGATGATTTCGACATGAAGAGCTGCGTAGCAATTTTTGTCGGAGGTAAGTTGGAATATGTTCCTTTTTTACGAGCTTGATGTAACGTTGAAAAGCCCCGGGCGAAGCCCCACCACAGCTTGGGGTGGCTTCCAGGACCTCGGGATTCAGCTTATTTCCCAACCTTGGAAATGCCCAGGTGGAAGCGAGAATCCGGGGTAAGATCTTTAGGCTGAAAGCTTCTCAGGACGGGTAAAACTACCATGGCATTTACTGAAAATAGGTAATGACGGGATGCTTCCGAGTGTTGTCATTCTGAATAACCCAATAACCTTGAAATACTTACTCCGTAGAGATCATGAGATCAGAATTCTAGAACGACATTTCGTTTGGTCGCACGAGAATGTGTTACACCGGCCCGATGCAATTACAAGCTGGTATATAAATCCCGAGGTCTGCTTCCTTGCGTACCTAGGTACAACGGCGCAACCTGCTTCTCTGAGATTAAGTTGCTTGCTTCAAGACTGATTGGAAACAATTAAGCCTCAGATATGCGTGAGGTACTTTGCGAATACAAGATTTTGGTTGGTTGTGAACATATGAACGGGTCAGTGATTGAGGCTACATGTAGCCCATTCCCAAATTTTTGAGACGAGCACTAACGTCTGTAGACCTGTCACATATGACATGAGCCCTGAAGTCAGTTTGACACATCCGAAATGTCACGGGTACAATCTTCACAAGGACTGAATACTCGCTCGATATTTGTTTGCTGGGCAAGCAGGTAGCCAAAATTGAGACTTCGGACAAGGGATCAAAGTCCTGGTTATTAGAATGGTTCGTGGGCTTGGAGTTTTACAGGGATCGCCTTGTCTCTCGATTATTCAAACGCCGTAATCTTTTAGGCCATGATAGAAATGCAAAATTCAAGTCTCATTTCTATGCCCCAAGCACCGCGACTGCGGCAACTAAAGCATCAAGAGCGGAGCTGTGGGTGGATGCATCTACCTGCGCTTGAATGGGTCCTGCCCAGTTGACACCGAACTGGTTCTTCTCATTGCGATCATTATCCCAGATGCTGGCCGCGCAGCTTTTGATCACGTTAAGATAAATTGCATTCGGGGACACCTTCTGCAGCATTGCAAGATTGCGGATAAAGATTCCCTTGAACTGCGTGCCGTCTGGAAGACATTGCGGCTCGCAGGAATCGTGTATCACATTGTTCGAGTCTGTCAAAGTTTCGATAGCCGCCTTTGCAATTCGGTCAGCAGAAGGCAGGTATGTGTCGTTCGGCGCTGCTTTGTTCAACTCAACCAGCCCGCCGAGGACTACACCTTGGTTGTAAGACCACCTGGAAAATGTCAGATGTTTAGAATTGGCATTGGAATTGGAGGGTGACCTACACAGTATCTCCATTGTTTTGGCAATTCTCCAAGAGTCCATCATTGATGGTGCCATTTTCGCCGATGAAGCCCTGGGCTGCGAACCAGTCCCATTCCTTCTGGGCCCAGCGAACGTAGTAATCTTTCCTATCCTGAACGCGGTTCGCGAGATGTGCTGCCACAGATAGAAAGACCTCGTTCGTGATTGAGTTCACATAGGTGCTTGTGGGGTTCCAGGGAAGACCGCCTCCACCACAATTAGTTCCCCAAGCTTTCACCTGTTTCAGTCAGCAAATATGTAACGATCCTAGAGTCGCACTTTTACATACCAGGCTTTCGAAGATTCCCTCGGCGAGCTCGAGGTAGTTTTGTTCCTTTGTGACATCATATGCAGCAATCCATGCCAGGGCCCACCACCCATCGTCATCGTAGGCTTGGTCCAGCCATTGCGAAGCATTGACAGCATTTGATTGTTGTCCATCGCGTGTGAACACGGTCTTTATTTCAGGTCCGGGGTGGGGATTCGATACTGGTCCCACGTTGAATGTATTGTTGAAAACATATGCCGCCGTGTCCACCACAGATGTATCCAAAGCAGCCAAGTCTGCGATTGTATTCATGCAACTTGCGCCATCCCACCAACCAGTAGTGTCCCAAATTCCGCTCGATGGGTTATACCAGCCCTGAAGTACTTCAAAGGCATTGCGGGCTCTCGTTCGTGCGTCATCGGCGACCGCATTGCTCGACAGAAGCAGGGAAATCAGCGAAGGGGCTAGGAGACCGGAGCGTGAGAAAAACATGGTCGAGAAATGTCAGTACAAGAGTACATACCCGGGTCAGAATTTCAACGGGCGGCGCATGTCACGATTAAATATGATAGCCACGATTTTCCTGGATTGTTCCTTGGACACGTAGCTGCGTGTGCAAGATAGATGCACATTCTTGCAGCTGTTGTACCTTGATTGGCAACTCAGAGCATGTGATCCACTATAGCGCATCGCTCAGCAAGATCTGCAATGATCGACCTTTCGTTGTAAGACTGAAACTCTCCTGAAGTCGCGAATATGCGTGGCCCGGTCTTTTCAGGAACCAGCCTTGCAGGAGAAAGCCTTGCAGGAGAATAGGTCCGATCTTAGTCAAATTGCGAATACCCCTATTCGACTCAGTCAAGGGGCACATTGATCAAAGTTATCGCTAGTTATACAAGTTTCAATGACACTGCCCACCCCTTGCAAGACTGACTCCCGGATCTCCAATTCCATCGCGCTGTGAATTACCACAAGGCGGCAGCGGAGACAGCGACGGAATCGCGAATTGGTAGCTTATCCATGTAAATCACAGCTGAGGAACTATACCATTTCCTTTGTATTTCTTTTTTGGCTCATGATCGAAAGTCGCGTCAGGCCAGGCCTCTTGAAACACCAATGGGCATCGAAGGCTGCACTGGCATTGGTGTTGATTCCTGTTGTGCTCGGGCGCGTATCGCCGACATAGCTAAGTATGGCGGCCCAAGGACGACAAAGAGTAGATGAGACATGCTCCGCCTCCCGTACTTCGTAGTATATTTCATGGGATACACCGTCTTCAGATCGAAACTATCAACCGACTGACGTCAGCCCCATCGCCTTGCAAGGTTGTGTCTGTCATTCCCGTGGAAGCCAGGTGTCTTGGCGGCTTATGCATCTGCAGAGACCTTGGGCCAAAGGGAGAATTCTAATCATCTGCATTAGTCCCACATTTGAGAGGACAGGTGGTGAAGCCCTCACCTCTTTTTTTCACTTCAGATATTGAGACTTCGCATTGTTCGCTGTGATGAGACAGGCATATCGCGACGGTGGATCTACTTCCTGCACTTAGTCACAATCACATCACTCGGCATCTGGGTGCAGCATCCCAATGCACAATGACTGAGGACAAGAGCAAGCATTTTCAATAACAAGCGCAGAGTGCTGCTAGCCAAGCAGACCAAGAAGCATGGCATCCCTTCTTTCGCCTGCACCGCGAGAGGTGGTAGAATGTCTCGCCATGTGATGCATGGAATTCAAATTGAATAGCTAGTGTCAGTTCTAAGAGTCGAAAAGGCGTTGTTTTTCCAGCGTAACAAAGAGAAGAAAAGGAAGCGCAGAAAAAGTGAGGAGATGGAGATAGATGCACCGGGCTGGAAAGGAAATTGACCCCTCCCACACCACCTCGGATCTCTCTTCATGGACTTCACCCCAAACTCGTCCATGTATACCACAATCATCACTACATGATTTCTTTCTGAAAAAAGAGGAGCCTGCTTTTTTGGCCACATACAGAGTCTTCCCTCGGCGATTCGAGTGGTATTTTCTGACTCACAACACCGAAGACTCATAGGGCGATTGATGCCCATATAAAGACACACACACACAACACACAACACACAACACACACACACACACAGTAACTATACCTCGTTAAAATAAGTGGTATATCTACGCATCTCAAACTCATCAGGTCTAGAAAGAAGCGCATCGACTTTGAACTCCTTCCACGATGACCACTGATTCGGTCTCCACTGCGACGCCCAGAAACGCCATGCTGCATCAAGCAATACCGGAAGACATACCTTTCATCAAATCCATGGTCAACGCTGCGTATTCCATATACGTTGAAAGGATCGGACGACCACCAGCACCCATGAGCGAGGATTGGGAAGAAACAATACAGTCCCACAATGTTCTCGTCCTGAAAGACAACGACCAAGTCATTGGCTCGATAACATTTCACGTTGACGAGGAATCAGACTCTCTCAAAATCGACAACTTGGTAGTACATCCAGCAATCCAGGGTCGCGGCTATGGACGATTTCTGATCGACCATGCGGAATCAGAAGCTCGGCGACGTGCATTGCCCGGTATTAGTTTATTCACAAATGCCAAAATGACCGAAAATATTGAGTTGTATAAAAGATTGGGATTTTCGGAGACAGAGAGACGAGTGGAAGATGGATTCCAGCGGGTATACTTCTACAAGAAACTTGTTTAGCAAGCCAATCTGTCTGTGCTTGAATCACAGGCGGTCCTACTCACACATCTTTCTCCCGCACGGGCAGTTAACGACCGAGAAATTGTAAGCACCTGCTGGCTGGGCAATGGCAAGATTCAACAATGTTTCGGGTTCATCGTTTGGGGGGACGGGGGGGGGATATTCTCTCAAAAACTACTCTGCCTTGCCCCATGAATTCTCCACTCAATATGTCAGCTTTCAGAATGACAGCTCTCTTCATGATGCATGTAATTTACCACAAAGGTCACCATCCAAGACACAACAGTGCCGACTCAGTCTCATCGTCAAAGATGTTCTGCAGACCAACACGGGAGCTGACCGAGCGGGTCAGTCGAACCTTGGAAGCCGCTTGGATGCAAGCGAGATCCGAAACTTGAAGCAAATGTAAATCTGCCGTATTGACATGATGGGATTTACGTATGTGAGTCTCACGGGAAAGACCTCCTTACTTGGTGCGATGGCGCTCGGTTTGTGCGCGAAAGTTTATAGACATGATGCCGTCCGCAAATTTGAGACATGAACTTCCAAGGTTTGTACTTCGGCAATCTGACCCGGAAACTCAAGTGTCATTAAAAATATACTGTATGTGTACAAGTACTATGTAAGCAAAAGAACCTTATTGCCACACTTGCACATAAGAGTTCTAGATGATCGCAAATCCGGAGTAGCCCGATCACTTTCCTGAAAAGGAAAAAGTACCTTTTCAGGAGGAGCAAACTTCCAATCCAATAGCGCATGTCGCTTATGCCATGGGAGATCGATATTTAAAGCCACAAACGTGAGCCAAAAGACAAGATCGATCTAAGCAAACGCCATTCTCCACTGTGGTTGCTTGGTGGGGACTTCTGGCTGCGGAACTTCGCCTTTAACTCGCAATTTGCCGACAGCAAAGTGGAAACCGCTCATTCATATCTGGTTCGTTGTCTGCTCAGGTGAGATTTTCTAAGAAATCATCATGATAAACCTTCCAGCTATTAGGGAAAGATTTTCATGATGATTCTCGGTACTGGCGGTAGTTTCCGCTTCGACGTGCTGACTTGCCAATACGTGCGCCCGGTCATCGCGCACTGATTAGGAACTGCCCCGAGGCTGGCGGTATTCGGTCTTTGGGACTGTTTACTTGCGCTGATAGCGCTCAGCGGAGACAGCGACTCGGAGTCGTCCCATCAAATGGAACTTCTTGATTGTGCACGTTCGTGCTGTAATCATGGAGATCGGCGTGTACCTTGTGTTGGAATTTACCTATCCTAGAGCAGTCCACAGCTCGCCTTGAATATGAGAACAAGATGATTGACAAATGGTCCAAATTTGGTTGACGGCTCCAACGGAGCTTGTCATCCCAATGAACAAGGGTGTTTGATTTTGGAAATATTAGATAGTCCAAGAGAATCGATCTGGTTCACATGAGAAAGGATTCGTTCTTTTGAATGATTATATACAGGTTCTGTCATGGTAATATGAAAGGTAAGGGTAAAGGGACATGAGAAAAAAGAAAGAAATGGTTATAAGAGAACCTTGAAAAGGGAATGAGAGAAGTAGAAAGGGACATGATGTAGTGACAGCAATCGTGAGGAAGAAAGATATACATGGGTATCCATGAGTGTGAAAACAAAAATCCAAGTCAGGCAAATCCTGTATGAACAACATTCCTCTGCCGGAATGTATACATGGCGCGGACTGGGTCTCGAACATATTGGGAATATAGTATGAAAAGAAAGGTCATGGGGAAATTCATCGGCGCCATTGATGGTGAGGTGGCATCTCGGAGGGGAACTCCTCCTTACTTGAGCGCTCGCTTGATCCCTCATCGGGGAAAGCAGGCTCGTGGGTAATCTCGATCGTTGTCTCTTGGTACACCTTTCCGATCGGGGCCATTTCGTGGCCGTGTTCCATAGCATGGGGGCTGGGCGAGACAATGTTGTCCGTGGAACCGTCAAGATCGTCGTTGAAAGTACCGCCACCCATTTTGCGCTTGGGGTCCGCAGTGATGGTCGTAAGGTGGGTATCACCACGCTTGCCCTTGCTGCTAGCGAACTTATTGTATGAGCGATCGTGGCTGGGCTCGGAATCGATGATGAGAGCGCGACGAGTGAGTGTGTATAGAACCACATCAACCAGACCAGAACTGGTAATGATGGCACCGGCACAGCAGAGGAATGTCAAGCTTGGAGAGTCTCCGTTGGCAGTGGCCATACGTCCGGCTGCGAGGGGCAGTGACAGAACAATGTAGACAATCGGGTAGATGGTCATGTATCCGACAACGCGGCGCAGTCGCCTGAGACTCTCCAGTTGGCTGTTTCCAAGAATTGAGGAGGCGGCGATTTGTCGACGAAGTTGGAAGTACATGACAGCATAAAGGGCGACTGTGCCGAATTCCGCGACGAAAATCCAGATGTAGTGAGTCCACAAACGAGTGGTTTCATAGTCTTCACTGATCCAGCACCAGGCACCAGAGGGCACGAAGACGTCACCGCCGTACATAGCCAATGGAATCACAACCATCAGAGCGACAAAAGCCCAGACTCCGCAGACAAACCCAACAAAGACCCTATGGGACATTTTGCGTCCCCAAACGACTAGAAGGAATGTGTGGAAGGCGATTGCGAGCACGAATAGACCACTCCCAGGATCTCCAATTTGCAACCAGAGCCCTTGAAGGAAACATCCGACGCTACCGGACTTGATCTTGTCGGTAAGAATCCATCGTAAACAGATAATGAATGCCAGTGACTGTTGGAAATCGGCCAAGACTAGGTTGTAGATAAGGATGATATACTGGTTGTAACCGATGTATCGTGAATAACTGCCGCGCCAGAAGATAAGTCGAAAGGTGATGAAACCTAGAAGACTGGCCGTTGCGATAAGAGATAAGAAAGCCATAACTGCAATAGCAATCAGACCTCGTCGGTGATTTTCCGGAAGAGGATCGATGTCAAGTTCCTTGGAGCTGGTCAATCGTGCTGCCAGCGAGAAATCGTCTCCCCTGGGCATTAAGCCCATGAGAATGAGTGAAGACATTTCGAACTGTCTTCGCAACTGAATTCCAAGTCAACAACTTCGCTACCGCGACCTAACTGAGCGAATCCAGTTAAATGTTGAGGAGCGTCGGCGTCGGCGGGCTCGGATCACTTCTTCGGTAAATTCAATGGCGAGAGACCAGGTGGAGGCGAAAAGGAATGAATGAAAGCCAGGAACAGATCGACGCTATACTTCCCCGATGGACTGGGAGTAGGGGAAAGAGAGACAAAGGATTTGGGGACAGAAAAAAGCCCCATGCACGAGTAGTTAAAGACAGATGGCAACGAGAGAAGAAGAAACCAGCAACCTCACTACAGGAGACTGATTGAACTTTATTTTTGATAGGCCGGGACAGCAGAAATTCAACATAAAATTATTCAGCCTTTGTGTGTCAATGACCAGATTCTCCACGTTAGTTAGTTTCATTCAGGCGTGCAATGATCGGTGGGAATGAAATAGGGACTCCCGAGAAAAAAGAGCGATCTCCACAGTGCTACATCACGGTCCAGAGCCACAAGTTGCTGTATACTCCACCTTTAGCCTCTTTAGCCGCCTTTAGGACAGCTTTAGACCATTGCAGGCCCATTCTGACCCCTCGCAAAGTATCGGGTTGAGTGGATTAGGGGTGAAAGTTTGCCATGAGATGTCGAATAAAACGGCGGGATTGTTTAGCTTAGATGGTGTGCATACCCACTCGTCGGGCAAACCGTGCTATCTGGTTAGTACCTGCAAAAGTACTAAAGGGGATATTGTACACCGTTTAGCAACGGTGTTGCATTAAAGCGAAGATGACCCCAATTTTGAGAATCAGAACACTGATTGCGGAAGCCCTGCTATCCGTGTACTTACGAGTACAAGGCTGATGAGTCTATTGGTCTCTAGGGGACCAGAGATCGCCGCCTTAAGTTTGCTGCAGGGGCATTGCTTCTGGAACAATAGTCCGGGCCTTTAACCTACGGTCCTTTTTTTCACTCTCGGTGTTTCCACTCTGACAGAAGTCTCTTTACTGAACCATCTCGGGGTGCTTTTTGGTCCTGATCAGATCGTCGTGTTCAAAGAAAATCTGAAACGAACGTGGGCTGCCAGGAGACCCTTGAACCTTGGACGGGGGAGTATTCCACCCCGCACACTCGTATCCGGTTGCCGGCATAAGCCAGACTCCACGGAGAAATGTACAGAGTTTCTAGAAAGAAACGTGTCGATCGCGTGGTTTAACAAAAGTATTATTTGATAAAAGTGGATTCTTGGCGATTCTATTGGTACAATATAAGCTTCACTCCACTTAAAAGCACCTCCAACCAGGAACCGATTCACTTCGGGAATGGAGACAGGCGGGAGCTGACCGAACTCAGGTTTTTTCCCCCCTCTGAAGCTGAGGCTTCCGCTTGGACGTCGTGACATAGCTTGTTCTCCACCTCTGGGGATCCAATGGCTCGAGAAAGCATTTGATATCTTGGTCTTTGAAAGCTAACATGAGTATCTTCTTTCTCAACCCAGTACCCCTATTTGGACCATGTATCAGCCACATGTTCCACCTCGAATACACTTGGCCCAGTGAGACTAGGCTAACTGATGTTCGGTAGGATTGCAGCTGACTAGCGCTTGCTTTGAGTGGGGATTTGCCTCCCGAGTGGATGGGATCGTCAATAGAAAATCATGGAAAGGATGATTTCGCACTTTTCACCGTCAGTGCTAGAGCCGCTAGCAGCGATCGTGGAGATGAGAATTGATCACGGTCCGCTCGAAGGAATGTACTCCCCGAAAAGAGGCGCTTTAGCATCTACCGTATTGTACATACAGCATGGGGTCTGATACCGGTGTTGAGTGGGCTTACAAAGCAAGACACTATGCCCAAGTGCCCACACAAGTGGCTCGGGTATTCGATATTCGACCTCAGGGGTAAATCGGGAACATCCGAGGGCTCGTCTGAACAGCCTGCAGTCTATAGTCGCCAAGTTTGCAAGACTGGCATATCCAGGGACCCTGTTCTCCGAACTGCTTACGAACGGAGTACATACTTCGTAATCAAAAAGCCAACTCCGTCCTCCGGAACCATTCACCATTGCCCCTGGGCCCGGCGTTAAGACAGACTTAAAACCGTGTTCTGCAACTGTAGTCCAGGCCGCCAGATTCTGAATTCTTCTGGACTAGGCTAGTCGCTGTCGATCTGAATCATTGTGGAAGCCAAAAGTGCGTAGGCCAAGGCTCAACTGTTAAAAGACTTGCATGGACTAGGCAGACAGTGGCAAAGCTTAAGTGCCCTCAAAACCTAGTCACTGGACTAGTCCCATACTAATCCCTTCTTAGCGGTATTTCCGGTTGCTGGCGTCGAAATATGCCGCGTTCAGCTTTTTGACGCTTCTCCTGACACGCGATTACAAGTGTAGACAGAACTGTCAATACCGGTCCCACTTGAGGCACAACGTTACTCCGCCCCTTTCCATATTCAAGACAAGATTAAAGTTAAGATTCCACTTTGTTTTAGAGATATTCTGGTACACTAATGTCAACAAAGACAATGCTTGATACTAACTCAATCGCAGACATCGCGAGATTCGAGATTTCTCGCTCCGTCCATGCAGCCTGTACTAATCAGAGTCCCCCCAGAGTTTGGTAGGGCTACATGCCCCCGCTTAGTGCTTATTGTGAGCCGTGCATACAAGACATTCGCCTCCCCATATTTGAGCATCCAAGTACTAACGTACTCGTCAGGCTCTAGTGACGATTTGCAAAGATAAAGCGGAGTGTTATCTCAATTGTCTTGTTTTTGTGAAGAAAGCATCCCCTATCCAAGGTTGCCACTCAATTGCAGATAGTCGAATTTACCTAAAATGACACCCTGATACTTTGGTATTCAATAGCGCATAGCCGTGTCGTATATAACCTTTTTCACAAATGAAGTACATAGTTGTTGACACATCTACAGCCCATGATCAATTGTGAACTGTGCATACTACGGAGAATTACCATAGCGAAGGTAAACGCAGAACAAACTATTGGATTCTGCGCCATGGGGTAGGCGGCTGGCGTCTCCATCTGGCCCGTGTTACATGTGGTCGCCCCGTTGTTGTTCTTTCAATGAAAATCGATCTTACAATGTATTTACGGCCTCAGGTCCTCTGCAACGGAGGTCGGACTTTTTTTACGGTTTGGGGGTTATTTCAAATTCTCGTTGGTCAAGTAAACTGGTGTATGCTGTATCAGCACGGGTCTCCTATCCTAAGATACGAGTACCCGTGGAGTATCAAACAAGCATGATTGACTTCAGGGATGCCCCTGGGTCAGGCAAACGTGCGAGACTCCTTGTAGATCCTGTCACTTGGCACCTGCGATCTCCACTGACTACGGGTTGCATGTGAACACACCCAAAGCAATGGGCCAGCACGGATGGATTGACGGTCCGATGCTTCCGCGGAAAGTCCGCTGTGGGACACCTGCAACTCATGTCATAGTACGAAATAGTAAGCCTGTTCTTCGTGTTCGTGACCGGAATTATCTCTGATCTACCCTATCTATTGATGGGGAAACGGTGATCATAGAACCGAGGCTGATATGCCATGCACCCCATAGTAGGCTAGATTGCTTGGAATGCCATGGAATTTCCTAGCGTACACACTATATACAGTTGTTAGAATACACGCCACCCGGCAATAGTGCGAGTTGATACTCCCAGCTATAGTGGGTCTTAATATGGCACAATATTTTTACCTCGCAGATCCCATTTCGTCAGTTTGCTCATTATTGATGGGCGGATTCCCTGACCATTCTTAGAAATTGTACTCACTCGTGAACCAAACAATCACTCATTTTAGTGAGAAGATTGCAGCCTAGCGTGCTTGCTGTATGCTTTCTGTCCTGCTCTATATACCTGGAGGTCAGGAGATGGTCCGAATGAGCCAATCTCTGGAACTTGCTTCAGCCCTGGAGCTGAGCTCGTGCAGCCAAGTGAACCTTGGAAGAGCCCCATGATTGATTTAAGGCTTAGCAGTACCAATGCTTTTTAATGATATATTAGGTATCACTGTCAGAGCAACACTGATGCTGAACCTGTCAGGTATAGAGTCCACATAACGATGTCGCTTTCTTGTGAACCTGGATACACCAAGGCTTCTCTAGCAGAGACCTCAGGAATACCTAGGTAATTGATCAGACGATTGGAGATCCAGGACTAGAACTTCCAATATTAGGTAGACTCAGATATCCATCATCTTTGTGGCCTTGAAGGTACAAACAAAAGCTTGAAAGCCGCTCATCTCGGTACCCTTGGAAGCAGTCGAGCATTATTTTGAGACCCATAGAGCTGCTGCGAATGGATGTATTCCAAGTTCGAGGACTTGGAAAAGGTTCTTCGGCGGTGCAATGCGAACAGAGACATATTTAGCCCTGGGGGTTTCAGGTGAGTACTGGTACCTTCCCAGGCTCCAAGATATATCCATCATGAATGTATTATTCCAAGGTTGGCCCTCTGGGTATAACCCATCACTGCACGGGGTGTTTAATATTCACGGAAGACCAGAAAAATTCCAAGGTTATACTTGAAATCACATCTAACGCCGAAATTGTACGCATCATTGCCCACTCCCGAGGTCCCTACCGGGACTTTGGACGGCAATCAACGTCGCTGGCCGAGCGTGAAAAGTCCACAACGGACAACGCTTTGGGGGGCTAAGTTGCCGCCCAACCTTGAACGGGAGTAGTGCCCCAGACGGCGTGGATCATTCATAGCAAGCCGGAAAGCCGCAATCTATTGAGGAGCCAAATGTGAAACAAAAGTAAAATGCTTGCTTCTGTTAGGATGAGAATATTGACTGGAGGCTGTATCTCATCAACACAGGTCTCATTTAATCCATTAATACTTCAAGGCAGCCCGACAGCGGTAGCCTGGCCAGAGCCCGGCTCAGTGTCGCGTTCATTGAATAACTTCTCATTCATGCAGATCCGTGGGCGCATCTATTCTGGCATGTACTTCTCGCAGAAATTCAAATCACGGAAGACCGCGATTCAGGGGGTTTTGACAGGCATGTGGAGCCTCAAGTCCACACGCGTCGAATAGATGAAGCCGAGAAACATTTGATACCCACTCCATCCACCCGTAAAGAGGCTGCCTTGTTGACAACCAAGCAGCAATTCTCGCCAAAGCGATCATTATACAACCAAATGAGTTGCCAAGACGGGGCTACGTCAAAAGACCGCTGCGTAATGCTATTTTGTATCTTGGCCCAAGCTCACGCTTAGGAGAAGAGAAGCTCGTGGCATTCATCAATCATAAAACAGACGTAGAAAAAGGCCCAAGGCCGTCAAAAACAAGTAAAAGAACAAGATCAAAACAAAAAAAGATGAAAGTAGAATTGAAAACGCAAGATAAAAATCCAGGATGACAAGTGGGTATCATGAGTTCGTCCATTGCCGTTAGCAATAGTATATCCATTTTCCCATGCTATCCCAACCTTCCCCAATGATGTAAACGCTGTACGTAGTGTCGTGAATTCCTAAAGCCCCATTCAGCCCAATCACCTTCGTCGCGAACCACGAGAGTCCCGACGAACAGGCGATCGCTCATCTTCCTCGTCCTCTTCCTCCACGGGCGCAGGTGTGCGTCGCTCAGTCCGTCTCTTGGGCCGACGACGACGGTTCGAGCTAATGTTACTCGCCGAGTCGTCTGGCGCAAGAGAACGGTCGTCATCAAGGAAATCGTCCTCGCCACTCTCCCATCCGCCTAGATGGGGTGTTCCCAATCGAGCTTCGACAAAGGAGCCACGCCGGCTTTGATTTGCGACTGCGAGGCCGGCGCCTCGTTCGCGGAGCGCCCGACGTACAACTTCGGCTTTGAGATGTAATGCTTCGAATGCGTCTTCGAGAGCTTCCATTCCAAGGAAGATGTCGCGTTCGACTTCAGCTAGCGCGGCGATTTCGGTCTCCTCGTCCAGCGCGATCGGGGCTCCAAATGAGGCTGGTGATGATGGCCCACCATTGACTTGGCTGGACGGTCGGAAACTGCCATCCATGTAGTTGGGCGTTGGTCCTCGGGAGATACCTATGCCTATAGGCGTGTTGGAACGACTGCCCGTCCTACCAGAGGTCCCGGTATCTTCTGCGCCGCTGCGAAGGAAGCCGTCGAAGCGTCCGGAGATCAGGATATCCCATTCGTCGTCACTGATTGCTGAGAGGGTTGCGAGAACGTGGTGAAGACTGGGGTTGTTTAACATGTACATAGCAGTGTCTGGGTCGCGAGGGAGAGTAGAGAGTCGGTAAAGACGCTGAATAGCAGAAGCGGAGGAGACAAGCGCAGCAGGTTTCGGTCGGGGCTTTTCGTCGCCGGATCGTGGGACAGGAGTGGAGGAGGTGAGGCCGAGCAACGAACAGAACAGTGATCGCTGGTGCGACTCGAGATGCGTGAGCATGGCAAAGGTCAACGTCTCATCGTCGACCTCGTTAGGTGCACTGGTGCCTGAATCGTTTTGCTCTGAGAGCCATTTGTCCACAGCGACCTTTGTCTTTCGAGATTGCCGAATGAAGTGCTCACGATACTCTTCCGGAACATCGATGTCAAGTTTTTGCATGGGCACGTGCTCATCGCCCGACGCATCCACAGTATTTGGTGCCATTGTGAAAGGTGGCCACATGGGAAGTTCTCTGCGACCAGATACCAACTCCAACACCTCACCCCAGCTCACTCCATCAGGTCGGTCGTCCGGCTCCGAGCGCACACAGATTTGACAGCTGCATGGCTCGGATGAGATATCGCGCGCGAAAACCGCCTCCAGTCGATCCAGCAAACGCCGAGCGACCGAACGATACCCCGTGGCTACCGCGAGAGACCCATTCTTGCTCATGACCTTCCCATAATCGTCAAGCAAGCGGTTGTACGGATCAAAGATCTTGCCAGCAATAGAGCGAGACTGTGGTTGTCCGGGGGCGAAGGGATCGGTCTGCCCCAGACCAGCCAGTAGAGCCCTGGAGACTTTGTGTTCCAACCCACCATTCTTCAGCAAGTAATCGACTCGAGGGACAGTAGCAGGCACTGCTGGCGGCGGTGGTGGAGGCGGCGGTGCGCCGAACGCGTTTGGGCTTGGTTTGATATAGTCGACGGACTCATCGCTAGGCATGCGCCGGTGGGACATGGCCGATCGGTTCTGGGTTCGCGAGGGAGGCTTTGCTGGCGGCGTTGTTGGCTTTCGTGGCACCGAGTATTGCTGGTTGGGCGCAATGGAGGTCGCATCGGAACCGTTGGGCGACCCTGCATCTTCACGAATGGTGACATTCGACTGCGAAGCGGACATAGTCGAGCGACTGGACCGTTTAGGCAGCGGCCTGTCCTCGGAGGACTTGGATTTGGACTTGTGGCTGGACAATCGGGGGGAAGGCTCCCTGTCCTCCTTCTCCCTGGAGCTTTTGGATCTTGTAGGGGTCTCGGTTCGTGAAGTTTTGCTGGTCTTGGACTTGGTGCTGTCATCTCGTTTCGATCGCAAACTGGAGGACGACCTATTTATTTCCGCCCGAATCTTGATATTTGTTTTCTTCTTTGGTTTCTCGCCATCCTCGTCGACAACACTGCCCTTCCGCGACTCCTGGTCGAGGCCGGTTAGCGGAGGGCTAGGCGGCGCGTGATGGTCCTCGCGGGTAGTCTTCTCATTGTGTTCGGTCAAGTCGGTCGCGTCCGGGGTAGGAGGGTCGCCTTTTCGCACATTTTCCTTGCTGTGTGCTTTGGAGAAAGTAGGATAGGGTAGGCTGGTCCTGGATTCGAGGAACGAGGCGGACCCTGTGCTGGAGTCGAGACCAGGCATGGAGGAACGACGTGGAGCCGAAGACTCTGGATCCTTGGTTGACGGGCGGGAACGTTTCGTTTTCGACTTCCTATCGTCTCGATTAGGTCTGGCTGGGAACATGGCGATGTCCGAGGTGGCCGGTTTATATCGTCTACCTGTAAGTCGTTCTCCGCCACTGAGGGGATGTCCTATTTTCGTCTCCAAATCGGGCGGTTAGGCTGATCGTTATGACTGGTCCCTTGCCTGCGAGTCAGGCACCGGAATTGTTTGCTTTTCTGTCGTTCACTCTTGGTATTCGACCTTCTTTTGTTCGCTTTAGAAGCTTTAGAAGCCTTTGAAAAGGGAGAGCGCGCTAGCCCCCAAAGTCGAAGAAATTCGATGCGGTGAAGGACAATTTCAGCCCCGCTCGGAATCAGATCGAAGAGAATAACCTCGTGGTCCATGCTCTCTCTACATGGCGATACATTGCTTGACATTGCTCTACATTACTCTACATGCTGCATATACTATGTACGAGGATCCTCACTTCTTCACTACTTTGCTGCCTTACTCCCCAATGTTCATTTCACAGTATTCATTTAATTAGTCCATATTAGTCCATACATGGCTACCTGCTTAGCTGTGTAGCCCATTCATGGCTTTGACTGGCGATGTTTCAAGTACCCAATTGCCTTCTTCTTCATGGGCAACTCCACCATTTTGGGCAGCTTTCATCATCTTCTCACTCGCAGCCGTCAAGTCACCCGTGTTGTAGTCCCAGTTCCATCCTTCTTTCAACCACATCCACGTCAGATAGGCTCGTAGTTCCTTGTCCTGGGGCAAAACACACTTCCATTCGGGTACGAACCCAGGTTCCTTCGCACCAGTGCCTGTCCAGTCTTCGGCCAATCCTCTGAGTTCATCTCGACAAAATATTCGCCAGCTGTCAAGGGAATATGCGCCTACTCCGGGGAGATGGGCGACTTCCCATGCGATCCGCAGGTCTTCTTGGTCAATGCATTCATCACGACCAACGTTGCGGCCGTCAAATTCTCGGGGGTAGTGGATTCTTCGATATCGTTTCTGTGGGGTAGGGGGTTGGTGAGCCATGTTTGCGCAAGAGTGATGCATTTCGTAGCACGTTGATTTTGGAATCCCAGGCACCGGATCAATGATACGAGGTCTGATTGGGCCGCGGCTGCCATCGCCTCGATTGTTGGGTATCGTTCGAAGACTTGGAACAACACTGGTAATGCAACCCCTCCTCGGGTACGATTCAGGAATATGGTAGCAATGAGCAAACGAAAGGGGTCATGCGCAAGCTGCTCTTGTATGAGGCCAAATGAGGGCGCATCAATTGGGGGAAATGGCAGACATGATTCAGCGTCAATCTGCACAAGGGGGAAATATGGAGAGAGCTTTGGGTATTTGCGGCGAGGCGTTCGGGGATTGGGAAGGGAACAGTCTGCAGATTTCGTAGGGCTTTCCGGGATTGATTCTTCGTCTTGTGGTATCGGAGAGGTCGGAATTGGGGTCAATGTAATCCGAGGTGGTACACCTTCTCGTTCAATGGCCCGTTCGAAGTATTTTGATTTAACCTCATCACTGGGAGTTAAACCTGGCAAATCACTGGTATTCAAAAATCCACATCCCATTCCTTAGGATCCTTGGAAAGAGGCGACCAGGAGTTTCGCTTTTCGGTCTTTTTCTTCTGTGGAGTAGAAGGCAGAGCTCGGGTCTTCTTTGAAGTCGAACGCTGAACTTGGGGTTGCGCAGGCTGATCATTATTGTCCTCGATCATGTCTAGGCCCATGCTTGCTCGCCTCTTTTTTTCGTTGCGACGAGCACGCTTTCGTAAGTTCTTCGCTGCCTTAAACCGCGCCACCTCTTCTTTCGACGGTTCGCTGTGAAGGGGGTCGGATGGCTGATCAGCCTCACCATGGGGACTGCGAGTGATAGCATGCTTTGGCAGAGTAGCAATGGTTGCATTTGCATCTGGGCTAGCCTGCACTGGACTAGTCGGATGTTCACGAGGGGTCGCATAATCCTCATGTGATTCGTCTTTGTCGGAGCTGTCGGGGGGCGAGGGCGAGCACCTTGATAAATCAATGAGCACTGGCCCTTTGACAGCACTGGCCCGAGCGGTGCTGCTTTGTTGTTTCTTCATAGCCGCATTACGTCCACCTGGTTCTTCTAGCTGAATGCGGACACGCTTGACAGCAGAGGGGGAAGACTAGGGGGCGATTGGGCATCATTTGCAGCGTTGGTGAGATCAATTGGGAGATATTCGTCATGAGGGCAACGGCGCTGGTGGATCTCAGATTAGCAAAAAGGGGAACAAAGCAGGTGCAGAAGAGGTAATGTGAATGTAAACTACATACCTTTCTCTTGCGGCAGTCAGCGCACGCCCTCTTTCTCGGGGGCTTCTTAGCCTTGCTGATGGCTGTAGCTGGGCTCTCATCAGGGATCTTGATAGCTACTTCTGCCAAGTTGGCCATGGTTGGCCCCTGAGACCTCGGTGTACTCTCCAATCGCTCAATAGTGGAAGATGAAGACTCTCCACGACGTTTTCTCTTCTGCGCGGTAGATCCAGATTGTCTCTTTTCCCCCTTGCTTTTCGGCGGGGAGGTTGGGGAGGGTGAGGAAGGTGGGGAGGGTACTGCCTCTTCCTCCAGGTCATTGATCTCACCCCCAAAAGCAGATCCGTTGTCATCTGTCTGGGCCCTGCGATGCGAGTCCATGTAGGTTGCACGCACATGTTGAAACAGAGCATTGGAATTAGCCTGTGAGATCCCGGCCTTCCTCGTGAGATTGTGAATTTGTTCCGCAAAGTTTAGCCGCTCAGACTTCTTAAGTGGATATTTGTACAGAAAAGGCATCTCTGCAATGACCCTGAGAATTCCTACACGCGTAGTCTCTGACACATCGGCAAAGATTCTTGGGTCCTCTGCCTCGTCATATTCACCGGCGGGTGCGGAAGTTGTAGGCTCAGGTGAACGAGATGTATGAGATTCCGCTTTCTGGCTGGAGGGAGTACTCTGTTCAATTGAGTCGGCATTGTCATCATTCTCGACATCGCTCTCTATGTCAAGCTCCTGCATCTCATTTCGAGACTCTTCCAGGTCAGCCTCTTCAGACAGGATTCTGTCAACAGCGCGGTCAAAGTATTTTTCATCGAAGGGTTTCAACGGGTCGTAGTCCAAGGAGGGGACGGGCACCACGGGCACAACAACAGCAAATCTGGCTGGCGGACTCATGGCTAAGATCAATTCAGAGTTTCAGCTCTTTCAACAGAAGGAATGATACGCCAATGGCCTGTAGGCATATTGTGGTGACAACTGTGAAGGCACCTATATGCAATGGAGGTTAGTCAAGACTGGCCTTCTCTTTTGTGTTAGGGGCTGACCATACCGCACATGCAACCCGGTCTGGGGTACGGAGTAGGTAGAATAGGGTGTATGCGACAAAGCTCTTTTGATGGACGCGTGAGTCGCGTAGATTCGCGTAGTAGATAATGGCAGATACGGAGTACTGGTATCGGAGTGGAACAAGAGGGGCAATAAGGTAAGGGATGAGTAAGTTGTAAGAAGTGAAGTGTTGCAAAGGGGAATTTCTTAAGCGGACTTGGATCGATCACATTTGTCTAGCTCTTAGAGCAAAGTGACGCGTTGAAGCACGGACCACCTCACAAAGAAGCATCTCACGCCGGGCGGGAAGGGCTGTGGAGTATCCAAACGTGCCCGAAGAGGAAAGGCAAATTGAGATTACTTCATTTCGTATTTATTATATGCCATGTTTTGGAAGCGATAAGTCTATACAAATATGCCACCCTATACTCTTTACTCTACACAGAGTACCCGGCGGAGTCAAGTTGCCTTGGTTCTCCAGCAGCGTCGAAGGTCCCGTTAGGCAGGACACGAATGAGCTGAGCAGTGCTCTGTCCAGGGGCGACCCACGTGACATTATGACCAAGACTTTTCATGAAAGCCACAGTCGTGTTGTCGTAGGTATACTCAAAAACAACTTGGTTTGGTACCAATTGGTCGTGCAGACGAGGCTTGGCTAACGCTTTGGCAGCCGAGAGACCCTGGTCAATCGAATGGATAATGTTTTGGACAGTAGCCGTGATGATACGACTACCACCTGCGGATCCTGAAAGCAAGAACAGTTTACCATCGGGTCGTTCGACTATCGCCGGAGTCATGGATGAGAGTGGACGTTTTCCGGGTCGAATATAATTTGCTTCGGAGGGGATGTACCCGAACGAGTTGGAAGATCCGGGGATCGAGAAGTCTAGTCACAAAAAATGTGTTAAATTGTCTGCATATGGGGTGGAGGTTTGCTGACTCGACTCACCATCCATTTCATTGTTCATGATGATGCCTGTCTCAGGTACCATGACCCGGCTGCCAAACAAAAGGTTGATGGTGGTAATTTCCGAAATCGCAAGACCAGTGTGATCTACTGCCACGATATGTGACGTTCCAGGGCTGTTGGGATATGTGAGCTTGATGTGCCACAGGAGATAGGGCTGCGAACTCACGTGTCCAAACTTTCCAATCCGGCTGGATCATAAGCAGAAACGTTCTGAGTCCGCACATCCGAGATCTTTGATCGTATGTCATCGATTGTCTTTTGATCTAGCACATCCGATTCATACTTCGCAATCCCGTCAATGAAAGAGGGATCACCCAGGTTAGCCCTCTAGCTTCGGGTTAGCGCGTGTTCACCCAGACAGACTCAAACAGATTTCTTACCTCGCCATATCCGAATCGAATCGCTTCGTCCAGTCTATGTGTACTGAGATTCACAGATTTCTCCGTCGAAAAGAGACCCTGGTAGGTTTCCAGGATCTTTAAGATACTCAAGGCCACAACACCACTCGAAGGGGCTGAGGTGCTCGTGATCTTATACCCACGGTAGTCAATATCAGACACGTTCCGAATGGCCACGGTATAATTATTCAGGTCTTCCAGCGTCATTGTGCCGTTCGCACTCTGCAAGGCATTGATCATGGTCTCTGCGATAGCTCCTGTATAAAACGCATGCGGGCCTTGTTTCCCAATCGCCTCGAGTGCATCCGCATATCGGCGTCTGATTATCTTGTCTCCCAGCCCAAGTCGGGTGCCATTGGGTGCAAAGTCGATGGCCCAGGTCGGATTCTTGGAAAGGAAGTCTTCCCCATTGCCAACTGCAGACTCCATGTATCGGACTAAATCCTTGCCGACAGTGAATCCCTCACGAGCGGTCCGAACGGCTGGCTGTACAAGGGTCGCCCAGGGAAGAGAGCCATACTTTCTGTGGAGGGTTTCGAGGCCTCTGATCTCACCGGGAACTCCACTAGCAATGTTGTCAGTTTGAGTTGCCGCCACAACGATGGGGTCTGGTGGTGTATCACCTTGCGAGTCCGCCACGCACAGCAGCATTGGAGTTATTCTTGAACATATCCTCGAAAGCTGCAGCCGGGGCTGTTTCTCTGAAATCAATGAACTCGTAGCTGCCATTGGGTGCCCTGATAAGCAGAAAGCCTCCTCCCCCGATTCCGCTGTGGTACATGCCTGTGATCTGTCAGTGTTTCCTGAAGTTTGATATAGATGTTTCAGCAAGTCTCACCAACCACGCCCACGCAAAGATTCGTTGCAACCAACTGTACCATTTCGTCAGCCCATGTTTGCAGGATTATCGGTGAATTACAAGGACATGAACTCACCGCATCGGCAGCGTTTCCACCCATCTTCAGAATGTCCGCCCCATGCTGAGAACAAATCGCACTTTCACTGGCGATTGCACCTAGCTTCCCAGGTGCAATCTCGGTATGCAATTCATTCTCGACATTGATGTCCCGCTCTAAGAATTCTAAAGGCGAAGTATTGACTTTGGGCAGATATGTCACCATCAACAAGAGCGACAAGATAGCGAAAAGTCCTAGCCTCATTGGCTGAAGCATCGTGGAAGCGAAAGTATGTCGGGTTTCACTCGTTGGTGACTGTGATGGCTCCAGAGATACCCCCAAGGCTATCAGAGGCTATCGAGTCATTAAATACACGTTAGACTTGCACTAAGAAGAGGGGAAGTCCAGAGGGGACATAGATGAATCCTTTACCTCCTTCTCCACATCTCGGCCGCCGATCTGATATGAATGCAGCATCTCGCACACTGCGGCGATTTAAGGTTTGGGCGGCATTCACGCTTCCGGGAGACTAGATTGAGAACATTGACAATTTGAGGGTCCGTCTGAGTTCTTAAAGGATTATAAATGTGAGATCAAAATTAAGCCTCAGCACGCGACGGGCTCACGCGATATCTGGCAGATATCTGTGGCTGTTATCTTTCAGTCCCCCCGCCAATAAGCGGGGGCCTTCGGAGGTTCTGTGCCGGTGCCAAGCTATCCCGGCGCCCTGGTTGGGGTTGGGGTTGGGGTCGTGCATCTTTGCGCCCGCATTCTCTCTCATGTTACATTCAGATATGAAACTAGTCTTCTCTCTCTGCGGCCTGTCTGATCCATGATATCGTATCCTTCCATTCCTGTGGAATCTCGTCCAGCGGTTCCAACGTGGCCAACACTAGTCGACGACCCCAATCGCGCACGTACCATCGATGACAAAGAAGCCGCATAGCCATGCCGTAATGCAAAAACAGAATTCGCGCGATCCAGTCGTCGTTCTGAATGAGCGTAAAGAACTCGTCGGAGAGGAACAGCGGCCAGGCAAGAGGGCCGCCTTGTGGTCCGATTTTGGGCCATGGTTCGATGGCCTGGTATAATTGCTGCCAGGTAGCTTGGTACGCTAGGTGGTGCGGTCCTTTCTTCAAATCAATAGTCGTACGTAGTCGATCCAACGACGTTATTATATCTCTGTCGTGACTATTAGCTCCGGACATCTTCCTGGGATTGTGACACCGTACGCGTGAAGACAGAAGAGAATATTTGAGTCATCTGTGGGTGATCCGCAACTGGCGTGTGTGAGTCAACAAGCGGCTCTCTTGGCAAGGTGAACTAGGTCTCATACCGAGAATTTGACCCGCTTGGCAAGGCTTCTCTAGTCTCAGGGACATGAAGCCAGCTCTCCAAATGGGCACTATATCCCTCTTTGACAATCCGGTCAAAGAGCATGGCTGGACCCGATATTAAGGTTCGAACTTCACGAACTAGAGCGAGCGGGTCGGGGGGCTTGTTATCCACGGAGATAACTCGGTAACCCATGGCGAAAAGCATTATGAAAATGGATGTGACGAATGCAGGCTCATAGTCCCGGGTTGTTATATTTGCGAGCACCTTGCCTAGTCCAGAACATGCTTGGCTTTGATATCGCAGGGCAGCGTCCAGCCAGGACGCCCTGTTTTCCGTTTCCACCGAGGCTAAGTGTAGGGCCGATAATGCGCTTATACCGTCGAGTAGGTAGCAAAAGGTTGTTGCCAGGCGAGGTATGTTTATTGAGAGGTGATGTGCCGATAATCCGTCTTGCGATAAAGTCTGATGGGTCGATGTCATATACTGGTGGAATAGTCTGGCCTCGAGCATGCGCGTTGCTTGTGGAAGCTCTGTGGTCGCCGCTGAACCACTTTCGGACTCGTCGTGGGTGATGGAAGAGTCCTGGGGACTGTCTATATCTTCATTTGGAGGTGGATAGCTGCATTCCAATCTGCGCTTTCTGCACAAGCTGCACTTTGGAACGCCTTCATCACACTATTTCGATGTTAGATAAATGACTGTGTATGCATATTGAGAGCGCAAGGTATCATCAATGTCCTACCTTAACATGTCGCCTTTTACACTCCAAACACCCTTTCCTGGATTTTGTGTGACTGCGACGGGACGGCATTGATGATTGCCATTTAGAACTGAAATGATTGGAATATAAACCAAAACATCAAAAAAATAGAAATCAGAAACAGGTACGGAAAAAGAAAACAAAAAAAGAAAGAAATGCAACAGGCTTGGCCGAGATTCATATTCGCATGTATCGATACCGCTGCCCGACCTCGGTCCATCTGGGGGATCTCCCCGTGATTGGCAGGCGTGCAGGGCCCGTGGGTCCTCTCATTCGAGCTCCTTGGTTTCCCACGGGGACATCCCAATTTGGACAACGGCCAACTCATTTATAGGCAGAAGAGCGCCGTTAGACCCTGAATGAACACTCGGTATGGGGAATAACCTTTCTCGAGACCGGTAGAAACAACAGTGTGACGATGAGCTTTGATGACATGAAACATGATCGACATGTCTAAAAGACGGGATCGACGGAGTCTATATTATGAGATTTGGTTTCTCTTTTCTTTTTTTACCTACACTTCATTCTCTTCAGCCAATTTTGAGCTACTGTACCGAAAAAACTTAGAGGGCCATGACAAATACCTAGTTCTCTCCAGGGCTCGGTCTACCGTTGTGATTATGGTCCCTAGGAAAATTATGCGAAAACCTCACTTTGCCAATATGAACTTCAGTAAGACACCTCTTAAACGGGACTTTACCTGGATCCATACTATTAGTCAAATAAAGAGAAAAGAAGCGTTTAATCCCGTGACAGTCGAGATCCACCTACTAGCACCACAGGATCTAGCCTAGGTCTAATCGTGATCACCGAAAATTGGGCACTGAATTGAGCAGCCCTGCCGGAGCATCCACCAATAAAGAACCCAGAATCATTTATAGATCCGATGCCAAACCAAGCCCACGCGAGGATCGGCCCCGTTATCATAAGATTGATATTCAGGTACGGAGCACACTCGGTCGGGAAATTGAACCGAGCAGGATCCCCTTGCCTGGACTTTGGACCTGATTTGTCCAGGAAAAAAAGCCTAACTGAGAGCCGTTTTTGATGGATCGCCGGGGTTGTAGATCAGGCTTGTGCTCTATCGAAGGTCAAACTTTACGTCACATTTTCTGTGACTTATGAAATTAGACCCTCACAGTTGGGGAGGTTTCAAATTATACCTCGTTTCGCTTTTGGCTGAAGCTGCGACATTGATGCTCTCTGCACTTTCCCGCCCTCGCGGGATCTCGGTGTTGCTTTCTCTCTAATAAGGTATGAAGGAGGTGCTTGGGAAGTGTGCACCAAATATCATTAAGACATCAACGAAGGTCGAGTCATGGACGCTAAGCGGTGGGTTCTTGGCCCCCAAACACGAGGCCAATCCCCATTGATGGTCACTTTAAACATGCTTATCGCAAATTACATTTTTGCGTATTGATTTTGATTGCGTTTCTTGTAATTTTCCATAGAGTGGTCAGGAGATCAAACAAATATTTACGGAGTAGCGGTGTTGCAATTGCAGCGTGGCTGATTGGCAAAGCTTGACTAGTTCGAAAAGTATTCGCCTCCCCACATGGCATTTTTGAAATATTTGATTTTTCTTTGATCTGCAACCAAAATGACCCAACAGTTGTGGACGGAGTCAGACCCAAAATCAACAGGAATATCGATCGCTCTCATTGTGCTCGATTTGTTTGTCGTTGTGGGGTTTTTGGGCAGTTCTGCACTCTTGGTCGCCCGCCGACAGAAAGGGGTTGATTGGGACATACTTCCAATATGGGCTATCATGGCTGCCCTGTGGGCCTGGGCATGGTGAGTGCTGCCTTTGGTTTTCACCCAAAGTGTCGTTGAATTAATCTTCTTCGCAGGTCTTACATTTGGTATGTCGTAGAGGGCATTCGCGACCGATTGACTACGCCATTTGAGCTAGTTGAGACAAACTCGATATATCACCTTCTCTGTCTGCTGTTTGAGCATGCTGCAATCTGCTTTTTATTCTGCGTCTTCTATCGGCTCACTCATATACTTTTGAAACTTTTCAGAAATGGGGCAAAGTTACCTGCGAAAATCAACGTTATCCACTGGGTGATCTTTTCTTTCATTGTCGCCATCAGCATTGCCAATCTCGCGTTGTGGGTCATCATTTACTTTGCATTCCTGGTGGTGGAGTGGAATTACCAGCCAGTTGAAATTACTCGCCTGGTGATCCTTTGGCTGGCCTCGTGGGAAATCACAGCCTGGGCGGCATACCTTGCCATCAAGGCAAAACGGGAAAAGTCAAATCTCGCAGTAGGTGGACACCTCTCTATTCAATGCGTTTAAACTGACAAACAATAGTCACCCGCGGTGGCTTTACTCTGTGGCAGCACAGCATATGCTGCAATGACCTTCATGTGGCTAGTTGACTTTCTCCGTTGGTACCAACCCATGTACTCGTACACATTCAAGGAGGACACCAGCTCGCTAGCAGCCAGATCTTTCCTGGAGATCTTCTTCTGTGTCGGGACATATGGCGGGATAATCTCATTTTGTGTTCTCTCACATCGATTACAAAAGAAAGGAGATAGAGACACAGAGTTGCAACCCACGGGCGCTCAATCTCGTGCAGTTGGATAAGCAGTTCCGGCGATATTGGCATGGAGAAAATAGCGTATTCCGAATCAGCACACAGGTTACAAGGACTGGGGATGACAATAATTATTTATTTGGAGAGGATGAAATACCACAGACAAATTTCTGGACTCTCTCGCATGTCTATCATTGTTTAATATCAAAAATTTTGAAGACCAAGATCGTTGCCGAGTCACCAAAGACAGAAAAAAGTGACCAAATCAAATACGCACTTGGAACCTTGGACTGGTTCGAATACGTTCACCATAGACCCAGAAAATGACTGGAAGAACACAAAACGCTAATGCAATAAACCCAAGGAGTGAGTTCCCCCAGCCCAGTCCTAGGGCAGCATACATTTTAGGACCGGCAAGTGGAAGCAGTGCACCAGCAAGAGACCTAAAAACAGTATTGGCTGCCATCGCGGAAGCGGCATAAACCGTGAACACATCTACCAGGTATGTCGTGACAGTCATCTAAGTCACACGCCCAGCATCAGCCAACGCGTGTAATTAAATGAAAACAGGAAAGGGTGGACTTACGAAGGTGATCAACATGCCTATACCAAGGAATGATGTTCCAATGATAGGCACGATCCAATGAGTGTGGTAGTATGCCGTCCAGCCATACATGAACAATGAAGCTGGGACGAACAACGATCCAGGAATCATAGGTGGAAGGCGGTACTCAGGCTTCTTCTCTCCGCCATTTTTAGCAGACAGATATGTGAGCAGTTTGTCGGAGGTTCCACCTAAGAGTATCAGTCCGATTATTGAGCCAATGCCGATACCGAGATACGACAATCCAACGCTTCCTTGACTGAATCCATAGTTTTGTTCAAAGACGGAGGTGATGGTTGTAAACAAAAGGTACAGGTAGCCGTATACCAAACCAACATAAAGGGACAGAAGGAACACAATGGGAGAGAGGAACAGCATCTTCGCGGGCCTGATGATAGAGAACCAGAACAATTCTTTTGTTGTCATGTTGGTTTCGAGTGCAGAGCGTAGGCTGAGATTTCCGGTTTGTTTTCTTAGTTTCTGCGTCTTCCGGGCAAGAAGGGTTGGCGCATAAGATTCGCTAATGGTGAACAAAGAGCTGATAGCAACAGCACCACTCTGCGAGAATAAGCATCTGCTGAGACAGAGTATGAAAGTTAACCTACAGCCATTGCCAAAATGTAGAACGTCCATCGCCACCCCTTGGCTTGTGCTATGTATGCGCCGGCTTCATATTGAGAATCAGCCAGTGGAACAACAGATCAAAAAATCGAAAAGCAACTTACCGATTGGACCAATGACGGGGCCTATCAAAGGACCGATAGCCCAAACAGCCATTGCGCCGCCTCTTTTCTCTTGCACATACATATCGGCAATCGACCCGGCTCCAATAGTCAGCGGACAACTACCAGCGAATCCAGCTAAGAAGCGGAACACAACAAGACTCCCGATCTCAGGCGCAACAGCGCAGCAAACTGTCCATATCACGTAGAGAATATTGCACGCGTGATACAAATATTGCCGGCCGTATATCTCCGATAGAGGCGCAATGAGCAAGGGACCGAAGCAGTATCCGACAAGGTATACCGACACCACGAATGATGATAACTCGACGTTCGTTACTGAAAAGTCTTTCACGAGTTGTGATACGCCGGGCGCGAACATCGATGATCCCAAGGGCCTGTCACGTGTAACATCAGCATCGTTTTTGAAGCACCACCAACAGATATTCGTACGTGAGAAGTGTGATCAATGCAATAGACATTGTCGCGCCCAACTTTTTCTTCACTGTCCAGTTAAATGGATTTTCTGGGTCATCTGGGCCATCCCAATCAACGATGTTTGGGTCTCTGGGAGGCTCTTCCTGTTTTGCGTCAGGCTCACTGGAGCCATTTTCGAGGTCTAGCTCTTCTGATTTTGTCTTGATGTGGTGAGCACTCGCTGTTGGTGTTGCTTCATCGCACGGGAATGTTTCTTTGAAAATCGTGTGTCAGTCTTTGGTTTTCCCGAGGTTGCTTTCTCAGTGTAAATCCTATCTATGGGTGAAATCACCGGAGCAAGAGCTTACTTTCGTCCTGGCTCATTCTGCGCGTATGTTAGTTTCCAAAGCGACCAAGATTCTGAAAATAATATCCAACTTCAGAGCGTGTCGGTGTAAATACTGTGGGTCTTTCAATCAGGCGATTGATGTGTTTTGACTCTCAAAATATGCGGGGATGGATGACTAGCTATGGATAGTAGCTGGATTTGGTGACACTAGCTAGATAAGTATTGGGCGCAAAAGAGAGAGAATGAAAGGGTTTAATAGGAAAAGTCAAGTGAGAGAAATAACACATTGTCCAAACGATCACTGGGGAAGGCCCTGTTATGACAGCGCGCCTTAGCTTCGGAGCATTCGCCGCACGCCGAAACTAAAGGGCTGAAATCGTGCATAAATTATGGATCTGGCCTGCATTTCGATTTCCAAAGAGGCTCAAGTTGCTTACATTTGGGCAAATAGCATCTGAAGCCATTTGTCGAGCTATCTTGTGAATCACAACTGAACATACGATGTATCTTAGATGATTGAGTAAACTCATCGCAAATCATACGATGGAGATCGTAGGCTCGTGAGTCGAGCACATGAGGGGTTGGCATAAAACAAACAAAAAGCGGGTATGCACATAAGCTCGTCGTTTGAGTCGGCTACAGGTTTGAAGCGGTCAAAGCTTATCCCACTGCCATTCCCTGGACATTCCATACTGATTGTGAAAGAGATTGTGGTGATAAAAATAATGAACTCCAGCAAATCTGGGGTTAGGGCCATCTTTATCCCCACAAAAGGGTCCACTTGAGATGGGTCTCCAGCGTCGAGGTTGAGAGCCTGTTGTAACCCATGAGAACCTTCCGAGGTTTGACTCGGGAAAAGGCAAGATTCACAAAATTATGCACCGGATAGCTTCCGACATGCAAGCTTCGTGTTCAGGTCTTGGCCATGTGGTTTCGGGAGAATCTATCTCACGTCAGTTAATGTTGGTAATTTCTCCGGCTGCGTTTGCTGAGGGGCCTTGCTTTGGGCATCGATCGAACCACAGTATGTCCCTCGACATGTGTATTTATGCCCAGGTTATTTTACCAAGTATGGTATTTCAGGCCAATTCTTCCAAGATTCCAAGGTTATTGTTTGGATATAGGTAGAGTTGAAAGGCAAATCATTGATATGTATTTATGTACTTGGTATCTTTCATGATCAGGAGAATAATTACAAGAGAGAAAAACATTGAAGATACGAGATCTTCCTCTGCACAGCAGAACAAGGATCACACCTGATACAGTGTGAAGAAGAGTAGAAAGCTTTCCGATCCCAAATCCATGACCGGAAGGATATACGGTGCATGGAAAGCTCATCTAGAAAATCATCCGGCCCTTGTTTTGCTTCTGGTTGACGTTGTAGTTCTTCCAAGCCAAGATACAAGGAATCGTCAAAGCCAAGATGGCAGTAGAAGCAATACAGTTCATGCGCTGAGCATGGCCCCAAGTGTAGGCAACAGCATCTCGAAGCGGTGAGCCGAAAGGATAGGTCAACTGTGTGTTGATACCGTCGAAATAAATCTGGGTAGCGTTGCCCTTTAGATCAGGTGGCAACTGAGCGGCAAGGGTATCGACGAAGACATTATTATAGATCGCTGCTCCAACGGCCAGACCGATTGCGCCACCCATGTTCGAGAACAGTCCGATGAGGGCCAGCATCATCGGGGTACCTTCACGACCACCAGCTGCCATGACAGCCATGTCTTCGCCGATGACCAGGGTGCCGCCGGCGAAAGCAATGAAGATCTGGCACATGACAATGTAGCCGATTCCGTGGTCGGCACCACGGAAGTAGATCATTAATCCTGAGCCGAGGATCATGAGGGGGGCGCCGAAGAACAGGCAGATATACTTGAAGCGCGCGGTGGACCAGATGATTGCTCCAATGATGGGGGAGAAAAAGCACGAGCCGACATTGTAGATCTGGAGCATATATCCTGCATAGACTGTGCCAATGTCGTAGGTGATGATGATGAAGTTGTAGAAATACTGATCCCACAGCTCGAAGCTGAAGAACAGCGTGGCGGACAATATACATGCGCCGAGAATGGTGGGTCGCTTGATCAATTCATATCTGATGAAGTGAGTTCGTGCGCCCCATTTCTCCCATGCGGCGAAGACAAAGAACATCTTGAAACCGATAACGAGAGGAGCGATAAATGTTGCACTTTTGTATGTGGAGCGACCATTCTGAGCCAGACTGAAGGGTAGGAGGAAAAGAACCCAGGCAGCCATAAGCAGGAAGGCACCGATAACTGGTACTTGTTAGTGACTGAAGTTATCGTGATTTGTTTGGGGCTTTTACCATCGAATTCATGGATATAATGAATGATCGACTGCATTGTGGTTCGACCGCTGGGCTGTCTGCGGAGGAGACCCTGTTTCTTTGCCTTGTTTTCAAAGTACTTGAACACCATGGCGAGGGGCAAGAAGACAAATGGAGTCACAATGCAAAAGATGCCGTAGCCCCAGCGCCAGCCGTATTTAGTATAAATCGAGTTTGCGGCCAGGGAGCCCGTGAAGGCAGTACAGATGAACGGGGTCTGCATAAATCCAAAGGCGAACGCTCGGTTCCTGAGACCAGACGTATCGGCGACGAACACATTCAGGATGAGGTACAAGCAGTAGTACCCAATCCAGTAGAGTGTGTATCCCGCGGCATAACCACTGGGCCCATTGCAAGAAGCGAGAATAATCATGCCGAGTAAATAGACGGCCACAGACACGATAGTGCCCTCGGCACGACCCCAAAGGTTCAGTGTCTTACCCAAAGGGAGTTTCACAACACCGCCAACGATGTTCGCCAGAATATAGGAGGTGGAGACCTGGGGTGCAGATTTAAACCCTCCTTGAATGTAGTTGATCAGAACACCACTGATTGTCGAGTGGAAAGCCAAAATGAAAGTACAAATCCAAATCCTGTCATCAAGAGTTGTTAGACAATAGGTTCCAGCCACCTCTTCTCCACTTACCATGCATAAATACCAACCAACGCTGGTCGGCTCCATACCAGAGCTGCTGCCTCCGCCTTTTGTTGACCCAGCTCGGCGTCGGATGTGACGGTATCGGGGTTATGGGCTAATTCCTTTGCATCATCGAACATATCCCCGTGGTGCGACCCATCCGACGAGATTGGGGGCGTGTCGGCGTCATAAGACGGTGGGTGCTGGTCCTCGCCAGCCGCGACTGACTTCTCATTCTGAGTGTTACTCGTATCAGATACTTCTGTCGTCTGGTTGGCGGTCCCACGGCCTCGGAGGGCATCGAACACGCCCATAGCCACAGAAGTCCGTGATCAGAGCTCAGCTCGAACTGATTTCGAGGTCCTCAGGAGGTGTTGAGGAAAGGAAAGAGAGTCTGCGGGGGTCTACGTGGGATATACAGGGTCCAGGCGTCTAGACGAAAAATTCCCGCACCCCCCGGTTTTCTTTTTTTCTTTTCTTTTTTTTCTCGGAGTCTCCGATGGAGAGGATCAGATAATACTGCCGTCCTCAATCTGATAGCTGGGCCAATTAGGGGCTGCAGTGGATGATGATCGCCGTTAATCAATTCCCAATTAGGAATAGTGCAACTTTCCCCCAAAGCTTCCAGGGTCGCAGTTTCCCTTTGCGACCCTGCCTCATCCGTCGCCCGTTTGCGTCTACTTCGAGTTTCCTTCGTTACTTCGTGCTCTTATAATATACTGCACGTACTCCGTAGCATCAGGTGAAATGTAAGACATATGTGCGAATGGCTAGCTCATATGTCTCAGCTTCTCTTTGGCTCCTTGCCTTTTTCCCACGCGAGGCACGCGGAAAGTCAAAATCCATCCTTTTTCTTGCTCGGCCCCCAACCAATCAGCAATAGATAAATTGACCGTGAACCTTTTTCCAAAGTTAGCCCACGGCATTGACAACTTTGTTTTCAAAATAACCACCGACATTAACTTCGCCGGCCCCGTTATCTGATAATCAGATACGAGCACCCGTGGAGTCCACGAAGTTAAATGACGCTATGAAGCCTTGCATGCCTTTGAATCCAAGAGGCTAGGCAAGCCCCTCCCGTGGGTTTACGAGACAGCGGCCCACTTAGGCGGGATGGCTTATTTTTGCATAGCGCTTACGGCGCTTCAAAATGCTTCGCCTCTACGCAGTACGGTGTACGGAGTATGAGCTTTGTGATCGTTCTGCCTGACGATGGTTTTGCACTCTAGTCGACCACACCCAGAATCTTGCTCAACTTGCGCTTGGTGTTTGTCGCCCCTCGCGTGCGACTGCAATTCGACATGGCTGGAATTAATCCTTGCTGTCAGCGGCGTCATACTCGCCACCAATGGACCCCATCTCCGGGACCGATTGCGGCGACTGACCAGGACAGATTCATGGATCGCATGGATCGCGACATTTGATCTAATCAGATCTCTCGATGTGGATTGGGGAGGTTTTTCGCCCCAAATCCTTTCGTACTGACACCATGGTGCAGGTTTTGTGACATTTTCTGTTGGAGCGCAGTACGAAATGTGGCCACTACGATCCTGTCAGCTCTTGGTCCCACCGGGGCCCCCGGTGGCACGATTGGGCATAAAATGTTTTTCTCGGGTGCTCCAGTTGTTCGGTCGGGTGGGTCTGTAAGCGACGCCTGGAGCCCTGGAGCCCTGGAGCTTGGAGATTCGGCAAATCTGCCGGTAGTGTATGCAGACGTTTTTTCGGGTCCTTCGGAGGGGTCTCACGGGTTTAATGGTAGTACGGGTCCTACTTCGCGTGTTAAGCGATTGTCTGGGGAGTTCAATTCGCTGGAGCAATCCTCGTACGACAGTTGCCTTATACAAGTAGGATCTGTTTTACCATCTTCGTCTCACCAAGGGCTCCACTAATTATGTTCTAGCCCAGTCGAAGCAAATACAAGATGTTTTCGGGTTTCTCAATAATGCATGTGTATTTGAAGCAGGTGCTAATTGACCTTGCTCTGTTCTATATGTATATTCTAGTGGCCAACCATCGCTTGGTGGGCAGGTCCATATCTGTTTCCGTGTGGCTTAGCAGCATCAATGATCTTGCGCATCTCCTTCTGTTCCTCCTCGGTCAACTCAATATCCCGAGATGCCCAGTTCTCCTCAAGGCGAGCGGCCTTGGTAGTTCCTGGGATAGCAATCATTCCTTGGGTAGCAACCCAAGCGAGTGCGATTTGGCTGATCTTGCAGCCCTTGCGAGCAGCGATTCCCTTGATTGCCTCCACGATTTCCTTGTTCTTATAGAAGTTCTCGCCTTGGAATTTGGGAGCTAAGGAGCGTCTGAGTTAGTAAATGGCTTCATCGGAAAGATCGGGGTAGTGTTGCTTGCTCACATTTACGGCGGAAGTCATCGGGAGAGAAGTCGTCGGGGGAGTTGTAATCAAAGTTATCGACCAGCCATCCGTGGCCGAGGGGACTGTATGCGACGTAGGCGACGTCGAGCTCCTTAGCGGTATCGATCAAGTTATCTGTTTCGTGCACTGTCTCGAATGCTGAGTACTCGGCCTGAACGGCATCGATCTTGGCAACTATTCGTCGTTAGCAGAGAGCTTGCTGGGTTTTGTGGGGCAAATTTACTAGAGTTCGCCTTGCGCAGGGTCGCAGCAGAGCATTCTGAGAGTCCAATGTACTTGGTCTTTCCGGCTTGGCGGATTTCATCCAGAGCAGGAATGGATTCAGTGAGGGGAGTGTCTGGTCAAATTAGCGATTATAACTAGCCGACACTTTGTCTGGGCGACATACTGGGGTCAATTCGGTGCAGATAGTACAAGTCCGGGGTGAAGCCCAATCTTTCGATAGTGCCGTCGATATACTGCTTGATGTGCGCGGCGGAGTTGGTGATTGAGCCACCTCCTCCAAACACGTCAAAGCCACACTTGGAGGCAACTGGAAATTGCATGTTAGTACGATTGATGGCTTACTCTAGGGTGTGGGAAAACTCACTGAAGACCTTGTCACGGACATTGTGCTTCCTGATGAAGTCACCAAGAAGCTTCTCGTTAACTCCAGCCTGGTAGACAACAGCGGTATCCCAGAAGGTACAGCCTAGCTCAATTGCCTTAAGGAGAACAGGCTCAGCTTCCTCGAGGCTCAAGTCAGAGCCGAGTCCGAAGCTCAGGCCCATGGCTCCAAAGCCTGGCGAGGGAACTTGAATGCTACCGAAGGGGATTGTCTTGACCATTTTTGTAGAGTGTTGATTTCAAGTGTTGATTTTTGTCTTGAACTTGAAGAATATACTGAAGTTCGATCCGGCTCAATTTATACTCATTGTCTTTGGCCTGGGTTCGGAATTAGGACTTGATGACTTCAATGTGGGTCCCGATTATTCTACCTCCATTGCTTAACTCCGGCCTTGTTTGATGATCTGGTAAAATCGCAAGCGATGACAAACTCTTTCAGCAAAAGCTGTCGAGATGCAAGGCTGAGATTAATATGCAAATTAGTATTCTGGTGAGTTTACCCTGTACACTTAGTCAAAAAAAATCCCGGATTATCGCTTGGTTGTTCAGCTTTGACAGAACGAGCTACTCCGTACAGTACGGAGTAGTTAACCTCGAGGTGGGGGGAGTCAGCAGGCTGCATAACCCCGCCACCAAATCTCATTAAGCAATGCTTAACATCGGATTATCCTTATGACTTCATCTATCTTCATGATTGCATAACAACAATTAAATGAAGTTAGGAAATTAACTCAAACTGGTGTATGTACCGGGAGCATGGTGACGATCATGGAGTTCAAGCTTGGTGACAGAAACTAGCGTGATGAGACGATCAAGAGGGTCAATGTCGCGGCGTGTAAGCATACTCCAATGAAATCAGCATAACCTCGGGCCTGCATTCTCTTTTCTTTAGAATTCATCCCGATGTTGTATCCTAATCGCTTAGGGAGCACGTCCAAGCGCCAGGAACCCCAAGATTCGAGAGCCATGCCGCACAGGAACACAGTGCATTGACTTGGAGATACTTTAACCCCGCACAAGGGTCTGGTATCCAGCACTAGCACTGGCCAGGTTGTGAATCTCATGAATGCGACGTTACAGTCGACGCGAGATGAACCTCCTTGCAGGCACTCGTGCCTTCTGCCTTCTGCGTCCATCACTTCATCAACATCCGCATCAACACAGCTTTGACGCGTCGCCACGCGCAGCTAACTGTTCACATTCCAGAGCGCAATGGCAATTTTACACACCTTTTATAGCCTCCTGCTCCTCCAATATGTCCGGGGCACAGGCGCGACGCAAGATGACTTACGCTATGTCGATCCCTTGATCGGGTCAACGAATGGCGGCAATGTTTTTGCAGGGGCAAGTCTGCCCTATGGCATGGCAAAGCCCGTTGCCGATGTCGATGGCCAGAATACAGGCGGCTTCTCGACCGATGGTAGCAATGTCACCGGCTTTTCGCACATGCACGACAGTGGTACAGGCGGAAATCCGTCAATGGGTAATTTCCCGCTGTTCCCTCAGTACTGTAAGGACAATCTTGTGGACAATTGCAAGTTTCCCAAGTCTGCACGCGCTATACACTACAAGAATGACTCTGTTGTCGCCAAGCCCGGGTATTTTGCATTGACGCTTGAGAGTGGCATCAAGGCTGAGATGACTGCTGCACAACACACTGCACTGTACCGCTTCATCTTCCCCGGAGGAACAACGGCCGATGGAAATGATCTCAACCCACTCATCTCACTGGATCTGACCGATCTGTGGGATAGTCGTCAGAATGCCTCGATCAATATTGAAGCCGACAAGGGTCGAATGAAAGGCAATGGCACTTTCTTGCCGAGCTTCGGGGCTGGCTCTTATCAGTCATACTTCTGTGCGGACTTTGTCGGTGACGATGTTCAAGACAGTGGGATTTGGGTCAATGATCGAGCCGGATCGGTACAGCAGCTTTTTGTCACCCGTGGCTTCAACAATTTCTATCTGCAAGCTGGAGGCTATATGAGCTTTAATCCTTCAGAAGACCGGACCGTGACTGTGAGAGTTGGCGTCAGCTTTATTAGCACAGACCAAGCTTGCAAAAATGCCGAAACGGAAGTACCCAACCCAGATGATGCCTTTCATGATCTGCGCAACCAAGCGGAGATTGCATGGAGCGAGAAGCTGAGTCCTATCGAGGTCACTTCGGGTGGTGTGAGCAATGACATGTTGAGCGCTTTTTGGAGCGGTATTTACCGGACAATGCTATCACCGCAGAACTTGACTGGTGAGAACCCGCTCTGGAAAAGCGACGAGCCATATTTCGACTCGTTCTATTGTCTGTGGGATGCTTTCCGATCGCAGCATCCATTCCTTACAGTAATTGACCCCCAGGCCCAATCGAAAATGGTCCGCAGCTTGTTGGACACCTTCAAGCATGAAGGATGGCTACCTGATTGCCGCATGAGCCTATGCAAAGGCTGGACGCAGGGTGGCTCTAACGCCGATGTTGTTCTGGCAGATGCCTATGTCAAAAATCTCACTGGAATTGACTGGGAACTCGCGTACAAAGCGATGGTCAATGATGCAGAGAATGAACCACTTGAATGGTCCTATGAAGGACGAGGTGGTCTCCAGAGCTGGAAGCATCTCCACTATATCCCATATCTTGACTTCGACTACATTGGGTTTGGCACCAACTCACGAAGTATCTCCCGGACGGTCGAGTATGCCTACAATGATTACAGTCTGTCAGTGGTAGCCAAAGGTCTCGGCAAAGACTACTCTACTTACTTGGCACGATCTGGAAACTGGCAAAACTTGTACAAAGAGGACGAAAAGTCCTTGCTGGGCAATGGCACAGACACTGGGTTTACCGGCTTCTTCCAGCCCAAGTACATCAATGGGACATGGGGGTATCAAGACCCCATTGCATGTAGTGCGTTGGCTTCATGGTGTTCTCTTACCTCAAACCCTTCCGAGACCTTCGAGTCTAGCATCTGGGAGTATCAATTGTATGTATCACTTCTTTCACTTCAAGAATTAAAGCTCACGCCTCACCAGCTTCGTTCCTCACGACATGGCAAGGTTGATCAAGATGGTCGGCGGCCCTGAGTCCTTCGTTTCCCGCCTTGACTACTTCCACACCTCAGGCCTAGCGGATATGGGTAATGAGCCTGTTTTCCTCACCGTATATGACTACCATTACGCCGGCCGTCCAGCTTTGTCCGCCAGTCGAGCTCACGCGTACATCCCATCTTCATTCAACGCGACGAAGAGCGGACTACCTGGAAATGATGATTCAGGCGCCATGGGATCATTCTTGGCATGGAGCATGATGGGGCTTTTCCCGAACCCAGGTCAGAATGTCTACCTCATCATACCTCCATTCTTCGAGGCTGTCGCAATCACTCATCCGGAGACCAACAAAACGGCCACGATTCGCAATGTTAATTTCGACAAAAGCTACAAGAGCATTTATATCCAGAGTGCGACGCTCGATGGAAAGCCCTACAACAAAAACTGGATTGGGCATGAATTCTTTACGCAGGGTATGACGCTAGAACTGACGCTTGGGGACCATGAAAGTACCTGGGGCACGCGGAAGGAAGACTTGCCTCCGAGCATAAGCGATACGTTCATTATGGATGAGATCTAAACAGCGGCAATGTGTAGCATTGATTAGCCTCTCAGATTTGCTTTTCTATATGTTGATGAAACCGCGGAGCACATCCGATGTGGGTCATCGTATGCCATACTCCGTAGTCTAATTCGGAAAGCGAGCATACTCCCAGTCACCATTAGCGAAAGGATAATTCATTTTTTGCAAGTGTAATGATAATCTTTGAAAGTCAATGGTGATAAAAGCTTAAGATATTCTGAAAGTACCGATGGTCAGGTGACCCGCAGCGGGCCACGAATCGAAGTACACGTGGATTTCCTTGTTCCAATTCCCCAAATCCTCAAGCGCCCATCTGAAACTGCTCTTTCTCATTTTTGGGAATCTCGCCTTTCCATTAGTCCCAGGCGCTCCCGCGATCGGACCCTTGGCGACATCGCTTCCCTCGCAGCCCCCCGGATCTGCGACCCAAGCCCAGCATGGCGAGCCGCCAGCTCACCCGGCGCATTATCACCAGCGCAGTGATCGCACTATGCCTAATCTTCTTCCTCTTTCTCCGGCCACAGGGCCCCCCAAGTCCCGCAATTCGCGCGCCGGGCCATATCGATCACACCGTACCCGCGCCGGGGATAAGCATCCAAGATAGCACATTGAAGGGGGCCGTGGTGATGCCGAAGCTAGGCAATGCAACAGTCAAGTAAGCGCCGGAACTCCACACACAGACATTGGCAATATCTACGTGTCAAGCAGTGGAACGACTTGCTGACCGTGTATTGGTCGGAATCCAGGGCTGAACTAGGTCGTGCGACATGGAAGTATTTCCACACCGTTATGGCGCGATACCCGGAAGCCCCCACGGACGACCAGAAAGAGGCGCTGCGCTCTTATATTTACCTGTTTGCTCGCTTGTACCCATGGTAAGAAGCTCCTGCCCGGTATGGATTGTTTGCGCGCGGATTGGAGGCTGACGTGACACAGTGGGGAGTGTGCCGAACATTTCCAGCAACATTTACACAAATATCCGCCTCAGGTCTCGTCGCGTAATGCTGCTTCGGGTTGGGCTTGCTTCATTCATAATGAGGTCAATGCGATGCTTGATAAGCCTGAATTTGACTGCGCCAACCTTGGCGACTTCTACGATTGTGGTTGCAGCGGGGAAGAAGAAGAGGGCGGCAAAAAAGGATCAGCCTCGCAATCTGAGGGGGAGGGCGCGGATCATGATGGTCCCGCGGTGGAAATTTCCAAAGAAGCGTGAGCGACTATGTGGTGTATACTTTGTTCCCTTGATCACTAACATCTGTTTCAGGACTACCCGCGGTTGACAGACCTGAATCCTCGCCTCATGCATGTTTCCTAGCCTTCCCTTGGCGTGTGGGATTACTTTTGAGACAGGACTATGTGTCTTGATGGAGCTGGTCTCCTTGTACAGTAATAGATTGTCGACTGACAGTATCAATATCATTATACCCTTGTGTTTTGCATGTGCATGTGGCTTTGGCTTGGAGGGGGGCCAATTGTGTTACATCACTGTGCCGATTTAGCGCATCTTCGGAGGCGTCTCGTACTTGTTATTATCACCGTGATGCCAGATGGATGAACCCGATGATCCGAGCCTTCCAAGGTTGGAAGCAAAGACCAAAGTAGGCATCTGTGGTGTATAGAACCTGGGAGTCCTACTCCAAGGGTCCCATTGAAGGCCAGCATTTAGGAACATATCCACGGAGGTAGCTCTACTACAGAGATTTCATAGTGAGAGATGATTGACAACTTCATGGATCTCCCACAAAGTCGCCATGTGCCGTTTTTGGACTAGACTGCCGATCTCTAGCCACCGAGTGCACCTGAGCATTGGTAGATCATCCTCCCCAGTGATGATATGGCGCGCATGACCCGACGGGCCTAGCCGGTATACCCTTGAACCTGAGCGGTGAATCGGCCAGGTCTTTACCGTCGCACTGAACAATATCATGACCGAAGCATTAAAGTTTGCGATCCTTTTCATTATCCAGACGATGCCAGGTCGTACCCTCGTGATACAAAACCCCCATTTGCATGTGCCAGGAGGGGAAGACATCCAGATCCCGAATCAGTAAAGATGGCCGTGGATATCGTCAAGCGGGATGAAAAGATTTGGGTTCGGGCTAGAAATAGCGTCAACTGCTCAGATGTTGACTGAGCAAATGAAAAGATGGGGTCTCCTGACAGGGACTATCCAGCCAACCATGTTGGATGTGGTCCATGCGGGTTACAACACTGACCAATCTGACTTGAATGCTCGCCACTTGATATGAAAGTATGTGGGAAGATCCAGGGCACCAAAAATAGTAGACATAATACTCCGTGGTGAAAAAGGGCCAATTATAGGTTGCAGTAGCATGGGAGAAAGTACCGAGTAGTTTATCTGTTGCAAACTTTCTTTGGTAGTCAGGTCCGGGGGAGAATGGTTGATTCTAGTGAGACTGATAGCCGTTATATAGTGAAACAGTTTAAGAGAACTAGAGCGAAATCTTACCAGTGTCTTATTGGCTAGACTCGAGAACAAGAAGCATCATTACGACAGAAAGAGAGGGTGGTCTGCTGTTTTGCGCTGAATCACATTTCATACTTCCTAAATTGGTTTAGCGTTGACCCGATTCAGACTAGTCAGTCGCGCGCGCGCTTCCAAATTTCGCGGGAAAAAAAAGTCAAGTCCGGAAAGTTCGTTGCGCTAATCCCATATCTTTCAAGGGATATTCCCCCTCTTCACCGTGTGGCGTATTTTCTACGCAGTTTGACCACTTTCGCGCTCGATATCTATCCCCTTGAACTCTTCTCTGCTTACAGGCGGGGCGATCATTCTCAATATGGTTTCTTTCTCTTGCGAGGTGAGTGGGCTGATATCTGCCTATGGCGAATAGAAGAATCTTTGCCAGGGCTTTGCGCATATACAGTCTGCTAATCCTGCTAGGCTTGCGGTGACGTTCTCACCAAGAAGAAGCTCGACCCCCATCGCGGCCAATGTCATGGCGCTTCCTTTACCTGTATTGATTGCATGGTGCACTTTTGGGGGACCGAGTACAGATCGCATACGGTAAGTCAAGTCAGTTGAGTACACAATCCTTGTGTCTACTGCGATGAGGCCCCATACTACCCAGTCCAAGGGAGGCATTCACTGACGAAGTCAATCACTAGTCCTGCATGAGCGAAGCGCAAAAGTACCAGGGTGCTCTCTACAAGGAGAAGCCCACCAAGAACCAAAAGAAGGGACAGAACAATCAGAAACAGAATGCCAACGCCCATGCCAACGCGAAGCAAGCCCCCAACAACCGCCACCAGCAACCCCGTGTGGAGGACGGCTCAGATGGCGAGGGATCCAAGATCGCACCTCCTCCTCCTTGTCCTACACCCCCACCCGCGGGCGAAGTGCGTCCCCCCCGCTCCGGCACCGGCAAATGACAAGCCTGTCAATGTGTTTGACTACCTGGTCACGGAGCAGACTCCAAACGCTTCCAAGGTCTCTATCGTGGAACCCAAGGAACAGATGAAGATGAAGACCAATGCCAAATCGGTATTCGAACCCAGTGATGCCTTGGCTCGCTTTGAGGCCAACCCGACTACGGACGACGAGGGTAAGAACTACGATGTCGCTTACCACGAGCATGGCTTCTCCTACGGCACTGGCAATATCCCGCATTCGGACCTTCCCCCTAACGTATCTACAGAATTTGTCACACCCGCACCCAAGAAGAAGAAGGACCGCAAGGAGAAGGTACCCGGCACTGCCAGCGAGAAGAAGCGCAAGCGCGGACAACCAGATGCTCTCAGCACCCCCCGCGACGGAGCCGATACCCCAATGATGGATGCCCCCTCCAGCATTATCAACAATGCTGGTACCCCAATGCTGAACCACTCTGGTCTCACCGGTGGCTTGAACCGCATGATGCGCTCGCCCTCTCCTGGCGACGACAGCCCGGAGACCCACCGCCGCGCCTACCAGGACACTTCATCCCCGATCAAGCGCAGTCGCCGCAATGGTAAAGAAGTTAACGGTAACGGAGATCCCGGTCTGGGAATATCCATGAAGAATCGCGCTGAGCGCCTTGTGTCCTCCATGTTCGGCGGATCGGCAGTCTCCAGCGCCAGCGGCAGCACAGAGGTCAACCCCAAGGCAGTGGTGCGTGCCCGCCGCGGCAGCTCCTCCAGCGCCGAAGGTCAAATCGAAGTCCGCAAGAGTAAGAAGTCACACCGTGCGCGCGATTCTCCCGAGGAGACCCGCAAGTCCAAGCGCAAGAGCAGCAACCCTGCTGACGAACGGCCCAGTCGTCGTCTGAAGCAGATCGACGACGGTCGTGGCTCAGCGGACTCACCTAGCCACCAGGTCATGGTTTACAAGAAGTCCAAGCCGCCTGCGCGCACAGATGAGGATCTTCAACGTGAACTTGCCCATCATTTCCTTTCCATCGTGCCTCAGGGTAGTACCCGCGGCTGTTCGATTAACAAGACGCTCAAGCGGCTCCATCGTGATCTCGAGAACGAGTACGAGACCGAAGCTGGCTACCAACGCAGACTTGATGATGAGAAGGATCTTTGGAGAGCTTTGAGATTGCGTCGCAACGACCGTGGCGAGATTGTCCTTTTCATCTAGAACCTGGGCTGGGCTTGGGCTTCAAAGACAATCAAAACGGAGTGGTTTGGTTCTTTATGAGGTGGATGGACTGGATTTATTTTTTTGCATAGCGCCATTTGATTATTCCGATGCAGCGGCTAAGATGTCGCATGTTCATATTAATGTGGAACGGGACTAAATTGCATTGATAATGTCTACCTTGACTTGATCTTTTTGTTTTATTGAGATGCGTCAGCAATGCATGTTACTTCTCAGTCTAGAATCAAGGTCCAAGTATTGAGGATCATGTTCTTTGCCTCTCGACAAGCATAGATACGATCGTGAGTCAAATTGTATAGATCATCGACCCACATCTCACCTCTGCAATGCCCGGGCTCCACTCGGGACTCCGGGCAACTTGAAAAAATGAGTCATCTATGCAATGCCTGAGTCACTAAGCTACGTCACCGCCTTAGCCCCACCGCCCAATTCTGCCGTGAGAGCTTTTATCGTTTTCTAGATAGTTCGTTTGGTTGCCATCCAATCCTTGTCCAATTTTTCTAGCAGGCTATATCGCCTTGGTATTGTGTTTTGTTGATCAGATCTCTGCCTCTGCGTTATACTCTTCGTTTTTGCATCTTTTCAACTTTGTTTAGCCGAACTCATTCAGTTACCCATCGCCTTTTTATCAGCACCACCCAAAGAAGCACAAAATAGAGCGCAAGTGTATGAGCACACCAAAAGTGTTCATACAACCTTCATCGGCACCCACGAATATGTCAGCGCCCCTCCCAGATACCGCTGCCCCAAGCGGATCACGACCCCCACGTTCATCAAGGCCGAGACGCCGAGGGCGGGGTCCTGCGAATCGCGATGCGCAGCAACAAAGACCTGCTACTACGAGCGAACCTCAGAACCCAGCCGCTGCGCAATTGCAGCCAACACACCCTCAGCCATCCCCGAATACAACCCCTCAGTCTGATCAACACAATGACCAGCGCTCTCAGAGAGGTGGAAGAACCAGAGAAGGAAGAGGGAGGAGACAGCGCAACAATGGAACCCCGCGGAGAGGTCAAGGCTCAAATGAAGCAAATGAAGGAACTGAAGGACAAAATCCACGGCCTGAGGTGCGATCCCGCGGTATGAGAGCGCGGGGTTTTGAGGCTCAATTGACGCGGCCTGAGCCGTCGGGTGATACAGCATTGGATGGGGTGGGGCACCATAACGATAATGCTTTAAGAGCAGATGTGCCGGCTTTTGTACCAGGCATGCCTCCCTCTGATGCTCCCCGCCATCCACATTCCGAATCGGCGCCATCTGCGAAAGGGAAAGGGAAAGCTAGACAACCCAGGGCACCGCCGCAACCACCGAAGGTTACAACGAAGTCCACTGCGGCCGACCTGGCAACCCGAATCCACGAAGATATCTCCCATAATCTATACGAATGTCCCATCTGCTGCAGCGAGCTAGGTCGCAGATCTCGTGTTTGGTCATGTGAACTTTGCTGGACAGTCTTCCATTTGAGTTGTGTGAAGAAATGGTCCAAGAACGAAGGTGCTTCTGCCCAGAGGGCTTCGGCCCAGGAGGACGGGCAGGGTAGTTCCACTCCGCGTGCTTGGCGTTGTCCGGGCTGCAATCTTTCGCATGAGAACTTCCCTTCCAATTACTCTTGTTGGTGTGAGAAGGAAGTCGATCCTAGACCGCTGCCTGGGTTGCCGCCACACTCTTGTGGTCAGACTTGCTCGAGACCGCGTAAGGGATGTCCCCATCCTTGTGATACGACTTGTCATGCCGGTCCATGTGCTCCTTGTACTGCCATGGGACCTACGCAGGATTGCTTCTGTGGTTTGAACTCGTCGACAAAACGATGTCAAGATACCGATTATGAAAATGGCTGGAGTTGTGGTGAGATTTGTGGCGAACTTCTCCCTTGTGGAGAACATACCTGTCCGCTGCCCTGTCATGAGGGTTTGTGTGGAGGCTGTGAAGTCGACATCGAGGCTCGTTGCTATTGTGGAAAAATGCAGACAGAGATGTCATGCAAGTCCAAGGATGACGAGAAAGATAGTCGAGTCATTCATGAGGATGGCTCTGACGAAGAATGGACCGGCTGCTTTGGTTGCGGGGAGACTTGCAACCGCCCTCTAGACTGCGGCAAACATTCATGCCGGAAGGACTGTCACCCTCAAGACTCACACCCTGCTCACTGTCCACGATCACCAGACGTGGTATTGGATTGCGCCTGTGGAAAGACGCCGCTGTCTGAGATCCCGGGGTACACTCCGCGAACCTCTTGTGAAGACCCAATTCTCAACTGTCAGAAGCCATGTGGCAAGAGTCTGCCATGTGGTCACCCTTGCGATAAATTGTGTCACACCGGGCCCTGTGGCGCTTGTTTGCGCCAGGTTCGCATCAAGTGCCAATGCGGTCGTACTGATAATTCAACTATTTGTCATCAAGGCCATAACGAGCCTCCCATGTGTCCGCGCCAGTGCAAGGCGACTTTACATTGCGGTCGTCACACCTGCACTGATCGATGCTGCCCAGGAGAACAACGGGCGAACGAACGCCAGGCTGCGCGTCGTAAGCTCAGACCTCATCTGCGCCCCGCCGAGGAAGACATCGAAGCAGAGCACATCTGCACTCGTATATGTGGTCGGATGCTGAAATGCGGAAGACACACATGTCCAGAGCTTTGTCACAAGGGTGCCTGCAATACTTGCAGGGAGGCAGTATTCGAAGAGATCTCGTGTAATTGCGGAAGATCTGTTCTCTACCCTCCCCAGCCATGTGGCGCAAAGCCACCTTCTTGTAGTTTCCCATGCGAGCGTCCCAAGCGATGTGGCCATCCTCAACCCGCGCATACTTGTCACACGGATGAAGAGAACTGCCCTAAGTGTCCTTTCTTGACAGAGAAGCCGTGTTTGTGCGGTAAACGTGTATTGAAGAACGTTCCTTGCTGGCTAGCCGACGCACGCTGTGGACAGGTCTGTGGACAAAAGCTCAAATGCGGCTCTCATTTCTGCCGGAAAGATTGTCATCGTCCGGAGGACTGCGAGGACGCAACCAAGCCTTGCACTCAGGCTTGTGGAAAGAACAAGTCTATCTGTGGTCATCCTTGCACAGAGCAATGTCACGCCCCTTACGCATGCCCCGAGAAGACCCCATGTTCGTCCAAGCTTGCGGTGACATGTGGCTGTGGACGACTGCGTCAAGAAAGACGCTGCAATGCCGCCAAGGCTGTCACAGTAAAGGGCCAGGTCCAGTCACCCCAGCGCACACCGGACCTGACTTCGTTGGTCTGCGACGACGAATGTACTCGCCTAGAACGCAATCGCACCCTGGCAGGTGCGCTCGGTGTTGATATCAATCCAACGACCACAATGCAGACCATCACAGCCGAGAACCTTCCCTATTCGGAGGAAACTCTCAACCAGTACATCAAACTGGCAGCATCTGCACCTCTCTCAACTTTGCAAAGCATTGAAGCCAGTCTGCATTCTCTTGCAACGGCAGACAAGTCCACCCGCTCTTTCCGCTTCCAACCCGCCAAGCCTACCCTCCGCGCATTTGCCCACTCCCTCGCCGCAGACTGGGGCTTCGTAACAGAAAGTCACGACCCTGAACCACACAGACATGTCTTTGTCTTAAAGCCTGTTGTCTGGAACCCGCCGCGCTTCGGCACGGGGGCTGGCTCGTCAATCGGTATTGGCGGCATGAGCGTGCGCGAATGCGTCAAGCTGCGCGAGCGCGAGCGTTCAAAAGAAGCAGAGGCCCGTCGTGTCGCTGCCATTGAAGCAAAGGCTGTACGCGAAGCCACCAAAGCCCAGGCCAGCAGTGGAGACGGTGGTTGGGCCCAGGTTGCTTCTAAGAGTCGAGGCGGAAGCGGTGCCAGCACGAGGAGTGGTACACCCGTTCAAAGCCCTTGGGTCAGCAAGTCTATCTATGCTGCTCTCGATGGCGAAGGAGCCAAGAAGGAACGTCTCGTTCTTCGTTCAGGTGTTGGGGCTGGCAAGTCTCTGCGTGCAAAGACCCCTGCTGATGAGGTTGTTGATAATTGGGAGGATGCTCAGGATGCTGAAGAAATTCAAGAGAAGCAGGAAGAAGAGAAGAAGATGGAAGGTGATCAGGTTCCGGACCAGACAGTTCCTGGGGACTCTGAGGACCCTGTGGACCTGGTGGGAACCGAAACCGAACTTGAGCCCGAGGCAGAGGTCCAGGCAGAGGCTCAGCCTGCTGAGGCTGAAGCTACTGCAAACGACGTCGAAGTTTAAGCTCCTGTATTGGACTTGATGATTGATGACTTGGATGGCAAAGACTTCAATGAACATTTCTCCCTATGTTTGCACGAAATTTTGCATGGACACTGGAATTGCTCCATATTCGCATGAAAAGAAAAGCATACAAGCACACGTTGTAAATTATCATTGCAGCAAATCAAAAAATTAGAAACATTGATGAAGCAACCCCAAAATCATCAGATCGTCAATCGTGAACCAAAAGCTAGACCATTTCGACGTGAACCCGCGTGGAACTTCTACTACTCCGGTATGATCTTCACAAACTGCAAGCACCCCTCGTTGGTAGCCCTGTAGGGTCCATGCTTCATTCCAGGATGTCTGTAGGCATAGGCACCGATGCCCCATGACTGCCCAAGCGACAGATCCTCCAATCCGCCGCGCAGCGTGCACACCTCTTCGACATAGGTGTGTGTTATTTGCTCAGACTGTTGTGAGATGGCATTGGGCTCCCACCATTGCAAGACAGCTTTCTCTTGCGTATTGCCGTTCAGTAGAAATTCCCATACACCTGGTGCGATCGAGTACCATGGCAATGCGGACTTGGAGCCCGGGGGCGTGCCAACTGCTGGGTGTAGTGGTGGAGTGGTGAATTCTTTCTGGGAGAACGACATAGCTGTGCTGGTTGCAGCTTTGTAGAGTGAGATTGAAGGTTGTGAAGGTGTTTAGGTTGTGGTTGAGGGGTAAGAGGGGATCTACGACTTGTTACAATGGTAGGTTTTATAGTTCATTCTGAATCCCAGAGGCTCGGTCAGGTGGCGCGGGGTATTGACAAATGCATGCAATAAAACTCCAAAAGATTCATCGCGCGATGATTAGAGAACCAAAACTACTCCGTACCGAGACCCTAAATATCCCATATCTAAGATACATGTCAAGATTATAGATACAACTGGGAGAGCACGCGGTGTTTTGGTGAGTCCATTAAAAGTGGCCCCGGCTTTATTACATCAGCAGCTATGTCATCCAATCTTTTTGATTTGAATCGGCGATTGTCGATTTGATTCCCCAGACTCAAAATGCCATTCCGACTACAGGGTTTCCAATCTGCTCTACGTGCCCAAAGCGGCCTGTTGCGCAATCAGCAGCGCAGGTGGGCACAGGTTCACGATGTGCGCTTCCTGGCCTCGCACCATGACCCCAAATATGTCCTGGACAAGTATCGGGCCAAGCTGGACCAGAAGGCCAAAGAGTATGTCTATGTTGATGCAGTTACAATTCCACTAGCTAACATACTGGCTCAGAGAGGGACATGACTCAGTCGAATCATTGAAGGAGGCATACGACGAGAAGATTGCAGACCTCCGCCGCAAAGCATCCACTGTCGCAACCCCGGAGCCCAGCGCCCCTACACCCAATGCCGCCAAAAGCACTCCCAAGGCATTCCAGCCCCCTCCTCCCCCTCAAGATTCAAGGACCGCGAAGGTCGCACGCTCTGTCTCCGGCGACTCCAGCCCCGTCAAACCTCTCAGTACATACTTGGACGTCGAGAAGATCCGCGAGCTCCCAGCCAAGGAGATTGAGGCTCTCTGGCGTCTGCGCCACGCAGATAATGGTCACGCCATCTCTGCCGTAATTCCCCTTGACACATACAAGCGCATCATCGCGGCCGCGCGCCAGAACCCACAGTTCATCCTCCCTCTTCCCCGACCCCAAACCCCCGAGGAAGCTGAGCAAACACCCGAGGGCGCGACTGGTACTGCTGCGGACATTCACTTCCTGCAGTGGGCGTTTCACCCGCCTGCGGAGGGTTCGACCCCATCACCCTCCAACACCCATGCTTCCACTGTGATCTTCACCAACTTGGGCGCCTATAAGATGCATGGTTCTTTTGCTCAACCCCACACTACTGTCACTCACCACTTGGATCTGGCTGATGACAAGGGTCTTGTTCTCATGCATGGTCAGATCGTCCCTGACGGTGGTGTCTCGGCGCCTGAGGCAACTTGGTTGGTTAGCTGTGTGCAGCGCTTCTATGACTTTGAGGGCCAGGCCAGTGGTCGCAAGAGTGAGCTTGTTCGTATGTTCACTCGGGGTGATGTTGAGAACTTCAAGGTTGAGGAGCTGCTGGAAGAGTCTGAGCGACTCCAGTAGATTATTGACTTTGTCACCTGTATTATATGTATCTCACCTTTTTGTATCAATTGTCATCTTAGATTTCTAAATTAGATGGTTTCGTCTTGACAATGAAACATGTCCACCACAAAAACCTTGGAAGCCTCTAGTGTATGTACATCAAATGAGATGAATAACTCGTGATATGTACCAAAACTCTCACAACCGTCCAAAGGACAATGCATCTCATGCTTCATCACACACATCGATAACGTGTTATCTGGTTAAGCCAATGCGTACACACTGTGGGAAGAGCCCGAACGTTGGCTGACACCAATCTATCATTTTTCTGTCTGGACTGTCAAGGGCCGGTCGATTGAGATATTCATTGTGGTCTGGTGGTCACCAGTCGATAAATACTGGGAACAAACGGAGCTGCGGTACTTCGAAGTTGGGACGTGCTGGCATTTTTCTTTATTTGCTGCCACTACCTAGTACTGATGGACTTGTGGCTGTCGCCTCGAATTAAGTGATACAAGCTAACCCCGGCCAAAGTCTTGATCTTGTGTCAGCAGATTCGAAGTCGCTCTGGTGGAGCCTCGAGCAGGTCGTGCTTAAATCGGGACCTTTTGGCTTTACTTGCGTGGATTCTGAGGGCGGGAAAAAGAAACAGAAACAGAAACTAATTAGGGTGTTGTATTGCGAGCTCATATTTCGAGAATCTCGTGTTTGATAAATGCGCAGAGGAGCAGGGCCAAAGAAAGGGGAAATAGCAAACTAATTGGGGAAAGATACACATCTGGCGCTCAGTGCTGAGCCATAGCTCACCCGCCGGAGGTTGGATGATGCCAGAAAAAGTGATGGCAAATAAATGTTAACAAGAAGAATGGCCACTCTGAATGCGAGGTTCTTCGCCCAAGCACTTCTAGGCTAAGGGGATAAGTCAGTGCATCTGCTCATTGCGTTGCTGGGGGCAGCTTATTATACAGCGGACACAATGTAAATTTTATGTCTTGATCGCGTGGCAAAGGGTATCATGGTCATGATTGACAGTGTCGATTGCCTCTTGTGTTGCAAGGGCCAAAGCCAGAGGTCCATATTGGCATTTCGGTAAGGCCAGCATTAGGGCCAAGTAAGTAGTTGCACTTCTTGGTCGTAGAATAAAAAGTTTGGGTGAGAATCGTGATGATAATGCCGATTAGCCAATACCAAACACTCGTCTCACGATATGCAAAGGTGACTTTGGCTTAATTTTTCTGTCCCAGCACTTCTTCCGTGACAAAAGAGTGGATGTGCTCGAAATAGCCCGGCTCAGCAACGGAGTCATTATGGCCACCATTGGGCAGTGTGCGCCAGGTCTTGGACTCGGACTTGCAGACGGCAAATAATTGGGCCATGTTGGAGGGACTGTGGAGATTTTAGCTAAGAATTTGAAGCGGAGGTTCTCCAGACTTACGGGACAAGCTCATCCTTGAGTCCACTTAAGAAAAGAACGGGTGTCTTCACAATTTTGGGCAGCACGTCTTCGCTGATCCAATATTGATGGCAGAGGCGCGCCAGATAGCGGGCCGGAGGGAACACACTGGCAGCACATTAGCATTTTTCTCGGAAGCTCAAGGCTTCAAGACACGTACTTTGGGATCAATTTGCGAATGCTAAGGAAAGTGTTCTCCAAGATCAATCCACTGATATCTCCTTGCGCCTCATTATTCGCGACAAGATTGATGGCCACCGCACCGCCGAGACTTTGGCCATAGACGATGATTTCGGTATCTCTTGTCTCGGTGCGTTGGCGCAGGTAATCAAGGCCAGTCTGCGCATCAATCTTGAGGCCTGCCTCGTCTGGTGTGCCGGTTGACATCCCATATCCACGATATTCCAAGAGGAAAACATTACACTGAAGCGTGTCCTGTACAGCTTTGGCAATAGGAACACGGTGACCGATGTTGCCAGCATTGCCGTGGAACATCAATACAGTCACATTACGAGCAAATCGGCCAGGTCGCTGTCGCAAGAAAAGCGCATGCAAGGACTCGCCGTCGGGAGTGGGAATCTGCAGATCTTCAAAGTCGGTAATACCGAATTGGCGAGGACTGGGGACATTTGTACGTGCATCCACTGGGACGTTGCGGGGGTAGATTAGTTCACTAGGGAAAATGTTAGCCCCAGTTGATAACCAGTCTAGAATTCCGAAGCATACTTTTGCTTGAAATATAGCAGTCCACTTGCAACCACAGCCAGGCCAGAAGAGGCCAAAACGGGTAGTCGCATGAACTGCGCGGCACTGTTTGCCATATTGCTGATGCTCCAGGACGGAGGCGGAGGAGATTCGGACATGGCGAGCTTAGTGAAGAGTAAATGGAAGAATCAGAGAGAATGTGTGGTATTTTCAGAATTAGTGAACAAGTTAAAGTCAATGCCAGAGATACAGGTAAAAAGTAACAGGGAACAACCCCAGGGTAGACAAGTCACTATTTCAGGAGTTTGTCGCGATAAGTCCAAAGCCTCCCCTCACCGCCCTGCCGCGTTATGAGCTTCTGCCTTCATGATAGCATCACTACCCTCCCTTACCTTCAACTTCTTCCTTGCCGCATTATCTGTTCTATTGTTTTTGATTGAAGCTTCACGACATCTCAATATCATCACACAATGGTTTCTTCTCACGGCCCATCAGGAATGCTTGGTGAAGGTGAGAGCTATCGTCATCCGGCCCGACAGCACCTAGCTAACATCTCCAGATGGCATTCACGTTGACATGAACCACCTGAAGTCCGGCGAGGTCAAGTAAGCATGAATCCCATTGATATCCTGAAGCTTCAAAGCTTCAAAGCTATTCCAACACTTGCTGATCTTGCGTTCTCCGTCTAGCTTGGGTACCTCGATGTGAGTTGAGCCGAAGCTCTCGAACTACAATCATCTCCGAGCATCCCATTAACTTTATACCAGCATGGCAATCAACTTCAAAGACGGTGTCATCCTTGGCGCCGATAGCCGCACAACCACCGGTGCTTACATCGCCAACCGAGTCACCGACAAATTGACACAGGTGCATGACACCATCTGGTGCTGCCGATCAGGCTCAGCTGCCGACACTCAGGCCGTGGCCGACATTGTCTCCTACCACCTCAACATGTACGGCGTAACGAACGCTGAGGCCCCCACCACTCAGGTGGCCGCCTCGCTCTTCCAGGAATTGTGTTATGAGAACAAGGACGCTCTGAGGTTGGTACTTCTGTCTTTGGGGGATGTTGGCTCGTACTGATCTCATTCTAGTGCCGGTATTATTCTCGCCGGTTGGGACCCACGACACGGTGGTCAGGTTTACTCGATACCTTTGGGAGGATCCCTTCACAAGCAGTCATTCGCCATCGGTGGTTCTGGGTCGACCTACATCTACGGTTATACCGATGCCCACTGGCGGGAGCAGATGACGGAGCAAGAGGGTATCGACTTTGTGCGGAGCGCTCTGCAAGAGGCAATCAAATGGGACGGTAGCTCCGGTGGTGTCATTCGTCTTGTGGTGCTCACCAAACAGGGCGCCGTGAGACATCTCTATCTGCCCGACAACGGTTACACTGGGCCGGGTGTGACGAATTAATAAGTTTTCTAATATTGCGTCGAACTCCGAATGAAATGGTTTCATGATCCCAGTGCTCTGTGGCTTTGATATTTGATGTTTTCGTTGCGTTAGTGGCTTTGGGTATTGAGTCGTTTTGTAGGATCAGTCTCACGTCAAGCTGGGCGAGAAGCGTTTCAAAGGCGAATGATTGGAAGCAGTGAGATGAGCTTATTGGTCTGGATTGGTCTGGTATATGTCTGGAGTGCTCAGTGTGCACTGACATCATTGAGTAAACAGCACATAGGGTACTCCATATGCATAAGCAACATGTCATATAACACCGAAGTATCTACTCCGTACTTCGGAAGGGGCATGTATCATATATGCAAGTGGCCCGAGATATCGGGGAAATCAATATAAACTCATCCAGTTGAAGGCTTCGTATAAAAAGACCCAATGCTCACTCCCGGCACGGGCGCTCAGCACGCGGTATCATTCGTCCATCGGCACCTTCTGGACTGTCTACACCGTCTTTCATTTGAGAGATCCTTCTGCTTTACTCCGTACTCTGTCTATACAGTGTGTTTTGTGGAGTCTGAAGAAGACCTGTTTCACCTTTCTATCTGACGCGTTCCTTTCCTTGTTCTGGTCATGGATTTGATCGTTACTCGCTGATCCCCCTCAAAGACAATTGTACTGCCTTTCCTGCAGTCTAGCCTAGTGACTTGGTACTTGGTAATCGTATGCGACCCCTCCTTGACTTGTGCCTGGAAATCCCGACTCTTCCCTGTTCTGTGTATAGTGGCAAAGTCCGCTATGCCCGCATTGCGACCGCCTTGCTGACCCGCAGAAAATCAGAAACCCCCCAGGGAATACGAGTTGCACCCATCTCAACATGTTGGGAGGCACGGTCAATTCAGATTCGGTGTCCTCACGGTCGAGATCGAGCACCCCCACCTCTACTGCCCCGCCGTCCGGAGGTTCTGCTCGGCCTGCGAATGATATCCCGGCTTACATCAACACAGCTTCGACGCGCACTCCCTCTCGCCCGCCTCCCATGACGTCCCATGCCTTTCCTCCGAGCTCGACACATGGATACTCGGATTCTACGACTTCCTTTCACTCTGCGCCAGATTCCCCACGTCTAGAACCGACGAATAGGTCAATGCAGTCTGTGCCGGGTTCGGAGGCGAATTCACCGAGCCGCATTCGAGTCCAGAGCTTGTCCCATATCCAGAGCCTCGCCAGTGAAGACATCGTGGGATCACAGAGCTCACTTGCTTCAAATGGGTCCCAGAATCGACACTATGAGATTAGCTCCATGCCGGTCACGGAGATCATCGAGATGGTTGCGGGACTTCTGACCAGGATCACCACGACCAACGATACGCATCACGAACATGTTCATCGCCACATCCCTCCTCCCGATGGCACTTCGAACCTCAGCCCGCAAGCCACTAGTGTTCTCGCCTTCCATGGCAAGAATGTCCCCAGCATAACGATCCTTAGCTATCTGACTCGCATACACAAATATTGCCCCACGACCTACGAGGTCTTTTTAAGTTTACTGGTCTATTTTGACCGTATGACCGAGCTGGTCAATCGTGGACAGCTAGATCACTTACATCACCGCTGGGATGGGGCGGATGACTCTGGGCCATCCTCTGAATCGTCGGATCATCGGATGCAGAACTCGCCCATGGCGACACCACCTTCCTCGGCAGGGTACGCTGGACACGATTCACGAGGTTCGCATACCTCAACTCCCGCTGGCGTAGCGGGTCTTTCGCCTGAATCTGACTCCGAGGCCCTCTCTCATTTCTTCGTCGTTGATAGCTTTAATATTCACCGACTGGTCATCGCTGGCGTGACCTGCGCGAGTAAATTCTTCTCTGACGTTTTCTACACCAATTCACGTTATGCAAAGGTATTTGACTTTCTTTTCGTTCTTCTTTCCCAATGCTAATGAAACTCATCTTTAGGTTGGAGGCCTTCCTCTGGTAGAGCTCAATCATTTGGAACTCCAGTTCCTTTTATTGAACGACTTCCGACTAGCAATCTCCGTCGAGGAGCTAGAGTCATATGGCACAATGCTGGTAGAGTTCTATGCACGCGAAGTCGTCGCACAACAGCAGCAGCAGCAGGCGACTCTGCCACGAGCCATTAACCCGGCCTCAGATGCATACTCTGATGCCATGTATATGCGATCCCGCGACAAGTCTCATGAGCACGCGGCATTCGGACAAACCCCGACCCCACCATAGCGCATTCCGATCACCGTCATTCCGCACACGATCCACATGCATTTGCGTCAACCTCGGGCCATTTTCTTCTTTTTACCTCATTTTTGTGCTTCCATTCCGTTGAGCGTCTGCTTGCTATATGTATCCATTCTGGTTTCCGTCTGGCGTCACATACCCTCCCCCTCGTCCTCTATACTGGATCTCTCAGCGCATTTACATGTCACGACTTGCATAGACTTTGGTTACTTGCCGGGCTTATCGGGTTGTCTCTTTAAAGCTATTCCCCTTTTTCTGCGTGCCACATGAACAATTACTGGATCTTGGTATTGGTCTTGTTTGTGTTGTCTCTTATTCCTCGTCATGGGTCGGTGTTATGCTGGCGCTTCCTTGCATCGCGTGTTTGTTTAAAGATGCAATTTGTTCTTGCTTTAGGGGTAGCCCCAACTTTCTTCTAATTTGATATATTCGTTTGCAAATCCTTGCGTGGTTGATTCTATGCGTAGCTTGTGATGCTGTTGAATGAATATGGGACTTGGAAGTTGCGATCTACTATCTTACGACACGCCCGGTCACTCTGGGGCTGGTTCATGTGTTCTTTCACAAGGCCTACCTGGGTATGTTGAATCCGCAATGGGACACGCTGGATATCAAGTCTGAAGCCTCTTATGCTCTTCTTTGGAATGTATTTCAACAGCAGGCTTGCTAAGAGACCAAGTCTCCAGTGCTGTCAGTCAGGTAGATCCAATCAATAGATAAGAGCAACATATCATTCGCTAGTATGAAGATTCTATGACTGCCGGTTCTGGGGTGGAACCAACAGGTCTGCCTGCTGAAGCAAGGCTTGAAATGCCTGTTCAATCGTTTGGGATCCATTTTCGTTGCCAGCAATCCTTGGTCCTTTCAATACGGTGATCTGTCCCAAGTGTGCAATAGCATGGAGAGAACACTCCTCGGCTTCAGAGCGATAGTTCATTTGGTTTTCTATGTGGAATTCTCGCACGAATGTGCGTATTTTATCAGCAGGTCCAACCTCTTTGGACCTCGAAAACCTAGATACAGTCAAAACTACAATGGGTGTCAAAATTCATCCCTCTAAAAAGCCATTACATCTCGATATCATTGAAAGTCCGGCATCGTAGTTGAGAGTATGTAGGTCCTGTGGGTGAGAACTTGTGTATGAAGGTGTCCCACGAACCAAACATCTCAACAGGAAGCATCTTGATACTCTTGTGAATGCTCCTCTTATACTTGATATAGGTTGAGATACAGGATATGTGGGGGAAATGGTAGGAGACCTAATAGAAAGAAGAGATGATAACTTGAAGCTTTAATGCCGAAGAGACGATCATCCTCTGAGGCAGCATGAATTGCTTCCAAGTTGCGGGTTCTTTCAATCCAGTCAACCAAGTTTCAGTCAATCCATATGTTGATGGGCATGTAGAAAGCATTGCATTAAATCCTTCGAGCCATTCTACAACAGTTGCTGAGTCAAATAGCTGTTCTTGATTTGAACGCATTTTCTGAATAAACCTCTAGCCATTCGCTCTAGTAAGCTCATGAACCCTCAAAGTGCAGGTTAAGTGGCCAGGCGCAAGTCAGAATATCCTGAAGCTCAGCATTTGGTGCAACCAGCATGCTCTATCTATACATATACATCGATGTCAGATGGCTATGGTCCGTTACTAAAGACTCCTGGTATAGAAGACCCAGGGGATATACCTTTATTTATATGGAAAGTACGCAGTTAAAACTAGACACAGACATACCAAATGCCGAACAGAAGCAGAATATCCATTTCATAGGGCTGACTGGGCTTGGAAGCTGTTCTGAGGAGGTAAAACCAGTTTTGTTGGCCTCTGTTCTCAAATTGAAGGGAAAGCAATATGACTACAAGCCTGCTAGCTTTCATTATCAAAATTTACTACCAATGTTTTTTTCAGTCAGCCCAGTAGCGCATATCGAGAGCTCCAAATTCGGGGCCAGGCATCTCGAAAGTCAGGATAAGAAGTTATCATAAGTGACCCGGCGTAGCCAAATTGAGTGATCAGTTATTACTTGCGGGTAAGCTGCGCACTACCATAAGCTCTGCACTACCATAAGCTCTTATGTTCGTTGTTTCACTTCAATTTGTCTCGCGGCTCATCAAAGTGAGGGCAAGCTCTATATACTCGCTGTCCTTCCGCAAAGGCTTCTTCGTGGGCTTTTCTTAGATTGACTTTCTTTACCAATCTGGATTGATTATCAACTTCCTTATACGCATTGTGGCAGATATGCTATGCGGCTACAGGTGTACTAGCTTTGTGTAGGGGTGGGAGGGACACCTCCAGGAGCCCGGGTAGTTAGCCCTAATTGCTGACCAAATTGAGCCGGCACCTTCCTGCGTTGGGTGTTGTCATGCCACTATTCGTACCTGCCCTTTCCGTGATTGCCTCAACTGGGCAGTTACAACTTGAACGCGTGCCTTCCTCCGTTGAATTGGGCGTTGCCATGGCGCATGTTGTTATTATTTATATCCTCCCTCTTCCTTTTCTCTTTCTTCCTTTCCTTTCTCCCCATGCCACTGGCTTGTTTTCATCTGCTCTGCTTTTGACTACCCTGACTGTGACATTCTCTTCGTACTCTGACTGCTGTCAAGCCTTCTGTTTCCCCTTTTGTCTCCTTGGTGCCTTTCCCCTCTTTTTCCCCTGTTTGTAGAGACCATCCTAACAAGATGCGCTCTCTGGCATACTTCTTCCGTCGGCCTCGTGTGCCTCTCCCCCCTCCTCCCCCAGGACATCCCGTCACGATGCATTCCTGGAACCGGGCTTTGCCCTCTTCTTCGTCCTCCGCCATTCTTGGGCGCCCTGTCACAGCGCATTCCCAGGCGAAGGTCACCCCGCTTCGATCTTGTCTGAAGGTCCGGTCCGATAGTGTCCCCACTGCCTTTTCACCACCCTCGGGTGCGATGAAGAAGTCAGTACGCTTCGGTCCCAGTCAGTTCGTCGAAATTCCCGCTCGAGAAGGACCCCCGCGTAAAACACGCAAGAAGAAACGTCGTCAAGCCAAGAAACGAGTGGTTCACCAACCCTCTCCGCGATTTGATGCTCGCGCCTTGGGTAGTTCGTGGTCCGCCATGTCCCCCGCTGTTGCATCGATCGCCATGCGACGTTCCTTGCTGTTAAAGAGTACCCCGATCACTCCTCACCGCTCACCCATGTCTGTGTTTGCACCCAGCAAGCAACGACAAGTCCTAGCTCACAGCTTCCGGACTGGCGGTCTCCGGGCTTCGCAGTTCTTGAGTGTCCGTCCCCCGATGCCAAAACCTGTTGGCTTTGCACCACAGCGTGTTCTTGCACCCAGCAAGTTGCAATCTGTGCCTGCACTGCCTTCTCAGGTTTCAGTCGTCCGTTGTCCCCCAAAGACCTCGATGTCTGAGGTTGTTGATGCCTTCTCAGCTGGTGTTTCACCGATCCTGATTCAACTCCTCTTCCTCATCCTGGTTCTTCTCGGCTTCTGCTTCCCCGGCATCTGGGACATCCTTCTTTTGGCCTTGGTTGTCTATATGGCTTTTCAGAAAGAGACCCCCCGACGTCCCTCTCCCTGGTGTGCGCCTCCCGTGGGCGGGCAGGGCGATTCGTCTCGTCGGCTCCCTAGGTCATATTCTGCCTTGTCTGATGTACGCCCTTCGCGGGCGGGCAGATAAGATCCATATTTTCGAGCTCCCTGATGTGCGCCTTTCGTAGGCGGGCAGGGAAGATTCATATCCCCGGCTTTCCCGGCACGGCATTGGCATTCTTTTTATGTATTGTACTTGGTGTTCATGGCGTTTTGGCGTTCTTGCGTTTTGGTGCTGGTGTGCTTGTGTTGAAAACCCCCGAAAACCCCAAAAAAAATCCTGTTTGATTCGTCCTTTTTGTTTTGATTCTTTTTTTTTTTTTTTTTTTTTGTTTGCCTTTGCCGTTGGCTCGGGGTGCCATTGGGAATGATCTATACCTCGAATCCATGACAGCCTGCCAAAGTTGGATTCTGAGGAGGTCTGTTTTCAAGGATCCAGAGCCTCTGGGGGATGGGTAACGTCCGCCTGTGACGCGTGGAAGGCAGGCCAGACGTTGTGGTGGCTCGATGTTATATTGGCGATGGTTAGTTATGCACCATATCGATGCTCGGCCTCCCTTTGACTAACTAACAACATCACAGCCAATTTCGATCGGAGGAGTCTCTGTTTGTGAACTGTGGAAGGCATCAGAGCTCCTGAAGAAGGGGTCACGTCTGCGGCCAGACGTGGTGGTAGCCTGATCTGGTGATCATGACGGTCAGTATATTGTTGATTCTCAATCTTGTCTTGACTGACATCCCCATAGCCGTTTCGATCGGAGGAGTCTCTGTTTGTGAATCGTGGAAGGCATCAGAGCTCCTGAAGAAGGGGTCACGTCTGCGGCCAGACGTGGTGGTAGCCTGATCTGGTGATCATGACGGTCAGTATATTGTTGATTCTCAATCTTGTCTTGACTAACATCCCCATAGCCGTTTCGATCGGAGGAGTCTCTGTTTGTGAATCGTGGAAGGCATCAGAGCTCCTGAAGAAGGGGTCACGTTTGCGGTCAGACGTCGTGGTGGCTGGGTTTCATGGTTAATATGGTTAGTACATCATGTATACTTCCGGGTCTTATATGAGCTTACGAACGTTTTAGCTGCTGACCTATCACAGTCATTTCGATCGGAGGAGTTTCTGTTTGTGAATTGCGGAAGGCATCAGAGCTCCCGGAGAAGGGGTGACGTCTGCGATCAGACGTCGTGGTGGCTAGGTTTGTGATCACGACGGTCAGTATATCATCGAAACTTCGTCGCATATAGGCTAACAAACTTTTAGCTGCTAATCTATCACAGTCGTTTTCCGTCGGAGGGGTCTCTGTTTGTGAATTGCGGAAGGCATCAGAGCTCCTGAAGAAGGGGTGGCGTCTGCGACCAGACGTCGTGGTGGCTGGGTTTGTGATCACGACGGTCAGTATATCATGGATACTCAACCTCACCATGACTAATCAGCAATAACAGAGTAGATCTCGATATATGGAGTCTCTGTTTGTGAATTGCGGAAGGCATCAGAGCTCCTGAAGAAGGGGTGGCGTCTGCGACCAGACGTCGTGGTGGCTTGGGTTGGTGATCACGACGGTCAGTCATCATTGATATTTCGTCTCATATAAGCTGACAACCTTGTAGCTGCTTATCTATCACAGTCGTTTTCCGTCGGAGGGGTCTCTGTTTGTGAATCGTGGAAGGCATCAGAGCTCCTGAAGAAGGAAGGGGTCACGTCTGCGACCAGACGTGGTGGTGGCGTTTTCTTTTCCAAAAAAGGTGAATAATTGTCTATTCATAGCTCCTTGTGGATAGAACGAACTAATCGCAAAAGCTCTGGGGGGGCAGGAGGGGGTCTCCACGATTCTGTCTGTGAAGGTTTGGAAGTCAGCAGAACGTATGGTGGCTGCCTTTGCGGCGAAGGAGGTATGCTCTTCTTTCTTTTGGATCGGTTGTGTTAGCACTAACACATGGTACCAGACTCTCATGCCTTCCTTTCCCCTCATCGTGTGTCTTCGCAATGCGAGGCGCACGGAGAGGGGGAAGCTAGGGCTCAGATATGCTTGACTTGAGAAGAGAATTCAGGCTCTTGGGAAGTTGGAATACTCGACAGGATCATGATGTAAAGTCCTTGGTTTTTGATTGGTAGGATCTGAGTCTTTACGTACACTTGGTCCATGTCTTCAGAAGATCAACTGAATCTGACTGCCTTTTTATTTCCTCTGATCTTGACTGCAGTTCGCTTCCGTTTGAGTAGCAATGCTAACTTTCTGCAACAAGGCTCATGCATAAGCCGCCCACCCACAATACAGTAAGGCAAGGTTTTTCTCGTCAGTTGCTTGCTGGATCAGTTCATTCACAGTAGCAGTCACACTCAGTGTCTTGCTTAGCTTCTTTGCCACCACAGTCAAGGCACGATCTGCTTCGCTAGGCTCATTCTTTGAATCAGATGCACCGGGCAAGACCGGAGGTCCCTCGTCAGCCTCTTGATCATCTTGCATCTTCTTCATCCGCAGCGGAGACACAGTCCAACTGTAGAGTGGATCATAGCGCAGCACATCCAGAATAGTCATGATGCTGTATGACTCCTGACGGAGAGCTTCAAGTGTGAATTCACAGCAGCGCCGGAACACTCCCTCAGTTTTGGTGATACCAAAACCATCTACCAAGTCTCGGGTTAGGCGGAATGGCACCACTTCAGGAACAGGTAAAATGCGCCCTTGTTCAAATGCGACACCAAGATCGATATGCACCACCTCTCCGGTCTTTTCATCCAGCAGAATGTTATGCCCATGCCGATCACCGAGGCCAAGAACGTGACCCAGGATGGAAATCGCAGCGGTACTTCGAGTATATGATAATCTTCTGCTGAACCAGTCGTCTGGGTTGTTGAAGTTCTCCATGAAGAAATATTTCATCACTGGATGGAAATGTTCGGTCACTTGTCGGTATGTTCTGACACGCTGCTCAAACGATCGAGTCTGTACATCGGCGATGTGCTTCCGACAAGAGTTGGGTTTCATGTCTTTCGGGAAATACTTTTGGTGTGCTGGCATCAGGTAGTCATGCAGAGGAACGGTGTTTGGAACGAATTCGATGATTCCAGCATTGGATGTTAGGGGGAGGACTTTGTAGGTTCGGATACCTAAATTGCGCTGGCGGGTCGGTTGGTGGTCTTTCAGAAGACTACTAACTTGCTCGAATACTTGCTCCATGATGGCATCTTGGCGTAGATCATCATTTCCACCCTTGTACTGTTGTTCCAGTCAGTAACAATCATCGCAAGAACTCGAGGGGGAAGCAAGCTCCACAAAAACAGCAATGAGCAATCCAAGATATCAATTCTGGCACAATAGAAATGCTAAGAAGAAGGGGGGGTGGAAGAAGAAATGAGACTATGTTATCTCTTAATGCTTACCAATTGTTTGAATTTCTCGCCAGTGGACGAAACAGCAGTCACGATCTTAGGGGCGCTGACACCAGAAGCGATGGTGAACTCCGGGTTGAACTTGGAGATTGTCGGAACTTGGCTGTAGTCACAGTCCACCCGAAGATTGATCTTCATTGTAGGCGGCGGTAGCTTGTAAGTGACGACATCTTGTGTCAAGCGCTGGCCAGTAGCTAGGTTCTTCAATGGAACCTTCGCTCCACTTTTGTACTTGCTATCAGGCTTGTCGACTGCGAATCGTACATAGCTGATGTTGGCATTGTGGACAGCAACCCATGTCGAACCAATTTGACTGTCATTCTTGAGACGTTCCACGAGCTGGTTCGCGGCGCGGAAGCGCGAGTGAGACGACGGGTCTTTGCCCCCTTTAGACTTGCTGCTGGCAAATATCTGATACATGCCATGGAAAGGGTGGTCGACACAAATCCTGTACACCAATTGATTGAGCAGCGGTTGGAACTCATCGGAGACATCGAGCAGGCGAGATGATAGCTGATTCATCAACGGCGCGAACTTGCGACTAGGCACATCATTAAGTCGTCGTGACACAGCTGAATTGGCAGTTTTGCTAGCTGAATTTTCAAGCCAGAGTGCACAGAATCGCAGAGCGTCATTGTTGTATGTATCGCACTCTCGCAAACAGAGTAGATAATTTTCGAGGCATTGTTGAAGGAATGCCTCGCGGCTCCGCAAAAGACGTTGATACTCTCGGTCGTCAAGGTCGAACCACTGCTTCGCTTTCGCCCGATGGTTTCGAAGATAGTCTCTTTCTTTGCCGGTGGCGCTCTTCATCATATCTTCAAGGCCAACAACTTCCTGCTTCTTTCGGTCTCGCAATTGCTCGACTCGCTTGAAATCTTCAATTCCGTCAGGATTTCGAAGTTGCTCGTCGCAGAATGTTGCAAATCCATGATAGACCCGACCGGCCTCTTCTCCTGTGTTGCCTTGGAGTTCTTTGACTGCAGGATACAGGTATTCTTGTAGGATGAAGTCAGGTTTCTCCAGTCGCGCCTCTGCCACATGATGGCCCTAGAATGTCTGATTAGCATCTGTTATACAAGTCCAATGTGACCCTGCCTGGTCCTTTCTTTCTTGCTCTTTCTGTCTCTTTAGAACCGGAGAGAAGAGGACTTGGGGGAGAACGTACTAAAGTGACAAGTAGTTCAGGCCGACTGAGTGGAATGGCTTGCTTATGGAGATCAGGTTGGTCCTTCAATTGTTGAAGCATGCGGATGGAAGCGGTCATCTCGCCTTGATCCCAAAGCACATTGGCAAGGTCAAAATTTGCGGCGCCATCAATGTCCAATTCATATGCTGGCTCGGCAATTTTTGAGAGGTTGATAGCAGATTTCAATGACGCTTGGGAAATACCATGGCTCCGGGTTATCTCTAGAGATCGACGGATAGCTTTAGCTTCGAGCAGGCGTGAGTCGACAAGGCTCAGCTGTGCCTGTGATCTGAGGACCTCGCTTTTTCTGATGGATGAAAACAATGCTTCATGCCAAGACAAAATCTCTCCAACCTCATGATAGCTGATGATGTTAGGTCCAAACCCCAACTCAAATATACATACGAGAGTGACTCACCTTTCCGTCTTAAGCCAGCTGCTTCGCGTTTTAATCCTATTCCACTCCTCCACTATTTCCTCGGAAGAGGAAGAGTGCAGAATGTCGCTGACTTCTGTCATAATTCCAAGCGCCCGCATAGAAGCTCGCAATTGTATCGCAGATCGGCCCGTTTTGACCGGGGAACCTGTTTTGACAAGTGTATCGAGAGTCGCTAACAACCCTTTTTCAATGGAGTTATTGATCTCCGAGAAGGAACTCGATGTATTCAGACTTTGGAGGGATCGGAACACAGTGGCCGAGGGTGATGAGTCTGAGGGGGAAACCGGTAGATCCCATTTTTGAAGACTAGTCGCAGCTTGCAATGCACTTTCAAAGGCGACAGAGGCACCGTTTGCACTGCTGGAAGCGGAAAGCATGGTATTTGCGATGCCTTGGAGGTTTGTTGAGTTCAATGCTTTCAACACTCCATGTGATTCTGCACTGTCGGTCATTTGGATTTCACTGTCGTATCTTGCACTCTGAAATAAGAGATTCTTGAGCCCCGAGCTTTCGTGCTCTAATCTTTCCATCACACTAGCCAGCGATGAGCTTTGTTGTATACCGTAGAACAGATCTGGATCGTCTATATTCTTGAAAACATCATGCAGCAAGGCAGGAGGTGGTTCATACTTGACGACCGACGTCCTTCGAGAACCTGAGGTCACCTTTGACGTCTGGATCTCCAAAAAAAGGAGTGAAGTCTTCTGAAGTCCACAGCGATGAGCAGCTGACGACGCCTCTCCGAAGTCTATGTCGAGCCACTTATCACGCTGCACTATCGTGGTTTCATCCGGCACGGGTTGGTTGCGAAGGTAAAGAAGGCAGCTGATCACAAGCTGTGCATGAGGAAGAGTCTCTTCTCTGATCTCCGACAGAACAAGTCCAAATGCGGCAGATATGAGTTTCCGAATATCTCCTTTCTCACCATTGTCATATCTTTCTGATAGTAAAACGTCATGGGTCACGTATGGCAGCAGCTGCACTGCCAAGCCAGGGGTGACATTCAGAATTTTGCGAAGAGCGCCGACGACAGGGTCTTCCAAAGCAGCATTTGACAGAAGTAAGGAGATATTGCGGGCCCACTCATCAACAGGTATCCCAGATGTAGCGGTTGTGACACTGGTGCATCTTGATTGCTCGGGTTGAGTAAGTGGTATGGTGGGACATGTGTAGGGATTCCAGATGAGGGATTTCATCAAAGACGGGGGAATCACATTGCAGCAGTCTTGAAAGTCTGGATAATCTGCAATAGTGCTGACGATGAGCTGCAACGTGCGTTCGACAAGGCCAGCCTCGTGCTGTTGGTGGCTGTGTAGCATGTCACAAAGGACCTGCATAATTCTGGATTTGGAATAGCAGAGGATGTCGGAAGAACAATCCAGCTCAGCTACCTGGAAAAGAGACACGTCCTGTTCTCGGAGAAGCATTTGATCGATCTTTCCCGTGGCAGCGAAAGATCGCCCAATTAACCTAGCTGCCCAGAGTTGGTACTGGGTGCCCCCATTGAAGTTTTGAAGTGTATGCCACAAAGAGACAACATGGAGGGACGGATCCGCGCCAGTGCTCGAGAATCCATCACCCGATTCCAATATTTGCTCAAATTCTGGACACACAAGTGAAAGGATGAGATCTGCCACAGGCCTTTTGAGCAGCGATGTCACAGAGTCACGATCTTGGAGTACTTCGAAGGCCAACTCTTTGCCAACCTGTCCAAGTGAGGTCTTCGGGGACGTCGAGAATTTGTCTGCCAGCGACACTAGTCTATGGAACAGAGCCTGGATCTCCATGTCCCGATCTGGGAAGCTGAAGCCGCCAAAGAAGCGCACAAGCCACTGGTAGAATATCTGCGCATTCTCCTGTACTGTTTTGAGTTGGCTCTCTTGAGCAGTGCTTTCAGATGATGCCGTGAATAGCTTGCGGAGAGTCAGGAGCATTGTGATTGCAATTCCTGATGCAAATTCTGGTGTCTGCTGAAGATATGACTTTCCTGCTTCAAGAAGATACCAGACAATTCCAATAGCATCTTCAGAGCAATGAATATCACTGATAAATTGACGTAATGAGCTGAGCATCATTTCGAATGGATACTCTTGCAGTATGATCGAGCCAGCAACACAGACAACGATTCGCATTTTGCGAATCACTGAACAGGCATGAGGTGAGCCTAGGGCAGGGTGTATGGTTTCAAGCAGCGAGCGACAGACGAAAGACACCAATGAAGGTGTCCAAATAGATTCAAATTCAAACCCAGTGCGTTCGCAGAGAAACTCAAGTTGGTCCAAGAGGTAGCGTGCGCGAAACGACGGCTGCTGGTTTGCCGGAAGAACACTTTGAGACGAACTTTTCTCCAATATCTGTGTCTGTGCGTCTTTTGCGTAGCTAAAGTCTTCGCGCTTGAGGAATGCTCTTTCAATCTGGTCATATTGGTCAAGTGACTTGAAAAAATTGGCAATGATTGACGGAAACTGCGCTTCGACTTGGGTCATGAACTGATCAGCCCCCATCAGTTTTCGTAGGCGAGGTTCAACGCCCTTTGGCTGGCTGCCTTGGTCTGGGGGAGTGCTTATGTCTCGTGCAATGCTGTATGCTTCGGCCTTGTGGAAAGATGAGATCAAGAACTCAAGGTGAGGCGTTTCCAAGAACTTGGCGAGCTCAATGGTCTCCTGTTCCTTTGCACGCATCGTCATTTGACCGACGATTTCATCTTTCACATCAAGAAGCATTTCTTTGAGGTTGGCGTACCCGAAGATGCTGAAAGGCATCGACATTATACTCTGTGTCTCAGTCCATGTGTACAGAATCTGAGAGGAGAAAAGCCGGAAAAGCTCTTTGGCATCTTGGAGACCAAGGGTTCGGGAGACCGACTCCATGCACTTCTCGGCATACCATAAGGATCCGGGTACTTGAGCCGGGGTTTCAAACAAATGGTAGATGCTTCTTCGCAGCAGTGTATGCCACCTAGAAGCTAGTTGGGAGAGCACGAATAAACGGACTGCAATGCCTTCAATCCATTCTGGGTCTCGAGGCAGAGTTTCCAGTAAATCGTCAAAAACTGCATCGTGATCTTTGAAAAGAAACCGCTCAAACAAAGCAGGGATGCACTTGGCAATTCTGAACTTGACTCGAACGCCTCCTTCACGAAGAATTGTGAACAAGCTTGTTCGCGGCGACGGAAGAGACCGATGATTGCCATATGAGGGGCAAATCACGAGAACTTTCTGGATGAGCTCGGCTAGAGCAATATGAACCTGAGGGGTAGCCTGCTTCCGAGCCAAAGGCACTTCCATAAACCATTGATACAAGTCCATGGCGGATTCATTCAAGTCTTCATCATCTCCGGTTGTCCAGGAGTTCGTGAGCCCAGCCATCATCCCGATACAAACACAGAGCGAAGCTTCGCATCTCTCCATCTCGTATGACTGTAAGCATTTCTCACCCAAGTCCTCCAACAGGGACAGGTGTTCAGAAGGCGCAGCTTTCAAGCATAGTCGATATACTTTAGGCAATACAGATTGGGCTGAGATAATGTCAGTTTCGTCCAACCCCGTCAAGTAGTCAATGGCACAAGATGTCCGCGAATTTTCCGGGGCTTCAGAATCTGCGTGCAATGCTAGAAATGCTGACAGCTGAATGGTCATGCAGCGTTGATAAGTATCCGCATCAAGAAAAACAGAGTGGGAGCCGCGGTTTGTAGCGAGGATGATCTCATCAATGTTTACAGAGGTATTTTCGGCCAAGAATCGGTCATCCAAGTCCATAGGATCATCAACAGATGAGGCTTTTAATCTCTGGCGCAAATTCTCAAGTCCTTGTGAGAATGGTGTCAAAAACTCCTTCAGACTATTTTTGATGGCATCAGGTGTTTCAGAGCTTATGAAAGGCTCTAAAAGTGGCGATATCAACTCCAAGCAGACATGGGTAAAAGCAGTCTCGTGAGATGCCAGAACCTTGCAGATAGAATTCCAGAGACTTGAACAGTTGTCGTGGAGATCTTGTGATCGAGACTGGATCGATTGAGGCATGCATGACATGAAGACAGAAGCCACGACACAGAAAGAGGCTAAGATTTGTAAACTTTCTGGGGTGATATGTGACTTTTCTTCGATCATAACATGCCATGCTTGCAAAAAGGAATCGGATCTCTGACGAAGTAGATCCAAGATCACTACATCATCCTGGTCTTCCCTGGAGGACTGTTCCAGTGACAATACTTCCTGATGTCCCCAAGGATTCGGGGCATAAGAATATTCAGTGAAGAAATTGTATTCCAGGAGCTCCCGATTCTCGTGGAGAAAGAACCAGCTCCGGGCAATATTCCCCATTGGCCCGGAAGTGTGATAGTGCGGTATAGAGAAGTATCGATTGGTGCATGATAGCAAGAGGTCCAATAGGTTCAAAGGGCGGGCATATGTGGCCACTCGGGCTATTTGAATGCGATCAGGCACACCAAAAGTCCAGACTTCCCTTAGCCAGTCACAAATCTGTTTGGTGGTTTTTTGCGCGGATCCAGGATCAAGCTGTGTCTTTGTGCGTGCAATTAATGTCCATAGTCTCAGAGAAGAGTCCGATATGACAGATGGCCGATTTGCAGATGTTAGAGTTGAACGCGTTTTTTCCATGGCAAGCGAGTACTCCAATAGGTCTGACTGTAAAACTGTACACAAAAGATGGCAGGCAGCTCTTGAGGTCGCTGGAGATGAGAAATTCCGTGTGGCAAGGTCTACAACTCTCGGCCAGTGAGCTCTGATTTCGGGTGATTTCGCAGATTTTCCATTGGCAATGCTAAATTTGATGACTCAATTGTCAGTAAACGTTTGGACATGGGGGTTTTTCGGCAGACATCGGGGAGAAACTTTCTTAAAATCCGAAAGATATGGGACAGTCTCGTTACATACCTCGTCAAAGCAACCATGGTCCATGATGGCACTGTGCCATTGTCATCGGAGATGTTAAGAACAAGCTGCTTCAGAAATGTCGCCTTGGTTTCAACGTCGAGCTCCAATTCGAGAAATGGAATGAGTTGTAGTGCGCACGTTCGTCTTGTTTCTGCTGCGGAAACTGAATCTCGAAAGATGTCTTGAATCTCAGACTTTAGGCGTTGTTTTTTGACTGGATCTTGGCGAGATTCAGTGGGTTTGACGCGCTCCCTGATATCTTTTGAGAGTTTGAGTAGCTCTGCAATCATCCAAACCAATGTCCAGTTGTACTCCGACCTCGCGGCACCTAGACGGGGTCCATAGACAGGCATTTGGCACGCCGTGTCATTCTGGAAAAACACAACTTCGTCGATTTGCAAAACGTCCTTTGCAGAATGCTTCACATAGTCGGAATGAAGGATATCAGCAAGCTGTTCGATTTCAAGGGCCAGGGTTTTGGTTGGGTTCTTTTGCGCAACGTCCACCAGTATGACCACTGACAGCCTCAGAGTGACGAGCAGTTCGTCTCTCAGAGTCTGTGATTTAGTAGTGGCCCAAAGACGCCGAATTACTGGAACCAAGCTCAGAAGAGATGAACGAACAAGTTCAGATTGATCGAACAAGACTTTCGTAACCACTGCATTGATGCTACTGAACGCGAGCTGGTGGGCATTGCCAGCTACGCTTATAGGAGGTGACTCAACAAACTCCACCAGCCTGTGAAGTATGTTTTCCGCCGTAGTCTGAAGGAACGCATTGGGGGCTGTTGTGAGACATTGAATACACAACATCACCTCTTCGATAGAATTCCTATTGGCGTTGTGCCTTTCTCTGGTGGCTGGGGCAGGGGTAGCCCTCGAAGGCGTCGAACGGCTGTCGCTTGCATCATAATCATCATTTACAGGCCGAGTGCTTCGAATGCTCAGCTGGCTTTCCTCGTTATCCTGTAGACCTATACTGGCAAGACAAAATCCAACGAGGGCTTCGGAGTCATCCTCGTCAAGATGCTCCACATGCGGTCGATAGCGCAAAAGCGATACCAAGCTCTTGATGTAATTTAAGCTCAAAGGATCCCATAAGCCTTCACCGGGGACTGGTATGGTTTCAGTAACATGGTCGATGATGGCACGGACTGTCTTGATCCTCAGGTTTTTGGAAAAGATATCAACCGCTATCCGGATGACAGATGCACACGTTGAAAGTCTTAGTGCAGACGAGTTTCTGGAGCTTGGTTGAGCTCGGTTGTATGTTGATCTTTCTGCTGCGATAAACCGAAATAACGATTCGAAGACCTTATGACAAGCTTTGTCATTGAGTTTTTGTCTATGGACATGAGCTTTTTTGGACGGTAGTTATGTTTGCCAATGTTGACATGTGCACACTTACAATTTGGAGCCTGTATTCCGCTGGAGGATATGCTTGAGGTCAGCTAAGCCCTCCGAGCGGGTCCTCTGTTTGTCGGACGACAGTAGGCTGATTGTCTTGTCGAGAAATACGTCCCCCATGATCTCAAAGGAATCCAAGCAACACAGATCAGCGTTCACCAAGATTTGAACTCTCGGCACTGCTTCTTCCTGACAGAAAGCATTGCTCAGCAACAAGTCGAGTCGATAAAGTCGCGATTGTTTAGTGGAGTGGCAGTACTTCCTGGCCGCCCGATTACTCCTCACACCGCCCGGAATTTTGATCGCGTTCCGCCTTTTTGGGCCAAACAGAGCTTCGAGCTTCACTTTGCACTTTTCTCACCCCGCGCCGTCATGGCAGAGCTCGAAGGTATTCGGTCTGGTCTTCGTGGCCTCTACCAGGACCTCTCTGCTGTCTCAGATGGCCACCTCGACAATGTCGAGCGACTGTGTTTCGAATTAGAGACACACATTCAAGACTTCCGCAAGCTCCTAGACAAGCCAGCAAAGAACAATGCGAGTCGCCAAGCGGTTCTCTCTGGTAAGTCAATATTCACGATGATCTATCGCCCGTCTGAGTTTGCTACAGCACACTGACTTCGAACGCGACATTATAGGGAAGATCACCGTTGCGGAGGTTGAATACTCGGTCAATACAGATTTCCAGCAGGGTGCGCTGCAGCTCGCAGATGCCTTGGATCTCGATGAGTTGCAAGCAGCAGAGATATTCCTGGTCGCTCAGGAAGATTCGCAGACAATGGACCGGCCTCCACTGATTGCAGCCATCATATCCTTCCACGAGCGCCGCCTGTTTACTCTCGAGTGCCTGCGCCTCATTTTCAAAGAATCGAACGAAATTGAACATGTATCAACCCAAGGGATCATGCACGAAACCCTATCCTACGTCCTCGAAATCAAGAACAGCTCTTTACAAAACGCTTCTCTCTTTGCTCGAAAGGCTTTGAACTCCATGGCCGACATAGGGAAATGGATTACACTTCTAGGCGATCAAGTTCAAAAGGCTACTCTCGTTGGTCAGGATAACGATCGTGATGTCATGGAAGCCATTGAATTTCAGCGTGTCAGCCTCCAACAACAGCACGAATCGCTCGGGGCGGTCCTATTCTACATGTTCAAGGGCACCTACACCAGTCCTGAAGACTTCCGTGCTCTTATTCAACAATTGAAACCCCTGGACCGGTTTGACGGACAATTATTCAACTACATCCCCGTCACAATTGCTGCTTTTGTGCAACATGGTTCCCCCGAGGGGTCCGGTTCCGAGAAAGTAGCCCGAGATCTGAACAAACTGATGGCGTCGCCCCAAGAGAGCCAGAGCTGGAAGCTACCAAACTTCCATGCATGCGTCAATGCTTTGTGGCTCTCGGTTTACAGTGGATGGTATTTTGATGGAATGTCCTCTCCCTCGATCGATGCCGAGAAAGAATCCGAGGAACGCACCAAAACTTTCATGTCATCCCTCGACGATGGCGCTCTCGATTTCATGCTTGCCATCTGCTCCACCGTCAATAGCCAAGAATGGGCGGATCCTGCACGAAGTGAATTAGTCACTTTGCTCCTTAGAGAGAGCGTTATCTCATTGCCTGAGTCTGAGCCCTGCTCCGTTTTCATGAAACAGCTGTTGATGGAAAATTTTGAGGTGTTCGTGGAGTCCTGCGTCGCCAATATGCCTGATGCAGTCCGACGGTTGAAGTCTGAAGAGGACTCACAACGTCTGGAGCAAATAACTGCGCTTCGAGATGGTCTCACTTCCAATCTGCACCGTGGATTGGTAGAAGCGCGTACTCATCTCGAGTCTCTTCTTATGGTCATTACATTTGCATTCGAGCATCGCGAAGAAGCTGCTCAAGAATTCTGGGGGGATCCAGATGGCAACCTCCATGGCTTCCTTCAGTGGGCATCCAAGCGACAAACTGTTCCTCGGGTCAGCGCTTTCTGTGAAATGCTGTGTTCCATCTCTGAAGGCGAGGAGAATGCAGCTGCGGCGCATAAATTCTTAACTGAGGAGGATAAGTTTATGTCTACCAAGTTCAAGCGATCTACAACTATGAACTGGTCGCAAATGTTTGCCGAGCTCAAGCTCTATGCAACACGCGTCAACGAAAAGCCTTCCACTGGAGCTGCAGCAGCTGCAGCACAGGGACCAGGCATGTATCACGGACGGAAACCAGAGCCCGTTGAGATGAATGAGCCTGAAAGTCCTGTCATGCTGACCTGCTACCTTCGCTTAATGGGTCATCTTTGCAAGCAGAGCGAAGCTATTCGCCAGTGGATGTTGCAGCATGAATCTTTCAACGTGGTCAACACCCTGTTGGATCTATGCAGTGGATCCATTCCATCACATCTTCGTGCAACAACCTTTTCAACCCTCTCAGCACTTATGACCCACAAATCCTCCCTTGTTGGTAACGAAATGTGGACACGCCTCGATGCATGGTTATCAGGAGGATCCATGAACGCTGGAATTGGAAAATTGCCATTGGTCTCCAACCCTGCCATGTTGCATCAGCAGCAGGCTTTCAAGACAATCGGAGAAAGCTTCAACCAAACCAATACTTTCGTCACTCTGATCAACTCACTTGTATCAATTCCCTCGGATTTGATTGATGAACCTATGTCATTGTCTTTCCCTGAGACTCTGGGAGGAACATATCGCATGTCTGGAATTGAGCCGTACATTGACTTCGTCCTGGGACATGCCTTTTCCCGCAAGATTCAGGACCTCAATGAATACCAATCTCGTCTTTTGACTTTCAACTGCCTCAACTTTGTGGTTGAAAGCCTGAGATCGTTCAATGAAGACCTTGTCTTGGTTTTGAGTCAGCCATCCGTGTCCGATTCTGCAGAGCAAACTTCTTCACTCCTCACTTATGTTCGCTCTCACCCATTCTCCCGCGTGCTGGACTGGCTTTTCAACGAAGACGTTCTCAAAGCACTATTTGCAGTCTCCAAGCAGAACGTTACGGAGGTCGTTGCTGCGCCAGGTGATTCCCTACTAGTTTTGACCTTGCTCCGCAGTTTGGAAGTCATGAACCTGCTCGTTGACCTTCAGTCAACCTACTTCAACATTGTCAAGCCGCTAGTACAATCTCAGCCTGGGTTATCTCGGACCTCTGTGGCAAATTCCTCACTTGCTTCATTTGAGGATAGTGTGCTCAATAATCTTACACTGATTCCATCTCTGTGTATCTATTGTGGCACAGGACATTTGGAACTCACGATCACATCGATGGCTCTGCTAGAAAAACTGACAAGCTCTCGGAAGCTCAACAGGATGAGTTCTCCAGAACTTACGAAGTGGCAATCGTCCAACAAGATCGTGGAGGTACTTGCAGCCGAAGTCGATGTCGATAGCATAACCCTTCCCCTTGTTGGACAAATGAAACCGGATGTACGAGAATTTGGTTTCGGCCCTCTGGCATCCGGCTATGTCATTCGGAAAAAGCTTCTCGATCTTTTGAACAGCTGCTTGGGGTCTATCACCGATCGCCCCTCGGTAGCTCATCTTCTGCTAGGATTCGAATGTGTGGGTACCATTCTTGATGTGTCAGCGGAAGGGCTGTTTGCCAACCAAATGTCTCTGTTGCATGCCCTTATCGGTTTCTTGAAGACGTATCCCGAGGAGATCAACGGAAGCATTGTGTCTTGGGTGGTACATTCGAAACGAGTGGCCTTTGAAGTCTTGAAACATCTCTGGTCATCAAAGTTAGCCAGCTTCTATACCTTGGGTGAAATGCGCGTCCAGGCCTTCCTCCGTGATATGTTTGCAACTCAACTGATTGTCGGGCCCAACATCTGTTGGGACGAATTGACTGTGGACACTGAGGAGTTCTGGCTCACAGACTCTGCAAGTGCAATGGCAGAGTTCCTACTTTACCGAAGCCACCTGTTCAATTATGCCGCAAGTGAGGTTCGTTCGACGGCACAAGCTCGATCACCTGCTTTACATACTCAAATTCTGTCAATCTTGCTTGGAAACGCTGTTACAGAGAGCGGCGCGCAAACTTCCAGTCCCTCCGTTTTCGATCTGTTTGATTTCGCGGATCTCGATGTTGGGCGTGAGTTCAACACACCCAACCTCTCTTTGCTGCACAACGTTTTGTTGCAGATTGAGCAGAAGCAACAAGATGGTGCGTGCGACCCGGAAGAGGTCGATGGAATGATTCAGATGCGACGGGCAGAAATAGCAGCCTATGGAGGTCTCCGGGCACACGAAGAAGAGCACTTGATTGCTGAGGCCCACAGTTTGAAGCTGTACGTCCTCGCAACAAGACAAAAACGAGTCATTCAAGAGAACCGATATCTCGCCCTCCGGTCTTGGGTAGAACTTGTTGGCACAATAATCACTTGCTCTGCCCTTGATGAAGAAAGCAAACCTGCCTTCATTCTTCATACCATCCAATTGATCACCCCCAAGCTTACTACATCGATCGAAGCCGAGCTTCCCGATGCGCTTGAGTTGGCACGACTTGCCGAATTGTTGATCGGCGGCCTTGCATCTGGTGCATCGGGAGCATCTCGGAGCGGAGATGTGATCGATGAAAAGTTGCACCAGCTTTTCCAACTCTGCGTCCGAGGCATGAACTTGGCCACAGGAAGCGTGCTTTTGAGAGAAACCCTCTACGGTATCTGCTCTCATTACATCACTCGCATCACATCTTCAAATAAGACTCATGAAAACCTTCGACGTTTGAGCCAGCAAGTCGTCAAGTCGTCTGGATCAGTCCTCATTGAGACCATTTGTGATGACGCGTATACTGGCCAAGAATCTTGCCGTGCATCTGCTCTTGTGTTGTTGAACAATCTGGCTGTCTTGGATCGCCAAACTGATTGTGTTTTGGCGGAGTCTATCTCCCGTGCCAACTACCTGAGTCTTTTCCTGGATGCCCTACGATCTCTCCCTCTTGAACTTTACAATGCTCAAGAAAGCGGTAAGAATAATGTGTTTCAAATTCAATGTTCTCATCACATACTAATCGCGTCTTAGATACCCCAGCACTGCTGACATACTACGAATCGCTATTGTCTCTACTCCAGCGACTGTCGCAAACGAAGAATGGGGCAAATTGCGTTCTCAGCTCTGGCCTGTTCCAGGCCGTTCACGAATCGCGTCTCTTTGCTGCGGATCCCGACATAGGCATAGATATTGAGAACCCTGACGCGCTTCAAAGATACTATGACCTTCTCTTATCGGTGATTCGACTCATCGTATATGCAGTTTTCTCCCGTGGAATCGACAATGAGCAAATTAAGGAGCAGACCCGGGGATTCTTGGCTGAAAACCGGGCCTGTATGGTTGGAATCTTCAAACGATCCGCCAAGATCGGAAACACATCTTCTGCACACCAAGCGACTCTTCACGAGCTGGTTAAGGCATTCATGTCTCTGGTAGCTGCCACAGACTTCATGGAGGTATGGGTTCCCACTTACATGACAATGAATATGACTAACAAATTCTTAGTTTGAGGATCTGGAAGTGCGAGATACTATTCGGCCATCTATGTTCTCATGAAAGAGTTGGTCCAACATTTAGGAAGCAATGCATGTATCATTACGAGGTGGAGTGAAGGCGGTATCTCAGGTTAAGCGGTCATTTTCTTGAATTCATTTATCTCACCAGTATCTATTTTCTGCGTAGCATTCGCTGTGAGGACCTTGAGGAATCATTTTCAGATTTCTCCACATCTTGCTATCTCGATCTATACGAAGCTTCCAAGGTTTAATTCAGCAACCTTGGAGATTTCGTGGTGATTCATATGCCACCCATGCCCATCCATGGATTACCTCGATGTACTCTGTAGACCCAACCGAGGTCCACTTCCCCTCATAGAATTATGAACGGAAGCATGAGCTACGTTCCGAGGTAATAAGTACATAATTCCATGCATATGTCGCCAGCTGGCGCTGCAGCCTTGGAGGTCTGGGAATTATGCGTCGATCCGAACGTCGCAAGCCCCGCGATTCGCTCCAAGAGGGTTTCCCCACACTCTCTCCTCACTTGGCGCGGTGATAGTCTGGCCCGGTATTTCAGTCTCTTGACTCTTGCATTCTCTCCTTATTGTTCTTTTGAATTCTTACTCGGAATCTCGCCAATTTCCTCTTGTTCACTCAACGTTCAACTCTGTATTGACTTATTCCCATAATGGCCGACATTCCCAAAACGCAGAAGGCCGTTATCTACGACCAACCAGGTACCGTCTCGACCAAGATCGTGGATCTTGAGGTGCCAGAGCCCGGGGCTGGTGAGGTCCTGATTAATCTGTATGTCTGGCCTGAGTTGATTATAGCCCCGACTATACTGACAATCAAAGAACACACTCGGGCGTGTGTCACTCCGACCTCGGTATCATGACCAACACTTGGAGTCTGCTCCCATACCCCACCCAACCAGGCCAAGTAGGTGGCCACGAGGGTGTCGGTAGAATAGTCAAGCTCGGTGCAGGCACTGAGGCTTCAAATCTGAAAATCGGCGACAGAGTCGGTGTCAAGTGGGTGTCCAGCGTGTGCGGGCATTGTCGTGCGTGATGAATCATTTCCTGATTGCCATTACCATTTAAGCTAACACCGAACAGAGCCCTGTCGAGCCGGTGTTGACGGCATTTGTTCCAACCAGAAAGTGTCTGGCTACTACACCCCCGGGACTTTCCAGCAGTACACCCTTGGCCCCGCAAATTACGTCACGCCAATCCCGGAAGGTCTCGATTCCGCCGAAGCAGCTCCGCTACTCTGTGCTGGAGTCACGGTCTACTCGGCCCTCAAGCGTAGTCAAGCCCGTCCAGGCCAGTGGGTGGTTATCTCCGGCGCGGGCGGCGGGCTCGGTCACATTGCCGTGCAGCTAGCGAGTCGTGGCATGGGCCTTCGAGTCATCGGAATCGACCACGGCAGCAAAGAACAACTAGTGAAAGACTCCGGTGCCGAACACTTCATCGACATCACACAGTTCCCGAAGGATGACCAGGGTGCAGCATTGACAAAGCAGGTGCAATCGTTGACAGGTGGGTTGGGCGCACACGCAGCGGTTGTCTGCACTGCTGCGAATGCGGCGTATGCGCAGGCGCTACCGCTGCTACGATTCCAGGGCACGTTGGTTTGTGTTGGAATCCCGGAGAACGAGCCTCAAGCTATTGCGACGGCTCATCCGTTCGCTATGATTAACAAACAGATCACTATCACGGGATCGGCGGTGGGTAGTCGGACTGAGGCTATTGAGACGATGGAGTTTGCTGCGAGGGGTATCATCAAGGCGCATTACCGGGTTGAGAAAATGGATGCTCTGACCGAAGTGTTCAAAGAGATGTATGAGGGCAGGGTCCAGGGTCGGGTTGTTTTGGATCTCTCTGGTTAGAGCGTGATTTTTATTGAAATTTCCCAGATGTCTGTATCCTCTTGGCTCCGTGGGGTGCTCACTATCTTGCCTGTTCAGTTTGGTCTATCCAGTGAAAAGAAGAGAGAAAATAAAAAAAAAAAAAAAAAAAAAAAGGCGTAACGTGGGAAACGATACGTGAACCTTGTCCATCGAATATTTCCCAATTTTGAAAGCAAAAAAAGAAATGAGGGCATAGACCAAGCGGTCTATGCCCCCATGAGTACAATATTCAGGACTTGATGTCGGTCTTAAGGTAACATACTATCGTGTTAGACTTCCAAAATCTGTGAGGGTAGGTATTATCGGCCACTACTACAACACAAATGCTAGCAACCTTGGAAGCAAAGCTGTGTGATGCCAACTTCGGGATCCAGTCAAACATCACAAACGTCCACTTGGTCATGACTTCAAACACCTACATAGATGTAGGGGACGCTGCATGGTCATCTAGGTACCCAGATTCTTAGGTGCAACCCTCGCACGTAGCAAACCTTGAAAGCAGTGTTGGAATCCCGAGGTCCTTCCGAGATCTTAGAGGGTTTGATATACAATTGTCACTCCAGGTCTCCCGAGGTCCCACCTTAACAGTCCCCACTCAGCGAATCCCTACAAGTCCAAAGTTGCACATGAGCATTCTCTTAACTCTGAGGCCATCAGACCAAATTGAGTCGAGGGGTTTAGGGGCTTCTTATCCAAAACGATGGGATTTTCACGTTCAAAGCATGCATGGATGAACGGGGATGAGTTTTGCAAAAAAAAAAAGACTAAAAAATGTGTGACCGACGCAGGGATCGAACCTGCAATCTCTTGATTCGTAGTCAAGCGCCTTGCCATTGGGCCAGCCGGCCGGCAAGTGGGGCAATGCGCAGATCGACCCACTTTATCGGAACATCAAGCCGCTGAGCCACTCGTGTTATTCGATGAGAGATTTGGCAACTTAATGTTTTATAAAGGCAACTGTTAGTTTCATCGTCTATCCGAATATTCTAACTGCAGTTGAGAGGTATAACACGGAATATACTGGTGTAGATGAAGAATTTCTGCTCAGGTGATGTCCAGATACCCTCAGTTATTCATCCAGTCGACACAGTACTGTTACCAAAGGCCTTTTGTACCTAGCAATTGAAAATCAATCTCACGGGCCAACATTGCATATATATGCAGGATGGACCGAATAAACCTCGATTTTTTGGCGATGTGACATATTGGACCGGTCATTGAAGGCGAAGTGATAGATGCCCTCGATACTAGACTGTTGTTAGGCATTCAAGGCACTTTTTGACCGCTACCTCCCTTTCATTCAGCTGAACCCCAGCAAGTTTCTATACAAAAGTAGACTACAGTGCCAGTCTGATAATATCCAGTAGGATTAAACAAACGTATTGGACCTCGGGGCCCTATGCAGCATACAGGCCAGAGAAAGTCGTTACTAAAGCTGCTACCTTATGCGCCTCTTTCTCTATGCTACCTACCCAGGTGTATGATCTCTCGCTTATGATCACCAAGGTGATTGCAGATATGGGCTGGAACGACTCGGCGGCCCGACTAGTTGTTCATCAAACGTTCTTTGATCTTTTGTACTGAAAAGAGCCCATATATACCTGGGACATGCGGATCTTCTTTCCCATACACCGTGGACCTCGGGAAGAGCCCAGAGCTGGTTCCAAACACACCTGTCAGACGTTGACCAAATAGCTCCCAAGGTTCTTCAACCAAATGGATTCAGTGAAGTCCACGGGTTATTTATCTCACGTTAGCTGATGTTCCAAATCTTGAATTTGGATTTTGGGACGACTACATATACTAGTGATCCACAGAGTCCTATCAAGATCACACAAGGGTTGGTATCTGTTTGCTACCCAGGTGATATACGGAGTAGCTCGTCACGAGAAAGTTGGGATGCAAAAATGTAGGCAAACTCAGTCTGTGCATTCGACGAATTTTGTATAATTAGTTGAACCTACGCCGTGCCCAGCTTCAATAGTCCGAAGTATACAATATCGAGTTGTACTTGAAAAGAGTACAATATTGAAGGCTTGTGCTTACTCCCAAGTGGATACCCAGAGGCTACTAGCTCCAAACTAGCCAGACTAGCCCCAAGGAAACCCAGGAATGCTGCCGTGTGCACGGCCCAAATGCCTATCCCAGTCGCACATCAATTGCTAGTATGGACGAGATGGAGTAAGAGGATCGAAAAGAAAACGTGGCTTATTCCATCCATTCCTCTCTCTTTGGCTTATTCTCGCATGTGGGTTTCACGTTGATTATCCCACTCTGAAACTTTGTACTCCATACTCAGTACAGATTATTATCATGCGTATTCCACGATTATTCTGACAGGCCGAGCAAACCCCGAGGGCTCATGCTTTGCACCTGACTCGATCTGCGAGGTGATCTCATTCCCGAGGTCTGAATAATATTGAACTTTATTGCATCATAACCCCCCCGGATCTTCGCGGTATTGGGGAGCCGCGATGCCGAACTTCTCCGTGCGAGAGATCCGATATACGCAGATCCGACGGAACGAATCGATGGAACATGAGTATTTGGAATCCAAAAATGTTGGTGGGCATTGTCTTCCGTGTCTGGTTTTTGGTCCGATGATTTGGAGAAACTTGGGAAAATCGAACAATTCCCAGTAGTGGGCGACCCACACTCTACCGAGAGCTGTTCCATGGATCGATACCTCGAATTAAGCTAAGCTAACCCTGCGCAGCTGTGACACGCTCCGGGTCCCAACCGGACCATGGATATGGGTACCTCGACCGTAGTACTGGGTCTCCATGTGACGACATCTCCATGGACCTCGTATTTGCCTCCCGTAAGATCATGAGTTCTGCCTGAAGATTTGCCGCTGGGAATTTTGGGAGTGCTGGTGAGACGAGGTAGTTGGTCCCGATTCTGAACAAGGCGATCGCAAGTGTGTACGGAGTAGAATGAGAATCGTGAACCGGTAGATTCATTTAGATGACAGCTCTCATAATCGTATATAAACATCGACACGCGTAAATGATAGACATGATATGCAAAAGCAGAACCGACGTTCGTCGCGGATTGAGCGCAAAGACAAACATATAGGGGGGTATTGCAATGAATGAACATAGACACGATGACCTCCCAGTGATAAAAAACAAACATATGAACAGATATATACGGAACTTCAGCGGGTGCGCTTCGAGTAGCCCCCTGAGTTCCCATTGCCAGCTGCTGGCCGTTTTTGTCCGGATCCCATCGCGGCAGCTGAATTGGCAGATCGTATCAAATTAGCAAGATTGATGAGATATTGCTTTGGAGCACGGTTGACCTCGAGCTTGCGAAGAATGTCGTGTAGCCGTTGGTCGAATTGGTAGAGGTCCAACGGCGGCAGTGCATTTAGCGCGTGAAGCACAAAGTGCCGCGCGTCTGTTTCAGAATCGGTCTCGATCGAACCTATAAGCAAATGATAGAGATTGCGCTGGTCTTCGTCTTCGCCGTTGAAGGAGTCGCGGAAGCGATTGTGTTCCAGGGGATCATTGTTGCGAGCCACGACCCACTCTAGCAGTGACACAAGTGTCTCGCCGGCGCCCTCAGTTCCATGAGGACTCCGAAGTGCGATGTTTTCCGCGATCCTAGAGACCGAGCGCTGCAGTTGCAACGCGACCTCGTTCACATCCATGTATCCATCCTGGCTTGTAGGGTCTCTGTGTGGAGTCTCCGTTGAGCAGTATTGATCGAAGTCGGACAGAAGTCGACGGGACCGGGCTTGCATTTTGTCAAAGTAGATGGCTGCACAGGCGCCTGGCGGCATTACCTTCTTCAGGCTCTCAAAAACCGCGTCGTCGTGCACTGCTAGTCGAAAGATCGTGGCATCAAAGTCTCCCTGAACAACACATTGCTCTGCGGTCCTTGCTTGCTCGGTCGTCTCGTTCAAGTCTTGCCGGAACTCTTCAGGAAGGGTCTGTTTGCTGAACGCAGAGAAGATGTCTCGGACCTTTTCAGTTCGTGTCATCCCTCTACCTGAGCCGTCACTTTCCTCCTGTAGGTACTGCCACCTGAGCTGTGTGGCAACTGCCTCCAGATTGCCCTCCAAGAGACCCTCCAACCGCGGCAGATCTGCCGGGCGTCCGTCTGGAGCCAGTGCCACCTCCCTCGTTTGACGCTCGCGGACGAAGCAGCCATGAAGTTGGTCGACGAGCCACTATTCAGGGGTAGCGTTAGCCCTGAAAACCCAGTTGCCTGAACTCACTGCTTTCCAAGAGTGTACTCACAAAAATGTGCTGGCACGCCACGTCCGGGTGGCTCTGAAAGACTGAGCAAGTACAAGTAGACGGGTCCGAGCCCAGATGTACCCGTGGGCGATCGAGGAGCTCGAAATCATAACCGGCGGAGGTGTTACGACAGTTGATCACGTCGAAGCTGCCGGTCAAGCCCACGAGAGCCCTGGCTTCAGACTCGGAGTCCAAGTGACTCAGGTCATAGGTGATACCAGAGGGGGCCAAGATCGAAGTGCTGGTCGATTCGGATTCTTCTTCGTCCTCGTCCCCTTCACCCTCGCCGCTAGAACTCTCCACCGAAGAATCACTCTGATCAGGGTCACTGTCGTCGGAAGGGTCCGGCCGCCCCGCGTGGGTAGGCAGGGCCGTCTGATCAGGCATATTTCGACCGATGGACAGCCTGTGAAATTGCCGTGTAGGGGCGGTCATGGCGAAAAAGAAAAGGAAGCTTCCTAGCCACAAGGCTTAAGAGGGGGAGATGTTCCTGTCAGTACTCACAGAGTTCTTCCGACCCATGGACGGAAGCGGGTACAGTGAACCATGGAACGGGCTTCCCTGGCGCCCGCTTTAAATAATTAGGCCATCACTTCGAATTTTCATGCCGAGCTTGGACTGCGCAACTTCATGCTGTAATTGCATCGTCCTTTTTTTTTCTCTCTCGCTGCCAAAGGGCTTTTTTCTTTTTTTTAAAAAAAATAATAATAAATCCTAAATCATATCGTCTTTGTTTCCACCGGCGTTTAGTGGGTGATGATTGGGTAGGTGGCGAAGAGGCGGGAATTTGAGGCTCAGTTTGGGGGACCGCAGGATGGCAAAGGGATATGATGTCTCAACAAGGCCGCGCCGTTTCAACTATGCTTGGGATGACCAGATTGATCAGCATCGTGCGGCGCACAGACGTCCACTAAAGGGGGATCTAGTGGAATGAAAGATCTGGGGTCTTCCAAGGTTGGTGGCTGGGACCCGAGCACACATTGTCGGCCCCGGGCCATGGGCTACGGGGATCTGATGCTGTTTGCCTGTTAAAGTGCTGCGCAGTGACAGCAATTTGCATGTATATGATCAACAAGGAATGTGCGGTGTAATTGAAAATCGACCTAAAGTTCAACCCGGCATGTTGATCCTCAATATTTGCGAGACGAGGGTTCTACAACAGTTGCCCAATGTAGAGCTTGCATAGCGGAGGATGCAAATTAGACACTGTTGGCGCCCTCTTGAGCTTAACCAGGGAACCCGGAACCAACAGCAAATCTCGGGGGAAATTTGGGAGATAATGCGCCGTCCGGCACCCCGTACCAGTGTCTGGTGTACAGGGATCGTCGCCCGAGCAAAAGGAAATTCGAAATTCGAAATTCTTTCGAAGCTCCAGAACGGTATCAGTAGGATCCGCCAATGGAATGGGCCCTTTTTTTTCGTGGGCTAGTGGTGCTTGCATGTTCCGTGGTGGAGAATCGCGATGCCATGATTCTCGGATAGGTCGGTAGCGGTAGCCCAAATGCTCTTTTGGGCCCAGTGCCGCCCCCAGTTACTTACTTCCACGAGACCACCGTGCATCAAAGAAAAAGTCAAAAGGTAAACCCAAAATGCGCAGGAGCTACCCTGTAAAACGTGGCCAACGTGGCCAACGTGGTCAAAGATGACGGTTCTTAGCGTATGAGCAGGGGTAGCTGCTTGGCAGAATCAGTCGTACGAGTATGAGACCCTGTTAGTATCCCAGTCTCTTATGGCGATCCCAGCCGACAAGAGAGAGCCTGGGGCACGCATGGCCTTTGTCTTCGATGCGTCATCAGTTGACTTGGGGCGTTGAGAACTCGGTGATAGCGAAGCTCTGCATTGCATATCGCGCAGCAACCAGCCGATTAGATCACCACGGAGTCCCCGAAAGAAAGGTCAACTCGGTCTTGAAAGGGCTCTCAGGGTCCTGCGCAACAGGCCCCTTCGGCCGCAAAGAGCTTAGCCCGGGGCTGATAACCACACACCAACCCAGGACGCAATCAATCTGCGCTCAGCGCGCAGCAGACTGCAGCAAAGACAGACCCGTCAGTTTGGGTTTGATTGGGGTTGGTGCGGGCCAAGTGCTCCAAACCGGCCGGGCTGCGGCCATTTTTGACTACGCAACACGGCTGATCGGCGGTATTTGGCGTTAAACCCCCCAAGCTTGGCTGTCGTTTACCAATCGCCATCTCCGGGCGCCTAATTTGTGACTCAGTATGCTTGATCGCTCTCAGAGGCATAGGGTAACTTCCACTTCGAGCTTGGTTCGATGCTTCGGAGATGTTGTCTGTGCGCTCATGCGGTTTGGATCACTTGACTGATTCTGGCCCCCGGCGCGAACACTGCCATACTGCCATATGCCACAGCGAAGAAAGTTCCCTCAGCTTTGAAATTTGGAGATTTCAGCTGTGAGGTGAGAATGGTTGAAAGTTCATGATTCGAAAACAGCAAGACACGCTGGGCGAGGTTGAAATGCGAGGAAATCCTTTGTGTAACTGGAAAAATACTCCGTCGCATTTCTGAAATCTGAGCTCAGACTCATCGTTGATCTGCTGCGTCCACAGGTTTGATTCAACCTTGAAAGCCACTGGATTTACGCATGTGTTATGGGCTTAAATATCATGGAGGACTGTGTGAAGAGCCTGGCTGCGCGAAAATGTTCAAATCATTCCACCCTAGTCTTCATTCATCTAGCACTGCATAAAGTGGGTATCAACTATGGAAACAACAACCCAACACAAGTGGAAAAGACAAGCCAGGTGATATATTGAGAAAGAAGAAAATTCGTAACGTCATGGATTCTACTCCCTACACTGCCTGCCTCCACATAGAAGATCACTGATTTCTGGAGGCGTTACGCTTTTTGGCCTCCTCCAGCGCTCTGCGAATCCTCTCTTTGTGCCCGGAGTCCCCATCCTGAGAGCTTAATGGCGTTGCATTTGCTGGGATTGGGGCGGTGCTTGAAGAACGGAGGCTGAAGGGAAGAACTACATCGGGAGAAGGGCTTGTCGGCGCAGAAGCTGGAACTGGAGAACGACGAGCTTCGCTTGGAGGACTGTTCCTCAGGTCAAGTAGCAGCTTCTCGACCATAGTTTCAATCTTCTTGGGCCCCTTCTGGATACTATGCAACTTCGAGTCTAGCTCACTCTGCATTTTCTCGTCTTCTTTTTTCTTCTCATCTGCCAGCCGATGGAAGATATCGGGATCCGAGGCTGCATATCGCGCCTCGGCGACGGATACCCCGTAGTCCGCGTCGTTGAGGGCCATGTCTGCTTCCCCCGAGCTGCGCAGGATCGCCTCCGAGTCGGCTAGCAGGGAGGCCGCGAAGGTTGCTGCAGATTTGAGGATCTGTTCAATTTCAGAGTCTGACAGACCGGAAGCACGGAGAGCGGCGGGATCTAGCTGGACTGCTTTTGAGGCAACTTCGTCTAGGAGACTTTGGTTCATGCCTAATCCGTGCAATATAGCGTCATCGAAGGAATCCATGAGTCGGTTAGCCCGGTCATCGCGATCCTTGTAGGCCTCCAAAATGTTGCGCCTTTCCATCTGGTCGAATTCCGCATCTAGCTTTCGCAGGTTGGGCATATCACCCATGAAGACGAGCGGGCGTCTTTCGGCTTTCTTTCGGCGCCGCTCACAATCAAGCGCAATATCGAGACGTTTCTGGAACCGGATCTCAAGCTTGTTGTGGATCTCGTTGACCATTTTCATGGTCACAGAAGGGCTGGACTGCCGCTCGCTCGCTGACGACTTGGACTTTTGATCACGGTCAAGTTGATTGAGGGCTGAGTCGTACGATTTTCGAAGCTCCAAAATATCGTTCTTTAGACCTTCATCCAAAGGGTTAAATACTTCGTCGATGAAAGATTCAACTTCACGCCGTTCTTCTTCCAGTTGAACACGAGCCTCGGTTTGCCGGAACTCCTCTTCCAGAGTATTGATATCTGCATACCCGATCGATTTTCCATTGAAGAGATCATCAATTTGCTCTTCGGATTCTTCTTGGCGCAACATGCGTTCTTGGTCGAGCTTTTTCCTTCTGGCTGCTGCTGCTTGTTCCCATCGATCAGTGGATTGTTGAATGTAGGAAAAGTCGTCAGAGAATCTTCTAAGCTCTTCCCGAGTCGTGATATGCCAAGAACTTTCAGACTGTTTGTCTAAAGGTTTCCAAACGATAGCACGTAAGTCATCTACAAGACTTTGGGGTCGGCTCTTCTGAAGGGCTTCTGGCAGTAATGGGAGAGGCGTAGCTTTTCGCTCTGCAGGGGTGATGTACGCAACGCTCTTGTGACGAATGAGCCCAAGGAAGGTCTCATCACGTTCATTCGTAATCGGGGAGATAGCTGCAGCAGTGGAATTTGATCGCGGTGCGGGTGCCGGTCCATTTGACATGATTCGTCCATTAACAGCCGCCTGTCGTAGATCTGAATAGGCTTGGTAGGCCGGCCGATCAAATTTGAGATCATCGGAGCCTCTCTGGGGACCCTCAGTATACTGGAACGGCGTGTATATGGGACGAGGTGGATTTGTAGCCAGAGGCTCTAGGACTTGCTTTTGCACATCCGCGGAGCTGGGAAACGAAGAAGTTCTCGAGATGCCAGTCGCAGGTTCTGCAACTGAAGGTAGTTTCGACAGCCTGGGTAAATATTGCGAGCCCTGCCGCCCAGCAAAAATGGGCCGACCGCCTGAGCTGTACTCACTGCGAACATCATCTGTGTCTTCATCCTCCGTTGTTGCTGTCCCCGAAAGGGGGACCTCTGCTTCCGATGCCACCGGTATTAGCCCAGACTCAATAGGGACTTTTGATGAGCCCCGGTTTGACATGGGTTGAGGAGTGGAGTCAAGACTTCGTGCAGGCGTCTGGGTGACCTCTGGTTCATGTTCGATGTTGTAAAGGATCTCCCGCAGCTTCGTCTCCTTGGCCATGAAGGCTGTAAATATCTGGTAGCGTTCTTGATCCAAATCAGCCACTGCCTCCTTGCGTAGCATGGCGACAAAACGTTCCAATGATGATTTCGACCAAGGGTCGAGATCCTCGAAAGGATCTGGGTTTTTCGACAAGGCTGCACTTGGGGGTCTTTCCGGCATTTGAGCAGAGGTATCAGTGGGCGATCGCAGCCTTTCCGCAGATAATGGGTCGGCATGCACCTGTGTGCGCTCAACCGGGGAAGTAGTACGGTTTGCCGGGCCTACACTGTGTGCCCGATGTGTCGGGTCTGCATACACAGGGGAAGTCGTTTTCGCGGCAGGCGATATTGGCCGAGCCCATGCATCCATCACACTATCAATGGTGTTGGTCCGACCTGCCATAGCCATGGCAGGCTCGGTGCTATCCACGCGGACGATTGCAGGCGGCGCCGGGACACCTTGTGATGTACATGGACTAACAGGAGAGTTCGAGCTGTTTTGCCCCGACTGCGTCACGCTTGAAATACTGCTCGCGAATGTTCCATTTGTATCTGTCCTTGGGCGGAAGTGTACATCAGACGCGTTGGTCGCGGGCCCATTCGGCATACTCGAAGGCTCGGGAAATGGCGCGAGCTCTTCAGGCGGAGGCGTCCTACGCGGTGGGAACCAGGCTGCATCATCAAAATCCCCAGGAGACGGACCAAGGTGCTCCCAATCTGATGGTGTTCCTGGTCCCAAAGCCGACGCGCCCGCAAACGAGGTGTTTGTGTTGACCAGAGGGGGCCGAAACGCGTAAGACCCTGTCATGGCAGCTGGTCCTCCCCCTTGCGCAAGCAATGGCGGCCGCGCTGGGTGGCCATATTGCTCTGCTGGTGCATGCTGACCTTGGGGGATCTTCGGCGGCGGCGGCGGAACGGCTGGTGTTTGTGTATATGGAGGCGGGGTGGAATGAATCACGGAAGGCTGTGTACCAAAGGAGGCACCACTATCTGGACTGTACGGGTGTGGTTGTTTCTGCAAGTAAGCGTGTGGTTGCTCATTTGTACTTGAAGGTCGAGGCTATGCGACTGTTAGCGTTCCGCGGTGGATGCCTGATCAGTTGGACTCACGGGTAACGGGGGAGCGTGATGTTGATTGAAGCGTACTCCCCATGCGGTTGTATCCGTGCCGGAACTTGATGCCCCTGGGTTTGAGATCGGTCCATAAGTGGCCGGTGTGTATAGAGCTGGCGGACGCGGTGGGGGGGAGGGGGTTGAGAATGCGGTTCCTGTTCCTGCGGGAGTCGCCATTCGGGCGAGGAACGATGGGGCCCTGACTGACCATACATGGTTCAGGTAGTCAACTTACTCGAAACTGAAAGAAAGAAATATTGAAAGTTAAGAGAACCTTGGAAAGGATGGGATCCTGCGGGTCAGCCCGACACGGCGTGTACAAAGGAGGTCATGGGAAGACGGTTTCCCAGGTACTTCGAAGTTCGAACGTCGCGACATGTTTACCTATGCAATATCTTCTACGCCTTCTATACTTCAAGCACCAGTAACTTACACACACTTCATCGTCTCAAATATGCATATTCAACGAAGTATACTCGACAACGGATCTCTTTGTCCGGCTATCGCCTTTGAGTCTTTTATGACCCATCTTTATAGTTTCTTTGTCTAAACCTCTTTGAGGTCTTTCTTTCGAGGTCGGAAACTGCGAGAGCCAAATGGTTTATAGCATGGGACGAAATTCATTTTCGGAGAAATCATTCGTCTGAATTCTCTGATCTTGATACTCGCTGTCCTTGATATACCAAACCCACTGATATGTCCTCCTCCGCCGCCACCGCCGCCCCCGAAAAACCGGATGGGCCATCGTACAGAGCTATACGTGCACAATATGCCGGCAAGGATATCATTTACCCAGCTTATTTCCCGAAGGGTCCGCAGTTACATGATCAAATCAAACTCGGTGACCCCTTGACCAAAGACAATGCATTTCTTGCACGTCGGCTCTGGCAAGGACCTGACACTGACCTTGGAAATGCCTGGAAAGCACACACGGACCGACCATATGAGCGGGCCCAGGATGACATCCTTGACATGCATGTGCTGGCACACAATGTCTATGAACATCTGATGAGCAACCCGTTTCTTCCACTCTCGCGCGAGGCTGCCCTTGCCAATTGGAACATTGAAGGGCTCAACGTGACCTATGATGGTGTTCAAGGCCTGGATGGACTACGACAAAACATTTTTGTGAATGGTCTCAACGTTCAAACCCCAGAGGCTTGGACTATCCAAACGCTCAAAGCAGAACTCGTTGCTAGGGGTCTTCCTGTAGCTGGTCACAAGGCCCAGCTCCAAGAACGGCTTTTGAACTTTGAACTCGATAGAAAGATTGGACTTATGAGTCAAAGCGACCTGGGCCACTGGGGCATCAATCGTGAGAAGACGCCCGTGATTTCACCGGCCAGGAATACGGCCTTGTCAGCACTTGATATGTATACCGCAGCGGTAAACCTGAGTCCATACAATCCCACTTACTGGACAAGCCGCGCATACTGCCATTACATGCAGGGCTTCTTCGACCTGGCCATAGGAGACGCCTACCGCGCCCAACTTCTATGTGAAGTGTTGACGACAGCCCTCAAAAGGAACCAACGTCCAGGGCTCTACACCCGGGTTTGGGATGCCATTCAAATGCATCTGATGGCTGGGTGTACAGATGAAAATATACCCAGTGAAGTTCGGCGAATGAGGGGTCCCAACGGTGTCAACTATTTCATCCCGACATTGAGAAACGCAATTCACAATATCATCAGTCTAAGTCTTGTGGCAATGAACTGCTGGGATGACTTCCTTGCTCACATGGAGGAGCACCGCAACAGGGTTCTCTCCCACCGCGATGCGGAAATCCCTAACCAGCGCCAGATAGCTGTCATGCCTATCATAGACGACATGAAAAGCCGGAGACTTAAGCCTTCAGCGGACAATCCTCCTCTTTATGGACACGAATGGGTCCGAGGATGCGTCTCTGGCGAGGCTCGATATCCTTATGAACAAACAGATGTGAATCGTGAGGCTGCACCTTTCATCGCAGCGCTAAACAGAAATGTCTTCACCTTCAGCAGAGATGCCGGATTGGCAGCACGCCCGTGCGAGGTGAGACCAGTGGTCCACTCAGATGGGACTTCCAATGGGCTGGGAGTCTTCGCTGTTGACAACATCGCGGCAGGAACAGTCATCTATGATGAAGAGCCTGTCATTCGTGGAAACCTTACACCCAATCTTTTGGATCAGGGCCATTCCATCACCTCGAGCGTTTGGCCTCACTGTGATAACTGTGGCCTGCAAATTCCACAGGACCAAGTAGCGCACTTTACTAGGAATTGGGAGTTCATCACAAACCCAGAAATGGATACCGAGCTTCAACATCCCCTCCCTTGTCCATGCTCGAGCCAGATAAATACGATGAAAACTTGCATTCGACACGATGGCCTACCTGCTCCATTCTTCTGTGCTGGTAACCAACTGAAGAACCGGGGAAGCGCTGATTCATGCTTGACAATTGCGACTCGGTTGTTTGCATTCTCAGAATTCAAGGATATTGAATGGCGCTGGCTACACGATGCTATGAGAGCCAACATCACAACGCACGAAGGTCAAGATTACTTCGAATCTCATCATGAGAAGCAGGGGACTGTACTAAGTCTATTGCTGAAAAGCGTGCTTGAGATAACGCTGCACCGCCGTGAGCAAGATCCCAATCTTCTCGCACACGAGATAAACGAGCTATTGATGCTCGAGAGCGGCGCTGATGCTAATGAACCATGGAGCCGGAGCTGGTTCCCCTTCACCATGTCTGGCAACATCCGCGTACCTTTCGACATTCTTTCTGCGCTTGGGGTGGACATCTTCCGTGATCTTTCATTTGACACATGGGTTCTTCAGATCGTGCTTCGGAAACTGCACATCAATGCCGTGCCTTGGGACCTTGAACGGCGGTCTAATCATGAAATGTTTACCGCGAACGATGGACTGAAGGAAGCACCCCCAGCAAAAGCACAGGAAGACATGAAGAAAGAGACCAATGACTTCAATTTCTTACTGCCATCCCTTAGAAATCTCTACTTGTTTCCTGGACTGAGTATGTTCAATCATACTTGTCGTCAAAGTGAGAATGCAACCTGGGGATTTGATTCTACCGTTCCAAATCGAGTAGTTGTTTACGCAACACAAAATATCGCTGCGAATGACGAGATTCGTATTCCTTATCTGAATCTTGGTTTTCCTGGTGCAGCCGACGGTACGGAGCTCAGAGAGGCCGTAAGACTCTTTGGAAAGAACTGCAGCTGTGTCCAATGTGTGCCGCTAGCTGGAGCAGGAGCAGGACCTGGACCTGGACCTGGACCTGGATTTGGACCTGGATTTGGACCTGGATTTGGACCTGGATTTGGACCTGGATTTGGAGCAGGCGGTGGACCTGGAGCTGGGGCTGGACCTGTAGCTGGGGTTGGACCTGGAGCTGGAGCTGGCGGTGGACCTGGACCTGGACCTGGATTTGGATTTGGAGCAGGCGGTGGACCTGGAGCTGGAGCTGGCGGTGGATTTGGAGCAGGGGCTGGACCTGTAGCTGGGGCTGGAGCAGGATTTGGAGCCGGTATAAAACCTGGTGTTGGAGGTGCACTAGGCGGAGGCGGCGATGGGGCTGCAAGTGATATCCCGGGTGGTGATGGTTCAGCAATCATGGAAATATCCTCAGAATCTCAAGACAAGGAAATGGGAGAGGCAGAGGAAAGAAAGAGCGAGGATGTGAATATGGAAGAGGCTTGAGTGAGTTATAGTACTTGTGCTTGTAGCGAAATTTGAAACTGGAATTTCTTCCTTTGAAGTAAGCATCCATCGCGTGTCTTGACCCGTAACCGTAGATATACTACCCTCGTGTGCTTGGGCAGCAGACAATATCTAGGAAATTCATTTGTCAAACCTTGGAAAACATCAGATTCTACAAACCTACATGACCTCGTCAGTTAATGCTCTGCATGAGAATGATAGCCCTGAGCCTTCCAAGGTTAATATGGATCCGCCTGGACAGGTTTGATGGATATGTATGATGTCTCATATTTTAGCCTTAGAATCCAGTGTCGATAGATTCTTAGTCCAATCCCTGGAAATGTTTGATATCAATAGTTACCCAAATCGCAATCTAGGCATCCAGGGATGCCTCGTTGATGTCTGATTCAGTGGAAATTCATGTGTAATTTGATAGAAGTTTTCTAAAACAAATCCATTATATGCATACATAAACAAGCAGACCAAGTTAGATTTGTAAAGTACATGGGCGAACAGTGTTAAAGGAAATCCTCAGCATCCAATGTACACTGTCGAGCCTAAAACACAAGATAGAAAGCTGGGGATAAGACAAGAAAAGAAAAATGCAATATAGCCTTTAGATTAGGCAGATGCAGAGCGGTAACGACGACCAAGCTTCTCCAGCTCGCCGATGATCCCGCCACCAGACAAGCTCCACTTCTCTCCGACCCACTGTTCAGTGATGATGTCGCGCACGAGACCGCTGCGAGCAAAGTACTCGTAGAAGCCGCGGGCCTCATCACGAGTAAGACCGCCCAGGACTTGCACCTCGAGAGGGCTGGTGGCTTTGTCGAGGGGCTTCAAAAGCTCCAGGACACGCTCATCAACATCTCTGTAGGCTGCAGGGTTGGGGTACTTGGGGTCGGAAGGACTGATGCCAGCCTGACGAGCAGCCAGGCGGTCCAGAGCAATATTGAAGGCCACGGGGTTGGGGTTGTTTGAGGCTGAAGTGGCATAGAGAAGCAGACCGCCGTTCTTCAGAGAGTCACCTTCCTTCAACAAGGACAGGAAGTGCTTGACGAAGTATAGGTCATGAGCATGGATCTTGTTATAGTCGGCATCGCGGTATTCACTTTCGGTCATCCAGTGGGCCATATCATCGACGGTAACAAGCATGGGAGGACGGGGCTCAAAGTCCTGCTCAAGTCCCTGGGCCGGGGCTGAGGCAGTGAGCTCAGTCCAGAGAGCTTGGAACACATTCCAAGAAATGGCGGGGTCATTGAATCCAAGCTTAGCAAGATCCTCGAGGGTCGCTCCGCGTGCGAGCTTTGGCAAAGACGGGTGCTTCTGGGACACCTTGAGCTTGGCCAGGAGCTCGCGGTTGGCCTCAACAGTGCGGGTCAGCAAAGCTGATGTAGCATTGGGCTGGATGTATTGCAGAGGCTTGGTGCCTTCCACTGCGGTATAGGCGGTGTTGGCGCATGTAAGTTCGCGGGCTGCATCGTGAGTGGGTCAGCAATGGTTCGATTGCACTGAACAGTGTGTTTTTGGTTTTGGTTTTGCCAAATACTTACCATCAGGAACAGTGATGACGACCCAGTTTTTCAAGAATCCAATTGCCATAGCCTGGAGCAGGTGCACACTCTTGCCTGAGCCCTTAATGCCGCTGATGATTTTCTTAACGACCTTGCCCTTCTTGGGGGTCTCTGTCTCCCCAGAGATCTCCTCAAACAAACGGCCCATCTCAATGGTATCGCGGCGGAGGACGGTTCCAGGGCGCCGGAATATGGACCAGCCCTGCTTAGGCTTGAAAGCTTGCACAGCTCTCAATTGATCGATCATGGGCAGAGGAAGTCCAAGAACGCTGCCACGGAGACGGGAATCGACCATTGTCTCCACAGAAAGATCGTTCATACCCTCAACCTCAAGGGCATTGGGGTTGCTCAGGACAATGCGTTTCCTCATGGCTTTGCGCTCGCCAGGAGCCATGGAGCGGCCACCACCACCACCACCGCTACGCTCGGGCCTCTTCTTCTTCTTTCTGATGCTGGCAGACACTCGATGCTTCTGAACAGTTTGAGAGCTGGTCTTTTTCTTGGGCGGTATGCCATATTTCAGCGCGGTGGAATGGAAGGGGGCGTTCGAAATCCGGGGTGTTGCGGACGGAGTGAGTGCTTGCGGTGTGAGCCGGAGCCTCGAGAGGCAGTTCCAGCACCACGAGGAGGCCATTGTGGTTGTCAGGGGCACCGGCGTGGCCAGTGATAAGACAACCAGGGCTGGAAAAGAAGGTGGGTGGGAATTGAGTAGACAAAGAGCAAGTCTGTTTGCCTATGATAATTTGTTGCGATTTCCCGCTGAAGAGACAAAGGCGGTCTGGCGACCTCCTTAGTCATGGCAGAAAAAAAGCGCCTTTGATACTGATAACCAACTTTTTTTTCTCGAGCTGATATTCATTTCGAATCTCAAAAAACCACAATTCTTGTGTCGTGATGTCTGATACTGAGATGGGAAACACCGCGCCCGCTGCGGCTGCGTCCAAGAACGAGAGACTGTAAGATCCCCCAATCCGACGAAACAACAGCAAGCAAAAAAATGCGCAAAATACAAGTACTAACATTATGGCTCCAGTCCCATTACCGTGTCTAAGCCTACTCCTTACACATTCGACCTGGGCCACCTGCTCGTCAACGACCCCAATCCTCTGGAGATCGACCCCAATGAGACCCTCAACACCTCACTGAAAGCAACCGCCCGCGACGGCGTTCAAGTCCTCCTCAACCAGCTCTTGACCACCTGTGAAATCAAGTCCTCCGTCTCTGACGGTGTTCTCCTCACCCTGCCTGCCCCCAACATTCACCTCCCCCGGCACAAGCCCCTCCCCACACCCAAGGCGCCCACGAAATGGGAGCTGTTCGCGCGCAAGAAGGGCATTGGCAAATACAGCCAGAAGCCCGGTGCCGCCGGCCAGGCCAAGGAAAGCCGCAAGAAGCTTGTCTACGACGAGGCCAGTGGCGAGTGGGTTCCCCGCTGGGGTTACAAGGGCAAGAACAAGGACGACGAGAACCAGTGGCTTGTTGAGGTTGACGAGAAGAAGTGGAAAAAGGAAGAAGAGGCTGCTGCCCAAGGATCTTCTATCCGTGGTATGTCGCGCACTGAGCGCAAGGAGCGTATCAAGCGCAATGAGCGTAAGCAGCGCTCTAACGAGAAGAGGTCGAACCCTGCTCGTGCGAAATGAGCGGTCTTCGAGTGATGGATTGACTTGTCTCTTTCTCTTACTGCTACTACTTATCTGGCCTCGGCTTTGTGACTTTCTTTCTGGCGTTGGGGTTGGGAGTCGAATGATTTTCGTTATGTATTACAGACGAAATTTGGCTCTTTGGCATTGTTCAAAGTCTTCTGATATTTCTTTGTACCCTGTGGTTGGGATCAACACTCTCAGCCTTCGAAGACGGGACTTTTCAATTTGTACATGACATACCATGATTCACCAAAAGCACTCTTATTACATCCGTCAATACTTAGCATATGCGAAAGCGTTCTCCGTAGTTTGTTCTATTGAGATTATGCCTAGATCACTGCAACAAAGAGTCCAGATGAACTAGCTCGAACCGAAAAAAAAATAGCCTTCCCAACTCTAGTATACAACCCTCGCAATGAGAACGCCCGCAGTAAAGAGAGAATCAGTTCGCCATATAGACCAAATTGACGAGACACAAACAATAAGACAAGCATGAATAGACCAAAGTCAACCGCAGAGGGGAATCTGTAGATGTTGCAATATCAAAAAGCATAGAAAGAGGATGTGCGGCGCTTCCAACAACAGACAAAAAGAAGAGATGGATGGGCGGGAAGAGGTAAAAAAGAGATAGGAAGGTGGACATGGATTGAGAGGGATAGACTTGAGTAAATGGCATATGTAAATGCAGCCAAGTGCCCAACTTCAAGAGTAAATATCAGGAAAATCCATAGACATACGGGCGTGAAATGACCAGAGATCTGATCTCGACATGCCATATATGCACTTGATGTGACCAAATAATGAGAGTGCCGCCTAGATATTCAGCCAGCGAGGTATCATGTGCGAAATGAAGAAAGGATGAAGACAATCAATCCAAACTTGTCTGGTCTTATCTGGACCTGCAGATACAACCAAAGGCGGACCAGCCAAGCGAGGAAACGGCCAGATGCAGAGTCCTCGGTATCCAAGACAAGATTTGACTAATTAGATTTTGATGGGGGAGAGGGGAGGTCCAAGTTCAGGGAGCTGTGAGACACTTCGTGTATGTGATATCTCAATGTTCTTCGGTGGAGCTTTTCGGCTCCGGGAGGTCGCTGGTCGAGGGGGTCCTCGCCAGCACTGCTGCTGGAAGACGAGATGGCGCGTTCATGACTGGCAGCCGTCTCTTGCTTCTCCCTGACAGCTTCTTTCTCCTGCTCCTCTGAGACTCTCTGGTCACGCTCATCCATCTTCCGTTCAATCTCGAGGTACTCTTTCTCTGTCCAGCAGCCCTGCCAGCAGTTTTTCCAGTCACAGACCAAAAATTGGAAACAGAAGGCGTCTATCTTCATGCAGGGCTGGAAGCAAATACAAAGATTGCGGTAATCCATCTTATTCTGATCGACATAAGAATGGAGGAGGTTGAGATGACAGGTGATGGCGAAGAGGAGATAGTAGTGATATGGGGGAGTTTTGAGAGTTCGTCTTTGAGTAGTTGTGGCGCCGTAGTGGCACCTTCGCATTGCTGGGCGATCATCGTTTGCGTCGCCTTCGGGAAGAGCTCGTCTGGTAGCTCTCGCAGCCAGGCTTTAAATAGAGACCCGACGGTGTTAATATCGTATAAATCGGGGACTTCGAAAAGGTCGATATCAAGTTCTGTATCGAATCGTCGCTGCCAATGTTTGACTTCTCTGCCACTGCCAGGAACTCGGTAAAGGCCTTCTTCCTCGCAACCCTTGAAGTTCAAATAGTCAACCGAGCGGTATGGCAAAGCGGGCATCCAAAATTCAGTCTTATCACGACAGTGTTCGAGTTTCTTCGCAATACGAGTCTTGCGCGCCTGCTCAATGAGAGGGAGATTGATCACTGAACATGTATAGGAGTCATCGTTGATCATCTCTCGCTCATTGGTACTACCGCTGCGGGTGATTTTGCCAAAGAAGCCTTTTCCAGCCTTGCCGATACGGTCTGCAGCTCCGCTCGAAGATGACTTCAGGTTACTGAAGATGGCCGCAGATGCGCCAGATACTTGACTTAATGAGCCCGACGCTACCATGTTACCATGACTGCGCTCTTTGCGCAAAGAAATCGTGTCTGCTTGACGCTCGGGAGGCTGCAAGCCTCCCCGTACGGTTCGTTCTGGTCGCGCAGTCGCCGAGCGGGGTTGTGCTGTTGCGCCTTGGTTGAACTCTTCTAATTTGGCTAAACCTGTAGAAGGTCGTCGTCCCGGTGCTCTGTTCCCCGCGTTTTCGTCGACTCGGATAGAGCGCGATCGGGTCAAAAGATTTGCGAATCGTTGCTTGTTTTTCTTTGGCGCGGCCGCGTCGAGATCGGTTCCAGCCTTTTTCGTATCTGTTTGTTGCGAGCTCTTGTTGCCTGAACATCCATCTGTGGAATCACGAACTGTTAGTTGCGATGAGTATAAACGGGATCAGATAAACTCACTCGTCTTTTCGGTCTCATTCACATGGGCAAGCGCTCCCAGTAGATCGGGCGTTGATCCATATGACTTGGCAGCCATTGTCATCCTGCGCTCTTTGGAACTGCCCCTGCTCTTTGGGGGTTCGGTCGAATCCCCTGAGCTGTCCGATCGCTGTGACTTATGTGATGATTTGGGTGCTTTGAGGTTGCCGAAGAAGGATTTCGATGCATCGCGTGAATGTTTGGAGTCCTTGGGGGACGGGAAATGCTGAGGAATGGCGGTAATCCCTGGTGTTAAGGGCTCGGCGGTGGCTGTGTCAGGAGAGAGCGGGAGGGTAGGGCTGGTTGCCTTGCTGCACGAGTCTTGCGTAACAGGGCGGATGGTCGCGCCTTTGAAGAGCGGAGAGCTGGATGCTGACTTGGGCGAGCGAGGTGTCAGGGGACTCAGCCCGTCCGAACTCTGGCCATTCGGTGTCAGCGGCGAAGAGACCTTGTCCTTCTTCGACTCTGTCTTGAACGAGCTCAGATCGAGGTTGGGCACGGTGGAACTGCGGTTTGGCATGCTGGACGATTGGGAAACCCGCCAGAGGGTATACGAAGGTTCGGGGATCAAGGTTCGGTGGGATCTAGACCCCGTAGCTTCGGATGGATTAATCTGACGTCCAGGAGGCAAGTCACGTTCGTCACGTCCGTCACGCCTGCGGCTGAGGTGTGTATTAATATCAATGCGGCTCGGGGTCCGTGTCGTGGTTGGGGCCAGGCGATTCGCTGGTAAGACTGACGTCTTAGCGTCAGGTGTGATGAGGATTGCGGATCAAACTAAGAGAGCAGGATCTGAAGCGCGAGATATACGGGTTAGTCAAGTTCAAAGACATGTGAAAGCAGAGTCCAAAAAAGATGAGACCGCATGTGGTGACATATGCAGGCCCCGAGTTAAAAGAACTCCTTTGTTGACGGGACAAGGCCAGGAACGAGACGCAGAAACAATGGACGGATTCTCTGCCTAATCCAGCTGATCACTCACCCTCATATTATGCTTTCGAATGTTTCCGCCGCTCGTGAGACCAAGAAGTTGTTCAAGTCACCCCCTCTTTTGGGCGCTACGGGGGATCGGCAGGGCGGAAGGGCGAGATAGGGGAGTCCAAGGTCAAACAAAATATGTCAGTGTACAATTAGTATTACAATTGTGTAGGGAGAGGGAGAGGGAAAGTGAGAAAAAATAAAGGTAAGTCAACTCCTGATCATTAGCGGTACACTAGTCCACTGAGCATACCACATAGTGATTCAAGCCACACTAGCCTATTTTTTTTAAAAAAAAGGCGAGATATTGGATTTCCCCATAACTACGTATTTGCTTCTATTACAGAGTACTCGCACTGACATGAAACACACGGATCGACATCGGTTTTAATGGAATCACACCAATCAACAAGGTAATTACCCTGCATATCTGAATTCCCCTGAAGGGAGAATATGTCATAAGAACCAAGGGACGCCGTTACGTGGATCGACTGACGGTGGATAAACATCATCTTTCTTTCTTTCTTTATTATTATTGCCCGTACGGAGTACTACGTATGTTAGGTACGTAAGTACTACCTCCGTACCTGCGTGGTCGGGTTGAAGTACAGGCGTTCCCAATCGAGTATCGAGATGGATTGAGCTATACACACATTGACAAGGGCGATGATGGAAGTGTAGATACGCCCGTGTACAAGAGTGATCCGAGTCCACTTTTGTAGGTCGGAGCCATTGGGTCTGGCAGCTGGAGCCACGGGCGGGATGATGTGCTGCCTTGCGTTGCAGTCAGTGTGGATATTCTCATTGGACGATCGGAACAGTGCCTGATTTCGCGTCCATGGGTTCGCTTGATGTTTTCTCATTGTGATCATACATCTATATTATTCTAGGTACGGAGTAGGTAGCTAATGATACAATGATCTCTAAAGCGAGGTACTCCGTACTCAACAGAGCTTTGATCCCACCCAATTGAGCCCACAAACTATATCCAGTCCCGGAGTTGAAGGATCAGGGGTAAAGCTGCAACTAAATATACACAAGAACGTGTGTGCTGGGAATCCACTTTTCTGGACTAATTTAATTTAGCCTGGGTTTCGGGTCAACCCATCTTTCCAGGTGAAAAACGATCCAACATCGCCGACTTGACCATGGATAGCTACCTCGAATTGTGGATCTGTCTTGTTTGAGAATCAATTTTTAGCAACCTCTTGCCAATTGTGGTACGGTGTGCGATTATTTGCCCCAGGCCCCTCTGTATAACATGGGAATAGTCGGAGCTTCAACGTTGAAAATCCTCCGGAGCACACTAGTCTCCAAGGTTGGAGGATTTGCACAAATAAAACCCGCAGTGGCCCTCGGGTCAACTCGAACGGGAAAAAAGATAACGGTTTAATCTACAGGTACGGAGTACGGAGTACACGGAGTAGTATTGGGATACCCACACTGGGCAGGTGTGGTGGAATTATACCCATGCGCACCCAATCTATACAACTGCGAACACTATAATATGAGTGCATTTAATATAGCAAGTCAGTGAGCTTGATATTGTGTCCAGCAATATCCCATTTGCACGCACACGAGGTTCCATCCAATCTGAAACATGGCTGGAGATGTCAAACTAGCGTGTCGGGGATGACAGTGCTTCTGTGCACAGATGTGGATATTTTTACTCTTCCAATCAATCAGGCAGATCAGCAAAGGCACAAATAATCCAAGAGCACAGGCGACAGGCTATTTCCCAGTGCAGTAGCAGATCAACGAGCTTGCCGAAACCGGCCCTAGGGTGCTGATCGCTCACGTGAGCGGTGGCTTAAAGGGCGAACAAATCAAAATTCACCAGCGTCTTCTTAGCAACAAGCCACCAAACTGTGTTTGGACACTAACCATGAGTTGCACTCACCGCCCTTGTGACGGATACTTTCTTTTCAGATCTTCGATCAACTAACACAACCAATCATCTCTTTGCTCCTTGAGAAATGGCACTAGTATCCGGTCCTGGTAGAGCCGGGGGCCCCGCAGATACGGAACTGCATACTTCGAAGCATGTGACTTACGTCAAAAACTTGGACACAGTGCGTGCTGCTTGATAATGGCCCATGGTTCTCATCTGATGCTTGATGATAGAGGAAAGATGAATTAGAATACTGGCTGACCGAACACCTACGTCTGAATGGTGTCTACTGGGGATTGACTGCCCTGCACATCCTGGGTCACCCAGATGCCCTGCCACGAGAAGAGACTATCGACTTTGTACTCTCCTGTCAGAGCGATAATGGAGGCTTCGGTGCTGCCCCAGGCCATGATGCCCACATGCTGTACACCGTCTCGGCAGTTCAAATTCTGGTCACCATCGATGCTGTCGACGAACTCGAGAAGCAAGACCGGGGTGGCAAGGAGAAAGTTGGGTCTTGTACGCACTCTTCTGATTATGAAGGTCTGCCAGCATACTAAACCTAGACAGTTATTGCAAACCTGCAGAACACAGATGGCTCTTTCATGGGAGACCAGTGGGGTGAAACAGATACCCGATTCTTATACGGTGCCCTCAATGCGCTCTCTTTGCTGAACTTGATGCACTTGGTCGATGTACCCAAGGCTGTTGCTCACGTCCAAAGCTGCGAGAACCTCGATGGCGCCTATGGTATTCGTCCTGGCACCGAGTCCCATGCAGGCCAAGTCTTCACCTGTATCGGTGCATTGGCTATTGCTGGTCGTATGGACCTTGTGAACAAGGACCGCCTTGGAGCCTGGCTCAGTGAACGTCAAATAGAAAGCGGTGGCTTCAACGGTCGACCAGAGAAGCTTGCTGATGCATGCTACACCTGGTGGGTAGGCTCCAGCCTTGCTATGATCGATCGCCTCCACTGGATCGATGGCAAGAAGCTCTCTGAATTTGTACTGCAATGCCAGGTTTGTCACCCTCCTGTCCTTGCAGAAGACTCCGACTAACCGTTATAGGATTCTGAAGCTGGTGGCTTTGCTGACCGCCCCGGGAATATGGTTGATGTTTATCATACCCACTTCAGTCTTGCAGGGCTGAGTCTACTCCATTACGAGGGGCTTGCTGAAATAGACCCTATTTAGTAGGTACTTGATGATAAATGATTCGTCCCAAACGCTAACCTTCATTCCCAGTTGTATGCCCAAGTCAGTCACCACCAAGTGTCTTGCAAGATAATTGTACACTTTTTTTGTTATGATCACAATCATGAATCATCGATGAACCTCATTGAGAACCCTCCCGCAATCTAATAACCCGTGAATGTTCTCTACCAATGGACCACGGGATACAATGCGGGAGGAGAACGATTTCCACTTTGACTTATTCCGCTTCATATCCCCCCACAATGGCCGAAGAGCTGTTAAGACATCGTGGTACATATCTCCATAGCGAATGCATCTATTGCTCCAATACTTCAAAAAATCAAATTCAGTTGAGTGTTCATTAAGTTCCGTGATTTTCCTGGTTCGTGACTGCCTTTTGAAATGTCTGTGGATGGCACCTTCTGTTTATAACACCTGCACGTGTCTGGTCCCTCTTGTCAACACTCATTGTTGACGACCTATTTCCTTCACCACCCCCATCATCGTTCCTTCATTCCCACGCAAGAGGGCATTCTCCCATCGAAATTTGGCTACTGTTAGTTGCCCTTGCCTGTCTGTATCTTTTTCAACACGTGCGCGTTCCTTCTTGGAACCATATTGGACCATGGACCAAACCAACCTTCGGTGCATCATTTGCCCCAGGAAGCCCAAATTCTGTGACCTTTCTCATCTCCTGACCCATGTGGCTTCAAAGGCTCATCTGGCTAGCTACTTCGAGCTCGGAGTTCGTAGCGCCGCCAACCCCCGTGCTGCTGACCTGCAGAAAGCCTACGATGAATGGTTTGAGGTCAATGACCTGGGTGTCTTGCTGTCTGAGCGGTTGACTTCCAAGGAGAGGCGCAAGAAGAGAAAGTCTGAGAATTCCCCAATTCCCTTCGATCCCCAGCCCACGAAGAAACGAAAGTCAGCCCCCGAGCCAATTGGTTTGAACACTCCCACGGCTCCGTCGATTGCTGATTACCTTGACCCACGTTTGGCTTACTCCTTCGATGGCATGCGTGAGGAGGACATGATCCCCCCTACTACGCCGGTTACTTGGACAGCTGTTAACAATCAGAAGACCCGAGCGGGACCAACCCTCCGATCGATGCGATTCTCAGCAGGCACAGAGCCGGATGAGAGCAAGCTGGAGGCTGAATCCCAATTGGTAACCAGCAACCCCTCGATGTACCCCGTCACGCCAACACAGCCTCGAAAGAAGAAGCACGCGGAAGACCTTTCATGGAGTGTGGATCAGGAATCCCCTGACGCCGTTGCCGAATCTACCCACCGAACCCGGGCATCAGGCAAAGCTGCGAAGGGCAAGAAGACTGGAACACGGGCTGATGAGATTGCAAGACTCAAGGGAGTGTTCTGGCCAGGCATGGATTGTTTTGATGCAGCCACATCGCCAATGCGCCGTCGCCGCAACCAGAAAAAGGATGACACTGTGCTGAAGCAGATGGAAGTTACTTCCTTGCTGGTGCAGCCCAGTGAACAGATCTTCTCTCCCTCTGGTAGCCTCCTCGCAAATCGTGTGATCACTGGTAATGTCGAAGATTACAGCCCATTGAAGGGAGAAACCCCAGTCCCTCGCCGTCGCCAGATCCGTCCAAGAAACGCCTTGATCGACCGTGACCCAAACGTGCCCCGCGCTTTGGACAGAAAGCGACAGAAGCTTGCCCCATTGAATGTACACCGCGAGTCAACCCCCGATACCCCCTTCAATGGAAACAGATCACCCCTTCATCGTGGCATGGTGGACTCGTTTCCAACTATTGGTGGCTATGACGAGGAGCTTGATATGACTGTCAATGCATTTGGCAAGCGAGCCAGGGGGTGGGTTCGACGTGTTTGCAGACGAGGATGGAAACAAACAACCCTACACCGGCCGGGGCATGGACGAAGAACCAAAAGGACGCGTTGACACACTGACACCTACTCGCCTCCTGTTGAACAAAAAGCCAGCCGCTTCTGGAGTCCGCAAGTCAAAGGTCGCGAAAACAGCAGCTGACAAGGAGAACATCGAACCTATTTTGAACCCTCATGGCCGAATTGGCTTTGGTCTCGGTCGACAAGGCTGGCACTCTCCACTTGCCAAGCGTGCTACTGACCCCGGCAACTTTGGTCCCCAATATCTTGACGAGTCGTCATTCTCTGGTCTCGGCGGCTCATACAACAACAACAGCGACAAGACTGGGTACCAGTCAAACCCTTTGTTTGCCCCCAAGTCTTGTGCCTACGACAGCCCTTTCAAACAAGAGGACGAAGCAACCCACAATGATTGGTCGTCGACCGCACAGGCTCCTGCCTCCGAGGCAACCATTCCGGAGGAAGAACAGCTCGAATACCCTGGAGTTTACCTGATCACTTCCGCCAACTAATCCGGCCCACCAGAACTTCCCCGAGAATAATTTCATGTTATCCCCCCCATAATTCACTTCCGAAAGGACTTGCCGTATATCGGCCTTACCAACAACGATTCGCTGACCATTGCCAACGACCATAAACATCACAATCCAGGTTACTTCCCTCGTCTAGTGTGCTGACCCGCGTGGTATGACACAATCTTTGCATACGTGCACAAGCTCTCTCCCCCCCTTCGCTCTCTCTGACATGAGCCATAAGCCTCACCTGGCTGTGCTACTATCACAGTTCTCTTTCACACAAGACAGATCTGTCATCTGTATTCAACCTGATGGCTTTTCCTCAACGGTGGTTTTCCACGTCTGTCGATTTGTATTTCTCCACTCCGGTGGGATGTCTGACATGCTGTACACTATCATGATTAGCCAGTATTAATAATATTAAAACGTCACGATATTCACGGGCAATCCTGACTTATTATCAGCTTTGGAATTCCTCTTATGTATGTCTGGATGCCCACCTTGGCATATCATCCATGGATATCTCAAAGCTCTCCAGGGCTATCACCCGGATCTTGACACCCAAAGGTATCTCATGAGGCTCAACCCCCTAAGTAGGCTCTCGGTGATGATACCAGTTTCTATCACTTTTAGTTGTACTATAATCAATCTCGAAGGGGTCGTTGAGAGATGCACGCGCTATTAGCTCAACCGGTATCACTGATCCGGGCAACACTTGAACGAGAGTCCTATACCCAACTTGAAGCCTTGGTATTTTACTTGAAACACGATCGGGTAGCGTTGAGATCCGGTACTCCATCGAGTCTACAAGCTGGACTTGTACGCTAGTTGCAAACCCCACCAAAGTGCCAATCGACTTGTTTTGAACAGCATGAGAAGGCGGCTTGAAATTACATTAGCTACCGTGAAAAAATACAACATAAGTTCCAAGGTTATATTGAATCGAAGTCAAAGTGGTTATGTATACTCCGTACTTGCAGACAAGGCGATAGATCTAAAAGCCTGCCAGAGCGGGCTTAAAAAGTTGCTGAGTCAGAATCCATTAACGCCTCAGCGCGTTCTGTACGCGTCGCCCAAACCACGAAGCTCCATATCCAAGATACTGAGGGATGAAGCTGGGATGATATTTTCTGTGCACTGGGCTCCAAATATCCCCCCTCATCAATCTCAGGACCAGAGCCTCCACACCGCTGACAATCCTCGTCGCAAGGTGGAAGCATCGTAACTACTCTTATCGAAATGGCGCCCCATTCGTCGCAATCATCCGCCCCTTCGCCATCTCTCAAGCGAAAGCAAGCAAGCATATCCAGCTTTTTCACCCAGAAGCCTGCATCCACTACACCCAAAGATTCCGAAGCCGCTCCGGCCCCAGTCCCGAAAAAGCAACAAGCGTCAACAACCGGGAAGACCAGCGAGTCGAAGGAGAACACCAGCCCAGCTGGACACAATGATAACAATGAAGATGATGAGGACATTGTGGCTCCAGCGCCAAAACGCGCCAAGACAGTGACGGATATAGAGGCCGAAGAACCAATTCGTGTTGCGACTAGCATTCACGTTGAAGGAGCCTCCCAGACGAGCAGCCAACGTACCGACATTTTCAAGTTCCAGAGTTCCCCTGCAAATGCTACAGGCCCCGCAGATGCTGAAGACCCCGAGCAAGAAACTCGGAGGAAGGAAAAGGAGAAGCTACACAAGCAGTTCGTTCAAAAGCTCGGTGGTCACGATTGCCAAGTTGGGATCGGGAGGAACGCTGTGAACGATACCGCCAATGCTGAGGCCGAAGCTGCAGAGGCCGAGGAGGATGATGAGCCTCCGCCTCCGCCCCCGACCAAGGGCAAGGGTGCTAAGAAAACCGCAAGCAAGCTCACACCCATGGAGAAGCAAGTGATTGAGATCAAGCGTCAGCATATGAGCACAGTGCTAGTGATTGAGGTTGGATACAAGTTCCGATTCTTCGGAGAGGATGCGCGCATAGCAGCCAAGGAACTAGGCATTGTGTGCATTCCTGGCAAGTTTAGATTCGACGAACGTAAGTGCAACCTCAATGCCAATGTAAGAAAGGAAACTCACTCTTTGCAGATCCCTCGGAAGCACATTTGAGTCGATTTGCCTCCGCCAGCATTCCAGTGCACCGGTTACATGTACATGTGAAGCGACTCGTCACAGCCGGCCACAAAGTCGGCGTGGTGCGCCAGATTGAAACTGCTGCTCTGAAAGCTGCAGGAGATAACCGCAATGCGCCTTTTGTTCGCAAATTGACCAATCTCTACACCAAAGGAACCTACATTGATGATACTGAGGGCCTGGAGGGCCCCTGCCCCAGCAGCCGGAGGGACTTCGCCGGCTACCGGGTACATGCTTTGCATGACCGAATCCAGTTCCAAGGGCCACGGCAATGACGAGCGGGTCAATGTTGGAATTGTTGCTGTACAGCCAGCCACGGGTGACGTTATCTACGATGAGTTTGAGGACGGCTTTATGCGAAGCGAGATCGAGACACGACTATTGCATATCGCGCCTTGCGAGATATTGATTGTCGGAGAGATGTCTCGAGCAAGTGAAAAGCTTGTACAGCACTTGTCTGGCAGCAAAATGAATGTCTTTGGAGACGCCGTGCGCCTCGAGCGGGCACAGAAACAGAAAACCTCCGCAGCAGAAGCACACAGCCATGTATCAAGCTTCTATGCCGGGAAGATGAAGACAACAAGCAACACAGAAGATGCCCAAGCAGCTCAACTGCTCCAGAATGTTCTTGGTCTCCCCGAACAAGTCACCATATGTCTCTCTGCCATGATCGAACATATGACTGAGTATGGATTGGAACATGTCTTTGACCTCACCAAGTACTTCCAGCCTTTCTCGGCTCGCTCGCATATGATGTTGAACGGTAACACACTTGTCAGTCTGGAGATCTACCAGAATCAAACAGACCACTCAGCAAAGGGTAGCTTGTTTTGGACTTTGGATCGGACACATACTCGATTCGGACAGCGTATGTTGCGACAGTGGGTTGGACGACCTTTGCTAGACAAGGTGCGCCTTGAAGAGCGAACCAACGCCGTAGAAGAGCTGATCGACCCTGCTCGAGCGGGCTTTGTGGAAAGAATACAAGGCCTACTGGGTAAAGTCAAGAGCGATCTGGAAAAGAATTTGATTCGCATCTATTACGGAAAGGTATGCTATAACTCATCGATAGATTTGCGTCTATGCTGACTCACAATGCAGTGCACACGTCCTGAACTTCTTACTGTTCTGCAAGCCATGCAGATGATTGCAATGGAATTTTCCGACATTAAATCACCGGCCCAGACTGGCTTTGAGTCATCTCTAGTCAGCGAATCTATCGCCTCTCTACCAACTATTCGAAAGGATGTTGTCAGATTCCTTGATAAGATCAACATGCATGCTGCCCGCACTAACGACAAGTACACATTTTTCCGCGAGGCAGAAGAAACAGAAGAGATAGGCGAAAACAAATTACAGATCGGAAGCATTGAGCACAGCCTGTCTGAGCACCTCAAAGAGGCGGCTTCTACCATCGGAAGAGGAAAGATTGAGTACTCCACTGTCTCTGGTATCGAGTATCTGATCGAGATTGAGAACAACTCACCGGCATTGAAACGCGTGCCAGCATCGTGGATCAAAGTCAGTGGTACAAAAAGAGTGTCGCGTTTCCACACTCCTCAAGTTATTCAATTTGTTCGCGAGCGCGACCAGCACAAGGAAGCACTGGCAGCGGCTTGTGACCAAGCATTCATGGCTCTTTTGGCCGATATTGCAGCACAGTATCAAACTTTCCGAGATTGCGTACAATCGCTGGCAACGCTTGATTGTCTCTTGTCTCTCGCAGAGATAGCCCAGCAACCCGGCTATGTCAAGCCCGTTTTCACAGAAGAAGCAGGCCTACATATAGAGCAAGGCCGCCATCCCATGGTGGAACAACTGTTAACCGACGCATATGTTCCCAACGACACCAAGCTTCAACACGATGAGACACGAGCCCTCCTTGTTACAGGCCCAAACATGGGCGGCAAGTCTAGTTATGTTCGACAAGTGGCACTGATTGCAATCATGGGCCAAATCGGCTCCTATGTACCCGCAGAATCGGCTCGGCTAGGTCTTCTCGATGCGGTCTTCACGCGCATGGGTGCCTTTGACAACATGCTCGCCGGCGAATCCACATTCATGGTTGAGCTCTCTGAAACAGCTGATATCCTCAAGCAAGCGACGCCCCGGTCGTTGGTCATTCTGGACGAACTGGGTCGCGGAACCTCAACGCATGATGGCGTTGCTATCGCACAGGCAGTGCTTGACTATATGGTCCGATCTATTGGATCCCTCACTCTCTTTATCACTCATTACCAGCACCTCTCTCGAATGGTGCATTCATTCCCGGACAATGCTCTCCGAAACGTCCATATGCGTTTCACAGAGACGGGCAACAAGGACAAAGATGGAGAGGAGGAAATTGCCTTCCTCTACGAGGTCACCGAAGGAGTCGCACATCGCAGTTACGGACTGAATGTTGCACGCTTGGCGAACTTGCCTTCGGCTGTTATTGACGTTGCTCGGCAGAAGAGTGCTGAGCTGGAAGAATCCATTCGCCGGAAACGCTTGGCTGGCCTTGTTGGTGCTGTCGGACGTGTCCTTGACGAGAGTTCTGGGCAGTCACCTGGAACTGAGCTTTTTGATAGACTTGTGGCCAGCGCTGAGCAGCTTTAACTTTTGACATGCATTTATGCGGGGTGAGCATTTGTGGGAGTATTGTACACTAAAATAGGCATTACGCATTATCATTTTCAGATATCCAATTTATTGGATGGCAACCTTCGAGCCCTACCTTGTTACCCATGCACAGGTTTGGGGTACTGCGGTTTTCGGATCCTTTAGCTCTTCGGAAGAGGCCCGCGCTTTAAGCACGACGATCATTTGGGGAAATCCCCAGACAAGTTAGACGTGAGCCATACAAACTACAATCACCGAAGCTCTACAAACGCCCCGAGACCCAAGACAAAGCTGAACCGGAAGATTTATAGTGTTTTTGGGGGTATTCCATTGTTCTTTTGTCCGGGCCCGGTTCGAATCGGCGTTTTGTTCTAGGTACCAGAGGAATCCAGTAGGGAGAGGGAATCAACATCACAACCTCGTTTGTCGCATTGAGCCCATGCAAGCACGCCTAATGGACGTGTTTATAAAAAAACACCAAAACCAGACCAGACCACACGAACCAGCCCTCGCGCAAGAACCTGATTTCGTATCTCGTATCAAAGTAAAAAAAAGGCTTTGTATTATCTTTTTGCGCTCTCTGCTCCTCTTTCTCGCCATCGGATCTCCATAATCCTTCCGGGACTTTCGGCATCAAATTACCAAAAAGTCAATCCACCCAAACATCACCCTCAGATCGAAACATCGGTAGAAGCGAGGCCCTCGAGAGTCGAAAGAGGACGGATATTGGGCAGCGCGGCAGCTTAGGGTTGAGGGAATTGGGAGGTTGAAGATACGGCAAACAAGGAAAGCGGGGGACTCGATTTTGGCCGAAGAAAGATCATAAGCAACCGGTCGTGAGGGATATGCGAGAGAAGACGAGAGACAAAATAGACGACGCGAGCGAAATTTCGTTTTGGTGGATTTTTAACGGAGACGGCGGGCCTCGCGCTCGGACTCGAGCAGGCAGAGGATGTCGTCAACGCGGACTGAGGGAAAATTCATGTTAGTTATGAGTTCGATGTAGGTGCGTGCGTCTTGAGATCGTTCATGGAAAATTCAATATTCCAAAATTTCCGCATGAATCTCCTTCCGTATTTGCAGATTGACAGATCCCATTGATTTCCACCTCTTGCAACGATCTCAAAGACGTTCCGGATAAAGAAAATCGGTGTCGCATACCTGGGCCCTTGACGTTACGGATGATGGAACGGGAGGTGTCGTCCATGAACTCGACGCGGACCTGGGTGACACCACCACGGGATCCTATAGTGATGAAAAAGCCAAAAATTAGCCATTGTTTTTCCTCCAAGTTTGTGGTTGAATGGTGGTCGGGCGATCTGGGGCGCAATCCCCGCGGATATCGAAATGTGGGTTTTGAGGCTTCAAAAAGCTAGGATAGCACATACCGGTGCGGCCGAGGACACGGGTCACCTTGACGAGCTTAACGGGCTGCTTGCTGGAGTCCATCTTGAAGGAAGGAGAGGGCGTTGAGCTCGAGGGTTGGAATTGGTTGGTCGGGGAGGTTAGAATGTGTCGGAGGTTGAATTTGCCCTGTTGTGGGTTCGTGCAAATTACGCGAGGGCTCAGGGCTGGACACCTGAGCCGTCAGGCATTAATGAGTCAGCATGGAGAGAATTGACACCTGACAGACGAGGCTGCAAGGCATCAGGCAAAATTTTGCAGGAACAGGCCATCCTTGCTTTCCCGACTCCGATAGCGGCTACCAGCGCTGCATGACTGATTCAGGCTCAATCATTGGATCTACCAACAACACGCCTTCGATACCTTGGAGGACGCAATGACAACGCATATTCAAATTATTTGGTGAGTTAGGGCCGTTCGTCCTCGTAGGCTGCGGTAGATGGCACATTTCTCAGCCGATTTTACACTATGCTATAAGATAGTAGTCTTTGAAAATGAGAAGTCTTTATATTATGTTCTATTATGTTAACCGTTCACGTATAGATGAGGGGATCATGTGATCCTTATCAGCAGCCCCACGTAGTGTTCAGTATGACTCGTAGGAGTATACCATTCTGCTATCTCGGCCCGCACTCGTCCCTCCAAATTCTGCCGTCAGATCAATCTCTCAATTTGCTTCAATTGAAGTTGGAGAGAAACGAAACCCAAGTTTATCTTGTTGTACATCTGGTCGCATTCTTTCACTGTTCCTTCCCCCGCGAATCACCTACCTTATAGACGAAAATGGAGGTTGTAAAAAGGTGAGTCAATCATCACTCTTCCCCCACCTCAGTCGCAACCATGAATTCGGCTGATTCGGAGGAATTGTCCAGAATCAAGGATGAGGGCCGCTACCTCCTCGCTGTCCCTAAGAGTAAGTGATCCTCAATCATGACTCAATTGAGCCAATATCACCATCCGCAAGCGAAAGAAGCTAATGGCATGCCAATCGTACAGAGGGCCGTCTGCAAGTTGAAACTCTCGACATTCTCGGTGGCTCCGGCCTGAAATTCCACCGCGAGCCACGCTCTGATATTGCGCTCGTTGATGGCACAAACATCGCCCTGATCTTCCTCCCCGCCGCCGACATCCCCACCTTTGTCGGTGAGGGCACCGTTGACATGGGTATCACCGGACGCGACCAGGTCGCCGAGCACGACGCCAGTCTTCCCGACGGTGAAGCCTCAAACGTGGAGGAATATCTCGATCTCGAATTCGGCGGCTGCAAGCTGCAGGTCCAGGCCCCCGTGAACAGCACTTACAAGAAGCCCGAGGAACTTGTCGGTCGCACTGTCGTGACCAGCTTCACTGCAATCACCGAAGCGTACTTCCGCAAGCTCGAGGGTGTTGCGCCTGGCGAGAAGATGAGCACCCACATCAAGTATGTCGGTGGAAGTGTTGAAACTGCTTGCAACCTTGGTGTCGCCGATGGTATCGTCGATCTTGTCGGTAAGTTCTGAAACTCAATTCTTGTCTGCGCACACAACATGGTGCTAATCTACGTTGCAGAGTCTGGTACAACTATGCGACTTGCCGGCCTTGGTCCCATTGGCACCGTTCTCTCCACCACCGCCGTCCTGATCAAGTCTCGCCAGGCAGACATGGCCCGCAAGGACAACTTCGATGTCCTTGAGTGGCTCGGCGCCCGCATTCGTGGATATCTCGCCGCGAAGAAGCACGTACTTTGCCAGTACAACATCCCCCGTGCCCAGCTGTCCAAGGCCTGCGTCATTACCCCTGGCAAGCGTGCGCCTACCATCACTGCCCTTGAGGAGGAGAACTGGGTTGCTGTCAGCTCCATGGTGGTGAAGAAGGAAATTCCCCGTGTTATGGACGAGCTTACTGAGGTTGGCGCCACTGACATTCTGGTGCTGGACATCATCAACTCTCGTGCTTAAAAAAACTCACGAGTTCTCTCATATATAACTACGTTGGGGGGCTTGATGCCCTAATTTTTGGCCATTGGGAGGGTGAAGGAGCCTCGGGCTTTTTACTAACACTGATGATTTAAGTGACAATCTCACACAACGTTCAGATGAATCAAAATGAGTACCCTGTCAATTTTCAGATATGTTCCGAGACTTGCGTAAACAATCCGTCGTACAACGTTGTGCTCCTGTACTCCGTAAATGGTGCGAAGTATCCAGCGAAAGTACCCTTCTAACCTTGAACCCCCCGCATTCTCCTCAAACCAAGATCTTCAGGTCTCAAATCTTCTTCATTGCTCCTGTGCTATATATACTCCAAAATTTACATGGACAGACCATCAAGTATATACAGCAATGCCATGTGCCAGGCCCAAGCCTCAAACTCCAAACGCAGTGGTATCATCAAGTCAAAACAAAACACGCAAGTCCTCTCCATCACAACTCCTTCTCACCAAGACCAACCCCCTCCTTCCTCCCCCGATGAATAGCCTTCAGACATTGCCCAACTCCCTCCAGATCACCAAGCAACCCAACATGCCCACGATCACTCTTCACCAACCCATCCTTGATAATCCGATACCCAGGCGGCAACATCGCAGCACTAGCAAGACAAACACCATCGCCAGCCGCGAACGCAAGATCGTCATACGCATCAACCTGTTTGATACTTTCGGCTGAGACGACGCGCGCACCATAGACAGTCGGCACGGACTTGCCATATAGCACCGCTGCAGGCGGGTACTTGTTCTCGGAGTGATGTGTTGGTCGGAACGCAAGATTTGATTTGAATCGCTTGGTTTCTGTCAGCGTGCGTTGGAGATACTCCATTGCGGCGGCGCGCGGGATCGTGCACGTTGTTGCGATTTTGCTGGTACCTGCGCTGCCGCGGGGGTGTGCTTGAGGGCCCACGATGCCGTCAGCGGGGTTCTGGGCTTTCTCGGCGGCGTAGGCGGCATAGGCTGCTGGGTTGGGGACGCTGTGTGGGTTGTGTTGGGGGTTGCGGGCTGTGATGTCCTTGTCTGTTTCTATGGTGGGATGTGGGGGTTCGTAATTGTCTGAGTCGTTTGTGTCTGGTGGCAGGGGCATGGAGAAACGCTTGCCGATGATGGGGATGTCTTTCAGACCCAGTCCGTTGTTGACGGTTGTTGGGACGGGCAGGGCTGGTTTGACGCAGGGTGAGAGATGGTGATCGTCCCAGGTCTGAGCATTGAAGAAGTCAACGCGGAATTCCTTTTTGCTTTGTTTATCTATGAAGCAGTGGCCGTCTTCTGGGAGGAGGGCGAAACTCGTGCGGAAGGTGAAGTTGACTTGTGCTGTCAGGACGCGCGAGCTGAGGAGGACGTCGTCGCCGTTGCGGAGAGGCCCGAGGATGTTCACACAGTGTTGCGGGACACCTGCATACACGACTCCGGCGAAGAGGTCGGGCCGCTCGTTCACTGCGTGCCGCGTGATAAGACCGCCCAGGCTGTGTGCGATGACGGTTGCGCCGCGTCTAGGCTCCCCGGGCGTCGACTGCTGGTTGCAAGGAAGTTTCTCGAGGAAGGCAATCAGCCGGCGGGAAAGCAGTTCAGGGCTGAGACGCCAGTCGTATCCATAATCGTGAACACGCAGATCACCTCGCATGGCATTGTCGCTCTTGCGGAGCCGCTTCATCAAGCGCCGACAGACGTCGACGGGACCGACATGAGAGAGAACACCCGAGGGGATGATAGTCTCTTCCATGCGCTCCTCATCTTCTGGGTTTAACCCGACTTCCAAATCCACCTTACGAAGATTGAGTCCAACTTTCATCGGCACCCAAAGCTGTCGTTGGGGTGGTTTTGCGGATCGCAGAATAGACCCGCGATATCCTCCAAGAATCACGACATCTCCGGTGAGTTCTGCCATGGCTTCCTCCAAAATAGGGTGTGCTGGATCAGGGTTGGCCCGTGGAGGAGGTGGACTAGCAGTCCGTTGTGACGGTAAGCCCCTGTCAGTTCCGTTGAGATTCCCATTGCTCGAGTTACTTCCAATCTCAGGCAAGAACGGTCGAGATCCCCAGTCCGGACGCATATCCTGCAGATGCAAAGTGGGCATACTCAGTAGCCTACTACTGGAATCTTGGAGACTATCCTTGATAGCCTTGAAGCGGCTGTTGACCTGAGCATGCACGTTTTCATACAGGGGACGCTGCTCAAGGGAAGATGCCGTGGAAGATGCACGCAAATACAACGATTGATCTGATGAGGATCTACGCAGACTTGGAGGCCGACCGGGCATCGCCGAGCTTGGTCGCCTCGCGAAAGAATGCTTCGCAGCCGAGGTCCCATCGGGGGCCCGCAATTCTGGGATTGGCTGAGCCGACTCGTCATCGTCATTACTGAAGCTATCCGGCGCAAGGGGTGACTGCGGGGGACGCCGGACCACTAGAGATGAGGTTCGCTTTGGAATCCCTGAATTCTGTTTCGCTGCGGGAGCAACAGTCTGACTGCGGGTTCGGTTTTGGCTATTGGGGTTCCGGAACGATAGTGACGGGCGCTTTCTTATAGATGCGAAATCGGGCAAGAATCTTTTCAACTCACCAGACCAGGCGCGTGGTCTGCGAGGCAGGGTGTTCTTTAACAAGGATCCAACGAACCCCGACCGCTGGCTGAGTGCCGTATCTTTCGACGGAGGCTTCTCGGAAGCCGAGGCAAACAGATCGCTTCGTGGGCCATGTGCAAGATGCTGCTCCGGTGGTTTATGCTGCACAAAGGGGTAGGTGGCCTGCTCCTTTTCGCCATATGTTCCTTCACGCGGTTGGTGTTTCTTCGGCTCCTCCGGGTCCTCCGACTCGGGCTCGGCTGTGAGCTCGGACACGAACAGACCGTCCTCGCCGACCGAGTCTGGGATTGACTCGAAATATCCACCGTAATGTTCCAAGACACGGTTTTTCTCTTCGAGGGGTGTTGCGCGGGCTTTCATGCGGCTCTGTTCGCGCCCAATGCTGACGCCCACCACGTCGCCGGCGGCATCTTCATCGGTAACCTCGGTGGAGTGCGGGATCGGATCATCGCTGTCGGAGCTGGAGAAGGACGAGTAATGCGAGGGGGAATCGGATACGGCTAGGTTCGAGGACGAGGAGGAATATACGGCTTGGTGTTTAGGTGACGTAACGGCGGCCGTAGCGCTCTCCGGCGCTAGACGTGAAGAATCCGGTCGGTCGGCAGGAATTGAAGCCATGTTGATTGTGCTCAATGATCCTGTTGAATATAGAGAGCTTGGGGAGATTATCACACAGTTTGTGCAACTATCGGCCCCAAAACTTGGATTGGTTCATGTACAATGATGCAGATCTGGCCCGGGCTCCAACGTGGGGTGTCTACCTTGCCCCTGTCTGTACAAAAGGGACGGAAGTGTAGTACAAAAGTATGAAGCAGTGAAGTGATTATCAAGATTATTTTTTCTAATGATTTCCATGACCGGAAACAGTGGGTTCCACCAGCACAGCCCGGGTCGCCCGGAAGGTCGAACTTTATGATAAACTTGATTCGAAGGATTACAGGCTAAGACTCGGGGGCTGCTTAGTCGGGTCTTAGCTATATAAACTAATTTCCAAGTATGAAAGTACTCGGGGGGTCGACCTGTCGCTGTTAGATCGACAGCGTCCGTGGTCGAAGCCGGGAGATCGGTGCCCTAACTTCCGGAATTGAGAGGAATCCAGTTTTTGCCCCTTCATGTGAGATCAGCTTATGGAGTTTGGAGAGTACTTGGATGGTTTGATATATTTGTTCATAGTAATCATGAGGGGAAATATTCAGGAATCCTCTAAACCGATTAAATCCCGATCTATTTGGAGTGTGAGAAGCGACCGGAGCGAATCTCCTCCGCGCCCTTGTCGGCGATCTGTTGATTCCGCTCCGCCCCCTCGTGAGACCCAAACGCCCGATCGACAGCCGTGTTCAACGCCCCACGCAACGACTCCCCGGCCCCCTATTGAGAACCGTTAGCGCCGTTAGGTAGCCGTCTATTAATAATTTCCAACTCACATGTACCGAAGCTGCAGCACCTACGATTCCCTTGCCGATTCCATCGCCGGCCCGCGAGCCCCGCGAGCGGTCTTGATTCTCCGCCCGCTGCGCCGTGCTAGCCGTATGCGGCAGCGGCTCATCGTTAACGATTCGATCGTCGCTACGAGCCGGCGAGGGGGACAACGGCCGCTGGTGGTTTTGTGTTGGCCCGCCGGCTGAAGACTTGGAGTAAGTGGCGCCGGTGGATGGGTTGACGCCTTTGGTTGTGTCGTACTGAGAGCGTTGGTCGCGGAGACCGGTTGGAAGACCTGGGGCGCCAGTTGATGAGCCGCCGCCCACGGCACCGCGAGCATGGTCGGCTGGTTCGTATTGTGGTTGTTGATTCATTTCGTCTCTAATGTATACAGCGTATGGATGGAGAAACAAAAGTTGGCGAAGAGTTGGCGAGTATATACTGACTACTTCGGTGACGTCAGGATGAGCGCAGAGACTAGTACGCGGTAGATCTATATCGTTTCTAGTCTTGCCTACACTTGTACTGCGTGCATTGTAGCTATCAAAGCGTCTACATGATGATATTTTAACATACTGCATTAAACAACATCTAACATACCCGATTTAATGCAGAGATCATTCAACTGGGCCGAGCCGAGGTCCAAGGAGCAGTTTTCCTAATTTGGAGCATCTCCGATACCCCAGAATCCTTTTTCTTCACCAATATCCCCCCCATACTCTCCTTTCTAATTAAATCCCTCGAACTCATTCAAAGATGTCTTACAAACAAATCATCTACACTACCCCACCGGCTCCGGCCATCGACCCTTCCCTCACATCAGGAACCTTCCGAGTAAACACCACCCCCATTCCCAAAGATGTGCCCGCGGATAAAATCCTCGTGCGTGCGCACTATCTCTCCCTCGATCCAGCCATGCGCCAATGGCTCACCGCCAAACGCTCATACATCGCACCAGTCGAGCAAGGCGCCGTCATGCGCGGCCAGAGCATCGCCCAGGTCGTCTCCGTCGGCAGCAACCTGACTTCCAAATACACCGCCGGCGACTGGGTCGTCGCCTACTCCGGCTGGCAGGAGTATGCGCTCGTCAGCGCAAAGGAAGCAGAGAAAGTCATCGTGCCTCCGGGCGGTCGCCCCACAGACGCAATGTCAGTCCTCGGCATGACGGGCTTGACCGCGTACTTTGGTATGATTGAAGTCGGGCAGCCGAAGAAGGGGGACACGGTTGTTGTGTCCGGTGCTGCGGGTGCGACGGGTATGGTCGCTGGACAGATTGCGAAGATCAAGGGCGCCAAGCGCGTTGTGGGACTCGCTGGGTCGAAGGAGAAATGCGAGTTCCTGGTTAAGGAGCTGGGCTTTGACTCGGCGGTTAACTATAAGGATGCCGACTGGCGGAAGCAGTTGAAGGAGGCGACGCCGGAATATATTGATGTCTTCTTTGATAACACTGGTGGTGAGATCCTTGATGCTTGCTTGGCTCGTGCGGCGAAGGACTCGCGCTTCGCTATCTGCGGTGCGATCAGTCAATATAACTCTGCGAAGCCGCAGGGCCCGGCTAGCTTTATGAGTGTCATTGTGAGTTTGGTTGTTGGATTTGTGGGAAGATCTTGGCTAAATGATTGCAGTCTCAACGGATTACCATGAAGGGATTCATTGTCTTTGATTTCGCGAAGCAATATCCTGCTGCGTTGAAGGAGCTGGGTACCTGGTTGGCCGAGGGTAAGCTGAAGCGCAAGGAGCACATTGTTCCCGGTGGCTTGGAGGCAGCGCCTAAGGCTCTCATTGACCTCTACGCTGGTGCCAACACCGGTAAGATGATGGTCGAGGTGGCTCCTGTCACCGAGGCATTGGCGAAGGCCAAACTGTAAAGAGTAGACTCTTCTACCCTTTCACTCTAATGCCGTCACTTAGCACATAAATATCAGTAGTTTTGCCTCTCTCTCTCTCAGAGTACAATAGACCGTATGAAGCTGTCGAAGTTGTGTAACACCTTCTATATGCTGTGTACGAAATTGCCCAGACGATAGACAGCTCCAGGCCTTCGGTATGGAAACACCAGCGCTAGAAAAAAAAATAGAACAATGAATGATAGAAACAAGCTCCCTAGTCTGTATATCAGCCTCTTGGCATCGGGAGCACATCAATCTTGAACCTAAAACCTTGGAATCCCCGAGATCCACCTGGGCAGGCTTGAAAGCATAGTGTCTCCAATCATTTGTTGACATCATTCTGACATATGAACTTACAACTGCAGCAGAACAAGAAACCGAAAGTTACAAGCTCTAGATCCAAGGATGATCTCAAACTCCTTTGATGACCTATTGATGATCTAAGTAACGATACCCGTGGATGTTTGCAGCAAGGAAATGATCGACCCGAACAGGTTTGGATATTAGAAACACTCAGACAGGATAGAAATAAAGATATTCCACGGTATATAAAGCTTTTTTGATGCAGCTACCTATCATGTCGTTATATCATCCAGTTCATCCTATTTTACGGGCGCTCTCTACGAAGTACCCCACAAGCACAACACCATTTACAAGAGCTTTCTATCAGTATCATCGAAAGCTCACAGCACATCCCACACGACAATATTCTATCTCAGGACCAAAAATGTCAGCACAGCAGATTAATCAAAGCTTCAAGCTGGAGAATTTGTTCAATGTCAAAGGCAAAGGTAAATTCTAACGTCCATTGAATGACCAACCACAACTAACAAACCCAGTGGCCCTAATCACGGGCGGAGGCTCAGGAATTGGCCTCATGGCCACCCAAGCTCTCGCCGTAAACGGAGCCAAAGTATACATAACCGGCCGAACAGAAGAAAAGCTATCCCGCATAGCAGAGCTCTACGGCAAGGACATAAGCGGCGAGATCATCCCCCTCACAACAGACATTACAAAGAAGGATGAGATCCGCAAGCTTGCCGACGAGATCTCCGCCCGCGAAGGCCACCTCTCGATCCTCATGAACAACGCCGGTATCTCCAGCAAGACACAAGAAACCGAGCACGAGAGCGCAGGCAAGCTGCGCGAGTCTCTGTTCGATGACCCAGGCGCCACATTCGAAGAATGGGACAATGTCTTCCGCACGAACGTCTCCCAGCTCTTCTTCGTGACGACCGCTTTCCTACCGCTACTGCAGCGTGGCTCTGAGAAGGAGCACGGCTGGTCCAGTACCGTGATCAACACGACTTCCATCTCGGGTATTGTGAAGGTCTCGCAGCATCACTTTGCGTATAATGCTTCGAAGGCGGCGGCTATTCATTTGACCAAGATGCTGGCGCATGAGATCAGTTCGTCGAATTTGACAATTCGAGTGAATAATATTGCGCCGGGTGTTTATCCCAGTGAGATGACAGCTGGGGAGAGTGATGAGAAGCAGAAGAGCTTCATTCCTACTGAGAGGTATGAGAAGAAGGTCCCTGCTGCTCGACCGGGGAGAGATGAGGATATGGCTAGCACGGTGCTGTTTGCTGCTGCCAATCAGTATCTGAATGGGCAGACTGTTGTTGTTGATGGAGGATATGTACTTGCTGCTGGGTCTGTGAATTAGAGTGCTGGTCATCTGATTAAGGGATGAATCTATTTTTTGGGAGTTCGATGTGCTCATTCAAAAGGCGGAGCTAGCTCCGAGGAGCATGTTAAAAATTATTGGTGTTAACACGTTGTAATCAAAAGCCTTTATCTCCTGCTTCGCAGACTTGGACGCCTTGTATCCATTCAGACTGCATTAGGATGGCGGTAGTGATTCGTTTCCACGGTCGAGGGTTCAGCATGGCATAGACGACATTACGTCTTCTCTATTGATAGAATATCAGTAAGAAGCGAATCAGTAGAGAAGTTTGGGTACGTACTGTTCCTAGTGATTCAATGGGGGTGAACCCATCTTGACCACGTCGAGCTTCAAGATATTCCAAGTACCGTGCATCTTCGCAATGCAAACGAGCACTACGCCATAGAAGCCGACCCGTGATAAGCGCCATATATATCATGGCAGCGGCCCAGACATCAGCGGGACGAGGATCGTGGTCGTCGAAATCGAGATTGCCCTCACTATGTCGACGTTCGGAGGGGTGAAATCCTTCCGGGGGGATATAAGGGAGACTGATCATGCCGAAAGCAGAGGTGTGCGGTTTTGCAGAGACACAAGAGAAACTGGAGATGTGTCGGGACCACGAATTGAGTGGCCAAGGCAAAGTGAGCCACCAAGCAGATGGGTAGGATTTTGAGCGTGGGCGAGGCTGCTCTTCTACTCCAGGAGTTGGAGCTATGCAGGCAGCGGACTCTGCCCACATCTGCCGGATATGTCCATCACCAAAACCGGCGACTTTGACGGCTCCGTTGGCGGTAAGCAGAACAGTCTCGAGGCGGATGTCACGGTGGGCAATGCCATGTTTGTGAAGGTAAGCGAGAGCTCGCAGGATCTGCGTTAAAATGCAATCTGCTTCCATAGTTGGGATTGGTCTGTTTCGTGACAAGAAGATGCCAAGATCTCCTCCTGCACAGTAGGGCATGACGAGACAGAGCTCCGAACGCTCATTTTGGAGTATGTCGAGGATGGGGAGGATATTAGGGTGATTGGGGTGAATAGCTGTAGATTGGGAGGAGCTTGGGGGCTCATTCAGGATTGAGTGTCGGTACACCTTGATTGCGAGTAGCTGGCTGTGTGTTTGGTCTTCATGAAGGCGCGTAGTGCTATTTGAGCCATAATGGATGATTTGATGGCAACGGCCGTACCGTTTCACAAACGGCACATTGGACGGAGGAATGTGATCGGAGATGGATAACACCGAATCTCGCCTGAGCAGTGGTTGCTGATCGGTTGGGACTGCGGTCAGAGGCAAGAGGGCGCTGATGGACCAGCCACTGGAGCTTTGTCTGGTACAGTCGGTGGGTCTGGCGGAGACCTCTCGCTCTAAATGATCGACGCTTCTTGGGTGCATAATCATAGCAATTTAGATAGCTGTCACGGAATTCAAAGAGTCCCGGAGAATGGGAGAGGGATATGAAAGGATAATAAATTCAGTTCTCGGTCTCTTTACGATAGTGTGTGTGGCATAGACTACAAACGGTACAAATCTCGCAAACAGAAGAGTGTCCCGTGGATGGGATTGGAATCAAATCCCTCGTGTCTTTCGGGGAGCTCGCGTGGAATATAATATGTTGGCGATAGGACAAATAAAGCGCTCACGACGATCCCAATTAAGAGTAAGAGGGTAAATGCCAAAAAGCATAGCTGAAATCAGCAATCGAAGTAGTAACCTATTGCGAGCAAGTTCGAGTGGTCAAATGCGTCTGGAGTATAAAATTTCGGTGGTGAAGAAAAATCCCTCACGGGAAAATCTCAACTACCGTCGCCGCGTGAAAAATTCGAACCAATACGGAGTAATTCCAAGTTCCATCTCGGAAAAAGTTCGAACTACTCTTCCCATGGAAATTGGTGCAAAATCAGAAAAGGACTGAGCCTGGAAACCCTGGGACCCCTGGGAAATGTGGTTAGGGCTGTGCTGAGAGACCCGTTTCGTAACGGTACCAGACTATATTTACAGGTAATGATTGGCCGGGGAAGCAATTTGGTGGTAATATTTCAGCACAAATGGTATATGTATTTTATTTGGTGCTTGAATCTCTGGTCTCTTCTGAGGTTTAACTTCCGATTGACAGCTGCCACAGGTACATTACATGTACCTGGCATACTATGGAGAGCTCTAGAGCTTAGCATGTACCTCATCGTATCAGAGCGCTTTTTTCTTTTTCTTAATCCCCACCAGTAGGATCGAGATGCCCATTGTTTTTTTTTTTAAATCACTCATAGTTTCATAGTTTCCCACATGGATTGTCATGTCGCGTGGCTGCTTGCATCCAAAGGGTTTACCTTCCCAATCCAGCCCAGCTGAGATCTAAGCCAGCTTGGACCTAGTCAGTTACGAGCCTGGCTCCTACATAAAAGCCCTTCCACTTCCTTCTTCGTCTTGAGCTTTGCATCTGTACGATCTGTCTTTCTCTCTCCTTCTCCTTCTCGTTCTCCTTCTCGTTTTCCTTCTCTGGGTGTCTTTCTATATCCCCTCTTCTGCTTGTTCGGGCTCCAATTTACCTTTTCCTGTACCCTCCATCAACTATTACACACCCCTCCACAATGAGTCCAAATAACTCTAAACGTGAGACCGACGTCGAGTCAGACGGCGATCAAATGAAGGATGACCCTGATGCTACGGGCCGCTCTGGTCGGATTACCTTTGAGGAAGCCACCTCTGCGGAGGGCCTTCGGTCTATCTACCAACCGACTCATCTCTCCCGAACTCGCTCCATCAGCCGTGATACCATCCGCAGCAGCCACAGCAGCATCCAGGGCGGAGCTACGCTGCCCATAGAGTTCCGGACTCTGTCTATACATGTTTCGGAGTCTCAACAAGCCCCGAAACAGATCATCAACGACCCCACAAAAGAGAAGCACCCACAACAAGACTACTTTGAGAACTTGGACTTTCACATCGTCTCCCCTGAGAGATTGTGCCAGGAGTTCAATGTCGACCAACGTACTGGACTCACCTCTACCTCTGCTGCTACTCGCTTACAGAGAGATGGAAAGAACGTCATCGCACACCACAGAGAGAATTATCTCAAAAAGATCTTTTTCTATGTCTTCGGTGGCTTTTGCTCCGTTCTTTGGGTGGGTGTGGTCATCTTCTTCGTCTGCTGGAAACCCCTCAGCAATCCTCCTTCCGCTCAGAACCTCGCTATGGCTGTTCTCATTCTTATCGTTATTGCTCTCCAAGCAAGCTTCTCGGCCTTTCAAGATTGGTCCACGGCCCGGGTCATGAATTCAATTCTAGGCCTGCTCCCCGCAGAAGCGATGGTCATGCGTGATGAGAAGCTGGTTCAGATACCCGCCGCTGACCTCGTCGCTGGAGACATTGTCCACATTGGAATTGGTAACAAGGTCCCGGCCGATATGCGCATTCTTCAAAGCTCAGGTGATGTCCGATTCGACCGGGCAATCTTGACTGGCGAGTCAGACGAGGTTGAAGGCGCCATCGAGTGCACCGAGATCAACTTCTTGGAGACTCGAAACATTGCCCTCATGGGAACAGGTGTGACAAATGGAAACGCCGTTGGTGTCGTCGTCTTGACAGGATCTCGCTCGGTGATGGGTCGCATTGCCTCAGTCACAGCCGGCGTCAAGCAAAAGAAAACTTTGATCCAACGTGAGATCAATCGCTTCGTCACCATCATCGTGGTCCTAACGGTCTGTCTGGCGCTACTGATTCTGTTCACTTGGCTGGGCTGGTTGCGGAAAGATCACCCGTCCTACATGAGTGTGGTCGCCATGCTGAACAATGTCATGGGATGTGTTGTGGCCTTCATTCCCGAGGGAGTGCCTGTCGCCGTCGCCTTGACTCTCATGATGATCGCAAAACGCATGAAGAAGACCAACATTTTGCCCAAGGGTCTCGCAACCGTTGAGACTTTGGGTTGTGTGAACGTGCTCTGTTCTGACAAGACTGGTACCCTCACCCAGAACCGCATGTTTGTCAAGTCTCTTGGAATGGTCGATTGGGAATACAACCTTGAAGACCTGGCTCCCGGCGAGTTCGGCACAGTTGACCTCCCCGATGGACTGCGTGACATGGTCCGCGCATCAGTTCTATGCAATGACGCTATCTACGATCCAACAACCATGAACAAACCTGTCCATGAACGAACTGTCCATGGCAATGCAACTGATGCAGCTGTTCTGCGATTTGCGGATAGTGTGGGCATGACTTCACCCAAAGCATTAGCTGGATATGATCGAGTCCACCAGATTCCTTTTAACTCCAAGAACAAGTGGATGCTCACTATGCACTGTGAGCCGGGCTCGAGCAGTGAATATAACCTCTATGTCAAGGGAGCTCCCGACGTGCTTCTAGATCGTTGCTCTACCTACTGGTCAGCAGTTCACAATGCAATTCGTCCGCTGGACCTCGAGGCTCGTGAACGGTTCTCGAACTTTCAGGCCAAGCTATCTCGTCGCGCAGAGCGGGTGATTGTCATCTGTCAACGTCGTTATGCCCCTCGCTCTGCTCCTGGCTCCAACGACTTCAGCGATGAAATAATGGAGTCTGGTGTGAAAGATCTCACTGTTCTTGGTATCTTTGGAATTGTTGACCCACCACGTGAGGAGACAGCTCGAACAGTCGCTTCTTGTCGCAAAGCAGGCATTCGCTTCTTTATGGTGACTGGTGACTTTGGATTGACTGCCGCTGCCATCGCTCGAGAGATCGGAATCTACAATGGAAGTGTCGAGCCTGATACCGTTGACGACCTCGGGGATGGTCTTGATCCTTCAATGGAGATCAAAATACCAAAGTCCCGCCAGAGCTTACTTCTTGAAGGCCCCAGCTTGTCATCTCTGACGTTGGAGAATTGGGAGACAGTCTGCGGCTACGATGAGATTGTATTTGCCCGCACTACTCCCGAGCAGAAGCTTCGCATTGTGAAGGAACTTCAGGCCCGTGGCTGTGTCGTAGCCGTGACAGGTGATGGTGTCAACGATGCCCCAGCACTGCGCCAAGCAGACGTTGGCATCGCCGTTGGATCTGGCAGCGATGTTGCAATTGAAGCCGCTGATCTTGTCCTCCTCGAGCGCTTCGACTCTATCATCGAAGCTATCCGCCTTGGCCGCTTGGTCTTCCAGAACCTGCAGAAGGTCATCGCCTACCTGCTGCCCGCAGGTAGTTGGTCTGAGATCTGGCCTGTCCTCATGAATGTCTTCTTCGGCTGTCCTGTACCTCTCAGCACTTTCCTCATGATCATCGTCTGTGTGTTCACTGATCTGTTCCTATCCCTCTCCCTCATCATGGAGAAAGAAGAATTCGATCTCCTAAGCCTACCCCCACGCCGTCCAACAAAGGACCACCTCATCAACCTCCGTATCTACGGACAGTCATACCTCTTCGTCGGTGTCATGGAAGCATTCAGCGCCCACGCGATGTTTTTCCTGTACATGTGGCGCCACGCCGGCATCCCCTTCTCCGACCTAATCTTCGCCTTCGAGAACTACGGCGAAGGCTTCCACGGCTACACCGCAGACGAGCTGAACCACTTCATCAGCGTGGGTCAGTGTGTCTACTTCGTCACCTTGGTCATCATGCAATGGGGCAACGTGCTATCCGTCCGCAGCAAACGGATGTCCATCCTCCAAGCTGACCCCATTCGACCTGCGCGTCGCAACCCATGGCTGCCTCTCGCTATTCTCATCTCCCTCGTCATTGCCATCTTTGTCACGGAGGTTCCTGGGATCCAGAACATCTTCAGCACGGCTTCTGTTCCCATCGAGTTCTGGCTTATCCCGCTTGGTCTTGCTATGGGTGTGCTCTGTATGGATGAGTTGCGCAAGGTTCTTGTGAGACTCTTCCCCAAGGGTCCTGTCGCTTGGGCTGCATGGTGATTTGTCCTCGAAGGTTGAATAATGATTGATAGCATTTGTATATGCATCCTGGTTCATCGGTTTACTTTAGAAATGGACACTCTAGCTTAGTTTCGCTTGACATTCGCTGGAGATTGTGAATCGATGATCTATGTATTATTTAATTGATTTTCAATACCTACTTCCGGTTCTATGGTGAAACACGGTCCCCAAAGTGCCCCAAAGTGGTTACTTTGAAAGATGAAAGCCGAGAGATGAAAGCCGAACTCAATTGCTTGTAAACCACTAGAGCACCAGTACCAATAAAACAATGCATCAAAGGGCATGAAGGGCTAAAAATACAAGATGAAGAAAGGCCAACAATCGAGGGCTAGGAATGACTTGAGTATAAAGAAACGAGGGATCCATCCAATAAAAGATATAGAGGCAAAGCGGAGCAAGCAAGGTGTATATGAATTTGGAAGAAAGGTAACATTTCCCCCCGTGTATGCTGTAGCGAGTGGATATCAAGATGAATCATGATGTGGGTATGAAAAAAAAAAAAAAGAAAGGAAAACAACAAATCAATCAAGGAGTGAAACAGCAAGCACAGAACCACGGCCTAAGGCTGTCGTCATTCTCGTTGCTGACGGACCTTTCCAGCTTCGCGGACAGCTTTCATGAACCCATCTTCGTTTCCGGACGCAGTGAGAACCCAATAATCGGCTACGCCGGGGTTTTCGATTGAACCACCTCCGAAACCTGCAGCTGCAGGAGCGCTGTGGCGATCTTTCGGCTTTTGGGTGTTGGCGCCGACGTGCCGGGGTCCCCAGCCGAGGATGTCTCGTACGACTAGGCGGGTCTGTTCGTCTCCCTGTTGGAAAGAGAATAGCTGAGTTTGTAGACAGCCGAGAATTGCAACGGCTGAACGGATCATGATGCGATCACCTTCGAAAACCCAGCAATCCCAAACGCGGGAGAGGCGCTCGAGATCGAGGCCGTTTGTCAGGAGAGAGCGGAAGATAGGCTCCCATAGTTCTTCGTCGGAGAGGTTGAAAGTCTGGGTGAGATGGGTGTACAGTCGCGGGAACTTGTAGCGCAAGGTATCGGAAGCCAATGTATAAGATCGGGCCATGGCTCCACGGTCCCAGGTCAGGAAAGCAACTGGTAGAGGGCGGTTGAGAGCGTTTGCCATAGCGAGGAAGGCGGAGGATGGGGTTGGGAATTGGAGTACGAGGAGGGCGGCGATGGTGTGGAGACCATGAATGTAGCCCACGTCGCTGCGATACATGCAATATGCCTGTAGAACATCGACGAGGGTGTCATGGAGCGGGCCGCCTTCTTGGAAGAGGTTAAGATCAGAGAAGGCCTTTGGAACGTCGTTGTCAATTGCATCGAAGCAATCTTGTAAGCGCTTGTTGATCTCATTCTCGGCGTCTTTCTTGCCCCGAAGATCCTTTGCTCTTTGGAGGGCCATTGTGAAGGTTTCCTCGCTTAATGATAGCTCATTGCCGATGGCACGCGCCCATATGGAGCCCCGGTTACGAGGCGGAATTCCACGCCACCAAAGCTCGCGAATTCGAGGCTCGCGGAGGGCGCGGTCCCAGTGTGGGCACACATATTCATCCCAAATGTTTTGTAATGTTGACCGAGTGTTATCCTTATCGCACTGTGCAGACGCTTCCTTGGCAGCCTTTCGTTTTTCTAGGAGGCTGATTAGAGAGTTGATATTGATTCGGGACATCACTCAAGTACGTACCGGACTCCCGAGACAGGGCCATCATTTCCTGATATTGCTTCAAATGCTTCTTTTCCTCCTTTTGGTCTTTGGGCGGAAGCCAGCTAGGGCGGGTCCGCGTAAGCACCTTCTCTTTCTCTTTGCTGATCGGCAATGGATCGATCATGATATTAGATCTTTGCACAGGCGGCAAAGCAGTAGCCTCACGGGATGCGCGATGTGAGTCCTCGCTGGACTTCCGTGTGGCACCCGTCTGTACGTTTTCCTCATGCTTGCGGTCTCTATCATCAGCGTGCAGCTCCAGAGCTTCGGTGATGATCTTCGCTTCTTCGGACAGATCTGTCAGATAACTATTATACGAATAGGTGCGGGGGTTGCGTGGCGATATTTGACCACGCTCCGGTCCTGCGGAGCTCGATCGGTTTATCCGCTTCATGCGGGATGCTTTCGCAGTGTTTTCGGGCGATTTGGACGCATGTTCATCGGATATAGCATGCTGGAAAGGCAGCGGGCGACGGCCAGGACTGCGACCATTGGGGCTTTCTGGTCGAGAGGGCGCTCGTTCTTGTGCTGGGCGCGGCGAAATGGGAATGTTCCACAAGCTCGCATCTTCTGGCAATTCGTCGTCCGAGTCGTGGTATTCTTCCTCTAATTCTTTCAGCGATTTCCGGTTGGGCTGCCAGGTTTGTTTGTTAACAGGCACTCGCGCAGAGAGCGGAGACAAAGCCAAACTAGTGCTCGAGGCGGAGCGACTGGAAGTTGGGCGGAGTGGTGACACGGACCGCGATCGGCGAGGTTGGGAGGGTGCCAATCCGGGGGATTGCAGCGTGCTGCCTGAGTCTCTGCGGTTTCCAGATTTTGCCATAAGAGAGCCCGATGATTTTGGAGGCTTCGCCCCGCTCAACGGAGGTAAAGGACTTCGCTTTCGAGGTTTCGGAGTAGCGGTCAAATCGCGTGTTGAGGTCGTGGGGCCTTTGCTCGACATTCGAGCAGCAGGCGACCGGGCCATAGCTCCAGCACGGCCATACGAGCCGACGGATTCCATATAAGACAGGTCGGCATCATCCTCCAAGCCGATTTCTTCAAAGTTCGAGATGTCCGTGAAAGCACTGTCTGGGCCGTCTAGGTGGGAGGAGTGGAAGGAGGAGGATTTCGAGGATTTCGACCCGGAGAGCTCGGGGGGAGAATTGGGGGTCGCGCCCACGGTGGTCATTGTCTCATGCGCTTGTTCGATTGTTTTGATCCCCCGCAGATTTCGACCATAAAAAAAAACCACACGGCAAGTGGGAGGAACGGGATGGCCGGAAGGGGTCGATACTGGATGCGAGGAACCAGGTGCCAGAACACAACAATCAATTAAAACAACACTAATGTCAACGTTTCAGAAACCAAATTGCAGGCTCGGCCGTAGCCTGATTAAATCCAGATCAGGTGTAGTCGGTTAAAGGGTTCAGGAGAGGCCGCTATTAGCGTAGGGACACGGAGAGAAGGGAAGTAGTAGAAAAGAATGTCGGTCAAACAGAAACAGGAAAAGCAGAAGAAGAAGAGAATCAAATGAAGGACGTAGAATACAATGATTCTGGAGTAGAGTAGAGGAAGAAGGGAAGAAACGAAGAAACCGTGATGCTGCAAGCGGAGCCTCAGGCCAGTGCCGCACTCGGTCTGGCCGAGAACAGGGGGTACCTCGGGGATACCTCGTCCCACTAGCACTGATCGGGTCATCGGACAGGTACCCTTCAAGTATTTTGATTGCATGGTGATCGAAGCCCCCGATCTTGGAAGGGATAAGCCTACACAGCCTTGTTTGTATCCCTGAACACAGACACTTCTGAGTTTATTCCGGGTCTTCTAGCTTTGGTTGTTTCTATTGTAGTCCGTACTTCTTTTCATTTTCTTTGCTTCCCCTCCTGACTAGGTCTCTGTTGCCCTAACGGGAAATTAGAGGTGTGGATAGACATCTCCTATTGGACAATGGAACCGTGGAGAAGAAATTAGGCACAACTTGGCATCGGGCTTCTTTCTTGTGCTTGTTCCTGATCGGCTCTACTCTACAACGTGGTATCATACATCTCATTTCAGCCCAAATATATTTCAAAATCGCCATGTCTCAAACATCGCATTGCCCTTCTTCACCACATGTGTCATTCTCAGTGTTGCGGAATCTGAAGTGGGTCGAGCCTCGCGAGCCAACGAGCCCAGCCAACGCAGCTCGGTCACATACTTCGTTTGTTTCCGCTTCAGGACGAATCGGAAAGCGGCCGCAGCCAGGAACTTCAACTGAGAAACTTGGACAAAACATGAGAATGAGCTGTCTTTGTCGACCCGCCGCCCTTGGATAGAATTGGCTGCCAACTCCACCAGGTCGCGGATTGTCTGCGTGACGATCGCGGGACTGGGGTGCGCACGTCCCCGTAGTGACTTCATGTACCGATACATTTTCATGGCGGAGGTCATGAAGCTGGCGTATAGATTCTCCAGCACAACCATGCGAGAATTGTGGCCGTCGTCAATATACATTGAGTGCAGCTGTAGGCGGAAGGTTGAAAGAACTTTGCGGTTAAAGGTGCGCCCGGGAAAGCGAGTTGCTTCAACTGTCAGGGTGTTGGAGATTGTTGCAGCGGCCGTTTCGCCGCTTTCCAGCTGGCGGTCTTGGTCGCGGTGGAGCTCAAGAGTGTGTGTAGAGATGAGGGTGCCACAGTAAGGAAATAGGTTGGAACCCTCAAGCCGTGGGAGGAATATGCCATCAACTGCTGCGCTGAAGTTGGCCATGCTTTTTGCCGGGTTGACTCGGACCCCATATGATGGTTGGCCACCAATCATGACTTCTACAAAGCGCATTGCCACGTCTCGTTTGGGCGTGATGAGCAAGAAGTCATCCACGAGTCTGAGGAGGAGAGAGTTCTTGGGGTCGATGAATCCCAACACGTTTCGCTCCAGCTCCGCGTAGAAGAAGTTACAGAGTATGCTGGACAAGACAGAGCCCTGGGGAATGCCGTTGCGCTGACGGAAGAATTTCTTGCCCATCTGCACGAGATTACTGCGGACGTGCTCGTCGAGAAGGGCCATTAGACCCTCAACATTCTCATCTTTCTGCCCATGCAAGTCCACGAAAACGGCATTGGCCTTTCGTCGAGAAGGCCCGCTCTTGACAAAGTCCGGTAGGTGTTGTGGATTATCTGCGAGTGCAGCACGGGATAAGAATCTTCGTGTAGGTTTCGCGTTTTGCATCTTGGTAAGAGGTGGTTGGAATTCCACGTGTCTCGACATGCGGTAATTCTCCCCAGAGACCAAATCTGCGATGAGATTGAGTAGTTTCGCCTGTGGGATGGTATCAAAGCAAGCCTGTATGTCAAGCTTTACAAAGTACAGCGGTGGAAACTTGGGTTGCTGGGACTGGGGACCTGGTTTGAGTTGACCAGACAGCTGTTCCTTGAATGTCTTCAAGCGGTAGTGAATATCTCCAACGGACAGCAAGGTGGATCCTAATTTGGCAGGAGCTCGCAGCCGTTCGTAGGTCAACATATTGTAAATGGGGGTGATACTTGTGTTGATGCTGGGAGCAAGGAACGTCTGGTTCTTCCCCCATGTCGATTCCTTCGGCACTCGTTTGCGCAGATTTAAGATGGGCCGGATGCCCGTAGATTTGGGGAGCAAACGGAGGGCACCATACCCGAGAGACTTCCGTGCCAAAACCCGTTTGGCACGTTCTGGCTCGAGCTCCTCAAACATTGTAGCCTTCAATTTACCGAACGGCTGCTCGATTAACTGTTGCCATACATCGTGACGGAAGTAAAAGAGCCGGTTTCGATGTGTCTGAGACTCGGTGACATAGAAAGTTGAGCGAATCAATGGAATGATGAGCGATTCAAAAATCCAATAAATGAATTCATGAAGCAATTCGGTGCGTTTACGCAAGTCAGATAGAGCGATCTTCGATCGTGTCTCAGATCGTGAAGTCTGGGTCTGGGGTGGCTCCAGCCAAGCAATACAGGTAATCTAGCATGTCGATCAGTATGGATATGTCTCAGATGATCAGATCAATGACGAACCTTGACACCTTTGCAAACCTCATGCAGACTCATACTCTCGAATCGGCGCATTTTGATAAACCGATCAATATGGCGCATCACAACTTTATAGTTCGAAGTGCCCTCCGGCCCATCCCCCAACAACTGTCGGGAAATCAATTTTTGAAAGACCGCCCGACAAAACGCCGACACTGAGGATGGCGGCGTCGCATAATCGATCAAACCGACTGGGGCATGTCGACTCGATTGCTCAGCTCCACAAGATGCCCCCAAGGCTTGGTGCGGCTCCAATGTCACGGGGCTAATATGGGGAGCGTCGTCTTCCGGGGTCCTCTGCACCTGTGTTACTAATTTTGACTCGAGAGACGAGATAGGCTGGCTTTTTTCGGGCGTCAGAGCGAATGCGCCAAGTTTCGCCGGACCGCTTTTCTGCAAAAGGTCAGCAACACACCAGCCATGCAAAGCGAACGAAATGTCTCACCTCAGTCGGACAATAATATCGCAATAATTCACTATAGGAACACTGCGCATTGCGATTCCGTAACTTCCGGACGGTTTCGACCATACCACGAAGTCTTTTGGGGACTTTGAGACTTCCAACGCCACCACCTGCATCTGCATCTGCAGATTCATTCTCAGGCCGGGGCTGTCGAAGTTGCCTCTTGTAGTCTAGCTGAGAGATTTCCTTCTCTCGAAATATCCCGCTTTTGAAAATGATCGTGCTGTTGCGACCATCGGATTGCGGCATAAACACATTATGCAAGCCGAATTGCCGGGGAAACATGTACTTCATCACATGAACGGTTTGAGCCTGTGAATCAAGTGACGAGAAGCGGTTGAAGACATCTAGATATTATTAGCGCGAAGCTAAAACACAACGTTCAAACGGGAGACATGCGTGTTTGCCCCAGTCCACAGGGCATTTCTCTTTTAGACTCGATGCGCCCGTAAAGGATCCGCCGACGGAGGAACACAATACTATTTGGGCCGTGATGGTTGGCGGGTTTCGGATGGCATTGCTTCTCGATGAGGCTTTTCGGATCGGTAATAGGAGCGGTGTTCTGAGGCTTGGCAGATACATGGAGGTTCGACGCATTGCTCAGGACTTCGAGGTCCGGAAGTGGCAGACCTAACAGATCATTAACGTCGTTTGAAAAAAAAAGTTGCATTTCGACCAATCAATACCACTCAGCTGATAGTAGACCCCTTTTTGGGCGTTTATCGGAGCAAACACGCCGCAATCGAAGAGAAGGCGCATCATGATGTCTTCTCCATTGATGCCGAGCAAACCAAGCACTTCCGTCCAAGGGTTTCCCTTGAGAGTTGCGACACTGTGATTGGGGAAGCGGCTTACAACGCCCGGGATTTCTGTATCCTGGGCTTGGAGCCCTACCGACGGACGCTGGAAGCCATTTGCAAGCAAATTCTGAGGCTTCCCATAACCGGTTTGATTGAACAATTTCCAGATCACGAAGTCAACCACCTGCGCCGAGAGATGTCAGCACATTGCGTCTCCATAGGGACATCGTAGGTAGAGGGTAGGCAATTCACCTCCGACTGCGGGCAAGTCGGCCCCGTGTCGGTGCTCACGAGCAGGGAGCGCGACTGCGACTCATTGAAGGACAAATATTCCTTTTGTCGTTCGGTGATGAGGCTCGGAGATGAGTTCTTGAGCACCCCGACCAAAGTGGAGTCGAGGAGCTGTGCCAATGCCGAGGATTGGGGGTGTGTATCAGATGGCGAACCTAGGGACCATATGCGACGCCGACGCGACTTGGATGTTAGGGGAAGTTGGTGGAGTAGGTAGTCTCTTAGCGTCAAGACTTGCTGGTAGTACAGGGAAATCACAGGATGGCTGATTTCTCTGGAGTTTGGGGCTGAGATTCTGAAACGGCGGGTACCTGTGGTGATACCGAGGTGAGACGAGGGCGTGGGACCACGGTCCTTGACGGGTCGCTTGCGTTTTTTCCCCATATTGAATCGTCGGCAATGTCCACACGTTATGAGTGATTGCCAATTGCCAATCTGGTTTGTGTATGGAGTTGTCGGGTTTGCGATTGCCCGGAGGGTTCCAGGAACCGTGGGATAGACGCGCGACGCGTCCTCGGCGGAGGGTGGGGTTAGGGTGCCTTCATAGTGTATTCTCCCATTGGAAAATATGCCTATGGCTGTTAGGATATACAGATCTAGAATTGAATATTTAATCCGTTGAAGGTACAAGGTATATGCAGAGTATTAGGTAGTATGAAGTGTTTTAGGGCTCAGGCACAAGCAAGTCGAAACGAGGGCCAATGACACCTCAACCACGGAACCGGGGCGGTCTAGACTTTTGTGCCTTGTGAGATGCAAACACTCAAACTTGGGTCTATCAACTATTCTTTCTCAGCTATTTGATTAATTTAGGGGAAAAGATCATATTATTATTTAAAAAAGATACATATAATTATATCAAATTATAGATCATTAATAGAAAGTACCCTCAAACATGGAACGTGTAACATGTAATGTCAAAATAGCCCTGGAGTCATCGGTGGGCCGGAAACAAAGAGCATTCAAGGTGAAATCCACTTTTGAGATCTATTTCATTTGCGCCACATGTTGACTTCTGCTTTGTTCCTCGACAACTCTCTCTCTCTTTCTCTCTCTGATTCACCTACTTGTTAGGAATACTACTACATTGCTCCACGGTACGGTACTTTTTTCTTCTTTCTGTACGGTACGAGAGGTACATTGGACGCTAACAAACCGGCCCACCGCTAGGATTCGCTTTCACCCCCTCACAAACCCCAACGCTAGCCGCCTGCTCATTCGTCTGCGCAATTCGGCAGATCCCTTCTGGTTTTTCTTTGCTCCGATTTTCCCGGTCCGAAGCTTCGATTCGAAATACTCTCCAGTGTCTCAAATATGAATGCTGGATGGGTGTACGCCACCCGAGACCATTGCTTTGTAGCCTGAAAGCGACTCACTTGTGACCTCCACCCGTTGGGCGACCATCCCGGAACAACGCACCGTAACTCGCCCAGAACCGAGAGGCCCACGGCCAGTCCACGTCGACCCGTGAAGCATGCAACATGTCTGGCGGTGACAGACAGGGTTTTGGTGTCTACCATGAACCCGCGTTTGGGCGACAATCCTCCGCGTCATTTAGCTCCGTTCATGACACCCTAGAAACGTCCGCCTCTTTCTCCCCTCAGGCACAGTCGCCCTCCACGTATTCCCCTTTACCGTCCGCCCTGCTGCGTCCCCATAATCACTCCACTCCCACGAATCACCGGCCGGAGGACGATCAATTGGAAGATCATAGAGGGCGGGAGTCTCCCGATCCTGCCGATTATTATCGCCGTGGGGCCCTGCCAACCTCCACCAATGTAAGAGAAGGATTCAGCGATGTAATACCGGATATGGCTATGGCCAGTCGTTCTGCAATGGGTGAAAAAGTATCACCCATGCCAGCGAACCCTTTGGGTTCATCGCGTACCAGGAGCCAACTGCCTCGCTCCACTTCCGACACCACATCTTTAGCGCCCTCTACCACCCACCCGGTGGTACCTGCGGGTGCCAGATCACGACAGACTTCATTCAGAGACCTTGTGAATAGATTTAACAACGCCCCTGACCAAGTTCTACCTTTACCCTCTGCGTCGCGAACCACCTCAAGAACAGTGAGCCCTTCTGGGAGTGCAGATGGGGAGCGCTATCGCACCTTTCCACGCCGTCGTCAGTACCGCGATTCCCTGCCAGGGTCAATCACCAGTCACCCTCGTGCACCGCTTGATTCCACGCCGTCTTCACCAGACACAGAGCGGTTTCCCTCTGTGAACCCCAACGGTGGTGTCCCACCGCCATTGTCGTCGCGTCTTTCGGAGTCGCATCCTCGTCGTCCACTGTTTGGTGAATTATTGCCAATCAATACTCAGGTCAACAACAGACCTCTAGCGCGTTTGCAACGTCGCGGCTCGGATGGGAGTATAGCAAGCCCGAACCCAGCCTTCCTTGATCAGCACGATCAATTCTCTTCCAAAACACCACTCACGCCCACCGCGTGGTATTTGGGCCACGCAGCAACGCTCGAGGCCGTCAACGGTGGAGCAAACAGCAGCGGGCATCGTAGAATCCAGAGTGATTTGACCAAAAACCCTCCGGCCTCCCTTTGCCGAGCCTTGGAATCCCGAAATGGCAGTACGGGCCCCCTTGCTGCGGGCCAAGACCGACTATGAATCGCCCCCGGACAGCCCAAATTCCCGATCACGCATTCCTGTCTCTTCACATCGTCTTCTCACTGCTTCCGGTCCCGAAACCCTATCTCCCTCCTCCAATCCGACGTTCAGCCGTCGGTCCGCCGCCATTTCCTCGCCGCCTAGGGGCAACAGCCGCCTTCCTATTCTGTCACCTAAACACAGCCCTCCCCCGCATGCCACAAGATGATCCCCTCTCGTTTGCGCCCACCTCACGTGTGCGGCGCGATCTAAGCGCCAGCCAAACCCGCAATCAATTATCCGAATCAAGCCGGCGGCTTCAGGCTTACATCGCGGCTCCACCGCCCAAGAAGTCCCCTCCTCTACGCAGCTCTCGGCCTCGGCAACCCATTTCACATGGTGGCACAGTCCCCCCACGCTCGAGAATTGGAGATAGAGTTTCATCATTACAAAATCACGCCGACGGTGGCCCGCGATCGTCTCACACGCAGCCACGCAAGCTACCAGGATTGGGCAACGTTGATTTCGAGGCTCGCCGCCAACACATTCAACAGGCCATCAACAAGAATAAGAATGGACAGAGAGACAACGCAACTACTCAGGAAGCTCGACGTCGTCCTGTGGCGCGCGGTGATAACTCGCATGACGACCTGAATCAATCGACAAAGCACTCCCCTCCCGTTCCTCAATTGGCTCCAAACGACACCAAAGAACCCGATGATATGGCTACTATGGTCACGGCATCGACCAATGGGGTTGGTTCGAGGGCGGATGGAGTTAACACCGTTCCAATATTGCATCTCAACACGTCTCTCTCAACGCCAGACCCAGCAGCGCCACATACGACAATGGACTCCCCGACTCTCGGCTTACCTGAGGGAGGCGCCGCAACAAACGCAGGCGATGAACAGCCTCTCGAGACTGATGTACCGAACTCGGCCATCACGGCCAATTCTGATGAAACCCATGTCACGACCTTTGACACGGAACCACAGTCCGGGCTGGTAGAGCGAAAACCTAGCATATCTAGCCGGACTCTGCTCAGCCAGATCATGCAAATCCGTGGGTCCAGCCCAAGTGACGACTCTTGTGATGAGCCAGACTGCAGCATCTCAGAGACTGATCGAGAGTCTGTCCCAAACACGTCCGGCGACACAGCCTTTTATGACTCGTCGAGTAGTGGGAACACTCAGTATCCTCAACACGCCTCGGTACAACCAACTGCAGCAGATTACCAAACTCGCAATCGATGGAGTGTCAGCTCGTGGTCTTCTGTACAGAATCACAATTCCACCTGCGACGAAAGTGGCGATGATCTAGGTCTCCCAAGACAAGATACAGAGCCACCGACGGAGCCTTGCTCAGCTGTGTCCACAAGACCAGCTTCAATAGCGGACTACGATGACTCTCGACCTCCTTTGCAGGATCATGGTGTCATTGGGCCTAACACCCTTCAGTCCACCAGGCACCGTGAAAGCGCTTTTTATAATCCACCCAATCTAGCAAGAATGGGAAGATGGGACTCAAAGCGAGCTACTCAGCTCTACCTCGAGGAGCTGACACGAGGTGGAATCCATAATTATAGCGCAGCCACCCACAGCTCCTCTGAGCCTCGGTCTCACCCCACCAATGCACGTGAAGATGAACGCAACGAGAGTCTAACAGACGATCCAGTTGTAGTTCCAAAATTCCAGGATTACCAAATCTCTGGTCAACTTTCACACACCGCAAGCTTGGTTGGGCGTGATGACTGGGAACATGCATCTCCTTCCATCATGGACTGGATGCAGGTACGAGCTGAGGATGATGCAGTGACGCCTGCCACAGATCCTGATAGCAATATCGATGAGGAAGTGCTCACCCCTCGCGTCATTCCTCCCACGCCCGATGTCGCCGAGAGTGATGGCCTCGGCTTATCGTTGGATAAGGAAGCTCCCCGTGGACAGGGACTCTATCCCCTGGTGATTCCATCCTCATCAGGGGCACCCCAGGATGGAGCCTCCTCCGAGGGAGCTCCCGCTCACCAATCGACTCAAGGTGAATCCGACGCGCCAAGGGATCCGGCACATAGTCCAGACAGCAGCGAAGACTCCTCTTTCCGGCGTATTGTGACCAATGAATCTCCCGCTGCGCCTGACTCCTCCTGCACGTCGCTTGCACCCTCCGGGGAACAAACTGCTCGAGCAGAGTCTAGGAAATCACCTTCTCCTGAACAGCGCCGTCTGAAGAAGAGGCAGCATATCATCAAGGAGCTCGTCGACACTGAACACACATTCGGTCATGATATGATGGTTATCGAGGATATCTACAAGGAGACCTCCTCTGATGTATTGGACGCCGATGATATCAAGATTCTCTTTGGCAATTCTGAACAAGTTGCGGACTTCTCTGATCACTTCCTGCACGACCTCAAAAAGGCTGCCCGAAGCATCTACATCATTCCCAAGGCGCAGCGCTGGACCAGCCAACGCAATGCCGAGAACAAGCCTCCCCAATCCGAACCTCCTGTTGATGTTCAACTGGCCGAGTATGCAGGATTGTCGGATCTTGAAAAGGATCGCTCCACCACAGTTGGCCATGTTTTCGTTAAGCATGTTCAGCTGATGGAAAAGGTATACACGGACTATCTGAAGAATCACGACGCTGCAAACAAAAAGCTTCAGGCATTGCAGCGTGTTCCAAACGTGGGTATCTGGCTGGGTGAGTGTCGCAACTATGCCTCCGATCTTACCACCGCCTGGGACTTGGACTCCCTGCTCGTCAAACCCGTGCAGCGAATCCTCAAATACCCCCTTCTTTTGCAGGATCTATTGGAGTCCACGCCAAACGATCATCCAGATCGGGTGGCAATTGCCAATGCGCTGGAGGAGGTCACGAACGTTTCTCATCGCATCAATGAGTCAAAGAAGCGTGCAGACCTCGTTGGTCAAGCCGTCGGTCGCAAGCGCAATCAGTCTGATGTCCGTGCCGGCCTGTCCAAAGCGTTCGGTCGTCGCACTGAGAAATTCCGACAGCAAGTTGGTCTCTCGGATTTGTTTGAGGACAAAACCTACGATATGTTGGCACAGAAGCTCGGAGACGGCTACTTTCAGTTGCAGGTTGTCATGCGTGATGTTGAAACTTACTCGTCTGACGTCCAACTCTGGGTCACCCAGTTCAGTGAGTACACTGATGCTATGGGCGAAGTGACCGGGATGTCACCATCTCCCTACCCCGAGCTAGAGACCAAGTGGCATCGATTCAAGATGACTGTTCAAGATATTGTTACCACTGCCCTGCCCGAACATGTAAGTTTATTCGAATTGTCTGGTGAAATCAATACTAACCTATGACAGCTGGATATCGTTCGCAAGACCGTTATCAGTCCGATGGTTGAAGTTCTCGGGCTCTACAATGCGCCCCAACGCGTCATGCGCAAACGTGACAAGCGTCTTCCTGAGTACGCACGCTACAAGGCCATCAAGGACCGTGGCGACAAACCCGACAAGAAGACTACCGAGCAGGGCGAGCAGTTCCTGGCTTTGAATGAAACTTTGAAAGACGAGCTTCCCAAGCTTTATTCATTGACTGCCAAACTGATGTCAGCGTGTCTGAAGAACTTCATCAGAACCCAAACTGCGTGGTTTAGTGCTCTGCAGCTGAAGATTGGAAACCATGTGGATTTCCCAGGCGATCTCCAACGGCTCGTCAATGACTTCAATAGTGACCACCATCTGATGGAAGCGCGCATGCAAGAGCTGAGCACTTGCAATGGATCAATGCTTGCTCATTCCCTCAATCTGGTTCCTCTATCACCAACCGAGTCCAACGTGCAGTCTCCCCGCCGTCCGTCTACTGTCAACAGTGGGAAGACCCGACCAGGGTCGATGACTGACGACTCCCCGAACATGTCGCGCGACTTCAGCATTGGCAGTCAATCTTTCCAATCGCCACAGATGGAGCCTCAATCCGGCCGGAGCAGCCGGTACCGTGCCGATTCCACCCTTTCCAGCAGAGTGGTCTCAGACACCCCCAACCAAATGCTGCAACAGGCTATCAGCTCTCCCAACTCTGGACGCAACAGCACTTCCGCCGAGCCTTTCCCCAGTCTTCCACAGCTGAGCTTGGACACCCCCTTCCTCGCGGACGTTATCAACTCCACCCACAACAGTCAGCCTACCTCTCCAGTGGCGGATCGATACTCTGGCTTCTTCTCTTCTGCCATGCCTATGTCCGACAATACACCCGAGACCGCCCCGAACCAGCCCCGGCCCAATGGGCCCGCTGCACTTTTCTGTGCTGCCAGTCTGTACGATTTCAATATTGATGCCCGCACAGAGGGCGGGTACCCCTATTTAACCTATGCCTCCGGCGATGTCTTCGACATCGTTGGTGAGAAGGGCGAGCTATGGCTCGCCCGCAACCAGGACGACGCAGCTGGTACAATTGGCTGGATTTGGAACAAACATTTTGCTCTCATCCGCTAATTTACGATCTTATGATATGATTTATCCTATATGGAGATGTGTTTTCTTTTGCCTGAATGATACGATAAAGAAAGAGTGTCAGATTTCCGGGCTATGATATCCCGTTTCTCTTTTTGTTTTAACCTGGATGATATCATTTGATGTCTCTTCTGAACATGTCTTCATACTTTTCGAATTTTGTTTTCGCCATAATACCCGATGCAAGACCAAAACCTCAAGAGACTCTTTTGCAAAGTTTCTGACGCTGTTTATTTATTTTACATTTTTTTACTTCGCTCATTGCTCATTGCTCATTGCTTTTTTTATTCTTTTTAACCTATTGTTCGCCTTTGGCTTCCTCGTTGTTCTCTTCTTCCATCCTATATGATTGTGCTTCGCAGTTGTTTTTGGATTTTTTATTACGTTGCTCAGTTTCTTTCATACTATCTGTGGGTAGTGGGTGCTGATGGGACGAGCGTTTAGATACCCTTTTCCTTTGAATATGATTCGATTTATCGATGTTTGCCTCTTTTTTGTTCAATGTAATCTGTTGCGGTTTATCCCGGCGCCTCCCATGTCTTTGTTCATAAGAGGTTGAAATCAACCCTCGGGAAAATTTGAGGTCTTTGCCATGTTATAGGAGTGTCTTGAAGGTATTCAAATAAGTGGCATGTTATAGAGTGGTTTATCATGTGATGGGACGATAGCTCAGTTGGGAGAGCGTGCGATTGAAGTTCGCAAGGTCGCTGGTTCGATCCCGGCTCGTCCCATCTTTTTTTTCTTTTCGATCATTCTGATCTGGAATTCAATTTTTGTTCAAGGTCAAATATAGCCTGGGCATTGTATGTATGTATGGTACCTAGTCTTTGGATGCTTCAAGATCGCGTGTTTGCAGTGCTTTTTTTTTTGAAAATCACAATTCATTAATGAAATATGGCTTTTTCTGATAGCCCAGCTCCCACGTTCAGGTAACAGCGAGTCCCGAGTAGACAACCTGAACAAGTCTCTGCCTTACCCACCATCTCTCGAGATCACAGCAGAACGTTTGTTCAACCGTATACATGACATCATGTGACCACAGGTGACGCCCAACATGAGAATTCAAGTCTTGGTGCCTTGAGCATTTGTATTTGTCCTGTCTGTGTTTCATTGTTCATTGCCCTGGTTGGTTGCAACTTGAACGTGGCAGTCTACTCCGTACCCGGAGCACGGATGATCATCATCCGCGCCTGATCTACCTTTCTTAGTCCCTGTTGACAGAATGCGCCATTGACACATCCTCCTGGCCACCCAGCACGGCTCTTTGAACCCCCCAACTTTCCCATCTCCGCCACCTATAGGGCTGACGGTCTCATTCTCCGAAGCGCGTCCTAGTCCCGAGGTCTCGACCGGCCCCACTCCCACTCCCACTCCGCCAGCGCAGAGACATCGCTCGAGTCCGGCTCTCAAGTCTATTGGCATTGTTGCCGGCATCTGCTTGCCGTCTTCCTTGCCACTGCGTACGTAGCCGCCACAGGCTATTTTCAAACCTGCGCGGGGCCTCGGTGAAAGTTCTGCCGCGAGATCTACGCTTTGGAACCGCTATCTGTGGAGCCTAGTTTGCCTTGGCTTGGATAGGAATCGGCAAGGGTTGCGCGTTCGTCTTTGGCTCCGTACATATCTTCATCGCATTCGTGTTTTGGCGGCTCGGTCGCGGTATTCTTTACACAACCTCACCTTCTAGTACATACTCGCATCATGTTGCGCAAAGTCCGCGGGCGGTTCGGCGACAAGGTGAGTGCGCAACCTCGAAGGTGTCAATACAATGCAATTGCTGACTGCTGCAGCTGAACCCTGATGATGCTTATTTGAGTTGTGAGTGATCAGACTCCGAGACCGGTGATCTGAGCATAGAGTACTTACAGGCAGTTCTCGGGTGTTCACAGACTATGACGTGCGATGTATGAGAGCAATCCTTCACGCGAACCTTGACTGCCGGAATTTCGGACTGACAGCACCGCAGTGACAAGAGAGGACATGCAAACCCTCAAGAACGACTGGCTCACAGACAATGTGGGTTTGATAACGAGAACCTCCCCCTGCTGGGCCACCTGAGCTAATATGTCATAGATCATCTCATTCTGGGAGGAGTAAGTCCCTCAAACCGAGCATGATACCTGCAGCATTGAACATGGCACTGACTTTCGACTTTTCGCTCTAGGTACCTTGAGCACGAATTTCTGACCCGATACAAGTCCTCCAACATCATCCTCCTCCGCCCTAGCATGTCATTCATGATCCTACAAACCCCAGACCCCCGCACTCTTCGCGAAGCACTTCCAGACTTCAGCCGAGCCACCCACGTTTTCCTCCCCATCAATGATTGCCGCAATGTCAGCCAAGCAGAAGGCGGTACCCATTGGTCCCTTCTGCTAATCTCTGTCGTCGACCGCATCGCTTTCCACTATGACTCTTTGTACCAAGGCAATGTCTGGGAAGCTGATGTCGTGACCCGCAAATTCGGATACCTCCTCAACATGCCAATCAGGTTCATGCACTTGAATGACTCGCCCCAACAAGATGGCGGCAGTGACTGCGGTGTGTTCGTGTGCATGAACATGCGACACCTTCTCATGAAGAGACTGCTTATGGCAAGCGCGCATGAGAAGGTTAGCATGAGTCTTGGGGGACGGAAGGTGGATGCGCCCGGCTCACGCAAGGAGATGGCCAAGATCATTGAAGGGTTCAGGAAAGAAGGCGAACGCCGACGATCGTATGTCATTGTGTCTTGTCTGTTCCACACACTACCAAGAGCCCACGCTGACTTTGAGTCTTTAGAACAAGTGCGAGTCCAATGGGTAAGAAGTCGAGGAGTCCTCCGCGGGTTGATTGAATGGCCTTTTGATATTTTTGACGATTTTACGCCTTGCTTATGGTTTTCTTTTCTTCTTCTCTCTCTTGTTTATTGCACTTACATACCTTCGGATGACAAAAACAGAACATTCCTCATGGACGAACTTGTTGATAGTTGTTTACCAGCGTTGCATTGAATAAGTACAGACAATCAATGGTTACCTTTTCTTCACCTGAACGCATCCGTGTTGGTTATTTAAGAGGATATCCATGGATGGATAGATAGATGCCCATAGTCCCTACCGTGTGGGTAACTCATAAATTGGATATGGATCATGCAGTAATATATCTAGAACCTTGGAATACTCAAAAGTACCATCACCACATGTACTAGATGGAATACCGTCTTAGACCAGACAACCCTAGAAAGCATGGAAAACAAGTCTAGCCTTGTCAAAAATTGCGATATTTAACTGACCAACCTGGAATTCATCCATTGTCCTGGACTCCTGATCTCTCAGGCGCCAATATGGTAGCTCCGTATCTTATCGCCGTGCGGAGCGAAGACCAACGTCAATTCCCCTCAACACACTTTTGTCATGTTCAGTTCATCCATCTACTAATTCCATCCCTGCTGGGCTGAACCAGTGTAGATGCCGCAGAAACCGAGAGGCGACACCGAGCAGAGCGGTAAACGCCATTCAATCGGCAAGAGAAAGCTTTCCGATCAAGGGGAGCAATCGCAGTCCCGATCGCAGACCGTCTCCGAGCTCCTCTCCGAGAGATACACCCCCGAACCTCAAACACAGTCCCACAAACGCTCCCGCCTATCTTCGTCTCCGCATCTGCCGTCTCCCACGCACCCGCATAAGATGTATCCGATTTCCGGCTCCGCGCCCAGAAATGGCGCTCCTGTCGGCCGTGGCGTGTCCGGGTCAACCGGTTCACTTAGATCCCCGGCGATGAATGCAAATGCCCGTCCGAATAATTTCTCGCCTTATACTGGGGCGAGGAAGCTTGTGGTCAAGAACCTTCGCTCTGGGCCTCGGCTGGATCAGGAATCTTACTTCGATAAGGTGTGGTCACAGTTCGATGCGGCTTTGACGGCTATCTTCGAGGGCAGGAAACCGGAAAGTTCTCTGGAAGAACTATACAAAGGCGGAGAGAATGTTTGCCGGCAAGATCGCTCAGCGCTGTTGGCGAAGAATCTCCGTGGTCGATGCAAGGACTTTGTGAATGGCAGCCTGCGTCAGAACCTTGTTTCAAGGGCGAAGGGTAGCACTGATGTTGATACATTACGGGCTGTTGTTGAGGCATGGTCATCATGGAGCACCAAACTTGTATGTGCTTGACGTGAACTTTCTATCAAAGCTCATTGCTAACCACGTCTTCAGGTTACCGTGCGATGGATATTCTATTACCTCGACCAGTCATTCCTTCTGCATTCAAAAGAACACCCGGGGATCCGCGAGCTGGGGCTTATTCAGTTCCGAGAATACATATTCGCTGATGGCAATCTGAAACCGAAGATCTTGAAAGGCGCATACGACTTGATCGATGCCGATCGGCAGGGCGATACCAATGCAGCCTCAAACTCGAATCTTCTCAGGGAAGTCATGGATCTCTTCCACAACCTTGATGTGTACACAAGTGATTACGAACCTTTATTCTTGGCTGAGTCTAAGAAATTCACTGAGGCCTGGGCCCAACAGCAAGCAGCTGGGACCTTGGAAACATACGTTGAAAACACCCACCGTTTGATAGAACGTGAAGTTGAACGCTGCAGAATGTTCGCTTTCAACAGGACCACGAAGATGAAACTATCCGAGCTATTGGATGACGCTCTGATCAGTCAGCAAACTGATTTGTTGACGAATGAAGACGACGTGGTTCGTTTATTACGAGCAAATAACCAGACTGCCTTGAAGCAACTTTACAGTTTGCTGAATAGGCGAGACCTTGGCCTCGAGTTGAAGTCTGCCCTCCAAAATTACATCGTCCAAGAGGGTGAGCGAATCGTGTTTGATCAGGAAAACGAGACCGACATGGTTGTCCATCTGCTCCAGTTCAAACAAACCGCCGATAACATTGTGGCCAATTGCTTTGAGTCAAGCGAGGGTCTGCGTATCACGCTTCGTGAGGCCTTTGCTGCTTTCATGAACCGTGGAAAGAAATCAGAATCCACAGGTGGTACCGACAACCCCAAGTCTGGTGAAATGATCGCCAAATATGTGGACAGACTCCTCAAGGGCGGGTATAAACTGCCCCCCCGGTCGTAAACCGGAAGAGGTGAGCCTGATTTCGGACGATGCAGAATTGGACCGACAACTGGATCAAGTGCTCGATCTGTTCAGATTTGTACATGGCAAGACCGTGTTTGAGGCATTCTACAAGAATGATCTAGCTCGACGTCTCCTGATGAAGCGGAGCGCGAGCAGCGACGCGGAGAAAAGCATGCTGGCACGTCTGAAAAACGGTTTGTGGCCTTCATTCTTCTGGAAGCAAATGGCTTTGGCTAACAAATTATCAGAATGCGGATCAAACTTCACCCATAATCTTGAATCTATGTTCAATGACATTGACACGGCCGCCGAGGAAATGACGGCGTTCAAGAACTCACCTTCAGAAATGAAGAAAAGACGCCCTTTCGAATTCGATGTCAGTGTGTTGTCTGCTGCCTCGTGGCCGTCATACCCGGATGTTCCCGTCCGCGTTCCATCGGATATTTTACGCGCGATCAACAGATTCGAGGAGTTCTATCAAAGCAAGCACAAGGGGCGCACTCTCACGTGGAAGCACCAACTGGCTCATTGCCAGTTGAACGCAAACTTTGCGTCTGACAAGAAGAACCTGGTCGTCAGCTCGTTCCAAGCAATTGTCCTCCTCCTGTTTAATGATATCGCCGATGGCGAGAGCCTGGCATACACCCAAATCAAAGAAGCGACTAAACTTTGTATGTGAACACCTTTAATTGGGATGCAGAACGACGAGCTTCAGCCTCAACGATTGAATGAAGCAAACTAACAAGACAACAGCGGATCCTGAATTGATTCGAACCCTCCAGTCCCTCGCATGCGCCAAGTACCGAATCCTCATCAAGACCCCCAAGGGCAAAGAGGTAAACAAGATGGACACCTTCAAGTACAACGCCGGCTTCACCGACAAGCAAAAGCGGATCAAGATCAACCAGATTCAACTGAAGGAGACGAAAGAGGAAACCAAGATTACACACGAACGGGTCGCCGCCGATCGCCACTTCGAGACTCAGGCCGCCATTGTGCGCATCATGAAGAGTCGGAAGACGATCAGTCACTCGGCGCTTATCTCGGAGGTGATCACTGCTACGAAGAGACTGGGCGCTCTGCAGCCTGCGGATATCAAGACCAACATTGAGAAGTATGCATTTTTTGGACTTAAATGGATTCAGTGGAGAATCTTGGCTAACGCATCTTCTAGGCTGATTGAGAAGGATTACATGGATCGCACTGAGAACAACCAGTACAATTACGTCGCATAAACGACATTTTTTTTTAAAACCTCTTGTTTCCCCCACGCCCCCTTTCGCCCTTTTGTAAGCGCTCACACTTTGGCGCACGTGTTTGGATTATTGAGTGCGTGTTATTACTCGTTTGGGATGGTGGATTCTGGATTCTGCCCACGAAATAATTGTGGCTGGAATCTAGTCCGGCCTCTCCGTACTCATCACACAATGAGAATGTTCTTCAAAGGAATACTCCGTACATTTTGACGATTTGATTAGCCGAGGCCCGTGGCTGAATTATGTAGCAATTTAATTCTCTAGTGATGTAGAGTACGGCTAACGATCGGGGCAGGTCCGATTCCAAGCCTCAAACCAGTGCCGAGGATGGCATTATCTCGTATAAAAGTATGGCGTATAGAGGGGCCAACGGGGAGTTCCGTCTACGGGTGTCACATTAGTACCGAGAGGGGTATACTGGGCAGTACTCCGTACTCCGTACGGAGTATGGAGTAGTTAGATTAACAAACTCAATTGACAGATAGGAGGATTCCGTATAAAAATGAGTACACTGGTCCGGAGCACATAAGGAGCACTCCGTACGCGACCCTGAAAGTACACAAGCACCCCTTGAAATGCGTTGTGCAAAGGTGTACGTACTCAGTGCATATCGTAGTACGTGTCCAGAATGAGACCATCTGTCTGTTGCTCCCAATTGACATGGATTAGAAGTATGAAACTGCTGAGATTATATGATACATATTGAATTGAACCCATGACCCAGTCTCTAAGCCTATAACAAAGTACCGAAGCTCCAGTGGTCCCCACCCCCTGGATCTGACAGTCGATCCCGGAATATTGGGGTTCCCCAACTCTTTCGTAGATCCTTGTTTTGTCTCTTTTTCTTTTTCTTTTTTCTATTTTTCAGGTCTCATGATGTCTCCACTTGGAATTGCGGTATCCCAGTATTCGCCTCGGTGGCAATTGGCATTGGGCATGGAATACGACAATTACGACCTACAAGTAACTATAGCGAACGGAGAGATTGAATACGAAGTAGAGCAATGTCCAGTACCACATAGAATCTGTATATTTCCAAGGTTAGACAAATGGATGCATGGCTCTCTACGGATTACTCCGTACTTACGGAGTAGAGGAAGATTAGAATAACATTTGAAGGGACAGGCCGTAAAGTAAGAGGTGGTAGGTGCACCAGCCGGCTAACCTACTCAATTCAGCTCGACAGTCAACTCCTCACTCGGAGAGTGGACCGGACTGCAGCGTGTAGTACCTGCGGAACGGATTATAGGCGGTTCGTGAAGTACAATGCATGCATCATCTCTTCCACGAATGTTCTTTGGCGGTCAGGGAGCTCATTCGGACGAAAGAGCAGGCCCCTTCTGGAATGCGGTGCCTGACGGGATATCCCCAGAGGGTAAGCCGAACCGCCGATCCAGACCTTCGAGCTGGTCTCACGATGTTCATGTGAGCAGAAAGAAAATTCCCAAAAGCAAATAAAAATACGGATTGGAAATTGGTTGGCCATAAAGAGGGGGAGTGCTCCTCTTCTACTTCAGGCGTTGAACTTCTCAGTCTACTACGTATACACATCGCTCAAGGCTCGCCACCTGTACAACGTGAGTATCCCCCAACTACATCTCCCAAATCTTGGAACAATGCTGGTTTGGTGCTAGCCTGCTGGCTATAAATGGTCAATACTTCGTGTACTTCGAGTACATTGAGTACAATACTCCATACCATCCCAACTAGTCTGCCCACCTGAACCCAAAACCTCCGGACTGACTCGAGAAAACCGAATAGAACCACTGCCCACCTTTCCCCGCCTTGCTCAACTCCAATCTGAGAGCTTATTCGATTTCCACGGCTCCCGGTGATTCTTGGACGCCCTCCTGACTACGAGCGACAAAGCCGATTGGCGTGAACCTACCCTCCACTACGGCATCCTCAACACGTAACGAGTATAAGTATTAGACTTGAATACTTGGATAATATCTCTTTCAATTTCGATATCTACTCTTATATCTACGAAGATCCGAGGTTGAGAACCACTTTTGATCAACAATGCAGAGTGAGTCTAGTCCCCAGATCGGCTCCACAGGGTCTGACCGTTCCAGCCAAACACTTCTTCTCCGACCCAAACCACCTGGTCGTCACGGCCTTGAACTCACTAACTCTCACAAACCCGTCGCTGGCCCTCGACAAGCAAAATAAAATTGTCTTCCGTCGCCCAGATGCTCCCCGTAGAGCAAACAAGGTCTCCATCGTGACCGGCGGCGGCTCCGGCCACGAACCCGCCTTTGCGGGCTTCGTCGGCCACGGCCTATGTGATGCCTCTGTCGCTGGTACCATCTTTGCTTCCCCATCCGCTGAACAGATCCGTCGCGCAGCGATCGATCGTGTCCCCACCGAAAATGGTGTCTTCATCATCCCAATGAACTATACCGGTGATGTGCTCAACTTCGGCATGGCGGCGGAGAAGTCCCGTGCCGCTGGGATCCGCACCGAGTTCTTTGCTATCAATGACGATGTCGGCGTTGGCCGTGTGAAGGGTGGCAAGGTCGGTCGTCGTGGTATTGGTGGCGGTGTCTTGATTTTGAAGATGGTTGGTGCGCTGGCTGAAGCTGGGTACGTTCTCTCAATAACCCCGGAACATGATCTATGATCTATCGGTACTAACTCGTCGCAGTGGCTCACTAGAGGATGTCTACGCTTTGGCTCAGCTGGCTAACAAGAACCTCGTCTCCCTCGGCTCATCGCTGGAACATGTTCATGTTCCTGGCCGCGGCGTGCCGGAGGACTCAATCCCTCATGGCGAAGTCGAAGTCGGCATGGGTATCCACAACGAGCCAGGTTCCCACCGTACTAAATTCAACCTGGTCGGCTTGGTTCAGGGTATGCTTCTCCAGCTCCTCGATCACAACGACCCCGACCGCTGCTATGTGACCCGTAAGCCGGACGCTAAGTTCGTCCTACTGATCAACAACCTTGGTGGTGTGAGCCCGCTCGAGCTGGCCGGTATCACCGATGAAGTATACCGCCAACTGCAGCAAGACTACGAAGTCAACATGGTGCGCGTGATCCAGGGCACATTCCTAACGAGTCTGAACGGACTCGGCTTCAGTATCTCGCTGATGAAACTGGTCGACCCTGGTCTCGGCGCCGGCAAGTCCATGCTCGAGCTCCTCGACGCCCCAGCCGAAGCAGTCGGCTGGTCTGCCCCGATCAACACCTCAACCTGGGACAACCGAAGCGATGACCCCGTAGAGCTGAAGGACTCGAACTTTGCAGAGGACATCCACAGCAACCTCCAACGTACGTATCCCTACCCCCACACACACACAAAAAAAAAAAAAAAAAACATGGAATACAAGTCTAACGTAACACAGTCGACCCCCAAACCGTCAAGAAAGTCCTCGGTGCCGGCCTCGACCGCGTCATCCGCGCAGAGCCTGAAGTCACCCGCTACGACACAATCGTCGGCGACGGCGACTGCGGCATCGGTCTCAAGCGCGGTGCCGAAGCAATCCTCACCCTCCTAAACGACACCTCAGCCCCCCTAACCTCCGACCTCCTCCTAACACTCGCCCGCATCGTCACAGTCGTCGAAAACGTCATGGACGGCACATCCGGCGCCATCTACGCCATCTTCCTGAACGCGCTTGCCCACGGTCTCCGCGAACAAGACACTTCATCCCCCACGCCTGTGACACCAGAAATCTGGGCCGCGGCATTGCGCTCATCCATCGATGCCCTTGGCAAGTACACGCCTGCCAAGAAGGGTGATCGCACTCTCGTCGATGCGCTGGCGCCGTTCATTGAGACTTTGTCGGAGACTGGTGAGGTGCGGGTTGCTGCTGCTGCTGCGCAGCAGGGTACTGAGTCTACGAAGGCGATGAAGGCTAGTTTGGGGAGGAGTGTTTATGTTGGTGGGGAGGCGAGTTGGGTTGGTAAGGTGCCTGATCCTGGTGCTCATGGGCTTTCGGAGTTCTTGACTGGGCTTGCGGAGGCTGTTTAAGGGGGCTTTGAGTGAGGGGCTCAGATGTTGATGGGTTTGTCTTGCCGGTTTTGGTTTTCTACGTAGCGGTGTGCTGGGTTTCTTTCTATTAATGATAGTATCTTGGCTTTGTTGCAAGGCTTATGAGGCAAAAATTATGATGATGATACTTTTTACATGCTTCTTTGAGGGTTTACATTTGCGATGCTTTGTATCCGGGTTCATGTCTGAGGGCGTATGTTATACTACTTGCTCTATGATTGGATTTGAAATCAGCTGTACACATCTACGGTTTAGCTCGCCTTCTGGTTACACTAGTAAAAGTTCCTGTTCATCTTAAAAGAGTCATGACAAATTGAGAGAGACAAGCAATGAAAGCAAAAGCAATCAAGCAGTACTATACGGCCTCAAGCAAGCAACACCAACAAGTAGCGAGATCCAGGGAGCATTTCTAGGAAACATGCATGTCATGTATGCAGTTCATAACGGCAGATAGCACATGGGTACTAGCCTCCTCTTACTTTGTAGTTTGTAGTCATGATACAGCAAGCGCTCCTCTCCAGCACTTTTGGCCAAACATCAACCACATCCTGCATAGGCATTACTCCGAGCGGGCTTTTTTCAAAGGTAGGAAACCAACCCCGAAATATGAGTTCCTGGAAATTGATTTGCTAGATTTGTGATCCAAAGAAATCATTCAATGCATCTCCATACTGCAGCCAGATCACCTAGGACCGGATGTATTCAAGGCAACGACGTTGCTGAGGCAATACGATCATAGGTGCAATTGCACGTCCTCAAACTTCTCGCATAGGTTGAATTTCTCATAATACCTCACACCAAGCACAGACATTGAAAATCACTTAGAAAGGGTTTTTGTGATAGATATGGAGCAAGGTTTGACCTACTTGGTGGAATCCCAGCATACAGGTGAAACATGAAGCTTTCAGTCAATGCAAGGGATCCTCATGTCACAAGACAATGTTCACACGGAGCTCTGAGATCTACATTTAGATACATACGTTACGGTGTGGGATCGACTTCTTTCCATCATATCCATTGCTAGCCAGCTGTGCTCCAGGGTGACGCCGCCCAAGGATTCCATCTACAACAAAAAATGGGACAAGCAGCCCACGCAACAAAACGCCAAAGGTTTTTTTTAAGCCCACCCCGGTTGAGAAACAAGAGAAGATCCACCAAAAGTCTCATCTGCATGAAACGGTAACTTTGAGGGAAACCAAATCAATCAAGGCAGCAGATGTACATGGCATTGGGTGATAGTTCTGGCGGGGCCAGGAGCAAGGGAGAAAAGGCGGGGGGAGTCAAGAAAAAAAAAGGGTATCGAGATCGATTACATGATGACTCGTGGGATTATCTCACGGGTACTTTTTCATGGGCCCGAAGTACTGTGCAAATGTTCCCGCAAATTTGAGATCCCAGGATCATGTAACCTGGGCGGGATAGTGGTGTGCGAGGGGAAGAAGAACGCGCTCAGCTGAGCAGGACAAGGATGACAGAGTCGCCGCGCAGGAACCTAGATGGCGGTTGTGTTAGAAGTTGGCCCAACGGAATTGAAAGGTTGAAGATCTCTCCGAGACCAATGCACTTACATCTTGCTGATGAAGCGATCCTTGTTAACGCCCTTGCCCTTGCTGCCCTTGGGCTTCTCGGTCCACATCTCCTTCACGTTCTCGAGGACCATGTTGCAGTGTCGGTCAAATGCCTTGACACGGGCGAGGAGCTTGCGGTTGTTACGGCAAGAGATCAGGACCTGGGTGTGCGAGCGGGTGGCGGTCTGTAGGAGGGACAGCGGGCCGGCAGTGAGCTCGTGCTCCTCAACGAGAGCGACCTCATATTCCCTGCGACGCAAAATGCAAGATTAGTTTTTTTATTCTTTCCTATTCTCCTTGTAATGCTTTGCGCAGCTTGCATAAGAATGTGTTGGGCATTGTCAGTCGCAAGAAGTTTCCGAGATGCGGGCTTCGTGGCCCACCCCGCTGATCTTCCCAGGCAGAAACAGAGGGGTAGCGATTACTCGGAAGCAGACTCGCATGGAAAGGGATGGAGGGCAAAGATATGACGGGTTGGATGACGGATTGCACGTACGTGAGCTCGCTCTTGGGCTTGTTGAGGAGATCTCTGTTTGAGTTAGCGAATTGATCTTCTGGATTGTGAGTCATCAATGGATAAACCTACTGAATCTTGGGGTCAGGAGCTGTAGACATGGTGGATATTAAGAAAGCGTGTAAGTCGAGGATGCCATGAGGTCGCAGTGTCTGTCGTGAATTGGCCGGAGAGCTCCAGTCACGTGCCCGCGATCTCGACACCTGAATCAGAAACTTTGGACGCCTGTTTTATAAGGCGCTAAGGTGTCAATTTCCCAGCCATTTCCCGAGGTCGCGATTGGTCGCGGTCACGTCGCGTCACGCTTGTTTGGAGATCTTTGAGATAGCTACCGCGCATGCAAGGCTTCTCTCTACTTAACTCCCCCCTTCCTCCCACACTTTCCGGTTCATGCAGAGCTAGTGGAGTTCCTATTGCCTTTTTCTCTCTAATTGATTTTTTGGTAAGAAGCGGTCTATGAGATTTTCTCTCTTTTTGTGCCTGTGCTTTGCTGCTGCCAGGGCATGTCAATCAATTGCTAACATTCCAGCCCTGCAGAAACCGGCCCCTCCACTACCTACTCCTGCATAACCACCATTCTCCCGGTCGACGAGATCTCAGATATGTACTGTTGATCGCCGGCTACTCCGTACCCTTCCTTCCATTCCGATCCTACGTGAAGACGTGCTCGACACTTCCATTCTCCCTCCTTTGTTCACTTCCCCTCACCATCTCGCAAATTTTTACTTGTCGACACCTTGAAACCTCCAGTCCCACACCTTGAGCTCGAAGAATTCGTCTTGCCCCTCACTACATTCAACCACACCTCAGCTTCGAAGTTGAAAAACCTACCGTCTTGCATGGTGGTCAAAAATGTCTGATGAGATGGAGTCTCAGGACGGCATCGATGTCCGCCCCATGAGGCGTATGTTTCCCACTGAGACTCGGAATTACTGAGTAGGAACTAAACATATTTTGTCTTGCAGTGAAGGTCCTTTACACATTCGATAACGAAAACAAGACCAATTGCCTGGCCCGGTGGCCACATGTCCTTGACCTCCAAACTGCCTCGTTAGACGAAATCACTACTGTTGGCGTGATTGAGTTGAAGACATGTATCCAAGCAATTGTCTCTGCCAGGTTTGTCTCTTTTCAATCTGAACGGGTGGTGGTTGCTAATATATCCCAGCCCTGAGCTTGTGGGTCAAATAGGCAAGGATTACACGGTATATGCTTACGACTACTCTGAATTCGACACTCCTCTTGTTGGCCAAGGCATGCTATCATGGGTTCTTGCCAACTCATCTTCAGCTGAGGCTTCAGCTTCAAAAACCATGATCACAGGCCGGGTTTGCAAGAATCCACTTGCTGGTCTTTTTTCGAAAGGTGCCCAGGAGACACTCGAAGTCAAACTTCGATTGGTGCCTGTTCCAACCACCACACACAACGACTTCGATACACAGTCATGGACAAATTTCGTTCGCCAGAATCCTGCTTTGATGGAACAGAGAAGCCAAAGTGCCAACGACCGTGTTGGCTCGCCTATGAACCAATCTGGAATCGAAAGGTTCCATCAGCTTTTGAGTGAAGGATCAACACCACGAGAGTTTGCTTCTTTCCCGTCCAATGCGTCAGCCCGCTCTGCCTCGCCTTCTCACTCATATGCTGCCAGCGGTGTTTCAACACCGGCCCATTACCAATCTTACAACCACAAGCAGAGTATTCCTCACAGCGATATGATTCGCCCTTCATCTAGTGCTTCGATGCGAGACTGCGACAACCAGACACAATTGTCACACAACAACCTTCGAAGAGGCTCCATCCAGTCCGGTTATGGCAGTGGAGACGAGGAAAATACGGAAGCTCCGCCACGGAAGAGAGCCAAGGTGTACCAAGCTAGTTGGCCAGGAAAATCGGGTGCAAATATCGAAAGACAGCCAAGTTCACTTCGTGTTGCAGCTAGCACAGCAGCTTCTGTTCGAATTCACCGCCCAACCCCAGTCAACCCTGCTCTCGCCGCCGAGCATTCCCACGAGGAGCCTGTACGCCCACCCACGCCTATGTCTCGTCCTTCTGATTTCCACCGCCGAAGCCGTCCCACCGCCAGCCTCTTGCGGGAGTCATCAACAAACAGTGTCGCCTCATGCCCTGATTCATACGCTTCCCCATATGCCATGAGCGATGACATGCCCACCACAGATGCTGCCGGTCCCTCACCGGAAGATTCCCGTTATCAGGGGCTCTTTGAGCAGTCCTTCAGCATGCCTTCATCGCCTCCGGTCTTCGATGGTCGTTTACACAACCGCTCAAGCCCGGTTCTGCCTACTATGACGCTAGACACCGACTCAGGCTTCATGAGCGCCGGTTTGGACGAGCTTCTTGGTGATGAAACCGCTACCTTGGGTGGTCCCATAACGCAAGGTTCCAAGGACCAACGGTCTGTTCGCACTGCTGTGCAGGCGAGCTCACCAGTAAGCACTGTCAGTACTGCCCGTGGGACATTCAAAGATCCCGTGGCGGTCGAAGAACATGTCTCAGAGCAGCCTGTAAAGGAAGCAGTTCCTCTATTGGCTCGCGCCAACTCTGGACCTCCCAAGACCCGGGCCCCATCTCACCCACAGGCAGCAATCGGCCGGCGACCCACTTCAAGCTCTGGTGCGCAGCGCATAGCTCCCAAACCCCTTGCACCAGCACCCCGATTCTTTAATCGAAGCTCAGGCCAAGGCTCTGAAATCACAGCCAGTGATCCTGTCATCCCCACTGTCCCCACAGAGTCTGCCCCTCCTGCCCCCGTTGACATCACATTCCTGCGATGCAAGACCGATAGCTCCAACCCTCAGACACAAGCGAAGCTCCCACCACCAACCAAGCCTAAGGCAAACTCGAAGACAAAGTCCAATGGCAGAGCGCGCTTGGAAACCGCTCTTGCCAACGGTGAAATTCCGCCTTATTGCGAAAACTGTGGCTCAATTGAAACTCCTAGCTGGCGCCGAGCTTGGGTGAAGGAAGTATGCGGCGACGATGTTCTCGCGGAACAGATGATGATTTCCTCCCAGATGCTCTTTTGGGAGTCCATGGAGCGAAACGACCAGAACAAGATGATCAAGTTCAAGATTTTCAAAAGGGGCATGGAACTCGATGACGAATCATGGAGCCAGATGCTTTTTTGCAATCCCTGCGGTCTGTGGCTACACAAGTTTAAGAACATGCGCCCAGAACACAAGTGGACCAAGTCGGGAGGAGTTCAAAACGGCCAGAAGAGCAAGAAGCGGCCTTCTAAGACCCGCGCAGACGGCCCTCTCAATGCTTGCCCCGCCTCTCGAACTCGCAGCAAGGCCGCCCCAAAGAAGGCATCTGCGAACACGGTCGCAGCTTCCTCTCCAGCACATACCGATCTGTCCTCAGTTCATCCTGAAGGCGATACTCCCCACATGGATGACGACGACGAAGACGGTGCTACTCCTGATGATCGTTCTCGTTTCGCCACCGACGAGCCACGCGACAGTGAGGAGCCACACCCGGCATCTTTGACCCCTGGACGCCGTCGATCGAAGTTGGACACCACAAACACCATGCATCGTGTGGCAAAGTCGAGCCCCGTGAGACGCCCCGAAGCCCGGGCAAATGCAGTCAACACTACTCCCAAATCCGTGAGAAGGTCACTCTTCCAAGACATTCAGAAAGATGGTCCCTTGAAGGAACTTGATGCCTCCATGGTAAACAGCTGCTCTCCTCGTCGCAGTCCGCGCATTGCCTTGGCAAAGGATGACAAACTCACTCAAAAGGAGAACGCCGCTCCGATCCCTCGTGACGAACTCGACGACCTTTTCGAGAGTGCATCCATTGGGTTTGACTCCGCTAGCCCGACCCCTCGTCGCCGCAACCCACGTCTCAACGCAATCGAGAAACGGGCCATCCTCGGAAACTCCCCAAGCCTCAAGAAACGCAAAGATCTGGGTATCATGTCCCCAGCGCGTCTGTCGGCGGAGCGCCTGCAGCGCATTCAATCGCTCCACGAACATTCTCCTCGGTCTCAGAAGGCCTCCGCCAAGCCCGACGTGGAGCCTGCCACCCTTGACGACAGCCTTTCCCTTCCATCTTTTGAAGGGATGATGCTCGATATCTTCGACGAAAATGATCAAACCAACTTCCAGCTTGAAAACGCCAAGTTCGCCGGCGAGAACTGGGCTGACTGGCTTCCCCAGGATTATGTCCCTCCTGTTGAATCTCCTGATGCAGATAATCAACCTGCTGACGATTTGCTGAAGTCCCTCTTTGCCGATACCAACGACAAGGACTTCCAGGCTTCTCTTCTTCCCTTCAACTTCAATGATGTTGGCGTTCCCGACTCTGGATTCTTCAGCTCTGACGCTGTCCCTGATGTGCCCAAGGCCCAGGGTCAAGGAACAGATGCCACTTCTCCTGTTTAATCCCCTACCTATGCTTTTGATTTCCCTGCATGTTCTTTTTAGCGATGGCGTTCGGTTGTGGGATTTACCTTGCTTCAAGCAATGGCTCTACACTTACTCTACAGACTTATTTCTTTCTTTGTTTTAACTGATGACTGGAGCTACCTCGATGGAGCTCCCACCCATACACTGACCACCCGAGTCCACGTGATTATCTCAAGATACCTAGGTACCTGACTCAAATAGATTTACGAAATGATATCAAAAACCTTCATATTACCCTCTTTCTAAAAACAATGTGTCAGGATGAAATGTTACCTTGCAAACAAATACAGTGAACGTATAGTATATTGGCTATCTACCTAATCACAACTTCCAGGACTAGAATACACTGAAACCTGCCAAGGTTGGAGCCTCCAGGGCTTGAAAGGTTGCGAGGTTAGCTTTGTAGCACATCCTAAGCCCTGCCCAGCGTTAGCCATGGAAATGTAGTCCCCGAGCCGTCCTATAAGCGTTAGTGGCACCATTCGTTTGCACATTGGGGGATCACCATAATCGACTCCCTTCGGGGGAAATCCTCGCTTTGCTGGCGAGTTGGCGTGCGCCTCATCCTGTATTGTGCAGGTCGCTCGTTCAAACCCGTCCCATCCATGCCACCTGCTCAGAGCCACATGTACCAAAAAGCACGCGCCCCGGGCCAAAATTTGCCAAATGGTGAAGCGCACTCGCAGTACATACATAACTAGTAGCTATCGTGGAACTGGCATGCACTTTTTAGACTTGAATTGAGATAGCAATAAAAAGAAAGACCAGGCCCGAATAAGAACGCTCGTCAGCCGACCAGAATGAACGGAAATCAGCCGCTGACGGATCAGAATCAGAGGAATGATAAGAATGATAAGAATAAAAAGAGAAAAAGAAAAAGAAATAAGAATAAAGAGGGCCTGGTCAATTCACCTGGCCGTGGCAAAGTTGCAAACGGCCCAGATCAGAGAAATGCACTCACCTACACCGCCAGGTCGGCGAAGTAGAGAGGACGTTGCACCATAGCAGCGTCTGCGAGGATGTTGTGAAACTCCTCAACAAACTCAAAGTCCAGACGTCCGCAGGCACCGCTTTCCAGATGGTTATAGAAAGCTGCAAGAGTGACAAAGCCCTTCTTGTCACAGTGCTCACGATCATGGATGCAACGATAGATGATGGGTCGGTGAACAGGGGACTGAAGATGGGCCATGAGCCCGTTCTCCCGCTTGAAAACTCGATCGCAGATCAGGCACTTGTGGAAGTCATTGTGGCTGACGTAGCGAGGCAGAGGTCGGTTGACAGGCTTGGGGAGGGTGAATACGCCTTCCTTGTCGATAGACCGCAGGATACCGTGAAGATGCTCGACATCTTCCCATGTGGCAATGGGGCAGCAGTTGCTTTCGAGGTGGTGGGCCACGGCGGAAGGGGTGCCAAACATTTCAGGGCAGAAAGGGCACTGGTGGATCAGTGGCTTATGCACGTTGGACTCCAGGTGCCATATGGTTGTTAGTAACACCGTCCTATCTGAATGGCCTAGGAGGGTGATACGTACCATCTTGAGATGACCTGACTCGCGAAAGTGGATGCCGCAGGATTCGCATTTGTATTCAAAGTGACCGAATACATCCATGTGGTCCTCGGCCTCATCTTGGGTGAAGAAGGCCGCAGGGCACATCAGGCAAGGGTAGCGGTTGCGATAGTGACCAGTGTTGGTCTCATGTTCATCAAGGATTTCCCGATGGGGAAATGCCTGAGGGCAGGCGCGGCATTGAAAAGGGGCCATGTTGCTAAAGATAAATGGAAACGTGAAGAGCAAAGAGGGGAAAGGAGAGAAAGAGATGAAATGAGTTGAGACTTTGCATTCATACCTCTGGGGCTGCTGAAGGCCAGAAAAATTCAAGGGTGGGCGTCGATTGCGTTGCCAACCTTCAACAATCAAGCTTGGTTTCGATTGCCTATTTATTTCTCAGCTAGCTTGAATGACAGCATATACTTTGAAGAACAATAGATAAAACAATAACATCATGTTAGCCATGCTGATTCATAAGGCCTATGCTAATAGAGGAATGTTCCAAAGTAGATGTAGAATTAAAGTTGCATTTGGAGATCGTTTCCGCTGTACCCCAGCTTGCCCCGCAATTTGTGGATTCCGCCCCGAGCGGGCTCCCGGGAGCTTCGAACCCGAAAACAGATTAAAGATGACCGAAAATGTTGCTTTCACGAAGCAGAGACTACGATGTTCTTGGCGGTCATGCAAAGGATCTACGACTGGGGCTACGGCCTGAGAAAGTGAGTTCACACAACCAAGTGCGACCAAAGCAACGCCCAAGTGCGACAAAAGTAACGCCCAAGTCGCGAGCACGAAGCCAGATTTACGTCACTCAGAAACAAATGACACCCGTCCGAGACTCGCACGCCGGATGCAAAGGCTGATACCACCCACGAGGCCACGAGACGATACAGACAAGACAGTGTCTTAGGAATCCTCAGTTCACACCGAGCCACAATCCCACGAAGCGACAAAGCCACAAAGGCACAGCCCATGCAAACAACGACCACCAATTAACAGCTATAGTCTGGATAATTGCCTAGAATGGCTTATACCACAACCACAGGATTCATCAGCCGTGACAAAGTGCGATGACAACGATAATATACTGATGTACTACAGTTTACGATGCCACGCCGGACGATTGATTGGTACAATAGGAGCCTCACATCAGGGAATCACCATCGGGACCATGCTCATCGGCTACGTCGGAGGCCTTCCACAAGAGCTACAATTTAGCACAAGCACCTAAGCCAATCGATAGCGCGGTGTTGTTGTGTTCATCATACTTTTCGGCTGCTTCATCTTCATAGCATCATTGGATTGACAAGGATTCGGTCACAAGATCCGAGCAATATTTTAATTCCCCACAATAGCGAATGATCAATGGTTATAGAAGATAGACGAGCAGCTATGTGTGGCATTAACGACCTGTTCATAGATGTTGTAGTCTAGATCGATTAAGTTAGCTCAATACCCATGTGTAAGTAAGCAATAGCACATACTGCAGTCAGATGGGTTACCCCAGTCAACACAGGCCAGAACTCGGAGTCCATAGCCAGACTAGAAAACACAAGTCAGCAAAAGGTCAAGTGCTTCTTGGGAACCGTGTGCATACCTGTCCGTTCTCCAGCGGGGACACCTTGCCAATGACCTCAAATAACTTTCCGATCTGTAGATGGCTCTCTGCTTTCAACATGAGGGCAATATCACCATTGCCGCCGCATGTGAGGGTTCCATTGGCACCGTCGAGCGCGGTCACGGTTCCGAGAAGGCGGACAGTGTATGCGGTGTTAGATCCAGGTGGAGCGCAGTTAAAAGCTTCGAGGTGCTGCGGGAGGATGCGGGGTGTCTGTGGAATTGTATTCATTGTTGCGAATGAGAGGATCCTGGACTCGGTATTGGATTCTTGTCGGCAGCAGAAGGTTTAGGTTGAGCTTGGCTATCGGCGGGGAGCAGTGCGCGTTTGGAAACGCGTGATCACGTGGTGATTGCGAGAATATTAAGGCCGGAGTGAACAAGATACATCTACTGGCAATGTGGAGCATCTTTATAGCATTTTGGCCTGTGATCTGCTGCTTTCTACTCATTTAAGCCAGTCCTCGTTACAACCGACTCTAGAAGATATCTCAATCGCAACTGTGATTTCTACACCGGAAGATCCAATATCATCACGTGACTATATATTCATTTGAAGCAAAAGCTCGAGTCGGATTCACCCTCACCTACCAGCACCACATTCTGTCACCACATACTCCTGTGACAAGATTCTGGGGACCAGTGCCTGCTCTTACGAGCTCTGCCCAGATTTTTGAGTCCGGTTTCCCCAATCCATCTTATTTCCCACGACTGAGCAAGAATGCCTCCACCACTCCCCTCCTCCCACCGGGGGATGACCAAAAACCCCATCAAGCCAAGTCGCTATCGTCCCGGAAAGGCAGTTCCTGAAGATGAGTCTTCAGAGGAAGAGGAAGAAGACGACGAAGAGGCACAGAAAGAGGAGGAGCGTCGCAAACGCATTGAGGCGCAGCGCCGGAGGCAGCAAGCTCCCAAAGCAAGCTCTTTCCCCGCCGCAGCGGTAGCCCAGCAGGCAGCAGAGGATGATGAGGAGGGATTCGTTACCGACGAGGACGAGGACGCGCCCGCGCCCGCGCCAAAAGCTACGCAACCTACAGAGGGCATAAAGCCTGCGCAAAAACCTACACCCACAACTGCTACAGCCGAGAGTGCGAACGAGGAAGAGGAAGAGGAAGAGGAGGAAGATGAGGAGGAGGAAAGTTCAGAGGAAGAAAGCAGCTCTGAAGACGAAGCGCCTCGCCGAATGCTTATCCGACCAACATTCATCAAAAAAGACAAGCGCAACGCGACCCAAGAGTCTGCAGGCCAGACACAAGCTCAAATTAATGCGGAAGCAGAGGCAGAAGAAGCCAAGCGCGCCGCCCAACGGCAAGAAAAAGCCGACATGCTTATCCGCGACCAACTCGAAAAAGAAGCCATCGCACGCTCAGCCGCCAATCGCGCATGGGATGATGACGATCTTGTGGAAGCCAACGAAGAAGAAGCAATCGACGATACAGATGGTCTCGACGCCGAAGCAGAGCTAGCAGCGTGGAAACTGCGTGAATTGAAGCGAGTCAAGCGCGAGCGCGAAGCAATTGAAGAAACCGAAAAAGAGCGCGAAGAAATCGAGCGTCGGCGCAACCTTACTGCCGAAGAACGAGACCGTGAAGACAGCGAGTTCATCGCAAATCAGAAAGAAGAACGCGAGGCGAACCGCGGCGAGTCGGGCTTCATGCAGCGCTATTTCCACAAGGGTGCTTTCTTCCGTGGAGATCTCGAGGCCGAAGGCATTGATCAGCGCAACCTCATGGGTGCGCGATTTGAAGACGACGTCAACCGTGATACCCTGCCCCAGTACATGCAGATTCGGGATATGACGAAGCTGGGCAAGAAAGGACGCACACGCTATAAGGACATGAAGTCTGAGGATACGGGTCGCTTTGGTGATGGGCTGGATAATCGGAGGCGGCGTAATGGCCCGCCTGAGGGCGTTACAGATGAGCGCTTCATGCCTGATCGTCCTGGTGATGATCGAGACCGGGGGCCTACGGGTGCGAATGCCAGTGTTGTGAGACCTAGGAGGCGATCGAGGTCGCGATCACCCCGGCGGGACCGAGATGATCGAGACAACGGTCGGGAGCGCAGTCGTTCCAGGGAGCGCAGGAAACGGAGTCCGTCGCCCTACGAGGATCGGGAAAAGCGCCGACGGACGGGTTCGTGATGCTCGAAAAAGCGAACGTTTCCTTGATTTCCTGGTCTCGTGGCATTGGTCGTGCCTCGATGCACTCGCCAGTTGCGTTGGTGCACTTTGAGCTGATATCTGCACTCTGATCTACCAACCTTCCAGTCTTTGGAAGGCTTGGGGTCCGTCCATGTAACAAAAGCATATCCTCTCCTGGAGGAAAACTATATTGTCATATCTAGCAGCCGATCAAGGAGTTTTGTACATAAGCGCACATGAAATCTAAAGCCAACAAGTCGCCGACCAAGACATGTGCTAGCATGAATTCGTAAAAAGAGTGATCAGTGCCATAATGCAATAACCACGACAGAGCCCAAGCATCTAACCACCCACAACCTCAAGCGCCGAACGCCACAGATCTATGAATTATTTATTTGACACCGGACCGCTCCAAGACCTTCTCCCTCTCCATAACGGCGTCCCCGAACCTGACTAAGAACACTGTTCGACTGGGCCAAAGCTCCGTGGGCTGGTTATGAGCAGAGACCTTAGTCTCGAAGCCACATCCGTCGCAGACACCCTCGATGATACCGGCCACAAACGCCGCACAGTTGAGCATGCTCATTTCCCTCGGCACGCTGATATACGTGTTGACCAGCGGGTCGTTGTCTGTGATCATGTACTCGTTCGGGGTGTCTGGGGAAACGGAGTGCTCGAGGGCATCTGCAGCACGGCCGAACAGGAGGCGCCAGAGGGGTCCGTGGATCAGGTGCAGCAGGGTAATGATGCGGAGGGGGCGGTTTGGAGGTGATGATGAGGTCGAGGAGCTTGAGAGGGCGGATGAGGATGTCGAGGTTGAGCGGTAGAATAGAAGGTCGAGGAGGCGGAGGCCAAGAGGGTAGCCTTGTTCATTTAAGCTGGGGAGCACTGTTAGTATGTAGTTCAAGAAGGTGGTGGTGGCGGGCATTCGAGTCTTGCCAGGACTCGCAGGTGCGGTAGGGAGAGCTTACCGTTTCTCCAGATCTTGAATGCCGGTTACCCTCCGCTGGGCATACGTGACCATTTCCCCGAACAAGAAGGCGAAGCTTGCTCGGCTGGACTCTGCATTGCGACTGCGGTTCAGGTGTCGGTCGTAGATGGTTTTGCGATTGGAAGGCACACGCAGGCCCGGGGATTGTGGTAGTGCGGTCTGTTGTGTCTGTGTTGCTGGCTTGTCTGTCCCATTGCTGATGGACAGCATTGTTGCATGTCGAGGCGGCGCCGCCATGGTGAATATGGTTGTCAATAATCAAGCTCAACCGGTCTGGAGTACGGAGTCGAGCACTATGGGTGGATACGGCGGAGCACATCCGCCTCGAGTGCAGGACTGAGCTTCCAGACGAGATTTCGCCGCTTTACGAGATGCGCGTTACTTTGATTTACGAGTGAGATTATGATATTACGATAGGAAAATGAGGTTCTGTGACAAGTGCCATATATTCATATATTTTATGAGACTCCATAGGTCCGATGCTCACCCTGAGGCTGGTTGACGCTACCATTCAAGGCCAGCGACCACTAGCTCAGAGTAATCAAGAGGCTTGGAGAGCTCAGTTGTTGCAGAGCAACTCTAGGTATAATATCCGGAGTATGTGATTATGCAAAAGACTAATCTGTTTCTGAAAGACAATTAGCAATTGTCTCGACCGTCAAGTTGGTTGAAAAAAGATTCAAAAAAGAACAGCCAAATAGTTCTCAGACATCCAAGGAAGATATTCCGCTCAGCGCCACCTTGATTGGGTTCAAGCGATGGCTAGCGTGGAAACTGCGAATGTAGGAAAAGTTTTCATCATCGAACGGCGTGCGCCGATGGCTGAACTTGGGAGGGAAAGTGAAATAGAGCAAGTCGGAACGTACCAAGTTAGTGAAAGATGAAGATTGTCGCTGATTTGTGACCAGAGAGAGAAGTCAACATTAAGACAACTCTCAGTGGTGGTTGAGGAAGATGAAGAAGAAAAAGTTTTCGGGCCGGGCGACGGCCTTTTATAGCCCGAGCGGAGCTGCCCCGGAAACCGTGACCCATTTTGTTAGCGAAAAAAAATAATTCAAGTGGATAGGTCTTTTGTTGCTATGGACACTACACGAAGCTACTAGATTAAGAGAGTCATGGATTCAAATCGAATGTCCAAATTGCTGTAGCTTGTATGTCGATTTAGTATGTTTTCGTAGATGAGCGGATCAGATTCCAACGAGCGGAGGCGTAGCTTCGACAAATAGCTACTTGAAGCTCTTCTGCTTCTGTCGCGAATTCCAATTCAGAGTTTTGGAGATGCTGTGCACCCAGCCCTCGCCTTGCCCTCCAGGGGGCAAGACATTGGCAAAGGGATACCTGGAGGCTGAGACAGTCACATAATCGCCTGGGTGTAACTCGACCCTGGAGGAGCTGTTAATACTGACACGTCAAGGATCACTGACGATATACATACCTCTCACGTCCATCAAAGCTAGCCCATGAACTCGTGCGTGCATCGTACGGCACACCCATCCGCAGAACAATCGTGTCTGGTAGAATAATGGGCCGGAAGGAGAGCGTATGGGCACAGATGGCAGTGACCAGAATGACAGGGTTCTCGGGATGTGAAAGAGATCCGCCAGCGGCGAGATTGTAAGCAGTCGAGCCGGTGGGGGTCGCAATACAGATGCCATCGGCAAGTAAAGTGGTGAAATGCTCGTCGTCCCCGAAGAGTTCGATTTGAGACATGGCTGGTATACGTTGTTAGCCTTATGTATACCAAAAAGAGTATCGTAAACGGTTTCGAGGCTGGCATCATACTTGGATTTGGCCCCCGGTCGAGGACGACGTCGTTCAATATCTCATACACTCGGTCCGGGGTATGCGTCAATGTATCCTCCCCTTCTTCGCCAATGAGTTCCTCAACTAAGTCGCGATCTGCCAATGTCTTCGACTGCGGATCTTTCTGTCGCGCCTTACTTCGCATTATCGTGCATTCGAATCGTAGTCGCAGGCTGACGACAACACCATCTCGCAGCGCATTCTCGAGCGCTTTTTGATAGTCTGCAAAATCGAAGTTCGTTAAGAATCCCAATGAGCCTAACGCAAAGGAAAGAACAGGCGGTACGATCCGCTGGAATAGCCAACTAGTGTAAAGAACGGTGCCATCACCACCCAGTGTGACTACAAAGTCAAACAGATGTGGTTGCTGCTGCGCAAGTTTGGGGTCCCAGTATTTGAGCCGGCCTTCTGCCGAAGGCTCCTCTTCTACCAGCTGCAGCGCCCCAAAATCTGGATGTGTTTCAAGTCGACGCTCAACATACACCACGTACTGGGAGTCTCGGTCCTTGGAGAGAAGCCAATGTGTGACCTTGCGCGTCAGGCTGACGAGTGACTCATCCTGAACCTTGCAGACCACGAAGACGTTCTTGACTGTGAGCTTGAGTTTGATGCTACCGAGCTTCTTGGAGAGCTTTCGCACGTTCCAAGCCATGTCTGATAGCTGTCTTTTTGTTAGATGGCGAGATTGGATGATTGTCGGGGATGGTTTGAGGGCGCTTGTGTGATCGCCATCCACCACCGAGACCAGATCTTCTGCATTCGCCGCCGTTGGGTCGGATATTGGAGGCTGGTTCTCGTCATCTTTTATTGTCCGGATAACTTCTTCTGTGTCTTTCGGGTTGTGAGGGGGAGCGGTCCATTCGCCCGCGATGAGAGAGTGAACATAGCACGCGGTCGTCTTGTCGTCCTGGGCTGGATGAGGTCGGACCTTCGGCTTATCCATCGTAACGAGGGAAGACTTGCGGCGATGATTGGAGTCCGGGTAGAATACTACCTATACGGGAGCGATTAGCTCAGAGCTGTCAACAGACTGGAGGAACGTACCTCTAGGTGGTTCTGACCCTCATTGTCGCTTGCCCCTCCAGCCCCTCCATAGCCCTACGGCATTGATCAGTCACCGTCGCATTTTAGTCTGAGTACCACATACATCATCACCGGATTTGTCCATCGCTGGGGTGCTGGAGATGTTTGTCTGAAGTGGGATGAAAAGAAAGTGGGTATGACGTCGATCCCCTCATTGGAAAACCACCTCGTGTTCGGCCTTCGCCCGATTCTCCGGGGTCATTGGCCCAGAGTCCTTAGAGATCTACACTCTTTCACTTTTGGTTTTAGATTATCTCTTGGCAGTTTTTTAGCCTCAATACTCCCTTTTCTGCGAGAATTCAGCACCTCGGCGGAATAGGAATAGGATGTACGTTAATTTCTATGGCCTGGCTTGATTTTACATGGAATTCTTCATCTCCCTGAGCGCGGCCATCACTTCCACCGGGTCCGTCTTGCCAGTAACCTTGTGAATCTCGGGATCCTAGACATTTTTTGTGAGTATAAGAGATAAAACCAAGGCACAAAGAACTCACATTGACACGCATGAACACATTGTGAAGCTATAGATCTCTGTTAGCTCGGGTCGCGATTGAGGAATTTTTGATCTAACCTTCTCATCACCGATAGTGAACTTTCCCTGGGTCTCTTGGTTCTGTTCCGCAAACGCCTGAAGCTTCTTAATCGGTTCTGTTTGTGAAACTGCAATGCAGAATTTGACATTCGCCTTGGTGTATTCATGACCGGGCTAGAAAAGTCGGTGTAAGTAGTGTGGCCGATAATGGGAGGGAGAAATCATACATAAACCTTGGTGTCGTCGGGTAAAGCTGCAAGGGTTTCATTCAAGGCCTTGTGCATCTCCTGTGCGTTTCCCTCAAAGAATCGACCACACCCTATCCAAGAGTCAATTCATGTTTCTCAGTCGTCACCCGCCACCACACGGTGGTCAGCGAATGGATGATAAACGTACCGCCGATGAAAAGGGTGTCACCAGTGAATACAACACGCTGATCTCCATCTTGCATATAGAAGCAGATACTGTCTTGTGTATGGCAAGGGGTGTACAAAGCCTTCACTGAGATACGATCTCCAATCTTGAAAGTTTCGCCATTCGCGGGAGTTCTGGTAACGGACGCACAGTCCTTGCCTCCAATCACCTGAAGGCCCTTGAACTCTTTCAGCTAGAGTATGTCAGTACTATGTCGGACAAGCAGACCAAGGTGTCAAACATACAATATCGCCATTACCGCCAGCATGATCCCAGTGGCTGTTCGTCAAATATCAGCAAACCTTCAGCCCATCAAGTCTTCGTTTACATACTGATGAGTGTTCACAATAGCTGTCAAGTCGATCTTTCCAGCATCAATCTGCGACTTCAAGACCGGTGTAACCCTACAATTCCATGAAATCAGCATTGTGTACCGTGCATTGGAATCTGTCTAATCTTCAACAAAGAACTCACTCGGGGGGATTAGCAGGATCAATGATCACCGACTGCTTAGTTGGTTCATCTGTCACAAGGTAGGCATAGTTGTTGCCCTTCCCCGTCCCTGTCGATTTGTCTCAATGTAAGCCAAAGCTCCAGTCTTTCTCGATATTTTGATCGGCATGTAATGCGCGGACGAGTTTCAGTTGACGTACACATAGGAATTGATTGGATATGCATGGCTCTGGCCTGAGATCTGAGTAAACGAGAGCCAGTTGCAAATACTTGAGTCCTGAGAAAGTTCATCACTCCAAACACAATGCGGGGAGCTAGAAGACAGCCGTACGCTGCTGATTACCAATGTCGCCGATTGCCAACGTCATCCGGAGGAACCTTTTTCCCGTGAGCTTGACAGCTGTTGGTAATAACATCGCATCTGATTGGCCGCTCAATTAAAGATCTTGGAATAACCAGTGAATTACTCTAGCTGCCAGCAGCATGTTCATTTTGTGTTTGTATCCTCTAATTACTTGCTACCACCCCCAGAGGGCGGCTATCCCATTGTTCCAGAAGACCCCATCCATGTGCCAGTAGTTTTTCCGAGAGCTGGGAGGTAGGACCTTGCGACTGCGGACGAGTTTGGGGCTTTGAAACTCGAGTCTTGGTACCGGATCGAGCAATGGGTACTGCTGAAGTTTTCCCAGCCTGCTTTTTCACCTGATCTGATAACAGCGTCGTCCAGTGGTGTGGGCTCTCGGTGCAAGCCTGGAGGACGTAACTATGAGGGCAAGATTGCCGGTGGAATTCCCAAGCCGGAGATGTGAGAATATGGGCAAGCCACAGATACAGTGCCTCTGAATGGGGGTTGTTGGATGCGTCGTTGGTGTTGAACGCGAGATCGTTGATCATATCCTCTGTGAGATGTCTTAAAAAGGAAGGATGACTCTCAGCAACCTTGAGAAGCACAGTACTCAGTTCCTTCAAAGTTTCATTCAGCGAATCTCCAAGTCTGTGAAAGGTAGAAGAAGAATTAGCGTGTACTCCCCGATAGCACCACCCCTGGCTCAACACCCGAGACACGACCAAAAAGAGTACTCACGTCCGTCCCGCAGGCACCAACAAGCCCTGCTCAAGCAAAACACCCGGTAGAAGCCTAATACCGGCCCCCGAAGAGTTACAGATCGAGACCAGCTGCATAGCCACCGATATGGATCGATCATACTTCCGCTTCTTGGAGACCGGTTCCGCCGATCCGCCGGCTAGAGGCTGCAGAGCGTCGCACAAGGCTGCCCTTACAGATACACCATCATCATGGGTCAATGCAGGTGTAGCACCAGGCTCATCACAAATATCGGCCCAGAAGTTATCCCAAAGCCATTCGAGAGACCGCTGTGCTGCTTTGCGCAGTACCACCAGAGACGGGGGCTCACGGTGGGTTGCTTCGTGCCGCAATTCCACAAAAGAAGCTGGCAGGCCCAGATCTGTAGCGCGCTGAAACATTGTCCGCCGTACACCATGAATTTTGGTATCCACAAGACCGGTTACGAAGCTGTTTGCGCATTAGTTGCGGTTGACTGGTGGGATGTAGAGATTGAGGCGAAAGAGCCCCATAGCAAGGACGTGTTCTCTCCAAGTGCAGATCAAAAGAATAGAGTTCAATTAGAGACTCACCGACAGAAGGCAGCAGAGTATGTAGCCCGAATCGAGAATATGGAATTTCTCTGTGCATCATCATGCAGAATTGCGTCCGTCAACAATGCGGTAGCTTCAACATGGTGCGGTACATTGCCGCGCAACTTCCAGGCTTCGACCTTGCACAGACAGGATCAGCAAAAGACTGTTGTACTAGAAGAGATTTCATATCACATACCACTGCGCAACCGTGAGAGCGCAAGTCTGGGCCGGCGTAGGAAGGCGGAGGATAGAATTCGTTCCGCACCTCCACCAGCTGGGCCTTGGTTTTCCAAGCCGTGAAAATGACCTTGGCCATTCTGCTATTGGATCAGAACAACAAATAAGAAATCCAATACACTGTCAAACGAGTTCGGTCGACCTTGCGTTGCCAGCTTGCTGCGAAAAGACTTTCGGGAGATAGTTGTTCCATTTGGTGGATTTTGCCGAGAATTGTGATTGACACGGCCAATCAACAGGCAGGATTGTATACTTCCATCGATGGAGGTCCACATCGACTTTAGGCTGCTTTTGTATTTACAATCTCGGTAAGAAAATGAGAGGTAGCAAAATATGTAAAGCTAGTTGTGTGAATTTATTGAGTACACCACCCAAGGTAAATGTAGTTTAGCTAGATGCAAGTTGTTCCAAGGGTATCGTTCCGCTGTATCCGACGCCGAGCCATAAAGAAATCACAAAAATGAACACCACGCTATGCCGCTAGTAAGGAGATACAAAGAAAAGTGAAAGAGTGAGTGATACCCGAATGCTCGGGGTAATCATCTTAGATCCAACCATACCCGTAATTCATGCAAGGTTGGTTCAAGCTCGGAAAAGGCTGGGCTGGGATTGCCTGCTGATCCTCGTCTTGGTCAAAAAGAAAGACCGCTGGAGCATGTTCAGGGTCTGCTTGGGCTGCTTGGGAAAGAAGCTTGATTGAGAGGGCATTTGCATGGGGTGCACAGGCTCATCGCGAGACATTGGTTGCTGAGGCGATGGCTCCAGCTCATCGCTTTCGTCATCCTCCCCTTCGGCATCCTTTTCTTCGTCGGATGGAGTGAAGGTCTCCTCGAGTTTGAGTCCTGTGCCCGGTTTGCTTTGAGGTGCCTTGGCCAGCGTTCCGTTAGGCTGGCTGTAGAGGCCCATTCCGACGAGCTCCTCTTCGGCCTTTCCAGTCTTCTTAGCTTCGACTGGGGGCTGGGAATGATCGTCAAATTGTTGAATGGGAAGGAAATCCGGGGTCGATGGTCCGCTCATTTCACCCGGTGAAGGAACGCTGACGTAGCTTGGGCAAGTGGTTTCTGGTGGGGGAATGTTGGTGCCCATTGAGAGCATATCCATGGACCAGTTATCGGAGGCCGGGTTCATTGCGGTAAGTTCGGGCATGGCGACGTCCCAAGCCATCGGCTCGACCTGCGAGCCAGTCATGGATAGCGCCGGTGTTTGTTGTGGAAGTGGCAAATCCTCCTGCATCTCCGAGTAAACGGGGAAGTAGTCGTTGGGCGAGAAGGTAGCATCAGCAGTCATGGGATACGACATCATATTGTCGCCACCATAGATGGTTTGGGGAAGATATTGTTGAGGGACGGTTCCCATGCCAGCATAGGTATCCGGGTTGAAGTCGGGATAACATTGCGGATTTGAGAGGCCCCGAGTTCTTGCCGATGAAGGATGCCAGCTAATCGGGCGTGAGTTCCGAGAGGCCGATGCGAAGAGAGCTTCTTCCAAGGAGGACTGGTACTGTGAGGGCATCGCCTGCATCACATGTTGATTCACTGTTGATCGTCTTCTCGTGACTGCTGAAGGACTGTTGCCAGCACTACGAGGCTTCATGACCCGGGTGTGTCTCGGCCGAGGGAAAGCACGGACCAGATCCTGCATGGTTGGTTGACTATGAGCTGGAGCGGCATGTAGCCATTGAGAGCCAGTTGAAGAAGGCTGAGATTGCCAGTAGTTGGCCATTAAAAAGAAACAGGAAGAGGGTTGAGAGTAAGAAGTAGTGGACTAGGGAAGAGGGTTTAGTTGAGTGTATATAAAGGTGGGGAGGAGAAAGAGATAGCTTACGTATAGAGAGAGCAGTAGGGAAACAGGGTGATCAAAGGTGATAGAAGGGCCGTTCCGCAGGAACAGCGACTAATAAGGGTATTTAATTCAAGTGAAGATCAGGCAAGGTCGACCGACCTTATAAGAAGGGAATCCAGGGAGCCCTGACGATCTACCACCCGCCCCAGCTCCACGATTCCACCGCACATGCTAAGATGACACGACGTTGACACTAACGAAATGAGCCTAGACGCAAATAAAGGGCAACCTGGAACCGAATCCAAGGAAAACAAATAAGCAGGGATCGGACCTGTGGGAACATGGAACATGGAACATAAGCTTAAGGCGAACATCAGAGTCATAGTTTAGTACGGAGTATACGTAGAGGACGGAGACGGGAGTGGTACAAAGTACCCGACCAGAACACCAAAATTAATCACCTTAAAAGTACTGTATACGAGTAGTACTTACTCGTACTCCGTACTATAGAACCAGTAACCAGAACCGGTATGCAAATAGTCCATGGAATGGATCTCACACGGGCCTACGGGAGGGTTTTTCCTCTTTTTTCCTCTTTTCTCTTTATTTTCTTTGATGAGTTTTATCCCCCTCCCCTTTCACTGCCCAAAACGGTGTTAGTGAATAATGTCTTGATTGGTTACTTTTTTACATTACCCTACCTTGTACTCCATACGGCGTAGACTTTAATTTAATTACTGAAATCAGGAAATGGAACTAAGTAAAATTCAAAAAGAAAAACTAAAAAAGGAAATTCGAAAACCAACCCAACAGTCAGGAACCTTGGCCCTTAACCGCCCATGGAATGCTGCTTGTCTGAGCGACCCGCGATCCGGTCCGATCTGCGGCCAATACTTCCTTCAAGGCTGAACGCCTCAATTTTCGAAGAATGTCACTTGACGCTTTCCCAGGTTCTACACAAGGGTACGGAGTACAGAGTACTAGTATATTAGCGGTTACGCAAGGGTTACAATGTGATGGGATGCACACATCGCCTTTTTCTTTTCACCAGGGGTGAGTGGAGTTAAAGATAATGACCGTCATCGTTGGCGGGCCCCCTTCCCAATCAGTCCTAGGGAATCTTAGTCCTTTGTACCGTGCATACCCGAATGTGAGGTTGCTATTTTTCGCATTCTCCCTTATGTATGGAGTACACTTATCTGTCCTCTTGGTTCAAAATTATCCGGAGTACATGATCCAGATGCACTGGATACGGAGTACTCCGTACTTGTACATTGGATCCCATTTATTGAATTTTCTACCATGTCCTTCCGCTTGGTCTGATTTCATTTCCCCCATCCTTTCATTACAAGTCCACTTTAGGTATTGAAAAAAGTTCCGATCCCTGAATTAGACTACTGCCACCTTCGGTTGTCGTCATACCCAATCAAGGCTTGAACAGAGAACAACTTGGACCACTAGACTACCTGCATTTCCCAAGATCAGCAATTGCAGGTCACTTTTCCAGTATCAGCTGAGGGGAACTAATGGGTCTAAAAGCAGTAGCGTATCGATCCGAGTCAACGTTTGTGGACCTGTTTCATCGGTATACAACAATTGCGACGCCACGAAATGACCCAGAACCATCGCAAATCTTGCGTGGCTCAAAGCGGGAAGCTCGGCTATCCCAAGCGTTGAACCCGCGTGGAGCTGTTTGAGTTCGCCCAGATTAAATAGAGGGGATTTTCTTTTTTTTTTTACCGGTGATTTTTGACTAAGTAATTTCGATTTTTTTTTCTTCTCTCAGCCCGCAGTGACGTGCGGGTTCTGGCCAAATATGATTAGTCAAAATATCAGGTTCGTGTTTTCTTACCGATGCTAAGGTTGGCGCCAATGTGCACCTTGGCCCTTAGTGTGGCCCCCTCACCAGAAGGTCAAAGAGAGTCGAAAAATGGACCCGGAGACAAACCAAAACCCACTTTGTGTCACCGATCAGGAAACGAGCGGTAGAGCCACCATTCACAACGTGGCCGGGCGGATCTGATCGTGCCTAGGGCTCTGCCAAAAGCCAAAAACAGACCAATCCCCGGAGAGCCCAGTCTTTTCAGGGGCCCTGTCTCTCGTCTACACTATAATGTGATAATGTGCTCATCCTAGCCAAAGTTGATGGTGAAACTTGAGAATACAGGAGTTCTAGAGTACAGAGCCCTTTGTACGGGGTACATATTAGACCGTTGGAAATAGCATGATTCCAACGCTTACCAACTCATCCCTCACCGATGCAATCTCTAATCAGACATGTCATTACAGCAAGCGAAGCGCCAATCAGCTGCACATGAGAGTCGATCTCGATATGCCCAGACTGCAAAACACAAGCCCATTTCCACGGCATGAAGGGAGTACCGGAACGCATTTGCGGCGCGACCCACTTCCTGCACAGCAAGAGCCAAGAAACAAACGGGAAATAATTTATTACAGAGGCAATATGCTGTACACTCCGTACTATACACAAATTTCCAGAAGGCCAGGGGTGTTTTTGATTTGATCGAATCACAGAGTTCTCCTGGTGGAACCGCTGACACAATTTGAATCTGCCGATCTTAGAGGCATGCACTGAGCACACCGTAACAGTACTATTTCCGTTCAAAGGACCTAGCCCCGGTCTGATCCCTTCAAAGACGGCCAGACAGTGTCCGTTGGATTCACAAAACTCCAAACATGGAGACATGCCCTGCATGCCCCCCCTATCCGAGGACCAGCATGATACAAGTTCCCTCTTGCCGACCTGCTTGTACATGTAATCCAGTCTATTTGGACGCTAACTTTGGACCGGTCTCTGTCCGAGACCAGACGCGCTAGATCGGGTCTTGATCAGCTCTCTCAGCCCGGGAGCCTCCTTTGGCCCACTCTACAGTAACCTCCGAAACGGCCTATGGGATACCCACTAGCAAAAAATGGACTAGTGATGAACCTCTCGAGGCCCTATCTCCACAATCAACGCAGTTGGGCCTCCACTATTGGATTAAATTTGGGAGGGCGGAGCCGATCCCAGCTTCCTTCGTCCTTCCAGACGTTCTAAAGTCGGGGTTTATGATTGCCCGGTTCCCCTTCTTAGCCCCAACGAATGCAGCGGGACCTGCGGGCTAAATCAATTTGGCTTGCTTTAGCGCCATGTCATCAACCCCTTACGGTGTAGCATGCATGTTCTGGTCACCTTAGTCCCCGTGCGTCTTTGTTTTCTTTTGGCCAATCTGGTCATCTACGTAGTGTTCCGTACGGAGTATACACCCCAAGTTATGTGCCATATGATCAAAACTCAATTCAAACACCTGATTCATACTCCTTGTATGGAAAATAATAAGATGCCATGAGAAGGGGAAGGGGGGCGAAATAGAAAATCCAGTGGCTTTTCCCTCTCGGTCGGCTGATCCTTTTAGCCAAGTGTTGGTTGGTTCGTGTTATTGGTAAGCCCCTCTCAGGACTCGACGATCGTTGGGATTATCCTCCGACAAAGCCCAACGGCCTATGTACGTTGCCCTTGAACGGAGTGCGGACCTGGTACGGAGTACGGAGTACAGCCTACTTGTACGAACCCAGATGCTTCAAGGTTGAAACTAAGACTGCCGTTCCCCGATAGGCTGCGAGGTTGAATCAGCTGGTCAGACTTCAGAATCGGGCGATTCAAAGCTCCAGACCTTGCAAGGGCCCTGTGACACAGCGTCAACGATATAGGTTAGAGACACGTAACTGTCCGCAATCTTGGAAAAAAAAGATTATACGGAGTACAGACCCGATGCACGATGTACAATAAACGCTGCAGCCTCATGGCTCAATTTCGTCATTGCAAACCTTTCGGAGGTGAACTCACACTATAATCAGATCCAAGGTCCAAGGATCCGTGCATCGGGCGCTGCGTCAACTGCAGGCTGCCATCCTCGGATATGTTGGGTCCTGGCGCCTGACGCCACATTCGGTCCAGGTGCAGGTGGGGAGAATTAATTGTTATCAAAGTGGCGGAGTAGAAACCCAGGTTACTGGGTTTACAAGGAAGAAGGGGGGGAAGAAAGCCTCTCCAACTTCGTACTCCGTAAAGTATTCGCTCTTGTACGAGTCCGTACGGAGAACGGAGGACGGGCTAGCGGTCAACGTGGTGATGTTTCCCCCAAAATTGAGGCTGGACCAATCAGCCCCCTAACACCGCCTGCGGCACTCTATTGAAACCTTCGACCCCAAATGTGCATGTCCAATCTACATGCGACTTTTCCGTTACTCGGTGCTTAACTGTCTTAGGATCCACTCTATTCCTCGACTTGGCCCATGCACATCTGTTGTCTTTCAAGTGCTGATCTCCACTGTCGGCCGATCCTGTTCCCAATAGGGTAAACTCAAAGATCATAAATGATTTGAGGATCCTCCCATGCAGGGGCCGATCCTGAGACCTCGTATACTACGCTTGCAAATAGCTCCGTGCATTGTCAACTCCGTGGCTCCATTGACTACCAATAACTATGAGTGTACTATTTGTGTATACAACGGAGTCGCTCCAATAGTAGTAAAAGTAAAGAATACACTGCGCGTGTCGCCAGAAGAAGGTCGGTGCAGCGAATCACAGGGGTATCTGCAGCGTGCGAACAGCTGCAGTGAGATGGCACAGTGTTATATATCGGGGAACACAACTTGGCTCCTGGGCTCTGATTGTGGTGCTTTCCAAGGTTATTTATTTTTCTCTCTTTTCTTTCGGCACTAACTCCCGAGGTCCGTATGTGTGTCTGTGATAGAGATTTGACTTCGACTCCTACCACACTGCACTACTGCCCAGGTGTACGGAGTACAATTTTCAGGACTCGCATATTGAATCAAGTAGTCCGTAGTCCGTACGGAGTACTACTCGTCCAATGCAAAGGCTTTGACTCCGGCCTAAACGGCAAAAGACGATAGATCCACTCAAATTTACTGCTTACGAGATCCGAGGGGCACAGTCAAAAGGGCCCGGGGCTCGAGACCCCTCTACCGCGCTCTCCACAATTATGTGTGATAATTAGTGTAATTGCCCAGATTCGCGTCAAGAAAAATCAAGTCACGATATGCCGAGCTCCGATTCGACTGGACCCTCACCGCACCTGCGCACTCTGCGTGTTTCTGTTCCACAGATGTGATATACAGGACCCCACACACTCCTGACGAAACCTGTAACCACGCAAGACTCACACGACTCCTCACACCCTATTCTACGAACATATGCAGTATGACAAAATGCGCAGCTTTTGCCTTCTTCCCTACTTTTTACATACATCGTGCATTCTACTTCTTCCGCACACTCTAATACACAACTAGAGGGAAAATTCAACCCAATACTCGGATGATGATCGGTGGAAATGCATCCCCGAATGACCCATTCTTTCTACTCGCCCCACCGTAAATCATCCACACTGGGCATCATTGCCATATCGGAGTCATGGTCTAACGGAGTTCCTCACCCGCTTTACGGAGTAATGCCCACCTCATTCCCGCTTCGAAGACACTGTTATTGTGGGTATGGATCCGCTCGTGTTTGTGTCACCGATGTGCGCATTATTGATTTTGGGCACTGAGGTTTGCAGTTGACTTGTTATTTCACTTTTTTTCACGAACGCAATCTTGTAGATCACGGGTCGAGTGTGGAGTCGTGCGGAGTCGAAGAGTCTGCACCACATTGATTGTTTGGTCTTGCACTGATCTCCGCGGTCTTACCCCTTAACGCAGATGGATGGTGTGGTGGTTTTGAATTTTCAAATGCGAGGGGCTGGGCATGACTGGGATACTTTGGGTCAGACTAGTGAGGAAGCTGGGTTGGCTTTGGTGCAGTGGACTCCGCATGCCCAGGTGAGGGTCAGCATTCACGATAATCGTTTTGGCTTGTTTGAGGCTGCCCGGGTGTCCCATTCGTTGCTTACCTTTGGCTCGATAGATCGAGTCTTGGGAGCAGGAGCAGGAGCAGGATACTAGTATTTGTATGCAGTCCGGTTCTCAATCTGTGTTTGAGCTGCGCGAAGACAGGTTCGGAAGTAGACAAACAGATATCTGATTACGAAGTAGACTTCCTTCACTTATATGATTCCAGGGTGTAGTGGCGTGCGTTGATCGTTCGTTATCCAATCCACTAACCACACATTCTTCGAATATTGCGATCAAGTCGGCAACATATTAATATCAATCACCATCCTTCCAATGTTGCAGTGCATATAGAAATGTGAAGCATGACATCGGCTACATGTCGAAGAGGTCGGCCATGTCAAACTCATCAGCCAACGAAGTGTAGGAATGCTGCACTTGATATAATCATATAACAGGACTAAAAAGCAAGAACGGTGAGAACAAACTACCTGACAAATGGTGTCTATGAATACAATCTGAACCAGAAGAGTGTATTTGATGCCATTTTGGTTACAATACATTCCCAACACCCCTGAGTGTATAAACAACAACCCGCCTCGTGAGAAGCTAAACTTGGTGTGTAACTACCACAAAACTTCATAGTTGGCTCTTGTGTCATATATTTTGTCTGTCGGTCAGTAAAGAGGCCGCTCAAGTCAGATGTTTGTGAAATTACCTCTCATCGTCGCAAATTGGATCTGGGGATGGCATGGGAGCAAGTCTGCATGTGACAGCTTGTGATAATAAAGACCACCCAATCATCAGCTAGGTATTGATCTTCAACTGATCAAGAAATCAGTCTCATTGCTACATGCCAGGCGACGGGCCTCAACCTCGGTCCGACCTTGACAACAATGATCCTAACCCTATGTGATAATCCTTATCGGTTCTCATGTTGAAAGGCCCAGCTTATCCTAGGAGTGCCACTGAAAAATGACATGATGGCAGGCAACAAATGATGTTCAAATGATAGGATACAGTCGCTCAGGCAAGCTCAGAAGTACTTAATTGCACTCTATCTTATTTGCGACGTCGTGAGTTCGCATGCCTCGTAATACTCTACACTCACGATATAGACATTGACGCCTGTATACACTCTATTCATCCACCATGACCACCCGATGGGCAATGCAGGTATTCACTTAGCTTGGAATCATAGATTTGGTGACTCAAAGTTAGATTCTCGATCCTCAGTAGCACGCTTTCGAGCCAGAAACTGGGAGCTTGACCACAGATTCATGATTTGCTCCGGCATGGATTTGATACCGTGTCATAAAAGTGTCAGCTTGTTTCTGTCATAAGAGAAACAGGCTATGAATTTTGTTTGTGTGATTCATACTTCGCATTTCTGTTCCCAATGGTGCGCAAAGATCATCCATCAAGAGCCAACAGTGCCTCTCGTGACGTGGATCGGCCCTCAACACTTGCCCAAAGTATTCACGTCTAATTTACGGGAAATAAAATCTCGTCTCGAAATCAGTAGCTCCAGATTGGTAATTATGTGTAAACTTGGAAATATTCATAGCAATAACAATCATGGTGACGTCAGTCAGAGCAGGGTTTAATCCGTCAAAATGTACATACAACATGGGATCATAATCTTCAGACATTCCAAGGTTCTCGTTGAGGTTTACGAGTATTCACAATTCATAATTGAAAACAAACGGCAGAAGGTTGCAGAATAACAAGAGTCTCTCTGATTCCCACCAGCTTCACATTGAAATATACATCGACAAGATGTCCTGCACCGAAGGATCTGGCAAGAGCCACAAGGAAATCCCAGGCGACCCGCGGACAGTGAAGAGCCAAGTTTTGGAGACCGGAGCATCGATGATCCAAGACTTCACTCCAGTCAAACAGATCTGTGCCCATCTCAATGCGTTTCACACCTACGCCACTGACCCAACCCGCTGCGTTGAGGCCAATCATTACTGTACACATCTCACAGAGGGTACGTCTACACGAAGCCATAGCAATCACCAACGCTCACCGAGTCTAGACGTGCGACAATGTTTGATATATGACTCACCCGAGAAAAACGCGCGCCTTCTCGGCGTGGAGTACATGGTTTCGCCGCGAATTTTCGCAACCCTCCCAGAAGAAGAGCGTAAGCTCTGGCATACTCATGAGTTCGAGGTCAAGAGCGGGATGCTCATTATGCCTGCGCCAGCTGGAGTTCCCAATTCAGTATGGGAGACTGCTGAGACTGCTGAGATGCAGGACGTTGCACCGATATATGGGAAGACTTATCATTTCTGGCAGGTAGACCGTGGCGATCCTGTTCCTATGGGCCCGCCGCAGTTGATGGGAAGCTTTATATCGCCTGAGAGTGTAGAAGTGGCCAAGCCTGGAGGGCTGGATGAATTGCTTGCGGAAAGAGACGCAAGGTTCGGGGTGGACTATCGCCAGAAGGCGAAGAAAAGGGAAGGTATCGAGCCGGTCGACAAACACAAAGGTATCGCCTTCGCCCAATCGGTTGGATGTTACAAACTGACTGAATGCCAGATGCCGATGCGATGTGGACAAAGTCTAGCTAAAGACTTTCGCAGGCGGGACCAGCAATCAAGGTACCGATGCAAGTTGATCGACGACTTTACAAAAGAATGATGAGACTTTCCAAGGTTGAAATGTGTACGGAGTACTCATAGATTGAATAATGCATTGCATGTGTAATATATAGGATGTCTCCCCACTGCGTATGCCCCAAAGACCCAGTCCCATAGTTAAATGGGGTCGAGAATGAGGCACACTGGGGGAAAGCCTGTCTAACAAGACAGACTCTATGTGTTCATCTTGCTTCATATTCCACACTAGCTCGTCCTGGTGCTGTATTTCGGCGACGGCCAGCTCTAGCATTTGGAGAAGCGGATATTCCAGAAGGAATTGGGGGAAGGGGTAGGAAATTAACTAAAACGAGGAGACATTCTCATCGGTACAGGTGTTCTTGTCACAGCGAAAGTGCGAACATCCATACTGTTCTCAGCACAGCTTCCACAAACATCAATGGGCAGCTGAAGTAACTGAAAGGTTGTTGGAGAATATAGTCCAATGCAACAGCAGGATTCGCACAATGGCTGGTTTCAATCGAGGCTCGATTGATGATGGGGAAGAGAGGGGGGAAGCAGGAAAAAATGGATTTTAAAGGGACCGAGAGGTCACATGACCGTCATCCAACATCCGCGGAAGTCAGTTGTTGGAGCTCTTGATGATAGTACATTCCAGGCTCTCACCACATGGAGAAACTTCTCCGGTCTACGCTTAGGCTTGCGAATGTTCGCACTGCCGGTCGGCTTGCGCTCAATGGCGCCGGCACCTTCTGTGCGTGCTCACTGATCTGGGAGCATCTGATCACCGTCCAGCTCAGCGCGGGTCCTTCAATGTACCCGACTTTCGACGTACGCGGCGATTGGCTGTTGATTTCACGACTTCACCGCAATGGAAAGGGGATCGAGGTTGGCGATATTGTGCGATTCGGCCACCCGAACTTCCAGGGCGTTCACGTCGCGAAGCGGGTGGTAGGCATGCCTGGAGATTTCGTTTGTCAGGACCAGCCACTCAGTTCGGAGATTGGCAAGGACCAGAATATGATACAAGTAGGTGAAATTTCTTTGCTTGATGGAGAACTATCGCTGATATGTGACTGTGAAGATCCCCGAGGGCCACGTCTTTCTAGCCGGCGACAACCTTCCTTGGTCCAGAGATTCACGAAATTACGGTCCTGTTCCCATGGGCCTCATTAATGGAAAGATAATCGCACGAGTCTGGCCACCGTCGAAGGCGGAATGGATACAAAATCCGCTACAGCCTGCGCGATTGGAGGGCAGCATCTGAGGATCATACAATGCATATTCAAGTCCGCGTACCTGAAACCTTTGATCGGAATGGGAAGCAGATACGGTGGCACCGAGAACGCCAGCCAATTCGACATACGACCATCAGAACAAGAAGGCCTCACCCCGAGATCTGATCGATATCTTGGGCTCACAGTCCGTCCAACCCCGACAGAGCTCTTCAGGGCCAGATTCCGAATGACCTAGATCAAAGTCATCCACCGAGCGTACATCTAACAGGCTTCCAAAGTCTCGCTCTATCCAGGTGGCAGCCAAGGTCGGTCTCAGGGACTTTTGATTATGATTCTAGGACAGGTCTCACAGATACCTTCGGCTCTGGTTCTCACTCACTGAAGAACATACCGAGTGATTGAGAAAATCGCATAGTGCAGACGAGTGACAGGGCATCCTGTTCAAGCATATACATGGAGTTTGGTTGGGAGGATTAAATCAGTGTGCATATTCATACATATCAAATTGTACAATACAAATCTAAACTCAAATGGTTTTGATGGGAAACAGAGTATAGAAAACAAGATTACCGGAAAGAGGAGGGGTTGCGTCTCTTATAAGGCAGAGGCTCAACCCTCTTGCGGCGTAGCTCGACATCTGCGCCATTGAATCCAAGCTCCTTCATGACCTCCAGGGTCGTCTCGTCCCACTGGGTACGGAACAGGTGAGCACCAATAGCCTTGAGGTGGTAGCGGGTCTGGAGAGTGCGAAGAAGAGTGTTGTCGCGGTTAGCCTCCTTCGCCTTAACGGCGGCAAAGTCGAGAGGCTGAGAGTCCTTCTGCTCCATGATGAAAAGGGAAAGACGGTGGTAGGGGCTACCCTTCTGGGCAACGGGAGGGAGCCAGGGCAAAACAACCTGGGAGTCTTCCAAAAGCTGGGCGAGGTCGACCTTAGTTGAGGTAGCTGAGATGGGAACATTGACGGCCAGGAAATGTGTCTTATAATCAAAGCTGTCTTTCTCGACGTTGGGGACATCAGAGTCAACAACAGCAATGGTCACAAGCTTCTCGCCACCCTCGAAAAGCTGAACATCGAGCTTCGGTGCAATTGTGCTCTGCTTGGCTGCGACGAATTCACCGGGTTGAATCTGTCGCCTGTCGAAGTACAGCTTGGTCTCTACGACCGGGTCGCAGTGAGGGAGAACGTCCGGAATGACGTTCATTTGTGTGATACGTTGAACGAGAATCTTGCGGCGGTACTCGCGCCATTTGCGGTCGGCCAAGAAACGGTAGATAGGCTTGGACATGTCACCTAGAGAGTGGGAAATGAACATTAGCCAAAACACTTGTATATTAAGAACCCCAAGTAGTTGCTTACCTTCGTTATCTTCGAACCTTCGCTTCACCGAGGGGTCATTAATGTCAGCCATGATTTTGAGGCGCTCCAAGTGTAATTGCATTGCGGTCACGCGGGACTTCTTTGCATTGGCTCCTCCAGCTTCTTCAACGGAAAGAGATTCTTGTCTGGCAATGCGCTGCTGCATTGTCTCAATTTCCTTCAATTTCTCTTCGCGGTCCGCAAGAAGAACCTTGCGGGCTTCTTGGAAACATTGGTAGGGCAGCTGTTCGAATGGGATGCTTTCTGACGTCTGGAGCGCGGCACGGCGACGACGGGATCCAATGGGGGTAGTTCCCTGTCGCAACAGCCGTCTCTCGAGACGGGGACTCGTCACAAGCGAAGGATCCGGGGCCTTGTGGAAGGGTTGGCTCGGCGCTTCGGTCTCGGCCTCTCGTACGTTGGCAGTCGACTGGAAAGCTCGCGTCTGGAGTTGGACACCAGCAACGCCTCTAGAGTAAGTGCCGCGTAGGCATTGGAGCAAAGGCCTGGAAGCCCGCTCGCAGTGGACCATGATGCGAGGAATTGGGTTTGATGGGGTTGGCTATGAGGGACGGGTGCTTGTTGTCTTTCCGGGGGAACTTTTTCTGTTCGGACGCCAAGATTCTGCTAGCATCCACCGCCCGGAATCAACTTTTGCTCGTCCGTTCAGTACGAACATCACCACGTTAGAGTCGGATCACCGCAGGCCTTCACAATGTCAACTAATGATTTCGTTCGGTCGCTCAGGATGCTGTCCCGCAGCTCCGGCGGTCTTGTCTCTGCCCCGAAGCAAGTGACGGTAAGTACTCATGAATACTTCTCAATCTGATGCTAGCCCTGGAGGAAGGGATTGGCTAATCAACGACACCATAGCAACGATGCCTCACACGATCAATGGCCACAGAAGCCCAGACTCCATCCCCCGTGGTCCCTCAAACCGCCACCGAGGTTCAAACTGCCACCCGACCAGGTGGCCAGACCCCTGTTCAAGTCATGACCTACTCATGGCCCAACCTGGAACCCAAGGGCTTGATTCACTATTCAAAGAGACTTTTGAACATGCCTGTTCGCCACGATATTCTCCACCGAGCAGTTATCTACGAGGCCGACGGCACGCGACAGGGTACCGCCAGCACTAAGTGGAGGGACGACGTGCACGGTAGTCACCGGAAGATGTACGCGCAGAAGGGTTCTGGTCGTGCGCGCGCAGGTGACAAGCAATCACCAGTCCGACGAGGTGGTGGTGTTGCCCATGGTCCCCATCCTCGTGATTTCTCGACCGACCTCCCACGCAAGATCTATGATCAAGCCTGGCGTATCGCCCTCAGCCACCGTCTTTCGCGCGGTGAACTGATTGTCGTTGAGAATGCCATCCAGTCCCGCGGCGGAGCAACCCCCTTCTTCATCGAAAACCTTCTTCGGGCCCATGACTGGTATGGCAAGGGTCGGTCGACATTCATTTCCCTACAGCCCAACGAAAAGTTCTCCGACGCCGTTGAGAAGTACCACAACCACGCGCGTCATCTGAGCACCGAGGATTTGGACGTGAAGGATCTTTTGGAGACCAGCAGACTGGTCATTGAGCGAGATGCGCTGCACAAGATCTTGCTTGCACACACGACTGATCTGTCTCCAACCGACACTCTCTTCTCTCCCTCAACGCAGGGATCAGTTATTCACCAACTGAAGGCTAGCCGGTTGAGGGCTACCTGGGAGGCCTAAACATACTTGATTTGTGTACTTCTTCCTGCATTTTTACTAGCTATGTACAAATAGATTTCTTGCCCTTGAGTATACATGTTTTCCAAAATATACGCACTGCACTATTCATATGATTCTCAATGGGTTTAATGCCGTATTACTACCAATCACATGAAGTTATGGCCCGGTAGATTGCTTCTATGGCTTCTTATAGATACGTCGCCTGGCCATGCTAGAAAGTCGGCAGGCGTATAGCAAATTCAAGTTTCACAGACCAGAGCAGGCTAGTGACCATTTCAAATAGTTGTATATCTTGGAATTCCCAAAATTGGGTAAAGCGATTGGCAGCATGATGTCAAGAGCTGTCGGTTATGGGCGGAGAGTCGGAGCGGAAGGAAAATCCAGCGAAAAAAACTCCCGAGGTCAAAGGAAAGCGGAGAACATCTGATTGTCACCATACCCCCTTCTTGACGTGTTTTAATAGTCTGGTTCTTCAATGTTACTTCGACACTCATTCTCTCGATTTTCTACGCCGAGCTGGATCTCGCGCGCCCCTTCAGCAATGCCTCTACGCGCTAAGGTCACCAACCCTGCCTTTCGGACAGCTATGGTATGTACTCGGAGAGGTTCCCGACTTGCTCCCTGCTGATTGCCGGTAGATGTCTACAGAGATCCCTAAAGAGCTCCCCGGCGATGAGCCCGATGATGTTTTGTTCAACTCGATCTACGGTCTTCGCAGCGTTGAGCTCAACCGACCCAAGAAGCTCAATTCCCTGAACGGCTCCATGGCACGCAAGATTTTCCCCCGACTGAAGGTTAGACTGGACAAAGCCCACAAGATCAATATGAAATGCTAATTTTGGGTGAAATAGGAATGGGAGAAATCCTCTCTTGCGAACATGATCCTCATCTCCGGAGCCGGCTCCAAGGCGCTCTGCGCTGGAGGCGACGTTGCTGCTCTGGCCTTGCAGAACGAGCAGGGACCGGAAGGTCAGCAGGCATCAACCGATTTCTTTGGACTCGAATACCGTCTCGACCACACTCTCGCCACATACTCCAAGCCCGTTATCTCATTCATGGACGGAATTACCATGGGTGGAGGTGTCGGCCTCAGCATGCACGCTCCTTTCCGAATTGCGACTGAGCGAACACTTTTCGCCATGCCCGAAACAACCATTGGATTCTTCCCCGACGTTGGTGGCTCGTTCTTCTTGCCTCGCCTTGACGGTGAGACCGGTACATACCTTGCCTTGACCTCTGAGCGCCTCAAGGGTGTGCAGGCTCTGTACGCAGGCATTGCTACACACTATCTGCACTCAAGTGTTCTCAGCAGCATGGTCCAGCGTCTTTCGGAGCTGACCTTCCCCGACCACCTTACCCTCCCCGAGCGCCTCGAAATCGTCAACAAGACCATGGCCGAGTACTCCATTGGTCTTCCCCCTCTTGAGGAGGAGCCCATGCTTATGGCTGGCAGTCTGCGCACCGCCATCGACCGCTGCTTCTCACCTAACACAGTAGAGGAGATCTTCGAGGCACTGCAGAACGAGACCGAGCACAAGGAGTGGGCACAGAAGACCCTGGAGACCCTGTCCAGCCGGTCCCCCACCTCTTTGAAGGTGACTCTGCGCCAGATGCGTCTTGGTAAGAAGTGGGGCATCTCAGAGACATTCCAGCGCGAGCACGAGATCTCCGCCAACTTCATGCGCCACCCTGACTTCGTGGAGGGTGTGAAGGCCCGTCTCATGTCCAAGCCTCCCCGCCAGGCTGAGTGGAAGCCCGCTACTCTGGCCGAGGTCACCAACGAGGCTGTCGAATCCTTCTTCCAGATTCCCGAGGGTGAGAGCCGTCTGGCCCTTCTCAGCGAGGGCGATTACGATGCTTACCCCCACGCCCACTTCGCTCTTCCTTCTGAGACGGAGATCGAGCAAGTTGTTCGCCAGGGCCACCCATCACGGAGACCTGTGATTGACGCTTTCCTCGAAAAATACTCCCACCGTGAGGGAGTCCGCCGAAAGGTTGTTGAGGTCCTGGCTCGCAAGACTACAACCGAGTCTGGCGAGGGACTCAAGTGGATTTGAAAGGATACCGTCTATATCTTGTAATTTATTGTTTTGGTGCATAGAATCTGCTGGGAATTGGCATATACCATCTATATTGAATTTATCCACTTTCCGCTCTTAACACCATCTCGTAGTCTGAGAATTAGACCTCGGAATACTAGCTACGGAGACGTGACGCTTGAGCCCCATAGGAACATCTTTCATAGTATTGATCATGGTACTTGGGCACGCAATTCTGCATCATTCAACAAAACTACGAAAGCATCAAACGTATCATTAATCGTATATAGCCATGAGGATGCATACCTGCGACAGCAATTCGTACAGTGTCTCTCTTTCGAGGGAGAAAACAGAGAATGGTAAACGCAAACCCCGCCTGAGCAATTAAAAGTCATATACAGATGTTGATCAGATCACAACAAAGGGATCCGGAAACAAATCTCGCCTTACACACTTCGAGTCCGCCCAGGTGCGCGACGCATCCTGGCGTCGAGTCATCTCCTCCAAAAGTACCAGTACCCTGTCTGCCGACGGATGACGAGCAAGCAGCGAAGCCGGATCCGAGTCTGCTGCATGAGCCGCCGCCATGCGCTGCATTTCCGAGACAATCCACTTGCGCTGTGATTCTGTTCCCTCTAGCCCTGCTACGAACATCGGCCACAAGAAGCTTATGGGTAGGTGGGCTGAGCTTGCTGACTCAACTGTTGCTAGCTGGATGATCTGGTCGACTGCGCCGTTAACACGGTCTGTGCGGGGATAGATAGCGAACGCTACGCGGTGCAGGTAGATGAAGTTCGCCAGGAAGTTGGCGACGTATTGACGGAATGCGCGGCAGATTTCGAGGGCGACGGGGCCGCACAGAGTATTTGATAGGGCTTCTGGGCGGCTGTAGACGTCTATAACGGCTGGGCGACGGTGCCAGAGAGCTTCGAGGTCTGCGCCGACTTTGTGGGCGATTTGGAGGACCTCAAATTCGTCGCTTAGGGTGCCACGACTGCGGTGGTGCAGGTCTATACAGACGATGCGGCGGACGACTTGTTGAGCTTGGACGAAGAAGCGAAAGGCCGGGCCAACTATGGCGTCGTAGATGAGGTAGCTAGGGCTGCGGAATGGGTCTTCGGTGGCGTCTTCTTCTTTGCTGTCGACTATGCTTGTGTGTGTTGCTTGGGTTTGGGTATCGTAGGGTCTTGACATTATTCCGTTCTCTGGAATGGTACCAAGATCAATAAGGGGGTCACCTTCTCGACCAGCGATCAGGGACTTGACGTCTAGTAATGAGACCCATGATACTAAGATGTGACCGAAACCCGTCCAATGACGGGTGCGAGCGTGGAATCTTTGTAGAATGAGGTATCCAGCATGAAGGTAGGAAGTTCCCGCACAGATTTCAGGGGATGAGAGAAGCTGGATAGATATGAGCCACTCAGATCCAGACTTAATTATTCAATAAACATACCTCAGATATCATCAAGAGAAACACGGCACCAAACACCTTGATCAGCGTGGACTCGGTTACTTCACTGTGAAGACAAGCCTGGATCTCAGCTCCAGAAATGCGATAATAGGTCGGTGCCCAGCGCCAGCGCTTGCCCTCTAACATGGCCTTGTGCACATCGGCATAGCAGTACAAGGCATTCAACAGCGGACTGAAATCCCGGGCATGGGCCAATAGTGCCGGACGCACATACTCCCACTCCATGTTGACCGGTGCAAACAACGCAGCTGGCGGGTTCACCCCTGCAAAGTGTTGCAGCAGCTGGTCCTCGTACGAGATACCCCCAGCATCAGACCAGCTCCCTCTTGTGGTAGCCAGATCGGAGCTTCCAATCGATCCATCAATTAGCGAAGAGGGCGCATCCGGGCTGAGTGGAGTACGACGATCGAACTGCGTTTCCTCAAGTGGTACGATTCCTGCGGGTAGCGACTGCGACACTGGACTAGCGGTAAAAGTCGCGGCTAGGCCAGTTGTCAGATCCAAATGTTTTTGTTCGAGCTCCGACGTGATCCCACCCATGAATCCTAGCATGTCGAATTCAGAGGGATAGTCCACTGGAAGCTGCCGGAGGGGTGGCGCAGGTATGGTACCATCATCGGAGCGGAGAACGGTGTTGAAGAAGTTGAGGTCGGGCGAGCGAGATGTTGGGGCGACCGTGGACGTCGACAGTTGGACTGTGTTACCTGTGGGCGACCTTGCATCGCGCGATGATCCCCACCCCGCATTATGCGCATCAGGGGCAGGGCTGATTGGGGGCTTGTAAACACATCGTAGGCGCAATCGGTCGCAGTTGGAGCAGTTTGGTTTCGCTTCGTCGCAGCGCACTTTGCGGGCTCGGCAGGTCAGACAGCCTGTTCGTCGGCGTGGGCCTGATCTGCCTGCTCCCCGGGCTTTTGGCACCTGTGGAGACGTCAGTTTCAGGCACGTCGTAAGATGACCGAAGCAAGCATACCTCCATAATGAGACGAGCCTGGAGCCAGGATCATAGTGTAGGTCACATTTGGTGTTATTTTTTTTGTTTTGTTTTCCCCGCAACGGGTGGATGCGATGACGAGCTTGTGCCTGTCGTCTATCGTGATCGTTTGCCCGAAAGTATGATCTAACATCATATCGGATCATTCGCTTGGAATAGTACAACTGGGCATTGATAGCAGTATTCTTGGTACTTTTTTTAGATTCGGCTTTGAATTCACCAAATATGTGCTGCACAGGAGGAGGTCTGAGACGGGGTTCTACGATCTCCGGTTGGCAATATTTAGACTATTTTCGTTCTAGCTTCGTTCTGGGGGTCTTTACTGAGCTATATCATACAGAAATTGCACATTGATGCTGACCTGCACTCCTTAGTTGAAACTCATTGTGATATGATGAGTTTTGGCTAATTGAGTGTCTGCATCCACATTTGACAACACTTTAATGACGTGGGGGTTGAAACTTGAGCCCTGCAGGGCTCAGTCTTTGATCACGCCGATAAATTCACAGTCCATGTGGGAATTCGATAGATATGAAACACACGAGATGTTGCATGAACAAGGAGCCGGATGAAACACATAGCTACCTCGGCTGTGAGGTTTTGCAATTAACTTGAAGTATGATTTATTGCCCATGTGGGGTATAATGGACATGTCGAGAGTCAATGTTTGAGGATAACACTCCAGGGCTACAGTTACCAACTACATAGTGACATGTTTAGATTTACACTATTGAGTAGATAGATCGTCGACGGTTCCACGGGCCTTCGAGTAAACAAGTAAAGCGAAAGTACATCGAAAAGACGAGTCTGCTCTTCAGCGTTAGGTCCCTTCCATGGTCTTGTCAAGTCCATATTGCCTGGACGAGAGGGAGGAGCACTCTCATTACTGGGACGCCTATCTAGATCCACAGTTTTGCTCCCGTATTTCCGGGCCTTGGCCTACAGGTTCTTCCTTCGAGTCGAACGGAATGGCATCCACCGGAGAGCTAGAATACGATATACGGGTACGTCGGCCAAGCGATGCTAAACATTCAAGGAGGATCAACGGGGGTTGTACCGGTTATTGGCCCGCAACGGGGAGCGAAGCCCTAATTCCACACATTAGAGTAGAAGCCAAGCCACGCCGATCATGTTCATTGGAGAAGACTCAGTCAGAAATCAGCTCAGGAACAACAATATGAGCAACGTTTTCTAACTGATTTTCGTGAACCACGGAGATCTAACTTCAAACGATGTTTGATGGGGGCTCATGGACCAATTTTGAGGCTACCCGTTTCGGCAAAGCGTCCGACCAAAACGTTCCTCTGGGTCTCACCACACCGTTTGAAACACCATCAGGTCCAATTTATCGCTTGGATTATGACACGTCCATTTCTTATGTGCCCTGAACACTTCACTGCCGAGAATCAATAACTACATACTCCGTACCTCGGTACAGATCAAGGGTCCCTTTTTCGGACCCTGGCCCACCACGCTGCGGTACTACTGGATCAGGTACCCGATTCCCAACGTGAAACGTTTTTATGTTGGAAATTTAGTTCTAATGAGTGGTAAAGTAGGCAGCAAATTAATCAGATCCATTGTGCATGGCCAAGGGTCACCTCTGATTCGCGTGGCCATGTTTTTATGAACCCGATGTATAGCCGTTCGGGCGGATATAAGACCTGGCTGGCACCTGGCCAAATCCTTCTCATCAGGAAGCAAAGCACTCTTTTGTCTGCAGTATATCCCTCTTTTTCTCCCAGCCACCATGAAGTTCTCCCTTGGTGCCGTTTTGGCTCTGGCAGCCACCGCCATCGCTGGCCCTATGGACATCGAAGCTCGTGCCCGTATGTTCTATCATAACGGTCACTCTGCATCGCCTTGACTAACATTCTAATCCCGCTCAGTTAGTGAAGGAAACGAGCTCCGTGACGGATCCTGCAAAGACATCACGTTTATCTTCGCCCGTGCCAGTACTGAGCCCGGCCTTCTGGTATGTGTCCTATCTGTTTTCTCGGGAGTTTAGGTCCAGGACGAGACTGACTCTCTGTTCAACAGGGTATTTCCGTCGGCCCTGCCATCTGTAATGCACTGAAGAGGGCTAAGCCCGGTAAGGTCGCTTGCCAGGGTGTTGGACCCAAGTATACCGCAGATCTACCATCCAACGCTCTCCCTGGTAACACCTCTCCCGCTGCCATTGCCGAGTCCAAGGGTCTGTTCGAGCAGGCTGCCTCCAAGTGCCCCGACACTCAAATCCTTGCTGGTGGATACAGGTTGGTTTCCCATTGACATCCCTGATAACCCCGTACTGATTCCAATTGCAATGTAGTCAGGGCACTGCTGTTATGGACGACTCGATCAAGAAGCTCTCCTCCGATGTCCAGGCTAAGATCAAGGGTGTTGTGCTCTTCGGTTACACCCGTAACGCCCAGGAGCGCGGCCAGATCCAGGGCTTCGACAAGTCCAAGACTAAGATCTACTGTGCCGTTGGAGATATGGTCTGCGATGGTACTCTGATCATCACTGCTGCCCACTTCACCTACGTTGCGAACGCTGGCGCCGCTACCAAGTGGCTGGAGTCTAAGTTGGATTAAATTTCTTCGGGGATTGTAGATCCTTGTCACTCCTTTGGTAAAGCTTGATGCTTTGTCGTTTCCAGGGTCTTCCTGCAGCTTGATGTTGCCTCCTTTTTGGGTGCTTGCACCTATTATTCGCTTTGATAGGGATGATTATATGAGTTATTTAAGGTTTAGCGTTCTAAGCAGATGACCTGCACCGAAGTCGGTTACGCCACTGACACAAGACGATCACCCGATCCCGCAACCTAGTGCTAAATCTTCGGTATGAAATATCTTGTCATATGGCACCGGAAAACTATAACCGCTGTAATTTACAATGAGCTCAAGGCGGATGGGGCTCTTTTCTGTTTTAAAGTTTAAGCCTTATTTTTACGAACACGGGAAATAACAAGAAAGGTATAGCCAATTGGACTCAATTGCCTTAGATCATCAATGGTTCCTCGACATATGATATTGGTCGTTGATAAAATGAACTTGAAAGTCATCGGTTAGGGTGTGTTCTTGATCGAATAGTTGTAATGGCAACAAAATTTCCACGCTTGAATCAAAAATGCTTAGGTCAAATTCAAAGGGTAATTCAAAATGCATCACTCTGTCGGTGACCCATACCTACTCTTGAGCCCACCAACTTCCATCTCATGCAGTTTTCTACTGACAAACACATCCATGTCATCCCTTTCCTCCTGCGTCAGCAAAGCAACCCGGTCTTCCAAGTCTCCCTCTCCAAAGAATCTCCTATCAATCCTCGCCCAGTAAACAATATCAAAAGCCCAACTTCGCCGGGCCGCATAACTAACCCAAAAGTCACCAGTCTCCCAACTCTTCCTCATATGCCCCGCAAGCCTCTGATCCTCCCTCAACAAGCCTTCCCTAATTTTCTCCTCCTCCTGCTCCTCCAACTCCTCTAAAAATATCTCCAACCTGCTAGCATAAGCACATTCCCAATCGTCAATTCCCCCCTCCCAATACTCCGGTCTCTCCAACAAAAGCCAACAAGGCGGCGCATACACAAACTCCAACGGTGCCGCATAAGTAAACTCCCAATCAATAGCAGCAGCAATGCTATCCTGACAAGCCAGCACATTCGCAGGCCGCAAGTCATCACAGAACAACCGAAAAGACCCCTCAAACGCAGGGTTCGTGAGCCGCTTCTCCCTCGCTAACCGCCGAAACAGACAGCGTGCAATATACTTGACGCGACAATCCTCTGCGTCTTCAATGGCGTCGTTCCGCTGCGCCGACAAATGCGTCATGTGCAGCTCTGCAAGGGTAGCAATGTACCCCGCTCCACTCTCGAACGGACCATGCGGGAGATCGTCCGGATCGACACAGCCCACTTGAACAAGCTCGTTCATGTTGATGCTGAGCGGCCGGTCTTTGATGACCCATTCGTTTTGATACTGCGTGAGACTGCCGATAGATGGGAACTCGTGCTTCGTGAGCTCTAGGAGCAGGCCGCCCATTTGGCCATAGACGTAACGGAGGCGGGATTCGTCGATGGCTGGATCGAGGACTGGCCGGTCTGTTATTGGGATGGTGGGTGTGTTTAGGGCGTCTACTAGATCTGAGTCATGCTCGATGTACTCCATTATTATGTATGGGCCGAGGATGGGGTCTGAGTCGACGATGTGGATTTGGGGGACGCGGATGGAGGTTTTTTGGAGGAAGCGCATCACGGCGACTTCGGCGGCGACTTTTTCTTTGGGAAATATTGAGTAGCCGGGGATTGGAAAGCGGATTATTGAGGAGGTGGTATCGGTGAACTGGAGACGGATCACCATGTTGAAGGAGCCCTTTTGGGGTGGAAAGAGTCGGTAGGGCGGGCTGGCTTTATGTGATAGGAGGTCGGTGATTCTTTGGATGCTTTCTGTCGTGAAGAGCTTGTTCTTCCATCCTTGCAGGAGGTCATCTGCTCGGTCCCAAGCTGTTTCGTCGAAGAACAAAAGCCTGCCTTTGAGTATGGGTGGCATATTGGATGTTGTCGTTGATATGAGCCTTTGGGTAGACACGCTTGACCCCACCATTACTCGGGCATCAAGTCTTTGCATGTCGTTGCATGTCGTTGCATTTTCTGAAACAGTGCGAGGTTGAACGATTCTATAAGCCACAGGCACTAGCGCGGACCCGATTGAGGGGCATCGGCACATAAAGGAGAGACCGATCTCAGCGTGGAATTCTATGCGTACAGCACTGTACTTCTATGTACTTTGCTTGATCTTCTAAAAAGGCCTCTCGGTTCTTTTGAATCGTGGAGGCTGGCGTGAAAACTTCTCTGGTGTATCCCTCGCCCCCTCTTTCCAGTAATCAAACTCCATCCATGCATTCTCTGGCATCTGTGCCTCGGTCGCCTCCAGGAACTCCCCGAGGTCAGGGCAGAGTGGAATCACACCCGTCTCGAGAACATACTGATCCCACAGCTTGAGCAGCTGCTTCAGCTTCGCCGGCTCGGAATCTGCGAGATCGTGAATCTCACCGGGGTCTTGAACCAGGTTGTACAACTGCCACTTCTCTGGGCCCTTGGGCTTGGGTATAAAGACGATCTTCCAGTCTGCACAACGCAGTGCTGCACGTCCGCACGTCTCCCATCCCTGAATGAAGTCTACTGGGTGGATACGCTCAGCCTCACCAACGGCCCAGGGTTGGAAACTGCGTCCACGCATGGTCACCACTTCACGGCCCTGGTATGTGGGAGCAGGATGCTTGAGCCCCGCCATGTCCAAAATGGAAGGGGCTAGATCCATGACCGTAGCAAATTGATCCGTGATTCCGTTTGTCACGTTCGCTGGATTGACGGCCAGGTTCTTGGGGAACCTGCAAGTGAATGGAACGCGAACGCCCCCTTCCGTGGTATACGCTTTGTATAGACGCGAGGGGGCGGTAGCAGCCTGCGCCCAGCGTGGACCATACCAGATGAACGAGTTGCCATTGCCGAGATTATCAAGGCTGTTGTCGTAGTACTTTTGGAGATGGGGCATAACGCCGTTCTGCACCATCGGATAGGCCTCGTATGCAGCACCCTCAGCGCCGTTGTCAGACATGAAGCATACAAATGTGTTGTCTAGCTCATCGATAGATCGCAGGTACTCGACGACTTTACCGACGTTCGAGTCAATGCACTCGACCATGCCAGCGAAGACTTCCATCGCGACAGAAGACTTCTTCTTCTCATCATCGGTGAACTCTTCCCAGGATTTCACCTCTTCCGCCTGGACAGGGTGCGCTTCTACATCATCACGTACCATCCCCAACTCTTTCAGGCGCTGCAATCGTTTTTGACGAAGCACATCCGGGCCTTCGTCGTACACACCACGGTAGTGGTCGATATACTCGCGAGGCGCCTGCAGCGGCCAGTGTGGCGCTGTGAAAGGAAGATATCCAAAGAACGGACGATCACCTTTACCATCCGGTCCAGCATGACCACCGCTTTCTTTCCACTCCTTGATGTAGTCAACCATCTTATCACCGTACCCATCGGACGAGTACCAGCCTTCCGGAAGGTGGCGCACGTACTCTCCGTCCTCCATGTGCAATGCAATATAGCTCGCCTCGATGAAAGTAGGGATCTGATCTTGGTCCTTGAGCTCAGGTTCATAGGCGTAGTGGTTCGAGCAGGCGGGGAGGTGGGCGAAGGAGCGCTCGAAGCCGCGCTTGTGTGGGGAACGTTCGGGCGTCAGGCCCAGATGCCATTTCCCCGACATGATTGTGTGATAACCTCCATCACGAAGAACCTCAGGCAATGCAACAACCCGCTCGTTGAGGAACCCCTCATATCCTGGCATGCCGCGTTGGGGTGCGGTGCTCATGGCGGATCCTTTGGGGCCGTTTTGTCCGGAGATATTGGTCCATTCAATGAGGTTTCCTAGCCCGGCGATATGATGGTCTGTGCCGGTCATGATCATGGCGCGGGTGGGACTGGCATTGTCAGTTCAGAGAAGCAGTGTGTGAGAAGTTATCCTTACGAGCATGCTGCTGCGGCATGGAAGTCAGTGAATCGGAGACCCTCCTTAGCGATCTGGTCGATGTTTGGAGTGCGGATTTCACCACCAAAGCAGCCCACATCCGAGAATCCCAGGTCGTCGGCGACAATGACGAGGAAATTGGGGCGTTTGGCTGCCATTGTCAAGAATCTGCGGGAGACGTAGGAGCAAGAAAGAACGAAGAGACATGTGAGGGGTTACATGAGGGGCATATGCGCACTTATATCGGCAATAGCTTGCGAGATCCCTGCGAGATTCGCAAGACAAGCATCAGACCACGCAAGCAAAGCGGCACCTCGTCGGCCATCGGCTCTGAGAATGCGGGGAGAGCTCCACATCTGATAGCCCAAGCGACGAGACCCATATATTCGCCATATCAATCAAACAAACTCTGGAAAAAATCAGGAATACCCAGTATTTTTGTAAACGACAGCCGAACGAGAGCCGAGAGAGAAAGGTACCGAGTACGAGTGGTCTCACAAGCTTGGATTCTTGGCAAAGTCGCGGTCGGCAATCGGATCTCCATGACATAATCTGAAGCTCGACTTTCCCAAAACAGCTTCGATTTTGTTGATGAACCGTTCACAACCACCCTTCAGGCTTTCAATCCTCCATTTTCGGTTGTGTGTGACTGGACTCTAGTGCCTAGACTTAACTCAATTCCATTTCCCCCGCAATATGTCTTCAATCCATATAACTTCTTCTCTCCCAGACCCAGCTCCTAGCTATAATACTTTTCATACTCGGCTAAAATCCTGGTGGCCTGCCTCTAGTCACTTATATTCTCGGATCTCACAAGACCCAGATCCTCTATCACCGCAATCGGAGAGATACCCTGACATAATGTCCACGTCGCGGCTCAAAGCCCGATGGCGCGCCTATTGGTTCGCGCTCGTACTATGCTGCGGCGGAGCTCTTTTTGGCTACGACTCCGGTGTAATAGGTGCGTCCAATACAGCCTCTCTCAAATTTTAAGTACTCATAGTGCCTAGGTGGCGTTCTCACGTTTCCATCTTTCGAAAACTCTTTCAGCATAACGCCATCTCAAAAGACAAGCATTAGTGCGATCGCCGTTGGCATCCAGCAAGCAGGCGCCTTTGCCGGCTGTTTCATGATCTGGCCATTAACTAATATATACGGGCGGCGTGCCGCAATGGCTATCTGTAGCCTGGTCTTTTGCATCGGCGTGATTCTTGAAACAGTCGACACCCACTCCCTCGCGGCGTTTTACGTCGGTCGCATAATCTGCGGGCTGGGAGTTGGAGGCTCGGCGACCATTATCCCAATCTACATGTCGGAGATGGCTCCGAAAGAGATCCGTGGACAGCTGGGAAGCTGTTATCAGCTCACATACACGGTTGGAATCCTGGTTTCTTACTGGATTGACTACGGCGTCAAAAGCATGGAGCCGAGTGCGCGGCAGTGGCAGTTGCCAATCGGATTGCAGCTTGTGCCTGGTGCGCTGATGGGGATCGGTATGGTAAGTGTCTGCGAGAGTGTGCGATGGCTCTTGGCGAAGGGGCGGGAAGAGGAAGCATGGGCAAGTCTTGTTTGGATACGTGCCGGAGAAGGGGAAGATGTGAGTCAGGAATTCGAGGACATGAAGCGTGGGCTGGAAGAAGAGCGACACGCGACTGCTGGGTTTCGAATGCGCGAACTTTGCGAAGGACCGAACTTGCATCGGCTGCTTATTGCCGGTGGACTGTTTCTGGCGCAGCAGTCGACTGGATCGACGGCATTGGCATACTTTGGACCTCAGTTCTTTGCATTGCTGGTCGGCGATGGTGATCGAACATTGCTGCTCACTGGAATCTTTGGCGCTATCAAAGTCGTTGCATGTCTTATCTTTGTGATCTTTTTGTCTGATCGATTCGGCAGACGACCACTTCTTGCTGGTGGCGCAGCTTTCATGGCTATATGCATGATTGCCACCGCTGGTGTGATCAAGACGTACCCCCAGCCAGGCGATGGGACAGTTACATCGTCCGGAATCGCAACTGTGGCGTTGATATATCTCGATATCATCGCTTACAACTTCAGCTGGGGTCCATTGCCGTGGCCTTGCACGAGTGAGATCTTTCCAACACGGATCCGCGAGCCTGGAGTCGCTTTTGGTGTTGGATCACAGTGGTTGTTCAATTTCGTTTGGAGTTTCTCAACGCCATATATCCAAGCCGGTCTGGGATGGGGTACATTTTTACTATTTGGGCTGCTCGATGTGGTCATTGTTGGCTTCACATACTTCTGTTTGAAAGAGACCGCCGGCAAGACTCTTGAGGAGATCAATGGGTTGTTCGAGGGGATTGACCCTGACTCTGAGCATGGGAAACCTGCGGACTTGGATAACGATGAGATGCAATCTGGTGACTATCCGGATTTGCAACCCCGTGATACCAAATCTGGCCAGACTAAGCATAAAACTACGCACGTTGAGTCGGCCTCTAGAAGGTCTTAGCTCTAGGCTATCATCTGCGTCTTGCCTTGAGGCAAGCTAATTAAAATCAAAGCCATAATCTACCATGGTCTTCAAGAATTGTTATCACCTTCTTATACCCATTCTCTTTATCAAGTCCCGAGGTCCCGAGGTCGCATTTGAGATTATTTACTATACCTTGAACTGAAGTTCATCTTTAGCCGCAGTTCCCAGGCTTATCTTCCAGGTTCGTAATAATTGACCCCGGGCATAGATTTTCTAGACATCTTCTGAGCAGTGCTCACTAATTCCAAGGCTTTTTTAGTATTTTCCCAAACGAAGCACGATAAGCGAGCGCCTTGGTGTCACCATCGAAACCTTGAAGATGTCAGATTGCGTCGTTGTATGCCAACCCGAGCTAGCTACTACTATCTATCTCATTGCTGTACCATCAAGCCATTCAGATAAACCAAATACCGTTCACATTTCATGTTATCCATAGGAGATGTAGCCTCGTTCTCAAATCCCCTTACGGGAAGCAACGATTTCAGCTACATAAACAGCCATTTGTCATTTCTTGCAAGAAAGAGCGTGTGTAGAGCACAAAAGAAAAACAAGCTTGATCCGTTTACTCAAGCGAATCAAAACGCCAGGCACCTTCCAGCTCCTACTGGATCGCAATTATAAAAAGAAAACACAGCCGACTCGAAACCACAACGCCAAACAAATGACAGACCTGCTGTCCATTACCTCCACATCATTTCACATTTCCCTCAAACATTGATCAAGTCATCAAAGGTAGGTTCCTCGGCAGAAAAAGAGTAAGAGCCATCGGACATCAACGAAGCCTCGGAATCCTTCCGCATCTGCTGCTCAAAGGCTTCAGCTGCAGCTGCAGTTGCGGGTTCAAGTTGCATCGCGTCATCAAAGCCGAAGGAGAGCGCTTGTGCCGGAGCCGACACTGGAATAGCTACTGAGTGAGCGGATGTAGGTTCGAGCGAAGTGACAGGGTTCTCGGCCTGAGATGGATCCACGGGCGCATCCATATCAGTGATCTTCTTGACCATCTGAGCAAGATGATGCTTAATCGGTTCATCGCCACACTGAGCATGCTTCAGAACTTCGTTCTTCAGCCCCAGGATCTCAGAGCGCAGCGTCGCAATCTCCGCCATCAGGTTTTCCTTTTTCTCAGACTGCTCTTTGAAACTGAATTCCAGCTGCTGGGTGTGCTCTTTCTTTTTCTGGCGACACTTGGAAGCGGCGAGACGATTGCGCTCGAGGAACTTGGCACGCTTGGCGCGATCAGGAGGACCGTCGTCGAAATCGGGACTTAGAGATGCAGCAGCAATCTTGTACTCTCGAGCACGGCGTCGCTTGCTTGCGGAATCCAGGTCTAGACGGCCATCATCGTAGGGTGGGGGCGTTGGCTGGCCATTGCGGACCTGGGCATTTTTGAGATCGCGCTCCAACGCGGAGTGGGCAAAAAAATCGGCCATTGGAGAGATGGGGTTTAAACCCCAGAGCTGCTCGTCGTCTGGGATTGGAAGGCCTATCAGATCGGCGGGGAATGGAGTGAAGGAAGATGGGCCGAGGTTGATGTCTAGGCCTGAATGAAGGCCTGATTGCATTTTGAGGTTAGACATTTGGGAAGGTGTGACAAGGTTGCTCTTGCTTTCAAGCAGTCTGAGCTCAAGCCAAGGACTTTACAACCTTAATAATATAATCAAAAGGTCTCGTTTAAGTCCAGGAGACCAAGTGCTGCCGTTGGCTTCGGCAGAGTGTGAGGATCCACGGTCGATGTTGTTGTGCCTGTCAGTCCAGGTGCAGTCGACCGCAGTCGAGCTGGCTGGAGGTCCACGGTCGGACAAGACTTCCTGCGGTCCACCAGATCCGAGCCAATGGCGCTGATGGGAGGATTTTGGTGCAACCAACCTTGGATGTAGTTGTTCACACACGCTGTTCAGCTCGAGATCTAAGCCGACTGTACCCTAGCCATTTCCATGTAACTCGTACACCCTCACCTGGGAATACTTGAACTTTATATTTATATTTGACTTGTTTGGGTTTGATATGATGGCTACTTTCAAGGTTGTTTGCTCCAAGACAGAAAGGATCTAGTCTTTCTCGGAGATCTAGCGTGGTATTCCTGAAAAGCCATCTTTTTGCCTGGGGCTTTTTTCTAGAAGTGATTTTCTTTTGAGTCGACTCTTGAGTGGTATTCTGAGTAGTCAAAAGGTGATTGTATTCCAAGGTCAAATAGAGGCTAATAAAATAAAAAGTGAACGAGTGGTACCCAACTGGAGCGAAAGCCGCCAAACGGAAATCCAATCACCCCATGCGGCATTTTTTGGTAAAGAATACAATTTTTGATCCCCTTTCAGTCAATTTCACGGCACAAAGACCTCTTGCGACCAAACCTGCATCTGTCGATGAACGTTGGGCCAGTGATCGAGTAACAGGGTGGCCACGCGCTGCTCCTCGAGCTCCATTTCCACTGTCTCATTGCCCGGCCTCACTCTAGGCCGATTCGCTGGCCCGAGAAGAAGGGGAGCGAAGGCGCATGCTAGTTTCTGCTGGTCCGGGGGCGTTGTTGGCCACCGGAGGTCGGTCCGGCTAGTCAGTGGCTGCGACTGTCGAGGGGGGTGCAGCAGGTAAGTAAGCAGACCAAAGGTTGTACAAATGAGATCGCGCTGCTTCTCCGAGGCCAGCCCGAGGAGTGCGAGCGAGATGAGTTGAACTCTAATGGCGACTGTTGAGCTCACCCCCTTGATGTGGCTTGGGATTTTGAATCCAGTCCTCTCGGGGATTGTGATTGCAAAGAGACTCTGCAAAGTCTGGTAGAGCCGGACACTCCCGAGAATCCCGTTTGCAAGCCCCGCTAACACGGCCTTCAGGGCCCAACCCACACTGAGCACAGACACCTCTTTTCCTTTGCCTTTGTTACCAAGCGGCGGCATCGCGACGACCCGCGTGGTCAAATCCATTTCTTCCTGTAGCTTCTCACCCTCAAACACCTGCTCGGCCCACCCGTCGTAGAGTCGGATGGCAGTTTCCATATCCCCGGGCTCAAGAAATATGTCGGCATGGCCGAGGCCTACTAGGTCAGCTAGGTCATGAATGGAAAAGAGCTTTTCACCAACCATCTCTATGCAAAAACATGAACCCCGTCACCATGAACGCTGGCAATTCCAAAGGACAAGGCCCCAATTCTTTTGCAACAATATAGCTGTGTCCACCAAAACGACTCAACTCTTCGATTGTTCTTCCATTCAATGAAGTCATAGGAGTCAAAGGATTCGCTGGGGTAGAAACGAAAATGCTGGCGATTGTCTTGATGCGTCGCAACTTGGGCTTGGGCGTCCGTTCCTGGCTCTCCTGGGGAATTTCGATGTTGGATCGCACACTGCGAAGTCGACCGAATACCAAATGTCGACCTGTGCGTTCAGTCTCAGTTTCCGTCTCTTTCTCGCTGGTAGGCGATAGCGTTTCTGCAGAGAAGTCAGCAACTTTCTTCAGATCGGAGTGCAAAAATCCCTACGTGGACTAGGCGTGGCTTCATATGCGATGCGGACATTGATTCCATGCTGAGCCGCCATGTGATTGAAATTGGTAATCGCACTTGTCGGATCCTGAGTTTGGGCGCTAGATACGCTGTAGTCACTGCCGGCTGAAAACGCTCCTGAGCGGGGTCTTCTAATCCTATGTGCAGGCTCCTGCTGCAGCACCGTCTCAGCCGATCCAGCTTCAGCCAACACAGTGTCAATCGACGCAATTTCGTCAGCCGGTTGGATTTGGTCGGCTACGTCGATGCTTTCGACCTCAGGAATTGGCTGTAATGGCCCTTCGGAAGCTCTCGAAGATTCTGGACTTCTGTGAGGGCGTCTGGACGGACCAGGCGTTGGATCCGATGGGGGCGGCGGTGGTGGTGGCCGTGGATCAGGTACAGGTTGCCGGTATTCGCTGCTCTTGCTATCCGAGAAGGGATCAGAGTACTTGCGCGTCCCTTCTTCAGGGATGTACATCAGCCCTGGCCACATCCAATCCGGCACGTCTTCGTCCAGAGACATCCTAAGGCGATCTTCTGGCAAGTGTGGAACGGTATCTGGTGGGTATCGGTTGACAGTATCGTCGCTTTGACTGGATTGCCGCGAGTGACTCGTCCGACCGCTGACATTGCGTGTATCTGTTGGGCTTCTAGGCTCCTCGAAAGGGTTGGAAGATAAAGGACCACCTGCCGGTTGCTCTCTGGGGCCTTCCGCGTCACCAGTCTCCTCAGGCTGAGATGGCTGGGTGATGGGACCATCAGAATTGCTCGAGCGGAAGCAAGCGGCCAACTGCTTCAGTCGTTTCGTGCCAAACTTGGACCGAGAGACTCCACTGGTGGCATCGGTTGGGTGGTTTGTATTGGTGTCGGTGTTGTCGGGAACTTCGTCACCATTGTCATCGCCAACGGGGGAAACAGTGGAGGTAGCGGGCTTGGGTTGAGCACTGGAGGATCCGACCTCAGTTTCAGCACTCTCAGTGGTCTCCGTAGTCGTCGTCTCTGGGCGAGGTTTCACCGTATTGCGTCGCCAGATACGCCGAGATGAAGCAATATCAGGCGTATCAGACGTGTTGGGTCTCCTGAAGACGGTCTTAAAGCGCTTCATAGTATCTTGTTTGGTAATCAATACGAAAGCAAAGGATAGAGATGAAGTAAGGAATGAGGTATTCCAAGTTTCCCGGGGCGCCTTTGGTTAATCACGCTGAAACAGGAAGCTACGACAGCGACAGGGCAGAAACAGAAGGTACACGATATTCAAATCAAGTCTATTCGGCCAAAAGAAAACATATTTTAAATGTCATCGTAACCTCTGTACATTCGTGGAAATCAATGACCTCGCCGGGCCAAGTCGTCTTCGAGCATCCCAAAAATCAATTAAAGATAGGAACGCCAGAACCATGCAAATCAAGAGTATTTATGGAGGCTGAAGCCCCAGGTCACGCTTCTTCATTTTCACCCTCAAGGAGAATATAGTGCAGGATATCACTCAGAGTGAGCACACCCTTAAGCTTGAAGTGTTCATCCACAACGACGAGACGGTGAACTCGGGATTTTCGGATGGTATCAAAGATAGTGTCCAATCCATCGTTGAGAGAGCAAGTGTAAATGCCCGGGAAACCCTAGCAGATCATAAGCACATACACCATACGTCATTAGAGGCATTTTACATACCGGAGAACGTTTCTTCAACGCTTCGCCAACCGTGAGGCTCAGGTCATCATAGACTCCACCCTTGATCAAGGTGACCACATCCACCGATTCGAACACATTATACACGACACCTAGGGCCCATATTAGCGTCGTTAAGCCACGAAATTACTCAATTTCTCACCTTCAGAGTTGACAATTGGGACGCTGGATATGCTGCGCTCCACCAGAATGTGGATGACATCAATGACGGGTGTGTCCAGCGAAGCCGTAGCGACATTATCATATGAACCCAGCAGCAATTCACCCAGTGGGCGACGCAACTGCTGTGTATCGGGAACATTGACAGCGACGAATTTCAGGATACGGTATTGTGTAATGACGCTGAGCACGTGGGGTCGTTCGGTCTGACTATCGCTGGTGACGAGGGGAATACGGCGGGCGCGCGATTCCAGCATGCGCCGACAGGCATCGTAAAGCGGGCGCTCCGGGTCGATGGAGACGGTCTCGGGCGGTGCGACACCAAGCGCCTTTTCGACATCTGTGATCTCATCAGCAAAGTATCTCTGCAGCGACTCCATCAAACGCACCTCGCAGACTGTCTAGGCGAAATTGGTCGATCTGGTCCAGGGCGGCGGGGTTCTGGAAATAGTATTGGATGACATTGATGTAATCGGAGGTGGTCAGAAGACCGGCGAACTTGGACGCTTTGGAGTCCCACAACGGAGCTGAGACAATGCCTGTACGTCCCGATTCCACGGCCGCGGTTAGCTAGGGGATCCGGAAATATTTGTGATCAGGCAAGGGGAGGGGTCGCAAGACGTGCCATTTTGGATGAGGATGTTCAGACTCTCCTTCACGGAAAGCGACGTATCGAAGATTATGAGTCGGAAGCTGAGCGGGAGGACGTCGTAGGAGTTCCGAGCCTTGAGAAAGTTGCGAATGGCACGCTGATCGCTGGGTTAGTTGAGATCTGGATGTGATGCCGAAACACCGGCAAATCGCAATTCCAAACCCCCCTTCGTCATCTGAGCGAGGGGCGCTGGAAGAAAAAGCAAAGCGGAGACTTACAAGGCCCTGTCGCTCTTCCCGATCGACTGCTCTCTCGGAGGCCATTGGGGCGTAAGGTACGAGGATGGCTGCACGAAAGGCGCGTGACCAGAGGTGAAGGTCCCGAGTCGAGGGTGTTCCGCCTTCATATGTGGGGGGGGGAGACGTCCTACTTCACCACATCATATGAAAGACCAAATACCATCGAAATTTCTATGAGCAAAAGAATCATAATTATCTTTCACTATGAATATTATCACATTCTGGTCATAGTTATTTGTCAGATTGTCAGAATGAGGGGGGGGGGTCATGCTGCAAGTACACGGACGATACGGGAAACAGGGCTACATTTCAATCCTTGCTCGCATATAAATGGCCCATATGTAGCCATATGGAGACATAACATTGTGCTTCGCCAGTTTGTATCCTTCGGGTCTTGAGGGGCTTCTGTCTGTTCTCACGTTATAGTCAGAATGAGGTTCGAAAAAGAGCACTGTGATTAGGTTGCAGTCGATCTGAAAGCCACTTGGCATCCTTGGTTGGGCAATTATGTCGCTATAGCTTTTGCATAATAATGCATCATACGTCTGCTCGTTGTGGATATTGTGTCAAAAACACATCTCCTACCTAATGTTACTTTTCGGACCAGCTACTTGCGCATAATCTCACTGGCCATATTGGAACGTTTATATACAAGGATCCCAGTCACCCTTTCACTAACAGCATAAACAATCAACTTGACAAATCACAGCTGCTGTAACTGCCCAGGTGCGTGAATGATTCAGCCTGGACCCTGGGGGCAAGTTCTCTTGTGGGGGTTTGCATCCTTCGTACGGGCGCATGAAAGCAACTCAGGTGTCGAAGCCACCCTCGGGTGGTAAAGGTGGCTCTCACTTCCATTATTTGCAATTTACTTATTGTTTTGCTCCCAGGTAGCCTTAGGATCAAAGTAAAGACATCACTGTAAATGAAGTTTGACACGATCAGCATTGGAAGATATATCCTAGCCTCGATGCTTTTATCGAGGAACTGAGTCCCGGGCGCTGGACACATGGCGATAATCAATAATGAAATAAAAATAGGCTGAATTCAAACGTCTTTGCTCATCTTAACATGGGTAAATAAAGAGCCTAAGAGGTGCCTTGGTCACTGGGCACCATGAAAGACAAAGCCTCATAGCTCTGGGTAGTGTTGGATTGGATCTCTAACCTCGGAAACACACATATTCAAATCAGTAGTATGATTTTATGCTACAGACAAAGCTCAGGTACAAATAGTTGGATAATCAGGATCTTCAGGCAATTCCACCCCCCAGAATTTCCCCATGCGTTCGCGGAACAATTCATAACACGATCCCATTCGTAGAATCTTCATCTGCCCAAAGTCCATGATGAGAGATGCCTTTCCATATACATGATAGCGTTGAAGACCATAGTCGACGATCAAATCCGCTGCCTCTTTGAGCTCATCCTCAATGTCCTCGACACGGAATTTCTGTCCACCACCAGACACGTTCGCACTAGATCCCACCATGAGCTGACCCGAAGTAGCATTAAGCCTGCAGATCTCCTTTAGGAGTGTGCTGCTACTTATGAACATGGCGATGGTACCGTCTTTCGTGACCTTGGACCGAGTCTGTGGGGATAAAGCCTGGAGGAGAGGATGTTCTTGCTGGCATGGGGCAACGGCCATTAGACTCATGTCTAGATCTTCAACTAGGACGCGCGTCATCTCGAACCGCTGATCGTCCAGTACGTGAAGCTGCTGGTGTAGTTCTTGTGTGCCATATATTCCCTGGGCGTGGCCTGGTCGGCGTCGCTTTGCGGCGAAGGCTCGGTCAATGGCTTCTGCAGAAGTGGCCATTAACCCGTAGCCTACTTCGGTTGGCAGGATGACGACTCCGCCAGCTTCAAGGACCTCAAAGACCCTTTGGGCATCTCTCTTGACGTTGGGGAGATCTCCGGGTGCGGGAATGATTTTATCTTCAAAGGCCATAGCGTATCAATAGATTGTGTTGGGGTTGAATTGACTTCTGGCAAGCAAGTGATGGCAAGGAAAACAATGCTTCTGAAGACCTTCTGGTGTGCAAGCCTTGCCTGCCTTAAATATTCATGTTCGCTGAGATCATCCCCTCATTCGCATAACTTTTGGCCCCTGGTGGGTCCTCAATGAACAAACCCCACTGCATAGGAAGGCTTGGCGACTCTATTTACCAAAAAGGGAAATATGGTGATTTTCTTTTTATGATTTTCCGTTTTAGGTACAATCGAAACACTTCCCTTGAGCGACTATTTGTCAGACACTAGGCTGCTCATGAGCGCGAATGGGAGATTTCTGCGCAGATATGTATATTCTCGATCTGATCAATCGCGTGAAGTGTTGAGTTCATGAGCACTGCTTTCTAGCTTGGTACGATGTCCACAGGTATATTCTGGAATGTCTGTGCCAGTGCCCCAGTAGCAGATTTAGGTGCCTACCAGGTAATATTTATCCAATAATTTTGTGTTTGTATAAATTAACCATCCCCCGGTGGACATCAAGCAGTATTTTCTTGCAAGAGGTGCCTTCAATCATAGTTACCTAGTCTTCATCTTCCGCTTGACGCTTGACGCTTGACGCTTGACGCTTAATGAGTTGGTTCATACCAATCTGGCCATGTGTATCTCTGGGAGATAATTTTGGACTAACGTCTTGAGTGAAAATCTCATGTTTAAATAAATAATGAATTTGGTGTTCGCGGTGCAGCAACCTTGGAATTGCTCTGTGGACAGCTCACGCAAACCTAACATGATGTCATTATGAAGATTGTTGACATGGCGGCTGTTCTGGCTCATATGGTTAATTACCGGTCGCTCTTTCCATCAATTGGTTGTGTGGTGTAGTGGCAGCACTCAAGGTTCTGATTCTTGCAACCCCGGTTCGATCCCGGGCATGACCTTTCTTTTTGCTTTTCTATTTTTTTGGCTACCTAGCATCGCCGCATCCGTGGAAACCACAGGGAGCAATGGCCAGTGTAATTTTGGTTGAATGGAATCCCACAGGTTGGGTTTTTCAAGGTCTTCCTTTGATGGACGAATGGTCAACCCAGGGCTGCTAGACTTTCCTCTACGGATCCATGGATCGTGCGTTTAATACAGTGAAATGATTAGGGCTAATATTACCATTGGGATAATTAACTATTTTACTTTAGCGGTATATGTTATCACTACTCTTTCTGTTATATCCTGAGCACCTGCCCATGTGATATTTTTCGGTTCAGTCCTCAGGAGATCAAATGTAAGTTTACGACCAGGTACCTAAGCCTGGTATGGTATCAGTTTGAATAGAAAGTTTTGACCTCCAGATGTATTGTTGCTGTCGTCCATCCTGGTCAAGCCTTAGAAACTCCATGGGGTGAGAACATATTGTAAATCATTGTACAGCGACTCCAACAAAAATACTCCGTACTTTGGTCAGAAGCTGTTGTGAAACAGGAGTTGAGGACAGGAACTTCTCAGGGTTGTAAGGCTTCAACCATGAAAAACATCATTGTATTGTGGGCTCCTCTCTCTCTTTGTTCCTGCAATCTTTTTTCGAAGGAACGGAACGACTACCTGGGCGGATTTAAAAAGTGCAAAAAAGAAAGGTCATGCCCGGGATCGAACCGGGGTTGCAAGAATCAGAACCTTGAGTGCTGCCACTACACCACACAACCAATTGATGGAAGCAGCGACCGGTAATTAAATATATGAAGAAAAGCCGTCCTCACTTGCAATTATATCGTCGTTACCCTCGCGGCTTCTGTGAATGAACCCAGCTCAATTCCGCGGTATTCCTCCTTCCTCTAGCAATAAATAAACTCCAGTAGATCCAGACACCTCACTCTGGCGCATATGTCCATCACGCCACCCTCCCGCAGAATAATCATGCAGCCTGCTTAAGCGACCGATTTGTTGACATTTGAGTGATCCTCCACTGGATGCTCGTCGCTCATACCTAGGTATTCGATTTTGCTTAGTGAATCCAACGAGTCACCATGGTGCATGCTTCAAGTGAATGACCGGGTACGTATTTTCGTTCCCGTTGTAGTTCCGACATCTGAGGCTATACTCCGATTTGCGGTAGCGAGCTCTAACGCTCTCATTTATCATTAATATGGACATACATACTGCCCGAGTCATCGACTAGACCTTGCTGGTGATTTTGAGCTGGCCTGTGTTGCTGTGATCATTATTAATATCCACCTACGATCGCATCCATGGATATATAAATCAGTAGTACTGACTGGACTGTGGACAACAACTAGCCATATACGTATGGCTCTCATCGGGCTTTCATGGGTTGTTCAGTTGCATACTAATTATGGCGGAGGTACAAAGAGCCCCCCCGAGGTCGTCATTCTTTCCCGTCACTCTTTGTAGTTTCCATGGATCTTAATCCCCATCCTTGATCACCCGGTTGGAGGAGATGACTTCCAAGGTTGTGGTTGACGACCACTTCACGAAAGAAAGCCCCCAAATAGGTAGTATCTGATAGGTTGCTTCTAGCGCTGCAGGAAGACAAACAGCTATGCTCGCTTTATAAAGATCCTGCCAGGCCTCCTCCTTCTTCTTTCTTCTTTCTTCTTCCTTCTCCCTTCCTCGGTTCTGTTATCATCGTCGCTCTTCGACAATGCTCTCGTCCGCCTCCTCAGCGAGGCGGATTAGGCGTATCACCTCGTCTTTGAGCACTTCTATGTTCTTTTCATGGTCCCCGATGATAATAGCATCGACTTTTCGCGCTGCATGTTTGTTTCGATACATCTGTGCCAGTTCAGCGAAACGTTCCTCACGGCTTATGCCTTTTAAATGCTTCTTGACCTCATAATTCAGCTTGCCTTCTGCAGCCTTGTCTATCATAGGGGTTCTTATCGCCGTGGATGATTCAAAAGCGGGGTTCGAGGGGGTTCTTGTGTCGACAGGGCTGCTTTGGCTCTGTTGTCTTCGGTAAGAGCTAGCCGACGGCGTCTGCTCTTGTCCAACGTTCGGTTCGTCCAGCGCTGCTTCCTCATCTCTCGCAGCTGTCTTGCCTAGATGGGCACTCATCGCGCTATAGGCGCGTCCAAGGGACATTGCTCAGGGTCGAGTTCGTTGTTTCTGATTGATAGATCGACGGGTACTAAACGGGCCTCCGTTTCGTGCTTACAGGAGATCAAAATGGGGGTAAAAATGGAGTGATGAGTTTTGTTTATATGTCAGGGAGGCAAACTCTATTGATAGATAAAGGTCCAAAAGCGACGATGATAACAGAACTGAGGAAGGAAGAAGGAAGAAGAAAGAAAGAAGAAGGAGGCCTGGCAGGATCTTTATAAAGCAAGCATAGCTGTTCTTGAGCCGATAGCGTATGCGAGTATGTCTATTTCCGTTGCCACATATATCTGGTAAGTACAAGTGCGACTTCCATTCTATGTCATGGTGTTGTGTGAGGCGGCGGAGGAAAGACTTGTTTGACCTACGATACATCTCCAAACAAGGATAAAAGTACTAGAGATTTGAGTGGTACGTCTCACCACATGGCCCAGCCCGCCTTTAGTTCAGCGTCATGATACTTCGTATTGAACATTGAGTCTCTGACCGTACACATACCATTCCAATATAATGGCATTATTATTGTCAGGACATGGAACGAGGATTCAATGCGCTGTGCAATTTCTTACTAAACTCGAGACTAGTGAGAGATTGGTAGGATAGCACTAGATAGCCCGTAAAACCTCACATACTCGGACGGTTGAGTTGCCGCGGAGTACTCAGATTTTGTTATAATCAAGTTTGGCTGATGAAACCAAAAAGTCGCCGCTTCCTCCATCAATTGGTTGTGTGGTGTAGTGGCAGCACTCAAGGTTCTGATTCTTGCAACCCCGGTTCGATCCCGGGCATGACCTTTCTTTTTGCCTTTTTGTTTTTTTTTTTTTGGCCATTTGTGATTCTTTTAGTTTCAGACTATCCCGCACAGCTGAACCAATCAATTCAATAATTGTACCTCATAGAGAAGAATTCATAACACTATAATGATCTCATGGCTTGGAGTATGGTTGAGCACTGCCATGCTACAGTACTCTATACAGCGTGTAAAAATGTAATAGAGAAATGATGTCATTAGATCTTCCCATACTTTGGTCTTGCCTGATGGTCTGTGCAACGAGATGACTAAGAGCCGTTGAAAATAAAATATTTAGTTTTTGCTGGGGTTAAGAGTACGGTTATGTAGCCATAGGAAATCGGGCATCCTCATCAAATGGTTGTGTGGTGTAGTGGCAGCACTCAAGGTTCTGATTCTTGCAACCCCGGTTCGATCCCGGGCATGACCTTTTCTTTTTGCCTTTTTGTTTTTGATGTGTAGCTCTGTACGTAATTCAGTGCCATTGACCAATTGGTACGATGTGGATTTGTGTAGCGCAGCCCGAGCTAACAGGGCCGCACGTGGATGCCCAGACTCGGGAATTGCCTCGCCGGTCAACCATTTTCACAAGTGTGTTGCCCATACATAGATGGCCCCGAGCAACTGTTTAGGGTTTGGATTGTCCCATGTCTAGATCATATCTAGATTGATAATTGGTATGCAATATAGACGACGGAGTAAATGATATTGTGTCTGAAGGCAGACATGGCGACCTTGCTCTATTCAAGCGTGCAGAACTTGCGTCGTAGCGATTAGGCCAACATGGTAAAATTCACATGAACAGAAACCGATAGACCTCGCTCAGGGCTTGTGTTAAGAGGCACAGAAGCATCCGTGAGCCATGGCTAGGAAAATCTATACATAGCGCAGTAGTTCGCTCATTCAAATTTCATGGGGCTTAAATTAATAAGGTTTCCAAGGTTTGATGTAGTCGAACTCTTTTTGGAAAATTTGCTTGTGATCATAACCGCCTAGAAGCCAGTTTCAACCAATCAACAGGTTGTGTGGTGTAGTGGCAGCACTCAAGGTTCTGATTCTTGCAACCCCGGTTCGATCCCGGGCACGACCTTTCTTTTTGCACGTTTCCGGATCCAACATTGCCGGAGAGGGGCCTTGCTAGTCACGGGTGTGACTGAGCTTTTTTTATGACCAAGACGAGAGAGATGCCTGTGGGGAGTACTCAATTCAATATCAAGTTGTTTAAAGCCCAAGTCACTCTTCAATTGGGAGTGCGGATGAATTAGGCGGGAAATACTTCCATGCCCGAGGAATAATGAGATACGATTATATTCGGGGGGCACTTATTGTGTAGTGAGTGAGATATGGTGAATGAAGAAAATAGGAAAGCAAGAGTGAGGAGACCTTGGGACTTGCGAGCGAAGGAAGTATGACTCTGACTATTATCGCGCTCCGCTAGATTGGGCAGTTGGTCAATAAATTGAACCGACACAAGATCAATTTCGAGGTTCTTTCGAATATCAAACTCCTAAGCTGTAAAAAACCCCGCAATAATACCAAACACATGGAGGGGACTATCCAGCAGACATCATATCATCAACTCCGAACACAAGCAAACACCATTCTATCTAAGATTCGGAGGAACTGCTGTCTTCGACTTTCGAACATATAGCACCAGACTGCCACATTCAGACAAATCTTGACCAGCCCCAAATACATGCGCATCGTAATCTTCCATCATATCCACGACCCGCAAAGAGCAGGGGTCATTCCTGTCTCTTCCGTCCGTGAAAGGAACTAGATGTTCGACACCTACGCGTTCCCAAATGATCACTGCAGGTCGAGCGATATCTGCAATTATCTCCTTGACAGGCACATTGGGTGCCACCGAGACCACTATGGATTGCTCGTCAACCTCAAGCCAGCCACACGGGTCGTCGATCACTTGGAGGCCGGCCTTTTCCAGCACCTGCTTATCCACACTGTTGTAGCTAGGGTCTTGCACGTAGCATGGCTTCTTCTCTCCACCATCCCGTTTCTGAAGCCACTCCTTCAAGGTAAGAAGAAGTGCATGTTGAGTCACATTTCTGGCAGCATGGGCGAGGCATGTTTCTTGCTGGGAGAAGCCACCAAGAGCAAAACCAATCGTTTTATTGATCTCGTGGCTCCTGGCAGTATCCGACAGAATGGTCTTGAGCTTTTTACAAGCCCGAGCCTTCTTCCAATTCTGAATTCCAGCCGAGAATAGCGCACTCATACCATCAAAGTGATAGGAGGGAGGAAGCGGTAGAGCTTCGGTGGTTTCGGCGTTCACGGGGTACCCATCGTGAATGATCGTCACGGGGCAAAGTAGTCCATCAGACCTTTTGAGAAAGTTTCTCAACAAAGTGGCCTTGGTAGCATACAGAAGGGACAATTTGTTCCTAGCCAATATTAGCGAAGATCAGGTTGGACTGAAAGTCGTTAATTACCATTTGATCATGCGTGTGATATCCTCATCACAATCTCCACAATCACATTCTGGGGGAGGATTCGAAATCGTAAAGTCAACTTTGAATTCGACTGTGTTGCCAGTGATGTCCTTCGAGTATGCCTTGCCACCATGGCCGGGTTTCCGTTTGACTTGCTCCCACGCATACCGAATGGCTTTCTTCGTGAAAAGAGGTTGACCAGACATGTAAGCTTGGAGGAGGCGTCTCCTAGCAAATTTCTCCCCTTCCACGGGGGCATTCACCAAGCGTGCCGAGGAGATATAGTGATTTTGGGTCACCTCCGATGGAAAGGGCTCATTGGAGACTGCAATATTTCTACCTTCCATAGTGGTTGAACGTACTGGTATTTGCAGTATGATTAAAAGCGAAGCTGGATAAAACAATGTTTGAGATAATTTGAGAGTAGGTGCTGTGCTATATGAAGGGTTCACTCTTTGTTTGGGTTCGTTCTTTGTTGGGTGTCATCCTTTATTCATGCTCCACCAATACCGACACTTGAAACGTTGTGTTGCAGAATCAAACACTCGATGAATGCCATCCAATATTTTACAATTCGAAATTTATGTAAAATTGCACTGGTGTGTTTGCGCTGGGGTTCATTTTCAAAACGAGACATTGGATATGATAGCGCTCAAGGTGCTATTATTTGACGACAACTCTAGCCCGCCCAAGGTTGTAGGCCAATGCATACGTCGTTTCTTTTTCTCCAGACCTATGAGATGCGACACGAACACTTGGAAAGTATTCTCCAGGTTCTGAGTAGATATGTGTGGCGTTCACTTTGACCACGGGGCTAGGCTCCTCGAGGGCCGCCGAGACAAAGGATCCGTTTCCATAAATATCCCATTCAATGGAAACGATCTTCCCAACGCCATTGGGCACTTCAACAACCGCCGTTAGAGCCACCGGGGAGCCCGCTTGGACCTCAGCCCGTGTGCTACCCTCTGCTTTCAAATAGGCCACAGGCTGAATTCCCGCACGCTGAGAAGATGACTCGGGAACATGAACCTGACCACCACAAACGGTGTAATTGGTAGCCGTGGGAGGTTCAACCCCTCTCTCCACCCACGCGCTGAGGTCTCGCAGATGTTGCTCGTAAAGACCAGTGAAGTCAATAAGACGATACTGCACAGGACCTTGAACGGGCCCCATTTCATGGTCGGCATTATCGCTGTAATACAGACGGTAATTGTCACCAAAGCAATCGCCCAGAGAGTTCCGAACTTGCTTTCGGTACCAGTCAGCCTCCCATGGGAAGGCTTTGTTGTCCATAAGATTATCCATGACAATCATTTTTGCAGTGATATTTCCAGTATGGGTACCGCCACCAGTTGCTGACTCGGCAAGAATAGGAGCAGTGAGTACACTTCTTTGAGGGTACTTGGGTGTTCCGTCCGCATTGCGAAGATAATCAAAGACGTCATATCCTGGGCGAGTCGGGAGTTCATAGCGATGGAAAGCGTGGAGAGAAAGGAACCATCGGTTATCGAAACGTAGCTTGGAGCCCGGCTTCAAACATTGCAGCACGGTGCTGTTGTTATCGGAGTAGAGCGAAACCGTCGTTGAGTTAGGATCCATGCGTCCGGTGAATGTTCTCTCTTTTCCTACACCATTGCACGGTGAATGAAGGGTAAAGTCATACCAATTGCGTCGAAGAGCCTTCAGTGGCGATGCGTCTATATCAAGTTCAACGGGAACATTGTCTGCATCACTGGAAAGTTGGCGGACAGTGGCGTTAAGATCAATCAAAGACGCTCGAATGACATCTCCTAGCTCTGATATTTCTGTACCCAGGTACCCAGATTTATTCCAGAAATCCTCAACATATGTTGGGTCTATGGATTTCATAGCGACGGCAGCGGCACGCAATACCTCATATAGTTGCGAGCGGTTTCGACCACTACCGTCAAAATCTTCCCAAGCCGCTGGAGGCATACCCATTGCTGTGACTTCTTCCAGAACGGAAAGTTGCAGATTGCTGAATGAATGATATGAATCGTTGCTTGCTCCGGGTCGGACAGCATCCTGGAGCTGCTGGGCCTTATCGTCGAGAACCAATCCCCCCAATGCAGTGACAGAGAAGCCGTGTGGATCAGATATAGGGATTCCTTGGATCAAAGGCACACTGCCATCCCAGACAGAAAAGGTGTTTTCCATCGCTCCAACCGTTTTGAAGGAGCCCCCGCTGCCTCCATAAATGTATCCATAGATTCGGCGAGAAGGATCTTTGTAGTAATCCCGAGCAATTCTCCTGGAGATTTTGGCGACTGCAGCATCAGCTCGGTAGCCGCCAGTGCCAGCAACATGTACGGTGTAACCTCCACTGTCTGCTCCAAATCCTATAGCTTCAGGTGTTGCTGTCGAGTTTTGCGTGGGAAAGACGAGTTGGAAGAAGCGACCGTCCCAACCTTGATGTGGCAGATAGATTTTGAAGTCAATCTCGGTGCCATTGAAGTAGCCGTGTATTCTGCGATGCTGGACAGGGGAAGACTCGTCGGTTTGGCTGGTGTATATGGGGTTTTGGTAGACGGGATCAACGCAATCCGGGGTGATTTGCCATGGACCATTGGTTCCAAGAGACTGACAGTCAGGGCTAGTAGAGTGCGAGCTGACAAGAGTGCCTGTGAAGGCGATAAACAAGAAAGTGATGTGGCCCAAAGACCTATGTTTTTGTTAGCGAGAGGTTAAATTTAAGTGCATGCTGGGTACTAACCAATGATTCTGCCGAGGGGACAGCAGCTTTGACAGTTCCATCATAGCTTGGTCCTAGATCGAGAGATTTCTATGGACTGGTTTACGACATAGGAGGTGTACCTGGCTGACTTTATAGACACACTGGGAGATTACTTGGACGTGAAACCCACCTAAAGCTCCGAATATATGTTCAATGAATATCAAACAGGTTTTGAATGTAGCCTAATGAGTGAACCATTGCCTATTACAAAAAAAAAAGGGGCTACGTATCTGATGATCCTAAAAGTCAGGAATAGAAACAGAGTAGAGGAAGCCATGGGATGAACGATGATCACTGCCGCTTTAGGCAATTACAGCGTATTCGTAGAAAATACAAACCTGCCCAGGTAGGTGTCTATCAACGTCAAGAAATCTATTATTGGAAGTGGAAGAATCTATATTCTCAACCTCCTTTCTTTAAATGCCTCGCTCTTGGGTAATTTGGTCTCCAGTATTCTCAAACTATTCGCGATTTCACTCAACTTCATCTCCACAATGGTCAAACCCACCTCCAACATGCTCGACTACTGGCGCAAAGGCGGGATCTATGAGCTTGGCAGTCGTGCGATATTTCGCACTCTTCAATTGATCTTTGCTTTCGCAGTGGCCGGTATCTACGGTGTTGATCTCGCCCACTCCACCAAAACCCATGATCATGCTCACGCCGAATGGATATACGCCGAGTTCCTCGCTACCCTGTCCGTTCTCACTTCCATTGCATATCTACTTCCCGTGATCACCCATGCCGCATGGATAGCCTGGGATGGGATTCTATGTATCCTCTGGGTTGCGCAAGTTGGTGTTTTTGGGACTATCTATTCCTCAAACGTCAGCCCCGACTACCAACATGCTACCTCGTCTATCTCCCGAATGCGAGCTGCGGTTTGGATTGATTTAGTCAATATGATACTTTGGCTTTCCACCATGGTACTCAGTATCGTGTGGTGTGTTCGGGCTCGAAAGGTTGCTAGGAAAATGAAACAATCAGATGCTGGTAAACAAGGCCTCATCGCGGGCGAGGGTGAGAAAGGCGATTGCGAGGAGAATGGTCGGTGGAGTGGAGAGAAAGAAGTGGAATGCTTCACCGATATTGAAAAGGGTACACAGGAGCCCACCACACCACCACTGGACAAGACTACTACGAAGGACAAAAGTGACTTGTGAATTCGGTCTTCTCGTCTATGTGTACTCTACGACTGTGTTGCTCCAACTTGGGAGATTTCAGGTTTCTATTTTAGACTTTGGTTTATTTTTGTGATATTTTGTTTTGTTTTTTTGTCAAAGTTTCCACTGCAACATTGTGTTTCCAATTTTCATCTTATTTCCATGCCGTTTATACCCGTGAAAACCACATGGGTAGGGAATGAGTAGAATCTTCGATATCATATGATGTGTCTCTAAAGATACATGAAGTGAAAAGTAATCAGTGCCCCGAAAAGGGATTCACCAGTAACGCCGCAGGGATGCAAGGTATCAACGCAAAGCAGATATTCCCCAGTCTACAGAACAACCAGAACGGTGATCATCGAAGGGTGGATAATGAGAACTCGAACCAGGAAAAGCAAAATGAACCAAGACCCAGCAGAGCCTAGATGTGACCGTGTAACTTGAACCGGTAGATACAGGTATGCTTAGCGCCCCAATTCGACGTCACTCGGAAAACAACCTTATCCACCCGGATAGTCGAGACATCAACTATAGTGTTGAGCTTGAAAGTCTGCACATTGTCCGGGCTGTTAACGTCATATTCAACCTTTCCGATGCGGTAATAGTTTTGGCCGAGAATCGGGTCATCCGAGTAAGCAGATTCAGGCTCGTTGGGATTGCTTCGACGCAGTAAATCCATGATCAGTTTATGCAATGATCCGATGCCGGGTATTAGGAATCCACCCAGACCTGTCTCACGGGAAGAAGGAACGCGAGCTGTTGACGGCTCGGGCGAAACAGTAGCCTCGCCGAACATGGCAAAAAAGCCGCCACGACCAGGCTTTGCCTCGGGCGTGTGCTTGGCTACCACGGGCGTCTTATGTGGGCTTACTTTGAAGCGAGCCCACAGCTCGATTGTTCGTGGTGCTGCTTCTGGTTCGAGTGATGAGCCCCAGGGGGTATGCTCGACAACCAGTTCTTCAGCTACGATGTCTCGCCCGAGAACCACGGAGAGTTGGGTGGATCCCCCGCGGGATGCACTGCACCAGCAGTCACCTACCTCTTGCCATGCGCTCAGAGCGGAGACGGGAGGTTGTGGTGCCCGAACGACGGCTTGAGGTACTTTTGCAAGCCAGAGGAATGCGCGTGCTGGGGAGCGAATCTTGGATCCTAATGTCGGAGAAGTGTTTGTTGGGTCGACTAGCGCGCCCATCGGCACCGACAAGAAGTTCACCTTATGCACGGGGTTCCGGTGAATGGCGACGTCTGTGGGGTGTGGGTCGGAAGTGCTGGCAAGTGCTTGCTCTGAGATGACAGAGCTGAGCTCGCTTGATAGTGAGGACATTTTGACATCCATTTTAGAGATCTGGCTGCGAAGACCCCGGAAGATCTCTGGATTGGACCCGTTCAGGGCTGAAGCTGAGTCCAAGTCCCAATCCAACGGGAACAGGGCTTGGTGAATCTTCATTGCAGCGAGATAAAATGATATAGATCCCACGATCAAGACTAACCATAATGCTGCCCGAATTAAGCTTGCGTAGGGTCCCTTATCGGCTGACTCCACTAATATTGTAAACATGCTTCTTCGGCGTACATTGGGAGGGATTGGACGTGTGACTTCGGTGGGTGTGGGCTTGGGTTTGGGAGCGCGCGGTTTGGGTTTCATTGCTGAGAGCCAGCGGCGCATCAAGCTTTCCCTTGGTGGGTCAGGATGGAATTCCGGAGGGGGTGTTTGCGCAATGGGGTTCCATGTCCCGGGTTCGGATTTGATAGATTCATCCTCCTCGGGAACAATAGCCAGACCAGAAACGCGCCGCGGGGGTGCCGAGATATTTTCGCCGTGGGTCTCACCACGATACTTGCTTGGTCTCGTCCGCTGTAAATCGTCTTCGTTGATATCTCGCTCGAGATTCCACGAAGCCTCAGAGGCGTTGTCGACAGAGCTGTGGCGTGAAACAGAGCTGGCGATAGAGGCATGTCGGGAGCCAGGACGCTGGAGGGGCGATGGATATAACGGGGAGTTGGACAGCAGGCGTTGTGCTGGTGGCTGAGTTTCTGGGCTGGAGTCGGTAGAAACCGAATGTGGAATGGGGGGCGTAGGCGTCTTATCGGAGTGATGATCTTCTGTCGCCTTATTTAAAGACTGCTGAAGCTGCGTTTGGTCTGGCGTCGGCTCCCGCTTCGCCTGACGTGCTTGGGGCTGCTTTTTCTTGGCAGCAGCCGTTCGCTCTCGAGCGATCTCCATCTGGGTTTCGGTTGTTCGGATCATTTGATCTATATCCATGGTGGGGCGTACATTGATGCGCTTGGGCATCGCCACTGTGGTAGCTGCTCCATAATTCCATGAAGCTCCAATTGGAATACTGGGCAAATCAGGTTGGTTGGCTGGGTTAACTATTGGTTCGTAACCAGACTCATTGATGAATGTTGGCCTTCGTGGTGTCCCGCCATTCCGGCGAGTAGCTCGTTTGGGGGGCATCCGCACTTGTTATATCTGAGATCGACCCTTGAGATTGTCTGGTCCTTATTTTACCTGTTCACAATTGTTAGCTTCGAGCTAGATAGGTCAAACATCACCAAAGAACAGGGTCGAAGTGTGGTATAAAGCATATCGAATCTGGTCAGATCCAGCAGCCAATTCAACACTAGTAGATTTGTATTTGTATCATGCGCCAAACGGCGTGAACTGGCGCATCGCCAGTGCGAGAGATGAACTCCAAATACAGCATAGGGCCATTTGTTTGTGCATGCCTTGATGCAGAACATAGGTGAGGGAGAAGAATAGAAAAAACCCAACAGAAATTTGACTTAAACCATATTGCAACTTACCAAGAGAGTTGAGAAAACTTGCCGACTCTGCGAGGCCGTTCAAGTTCACTTTTTTGAGGTCTGTAGATCGCGACCCCCGACCCCCGACGCGCAGACGCGACGGACCGTGACTTGAGGATTTGCCGGTTGATTGCCGTAAGCAACGACCGTCGCAGATTGTAGAATTGCTTGTGGAATAAAATTGCAATGTTTTAGCTCGTCGCTCGCGTCGCAAAGAGTTCTGCGGGGGTTGTTGTTGAAGGGAGAAAATAGACGGGGGTGGAGCGCAATGACGATCTCCGAAGAATCTCAGTGAAGTCGACTCTGTGACAAGACACGCCAGGAGGAATTCGTTCTTCTTTATATTTTGCTTCTTTATCTAGACACTTTCCTGTCAGAGTATACCTTTTATTAACTAAAGTATCACGGCGCCTTTGTTAGGCTAAGTCTTTGTTGATGCGACAATTCTGGTACTATTTTTGTATCAGACCAAGATGGCTATGCTTCACTAATACACAATGACTATGATTTTGCCACTCCTGATTCGCTTTTAAGACACAAGTAGATTGATACTATACAACGGTCACAGAGGGTGTAAGCAGGTGATGAACCCCCCATAAAGTGACCTATAGAGCAGAGACACCTTCTAACATGTCCAAGCAGCCATGGTGCCATCCTTGCGGCCTTCCACGAGATAACCATCCTTAAGACGAACCCGCTCAACGGTCGCAGGGAATGGTCCTTCATCGTCGACCCCGACTCCAGGGCCACAGTCCCAGTGGTTCCCGTCGGCCTTGTCGTAGACCTTGACAACGTTCTCTCCAGCAGCAGCAACAATGCGCTTGGCATCAAACATCATGCTGGTGACGGGTTTGTCGTAGGCATACGCGTCGTAAATAGAGCCCATGCGCAGATCCCAAATCTATAGAAGGTTAGTAACATGGCTCCGATTGAAATGTACCTCGATAAAAACTCACCCGAATGCTGCGGTCTAGACTGCCAGTGACCAGATGCATATCATTAAATTGAAGACACGTTACTGGCCCCGTGTGTCCAACGAGACTCCGGTGAACATGACCACTGCGCAAATCCCACAGGCGAACCATGCCATCAGCTGTACCACAAGCCAAAGCCGCGTCAAAACACTGCACGGCACCAACAAAGTCGGCGGAGGCATCGGGCATGCGACCCGATGGCCTCCAGTCAGACTCTCCGGCCATAGATGATGAAGCTTGGGCGGAAGCCCATAGAACATCCAGTGTTTGTACACATCGGCCCTTCACCAGATCCCATTGTCTAAGAGTCTTGTCGGCAGAACCTGAGATGAGAGTATCACCCTTGAAATGGAGAGCCGTTACCTCGTCAACGTGCGCCTCTAATGAGAAGACATTACAATCTTCGAGGTTGGAAGAGGGTGGAACTGGCATCTTAGGCTGATGCTCTCCATCTTCTTGGTCACGCTCGTGTTTGTTGAGACGTCCATCACGCGTTGTGGGCCGAGCACGGCTCAGATCCCAGAGTTTCACTGATGCGTCCATAGACCCTGTTGCCACTATATTATCCTCGACCTGCAAGCATCGAACAGAGGCATGGTGTCCTTCCAAGAAACCAGAGCATCTGCCGACATTCATGTCCCAAACACGTACGGTGTCATCTAGCGCGGCGCTGACCATGGTGCCGAATGGATAGTCGAAGTCGATGGCGGTAATCATGTCTGTGTGGGCTTCTATTTCTTTGATTAAAGATCCCGGTTCGAAGTGTTCATGTAGAATGGGCATTGATCGTTTCCCTAGAGACTGTTAGTTTGAATTCACATTCGCTTGGGCTGGGATATCGTACTGTTCGATCGATGCCGTAAGCTTTTTGGTGATGGTGTGGGTAGCTTTTCGTATATGGACTCAGACATGAATGAGGCATCCATCGCTGGATCGTCTGACGACCCAGGACGCTCATCCTGGCTTTCTGACTGTGACGTCTCAGTCGCAACAGGTGTATCCGAGGATTCCTCCTCTGGGAACTCCTCCAACTTGTTATCAAGTTCAGTAACTGCCGCGTAAATAAATCAGTTCCACCCGTGTGCGATCTTGTCGCTCATATTGCTTCACTCACGTTCGTTTTCTAGCCCCGCCTCGTCCATTTCTAACCCAGCAAGCCTATCCAGAACGATTTTTCGGATCTTGTGCAAGTTGGCAACTTTGTTGTCAATCTCGTGGATTTCCGCGCTACACATGTTCTTTCGGATTCCCATCAACTCCAGTTTGCGACTGAGCGATTTGCGCTGGTCCTTGAGCCCAGCCGGACCGGCAGCCAATGATCCGCCCCTCTCGACATCTTTAAGGTATTTGCCCTTGGAGCTGCGCCGTCGGTGTCGCTTTTTATGTTCTTCCTCTGGCACTGAGGCTTGGAAGCCCTCAAACAGGGAGTAGGAGCTGCTGTCTTCGGGGATATTGGCGAGAAGATCATCGGGGACCGAGGAAAGAGCACGGGATTGGATTTCGGTGGTCGAAAGCTTGGATCGGACGAGGTCGGTCGGCGTGGTTTGTGTCAGCGAGAACACTTTGCGCTGCGCGGCCGGTCGCCGGAGCTCGCGGTGGATGTCGGTCATGGCATTGTGAAAGTGAGTGTCGCTTTGTTCGCCTGGTCCCATCAAGTGTCCAGCCGTTGTAGTGACTTTCCGACCGAATGCTTCGATGTGACGAGTCTGATATCACCGCAAATCCAGAGCAGTCAGCTTCCAGGTCGAGGCGTCATTAATGGGGGAAAAGCTCACCGTAAGACCGGTGCCCAAAAGGCCGTCGCCCTCGACGATATCTGACAGACCCGATGGCGAGTCGTCACGGCGCTGATTTTCCATCCAGATATGCGGGCCTAGCTGAAACCCATGTAGTTGACGGAGTGACGGGGTCGGTTGAAGGAGACTTGGTCTGCGCGGGTTACCGCGCCGGGTACTGCCGTATGGTACTTTTACGGGGTTCAAACCGCCTCAACAAGCCAATCTGAGATTCTGATTGGAAGTATTCGGAGCTTTCAATGGATAGTGTGAGGCTATTGAAATGCAAGGAAATATACTATTGTTGCTGCTTTGTTGGTCTATTGGCCAGGCTGCATATGGTTCATCATCTACTCCGTACTCCGTACTCAGTATGCACTGAGAATAGTTACTCGGGTTGCTGCATCAGCGATGACTGCAAATCTGATTGATCCAATACAAAGTGATAAGAGAGAAGTTTTTCTGCTGGGATCTTGTTGAATCTTTTTTTCTCTCTCTTCCAACATTGACCACAAATTTTGCTCAGCTGAAGTGGAGCTGCGCTAGCATCCCCCTGTGAATACTTAGATCGATCGGAGTAGCGGCCTTACATTGCGAACTTCCTCCCGCACCCTCTTCTTCCTCAAACCAAGCCGATCATGGACTCAGCCATTGACCTTTCCGATGCCACCAAGGCATTGGATCTTGCCAACATCCGTTTCCAGTTGATGTGAGTTAGCACAATGCTCTAAGACATTGCCCCCCCACCCCCGCCAAGATCTAGCACTATATGCAGGTACTCTCGGTTCATACGGTCATTGTTGAGTCGGCCCGCTAATATGACAGACTTTCAGTCGCCTAGAAGATACAATCACCTTCCACTTGATTGAGCGTGTACAATTCCCGCTCAACAAGACCATCTATGTCCCCAACGGTATCAAGATCCCCGACAGCGAATTCAGCCTCCTCGACTACCTCGTCCGTGAGCAAGAGCGCCTCCAGTCGCGCGTACGCCGCTTCCAATCCCCCGACGAGTATCCTTTCTTCCCAGACGTGCTCGAAGAGCCCATTCTCCAGCCGCTGGAGTACCCCCACATCTTGCACAAGAACGATGTCTGTGTCAACGACACAATCAAGCAGCGGTACATCGAGGAAGTCCTACCCGCAGTGTGCCCCAAGTTTGGACGGGAGGACCGCGGCGAAACCCAGGAGAACTATGGATCTGCGGCAACATGTGATGTCGCCTGTTTGCAGGCGCTGTCGCGTCGCATTCATTTCGGAAAGTTCGTCGCTGAGTCGAAGTTCCAGAAGGACCCTGAGACTTTTGTGCGCCTAATTAAGGCTGAGGATCGGGCTGGTATTGACGCTGCTATCACCAATGCTGCCGTCGAGCAGAAGGTCCTTGAGCGTTTGGGTCTCAAGGCCAAGACTTACGGCACCGATCCTGCTTTCCCTGATGAGAAGGGACAGAAGATCAACAGTGACGCTGTCGTTGCGATTTACAAGGTGAGTCATGGTGCTAGATATGTTGATGATGTGACAATTGCTGACTTCCTGGTAGGAATGTGTCATCCCCTTGACCAAGATTGTTGAAGTGGAATACCTCATGCAGCGTCTCAAGGGAACGCAATGGGAGTGAAGCACGAATTAACGAAGCAAAATTTTTGGACATAGCGACTTGACTGTCAGAAGACACTACACTTAGAATACTTAGGTAGAAAATCTACTTAGCCAGGGTTATCTGCAATACTTGAGGTCAGTGAGTAAGGCCAAAGAAGCTAGCTAAGACTTGATATGTTCTTTCATTGTTTTCGTAAACCAGACGTGAAATTGATCAAACTGAAGGTCTTCACATTTGACTAGGACATATATTCCGTGAGGGCTTTGACCATAGGCTCGAACTTGGCGGCTTCGAGCAAAATCAAGCTACCGTTGGTCTTGATACCAAGCTCTTGGAAGGCACGCTTGGAGTCAGAGTGCCCCTCATCGGATTTGTGAGTATATTCGATAGAGCCTGAGCACAGCGCATGGCGCTCCACCACCTCATCCTCGGGGTGGAAGAAGAATCGCTCAGCCTGCTCACCGCCCTTCTTCTTCTTCTTCTGAGGCCGAGACTCTTCCTGATCGAGCTTGGACTCAACCTCCTCGTAGTTCTTGGAGACAACGAGGTAGTGCGAGAAATTGTAAGGTTCCTTGTCCTCAATGGCCCAGGCGATCTCCTCCTGGAGCATGTTGTACATGGGCGGGACGATCTCGGAAGGCATGTTGATCAGACGCTCGGTGAGAATGAGACCGATAGGGGGAATAGGATTCTGAGAGAGAAGCTCGTGGGCGGCAGAAAGAGACGTGTTAGAGGCGGATTTGGTTTTAAGGTAGTTGATCAGGTCCTGGATGACGGGTTTGTCCTGATATTGTTAGTGCAAGGTGGTCGACCAGGAGTCCAATGTCCACGAACCTTGTGCTCTTGTAAATTGAGAATCGTCAGGAATGCATAGGGATCCGATTCGTTTCCATCAACCTTCACTGTTGAACCCAGTGTTGGCTGCGAAAGAATCAAGTCGGCCAGAGCGGACATATCAAAGATTTGAGCGTCATTGTCGAACAACTGGCGCAGCAGGTTCTTCATGCCGTGGAAATCTATTGGCTGCGGGTCAAACCACTCGAAATCTACATTGACCATGTCAATGTCCTGCAGGCGTCATGCTTGTTAGCAGGTTGGCTGTGAATGTGGGGGGTATACATGTCTTACCTCGCCGGAGTCCTCCTCCTCTGGCTGAGTACCGCCCATCTGGACATCACCGAGATCTTTCCGCTTGACCATATTGTGTTAATTGATTGCTGTTGCTGTGAAAAAAAAGGTTGAAGATCCAAAGTTGGCCCCACGCTCGGCCGCATTCGAACTTTTTCCTTATCGGTTGTTATCGCCGAGGTATGTCATCAGCGTCAACATTTACTTCTACAGGTGCTTTTTCGCAGCACCCTTGAGCCTCAATATGTAGAGCGAGGATATTGGAAAACGTAAATTTCGTTGAAATCGATTGATACTCTCATTTGGTGTCCCCATGCCATGGCATGCGGCTTGTCAACAGCATTAACTTCCAAAGTTGGCATCTTTGGACCATCAACAATCTTGGTCCACGGGTTTTGTTGAACAGCACCGAAGACGTGGAAATGGTCAAAACGTCTAATTTTGTAGTTAATTGATAAATTGGTGTGAGTTCGCCAGCGTTCTTTCCAGGGCTATCGTCTTCGCTTTTGCTACTCACCTTGTATAGTACCTGCGCATTGCAGCTGTCAAGAACATGGCCAGCTCCAGGCTCCACATAGTTTCTGGTAGCTGAAATGTACTCTAAAGGTATATTTTCAAGGTTGCAGCTGCCTATCTAAACATCATATTCAACCTCCTCGACAGTCGGCACCTTGTGAAGCTTCACCTCGAAGAATTTAGCGACAAGCTGCACACAATCCCAGATGACTTGCGTCTCCTCTTTAGAAACCCCAATACGTCTGGTTCCACGAATATGCCAGTGCGTCTCCTTGGGCAAGTTCTGGCTCATAATCCCGGGCAAGACAACCAACTGGGTATCAAGATCCCCGAGCACCTGGCGATCCGACAGGAACAGCCCATAAGTAATCTCCTTCGATAGCCATGAGAAGTCTTTGTGTGCACTGAATAAATCAAGCGTACCAGTCGTATTACGAGAGTACAACTTCTGGAGCCATCCGGTGCCGCGCTCATGGTTGGCCTGGTCGCATTGCCATCCCTCGCGCGTGAAAGAATAATCTTTGTCCTCGTCACGCTCGACCTCGCTAATCGCCAGAATAGCTTCAATTGGCTTGCATACTCCTACAATAGGTACGGACTTGACAAGTGCTTCGCGGAGACGTCGGACCAGTGCTTGCCGCGCTGCAGGAGTCGCGTATTCAGGTTGCTTGGTGAGGTGCAGGTACAGCTGGTCTGCGCGCTGCGGGTCTGGGGATGCGGCAATGGTGGAGATCGCGAGAATATACCACTTGTCACTGCCGAGGTTTGTCGCCTTGAAGTGGTTCTCGAGCTCGGTGAAGAGTTGCTGGAAGCGGGGTTGGACTTCCGAGGCCATTGTGGTAATCGTTCTTGGTTGATAGAAAATTGAAGGGGCGGAGTATGCCAAGTTCAATCTTGACTTGCAGAGTCGGATTGATAATCGGGTGAACATCGTTTGGTGGTGTGCTACCTTCGATATTTCACTCAGACGCAGTTCGCTCCGATGAGCGGAGTGGGTCGCGTGTCCGACTTCAATGCGTACACCTCAAACGGTTTTTCCCCTTCCATAATTAGTTTTATCTCACAGCAGTAGATTGCAAAGATGATGACTGAGCCTCGCGTGGTCAAACATGAAGAGACTATTAATGCCTAAGTGGGTTGAGGTTCCAACATGCTACGCTGTCCGATTGCGGCTAGGTACATAGATCGCATTCGATAACGCGCGACATATGCGCAAACATCATACACGTCTGTGTGTTCCACCTCGCTGACAAGCATGTTTTTGTAGTTCCAAATAGATTAACATGGTGAGATATGATATTCCTCGAAGTATACTGTAGTAGAGCAACAGAGCGCCAGAGTGGAGTAGCAACTAGCCTAGTGGGGTCCCGAAAAGCCACACCTTGCATCAACGATGTCACTGAACCAAGTCTGCCTTGATTGCAACATGTCCCAAGTGACAACGAATCCCAGGGAAGCGTCCAGAGCATCCAAAGGGAGAATGAAGCAGAATCTTTGGTCAATTGCCCTCAAACTGGGCTGTGACCCACTATGATCTCAGTGACTCCAGCATGACATCACATCGAGTATATGGCAAGTATAAGATCAGAGTCTTCCATGGGGGAATAACTATTCATTACAATCCTCACTTCAATCATCATCTACTCTCTCAACCAACACTTCTCAATTCTCATATATCACAATGTCGGGCCAATCTAGCGTCGGAAACCGTGCCATCTACGAGGCTGGCGACCAGCGCAACCCTCCTGTCTCTGAGCTCCAGGACCGTGCTCGCTACGCCGAGGGCCAAACCCACAGCCACCAGAACCTTGACTCCAAGGATGGCCGCTCTATTGCCAACAAGCTTGCTTCCCAATCCAACAAGCCCAACCCTTCTCACCACCACAACTACGAGGCCGACCAGGAGGCCGAACTCAGCAAGCAGGACCCCACCAAGCCCGTAAGTTTCTATGAAACAAATGCTGAAGTTGCACTTACTGATATTTTATACAGGCTAAGCTGCACGGCAACGCTCCCTCCAAGGGTGCTAAGATCGACGCTGAGCTCCAGGCTGAGGATGAGCAGCGCCTTCGCGAGAAGGGCATCAAGCACTAAATCCCTTAATGCTGTTATGATGTTATAAAATACCCCTCGGGATCTTACATCTCTACGTCGGGTTGGAGATGAAATGATGTACGATAATAATGATATTGGTCGGAGTTCTCTTTCATGAGTTAAAGATCATTGAATGAATATATTGAAGATATACGACATGAAGAAGTAGTCAGTCGACTTGACGTCAAATGTTCCCAGTAATAGAACCGCAGTTCGTAATACGAGCACTTTCACGCAGTAGACGTCCTCTTCAAGGATTGTGATGCGTTTCTCTTGCAAATGGTCATCGTGGCGCGCACAGCATGAAAAATCACCATGTCCCCAGAACGAATACTTAACGTATGCCAGAGCAATCCTGGAAACAAAAACCTGAAGGCTCTGGCAGGCTTTCTAGCTGATAATACCGAGTAAGTACCCGTAGAAGGCATATGTTGGGAAAGAGACAAATCTTGAGGCGTTATTGAGAACCTTATTTTCATTAGATGCAGATACAATGATATGCTATTTAGATAACCCTCTAACTCAAGAGTCGAACAATCTGTACAAGGCCAAAGTGGCACACATATTCCGTTAATTCATGCAATCCTCGCAAGGACGCGTAATCTTCTTCCAAGTTTAGCCAGGACAATGCTCAGAGGCACATCAGAACATTGTCTGATCTCCACTGGCGCAAACATGGTTTCACGACAACCAAATAATAGCTGATTCGTGTCGCGCCAATGAAGCTGATATTCGGTTGGAGGAAAACCCCCCGAGGGCATTTGACTTAGTAGCCCCGAAGCGGTTTATAGGTGGTAAATAGGCGGCGGAACCGAGAAATGACCTGATACAGGCAATTCTCAGTCATCGAGAGTAAATTTGGGGTCATCATCGTGCGGTGTAGCAAAGACATGACCCCAATACTCTTGAACCCTGTCACAAAGTCCAACTTTGTTTTGCCAGGTCTTGAATGCTGTTTCAAGATTGCAGCTCACCCACTTGATCTCTTCCCAATACGCCTTCTCAACGTCGTAACCAAACCTCTGGAGAGTTTCGGGAGGTGCAGTCCATGCACGTCCATCTGAACCATCATCTTTCAAGGTTGGGGTCGTTTCCCAACCCAAGCCAAAGATGCGGTCACCGGGGTTGAATTTGGGATAGTTTGCGTGGATGAAGAAGATATGCGGCGCGGGGGCCACGGATTCATCCTTGACGCGCCATTTGTTCTCTTGCGTCAAGGCATAATCCTCCCTGGGGTCTGACTGTGCCATGGCAGATCCTGACAAGCCACCATGATTGGCGTGTCCGATCGCCTGCACCCTTTCACTAACAGTGTAGAAAGGCGCCCCCACTGCGGCAGCGGCCTGGACGAATGTTTCCTTGTCACCCTCGCCAGGACCTCCTTGGGTCAGCAAGCGGAAATAATGTGACGGGCCGTAGAAGTTATAATACGAGGCTAGCAGGAGAGCCAGCAAATGGGTTTTCTTATTCACCAAGAAAGCACCAGTTTCAGACGACTGCCGCGCGGCCATGGAGGGTGGCTCTTGGCGGGAGATTCTGAAATATAGAGGGGACGCCGAGGAAGCCCAAAAGTCAGGCCAGGTGACTAGACCATTGGTTTTGAAGGGCTCCGAGTCGAGCAGATCTTCTGGTTTACCCAGAGGGAAACAGTCGGCATCCATCCATACTATTTCCTCGAAGGACGAGAACAGAACGGCGAAGATCTTGAGTTGGTAATGCTCAATAATGTTCTTGCCCACCACGTCTGCCAGCACCAAGCACCGTGCATCAAGCGTGGGAAGCACCTCCTCGCATACACGTTTCTCATGTTCTGTAGCGTCCTTCATGTAAAGCTCCACCGGCAACGTTGATCCGGCGCGGCGAAGCATCCGTAAAGAGGAAACAAAGACCGGCAGATATGTCGCGCCGGCAGTGGACACCAGTCCTCGCTTGCCGGGAGTATGGATGGGCTTCAGCACTTTCCCAGAGTTCTTGACGTCTTCGATGAAAGCCGCATGGGCCTCTTCCATTTTGCGTTCATCCTCCTCACCCAGCACTGATAGATCGGGTCTCGGCAGTTCTTTCGCGGGGTCAAAGTGCTGTGCTGCAACATCGCCTCGTTTCTCCGGGGCCGGACAGTTGGGGTTATGACGCTCGATGATGGGGCGCAGCGCTTTCCAGAAATCTTTTTGGCGTTCCGTGAGGGGAACTTCGAATGCGGTGTTTGGAACGAGGGGGACAGTGGAAGACGCGGTGGTCGGAGACCAGTAGAAATACACAGTGCAGACGAGTATCAAGGCCAACATGGCCAGGACCAGGGACCTGGCCCTCCCGGGTCTAAACACACCCGCGGACATAACTCTGTAGTCCAGGGGTTGGCGCACGGCCACGCCGATCCAGAAGGTTAGAAGGGGGAAGAAATGGCGTACTCAGTACTCCGTACAAGGTGAGCGCGTCGTAGAATAGGGTGTGGCGCATATAATTCAGGGAGGGCGGAAACAAGATTGGCCGGGCTTGGCACCGGCCATTTCTATACGAGGTCGATCTACATTGTGCCTCCTGTTGAGTTTGCAGTAAAACAGAGAGAATTCAAAGGAAAGGAACACAGAAGAATGACATTTATTTTCCTTACTTATTATCATTATCAGATTGAAAATGTCACAGATCAATAAGGAAATGAGACACGAGACCCAAGTTATTGTCTTGATCCGCACTTAATCCGCAATTAAAAGAGCCGAGGCCACTTTTTTTTTTATTCATTCTCTCTCCTCTCATCTCTTCGCAGAGAACAAGCAATGAGATTAGATCACAGTCCCGCATGTGAGAGACAGTGAGACATTATTTTGCCAATGATTTCATGATCACCGAGGGTGGAACCGACCATTGCCTGCCGTGAGAAGGCAATGAACGCCCCAGTTCTTCCCGACTAGAGGACTAAAGCGCGGATCAGCCTCCACTGGGAAGATCCCATATCCACCCCCCAAGTCTTCGTTTTATCTTCATTTTCGGTCTCAGGAGTCTGTCACCTCCATATATAATCCATTCCCCGAAAACCGTTCGCCGATCTCAAATTTGATCTCTCAAATTCTGCACCTCACAGATTTCCCCTCACCCGTCCACTCTTCCCATACGTGATCGTGCCTCTCCCATTCGACCGAGATTCGACTCTTCAGATTTTGACGGATGGACTCCGTGCGGGCCTTACCCACGCCTGTCTACGATGACCTCCGATAATGCAGATACTCGGCCTCGAGACCCCGCGCCGAAGGGAAAATCCCGCAAAACGGATCCGAACGCTCCGATCAGAAAACGTCGCAAGAGAACTGTGGTCAGCGGGGCCCCCGATGACTGCTTCGCTTGCTCCAAGCGAGGGGCACGGTGTGATCGCCGCCGACCGTATTGCTCTCAATGTCTAGACATGGGTCGCGAATGTTCCGGGTACAAGACAACGTTAACATGGGGCGTTGGGGTCGCAAGTCGAGGCAAGCTTCGCGGTCAGGCACTGCCAGTGATGGAGTCGGATGAACAGGCGCAAAGGGAACCTGCCAAATCACCGCCGAAGGCATCGAGTAGCAGTGCTGCGTCTTCTTCGCGGCTTCCGTCAAACTCAGTCCCGCCGCCTCCGGCCTCCGGCCCACCAATGTCTCATTTTAGCGCAGGAAATCCGAATGTGAAACTTGAAGGCAGTCCGCCAACCATGATGAATTCGTTCGACATGGCATCCAACATGGCCTGGGCAATGGACATGCCCGATCCACAAACGTGGAGTACACCCGCCCCTGCGCCTAAGATCTCAGGGCTTCCGTTGCCAACTCGGCCATTGATCCCAAATAATACCACCCAGGCCATGACGCCAGAGACGCCGTTGCTCTATGCTCCGATCCTAAGTCCGACGGCAAGCTTCAGCTCTCCAGTTTGGCCTACGGCAATGACTTACTCAAATCAGCCTGCAACCCCACCATCATCACAGGATGTGGACGAAGAGGAAGTCAAGCAAGATCCTAATTATAATATGCTGTGGAACGCCGCACATTCTCCGTCTCTTTCTCAGCTTCTTCTGGCGAGATCCGTGGGTCGAACTCCGCGCATTCGATATCTTATCAGCTATTATGCTGAAGTCATAGCACCCATGATCGTTGCTTTCGATACTCCAACGAATCCGTTCAGGACCCATGTTATTCGACTGGCCATGGAGAGTGAGGCTCTCCAGGAAGCAATAGCGACATTGGCCACAAGTAACTTGCGCCAAAGGAGAGAACATAACCACCTCTCCACTGAACGAACCTTGCCCGCACGCATGTCCTCGATGGCCCACCGGGCGCTCACAGATGAAGACTTTCAAGATCGATATGGCATTTCGATGACTGAGGGTTATATCAGGGAAGAGAATCATCACCGTGGAATGGCTGTCAAGGCACTGAACGCAGATCTTGCGGATCCTCGCCGTAGACTGTCAGACTCGGTATTGGCAACTCTTCTGATGCTCTGTCTTTTCCACGGCTGTGATACTGGTATTGCTGAATTCAAATCGCAATTTGCTGGCGTCACAAGACTTCTCGCGATCCGGATGCGCCATTCGCGCGTCATGACGGATGACCTCAAGTGGTTCATCCGCATGTTCTCATGGTTTGATACCTTAACGGCAACTACGAATGACCGAGATGTTCAACTTCGCGGAACGTGTTTGGAAATCAGCTCCAAGACGGACGGTGAATGGGGTCTGGAGAACTTGGCTGGTTGTGATGGTCGTTTGTTCAAATTGATCTCTCAACTAGGCCGTTTGAACCTTCTCAGTCAGGATGAAGAGCCCAATCTATCGCGTCCTCAAGATGCGCATATCGCCACGACTTCCTTGCCTCCCAATATGCTGTTCCCGGGATGGGAGAACGTCGTCTCAGATCCCGGAATGAGCTCTGTTCCGCTACCAGGGCAAGAGTTTTCTCTACCGACCCCACCTTCCAGTAGCGATTCCAGCCGTCGACCTTCTTCTCCGGCGTTTTGGACCGAGTGGTATTCGCTCAGGCAGCGACTTGAATCCTGGAGATTCGACCCACCTACTGCATCATCCGGGCCCGCCGATGCCTTTCCTTCTCCGCCCTTGTCGGCAGCTACAATGTCTTGGAATGCTACGACATACATGGCGCCGATGACTTCAACATCGGCTTACCAAGTAGCACCCGAGAACCTGCAGGATGTCTTCCAGATCTCTGAATGCTTCCGTCATGCCGCCCTCCTGTACTGTGAACGTCTAGCCGAGCCTACGCTTCCGTCCCGGCACGGTCGGATCCAACACCTTGTCCAGCTTGCTATGCACTGTATCGTCACCGTCCAGTCAGATGTGTATCTTTTGTGGCCACTCTTCATTGTCGGCTCGGAGTGTGTTCAGGAAGACCATCGTTCAATTATTCGCAATCGTTGCATCGACATTTCTAAGGATTCCGGCTTCATTAACAATCTTTCCTGTCTGGAACTCCTCGAAAAGATATGGGCTGAGCAATCCGACGAATCTTCGTTCCCAGTCTACCCTAGCGAGTTTGCTGCCCCGCCTCCTCTGGCAGGTGGTAGGGCACCTACGACCTCGCAGGCTTTCCGGTGGTCCCGAGTTATGCAGGCCAAGCGGGGCGACGGAGAGTATATGGTCGCATAGACGTCTGCTTCCACCCTCTCTCACTTTGAACTCTTTTTCTTCTCTTTAATCATCGCTCGTGTTGACGCACGATACTCGGCTTTTCAGCATTTTGGTGGCATTATCTCGATTTTCTTTGGTTGGAGGCTCAGCGACTCGATTTTGACAAATATGATACCTTACACATACTGCGGGCTACTATATCGCCCACTGACTCGTTACGGGTTACTCTTCTTCAGGTTATAGACATAGACTACTTGCATGTACATACCTCTGAACAACAACTCAACAAATACGATTTACCAAAAATGACAAGTTTTTATAGCCCAACAAGTAAGCTCCGGCGTTAAGCAAACCATTATCTGACTCCCAACGTCCCCTCAATGAAAACGGACTTCCACAATATGTACCCTCCCAAACGCCATTTGGGGCTGGACCAAGCCACTCGGAGATAGCACCCTATGGAGGATTCACATGAGCCAAAAAGCAAAGACCACCACATCACCACACCACTCCCCATACGAGCTCACAAAAGTACGCAGTCTTAGCTCGGGATTTATCCAAAAAGAGGCATCTCGTACAGACACGTAGGGCACAGGGCAAGGGCAGATATGCAAACCCTACCGATCAGCACGCACAACCCCTCTTGGTCCAAATCGCAATAAATGGACGTATTAAAATTGAAACGACTGGATCAGAAATTCATGTAAACAAGGTATATCACCGAAGCTCCCGAGCTCCCCGACCGCTAGTACGGAGTCCACCTGGGCACAGGCACGGAGTACGCGGACCAAAACCCTGGAATACCAATGGGCAAACCTTGGAATACTGAATTGCAAGATTTGGATTTGGATTTCATTTCACGGCACCGCTCGTGCAAGGGGCAGCGGCAGATAGATAGGGATTTGATCACAGACTGCAATGTGATTGGGATGTATTCTATATCCCGCCTGGAGTGTGCGTGCGAGATTAATATCAACTAGGGGGGTGTGCACACCGATTGATGCTGGGATTGTAGGTGAAGGATTATTGCTCCAGGTGACCAATTTGTAGTCCGTACGGCGCCTACTCCGTACTTGGCGATGATAATGAAAATAAATTGGCAATCCACATTGGAATTTAAAGCCGTGATATAGCGGGATTTGAAATCTGGTACGGAGTATCCATGTTTGTGGTTCTGAGCCTCACCTAGTGAGATCGTGGCCCTGACGAATATTGTTTATTTCTACTGCTATTTTTCTGTCAAACATATCGCGGTGCAAAGTAACTAAGATGTTGTACTTCGATATCCATGATGCAATGTACGGTGTAATAAGAGCACGTCTGTGCGAAGGTTATGTTCCTACAGCCGAGGCGCTCCCAACCCGTTGGCCCCCTGCAGCCTTCTCAGTGCGGGTTTATTTTGATTTATTTTAATTTTTTTTATTTGATCTTCTTTTTTTGCCTTTTCGATTTTTTAAACCTTCCAGAAATTCCACGACCCGCTTTTAGCGAAGCTGGCATTACACATTACGCACTATTGGATATCTATAATTGTTAACTTGTTGCCTATGTCATTTCCAAGGTTTCCAGCTGAGCGAGGGAGGCGACAAAAAACAAGCTGATAGAGGGCTCATATCTGCAAATGCACAAGGCAGATACATCTAAGAATTTTTCCCATCAGCTGCCTGCATGTGAGATCTAGAGTGCAAGCATCCAATGACCGGACAGATTAATTTCAAAATTCAAAATAAGCCATGTGCAACCCTAGATGATCGGCGGTGCAGGATGTGCTTTGTCTTGTGAATGGCTGGAGGGCCTAAGACAGGGGGCATTTTCTCGAAGGGTTGACTCATTCAAGAAAAACAAAGCCCTCGAATCAGGGATGGCCCTGGGATTCTTTGTGTGGGCGGCAAGGACGTGCTGGAAATTCCGTCGTTTCTCATCCCTTTGCTCGGTGCGTGAGCGTAAAGAATATCTTGGTATTGCTGGTATTGGCAGCTGGCGATGGTCGGTCATGTTCTTTACATCGGTTTACCGTTGCAAGACAAAAATATGGAGGACGTCGTAGCAAATGTCACAATTCACTCCGTAACTACCCACAGGATAGCCAGTATGAGTCGTGCATACTTTGTACGAGCACTCGGTACGAAGTACTTTGTCATTGACTATGGTATTGGCCCAATCCCGTGAAAGGCAGACTAGGGCTTGAACTCGAACGGTCGCAGCGAGTCGCCTATTGTTCGACGCCCCACGCTGAAACAAAGAGCCATAGGATACTCCGTAGCCAATATTCAAGTTGAATGACAACTGATCCAGAGCATCGGCTTCATAATTTGCTTTTGGTTGGAGGATGCTCGCTGCCTATCCACTATGCAGTTTCGATCCCAACGCGTTGTACACAGCCACCAGGCCACCAAATCATCAAGAGCAAGGAACCCGTAGATTACACCTATTTTTACGACTAGGCCGAAGCTTTTTTTCCCCCTCCCTGGATACTTGGGGTGTTGGTCAGACCGTAGAAGTTGCGGTCTGTGAATTTTCTATCTTCTTGCCCAAAAGAAGCGGTTGCTGCCCAGCGACGCAGCGGTAACGCCCATTCACCGTCCGTGGTATCTCCCGACACGGCGGTGCAAAGTGGGTTTGTGTGCAAGAGGGACCCTGATGGGGCTCGTTTCGTTCGTCATGGCAACATGTACGTATAAGTTACAGAGAATTAAATGTCCGATTGTCTGGGGGTGGAGTCTTGAACCAGTGGACGAGACGGGATGGCCCGTTTTAGAATCTGGGATGCCGTCGAGCCAACCATGGAACCGACCTTTGGTCGATCGAGCATACATGGCTCTCTGTACTTGCTTACACGTGTAAATATCTTTAATCCATGAACAATAAAGAGTGTGTGCTGGTCCTCGTGCTTTAGGGTCGATATCGTGATGCACCATGATCGTATCCAGTGTTCATCGTCATGATACAACATGCCGGTGTTCATGCAGATGAACTGTAAAGGACATGAAAGTTCCACCTTAGTTCTGGAATCGAGCACATGGCTTTGCGCCCATCCAACCCAACAGTGACACGCCAACCGACAGAGGGGTGACCTAAATTAACTCCGACGACAGACGTCCGTAAGGCAGCCAGTGAGATTCCACGACATTACGATTCAGCTCAGTGGCGACATCAGCGCTCCAATTTGACCTTTGCCTCATAGTGAGTCACCGAATGTTTGGAAACACCAGCGGGTTTGAGCCAGGTGATATCAGAGACCCAGGAGAGGCCCATACGAGCACTTGTAGTTGTCTGCCCGATTCACCTGAGGGGCGTTTAGCCAAGCGGTTGGCTCATAGCGTCAAAGAGACGGTCTCCATATGGACTAGTCTGAGGGGTAGAAAGACACTGGTGCTTTGGGATGTATAGTGTAAGGTAGAAAGTACTAGTGACTACAAGAAAGTGCCAGGTGAGTCCCGAGGTCGACAGTGATATTTGCCACTTCTAAGAATTGAGTCATAATAATGTCCGATATAGCTGAGCTATAAAAGCAGATCGAAATCCCCCGTGCAGGGAGAAATGTTTAGAAATGGAAATAGATTACGAGAGTATATTGAAAATTCAATACACGTAAGGGTAGTATCGCCACAGCCCATAACGCCAACTTGCACGCTCCGGCCACTAGCGGCTGCAGTGATTGGCAGACACAATATCACCGGCGCTGACATTGGGATCCATCTTCTTTTCCCTTTCATCCTTGGGTTGAAATTTTTCCCACTCCACAAAATCCTAAGCCATTACATCTTTCGGGAGTCCTGCTGCTCCTTTGTTTTGCTTGAGAATTTACTCTGGATCAACTACCCTACGGTAGAGGATCCCCCCCTAAACGCACTCTTCCTTCTTTTCCTTGAATCGGTCGAAGAACGTTCAAATGCTCTCTCTGCATATTCAGTCTCAACCCTCTTCTCTTCGATCGGAAACCGTACCACGGTGACGGTGTCAAAAATCTAAAAAAATCCTATCTGACCTACTCGTCGGCGTCGATTTCTGTTCTGGGTGCACGATATCCTGTATAATATACTCGGTGTTTTCTTTTCTTTTCTTTTTATTTCTTCCGTTTGATTTGGCGATTCTCATTTAATCGTTTGGTTTATTGCATTTGCATTTCCCAGCTTCTGGTGCTTCCACATATGATCCGATAATGTATCATTACTCCAGTCCACCACACGGGTGGTCCACCTACGACTACACGCAATCACCTCCTACCTCACCTCAATACGCCTACTACGCCTCTCAGTTCGCAAACTCCTACTCGCCTCGAGGCACTGCACGTCGACACAACCGCAAGGCCAGCTACACAGCGACCAAAGAAACGCCAGGATGGTATTCGACCTATCAACCAGGTTTCTACGAACCCACAGACTATGGCATTCCATCGCGAAAGCACGATCATGTAAGTGCTACTTTTGGAAAGCCCACACACTGTCGATACCACTCCTCGGCTGGTCACCCTCCGGGGGATGGCCTCGGCAACGGATACGGAATCGACCCGTCGCAATCGCAGACCCGACCCATCTTCGTAGATGTGGTCGACGACGCATTCGACCGCCCTCAACCCGGTCGCCATGGTCGTCCCCCTACGACCCCGAAAGATGGTCCCCGTCGCGCCTCGACCTCTTACCGCAAAGCCAACCCCGCTGATTCTCACTTTTACTTCACTCAGGCCCCTAACAACGAGGATATCGACGCGGCTCGACGATCCCGCACAAGACGTCAATCTACCTCAACTCGCACTCCTAAGCCAAAGCCTCCTCCCGCGACCAAACCGGCTCCCGTCGCCACCGAAGATGATGCCGATCGGGCAGGTATTCCACCTGGATACTCAATCAAGAACTGGGACCCGACAGAAGCGCCGATCATTTTGCTCGGCAGTGTATTCGATGCAAACTCCCTCGGTAAATGGATCTACGACTGGACCGTTTTCCACCACGGGGCTTCGACCCCAATGGCCGACGTCGCTGGCGACCTGTGGCTATTGTTGATCAAACTAGCGGGCAAAGTCAAGCGGGCTGACGAATGCCTGCCTCGCATCCAACGCATCGATGCCCAGGAGGTCGTCGAAGACTTCTTGGAGAGTGGCGAGCGCCTTTGGAGCCGCTTCAAGAAATTGCTCAAGGGCTGCGAGCTCTACATGTGGAAGGCCGCCAAGCGAGAAGGTGGCAAAGGGCCTGTCTCGATGGGTCGCAATGCAGGCTGCGAGTTCGTCGAATCGATCTTCGGCCGCGACCGCGAGCTTGAAAATACGGAGAAGCTCATGAACAGCATTCGGCTGTGGAACATGCGCTTCGACGCAAACTGCGAAGATATCCTGCGCCGCCCGACGGCCGCTTAGGATTTCTTTTATCATACGTACCTTTTTGTTTTTCTCATTTCCGAGAGTGATACCCAGAGAGAGACTTTTCTTATTGTTTTCTGGCCTACACAGTACTTCACACTGTTCGCATTGGAGCGCGTTGGTTTGGCTTCGGCTGGCTTTGCTCGTTGCATTTACTCTCTCCATCTCGTCCAGGTTCGGACGACCCAAAATTCTTGCTTTTGCGTTCCCGGCGCCTTGATTTCGATCTCGTTTTCTTCGTGAGACGGCGTCCTATACATTTCAGGCGCACATGTTTAATCTTTTTTCTCCTTTCTGCTAGCCGTCTATTCGTTGTTTTGAAGTCCCGTGTCACTCTGCTTTGATGATACCATCTTGCGATTTCTTCTACACAAGCCTACCATTTTACCGTCTTTTATTTCCTTTGTCTAGTCCCATTATACTGTTTTGTTTCTGTGTTTGGGTCGGAGAAACCGGGTTGTACATAGAAGCAACACGACCCTACATCCGATAAACTACACTCGTTATACTTTTTCTCAATCTCTCCATACTTCCCGAGACCTCTGTAGCCCGTAATCAATACTGTATTTCCACGTCGATCTGAATGTGATGTGATAGCTACCCCTCTCGCTTCCGCGCTACCCCCGGCGGCTGCAAGTACCTACAGGGTGGATCATCTACCCCGCCTCATTCAAAGAGGGAACCGAATCCCGAGATTGGCTGCTTCTCAACTGGAGACTTGCATTTTGCCCTCCAGGGGCACCTTCATGACGGCAATTGATGTCACCAGGTCCCAGCGTTTGCCTGATGTTGCTGGACGCATTTCATTGGATTGGAGTCTAGATTGACTGCAGTATGCATGTTGGCTGGGGTACCCGAGAAACTGGGTGTGGCGACCCTATGAGGGGGCGTTGCGTGCATTCCTTGTGTTGGGTTGCATGATAATTTATGCACCGATCAATAAGAAATGACACTGAATGTGATGGATATGAGTGGCTGTTGATTGAGGTATTTTTTTAACTTAGCGGCTAGAGTGTCATTCTTCTCGCCTTGTGAGGAAGAGGGGTTTTTTTCGGCCGGCAAGTACAGAGTACATGGAGGTTAGACAACAGACAACAGTACGCTGTACACATGCCACCAGGTACTACAGTATAGACACAGTATCCGAGACAAGTCAGGTCAGTCTCACCAGTCTCTTTCTCCTTTTGGAGTGACACTAGGCTTGTGAGACGTTGGGGTGCGGAGAAAACAGCCGAGCCGGCCGTTATCATGTCTTGAACCAGCCTAGAAAATTGTCCGTGAGAGTCTCATACAGCGTACGGAATACTCCGTAAGTGGGAATGAGATAAGATGAAACGCCCAGATTTGGGGCAGCCTGCAGGCTAAAATCGTAGCTCCAGGTCTAACGAAGTAGCTGCATTCCCTCCTGGGAAGTCAGCTTAGCCATGTGGTCATGCAACCTTATCTGGTTTGTCAAACTTGGAGTCTCGTACCTGGCCAACTCAATAGGCCACGAGGTACTCCGTATCTTCCAAGGTTGAATGTTGAATGTGTCCAAAAAGTTGAAGTCAAGAAGTATAATGATGACGCCACGGGTCACGGGATCACCGCCAAAGCTGTTGACATCATGTCCAGCGCGACACTTCATTTTCCCTTGGGGCTGAGATCTTCATATTAGGAAACCCACCAGGGAGTTACATATTACAGTACATGATCATAGTACAATATATGTACTCTGGTTGTTTATCCGTTTCTTTTACATACAAGTAGCCTTGGTGCAATCTCACCCAATCAACAGAGGATGCGACCCCGGCATTCCCCACAAGGCCGCAACTTCAACCACCAAACTCCACAAGTTACCTGATAACTTAAGAGATTGAAAACACTTGATATCGCCTCTCACAAGCCATTCCTAGCTGATTCACTGCATCAAGTCTGATGCGGATATGCTTGACAAGCCATGCAACATGAATCTACGGCAGTTGAAACGGCCAAGATGAAAACCGCCGAAGGGCCGTCAAAATGGGAACGAATTCGAAGCCACTTGAACATGAGACCAGTTGAAGATGACGAGCCACAGGCCTGGTGGATTGCATCCACGGCAATCCCACTAGTAGCCGCTGCGACGGGACCACTGGCCAATGTCATGTCAGTTGTTGCACTGGTCCAGCCTTGGCGAAGTGATATCTTGTCGAAGACTAAAGGCCCTGCTGGAAATTGGCTCCAAGAGGGATATCCGGACCCTCATTGGTGAGTGAACTATGTGGTTCCTATTCGAACGTTTCTGACTCCTCAACAGGATCACTGCGCTCAATGCAGTTTCACTAGTATGCGGAATTGTGGGAAATGCTTTCCTTTTGTTCAATTTCACTCAAATTGTGCGCTATATCATTGCACTGCCGGTGACTATTATTCTATGGTTCCTGGCAACGGGAATTGTGAGTTGCGCGTATCTTTCTACCCGTTCCTGTCTAACACACCTATAGCTATGTGGAATTACCATAGCCATGGATGTCTATGCTCCACCAGTTGGAGTAGACCGGGTCTTCTCCCAGGCATACTGGAGCGCTGTGATTGCCGCGTGTCTCTATTTTGTTTTGAGCATAATCTTGATGATTAACATGTTGGGCTATTTCTTGGGCAAATACCCGCAGCACTTCTCATTGACCGACGAACAACGGACCTTGATTTTACAGATGACCGCCTTTGTGATATGGTTATTGATAGGCGCAGCCATCTTCCAACGAGTGCTTGGGATATCTTTTGCGGATGCATTGTACTTCAGCGATGTTACAGTCTTGACCTTAGGGTTTGGTGATATCACTGCTACAAGTGCTGTTGGCCGTGGTATTATTTGGCCATATGCAGTTATCGGAATCATCATTCTTGGTTTGGTCGTAGGGAGCATTCACAAATTTGCTCGCGAGGTCCATTACGACAATGTCATTCAGAAGCATATCGAGCAAAAGCGGCAATCGACCTTCGACCGATCAATAAGTTCTGCAGAACTCTGTGCTTCCAAGGGCAAGTCTTCAACTAGGGATATTGACCCTCCATCGGTTGCTCTACAAAAGCCCAAGAGCTCTCATCATCACTCTCGGAGACCGTTACGCAACACCCTCAGTGCCATTGCAGCAGGCCGTCGACCGAAGATTACTATCATACGCGAAGAGAAAGACAGGTTCGACGCTATGCGTCGTATCCAACACGATACCTTACGATTCCGCCGATGGAATGATTTGATTATCAGTCTCATTGCTTTCGGGATTGTGTGGTCATGCGGAGCTATCGTTTTCTGGCAGCTGGAAGCCTTGTCATACTTTGACGCCCTTTACTTCTGCTTCGCCTCCCTCTTGACGATTGGCTACGGCGACTTCACACCACAGTCGAACGCAGGCCGGCCATTCTTTGTAATGTGGTCGCTCATCGCTATACCAACAATGACCATGCTCATCTCTCAAATGAGCGATACAATCGTCGCTAGCTTCAAGCGTGCCACCAGCGCTGTGGCCGACTACGTTGTCCTACCTCAATCGCATCTCTACAAGTCATTTCTCGGTCGAATCCCATGGGTCGCGAATTACATGAATTCCCGTCAGGAGAAGAAAAGGTTAGAGCGCGGGTTTCCCCTCGAAGGCGCTAGTAAAGCGGAAGAAGGCGAAAGTTCCAACTCTGCGAGAGCGGGTCAATTCAACAACAGTGGTGATCTGGCTACAGCCCATCCATACAGATCTCTTGAAGAACTCATTCGTGATCCCACCCCCCTCGAACTGGCCCAGCAACTTGCCTTCGCCATCCGTCGTGCTACGAAGCATGCACGGGAGGGTAAACACAAGCGGTACGGTTACGAGGAATGGGTCGAGTTCACCCGTCTCATCAAATTCACGGACCCGCGAGCACGACCGCCGTCCCAAAGAGCGCAGCCAGAAGCCGCAGATGACTCTATTGATCTCGACGAGGATGAGTATGGGTTGTTGAATTGGGATTGGATTGGTGAGAATAGTCCTATGTTGGCGAAACAGACTGAGCCAGAGTGGGTTTTGGATCGGCTATGTGAAAGCCTGATCCGATATGTGTCAACTCAAGAGGATCGGGCTGCTGGGGCGGAGCTGGAAGAGCCGACTTTGAAGAAAGAGAGGGATATTGGGTTGGATGAATGATTTTTGCTTTATAGCTGCATGGCCATGACACCGAGCCTCAATTCGGCTCCAATACTAGTTTGAAAACATACAAATTGATTCGCCGTTAAAAATGTACCAGCACCAGTAGACGGAGTCTGGGTGTAAATATTGTCTCATATCCATCCCACTAGAACTACATGGTTGACGGCTAGATGAGCCTCAGGTCTTACCAAAGCGGGGAGCACTGCCTCCATGTGGCTGTGTACCTCGAAACGAGGACCCTTCAACGCTGATGCCTTGCACTAAAGCCATAATATTTGAAGCTTGCTTCTTGCATCTTTCCATTGTCAAAAATCCATCAGTCTCACATCTACTCCAACAATGACGTCGAACATCCCCGAAGTGCTCCTGCTCTGCATGGACAAAGACTTCATCACAGCCTTCAACACAGCACTGAAAAAGACCTGGCCATCACACGACAACTCTAAAGTGAAGATCAAGCCAATAAATGAACGCTTCAACTCCCTCCCAGCAGAAACAACATTCGACCTAGTCGTCTCACCGGCAAACTCCTATGGCCGCCTTGACGGTGCTTTTGACCATGCCATCTCAGCAACCTTCAGCCCACGCGACGACTACCACGCTCTAACAAGAGCCGCGCAGGAAGTCCTCTATGAAAAATGGCGCGGCTTTGCACCGCCCGGATCATGCACTCTCGTTCCATTCCCGACTGAGCTGAGGAAGAATGGATACGGCTGCTCGTGGGTGGCGATTTGTCCCACGATGCGCGAGCCCAGTAATGCGAACTGGGATCGTGAGGTTGTTTACGAGTGTGTTTGGAGCTTGTTGTGCCAGATTGAAGGGTTTAATCGAACTCTTGGTCAGGGTGGGGATAAGATTGAAAGGATTCTTATGACGCCTCTGGCGGTTGGGGTTGGTAAAGTTAGTGCGGAGCGGTGGGCGACGCAGACTGTGCTTGCTTTTAAGCACTTTGTTGATGCTGTTGAGAGGCCGAAGAGATGGGGGGCGTTGCAGTGGAATGATATCGAGAAGGATTGCGCTGAAGTTGAGAAGACGTGGAAGTATTAGGTTATAACATGGTCATGCCCTACAAGATCAACGGATATCATGATTTTGCGCAAAATCTTGAAACTAAGTTTCCTTTGGTGATATTGTTCAACATCTGGCTGCACGGGACCGAGAATACTTCAGACGTAACCAGAAGTCAAGCTTAATTTGCTCAGTATCGAGGGCGAAAGCTAGCATGGAATAGGGCTCTGTTCTTAGTTTTCAATGGATGGCGGAGTGGCTTAAAAGTGTAAATCTCACCGGACATTGACCGAGCTTGGGTTTGTGGTGCATTCCAGTGTCTCAGTGCCTTTCGTCGCCAGAGTCTTAGCGACAACTGCAGTATTGATACAACTTCATCAAGTCTTCACAGTGCCTTTTCCGGCCTCCCATGTACACACGACATCCGCCCGTAGGATATTTTCTGTCATTTGGTCTTCGGATTAAAAAAAAAAAAATGTGCAAAGATTCTTCCTCTGCATGGCTATGCATAGACTTTTGAATCAGTCATGATCGACAGACAAAACAACCACTCAACGGGGCGGACCGTCACTGGAATGTGGCAACCAAGCAGGAGAGCGACCATTGATCATCTGGGCCATCTTTTAGCCTTTTATCAGATCACTGCATTTAGTGTGCGGTATGCATTCGAGTGCCAGGAGGATCTGATACGTAGCAGAGTGCGGGAACTCGCGGGGACTGGGGTATCGGCGGCAATTCCGAAGTGCGTATCCTTTCCTGACAGGAACAATTGACTCGTCTCGAGCGAATCAAGTAGAATGAGAAGTCAGCAACGCACCTCCACAGTCTCTTTTGACTTTTGCAGTGCTGATCAAGGTGTCGCTGCATGCTTGGAGAAAATTAGCCTAAGCGCCTGAAACGCTGTTATTCTCATGGGGCACATTCTGCGTCGAACTTCCCAAGGTTCCAAGGTTAGCTCCATATGAGGACTTGAATCCCGAAGACCATGCTGGATATACATATTCTGCTGAGAGGTGCTCTTCGTTTCGTTTCCCGTACATATTTGTAGGTTGCACGCCGACCTTGACCCCTTCCGTCCGTTTCACAACCGCCCAGACAACATGACTATCCAATTCCCAATCATGTCCCTGGATTATTTCCAGCCAAGTCCAGCCAAGCAATTCATGACTCTCACCAAGAGCCCACGAGTCATGAGCAGGGAAATAAACAGTCTCTTCCACGAGCTCAAACCTCTCCGACCAGACGATCTGATTGGGGAATGGGACGGACATATACTGGTCACAGGACACGCATTTGAGCAGGAACTGGAGGACATGAACTGGTTCGGGAACACGTTTGACAGCACTGACGACGTGGCCCCGCTGATTGTCGGACGGAACGGAGAGCGGGTATGTTATGAAGATTGGGGTCGTGCATCGGTAAGTCGCATTCCCAAGGTTCGTTTCTCAACCACACTGCCATATGCAAGGGGACATGACCTAACGCCTATACGAGTAGTTACGTGAGATCCGTTATCATGGAGTCGTCTCTGCGGCTCTGGTATACGATCAACGGCCGATGATCGTTCACTATCGGGCTGTGAAACATAACATGGTGGCTGCATGTATGGAGAGTAAGGAGTGGTCCGGGAAGGTTTATTTTTATTTGACCAAGTGAAATTTGACCAAGTGAACACAAGTGAACACATCATACGAAGGGCCTGAACAAATCTGAACTTCCAAGGTTACTCTCCGGTTGCACGAACACGTTCCCAGGTTGAACATGGGATCCCGGAAGAATATAGCGTGCTAATCAGTACATCTGGTTGAAGTTGTACAAATGCTGTGCAATATAAGCGGTGCTCATCCAATCTAGAAGTCAGATTGAGTCCAAGGATCGAGATGAGGCTTTACAAGGTAATCCAGTAGAGCAAGGATCATAAAGTATGGACTGTCGAAGTATGGCCTTAATTCAGCCCTATCCGTGATATTTCTCCACTATTGCGTGATAACCTCCAGGCAGCAGTGTTTCTGAGTGTCAGAAGGCAAGGGTGAGCGAATCAAGTTGCAGAATATTACCTACAAAATAAACAAAAAAGGGTAGTTAGTTAGAAATAGTGAAGCAGCTTGATCACTAAGCTCGTAGGGCTGACCGTAATCGGCGTTCGAGCCGAGAACTAACTTTTTCCCTCGGAAGTCGCCTCGTGCCGTCAGGAACGCGAAAATTCTCTCCCAACTGAACACCCTCTCTCTATATAACTCGTGGACGTTGAGATTCGCTTGCTTTCTGCTGTTCGCATCCCACCACAATGGAGAAGGCAGCTCCCACCCAAACCCCGGCATCCGATGTGGAGGCCCCAGGCGCCCCCGTCAAGCAATCCAGCGTCCTGCAGAAATGGCAACAGAACCTGTCCACCACCCACGCAGACCTCGTCTGTCTCCTCCTCTGCTTCCTGACAGGACTATGTGACAGCAGCGCTTACAACGCTTGGTCCTGCTTCCTGGGCATGCAAACCGGTATGATCACCTCCGCAAGGGGCAAACTCGCGCAAAGCTAAATCACATCACCAACGCAGGAAACACCATCTTCCTCGGTCTCGGAGCCTCAAACCAACCATCCAGCAAGCCATGGGGCTGGCTGAAGTCCCTGGTCTCAATCCTATCCTTCTTCTTCGGCGCCATGATCTTCTCCATCTCCATGCGCAGCGTCGGCGCCCTCCGCCGAGGAACTCTCTTCGTCTCCTTCTTAGTCCAGATGCTTCTCATCATCATCGCCGTCGCCCTTATCGAAGCAGATCTCATTCCCCACACCTCTAGCGACGCCGCGCTGGACGGTGGCCCCCTGTTCCTCGAGTTGATCCCGATCGGTCTGCTGGCTTTCCAGTCTGCGGGTGGTATGACGTGCAGTCGCGCGCTTGGATACAATGAGATCCCCACTGTGGTTTTGACTAGTGTCTACTTTGACATCGCGTCGGATCCTAAGATCACCGATAAGCCAACTGCCAACGTGAAGCGCAACCGTCGCGTGGGCGGGGTTGTGGCCTTGCTTATTGGTGCTATCGTTGGTGGTTGGTTGAGTCGCAGCAGTGGTGGTATGGAGTCTGCGCTTTGGATGGCTGCTGGATTGAAGTTTGTTGCTGCCTTTGGGTGGCTTTTCTGGAAGGCTGCGCCGGCCAAATAGACCCCATGCGTAGAACCGTTCTCTTGGTATAGACGAGACGTTCGAGTTAGATAGATTTTGCATATACATTATATATCAATGTTAATAGATTCAATTTTGGGCTTTGCCTATAAATACATGCAGAGGATTTGCTCTCGGAGCCAGTCCAATATTGACGTGAACAGAAGAAATGGGGGCGTCGAGCCTGTAAAGAACGCAATGGGAACACCTATAGGTGCCGATTACTTAGTGTCAGATATCATTCAAAGCTTGGATTTGATTTTCCTGCCAGACTTGTTAGCTTCGTAGTCTCTCTCCCGATTGTTCCGAATGACTTACAGAGGCTCTTCCGGCACTCGATATTCATCAATCGATGTCGCCTTCTTGGTTGGAAGTTGGTAGTGGGGATATTTGCCAAACCCAGTGGGAAGACGCCATTCAGATTCGGTGGCGGTACCCTTTACCCAAGTTCCACCACCAGCATCTCCCATACAAGCCCATCGATCACGATGGGTGCCGTTCATAATCATGGAGGTATGAATGGTGCAAAGATTAACGGGACCAGTTCCCTCAAGCCGGGCAGGCGACAAGTCTACCTTGCCGTACCCAGCAGCACGCCAATCAGTCAACCCAGACCAGCGGTGGTTGGGCGGGCTCCAGAAGGCAAGTTTGCCAGTAGGCTTCTTCCATGCGCCATTGTGCAGGCCGAAGGAGATGATCCGCTGTGCGCTTTCGGGCGAGGATCCGGCGTCAGTTCCTTCGCGGACTAGGAGCGCCAGCTCGCCTAGTGACATCTCTCTTATCTCGCGCACCTTGAGACTAGGCAAGGAGGCAAGGTATGATCCATTCCACCAGTTGTGGGGTAGGATTTCCTCCGGGTTAGGACTCATCCCGGTAGGAGGTCTGCCGCGGGCGTTGGCGATAGTCACAGGCGTGCTGATCTCCTCGGGACCCAGGTGTTCGTGGCTATGCTTGAGAACCCACGCATAAATCACATTGGAGCGACCAATCTTGAGTGGGGTCTGGAGTGGTTTACCCTCCTTCTTGCGCTTCTCTTCCACAGCAATGAGATCGTGTCTCGCTTCCTGCATCAGTCGGTTGATCTCTGTGTCTGGGAGGAAGACGTATTTCGGAGACATGGTACTCTCGGGTCTTGCGTATTTGACGTCCCAGAGCATGCGGGTCAAGAAGCGGACTTTGTCGAAAAATCCGAATATGCGCCAGCCGGGGGTAGAGGGGGCGAGCTGGAGTTGGCGTGTGCACCGGCGAGTTTTCCGCCAGGGCCGTAATCAGCGAAAGGATCTTCTCCGAGCTGTTTCCACGGGGCGATGGGCTTTCCATAAAGAGCGTCGGATAAGCCATTGAAAGTGTCCTTGATAGCGAAGATATCACCCATGAGATGATTGAAAGTATACGAGATGATAGTCGCATCGTTGAACCGGGTCACTTGGGTCGTCAAGACAGGACGATTTGAATTAAGCAACTCGTCGAAGGAACCGACAGCGTTATAGTATGTGCAGCGCTTGTCATCCTCTGGATGCGGTGCATCGGCAACGAAGATGCCGCGTGAGCCCTCCGCGGAGCGATTCAGGGCCGGAGAGTATTCAGTGAATGAACGCTTGGACTGGTCCAAGCAGAAGAAGTCCTTCAAGTGATCGGGGGCAGTGGACTGGCGCTCCAGGTACCGCTCCAGGCCCTCGGGAGTATAGACATGGTACTCGAGACCTGATGGGGCAGTCTTGGAACGACGCACACGGGCCTGTGTGATGGGTCGTGCTCTCAAGACCTCAATCCATGCTGCATGCAACTTCTCAAAGGAGAGTGGGGCGTCAAAGATATAATTAGCGCGCGCCTAGGGTTGTCGCGTTAGTATCAGGCAGGTTTGAAATTGCGACAACCGCAACATACAAAGATATCAGTGCTATAGTACGGACAGAAGTTGTCAGCTAGTTGCCCATCCTGTCAATTGGCGATACTCACTTGGCAGCGGTTCCATCCCAGATCGAGATAGGCACGGCAGTGTAATCGGCAGCCATTGTGGGGCGGGTTCGGGCTCGGGCAAAAACCGGGGCTAAGATAACGAACGATACCGGTGCAAGTTCCCCGACAGATGCGTGATTGAAAGCTGAATGTCAATTTCTATGAGAAATGTGTGACTTGTAGTCAAAGAGATGCAGAGACAAGCTAGTGCGGTTTTGAATCGGAGACGATCCGCTCAGGGGCGGGGAGGGACAAGGAGGACTGGGCCCGGATATCACAGCTGAACCATAAATCCACACGTCACCGCCATCGCATTTCCTGTGTCATGATTGCAATGCTTTGATGGAGTCGACCCGCTCTGCAGAAGTCACTTGGTAAACCTGGGACGCGATGCTCCAATCATCGAGCAGTCTTAGCGGGCTTTTGTGGGCCTGTCTCTCTGCATTGAGTGAGGCTTCAAAAGATGGTTATTACGATCGGCATTTGGCGTGCAAAACGCGATCCGCGATTGTAGTGGTAAATTTCGGGATCTGTGGGTGTTTGGCGGATCTAAGTGGCGTCTGCAAGATTAAAAAACCCACGGGTTTCGCGCAGATCGCTTAACTTTAAGCTAATACAGCCATACGCCCCACTTTACAGTACCATACTCGTATAGCTCATGCGCTAGTCACCTAGTGTGGATGTGGTCTATCACTCCCCATTGCAAAAACATGCATACACCTTTCTGTATTTTGAAGATCTTTGCCCTGAAAAATCGGCGGGAAGAAAAAATAGAATCAGAAAAAAAAAAAGTTTAGAAAATCGATTATTGAATTAGATAATTCTTTGAGAAAAAAACTTTGAGCTACCGGAATTGTGACCCCGGAGTGACAGTGAACATCATCTCTCTCCATTCTGCCGTGTTCTCCATCCGAGTGGTAACCACTCCGTCTCCGTCATGACTATGAAGTCTTCTGTGGGCGTTCAGGGGCATAAGTCAGCATCGACTTCAGAATGGAAGCTGGTGAACTCGGGCACTCGTATGGCGCGACCGCTTCGCGGAATTGAGTTGATGATCAAACATTCCGAGCATCATCTCGATGGAAACGTGAGTGATCTAGATTCTCTCCCCTCCTAGCACTTAGTCTTCATAGAACTGACATGTATCCTTCAATAGTTCCAACTAGTCTGTGCCACGGGCTTTGACACGCCCTTAACATGCGAACAATTGAAAAAACGATGCCAGGCAGCCTGGTGGCGTACGCGGCGCGCATTCCCAGTCATTGGCACCGACCTGGACATGGAACAGGCTTACTTCGAACCTCACAACACGTCTGAAGCCGCAAAGCGCTGGGCTGCTCAAACATGCATCGTAGCGACCAACACCTCCATCGACGAAGTCATTCTCTCGCTTGTCCGTCGATCTTTAGACAAGTCCACCATGACCTTGGTCGTTGATCCTATCCGAGGCCACCGAGGCTGCGTCTATAACGTGACACATACTCTTACCGACACTACTATCTACGGCCGTATTCATGAGTTCATCACCCAGCTAACGCGCCCGGATAACGAGCGTGGCATCGACGCCATCTTTACCCCGGATTTCCTGCTTGACATCACTCCCCGCCTCCCACAATCGTTATCTCACGCATATTCACGCCTCTACCAACCAACACCCGAAGATCTTGCCGCCGCCATGCAAGTGATCGAGCGCGCGCAGGCTCGCTACGCTCGATCGACAATCGGCATTCCTATCCAGCCGGACTGGAAGAATCGCCGTTCACACATGCACAATAAGACCGTCAGACTTGAGACCGACGAGGCCAGAACCGCTCTCAAATGCTTCAAACAGCTCGGCATCTCGCTGACAGTTGCCTTCTTCGCCTGTATGACTTCCGCCATCGCGCAGACTTTCAGCCAAGGAAACGAAGAGGGCGCCCATCTACTCTTCAGCACCAGCGGTCGCCGCTGGTTAGATCTTGCTGGAGATGGCCATGGACCTGTTACCATGAGCATCATCCCAGCTGGTATGTGGGTCAATGCCAGCGATGTCGACCTCCGCGCCAAAGAAAAGTACGGTCTTGCCAAGTTGGCTAAGGCTATTGGGCAGGCCCAGGAAGAGGATCTAGTGTCCCCCCATATAATGGCGTTGTATGATCAGATGGCGCCCGAATTGGTCAAGGCCATGGCAAACCCGGCTGACCCTCCTCCCATCGCTCGTCCCACCCTAACTTCCCAAGGCCCTTTTGCCAAGCGGACGATTGATTCATCCGGGGGTGACCCCATCCGTCTATCGGATGTTACCACAGGTGGTCGGTCTACTGATCCGGCTGTTTGCTTTGCATTGTATAGCTTCCGCGAAGAGCTAAAGTTCAATCTTCTATTTGATGAGCGCTATTTCGTTCCCCACGAGATGGAACAGCTTGCATGTACCGTTACCGGCCTCTTCCGGACTTTCATTGCGGAAGAGGAGCCGATACAGGCCAAGCTCTGATTCGACATTCATTCATGTACATATTTTCCTTTTTGTCACATATCTCGGATTTACGATTATTATACCTAGGCGCAATCATTTTGATCAGAAAACTGCGAGCCATCCATATATGCCATTGTAATTTTGGAAGAAAAGTTCTAAGGTTATTATACAATTGAAGTGGTGAAGAAAAGTCTAACGCTAACTGTATATCGAAATTATGACCGAATGTAAAACTCTCAACGCCTTGGACATTAGCAATGTATGCGAATAGGGTATATGATCCATCACGAGCAAATCGCAATATCTTGAAGAGTCTCGGCGTCCTTTTCCATAATGGGCGACTCGACAGGCGTGAACGGTGGTGTCAAGATTCCATCTTGAATCATTCGCGTGCTCTCAGCATGAGCAACGATAATCTTAGCCGCAGATGCCGTCCCGCCACTAATTTGGCTCCGGACGGCCCAAGACTGACAGTTGGCCTTGTACTCGGTCCAGAGCGGGCCGAGCATTTTGAGGATCTTGACTTCGATGTCCTGTGCTTCGACGTGTGGTGGCCTAGCACTGCGCAAGCCTAGCTTGAATCTTTCGGCGTAGTTGGCGTATTCGTGGGTATCAAGCCATTGGCTGAGAATCAATTGGGGCACTCCGAAGTAGACCGCTTCGTTGAAAGAATTGCCGCCTCCGTGGTGAATGAAGACCTTGAGGGCGGGGTGCGAGTAGATAGCATGCTGGTTATCAATCCAGTTGGTGAGGCGAATATATGATGGGAGTTCCTCGGTTGAGAAAATGTGCTCTGGGCTGTCGATTGGGAAGTTGATTTTGAAGAGGAAGCGCACGCGACCACCGCGTTGCTTATAGGCGGCTTCGAAGCCAGCGATGCAGTTCCAGAATTCATGTCGTTGCCAGATAAACATACTGCCCATGTTCATGTAGATGACGTCGTCGCCGTGAAGCATTGCCTCATCCATCCAAGCCAGCTCGGGACAATAAGTTGAGGAAGTTTCGACGGAGACGCCGGCGCCGACGAATACAATTTTGGATGACTGTTTAGGACAGTCGAAGAGGCCCAATGTATTAAAGTGAATGCCGGCCACGCAGTTTTCGTCTTCCCAGTGTGGTGGGAGCAGGGCTGTGTCTTGTGCGACTCCATATGATTTGAGGTTGAAGCGCCTCGTGAGAATATCGCGCTTGGCGACGCAGTCGGGTTGTGTGACGCTGTAATAGTATTCGCGGAAGTTCAGATAGACATCTGTTTGAGACCATCATTAGCGCCTTGAGCCCCGCCTGGTGTCCAAGGAATGACCTACTCTCAATAAAAGTTCCCAGTGAGCCGTCGCGATTGGAGGCCATCATGTGTGGTTCGAACGCGCCAGGCAGAGCGCTTGTTCCCGGTGAACAGGGAATAGTAAGTATATATTTGCGTTTTGTGAGACGAACTCCCGTTATCAGAGACGGTGTCAGTGCATCAACACAGACTATATCCACTTCATTAGCTCCGCACACTAAGTCTCACTGCATGTCAACAGAACTCACTGATATTGGGATCCAACGCGTTAAGCTTGTCGGACACCATGAGAGCCGTGTCTGCGAAGTCCTCCACTGGACCCAGTGCAGCATCAATGCATAATTCCAGGCTAGAGGGATCGCCGGGTGGGCTTCGCATTAAATGCATGCGGTCCTTGAAGAAGTTCGTGCTAAATGCAGTCAGTACTAACCCCGCCCAACATTTCTATACATGACATACTAATCGCTGACATTGTGACTTGTCCCCAAGCCAATGAAGCCGATCAGGTCCTGCTGGAACGGCGGCAATGTATCCCTCAGCTGGTCGATCTTTTTGGCACACGAGTCCGCCGACAAGAAAGTGACGGAGTGACCCTCAGATACGAGCTGCGTAGCAGTCGCCATCTGCACATTGACCTGGCCAGAGGCCGGGTTCGACAAAAAGGCAATGTGCATGTTGGCGGAGAATTGTCTGAAGCGCAACAATTGCCTGGGCCTGGAGCTCCTTAATGATAGACAGGGTGTTGACAAACTGGGAAACACATGAAATAAAACCTCGGGTACCGAGTGGACAATATTGTGGTCCCCTGTAAGATATCTACAAAACATATGAGACCGCCACATGGATGTATCCACTTAGTTCATGGAAATTCGGAACTATCATATTTTAGATTGTTTCAGTGGTGGCTTAAGCTTATACAGGGGTTACCAGGATCCCAGCGCTTATCGTGCTCATACCTCGGCACGATATGTTAAACGTTTGCCGATTTGACTCCAGGAACAAGATAACCTTGGGAAAGCCAAATCTGAAAGATAGGACCGAAGAACCTTGGAAGAAGAATCGCAAAAACAGAACCTGATACCTGAAATACGGAGTACCCAGCCCTGAAGGACCCCGTATTAGTGAAAAACTCAATCGGGTATTTTGGCGCAGAAGAAACTACAGATCGACAGGGGAATCCACTAAGGACCCACTGTATGTCTGTATATACAGAGTATTACGGTTACTAGCGGTATTGGATATATGGGGCCTTATCATCAGACTCTCAATAAGGAAGCCCAGTCAACTCTGCTGTACCTTGCATACAGATGATGTGTAAACATGGTGGATTTGATTTCCCCTTTTTTGAAGGTCCACCATGGTAATGGAATTGTGGTGTGCTCCGTATTTGACCTGGCTTGGTCCGCACTGCCTGACGCAGGTTTTGGATCTTACCCTTCACCGTGTCGCCATCGCTCATTATTGTGGCTAATCCTTTCAACGTCGCCATCACTCATTATTGTGGTTGACTGTTTGCTCTTCTCGCTACTGTTTCTTGTCCTCGCTTCGAACTGCCATCGCTCATTATTGTGGCTTGTTCATTTTAACCAATCGATTCTTATATTCACGCCCACTCACTATCTTTAATCGTCTATCTCGACATCACGCTCTTTAGCCATGGCTCCTTCAGTTCAGCAACCCACAACATATACCCCCGATACCGAGATCCCGCGTATCGACGGCGGTACTTGGAAGCGAGCCCAACCGGGAACTTGGACCCGGCCGTGCTCCGGAGGCGAGACCGGTGTCTCTTACAATCAGAATGTTCGTGATGGTCACACCGAGCTGTCCATCCAGGTCCCTTTCAGCATCGACCTCTCGACCGAGGAATTGATTCAGCGTTTCCGTAATGCGTGGCTACTCTCGCACTCGCGGTTCCCCGAGATTGCTGTTCAGCTCTCCACAGGCACTGAACTTCCCCAGATGATGAAGTATGAGGTGCTCAAGTCGAACACTGAAGCCGCTGCGTGGATGAACGAGACTTTCCACGTTGTCACCGATCAGACTGCCACGGAAGTGGTCAACATGACGTACAGCCGTCGCATGCCCACCAAGGGAAAGCGCAACATGATGTACCTCGTCACTGGACCTAACGCGGACCCCCAAAATCCTACTCAGCACAATCTCGTCTGGAACGTGAGCCACGCTGTCGCCGATGTGTTTAGCATCGTTCAGTTCATCAACCACTTCTTCCGGACTGTTACCCAGGTCGCTGGCGACTGGGAATACTCCGTCAGCCAAATCGATTACTCGGGAGTCATGGAACGTTTGCCCATCAGCCCTCTGACACCTTACCAGCAGCAATACAAGCCCAACAAGGAGCAGATTCAGAATGCTATTGCCGATGCTGCCCGCCAAGGTGAACTTTACAGCAGCAAGGTACGTGCCAATGACTTGCCCCGTTGACTTCAAATATCTAACTTGATTCCTGCAGATGGGCCAATCCGTTGCCATGTACCCCGAAGACGACGTGTCTACCCGTGAACACAAAACCCATTGCATTCGCCTCCAGTACTCGCTTGAAGAATCCCGGGCTCTCCTTGCTCAGCTCCGCGAAGAGAAGATCAGCATCACCTTCGCCGCTGCCGCCTCGGTAGTCCTGGCAGTCAAGCAGACCTATGCCAAGGGTCATGAAACAGGTGCTCTCATCGGAATGACTCGCAACGCCCGTCGCTGGCTCGACACAAGTGGCAAGCGCGAGGCTGGCGGTAACATCCCCGCCGCTGCAGACTGTGTCTTCCTCTGGATCCCATTCGAGCAGCACTGGTTCCAGGGCTCAACTCGGGACTCTGTTATGCACATCGCCCACGCTATCAGAAAGGAACTCGGTCCTCACTTGGTTTCGCCACACTACATTGCTAGCATGAACTTCACATCTGCCAAGGCTGTGGAGGGTCTAGCTGCCTCGACAGAGCCCTCTGCTGCGCCATGCGCACCTGGCTTCTCGCCTCAGGGTGCCCTGAGCCTCGAGCGCCAGTTCGAATCGCCCAGTGCTACAGTTGATGTCCATGATCTTATCCACACCGGCCGTCAAATCAACGACTCCGCTTGGGTTGGTATGTACTCGCTTTGGGATCAAATCACCTTGTCCATCGGCTTTGATGGCAAGTACTATGACCCGGCTGGCATGGATGCGTTCATGGCAATGGCCAAATCAAACCTTGGATCTATTATTCCTCGTCGCTTCAAGAGGGGTATTCGCTCCAGACTCTGATTGCTTTTCGCTCTTCCGCTACGTTCCCTACGAGGTTTCTCTTCATGCTCCTGGAGCCGTTCTTTTTATATACCATGCTACGCTCCTTCATTGCGTTGCACACTTCGCCCGTACTAGGGCCTTTCCTTTGGCGTTTGCTTTCTGCATTTCATCTGGACATTTTACTGAGCTTGATTCAATGACATACTCTACCAAAAGTTGACAAACTTTGCGAGACCTATTTAGACCGTGTAACCATGGATATCCCGTAAAAAACATACAGACCTGTAAACGGAGGTCGTACCTAGGTATCGATTGATGGTAGTTACAAGTCCGGGGATTTAATTGTGGGTATTCCTACCAGCTCCTAACCGAAAAATGAATTCGGATTGCGAATTCTTCCATGCTGTCCCCAACCTTGGAGATTGATGAGCAATTACGGTAACATGCTGCCGTCAAATCCCAAAATCGAGAACTGATAAGATGCCACATACCGGCTACGAGTGCCATCGAATGAAGATCATGACTTCAAAAAGTAGCTCGTGGCAAGGTCACCCGGACAAGTAAACCACGGATGTGCCAATCACAAAAATGAGGCTCCAGCTCGGATGCTTCCATGGACCTCTTCGCCACCTTGCCGAGATCGATCCACGGAAGCGTTGAAGATCGCGACCGTTGAACGTTCACAATGGCAACGTCCAGAACCCGTTCGAGTGGCACTATCATGTACATTCCACATCGTCATGATCAAGTCACTACCGCCACCCTACTCATATATGAGGGCATTTGACGGCACCATTTTGTAGATCAGCAATGTCTCAGACTATATCCCATCGAAACTTATCATAACTGAACCAAGTCACTCAATATTGGTACGTATTGTCTGTATTCCATTCGGAATTGGTGAGCATCAACAGTGATGCTGTGTTCGATCTACAGACCTGCTTACCCGTTATAGAATTATAATTATGCCTATGCCTACCCAAGACGCCGCTACCAGAGCGAAGGAGAGTGCTACCCAAAAGGCCTCTCATAGCGATATGGGCCCCACCGAGCTACTGAGTGAGCACATGGATGCCTCTGGCAACCCTGTACCCGACGATGCCTGGGACAAGACGCAGAAGTCGGGTAAAACCGAAACTGAAACGGATCCCTACGAGGCCATGAACGCCGAAACTGCTGATTTCGATTGATATTGATAATAATCTGCACTCCGTACATATGTTGGAAACAAAATTGAAAGTGCATACATTGTACAGCTAAAGCATTAAACATCTCCCGCTAGCGTGTGGAGTTGACACCGCGTGTCATTGCTGTAGCAACCGACTGCAGTGACACTTCAATTGTAATCCAGCTCTTCCCCCAGTCTAAGCATCACAGTAACAACAGTCAATTCGATCTTTCCCTTTAATTTTTTCTTTTTTGTCCTTCGTTTTGCAGCCATCGGGCTGGGCTACAATGAACTGAATTTCCGAAGGAAACAACGCGCAACAGTAACGACCCCCCCGTTTCACTCATTCCTCTCTCTCTTTACACACCTTACATGAATCTACACTGCACACATTCCCTTCCAAATAATCTTATTCCCTTTGTCATAAATTTCCCATTGCATGTACCACTCTCTCCTTGACCGCCGACGCGACGCCGTCACCACTTGTGTGCAGCTATTGAGGTATAGCAGGGACATGGCGCTGGACCCGCGCTTCTATCACCACATCGGCCATCCTGGCCCCGGCTCCATCTCTTCAGCCGCCTCATCCGACCTATCAGCCGCCACAGGCATCACCTCTCCCAGCATAATCTCCACCTCCGCCTCCGCTGCCACCCTACGATCCACAGCTTCGAGTCCCTCCTTTCGCGCGCGTGAAGGCTTCGCGAGAGATGGAATGGCTAGCCCAACGCCAGGTGGAAATGTGCGCGTCGTCGTACGGGTGCGCAAGTTTTTGCCTCGAGGTAAGTCTTGCGACAAGCGATTCCCTTGAGATACGATCTGACACCGTCCAGAAATCGAGCGCAAGGCCCATTGTTTGATCTCAATGGACCCCCGGACCCAAATGACCTCACTCCAAGCACCGAAACCGAAACCAGGCGACGTTGGAAAACCTAAGTCGCAAGCGCGTGGAAAGGTTTTGGAGGACAAGTCTTTCACATTTGATAATTCCTTCTGGTCTCATGACGAAGAGGACGAACATTACGCACACCAGGAGGATGTCTATAACTCCCTAGGCGAGGAATTCCTGGATCACAACTTTGAAGGATATCATACGTGTATCTTCGCATATGGACAGACTGGGTCAGGAAAGAGTTATACTATGATGGGGACACCGGAACGACCTGGTTTGATTCCTCGAACGTGTGAGGATTTATTCCAGCGTATCGAAAGCTCGCCCTCCCCCGACATCAGCTACAACGTTCGAGTGTCCTATTTCGAAGTATACAACGAGCACGTCAGAGATCTCTTGGTCCCGCGAACGGATCCCCCGCATTACCTTCGCATTCGTGAATCGCCATCGGAGGGACCTTATGTCAAGGATCTCACCGAAGTGACGGCCAGAAACTACGCCGAGCTGATGAAGTTTATGCGAAAGGGTGACGTCTCCCGGACAACGGCTAGTACGAAGATGAACGACACCTCCTCCCGATCCCACGCCGTGTTCACTATTACCCTAAAACAAATCCACCACGATCTTTCAACAGACGAAACCACGGAGCGCACTGCTCGCATCCGGCTGGTTGATCTGGCCGGTTCCGAGCGTGCGAAATCAACTGAAGCTACTGGTGCCAGACTTCGTGAAGGTGCGAACATCAACAAGTCTTTGACAACACTTGGCCGTGTTATTGCCGCATTGGCAGACCCAAAGAAAATCCGCGGCCCTCGAAAAGGCAAAGAACTGGTGCCATACCGTGACTCAATCCTCACATGGCTTTTAAAAGATAGTCTGGGAGGAAATTCCAAGACTGCAATGATTGCCTGTATTGCACCCGCAGACTATGAAGAGACATTATCCACTCTTCGATACGCAGACCAGGCGAAGAACATTCGAACGCGGGCCCGGGTCAACCAAGATCAGATGTCGGCAGCTGAACGTGACCAACAGATTGCGGAGATGACTGAGACGATCCGCACACTTCAGCTCAGCGTCAGTCAAGCGGCACTCAGCCAGAGAGCAAACGAAGCTTCGGATGAGAGACTCGAACAGTACCAACAAAAAGTGGAGAAAATGCAACGGCTCATGGAAGAGAACAATATGGTCAGCGAGTGCAAGATCCGACAATTACAGACCGAAAACGAAGCTTTACGCATGCATCTCAAGCTTGCTGTCGAGAGTCTCAAGAATCCGATCCCAACAGTCACTCTTGATCAACGGAAGCCTAGTCTTACGTCAATGTCGGATGAGAACCAGCCACCGAGTCAGGATGAGGACCCCGAGGGCTCCCCTGAAGTGTCGGATGCCGAGTCAGATATTGACTTTTGGGAAGATGATGAGACTGTCACCGACGATAATAATGAACATGAAGCTCATCGGATGCAAAATCATATGCACGACTTGCTTGGTGACTTGACTGTTTTTAAACGGAAGTTGGCCACAGACCATGAGCGATTCCGCCCTCTCGAGGAGCCGGGGAATCGCAAACGACGTGCCTTGGCAACCATCACCAGCAATCGTTAATATGTGGATATGCCTTTACTATTCTTAACTTGGGTGTACAGGGATTGGTGTTGGCGGCGACTTTTTTTGTTCCGATGTTTTTGTTTAACTTCTTTGTCAAGATTTCTTTGTTTGAACTGGAACTAGACTACGGCTGGCCAGTTTTCTTTCTTTGATAGCGAGCTGCGATGAATAATGAGACAATTGATGATACGCATGTTTCAATCTCACCTACGCCATTGGGCACAGAACCTCTTTCAGACATCAATGAAAGACATATGGTCAGCGATTAGTCGCTATCACTACCTCAAGACCTGCTGTAGAGGTGAAACCGATTTTGGACAGTAAATCCTGCAACTTATTGGGAGGTTTCGATGGGGAAGTCTCTCAGCAAGTTAGGGCTCCGCCAGTCGGTGGGCCGATTCTGGCAATACTTCTTTTTCCGCCCGCGTGAGTCAACTTCTCCCCACCAAATTCAAGAAACATCCCCCTCACACTCCGAAGGCTCAGACAAGATGACGAATTCAGACCCAGCGCCCGTCGCGCAAGCCCCAGCTGCCAAAGCCCAGGAGTCTCAGCCCACGGAAGCCCAAACCCTTCCCATTCGGGAGTCGAACCCAAAACCCACCAAAAATGATGCGCCCGCGTCCGCGTCCGCCGAAGGCTCCACAGAAAAGCCCCTCACACCTGCTGAATTGAAGAAGAAGGCTAAAGCCGAGAAGGCTGCTCGACGTGCCCGCGAAAAGTTAGAGAAGGAAGGGGGTGCCCCCGGTGGTGCCGCTCCTGGTCCTGGAGCAGGCCAGGCTCGGCCGCCAATTACACCGAAGAAGGACACTGCTGCCGCTGCGCAGAAAGGACAGAAGACACCGACAGCGCGACGTGGCTCAATTGCTACTACGCAGTCTGGGTCTGCGCTCGTCGAACAGCAGAAGAAGAAGAAAGACGATAAGAAGGTTGCTGTGTTCGGCCACTTGTATGGTCAGCAACGCCGCACTACCATCGCTGGTGGAGGAAAAGAAGTGCACCCTGCTGTACTGGCGTTAGGCTTGCAGCTAAGAGACTACGTCGTCTGCGGTAGCAGTGCGCGCTGTGTGTCGACTATGATTGCCTTCAAGCGGGTATGTTTGATCCTTGTCAGGGCCGATCCATGTACTAACTCGACCAGGTCATTGAAACCTACACAACCCCCATGGGAACATCCCTCCCTCGTCATTTGACCAACCATCTCTCGCATCAAATTACCTACCTCTCGACCTGCCGTCCTCTCTCCATCAGTCAGGGCAATGCCATCCGAGCTCTGAAACTCGCCATTGCCTCCACCGATCCCTCAACCCCCGAGTCAACAGCAAAGACCTCCCTCTGCGAATTCATTGACAGTTTCATCCGCGAAAAAATTACCGTCGCTGATCAAGTGATCGCCGAAAGCGCCGCACAGAAAATTCAGGACGGCGACGTAATTGTCACCTTCGCTGGAAGCAGCATTGTCAAGGAAACTCTCATCTCAGCACACAACCAAGGAAAGCGTTTCCGCGTCTCAATTATCGATTCTCGTCCCCTCTTCGAAGGCAAGAGCCTCGCCCGAGCTCTTGTCAATGCAGGCCTCGAAGTCCAATACTCTCTTGTCCATGCCACAACCCACGCCATCAAGGATGCCACCAAGGTCTTCCTAGGTGCCCATGCAATGACCTCCAACGGAGGCTTGTACTCCCGCGTCGGCACAGCTCTCGTAGCAATGTCCGCCAAGGAACGCGCCGGCGGCGTCGAAATCCCCGTCATCGTCTGCTGCGAGACAGTCAAGTTTACCGACCGCGTTGCTCTCGACAGCATTGTCGTCAACGAGATTGCTGATGCTGATGAACTAGTCATCAACCCCAGCCCTGATCAGATCACTGGCATCCCCGAGACCGAGGACGCGCCTGTGGTCGATACCAAAAAGGGCAAGCCTAACACTCCTAGTAATGAGCCACCTGCTTGGTCCAATGGAATTTCCAAGTCTCCATTGACTAACTGGAAGACTACTCCCAACTTGCAGCTGCTTAATATCATGTATGATGTTACGCCTGCGGAGTATGTGGATATGGTCATTACTGAGATGGGTAGTCTGCCACCTAGTGCTGTGCCCATTGTGCACCGCATGGTTACGAATCTCTGATGCATGTGTGATCTTGTAATCTCTAGCATGAAAATGGTTATGATGGTTTTTGATTTGAGCTTTCCTTTTCCTTTGTAATTGTATCTCTGGCAATTCTCATCAATTGGCATTCTGGATTCATGCTTCGGGACATGACTTTATCTCTTGCTGTAGAGAGCTTTGTAGTAAGGTCACTTGGTCGTTTGAACAGAAGTAGCAGGAGGCTCTTCATGTCCGAGGCGCCTGTGGCGCTTTTGCGGCACAAGCGCTAGAACAAGCGCATGAACCCAAATAAGCTAAGCGCGATTGAGGCGTTTGCTACGAAGTTGAGATAATTCCAAGCCGCCATTTACCTAGCCGAGTACCAAGGGCAGTCCGATAGAGTGAGATTTGTGTGCTTAATTCAATCACACCAGAATTGAAAGTGCATATATTGGACATGAGGGACATGGAAGCTAATTACTTGAAGAGAAACTGCTTAGTTGCGTCATGCACGTGATCAAGGCGGTGTAACAATCAATATTCTGCCAGTAAATCATCCCCACGCCGACGATCCAAACAACATTCCGACTCATATCTCCTGCAATCGAAAAGGACAATAATCTTTTAAGTGACACCACGGTCCCAGGAAGGTGACCGATCTACTTCCAAGATGGTAATATTAGCCCACCAGCACAACGTCCGCACCAACTGACCAATCGTAGAGCAAAGACTCATCAGCTTCATACATCCACATGCATCAACCACGCCTAGCAGACCTCTTCGAAGAATTTACCCGCCCACATGCCTCCGCAGCAACAACAGATCCTCACAACCCTAGTGACCGCGACACAAACCAATACGGCTCGGCATCACCAACAACAATTCCCTCCTTCCTGCCCGTCGAAGACGTCTACGTCGCGCCTCAATACCAGCCCCCAAACCCAGAGGACGAAGACGACGTCGTCCCAGACCAACATGCCGCATTTGGAATTGCGCGAGCTATGGATCGGCGCCGTGAGGCCGTCTGGCGGGATCTTGGTCTCGAGGCCCTTGTAAACGGCGAAGGACATGGGGCGGCTGGGCCACTGACAGGACCTGGAGGGACGGGAGCTACTGGTGCTGCGGGGTCGGGGCCTGGGACTACGTTGCGTGGAAGTGGAGGTGGTACGGCGGCAGCGGGCACCCCGGTCATTAGGGTTCGCGCGGCCGGAAGGAAAATGGGTGGAAGGAGAGTGGTTGGACTGCGTTGAGAAGGTGCTCCGCTCCGCACTTATGTTGCAGTGTTGAAACACTGTGGTTTGCATTTCTTATTGGCGAGGGCTTTTGGACTGGCTCATTGATACCCGTGTTATGGTTATGTTGGTGTTCTAAAATTGAAGATCATTGATTCATTTTCATTTTCGTTTGCGATTATTGTTGTTCCTAAATCGCTGAATGGTTGACTGAGCCGACGATTGTCGGTTTCAGTGAAGCCTGAACGCCAGCGTAATGCGATTATACTACATGTCAAAGTTAAATTCGGTTGATATCAACTCGAGCTCGCTCGTAGAGCTTGTGGCTGAGTTGCTTCTCCTCGCGCTCGTCTTCTCCCACTAGACGTGGGTGGATGGCCATCTGGGCATATGAGCCTGCTGCGCGACGTTTCGACAGGGTACCTGGGTTAATGACCAGCACACTGTCAACGACCTAAGAGCCTTGTTAGCACAATCCAAAGTTTTAAGGTTCGATCCAGAAATGGTGCGTACCTTCACAAAAGGTGGGAGCATGCTCGGCACGATCAAGATGTCTGGCCGAACATTCCACCATTCACCTAATTTCATGTAGGGTAGGTCGAGCATGGCGCCCGTGGCCAGCCCATTCTCGTAAGGCGGCCTTGGGAGGTTTGCTCGTGCAGTTGGGGGGTACAATGGGAAGAAGTGGCGCTGCTCAACAAGATATTTGGGCAGACGAGTGAGTAGGTTGCCTTCTGTCGGACGACCATGGAGGACCTCCTCTCGACGAAGCTCGGAGAGCACATCGTGGGAGCACATTCCTATGACAGCTTCGTTGAAGGACAATGTGACTGGGTTCGAGACCATGCGCACTTGCTTGGGCAGACCTAATTCCTTCTTGGGGAGCTGCTCTTGGGGCCAAGAAACGTGTCGACTGAGGGAATCGCGAACAGACGGAACCATCACAATGGTAATACTTGGCACAGCTGCCGCAAGACGCGCTAGCGGCGTTGAGATGCAGTGTCGGAATAAAACAGACAATGTCGCCGTGTCGGGGTCAATACCCTTGATGTCTGGTAAATCAAAGTCCCCCGATGCAAGAAGTGGGTGTTCGATGTCCAAAAAGGGACCCATCAGCACCACACTATCAGCGTAGTTTTCAGCAGCTTTTTGGCATAGTTCATGGAGTGGCTCAAAGTCTAAGTTGTCATCCGCCGTATAGGGACCTGCTGCAAGCATGACATTAAGCGGTGGGTTGGCATCTCCGTCGAGGCGCTCATTGATGTTGTCTAGTGAAACAGCAGAAGAAGCTGCCGGTGGGAGAAGAGGCATTGGAAGTACTTCTTTGACAGTGAAATATTCACCTGAAGGATTAATTCCCCGCAAAGCCACGATCTGCCCAGGAAAGAAGTTTACCGACGAGACGGAGTCTACCTTCAAAGGTACTCGTCTGCCGGCACCTGTCCGGCGCGAAGTCTCAAGCACAAGGGAGGCCGCATTCAGTTTTCCTTCAAGAGCGTCTGAGGCAATTCGCCCAACTGCAACGATCTCACTCGTACTTTGAGTGGCTGCGCTTCCAAACGTGATCTCGTCTGAATTGTATTTTTCTTGGAAGATAGTCGCGAATTCATCGATCCGATCGTCGAGAATCTCTGATGCTTCTGACAACTTCATACCCATTGGTTTGTATCCAAACTTCTTGAGGTCTGTATTGGCGGTGGGCTTGATACGGGCCTCGGAGAATGGTGCCATTGGGGTTTCCGGCAGAGAGAGGTGTGCATTAAGGGTCTCCACCGTCTGTCCGGCGTTCGGTCGCTCAGAGAACGGAATAACCCTAGCATTGTGATCAGTATCACGTCCTCTTTCATACTGATGACATGGTGGACTTACTGTACTCCATCGCCTGGGGTGCCCGTTGGTGTCTTTGCGCCCTGTGAGGCAAGCTTGTCGAACTTGCTGAACTTGGGGGTCGCTGGCGAGGTAAACTCTGCCTTCCGCTTTGCTGATCCGATTCCATTCACTGTGACGGTTCGTGTGTTCGAGGCATTTGGTGTCAATTGGTCAAACATGCCAAACATGTCGCCGCCGGCCGCAGGTGCCCGCGGGGTTGCTGTGGTTGCGCCTCGTTTCTCGACGTGTCGGCTGGCCTTGTCGCGACTCTCGCGCTCCAGTGCCTCTTGAACATCCTGCTTGAATCCCCTCACTGTGCTGATAGTCAATTTCACCCCCTCGCCCATCTTCATGCTGTAGGACTCCCATTTGTAAAAGAGCTCCTCGGCGGTGATTGAGTGCACGCGCATCATGGATAGAAGCTCTCCAAGGATATCTTTGGGGAGTCCATCGGGGAATGAGCTCGTAAAGAACTCATTGAGCTCTGCCTCGGCCATGGTGGTGTATCTTGGATCTTCAAAGTGTCGAGACGCGGAGAGGCGCGTTGAAGCGTGTCGGTGACTAAGCGCCCCAAAAAAGTAATCTCATTCAATCAATGCGGCAATCGAAGTGGAGCCTGTCGATCGCGAGAATTCGTGGCTTTTACCCCCGATTGTTTTGAGCGTTTCAATTATTGTCAATTGTTGATATTTCGAATATATAATACCCATAGATTTCATCATGTCTAACCAGGAGGCCGTGCCTGCACCTGCTCCTAGCAACGGTGATACCGCTCAGGCACCGAAGTCAACACCCGCCATCCTCCAGTCTGCATCGAAGTCAATTGATCTCGAACTGCCAACTTCTGCTGCAGATGGTCTCATCCAAAAACCATTCGCTAAACCTCTGGACTCCGCAAAGCCCGCAGCTCCCGCACAGCTCACATCGGACCAAAAGTCCAAGTATGAAGCTGTGCTAAAGACCGTTTCGTCTTGGACCACAGTCCCCACCAAGGCCGAAAAGGGCGCTCCGACTGCACCCATCACTGAAGATGAGCGTATGTGGTTGACTCGGGAGTGTCTCCTTCGTTACTTGCGTGCGACCAAGTGGAATGTTTCCGAAGCTGAGACCCGGCTCCAGAGCACTTTGACATGGCGCCGTGAATATGGCCTGGAGAAAATCACTCCGGATTATATCTCAATCGAGAACGAGACTGGCAAGCAGGTTCTTTTGGGATATGATATTAACGGCCGACCTTGCTTGTACCTTCTGCCTTCCAACCAGAACACAGAGAAGAGTGATCGCCAACTTGAGCATCTTGTCTTTATGTTGGAGCGAGCCATCGACCTCATGGGACCCGATCAAGAGACAGTTGCACTGCTGGTCAACTTCAACGAGACCAAGTCTGGCCAGAACGCTAGCATGGGCCAGGCCAAGCAGACCCTCGGTTTCTTGCAGAACCACTACCCTGAGCGACTTGGTCGGGCTCTCGTGATCAATGGTAAGTGATCTCTGGTATATCTCAAATCCTACCATGATCTAACCCTCCACACAGTTCCATTCATGATCTGGGGATTCTTCAAGCTCATCACCCCATTCATTGACCCCAACACCCGGGAGAAACTCAAGTTCAACGAGGATTTGCGTCAGCACGTTCCACCAAGCCACCTTATGAAGTCTGTTGGGGGTGATGTTGAATTCCGATACGACCATGCGACCTACTGGCCTGCTTTGAATACGCTGGCCGAACAGCGACGTGAAGCTTATCGTGAGCGCTGGGTCCAGGGTGGCAAGCAGGTTGGCGAACTTGAGAACTACCTCAAGGGTGAGAACACTCCCAGTTTGTCAGAGGCTATGGCGGAGGTCGATGCCAAAGCCAAGGATGGAGAATGAGTTTATTCTGAAGAGTAGTTGTCTTCAACTCGTTGCACTGGTCATGATCTATCATTGTGCTCAGCCCGTATGACAATGCAGGCAATATGCTCTGCAGTGCCGCATTCATTCTTTGTTCTCTGTGTATACACCACTTTACTTGCCATTGCTGTTTTAGACGTTTCATACCTGCGAATACATTAGCGATAGAGTGCCCTGATTACGCAGGTCTATAGCGGCCAGGGTCAATTTCAGCATTTCCAATACAATAATTTCCTATCTGGCATTGAGCCTTTACCCTTTGGCCTCCTCTTTCAATCATCTTTTCAAGTGTCTTTTCAAGTGTCTTTTCAAGTGTCTTTTCAAGTGTCTTTTCCAGTACTACTATACATATCAATTTTTAAGGTCTCTTAAGGACCTGTGCCCCTATCTTCTCTTCTCGGGCGTGTGTCCAGGGGGCAATCTGCTTAGTATGGCAATTATCCTTCCAACCTTTGCTGGGCATCCCATCACCCCCTAAATACCTGCGTAGCGTTATTCTGAAAGTATATGGTCTGTTCTCCGCAACTTCCCAGTCGTGGCATTGGTACCAATTAGACTTTGCTTCTCCAATGAAGAAATCGGGTTGAGCTTCACTAAAAAAGCATTTGAGCCAGGACTCAGTTTCGTATCTGTTCAGTCTGGAGCTGATGTTTCGAAAAAGTCGTGATGAAGCCGTTTGTTCGGAAGTCTGGAACGTGAACTGAGATTCCACTTCGAATTTATTGGTCATACTGTTGATTTCAGCTTTTGTGGAAATGAAAACCCGTACTAGAGGATGTTGAACGACGCAGTGATGTACCAGCCTCTCTCGGAACAAGCGATAGTATGATTGTCCTGGAGACTCCACTTGAGATTGAAAGTACCGCAACGGGTGCTGCTTTTGATGATATGTGATGCTCGAGCATGGACACATGTCAACTATCTCATTGCGTTGAGGATCGCACCAAACATTGCAGTCGGATATAGTAGGCGTCGTACCAAATGTCCAACTGCATCGGAAAGACCGCCATTTGGAGCGTCGGTGAAGATTTTCACATCTAATACAGTACACCCAGCGATCGTTTTGTAGGCGACGAAGTAGCAGCGTTCTTGGAACTGTTGATAAGACAGATATCCGATGTCTTTTGTTGTATAAGACATAGTAAGCATGCAGCTTTTTGCAACATACTGCAAGACATGCTCGATCCAGGTCTGAAAGTAGCTGAAATATAACTTCAACTATCTCTAATGGGATCTCCCACTGTGTCTCGAATTTCCGTGGCTTAGCCGATTTGGGCTTTAAGGGTGGATCAAGGAGCCGCAAAAGACTGCGAAAGGGTGTGAGAGGGCGTCGAGTCATGATACACAACCAGTCGATCAACGTCTTGAAGGCATATTCTCGTAGGTGTGTACGAACTGTGGCGGATGATTTTCAGGGACGGCTTGATAAAGCATGACAAGTGATACTATGACACCTACACACTACCGAGGTCATGCCCAGGTGCCCCGGTGCCCAGGTGGATGTCATGAATTTGTCATAGATCAGGTCATCCATGGATCTTTATGAAAGTAGTTTCGGAGCCCATGGTGGCTGCCTGGTTTGTCGGGCTCCCCACCCGAAAGTAGAAAACTAGTGTAGACCAAAAGAGCTCTCTCTCTCTCTCTCCCCTTCCTTCTTCCCGCTCCTTTCTTCCTCTTCTCGTCTCACAATGAATTACTCCATGGTACATATCTGCTCTCATCGATAGGTAGGCAGCACGGTTTCGCTCCCCATCGTCGAAAGGGCAATTTGGCGATACAGATGTTACCTGACTGCTGTTTGGATTCATTTTTCTGACAATATTGCCGAAGCAACTATACCACTACTGCCTCGATGTCTTATTATTTTTCGCCCGGAATTTCATCAAGAATTCACGATAGAAGAATCTCGTTCATTCCAAGGTAACGACATTGTCCTAAGGTCGTGAGCCTAATGCAAAGTGATCTCTAAGACCGCTCCTCAAGATCCATATCAAACTCTGGGTTGACCCAAGAAGGTTTTACTGCCTTATTGCGCAACCAAGGTCCGAATTTATGCAAAGCACCGAATACCAAACATCCGCCAACCGTTACAATGATGCCTTGAGAAGCGAATGTCCAAGTCCAGCCAGAAGAAGCTTGCCAAGGTGCAATGAAAAACTATACACAAATGAAATGTTAGTGACTGCTCAGCATTGAATAGATCAGCAACAGCGAGACTTGGATGACTAACAGGATTGATGAAAGCGCTCAAATTCAGAAACACGGCATAGAAGGTAATCACGCTTGTTGTTTGGAGCGGGTAACAGTCAATGATGTAGCTGGTAGTGACTGTATTACCAATTTGAATACCTGCCGCGACTTAAGAGCAGTTAGATCAACCTCCATTCAAGATCAGTTGGAATATGTGACTTACAGAAGAAGAATGCCACCTGGCCTACTATCCAGTGGTAACCTTGATCCACGCTGATTCCCCAAAGAATCAACCCGGCTATAACATTTCGACACGTCAGTGGGGTTTGAAGATGATAAGTGGGAATTCCCAAATACCTGTGGTGATCAACATTGCTGGGTACGCCAGCCACAATCGCATCTCTGGGACACGAATGTTGCCGTTCCGTGTCGAAAGCTTTTCAACTATGAAATCGCTCAGCCTCCCAGAGCAGCCGAATTCCGAGATAACAGTTCCGAGGAAGAGCCCGAGAAACAAGAGACCTTGTATGAGAGGTGTATAGCTCGCATAGGCTGCGGGTACCATCGTGATAACAGACAGAATCCACCAGTACCACACGAAGCTATACCCCAAAACTGCCACAACCACCGCGGGTAATTGAAACGTCAAGATAAATCGAGTAAGCGAGTCCCACGGTTTGGGATGGCGCATGCCGGGAACTGGTTGATAATTTATGAAAGGCAGGGTTTTTGTCCGACGTAGATCCGATATCAGGGTCTCCGTTGGTTCAAGTGACGTGGTCGCGTCAACCCCAGCTACTTGCTTCTCAACATCCCCCGAGATATCCTTGTGATCAAGACGAGGCATTTGCTCAAGCATTTTGTTGCGCGGGTAGAGGGTTTCGGGCATAAAGAAGACTTCAAGAAGCAATAACGCGGCGAAGAGAATGGCAGTAAACCAATTAATCCATGCCGCGCTGACAAGATTCAAGAAGCCACCAACTACCATGAAAAGTTATTACGCAGCCTTGGTATGATGGGGGTATCTTAACAAACTTACAAGTCGGTCCAAGTAATGTACCAGTATCAATTGCTAGAACCCACAGGCCTAATTTTTGGCCACGCTCATAATCGAAGAATAGATCGTTCACTAGATCAGGTCAGGATTTGGAAAGGTGTGCTATCAGGAATGAACAGCTAGGACATACCGACTGCCATTCCAACTGTAGATGCCGGGCTTACTCCAAATCCTTGGAAAAAGCGAGCAGCCATATACCCCGAGTATGTATCAGCGACGGCAGCGCCAACAGTGGATATCAACGATATGGTTGTTCCAACTATAAAAACCACCCTTCGACCGTAGATATCACCAAGTGATGACCATATGAGGGGACCAACGGAAAGCCCCAATGCTGGCACGGCGAGTGTCCAATTAACTTGCGAATAGGTGATCTGAAATTGATTCTGGATTTCCACAAATGAGGGAACTGTGGTAGTGGTGAGATATGTAAAAAGGAAATATCTGTGAATTTTTCACGACGGTCAGTAATGGACAGGCTAAGCCGAGTTCTTCATTCATCAGTTGCCAAGGTAGACAGGCAAAGTGTTAGATCTGAGTTCATACGCACTTGAGCATAACTATCGATAAGATGGCATGTTTTTGAAGACTTGACCAATTCAACGGGTCCAGGGAGTCGGCGGTCGGCTGTGGGTGAAGCTTGATTCCATTTTTGTTGACTGCTGCATTGTAGAGGATATGCGTGTCTTGGCCCACTGAAGTATCGATCGATTCTGGGTCATCGTTCTTGACATTGTTCTTTCCTGTCTCGCACTTCTCGTTGACAATCGTTGACGAAGATGTCATTTCGTTCTAGGGAGTGTTCAATAGCTTCAGGATTAACCGAAGTACCAAATTATAATAGAAATGACCACAGAGTCCTTTTTCAGTAAAGGAGAGTCTGGAATAAAAGAGAATTCAGAACATATGGGCCCCGAGGTCGAAATAGCCAACATGTTGTGCCTGATAAGCTACACTGTACGTAGAGATCAGTCAGACATGCATTAGGGTTTATCATCCTGCAAATCATGTTTTAGCATGCGTTTACGAAGGGTCTAGCTCAAAGTACTAGATCTCTATCAAAACGTACCAAGTATTGTCCCAAGTCCTCCCAAGTTTCATAAAGCACGTTGATATGGAATCGTGCTGCTTGATTTCCACCGGAAGGTATGCGGTCACATATCGAATCGTGTCAAAAGTATCGTGCTACATTGGCATATTTGTATAGCTTAGAGCCCGAAGTGAAGCTTTCGTAATTCCCGGCATATTTCAAAGCCGTATAACGGTTGGTGTCATATGACAGGGGTGTGGTTATGGTTATAGTCTTAGATTGACCAATCAGCTGTTTATGAGGCATGATAAGAGTCACTTTGGAAGAAGATAAGCACGGCAGATGATCTGACACTTTCATATGTACTCCGTATAAGAATTGGAGTAAGGTACCGATTAATCCTCCGAGAATCTTGTAATATGGTTGATCCCCGAAAATTTCCTCTTCGGAGTAGGGATCCCTAGCCTCTATGTCCAAGTACCCGAGTATTTCACAATTACCTAGAACCATACAGAGAAGGAGAAATTGAGTTTGCATTTTCGTGAAGATATACTGGACTGTGATTGAAGGAACGTAGGGGAATTTCGGAAATATCATATCATGGAGCGCGGACTATTCAACCAGTCGGCTCATCATTGATTGTAAAGTTGCGGCTTGTCGGATCGACATGGAGATAGTATACTAGATAACATTATTACCATTGACAGTCATAAGAATTATTATATTTGACTTTATCAAGGTTATTCTGAGATTGAAACGACATGCAGCTCTAGTCAACTTCCTGTTTGGGGCAACGGGAAGACCCAGGGCCGATCCCGTTCCCCGCCATTGCTGATAAGGATATCCGATAGGCACGGAGACCCTGACATCACACCTGGGCAAAGATCGAGACTAGACCTGTCTATTCAGCCGTGCACCGCAAACTTTCCGAAATCACTTCAACGTGGCTCCAACGCGCTCGAAATTTTACAAGATTCGAAGTCCGCAAAACAGATGGTCCGAGATCGGACGGGAGTCTACAACATCTCCCCAAAACGGCATGACAGTGGAGCAAAGATACACCACCTACAGAACCAGCGTCTTTGATTGCCTCGACTATGGAGTCATCATAGAGATTGTAGCTGGGGACTTGCTGTCATTGTGGTTGGTTGACGCAAGCTGTGGAAATTCACGAGGCAATGTACCGACTCCACGCTGGCCGCAGCATGGGTCTTGAAAAAAAGAAAGAAAAAAAAAAGGAAACACCATTTCAGCGCAGGAGACTCTCATGCAACATCTTTTGCTCTTCTCAACTCCCTTGCTTTAGAGTCAGGTGGAATCACACACCGTACTGTGTCTGTGGCCTTAGACCCTAGAGTCCATTCCACCCTAAGCTGCTCAACGCCGTCAAAACCCAGAGTATTGACATTGACGCTATTCTCAATCGTGAGCTGAGCTTCCTCCCACCGCAACTTGTCGACATGTCGGAATCTAGAAGTACTCATGCCGCTCAGCAAGATGAGCGTGCCCCCTCCTCCCAAAACCCATCCACAACGGCTCATCATGGCGCGATGCCGAAGAAGAGAAAGGGCCATTCTCACGAACTTTGGTTCTAGGCGAGTTTTGGATCTTGCTCAAAGACTCCATACCCGTGATCCTAGCATATGCTCTACAAAACAGTCTCCAAACTGTATCTGTGTTGATCATCGGACGCTCGTCGCCCGAGAACCTCGCAGCAAGTGCGTTTTCGCAGATGTTTGCTATGGTAACGGCTTGGATGATCGCCCTCGGAGGTACAACGGCTATCGACACGCTTGCTTCCTCCTCTTTTACCGGCAGTTCAAACAAGCATGATCTGGGAATCCTGCTACAACGTGGATTCTTGGTCCTGGGGCTTTTCTATGTACCGGTCGCTATATTGTGGACTTTTTCGGAACCTCTCTTCTTGTTTCTTGGACAAGACCCACAGCTTTCGCATGATAGCGCTAGGTTTTTAACCTGTCTGATTCCTGGAGGCCTGGGCTACATCTACTTCGAAGTTATGAAGAAGTTTTTACAAGCTCAAGGTGCGTTTGGCGTGGAAATCCCGAGAAACATAAACTAACTACAAAGAAGGAATCATGCGAGCTGGAACTTATGTTCTTCTCATCACATCGCCGCTGAATGCCGCTCTCAACCATTTGTTCTGCTACACGTTTGAGATGGGTCTATTAGGCGCGCCTCTAGCCACGGGAATTTCTTACTGGCTCTCATTTGCCTTGTTGGTGCTCTACGCACGCTTCATCGAAGGCTCCGAGTGTTGGGGCGGATGGTCTCGCGAGGCATTCCAAAACCTCCGCACATTCGCGCAACTCGCTCTAATGGGATTTATACACGTTGGGACGGAATGGTGGGCTTTTGAGATAGTTGCCTTAGCGGCTGGGCGACTGGGCACCGTCTCTCTGGCTGCCCAGAGTGTGATCATGACAGCTGATCAAGTACTCAACACTATTCCTTTCGGCATCGGGGTGGCAACATCTGCGCGCATTGGGAATCTACTAGGTAAAAGGGACGAGAAAGGTGCAGCACGGGCTGCACACACGTCCGCTGCACTAAGCATTGTCTTTGGTGGTGTTGTGCTGGCAGTTCTTATCGGGACCCGGGACCACTTCGCGAAATTGTTCAATGATGATACGAGTGTTGTGAGACTTACAGCCGAGGTGTTGCCGTATGTGGCGTTATTCCAGATTGCAGATGGACTTAATGGAAGTTGTGGTGGAAGTCTGCGAGGAATGGGACGACAGCATGTGGGGGCTTTGGTGAATTTGGTGAGTTATTACTGTGGTGCGCTGCCGCTGGGGATTTGGCTTGCGTTCAATGGCTGGGGACTACAGGGCTTGTGGGCTGGGCAGTGTATTGCGTTGTACTTGGTGGGAATTCTTGAGTGGATCATTGTCGCGCGCAGTCGTTGGGGCGCTGAAGTGCAGAAGGCTTTCCAACGCATGGATGTACATGAAAGGTTAGAGGATGGGTCTGATTAAGATACTCGAAAGTGCGTTTTGGTCGCAGAACTTGTCACATAGTTAGGTAAATTACTTAGTCTTCCTCCAGTCTTATGCCATTTGAACAGCAGTCGGCGATGCTATTGAGATCTACCGCTTCTATTAGACATACCCTGCTCTGTAGGCAAAACCCAACGTACACATTGACAGCCTCACCATTGATAGTACTACATATTGGAAAAATCTACATCAAGGGTCAAAAATTGGTGTACCATGTCCCTCATCATCATTGCGCTCCGTTGTCGGAATGTGGGCTTGCCCCTCTAGATCTTATAGATCGGCATCCACCAATGACCACGACCCGATAAGCCAAAGCGTACACCTAAAGCCCTGAATGTGCTCCCTATCTTCTCCAACTTTGATGTTTTACATGGTCCCACTCCCCCGGCCTACCATTTTGGGGCTGCTGTACCAGCTTTACCTTGCATGATGTATGTACGCTGTGGCCAAGCTGTCGTACCGCATCTCCCATCAATTGGCTTCATCCAGACGAGAATCCTTAAAAGGAAGTTGTCAGGAGTGGGACAGAACTCTCTCTGCCCAGTTATGAGATTTGACTTCCTTGTTTAGGTCTTGTCCCCAGCCATGGCCAATCTTTGGATAATGAAGGCCCGATAGAAGGTATTGCCGAGCTCTTGTCAATCAACTCCATTTTAGGGAAAGAAAAGGAGTGGATTACTCTCGCATGACAGGTTGAGCGATACGTTTTCCAAGGTTCAAGGATGTTTTCATTTCAACTCGGAATGGTAATTCCCAGGTGTTCGCTCAACACGAGCCACAGCCTTGGGTAGAAACATATATCATGGAGGCATCCGCCATACATTTCTGCACCAAATAGGGCGCTTGTTTTCGGATCTCCCAAGATTTCATCGATAATCCGTCGCCTTCCAAAGCTACCACTACAATGATTGTCTCTCTCGCAAGCTCAATTGCCTTTTTTGCGCTGGCCACAGCCCATGGTGACCACGGCCAATCCCAGCTTGCGGGCCCACACCAGGGACTTTGGTACAACACACTACCAGGAGATGGTGGTACACAGGTAAGCACGATCATAATGTCGAGATGTCGAAGAGAAAATGGATTAATCGACATCATAGGCGGACTCTGTCTTTTCCGGGATCTCAACTTTCGGGCGTCTTCCCTACTTCCCATGCCTGTCTAGTGATGCTGAGAAATACGACATCGCCTTCCTAGGTCAGTCAAAAGCTCAGAAGATCATATCCATGGATGTCGAATTTTGGTTGACTTATCTCAACTTCAAGGTGCCCCGTTCGACACTGGAACCTCATACAGACCCGGCGCACGGTTCGGACCCAGTGGTATCAGACAAGGCTCTCGGCGCCTGAATCTCTAGTACGTTGCAGCCCCATAAGACATGAGATCCGGAAGTCGCATGGACACGTTACTGATACAAATTGGGATCTAGTGGTGGATACAACGTCCCATTAGAGGCGAACCCTTTCACCAGTGACATGCGGATCATGGATTGCGGCGATGTGCCTGTTACTTCGTATGTTGTTACCCAAGAGACATCAGCCGATAGCGCAAGCAGATCTAGACACTGACAATGATGTAGATACGACAACGCTTGGGCGATCCAGCAGATCGAGGAAGGGCACAATAGTGTTCTAATGCGCAAGCCTTTCACGGATGCAGACAAATTGGGCCTTTCGCGAGCTGGCAAGACTCTTCCTCGTGTCATCACGCTCGGTGGTGATCATACTATCACACTTCCCTTGCTGCGGAGTATTAACAAGGCCTATGGACCTGTCACAGTCATCCACTTCGACAGTCACTTGTGAGAATATCTTTCCTACGGGTAGATGAGAATCGCTGACAATTTTTTTTCAGGGATTCTTGGAAGCCCAAAGTTTTTGGAGGGTCTCCCAGCCAGGTCGCTGCTATCAACCACGGCACATACTTCTACCATGCGGCGATGGAAGGATTGTTGAAGAACGATACTAACATCCATGCTGGAATCCGTACAACTCTCTCCGGGCCCTCTGATTACGAGAATGATGGTTACTGCGGGTTTGAGATTGTCGAGGCCCGAGAGATTGATGTTATTGGTAAGTTGACATATGTTATTGTCACTCGAATCCACCATTGCTAAGCTTTTATACTATATCAGGGACGGACGGTATCATCAAGAAGATTCGCGACCGTGTGGGGACAGACAACCCGGTTTATCTCTCGATCGATATCGATACTCTGGACCCTGCTTGCAAGTCTTCCTGTTTGAGATGTCGGGTGTTAGTATTGTCACTAACAATGATTACAGTTGCCCCCGCTACTGGTACACCAGAGACTGGTGGTTGGTCTACTCGCGAACTGCGAACGATCATCCGAGGCCTCGATGGGTTGAACTTTATCGGTGCAGACATTGTGGAGGTGGCACCCGCGTATGATACCAATGCGGAGCTGTCGACGATGTGGGTTCCTCTGAGCATTGAACTATGTACCTGAATGAGACTAACGTATAACCACAGGGCTGCTGCAGATGTACTATATGAGGTGCTTACAATCATGGTCAAGAAGGGGCCTTTGTCTCTTGGTAAGTCGTCTCACGAACTGTGAGCCTTTGGCGGCGTCGGTGGAGATGTCCTCATGGAATTGAGAAGCACAGACCTCATATTTGAAGGTTGGCTTCGAGCTTGGCTTTTTGATTTTTGGCTTTGGACAATATAGTTTGCGAAAGAAAGACAAAGGGGTAGTTACAATCAATGTCTGATGTGAAACATAATTACATGGCAATGAGAGACATTATGCTCGTGTCCCGGAATGACAGAGGGAGTCTGGTACTCTAGTTACACTGAGTGAGATTAAAGTGTCTAATATTAGTTAGCAATCAACCCCTGGATATCCGTGGACGTTCCGGAGATGGTGATGCTTTTGTAGTTTCTTCCCAATTATTTTGACTAGTGTGGATACTTAGGGGACCGTCGGAGAATTACTTTAGAGACCGATGTGTATATGCCCTTGGATGTTTTTTCTCTCTCTCCTGAGCGTGATAGAACATTTGCCTGGAACGAAGATCCAATCAAAAACAATGAGAACCCTTCGTGAAGTTGCTTTAGAGTGTCCATAGATGAATTCAGTATGCTAGTTATACATCGTAAATAAATCTTTTCTTTTATTGTTTCTTCACTATTTAACACAAAATCTACACAGTATACACTCTGTTCCGAACCAAGACATCGTCGATCCTTCAACGGTCCCCCTGCTTTGGAGTGGACCTTTCACCCGAGATTAAATTGCAAAGTCAAAAAGGTGACAGAAATTTGACATTTCTGCTGCTGAATTTTGGGAGTACGGAGTAATCTCCTACCAAGTTATGGTTCACAATCCAATTAGGGCTTACTTTAATAAGTCCTAATAATCCAAATTTTCAGACCATCCCCTATCATTGTTCTGCAGGGTAGGAGTAGAATCTCACCACACCCAGCTCTAGACCCAGATCGCGGTCAGTTGATGTGGAGCCTCGGCACTAGGAGGTTTTACTAGATTGGTCTGGCTGGCCCGTCTTTGACCATGAATTAGACTCTAAGTGGAAGTGAACGCGCAGCGATCGACATGTTGCGGTATACACGGTTCACTGTGAGAGGAGAATTTTACCGTTCAGCCCTGGAGCGGAGACTAGGTATACAAGGAACAAAGGTACCAATACGGAGTGCATAAGATGAGCCTAAAAGGAACATCTGAAACGAACGACAAGAACGTGTTCTCTTTTGCGGCTAGGTGGAGACCTGGGTTCACCCAGGACATAGTGTATGAAATAGTCGCCATAGTAGCCGTTTGGGCGAACAAGAGGTAAGGCAAGACGCTATTGAACCATGTGTTCAGAGTATTTAAGGGATAGCAATAACAGTGTGAAATGGGTAGAAACAGAGTTAAAGGGTAACAAGAATAAGTAGTACGGAGTAGTCCGTGGGAAATTAGTAGTGGTATGAGAAAAAAACGAAGATATAGGAGAGGGAAGTGTAGTGTTGATACTCCCGTGTACTCCGTAGAGACCCAAAGAAGAGATGCCCCTGAACCAGCGGTCCTCGCTTGGGTCCAAAGCATCTCCTTCATCTTAAAATCACCACGCTAAACTCTATTGGGTCTGTGCACGTCCAGTTTCTCCAGACCTGCATCTTCTTATTATTCCACCTCCCTACTTTCTATCGTTACATTGTTCTGGAGTACTGCAGGTACGTATTTACATGTTTTGTGTGGTGTTTTGGTTGCTGCTTGGACTTGGGGAGAACTTTGGCTCACTTCACACCAGGCCTCCTTTGCGCCTCATGACTACCGACCTTCATCTGCTTTGATTTCGAATTTCTATTCCACCTGGCGTGGTTAGAATGACCGCTTCACCGCCAGCGTCGCCGACGGGCGCAGCCCCGCGACCCATCAGTGCTGTCATGCGCACTCCTCGCAGTACCAGTCGCCTCAGCATGAGCAGCAGACAAGGGAGCCGTGCATCCGACGAGGTTGGCAAGACTGCAGTCAAAGTTGGTATGTCTCTCGCCCTTCCCCGGACCGCATCCAAATTCAATTCAACTGACTTCGCGCAGCTGTCCGTGTGCGACCACCACTGAAACCCACCGACCCCGGCTACGATTTAGTCCCCCAGCGATTCCAACGCTCAATGGTCCAAGTCGTCGATTCCAATAACCTGACCGTCGATGTCCCCAATGCTCAGAAGTGGTTTACCTTTGACCGCATTTTCCCCGAAACCACCGAGCAGGAAGGCATCTGGGAATACGTCAGTGATAGTCTTAACTCGTTCCTGCAAGGTTACAATGTCTCGATTATGGCGTATGGTCAGTCCGGTGCCGGAAAGTCATTCACCATGGGTACTTCAGGCCCCAATGAACAGAAGATTGCGCAAAATATGGGTGAGTTTTAAACCCTTGTGTCGATCCCACAGGGACTAACCGTGATGTTTGTTTAGGTATTATCCCCCGGGCCGCACAGGTGCTGTTCGATAAATTAGACGGACCCCCAAAACACAACAGAAACAGCTCAACTGCCACTGGCCTCCGAACACCCCAGCGATATTCTATGAGCTCTGCTGCAAGCTTCGGGAAGCCTCACCAAGAGAAAGAAAAGACCTGGCAGCTCAAAGCTACCTATGTTGAGGTGCGCTTCTGGTCATAGAGCCCACCCAGACCATAGCTGACGAGGAAATACAGATCTACAACGAACACCTCAGAGACTTGCTGCTTCCAGACTCCACCCCTACAAGCGACCGCAGCAACGTTACAATCCGCGAAGACACCAAGGGCCGCATAATTTTAACCGGCCTCCATCAAGTCGAGATCAACTCTTTCGACGATTTGATCGGCGTCTTGAACTTTGGATCCGCCATCCGCCAGACAGACTCCACCGCGATCAATGCCAAATCATCCCGGTCGCACGCCGTGTTCAGTTTGAATTTGGTCCAGCGGAAAACTAGCGGCGGACCAGCGACTCCCACACCCAAGGAAAAGCGGATGTCCATGCCCGCGGACTCCTTCAACAACGGCGACTCTTTCACTGTTGACAGCAAGCTGCACTTTGTAGATTTGGCTGGCAGTGAGCGGCTGAAAAACACCGGGGCTTCCGGTGAACGCGCAAAGGAAGGAATTTCCATCAACGCCGGTCTAGCAGCACTCGGAAAGGTCATCTCACAACTTTCAAAACACCAGGGGTCCCACGTTTCCTACCGTGACTCCAAACTCACCCGCCTACTCCAGGATTCCCTAGGTGGGAACGCGTATACCTACATGATTGCTTGTGTTACCCCGGCGGAGTTTCACTTGAGCGAAACTCTGAACACCCTTGAATATGCGCAGCGGGCGAGGAAAATCCAGAGCAAGCCTCGCATTCAGCAGATCAGCGACGATGGAGACAAGCAAGCCTTGATTGACCGGTTGAAGGCCGAGGTGAACTTCTTGCGTCAACAAATTCGCAGCAGTGAAGGATCTGAGCGAAGGGATGGTGGCTTCGCTGACAGAAGCGAGCGCAAGCATGAGCGCGAGAAGCATCTCCAGAACCAGCTCCTGGATGTTCAAGAGAGCTACAATTCCCTCAGCCAGCGCCATGCTAAGCTCATCTCAACCATGGCCAATGACTCAGAGTCACACACCAACGGCGAGACGGATGATGCCACTTCGGAAATCGGAAAGAGCTCGGTTGAGAGAATGCAGCGTTCGAAGTCTTTTGCAGAATCTGTCGAACAGATGGTTCTGGAGTACGAGAAGACTATTCAGAGCCTGGAAGCCTCGCTCTCTGACACTCGGTCCTCCTTGTCCACCTCAGAGAGTGATCTGCTCGAGCGTGAGACCAAGTGTGCTTACGTTGAGACTGTGCGGGATCAACTTCAGGCCCGCGTTCAGAAATTGCTAGACCGAGAAGCCAGCACCGAGACTTATTTGCATGAACTAGAGTCCAGGCTTGACGGCCACTCTGGTGGTGAAGAAAAGCATGCCGCCATTGTTGCAGAGCTTCGCAAGGAGCTTAGCCGCGCTCGTGACAGCGAGGCGAGCTGTGAAGAGTATATTTCTACCCTTGAAGAACGTCTCTCCGAGGCTGATCAAGATATGGAACTTATGCAACGTGAAGTACTGCGACTGGAAAATGTTGTTGAACGCCAGCGAGGCCTCGGCCAGCTAGACACCCTGCTCAGCCAACTTGATCAGCATGGTGGCGAGGGTGTAAATGGAAACCACTCGCAGAATCATCAAGGCAGAGGCATGCAGTCTGCCCATAGACACACGCCATCTCTGGATGTTCTCAACGAAGCAGCTGAGACGGCCATTCCAGAGTCCGATGAGGATCTTGTCGGCCCTATCATGGAGGTCGAAGACGAGGCTTCTGTCCACTCAGACTCTGACACCGATGTTGCCGGCGAGGACTTGAAGGTTTTGGAAACCGCCACGAGCAGATTGGAGGCCCGACGCTCAGAGGCTGCCTACGAGGATCCCATCTCAAGCCCTGCACAGTCGAAATTCGTTGCCGACAAGCTGGAGACTGTCACCCAGGAGCTGTTCGATCTGCGTATGCAGCATGAGAACACCGTAGGTGACTTTGAGATTCTAGAGTCCAAGTATGAACAGGCTCTCAAAGCCCTCGCCGAGCTTCGCCAAGACAAGATCGATGAAGCCCGCCACACGGCTCCTATTCAAACTGAACATTCGCCACGCCCTGTGTCTTTTTAGGGAATGGAGGCACTCCAATCTCGAAGTCTGGAGCACAACACTCATTCTCGCAATCGCTCTCCTCGGAATTATCCTCGGCCGGGGAACCATCTACATTGCGCGAGTCCTCTGAAGATGGATCTAAGGCAATTTCATCCGCCCCATCAACCCCCCAGGTCCTTTCTGCTGTTCAAATGGACCCAGAGGAAGCAGAGAACATGCGCAAGATTCTCGCCGAGCACCAAGAGAGTGCCGAACTCATGACTCAGAAGTACACCGAGTTGCAGACTGAGCACGAAGAGATTCTTGTACTGGTGGAGCAGTTGAAGGCCGAAGCTCAGCGTGCCAAGTCGAGCTCGCCGCCTTCGACCCCTGGGTTCAAGATGATCCGTCGCATGACCAGCCAGAACCTGCTGTCTGGTGTGGACCGCGCAACTCGCGCCCTGACTGGGCTGAGATTGATTGCTACCGAGGAGTTTGCCGAAAAACCAGATGCTATGCACAACTTCGATTACCACTTGGATCAAACCATGCACGAGCTGCAAAGCCGTATGGAGCGCCTCCAATCCCTTGAGACTGAGAACCAGGGTGTGAAGAAGGAAATGGAAATGAAAGCTACTATCATCTCTGGTCTGACTAGAGAGCGGTCCAGCTTGACGGGCGCGTCGCCTGTGGATATGGCTCTGGTCTCTCAGCTGCGCGATCAGGTCGTCTCCCAGGAGGTGCAGATCAACCAGCTTCGCGAAGCCCACGAAACTCGCCAGAAGGAGCTGATGGCCGAGATCGAGACCTTGAAGGGTCTCTTGAAGTCCCAGGAGAGTGCTACTCGGGCAATGGATGCTGGCGCCGAGGAGTCCGATAAGAAGATTGATGCTCTGCAAGGTGAGCTCACTGAATGGCAAGGAAAACACCAGAATGCTCTGGTTTCCCTGCAATCCTCGGAGACGCAGCTTACGAGCACACTTGCTGAACTGGAGAGTGCTTTGGCTTCTGTTGAGGCCATGCGATCTGAGCGTGCTGTCAACGGCGGTGAGTCTACCGAAAGGGAGACTACTGCTCGAGAGCTCGAGGGTGGTCGAGTTGAACAACAAGACCTTGTGGACAGCTTGAAGCATGACATCGAAGGCCACAAGTCTACCATTGCCACTCAGCTTGCAACTATCGCTGCTCTGGAGAAGTCTCACTCTGCTGCTCAGGGTGAACTGGCTGCCCAAACCACCACCGAAGAAGCGACCAATGCTGGGGCCGTCGACCTGGGTCTCACCTCCAGGGCGTCTGACCTTGAGAAGGAAATATCCTCTCACAAATCCGTTCTTAGCGCGCGTCAGGATGAACTGGTTACCCTCCAGGAATCTCACAAGCAACAGCTGGCTGAGCTAGAAGAGCGCACCAAAGCTGCGGCGCAGGCTGATCATGATGCTCGCATTGCTGAGAAGGACGCGGAGCATGAACAATCTATGGCTGCTTTGCAGAAGGATATCGCGGAATCTCGCGATGAGTTGGTCAAATTGCTGAATGCTGTTTCGACTATTCTCAATTCTGAGGTGTCTGCCGAAACACTGGCAGACCAGATCCAAGATGTCCTGGCTCAAAAGCAGAACTTCTCTGACAAGTATGCCGAACTCTTAGACACCAATGAGGGTCTCCGCAAGCAGCTTGAGGCCAACGGGGAGTCTGACAGCCGCCTGGACGAGTTGACTAAGAAGAACAACGTTCAGGATGCCAAGGTTAATGAGCTGGCTCTCTTGGTGGCTACATTGGAGGATACTCTTCGCCAGAAGGATGAGCAGGTCAAGAAGAAGGAAGCCCTCGTTGAGGAAATCACCATTGAGAAGCAGAAGAGCGTGCGACTCGTCGAAGAGTTGGAGGAGCAGATCACCAACAGCTTCGACCAGCACCACAACCGTTTGTCTATTATCCAGCAAGAGCGTGACCAAGCACTGGAAGACGCCAAGGCCAAGATCGTGATCTACGAAGGCGATATCGAGACTTATCAAGTACGGATCGAGCAGCTGGAACTTCAAATCAAGAACACCGGCAACTCTGACGGCTCTCATGACCGCAGCAGCTCCCTCACATCAAACCTCCGCAAGAGCTCATCTGCCACCTCCCTCCCCTCGCCTCCACCGGCAATTCCACTCCCTCCCCTTCCGACCATCGCTTCCCAGTCCAATGGTTCGTCAAGCGTCTCCCCGCCTAGCTCCCGTCACGCTAGCAAGGAGCTCGTCAATTCTCAGATGGCCGAGGACCAAGAAGCCCGCATCCGAACAATTGAAAAACATCTCTACGCCGAGAAGCAGCTCACCGCTACTTTGGAAGAAGCACTCGGTGACCTTGAGACACAAAGCAGCAAAGTCAAGAGCGACTGCGAAGCATGGAAGAAGAAAGCCTGGGGCTTTGAAGACGAACTCAATTCTCTACGAAAGGAACGCAGCTCTGCCCGACTTTCCCTTCAAGCTGTTGAGGAAGAGCGCAACGCCCGCCGTGAAGCAGAGGCTGCCCGTGCTCAACTCGAGGAGCGCATGCTTGCTCTTAACAAGAAGAAGAAGAAGAGCACTCTCAACTGCTTCTAAGCATAATCTTGAGTGTTGTGAAAAGCGATGTGATCGTTTTTTTCTTGAATTTTTTTTACCCTTCTACCCTTTCACATTTCTTGTCTTTTTTTTTCTTCCACGCTTTTTTACCCTGTTCCATACCCCTTTGCCCAATTCCCTGTATTATGAGCTTTCACGTCCACACTTGTCACATTCTCAAACCTCAACGTCAATACCTTGTGCTATAGCCCCTCACAATTGTGTCTATTTTTTCCCCACATATTTTTTGTTCTCTTCTACTCATGATAATGTCATGTCTAGATTTTTATTGCTCGATATGAAACTTGTACATTCCGTCGGCTGTCTAGATTGATTTACGTTACGCTGGGTGGGGATTTGGTGCTTTTTCAGCTTGTTGTTGTATTGAATTTTACTCGGAGATCATTTGTATTGACATGGTGTGCCGGCTTCCTTTCGATAGCTGTTGGTAGCTAAGCCCAAATGTATTGCGAGGAACCATGAGTTGCTGTCCGTCGCGTATGTTGGCTTCTCCGCTGCGAGTCTCCAACTGTCGTGCCCACTGGTTATTTATGTCGACAAACTCCTTGGGAGCTAGTATAAGGCCAACGGACCAGGCTCCCTTGCTGGCAACATTGGCATCACTCTTGCTGCTCAGAGGTGCCACGCGGTCTGCTAGCAGTCTTCCACCCAAGACGACGGATCCTCGGTTGACCACAATCCATGGCAGCCCGTGGGCCCAAACTAGTGGCGCTGGGTCTTTTCCCATACGGACCTTCGCCGACCTGACGTTCCCGTTTGAATCAAAATCATATGGGAAGTGGGTCGCCAGTTCTTTATTTGTTAGATTCTTGCTTGCATAGTAGACCTGTAGGTCGGAGAGGTGTAGCTGGTTAGGTGGCGGTATCCACTCGCCTTTATCGTTGAAGGATGGTATTCAGGACTCTAGATCAAGCTAGCTATTAAAGGGCTGCTTGTCTTTGTTTGCAACTGCTGTCTTCTCAAGGTCCGCTAGCTGCTTCCTTGCCTTTTTAAGGCTGCTGGCTAGCACTTTTTCGACCCCTTTTCGCTGCTCGTTTTGCCTGGCCTTGGATCGATTGGGGATGTCTTTAACTTATAGCGCACCCTCTCTGACAGCTGGTGTTATGTTCGACGCCATCGCGAGTTGCTAGTGACGGCGAATAGATAATTGAAGAAGTTGTAAAAGATATATGTGTGGCTGGCCGGAAAACTGAGATAGTGAAGAATCGGAGAATCGGGGAAGAGTGAAGGACTGGAACTCGAGGAAGTGAGGGACTCCTGTTGGACGGAGTCTGATTGGATTTCACTTTGGAAGTGAAGTTGGAGTGACCCGTGGTGATTCACTTGCAACTTCAGTTCGGAGGCGTGTATGGGTAGTAAAAGTGAGAGAATTCTGAACGAACGAAAGTATAGTAGTGCTGATTGAAAAAGTATATCGGACGATTGGGGAGTTATAGAAAGGGAGTTCCTTGAGCTGAGAGGAATCCTTTCATAGAGATGACTGATTCGCTCGAAGACTCTCCCGACAAAACTCTCGATGGATTTTCGACCAATCTGCTAGCCTCTTTGTCGGCTTCATGTTTCAAATGCAAAAAATAATGCTCATCACAGCTTCCAAGTCCACTTTGTCCCAGAACGACCCTCAATTCTAACCCACAGCGTGGCAATGCTCGCTGCAAACAAAAGCAAGCCAACTGTATAAGTAACCCGCAGGTAAGTCGATGGATCATGCAACGCAGACCCCCAGGAAGCAGAAGACTCGTCAACGGCGTTCCCAGCAAAGCGCCAATACCTCGAATAAAATACAGTGCCCCATTGACTGAAGTAAAGTGTTGACCAAACAGCTCGATCAGGCTTGCAGGAAACAGTGAGATGTAAGCACTTCCAAAGCAGCCGTACAGAATGGCAAAAATGATGAACAACGCATTTGCACCCCCCAAAGTCGATGGCAGCCAAAATCCAAACACAGCCACGCTACTCAACACAGTCGTCAAGAAAAGCACATTGAGCCTCCCAATTTTATCAGCCGCATATCCGATTCCAATCCTGGAAACGAAGTTTGCCGCATTGCTGATCGTGATGAAATCATCCGCTTGCACAACACTATACCCCAAAGACCTGGCATAAGCTGCATAGAAGAACAACGGCGTTGCATATCCCGCAGACTGTAAGAAACATCCAAGTGCCTGTGCAATAAACTTCTTGGACTTGACAACTTCCATGTTGACCAGAGGCGCCCTCGCCCACCCCGTCCACCGAGATAATCCAGCCGTCTGGCGTTCGACCATCTCGCCAAACTGCGGCTCCCAGCGCAACGCAAACCCAGCAATAGGCACGAACACCGCAACAACGCACCCTGAGATTCTCAGCGCATTTCGAAACCCAACCGCAGAGGTGATCGCCCGCAGAACAGGCGGCCACACCATGCCTCCGCATGCAGAACCTGAAATCACGATTCCCATCGCAAGACCGCGGCGCTTGTCGAACCATCCTGGTGCCACGGACATAGTAGGCACATATGCCATACACGTCCCCAGCCCAACGAGGAGACCTTGTGTCAGCGCAAATTGCCAGACCTGCTGGCTGAGACTTGCGAGGATGCAGCCTAGAGCGAATACTAGACCACCTGCCATGATCACGGTTTGAGGACCGTATAGCTTTGCCCAGGTCATTATGAAGGGACCGCCCATGGACATTGTGGCCATGGAGACCGTTCCTATTAGACTGATTATCGAGGAGCTTGTTCCTGTGAAAGGCGTGTTTGGGGCGGAGGCCATTTCTTCATAGATTGCTTGATAAACACCATAGGCGAATATTATAGCGCAGGTCATGAACATTGTTATGAAACCCGAGATGACGATGATGATTTGGCGGCTGTATTCATGAGTATGGGCTTTGCATTGTCAGGTTGATAGGGCTGAACTTGCAATTTCGTGCGAGGTGTATGTTGGATGCCCATACTGGGTGTTTGTGTATTGGGCTCAGGGTTCACATGTTGACTCGGATTCTTGTCTTCCATAGTGGGTTGGAGTAGATGCAGATGTTCGCAAACGTACTCCACTCTTCAAATAAGCTATGCCAAGCCGATTTTTTTGGATCTTCGACAGTTATCAGATCAAAACGAAACAAAGGTTCGAGTGTCTGGGGAGAGCTGGGCCATACTAGGTACGATCCGGGTGATGTTATACCCACCGGCATTCACATTCCATATCAGATCCGACTGCATCTACAAACATACGCGGTAAATTTGTCGGAGCTCCTTGAAAGTACGACAGTATGGTCGGCCTTTGAATGGAAATGAACGAGGTCCCATCAAATATTAATTCTAGCATCTGTGTATAGAGCTCAACTGCCATACTAAGTTGTGGAGAAGCTCAAAGTTGGATTAACCGGGACGATACCTAACAAAACCCCCCTTGGCGATGATAATTCTCGACTATGAACCTCGTATAAATGTGCGATAAAAGCATACGAATGTTCTTTCTACTTTATTCAGACAGAAGTCACTTTGGCTCCTAAAAGTTTCATAGAAGTGTATCACATGACGCGTATACCCCACGTGTCTTTTAAGATAGCTAAGCTTAGCTCCGACAACAACCCTACCACTCATCATGAGCCTCCAGCGCTCCAATGTGACAATAATTCACCCGGACCTGGGCATTGGTGGTGCCGAGCGACTCATTATCGATGTCGCTTTAGCCCTGCAGAACCGCGGCCACCGCGTAACGATCTACACCTCCCACCGCGATAAGACACACTGTTTCGAAGAAGCTCGCGATGGCACCCTAGATGTCCGCGTGCGCGGAAACACAATCTTTCCCGCCCACGTCTTCGGTCGACTCCACATCCTCATGGCTGCGCTGCGCCAGCTCCACCTCACCGTGTCATTGCTGGGCGAGCTCGGTTCGGCGACGGAGAAAGCCAATGACGGAGACGACATATTCATCGTGGACCAATTAGCGGCCTGTGTACCATTTTTGAAATCCTTTGGCCGTCCACGCGAATCCCGAAGTCAGCGCATCCTATTTTACTGTCATTTCCCGGATCAATTGCTTGCGCGCCGGGACGAGGGCGGCTCGCTTCTTCGTTTGGCGAAGATGCTATACCGCTTCCCATTCGATTGGTTTGAAGGGTGGGCTATGAGTGCGTCGGATCGCGTTGTGTCAAACTCCAAGTTCTCCCGCGGTGTCCTACATGATGTCTTTGGCTCGGATCGACTGGGTGATGTTGAGGTCATTTACCCGTGTGTTGACATGGATGGAGCCTTGTTGCCCACGAAAACGGAGGAGAATCCCCTCTGGAATGGGAAGAAGATATTGCTCAGCATTAATCGTTTCGAGCGCAAGAAGGATATGGCGCTAGCCATTCGCGCTTACCATGGGCTAGGCACAGAGAAAAGGAAAGGCACTAGATTGGTGATTGCTGGTAAGTCGCTTTGCTCATTGGTGAATGTTTCTCCTGACATGGCTCTCTAGGCGGTTACGACAATCGTGTCCCAGAAAATGTTCAATATCATCAGGAACTAGACAAGCTGGCTACCGGTCTTGGATTGGAAACCGCGACTTCCAAGACGGTCGTATCTGCTCTTTCGATTCCAAAATCTATCGATGTTCTCTTCCTTCTGTCGGTGCCTACAGCGTTCAAGGATACTCTACTCGCACAATCCAAGCTTCTTCTCTACACCCCGATCAACGAACATTTCGGCATTGTTCCAGTTGAGGCGATGCGGGTGGGTCTCCCTGTATTGGCATCAAATACGGGAGGTCCCCTGGAAACTATTGTCGAGGGCGAAACGGGCTGGCTCCGGGACGCCCATGCCGATGAGGAATGGACTGCTGTCATGGACAAGGCTCTCTACGGTTTGAGTCTCAAGGACGCTGAGCGCATGGCTGCTGCTGGCAAGGCGAGAGCAGAGAAAGAATTCTCACTCACAGCCATGGGCGATAGGCTCGAAGAGGAGATTTCTATTATGCTCAAAGCCCAGAGAAGGACATTTAATGGATGGCAGCAGGCGTTTGCTTTGTTGGCCCTGTTTGGGGCTTTCCTAGTGGCATCGACCGCGTTCTTGCTCCGAGCGATGTAATCAATTTATCTTCTATTCTACGTCAGTTTGATTCCCCACGTAGCAATTATACAATTATATGAACCCTCAATGGCATTTCGTGTTGTACATGACAAACTAAGCAAACAGTCACATGACTTCGTGTTTTCTGTACGCGGTGACGTCGCGCTTTTATCAATCTTTCCCCATTATCGCCTTAGTGGCATTGGGATCCAAGATGCCCGATTTTATAGATTTGATATCCTCCTCGCCACCAAAGCCCCCGCCGAGAGTGGCCCAGCCAGAGCCTCCGTCCGCACAACCACCCCGCGCCAATCCAACCTCATCTGACCCATATGATACCTCGCTGTTCGATCATGATTTCGATAAGCCTGCCAAGAGGCGGAGAGTTAGCGACGAAGAACATATTCCTATTCGACAAGAAGTCATTTTGAAAGAACCCAAGGCATTGGATGCTACGGCAGAGGCGTGGTTCTCAATCTCGGATGATGATTTCGATCTACCACCCACGACCACGAATGCGGAAAAGAAGCCAAATCATTCACGCGTCGAAGAGTCAGATCCAATAGCCTTGACATCTCCTGCGCCAGGGCCTCTGCCTAAAATGAGCTCCTTCCATAAAACCAAAGACACGAATATGGACATCCTTGCCCTTGACGATGATGACGATTTCATGGACTTGAACCACCCTCCGCACTCGAGTCTGCGAGCGCGCAGTGATATTGAAGAGTTCAGCGATCCTTTTGCGCTGCCAGAATTTGCTGATCTGACAACAAAAGTTCCGACAACATCAGCACCATCAAATCAAATGTTGTCGGAATCCACAGCACGCTTACTGGCTCGTCTTCGAGATGAGGAGAATGGCCCACCCCGAACCTCGGGCTCCAAGGTTGGACCTGTGAGCCAGAAGCAGAAAGTTTGCAGCATTGAAGCCATGGCTGCGGAGTTCCTATCCGACGATGACCTTGATGAACCCGCGGCACCTCGAAAACCAACCAAAAAGGCGAGCAAGGTCGACCCTGCGACCAAGGAAGCCAAGGCCAAATCCCGAGAGGCGGCCAAGATGCAAAAAGAGCGAGAAAAGGAGCTCGAAAAAGAGCGCAAGCTAAAACTTAAAGAAGAAAAGGCGAAAGAGAAACAACGGGCTGCTGATATCGCAAGCGTCAATAAGCTCAAAGTGAACAAAAAGGACTCTACGCCAGAGATGATCATCGACGTCGCTACAACACTAGAAGACACTAGCGTGGGCACCCAAACCATTGAGTTTATGAAGCGGCTCGGTGTCCAGCAGACATTCTTCTCAAGTCAGATACCAAACGTTGTCAAATGGCGTCGCAAGATGAACGCTACTTTCAATAAAACTCTGCGCCATTGGGAACCTTGTCCTTCATTCATCCAAACAGAAAACCATGTTCTATGCCTCATTCCAGCCCAAGAATTCATCAATATGGTCATTTCACCACCCGATGGAGAAGACAGAGAAAGCCTAGACCTCCACGTCGTCAAACTCAAGTCTGCCTATCCGAATTGCAAACCCATCTACCTGATCGAAGGCCTTACAGCCTTGATGCGCAAGAATACCAATGCCCGCAACCGAGCCTTCCAAGCCGAAGTTCTACGCCAAATGGCCGAGGCCGTACCAGAGGCGGAGGCCACCCGCAAAGCTAAAAAGCCCAAGAAAAAGGCCGATGCCCCGATAATCGACGACGAGACCGTCGAAGACGCTTTGCTCCAATTGCAAGTTGCTCACTCCTGTCTTATTCACCACACCACCACGCCGGCCGATTCTGCCGAGTGGATCAAGAACTTTACGGAACACATCTCAACTGTGCCGTATCGACGTGAACGGCAAGAGGCGCACAATGCGGCCTTCTGCATGGATACAGGTCAGGTGAAGACAGGCGCTGACAAGGATGATACTTTTATCAAGATGCTTCAGGAGGTCAACCGTGTCACAGCGCCTATGGCATATGGTATTGCAGGGCAGTATCCATGCGCCACGAACCTGGTACGCGGGATGCGGATGCATGGCGTTGGAACGCTGGAGGATATCAAGGTATGTTGTATTTCTTACGGCTCTGGTTTCTTAATGGATTTGAGCTTTTGGTTTGAAATTTTGCTAACGGTCACAGAAATCTGCAAATAAGAATGGTTCCTTGACTAACGCGCGCATTGGTCCTGCAGCTAGCAAGCGACTGTACAAAGTTTTCACGGGGTTGGACCCGACCTCTACAGATATTTAGGGTTGATTGCCTCGCCTCGACCCATTTTGGATAGGCGGCTTTTGGTTTAGGCCCCTACTCATTTTGGTTGAAGACTCCCAGAAGACCCAAGTTCTCTCCACTGGTTTGACGAATAATTGTTGGTTAATTGCATATCGACCTTTACATTATCGACATGGTGTTTACGTTGAAATGAAACGCCCGTGCTTGGAGCAGTCACTGACATCTCGATCTTGGATGTGACCCAGGGTCTAGCCTAATTGTATGTACATTTACCGATTAATACAACGAGCAGTAACCTTGCAAGACGACGTCATGTCATGATGAATATTCTTCGCTAATGCAGATCTAACATGAACCTTAGAACCCATCAGTATATAAACCCCGAAAACGCCAAATATGGTACCAGTTCAATCTAGTCGAACCACCCAGAAAATCACGGGGTGACCCAGTCCAAGCAGTATACCCACTCAAACAACAACGCCTCTCTTCTTCCATCCCCTCCAAGCGGCAAGCCAAGCGCCGAGCGCAATCCAAACACTCACAGTGCATCCGATAGCCCAGAATCCATAGCATCGCCAGCCATGGCACTGCCCATCGACTCTATCTCCATGGTCGATAGCATTCTGATAAGCAGCGGAGTAGATGATACCCCACAACGCCGCACCCGCGGCAGGCATCATGGCCACAATGCCCCAGTTTGTAGCGAAGTTCTCAACACCCCAGACGACAGAGATGATGATCGGCGCTAGTGAGAAGGCACTGCCATACCCGAAGCCGACGAGAGCTGTCGTCAAGTTGAAAATACCTGGGTATGCGAGTGGGAGTGGAGAGGCTAGGAGTAGATAGCCCAGAGATAGAAGAATCGCCGACGGAAGGAGGAATGTCATTCGAGACAAGGTCAGACCCGAAGTGGCAGGGTCGGGGTGTCGATGGCGCGCGCCTTCTGGGATTGGAGGGAAGAGGTGGGTAGCTGGGGGCGCGAAGAAGTCGGAGAGGGAGCCTGTGAGAAGGCGAGCGATTGTCGAAGTCAAAGCTATGATCGATACGTGTGTTGAGGGAGATCCGGCGGGTGGTATGGCACCAGCGAACGATATGGGCGTAAGGGTTGGGATGATTGTCCCGAGCTTTAGTATGTCAGTACATCTTCCAATGTAAGTGAAGCTGGAGATCAGAAATAACTCACGTTGTTGATATATGATTCCCCTGGACCTGTGACCAGGAAGAATCCCGCAGCCAGCCACCACATGGTATGATCTTGGAGGTAGATTCTGGTCTCATAATTGAGTAGCCAGTTCTTCTTCCGACGCTCCTCTTCTTCACGTTCATGCTCAAGTCGTTGCTGCTCACGCTCTTCATCCGAAAGACTCGCGTTCTCAGCGTCGAAGGCCTCGGAGAACGTGCCATATTCAGCCGTCGCACGAATATCACCTCGCGGTCGGAAGAAATCACTCTCTTCCAAAAGTCCACTACGCTCCAGTTCTTCAACTGTCTCGTCAATGTACTCCTCATCGTCTTCAACGATGCGCAAAGCAAAAGTACCAATAATTCCAATAACCAGCAGCAGCACTGCCAGGAACACGAAGTACTTAAAGACATCCAGATCTCCATGACTGCCATCAGGCAGCACTTCATAGAACAGATAGATCCCGACCTGGCTCTGCCACATTCCACTCAACCCGAACGCCGCAATGGGGACAGCAAGCATGATACCCTTATGCTTACCTCTGCCGAAGTTCTTCGCGCAAGTAGCCACAGCAGCAAGGTACATACAGCTGGTCCCCATGCCGATAGCGATGAATGCCACGACCATGACCCAGAAGGGCCATCCGGATCCACCCACGTCAGTAGGCGGACCGCTGCGGTACGCGAGCGCAGCAAGGAAGTACCCGGCGCCGAAGATCGCACCGGAGAACAAAGACAGCGGTGATGGGCTGTACCGGTCACACAGGTAGCCGAATAGGGGGACGGGGAGGTACATTGCGACTTCGGCGGCGATCGAAACGGCGTTTACCTGCAGTTGCGAGTAATTCATCCGCGTAAGGAGTAGATGGCCGTATAATGAGAATGCAGTAATACTGCCAGCACCCAAACTATACGAACCAGTCAGTCAATTTGGAGGGCTTGGAAATTAAGGCACTATCACATACCAGGTTATAACACCCCATCCAAAACTCACTACCCGGATGACCTCCTTGTGTATTTTCCGTCTATCCCGTTCGACAATCTCGCCGACGACATCGTTCAACAACCCGTCGTCGCTCCTTGGCCCGGAATGGCGCGAGTGTCGGGATCCAGGTCGTCTGGCTGACGTAGGGCTGCGGTCATCTTGTTCCGTTTCTGTGTCTTGAAGGAGTGGACGATTTGCGTCGAAGTCCCGCTTATCAATGGAATGGTTTCCGGCCATGGCGATATCTCCGCACCGGTGCGTAACGCTTCACAGTCGCAGAAGGGGTATTCGGTCTTTATCAGGGGCGGTTGAGAGGCTTGAGGTAAGGTGTGGCGTTGCGATCCGGCTCTGAAATACCGGCTGAGCACGTTTGTTGTGCTCCGGCTCGTGTGATTTGAGCTGGAATGGCGGGGATTCGGAGTCAGCTGGGTGGATCACTTGCTGTGCTGTTCGTAGACAGAGTTCGCGCTACGTCATTGGTATTTGAGAGTTGTTCACTCTGGCATTATTGGATGCTAGGCTGTTGATATAAGTATGTGCAAGACCTAGCTGATAGCTGCTTAGGCCGAGGCTGGTCAAGTTCAAGGAGCTGGAGCTCAGAGCGGAGAAAGTTGGAGTCATCCCACGTGACTCGCCAGTTGGCAGGGATCAACAGCTGAACAGCTACAGGGTGAGCTACGCTAAGATAAGATTCCGAAGTGAAAGTTGATTATTGAAAAAAAGTGACCTAGAAATGAACATGTTCTTTTGGAACGTCATGGGCAACCCCATGCAGAAGAAAATTGAGAAAGAAAAAAAAAGGGCTTTGGAGACATTGGGGGTATTATCAATATCAATAAAACAACCGAGAAATGAAGTCATACACCTAGAACAACCATGAGCTCCTTGCAAAAAAGCAGAACAAAACACAAATTGAGCATCCCGGACTCTAAGTGCATCCGAGTGATAGTCATAGGGCAAGGGGCGTTATTTCGTAGTGTCGATCAGGCGGGATCAGGCACGGGTGCATAAATGGCGGAGAAAGAAGTCTATCCGAACGCCACGTATCGGCAGTGAGGGGCCGAGAAAGAAGAGAGAGAATTAGAAACTGACGGCGCCTGCATCGCTCTCCATCATGGTCTCATCCCAAAATTGGTCTGAAGGATCATCGCGCGCGGCGGGCTGAGATCCCAGCGCAATGGCTTCGCCTTCGCCTCGCTCGATGAACTCGTCTTGACTGACTTCTTTCATGATCCGTTGGAAATACATGCGCAGGGTGCGGAGTCCGCGCAGGTAGCCTCGGTCAATATCGTATGGGTTGTGAGGCGGGCAGGGTGTGTCGGGTGGGAGAGTGTCCTCGCCTGTGACGCAGTTGGCGAAGTCGACGATCTTCAATTGCACGTCGAACTTGTTGTGGCCGTCGTCAGAAACGGTGCGTTTGAGTGGTGCACGTTCACCGTTGGAGCGAGGTGGGCCTTGTTGAGGGGGGGGGGCTTGCTGGTCTCCATCATAAAGAATCAGAAGACTGCTGGCGTACAGTCGGTACCGATCCAACTGTCGGATCATGTGTTCTAGCAAAGCGAGCTTCTCTAGAATGACGGGGATCCTCTTAGCTACACTGGCATAGCTAACACCGTCATATAGGAAACGAGTGAGCGCGTCCTGGAATTCGCGACCAGACTTCAGATCTCGTCCGAAGTATTTGTCCTCGAAGATGTATTCTTGCTTCTTGACATTCCAGGCTTGCATGCCACAGAGCCTCACGCCCAACTGCTGTGAAGTGGTGGACTGGCATTTTCGGCGCTGCGACTTTTTCTTCTTCTCGTTCGCTTCGATTCCATATTGTCGAGTGCCCATCTTCAGATCCAGGACGCATGGTTTGTTCATACCAGCAGTCAGATCCTCTAGGAGAAGGAAGAATTGAACTCTCTCATCCATTTTGAGCTGAGCTTCCTTGGGATTGCTGGGTAAGATCGTATTGAGAGACTCATGAGGCTGGAAGCGTGAGGGACTCTTGTCACCCGGGGAAAACGCTTCATCCGTGTGGTGGTCAGCAACCAAGTGACTTTCTGACGTTTGCGAGCTCGACCGTTTGGCGAGAGGCGAGGGATGAGATGGCATGGAAGCATCGGCTTCCATAGAGAAGATATCATCTTCTTTGTCACCGCCGTACTCTTCATCATCGAAGAACAACAGATCCCCATGATTGCGAGAGTCCATACTGCCAAGTCTCTGAAGACCACTTCCAGAATGCCGTCTTCTTGGATGAGCTGCCCTCGAGAGGGAACTTGACCGATTTTCATCGTCTTCTAGCGTGACCTGTTCGAGACGGGTTTGATTGGCATCAAGGGCAGTTGAGGCCGAAGATGAAAGAGCTGGGCCTTCACCAGAGGGTTTCTTGATGTCAATTGCTTCCGTTTTGAGGGCTTCAATTGGCCCCGGTACAGGTCGTCGAGTGCTTGTCTGATCCTCTGACAAATTTCCCCGGCGACGATTGGCGGTGACGGTGTGAATATCGGAATTCGCTCTTGGTAGCTGGATATGCCCTCGGGCATGCCTGCGGTGACGATGAATGGCGGGCGGGCTGAAGACCTCGCGCAGAACCTGTTCTTGAAGCTTTCGGTTGACGGTGGTGGCTCCCCATATCTTGGCCCTTTTACTGAGTGCCGAGGGATCAGACTCGGCTGACATTCCCTCGAGTCCATCGACAGATCGTGCACGGCTCACCGAGGCATCGGCTGTCTTTGGTCGTTGCGAACGAGAGAAGAGGTCGGCAGGGATGATATGACGGTTGTTTTCGAGGATTACCTTGGGAATCACCCCTGTAGCTTGCGAGTGGCTTACGATTCGCTGAGGCTCAGCTGCCTCTTGAAGTTGAGAGCTAAGAGCGGATGTCCCGTTGCCATTCGTGGCGGTCGGATCATGGGTTTTGGCATCAACGGATTCAAGCTGATCCTTCGGTCGCTTGGGCGTCTTTGAAAATGTGACGTTCAACACTCCAATGTATCTGTATGATATCAGCACAGAACTTATTAATTTTCGCTTCTACGGGAGTTCAACTTACTTTGGAAGAAAGACCAACATTTCCGGGTGTCGTTGTTCAATGCGCTCATAGAACTCGTTCTCTCGATTGTTGAGTTGCTTGCACACAGCTCGCCTGGAGAATCGGAACACCGTTGTGTGGCCACCGACCTGATGCCGATAGGGCTTCAATTCCACGGCACCAAGAAGCCCCGTGGATTTAGGTTGAGAGAGAAGCCGGGGTCGCTGTCTCGGCGTCGCAGTTGGAGTTTTCGAGTCATCGAACATACCATCCTCACTCATCTCGTGGCTCTCGTAATCAGCCTCAGATTCATGCGCTGAATCCCAGCTGATTTCGGAGATAGTACTCAAAGGCTTTTCAGGCAGGTTCTCTCGAGGAGAATGAATATCTCCGTATAGGATCTTATTTTCATTCTTAGATCGCAGGGATATATCCACATGGCTGATTTCCTTTTCGGGAGATTGAGAATTACGCTCTTGGGGTATCAACATCAGCTCTTGGCATTGTTCGGGAACCGTCAACTGAACCGGCTGTACATCACGGGGGCCTTCAGGATACTGCTGCAAGCCATCGACCCCTTCGGGTACCGTGCGCTCGTGGGGGAAGTAAACGGCAGACGAAATCTGTTCATTCTCTTCTTCCTCAACTCCAAATCGCCGTGGTCCGCCAGAATCATCTTGCTCGAATGAGCTGACTGGGGAAAGTTTGACATGAGCCTCCTTCTGGAAATAATCCCGGCTCCGCTCCGAATACTGCGTGGGGATGCTCTTTGAGAAAGAAGAGCCATGACGACCTCCCGGGGTTAGGTGGAAATTGCGAATTTCTTCAAGTAAGCTGCGGGGCAATGCCGGCGGACGGCGCTTGTGGGGTTCATCATGAGATTGGGTTTGAGGGGTTTCGGGGGCAGTTGGTTCAAGAGAGGGACCATCCCCAAGCGAAGGGAGCGAGATGCTTCTACGAAGCAAAGCTTCCTCTTCTGATCGTGGCCTTGTGTCTTGTTCCGAATCCATGACGCTATCCTGTGGTTCCAACGTCTCATCATGTGTGCGATCCCGCTCCTCCCGACGCTTGCGATCTGGCGAGGTGGTGGTGTTTTCCTTGAATAGACCCAGGTAGTGGCTCGATTTACGGCTGCGCACGTTAGAAGCCGGTTCCGCGTTGGTTAAGTTGGCTTCGATGGAGCTGTCCACTCGACCACGGCGCCCTCTGCTTGGGCTGCGTTCGAGAGAATTCTGAGAGGCTTCTTTTCGAGGACTGTAAGATGCAGAAGCGAGTTCTTGACTGACCTGAGGGCCGTGGCCAGACAGTGCACTCAGCGAGTGCGGGGTAGAGGAGACATCATCTACTGCAGGTGGGAAGACGATTTGTTCAGGTATAGTGTCATTTAAATGGTTGGTTTTCGTACCTGTTCCATCCAATGGCACCTTGTACCGCTGAGACCTGCCCGACGAAGCCTGCACACTCGCCTCCGCCAGTGATTTCTTGAAGTGATCAGTCGGCGAGGTCGAGGCGCGCAGGAGGGACAAACGGGGAGCATCGGAAGAGAAGAAGGTTGATGAACGCAGTGGAGAGTGTCTGTGGGCGTCAACTTCCATGTGGGAAGGGTCGACGTTGTAATGGTGGGGAGAGACCTTGGGGAATGCACTTGGAGACACGGATGCATCATCCAGGCTGGGGATCAAGTTGACCTGACGGTCATTGTCCAAGGTCCTTTCGGGGGTAACTGTGGGGTATTTGCGCCGCTATCTGAGGGAAGGTAATGAGTTGCGAAGATGCTATCGCGCTCTGACAGCTGGGGGCGATAAACAATATCTGGGCTGGCGGTGTTCTCCGGTGGAGCAGTCACCGTCCTTTTGAGGGTGAACCTGGGTTGGGACCAAGAATCAGCGGTTGGGGATTCTGCCCGCGAAGGCGAAGAACCCTCCCTCTGCATCTGGGACATCTGGGCCTGCCGAGAGTGGTGACGTGGGCCGGCCCCAGGGATGGCTGAGCAATCATGTTGGGCAGGGGCCGCAGGTGTCACCACGCGATTAGGCAAGATCTCTTCGGGAACGGACGGCGAATTTGACATGGGGTGGACATTGGTCAAGCACGACTTTCAGAAAGGTAGGGAAGCGGAGACCGGAGTTGGGCTCGTAGGGATTGGGCTTAACGGGGCTGCGGGCAGATAGGCGAAAAGTTAGATGAAAAATTGACTGTGTACAGGTTTGAAGGGGGTCGCGCACGTTGCAGAAAGGTGTGATATGACTGGAGAAATCTAAGTACGCAAATCGGTCGGAAAGCCGATGAAGAAGGTCACTTAGAAAGAGGGAAGGGAATCGAGAGAAGAGGGAGTTTGGAAGATCGTCACCGCCCTTGAGTGGATCCAAAGATCTTCTTATTTTTTTTTCTCCTCGATTTTGCAATCTATTCAGGGAAATACAAGAAGGTTCGCAGATCAAGGAAATGTGGATGAAGTCATTGAGAAACGGGGGAAAAAATTCAAGTGGTTTAGCTCTTTATATGGTCGCGACGGGGTTGTCACTGGCAATTCGTGCAACCATCTTGAATTTACATGTCATCACCGTTCTTCCAAGCTTTCCTCTCCGTGTATTTACTTGTTTCTTACTCCGTACTATAGCCCCTGGAAGATATCAAAAATGTGGAATCAAGAAGATCATCCTTTCTAAGCTGACCGCTTTTTTGGGATCAAGAATTGTTCAGAAGGAATGTCAATCGCACTTTGTTGGATATCTACCAATCACCGCCCTCAATGCGTATCGTGCGTCCATGCTGGCCCTTAATAGGCAGTAATCGTTAGATGTGTACGACCCTAGGAACCTCAAGAATTCACATGTATCATATCTTGGTCCCGAGCTTGATTTCTCGATAGGTTCGAATACATTGGGAGCTGTGCAAGCGGAATAATGGCCTCCGTATATCTCCAAAGTTCTAGAACCATGCTCACATGGGATAGCTATGTGCAAGGTCAATTGTCAGCCTAAGGAGCTTGAGACTCAAAGCTTATCTATTTCCAAGGTTCGCGCAAGTACGTGGTGCCATGTGTACGGAGTACGGAGTACACGGAGTATAGCACACATCAATTTGGAGTACCGCAGCACTGTGTATAGACCCCCTGAATGTTTGTGACTACATCTCCCCATGATTTAGATCGAGGCTAAAGATGCCTTAATTCACGATGGTGCTTTAGGGCGTGTCTTAGATTAAACCACCCCCACTTAGTTATGCCAATGGCTGTGAGGAGAAAGTAAGAACTTTAAGAGCTCAAAACCCATCTGAAACTGACCCTAATTCATATACCTTTGGAGTCGCTCATAACTTAAAGCTGCTGCCTGTTCGGTATCAATCTGAAGATCTCTCAAATTTCAGAGGTAAATATTGACATTCCACTCCATACTCCATATTCCGTACTAGTTATGAACTTGGAAACCTCCACCCTCCATGCCAGCCCTATCTACTCCTTACCATGCGACAATCTCGGCTGTCAAATCGCGGACCACTCGTGAATTACACTTGTAGACTGACATGACTCGCATCCACAGGCAATTCGTCCACCCCAGGCGCTTAGCTCACAGTGGAGCCGTGTGATTGTGATGGGAAAAAGGTGATCTGAAACGGGAGGCGCCGAGCGGGCCACAGCCCAACCAGAACGCATAGCGATGTGAAGCAAGTGCATTAGGGCCAACGACCAACCAGCACCAGCCAGCATTTGACGAACCAAATGTCCAGAACAGGAACACCTCTCAAAATGCTTAAGCCACTCATATCATCGTATCCCCGCAGAGCTTGGACTTTTTCGTACGCCCCGTCGCGTCAGACCGTTCCGACCCCACTCCGAGCTCTAGTTTGACGCCGGTTTCCTTCATGCGCCCCAGTTCACACGAGACCATGGTAGCACACTTATACGGCCGACTTTCCACCGGTTGTCGAGCTACGCGCCAAGTGTTTTTGCTTTCGTAATTTCTCTGTTGCACCGACTGACGACTTTGCTGACTTTTGTGATCTATGTGGTCAGACACATAAGTATACAAAAGTCTTATACCGTTGGAGGGCTGATATTGGGAACCCCTTTGGAACATCACCTTGGTCAAGATGGATTCTCCAATTCTAGATACCACAGTCGGGCGCAACCAGAACCGCTACTCGTTCATGGAAACACCGCGCGAGATGAACCCGCCATCCCGATTCCCAAGTCCAACCCTGCCTCATGCGGACTCGAGAGCACCGACGGAAGAACCGTTACAGCAGCAAGACACTTGGACACCGACACCAAATGAAAAGACCCAGTTTCATAACCAGGGAATACTTCCGGACTATACAAACTGCCCACCTCCCGAACAACATCCTGCAAACTACGCACCTTTCGCAGATACATCTGCGCAGCATCAAAGTACCCAGATACCTTCCTATTCGACAGCACATGGATCTCAACAGCAGGACGCCCCTATAGTTACACAATACGCGACCGCATATGGTAATTCAACCTATACCACACAAACCCCTTCGCAGCCATATACCAACCAGTCATTCTCAAACCTACCCCAGCACGCCGTCTCTCCTCATCCATATACCAGTCAGCATTATACAAATATCCCATTACAGCAGGGAACAATGTCACATCAAAGATATTTTGACAGCTCCGATTACCAGTGTACCACCCCAGTATCTGCACAGCCATATGCATACTCGCACACGCAGTCCTACACAACCATGCCCGAACAGACTCCGCAAAACACCCACATAACGCCACAACCATACACATATAACGAACAGACTGTTCCAACGCCAACGTCCCCAGGCCCACTCCCATTAAAGATGCGCCCGGGCGCACTACGCAGCAACACAGTGAACATCGCACCAGACGAGAACCCTCTCCAATCACCCCAGCAAACATACTTCCCCCACCAACCAGAGCCGCAACCGCCCCCGAAGACCTAAGCGCCTTCCACAACCCAGGCCAAACAGTCCATCCAAACCAAGAAGCCACCGGCGGCGGCTGGAGCAACGGACTCTGCGAACTATCCAACTTTGGAATCTGTTGCCTAGGCCTCATATGCCCCTGCATTCTGTACGGTCGAACACAGCATCGCCTGTCGATGAAATCCCGTAAAGAAGACCCCACAAATATGCTCGGCTATGAGACTTGCAACGGGTCATGCACAGGGATGGGTCTGCTATGCGGATGTCAATGTACGTAACCAGACCAGCATGCATTCTACCTCTCTGCAAATCTTACTAACAAAACCAGGGCTCATGGCGACGATCCAGCATACAAGAACGAGAAAAGCATATGGCATCGAAGGAAGCGTTGCATCAGACTGCGTGCGTGCGTCTTGTTGTACGTGCTGCACGCTAATCCAGGATGAGAAGGAGATCCAGAAGAGGGAGGAGATACGCGCTCGCGCCGCTAGAGAGCGCGGGGCTACTCTCCTTTCCCCTTATACTACCCCGGGGCCCATGTCATATGGCCGAAGCGAGTGACGTCTTTGAGTCCTCTAAGGTCGTCTTATTGAACTTTATGTAAAAAATATATCAACCGTGTTCTACCACTGTTTGTTGTTCGATGTGTCTTTCCAAGGTTGGGATTTGTTGATTTCGCCATGATCGCCAAGATTTTCGTAGTGCAGGAGCGAGTGCGAAAACGATTGGGACTCGGGAAAAGGGATGGGTCTATTTTTACGTGGAGCTTGGCTTAGTTAGGTATAATGGTTGTGGCGTGGAGTTGATGTATCAGACCGGTTGAATGTGGGGCGCTGGCAATTCCAATTGTCACCTGTGGTACGGAGTACCTGTGGACTAGGATAGACTCATGTTGATATAACTCCGTATTTGATCATTTATTCTAATGGTGCAGACATGTGAAGCGATTGACAACGAGTATGTACTCCATCCAACGCCAATAGAGCTCTTTAAACTGGCTAGTGGAGCGACACGAGTGATTGATAGAGTGAGTAAAGTTACCTAGTGCTGCTTGCCAGAACTCACCTTTTCAATGTTTATAACAGTACGGAGTATTCTGTATTCCATACCTAACTCAGAAGCTGGGCAAAGGTGTGGAAAACATCAGAAGCGAGCGTTGTTGTCTGGAGACCGGCTATCCAGACGTTGATGGCAAACTACGCACACGTGGTACTATGTGGTCATTAAACAAGTCTGACTATCTACTACTCAGAATCCTTTCCCTGACTACTTGCTAGAACGTGAGGTCGGTAAGCCATCAGCTGAAGCTCAGCGAGTCCCACCGAAGAAGCTTGCGAGGCTCCATAGGGAGTGCCGAGTTCTTTTCTTCTCAGATGTGCTACTATTGTGTCAGATATTGTTGGTAGTTCCAAGTTTGGTCTTTTTTTTTTAACCTGGGTACAAATTGGTTCTGCAGATATGACAGTTGACACGGCTTTCCAGGTTCAATCAAACTCTGAAAGTGTTTATATGTGATACTTTCCAAGCATCTGCCCATACATATTCATGGGCAATACATGGAACGGATCTCCGTCTTGTGCCAACCGAGGAAGGAGAAGGGACCGAGAGCTTCCGTCTGCTAGTCAAGGCAACTGAAAAGGTAGAGTCACACGCATCGCATTTGATCACGGCTGGCACTATGACAGGCATCCTCAATGTAGGTCTCTATGCAATGAGTACTACTCCGTACGGTGCTCCGTACTTACAGGTGCCAGTTGTACTCCGTAGGGGTTCTTGCGTCAAACTTGAAAGACGCCTGGGCAGTTGTGTTGTGCCGAGGCATACTCCGTACTCCGTAGATGTCTTGAGATGAGAGGTCTATTGGCTGGGGTCGAAATCATTGTATGTCATTCATTCGAGGCATCATATATTCCGTGTTAATTGCAGCAATTCATTCTGGCGATTTAGTACCCATCACAAAGACTACCAAGAAATGCACACAAGATCCCACGATCGGACAAACCAGCGCGCTGGGACAACCCCCACCCGATTTTGACTAACCCGATCGGTCTTGCCACGACGATCTTCTCAATGAGGACCAAATTTTCTCGCTATGTGCACCATCAGACCCCCGCAGATAATTCTGTCAAACTAGCCATTAGAATGCAAGGTCGTGCATGGAGAGGGGGTGCATGGGCCGTAGAAATATTAACACGCCCCACGGTAGATGATGCGTCAAGCGGCAAGTCGGGTAGGTTCCTAGCCGCTGGTACGGGCAAGGAAAATTTTCCCCCGGTGTTTGGGAACCAGCCTTTCGCCTGTTGGGGAATAGTCCTTGTTCGTGAAGGATGTGGGGGTTGACTAGTGGGAGATCACGGACACTGATCGACCGCCATAACGCAAGGATGGGATAGGTAGATCTATTATTTATGAGGTGCCCACGCAGCAACTGAACTGTGTTGGAGAAATCTAACTTTATGTTGTAATAGCTAAATGGCTTTGAGACCTATCTGTTGCCTTTTCGCTTTTAGTTTGCCTCTTGTTGTTTAGAGTCGTTCCAAAGTTGTGTATATATTGACTCTAACACTTCGCACTGATATCAGTGCTTCCATTCTTTTATACCACTATATCAAATTGGCAACCTTGGAATTGCAATATGGCAGATACCGTGGGACAGAACGCCCATGGATATGACCATGATAACTTGCGCCATGTGGTCATCACATCAACGTGCTTTGCCTTCATCCTGTCTACCACTGCAGTCGGGTTCCGAATCATTTCTCGAGCCATCAATGGAAACGGTCTTTTCCTAGATGATTGGTTCATTCTTCTGGCACTGGTAAGTGATCAATGTATAGCCGGAAACTCGGCCGAGGTTAATATCGGAGTTAGGTCTTTGAATATGGCATATCAATAGCCGGAGTTGTTTGTATGTTGAGATCTTGTAACACTTCGATGACAACAAACTGACATTTCAAAGTACTTTACAATGGATTAGGGACCCATATTGGCGAGGTCACTCCTGAGCAACTTGTGACTTATTTGAAGGTATGGAACAACCCTTACGCCATGTTACCACAGATATTTTGACGAGATCATAGACACTCTTTACCGGCTCGATCCTCTACACATGCTGCATTCTTTTCATTAAATTATCCATTCTCGCTCTCTACCGACGACTATTCCCCATCAAGAGCATGAAGGTAGCCGTGAATGTCACATCCCTCATCGTGATATTGTGGGCCGCCTGCGGCATTCTCGCTGGATGCTTCACTTGCATCCCAACCGAGAAATTATGGAACCCTATGATCGAAGGAGGTTGCATGAATCTCTCAAAGTTTTACTATGGTCTCCAGATTCCCAACATTGCGACTGACGCAATCATTCTCGTGATGCCCATGCCCGTTGTCTGGAAACTTCCCATTTCCAAGGCACAGAAGATGGGTCTTTCGGCTATTTTTGTCCTGGGACTATTGTAAGTCCACTTGATCTCAAAACAAAACATCAGGCTGACCAAAATAGGACTCTCGCTTTTGATATAGTCAGACTGGTTGTTCTCATCGAACTCGCCTCAGCGGGTGCCGACGTTACTTGTATGTTGCAAATCTACCAGTACTACTTTCAAAGCTGACACGCAGCAGACAACCAAGTCCCAGCGAGTGTGTGGACGTGCATCGAGCCCGCAGTTGGAATCGTCGCAGCCTGCCTTGCAAACATGCGCCCCTTGTTCAAGCTCATGCACACTAAAGTCTGGTCCAGGATTTCCAGTCGCTACGCCACCAACTCCAACAACTCCAGCGGATCCCAGATCAACGAAAAAGCGAGCTGGCCGCGTCGCACCCCGAGCCCTCAAGCTGAACACAACCACAGTGTTCCTTCCAGTCCAAGCACTAGCGACTCTCATTCATCACCTTTGGACCAGTCACCTACCCACAACCAGTCCGCTGTTTGAATAGCGACATATACCCACACGGGCAGCAATTTCCTTCCTAGTATCTTACACTCTTTCTCCCTTCGTGCATTGGATCGAAGGTATTCTCTTCATGATCAGGCTCCAGATATTTTGGTAATCTCCAATGTCCTTACCTTGACACGGTATCTGCCATATTCACCCCAATTTCTCCTTCTTTTCACTTGTTACTTATTCTCTACAACAAATTGATTCTACTACTCATCGACATCGAACTCATAATTGATGTTTTAGGCCGTAACAAGGACTGAATCTTTGTCTTGTGAATTTAAAAAAAAGCCTGACAATGCTTTGTTTGATTACTATCCTCCGAAGGCACCACAAAGCACCCAGACAAAGACATTGAGGCGCTCGGTATTGGGCTCCTTTTGTCGAATTTACAAAGGGCTCGGTAAGTAGCTTTTGTGCGACGATGGCATTTGCATAGAAGGCTCGGCCCTTCTTTAAGGCACTAAAAAAACCTACTCAATAAGTAGCGTACGACGGTTTGAGCCGTCATGTATAAATATCACTGTCCCACTCAACGAGTATATCAGACACACCAGCAAAGAGGGATAAGTTCCTAATCTTCAAACTGCACCCGAGATTCCTAGCTTGGAAGATTCTATTATTCAATTCATTCATCTACATCATGATCAAACGCTATGCAGTAGATCTGTCATTGCAAGCGTCCTTCCAGAAGAAGTGCTTATCTTTCCTGCGCCGACTGGAGAAGCATGCCCATTTCTTCAGAGAAAATCCAGATGATCGCAGTATTGAAACCACTGGAATTGCTTACAGAAATATGATGGTTACCTGGGCTCAGGTAGAGCACATAAGAGAAGCAGGTCTCAATATGGTCGACGATGCCCCCAAAAGTCCTCTTATTGTTGAACGTCGTAGCTACTGGTTTTTACAGGCAATGGCAGACCAGAGAGAGTTTGAGGATGCTTGTGATCTCCTAGAAGCTCAATTAGAGGACCTGGCAAAAAAAGTCCTTTGTCGTGAGGCGGAGAATCTCTGGGTTGCCGGAATACTGGAAAATATCGCCACGACATTTGAAGATGATTTTCATCTTAGCACCATGGACAGAAAATAGTAGAGTGGCTATAGAGATTCACCGTTGAAGGCAGAGAACGTCAAGCTGAAGCATAGAAAATAAAATCCAGATGTGTGATTTCGTCAATGTTAAGGTGAGAGCGTAGATCATAGCCCTACCACCCTCCAAGATCTCAACTATTGGGGCTGATTGGATATTTGGGGGCGATCCCCTGCCCCTTTTGCGGCGCCAAGATAGTTAAATAGCACCCCGCGCCATGACAAGGCACATGACTGACATGAAGGGACTCTTAATCTTGAGTTTTTCTTTTTCTTTCATCTCCGCGAGCTTACAGCAGCTAAAGTCAAAATGCGCGGCCTCGATGAAAATACCGAAGTTGACGTTGACGCGCTCATCCGCACCGGTCAAAAGGCTCAAGCACAAGTCAGGCATGCATGGGATGGGTTTGTCAATTTTGCAGCGCGGGATAACGTGTTGGAGGTTGCTTTGGGTTTGATGTAAGTTCCTTGATTTCAACGTTGAGCACGGCAATAATATCGAGCAGAATCGCGAACGCGTTCACCAAAGTAGTCACATCTTTCGTATCGGACTTGGTCCTGCCGATCGTCTCGCTTCTCCCGTTTTTGAACAGGAACATGGATCAAAAGTTTGCAGTACTCTCACAGGGTCCGAATTACACCAGTGAAGGTTACAACACACTTTATCAAGCTCGAGAAGATGGTGCATTAGTGTTGGCCTATGGGTATGCAAATAACCATTTGATGCACGACTCATTCTTACATAATATACAGAGCATTTATCGAGACGGTTGTAAATTTCTTGGGTGTCAGCCTTACCCTGTATGCTGCTGGACATTTGTACATGTTTTTCTTCCACAGCAAAATCATCAAACCGACAGTCCGGTGTCCATACTGCAAGCAGTTTATTAGCGAAGCGGTAGGGTGTTTGACCTGACAGTTTTGAGCTTGACTAACAACTTATTGCAAGGCTCTTCGTTGTCGTCATTGCTCAACTTGGCAAGATGGAAGGGAAGACGAGCCGAAAGCTGAGAGTTTGCAGGGAGAATTACTTGAAGATGGACCAAGCTTGATCAGAGCAGATCCCTAGTACACAAAGTGCCGGGGTATCCTTTCACTCATATGGGCAAGTGGCACTGTTTTCTTGAGGGATAAGTGGTTTCAGCCAAAGGAAGTCTTGCACCTATGCCGGCGGTTGATACCCGTAAAGATGTCTATGCAAGTAGCGCCGCGAAGAACCCTAGAGGCACCAATGGATACTAAGAAGACCCACATAACCGTACAGTGAGACTGAATTAAACATACAAGTATTTGCAAGTAGATGCATCTAGGTGTGGATGTGGCACACCAAGTCTAAATCTATCCTTCTATATTGTCCACCACCCAAGTTTCATGAACACCCCGGGCCTTTTGGAACTTTCTGTGCACAAAAGCCTCTCGTCGGACTGAGAGCGAGGCAGCCATGCCTGTCTCCAGCACTTCGGGAGTCTAAGAGCGCTCCTTTTTCCTAACATTCCAAGACGGAAATCAAGAGGCTCAGCGCCAGGACCCGGATCGGATGGCAAGCGCATGAAGAAGCGAACACTGTCTGGGATCTCCTCTGGCACATGGCTGATCACAACCAAAGCCTGATCCTTCGTGAGCCCTTTAAATGTATATAGATTTTCTTCGCTTCGAGAGACTTTTGTTCCAGTTTTGTGGGTGACCCGGCCACTTTCAAGGAACGCTAAACACTTTTCGCGTTGAGAAGCAGAGAGTCCAGAGAAGGCTTCATCAAGTATGATGATATCCGGTCTGGCGATCAGAGTTCGCAAGAAAAGCACAATACGTTGATGGGCAACGCTGAGTTGACCAAATGTAATGTTGTCCGCATACTCGGTGATCAGATCCAAGGCATACTGGGCTGTAGACTGGCCGACAATTTCTTGGCTTTTTGGTGGCATTGGGAAATGTTGCGTTGAGACCTGTGTGCCTTCATTTGCTTCGAATTTCGGATCTAGTTCAGCCTTCCACAATGCCAGGAAAAGATTGATCTCATGATCGATTTGAGTATTGAGCTTCGGTTTTGCCAAAAATGTTTCGGCGAAAGCAGACTCAAGTGCCCGACGAATGGTCAACTGGCGGGGGAAGAAAGCGTGAATTTCCGGCGAGGAGTGTCCAAGGCGAGACTGAAGCTCGAAGATTGAGATTCCTGGTACTCCAGGTTCCGGGAGTCTGGACCGACCGAAAAGCTTAACCGGTTGGGCATAGGCCTGCGGGTGATCCGATGTGATCATTGATAATAATGTTGTCTTGCCTGAACCATTGGCACCAAGAATCGCCCATTGTTGCCCACGACGCACTTGCCAATGCAGCCCTTCTTTTTGTTCGGAATCAACAATCTGCGTCCAGTCCCCCAGAACAACCTTGTCTCCATACTGCACACGAACACCGTCCATTTCGATGACAGGTTGTCCGTCCATAGATGGAACCTCATTGATTGTTTTAAACTCCATTTTATGTTTCAGCAAGCACCAAAGCAGCTCCTTGTCTAAGGCACCATCATGCATCTTGAGCAGGCCGTCTTGCACAGCTGTCTGTTGCCGCTTGCTGACGCGATCGTCCTTTTCCCCATTCGCCGTGGTCAGAGCTTTTGTGGTGGTTTGCGATAAAGATTTCTTCTTTGCTGTTTTCGCCTTCAACACTCTTTTAGTCTCTTTCTCACTCAGCAAAGCTGCCCAGTGTCCCAATATTTCCTGTATATGCCTTGCTGTCCCTTGCAAGAGAATGGTGTGATTATTGCCAAGCACCATTTTATGAGTGATCCAATCTGGTACATTGTCCTGGGGTCGAAGGGCTAGAACGATACGGGGAGAGCATTTCCGCGCGAGCCGTTCCAGGAGGGTGGAAATACTTGTGACCGTGCCAGGGTCCAGTCCCACTGAAGAAGGGTTAATAAGGGACCAGACTAGAATATGGGCAACTTACTGAACGGCTCATCCAGAAGCAAAAGCTCCGGCTTTTTCAAAAGTGCTTTGGCAATCCGTAATCGGCGAGTTTGACCATTGCTCAGGTTCTGCACGGGCATCTCAAGTAATTCTCCTAAGTGTAGGTCGGCGATCACCTCCTCAAGGAATGCTTCATCTCGGATGGTTCCATTTTCTTCTCCCTCCATAGGATTCAGCGAGGTTTGACCGCGCAGATATTGTCGGACTGTCCAGTCAGTCTCTTCTCGATGGCTCTCATAGCGAGCACTCAGGTACGCGCCACGGGTTCCGCCAATAGCCTCCGATCCTTCCCCACTGAATCCGACGTATTGAATTGCATTTTCCACTGAGCGTAGCTGTGGATCTTTGGCGGCGATCTTGTCTGTGAGTAGGTATGGGTAGGAGCGCGCATGAGGCGGGACGCAGATGTGTCGGCCGCGGAAGACGTCGAGGAGGTCGGTTCGGTTTGAGCGACCGATCACAGCCCAAAGCTGCGCTTGAGATTTTCGTTCCGGGAGTGTGAATGTCATATCGGGGAACATTGGCGGATTGGACACATTTTCAATGTCAGGATGTTGTTGATAGAATGAGGCGTTTTCTATGTGAATGATAGGCGCGGAGGATTTGAATCGAACTGGGCGGTATGCCGCAAGTCGCAATGACCTGGGCCGCAATAACGTCCGAAGCACCATTAGGTATTATCGGCCAGCGAGGTGAATGACGGAGATTGGAGATTCGGGGTTAACAAAACCAGAAGCACGTGATCCCCGATAGTTGGAGATATCTCGGATCTTCCGTTCTTTCTCCTGGAGCTATCCACTTATAAAACTTGTGTTCTTTTGTGACTCTTCGTCGAAACATAACTTTACAGGGACTCTCACATTGACAGGGTAGTGTTTTATGCATATATCACATCATTCGGTTTAGATTCTAGTTGAGGTTCAACTGTCCAGTTTCTCAAGGTTGAGGAGTCTTATCTCCGAGTGTAAACCATAAAGACTATGAATTGAGGCCCGCGTGGACTTCATTTGCTTCATTTCATTTGACAGGCTAGCATCTTCTACTTGTGTATATGGACATATTCTCGATCTCCATCTTCCAAGTCTGGAATTTCGACACCAGTCACGTGCCACATCCGAAAATCCCCAACCGGGAGTTCACATTCGGAAATTTTTTCGGATAGGTCTTTTCCATACCTCCCGTTACTAACCTCGATACTTCTAACCTGGAGATGAAAGTTCCAAATCCAAGCGAAATCAATACTGCTGGACAAAATAGGACTGAATATACTGCTATGTATATCTTTGTAAAGTCACAATGACGAATCCCATATCCGCCGTAGATGAGCCGATGGCCGCCGATGCGGGTATGGCCACCCGACGGCGGTTCCCCGGGTCCCGATAGCTCATCGTCATATATAACCGTGAACATACCTAAACTCTAGATTTCAACCGTTCTTGCAAGGCAAAACTCTTGATCTCACATACCTAAAACCGGCGCGGCAAGCACAATCCGGTTCCTTCCTGTTCATAGAGATTCTGTCCACGGCACCGCCCGGTCGTTGACACAGACTTATACATCAACGACTGACATCAGACCAAAGATCACCATAGCGATCCATCATGGCTAGCAACACATATTCTCCAGTGCTGGAAACCAGTCGCATTTTCTCTGATCTTTGCGAGCAATCGGAGCGCCTCAGTCTCCCGCCCGATGTGCTTGCAAACAAGGACCGGGTCTCATTCTCCACCAGCCACAATGAGATTTATTTCCCTATTCCTTTCAAAGAGACCGAGACTCTTGCTGCGCTGAAGGGCATTGAAGGCTCCGTCGCGGCTTCGATCGCGGATCTGCGCTTTGGCGCTGGCGCTGAGCCTCGCGGAGTTCAAGTCAATCTAGAGGCAGCCACTGCATTCGGGTGCCAAGCCTACATGGCCAAGGTTGATGGCCTGTCGAAGCTAGACCCAAATGTGAAATCGAAACTGAAGAGTACGTACTTGATAGGAGCTGTTTATGAGCGTGGAAAGATTGACTTTTACAGATACCGACTTGCTGGCTGCTCAATCCAACGGTTACAGACGCATGTCAGCCAATTTGTACAAGACTAAGAACCCGGGCGAGTTCTTCCACATTCATGGATCGTTGGAGGCAACTACCACCTTGAACATGATTGGACTGGAGGGCGAGCGCCCAGACCTCACTGACTACGAGGATATCATCAAGGTCATTGAGGAAAAGACCCAGCAATACACAATCACAGAATTGGAAGAGATGAACAAGGAGAGACGACAGGCTGGAGTTACCGCATACAAATACGACGACTTTATCAAGACCCCTCATGTACGTCACTTCTGGTGCGACGCCCAGTCAGGACCGACTAACAGTTCCTAGGGAAAACTGAATGTTAAAGAACCCGCCTGGAAAGTCAGTAAGTTGCCAGGTGATCTGCCACCAACCCCATTTCCAGCCACTCGCAATGGCAGCAAGAAGATACTTGAAGGCGTCAAGGTCCTTGAAATGTGTCGCATCATCGCAGGCCCAACAGTCACTCGGATACTGGCCGAATATGGTGCCGATGTGTTGAAGATCACGAGCCCTAGTCTTTCGGATGTTCCCTTTTTCCAAGTTGATGGAAACATGGGAAAGCATGCCGCCGATCTCGATCTGAAGAGTGAGGCAGGCCGAAAAGAGTTCGAGAAGCTCTTGGATGATGTGGATGTTATTGTGGATGGCTACCGCCCTGGTGCACTGGACAAGCTTGGATACGGAGCCGAGGCCATGGCTGCTCTGGCTCACAAGCGTGGAAAGGGTATTGTCTACGTTAATGAGAACTGCTTCGGGTACGAGGGCGAATGGGCTGGCCGTGCTGGATGGCAACAAATTGCAGACTGCGTAAGTATCCTGTTTAACTCCCCACAGAAGGCATACCAAGCTAACCTCATCCCAGGTCACTGGAATTGCCTGGGCTCAAGGCCAGTTCATGGGTCACTCTACCCCTGTCGTTCCTCCATTCCCCATCTCAGACTACGGCACTGGTTGTATGGGCGCCATTGCTGCACTGACAGGTCTTTATCACCGCGCTAAGACCGGTGGCTCATATCACGGTAAAGCTTCGCTGATGCACTACGATCTTCTGCTCTTCGCCATGGGCAAGTATCCGGCAGATGTGCAAGAGGAGCTTCGCAAGGTGCAATCCGAAGATTTCTTCAAATTGCGCCACTGTGACAGTGTCGACCGCATCTCATCTACTGTTCTCAAGAGCATGCAGCAACGGTTTCCCCATTTGTATCAGCCGGCTGGCAAGGAGTTTGAGGGTCGCAAGCCGCTGACAGAGCTCTGGTCTTCCCGCGCCTATGGTGCTGATGTTGAAGTTGTGAAGCCCGTTGCTGTCATCTCTGGTGTGGATAACCAGTTTGTGCGATCTAGCCGGCCTAATGGATCTGATCAAGCTACGTGGGAGGACTTCAACGTTGCCGAAGAGGATGTGAAGAAGTGTTAGATCATCAACCTCAGAATATGATATTAATAAACGAGCTGTTTGTATCCATGGATATAGGCTTCCACTAATTCAAACTTCAATATGCAATACCATGGTAGCCCAAGAGAACAAACCTCAGTGCCGCGCGCACGCGCGACCAAAAGACGATAACAGTTGCTTATAAACAGGAGTAGGTAGTCATCCACGGATGTATTTGGTTAATCTACGAGGCTCTTATCACTATCCCTCCTATTGACATAAGAATTGATCAATATGTAATATTTCGATTGGCAACGGAAGAGAGGGGCTATCATCGAATTGGGGACTCGAAGTATTTAGAACTTGGGTGTCTGTTGTACTGTCTTTTGTACTGTCTTTTGTACTGTCTTTTGTACTGTCTTTTGTACTGTCTTTTGTACTGTCTGTCTGGCTGTATTTTTCATTGGTCGAGTAAAGAAAGTCTTGGCCAAGCCATGAACAGAGAATTAGGGATTGGTGAAGGGATTGGTGACTTGACCACGACCGTGATAAAGTCAGACACACCGCCCAAGCCGTCCATGGCAGAACTAGGCGGTGTACCCACTATCTCTGCCAGGCGGGGAGGCCACGACCAATCGTAGTTGACATCTCGATAGCATCGGAACATCAGAAGATTAGAAGAAAAAAAAATACACTTCAACCCAACATCATGTCGCACATCACAGAGCACCCGTCGCGGGCAAAGCGGAGAAAGCTTGATGACCCGCAGCCAGAGAATCCCACGCCAATCACATCAAACATCAAGAACCCGTCCCAGCTACGTGAGCTGCTAGCTGTACAGCAAAATGCTCCGCTGGCAAAGCAAGGTGAGGGCGACGGATGACTGCCGAAGCAGCTGGTAAACTGACTGATATACCCAGGCATCAACAAATTCAAAGAATTTCTCCTCTCAATCCCACATGCAGAGAACGAAGCCGCCAGGACGGAGAAACTGCGTGTCCTGAAAAATTACTGCGACAAGCAAATCTCCAACTCCGGCAAAGAGGACGAGACCTCGGTGTGCTTCCCGGATTTGATCGCCTCGTGGGCCTTTGGAGATGGAAACAACAACGAACCCCTTTTGACCGGTGTACCGTCCATACTCGCGCTCTTCTTCAAAACAATCTCCTCCGAGCTGGAATTCCGAGAATTTGGTATCGCGCTGTGCAAGCACTTGTTGCAGAAGGATCAGTTGCGACTCTTCAATCGCGGTCTTACTGCAACTAAGTCAAAAGAGCATTTGATCTCACCATGCTTGCGCTTGCTCACGGAAATGGTGACCTTCGACGGAGGAGCCGTCGCGCGACAGTTATATCTCAGACGTTACATTACCTTCAAGCGATTGGAAGTCTTCCTGACCCCGAACAAAGCGCAAGAAGACTCCGAGGGCGAGCGCAGCAAGTCAACTCTCAGACTCAACGCCCAGCGATACCTGCTTGCGAATTTGAGAGTGCAGCATGCATCTGAAAAGGGCGATATCATTGAGCAGCATAAGATCACCAGATCTTTCCTTGAATATATCCGGAAAGATTCTCGGGAGAGCGTTCTTGAAATCATCAAGGCCATTGAGAGGGATGTGGTGCAAGATGCCAATCTCTCTCGCAAGTCAAAGAGCAAGTTCTTCAATCGGCATAATCTGGAGCGCCTAGTGACACTTTATGGCTATGACCGAGAGTCTGATGAACCCAACCCTGACGGGGTCATTGTTGCCAATGAAATCCATCGGGTCGTGCTGAATGTCTGCAAGACTGCTGGACTCGGTGTTCTGTTACCGGAGACTGGCTGGTACCCGGTCGGAACTGACCCGGAGACCCTGCCCGTCGATGATGATGCGTGCATTGAGCTGGGTCTCGATTCGCCGATCTATGTCGATAAATACAGAGACAATGTCCCAGTCAGGAATGGTTCCCTGTCTTTCCTGATCCAGTGTCTTCGGCCAGATCAGGATAGTCTCCAGATTGAATTGCTGGTGACAATTTTCAAGGTTGCGCCAGAGTTGATCGCCGATTACTTTTCCCGAAAGACTATGTTCATCTCAGACCCGAAAGCTACGCCCTCGTGGATGGCTGAATCCGCCTTCCTTTTCTCGACAGTACAACTGCCTGTTCCCGCATACTGTGGATGGAAGGACAAGCAGCCCATCCTGCCACCCCCAGTCTCCATTGTCATTGAAAACATTTTGCCTCGTCCTCTCAGCCAGAAGATCATGACTCGTTGCCTCAACCAAAACGCCGAAATTATCACTTTGTTCGCCGTCCGAATTCTCACCGTCGCTTTTGCTAAGCTTCGAGCCACCCTCAAGATATTCCAGGCCGACCATGGTCAAGGCCAACTTTTCTGGAACCAAGCCACCTCTAGGCTTCTTGCAGAATTCTCCCGCCGATGTCCCGCTGTTAAGGATGTTGTTGTTCTCTTCCGCCGAACAGAAAAAGAGGATCTGACTCAACAAGAGGCAGTTGCTGAGCTTTTGACATGTTACTATGAAGTGATGCCGGATATTGCTCTGGAGGAGAACTTCGATGTATCGCTGGTTCTGGTTGACGTACTGAAGCGTCTCGAGGCCCCAGATGTAAGCGCTGATGATTCTGAGTTGCTCCTGGGCCAACTGCAAAGCATTCTCCAGATTGCCCAACAATCAGCTTCATTGCGCTGGTGGCAAAAGCCAGCAAACATGCAGTACTCACCGTTCACTTCTATTCTGAAGGTCCTCATGGACACCTCGGATAAAGATTCTTCGCGGCGAATCTCCACCCTGCTCAAAACAGTCCTAGTTGAGAACTGTGTTTTACAGAGCTCCCCACATGCATTTACCTCTATTTTGTCCAGCCTCGAAAGTTCTGAGGCGAGTGATCTGCATCAACAGTTGATCTTTTTCGACAACTGTGTCTCCCGCGTTGCCAAAAAGCCTGTTCATTATCTAGACTTGCTTCAGTCATTATCTGCTGACTCGGAAACTACAAGCGCTCTTGTTGCTGTTGTTGTAGAGCAGTGGCCGTTCGTGGTCAAAGCTGGAGATGCGTCCAACGAAGCTGCAATTGGATCATGGATCGCTAGTTTGCTTGGAAACCTGAAGCAGGCGGGAGAAAGCCCCAAAACGCTCAAGGCAGCTCGCGATGCACTGATCGAAGCAACAGAGACCAAGAAGGTCAAATCCCTCTTCAAGAAATCCTTGAAAGGAGATGACGTGCAAAATGAAGATAAAATGGACATTGACTCTGAAGACAATGTACCCACACAGCCGAAGAAGGCCTCAACGGTCGATCTCGACGAAATTTACGGCTTCCTGCCCACAGAAGGCACCACTCACAACGCACTTCACAAGTGGGAACGAGAGGACATCGAAGAAGCCATTGACCAAGATCACATCGCTGAACTGATGCTGTGCGTCTGTTCCGAACACGAAGAGGTTCGTAGGCAGGCATTTGCCGGTCTCATCCGCTTCATGGCCAAGCTTAAGGAGTCCAAGTACGAGGAATGGCGCACTGTCTTCACCCTGTGTGGAGAACTACTTGAAACTGTGAACAACGTTGGCATGGAGAAGCCTGTTCCCTGGATTGTTGGCGAATGTGCCGCAAACTGTCTGGCCGTTCTCACAAACCCCCTTCACAAGGTCTACGGCAAAGTCAACAAATTCCTCCAAAAGGCCCCAATGTGGGAAGTTGAAAAGATCCCTACATACTGGGTTGACAAGGTTCTTCTTCACGAGCCTGAACTCGATGATGGCTACTTCGATGAGATTGACTGGCTGCTCAACTTGTTCATCAAGGCACTGCGCACCGAGGCTGTAAGTTTCCATTTTAAAATTTTGACCTCGCATTTACTGATAATTCACAGGACATGGAAATCTATCGACGTGCAAATGTCTTTGAGCGTCTCCTTTCCCTCTACCAGTCGCCAACACTCGGCCCTGCCGCCCGTCGGAAGATCTTGCACATCATTTACCGCGCTGTCCAGGTTGGTGGAAGCACGACTTTGATCACTCGTTCCGGTGTTATCAGCTGGATTCAAATCCAAGCTGCAGAGGCAGATGTTAAGGAGCATGCTCAGCTTGCGGCGTTGGCCCACGCCCTTTATGAGAAGTGTGATCGCGAACGCGTTGACGCTTGGAGTAATGGAACTCTAGGTCGGGTAATTGATGAGATTCAAGCATAGAGATCTAGGTGTTTGATTTGTACAATATAATAACCTACTTCCATGTTTCTGATGCCGTGCCTTCCCAAAGCAACTTCGCTTCCCTAGTCTTTCGGTGAGCTCGTGACCGCGCCACTATAACCAGCTTTTTGTATCGACCTTTCCATCTCGAGCTTTTACTTCCCATCTGTACTTTGATCATTCCCTCCTGACAATTACCTGCCGTGCAACCGCGCTCTGTAGCCAGGTGCGAATTTTCTCCCTTATCACCACTTGCTCTTGATCTCTTCATTTGCATTATCCCCATACTAATTTGCGCTGCTATTGTATCAGTCCAGGCACAATGGCGAGTGTTTACGACAAGGAAATTAGACAGGAGCCTGACATGTTACACCGTGTCCTCAGGCTCCTGTACACCTCTCATCAGCCTTCGTTCTCCAAAGTCGAACTCGAACGCATTGGAGTTACGGTCGGTCCTTTCGAAATTTCGAACCCACTCTTTATCAACGACAACAAACAATGTCTCTTCCAGCCTTTCGACGAGCATGAAATCAAGAGGTGGGAGATACCAGCATACGCGGCTAATTGGGAGGGTATGAAAGCACGTTTGGATCTTCCAGCCGTGGATCCCAACTCGCAGCTCGCCCAAAGCCTTAGTCCCAGTGAGATCAACAAGGGAAACAAGGACGTGTTGGCCTTTCTCAATACCAACTTTACTTTTCGAAGCAATGGTGCAACGCGGTTGTGCACTGAGCTTGGATGGTCTGTCATTGAGTGAGTCAAACGTCGAACTATCCATGAATGTCAGAAAGGGACTAATCTGATGCTTGCATGATAGTCCTCGTGTGGTTCACAGCCGAAACAAGCACTTTCTCTTCTCTGGTCATGGAAGCCAACTAGGAACAAACTTCCCTTCATGGCAAGTTTGGTCCATCCAAGTGTGGCGTGAGAAGAACCACGCAGGTCGCGACTATCAAACAGGCCCTTCCATCCGCTTGATCATCAGTACTGATGCCATTGGTCCCTTTGATCGAATTCTTCTCAACGAGCTGGGAGCCATAACTGAGTGTCTTGCTTTCCGTCGCACTCAGCGGGAGTATACCCCTTACCCCATCATTCCAGTACGCAACCTTCCCTCTTCCATTCAGACGAATACTGATGAGAGCCCCCTAGATTCTCGTGCTATCTCTGTTTGGACCCCGCAGCGGGCGAATCATCCAAGCTTCTTATGAAGTGCTTACTGGGAAGATCGGCCTGCTTATTTCCCCAATTCTGAGCTTCTCTAACAAGAATGATCCCTCTTTCGATCTCTTTCTGCGATTTATGGCAAGCTACCCGCCTGAGTCCAACTCTCTTGATCAAGCTCTTGCTCGGATGTCAATTTCTTCTCCCCCTCCAGGCTTGGATCTAGCTTTTATGGAGAGAATGTAGCTTCGCCAGTTGTTATCCAGTGATCTCAGAAAGGCAGAAAAGCAGGATTTACACGCAGCCATGAAGGCTCCTTACGTATTAGTTTTTTATTATCATTATCATTGAATCATATCCCAAATTCATGTTTGATTGTCAGCTATAGTGTGTAACATGCTTTTTTGTATATCCTTAGAAGAGACAAGGGCGCTATGGCAACCATGCAAGTAAATCTAAGCCCCTGTGCTATGGTCACCAAAGATCAGGTACCTAGCATTCACAATATCCATGATTCTGATGATCAGGTCAGAGGTGCTATAATTCCCAGTTCAAAAAAATAGCCCATCATATTGTTTTGATGTTAAGCTCTCTAGGCTGCAAAATTCAAATATTGCCAGCATTCAATGAATCTAGTGACCAACCATAGATTGGGATATAGCAGAAAACCTTTCGCCTGTGGGCTTCGCAGCATCCACAATGTGTCGCATGTGCTTGAGCTCATCCTCAGACAATTCGATGTCACGGGATGCCCAGTTCTCTTCCAACCGGGTGGTCTTGGTCGTTCCAGGGATGGTAATCAAACCCTGTGCAGCAACCCAGGCGAGAGCAATCTGCGAAACAGCACATCCCTTGCGGGTTGCTAACTTCTTGATCTCATCAACAATAGCCTTGTTCTTGTAGAAGTTCTCTCCCTGGAACTTCGGGACTGTAATCGCAAGAGTTAGCAACTTGATAATACCTTCATTGTGAGCAAAAGTGCGGCTTACCGGTGCGTCGGAAGTCGTTAGGAGCAAAGTCATCCGGAGACTTGAACTGGAAGTCATCCACGAGCCAGCCATGTCCAAGGGGGCTGAATGCCACAAATGCCACGCCCAGCTCCTTTGCTGTATCGATCAACCCACTGGTATCGTGCAATGTTTCGAAAGCAGAGTACTCGGCTTGAACCGCGTCAATCTTGGCAACTATATTACGTCAGTCTCGATTTGCATATCTCGTTGAATACATGACACGTACTTGCGTTTGCCTTGCGCAGAGTTTCGGCAGAACATTCAGATAAGCCGATGTACTTTGTTTTTCCGGCGCGCCGAAGCTCATCCAGAGCGCCGATAGACTCTTCCAGTGGGGTGTCTGAGTGCGGGCAATGAGTTAGCAATCAAAGTTTTGAATCCTTGGAAAGTTGAGATTGGCCGATGACGATGGATTTTACTCACTGGGATCAATTCCGTGAAGGTAGTAAAGATCTGGAGTGAAGCCAAGTCTATCTATTGTCCCCTCGATATATTCTTTGATGTGTGAGGCTGAGTTGGTGACTTTTCTCTCTGGTCCAAAGACCTCAAATCCACATTTCGAGGCAACTGAATTTTCATAAATTAGTTATCGGCTTTCTCCAGGGCTTTCAATATCCATAGCTAGTTCAAAGCTGATATGCTCACCAAAAAGCTTGTCTCGAACATTGTGCTTTCTCACAAACTCTCCAATCAGTTTCTCGTTCTCTCCGTTCTTGTAGGCCACCTGCACTCGCAACAATACAAGTTAGATACGACAAATTCCGGCGCAAAGGACTGATAGAAAACAAACGTTGACACTCACCGCAGTGTCCCAGAATGTACATCCGAGCTCGAGGGCTTTGGAGAGAACGGGCTCAGACTGTTCAAAATTGAAGTCTGTCCCCATGGCAGAATTGAGGCCCATGGCACCGAAGCCGGGAACAGACACCTCTTGGCCACCCAAAAAAAGTGTCTTGATCATCGTGAAAATACGATTCTTGACGGATCAAAAGTCAAAGAAGATGAGTGTGAATAGTCTAAGACGAAGAAACAGCTGGAGGTGTTTAAACAAGCCACGAGGTAGGAGGGAAAGTTATATACTCAGATCGAAAAGGCTTAAGTCCGATCCGGGACTCTATCCAAGTGATATCACGAAGATTGAACCATAAAAATGAATTGGAAAGATGATAGTCAGTCCCATGGACCTGGATAGGATGGCGGCTGCCGTTAGAGGCGCTAATCCCTTTATGGGCTAGCGTCATGCAGGCGTATGACAAAGTGGGTCGAATGGAGATTTTTCGGATCGAAATGATGACTGCCGTTGTATCATTGGCTCTCTGGATCCGCTGGGGCATTTAGCCTCAGACCACGAACATACTTGGGGACTTGCTCTTTGCTTTATCCTTCATCCCCTGTGTCAGCCAAACCACTCCACTGGCGCTCACTTCCTGTCATCAATCTGCATAGATTGTTTCCATACCACACCTTACCGCAAATATGGCCCCATCGGCTGACATTCCGTCCCAAATGATCGCCCTCAGATCGTTCTCGCAGCGGGTCAGCGCGTGGCCAGAAGAGGATTGGTCCGGCATTACCGACCGAAAAACACGCAGAAGACTGCAGAATCGCCTGAATCAACGAGCGCGACGTAAGTTTGCCTGTCATTGTCTTACTTTTGGCAAGCCTCATCTTGACCGATCACCCAACAGGTCTATTGAATAAAAGCACACCCAACCTTGTGGACTCAGACAAAACACAGCTTAATGACCCTCTTGCTAGTGAAGGACATGGGTCCACCATAGTTAATCCTCTCCATTTGGCTGATCAAACACAATCAGCACATACTGCCAACAACTTCGAGTCCCTGGAGGAGATTATGAACGTGCGCATACTAAAGTCTCGTGACCCTGCCACAATAAGAAGAATGGCACAACTAGAGCAGACTGCCCTTTATCATTATAACTTGGGCTCTCCGCGGAGTGATATGCTACTCCATCTAATCTCATTGAATTTTACCAGAGCCCTGATGGAAAACACGAAAATCCTGGGTCTCGGCCCCGAACAGCTCCACGACGATGCAATTTCGCCATTCAACACTGCAGGCCCTTGGCCTGATGCGTCCCTTCATTCCCTTCCAATCACTCTCCAGCCAACTGCGATACAATGTTCTATCCCACATCACCCGTGGTTGGACTTGCTTCCTATCCCCCAGTTGAGAGACAATCTTATCCTTGCTGGGGATTTTGAAGAAGAGACACAGCTGTGCTTGGATATGAAGGGTGACGGGAGTCCAAAGACGGCGTCAAGCGGCATCGTTGTTTGGAGTGATCCTTGGGATCCGGCGGGTTGGGAAGTAACTGAGCCGTTTGCTAGATACTGGGGCTGGGTGATAAGAGATTGTTCTGACCTGGCAAAGTCTACGAATCAGTGGCGGGCAAAACGGAATGAGAGGCCACTTTTTTGTATTAATTAGTAATAAATGTACTTTGCAGAGCACTTAGTTGACTTCTTGCGCCTTCTGGTATCATGTATCTATGTCTCACGTACTGTCCTTGGTCAAGCCACATATGTCCTTCGCATGTTCTAATTTAAGATTTTGAGCTCACATCTGTTTGTTCATGAAAGTTACCTTGCCCGTACAGAAGTTTGATGCAGATCTGCCATGTTCCTATCCTCAAATACCGCTAATGCAAACGGGTGACAGTCTACTTGTACTGATCCACTTCCCCCACAACTGAGCGCGGAGATGAGAGTTGTCAGCAATTTGCAGTCCCATTGATTTGAATCCGTCGGTCTCTCTTTCAGTCCCCACTTCAACCCTCGGTACAAAAGTTCCAGGACTAGTCACCATATCTATTGCAATTTGTTCTTAACAAACTTCGACCCTTGATTGCTCGGGATACCTACCATGGCTATGGGAGAATCAGGCAACGATAAGATCCGGAATTAAGCCAGTGTGAATTGGTCTTGGCCAACGATTGATTGGTTTCTAAAAATCCACATCTAATACCTCCGCAGGCTCAGAAGTTACATCAGGGGTGATCTTAACCAGAGCCAGCATGGACGTTGCAGCATGACGCGTAAATCACCGGCCATTGTTTGAGCAAAACAATTCGGGGCAAGTTGGCACGAATATTGGAATCGTTGCATCTCTTGGCTAACATGAGCGGCTTGGCAGGATATTTCGAAGGGGTTTGGCTATAAAAGCTAATCACTCCGCAGATGGAGTGTACAACCAAAAATATTTTCAATTTATTGTCTGTCTTTCCACTTCAATCTTCGCTTGGTGGTCCCTTGACTCTATTGAAGCATACCACCATGCCTCGAGTACTCTCCTCCCTCGTGTTTCTTCTTACTTCAGTCTACGCCGCTCAGCACAATGATGTTGGTTTTGCCAACGACGCGTCTGATCGAGTGACTGCAAACTGCCAACAAGCGGTAAGTCTGATCAACTTACCAAGAAATTTTCCTCTTATCTTACCATATATAGTGCTCTGAGCTCTCTTCCGCATTCGGCTCGGCTTTCCATTGGCCTTCGAACGATAATTTCTCGATTTGGGACGCAAAACAACAAGAGGTTCACCCGGCGTGTCGAATTGAGCCATCCTCGGCTACTGAGGTTTATAAAATACTGGAGATCCTCGTGAATAACTGGTGTCACTTCGCTGTGAAAGGGGGTGGTCACTCTCGAAACCCCGGGGATTCAAACTCCGTTGGTGGAGTTACTGTGGATCTTGACCGTCTGACGAATGTTGAGGTTCTTCCGCATGCCAACAAGGCTCGAGTTGGCGGTGGAGCTACCACCATACAGGTATACAGGGCTTTGGAATCCCGAAACATGTCTTTTGTTGGTGGACGAGTCGGCAGTGTTGGTGTAGGTGGATTCACGCTTGGTGGTGGTACCTCTCCGTTTTCAAACAAGTACGGATGGTCTTTGGACAATATCTATGAATATGAGGTACGGGTTCCGTTGATCATTAATCTACTTGAATGCTAATCCCTTCTTAGGTCGTTCTCGCAAACAGCACAATAACCACTGCCTCCGAAACGCACAACCCTGACCTATACTTTGCACTCCGTGGAGGTGGAAACAACTTTGGCATTGTCACGGCCTTTACTGTTCGGACATTTTCCCAAGGTCCAGTTTACACAAGTATGACGACCTACTCAGCTAACCAGTCGAGCCAAGTCCTCGACAAGGTCTATGATTTGTATACGGACAAGAGACTCGCTAGTGACAAGGAGATGGGATATGATTTGTATTACACATACAACTCCGGTGGAGATGAATTTGTCTTGAGTGGCACTCAGCGATACGCAAAGCCGATCTCCAGCCCGCCCGTTTTCCACGCCATCGATCAAGTTTCTACTCGGAGCAGAAGAACTAACCTGGGTCTTATGAGCCAAGCGGCCGGCGGAACTGAGTCTCTAGGGACTACACGGTGCGCTTTTCTAGAGAACGTCTGTCTCTCCCTGAACAGATACTGATGGCTTTCCTGCAGACACCTCTTTGCTACACTGACCGTCTCCCCGTCGCGAGAGTTCTTGTCCGAAGGAATCCGGGTTTTCGAAGAAGAGGTGGAAGCGATCAAGAGTGTACCTGGCTTGGTGCCCAACTTCATCTCTTATCCCATACAGCGAAACGCCATTACAGCAATGAGACAGCGAGGTGGCAATGCTTTGGGAATTGATCGTGATGATCCTCTATTTTGTATGTGCCTCTCCACACCCGGGAAAGGACTCAAGGCAAGATTTACTAACATTTCTTGAAGTGGTTCTAATCTCCACCGCGTGGTCAAACAGTACTGATGATGCTGCCGTGAATCGGATGACTGAAAACATCATTGAAAGGCTGAATGGTACGGCCCAAGACATGGGCATTGCAAACAGGTACAAGTACATGAACTACGCATCGGCAACACAAGTCGACTCTATCTTTGCTGGTTATGGCGACGAGAACGCAGAGAAGCTGAAACATATCCAACGAGCGGTTGACCCTCGAGGTATCTTTGCTTCTACCGGTCTGTGGCGGGGATTTGTCAAGCTGATTTAATCAATACATCTTCATGTGGTGATTATGTCGCAGGATTGGACGTGGGCATCAGCCAGATAGCAGCACTCCTTAGCCAGAGAGAGCCTCGCTAATTTGGTTTGAGGCTGACATACGTTAACCTGAAATGGATGGGTAGTGACGTTCACAACTTGATTATGGGAAATTTCGATGCCTCAAGACCTCCATTTGCATTTCACTAGAGAAACATGAAAGTTGAATAGTTTTGAAGACTTCCGACAAGTCCAGCTTTAATATTCACACATTCTGATGGAAACAGCTCATGTTGGAAGGATCCCAAAAAACATCCAGCGAGATTTGCCAATACAACATTGGAACTCCTGTACTTTACTCTTCTCATCTCTTCAAGACTCTCTCCAGTCTACTATTTGGTATACAAAAACCGCATTTTCCTGCCCTGGGGCTTCGCTATCTCTCGGGCACAAATCTTACGTCCTTGCGTTTCTTCTCTGCAACGCTTGCATGCTTGGCCCGTATTGCCAAACCTGCTGTCGAGCCGACAACAAAATCCCAACAACGAAAGTTCAACTGAAAATAAATGGTCAAGGGAATGGCTGCATTGCGAGACAATTTTCGACTTCGAGGAGCCCTCTCCACGCCCAGAAACATGGCATTAGCACAAGTGCCCAGCTGACGCCTCATGCACACCGGCCACTGGGACTGCGAATACGGCCGTGCAAACTTCCAAACTAGACCAGATACACAAACAAGTCCAATAGATGAAATCTGATCAAGAAACGAAGTGTGTTATTCGAAGGTTTGGTTCCTGACGAGCTCCGGAGAAACCCGCAAGCCGAAGCCCAATTAGCTCTAGCGCTGAAATTCTAGACAAATAAATTCGGCCCCTCGCATTTGCGCTTTCTCCTTTTTCTTTTCTCTCCATCTACAGTTTGCACACTACGGTGTGCAAATCCATTGGGGCTCCACATTGTGGCTTGCTGAAGGTTATTCGAATGGCTTCGGCCTTCGTGGGTTTCTTTCCGTTCCCGGCCCTGGAGAGTAAAGGCGTTTCTCTTCCCTAGGCATTCTCTATATTGAGGTTTCTCCGCGAAATCACATGGGTGCTACATGGGGAGGGGGCGTCACATAATAATTCCTATCGAACATTATTACTATGCGGGATCGGCACCGTGGACTGTCCCGGGCTTGCGTCGGCCCTGAATAAAACAGAGTGAAATCTCTGCCGCTGCCTTCCATAGCTATCAATTTCAAAACTCCTACCATCTCTTCGAAAAATCTTTCCTAGGGTCCCAATTGTAGTCACTTATGAAACGCAGTCAGCTCTGCCACTGGTAGACATTTTGCCTAACCGGCGCGTTGGACTGGATGTGGCTCAAGCCACGACCTTAGAAGTCAACACCTGATGCCTCCTTCTCAAAACAAAATCCCCGGTTGTCTAGTGTCTCATATCTATTATCTGTGGTGAAAGGAGTCCTTTGGTATCGTGGATTCATCGACTTGTGGACAAGAGTTGTGGAGCTTTGGTAGATAAAAGCGGGACTACTGATGACACCCGCCTGACGTTCCACTTTGAATCATAGCCATCTATGCTACTCATTCATTCGCGCTGCATTATTTGGAGCGAACTTCGAAGACATCATTTTATCCAAGTGGACATTGCTGAAATTTGGCCGCGTCACATGTCGAGAACTCATGGCAAGACTGGTTTTACTATAAATGAGTGGGACATTTTGCCCAACCGCTGCATTTATATGAACACGACTTTCAATAAACCGATCGGCAAAGGCTATAATGATTTGAGGTCAGATTAAAACGGTGGGTATATAGATATAAAGACAAGCTCCCAGTCTGATCACAGGATTGTATGTGCGTATATTCTTGCCTCTTCCATGGCTCAAGCCTTGATTTCAGTGCCACTCTCATCACTGTCAAATTTGGCGCCCGCAACATGCACATCGGAGCTCTCGTGATGAGTCGCTTCTTCAAGGTACTCTGGCTTCAGCTCGCCATGCTTATCGTAGCGGAATGGCTCCTTGATAGAAATAGTAACAGCGTTGAAGACATTCGTAGACTTCTTGAAGATAGCATCCATTTCTTCCAAGGAGCGATAGCGAGTTTCGGGGAAGAAAAAGTACACAAAAGGGAAAATGAACGCATTTCTGTGTTTGTCAGTTGGACCTTTGTCGGCATAGGTGTAAAGATGACTTACATGACGGCGAAGATAATATAGGTCTTATATCCAATGTTTGCGAATGCGACTGGCGTAATCATCACAACCATGAAGTTGAAGATCCAATTGGCACTTTTAATAAACTTGTCAGAATGACTTTCTCAAAATGTTTGCACTTAGCTTACCTGGTAGCCAATGCATTCGTTGGGGCACGGATTCGCAGTGGCACAATTTCTGCTGGGTAAAGCCATGTCATACCCAACCAGCCAATGGCGAAGAATGTATTGAAGACAAATAGGAATACTGCTTGTCCAATACCTGCTTGTTTATCGCCCAGGTACACCAAACGATAGTTTGTACCCGCAAGTACAGCCATAGACAGAGACATTCCAGCGGCCTGTGTTTCGAACATATTAGCCAGAGCTTTGGGCGAGGATTAGATAGCTCACATACTCCAAACAACATCAATGGGCGCCGGCCAACCTTCTCAATAATGAAGATAGGGATGAATGCAGCCATCAAGTATTCTGTGCCGTTACATGCAGCCAGCAACTTTGGGAGATTGCCTTGCCCGAGTCCGATGTCTGCATATAGTGAGGGAGCCTAAGATCTCATGTCAGTACAATTGCAATGTGTAACTATTGATTGGTTGGGGTCCCACGTAGTAGGTGATCAGATTGATTCCAGAGATCTGCTGGAACATCTGGTTGATGTAGGCCAAAGCCACTCGGTGAAACTCTCTGTACTCGCTCATCTTGAACAAACTCCGATATGAGCCTTTGTTCATCTCTTTGACCGTTTCCTTGATAGACCGAAGCTCATTCACGATGCTGGGGTCGTCTCTGGGCTTTTCGTTGAGGCATTCGAGAATTTCCAAAGCATCATCATCTCGACCTTGCATAACGAGCCATCGAGGAGACTCGGGCAGATGGAGAATTGACGTGAAAATCACAACGGCAAACACAATCTGAAATGCTATTGGGAATCGCCAGGCCACTTCCTTTTCACCGATGAATGACATTCCTGGATTGCAATCAGCAAGTTTAAACTTTTCAAAATATGCATAAGAATTATCTCACTCACCGTAGTTAACCCAGTAGCTCAGAGTGATTCCAGCTGTAATAAGCATTCCCTCTATCATGACCATCTTTCCGCGATCGTGGGCCTTCGATGATTCCGATTGCCAAGTCGGTACAGTACTTGTGTTCATTCCATTGCCGACGCCTGTAATGATTCGTCCCACAATGAGATGTGGGAGACTGTATGAAGTACATTGTAGCAGTGCGCCAATGGTCATGGTGATACATCCGCAGAAAATCGTTCTCCGTCGGCCTAGCGGATTTCCGATGAAGATAGTCAAGATAGCACCAAAGAAACAGCCCAAGTTATAGGATGCAACTGCAATCCCTTGGTTTAAGCTCCTTTGTGATTGAAGAGCAGGGTCTCCATCGATGAGTGGATCTTTGGGATCGATGTCTGGGAAGTATTTAATGAAAGATGGCAGATCCAACAGTCCACCGGTTACACCTTGGTCATATCCGAAAAGTCTTCGAAAGAAGGTCAGTTATTAGTTGAAAGCCATGTCCGCCAAATGATAGGAGCAACATACAGGAAATCAAGACTGCCAAGGGAGCTTATAGCTAGATTGAGTGATCTACCTCTCCAGCCAAAGAATTTCGGAATCCCAAACATTTTGGACAGCGCAAGGGTGGGTCTAACGGGGAAATGGAAATGAGGCTAACAGGCGAAGATGATCAAGCCCTTATATACAAAAGTTCCGTCTTATTGATGCTCTGCCGGATGCCTGAATGCGGTAATCCGAAGGGGGGACTCATACAAGGCATGGGAATTGCCAAGATACGGGGAAACCGCGGGGAGGGGTGGTTCCACGGTCGTAGTTTTTGGGGGCGGCTCGGAATCTGCCTTTGACTGGCTCAAAGATCTTGTTTGATACTTTTGCACAAAGTGACTACTACTCTGTTAGCCAAGGCCGAATGCCTTGGCAAGGTGTATGGGAGGACTCGGCGGGGGTTTGGTATTTCTTGGCGGGGGTGGTAATACTTGGCAGCTTACAGAGTACTCTGAGAGTAACAATACTCCGTGCGGAGTAGAGTGCTGCTGATTAGGTACGCTTTGGGACTATATCCTGATGCGACACTGTGTGTTTTTATAAGTTGCAAAATCCTTGACCAACTGCTTTCATCTGAGAAGTGTTGTCCCCCAGATAGTGGCTACGGCAAATCATCAATGCACTTTCCTATGTTGCCAAGCTCGGTACTTTCTTGTCCAATAGGACTCCAGGGCTGATTGCTCTAGTGGGTGAGTACTGTCCAATCCGAAGCTGTCGCCTCCGCCATCCTGATGCCGGTCCATCTTCGATGACATGTGCCAACTGCGCCTCCTGGGCTATGCTTTTGTCCGATGCCGACCTGCCGGAGGGTCATTTCAAGCCTCATATCTCTGGCCTACAACTCTCACTTGAGCGAGATGATTTCGCAACATTCCTACACATAAACTAACTGTAGGGTTGGTGCATCTCTTTATACCCGCATTCTGTCCTGTCTGCGCTTGGCGCCATGTTTCTTGTCCGGGCTTTGATAGATGTATATTGTCAAGACCTCGGAACTTAGTAGGCTGATACCGGTCTATCCAATCTGGCCTCCGAGTTGGTGATGGTTGAATGCGGGAAAGGGCTCTCTTTCACTTAGCATAACCTCTCTGGGGCTCGTATTTTACATACTATTCTGCGATAAATCCAGTATGGCACGGGGTCGCATTTACTCTTTCAAGATGCGAGGGAGCTCGAAATCCGGTTCAAGGTTCAAGAACTTCGCCTATCTCTGACCAACCCTGGAACCTTCAAATACTTCTAAGGTTCTTGTCGGACAGCTAGGATGCAAGGGAGTATAGAGGAATATATACCAAGTTTACGACTACTTCGTGTCCATGTGCTAGGTAGTATGAGCAGGAGCTAGCTCGGCCCGGGAGATAATTCGGCGAAACTACCTTCAAGAGAATAATTGACCACATAAGATCAGGTACCAAGTGGACTTGAGTCTTTCAATCTTATTAAGATTCCGGGGTAATTTCCAAGGTTGCAGGTTCAAATATTCCAAGTTTGTTCTATCTCTGCATGACATATTCTGTTCTTATCAATGATTTGTTATCAACGCCTCTGAGGTTCAACTTCGAAGGGGTTTGAGTGAAACAACATGAAGCTCTCATATCCGCAGGCCTGCCTCTAGGGCAGTCATTGTATCTGACCTACCGTTCAGTGCCTCAAAGGCATCAAGTATGTTGTAACCAGCAAGATGGCAGAATGCTAGACATATCGGAGCCCAATTTGCGATTGCAGGTGCACTCAATATACTGAGCTGTATGAGTATTTTCATTCCATCTAGTCGTAGGTACTCATGGGATTTATACCGCTCACGATGACCTCATCTAGAATGAAAACAGTATTGGGAAGACTGCCATGGTCTATGGCAGATCTTTTCCAGTGTGTTAAGCAGGTGGCTTGATCACAATATAAGAATATACCACCTGGACCTGAACAGTGACAAAATCAGCGAGTAGTGAAATTTCGCAGGGCGTCATTGCTGGCATGCAGGGCTAGACTCGGCGTTCCCGCGGGTATAGCTAGGTGCCAATCCCACTTTGAAAGGGCAGCTCTTGAACCACATCTCTGCCCCCCTCTCCACCGCCCAAAAAACTGCGATCAGTCCTAGGAGTTGATGATTTGTATTGAAACGAACAGTCTTTCATATATGGAAATGACTGTAATGTTCCCGGATATATTGGTATAGTATGTGGATTAAAACATTGCGATAGTACTAGGAGTTTGTTGGAGGGGTAGTAATTTGTGTGGCCGTGAACATCTAGATTCTCAATTTTGTTGGGATTGAGGAGGGAGGAGTGGTGGACAAGATTGTATAATGAAGATGACTGTTTGAAACAGAGTCAGAGCAAAACCCCCAGTATACCATAACAGGCTCTGGGTACATAGCAGGAGAAAGATCAAAGGGTAAATTGAGAAGTGGGTTCCCGCACTGTGGTCACCGCCATCGCCACAAGGTGGCTTGTGTGCTTCTCCTCACTCAGGCCGAATCCTACCTTTGTCCATCTTTTTCTCCCATTCCATCACCTGCGTATCTCCTTCTCGATCTTTTCCACAAATATTCGCCTGCCCCGCGACAGATGACCGCATCATAACCCTCCCGTGAACCAAGACCACACAAAATTCTAGCCGCCATGGCGCGACGGTACGAGATCGATGAGCTCTTATGGCTCCGCGGCTCGCCCCTTATCGCAAAGCCATCTGGCCTACCTCCGATCGAAGAATGGATGTATGTAGGCTCCGCCACTACCATTTCCCGAAGCTATCCCACACGGCCAAGCAGACTGACCGCACACAGGCCACTACCTGACCCAACAACTACCCAACGCAAACAAACCCCTCGTGATCCTAACAATCCCACCGAACCTGGCTCGGGCAGAAGATCAAGCATACTTGAAGCCAAGCATATCTCTCGAGGATCCAACTCTGGTACGAATCTTCCCCTTCTGCCGATCCTCCAGGTCCCAACTTTTACTACCTGAGGGCATTCGCTAACTGCTTTTCTTTTTCCTTCTTAGAGGACATTGTGCTTGGGCCCCCGAAAGTTGCTTTCGCATCATCTCGAATTGGCGGGAAAGGCTCTCTCGATCTAAACGACCGACCAGTGCGGACCACCGATTCGGATGACACCAAGAACGACCGATTCAATTTCAGAGATAGATTCTTCAAAGACAGAGATGGGGTCGAGAAGGATTTGGATCGTCGCGATGGGAAACCGGCTCCTTTGAATGGTCGGCGTGGCGAGAAAGAAGACTGGAATGCCGGGCGGCCGCGTCGCACATTTGGTCCCGAAGACCAGGAGCGCAAGCCCCGACGAAACGGCGAGTTTGATCGATGGGATCAAAAGGAAGGGGCCCGTGAGCCCAATGCCGAACGGGGAACTCTCCCCAAGGATGGCCGATTCCCCACTCGAAAGGAGGGACAACCCCCGAGATCCAAATATGAAGGAAGCTGGTTCCGCGATGAACACAACCAGGATGGCATTGAAGCTGATGATGATAAGCCACCTCTGCGAAACCGTGAATGGCGTCAGAACCAAACCCGACACGGCACCGAGCGTGAGTGGAATAGGGGTGCCAAATTTGAGCAAGAGCCTGAATGGTTGGATGGCAATGAGCGAGATGAGCCGCGGCGCGCGCACACACAGGAAGACTTTGAACGTTGGAAAGAGCGCATGAAGGCTGGATCTGGGTCCGCACAACCTTCAGCCGGCGCTGAAGAGAAGAGAGATGCTCCTGCCGAAGCGCAAAAGCCTGAGACTCGACGCACCGATGGTGAAATTTTCAGCAACTCCGGCGCCCAATTTATGTCGGACAATTCCATGGAAAGATTCTTCGGCCTCCTGGGCGATGCGAAATCTCAACCTCAAATTCCAGAGGCTAACACGCCGAATTCTGCCGATTCTGTCCCGAAACAAGACGCTTTTCCCTTGCCCGGAAAGCCGGGCAAATCCTCTCGCTTCGCGGGCTTGTTCAGCCCCATGCCCGAGAGCCCTGCTAGAGAGCCTGAGCCTCTTCCTTATTTCAATGCTCAGCCCCCACCTCAACACCACTCCCAGCACCAACAGCCTCCACTTCAGCAAGCTCAACCACAAGCTCCGCAATTACCTGAGGGCTTTGCCTTCCCAACCCACAGCGCTGACCAAGAAGGTTTCCAGCGCATTTTGCAGATGCTTGGTGGGCAACGGTCCCAGAATGGCACTCCAAACGAGGGAGGCCTACCTCAACAACATCGCCCTCCTCCCATGATGCATGCTGAGCAGCATCGCGCTGGCTTATCCTCTCCTCCAAGAGAGCCCTCTCACCGACCTGATTACATGGGCATCAGCCCGGATAGTCCTATGGCTCAACAGGCCGGGAAGGATCAGTCCTTCGAGCGAGCTCACCTTCTCCGGTTGATGCAGCAGGTCCGAGTTGGTCCGTCGCCTGCTGGCAACCCACAATCTCCTGGCGGCGGTATTGCTCCTCCACCCGGGTTAATGCCCGAAGGTATGCCTCGTCCCCCACCAGGGCTATCTGGCCAAAAAGTACCACCTTTCCTTGATGATCCAGCAATTGCCAACATGCAACGGCCAGATAACCAGCAACTGCGCCGCGGACCTGGCAACGGCCCTCCAATGGGATACTTTGACGATCTTCCTTTCCCTCAGGGCAACCAAGGCCCTATGACCCCAGGCGGTCCCATGACTCCCGGAGGCTCTCGCCCTCAAGGCCCAAACCAGCCTCCTATGCCTCTTCAACGCCCGCCAGGTCTTGATCATCTCCCCCCTCCTGGCTGGACAGGTCAGCCTGTCCCCCAGCAGGGCAACGCGCAGAGCCCAATGGGCCCCCCTCCTGGGATTCCCACACCAGGCCGTGGGATGAACCCGAACTTCCCACCCGGCATGCTCCCCATGCCCGGCAACCCGCCTCCCATCAATGAGCGTCAAGCCTTCCCCCGTGGCCCGCCTCCCGGCATGATGCCACCTCCGGGCTACATGAATGGCCCCCCTCCAGGCTTCCCACCCATGCCTCCCAACCCCGAGGCCATGATGGGTCTCGGCCCCGGCTCCCAGGGCCCCTTCGGTCCAGGCAATCCTGGCCCAGGGGGACCACCTTCGTCCCGACACCTTCTTGAAATGTTCGGTCAGTCCAACGGTGATCCTCGTGGGGGCATGGTCCCTGGTCAATTCAGGTAAACATGCCTTGAAGACCACACAGGTGATCTCGACTTAAACCATCTTGCCCAATGACCATTTATGATTATTTACGCAATTTTTGGCGAAGGTTGTGATGTACAGACGCCGATCTTCATTTTAACCTATCCATCCGACAACCCAACGTTCACCCCAGAGAGACCAAAATACCCTTTATCATGTCCTTGCCTGTTTTCACTTTCAATGTACTTGCTGCCCATTGGCACACCCGTGCTCGATATCCTTATATTGCGTTCGAGCCTTCGCTGCGCTGGTTTCGGCCTTATGCTAGGATTTCGTATCATTCCCGGGATTTCCCTTTTTTACTTTCTGGTGTGACATCTCTCAGGGGTCGACACGTTGGGCTCTGGGTTCGGCTCTGGTCTGGTTTGACAATTCCGTTTGGATGTGGTCGGAATGAGAATATGTGATCAAGGATGGATTTAGCTTGTATCTACAGCTTTCTATCGGAGCGCTGGCTGCACCTGCAGACTAAGCTCCTATTTTACCATAGCTAGTCTCAAGCATCAATCTGTCCATTACTTGATGCGAACCGTGCCCAGGTGGTTGTAGTCTTGGATAGTCACTGAACTCCTTGCCAGGGTTCAAAAATTATGGCTTCTTAGGTAAGGTTCCCATCAACCAAGCAACTGCATTGTTTCTCGAACCTATTGAGTGCAGCGGTTTTGCCTAGAGGACCCCCGGGTCTCAGGGACCTCCCGAGTCGTTTTCAAGAGCATCATGCTGAGCCACTGCACATACGTTTGAAGTCAGGCGATCCATGAATATAGCCATTTGATAGTGAGGTAGCAGAAACTCCAATCTCCAACTAGTAATTGTTGGAGTCAGTGAACCTACCGAGGCCATGCCTCAAAATTGCCTGCCGTCAGTTGATGTCTATGCTTTTCGGTCCAATAGCCAGATGCCCTGCCCCCACCCCCATAGTGTGTTGATACTAATGAAAAATGAGGGACCTGTCTACCTCCGTCTGGGTCTTTGTATGGTCTTTGTGCTTGCAGTTTGCGCCTGCCCAGATGTGAAGTCGCTTCTCATTCCCAACCTTGGAAATCAAAAAAGAGCAATATTTCCGAGGACTTATCATGGTTGATCATCTTATGATATCATAGAATTTGCGGTTCGTGACATGGACTTCACCAGAATAAATTGTCGCTCATGGCCTCCAAGGTTGGCAACATGGTTCAAGATTCCGTGACCTGGGAAGCCCTGCAGGTTGCCGGCTGCCCAGGTGAATCTTTTGGTTCAGATCTACTTTAATGGATGTTCTTTGTCTCCATGTGCTGTTTCTTCAAATCTTGTATGATTCGGTAAGCAAGTTTGAAAACTTTACCGAAATTAACATTGGAACCTTGGAAATCTTTGTGGTGAATCGCTTATTCTTATGCTCGTGGCACACCATGGGATGTACCTAACCGAGTGATCAGACCTATCCAAATACCATGCTACTCAGTCACTCTGAAAGTGTTTTATGCATTATACTTCATATGTTTGAGCGTTCAATGCCTATCTATCACCAGAATACCCAGGTATTGCACGTTAGTATACTTCTTTAAACTAGTCGTAATAGTTAAGATGGAAAATTTGCTTTTGTGAGAGCTGTTGTGGAAGCACCAACCCATGAAGTCCCGAGGTCATTGGTGATTAAGTTAGCAGCTGCAATGTCCACAAGTACCTCGTTGAATGTGTCTTGTTGATCCAGTAACCTCCAACTATCCTTTATTGGCGTATACATATCCATCACGTGATAGACCGTGCCCCAAGATGGCCCTGCAAGATAAGACATGCCGGCTATTCCTTGCAGTTAAACAATTGATTTACACACATAGAGCCCTAGTGTAGATATTACGAGCAATGTATTCTTATCCGTTTGACTCCAATCATCTAGTAGAACCTTTGGCGGCTCATGGGAACAGAGGGCTGAGTAGACGCAGACTTCGGGATGACACGGATTAAAGTAAAGTAGTCACGTATTTGAAACCTGTTATGGGCTATTTTGGCAAGTCTTTGATCTTTATAATGTTTTAATGTTGGAAGACCTAAGTCTCCGCGTCTCCGCGTTCACAAAGCCCCTCGCGGTCCCCGTCGATGAACGTGAATCTGTCGTCGCCCCACCGAGACACCAGGGCACCTTCGCCGAGTCAATCGCTTGACTTCACCTTTTTCAAGGTATTTTCAGCGTCCAAGGAGTTATTTATGATCTGATGTTTTATTCTGATCTGAAATTTGCCTGTTTGGCTCGTTTCGCATCCGCTCAAGTCAAGGTTTGTCTCCTACTCATCCCACTTCAGCCTGCAGATAGCGGTTGAGTTCGGAGAAGTGTTTACTGTCTTTGAGACCGTAATTGGCTCAGTGATTTCTGAATATTGGGCATGATCTCGGACTGGCCTTTGGGCGGTCGTCCCCAATGGGGTGAACGGAGGGCCTATGCTAACTACTGCATCGAACAGTGACCGTGGTCAAGTGTTGTGCGATAGCCCATTTTCCAGTGTCTGGAATTGCTCAATTCAGTTTATAAGGATTGATTCATGAGTCCTGATTTCCTTGATATGAGTTCTCGCGGCTGACCGCCGAAACATCCCATTAAAATGGACAACAGCCAGGAGGACGTTCGTCCTGGGACAGAAGCTGACACTGTGAGTACTTTGCAGCATTCCCCAACACGCTTCCCTCCAATTCTTCACGATTTCCGGGGCCGCAAATTGCCTTGAATTGCATGGTGGCCCCGCTTGCCTATTATGGTCCTGTCTGACACTTTTCTTCTCTTATCTCACGTAGGACCCCATTCTTTCTTCTCACCATCCTTCTACATCCTATGCACAAGCTCCCGTCTACGAGATCGTTGAGCAGCCGTATCCTTCTTTGAATCCTTCTTTGAATAATACACGTGGATCCGCAGAACGTGATTCAAGTGGAATTCTCGCGCAATCCCCAGATTTACCTTCATTCGCGCGATTCGAGGGATTCCCAGAATTGCTTGATTACGAGCCTTTTGTGTCCTCACCACACACTCCCGATTACACCCAGGAGGATATCGAAACCATCGATCCTTTTTATCTTGAGAAATTGTTACTCCCTCAAACCGTCGGCGAGTCAGCAACTTCCCTCGCCACACTTTCTTCTGCTTCACCATCTCAAGGTTGCGCCCACAAAGATCGGGCTATATCAACAAAAGATAAGACTGTGAGCTCCAACGAAGAGCACTGCACTGACGTTGTCTCAACCACGCACCAAGCCACTCCCCCGGTGTGCACTCATCGCAAGATCATTGCACCTGCGACCAATCACCTTCTTCCGACGTAGCTACGCGTCAAGCCTCAGAAAAAGACAACGCAGGCCAGTCAGACGTCATGGAAGGCTATCACGGAGACGTTCAGCGCTGGTACGAAGAGAACTTCACAGAAGAAGACTACGACCTCGACCCGGTCGACCTGAGTGAACTTGGTCGACGACAGGAGTCTACAGAATCAAGCCAGCTTGATCAGGATAGCCCATCAGCCTCCGGCCTGTCGGCAACGACTGATGCTGACGAGAGCATGGGAAATGAAGAAGCCGAAAGTTCTGCTTCCAATCAAAGCACCGCGAGTCGAGGTAAAAGAAACACTGCATTCAATTGAGTCCGAAAGATCACATTACTAACGGGATTGATATAGAGGACACACTCGGTAACAGCGAGCCCGACTTCACCTGGACCATCTCACCCCCCACAAACCGTCCCTCGGGCTGGGACTTTGAAATCTACGAAGACCCCCCTGAGGCTTCCGAGCTCAACCAGCCGACAACACCTCTGGCAGACGCATTTCAGCCCGCCGAGGGGGATAAAGAGAACGTTCCCCCGAAGGAGAGTTCTCGGACGAGGAAGAGGAGGGCAGCGACGACCTCCCGTCGGACATCGACTGGGGTGAGATCTGGCAGCTCCCCCGGGATGCCTTCGGGCTCCCTATCGGCCGGGATGGCCGCCCCACCATCCCTGAGCCCGCCCCCTTTGGGGCTCGTCGCACCGCCCGCCGCGCCCGCCGCGCGCTGCGCGCTCTCCCCGGCCGTGATGGGGTACTGGATGGGGAGGAAGAATTGGATTAGGAGTTGAAAAAGAAATTGTTTTTTTTTTTTTTCCGGTGGAGAGAGATGAGGCAGGGGAGGAAGTGAGGCGGGGGTGAGGAAAAATGTCAGCGAGGCAGAGGGCCGAGATGCACCTCACGATGTATGATTAGTTTCCTTTGCTCTGAATTTGTCGTTTTTGTCAGATTTCCGTGTCACGTAGAACTCTCAAGCAAGGTCGACGAGCCATTGAAGGTTCTCGCCGGACAGTATACATTTGGTCAGTCTGCCGTCCGAATTTCGCCTCATGGTTCGCCATTCCAGACCGTAGGTTCGGTCGTTTGGCCAGCATCCCTCCTTGGTAATGTTTTCTTTGGTCTGCTCAGTTGTCGGGTGTTGTGCTGGAAATCAATAGATTTCGTTAGTTCATTTGGATGAGTTTGGTGTTTACAGTATTCAGACCTCGGGACAGATGGAATTATTTACCTTATTGAGGTGCTTGGGCTCTGTACATAGCGAAGCACATAAATGACTAAGCGCGTATGCGCCAATTGCATGCCGTTATATCCAGTTAAAACAGCAAGCTCGCAATTCCATGATTCTTGTTATTTGTCCGGGCTCCATTGGACATGAGCCCGATTACTCCGTACTGCACAAAGACATCGACCTCTAGCCCTAACCCGTCTCAACGCAGATCTATCCTCTAGGGTTCCCGAGGTCTCCCGTGGCCGAATAGCTACTAGAGTTTGCTTCAATGTTACAAAGCTATTTCTAGATCCTTTGAAGCTGTTGGTAATTTTTGAATTATTCTTATATCCCCCCCTTCCCTCCCTCTTTTCCCATCTTTTTGGTGGAGTTTCCCCCTTTCTCTTTTCGAATTTGTTTTTGTTTTTGTTTTTTCTGGGGTTCCTTTTTGGGTTCCTTTTTGGGGTCTTTTCTGGGGTCTTTTTTCTTCAGACTTCTCTGCCTTCAACCTCGTGTTTCTTCCCGCGTTCTATTCATCATTGCCGTGAAGTGGCGAAGGTTCTTCGTTTGGGTTCTCCGTGGGTTTGACCATGAATCCACCACCAGGTCGTTCTGTGACTTCTCCCAGCATTGACAGAAAACTAATCTCTGCTTCTCGGCTGAGTAGACCCTTTTGGTTCATATACTCATTGATCTCCTGGGTTTTCTTCTTCTGTAGATCCAGTATCCAATCGTCGATCGTGCCGCGTGTAACAAGTTTGACCCATTCCACCTCGCGTGTCTGACCGATTCGGTGAAGACGGCAATAAGCCTGCGTGTGGTCAGACTATCCCGCACTTCAAGAAAACCATGCCACTTACCTGTTGCTCAATTGCCGCGTTCCACCACTGGTCATAGATGATAGATTTGTTGGCCATTGTCAAATCGAGACCGATTGCGCCTGTCCTGAGGGTAGCAAGGAGAATTTTGACATCGTCGTTCTTTCGAAACTTCTCCACCTGAGCTTGACGAGACGCAATTGACACTCTTCCATGCATCTTGATGTCTCTGTGTTAGCAGCGCATGTCTAAGATTTCCAATCGGGTAACTCACCATGGCGTATTTCCAGTCGTTCTTGTCGCACATGTATTGAAGCAACCGCATGGTAGCCAGGAAGTCAGTAAAGACAACAATCTTGACATATTTGTCTTCAGAAATCCATTTTTTTATTTGCGTTTCGGTTGCCGTTGTCTTTGCCCCCGGAGTCACATCACCAATCTTTGTCACCCAGTCGAGCTCGGGCTCGGGCTCAGGTTCAAGCTCATTGGAATCCTCCGTAAGAACACCATGGTCTGTTTGCGATTGATCTGAAGGTCGCATAGTCGCCAAAAACTGGGCAAGTGTTTGTTCAGTCTGTTTTTTTTTCTGGCGTCTTTTTTTGGCCTTGGGTTGCTTTCCAGATTCCTCAAGACTGGCTCTTCTTTTGTTTGGTGACATTTCTGTGAACAAATCCTGGGCGGGAGGCAGTGCCGACTCCAAGGAATCAACACAAAAGGTACCGCTTTGTATGTCCATTTTGCAAGATGGACATTGACGATCTCGCGAGTCAATATTTCCATGCTGATCGGGAAGTTTTTCAAAGCAAGGCTCACAAAACCGATGCGAACATGAAGCAAGGAAAAACTTGACTGGAACAAGACGGCAACTTTTGCAACACTGGATTTGGTACCGCTCGAACCATTTTTCTTCTGTGGAAAGATACTCGAGTTGGGACCGAACTTCCTCAATTAGACTCTTGTCCACAGGGGGCTTTGGTCTTTGACTTTTGCTCGGATCGCCAGGTGGAAGAGTTGTTTCTTGGGGAGTTCCTTCGACCACACTGAGTAGTGCCATTATGATCATTCCGGAAGCTTCGTCTATTCCCGGTTGATTTCTCATGTTCTTCAATTTGGTCATAGCTTCATCGTTGAGGACCGATTCGAGAAATCTCTGAGCAGTGAGTAGATGGCTCGCAAACATGCGACTTCGCGTTATCACGGCCAATATGCATCTCGACTGTTCTGTTTCATTTTCTGCGAGACCTTGAATACGAGATCAGCTTTGTTTGTGCTTCTTCCTTTTGTCCTTATGTCATATCAAGCCTTACCGTTCACTGTACCAATAATCCATTGCTTTATCTGGTCGTTCAGACATTGTTCGGCCTTGCTGAGCTTGATTTCTTCCACTCGTCCAACAATATTCGGAAGTTTGAGAAGTGGTGCTCCAAAGAGTCTGCTCTTGTGGCTTCGTCGATGCATGACATTGCCAAGCAAACTCTTCAGCCGCTTCTTAGCTTTATCAGAACCCTCTTAACATAAGCTTGACTCGTTGTCAATACAATAAGTGGAGGTTAATCACTCACGTCGCAATATAACGTTTGAAAGTTGCCAAAGTCCAAGCAATCGGGTACCCCAATCAGCTCGAGATAGGGGTAAATCTCACTCGTGCGACTGTTACAGGGGATTAGAAATAATCCGCGTACTTGGTTGCGGAAGCTGGGCTTGAAGAAGATTTTTGACTTACTTTAGCAATGGCGTTCCTGTCACGGCCCATTTCCGTTCTCCATTTAGGGCTCGAACGGCTCTGGAAACCTTGACCTCCCTGTTCCTGATAACGTGTGCTTCTAGGTTCATTCGTCAGTCAAGGTCTGTGGGGTCTGATTATTGATTCAACCTGTACCATCCAGAATTATCCGGTGCCAGTTGAACTGGTGAAATGCCCCGCGGTGCGTCTCAAAGTTCTCCAGCCATTGCTTGGATTGCTCATCCGTGAGGGTCCCTTGAGGATGCTCGATTTTGGGGTAGGACTTGCAAATTTCGTGATATGTGGTAATTCTGCGATTAAGTTAGAAGTCACATGCTCTCGTTCATCTCTGGATCTGCAGGCTCATACACGATATGTTGTTCTGAGAACCATTCGAGTAGATCGGGTCTGTCCGTGCGGTGCCCAGCACAGTAGCGGTCCACCTTGACTGTGATACCTTTGTGAAGAAAAATTTGGCTCATCCTAGATAAACAATTTTAGACAATAATCAATCAATAGTGAGATTCAAGCGCGAAACATACCAATGGCTAACCAATGTGCTTGGAACAATAATCAGTGTCGTCTCTCCGGGGTGGTTCAGGTATGGAATCTCGTTGAGAGTGACCGCTGTGACTCATTAGTTTGACAACGATAGACTTGCCTTGAATCTCTTACATAGCATTGTCAACGTCTTTCCCAGTCCCATCTCATGGCACAGTAATCCACCGTGGGGCCGAGAACCGGAAGTCTCACGAGCGATCTGTTTCTTTGGTCAGAATCCCTACTCAATTATGAAAAAGGTAGACTTGATCTTACAATCCACCCACCGGCCTCGAGCTGTGATAGTTTTAGTCATGAAAGTTTTGGGGTTGAGAAGCTGAGATGCACTCACCTGGTATGGATGTAGCGAAGTCTTTAGTCCATTGACTTTCCATCCACCATCAACGTGTCTTGCAGTTGGGCTGTATTTCTTTGATGCTAAATTGATTTTCATCCGGTCCGCATTTGCGGCGTCTTTTCGGTAGCTGGAACTGCCGCAACGGCCTCAGCCAGGGCTGCTCTCTTGTTCCTGCTTTTTGAAATTGGAGCTGAGGGAAGCAAGTTATTTTGCTGAATGGTCTCGTCATAATTGTGTGCTGAAATCAGGTTGTCGAGTTCTGGATCAGTGAAAATGGGCTCTGTTAAGTTCGTCCGTTGCTCTTCGGTCACCAAAGTGTTATCTGAGCCGAGAATTCGCTTGACTTCATTTTTGCGTCGTCGCGTAAAGCCTCCATTTGAGGTATGAGGTCTTTTTTTGTTTTTGGCTGAGGGGCCTTCGCTGGCAGCATCATTTGATGTATCCTGCCCCTCATCTGGAGACCAATCTTTGTCGTTTTCGTTCTCCGTAATGTTTTCATCAGTCTCCTGTGGTCGAAACTCTGCCTCGCCAGGAGGGTGGTCGCTAGTAAGATCACAGAAGAGACTCTCAAAAGGTTCTGGGCAATCAATTTCCCCAGACGGGCATTCTGATATAGCCTCAAGGGATTCAGGATGATCATTTCTGGAGGCTTTGGCTGTCTCATCCTTGGAGATCTCGGTGAGATTTTTGGTTGGTGTAATTGGGTCGAGGGATATTTCAGTGTCCCTTTCGGGTGGAGTGCCCATAGGCACCTGTTGTTCCTCCATGATGCAAGCTTTTTGCTGCTGAGATTCGGGAAGGATAAGCAGGTTGACGTGAGTCGACGTGAGAAAGTTCCTGATAGATGTGAGAAAGGTCTGTAAGTGCAAATCAAAAGGAAGATGCTGTATGATGAGTGTGGGTAACTGAAGAAGAGTCTGCGGGGGATGGGGCATAGGTTGAACCCATACTGTGAATATAGGGCAAAGATTTGTTGGCAAATCAAGAAGCTGAAAGAAGGTTCAACTTCCAAGGTTTGTTAGCAATTTGATCAATGAAAAGTAAGAATGAATGGACATTTGGTGATTGTTAGGAGTCTTGTCGGTAACAATTTTCCTCAAGTCAACCCGATGTGAAGCTGCGAGAAAACTTTGGACTGGGCAAAAGGCGAACTTCACAACATACCTAGGAGAACGGTAGAGCTTCCGGGTAAAGGGAGCTTCGTAACGAGAGAAAGATTTGAGGGTGATGCCTGTTGAGTATGAGAGATATATGGAGCACAAAGCTCAGTGAAAGAAGGTGTGATAAAGGAGTCAATGGTGTTGTTAAGGATTTGAGAGTGATGCCTGCCGAGTACCTAGGCATGAGAGAGAGATGAAACTCAAAGTTCAGTAACAGAAGGTGTGGTAGACGAGTTGTGTTCTTATAGTTCTCATGTCCAAGCGGAAGAGGGAACTCACTTCGAGACAGGCAGAGAGCTTGGCTCAAAAAGATTCAAGCACGGGGATCAATGAACCTTGGAACCAAATCATCAAGATAAAACAGTCTCTTGGAGAACCGGGTCGAAATATATAATGCTCCCTGGTTTCGCTTCCGGGGTATCAAAAGGTCTCTCTGCTCGGTGAAGAGAACATTCATCTCAGAATCCTCGACTAGGAAAGATTTTCTCGTTTGCTTGTATGGAATTTGTCAATCGTTTGGTCATTGACTTGGCGACGACGTGGAAGTGAAGATCATGAGCTTGGAGTTGAGAACATCATACTAGTAAAGTAGAACCTTGGGGGGTGGGTGCCAGGCACCTGGGCACTGGGTGATACTGAAAAATCGAATCCATCGAATCCTGTTGCTGGCGCTGTGGCCCCCAGAGTTTATCGCATTGTTGGTAATGTGGAAAAGCAGGCAAAATCTCGTCAACAGATTCGTAAATCTAATACTTAGTATCATTCCAATACTATCAAACAACTAAACGGATATCATCACTCATAACCCCTTGCTCCATATATGTAGACAATTGAAAAAGCTCAACGTTTGGTGCAAAAGACGAACACAAAAAAGAGAAAACAAGCCAGCCTACATATCATCGATATTGCAGTTGGGGTGCAGGACATAGAGAATTCTGCTGTCTTCCTGGACATCTTCAGGTCCTTCCGTGAGGCCGGTTCCGGAAATTCGGAGCACAATGTTATCCTGAAAATCGTTAGTGCGTGTTGGAGAAGTTCAATATCAACGCAACATACCTTAACCATGGTTTTCAAAACCATCTTCGCAAGCTTGCGTTCACGAGCAAGATCCTCTTCGCTGTTCAGCTCCCCTTCGATCTGCTCGAGGTACCACAGAATAAGATCTTCCTGCTCAACACCTTCGGCTGCGGTCGTTTCATCCTCAATCAAACGTCTGACAAGGTGGTTCAAGACACCGTGGTACTTGTCGTATGTGACCTTGACCTTATTTCCTTCGCGCTTGGTGTGAGCAGGGGGTGCGTCTTCGTCGTGCATTTGATCATCACCGTCGGCATCATTATGATCAGCCATCTCTTGGTCGTCCTCCTCTTGGGCGGCGGGCTGATCCTCATCAATCTCGACATCGTCCTTCTCGACGGTCACGATACTCTGGCGGAGAAGATCGAATGCCTCGATGACGAAACGGGGAATGATTTCCTCAACACAGTTGGCTTTGGCCACGGCCTCAGACAGACGAATCAAAGACTCGAGCTGACGAACAGTGATACGGTAGGAAGAGCGACCAACACCGCCCTGAGCATCGTTGGAACGCAGCTCCTTGTACTTCTCAACAAGGAGTGCCTTGGCCTCGTCGGTGAAGACAGGGCGGAAAGTGCGAGCGAAACGAATGTAGCGTTGCAGCTGTTCGGTGGACAGCTCGGGCTCAACGGCCTCGTCGCGGTTCATGTGCACATTGACAATATGCTCTGCCAGACTGCGATCAACGGACTCCTTGGGGTCATCGCGGATGACGAAGAAGACATCGAAACGACTCATAATAGGAGCACTGAAGTTCAGGTTGTTGCGGAGGGTTTGCTTCGGGTCATAGCGGCCATTCACAGGGTTGGCAGCTGCAAGAATGGAGGCACGAGCATTGAGTGTAGTGTGAATGCCGGCCTTGGCAATGGAAATAGTCTGCTGTTCCATAGCTTCGTGGATAGCGACTTGATCAGCGATGTCCATCTTGTCAAACTCGTCAATAGCACAGATACCACCACCGTTTGCAAGCATCAGAGCTCCGGCTTCGATGGTGAACTCGCCGGTCTCGGCATCCTTAACAACAGAGGCGGTCAAACCAGCCGCAGAAGAAGCTTTACCACTGGTGTAAACTGCACGGGGGTGCAAAGAGCAGATGTACTTCAAGAACTGACTCTTACTGGTCGAAGGATCACCGACAATACAGATGTTGATATCACCACGCAGCTTCAGGCTCTCTGCGGAGGTGGATTTTCCGACACCGCCAATCAGTTGCAGCAGCAAGCCCTTCTTGATCTGCCTGTGGCCCCAAATCATGGGGGCAATAGAATCAACGAGGCGAGAGTAGATGTAGTCGGAGTGCACGAGTTGCTTCAGGTCCTGGACTTCGGCCGGGGTGAGACTCTGCAGGAAAGCTTCCTGAGCCGAGTCATCTCCGCCATCATCATCCTGGTTCTGGTTTAGGGAGGCGAGAATGTTGTTGGATTGGCCACTGAGCTGTTGCTCTGGCTTCTGGCCAGGTGTGGTGGTGTCAGGGGTGACCATGCAGGAGAGGAATGCCATTCGGTAAGACAAATCGCGCACACCCAATACCTTCAGGCCAGTGACACCGCTGCCGTCCCCACCTCGGAAAGAGTTGTCGTCACGGACAGCTTCCGGGCGCACACCAGGAAGTCCCAGTTGACTGACATCGGGAACAACGATCAGAGTACCAGTGAAGATGCAGCGCTCACCGGCCTTGGCGCGGTCAACCATCTCACCACGTAGAATGACGTCCATTGTACGAGGCATGCTACCGGTCGGAATCTCATGTGATGATTCTTGAAGCTTGACCTTTTGCCAATCAATGAATGTACTCTTGCCGATATCAAGACGCCAACCGATACGGTTGCCACAGTTGTTGTTGGGGCACTCCGAAGGCTCTGTGTATTTGAACGTCTGCTCGACATTTGGCACAACAGTTTTGCAGCCCTCGCAAATAAATGTTCCTAGCGACAACTCGGGACGGACTTCGGAGGTTCTCGTGACAGTTCCAGAGACAGACAGCAATTGTCCGATCTGTTTCGTGCGAAGTTGTCGAAGTCGAGAAACTAGGGGAAGGTTGTAGAATGCGAGAGCGAAGAGCTTGTCGGTTTGCTGGTGGCGAGTCTTCTCGCGGATGTGACGGTCGAGCTCGGGGTTGTCGGTGCTGCTACCTGCGGTTGCTGAGCTGCCGGGGTCTACTGAGCTGTTGGAGCTCAATCGGTGGGAGACGAAGTAATCCGAGGCATATTTGGCGATGAGGTTGTGCAACGCCTTAGTGAGGAAAGGCAGGAATCGGTAGTACTGAGTTGCAACAGCATCGGCCAGAATGGGGTCTCTCCAACTTGTGAGGTGTGTGAAATCAACGTAGAGGGTTGACAATTCAAACTTGGCCATTCCTTTGATCTGAGCGATGTAGTACCTGGTGCTGAGAACCTCACCTGAGGAGATTGGTGCGGACGATGAAGGCTCTTCTTGGTATTCTTCAAGCAGGGTCTCAAATGCACCCCTCACCCTTTCTCCTGCATCGTCGACCAGTTGCGCGGGGGTAGCAGTATATGGGTTGCGCAGACGGTTGATTGTCGCATTTCCACCAGTCACGACCTGGTCATCGGCGAATGCATGCATATCACTCATGGGGCCATTGCTCTCAGAGCGACGGGAGCTGGGTAGGTGATCAGATCGCAGGTTGTCGCTAGCAGGCCCTGAGCCCAACTCGGACTGAATCACGGCATCGAAAAGGGAAGACATGGCAAAATGCGTACGGCCTAAAGGTGGCCAATGGTTTGAATTAATTGGCCCTCTCTCAACAAGAAAGTAAAAAAAGAATGTGGAGGGTCGGAGCCGCGATGATACCGAGCAGGATTCCTATCTTAGTTTTTCGTGGGTCTTCAAGTCTCCTTGGGCAACGCGCGACGCGAACGCGTGTTCGGAGCATGAAATAATCCGGCACCGACGTGTTAAGTGGTTTCTTATGTCATCATCTGCTAAGTCAGCCGTGCAGGTCGGGGCCTCGGGACCTCGGGGTCTGAGAAGACGCGCTAGTTCGATTTAGGTAGTTGGTCGTGTCCCGAGGCCCCACTACGTTCCACGAATCAGGGCGGCAGCATCATTTCAAATCCGAGTTCAATGTTTAACGCGCACAGCTGAGACCTCTGATTTAGCGCATCCATTACGTTGAACACGGTCCCCGACCATTCACCGAGATTTACCAATAGCAAAAGTACTGCCTTGGAGGTTTTCATCAGCTCTTTTGCTCAAAAATATCCTGTAGAGTTCCGTCATTCAGGAGCATGACTAGATACTTGAGCGGACTTGTCATTCCTCTTTCGGTAAGCCAGGATTGCCCAACTTTGACACATCTCAAGGCCCAATCTAAGTAAGGTACTAGCGCATGTATCCCTTTCTCCATGACCTCATGTTCAGCTACCACTTGCACCGCCTCCAGTAACCTTTTTATCTACGCTGTCTACACTAACTTAGCCATGAAGGGGTCTACCTCTTATCCTCATTAGCGAGCATTCAACTTCTGTGAATATTCAAACGAAGTTTCATATGTATTGTGCACGGGAATCCTAACATCTCAATCAATTGTCGGTCTGTACTATATCACCCGACCAGAAAGCAAGTTTGGCAAATATGCCCCTCTTGGGCCGTGACACGCGGAAATAATCGACTTGTGGTAGTAAACTCTACTTGACCGTTCTTTAGATATCTAAATAGCGTTTATTACCGAAATCATCGAGTGGATAAGTCAGTCAGGGTTGCATGGTTGATACTTGGCGCTTATATAATGGGGTCTTCAACCCGGGTGCCCGCACTCCATCTGAAACCATTCCATTATTCCCTCTCGGGGATTTATCTCCTCCCTCGCATTGCATTGCGCTGTATGTATAACACATCGCTCTTGGTGCCAGAAATTGTGTTGTATCATTTGTGCTGACATATCACAAGGGTTTGCGCCTTGCGATGGTTCCATTCAAATCCCGGATCCTTGACTGGAGGAATCTCGGTAACCGGTTGGGCATGCAGCACTGACCGATTTTATCACATCTCCATATCCCTCCGAAATGTCCGGAAACGACCGATCAGCGTCAAGATTGACCGAGCCAAGCGCGGTCCCTCAGTCAGGTCCATCCGACGCGGATGCTTCGGGTACGCATCTCCCCCGCCTCGCAGTTTGACTGCAGGGTTCCTGTGCGGCGCGGCTGACCATGATATCGATACAGTTCCCATCGGCGATACCTACTCAGTCGCTAAACCCACGAAGCGCCGGCGCACCGCCGACCCGAAAAACAAATCAACCAAGAATCAACACTTCTACTTTGTTGATCAGAATTCCTCTTCAAAAGAAAAGCGCGCACATGTTATGCGCCACCATGTACAGGAAAAACGGAAACATCACAAAACCCTGCGCGGGCCTCTCTCAGTTGACCCTGGAGCTAAGAATGCCGAACATCATCGATCAGGGTCCTCCTCGGCCGCAGGGCAGCCCTCTGACGTAACAACTTCGGTATGGGACACTCTCCTCTGGTCGTGGGCCTAGGTTCTGCAGGAACGGAGCTCGTTCGTTGGACTCAGGCACCGGGGCTCGTGGATTGATGACTGATATTTTTTGCCTCAGCTCCAAATACGGTTTTCAAATATGAAAACACAACCTCATCCTTCTTTGCCACAACACATTGGCTCGCCGGTTACAATACTCGATGCTTCTCGAAAGGATCCGTTCTCCAGTTTACCGATGGAATATAACAGCACGGATATTGAATTGGCTGATTATTGGAGGAACAAATTGACGTATTGGTCTGGACAGAATGTCCACGTCAAGAACCAAATATTCCGCACAGCCATGGGACACCCTCTTTCCTTCAAAGCAGTAGTGTTATCCTACTGCGCGCGTTGGAAAGCACAGCTATATGGTATGACTGACAGCGACGAGATCCAACGTCATGTTGGAGAAGCGGCGAAGCTCATCGAAGAAGCTACCTCCGGCTCCGCGATCGTCAGACCGGACGACCTTGCAATGGCTTTGGGTGGCATGGCCTTGCAAGAAGAACGATTCGGTAGCAAAAAACTGGCGCAGGTTTATGTCAACCGTGCCGTCCAGGTATTGCGCCCCCGAACAGGGTTTAATAGACCAGTGGAAACCTTCATACACTATGTCCGGTACCTCATGCTACCTGAAGTGCCGACTTCCAGCCCCGCTGAGCAGAAATGGCTTATTACATTCCTTCACGGAGCCAGAGATCTCATGCGCCGGCACAGCACGCCCGAATACCTTCACCAAGTCCCACACCGCCTCTACGCCTTTGAAATGGGGAGCCCCCTTTTCACTCTTCTCTCCAGCGGGCCTCGTCCTTCCCAGGTTCCGCAGGAATCGCGAGTTTATGTGGTTCGTCACGCGCAGACCCAAGAAGTCAGCCGAACCGCCTCTCTCATCTATATCACGGCTGCACTGTGGGATTACCAAGAATCACCAATTAAAACCGATCGGTTCCTTGGTCACCTTTGGGCTTTGGTGAAGCAGCATCATCTTGATCGTGATCCAGCTTGCGAAACCCTCCTATGGCTGTTGTTGGAGGAAGGCTATGATTCCGATTTACAAGACCCCGAACGTGCATGGTCGACAGGTGAACTGCTGAGGGTGCACAAACAACTCCGACCGGATCTTCAATTCCTCTGGAACGAGATACTCATGAGCTTCCTTTCCTTCCAGGCTCCTATTCGTGGGGTTGAAGCCTTTGAAGAAGAAATGTTACATAGCACTTCACCGTGACAGTATCTGGGCGACACACAATCAATGTCCAACACAGCAAGATACATACTAACTCATATAATTCAATTCACACGGGTTTCAGCGTGTATCGTGTCTTTATCTATGGATAGCGTGTGAGATATACGCATCGCAAGTCTGGTGAATGTGTGCACCTCACACAACAATATAGATCAACATAGCTCCCGAGGTCGTCCCTTGGCGGACCCGAGAACCAGGACCAGTGGGCGACCTTGGAATGTTAGCGTCATTGATCCCCGGTGGAGCCACCTCAAGCCCATTTTACCAAATGTGATATCCATTTCTGATCCAATGGTTACGTTTGTAGCCCCCCCTTTAGACCTGACGCTAACCGCGGGCGGAGTACGGAGTAGCCTCGAAGTACCTTTTCACCGAAAACGGTAGCCACGCTACCAAGTCGGTACCAAGTACCCGCGTGGGCCTTTCGAACCTGAACCAACTCAAGATCGCCGATCGACCACACTTGCACAGCTCAGGAACCTTGCCAATCATTTGCATCGATTGGATCAATCTCATGGGCCCATGGTTCGTGTCATATGCCCCATTCCGAATTTTCAGTTTCAAATATCACATACCACTTTGAAGGTAGTAATGTTCTACGAATTCCTCTTGATTCTTGAATATAAGTGGCACGGAAATACATAGGCACGAATTACTGCCAAGTGATAATTTAAATGAAGTGGCAAAAATGAGCTGGCGAGTCGCCAACTCTGTTTGCGAATCTCGGCCCAGATCCTAGTCAATAGTGCAGCCCACTAGCAAATTTAGCGTCACCAGCCCCAGTCGATGTATTGAATTGAGAGGTGTACAGACTCAACATCATTCGACGATCTCTCTTGGTTGGGTTGGACATGCGCGTCTATTGCTGCGTGTCATGGCACGTTCATCAGACCGCATTATTGATTCTGGACGAGAGTTCAAAGGCAATTCAACGAAGCAGAATCTCGTGTGCTCGGGTTTGGCTGGTGGAGACCTGACACAACAACAGTACCCCTGGATTCCAAAAGGATATGAGACAGGTAGGAAATTTCACTTTCCAAAACACGAAGTCACTCAAAGTAAAGTATGTGCGACCTACGGAGTACCCCGTATAAACAAGCAGGTACATATTCGAATTGTATTCTCTCCCTTGCGCACAGTTAACATCCCTGTAAGGTTGAGCGTCATGATCGGCGTCGGGTAGAGTAGCTCAGATAGGGGCTGTGGCTGGTGTGGCGGTACTCGGTGTTCTCCGGTGAGAATGCCATGTGAAGATACTCCATCCTAACTGATGGAGTCATTGACTGCGTAGAACCAGAGGAACCAGAGGAACCGGAACCAAAATGTGTGGGTGGGAGGGTCGCATAACGGAGAACCACAGCGGGTGAGACTTTGGATCGACCAGTGACTCGTGGGAGCTTTGGGCAGAGGAGCGGATGTCCGACCAGGGGGTGTGACGCTAGTCAGTAGCACCATTGCACTTTATTTGAGAATGGCAGAGAGCAGAGATTGCTACACAGATGGTCCAATTACGTAGACTGGGATCGCAGATCGTGGCAGCCCCTCTCTTTTTCGTTTAAGTTTCTTTTTTTTCCACTTTCCTCTCTTTTCCTTAACAAACCTGGGGAGAACCAGCCCCTACGACATTTTGTACATTGTTTTCAACACACACATACACACCATGGTGTTCGAAAGTCACCTGGTCGCGCGTGCGGTAAGCTTCCTCTCTTTTCAATGTGTTGTTCTCGCGCTAACGGTCTCAGTCTCAGGACGACCCGAGCGACAGCTCGCCGTCGCTGTCCAGCTTGGTGACCGTACTGATTCCCTCGGCGGTCATTGCCGCCGTCATGGTGCTAGCATTCATCATCCTGCGCAAGCGTTTCCGTCGAATGTATATGCCTCGAACCTATATCGGATACCTGAAGCCCTGGCAACGCACCCCCGACACCCCCACTGGAGCTTGGGATTGGATCAAGGCCATGTACAAGCTCCCCGACACATACGTGCTGCAACATCACTCTATGGACGCCTACTTGATGCTGCGCTTCCTTAAGCTCTGCTCGGTTATCCTCTTCGTCGGTTGCTGCATCACCTTCCCCATCCTGTGGCCCGTCAATGCCACGGGTGGTGGTACTGGAAAGGAGCTCGACCTGCTGAGTATCTCCAACATCTCCACCGACTCCGCCGGTCGCTACTTTGCGCACTGCTTCGTTGCCTGGATCTTCGTTGCGTTCGTCTTCTTCATGGTCACCCGGGAGCACCTCTACTACATCAACTTGCGCCAGGCCTACCTCTTCTCGCCAGCCTACGCCAGCCGCATCTCCTCGCGCACTGTGCTTTTCACCGCTGTCACGCCCGACTTGCTCCAGAAGGAGAAGGTCCGCACCATGTTCGGTCGCGACAAGGTCAAGAACGTGTGGATCGCAACTGATACCAAGGAGCTTGAGGAGAAGGTCAAGGAGCGCGACGGCGCCGCGATGAAGCTCGAGGCCGCCGAGACTAAGCTCATCGTCATGGCCAACAAGGCGCGCAACAAGGCGCTGAAGAAGCAGGGCTCCACTGAGAACCCGGAGACCGAAATTGGTGATGGTCAATTTGATGACGAGTCTGGCTCAACCGCTGCCCGCTGGGTTGAGGCCAAGAAGCGCCCTACTCACCGTCTCAAGATGCTTATTGGAAAGAAGGTCGACACTATCAACTGGGCCCGCTCTGAGATTGAGCGCCTGAACCCCGAGATTGAGGAGTTGCAGGCCAAGCACCGCGCCGGCGAGACTAAGCTTGTCTCGTCCATCTTCGTTGAGTTCTACCACCAGGCTGATGCTCAGGCTTCTTACCAGTCTGTTGCTCACAACCTTCCCCTTCGCATGAGCCCTCGCTACATCGGTCTCGACCCTACTCAAGTTATCTGGTCCAACCTGCGCATCAAGTGGTGGGAGCGCCTCGTTCGCCATGCTGCTACCATCGCCTTTATTTGCGCACTGATCATCTTCTGGGCCATTCCTACTGCCGTTGTTGGTGCCATTTCCAACATCGATTCCTTGACCGACATGGTTCCCTTCCTGAAGTTCATCAACTCCGTCCCAGGTTGGATTAAGGGTGTGATCACTGGTCTTTTGCCCACCATTTTGATGTCTGTCCTCATCGCGTTGGTTCCCATCATCATGCGTCTGATGGCCAGATGGGGCGGTCAGCCCAGCATGGCTGCTATTGAGTTGACTGTCCAGAACTGGTTCTTCGCCTTCCAGGTCATCCAAGTGTTCCTCGTCGTCACTCTCGCCTCTGCGGCAACCAGTGTGGTGACAAAGATTATCGACGACCCTTCATCGGCCGCCTCGCTTCTTGCAACGAAGATCCCTAAGGCGGCTAACTTCTACATTTCTTACATCATTTTACAAGGTCTTTCTTTCAGCGCTGGTGCGCTTCTCCAGATCGCCCCCTTGATCCTCGGTAAGGTTCTCGGTACCCTCCTGGATGGTACCCCTCGCAAGATGTACGTCCGGTGGGCGAGCTTGGCTGGTCTCGGTTGGGGCACAGTCTACCCCATATTCACCCTGTTGACCGTTGTCGGTATGTTAAGCCAAAAGAGAAACGTAAATCATGATACTAACTTATGCCAGCTATCACCTACTCTTGCATTGCCCCTCTCGTCATGGGCTTCGGCACCATCGGTCTCTACTTGTTCTACTTCGCCTACCGATACAACATTTTGTACGTGTCAAACGCAAGCATCGACACTCAGGGTAGATGCTACACTCGTGGTCTTCAGCACCTCACCGTCGGATGCTACCTGTCCATGGTCTGTCTGATCGGTCTGTTCGCCATGGCCTCTGGCTCCAACCAGCTGGCCGTCGGCCCGCTGGTCCTGATGGTGATCTTCTTGATCTTCGTCATCCTCTACCACATGTCGATGAATACCGCCATGGAGCCTCTCCTCAACTACCTCCCTAAGAACCTCGAGGCTGAGGAGGAAGCTCTTCTTGCCGCGGACCGCAACACCATCTCCAAGTCCACCTCGGAGGATCTGCAAGCTCCAACCGCCTCCACCGATGCCCCCCGCGACAGCGGAGTCAACGTCGACAATGGATACAACGGTGTCGGCAACGTCGACTCCGCCGAGAAGGGTCTTACCGCGACCTCTGATGAGCCAAAGCCCAACTTCCTCACCAAGTTCCTGCGCCCCGACAAGTACGCCAACTACCACCAGCTCCGCAAGCTTGTGCCAACTGCCGATCCTATCACATACCCCGCAGAGGCTGAGCGTGATGCCTACTGCCACCCATCTATCTCCTCGCAGCCACCTCTTCTTTGGATCCCCCGTGATCCTCTTGGCGTTTCCTCCCAGGAAGTTGCACACACCATGCGTGTCATCCCCATCACCGACGAGGATGCCTACCTGGATGAGAAGTGCAAGATCCAATGGAACGAGGAGAAGGGCCAGCCTCCTATCTACGAGGAGAAGATCTCTTACTAGATCCATATATGATCTATGTTGTCTCGATCCTTCCGAATCGGTTGTTCGGTCTACTGTGATACCCAGCCGGGTAATCTTATTGCCTGGCTATGATAAGGGTTTGTCTGTTTTGGGTCCCGTCAGACGCAAGGCCTTCGAATATGATTCGAAGATGTGTCTGGTTTGGGCCCGGTCCTGCCTCTCCTTTTTTCTCTTTCTCTATAATCTTTAAATGTAATTGGTGGTCCATGCGTCATGTCGATAATGTATTCGAAGATGTTGTCCATGAAATTGTACTTTGCTTCTATTCAAATAGGCCTCCGGGGCTGCGATGTAACATATGTCTTCGGGCCGTGGATAAATGATGAATTCACATTACTTTTTCTTTTCTACTTGTCTTCATTCCGAGACTCCTCTTCGCGAATGGGTTTTTTCTCAGCTTGGATAAAATTCAATTAATCCATGGCACAAAGTTTGGTCTCAACAAACTCCCGTGGTCATGACATGGCAACTCTGAACTCCTTCCAGCTTTCCTTATTCAGCACCGACATCCATGGATTCGTGGATGTTTTGGTTGATCCCTAGCATACTTATGTACACCTGGGTGTGAATTCAATGGAGGGAAAAGCTTTCCAAGGTTAACCCTTGAACAGGTAAACAAACCTTGAAAGAAGGCTTAGATATATTTAAATCAAGTCCCGAGGCCAAGCCCTGGAGGTTGACTTTAACCTACCAAACCTTGGAAGCAGCATGTATATATCCAACTATACTGTGGAAAAACACATTTGCTACAACACAAACATTGGAAAACCCCGAGGCAGTAGATATTGATGCTCTTTCCAAGGTTTCCAGCACTTTCATGTTTGATCCAGGATAATAATTGGCAAGGCAGCCAAACCTTGGAAGTCGTTGAACATGGAGCGTTCATGACCTTTGTTTTCGCCAAAGTACCGATCGGTACCTTTGTCATGCCGGGGGCCGCCCCAACGTCACTAAATTACCAGTTTGCGTATTGGAATCGAAATTACAGTACTCTGTATAAATTAAAGCATCGGGTTTCAACGTAGACTTTCAATGTTGTGGGTGTTTTTCCAAGGTTCAAGGTTAATATTAACTCTGGAAAACCTCTATAGTACAGTAACTCAACAACTCAGTGGTCTTTGCTTTCGCAACCATTGAGGCTCAAGGTGTTTCCAACTATTTATAACTCCGTAGACAAACCACAAACCAAAAGAACTAGATCTTATTTACGGATAGGGCAAGAGAACTTATGGGTCTCTGAACTTCGCATGCAGCCGAAGTGCCACAGTCGTCAAGACTCGGAGCGGATACAGCGGTGGCTTGCATCCTTTGACACCTGTCAATTCTGGCTAGTGGGGGTGGGGCCAATAAGATACGGGTATTTGTGTATTTGACTCTCTTTTTCTAATCTAATTATCCGAATCAAACAAAGTGCAAGGGTAGACCGAACTACTCCGTAACAACATGTGTTGTTCGACGATATTGGATAAAGTGACACATTTAAAGCTCTACTTAAATCAATAAGCTTCATTATGAGTGGCTACCCATCCGCCTACAAGTGTATGTCATATTGACCAAGTACGGAATAGCCTGCATCAAGCGCAAAACGCAAGTGGAATCATTCTCCGAGTTTATTTGTAAAGAAGGTACGGAGTACTCCGTACAAGACTTACACAAAATTCGACTCCACCTTGCTTTGCCTTTGTAGGCAAGTTGTAGAGTGGGCGGGGCTCACAAGGGAATGTTTTGTTTTTTTCACATTTGGAATTCACCATTATTACTTAGATTACTTCGTAGTTCCTTTAATATAATCAAAGATTGCATGGCTTCTCGCAGCGAAATGGAACATTAGATCGAGATTGTCGACGATATAGTGGCTGACAGCTATCAAGCTGAGACAACTACTGCCCTGTTCATGTAACCTACGCAATTTAGTAACAAAAGTACTAGTTTCAGCAAAAAAACTTGAGAAAATTTCATATACACTCTGCACTCGTGTGGAGTGACTACCAATCATGAAAACCTTGGAACCCAAGTAGCCACTATCGTCGGAATTGCCCAGACCATGCATATAAGGTCAAAGTCGCACGTTCGCACACCCATAGCGCCCGCCCCGATCTACCGCCGTCCGTGATGTTGCATGACAAAGGCGCATCTCGCGCTTTGACAAAAAGGCCGCATAGCTTACTGGAAATCCTTCACAGTATGATTTAGCCCGCGTATATGTATGTCGTATGATACGTCATGCATCACGTCCAAGAGGCGTACCCACCTGGGCACTTCGTGCAACATAGGACCTGCAAGAAAAGATCGCCAACAGCCCTGAAAGCTATGTATGAGCAACAAGAAGTTCGCCTAGGCAACCGTTCCCAGGAGGGATTGAGTGCTGATTACCGAGCCCCTTTCCCGCTATTGTTCCCCCCGCTCGGCCAGACTGTTTACCTGATTAGGAAGGTTGGGTGCCGAACATTGATTCCCGTGCGGACTCCACAGCGGGAAGTGTGTGATTTGGCGAATCAATTAGGCAAGACGAGGCCAACGGTTATGCATTGGCGGGCCATGGCACTTGGGGTCCATGGGAAGGATTAGTTTTACTAGGATATGAGGACCAATGAAATTGAGAAAAGGTATTATGAGTAGTTAAAGTAGATTTGGCGACCACCAGAGCCACTATATCTGTGAAGCAATGAAGCACTGCTATATGCAACCATGAAAAAGACCAAGTGATTTCCACAATATGTACTGTGAATGGGAAACAAATAAGAAAACGCCAGTGGCAACGCCGTGCTCTCCTGATAATGGGCCATGAGCTGATGCAAGAGACAGGAAGGAGATGTGGATCTCTTAAGACGGACAAAATGAAATCAAAGATAGTATAGAAGCCGATGTGAGCGGCATGAGGGAAAAAAGGAGACGAATGGCAGGTCCCCGAAACAACGATCGCGAAAATTGCGAGATAGAATGGCCGAGAAAGAAATGATATCCCCAAAAATCAAGGTATCAACTATGCTTTTGCTGGGTTTCAACACGCTGAATCGCTACAAGATCAATAACTGGCAGAGCCTATACCCGGATGCGCGAGGCCCGGAATGCAGAGAGGTCGATTGACTCGGCCGAGTAGGAAGAGTTGTCATCAACTTCAATAGCGCCCGCTGTGGTGGTGTTGGCGGGTTTGTGAGCGATGGCAGCAACTCTGGCGAGTCGAGCGGCAGAAGGCGTAGGCGGGGGTTTGGGCGGTCCTTCATCCGCAGTGCCGTTTTGTTGTTGCAGCTCGTGTTCTTCTTGTTGCTTCTTTTCTGCCTTGAGACGGTCAACCTCGTTGATAGCGGCCTCGAGCAGCATTTTGAATTTTTCTTCCACCCCGTCCAACTCCGTACCGCAGTCCCCGGAGCGGAGCACTTGATACGCCGCCGTCTCGCAAAGCGAGTGTGCAAGTTCGAGTTGTTTGTCTGCAAAGTCGAATGGAGAGTCTGTGCGTAGCGCGTTGGTCCCGGAGATGCCGACAACCCCGGATGTGGTGCGGGTGCTCCGGATACAAGAAAGTGGTGATGCCGTCCCATCCGGCATGTTGAGGTTCATTCCGATACCTTTGTTCAAAAGACCAGCCCGCAAGCCTGGTCGCGGCATCATTGCCATCTTTGCACGACGAAGATTGTTCCTTGCCATCCCAATATCCCGTACGATTGACTCGAGCGTCTTCTGTGTGTGACCATCATAATCAATAATGACATTGTGCCTTGTGCTCACGAACGCGTATTCTTCATTTGTGTCGGATGAGGAGGCCTCGTCTGTGCTGCGCTTGCGACTTGAGCGTTGGCCCTGATCGGGCGCGTGCGCTGTCTCCGCCGTGGGTTCTGGGCTTGGTCCTTTGCGTTGTGCGATCGGGACCAGGTCGTCAGTGTGAATGGAACAGACAGAGCTGTTTTTCCGTCGGCGGGGTTTGGAGGTTGTGTGGCGTCTGTATGCTTCGCAGTACTCGTCGTGCTTTTTATGAGTGTGTGTGGCGAGTTCCGAAACGCCGATAATCCAGGTGGGAAGGTTGTCCTTCATATGGGTAAAAGCCCCCAACGCATCCATTGATGACATGGCCATGATCACGAACGGGATGTAATTCCTTCGGATTCGCTCTTCCAACCAGCAAAGTCGTGTACGTGTGGTCGAAATTCAAGGTCAAGGTATTATTTGTCGAGCAGTTGCTATGGTCGTTTCGTCATAAAATCGTGGGGGTTGAACAGGAGCGCAAGGGTAAAAGGTGAGGGACAAAAAGGGTCGCAGTGTGGTTTTCGGGCGCTGGGAGGAGAAGCGGGCGGAGTGCGGTATTTAGAAACCCCTCAATGAAGAGCTCGAAGATCGACAAGAAATGCAAGTGACGGTGAAGCAGAATCTGGGGAGGGGAAGTGAACAGGAGTAGGGAAAGAACTCGAGAAATATCCAGAAAATGAGCAAGCCCTGATACATGTATGGTAATGGTATGGTACTTGGTCCGATACCAATATGGCCCTAGACCGTTTCGGTATGGAAAAGGCACCCCTGTGTGATGTATTTGATATCGCATGTCGCAAGGCCGACTGCATCTCTCTTGATTGGGCCGTTTGTTTTGCGTCTTCATCTCTCGATGAAGCGGTGGAGTACGGAGCACATGTGTCAGGCCATGCAGGTCTACGATGTCAACTCGAATAGTCTCCTCGAGCACTAGGGAACCCTGGAGATGGAGTATCGGTCTAGGTCTTAGAAGGTATTCATTGGTTATCACATATCTTGCTAAGGCTGCATGGCAACACGTTGTCGTGATGATCCTTGGAAAATCAAAGAAGGATCACTCCTTCGAGGGTGCCATTCCGCGATTGCAAGTCGAGTATCCCGGTGACCGTGCGCCATATGCATACATGATGCTGTAGAATGTACAACGTACAACGTACAACGTACAACGTAAGGCTTGAATGAGTCACTACTGGAGCTAGAAACAACCAACGACATAAGGTAGTTGAAACATAGTAACCGAGATGATAGAGCCGAGGGATCAAGCGGGTACGGAGGACTCGTACCTTTCCCAAGAGAGGTCTGACACGTAACGGTCGCTAATGGTATACACGGGTATTAGACTCGGGGACCAAAAACCGGGGATTCGGGGTTTACAGGGGTCATGGGGATCACTCCACAGGCACTAGAAACCTCGAAATACATCTAGCCCGAATAGAATACAAGAATGGGGCTTTGACAATACTAAGCGGACGATCCCTCCCGCGGAAGGCTGGAAGAGCCCGTGATTGGGGCCATTCAGGTCCCCGATGGCCCCCACTCCGATGCTGGATTTTGAGTGGCTAATCGGTCTCAATCGAAGGTGCAGTCTTGCTTTTAGCGGTATCTTGACCTTCAATGCGCATTCCCTACTCCGTACTGTATGTAATATCACAACTCACATTCACACTGCCGTAGATATCGACATCTATCATATGGACACTTTGCAAAAGTCTAGAATAACCCGTGAGGCAAACGCCAAAACAAAACAAAAGAGCGTGGTTTACTCCGTACCATGATCATCTGTACGGAGTACAGTGTACGATCTATCTTCCATAGGTCGCGCTCAATGTTGCTATGGCAAGGAGAATCAGACCACCAAAACTTGACGTTCTTTTAATAGAGCAACGGCCGGGGTATCGAAAAAAGCAAAATGCATTGTTTACTTGATAGCTTGTTGGAGAGACCCCAATTATGAACGTCCATCTGACCAAGGCGCTGAAGAAATGCTGCTCGAAAAGACCAAAGAAGGCAACAAGACAAAGATGGAACTCAACCCAATGCATGCGCTCGCCATTGTGAAGTGAAGACCCATTCAATTGATCCTCTCATGAAGGAATGAGCCTCATGAATCAGCGAATCCAAATCTTATTTCCACCCTGGGCCATAACATCAAATCCATGTCGTCGCTTGCAACAACTATCGATCCTAACGGCCGGAGGACCAAGCCTCAATCCAGTTCTCAACAGCGCGCTTAACAGCCTTGGCGGAAGTGATGGTGGCGCGATGGGCCTGCTGGCTAGCCTGGAAGTTGACATCGTACTCCTGGAGGCGCGATTCCAGCTCGCGAGCGAACACCCGGTGGACAGCCAAGGCCGATGCAGCTTCCATCGCGTCGCTGGGGAGATCGCCAATTTCAGGCAGCGAGCTTGGAACGATGGGGGCAAAAGGACGGCCTCGCTTAGCCCGTTTCTTGGGGATGGGCTTCTCGCTCTCGAGGTCGGATGCGATGGATGAAAGTTCGTCGGTGGAGCCATCTTGAGCCTGGACGTCATCTTCCTGTGTTAACCAGTCAGTCAATCAGGGAACTCAGATCATCTTCAACTAGGTTTGAGTCTACCTTGACAGGGGCACGGCGGCGGCGAGCCGGGAGAGTCTCGTTGACAAGCTCCGAATCAACCTCAGTCTCAGACTCAACGACAGCACGATGGGTGCATCGCTTCTTCTTCAGCTTGCACGGGCGGCAAGCCGGACGTCCGTCAACCATATCGTCGTCAGACACTAGACGTATCGCGTGTTAGTCAAGGTTTCGATCACGCGTCAAATGGTGATGCGAGGACTGATGTAACTTACTTTTGCGATGAGATCAAGTTAAAAAGCGGAGCACACTGTGTTGCGTTTGTTGCGTTTGTTGAAGATGGTTGGGATGGACCCGCGTATGGTCGGGGTAACGTCACGTCGCTGTGGAAGGGAAAGAAAGCAAAGGGCAACACAACCGGCGAAATAAGCATGGGGTCAAAGGAGCCATAGGGCTGGAGCATCCACGTAGGAAGGCGGGCCAACGTAAAAAGACAACGACAACAACAACTGAAACGCTAGCAATTGCTATCTTCTGCCTTCCATGATTACATACAGTGCAATCTTTAGCAAGATTTGTCAATCTGAAGATTGTTAGGTACATTTCAAATGCTGCGCACTCTTCCTTGGAACATGAAGCCGCCAATCAAAGATTGAGATATCGGCAACAAGTAGCCAAAGGATCATGGCCACACCTCAATCTCTTCCCAACGGCTACCAGTACCCTCAGCATCAGTGACTTTCCAATTCCATCTTTTTCCGTTCTCTTGATCAGTGAGATCAAGTCGCTCTACCTCCTCGGGCCGAATGATGACCACTCGGAAGTTGGAACGTGCCACAGGGTCATGGAGATCTGTGACTTTCTGCCCCAGTTTGAGATCTGAGCTGCTTGGAGTTTGATCTTTGGGCTGACCGGGTGGTGGATTCCGGAAAGAACCTAAATCTTTTTGTCAACATGGGTCCACAGCATCAAGGAAAGACACTTAACGCCAATGAAAGTCTTGTTTAACAGGGATTGTGAATTGTGTATAAAATATGAAAGAATGACCAACCTCTTGCAACGGGTGAATGATTGGCAAAGTACTTGGTGACTGCCCTTTCCCACGTCCACTTTGATGTATCACTGTTCTTTGTCTCCCTCAGTGCCTTTTGAACCTCCTGTCGGGAATGTCTTTCATCTTCAGCAGCCTCTCCCTGCGGATTTCCAACTGCATAGGCAGTTCCCTTGATGCGCCACTGAGTCATCAAATCCTTCAGCCAGAAAACTGCTTCAATTGCATTCCCAGAGGATTCTAGCTGGGACAACTTCTCCATGCGAGTATCGGTGGTGAAAGTTAGCATATCACTCTCGAATACTGAGGGATTACCCCCATCCTCTACTTGCTGGTCCATGGCCTCTTGGCCCTTGGGGTGAAGCTCAAGTTCGGGAAAAAAGCCGCGACAGCCGCAAGTCCGCAAGCGAGGCACAGGACGCTTCTGAGAATCATATCCGATTGTAGCAATTGTAAATTCGTAACCGGGGGTTTGCTTGAGTTGGGAATCCAGCAGATCACGCCATGGGGCCCGCCGAGAGTTCTCAGTTGATAAGCTCATTGTTGGAGCTCTAAAGGAGGAAGAAGATAGCGCCGATAATTGATTGGAAAATCCAGTGTTTGACGTGATCTTTCCAAGTCGTTGAAGAGCCACTCGCAGAGGGATTTGATGATTGGCAGGCACGGGAGCTGGCATGTATTACTACAAAGGAAACCTCTTTGCTTTGTTGGAAAAGTTGCAAATCTGGTGGGCACTGAGGAGCTGGATCTGTTTTCTCAAGTAGTAGAGAAGAACGAATGACGAGCGAGATAATTGGAAGTGAAGTAAAGATAAGAATAAGCGCAAAACCAAGATTGACAAGGACCGTGGTTGGCTGGTGACATCAGGTGGTCCGTGCACCTGTCGTTTGTGGACCTGCAGTCGCCAACCAGACCCTTGGTATTGACAAAGTTCACCAAGGGAAAATGCTGTCACTGCGACGCATATGCACGTGGAACCAGTGGAAAATTCCTTCCCAGGCCAATGGATCAGGATTGACCTTTCACCGGCCAACAACGTGCTCCGCCTATGCTCATCTGTCTAAAGGACGAGTCAGACAATATTCAACAGCGCCAAACACTCCTTGCGAAGTTCCACCAAGTAAGCTGAAGACCAAATCCCATCACTTGGGATGGGAGAAGATTCAAGCGCAAGTCGAGCCATATTTCAGCACCAATTGGAACTTCGCTAGCGAAAAGAAAAAACAGGGGTTGCTGGCCATTGGGCTATCCCGTGCTTTCACTAATGCCTTCCCATTGACACTTGATAACCGCATTGGGGTAACATGCAAAATGCTCTATCTTTCTTTGCTTATTGATGGTTGGTCATGCTTCAATACCAGGCCTTGGGTGATTGCTGACAAACAGATAGACCAACTGGAGAAAATGAGTTTTCCACAAATGCTATCATACCGACATCGGACTATGGAGGTTGTTCTAGGGACATCCAAACCAGACATAAGTATCAGTCGTGAATGGATGCTCTATGATACTTTGGAGATCATGCGTGGCATGAACAAGACTTTGGCAATCGACGCTGCCCGAGGATTTTGTCAGTTGTTGAAGGCCATGACGTCTCAAGAGCGAGCCTCTATATCAGATCTCGAAGCATATCTTGAGTTCAGAGAGGTGGATGTTGGACGAACGTACGCTGAATCTGCCATCATTCAGATGTGCTACATTTCGACGTAGCGCTGACTATGACTTTAGATTCTTCACAGCTCTTATGAGATTTGGCGCCAACATTCATCTCACAAAAGCCCAGTTGGCACAAACAAAGACGTTGGAAAGCACCGCATTCCAGCATTTCAGTATTATCAATGATATTTACAGTTGGGAGCGAGAATGGAAATTGGCACAGGCGACTTCGGCCGATGGTGCCCGGCCATTTTCGGCTGTGTTTATTCTTGCAAAGGAGACTAATCAGCCATTCTCGGTTTGCAAGGAATCGCTATACGAATATTGCCGGGATTTGGAGCTAGGCTTCAAACAGGCTATAGATGGGCTCCGACACGACGGTTCTCCTGGGCTGACACCCGAAATGGACAAATATGTTCAAAGCCTGGAATACTTTATGAGTGGAATGGAGACATGGACTCAGTGGACTCCTCGCTACCAAAAGTAATGAGTGATTTTTTAGCCTGTCCTACGACATTGAGATAAATGGATAAATTGAATGGAAAGATATTGAATATTGATGTGAAGTATAGCAAAGATGCATTAATACAAAAGTGAAGGTGACACGCAATCAAGAGGTTTCATCAGGGGAAGTGGTAGCACGGTTTGCCTGGTTTGACTGGTTGATCTGCTTTATGCCGGACATTCCATATACAGTGATGAAAGCCATGCCTAAGAAAGCAGAAACGCAAGAAAACACCATGGCAACTATACCTTTAGCAGTAAACCCGGCAGGCAACCAGTCTACCTGCTTATTCTGACCATCTAGGTCAAGATAATCCTCCGTATTACCTGCAGCATTGCCCTCATGTTTTACGCCAGCGGCGTTGCAAACATCGTAATGGTTCTCTGGGACAGACAAACGATCCTGGATCTGCTCAGGGGCTTCAATCAAAGTCAAAGCCAGACCCTGGGAGAGATGCCAGTCGATGTGACAATGGAACAGCCAGACACCTGGAGTGTCGGCAACAAATCGGACCACAAAGTAGCCCTGAGGGGGAGGACCAAAGTGTCTCGCCTGGCGGGGTATTTTGGGAAGGCAGTGTGGTTGGATGGGTCATATGTGACGGGGTCGCCATCGGCATAGTCATAGAAATGTTCTCCATACGAAGGGAACCGTTCAATGACCTGGAATTGGTGACCGTGAAGATGGAAGGGATGGGATCCGGTGTCACCATTGTTCAGAACTATGTCCACAATCTGATTGTGGCCTAAAACGAAAGGGTGGGTGTAGTCTCCGTATACTTCGGGGTTGGTAGAGAGGTTGCCAGATGACAGCACAGAGTATAGAGTTGGGACCTTGGGCTTCGTGTAAGAGATGTTGTTGAAGAACGCGTAACTTGCACCATTGCCAAGATTGTCCATGATGACCGTAAGATCAATAGTCATATCAGCATCTGGGAGAAGTGGCTTCTTGTCGTAAGGAACAAGGGTGAAATCGTCATAGGGATTGAGATCCGATGCGACGTCCACTTTCATGACAGCTTGCGGATGAGCCGAGGCTGCATTGTATTCTAGCCAGTTGGTGTTGTTCAGTTGGAGATCTTCTGGAATTGTGTCAAGAAGAACGGAATCTGCGACGGTCACAATAGGGTAATTCTTCTCCGTTGAATTTTTCATTGTCACAAGGATCGCATAGCGCTGCGCGACGGCAATATAGAGCATCTCAGCCTCGGTGGGCTCCGTGTACACACCATCGATCTCAACGATGCGAAACGTATGGTCTTCAATATAGAAATATTGTGCAACGAAGGCTCCAATATTTATCAACCGGAACAAGTAAGTTTTGCCAGCTTCAACCGGGATACTACTATTCATAGTATCATTGAAAAGGAAGGCCTGTGGAATCGGCTCCGCGCCAGTGGGATTGTCCATGTTGATGAATTTCGGCGCAATATCTTCCATCAAGTCGTGATACCAATCACTCATTGTGACTGTATATTCTTCATCGTACATGTCGTTGAAGTACGAGTCCTTGTCGTGAACGATCAAGGCCTGGCGGTACCCATCTGGGTAGCAATAGTCGGTATGGCAGTGGTACCAATACGTTCCATTCTGGTTCACGGTGAAGTTGTACGTGAAGGAAGCACCAGGTGGGATCGGGCACTGAGTGACCATGGACGGCCCGTCCATATCATTCGTTCCATTTTGGTACATGCCATGCCAGTGAATAGAGGTAGACTTATCCCCTAGGGCATTGTGTGTATTGACAATAAGTTGGTCACCCTTGTCAACCTCTATGACAGGTAATGGCCATTGCCCATTGATACCGACGACCTTTCTCTCGGCAAGCCCATCTGGATTTGCATTCACCCAGGTAACGTTGAAGTCAAGGGTGACTGTTTTGGCCTGGCAAAGTTGCAAAAAGCAAAAGAGGAATGCGAGTCGCAAGACCAGCCTCCGTATCAGATTTCTCATAGTGATTTCAATGTTGGTGGAATGAAGAGTCGCAAACGAGACAAAGTAGATGGGGGAAATGACATACCGAGTGCCCCGACGCTCAGGCGGCAAAGAGATTGATAAATTGAAAAATACTGGCATCTAATGTCAGCCATACCGTGATAAGATTATCGATCTTACCGATTGTAAGAATTGAAACGCCAAAAAAACCTTAGCCATGGTTGCGATCACTCACGAAAACGACTGAGTTTAGAAAGTGGAGTGTATACGGGTTGCGTGTTGGAATGGACGGGAGAATGCAGATGCCCGAATGGGCTAGATCAGCATCCATACAGACTGTTTCTTTCCGATTCCTGTCACAGAGTCTTTCCAAAATGGTGAGATATAGCCTTGACGCAGGGAAATTTACCCGAGCCCACCCAAAGAAAAAGTCACACCGAACTGGTAGGGATAATCTGATTTCGAATGGGGAGTTGATTGGCTTCCGTGGAAATGTCGACGCCCGGGCGCCCGCGTGGGGCTAAGCTTTGCTACGACCCGTGCTAAGTGGACCGCGGGACCCGTGGTGTGTAAAATTACCCAAATTTGCAGATTGCAGTCAGATTACGGACCAAATCGAGCAGTCAATACATTTCATTTCCAAATCACACCCCATCAATCCGTACAGCCTGAGTGTAACCTCTGAATCTCTAGCTAAGAGCTTCCTGTCCAATATTGGTGATCACTGTTGCACTTGAGCTTCAGTCGACTTGACAACAGTAGAGACACCAGCACCAGAGACTTTCTGCTTTTCTGTGAAAACATGCTCAATAGCCCCGCTAGATTCCGCAACGACCGGCTCTTCGAGAGGTCTGCGTAGAACAAATGCCTTGGTCCTCGTCTTGAACCCTGTAACCTTGCTCATCGCAGGGTCAATGATGGGAAGTGCACCACGACGCTCACGGTAAAACATCAATCCGTATCCGACCATAACGCAGATCCAGTACAGATTGTATGAGATCACAGATCCGTAGGTGGCTGAATTGGTCCATCCGAGCAAGGCATTAAAGATGCCCCAGCCCCCTCCGCCCCCTAGCTCTGGGTTGCAGCAGTTGACGTGCCATACACTTTGCTTAATATTGTAAGAGCCAGCGCCAGAGCCAGTCTCTGAGGCATCACCTCCAATAGCCTTGTTCCAAGTGTTGTTCTCGAAGTACCAAACTCCACGAGAGAAGAGACCCCCGGCAACAAGGTATAAAAAGCATGTAGAGATGATAAGGAATATTTGCATAGATGTTTCCCGGCCTCCGCTGGGAAAGAAGGGTCAGATGTTCAAATTTACCGCAAAACAGGTAGGGGGAAGCTTTCTTACCGGTAAATCAGCCATCCAACCAAAATCCCAGCCGCAAGGCCACATACCACAGCTAAGGGAAATGAGGTAGCAGGGAGACCAAGTCCGACACCCCCAACATAGACGACAGCCTCCAAGCCTTCACGTAGCACCGTCACGAAAGGCAAAATGAACATGGCGTACTTTTCCAGCCATCTCTTCACCCGACCTTTCCGCGATTCAGTTGGATTGTTCTCATGCGCAAGAGCTTTGGCTAGCTTGAGGCGCCACTTTTCTTGAAGCTTCGAAACACGTAGAAGAGCAGCGCCCATGATAGTGATGATAAGGGAGGCGATTATACCCAGGACGCCCTCCCAGATGTCCTCCGTGCTGGAGAATGTATCGGTGCCCAAGCCATAGAAAGCACCGATCATGCCACCGCCGACGGCTAAACAGAGGAACAGGCCACATGCACAGCCCGCCCACACCTAGAGAGCAGTAAGAATATACTCGTGGAATGATGCCAAAAGGTATTCCCACCTGGCGCACCAATCTCTTGTGAGTTGCGCGATCTTCATCCGCGCCAAGCGTCTGCTTCAGGAAAGCTAGTAAAACAGAAACAACGACAGTTGTCTCCAAGCACTCTCGAAAGCAGATGAAGAACACTTGATTTGCCGCCATGTTGTTAGTGATGTTCTTCGCTCACAAAAAACGAGGGATGAAAATACCCGTCACGGCAAAGACTGGGTTATTGCCCATCTCGATCAGCAGTCTCTAGGAGTTGGAGGAGGAAAGGACCTGGAAACAACGCACGAGAGATAAGGCATCTGGAAAGTGATATTTTACGAAAGTAGGTGTATTGAAAAATACAAGCGCCGTCCAAAGTTGCTATCTGATCAAACCTTGTCTGGAGACTAGAACGCGAAGGAAATCCCAATTTCCCCTCCGACACGGGATCATGGCGCGGATCCATACGGCCTTCCATTCTTATCCTTGTTAACACAAGCGGGAGCGCGGCCGAGCGGCATTTGAGCGGACGGCATATGATCGCCCAACGTATCAGATCAAACACATCAGAGCAAGTGTGTTGAATTGCCGATGGTGTTTTAGTTTGTGCAGCGTGGAACATGGTTCAGATGCGCTTGCAGCGCCACCACGTTAATTTTGTGGAAGGGTCTAGGAATCTGGGTCGACCGTAGACGATGTTTCATGCTCCCAATTTTTGGGTGTGGCCTGGTATTATTTTGCTCTTTTTAATTATTCTCACGGAAATTGGAAATCAGAATACGTAATGCTTGAATCAAAATAGTGAGATTTATTGGCGGACATGATGATCTGACCAGGGATTTTGATAACAAAAGATGGAACCAATCAAGGCTGATGCACTTGAAAAGCTTGACGGGGGATGCCTTCGTATTCAGCTGTGACCTCGGGAGTGTTCGTGCTTGTTGGGGGCTGAGACATTCTAAGGCTTGCAGTTTTTTCAGGAAGAATGTCTTAAATCACGGTCTACAAGACCGTACCTATCATATTAAATTATTATACAGAGAGAATAAATGTTACTCTTTGGGTTCCTCGGCTTCGACTCCCTTGGATAGGCTATCGGCTCGATAGCCCTTGAAAGTGTAGATCGCACTGAGAAACATTCCCAGACCGCCAAGACCAACGGCCATATACATGGCGCCTCGGTATCCTTTCAAGATATCCTCGGGTGTGGTGCCCCCATTGTTGACATGAACTTCAACTGTACCAGCGAAGCCCAAACTAAGTGATACACTGTAGTTAACAATGGTGGTCACGAGGGATGCGCCGACACCTTGGTGCTTCCGTTCAACTGAATTCGAGAGCATCAGACTTGCTGCGGGGAACGACATATCCATACCCCATGGAATTACCAAGAGGCAAACGAAAGTCAACCCCCAATAAGTTTGATGTACAGGCGCGATTGCGATCAACACATTGCCTAATGTGAATGCACTCATCGAAAGTACCATGATCCACCCGGGGCGCATGCGACCCATCAACCATCCGGTGACGACGCATGCAATGATTCCGATCGGGCCGACGGGAACAAACTCGGCGGAGGCCAGAAGAGGAGTCGCATGGCGGAACTGCTCTTGGAATCGCCAGAAGTAGAAAATCCAGATACCGAATGATCCCCAACCGCAGGCGACGCAGCCAAGGACGAATGAAACGTCGTGGCTGAAAGCATGGAATGGGATGAGCGGGTGTTCAGCGACACGGAACTCAACATAAAAGAAGGCGGCGATGAAAATGATACCGATTATGAGAATCACATAAACGTAGGGCTCGCTCCATCCGACGATAGGTGCTTGGTTCCATGCTACATTCACAAGGACTAGCCCGCCAATTCCGCAAGCTGCACCTAGTGCATCGAGAGCCTTGAGCAAACCGACAAAGGATTTCTCATAATGTGTCTCGTGGTGAATGGATGGAATAACAAGGAGACCCAGCCCAGCGCAAGCGAGGGAAACGAGAGCCTGTGACCAGTATGTCCAAGGCCACCAAGCCAACTGCGAAAAGAGTGCACCGAAAACGGTTCCTAACAGGGCGCTGTTAGGAGCAGTAGCACCGAAAATGGCGAAGATCATGTTCTTTCGCTTCCCTGGTTGATAGGTTGCGCCGAGGAGGGCCAGTGCATTGGGCAACATCATTGCACCACCGAGTCCCTGGAAAACTCGGGCGAAAATGAACAGGACATGATTCGAGTAGACACTGAGCCCGGCGACAAGGGACCAGAGTGAAAGCCAACAGAAGCCGGAGATGAACATGAGACGATATCCAAAAAGATCGCCGCATCGTCCAGATACCAGGATGAAAGTTCCCACGGTGAGGGAATATCCGGCCATGAACCAGCTCAGAATGCCTGGGCCAGTGATGCCAAAGCTATCACCGACAATATCGAGTGGCGATAAGCATATTCCGATATTGGTTTGGGTCATGAATTGACCCATGCAGACCAGAGCAACGAACAGGACCTCTTTCATGGGCGAAAAGGTCGCAGCGAGCGACTGCGCCGATTCGACCGGCTTTAATTTGCTGTCCTCCATGACCAGTTGGCTGGGAATGCTATGCACCGAATCTGCGATGCAAGAGTGAAAGATGCGAAAGAGAAATATTGAAACCGGTAGTTCATCATCTTATCTCCCATTTTGGATGGCGAAGCGCCTGTGCCGTTGGTTCATAATTGCGGCGCATGTGGAGAGTGACGAAAATTATCTTGCAGTGGGCTGTTTGTTTGTCCTGTGAAAACGCAGACTGATGACCCTTTTGTGGGTCGCGTTTCCAAGTTGATCCACCATGTCGGCATCCTAGGTCGGCTTCGGAGTTGGGTTTACACAACTTGCTTTCACACACTATGAGACTGTAATTAGCAAAACTCTTTCAAATTTCTGCTCGGAGTTGAAGCAATACTCCTTTTCATCATGAGGTATCAAGCAGACTCAAGCAAACCATGCGAGTCGGGAGAAGGAAGAATCTTTATCCGAAACCTCGGAAAGCCCACAGGCGAATCATTTCCCTTCGCGTGCCCATCAACCCACCACAAAGAGCAACGATCTCTGACTGTGGATCATGTCAAAAAATAGTTTATTTTCTTTTTGGAATCTACGCCGTTTGTTTGACAACCAAGGGGGGAATAAAACGGAGCTCAATGCTAGTTACAACACTGTGTCACAGAACCGCAGTGTCCTTTCAAAATTGGACATTATCAGAAGGCCAAGCAAACGTCTACTTTCGCCCCAGGATACTGATCATGACTTCGCGTAGCTTGGAAGCACATTGAGTCGAATCTCCAAGTACCACATCGCATCTCCACGCGACGAATCGGTCAGGTCGCACAAGAACACACCCCGTCTCATCAACACCCCGGACGCGAGCCCAGTCGAAGTACACATCTTCATAGTCCTGCCGGAAACCGATGGCGTATGTTTTGATCTCCATCCCAAGGCCAGCGCCAACTTGGGCAGCTGCCGATTTCCAGCATCCACCTCCAATACCGGTCAGAAGAGTGAAAGTTCCATGTCCAGCTAAATCAATGCTGGAGATGCGCTCGACCGGGACGGCGTCGTTGAGCCACACATGAGGAAGGCGGCAGCCGGGATACGTGCTCCGTGTCAAGCAGAGATCACGATCTTTGGCGACAACCTCGGGACTGTAGAAAGACTCTGTTTCATCTGCAGTGTAGATGGCGGAACTTTGATAGTATTGGCCCATCTCAGTACCGAGCGCATGGTATTCGTGCTCTGTCTCTTCAATGGCAGCTTGCAATCGGCTGCGACGGGCACGCCCCTGCTCGGTGGGTAGTGTGAGCTCGTTCAGAGCTTCGACTCTCAGATCGGGTGTCGGGAGAGTCACGCCTAGAGCTTCCCAGACAGGTCCGTGGTGGCGGAAGGAGGAGTTTGCGCGAGTCACGACGCCGCGAGCGACAGGTTGGCGCTCTTCTGTGTATGTTTCGAGAATAGAAGGTGATGCATGTCCTAGACTGGTTGTTGGTATTGATTTTGAGATTGACTGATGACCTTCATTTACCTTTCAAGACGTGAGCGACCTTCCATGCCAGATTATAAGAATCTTGAATGCATGTGTTGGAGCCAAGACCATTGGATGGTGGATGCCGGTGCACAGCATCTCCCAAGCAGAATCTGAGAGATCATCAGTTTGGCTCTTTTGGGGAAGGAGGTATGTCTTACACTCTGCCTTTGGAGAACTTCTTTGCAACAACATCGTTGATCCGCCACTTGGAAACACCCAGAATTTCTGTCGAGATTGAATCATCCCCGATAAATTCTTTCATCCGCTGTTCCCACTGCTCATCAGATGGGTTGGTTTCCAACTCCCTCCCACGCTCGGGAAGGACAATGAATAGCCATTCATCCCACGGCTTGACCATCCTTGCTATGCATGCCCAGCCAAAGAGAGGGTGCTCCCTGTCTGGCTGCAAGAGCCAGTGGAGGTTGCCCGTGCGGTATTGCATATAACTGGAGAGATCCGCCTTGAGGTGCACATTGTATGCCACTCCTTGATCCGGTCGCACATCTAGTGGAAGCTCCAGTTGACGGAAGACTTCACTGCGAGCACCGTCCGCGCCAAATAGATACTTCGAGCGAATTTGGTATAGAGCTCCAGAAATGTTGTCTTTCAGTGTTGAAAGAACACTATCTTGATCCTCTGTAAAGCCAACAAACGTTGTGTCAAAACGGCATTTGAAGCCGTTGAGTGTTGCGTTGCGAACGAGGATTGGTTCGAGAAGGGTTTGTGGGAGGTCAACGGGGTCGCAGGGACTTGCGGCTTCATAGTCTCCCTGTTCATTCTAGTTAGTATTAAAACTCCAGCTGAAGAGTAATGAGTAAGACACATGTACCTTTCTTTTTGGGTCATGGCCCCAAGAATGAATTCTGGCATATTCCTCTCCTGCCATACTGTACGCCCATCGGGTATGCATCATGTTTATCCCATTCGTAGCGAGGCGGTTGCATTCTGCGTCTATACCAAAATCGCGTAAACACTCTTAAGAGCAATCCATTAGCAAAAAGAACCCGAGTGTGATCTCAAAACTTTAAGGGGTGCAGAACTCACCCATGGCAGCCATATTTGTGATGTGAGCCCTGGGGGTATCTGCGTTCGTGGGACACGAGCTTATCATAGTTCCGCGAATTCCTTCGCCTTTGTTAACAATTATTCAAGTTATGCAAATGCAGTATCAATTATGGTGAACACACCATAGTTCGCCAGGAAAGCTGCCAAAGCTGCACCAGCTGGTCCAGTGCCAATAATTAGCGCATCCATCGAAGCGATGGGTGCGGTGTGTTCGCCATCACCATTGGCCAAAGTGATGATTGTCATGGTTGGGACTTCGATACTGTCGCGACAATTGGTAATCGAGGGGAAAAGGAGGACTTCTTCCAAGGTTGTTTTGAAAATGTGAAAAGAAGCTACTGGTCTTCTGTTTCCCATATACTCGTAACTCGACAGAGAGTTTGGAATCCTATTAGCTGTTCTAGGCAGGAGGGCCCACTGAAATAATATTCGTCACAGGCTATGTGTTTCAAAATGATGTACAGCTAATTGTATGTCAAACGCCCGGACCGTGATCTGCGCAGAAAATCGAAATCGAAATAGAATAAACCCTAAATAAGAAGAAAAAAAATCAACTAGGTCATGAAGTTGGCCTGGATCACCCGACATTCCTAAAGGGGATTTTTCTTACCACTTGATTAAGATCGCCATTGGCGGCTAAGCTTTGATAGTCCATCTTATCAGATGCGACTAGCGGGTCTCAAGGTTCGCGTCGGCAAAATCTTACAAGGGAAGTGTATTTCATTCCGCGTTAACACTTCAATCACCCTGTAACCTAACCTTCCTGTCTTTCGACGGAATTTTGCAGCTCCGCTGAATAACCACGAGCCATGACCTCAGGATCTTCGTTATATGAGATCTACACGCACTATATGTACTTGCTTAATACATACTACTGAATTTACAGGTTGTCCTCTGGCATGATGCTATCATCGGTTAAACGACCCAGTGTTCATGAAATGTTCATAGTTACTACTGCATTTTCCCTCGCATGGAAGCTTCCCAACAAATGCTGAGCCTACGATACCCTTATATTTGAATGCCCCGCCCCCAGTTTTTTTTTCTAGACGACCAAGACACTTAATCCACACACTTGACTTGGCAGCAAGGTTCCGTTAAAGATGTTCCACACAAAGCTCGGGTTTATAATTGCCCAACGTGCTACTACGGAGAAGGTAAATTCTGCACTGAGTACAGGAGAAGAAATCCTCGGATATTATGCTAATGTCTATAGACATCCCCAGTCACGCCTTCCTCACCATCTCATAGGAGAAGAAATGAGACTCAAGTAGGCTTACTGGGCCTAATGATACCAAGAAAATCAGAGAACGACTTTCCGATGGCACATCTCTCTCTCGCCGAGGTCTTGAAAACTAGAATCTTACGGGCCTAATACAGCAAACCTAGAGCGAAATAAGCTGGGAGATTGGTATGGTGATGTGATTTTGCGGGAGTTACTTATGAGAGCGGCAAATTGTTTTGTATATAAGAAATACATGACCTCGAAGATTGGGGAATTTGATGGGCAGGCCGACTGGTGGGGCCAGCTGCTACGAAACCTACCCGATGTGCCGCTAGTCTAAAGCTTGACCTCGGGACCTACGAGTAGGCACTCCGTACAAGTGTGCCCTGTTGGAGTACAATCACGCGTTGGACCCAGTGACGTAGTGGTGTAATTACTTGTACCGTGAAACTGTAAACATCGCATCAAGAATCACTGCAGATCGAGACAACCGAGCCTGAGCCCGTGTGAAGCTTGTTCGGCAACGGATGGAGCTACTACGGAGTATAATCCAATGAAGTAAGTTAGTCAGAGAAACAACTTTTCACAGGTGTCATTGACCTGTACATCCAGATCTACACTGGAAAAATTGAGAGCTTGAAGATCTCATTTGTCTGTGTGCATGTTGATCCTACCCAGCCCAACAACTGGAGAGATGTTTCCCGAGTGGCGCCAGTTGGGACTTGGAAAGTCTAGTCTCCACGGGGGCGGGGGACGATTTTATCTTATCTGATCGAGAGACGAGAAGGGAAAAAAGAAAAAGGGAAAAGTCAAAAATAAATTAAAATGTTCTGTAGAATTCCAGAGTTCTTGGCAATGCATAGCCTGTCGCGGGTATATCGCTGACAGCGACAGCTAAATCAATGCAACGGCCCCTTTCAGGAGCCGGTGAAACACCAGGGTCCGGTTGCCCCTGCATTTAAGGCACGCCACGCATGGAAAGGATCCGGACACCGGCTGTCCCGTCCCGACAAAGATCGGCATGCCGCCAACCGGCCCAAATGTATCTTTCGGACTTGCATATTTGTCAACCCTGACTAAAAATGAGTAAGGTCGGTTGCAGATCCACATCTTGAAGACAGAACCGCCAAAAGGTACTCATCTGTGATTTAGAGCTCCACACTGACAGGGTCCTCTGTCCTATTTGGTTAGAATCTTCCGATGAGAGGCTTGGCTTTTCCATCCGATGCACGGAGATATCGGTTTCAGTGGCTGATGCGGAAATCCTTCACTGACCTTCACTCTAAAGTGGAACCGTAACGTGCTCACTTCTTACTTCGAACTGTCTTTCAGCCGTTACTCGCCCTCGCCCATTTCACATTTTGGGAATAGACCGGCCCGACCGAAAGTTTCATCATGTTCATGAGGTAAAGTGGATCGTGAAGATTAGGTAGATTCCAATGTCGAAGGGACTATCAAAAAGTTATATAAAGTATCCAGCGTAGCTCCAAAGATCTTCCTGTAGCCACATCGCTCCGATCTCGTCAGAATCCAGTCGATTTCATCATGCGCAGCCTCATCAGCCTTGCACTGCTCCCATTGGCAGCGGCAGTCCCCCATGCCTCCCGCAGTGCGGACTCGAGCTACGATTACATTATCGTTGGAGGTGGAACCAGTGGTCTGGTCGTCGCCAACCGACTCTCCGAGCAAGACAATGTCAACGTCCTCGTCATCGAAGCTGGAGGCTCCGCTTACAACAACCCCAACGTGACGGATACGCTTGGATATGGCAAGGCTTTCGGCACCGAAATTGACTGGGCCTACAAGACAACCGAGCAGGAATATGCTGGTGGAAACACTCAGACCGTTCGCGCCGGCAAGGCCCTCGGAGGAACCTCCCTGATCAACGGCATGGTCTATCTCCGTGCCCAGAATGCCCAGATTGACGCATGGGAAGCGGCTGGAAACAAGGGCTGGAACTGGAAGAACCTCTTACCGTACTTCAAGAAAGGTGAGCAGTTCCAGAAGCCCGAGCAGTACTCCTTCCTGGATGGCTCGGGTGTCACCTATGATCCTTCCTATCACGGCTTCACTGGCCCCTTGAAGGTCGGTTGGTCTTCTACCCAGCTGAACGATGGCCTTGCCCAGAAGGCGAATGCCACCTACCAGAACCTCGATGTTCCTGTTCCTTTCAACGCGGATCCCAACGGCGGAAACATGATCGGTTACAGTCTCTACCCTAAAACTGTTGACTCGTATTTGAACATCCGTGAGGACGCAGCTCGCGCCTACTACTACCCTTACCAGAACCGCACCAACCTTCATGTCTGGCTCAACACCCACGCCAACAAGCTTACCTGGAAGGATGGCGACGATGTCACTGCCGAAGGAGTTGAGGTCACACTCTCCAACGGTACCACCACTGTTGTGAAGGCCTCCCGTGAAGTCATCCTTGCCGCCGGTTCCTTGAAGTCCCCGGTACTTCTGGAGCTTTCTGGAGTCGGAAACCCCGAGTGAGTCGTGATCATATTAACAAAACAAGCAAGAGCTGACCAATTTTTAATCAGCATTCTCTCCAAGTACGGTATCGACACCAAGCTCAACATCCCCACCGTCGGCGAGAACCTGCAGGACCAGATGAACAACGGACTCCAGTTCGACGCGAAGAAGAGCTACAACATGAGCGCTGACTACGTCGCCTACCCCTCCGCCGCCCAGCTCTTCTCCAACCACACTGCTGTTGGAAAGGACCTTCTCCACAAGCTTCCCGCCTACGCCGCCCAAGTTGCATCGGCCAACGGCAACATCACCAAGGCCCGGGATCTGCAACGCTTCTTCAAGATCCAGTGGGATCTGATTTTCAAGGCCGGTATCCCTGTTGCTGAGATCCTCCTCGAGCCTTCTGGAACCACCTATGACACCGAATACTGGGGCTCCGTTCCTTTCTCTCGCGGTAGCGTCCACCTTTCCTCTGCTGACCCCACCGCAGCGGCTATCATTGACCCCAAGTACTTCATGCTGGACTTTGACCTGCACGCCCAGGTTGAGGCCGCACGATTCATTCGTGAAGTCTTTAACACTGAGCCTTTTGCCGATATGGCCGGAGCTGAGACTAGCCCTGGCTTGTCCGCTGTTGCCGCTACTGCTGGTGACGAGGGATGGTCCGACTTCATTAAGAACAACTGTACGTCTTTGACACGAGTCTCCATTTGAGAAAATTACTAACAACATCATAGACCGTTCAAACTTCCACCCCATCAGCACAATTGCCATGCTGCCCAAGGAGGTGGGCGGTGTTGTTGACACTTCCCTCAAGGTCTACGGCACATCAAATGTTCGCGTTGTCGATGCTTCTGTCGTGCCTTTCCAGGTCTGCGGTCATCTGCAAAGCACCATCTATGCGGTCGCTGAGCGTGCGGCCGATATCATCAAGGGTAACATCTGATGGGTCAGCGCAGACATGATAGCGTGGAAACCCAGATTAGCGTTCTATCGATAAATTGTTATATAGACATGTTTTACTCAATACCAATCCTGCATATGCAGGACATCAATGCTTCCAAGGTTTAGCCAAGATGTCCCAAGGTTTTCGCCAAGCACAGACTTTGTAATATGCCTAGACCTAGCTGCACGTTCGGGGAAAATCCAGGCATACCCGTGGGGCCCCCGGGCTTCCAGGGTTATAACCCCAAGGGTCATTCCAAAGTTGATTCTATGACTGTAATTATATACAGGGAGCCTCTTATGTTGGGGAAAAAGGGATGGAAACAATAGGTAATTCAATTGACAGTGAAACATCGGCTCCGCTTCATTCAAAACACCTTCACCACTTCTCAACGGACCCGCCTCATATCTACACGCTCGAGAAATTACCCAGACACTCAGAGACCAGAAAAATCTCGCTCACAGCTCCACGCCATCTTGTCTGCTTCATCTGCTTCGGAGGTCGTCTCCCACTCTTTGTCTTCTTCAGGCACACGTATGTTCAAGCTCGACATATCCTTAAGGAGATCTTGGTCCAGATCATAAGCAGCGAGACAATGAAGGCGATCAGGAAGAGCGTTTTTCTTTCCGGTGCGTTTGGATCCCGCCCAGGGGCGATTCATCAGTGGAGAACGTGCTCTTTCCGGGAGTTGGTGACGTTTGTGAGGAGAAAGAGACCTTTCGCTGTTGGGCCTTCGGCGCTCATGGTAGTCACGGAAGCCAGGTACATTCTTGCGCAACCAGCGTTGGACATTTTCTGAGCAGTGGGAGAGGATATCTTTGCAAGTGGCCCTGATGATGACTTTTCGATGATCCCAGTTAATTTTGCTCAAATAATAGAAGGGGCCAAATTCAGTGAGGTTCATGGGTTGAGGCGATGTGCCGGGTGTTATCTGAGGTGGTTGAACGGTGGTAAGCTCGAAGTTCAGAGAGCTGCGCTCAATCTGGGGCTGAGCACGACATAACCTCGCCTCAGCGTATTTGTTCACGCTGATAGCAATTTTGCAGTCTTTGCGAAGGAATTGCAATTTGCCGTACCGGTTGTGGAGCTCGAAGATGATGGCGTGAGGTCTATGGTTTTCCATGACGAGTCGAGCAAACCCTTCAATAGCCAGGTCGCTGCCTGGGGTTTGTGTTGCGGGAAGAACGAGATGACAGGCAAATTCACGTCCATGGTTCCTGACTTTGGCAGGTGCAGACTGAGATACCGGGGCTGGATCAGCATGGCGAGGTTTTGGATGCCAAGGCGGCATTGTGCCTCTGGTAGGTCTTGTCACCTCGAAAAAGGAAGACGAAGGTCGCTCTTGTGGCTTTTTTTTTGAATCGAATCAAGGGTCGGCGTTGAAGTAGCGGATGACAGTAGCAAGTGAAATATGGTGTCAGCAATCCTCACACCCGCCGAGTAGTGAGGAAAGCAAAAGCCTTGATTCGAAGTTCATGAATTTGGTGGGAGCAAAGAGAACGCGGGTATCAAAACGAGAGAAACGATTCCCTCGCAAACAAAAGAGTAGCTCAAGACAATGTTGTGGGGGAGAGAAGAAAAAGGAGAGAATGGGAAGAGCAAGTGACCTCGAGAGCAAGTGACCTCGAGAGCAAGTGAGCAAGTGGAAAGAGCATCAGCGACTGAACCTTCGTGTCCTTTGGAGGCGTAGCTTCCACTCCAAGTTGTTTTGGACTTATATCACACTGACAGCAAAAAAGCCGGATGAGCCCTGGAGGCGACCTCGAAATAAAATTTACTAGAGCTTTTTTCTACGCAAGCCAAATAGAGCTTCTACCGGCCTCGTAAAACTTTCTCCAGAGCTTGCGTCGACCGTGCTTTCTTATGTGGGCAAGATGAGAGTCAACTGTACATAGTGCCCACATCACCCTCACATCAGAGCTTTTGGTTAAGGTGACCTTCTCATAGTTTTATAATCCAGACTTAGGGCCAAGGCATTTTATATCTTAGCTTTCTGAATTTCATGCAACGATGCGACGGAAATTCAAATATATTGATCTGCTAGGTGCTGCTGTAGCCCTCTATATTTTATCTGATATCAAAGGCCCAAGTACCGGGGCCTTTTTTTTTTGCGGATCGAAGCGAAGTAATTAAATCAGTAGAGTCCTTACATTTCACGTGACGAGAAGTTCTGTATAGGGTCCAATATAATAGGAATGTAACAATCTTGGTGTAGCCGGTGAGAAAGCCCTGGAGTGGCAGAGTCACCTGGGCATTTCCAAGGTTTGACTTGATCGATCGGGTGACGTGTGTTATACTAGCGAGCATCGCATAATCTCTCTTGCATGCGGTTGTATGCTTGCTCCAAAGTTCCTTTCGTCATCAATCATTTCTTGCTTGCTGCCCCGCGTCATCTCATCTCTTAGTTTGCTTTGCTCCGTTTGCTTCCCTTTGCTATTTATACTTGCTGCTTCATAGTTTCTTGCTTCCTCTTCCTTCCTCTCTCTATCGTTAGTTTCTTCGTTACCAATGGCAAGCCTTGTTTCCATCGCCACGACAACGTGGTTTCAGCCCGACCCTAGTATTGCTACAGAGTATTTAAATATCATTTTCTGACTACCATCTACTATATATGAGTTTCATTCAAAGTAGTAGACTCATAGCCTCGCTCTGAAAAAGCTACATGACAGCCTTACACTGTCGATGTCCCTAGTGATACTCTCTCACATTCTGTGCACCTGGGCTGATTATCGACAACCTTGGAAAGCATATGAGCGAAAAATTCGAAATCAGGACAAGGTGTATTCTAATTATATGAGATTGGCGAGTGCCTTACCATCCAGGCTTTCTTTCCAAGGTTGGGGCACGCCAACGCGTTCTCCCCAGGTCGCGTTTGTATCTCTTCTTCCACCCTTTCTCTTAATACCTTTCTAACCTATTCCTCTCCTTTACCCATCCTACTTTCACTTTCTCCGCTCAAACTTGCAAAGCCTTACCAACCATTGCAGATACGACACCGTCAGCTTGACCCAGAAGAGGTAACATCATCATCCATCAGTACCTCGATTGGGCGTGATTCTGACTTTCTGACTTTAGCTCATCCACGATTCCACCATGTCGAGCCTTGCATCGACCTTCCCTGTCGAGATATGGCTGATCATTATCAAGCATCTTCAGCAAGAAAAAGCGAGCTCGCAGCATCTTAGTCGTCTTTCCCGAACCTGCAGAGCCTTTTACGAAGAAATCGAACCTCTTCTGTACGAGACAATCATCTTGAAGAGGAAAGCAAAGGCGAGATTGCTCGCGGACACATTGCAGCGTCGTCCGCATTTAAAAGCTCTCGTAAAGGAGCTTCGCCATGAAGATGAAATGGGGATTTCACTTACCAATTTCTCGAAGCCCTTCTACAAGCAACTCACCAGCATGGAGAACCTGGAAACGTTGATATTCAAACCTGAATGGAAACGCATGAGCTTTCTCAGCCGCAGATGGCCGTCCGAGCCAGAGCAAGATCGTTGGCGGAGCGAGGCAGAAGATCTTCTGCGTGAGCTCTTCTATGGCGAACGTAGCTATGGTTGGGATTATGTCACGGAAGATGGTTGGTACGGCCAGATCAACGCATTCTTATCAAAGCCTCATGGAACTGGATTTCCCGTTGGCTCTGAAGACGACATAATTCAAGCGGTATTTGATATGACGGGGAACTCAATTCACGAGTGGGAAGCCACCCTTGACGGTAGGTTGGCTTTCTGTCACATCTCACCAGACATCAAACCAGAAGTCTTTTCATCTTTGCGAGTGTGTAAGTCTATTGACAACAGCTATCCTTTGCAAGACTTGATTCTCACAATGCAAAGGTCATTTAGGTACTAACACCACGTTGGATCCTTATGTTCATTCTCGCCCGTTCATGTTCAGCCCGACGATTTTCAGACTCCGCCCTCGACTAAAAGAGCTGTGCATCACTGGGATGAAGTTTTCTCACGAATGGTATGATGTGGATCTCAACCAGCCAACACATAAAAGCGCACTGAGAAAGCTCACAATGCTTAACTGCGAACTATCAATCCATGACTTTCGCGAATTATGTTCGTACGCAAGAGGTCTGAAGGGGCTGATTTTCAGAGGTCCTGTATTCGTATCGTTTTTCAGAGTGCCAGAATCATTCCAAGGGGGACCTATCGCATACGATATCCGTACGATCCTCGGCAGTTCATTGGAGTCTCTGGACATTGACATTTACTGGGGCGTGCCAGATGGCCTTCGACTTAGGGGCGGTATGCCCCGTTTGAGAAAGCTGACTGCGACGACTCAAACTCTGTTTGGCTCATTTGACAGCGACGATCAGGACATCAAAGACTTTATTCCCGAATCACTCGAGGAGCTTGTCATTCGACACGAGGAAGGGAGTCATCTTCCCCTCCCATCCATCTACCGAACTGCAGAGTCTGGGCAGATCGCCAAGCTGCACACGGTGATAGTTCAAATAGGGGACTTCATGAGGCTCGACTCGTACCCATATCGGGCCGTTGTGGAGTGGAAAGATGATTTTCAATGCCAAGGCATCAACCTATCAGCGGAATCTGTTCCATACCCGCCCCACATGCCCCGGTATGAAGCTTGCTCCTGCGAGAATTTGAACTTCTACCATCGGTTCCCAAATCATCACAAAGCCCTGTTTCGCTAGATTCATGCTCAAGATGCTGCTTTCGGGATTACAAAAGCTCCTACCCGGCCAATATTTCTGCCTCTTGGCATGGCCTGAGCAAACTCCAAGGGATCTCAGTCTCGTTGTACGAAAGCTAGCCTCTTTTGAAACCTTCCAAATTAATGAACAGTTAAATTACAAACAGCCTTGCACTCAAGTTCGGAAAGTACTTGAGATCTTGGCAAGTTGCTTGAATTGAAACAGTGCAACAAAGGTATTGACATGAGAACTTCGGGTTAGTTTCTTGCTTAGAGCAATCGTCAGCATCGGGAGGTTTAAATCCCATGGAAGAAGCCCAGAGCTTTCAAAAGTCACCATACTTACTCTCTTGTTCACTCCCTGAGTTATAGAAAGTAGTAGGCAAAAGACAGTAGATAATATACTTAAGGCTTTGTATTGTCAATCCTTTACCACTCTTTCCAAGGTTAGCCTTTTTCTTAATTCAATTTGCCCAGGCTCTTTATCATAATCTCTCAAACCTGTACAACTGAGTAGTAGAACGTTCTCCCGGAGGACTGGTCGAATTGTTGATGCATATGCCGAGAACACTGCGTAGGCCGCGAGAACTGCGTACGCCGCTCCAAAGGTACCGCGTGTGCCGCGTCAGAGCCTGCCCAATCGAGAAGATAGAGATTAGTCTAAATCTAAGCAAAATGGCATCATGCAAGATCAATCTCCAAATCCACTCCACCTAAGATGAAGTTCGGGTTGTGTAGTTTGTGCGTTGAATGATATCCATGTTGCGTGCACAAACCTCCAAGATGTTTGTAGCATAGAGACAGCGCATCCAAGATCAAGTTTCAGAGATATCGAATGGATGATCAATTCGAATTATTCTTTCATCATCCCCATTTCATCGAGAATGATGTGGCGACATCCATGCGTTCATGTCAGGTTTCAACCTTTGCTGTGAATATGACCAATCAGGGACCACCATGGTATACGGGCGACTGTCGGGTTGACATAAAATGCGTCAAGTCACTGTTATGATTTTACTTTTGTTCCAACATTTTCTCGAGCCAAGATGTCTGATCCTACTGTACAGCTTACTCAGACCTTCCATCATTCCACCTCCACCTTTACCTATCAGATCAAATGGACATCCCTTGGGGAACCCGGCTCACCCCCCACTGATTTTTGTGCATGGTACCCCTTGGTCCTCAAAAGTCTGGTCCAATCTCGCGTTATCTCTTTCGAAGTACTTCCATGTTTATGTCTTTGATAACCCTGGTTTTGGCGAAAGCCCCCTCGGCCAGCCCCTTGCGGCTGCGGTGGAAGCTGGTCGAGTCAATGAGAAGGTTGCCCTAGACGCCAATCTATCTCAGCAAAGCGAAGTCTTCGCCGCCATTTACAAATTCTGGGAGAAAGACTGGCCGGATCAAACAAAGGCTCATGTCATTGCCCATGATCACGGTGGCTTGATGAGTCTGCGGGCGCACCTGCTGCATGGTTGTGATTTTGCAAGTCTATGTCTGATCAACGTTGTTGCGATCGGGCCATTTGGACAGCCTTTGTTTAAACTGGTGGCTGAGAACGAGAGTGTCTTCACTGCGTTAACGGGCCCGGTGTTTGAAGGCGTGGTTGAATCGTACATTCGTGATGCTGCGCACAGAGAGTTGAGCAAAGAGACAATGGGAATGCTGAAGGATCCATGGACACGCACCGATGAAGGCCGGAGAGGCTTCATTCGTCAAATGGTTAAAGCGAATAGTCGGAGTACAGAGGAAGTTGAGCAGAGATATCCTGAGGTGGGAAAGAGGATGCCGGTACAGGTCATCTGGGGCACAGAAGATCAATGGATTCCTGTAGAGACAGCACAAAGGTTGGCATCCATATTGGACGCACAGCGCGTGGTCTATATCAAGAGAGCGGGACATTTGGTTATGTATGACCAAGAAGGAAGTCTAGGCGTGGAGCTAGGCTGGTGGCTCAGGTCTCAAACTTGAGCTGGATGTAGTGAGAATTATGTACTCAATTCATGAATAGTTATATTGTTTTTTCAATCCTTTGATGGACGATTCGCTGTAATGCCCTTGAGAATTCCCTCAGCGCCATCCTCGATCAACATTATTGCCATGTATTTACCAAGCGCACCCGCTTCATCAACACCCTGAACGGTAGCGATCAAAGTCTGCTCAACACTTTGAGAACCATCCAGACTAACAACAATGGCGGCCAACTTCAATTTATCCGAGTCAACCCACTCCGTCTCAACGCCAATTGGAACACTGCAACCACCCTCAAGTGTCCTCAACAGTTCGCGTTCGGCAAGGCAAGCAAGAGTCGACTTCTGATCGCTCAAAGGTTCGAGCAGTTTCTGCATCGATACATCGCCCTTGCGAATCTCTAGCCCCAGAGCACCTTGCCCAACAGCGTGGAATATGCCTCCGTTGTTGGAGCCCAAGTACTGGTCAATACGATCCTGGAGACCCAAGCGCTGAAGGCCAGCAGCAGACATGATCATACATGTATACTCGCTCTCTGGGTCGTCAACCTTGGCAAGTCGGGTTTCCACGTTACCCCGCAAGTTGGCGAACTTAAGATGAGGGTACAGACGGCGCAGCTGAGCGGAGCGTCGGACAGATGAAGTGCCCACGACTGAACCTTCGGGTAATTCTTTCAAGTTCTTATAAGGCAGACCAGACTTCACGATCAGGGCGTCGCGAGCGTCATCTCGCGCCGGAATCGCTGCCAGCTCACACGTCTCCGGGGTGGCCGTTGGCATATCTGTTCTGGTCAATATCAATGTTCCAGATGAAGGCGGTAGTGGGCCCAAAATACCTTTCAGGCAATGGACGATGACGTCCAATTCACCAGAGGTGAGCTTTTCCTCTAGCTCAGTTGTCCAGAGGCTTTTCGCATTCATTTCGGGCAAGGCAGTCACTTTGTCGCGATCACCCGCTGTATGAAGGGTTTCAATCTCAATCGACAGACTGGGGTCGACATGTTTCAGTTGGTCGCGGATGGTCTCGGCCTGCACAATGGCCAGTTTGGATCTCCGGGTGCCGATGCGCAACGGCGGCCTAGAGCTTTCTACCATGTTGATAGATTGATTCGTAAGAACTGATTGTTACACCGAAGACGTCAAGTCAAACCTTAGAGCCTGGTGGAAATGCCGTGGGGGTGAGATGGGACGCCAGGGGAAATTCGGACAGAGACAATTTAGCCGGATCTTAGCGTGGTACATCGCCACCGCGGGGCTGAAGGTAAGGTGGGAACCAACAGAATGACCTTACACGATAGATACACTACATAAGGACGGATATCAATATCAGTTTCTAAGGTTAATGCATACAAAGTTTTCTATCCACATCCGCCATAGTGCACAAGTTTTTTTCGGCAGGCTGTTTGACAGGCCGCAAAAATCTTGGAACAGGATGAGGGGTCGGGCCTTAGCAGACCTTCCAAGGTTCGTTCCCACCAGGGTTTAATTCTACGTTGGAGCAAGGTGCCCGTAAGAAAAGCAAGTGTAACTACACGCTACAGATAGAATAGAAATATTGTGGAAAAATGTTATTGACAACTGTTTCTACACGATCATAGAAACAGGCGACCGGATTTGGCAATGCAAATCCAGTCAAGCAAAGTTGTAAACTTCGCACATGTGGTAAACCACACAATGTTGAAATAGTAGAACCGACATCGAGCATCGTGGCGATAGTAGGCCACGACGCAAAGATGCCGATTGAAAATCGTCATATCATGTTGAAACTCCAGGCCCGCTTTTGGTATCCTCTAGAAAACCCGTTGAAACCCATATGTTGAACTTTTGGTATCATCGTCGTAACTCATCAGAAAACAAAACTCCTCGATCCTTGAGGTGACAGGTTGATTGTCACCTCCTCATTAAATTAATGTAAGTTGAATGCATTTACTGCGCGTACTTCGCACGGAAGAACTTGGCAGCGTTGACCATGTTGGTAAGGGCGGCCTTGGTCTCGGTCCAGCCACGGGTCTTCAGACCACAGTCAGGGTTGATGTTGAGCTGAGCAGGGGTGAGGTACTGCAGCATCTCCTCAATGCGGACCTTGATCTCCTCCTCGGAGGGGATACGGGGAGAGTGGATGTCGTAGACACCGGGTCCGATGTGGCGGGGGTACTTCTCGTCGACGAAGACGCGGAGCAGCTTGGCATCGGACTTGGAGTTCTCAATGGAGAGGACATCGGCATCAAGGGCAGCGATGGCGTGGAAGAAGTCCTGGAACTCAGAGTAACAGAAGTGAGAGTGGATCTGAGTGCCGTCGGTGACACCGGCGGTGGACAGCTTGAAGGAGTCGACGGCCCACTTGAGGTAGGCAACGCGCTCGGAGCCAGTGCGGAGGGGAAGACCCTCACGGAGAGCGGGCTCATCGACCTGGATGACCTGGATACCAGCGGCCTCAAGGTCAACGACCTCGTCACGGATGGCGAGGGCGAGCTGCTGAGCCTGGACGGACTGGTGGACATCGTCACGGGGGAAAGACCAGCGGAGACAGGTGATGGGACCAGTGAGCATGCCCTTCATGGGCTTGGGGGAGACGGAAGCGGCGTACTTGGACTCCTTGACGGTCATGGCAGCGGGGCGAGAGACATCACCGACAATGATGGGGGGACGCACGCAACGAGAGCCGTAAGACTGAACCCAGGCGTGGGTGGTGAAGACGTAACCGGTGAGGCGCTCACCGAAGTACTGCACCATGTCGTTACGCTCGGGCTCACCGTGGACGAAGACGTCGAGGTCAAGCTCCTCCTGGATCTTGACGACCTCACGGATCTCGGCCTCGATGAACTTCTCGTACTCCTCAGGAGTGATCTCACCCTTGGTGAACTTGTTGCGCTGAATACGGATCTCCTTGGTCTGGGGGAAGGAACCGATAGTGGTGGTGGGGAAGAGGGGAAGCTTGAGGGTCTTGGTCTGCTCAGCGAGACGCTGGGTGAACTCAGAGCGACGGTTGTGCATGTCGGCAGTGACGGCGGCCTGGCGGGCCTTGACGGCGGGGTCGTTGGTGCGGGCAGAGGAAGCACGAGCCTGGACAGACTTGGCGTTGGCCTCGAGCTGCTCACGGACAGCGGCGGGGCCCTCGGTGACAGCCTTGGCGATCACGGCAACCTCGGAGGCCTTCTCAACAGCGAAGGAGAACCAGTCACGGACCTCAGCGTCGAGGGTCTTCTCGCTGGCGAGAGTGTGGGGGACGTGGAGGAGGGAGCTGGAGGTGGCGACGATGACACGCTCCTTGCCGAGCTTCTGAATGGCGTTCTCGACCTTCTCGATGGCGGCCTTGAAGTTGGTCTTCCAGATGTTACGACCGTCAACAACACCAGCGGAGAGGACCTGGTTGGGGCCGAGAGCGGCGACAACGGTGTCGAGCTGCTCGGGGTTGCGGACGAGGTCGATGTGGATGGAGTGGAGGCTCTGGAGGTTGGCGAGGACATCGATGTTGTGGACGATGTCACCGAAGTAGGTAGCGAGGGTGATGCGGGGAGCGTTGGCACCGAGGCTGCCGAGCTTCTCGTAGGCAGGCTTGAAGGCAGCCTTGTTCTTCTCAGCAAGGTCGAAGACGAGGACGGGCTCATCGATCTGGACATCCTCAACACCGGCAGCCTTGAGCTTGGAGAGCAGCTCAACGTAGAGGGGGAGGAGCTGGTCGAGCTGGGAGATGGGCTCGACGCTCTGGCCACGGTCGGCCTTGGCGAGGGTCAGGAAAGAGACGGGACCCAGGATGACGGGGCGGGTGACAATGCCAGCGGCCTTGGCCTCGAGGAACTCAGTGACGGGCTTGGGCTCAGCGGCAAGCTTGTACTGCTGGTTGTCCTGGAGAGTGGGCTTGACGTAGTGGTAGTTAGAGTCGAACCACTTGACCATCTCGAGGGCGGGAACATCAATGCCCTCCTCGGGCTTCTGGAGACCACGGCCCATGGCGAAGTACTCATCAAGAGCGTGGAGGTTGTACTTGGAGTAACGCTCGGGGATGGTACCGAAGAGCTGGTGGTGGTCAAGGACCTGATCGTAGAAAGCGAAGTCGTTGCTGGGAATAACATCGACACCGGCATCCTGCTGGATCTTCCAGTGCTCCAGACGGAGACGCTTGCCCTCAGCGAGGAGCTCGTCACGGGAGATCTTTCCACCCCAGTAAGCTTCAGTGGCCTTCTTCAGGTCACGAAGCTTACCCATGCGGGGGAAACCCAGAACAGATGATTGAACCATTCTGAAGGATGTGTGTGTAAAGAGAGAAAGGGGATGAAAGGTCTCAAGGGTAGAATTTTCACAAATCCAAGCCTATGAGAAAGAGAATGAAGGAAGAGAAGGAAAAGGAGGGAAACGCTCGAAGAAAAATGGAGGGGAAGCCAAACGCTAATCCCAAAAGGGAAATACGATGTTGGAGGGGCAGGTACTGTATGGAACATGCTCCATACTGCATCAATACCTGGGGATATCCACGCTACAGCCACTTCGGCGGGTAAGCAGAGTGAAACTAAGCGGCGATCATGTAAATTACAGTTATGACGTGGTATCAACGACAGTAATACGGTCCACAATCTCCGGGATCGGGCCCCCTTGGGTCGATCACGCCATTGAATTCGATAAGAATCTGTCAATATTTGCTCTTTAGCTATAGCTCTTCTATATCCTGAAGTAAACACTGTATTTTGTATACCAGACCATAAATGTACATTATCTCTAAATCACACCACAAGCGGTCAACAATGCATTGCATGGGGACTGTTGTGTCGGAGCACGGGGTAACATCAATTTGACCCCGCCTCTGCACGTATCACTTTCCGGAGCTGTATACATGCGCAATGCACGCCGTGCAACTTGAGCCAAATGGCATCAGTTCTGACCAGGTGGAGGCCTCATAGAGTGCAATTGGAATCCCACTCTCTTGTATTGGTTCTACACTAGTTTTAGTATGTATTTTCTACAATATGAGTCAAACCCTTGACAGCGCCCGGTCTCGGTGTCCGGCCAGAAGTTGATCGGCCCACGTGATACCATAATGGGAAGCAGGAAAAAGTTAATTCCAAAAAAAAAAGAGGGAAAAAAAGAGAGATAGAAATTTATCAAATCGATAGTCTGATCATCTGCAGCTAACTTGCAAGTGACAACAAATACCGATCATGGCATCGATTGACCAAGTCCAAGCTGCCAAGGGCCAAGATGCCCGTAACTCTCAAAATCAGGTCCAAGACTCCGCAGTTTCTGTGACTAATGAGGATGATCGAGACCTGCTGAAGCTTGGCTATCGCTCGGTATTGGCACGGAGCTGGGGCTCCTTCGATAACTTCGCCTGCTCCTTCTCGGCGTTGAATGTCATCGGGGGTATTCGTGTGTTGTTCTACATCGCTCTCAGCGGCGGCGGTCCGGCGGCCATGTAAGTCCACACCCTTGTCGTCTTCGGGGTTCGGTATTCGGTGTCCGGATATCGGCTTTTGACTCTTGAAACGATAGCTCACCATTCATAGATGGAGCTCTTGGGTCTCCGGTAGCATTTTGTCCGTTATCACCGCCGCCTGTCTCGCCGAAGCTTGCTCGAGCTACCCTGCCGCAGGGTCGATTTACTACTGGGCGTTCCGATCCTGGGGAGGTGGTAAAGTCGGACGTTTCATCTCGTTCCTGGTTGCTGCGTGGACACTGGTTGCGTGGACTGCATTCCTCGCAAGTGACTCGTTCGGTGTGGCCAACTATCTGATCTCGGAGGTCGTGGTGTTTGACCCGAACACCAGCTTCCCCTATGAAACCTCCGATGTCCGCGCACGCGCCGTGGCTTGGGTCTTCTCTCTGCTGTTCTTGGGCATTGCCACTTCGTTGAACTTCCTGCCTCCGCGCATGTACTCCTGGGTGTTCCGCGCGGGTGTGACTGTGATCATCATCGACATGCTGCTCAATTTCATTTGGCTACCCATCGGGGTGTCCAAAACTTACGGGTTCCAATCGGCTGAATATGTCTTCACGTCCCAATACAACGGTGGTGAGACCAGTCCTGGGTTGAACTGGGTTCTTTCTTGGTTCATGGTCGGAAGCTGTCTCGTGGGACAGGATGCATCGGGCCACGTCGCTGAAGAGACTGTTTCGGCCAAAAGGGCAGCTGCCAAAGGAATCTTCTGGGCGACAGTGGCTTCTGCACTGTGCGGTTTCCCAATCATCATTCTGTTCCTGTTCTGCATGCCTCCAATCGAGACATTTTACGACACCGCTGTCCCCCAGCCATTCATCAACATGTACGCTATGGCGCTTGGTCCTCATGCCCATGTGGTTGCAACCATCGTTGCGATGATCGGCGCAATTCTGAATACCTCCATCTCCTTGGTTGCTGTCTCGCGACTTGTCTTCGCTGTCGCCCGCGATGGAGTATTCCCATTCAGCGACGTGCTTTCACGTGTTTCGAAGTCAAAGCAGCCCCACAACGCTGTCATTTTCATTTCGACTATTGCCGCTCTTCTGTTGTGCACCCAGCTCCCATCTCAGGTCGCCTTCTCCAGCCTGATCTCCACTTCAGCTGCAGGCTCGTTGGCCGCCTACGGCCTGGTGGGGATCGGCCGTGCCTTCATCACGCGCAAGACTTTCCGTCCTGGCTTCTGGGACTTGGGACGTTTTGGCGTGGCTGCTGCAGTGGTCACATTCATGTGGAATGGGTTCGCATTCGCTGTCCTCTGCGCCCCAACATACTCGAACGCCGCGATTGACGAGGACTCCAGTCTCTTCAATTATGCGATTGTGATCATGGGTGGTGTTACGATCCTCGCTATTGCGGAGTGGTGGCGCAAGTCCAACGACGATTGGTTCACCCATCTCAAGATCGTCGATTCCGATACCGAAACCACCAACTCCGACCGCGAGGAGAAGCCTGAGCCGTCCACCGCCGCCGTTTAGGCTATAGCGTTGGGCAGCTTTACAGGGGATTGGCCCACAGCACTCATGGTGATTGCTGGGGAAATGTAAAAATAGGTGGGATTCCGGCATCCATATAGGGATGTGGCAGGTGAGTGTATTTTTGTGTGGCACGCATGACGGGTGTTCGAGGCTTGAGGTTTTTGGTTCTCCAAAAGCCCCAAGCCTCGTTCTGAGATATTACCGTTAAAACTTGATCTGGACAATACCAGCGAAAGGACATGCTTGCTCTATCCCTCCTCTCTTCCTTGTGGTGTCTGGTTTGTGATCATCGCAAACCAGACATTGCTGACTACCTCTTTTGGAGGTGTAGACGCAGTTTGCTATTGGCAGGTGAGTGAAGACCCTCGGATCATCCCTGGCATGAACCCATGACACGCCTGCTTTCGCTTGTGGTGGTGAAGTAGGTCCAGGGAAACCGTGGCCATATCGCGCCAGATACTCTCGTCTCGCCACTGGCCCTTCCCAGAAACGCGGGGCGTGAAGTGATGTACGAAGGCGACACACGTCAACATGGCTTGACGCGCCGCAGTTCACTCACAAGGGGCTGATGGATATCCGACGGTCTTCTGCGATACATCTGTCTGCCGCCACCCATCGTCCGGCAGACCGATGTCCTACCGTAGCTGGCCACTATTAGCAAGCTGCTCGTAGATACGTAGACGCGTAGCCGGTAAATTGACGATATGACGGAAACCTAGAGTCATGGAACGTGAATTTAAGGACCGACTAGGGAGATCATGTGCCCAACCTGATTGGCTCTTTCGAAGCTCAATTGAGTTTTCTTGTCCGATCCAGATATTTAGGGCTGTAGCTTAAATCTGCGTAAACCAATGGACTTGCTTGTCAAATCTCCTCAAATCATCCAAAATGTTGTGCCAAAAACAACCTTGGGAGCAATGTTGCCAAGACGATCTGACGTCAGTTGAAATTTGACGATCGCTACCTGATGCGGGGAGCTCCCCCTCACAGTACCCCAGGATCTCCCCTTTCAATATCTCCCCATTCAACTCAATTCCAAGTTTGGATCATTCCTGGGGGTTCAAGATCGATACAGGATCTCTATGATGGCTTTTTCTCGTCGTCTCGCTATTCTCCCCGGAGGCCTTGGTAAGGACCTCAGATATATATTCAACCAGGCATTCGCAATGGTCCTCTAATCTTCTCTTCTCCCAGGCGGTCTTGGATCCAGCATAGGCAAAAAGCTTCGACAACAAGGAGCCCGCCTGGCAATTTTGTATGCACCATTCGAAGCTTCTCGGCGCGACGAACTCCTCGAATCGGGTTACGGTGCGGACACCAATATCGACGAAATTCACACTTACGAATGCGACATCACTTCTTCGGACTCTGTCCAGTCAGCATTCCATTTACTGGAAAGAAAAAACTCCGAGCATAACACCTCAAGCCCAAAAGAAGCTACTTTTCCTAGCATCTTGATCAATACAGCTGGCTACGTGTCTCTCAGCGATATGGAGGTAACGCCACCGGAGGAAACGCTCAAGCATCTGACGACCAACATCTACGGCCCAATGCTCTGCTCCCAGGCATTCGCCAGGATGTACTTTGCAGCTTCTCAAGCTGCGGAGGAATCCTCAAGCCCGACCCCGCCGGGGAGAATCGTCAGCATATCATCCCAAGCAGCGCACGCCGCTTTACACCGGCACGGGGCGTATTGCGCCTCCAAAGCTGGACTCTTGGGTTTGACGCGCAGTATGGCCTCTGAGTGGGGAGGTAAGGGTATTACTGCTAATACTGTTTCACCGACTGTTGCCTGGACAGAGCTTGGGAAGAAGGCTTGGGGGAAGAGAAGATTCGTAATGCGTTTTTGGAGAGCATCCCCACCGGAAAGTTCGCGCTACCCGAGGAAGTAGCGGATTCTGTGCTATTCCTATGTCAGGTATGTTCCAGATGCTACATATGATTTGAGTTTCTCGTTTACAGTATCTGCAGGATTCGAGCGGCATGATAAATGGTGCCGATATTCGAGTTGACGGCGGGTTCACAGTTCGATAAGGGCAGCAGTTCTCGACATTATTCACGAGTGTGTGTATATACATTGACCAGGTGTACAGTGTCAAAGTGCTTGTTCCAAATACAGAGCACTACTATGCCCCTTCTTGAAGCTCCTTATTTCAAATGAAGACCCAAACGACCCAGAATATTGATGTTGGTCCCCCACTGGTCTACTATTATATTGCTCCTAAGAGTGTGTCTATTTGAGGGACACTTTGCATCCGTCCGCGCTCATGACCACAATTGTCATATTCTGCTTCTCCTCACCAGTAGGGGCAACAGGCACGTCAGGGGGTAGCTTGAGATCAGGAAAGGTTTGGATGATGCGGATAATTGCATATGACGCTTCAGTCAGTGCAAAGTCCTCTAAAGCCCCAGTCAGCAACTGCAAGTTACGGAGCCATTCACGGATCTATGTGGAAGTTGACTTACTCCCCAGGCATATTCTAGGACCCCCGTGAAAGGGCATGAACCCCCAACCAACATTTTCCAGGTCTGGACCTAACCATCTTTCGGGTCGGAAAATTTCCGCATCATCACCGTATATGCTCTTCTGTCTGTGCATATGATAAACCGAGTATCCTATTCCGGTGTTCTTTGGCACAAGCACGGGAGATTTCCCATCTGGTCCGCCGCCACTAGGAAGAATGGTGGTTTTGCCAGCTACTCGCACATTAAATGGCAGCTGAGGATATAGCCGATGAACTAAAAAGAATTAATTCAGATTAGCACACGTGATGCCCAATCCTCATCGGGAACAAGCTCACCTTCATTAATCACACAGCGAAGGTACTTCATCTTAGCGATGACTGCCCGACTCATCTCAGATGTCCCTCCAGTGACATCCTGAATTTCAGCGTGCAGTTTGGCGAGGACCTCGGGATGCCGCACGAGGAGGAAGAATGTCCAAGACAGTAGGCATGCCGTTGTGTCTCTTCCAGCAATCAGCACGTGGACCAGTTGATCCAGAACTTGTGAGGGATCTTGCATCTCCTTATAGAGCTCGACGATGAACGCGTATTTGTCGAAAGCGGCTTCCTCCCCATTGTGCTCCATTTCTTGGAGGGCGAGTTGGACAAAATGCATCGCAAAGTTTTTGATGACAGCACACGCCTTATTGAATTTAGCAGGCTTGAAAATCCATTCAAAATCAGCAAGGCGCAGTCGAATTGCACTCATATAACTGGCATAATCGAAGCACTTCTCAAAATCATCTGTCTCCTCCCCTGGTACAGAGATCACAGGCTCCCCGAAGATTAGCGCTGTCGTCGTGGCCAAAGTGAAGCGAAGGAAATGAGGTTGCAGATCCACAATACCCTTTGTGGAACCAATTTTTGCGATTAAACCCTCCACATGCGCATCGAAAACTCCTGAATCTTGGCGATGAATTCGGACAAACTGGCGACGGAGAAGCTCCCTCGAATGCTTCCAAGGCCGACCGCCTTGGGTGAAAATGCCCTCTCCGAGCATGGGAAAGAGACCTTCTCGTCTGGAGCCAAGGACCCAATCCTTCGATTGTCAGTATGGCTTTATAAAGTACATATAGGGCTTGCTACCTTCAAAGTTTGTCGAAAGTATGGCTTCCACATTCTTTGGGTCTGCTGTGAGATACCCTTGGTTACCAAACAGCTTAAATGTCATGTTAGGTCCGAGCTTGTCGAAATACTGTGACTGAAACAGCAGGAGTTGTTGTTCTGCAGAGGCGTCATATTGTCGTTTCAAGATATCAAGGGCCAATGGCCACTTGTAAGGAATCCAAGTTTGCACTGGTAAGCAGCCATGCTGGTCACCAAAGTCTTTTAAATCCTTCAGCTGTCAATAATTTGACTTCAGAGACCAGGCAATGTACTCACGGATAGTGCACGCTGTCTTTGAATCCCACGATACAAGAAGTAAGCAAGAGCTACCACTGCAACCACGCGCAGATAAAATTGATCTTTTTCCAAAAAAAAGGCCTTGACCAAATTGTTGGAGCTGGCTCAAGTGCATCATGTTTGGAAATGAGGCTCAGGCTAAGCCAAAGGAACAATGGAAATATGCCCGAGAAAGCACAGGTCGATGGTGATATAAAGGTGCCCGGGCAAAATCCCAGAATGCGGCGCAAATTACCCGTGGCTTTGTTTATTGCTATTCTTATAAAAGCTCACCTATTGGGTCAAGTGCGGCAAACTGCGCTAGATTCACCAAGGTAGTGTTGTATACTCGTGCTTCCTATTGGTTGAAACAAGGGAGGCGCTCAAAGCTAAACCCGTAAGGGAAGGATCCCTTGAGTCATGCAGAACTGTCAGCACTAACGTCTCCTGAATTCAGTCAACCGGCCGAGATGTGTATGGACCATAAGTACAATCCCCAAGACCCGGAGGACTGAGAGCTACCCATTCCTTTTCATTGATTGCTGGAAAGTGTGACACGCGAAGAAGAGTTCGACCAGCCCTTTTGCCCAGATCTCACCCGTTGACGTGTCCCGGCCAAGACAGCGGCTTCAATTTCAACTTCACTGGTCTCGTATTGTTCGATGATCGTCCAGTTTTGGTGTTTACCCGGATGATGACCCCACTTAGGCACAGCCGGGTGTGTCTACCGCAGGGGCGTCCGCGATATCCTCTTCGAATAACATGATTGGCGCAGCCACGGTCCCGTCAAATGGACCCCAACTCTGTCTCCACGATAAGTCCCAGGAATCTATTATTCTTGCACTCTGTGTACACGCCAAAGAGACAAGGTTGTTCATGAGTTGATATGGATCCCTTCTCCATCATCGTGGGAGTTGCGGGCCTCTCAGATCTCTCTTTCCGCGTGCTCTCCTATCTGAACGACATAAAAAAAGCTTCCGTGAAAATACAGGACGAAATCACGATTTTGAGTCACGAAATCCAATCTCTTCTCGATGTAAATGACTCGGTGGACGACTTCTGGCGTTCCAGGCGCCACTCAACCACTCCGGACAACAAACTCGATGACAAAGACTCTGGGGATACATACGGCCCCAGATCGAAGATAATTGGCGGAAGCTTGGGTCTCTCCTAAAAAGAAGCCGAGATACAGTGGGGAGCCTGGAAAATTTACTCAGAGAAGTTATTGGGAAAAAAGGCCTGACTGGGAGCAGGCTCGATGATCTAAGGAGAACGATACGGACACATGATCGTGATGGTGAATACATGCAGATACGTGCAAGACTCGCGAACAATCAACAGGGCATTCAGACTATGTTAAATTTGTGAGCAGATGAAATTTCAATTCTTAGATCTTGCTAACGTGGCACAGATCTTACATGCTCCACCACCATGCATCAGATGATATTGCGGCCGGGAAAATATCGGAGGACTTGCAGCATCACAAATTCAAGCTAGAGAGCAAGATCAGTAGTCTTCGCTCAGCACTGAGAGGATCGGTTGACTCAAACGATGTAAGATACCCCGGAGAATAGGATGCCGTCCACCAGCTGACACTCAGAAGTATACCGATTTTCTGGACTCCGCTAATGCAGTTGCATCACTGGTCAGACTCAACAAACATTTCTATATGCCGCAGAGCGTCAGCAGCTATTATACCGGTCGACAGAAGCAGTTGGAGTAACTGAAGCACACACTAGGTGTTTCGAAGTCCCGAGAGAGGCAGGACCATCAACGACGTTTTGTCATCCACGGTCTTGGGGGCTCTGGGAAGACGCAGTTCTGCAGCAAATTTGCTCAGGACAACAGAGAACAGTGAGTGAGAAGTACCTCCTGATATAAAAGACAGGAGACTGACACGTCTAGTTTCTGGGGGATTTTTTGGATCGATGGAAGCTCCTATGAAAATGCCAAACATTCTTATGCCGAGATTGGAAAGGTTGGCGGCGTCGAGCCCAACGAGAAAGCAGCGAAAAATTGGCTCTCTAGTCTCCAGCAACCCTGGCTTCTGCTCATCGACAATGCCGACGACCCCGATGTTGATGTAACTCAATTCTTTCCGGGGGTGAAGGTGGTATGATACTCATTACAACTCGCAATCCCACCAACAGAAGACACGGTACGGAGGGTTCGGGCTTCTTTCATTTCGAGAGCCTCGAGGTCGAAGAAGCAAGTGACCTGCTTTTGGCTGCCGCTGTGTTTCCACGTCCCTGGGAGGTAGCGACAAGAGAGTACGCTCGCAAAGCTGCGCAGATTCTTGGCTATCTTCCACTTGCACTCATACATGCTGGAAAAGCCGTCCTTGAAAGGCTTTGTTCACTGAGCGAATATCCTGATTACTATCAAAGAACATGGGATAGAATTCGTCGTTCACGGAGCCGAAGCAATTCACGTGGACATGAAATCGAACACATGTCAGACATGAGTGTGTACTCTTCTTATGAAATGATCTACCTCGGCCTTGAAAGCAAGGAAGACTTTGAGTCAAAAGATGCTCTTGAGCTGCTTGAGATATTCTCTTTCTTCCATTGGGAGAACATCGAGTTTGATTTCATCAAAAATGCGGCCTTAAACCCTCGAAGAGAACAGGAAGACAGACGTGCCAAACAGGGAGCGGAAAAGCCGAGGGCCATTCATAAGAGGCCCAAAACATGGAACATGGTCTTCCGAGAATGGGCCGGCACGATAATAGAGCCCCTCACCAGGCCGATCCTCGTCCTTCCAGCTGTCTTGCGAGATGAAGATGATCCGCCATTTTATGAGTACAGATTACGTGGCGCGCTCTCACTCTTGGGGCGGCTGGGTATGTTGACCTCGCATGCAGAAAATGATAGTTATTGGATGCACCCACTTGTGCACACTTGGGTTCGACAGAGACCAGACACCAGCACAGCGGAACAGGCTCTCTGGTGTCAGGCCGCTGCTACAGTTTTGACCCAATCTATCTTTTTCAAGCCACCGGACGCGTATACAAACCAAGACCAATACCTCAAGCGACAAATTTATCCACACGTGGAAAATGTGCGCAAGTTCCAAAAAGAACTCAACACTCGATTTGAAGAAAATCTAAGACATCGCAGCTGGCCCTGGTCAATGACGTAGCTGGCTCCTCGGGCGAGCTTTGGAAGGCTTCAAGCGAGCGAGGCGGCAAAGTTCAGTCTGGTGTACCTTGAGTGTGGATATTGGAGCAAAGCGGAGGAGCTGCAGCTTCAAGTGAAAGATTTCGTGTTCGCGCAAATGGGGCCTGAGTCCGAACCGGGGATTGCTATCGCATTGTTGCTTTCCAATGTCTATGCAATACAGACAAGAGTCAACGAAGCAAGAGAGCTTCAATGTGAAGTCCTTGGTTACGCGAAAAACTTTTACGGTCCCAAGCATCCTGCGACCTTGAATATCATGGGCACACTCGGTGCCACTTGCAACATGGGCTCCAGACTCCGTGAAGCAAATCAGCTACACCAAGAGGTTATTGATACTATTTCAACAATGGAGGGAATTGGTCCTAATCACGAAAGCACGTGGACAGCCGTGGAGAATCTGGCGAAAGTCAAACTTCGCTATTTGGACCATGAAGCAGCCATTCATCTCCAATCAAGCGCATATCAAGGGTTCCTGAACCTGCTAGGCCCGAAACATCTGAAAACATTGAATGCCCGACTTGACCTCGCTGACGTTGCTGGGTTTGCGGGCGAAGAACATCTCGAGCCATCTTTGAAGATGATCGAAGAGCTCGAATATGATTTCACCAAAATGCTTGGACGTGAGCACATGCTTACACTCAGAGCTAAATTGACCATGGCAAAGATCAAAATTGCCCTCAATAGATTTGAAGAGGCCGAGGAACTATTCCGAGATGGTTTACCCGCAGCTGAACGAAATTTGGGGGCTAATCATCTCGGGACGTTGAACGGTCACACATGGCGGGGACACTCCTACTGGCGCCAAGGCCGATATTTGGAGGCACAGTCGGTGTTCGAGAACGTGATGGAAAAACAAAGGTATGAACAATCAAAGCGTGCAGAAGACGGGGAGCATTCAGATCGACGTAAGTTCCATTATTCCATGCCTAATCTTATTGTCTATTCGAAAGAGACTCACAGAATCCTGTTTCTCCAGTCCAAGCAATGTGGTTTCTTGTGCATTGCTATGAAGACCAGCAAAAGATTGATGACGCCTTAAGCTCATGCGAGGAGCTCATTCAAGCTGTTCGTGCCTTTGGTGGGGAAGGGCTTGGAGAGAAACACAGAATGTGGCCACTCTTATTGGAGAAGAAGCAGGAGTTGATCTTCAAAAAGGAGAAAAGGTTGCCCGAAAACGATTGTAACACCATTTCCGAGGAGGTGTCTTTATCATTAGGTGGAATGACTCCCTCTGAGATTCCACCGAAAAGAGTCATTCGGCACTTCACATACTGAGATATTCGTTTGCACGAATCTTGATCTCAGGGTCGACAGCCACTACTGAGAGTCTCAAGTTAAAGCATGAGTCAGATATAGTGTACTATTCAACTATATAATACTTGTTTTTCAGACTACATGGAATGAGAAGGGGTCCAAATAATTTGATCAGTGACATTCACAGGCAACTGCGGATGCTCTTGACCTTGTATGTAAGAAACCCCGAACTGTCAAGCCTTTGTCAAATCATTTTCATATCTCCAGGTCACTTTTTCATTGCAGCGAGGATAGCCTTCTGCTGGTTGGTCGACATCCACTCCAGTTTGATATCACCACATATGCCCTCCCGAACTTCTGATTCTGTTGCCCACAGATATGCTTGGTGCTCCTTGGGGTCAAGTCGAATCTTGAGCTCCGACCTATCATTGCGAACATTGACAAGAAACATAAAGATCTTCCAAATCCGTTGTTCGTGTTGAGCTTGCTCGACTCGGTCTTCATTCCATTCAAATCCACCGACCATGTCAACTACTTCAGAGGCGTGAAGGCCAGCCTCTTCTAGCAGTTCACGGATTGCGCACTGAAATATAGTCTCATCCTTGTGGGCTTCACCGCCAGGAACTTCCCATAAGTTGGGGCGTTCGTCGTCACATGCGCGTTGGAGAAGTAGGACTCGATTGTTGTGGATGATGATGGCGGCACCGACAACACCAAAAACATGCGCTCGTTCAGAAATGTAGGATCCTGCGAGGATTTGGAGGTCATTGACCAGTGAGCTAGATTTGCAAGAAGGAATTGATTGGTCGCCCATCATTGGCGATAATGGGGAATATCGAAGAATGTACCCCCTACGGAGCTTAAGATGTTGACTCACTGACACCAACCCCCGGGGCCAGGGTCAATCATTTTCCTCAGTCATGGGATCACGTGTCGTATGATGCCTGTCTCATTTTTAGTCTGAATCTAAATCAGACATCAAGTTTTTGTCAGTCTTATAAGCTTGTGATCGGGTCACCAGTTGCGGCCGAGGCCTGGGGGCGTCATTTATCCGATGTGAGCTGCAGTCCGGGGGCCCAGGGGAAGGCCCGGGCTTATCCATGGGCGCCAAAACGGGCGGAGCTAATTACCACCGGCAGCACTCCGTACGGAGTATATGTTCAACCATGGACCACTTTCTATGACATTATGTATCCAACACTTCAGGCTACTGTCCAGATAGCCCCTCACCTTGGAAATATAATTGTATTACCTCGCAGTAATTAGTCTTAGTCCTGACGCGGTATCACGATTGTGGCCTCAGGCAGAATTTGCGGAGAACCTCACTTCGCCGCTCTCCACCTCTCACGTTTCCTCGGCTCGGGAGGACTGAGATACAACAAAAGCCATGATGGCGCGCTTTAAAGGGAGATCTTTTAGTGCTTGCTACTACTGTCGCAGCCAAAAGGTAAAATGCAGTGGAGGTATGACATGGTCGCTCTACCTTTGTGGCGCTATTTAACTAATCGGAAACAGAGAACCCTTGCTCAAAGTGTCTTGCATCAAACAGGGATTGCATCTTCCCATCCAAGGATCGTGTCTTGACTGTTCCCGAATCATATATCCGCAGATTAGAACAAGAAAATCTCCGCCTCCGTCAGTCACCACCCAAGGAACAGCGGGGCCCAGCGACAGTCGCGCATGACATAATTACCCCCGGGGACGATGAGTCTTATATTCACCCGAGCGCTGGGCGCCTGGTCGAGGACTCGACAACAGAGCATTTTGTCTCAAAGTTGAAAGGAATCCACGACGTTGTTGCGCCCGATACAGCCCACCAGGTGTGGCAAGCCGCACAGACGCCCTCTGATGTGATTGCAGATTCACATGAGGGAGTACGCTCGAGTCCGTCAGCCTATACATTTATTCCTCTAAAACAAGACAAAGATGGTGCGTAAGCCCGCTGCTCTATCTCGCGCGCCCCTGCTCATTTCACCTCACAGAGCGCCAGGTTTTCGTCAAGTTCCCCCCATACTCATACTCGATTTACCTCCTTGGCCAATTTGAAACTTTCATGGCACACGATTACCACTGGTACCGCAAACGGGATTTTCCTCTCCAGTTAGAGAACTTCTACAAAGACCCCAAATCTCAGGGTGTCGACAGGACTTGGCTCTCCTGTCTCTCGATTGTGCTGGCCCTTGGCGAGTCGTACAATGATAATGTTTCTCCTTCGTTTTTTGTCGATGAAAGAATGCATAGTGCGATGCAACCACCTACATTGTCGTGCCCCCAACATGACGCGCCCCCGGGGGTTGAACTATTCGAACAAGGGCTGCTGTTATTTAAGCCCTGTTACGAGGAGCCAACAATTGGACAGATTGAAGCTCTGAACCTCATTGTGAGAGAACCTTGCTATATCCACTGACCAATTTTCACAAGATCATAGAATACTAATTCCTGAAGTCGTTCTATTGCTACTCTCTGAACCGCCGCAAAACTGCATACGCATATGCAGGGCTGGCTTTGCGGCTCGGCACTCTCTTGAAAATATCAAGCCCACCGACTGGCGAACCGATTGATTATGTCGAACATGAACACAATAAACGCGTCTGGTGGACGGCCATTTGTATGGACTTGATGACTTGCACGGAGTTATCACTGGCACCAGCATATCGCTTCGAGGATATTTCTTTACAACTACCCGATGATAGCAAACTGGGTGCTGGAGGTGATGAGTTCAATGATGCACTTTATCTGACATCGCAGGTAAATTTGTGTCGGCTCAAGCACCGTATCATCGAAACCGCACTACAGTTTAGGGCTGGCAATGCAAGCGACGCATATACGCTCATCGGGACATGCTTCCAACACCTGCGTGCATGGAAGACTGACTTCTCTCCAATTTTGGAGTTCTCAGAACATGCTGAATTTACGCATGCTACTCTAGCTCTTCCAGCGATGCGGACAGTCGCGTCAATGTTGATGCGTTACAACCAGGTGATCATCCCTCTCCTCGAAACCCCTTGACCAACAAAAAGCTTTTCCATCACAGTGGCTGACTTTTTTGATTTAGTGCTACATTCTTCTCCTGAGACCTCTGCTTCTGATGCAGCTTGAGTCGCTAGTGCGACAACAACTACCACTCACACTCGACAGCGAGCTCGCCGCTGTGAACAACGAGTGTTTGCGCGCAGCAGCAGACAATCTCAGAATCCAACACGCTCTATACAAATGTCATAGGATTGGTAAGTGGGATTGATGTCATGATTTTGGAGGTTTACTCACTCTACATTTAGCCAAATTTGGGTTTTGGGAATCTCTTCATATATTTTCCAGTCTCACTATCTATGTGATCATTACCTTCATGGCAGAAAGATGCCCCACGGCATTTCCTGTCACCCCCGATACTACAATATTCAACTCCGTTCGAGGACTACTTGTGGAGATGGCTAATAGTGGAAACGCTGCATCCAAAGACCATGAAAGGATGATCCGTGACATTGAGCAGCTTTTCAACACGAATTCCTTGTCAACTAGTATCCCGGGAGGCATTGACGATATATTCGGATGGTCTGAATTTCTTGAAGGCAATATGGGGGCGCAAATTCTCGATCAGCTTCCATCCTTAGTATGAACCAAGGAAAACAATCTTCTCTGCTCGGGTGGTGCGGTCCGTGCCAAAGCCAGAGGTGTCCAATCACCTGGAGGATCGCGGTTTGTGACCCACTTTACTCGGCCGCTACGGTGTGTGCGAGATAACGGTGGAGACTATATCGCACGTTGATGCGGACAGGAGTTGAAAACTCACTGAGATTTTCCCTAGTTTGGAAGCTCTGCTGAGTTTGTGACTATTTAATGTGGGCGAAAGAACTGCAATTGCTACTTTCAACTTCGCAAATCCGCTTTTTCTCGACCGAGACAATATCAAGAAGAAGCAATGTTCTTATGTAAGCCCTCAGTTGGCTATCTTACATTGCTATGCATTTGGCTTCCCATTGCTGGTGCCAACCGGTCTTGCGAAAAGGTTCATGAAGGATTGCCCAATGTCACAATTCTTGCCACGGGAGGCACGATCGCCAGTAGAGCTTCGTCCAATACCCAGACCACCAATTACAAGGTTGGCGTCGGTATTGAAGCGCTGCTCGACGCCGTGCCTGAGATTTGCAACATATCGAATGTCTCTGGAGTCCAGGTATCCAATGTCGATAGTGCGTCAATCAACGGTACAATTCTGCTCGACTTGACAGCTCGACTGAAGGCCGAGCTGGCGAATCCATCTGTGCATGGTGTCGTTGTGACTCACGGGACAGACACTTTGGAAGAGACTGCTTTCTTTCTTGAACTGGTACTGAATTCAACAAAGCCAGTGGTAGTGACAGGTGCAATGAGACCATCTACAGCGCTGAGTGCGGATGGTCCATTGAATCTATACCAGGCCGTCAAGTTAGCCGCATCCAAGACAGCCTTTGATCGAGGGGTGATGGTTGTATTGAATGAGTATGTATTCAATCCGATGAGCAAGCTTGTCCATTTCTTCATTTGGTTTTTTGGCTGACATGCTTCTAGTCGAATCGGTAGTGCCTACACGTCAACAAAGAACCATGCCAACTCCCTCGATACTTTCCACGCGAACGAGCAAGGCCAGCTTGGCTTTTTCATCGATCAGACCCCCAAATTCTACTATTCATCATCGAAACCTCGGAACAAGCCACACTTTGATGTGTCTGGTCAAAAAGAACTCCCGCCTGTGGATATTCTTTATGGACACCAGGAGTCAAACTCTCATCTCATTCGAGCGTCGATCGAATCCGGGGCAAAGGGAATCATATTCGCAGGGGTGGGAGCGGGTGGCTGGAGTCTTGACGGGTTAAAAGACGCCCAGAGCTTGTACAATCAATCAGGGATCCCCATGGTTTTCAGTCGACGGACCAATGACGGGTTTGCGGGAGGAGACAGCATCTATTCCTTCCAAATGACGAGCGGATTCTTAAACCCACAAAAGAGCCGAGTCATGCTTCAGCTCGCACTCAATGCTGGATCCACGAATGATGAAATCCGGAACATTTTTAACGCCCAGTGAGTGGGGCTCGGAGTACGGACGTCGTGAGGGGCTGCGAAGCTTTGAGTCAAATGAGCGGGGAGATCCACTTATGTTTGGAAGTTGTGACAAAGAAAATGGAAAGAAACAGGACCTCGGGAAGCAAAGTACACGTACATCACTCTAGGCCCTTCCGTCTGTCGATACTCCATTGGCAGGTATTGATCACCGCTCTGTTATATGTATTGGGCTTGAAGAGAACAACTGGATACCATGATTGGGAGGGATCTCCACCCCTGACTTTCCAATATGAGTTGAATCACGGAGTAGAGACAATCCTCCATATCAGCATTCATATGTATCACAGACCAATGCCCATCGATATTGAAGCTGAGCATTCTCTCGATCCCTTGCATGCCGGTTGGTGAGTGGCAATCGAATGTAAAAGACGATCGCGTGAAATCACCGCTAAGCCTAATACGGAAGGGTTTCGCCATGGTGGATGCCTCAGGCACCCAAGGTTTCACTGTCATGTCCCAATGCTTTGTTCTCCTCTGAATCTTTACTTGAATGATTCGATCAATCGACAGTCAGATGGCTCATTCTCTTTGTCGGCTACAAAACAGATTAGCCAAGATTTGAAGGAATTTAGAGAAGTTTACCCCTGCAGTCTGTACGAAGCCCAAAGCTCATGACGATCCCGAAATTCGTGTGGGTCCCGAGGTCACTCCACTGACGGGGGGGCTCACTTTTCCGGCTGTTGTGTCCAACCAACGGGAAGCCTCGGAGACGTCAATCAACTAGGGTCCCCAATTAATGCGACTCTGTGGTGGTTCTTATAACACTCTGGTTGGTTTGTTAATCGCGGCTGCGGACGTCAGTGGATTATAAACTGACGTCAGACACATAAAACGGGCAACGCGTGACGCTATCAACTTCGAGGCAATCTCCAAACGATTTACCCGTTCGTACGGAGTACGTAGCAGATAAGCGAGTCCAATTCCCAATGCGAGGATCCGGATGCCACTTCCCTCCAAGGATCTGCTCTCAATACCGTCCACGGTTGAGTTTGCCCGTTAGATGGCGGAAATTGCATCCACTCCCCCAGAAGTACCAACCTCGCCGAGCCACTCCCGTGTGCCCACACGTGTATTGTTTGCTACATCGTCCTCTTAAGTACCTCCGTACCGGTACTTCTAAAATACTATGATATCATGAACAGGGCAGGTATCCCACAAAGTGGTTCATTCAGTCACCATATCACATCTTGATGGTCTCCACACGCCCATTCGAAATAGCGTCGACCCCCATTTCGATTTTTCCATAAATTCCTCCCCCCATCCAAACATTTGATAAAAATTCTCCGGCCTGTTTAATTTTTTTACCCTTTCTTTGAATAATTGAAACTACCGTGGGAAGAAGACCTTAAACATCTCACGCTTCCTGGGACCTCGTCCTGCTATCAAATTTTGTTACTTCTATTGAGCCAACGGAATTCTGCCAATGTTGTCCCACAGGTAAATCCTCCCCTCAATTGGTCTTTCAATTGGATTTTGATCTAATGATAAACAGGAAGAGCTCGCAAAAGCTGCCGGATCAGCTCATCGGCCGTTTCCAGCAGTTGTATGGAAAGTCCAAGCTTGAAATGCAAAGCGATATCACTCAGCAAAATCCAGCTATCAAGAGACGCAACATGGCGACTCCTTCAGAAAGGCAAGCTGCAGTCTCGCCAATTGAAAGCGCCCAAGCTTATCCTTTCTAGGTCCCACAAGAGAATGGCACAGGACCCACTCGTGCTTACAATCCCATTTTCGTATGACGGACATGGCCAGCAAGCACCATACCAGCCAGAGACACATGAATTGGGTCTCTACAATCCTAAATTTGATATCACCCAGGACTTCTCAAGCCTTGCAGATATACAAGACACATCAGACAGTTCACTTCCATCCACATTAAATTGGGATCCCTCGTGTCAACCAGTCGCCCCCTTGAACTCGAATCTTCCACGGGAAACTGGGTCCTCGCAATTATGGAGTAACCTTGACCCTTTCAACACAAATGGGTTACCAGCGCGCAACCAATATACTCACGACATGATTGATTACCCAACGCAAAACGCTTGTGGATATTCACAGAAAGGTCCGGGTAATGAATCCCCAGGGCCAGGTGAAGAGCTAGGATTACCGAGTCACTTGGTTCCAAATCCAAACGGCACAGATTATTCCGAAGAAACGTACGTCTCAGTACATCTCGCTAATTTTTCTAAAAAAGATTTTTTGGCTCTAACAATTGGGTTTAGATTCCGCTATCGAACGTCTCTCAAAGCCACAACGGCAATGAGATCCAATGCCACTGAAATACCGGTGTCGTATCTCAACAAGGGCCAGACATACCATCTCACAGTGGAAGACTCATCAGCTTCCACGGCGACCAATGGGGCTGTCCAATACCGAACCTTCGTTCACGTGTCTTTCGAGCAAGAACACCAGCGCGATGATCCAGCTGCCTGCTGGCGATTGTGGCAAGAAGGTCGACAGCATGCTGAACGTAAGAAACGGGATTTACCACCCACGGCGGTCCAATACACAGGCCAAAACAATCCCCAGATGCTTGTGAAGCAGGTACATCTAGATGGGTTTGCGGTGATTTGGACCCCCTTGGCTAATAATGCCCACCGTTGTAGTATCCCGATTCGCCTCAATTTTCTGTCTACCGACTTTACAAGATTGAAGGGAGTCAGGGGTGATTCAGTGCGGCTCTGTGTCAAAACAGAACAGCTGGGTAATGCTAATGGTTTCCAAGAGCCTGAGATCTCCTACTGTAACGTGAAACTGTTCCGCGATCATGGAGCCGAGAGAAAGATGTCAAATGACATTACGATCATTCACAGACGAATGGATAGATTGAAGCTGCAGGCTGCGGATGCAGATTCTTATAACTCGTCGAACAAACGCAAGAGAAACAGTGATCCCGGCACAGGAATCGCACATGTTGCTGGCATGAAAAGGGAATTCAATCCAAGCTACATATCACCAAGCAACTCCGACGGTTCGTCACGTTCCCAGCAACAAATTCAGTTGTGGAAGAAGGTGGACGCACTCCGGTGCAGTCTCCAATCTTCTCAGCCTGAAAATAGATTTTTCCTTCGTGCGGATCCTCAGGATGATCCCGATCTATTCTCCTTCCCTATCCCGGATGAGAAATCTTCACGGCATAATGAGCAACCACCTCGGATGCCCCATCGGAGTGATAGCGGTATTTCAATGGGCTCAGATACTTCCATTTCTCAGCCCCAAATGCCCACTCTGAAAAGCGATCAGTCATCGACAAAATCGTCATTTTCAGAACAACTGACCAAACCTGGTAAGTGCTTCAAAATCATCACTCAACTCCTTGCCACATAGACATGAATCTAACCTTATCGTGCCTCCAGTTGCATGCTTTTATGTCAAAGTAATGAGTGATGATCCGTCTTCCAATTTGGTTTACCGTGCTATCTACCCAAGAGAGCGAACGGTCTACGAGCTCAAGAAGAAGATATTTGAGAACGATCCCGCTCTTGTAGTGACCTGTTTGCGTGTTTTCTACATCAACAGAGCTGGTCTCAAAGTTGAAGTGGATAACAAGTTTGTTGAGCACATTCCAGAAGGCCAGGACATGATTGTCGAGTGCCAAGATGAACCAACCCTTCTCGGGAGCACATCTTGTTCAAGTCCTGGAACTAAAAGTATATATTTGAGATATTAATTGCCCATGTGGTACAAATCACAACGCCTTTCTGGCCAATTATTTATTCAATCTTGTGGAAAGCTTGTGGCCTCGATACATAATCGTTGGTTCTAAGTGGCTCTGGAAGGAGATATTAAAAACTATGAAGAGCAACTCCAGCCCTGGACGGATGTGTAGCCCTGAAGACCTGTGCGTAGTATTCATCCATCGCTCCCTAGGTATTACTTTCCAATGTTGCCATTTGTACGGGCCATCCATGGATGAAACCTCAAGTGTTGACTATGCACAGGGCTTTCACAAAAGGAACCGGAATTTTTGCACACGTTCACCCTCCTGGTCACATTCCTCAACCTCCTCCCTATCCAACCCCTTATTTAGGCGTTGAAGAAGGAACCTGAAGATACTCGCAGTGATAATCGACAGCAATGAAGTTGCGGCATTAACACTCATAGCAAGCACAAAACGCGGTGCACCACTGCTAGGGTAAAGATACGGACTGTAAATCGAGGAACAGTTTCCGATCGCGTTGGCAAAAGCAAGCGCTGCGGCCTTTTTGGCCGAAGGTCGGGGCAAGGTATTTGCAACCCATGTAATACCAATGATGAAAGCCGTATAGACACCTGGAAGCATTATCATGAGGGCAAAATACCTCGGGCCAAACTGGGTGGTCGAAGCCGAGATGATAAAGCCGGCAATTGAAACCCACAGCGGGATAGTGAAATGAAAGTACCGTTCACCTGACCGATCGGCGTTGAGAGAAACCAGCATGGCAACAATACAGGCCAGTATGTAGGGTGGAACGGTCAAGAGAAGAGTCTGGATCTTGTCCTTTCCTAGGCCTTCCACGACGGTTGGGAAGAAGCTGTTGATGGTGCCACTGGATGTTGCTCCAAACACGAGAGTGACCAGAAACCACACCTTCCAGTCAGATATGCACTGTTTGAACCCCCCAACTAGGCTCAAATTCTCTTCTGGCTCTTCGTCTTGGGCTCCGATATCTTTTCTTAGGCGCCATATTGCCAACTCCCTTTCCGTGTCAGATATGCCCGTCGTGTTATGCGGAAAGTTGATTAGCACAAAATAAGCACTGAAAGCCACGACGACCGTGATTGCGCCCTAGATTGGTAAAATTGTTAGTATCTAGATTTTGATGTAGCTTCTAGAAGCTGGGTGGAAATCGGTACCTCAATAATGAATATCCATCTCCAAGCTCGGAGTCCGCGGACACTAGACAAGTTGTAAATTAGCTTTGTTCACCATGCTAAAAAGTCAGAAAAGCATACCCATCCATGTTGTCCGTAATTGCGGCTGCAATAAGCCCTGAAAAGGCGCCCGAAAGAAGAGAGCCACAGTAAAGTATTGCTGTTCGTAAGGATAACTCTTTTCGGGTATACCAGGCGCTCAAGGTCACCATACAACCAGGCTAGTCACAGTCAATTAGCGACTCATGGGTGACTTGGATGACTTACAAAGTATGCGGCTTCCACAAAGCCAAGTAGAAACCTATTGAGCTATTCAGCGTACATTTCCTGCGCATGTGGGTCTTCTTGCTTACCGACAGGCAACCAAGCCACCGAAGTTTTGAGCAGCTCCGCTTGCTCCACACAGTATACCCTACGGAGTCAATTCGATTAGCTTGTAGGGTTTAATTTTGGTGCAGTAAGGCTTACCCAAGCAACCATGCATGTAGGAAGATACAAGGCAGGTTTACCAACTTTGTTCAAGAATAGATTGGACGGAACTTGCATCAAGATGTAACTGACAAGAAGCTCCATTAGCTTTGGGGGTTAAAATTTTAATGCTCTTCTTTGAACTTACCCCACGAAGAGTACACTAACGCAAGTTTGAAATTGTACAGATGACAACTCCAGATCCTCGGTCAGGCCTGCTAACTTAGCTGCCGCAATTGCATTTCTGACAATGGAATTTCCAAGATCAGTAGAAGGAAAAATTGAGGAAACATCAGAACAAACCTGTCCAAATAGTTGAGAATATAAATGAGAACCAACATGGGCATCAGACGAATGTCCAGCCTTCGCACCAAACGTTTTTCCAACGCTTCTCGCTCCTCTACTGCCAGATTCTGGAGGAGTGGAGGCAACTGAGAGATGTCAATTGCTTCCCCGTGTTGTGCTTTCTCTGGCGACAGATGACCCATATCAAAATTCTCGTTCTTTTTTGAATCCATTTCGTTCCAAGGTTGCAGGTAATAAATAAATGTGGACGGGGTGGAGCCGGATTCCAGGATTAGATGGCAGCTACAGAATATCAAGCTACTTATACATTTCTTTTCGACTTGGAGATTCAGTATGACTGGTTCAGGTTATCAGATACGACGAATTGGACATGGTATCTCATCCCAACCCCAGGTATACTTCGAGCTCTTCCCCGCATATCTTGGCGCCTTATCGGCGCTCCGCCGCTACGGCCGCTACGGCCTCATTCGGCGGCTTTGATTGGCCCGGAAGGATCCAAGTGGGTCAAACACGGTCACTGCGTCAAGAGAAACCATAGGGAGAGATTGCCCTTACGCTCACTTGAATATCCGTTTGGAGATCCATTGATACCTGGCTTCCCAAGGATGTGTTTGCCGAAGATAGAGGATGATCAAGGTTATCTCCTCCGATCAGCGCCGAGTGGCTCCAAACACGACTTCCCCCGCAGATCAGACACCGTAGTGGCCGATGCTATCAGGTATGATTGATATTGTTCAAGGTCACTTATAAAATGCCATAAGAAAAATTAAAATGATTCTATCTAAGCTCTGTTAGCAATCACAATGTCTCAACCATCTATCCTTATCGTCGGTGGAGGAGCCTTTGGGACCTCCACGGCATACCATCTCTCTCATCGGGGATATGCCGACGTGACAATTCTCGATCGCTTTGCTGCTCCATCAAAAGACGCGGCAGCAACGGATCTGAACAAGATCGTCCGTTATGATTATCCAAACCCGCTTTATACCAAGCTCGGGCTGGAGGCCATGCGTGTATGGAAGGATCCAAACTCCTTGTTTCGTGACTTGTTTCGCCCAACCGGATGGATTATGTCTGCCCACGAAATGACTCGCGATTTTCTGAAAGCTGCGTATGAAAGTGGTGTAAAGGAAAAGCGCAAGGGGGTGAAGTGGATGAGTATTGCTGAGACCAAGAGCAAATGGCCTGAATTCACGGGTTCCTTTGATGGGTGGACAAATTTGTGGAGTCCAGAAGCTGGATGGGTAAGGCATTGAACGAATTCCTTAACTGAGCAGTGCTGAAATAGACACGCACAGGTCCCTTCTGGCGAGGCACTTCTTCGTTTCGCGACTGCGGCTCAAGCGAATGGAGTCAAGTATGTATCTGGCAATGCTGGATTTGCAAAGAAGATCCTCTATAACGACGAGGGAGCTTGTGTTGGCGTCCTCACTGCAAACGGACAAGCCCATCTCGCTGACATCGTCATTCTCTGCACGGGAGCCAACACCGCGACTCTTATTGACGCGAAAGATGAAATCGTGGCAAGGTCCCACTGTGTTGGTATTATGCAACTGACTCCCGACGAAGTCGAGAAGTACAAGAATCTTCCGATCGTTGACGACTTTGAGCAAGGTACTTCGTCCAAGTCCATATCACCTGGGTCTCAGACTAAACATTAGCACTAGGAATCTTGTTCCCGCCTGATGCCAACGGACTTTTGAAGATTTGCAGTTGCCGGTTTATAACCAACTACTACAATTCGTTCGTTGCGGGAGCATCCATAGGGCATTCCCACGCCGATTATCCGGAAGATGGTGTGCCTCGAGAGATCGAAGAAGAAATGCGCTCTTTCGTGCGTGACATGATTCCCGACCTAGCGGATAGACCGTGGGTTTCCACCCGGATGTGCTGGTAAGATATCATTAGGAGAAACACCACCGTTGGACTTCATGCTGAGACTTTTGTAGGGACGGAGACACCAAGGACGTCAACTTCCGAGTTTGCCCTGCGCCCAAGGCTAAAAACCTCTTCGTTGCCACTGCGGGATCTGGACATGGATTCAAGTTCATGCCTATCATTGGCAAATATATCGCGGACATGTTAGAGGGCACCATGAGTAAGGATTATGTGGAATTATGGAAATGGCGATTCGGTGCAATTCCACCGAGGACTGGAAAGGAGCCTCATCCATGGCCACAAAGAGATCTTGGAGAGCTCAGTGGGTGGAAGGGAAGAAACAAGCGTCTGATCCAGGGAAAACTTTAATCAATTTCCACACTTGGTCCTAAAGAATGGCTAGATTCAACGCCAGATCAGTGTCGATACCGTAAATAGTGAGAATGGAAAAGAAGGAATGATATGTATCAGCCAACTACAGAAGAATTAACAAGACACCCCCAACACCTTCGCTACATCGCCCACTTGCTATTCCCGCTGGTACACCGACATCCACGATTCCAAATTGTGGCAGATATGTTCGCTCTTAAAACTCCTGAAGCCATGCTAGCCCGTTATCTCGTGAAAATATTCCGTATCGGGTTGGGTATCTCATGCGCTAACACCGGGGAAGCAATCGGCGAGGCCCTTGCTGTGCTTGTTGGAGGCGTGCTCGAGGAGACTGTTAAAATAAAGCCGTCAGTATGTAAAAAAGGAGGTTCGGAAAGTGGAAATGTCACGTACGCAGGGGCCTTGGTGGTCTGCAGGAAGGTCTGTCTGCAGACTTGGCATTGGATGCTCATGGCTTTCTCGTTCTGGAGGGGTTTAGTGGTTGGACGAGAGCATTCGCTAGATGTTATAACTCACACTCTTGGTCTGCGACTTAGCGGTCTTGGTGTCCTTCGCGTTGCGCTCGCGCTTCATGTTGGCCTTGGCTCCCTATAGATGATCGTCAGCCCACCTGCGTGGGTCGCGGATAATAACAAAGAGAAAATAGCGCGTTGCGCTGTCGAGGAATGGTAGAGGAAGGAACTTACGTTACCCATGTTTGCGGTAGTAGACTGGTCGTCTGGTAAAGAGGGTATGAGGGTTGGGAATGCTGGTTGAGATGAAGATCTGTAATTTTTTTTGTAAAAAAATTGTAAACCCCGGGCTAAGACCCACGTGGGGCGCGGGACATGCTGACTCAGCCGATTGATTGGTGGGTCTTGAGCCGATGGCCAATCAAGTACACGGGGATGTATAGACGACTGGCCCGGGCATAGATTGGGCAAAGCAAAGACGCATAACCGCCCTAGGAGCGTGGCGGCGTGAACTTGTTAGATCTACTAAGCTTTGAATATCAGAGTATATGTGGCAAGAAGAAAATGAATGGTTTCATCTCAATTTTATTTGCAAATGCAAGCTTAAAGAATAAACGACTTCCGCATCCAATTCAAAAACTACACGACTTCAATTTGAGCACCAATATCATCGATGGATCCAAAGGGGCACTTGTCCGGACTTGCTCACATATAGTAGAGAACAGAACAGAGCATCCCCACTCAGTCGGATCTAAAGCCAAAGCATGAAGATCCAGGCAATTGTCGCGACAAGAAGATAAGCCACACTAGCGTAATGACCCCAGGAAATTGATGTCGATGTGTGCATAGAGATAGCTGCACCCTTTGATGTGGTTGCTTTGGCGCCTCCACCTCCGCCGCCGGTGACTTGTCCTGTTCCGGATGCGCCAGCCTGGCTGAGGAGCGACTTGCAGTTCCCAGTAGGGTCCTTGGCAGATTGCAGGGTTGCGGCCCCGCTGAAATCACAAGCTTGCTTGTTTTGCTTCTGGTTCTGATAATATCGGTTGAACACATATGAAAGTTGATCTTTGCTTCCACACACAGCGAAGGAACCGAAGTTTCCGGCGGAGGCATTGCTCAAGATACCATCACAGGCGCTCTGGTCGTTTCCACATGCCGTGCCAAATAGGGGGCCGTACTGCTTCTTCTCAACTGAATCAGCGACCACGCAAGAAAGGCTGCTGACCATGCAAGAACACAGGTCTTGATTTGGAGAAGGTGGGAGTGGGCTTGAAGCAGCTTGCCACTTGCCATCGACTGTTGGACAAGCGCGAGGCGAGTTGGTGGGTGAGTAACTGCCACTGTTGATTCCGGTCGGAGTGGCACTTTCAATCGCCTTGGAATAGTAACTGAAGCCCTCCTCAGTGGATACCGAGCTTCCTTCGGCTGAGACAAGCCCATAGTCATTAGTGCTCTGGAAGTACATGTAGATGATTCCACCACTCCAGACATCGTCCATGTCTGAGCCAAATAACACAGGCACGTCGCTGAACTTTCGAGGCTTGACCGTATTGCATCCATACTCAGAGAAAAACACGGGGATTGAATAATCATGGTACTCTTGGGTGCGGTTTTTATAGCCGGACGCTTCAAACGTGTTGTCGCCACACCACTCGTAGATGTTGTAGCCGAAGAAGTCAATAGCACTCGACTGATCACCACAGTTGAGGTAGTCTGACAGCTCTGTTCGGAAGTCAGGTGAATCGGTGGTTGCGTAGCCGAACGACAACGAGCTTCGATATCCCTTTGCCTTAACATAGGCCTTCATGTCACGGGTTGCTGCTTTGACAAAGGCCGCGGACGAGGTCTGATTCTTGTGATTTACAACCTCATTTCCAGCAAAGAATCCAATCACATTGTCATACTGGTGGAATGCATCGACGACGGAAGTGTACCGGTTGTACTGATCAACGGTCCAGGCGGGCGAATCGGAGACGATGGAAACATCGGGGGCAGCAAGATCAGCAATCACATAGATACCGGCATCGGCCAGTTTTCCCATGCAGTCGTCGTGATTCTTGGTTGGATCAACTGCATAGGTGCGAATGACGTTGGTCCGCAGCTGCAAGAGGTATGGGATGTCTCGCTCGCAGACAGAACCGTCGGCCAGAGGGTCTTTGTAGTTCACATCGCTCGATTGTCCGGTTCCGGTGGCTCCTCCTGCATTGTAGTCCTCTTTGACGTAGTTAGCAAATATTTATTGAGACCTACACATAACATTCAGCTGGCATACCTTGATAGGCAATGCCTCGGATGAAGCTGGTCCTTGGTTAGTGTTGAAACAACTCGAGTTTGAATACACCGAGACTCACAATTGGGTTCCGTTGTTGGAATAAAAGAATTTGGATCCCTATGCCGTGAAGGGGTTATCAGTCTCTTTGTTTGTTTGCCAAAGAATCAACCCGCAGTTGTTTACCTTGATCTCAATCTGTGGAACGCTGGCCAAAGCTGTCGCAGCAAACAGGGCCAACCCTGCTAGGTTCAAAAGAGCTCGCATTGGAGATGATTCCCAGTATCGTTTGTTTGTTAGGTTGATGTAGACTGTAAGTAAAACAGAGAGCAGAGCAGAGAAGAGAAGAGAAGAGAATAAAAGGGGGCTTGTGTGACAGGCAAGTACGAAGGGGACGTAAACAAGAGTCACACATGGAAGGCGCGAAACGGCCGGTGAGCCTCCTTCCAAGGTTTCGGTGAAATTGGTTTTGTGTCTTGTACATTTCAAGTGTCATACATAGGATTTAATTGGCACATAGTATCAGAAGGGAATCACTGACATCGGATATGTGTCACTTTGTTCTTCCAACTCAAAATGCAAGGCAGAAAATACATCACGTAGGTAGAAGGGAAGACAGAAATGTAATTACACATATGTTAGTAAGGAATAATGTGAGAGAAGGCTGAAAGCGCAGATGCAATAGTCGTAATACAGTTCAGCGGTGATGCTCGGGTACTAAATGACATGGCTTATTCCGTAGCTGGCGGTGGATGTTGCTTCAGTTTCTTTCTCTCCTTTGCCTCTGCATCCTCCTTCTTCCATGAGCCTTCATAATGGTGTGTCGCAAGGATGTCTCCCTGGTCCGTTGGGTGGTTATTTTGGTTCGCAGCGAAAGCATTTCCGGGCATGATTAGCACATCGCCGACAAGCTTAGGCCGCTTGGTGCCTGCGAAATCCCGGTCATCCACGGGTCTACCAAGCAGCTTGGTCAAACTGTCCAGAATGGCAATGGTCATCATCTTTGGTCCGGTCACATCTACCACATCGGATAGCATTTCCAGAGTGAGCCCTGAAATGGCGACGTTGTTTGTGAGGGCGATTTCCTTCAATTTGGCAACCACAGCATCAACGACGACCTGTAGGTTCCGCGAAGATTTCCGACCCACAAACACCCAGTTGCAAAATTGAGATGCAATGCCTGTTCCAGGTCCTCGCCATGCGATGTCGAACTCCAACCCGACGATCATGTCGATCGTGTTGTTCCGGTACTCAAGCGGGACCCACTCTGCGACATCCTTTTCACAAGTGACATCTAGGTCACCCCAAATCCCACCTTCTGCTAGGACAATCAAGTATCGCAGAAGATCTGCCCGCAGAATTGCAATAGGGAGCGCCTCATAGATTTCGACAATATCAGGACGCGTCTTGTGGAAGTGACTTCGCACAAACGCCTCTGCCGATCGGTCCGTCAGCAATTCTTGGCGGCAATAGGGGTTGGTTTTGGTCCAGCTTCCAATCCATCCGCGTTGATTGTCGGTGAGATTGTCAAATTTGGCTGAATGCCATACTTTGTCTGGGATCTGATAAACATGGTCACTGGGCAAAGCTTCTTTGTTGGTGGGCAAGGATTGGTGTGAGGTCACAGTGCTGGTTGTGATGATTGCGCTGGCCGTGCTTATTCCAACAGCGGTGGTTTCTGGATGAGAGAGCTCGACTTTGGGCGGGAGTGTTGTTTGCGGGACTGGAGCATAGAGATAGAAGAAGAGAGTGAATGAGATGACCAGCGCTGATCCTATGGCGTAGCAAGGAAGTTTTTTGAGATTGGACAACATCGCGACCAGAGTGCGGCCCAATGGAAGGCCGAGTATGTTGCAAACGAGAGATATTTACAAGTTTGAAATCGGACTCTTTGAAAGGCAAATCTAGACGCCCCACCGGGGAAAGGGTCTCACAGATGCAGGCAATGTCCCACCGCAAGACTCTTACAATCTTACTGCCCAACGCCACGCAGTAAATTTGGTTTTTGGCTTCTCGAATTCATATGGCGTGCTTCACTTATTTCACCATTTCAATACTGATTGAACTTAGATGTTGGTGTTGGTGAGGTTACGAGCGAACCAGCTTGTACTCCGTACCTTTCAGGGTTCTGGCTCTTGATAAGGTCTTAGGTGGCAAAATGGCTGCCTATCTCCATATTTGAGCCGCCAAAATTCAAACATCCTGGTCTTCAACTTCATATTTCTGGCGTACCGTGACAATGTTCAAATGGCTTCATTTCCCCCTTTTAATCTGTAATGCAGATTGAAAGTCGCTCAACCGAATGACTCCCGAGATTCACTGCTGACGGCCGACACAACCGATTAACGGACAGCGCAGGGCCGGAACAGCCGGCTTGTGAGGGAGGCTGTGTCGAGTCTAGGCCACGCCTGGGCAGTCAATGTGTTTTCGGGTCCAGAGCCCTTTGTAACATATGATCGAGGTGCTGTTTGCCGTGAGCCATCGTGGGTCACGATAACGAGAGCTTATCTCATGCGAGAATGCTAGACTTGCAATATTTCACATTGTGGACGATCAGTGATACCATACATAAGCATACATCATGGAGCTCTAATTTGCACTATACTCACGGAGAGGTTTCTCTGAATCATCGGTGAGCTCAGCCTCGCTCAGCCCTCTGCTGGTATCCCGATGCCAGGGTGTTTGATGCTAACCTTTTTAGTTACGGAGAGACGATCGGCGCCAAGACTTGATCCACCCCTAGCAGGAAGATCAAGGCTTCGTTTTTGGAGGCCCACTCAACCCCACGAGGTTTCTACTTGACTGGTTTGCAGGCTTTGTTAAACTGTATACTTCTTTCAAGGTTGTTGAAAGGTCTGTGGGGCATGCTTTTACCTCATTTGTTCAAGTTTCATTGTTTCATTTACTTGCCCTAACCTTGGTATCGAACATCTACTGTCCACTGGGCGTATCAATGCTTGAACCGAACGACTTAAGGCGTGCACATAGCTGTACTGGACTCCAGATGCTATCACAAATCTACCAAGGCACGATGATCTCCTGGTATCACTGTAGCTTTGAAATTTATGCAACAATTCAACATGATGTCTTTAGATGGCAACTGCGAAGGACATGCCGCAATTTTGGAAACTGCAAGAGCTGAACCATAATCCGGTACTTTCCAATATGGTCCAGGTACAATTTCTCATCCTGCAACCTTGTGATGACTTTCATAAATCCGAGCCATGTTCTTTTTTAGCTGCCCGCGCCTCCGCAAAGGGCCTCGAAATGTGTCTGTGTCTGATTTCGCGCAGTCATATCAAGAGGAACAAGGCACAAACACCGACGGACCAGGAGAACAAGTGCAAGGCAAGAAGGATATTCAAACTCGAGATCAATAGAGTCTAACATGAGCCAGACCTAGATAACCCACAAGAGCAACATACAACACCCGTTCAGAAAGAAAGACGCATGTCCGCAAGTTTTTCACGCCGAGTTCGACGCCGGTTCTCGCGGGAGTCAAAATACTCTGGGGAGCATCGTATCGCCTTTCCGTTTTCACTCAAATCAAAACCAAGTACCGTCAAGACAGAGAATGAGTTGGCGATCTTTCAAGATGCGGGAAGCAGTCTGATGAACGCGCGAGCATATGATAGCGATGCGCAATGTGTTGGATCTCCACAACATATCAAGAGTGCAAATGGATCACCGAGTCCAGGCTCACGCAGGATGGGACAAAACAACATGTCGCAAAGCAGTCGAGAGTTCGACAACATCCCACGTTTGAAGAATGGAAGTGGGCAGAACTCCCCAGGCTCTCAGCGTGGTAACTTTGGCGGATATCCTTCATCTACTCCACATGGAAGTATGAGAGGGCATCTTGGTCAAAATGATGCAAGATTGGCGGCCAGAGTCGCAGGTAATCAATCGACAACTTCGCTCAATACCCAGCGTTCAGATGAACTCGGCAACTTCGCCAGATCCCATCCGCATCTCCACCCCAGTCAAGAGCATCTGACTCCACCCACCCACGAAGTCAATCGACGCCAAGGCGCATTTTTGACTGGGAGTGGCGAGAACTTACAGAACTTGGTAGTTGATTGGGCGAAATACATGGACTCGTCGGCCAATGGTCCGCGCAATGTGTCTTCAGAGTCGCTCGGTAGACAGTCGCCCCAGATCATGAAACCCAAGAGAGACAGGCTCGTCAGCACACCGACACGTTCGGAAGCACGTGTGCCAAATCTGAGCGATCTGGATCTCTCGCATAGGGCAAAAGCGTCAAACTTGACCTCAGGGCCTCCGTCAGCCAATGCGTCGATCACCGAGTTACCTCGAGCGGGCAGGTATGGACTGCCCATGGTCTCATCGGAGAATGTCCAATCAAGTATGAGATCTGGATCCTCGACCATTGTCGGCCCTGAAACTCCAGTCCAATCCACGCCTCACTTTCGTGATGTGTCTTCGTTTTACTCACGACAAAGTGATGAAGTATTTGGGAGTGCATCTACTGGAATCCACTCACTCAGGGCACATGCTGCAAATGTCATGGAGAGCTTGCCTAATATCCAAGGAAGACTGGTTGGCGACAGTGGAAACATGGGGAATGCACCAGCAGCTTCCGACCAGGTTACCGAAAACAAATTTGACCCTCATCAGGGTGCCATTACTCCGAAGTCTGCCGAAGGTTATATAACACCAGTCACAAACGAAGGTATGCGAAGGGTCAGCCCCGGGTGGATGACTGGGGGTCGCCGGATGGGATATGGTTACACCCTGGTAGACAGCGACGAAGCGTCTTCACGGCAGGACGGAATGGATGATGCACAGCAAGCAAACGCAGCCTACGGCCGCCAAGCATCCGGGTCAGCGACTGGTGTTGTGAGCAAATATGGGATGAACGGAAGCGTCAGACAGCGAACGAGCCTCCAATCCCCGGTTCAAACATCGGCCTCCAATGGGGCTTCCAAGACAAACAGCAGTCGCCACTCGCCTAGCAAAGTACCCACCAATCCGAAGGATGAGTCTATTGCATCACCCATAAAGTGGGCGAAGACAAAAAGAAACTCACTCCGAGATCACGGCCATGCACCTCTCGCGGTGGATCTTGCAAGCGAAGGCATGTTCCTTGGTAATGTGCGCAGTGGGGGTGTCCAATCCTTGCAGCAACATCAACACATGACCCCTACCAGGGTAGACTATGTTGAAGATGACGGCAACTTCGCGAGTCGATGGTCGCGAGGTAGCTTATCGTCAAAAAGGCAGTCCCAATCTCACAAAAAGAATGACACAGGTGACAGACGCGAATCATATGCTCCCGAGATCTCCCCAACCCCAAACCGCCGCTTCTCGATGGATCAGAGCAACCGTCGCCCATCCGTATACTTTGATCCAGCAAGCCAGAGGAGCGCGGATAAATTGAACGGGCAGCCTTCTCGATCTCGTAGCGGTCGATGGATTTTGAGATTCTCTCGGATACGGGACAGCAGAAGACGCTCATCCAAGCCCCCGAAAGAGCCCTCCCCAGACTCATCCGCGGATTACGAGGAGTGTGAATCGAACGGCCACGGGGGAGCCGACTCCTTCAGAAGCGACGTTGCAGCTGACTTGGCCAATGAGTATCAGGAGTGCATTCAAATGCCTGGGGCGTTTTATGGCAGCGGATGGGCGAGTCGAACAAGTCTCATTGTTGATGCCGAGTAGATACCTGCTGGCACGATTTGAGTGAGAAACCCGCAATGGGGAGGTTGCGCGAGTGGAGGATTAGAAACCATGGCCCGGAGCGAGTATGCAGAAGTTGCTATTATTACCCATTGGGATCGAGTTGGTTAAATTATGAGTATACCTCCAAGCCGGATGTCATTAATCATACATTAATATGGGTAAAAGATCCCTAATACATCTTACACTTCATGTGCATGCACAATCAGCGTAATCTTTTCAGAGAATTTACCTCCGCTGCCGCTTGTTACTCTCGCTCGTGGTACTGAGTACACTAGCAGACCGCTTGTGGTTACCCTCACCTCCATTACTCGCTTCGGGCGCGACATTCTGCTGACTCTGTTCAGGTTGCGCGGAACCAGTAGGCGCTGCGGAGTCACCGCTGGCATGGGAAGCTGCAATGCCTTCGCCATCTTCAGTCTCGGTTTTCACCTCGGGACGAGGCAAAGCAGGGAGTCCAGCAGCCTCCCTTGCCTTCCGCTCACGCTCGAATTTGGCAGCCTCGAGGACACGGATTTCGCTCTCGACCTTCTCCGAGACCTTTCTTGCGTCAAGGAGCATGTTGACAGCTTGGATGAGTTTCTCGAAATCCTTGCACACGCGCTCGGTGGGCATGAAGAGACGCACTGGAATCTCAAGCTCGGCAAGAGCACTGGCCAATTTTTGTGTTTGAACGTTTGACTTGGCCTGCGTGAGACGTTGGGCGCGATCGCTGCGGAATTGCACGCCTGCCGAGACTCGTTCGTGATGCGTGACGCCATACTTGGCTTCTTCGGCTGCTGTGAGGGTGCGAACGGCTTGGTGGGTTTCTTTCGAAGCGGTGGATCCCTTCTTGTTGTTTGCTGCCTGGGTGACAGGTGTCTCGGCGCGGCCGGCACCTCCTGTTGCGTTTGGTGTCTGGCCAGCAGGGCTGGGAACGGCTCCATCGCCGAGAATGGAGCGACGCTTCTTGCTCTTGTCAGCTTGGAGGAGGGTTTGCAGGAGCTGAGATAGACCCGCGCTGGACTGGTACATTGTGGTGTTGCCGACGCTGATAGGAACTTCGAGGCGAGAGTATAGTTCGCGGCGCTCGGTGATGAAGTTCTGCTCGTTGCTTGTGATGCGCTTCAACTCCTCCAACAACATTGCTTCCTCCCGAACCTCGTCTGCTGTGCGATTGATTTGTAAAGCGGCCAGATCTTTGCGGTCACGTTCGCGATTGGGGTCAAACTTGAGCATCTTCTCGTGCAACTCGAATTCAGCCTCGGACATTTCTGAGGGCGGATGCTCTATTGAAAGCATTGTTGCCGCGACGTAGTAATAGCGCGCCTTCATTTGTTCCATGGTCCGGTGATGTTTGGCTGGAACAAGCGCCTCATTTCCCTCCGACTCAGTCTCCAATTTCGGTTGATAGTCGTAGCGATCTGCGATAACCACCCAGCGAATATCGTACTCATTCGCCAGATCCACCAGATAGTCTGTCTCCTCACGCGACCAATCATCGTTTTTCAAATTTCGAGCATACTCTTCGTCTGTGTATCGGCGAGGAAGACGAGGCTTGACATTGTACTTGGCAAAGGCGTAATCCTGCTCTGTAGGTTTAGGTGCCTCATCCTTTCCTTCTTCCTTGGGTTGGTCAACGTCCATATGTGATTCCTCCAGTGCTGGGGCAGCCACAGGCGGTCGTGCAGATTCGTGTTTTCTTTGCCAGTGGTTCAGGACCAGGCCATCGGAACGTGCGCTGTTTGTGAAGGGCGCCATGCTCCTGAATCTGAAAGTTAGCATCCATCTCAATTCTCGAGTACCCAGATGCGGAAACATACCAAGGTCGAACGCGTAACTTGTTCATCCATTTTGGACGACCCTTGTACTTATTCTCATTGATCGCGATTGGCGGCGCTCTTTCGCCCAGCAGCGCGTACAATTCACGGGTGATACCCTCTTTCGCGGCTGTCAGTCATCTGATCCAGTCTTCAAATCGCGCAACACCTACCTGGTCGCTTCTCAACCACTTTCTGCTTCTTGTGGGGCCTGGGTTGCCCTTCGGCAGGCAAATCCAGCATATCGCGAACATCGCCGGCCGAGGCCATGATGGCGGATTGTAAGGGGATCGGATCGGGCGCAACGGATAAAGACTGTCGTTTTGAGTGGTGCAATAGGCGGGCAAGAGATGTAGCAAATAGAAACTGGGTGTTTTTCCGATGAAACAAAAATGACGAGGTTGAAATTGAAGGTCACCGTCGACAGAGGTTTCGCGTTCGAAAGGGAGCATTCCGCAGACGGCAGGCGGTGAGATGCGGTCCCTGGATGTTGACACCTTCGCGGAGTAGTACGTTGACTGATTGACTCTCCGATTGTTGATATCACAATTATGGCTTTCTCTGGGAATTCGTTGTCATGGCTGAGCTCAGCCTTGGCTCTGCTCTCTTTCTTCTCTCTCCTCGTCCCCACCAATGCCCTCTATTTCTATATGGAGGGTCGGCAAACGAAGTGCTTCTTCGAGGACCTGCCGAAGGATACTCTGGTGGCCGGTATGAAGCGAGGCCAGCTTGATTAACAGTGCATAATGCTTATTATTTATTTTCTACCAACAGGTCGTTTCGAGAGCGAGGTCATCAATGCCCAATCCGGAGCCTACGCCATCGACCATAACATGAAGGTGCTCATCACCGTTGAGGAGACCTTCGACAATGACCACCGCGTTGTTTCTAAGCGTGACAGCCACTCCGGTCGCTTCCATTTCTCTGCTGCCGACGCCGGTCAACACAGGATTTGCTTCACACCCGAGACGGACGCCACCTCCGGCTGGCTGAGCAACTCCCTGGGCGCTGTCAAGCTCACCGTCGACATTGCCATTGGCGAGACCAGCAAGATCGAAACCGAGGACAAGGACAAGATGAAGGATATCGTTCAGCGTGTGAAGGACTTGAACAGCAGGCTGCAGGACATCCGCCGTGAACAGGTGTACCAGCGGGTAAGAGCTACCAATCTTCAATCCGGCCTTTGGGTGGAGAGACATGAGGGTCTTGGTGACACACTTGCTAACACTGGTTGAATAGGAGCGCGAATCTGAATTCCGTGACCAATCCGAAACCACCAACTCCCGTGTTGTGCGCTGGACTCTGATCCAAATCGCTGTTTTGTCTGCTGCTTGCGCCTGGCAGCTCTCGCATCTGAGGTCATTCTTCATTAAGCAGAAGCTGACTTAAGATGTGTAGTCTTTTCTATTTATGACTGCCTAGACTCGCCCCCAATCCTTCATTATGGCCACGGTCACACACTAGTCGATGTGGAGAGTGATCATCAGTATTGCATGGAGTTATTGTGTATTCTTTCTTGGTGCACAGAGGACATGAAAACGCAGGCTGGTGATCTTGAGGTTTTTCCATATGGTGCAACCAACAATTGTCTTCCCAAAAATGTCTGCGAAGCATTTGGAGCAAAGTCAGATGTCGATCTTGATAATGGATGTAATGATAGCTTTTTCTTCCACTTTGGCCCTCCTCGTAGGTTGTCTGTTTTCAACAAGCATTGTACTCTGTCTGCATGGGGTTCTCACGGAGAATGCCGAGATCACGACAACGAGTCATTCTTCTTTGTAGTGCAGACCCCCGGGCGTCGCTGTAGTCTTTTTGGGCTTTAATATTCTCAAGGCCTGGATGAACGGCATCAAAAGGTGCAGTTTGCATGACTTCGGTTGTAGCTTACTGACATTTCGATGTCTGTCTACGCCTGATTCCAGTGTCGTGGTGCTCCCTAGAGCTTGGAGTATGTATGATCTTTCATTTTCATAATTCTCGTTAATTTACATGATCCATGGATGTTCTCTAGTATATCTAGATCTCAAGATACAGTGGGCAATGTATTTCACAGGGACTTTCCAGGATTTATAGATAGTGCCAGCTTGAACATCGGGACATTGGCCACTCATGCTATTTTACTTCCCATGTGTTCCTCATGCTGAATCTGCTGCTTTTTCTCGACGATCTCATCGCCCAATTTCTGTTTGGTGTCCTCTCCTTCGAAGATATAAGTCAACTCTTCGAGAGTAGGGCCAGCTGTCTCCACAAAGAAGAAGTATACCACGAGGTACACAATGAGCACCCAGACACAGTAGTAAATGTAGAACTTCCATCCAAGAGCCTTCAGCCCGATGGGGTTCACATAGCTTCCGAAGACAGACGCCACCTGAATAGTCAGAAGAACGAACGCCCATGCCTTGGCACGCATCTGAAGTGTCACGATCTCCAAGGTATAGGTGACGATCAAGTTGGTCCAAGCGAAAGTGTAAAATGCTTGGAAGATAAAAATGCAAGCTATCACAACCCGACCAGCAGCCAGTGAGTCGTGCTCCAGATACTGTTGAGCCGCGATGGTCCATACAACAAAGACAACAACAACGCCACCAGATCCTGTGAGGAAGAAGAAACGACGACGGAATTTGTCAATAACCAATGCGACGGCAATAGCGACAAGGTACTGCCAGAGGGTGACCATACCGTTCACAAGGGTGATCTCGTACTGGGTCTTCAAGCCCGTGTCCTTGAGAATCTGCGTGAGATAATTCGAGACCAGAAGGTTGCCAGAGCTTTGACTGAAAACGGCCGTGGCAAAACATAGAAACAGACGCTTGAGGTTGGCTCGAGAAGACACAAAGTCCTTCCAGGTCAAGTTGTTCTCTGCTTCCTTCTCGATGGCCTGTTGGATTTCTGCGCACTCGACTTGAACCAATTCCGAGTTTGGATCACATTCACCATGGTATTTGATCAAAATTTGTCTGGCTTCTTCATGGCGCCCTTTGGCGATCAACCAACGGGGGGACTCGGGACAAAACCAAATCAAACAGAATTGATAAGCCGATGGGATGATTTGAACCAAGGTGGGCAGTCGCCATGACCATTGGCTAGGGATTCTGTAGCAACCGAAAGTGGCCCAGGCTCCAATGACATATCCCAGGGGGATGGAAGTGTTGTAAAAGGTGGTGACTTGCACACGCTCTTTCGGATGGGATAGTTCTGTAATCAAGACCGGCGCACCCATCTGGATCAGTGAGGATCCTGCTCCCAGGATAATCTTCCCGCCGATATACATGTTCAAAGAAGTGGCAAAGAACTCAATGATAACACCGGTGATAATAATCACCGAGCCCAGGGCAGTAGGCAGTCGACGACCAAATTTATCACCGATCCAACTCAAAAATATGAAAGGAATGACGCCTCCGATTGCATTGGAAGCACCAAAGAAGCCCAATGTAGCGCCTTCAGGATGTCCAAAGCGTTCCTGCCAAGAGTCCAAGGCCTGCATACCGTTCGTCATCGACTGCGTGAGGTGGTTAGCAAATGAATTCCACGGAGTCAGAGGGATCAACACACTCCATCGATTCCGAGAGCTGCACTAGCCAAAAGCGACGAAGTGAGAAGGAAATATAAGAGAATTCCATTCTTTCGTCGCCAAAACGGTGGCATGGAATCAACATCAATGGAGGACACGATGCCCTCGGCGGCGTGAGCAGCAGCAGGAGCCATGGTTGGGAATAACAGCTCCAACTGGAAGAAAATCGAATCCAAAGTTGAATTTGACGAACGAGAGACAATGTGTCATTTCGATGGCTGTCCTGTGCCTCTTATAGAAATGCCAGGATATAACATCGTATGCCGGCAGCTCGGGAGATGATACCAAGCACAGACGCACACGTGTGGGAAGAAAACAATTAAGCTCCCAACTCTGCGGAGAAACTCCCCGTGGGGAAAGCGCAGGTTTGCAGAAAAGACACAAATTTCTTGGAAGTCGGGGAATTATCACCGGCAAAATACAAATTTCCCCGAAGGAGAAGTGAATCGCCGGCGGCACTAACGCCACAATTTACCGGAAGTTATGAAATATAACTTTGGATCCGGCGTCCCTTCGATTGGCAGAGATCTGAAGTACCCTACAGTCACATCAGTGTATACTCATCATGTCGCCAGTCTCACTCCCTTCCGGTTTCGAATGGGGCTTTGCAACGGCGGCATATCAGATTGAGGGCGCTGTGAATGAGGAAGGGCGCGGCAAATCAATTTGGGATACTTTTTGTCATCTTCAACCAACAAGAACCAAGGGAGCAGATGGAGATATTGCTTGTGACCACTATCACCGCTACGAGGAAGACATCGAAAGCCTGGTCAAATATGGAGCAAAGGCCTATAGATTCTCAATCTCATGGTCTCGCATCATACCTCTTGGGGGAAGATATGATCCGGTCAATGAGCCAGGCATTGCATTTTACAACAAGCTTATCGACTCTTTGCTTGCGCGTGGCATCACACCTTGGATCACTCTGTACCACTGGGATCTTCCTCAAGGCATCCATGATCGATACGGAGGTTGGCTGAATGTTGAAGAATCACAACTTGACTTCGAGCGATACGCAAAGGTCTGCTACGAGCGCTTTGGAGATCGAGTCAAGAATTGGATCACACTCAACGAGCCGTGGATTGTCTCAATTTTCGTACGTGATCCTTGTGCTTTGATATTCCTCTGTTCTTTCTGTTTCTTGGCTAACTTATTCAGGGCTATGGCAATGGATGGAATGCACCTGGCCGAAGTAGCACAAATCCCATGTCCACAGAGGGAGATACGTCTACAGAGCCTTGGACTGTTGGAAAATCCTTGATCATGAGTCACGCTCGTGCAACTGCACTGTATAATCGTGATTTCCGCGACTCTCAAAAAGGAAAAATCGGTATTTCTCTGAACGGTGATTACTACGAGCCTTGGGATAGCAACGAACAACGTGACCATGATGCTGCCGAGCGTCGAATGGAGTTCCATATCGGATGGTTTGCAAATCCTGTTTGGTATGTTTTAATGCCAGTTTCACATTCCGCGTTTATTGACTTTGCTTTCAAGTCTCGCAAAGGACTATCCAGAATGCATGAGAAAGCAGTTGGGAGATCGGCTACCTGGTTTCACGGAGTCGGAGTTCGCTTTACTCAGGGAGGCGGATGTGGACTTCTACGGGATGAACTATTACACTTCTCAATACGCCCGGCACCGTGAGGAATCTCCGCTTGACACTGACTTCCTAGGTAATGTCGAGGAACTACAAGAAAACAAGGAAGGCATATCGATTGGAGAGAAAAGCGGCGTGTCTTGGTTACGGTCAACTCCTAATCTTTTCCGGAAGCATTTGACTCGGGTATATCAAAAGTATGGGAAGCCCATCTATGTCACTGAAAATGGATGTCCATGTCCTGGTGAAGAGAATATGACGTGTGAAGAAGCCATCAAGGACGACTACAGGGCTCAATACTTCGCGGATCATCTCGACGCGGTTGGGAAATCTTGCTCTGACGGCTCTGACATCAGAGGGTATTTTGCATGGTCTCTGATGGACAATCTCGGTATGATTTTTTGATCTTGTGTAAAAGATCTACCAAAGCTAATTTTTCCAGAATGGTCTGATGGATATGGAGTTCGGTTTGGCGTTACTTATACAAACTACGACACCCTGGAACGAACTCCCAAGCGATCTGCTCTGCTTTTGAAAAGCATGTTTGATCAGCGCATTGACGATGTCCTCAGACGTGACACCAGTGAGATACGTTTGGATGAACCCAGGTCACATATTTAAGATGGTATATTAGCGTTAGGTTGGCTTGGGTCGATACGCTTGATACAATCTTGAAATATCCATGGATGATCACAGCGTTTTGAGGTACCCAGCCTCCACGACACTTAGTATAACCTTGGAAGTTAGGGCTGCACAGGTTGTGTAATAATGACGCGCAATCTTGGTAATTTAGTTCCGAGTATACATATCAAGGACTGGATTCAACTCAAAATCAAGTACACATATAGGTATTCTCTATTCCTAGTGTCATGTCACTGAGCACTTTTATTTCCCATCCAAATCCGCGAAGAGCTCATAGCCGAAATCTTGGCTGGAGTCATTGAAGCGCATCTTCCTGTCAATTGCGTTGATCTCACTAATATCCTCCGGGCTAAGCTCAACAACTGCACGCAGGTTTTCGTGGATTCGAGCCTGTGTCTTTGATTTTGGAATCACTGAGTGGCCCTGCGAGATACCCCAGCCTGCGAGAATTGGTCAGAACTAAGGTCTAATAAATCAGTTCATGAGTGAGAAGGTTTGACATACCAAGTGCGATTTGAGCTCCACTTCTACCGTGCTTTTGGCCAATCTTCTTCAAAGTGTCGGCTTCCACAACCCTGCCAACGTCGTCACGGCCGCCGTAGAGTGCATTTTGATTACCCAGGGGCGAGTATTGGGTCACATGAATTCCTTTCTCTTTGAGGAATTCGGCGAACTTCCGTTGTTGAAGCCAGGGATGAATTTCGAGTTGATGGACTGCTGGAACAGTGCGACTGTTTGCGAGCAGGCGCTCTATCTCCTTGCGCGAGAAGTTGGATACGCCGATCGCTCGAGTTTTTCCAGATGGAATAGTATCTTCCATGGCTTTGTATGTCTGTCAAATAGTTAGCATTGCATTGTATCTATCGGCTCGAAAATTCACTTCGTACATCGATATAGTCAATGTTCTCTGTGATGAGCTTTCCATCTCTATCCTTGGGGAAAGGGTCATCTCCCCGCTTGAACGCGACTGGCCAATGCATCAAGAAAAGGTCAAGATAATCCAGACCAAGATCGTCAAGCGATTCCTGCAAAGCGAGGGCGACATCGTCGGGATGGTGCCTGTTGTTCCACAGTTTGCTTGTGACAAAGATCTGGTCACGAGGAATACCACTCTTTTTGATGGCAGTTCCCACAGCTTTCTCGGTGCCATAGCTGATAAAGAATGTTAGCAAGCTCCCTATGAGTGGGAAATCCCCTTTCGAAAGGAAGAATGCGCCTCACCATCGCGCTGTGTCAATGTGACGATATCCGGCATGAAGCGCGGTTAGAACTGCTTGCTCTTGTGCATCTTCATCTTGCCAGGTACCCAGTCCAATCGCTGGAATATGGGCACCTGTGTTGAGTTTGAAAGATTTCTGTTCGAATGCCATTGTTACTGACTGATATTCCTCATGAGTGGTGTGAAAATCCTGTCTTTTTAAACCCAAGCATATGGTTTCAAGATTGACTGTGGTGATATCATATGGATGTAATACAACCTTGGAAAGTTCTTTGTCTTGATATCTCAGATATAGCAATACTTTTGCACGCAAACAAATTACGTCACTATTATGGTATGATCTATACCTGTATCCAAATCCAATCACACCCTTGGAAAATATCCACCCTCGATCTTGATGATTGTTTTTTTGCATGGCGCATACCAAGCCCGAAGACGTACGTACCATTGAATGTGGCCGAATCTACCTATGTCTTGTAAGAGGGACACATCGAACCTTGGAAGTGTTCGGATGTATAGGAGAAATCGTGAGAGAGCCTCGGGAAGAAGGGGGGAGCCATGGAACTATCGATCTATAAAGGTATGGAATTCATGAAGGGAGACAAATCTTGAATTATGAAAATTTTTCGTGGTCCTCAAGTCGATCGTGCCTGCGAGCTTGGATTGTGTCTTGAAAGACCTTGGGAGGTCCATGATCTAGACTTAATTTTCAACTTAGGGCTCACTAGACTTGGTGTTTCTCACAATATCCTTAGTATGTATAAGTCAAGTGACCGATACGTGGAAAATATAACAAATGTTTATGCTTGATGAAAATTGAATATCGTGATTCTTTATAAAAATCTCGGATGCTCACGAGGGTCCGACACCCAGAACACTTGTTATGTATGAGAGAAAGGGAATTCGAGAACCTTGGAAATAATCGAGATGTTTTGCGTTTGGTTTGACGGACTGGTTTCTCAACAGGTCATGCTACAGAGTCAACCGAAAGTGTCACCTCGGCAGTTATGCCTAGCGGGTAAGTAAGTGTATCGAGCATAGTGGGGTCGGGGAAATGAAACTATTTGACCGAAGCCATCCCCGCCGTTCGGACAATTTCCCCATGCTTCCCTGATGACAACCTCTCCTAGTCCTTCAGGCGCGCGCTCATCGACTCGGGCATGCGACCGCTGCCGTCGGAGAAAAGCAAAGGTATTGTCCTGCGAGCTCTAGATATGTTGGGTCGGACTAATCAGCACCACCCTAGTGCGACTGCTCCGATCAATCATCAACATGCAGTAGCTGTCTTCTTGCTCGCTTGACTTGCACGTTTGATCTGCCAATTGCGAGGCGCGGTCCCAAGACTAAGCGGCAGAGGTCGCTTGCTGTGGTCTACCCCAATGTGCTACAAAGCCCCCCGGAATCATCCGTGCGGGCGTCGGAGCACGGCTCGGTAGCACACCATCCATTTTCTTCAGTCTCAGACACGGTCCCACTGGATACATGGGATTCGACACTTTCGGTGCTCGATCCAAATTTATCCCCTGCAACCGTGCATACAACTCAGTCGTCCGTCTCAAATCCGGCTTCCAGCAGAGTGACCTCAGCTTTGCAAAGATGGCATGACCTAGAACAGGATCTTTCCATACAGGCCCCCTCTACAAGTTTAGAGCAGACTGTCAATCGATGTTTCGAACTATTCTTCGAATATCTATACCCCTTAACTCCTCTGGTTCATGAGCCCAGTCTTCGAGATGGACTGGCATTCTTCGCGACCCAAGGGAGGATCTCGAGCTCCGACGGCCTCATCTACGGACTAAGAAGTCTCAAGTACCCAGACATATGGCCGGACTTTACCTTCACTCTAGTAACAGCAGTATGCGCGGAGGCGGCTTTTCTTCTTCCGAAGGATATCTTCCCAGAAGGCGAGAGGGTTGCAGACCCTTTTCTTCAAGCCTCTAGGAACTGCCTCAACACGTACCTGGAGGCCGATCTTGAGTATCCAAACGCTAATTCAGTTGCCATCCGGTATTTTCATTCCAACTGCATGCACGCAGCCGGCAAGCCAAGGCTCTCGTGGCACATCTTTGGAGAGGCAACGCGGCTGGCGCAAGTTATGCAAATGCATGAAGAGGAATCTCTGCAAGGGCTCACCGCGCTGGAAGCAGAGTTTCGCCGACGAGCGTTCTGGATTGCCTATATTGGCGATAAGTCTGCAGCCATCCTTAATAATCGACCAATCACCATCCACAAATACTCGTTCGACTCAGGCATCACCATTGGCTATCCCACCGGTGTCGAAGATGAGGCGGTCTTGACGCCAGGCAATACAGTCACAGACGATGAAAACACTCGCAGAAGCTTTATTGCAGGCTTCAACGCAAATATACGTCTTTGGCAAAGTGCTTCGGATCTGATTCTGGAGATGCGACTACTGGGTACCAATAATCAGAACGGACATCCTTCGCCGCGTCAGCCTCCCACGCCTGAAGAAATCCATCGACTCGACCATCTCTATGTACTTTTTGCGACATCTCTGGATGACCTACCTCGCTATCTGCAATATGATCAGCTCATGACAGAATCCAATGCAGACAACCAAGGGCTATCTAGACTGACCAGGCTGCGTACCATCCAAGCAACAAATGTCTTTGTCTCGTTGCATTGCCTGAAAATGGTTATCACACAGAAATTTGAAGACATCGGGTACTATCATCCCGCGCAAGTGAAAAACGAAATTCTGCTGCTCAAGAAAACTGATATTGCACGCGATCTTTTGAGGGTTATCCGCGATGCACCTTTCTGGGCTTTGCAGGTGAACGGCGAACCATGTGTAAGTCAGGATGCTTAACGGGTTGAGCTTTAGGAGCCTACCGCTGATTTTTGACAGGTGGAGAAGATCCGACTCATTGGGGCTTGTCTCCTTGAGATCATTGATCAACATGAGGCATCTCCTTTATCAGCCCGGGCGCGCAACGATCTGTCGGTTCTCCTTGATATACTGACGCGGCTTGATTCAAAAGCATCAGATACATTGCGGCGCCTTCTGTGAGAATAAAAAAGACGTTGTTTCATGAGGAGACTATTCGGCTCTGTGTTCCCAGAAAACCCATATGTCTAGTGGAATATACGTACTAGGAGCAGAGTTCGAAGGTTCCCTTTTTTTTAATATGGAAATACCAATATCAGTACAAAGGCGGCCGAAGCTCCCCCGTCGAGTGTACTCGGTATGAAGTTTTCCAGGGCAGTAGAGCGTGGCTGGTAAAGGCGTGAAAGGGCCCAAGAGATAAATTTACCGCATTTCCCCGATTCCCCGTCTCAGGCCATACCGGTGATCATCCTGCCAGTCAAGCCCCGGATCAATTTCGAGCCTGCCGCACATCCGAGTGGGCCTGGCAGTCATTGGAACTTGCTTCCAGTCTGCTTTCAGTGGCTGCCAGTCAACACATGATGGTCCAACGGCTCGAACCGGCCTCATTGCCATTTGCTAATGGGTTTGCGGGGAACCCTTACTGGAGTGTGGGATCCCCGGATGTTTGGCGTTTTTGTGAAGATCGAACTTCGGAGAATTCCACATTTGCCAAGTGATAGTGTAGATAGGATTCGAGTACTTATGGATTCGAGTACTTATGGATTCGAGTACTTATATAGAAGATGTACCTACGGTTTCCCATCTTAGCTCCAGGGCTTTATCCTCATCCTCATCCTACAGACTCAAGTCTTCAATATGCGCTCCAATAGGATTCTCACCAAGATTTTGACTTTGAGCTCCTTGGTTAAAGCTCTGCCTTCGTCCGGGAACACTAAAGAATCTTCATGCCGCTTCGCGCATCAACATTCTCAAAACGAGATCCTCCGTGACCCCACTGCGTTTGTGAACGACCTATTGTACTGGGAGGGCAAGTTCCATCAGAACAACATCTCATGCAACAGCAACAATGGTATCACCTATGATGGAACAAACATTGACTGGGTGAATGGCGAAGCAACGGTGAAGCACTCAACCAGTGCCGCTAGTAAAGAGGTCAATTGCGCACCTCCTCCAAGATTTTCATCATTCTTCAAATCGGCTGACCGAGTTTACAGTCCCTTCAAATTATGCTCTATACTCATGCCATTGCTGGGTCCCCAGAGGCTGCACGGTATCTTTCCCCGGGAAGCCCAGAAGCAGCTCCAGGAATGGTTGCCTCTATCATGCAGACAAAGTTGCAGACCTATCTCAGGTTTAATGAGACTTACCCTGGCTTTGGTGGTTTCTTGCCTTGGATTCTGGCCGATGGTCAAGATCTGACCCCAACACCGGACTGGACTGATCGTGTGCCCGGTCTTGATAATGGGTGCGTGTTTCCCTTTGAATATGGGATGTTTGGCTGACCCCTTCCCCTCTAGAGAGCTTATTTGGGCTGTATATGGATTCATTCAAGCTCTTGAGAACACAGGCAACAAATCATATCTTGATCTTGCCCGGGAATGGCAAAGCTGGTTGGATTATACCAAGACAACTGCTGCTGAGGTATGACCCGTTTCTTCTATCTTCTTCTATTCAGTGTGACTGACAAGATGTTCACTTGACAGATTTTCTATTTTGGAAACGGTAAAGTGTGTGCTGTCGTGGCCATGGCAGATCAGTCTCTCCCAGTCAATCATCAAGATCAGTCATATCAATGCGAGAATAATATCTTGCTAGATGACCCTTTCGAGGGCGAGATCTTCACATTCTGGCTTCAATTCTTCGGCAATTTGACAGATGCAGACAAGAAGGCTTTGTGGGAAGTGAAAAGACCCCAGTTAGTGAGCGTGGATTATCAACTGGGTGAATATGGACCTATCACAGTGCAAAAGGGTGAGTGATGATAAGCAAATTCTTTACGAAAAATAACTCACATCAATCAGGATACTGGTTCTCAAGCCACGAGACCTGGAAAGCTTTGCAAATGCCCTACTACGACATCGACATTGTCAGGTAAGTTATCACTGAAACTACAAATACTGCTTTTGGCTCCATGCTAATCTCCTACTAGTCGGTTATTCAAGAACGCCGAACGAGTTCGAACTTGTAACTCGGTCGCCACAAAAGTGCCCGGCATGTTCGCCTCAATCAACAACATTACCGACCCTTCAACCGGCGAAGTAACAGGCTATGTCTCCAACGCCGGCATCCCCTCCATTTCAAACCAGACCGTACAAGAGCTGGACGTCATCACGCCGTATAGTGTCTTTCCAACAGTGCTCTTGGACAAGGCTGTTGGACTAGCTTGGTGGAGGAATATGGCCATTGCCAAAAAGATGCAGAGTCAGTTCCAATCCTCTATATAACCATGTTTTGGAACTAATTTGTGCTTCAGGTATTTATGGCAGTACCGAATCTACGCGTGTTGATGGGACTGGTGTTTCAGCGCTTGTCACATGGGACAGCAAAGTCACCACCGTGGTTGCGATCCTGGGTGGTGTTTCTGATATTGTTCGTCAGAAGATGAGGGCGGATGGCATCTATGCTGAGTTCGTGGATACTATTGAGGTAAGCTCCATCTCCTTGTATTTGCGCTGGAAGAGATGGTCTCGCTAACGTTTGAACTGTAGGCTGAGTACACGCGAGTCTTCACGCATCTCCGTGGGGAAGATGTCGATCTTTGTCTTCCGCAAGACACCGTGCCTGATGCCGGGCTAGTGGATTTCACCTCGTGCAACTAGGATGTTTTAGGTTGAACGAAAAGAATGATCCGTCCTGGTCAGACGCTACTGGTTCAATTGATTAGTAGGTACCAAAATGCAGATTAGGTGCAGTTTATTGTTAACTACATGATCGTTCCATATTCACATGGCTTTATGCAGTAAGGGGGGGATCGCTATAGATAGCGATCCATCATCAATCATTATATCCAAGAGGTGGATAATAAACATAGTAGGGTAAAATGCCAAACACAATGCATGGCAAAGGGGATGAAGTGAAAACCAAGAATGGATGCAGATGAGCAAAAGCAATGAGCGATTGCATGTTCCATCTGTAGGGCCCCGGGGGCCAATGTGCAAAACGGCTGAAAGAACTTTGTACGAGTAAGAGATCCACGCCAACGGGTATATGATGGTCTTGGTGTGGAATCCAAAAAGAAAACGCAAACGCCATTTCCTGACAGTGTGCCAGCAAGTACACCGAATCAAGTGGGCCTATGGCTAGTGCCGCCACAAAATTCAAGAATCAATCGTTCAAGGTCAGAGAGTTTGTAGGGCTTTGTCATGTAGCCTTTGATCCCTACCCGGGAAGCACGATTCAGTGCCTCATCGGTGACATCTGCGCTGACTGCAAGTACAGTAGGTGGTGGTGGTGGTGCGCAGAAAGTGTTGGGGATTGGGTCCATTTCCATGGAATCGGGGCTGTTGCGAGTTTGTTGTTCGAAGGCAGCGATATCATCACGGTGGTTGTCAACCATCTGGAGAATGCGCGAGGTGGCTTCATAGCCATCCATTTCAGGCATCCAGAGGTCCATCAAAACAACATCTATTGATTTCATCTTCGACGGTGGTGACGAGTCATTGATGACGCCTTCCATTAGGTTTGAGGGATCAGAGTCTGAGTCCACATCCATATTGGAGCTCTTTGACGCGTTCAAAATGCCCTCGACAATCTGGACGGCCTCTCTGCCGTCTGCCGCTTCGAGCACATCACGGTAACCAAGCTTGCGCAACATGTTCACCAACACACGACGATTGATTCTATTGTCTTCGGCGACAAGAAATCGCAGTGGGTACTTCTCCCCAAGCTTTTTGTCATACGCCTCGCCGGAGATATTTGATCGATGAATGCGGGTTTGCGGTAGTGATCGTAGAGGTGTTGGACTTTGAGACATGTCTTCGCTGGAGCTGGGAGTAGGCTGCTGAAGCTGGGCATTTTGGGGAAGAATGAAAGGAGATTTGTTGAGGGGAGGGTCGGAGAGGTTGCTACTAGCACTACTATTCCGTGCTTGGTCATAGTTGATCTCGCCAGGGGTTGCGGGGCGGGTTTCAGCCTCGCGTTGGTTGACGGGAATTCGAATTCGAAATTCGGTACCTCGCTCAGGGCCCGAGGTAGATGAACGGACACAGGTCAAGTCTCCGCCCATTTTTCGCGAAAGTCCCTTTGCCACCAGAAGACCTAGACCAAGACCGTCTTTGCTTCGCGTGGTCGAGGCATCCTCGCGTGCGAACGGTTTGAAGAGGTTTGGCAGGAACGCGGCTGGGATTCCTGGGCCGGTATCTCGCACAAGAATTAAAACATCATTTTTCTTCGAATCGATAGTTGCCCAAACAGTGATCATGCCGTTGTTGGTGAATTTGATGGCGTTGAGAAAGACACACGAAATCAATTTAGCCAAATCGCGATCATCGGCAAGAAGAGTATCAGGTAAAGCTGGGTCCACGGACCAGTCTACAGTCTTGGTGCGCAACTCGCCATTCGAAGATCGCGACCGGATCTCAATTCTCTCGCCGCACTCAGTTGCCCTACTTACAGCAGAATCGGGACGACCACCAACATGGAGAGACTCGTTGATGACCAAACGGAGAAGATCTCTCAACTTGGTAAATCGCAGAGCAGATCCTCGTAGGTTGACGTTGATACCCTCCAGGAGCAAGTGGGGTGCAGATCGTCGTACTGCGAGTGAAGGGCGGGGATCGACCATGTTGGCCATAACGGCCTCAATCTGGCGAGCAGGAATAGCATGAACAATCTGATCACTTTCATGCACGGCGTTCTTGACCTCTTCGCTGCGGGGCGAAAGCTCTTGTCGCGATGAAGCTGCACGTAGTCTTTGTTTGCGTACAGGCCGCGGGTTCGTTTCCAATGGTAAGCTTCGCCGGCGTTTATAAGGATTGACGGCAATGTTGTTTCCTTCAATGAATATGCTTGGGCGCGTTTCGGGGGTGTGGGTTTCGGGAACATGGGTTTCGGGGATGTCGGGAGGGATGGCAGGTTGGCCCAAGATTTCAGTTTCCTCTCGAAGCGGTGTTTTGGGAACCTGCATGTTAAGGTCATATGCGTGCACGACATTGTCGGCCGCTTCCACGGCACGTCTTGCACTGTCTTGGACCATCTCAATCCCTTCCTTGAGGGCTTGGAAAATCCCACCCGATTTGACAGGTGTCTTGCTCTCCATCGCCTCGCGTACCGTAGCATGCATGACATCGAGCATACCCACAACGCCCTGCATTGGGGTTCTCAGCTCATGTGACAAACTTCGTGCATAGGGCTTGAGGGGTTGTGCAGTAAAATCGGAGGGTTCGTGGAGGGCGGCGGCGTGGGGGTCGTGGATATTCGGGGTATCAGTGGTAGGTGAGATCAGATTTTCCATGTCCATATCTGCTGTCTGGAGGCGTTGAACAATTAGATCCTCAAGGGAATGAAGAATCATTTCCACAAAAGACCAGGACAGATTTCGTTGCCGCAGGCCATCCTTCGACCACATCAATCCAAGGTGCGCCAGGCACTTGCCAGCCGAGAAAAGAGGAATCGCTAGATAACCGTCGGCACCGAATGGCAGTTGATCATCGCCGAAAGATACCAGTGAGCTGAGATTCTCGGGAATCAGACACGGGCGCTCGTGGTCCATGTGCAACAAGGGATTCCCGCCCGCGAAATACCTGTTTCGCTGCAATCCAACATTCTGATAGCCATCGTTGTAGTAGAAAGCTGAGCCAAAAAGCGTCGGGCGCCGCCCGCCTAGTTCTGGTAAAGGGTCACTCCCGGTGACTCTGCGAGCGACAAATCCATATTGGGCTTTTGTTATCGACGTCAAATCCTCCATCAGCCGTTTCCAGAACAGCTCGGTATCGGATATGCGTAGCCCGTGTTTGAGTGCAACCAAATGTTCAATGGCAGTGGTCTGAGCCCCGTCGTTCCATGTCTCCGAGTCTCGTTTCACGTCATCGTCACGAACATTCAGTCCGTCACCGGTGATACACTCGGATTTGCAGGAGGGAAATGGCATGGTGGGACAGGGTTGCACAGGATTGGAGGCATCCGGCTCGGGCGTGTCGGGCATAGTCCATGTGGCAAGTGAGGGTGTTGTATTTGAGGGTTGAAGTGGTTTGAGTATCTGAGTATTTGGAGGTTTGGAAGTCTGGAAGTCTGGAGGTGTGAAGGTGTGAGGTAATAATAGTTTGGAGATGATATATATGTGATGTGAGATATGTCCTATGCAAGAACAACCATAGCTCTACCGAGATGATCCCAGAGAAACAATGAAAGAAGCCAAAGAAGCCAAAGAAAGCCAGGGCCAATGAAGCCCAGAAGGAGGGGAGAGGGGATTTTCCCTTCGATTGGGGCCGGGCGGTCTAGACACGGGACTGAAACAGGAGCATCTCCTCCCTGTCGAGCCCGCCTACACTTCTACTTGCTACAGCCCGGGTTTGAGCTTCGGTCGATTTGAGTATTGCTTTTTATTTACCTGCATCTCTTACTCTGTGTGCTCGTTTTTTACATATTTTTTTTTACCCCTTCGATCCATGCGTAGGCGCACGGAGGGTACGCGCAGGATCGGCGGATCTAGACCAGAAGAAGAACCACCAGGTACCCGGTACCTGGCTTTACCGCCTATTGTCGTTTGTCGGTCAGGTACTCGGTACTCCCTCTCATCCGTAGCCCTAGTCCCTAGTCCCGCTCACCTCATACGGAGTACGGAGTACGTAGCCAATATTTGACCGAACTTCAATATATCGGCTACATTTCATGTTCATGTATAGCTGCAACACGGGGCCCATCAGCAAACACTTTTTGTTCGAGGTGTTTGACTTCCTGAAGTGAGGTCAAGGATGACGCATTTAGGACGCAAGTAGATGGTCCAATTAACAGTGCGTTCGAGCGATTGGCTGAGGCCTCGGAGACAAGCTTGGAAGATGTAGCGAACCGGAATCCTGTGAGGCCCTGGTCTGCATTCACATTTGAGGGGTCGATTTCTTGTTCCTGGTTCACAAGTTGGTCCGGCTGGAAGGGTTGACGCTATCTTATGGAGAACATTCAAGTCTCCCAAGTTCCCTTGGGGACTTCCAGACCATGATCCACTCTTGCTCTGGATGACCGACTCGGAGGCTCATCTGGGTCCACGGGTATTATGAAACCTGTGGAAGTAGATTCTTTCTGAAACCTCCATGGCTAAGAAGTGGCCTCGTAGGTCTATACAGTACACTTCCATACAAGTGTAGTTCCCCACAGCCCTGGAGATCAAATCGTGTATTCCCGGGGTCACCCCAGGAACCCAGGAAGACGCACTATAAGTTTATAGTTTTAACTTTATTTTGGCCTTACTGGTGTGCTAACATCCTCAATCTGTACTCCGTACAACGTACAGTGTAAGCGCTGTGGAACCGAGGTAGATGTGATGGCCGATCACTGCATGTTAAGGTCCGAGCGCAGCCTAGGGCAGTATAAACTGCAACTATATCACAACAACCAGCCATGCAATTCTGATTCAAGCTCTTCAACGCAATGAGCTCCATAAGTCCATACAAGATTGCCGTCTCAGACGAGAAGCTCCAGCGACTTCGCCAAAAACTGGAACATACCACTTTCCCCGATGAACTTGATGATTCGGGGTGGGACATGGGTGTGCCTCTTGATGAGATCAAACGCCTGGTTTCAATATGGCGCCATCAGTTTGACTGGAGGGCACAGGAGTCGAAGCTGAACGAGACCCTTCAACAAATCAACGTTCGTGTTGCGGTGGATGGTTTCGGTGATCTGGATATACATGCGCTGCACCACAAGAGTGGAAATCCCAATGCCATCCCACTGCTGTTTATTCATGGGTGTATGGATCGAATCCAACCAGATGCAATTTCCTTTTGTCGGAAGTGGCTGTACTGACTTCTTTCGACAGGGCCTGGTAGTTTCATGGAAGCAACAAAGCTGATTCCGTTGCTCACTCAAAACGATGGAGATGGCCCTGTATTCGATATGGTGGCGCCCTCCTTGCCCAATTTCGGATTCTCGCAAGGTGTCAAAAAGGTACTCCCAAATATCTATTCTTTCAACTCATACTAATCAGAATAAGAGAGGATTTGGGCTGGCTCAGTATGCCGAAACTGTCCACAAAGTCATGATGGCGCTCGGATACAGCGAATACGGTAAGTTGTTTCATTTTCTGGCCGAATGAGAGGAATCCATCTAACTCCTCGAAGTGGTCCAAGGAGGTGACTGGGGAAGCATGATATCGCGTACCATATCCCAGTTCTACCCTCAGCACGTCCAAGCCATCCACCTGAACTTCATCCCCGTGATACCACCCTATCCATGGCGAAGTCCGTATCAGTTTTTGAAATCCCTGGTTTCAGTGCCTTTCTCTGCAAAAGACAGGAGTCTCATCGCCCAAACAGTGGGATATTTCACCGGTGCCAACGCATACATGAAGCAGCAAGCGACCCGGCCCCAGACTCTGGGGTACGGGCTTCATGATAGCCCCGTCGGACTTCTAGCATGGATCTACGACAAGATGCATTCTTGGTCTGATGACTATCAATGGACAGACGAAGAGATATTAACCTGGGTCAGTGTGTATTACTTCTCAACAGCAGGACCGATGGCTTCGACAAGAATCTACTTTGAGGCTTCGGCACCGAAAGGAAAAGTGGATGAGTCTGAGGATCCGCAGGAGATGAACTTGAAATACATGTCGCTTGAGCAGGTCCTCGGCGTTCGAGCTCCCCAGAATGTGCACTTTGCTGTGGCACAGTTTCGAAGGGAGCTCATCATGTTTCCTATGGCGTGGTATGGATCCATCGGGAATGTTGTGCAAGAGAGCGAATACGATAGTGGTGGGCATTTTGCAGCGTGGGAGGTACCTGGGTTGCTAGCTGCTGATGTCAAGAAATTCCTAGGCAAAGAAGGACCAGCATACGGGGTTGTAGCTGGCAAAGATGGATATTGATGCCGTGACGTGACAACTGGGCCTTTTATTATCGTGATAGGAGTAAGAAACATGGAGTCCAAGAACACATTCATCCGCCCTTGGGCTCAGGTATCGATTTGCCCTCACATTGATATTGTGCTATCCCGACATTGATCGACCGTACACGGCAAGCATTATCCAGTGAAGACCGTAGACGCCGGGATTCGCCAAACCAACGGAAAGCCCAAAACAACCACTTCCCAGATCTAATCCTGTCGTCCCTTCAATAGACGCTGGGTGACCTTATCCTTCTCTATGATATAAACTTGGGCGCCCCAACCGGAAAGAGCGTCTCGGTCGACGGCACTGAGCAGCGCTTGTGAGATGGTCTCGAAGAGGTCCTCGGGGGCCTGTAGCGAGAAACTTGTTAGAACCGAGCAAACCCTGTGTAATTGTGCTTATACATACCAGATCAGGCTCCCACAGACCCTCGCAGGTACCGAAGAGCTGGTCGCTTGCCGTTCCGCTGACAATGAAGTCCTTGGCGAAATCGATACAGCCAATGCTGTCAAAGCCGCAGATGAACGGCTTCCCCGTTGTTGGGTTGATACCCGCCAGCACGGGGCTGACGAAGTAGGGACCGAATCGCTTCTCGTAAAGCGATGAGCTGACTAGGTTGGCAAGGGTCTGCGGTGCAATGTCGCGCTCCTCGCGCAGTCGGTACATGTTGACCTTGTAGCGGAAGAGATCGGAGATGGTGTTCACATCGGTGGCCAGACCGGTCAGGCCGAGATAGGTGGATGGTGCATAGTTGAAGATCTTGGGGAAGTTGTTAGAGATGGTCAAGGCTTGCATGCCCAGACGAAGGTCGCAGGCAATGGCGACGCAGTCCTTGCCCACCATGGCGACACAAGCACCGCCATCTGTGTAAAGGTCAGTATTTGTAGTGTGTAATTGTCAAGGGCAAGTTTCCGGCGTACTGATGTCGAAGGGGTTGGACTATGATGAGAGAAGTCGGTCAGCCTTGGGAGGTCCAGTGGTGGACGGATCGGGGTGAAAGGGCGCTTTTTCCATACCATTATTGCGAGACTTCAAGGCTAATCAATATGGCACAGAGTCTTCAGAGCTAACCGACTAATGAAAAGAGGAGAAAATGGAGTTGCGAGGGGGTTGAATCGGGGGGAGGTGATGAAGGTGAGTTGATGACGGGGAAGCTCTGAGGTACGCGAGTAGCTCAGATGACGCCCGCACCGCTGCCTGGGTCTTTCTGATGCGACCGATTACTTTCTTCCTCCTTCCCCCCGCATTCCTGCCACTACTGTTTCGTTTGTGTCAGCAGTCTCTGGCAAAAAGACTAGAACTATCTTATTTGGTTTATTTGTTCTGGTGAAAAGCGACAATGAGTGCCCATGTCGTGGTGATCGACGCGACGGCCAGGCGGGCAACCATCAAGACCACGCCCGGCAAACACTTGACCGATATCTTACATGAGGCTTGCTCAAAGCTTGGATACAACTCCAGCCAGTATGGGTTAAAGTAAGTCACTCCCTCTAGGAGCTGTAAAATGATGACATTGCTAATCAAGTCCGCCCGCCTGACAGACACAATCGCAAGCAGCTTGACCTTTCTCTATCGTTCCGTCTATCCGGTCTCAGCTCTGGTGCAAAGCTTGAGCTTGTACAGGCATCTCGTTCCCCGTCTGTTGTCACTGTCGGATTACAGCTTCCCGAGTCCGAGACTCGAGGTGCCCCAAATGGCCGCATACTTGATAAATTCCCAAGCACAACAACGCTCTGGCTCGTTCTGCGCAAGTTCGAGGCCGGCGTAGCAGGGAGCAACCAAACGCGGAACCTGACCTCGCGTGCTGTGCCCTCTACCGATGGTGCAGAGGGTGGTGCTGGACGTTTGTACTATGAGATCCCTGTGCTCCAAATTCTGGAGCGTGAAGTGTCAAGCTTCACAGACTTACAGAAAACACTGGCACAGCTAGGATATAATAGTGGGAATGTGCTCATGCGACTCAGCTTCCGACGGACTGAGCAACCCATTGAGGAAGCAATGGTTCAGATTGGCGAGTTCTTCAAGACTGATGACGAAGCCCTTCCGAAGCAAGATACAAGCGTCGCGCTCCCCACTGAATCCGCTGGGGTTAAAGGCGAAGAGGCTGTTGAGAAGCCATCTGATACATCTCAATCTGAGCTCCCCAGTGTGCCTGCCACCTCTTCGGAGTCATCGGCACCTCTCCCAGAAAATACCCTTGAGCCGGCCACTTCAGAAATCGGCGCTGCTCGAAACATCACCGTCTACTCACCTCCCTCGGAAAGCACACCTTCTTCGGCGCAATTATCTTATAATGAGAATGATTATGTGCCCTCCATCGAGCACGCACAACTGCATCAGCGCCTGCTCAATGAATCCTCTCGCAACCAGCGCCTGCCCACTCATGCGGAGATGGCTGCCAAGGCTAAGGCAGAAGAGGCAAAGCAAGCAGCAATCCGCGAGGTTGATGTCAAAGTCCGTTTCCCAGATCAGAGCCAAGTGGTAGCTAAGTTCGGGGCTTCGGACACTGGACATTCTTTGTATGAATTTGTCCGCAGCTGTCTTGCGCCGTCATTTGCGAACGAAGAATTCCATCTGACTGTTCACACTGCATCTCGCTCCCAGCACACAAGTGCCATTCCCTCGTCAGATAAGAAGCTTCTGATCAAAGATATCAGATTGACTGGCAGGGTACTGATCAACTTTTCCTGGGCCGACAATGCCGCTGCCTTTGTGCACCAACGTCGCTCGGAGACACTCCGCCCAGAGCTTCGCAGCCAGGCTCAGCAGCTCAAGGTGGAGCAGCCTCCTGAGCCCAAGGAAGAGGAGACTGTTCCAGCGCAGCCTGGTCCAAGTAGCGCTCAAGGTGATGCAAAGCCTGGCGGCACACGAAAGCCTGGTGCCATGCCTAAATGGCTGAAGCTAGGCAAGAAATGAACCCCAAGCCATGAAGGCATTTGGTTGAAATGAAGGGATGACCTGTCTCATTGATGATCATGATTACACTACGAGTGGCATCTATCTTAACGAATATTTTGAATGAGCAAATAGAAATCAAACGCAGGTTCCAAGGTTCAGCCTTCCTCCGTTTCTCATAATTGCGCAGTCAAGACATGCTAGTTTAGCCTCAGGAAGAGTATGCCTGTTTTCTGGGCTGTTGGGCCAATCTTGGAAGTATGGTCAAAGTTGGTCAAAGTAAAGATACGCAGGAACGTTCAAAGCTTCCAAGTTCAAAGCCCTGGAGGATAACTATATTTCAGAACATCCAAGCTTCTGTCTAGTATTACCTTATATTACCTTAGAGTATCATTACTTGGGTGCATTCCAATGTTGTCACGGATTTCAAAGCTACTGAGAACTCCAGTCGCCTCACAACAAAGTGGCGTAGACCCCAAAACTTGGAAGCAACATTTTTCCGTGCCTCGTCGAGGTGGGTAATGTTATGTCCCGAGATCCAACCCATACAGAGCCCATGTTCGGTCTAGGTTGATAAAGAATTCTGTGTTTGCTACAAACCGATCCTCGAAAGTGGTATGCTCTGGCAGCCCTGGGCATCCATGGAACTCACGGACTATATCATATCTACGTAGGGACGGGGCATCTAATGCAACTTGGCTATCATATGTTGCACCATGAATGGTGATTTGGGGCAATGCTGAGAACAAAATGTCAAGCGCAATAGGCAGTAGCCAGTAGCCCATTCATGGATGCAAGTAGATGGTCGGTGTTCGTATATCGAAAGTTGTCTCCAGTTATACGGAGTACGGAGTACCTCGGTATGAATCATGCATCGTAAAATGGAGATATCGGAGGAAATATCATGAACTGGTTGAGAAATTGTTTTCATTATGGTTTCACTAATGGAATCCCATGTTTGCCTTCCCCTTCATGCACACCCAGTGGCCACAAAACCCCCTTTCCGATCCGAGAATCACGCTTTTTGTGCGTCGAGTCGTTAAAACGATGTAAAAACAGGAACGGTTGGAGACATTTAGTGACCAGCAGCCTGGGCGCGGCGAGACTCAGCAATGACCTTCTGCATGTTCTCAACCTTGGCCTTGCCGCGGCCGAAAGTACCGAGCTAAATTTGTTGTTAGTAAATGTCTCGAGTTCGAAGTCTGCTTTGACTGTCTCCGGTCCACAAGTATCACATGGTCCGGGGTTGGATGGTTCGAGATGCGATATTGTGGTTGCATGGAACTACGCAAGTGCAATCGGCCTTTGACGACAGCCTCATGATCGACTTGTGAAGCCCAGACAACCCCATCACGCATATCAAGACCAAATTTCCACCAAACCGATATGATCCTCAGAAAGGAGCCAGCCAATTTAAACCGATTGAAAGGTTGGGTGTAAAAACGTACGCGCTTCTTAGCGAGCTTGCGGGCACGCTTGTCCTGGGCGTTGCGCAGCAACTCAATGATGCGGCGCTCGTAGGGAGCGAGACCGACGACCTCCTGGGCGATTTCGCGGACGAAGGCGGTGCGACGAGAGCTCTTACCCTTGGACCGGCTGATGCGGGTCTTGGGGGTGTTCAGAGCGGTCGTGGGCTGTATCAAAAGCAGTCAGTACATGTTTAGGTCGTGAATACCACAGCCAAAAGTCCACCCCAAGTCTCCCCTGTTCATGTCTCAAATTGGTTTGTTGGTTCATTCAATGTGTGGTCATTTGGTAGTGATGTGTCGAAGTCGAGTATGGGTGTCATGTGTCGAATGTCGAATGTCGAATCCCGAATCGAATTTGGGAAAAAAGTTCCACCCATCTTCAATTTTTCCAAACGTGCTCTTCCTCTTTCCCGTTTGTCGAGATGATTGTGATCCATTTCTTTTTCTCGTTTCTTGTTGTTTTCGCGATGAACCATGGCCCGATTGGCCTTGAATGAACCGATAGACTGAACGGGGAGATCTCGAGGATTCAAAAGGCCCAGTAACATGGGGAAAGAAAGACGAAACGTACACGACCGTGGTTGAGACCGAGGATGAGTCCGGAGCGTTCTTGCACCATCTCGGCGGTTGTTGACTGAAGGGGTTGGCGGAGGTTGTCGAGGAGGAGTGAGTGAGCCGTGTGAAAATCGCCTGTTCTTTTGCCTGGAACCGCAAAATGGGGTCTTGGCGCTGGTTGGTGCGGTAGGCGAGAAAGGCTAGGGCTAGGGCTAGGTTGCATTTCCAATTTAGGACTAGTGGGGACACAATTTGACACCTCAGGCCAGAGCGGATTCCCATGGAAATGTCTTGGCGCTTTGTACTTGACTCTTCAGGGTTCCAAGGTTTTAATTCATATTCAAGTAAGCGGACTAACTGAATAGTTATGCTTGATTCGTATGGGTACATGTATTCGAGTTTGAGATTTTCATAGGCACATGAGTCATTTCGTACATTGCTCGAGTCCCACCATCAAAGTTTGACAGCCAACACTCCATCCAGTGCCTCCTCCCAGCTTTCTCTCAGCTCCCCACAGAACACTTCGAGGGTGGACTCGTCAGTCATGCTGCTCAGCACATCTTGCAAAGGCTTCTCGTATTCATCGGTCGGATCACCTTGGTTGACAAGGTCAATCAAGGTGCTGAGAGTTGCTGTTTCGGCGAGTCCCTGCTTCAGAGCCCGAGTGTTGGAGCGAACAGCTTCAAAGACTTCGGAAACTAGCGTCTGAACTCGCTTCATTTGTTCAGTAGGAAGCTTGGTGGTCTTAATAGCCTTGCGGGAGTCCAGATCCACCACCTTCTGAATAGCTTGGAGAGTCTCCACGAGGGTCCAGATGGTGTGGAAGTATTCCCAAGTCGGCGCGCCTGGAGTAGCTGAAGCGAATCCTATGGCGGTCTCTGAGAGAAGAGTAGACTTCTTATTGTCATCGAGGGCGAGAGTTTCTTTCTTGGATTTGAGCCAATCTTCCATCAGGCCGAGGACACCCTCAATTTGGACGGTAGTGTAGCTCTTGGATCCAGCCATGAAGTGTGCGACCTTCAGCAGTTCCGCATGAACCTTGGCTACATCTTTCTCGGCAACGGTCTGATCTGACTCTGTCTCGGAAAGAGACAGATCACCGATGGCAGGCAACTCGAGGCTTAGGTCGACTGGCTTTTGAAGGCTAATGCTTTTGAGAACACTAAACAGTCGGTCGGTAACCCGGGCTGCTGAGAGCCAAGTTTCCTACATTGTAGTTAGCATCCATCGTACAAATAGTCTCTGGTACGAGGTCTGACCTTAGGAAGCGGGCCTGGGCGTAGGTACTGCTCAAGCGTCGGTTGGTCAAAACGATCAAAGTTCGGGAAGGCATCGTACGTCCGATTGTCGTGGATTGGTGACGCTGTTTGGGCTGCGAGATTGTGAGTATCCATTTCGTCCAGGAATAGGAGTGAAGTGAGTAGTTGACAATTACGTACCGACATCCTCGTGGAAGCTCAAATGCTCTCCCTTTGTAAGTCTTTGCATTCGTCGAACATCAAGAGCCCACATCCTCCGAGAAACGCTGTCTCTGAGTTGATCTCTGAGCGCGACCGTGTCCTCCAAGTTAACGTACGATCCGTCATTGAGTCCCTTGCTCATGTGGTGTCCGACGGTGATAGTGGCGGATCGATAGAAATCAAGAGCTTTAACGAACGCAGCTTGTGGGTCAAAGTCCTTGTAATCCGCGCCTTCGATGGGGGGCCCTTGGTGTGGATGAATCGTGGCAAGACGAGTGAAAAGATTATGGGCAACCGAATCGTACTGGATCTGCTTGATAGACAGCCTGCCAAACATCTTCAAGGCAATTGAACCAGCACCGAGAAGGAGGTAAATACGAATCAAAACCAGGATTGCCCCGGAGTGATGGGGCGACTTGACCAGTAGCTGCTCCAAAAGACCCGCGGCACGGATAAGAGCAGTTTTACTAATCTTGCTTGAGGGTTCTCCAGTTTCGTTGAAGGTGATAAGAGTCATAGCAGCAATGATGCAGAAGTCGTCCACCGGGCGGCTTTCCATTGCGGCAGCATCTCCCTGTTCATCTGTCCCCATTTTCGGAATCTGGGGTGAACATGCATTGTAAAGTTCGATACACTTTTTGACAAGACCTTCAGCGCTGGATTTGGACGAATGCGTTTTTCCAGAGATCTGTGCATGGTAGCGTAGCTTGTATGCATTGATCAACGGAATGACGTTGTCCTTCAATATTCATTAGTTTGCAATCATTCAATCACACAGACTGACACTCACAGGTGTTTCTTGAACACTCTCAACGCAATAATTGGTGATTCGGTCTACCACAGCCGCATCACGGGTCTCCATAATACCTCGCAGATCCATAAAGGCGTGGAGCTTGGATTTATTTGCATCGAAATAGGTATGACAAGCCGAAACCAAGTCGTCTTCCGTCCGTTCGCCTTGTTTGAGGCCGGTCAACATGACATCCATGAGAGCAATGTGCGCATTGCGAGAGGTCGGATCAAATGCAATAAACTTTTCAATGTGCTGCTGGATATCGGAAACTAGCCTGCGGAGTGAAAAGCAACATGTTAGCTGGAACTTCAACAGTCAATCTGCGCACAACAGAATTATGAGAGTACTCACCCTTTTTCTTCGGGCAGGCTGCGCGGTACTGCGATGAGTAAGTTCCAGATCTTCCAGTCATCGCGCTCTTTCAAAGCCTGGCGGCCGTTTTCGTTGTCTGGCACCGTGAGAAGGCTCTTTGAGTAAGCAAGCGCATCTTGCCAGAGACCAGCGCTTCCTAAACAATGGACCTTCTCAAGCATGAAAATCCGGTCGTTGTTGGCGATACGAGAGCCGAGGCCAACGTTTTCACTGTTCAGGATCTGCACAGACTCGGTCCAACGCTCTTGGCACTTGTAGATCCGAAGAAGGAAGAATAACTCCTCGCTGGTTTGGAGAGCTCTTGGCGCGCTGAGCAATTGGGTCTGTGCACATTGATTGTCAGTCATTTCCCAGGTGTTGTTTCGAATTTCCGTCACAGAGGACCTATATAGGGTTTGGGAAATGATCACATACCTGGTCAGAGGGAACATCGGCAGCTGCTTTCGAGATCATCCGATAGGCAAGGGTACCGAAAAGTTTGCGATCCATTTCAGAACTTGTTGGGTCCTGTGATACGAGATGGCACAAAAAGATGGCCCAGAAGTAATACTTCCTCTCCCGCGGAAAGTTCTTCTGGAGACTCATAGCAGCCTAAACGGACCGATCCAATTGTCAGTCATCTGGTGTTTTCTTGACATCCTCATGTCACGCGTCGACTCACCTTCTGGGCTGTCTTCCAGTCAGCAGCCTCGAATCCTAATGAGAACCATCTCAACTGGAGATCCTGATCATGGGGCTTTGCCTTTGCTGCTTTCTCCCAGATGGCACTGCGAAGCTCGGTGTGCTCATTCATCTTCTGCAGTGTCCGGTGGAGTATGTCCAGGGAATCTAGATCTGATATGGCTGGTTCCGCTTTGCACAGCTGTAGGGTTTCTTCAACTCCTCGCTTCTTGTGGGCTTCGTCCGTGTGGCTGAAGAGGATATGCGCCTTCCAGACCTGTTGAGCTTGCGATACATGCGTTAGCGGTTTTCAGAAAGGTTTGATCGGGGCAGCAGGAATCGAGTCAACGAGATCAGTATGACTTGCCTTGAGGAAATGGGTGCTTTCGCCTTTCTTGATTCGCTTCTCGATGAGCTGCAAAGCCTGCTTCATGTTCTGCGAGTCAATGGCATCTTGTACTTGGTTATTGCGGCGTACAAAAACCGCGTCATTTGCGGAGCTCATCTTGACGATATGCTCGATTCGAGCTGGGTAACTTCAGATCCCCAGGATTGGTATGGGGTCAGGTTACCTCGCAAGACACGACAAACACCGAAAGGGTATGAGGTTCTGGAGAAGCTCTGGGTACAACTTCGGTCACTTTTATTTTTGGCGGGGAAGGAAGCACACCGAAAGGCGGTAGGTCCCTCCCCACATCCGGGCAGGTATACTGCCGGCAGGAAACCAAGCTTCGGAGCTCCGCCCACGTGACGTTATCATGCATAACATTAAATTTTATACGGAAGTATTACTTGCTCCGATGAAAGAATTAGGTTTATACTCATTACCCTCGTTACCCCTGAGGTCTTAATTCTGTTTTTGTATACACCAGAGAAATAATCCACATCCCGCAGCCCTATTGACATTTGGCTTGTCCCGACTGGTCAGATGTGATCCTTCGGCGGTTTGTCTGGGCACATTACGACTAATGTTTTGATGTTTGAAATTTATCCCAGCTCAAAAAACAATGTCTAATCAATAGATTTGGTGGACCAAAAGGCTCCAGGGCGTTTGAAGAACATTGCATGCTAATATACAGGTGGGAAATGGGTAGGAACTAGGTATTGAGTAACAAGGATGGTCCTGGGTTAACACAGTTCCAAAGACCAGGCTAAACCTTAGTCTTTATTGGGTACAGAGGTTTTCCTCTGAGTGAGCTGTAGAAGTTGTCAGTGTTTGAAGATGAATGAGACTGTTTGTATTTGCTATAGCGTCATTCACCAGGGTTGGCAAGTAGCAAACGGACCACTCCGAACTCACCCAATTCTTCTTGCAATCACGGTAAGCTCTATGTAGAACAATGGTTAGTCCAGATCTTGACGAAGAATTTGCGGGCTAAATGGTGGCTGTATCTCAGCCACCTTCACAGCGCTTGGATAACGGTGAGGCTCACTGGAAATAGTCGTGACACAGTTCTCGGTCAAAGGCATTTCGCTTCATACATTTTAGACTCCGGTCCGCAAAATCCTGGCACGGATCGTAATACTGGCTCGCATGTTTGCTACAGTCCATATTAGACGATGATATAGGCAAGTCTGGCACGATTTGGTAGATAGGGAACCATCTGCTCGGACTGTTTGACCCGTGGAGCTTTTCCCTGGTGCCCCCATGGATGTCATATTGCATGGGAGACCAGTGAGCGCCAGTGACAGTCACGAGCCGAAAAAAGGCCATCCAGGGGAGCGGAACGCGGGGGAAGTCTCAATCAAGAGGAAATTGATGTTTCAACGTACTGTGTGAACTTCTTCTCTGCTTTCTTCCAGGTCTTGTCGTGGTCGTCTCCTTGTGTAGACTCGTCCGCCATGGCTACTGATTGTGGTGTGTTACCGTCGTGGTGTAGTCACCGAGAATTATTGCGATGATGTGAAGTATGCGTAAGTGGTTGAGGAGCAGATCGGAGGTCAGCTAAAGTTGATTGGAGCAGAGGTCGTTGGAGGAAGAATTGGGGATCCGCAGTCTTGGCGCGGAGATCGTCGCGGGTCGTCCCATCTAGATGCACTATGTTCTAAGCATCTTGTTTCCCAGTAAAGTGTACTGGTAGAACATGTAAAATTCAGGCTGTCGGGTTTAAAATTACATTGGATTATTTTCAGCATATCTTGGAAAGTAAACTAATTCTAGTAACATGCTTGTTGGCTAAAATTACTTGGAACCCTGAGGTTCAAGACATACTGTACCGACCGAATCGTAAGGCGCTATTTTGGGCTCAGATCAGGCACCGAGTTATAATATATGATGCGAGGTCAATCTCCTGCCCAGGTGCCTGTAAGCCCAACAAGGCGCTATCGGAATACCTAGAGATATCTGTTGTAGCGCAAATCAAGCAGGTAACAGCCCTGCGGGTTCTCACGCTCGTATGGCTGACCAAGCTGGAGAACATCATATTGGCTAGATTCCGAAGTTCATAATTTGGTGTCCAAGTAGATACACGATTTTTCTTCTCCCACTCTTTGTTCCTCATGGCAGAAATATATGATGTGAAGGAAGACCAAAAAGTTCATTGAGGACTCGTCATGTCACCATCCAATGTTAGATTGAATTCGAACATTCATCCGGGATATGGAGCCAAGGGTACCTGGCTTGGACTGTAAAAGTCTCGGTATATATATCAGATCGACTCCGTAACCTTGGAAGAGCGTGTTAAATAGCAGCATGGAAAGACATGAAGTATGTATAGAGTAGCGAGCCGTCCAACGCAAGGGTGGGGACGGCAAGCAATTTATATAGATGACGCTGAAGCAGCAAAATAGATTCATATTAGCTAGCGCCCCTACCCCGTACATGTATCATAGCTAGCGGGACTCCGTATATGAACTCAATACATACTAATGAAGAGTCAGATCAAAGTGACGAGTCATTTCCAAGGTTGTTGATGCCCCCGGGGCCTTCGGTGATTATGTGATAGTAGCGCCTGAGGCTGCAAATAACATATTCACCCTAGCTTCCTCACATAAAGAGTTTAGAAGTCCTTGGACTGGTTGGATCTCACTTCATTTCGTGCCCAGAAAGGAGCGCCACCCTACTCAATAACCTGGTTTTGTTGGCATTGTCTTTGGCGCAACTCGTAGGCCTCATTTTGCCTCTCAAATAATTTGCTTCCCGAGACCCCACCCGCATCCTGTCCGAACGCGCGCGCCGTCACTCACAGAAACCTTGAACCCAGTCTGACTGATGAGAAGGCTCATCTTGGCACACCCAACCTTTGAAAAAGCTTCGGACCTCAACCATGGCCTCAAGGTGTACCGCTGAGGCCGAAACATCCGGTGTAAGGCACTTCCCGCGCGTGCTCCAAAGAAAATCCCAAGACTGACGCGTGCTATCTAGCTTGAACACACCCTACAAGGCCACGTCGATGATCTTCGCACCCTGATACAATGTGGTATCTGCATCCGACCCCTCTACGAGCCCTTCACCCTCGCCTGCGGCCACACGTTCTGCTATTCGGTTCGTTCTTACATTGATATGCGCTCTCGATCATATGTGCTGACCATGCCCCGCCAGTGTTTAACATCTTGGTTTGCCGGCGGAAAAACCAAGCGAACATGTCCGGATTGTCGAGCGCCCGTCAAAACACAACCGGCGCCAGCCTACTTGGTCAGTACACCAACAATCTACGACCCGACTCTTTGATCTAACCAAAATGCGTATTTAGGTTCGGACTATGGTGCACATGTTCACAAACCGCGCAGAAATGCTGGACAAAGGAGAAACCACCAAGGAACATCTCAAGAACCAAACGGAAGAAGCAGCCAGATTGGAAGAGGATAAAGCGAACAATCATCCAACCCGTGGTGGTCTGTTTGGTGGCCTTTTCAGACCCAAAGCTGCGGTCCCGCAACCTGTCATCGATGTTGACGATGGAGTCGTTCGATGCCCACACTGCGCGTGGGAGCTCGAAGAAGGGGATACCTGCGCAGGATGCGGCTACGAATATCGAGGGTCGCCCGCGGATTCAGACTCAGACATCAGCGCGGAATCGTATTACGGTGCAGGTGAAAGTGAAATTGAGTCAGAGGATGACGACCAGGGCGAAGAGACCGGTGGCGACCCTTGGCGGACCTTTGTAGGGCATCACCCAGGTCCTGATGATAATGACAGGACGCGCATTCCTATCACACTGGGGCGTCTGCCCAGCGCACAGGATGCTCTGCTTGCACTCGCTGGACGAGGCCCATCCGGTCTCAGAAGACCAAATGATGCACATCTTCATAATCCAGAGTACTTTGCCAACGGTTACGAACATGGCGAGGATGACTACTCAGACGAGGAAGATGAGGGAGAAAATGAATATGATGAGGACGATCCCTTCATTGATGATGATGAATCTGCGGGTCCACCCACAAGCTCTTTCGTCGACCATCATGAGCACGACGTGAGTGGCGAGGCCTATGATTTGGATTCAGAACCTTCCACCGGCACAGCTGTGGATGACGATAACGATGAAGATGAACCTCCTAGCACGGATGGGCTGTTACAGTGGAGAAATGCCAATTCACAGATCGAAGAGGACTCAGACGAGTCAGGAAATGAAGAAGGAGATGTCCAAATTTGGGACGATGACTCCGACGAAGAGGATGTTCAGGTTATGCCTTCTCGTCAACGCCAAATGCCGTCCGCAGCACGGTCTCAGAACTTTCGAGCTCCGAGTGAGGCTTCTTGGCTTAGAGCAAGCGGTACCTCAGCAACGGACGACCTATCCTCGGCAAGGGCCAGGAATAGGCGGCCGATTATTCCTGATTCCGACGAGATCGAAGAATCCGAATCGAATTCTTCGAGCTCGCCACCTCCTCGACCCGCTCGATCAATAGGGCGCACCGGTGGATCGGTTGGAAATGCGATATCCCTCGATGATTCTGATGATGACCAGCCCGTCGGTCCTGTGAGAAGGAACACGCATCGGCGGAACAACCGGTTTTCTCCGTATTGAGATGATTTCTTTCACTGCCATGGCATTGGTGTTATTCTGTCATAGGTCGGTCTCTTCAAAAACTTCTCATCTCTTGATTTTCTGATTTCAGCGCGGCGTTTTGGTGTCAGGTAGACACATAACTTTGGCTTTTTTTTGTGCTTTTTGCTATTTTGATATCCCAAAGAAACCCTCAGCTTTACTCCAGCTGTGCTCCGTCTGCATAGTTCATTCATCATACCTTCCTAATAAAAGTTCGAGAAGACATGCACAATGCGTGACACTATCTTCCTACTGCCTTGGACCATGATTCATGTAGACCAGGTAGAAGCATGATGAGAATGTATACTTATACTGAAAGATGGTAGTAACGTCTTTTTATTCCAAGGTTGCTATCTTCAATGAACGCTTCCGAGGTCTCTGTCTTGAGGTAGCATGTCGACATGAATAAGCTCGACACCGTGGCATTCAAGCTTGCCATTGCAAATTATCAACAACAAGGTAGCCATCCAGTGAGTGGGACTTGAGCTGTGGCCATTTGTGGCTGAATCGAGGCCATGATGCCACTCGTTGGATGAAGTTCACAGCAATATCTCGAGGATAGTGTAAATACCACGAATCCCCCAAACCGAGAGAATTCAGCTCTGGTCGAAATGAATCCAGATCAAAATCATCAAGAGACAGCATCGGGACATCATATTCAGCCTTTGAGATCAGGTTTTGACGACTCGTTCGCACGGAGATCCATTCGTCACATGCACATATACTCCACCACAGCCGTTTTCTCATCTTTGAGCATTGAGATGTCAAAGCCGACCCTGTCGGGTCTCTGTGCAGACTTAGTCGCTGAGCTAACGATAACCCAATCTCCAGCCAGTGTCGACAGTCTTTTTCTTCTGGAAAATCATGCCAGTAAGACATTAGAATAAGGGACTGGACAATGGAAATTCTATCCATGTCCATATCAAAATCAAACAGGAGTCGTGTCCTGTGAAAGAATACTCTGCGAGCACTATCTCGGTCTTGGTACCCGGCTAGGTGGAGATATTGGAGGTCCACGAATGATGCGCCGGCGAACATGACTGCTTGAAATAGAAGGGGACTGATGCAGTGTGTCCCGTCATTCTTTTGGATTCTCCAGAGAAAGTCATTGAGATTTAACATCGGCAGGTGAGGATGAACATAATCGATATAGCTTTTCAGTAAGGCATTTCGTAGGCCTGTATGTGGTATTGTAAACGCACCCTTCTTCAACAAATAGTCGAAGTCGTCTGCGCCGATATGGAGTGGATTCCATTGGATATAGTTGTGATGCATGTGGCCATGTTGGGTTCGGCTTGTGCTTGGTTCGAATGTCATGGCTGGTGGGCTTGATGATGGTGACTGAAGAGTAACTTCGCTTGATTTTGTTTTTTCCAGTTCCCGAGTCCAAGGTCTGTTTGGATCTTTGTCTGCCAGAAGTTTCGGTTTGATGTCTGGTTTTGATGACTGGAGGGAAGTGGATTCTTCGTGATTATTGATGGCCCAGGGAATGGGCATATAAAAGCTCTTGATCTTTCGATTTGCACTTGAATCCACAGAAATATAAGTGAGTGCGAACATACAATGTCGAATCTCGATACTTACACTTTGCGTCTGCCTCTGATCTTGCATTCCACTCCATCAAGTTGGCAGTTTGTACAGGGAAAGCTGCTGCGCAATGCACTGCAACGCACCTTGCGCGACTGGCAGTATGAGCATGCCTTGGAAGCACGTCTTCCGTGCGGAAACCGAGCAATAGCATTTTTCAAGGACATATCTTCCCGAGTTTGTGAAGCGTGTGTAGTCATGATTCCACCTTCACTTTGCCGGTTAAAGACCAAAACCTTGGAACATTGCAAATATTAGATACAACGATCGCAGCAGATCTTATATGCTCTTTAAGCTTACATGACAATATTCATTTCCAAGCCTGGGATTTAGGTCTTAGAAAAGGAGAGACCTTCCACATCGGAAAGCGAACTTGTGCACGGGTAAGCCGTTCCGACGGCGATTAGGCACATCATCGATTTCTTGCCTTCCTGTCTTGAATTGAGTTAGGTGCCTTGCTTTCATACATACTAAAGAGCTGCTTGGAAGGATATAGTTGATTTCAATGCACCGAACCTTGGAAGTAACCCGGTACATATGCAAAAATGGTAGAAATACACAGATCTGACTCCAAATACACCTGACCCCGAGCAACGCTCCCCATTTTATTCTCAATCGGTGACCAGGATCGAGATAAATTATGAACAAGAATTTATACACCAGCCTCCACAGGTTCATTAGTGGTGAATGGAACTTCAAACACGACAGCGCCGTTGCGTCCCCCAGAAGTCGCTCCCTCGTAAAAGGTGTTTTCGAAGCACTTCCAGCGAGCCAATCGGTGCTCTTTGCCAACCGCAGCGACGATGGACACGCCACGGGGCTCGTTCTTGCAAGCCAGCTTGGATTTCGCATCAGCGCCAGGTAGATCGGATTCAGGGCGACGTTCAAAGACGGCAATATCGTTGATAACGCCCTTGATCAAAGGCTCGGGTTCCTTTTGGTCCAAACCCGGGGTACCATCAAGTGCAAGAGTCTGGTTGAGCTGCTGTGAGGGGGTGTCTGGAGTGACATCTCCAACAGAGCCGGCACCAATGGGGCCAAGAGGAATAATGGTCTTCTTATCATCTGAAATGCGCCATGCGCGAACCCAACCGTCCCAGCTTCCACTGAGAACAACGTCGGTACCGGGAAGAGTGGCGAGCGCAGTGATCCAGCGAGGGGTGGGGCGCATGTGACGGGCATTGTGGGCAGCGGTCTCTTCATCGGCTTCGGGGGAGATCACATCCAGAGGGGGAACCGGGTCCACGCCGTGAGCCTGGCGGACGGTGTAGAGGGGCTTCTTCTTGTGGATTGACCAGAGCGAGATAGAGCCGGAGTCTGATCCAGTGACAAAGTGATTCGGAGGAAGAGGAGCAATACAGTCGATATTGTTGTCCTGGTAAGGCGCGCTCTTTGCGGCACCGCCGCGGAACACGAGCTGTGTTTCGTCGACGACCTTCCACAAACGGGCTGTGCGATCCCGAGCACCAACACTGACACATTCATCAATAGTCATAGCAGCAACACCAGTAACATGATCCTGGTGACCGAATAGTGTTTCAACGTAGGCGTGGCCCGCTCCGCTGATGGACCATGTTTTAATTGTACGATCATAGGACCCAGAGAATAATTGTTCTCCGGAGCTCATAGTGGAAATGTGACGTGCGAAAGCCAAACTGCAAACAGAGTCCCTGTGTTGCAAAAAGGTCTTGGATGGTGTCAGAGTTGCTGCATCCCAGATGATGAGTTTGTTGTCCGCTCCACCGGTAGCCACAAACTTCCCAGAAGGAGAGACGGCAATGGAGATAATGGGTCCTGTGTGCCCTTGCTCCTCGTCCGACTCACCAACCTTGCGCAAACCCCGAGCATAACCAACCCGCTTGGGCTTCTTGCGCTGAGGACGCGGAGGGCGCTTGGAAGTGTCCTTATCACCGTTCGTTTCTGTCGAACCTGGTACGATGGGTGTGGCTAATTCCCACTTTGTCAAGGTCTTATCCTTGGACACAGTGTAGACGAATGGTGCGTGAACTGCGATATTGGTGGTTGACTGGGTATCAGAGCGGAAAAACGAGTGTGGTGCAGTAGGAATGGCTAATTTCGAGGCGATTTGACGGAACGTCCGTCCTTTGAATTCATCCACGTCCTTCTTGAGTCGTTCGGCGATCAAGTCTCGATCAATATCCGCGGCATCAAATCCAGCTTCGTCGACCTCTCCTTTGATGTTGTCCAAGTAGCGTTCAGCAAGCTTCAATCTTCGATCCGCGGCGGTTTCGCCTTCTGAGTCGGATCCACTCTCGTCGCCTGACTCGGGTGAGTCAATTCCAGCATCATCATCGAGATCACTGCCGGAAATTGAATCTTCTCTCTCGGTGCGTCGACCAGCATCGGCTTTAGAGTCCCCACCTCGTTTCTTCGATCCTGGGGGTGCAGCGCGGTCGTCTCTCTTCCGCTTGCGCTGGGCGTTTGGTACAGTAAAAAACGACGACATGGCGACCGATTGTCGAACCTGTCGCTTCCTGATTTCTGTTGGAGAGAAATCGGAAGTATGGCGTTCTCAAAGGACTCGGGTTGCGGAGATCAAAACTTCCATCTTTTTTTTTCTGCCAAAAAAAAGCGGTGGCTGACTCAGCTAGCCGATAGCTGACCTGACGGCAGCCGCGCGGTGAGCTTGACGCCTGGAGCTCCTCACTTGACCTCTACTCTCCTTCGTCTTGATTACTTTACTTACTTTGCTCTTTTCTGATTAAATCTCTCCTATACCGCAAACATGTATGTTCATTTTTGATGAAATCCTGTCCGAACATGATCATTGACAGCTGTGAACAGGGAGGTTCTTTTGGGTATCGCCGGCAAGGACTTTGTCATTCTCGCCGCTTCCAAGGCCGCAATGAGAGGCCCGACAGTTCTCAAGGCCGAAGATGATAAGACGAGGCAGTTGAACAAGCACACACTCATGGCTTTCTCCGGAGAGTCTGGAGATACCGGTATGTACGCTGCTCCACCAAGACAAACAAGACACTAACCAGCTACCTTGGCTAGTCCAATTCGCCGAATACATCCAAGCCAACGCCGCGCTCTACAGTATGCGTAACGACACCGAACTCAGCCCCTCTGCGGTCGCCAATTTCGTGCGAGGAGAACTGGCGCGCAGCCTACGATCACGGAGCCCTTACACAGTAAACCTGCTGCTTGGTGGTATAGATCCCGTCAGCGAGAAGCCTCATCTGTACTGGGTCGACTACCTTGCGTCATTGGCGCCCCTCCCATATGCCGCTCATGGCTACGCACAGTATGTTCCATTGCTCTTCGATGCTGGGTAATACCGAGCTCCGGAGACGATCATCGCTGATTCCACTAGATACTACTGTCTTTCCATTCTCGACAAACACCACAACCCCGACATCTCGCTCGAGGAGGGTCTCAAGCTCCTCGGTCTGTGCACAGATGAGCTGAAGCGCCGACTACCCATTGATTACAAGGGCGTAAGTCTATCAATGCGACGCTCAAGTAACTCACGCTAACTCTTTCTTCCATAGGTCCTGGTGAAGGTGGTGACGAAGGATGGCGTGCAAGAGATTCCTTTCGATAACGATAAGATTGTTCGGAGTGCTTAAAGGTCGACATACTACGGCGTTTGTACCGCATCCTATGACGTTTTTATTTGATTCCGAGATAGTCTCCAAACGGTCGGCATGATTCAGGCTGTAACAAGTCGAGTGAAAAGTAGATTCTTGGACAAGCTTAAATCTAGAAAGCAATTTAATATGCCATCACGATCTAGCACTTAATACAAAGCAGGCTGGGGGATAATAGTGGTGTCATAGGTCGATACCTGTTTGTCTTGTTTGCACCCTACGCATTTCGGAAAGTCAAGAACTCCGTGATCGCCTATCTTTCATCGCAACCACCTCATAATGTCGAAAAGACCAGCAGAGCTCCCCTTGGAGCGAGACTTCTCTGAGTCGCCCGCATCCAAAAAAGCGCGTGTCGAGGACGCCAGCGCGGACAGCCTCCCCAATGGCGCAGAGGTCGGCGTTCAAGGAGCTACTGAATCAGAAGCAGAAGAGCTTGGAGAGGTCGAAAAGGATCCCTCAGAGGCTCTAGATATTGACGAGAATGTGTCTGCACTTAGCGCGCCAAAGCGCCAAAGCGCCCCGATCGAAGGATACGGTGACCTGTACCTCGACACGATCAACCGTCAGATTTTGGACTTCGATTTCGAGAAACTATGCTCCGTCAGTTTGTCAAACATCAACGTCTACGCATGTCTCGTCTGCGGCAAATATTTCCAAGGTCGAGGTCCCAAATCGCATGCGTACTATCACGCGCTTGAAGTCGGACACCACGTCTTCATTAACATCGGCACAAAGAAGGTCTATGTCTTACCAGAAGGATACGAGGCACAGAACAAGAGTTTGGACGACATCAAGTATGTGGTTGACCCATACTATACCAAAAATGAGGTGGTCAAGCTGGACAAGGAAGTTCACAACGCGTGGGATCTGTCTGGATCTAGATACAGACCAGGTGAGTCCATAGAAATGAATATTAAGAAAGTCGAAAACTAACTCTCCAATAAACAGGCTTTGTCGGTATGAACAATATCAAAGCTAATGACTACGTGAACGTTGTGGCTCAACTTTTGGCGCATGTCCTGCCAATCCGCAATTTCTTCCTCCTCCAAAACTTCCCTACACCTGGTACACCGGAAATCGTTCTGCGCTTCAGCACGCTAGTACGAAAGCTTTGGAACCCCAAAGCGTTCCGGTCGCATGTATCTCCACACGAGCTGCTCCAGGAGATTGCCGTGCGGTCCTCGAAGCGATTCACACTCACAAATCAAGCCGACCCAGTGGACTTCTTGTCTTGGTTCTTGAACACCCTCCACCTTGCTCTGGGTGGATCTAAGAAGCCCACCCCTAACCCCACAAGTGTTGTGCATGCGGCGTTCCAGGGTCGCGTGCGGATCGAAAGTCAGGCCATCACCGCTCATTCTGATACCCAGAATGCCCGTTTGGTGTTTACCGACTCTGGTACCATCAAAAGTCAGATCACTCCTTTCATGATTCTGACATTGGATCTACCTCCTACCCCACTTTTCCAGTCTATCAACCGAGAGTCTATCATTCCGCAGATTCCCTTGACCACTCTACTGAACAAATACAACGGCTACACGGCTTCCGAGAAATTGGATCATCGCGTGCGACACCGTCTCCTCCATCCTCTCCCCCCTTACCTTTTCTTCCACATTAAGCGTTTCAGCAAGAATCGCTTCGTCTCTGAGCGAAACCCAACAATCGTCACTTTCCCTTCACCACAATCCCTGGACATGTCTCCGTATGTTGAGCCAAACCCGGAAGCCTGGTCACCCGGTGAGCCAATTATGTACGACCTGGTGGCAAACATCATCCTTGACCCAGCTATTGCCGCACCTGGTGGAATGGATGATGCTGCCGACAAGGGCACAAACGCTGCGTCTGGAGCTGGCGGTTCCTCTACCGGTGCCGGTGGTGGCAGTGAGAAGGTGTCTTGGCTTGTGCAACTTCATGACAAAGCCATGTCGGTGGAGAACTCACAGTCAAAGACAACAACATCCACAGGGCAGCAACAACAGCGCAGTCCGGAGTGGCTCGAGATTCAAGATTTGTTTGTCAAGGGCACGGAGACTGAGACTTTGTTCACACGTGAAGGATACCTCATGGTTTGGGAACGACGCAAGACCCCTGGGCAGAAAGGAAAGGGTCGTGCATAGATGGAAACAGATGTACACTTGAGGAGTTGATTTCTAATATTGCCAATGTCTTCTACATACGTTCTCATCAAGAGCAGATCTGATGTATCATTAAAATTATGACGAAATTATGTCACTTCATCCGCTATTACTATGGTAAAGACCAAAACAGTATGACAAGACTACTAGGAAGACCTTGAGACCACCTTGAAGTAAGGTTGACGCCTGGAAACAAAGACCTATACACAGTTCACAGTTTCCCCCAACCGCAGAAATTCCTACCAATTCTCATTGTTGATCCAACCAGGAAACCCCAAATCCCCGCTCTCATCGCAACTTGCATACCTCTCATAAGCACCAGCCGGCAAGTATAGGCACCTATGTCTGACCAGGTTCTACCTCCGAACCAAAGGCCCAGAGGATGAACACCCGCACCCGAGAGAGGAGTGGAGGAAGGATTTGCGATCAACCAAGACTGGGTCAATGATCGAAGGTAAAGAGATTCAATGGGTGCCAGTATGATACCACTGATTGCAGCAGCGAGGTGGGATGCAAGTGAGTCCACTGGGTAGGCCGAAAGAAGAGTAACGCGGTGGGCGTCTGCGGAGGTACTCGTTGATTGCCCAGGCATGAGAGAGGAGGGCAAGGTTGGGTCAACAGGCATCTCAGAACGAGTATCATCATTTTCTGTATTTGCGACGGGATCTGAATCGTTGGGTGGCTCTTCGTCATTTGGCTCTTCAACGCCGTCTGGCAGGATATTTGGAATGATCGCCTCCATGGCTTCTGCCATGGTTGCAAAATGCGGCGAGGCAAAGATTGGTTGGGTCCCTTGAACCGTATTTTGGGAAGTGGTTTCAGGTTCAGTGAGTTCGGTAGCAGCCGTATTGGGTGCCCTAGCAGTGGCATTGGGAGCTCCGTCTGTGTTTACCGTTTGAGGTGAGTTTAGCGCTTGACCAAGAGCTAACCTCATTATCTCACTATGAGCTGCCCTGCGTCTCTGCGAATCTTGTTGGGCGGCGGCCACGCTCAAAGCCTGGCTCATAGCCTGGACAACCTGAGCCATGGTCTCATCGTCCATAGGAACCCTGGCTTGCTGGGGTTGGGAGGGAGCATCACTTGTCAACGCATTTCCAGCTGCCTGGGTATGATCAGAGGTTTCAATTTGAGGGTTGCGGCTGCGATTCCCCAGAAGCTCAAGCTGCATTGTGACAAGGTCGGAGTTCTGGTGAATGAGTGATGCCCGAACGCGAGGTGAAGTAGGAGGAGATGTTTCCGGAGAAGACGGGCGAGAGAAGAGAGTGCTGGATCGTGAGTTCTGTCGGTGTCTAACAGAAACCTCATCACTTTGCGATTCACTTGTCTGGTTATGCGGGTTTGACGTGGTTGATAGACCGTTCGCTCGCCCAGCTGTTGCCGTTTCAGAGAAATAATCATTGCTTATTTCCCCCGGTGATTGAGACATGCGGTTTTCGTTCGTGAGCACTTGATTCAATAGAATATCAGGGGTTTCCTGGTCCTGCGATTGGGATCCAGTTGGCTGTTGGGTTGATGGTGCGAGTGCTGCAGCTTGGGCGTCACTTGGCCCGTCTGCGTGCGAATCATGTCGCAGCATTTCAAAAGAGTTCCGCAGAGACTCAATCCTTTCGTCCCTAAAGAACTGCTGGTCTTGCTGATCGGATGACTTGCTTGATATCAGCCCAAACAATGAAGACACCCAACGTCGGAACACCCCTAGTTCACACTTGATATCTTCGAAAAGTGTGAGCTTAGAGCGGTGCAATTCCTCGTCAGACCTACGCCCCAGACTCGGAACCACCCATTCGATCAGGTTTTCTTCGTAGGCCACTCTGACAGAAAGTTCATCTGGGAGACTTGGCTTCGGGAGACGTCTACGTATCAGCCGATATATACGCTCTTCGAGCTGTGGTCGCAAGTAATATCCATATAGAAAGACCAAAACACTGGGAGACGTCAAAAATCCGACGGCTGATATGCCCAAGGATTGGATAGAGAGATCGGCAGGCAATGTAGGCAGCTGCAGCAGAGATTGCGTGCCGAATGGAAGTAGGAGCTTGAGTCCAGGAATGGAATATGGGGACACGAGGGAGAGAGACTGGAGTGTGGAGTACATATAAAACTCCACAGAAAGCATGAGCACCGAGTGTCTCGCTCTGAGTTTGAGATTAGCATGTGTTTAGGTTTGTGGGGTATCAATTCTCACAATGTGTAGATTAGCCCAAAAAGAGATCGCACCGCCCGTGACTCGCCGGTCAGATGCTGGGCATAGTCTCGAAGAGAGACAAAGATACGTTTCAGTGGACCTTCGCGAGCTATAGCCAATCCACTTGACATCGCCCATGCTGGAATCCCTGCGAAATAGAAGTTGAGAATCCCTGATGAGTCTCGTTCCGATTGAATAACACTCATCAATGCAGAATGCGCATAGTACTTGTAGGTCTATTTTTGCGGTGTCAGTCCGATCAAGATCGAGAATTGTTCAAATCCAATTACCTGAACACGACCAGTGAGTGATGAAGTCCACCAAGTGCCAAAGAAAATGAAAAGCTGATCAAGAGTGGTTATCACCAAGCCAAAGTCATTTTCACTGGCGATCTGGTTGAGCTTTTGCTGTTCATTGGGGGTACCAGCATTTCGGTCTTCTCTGCTAACGACAATTCCCATTGTTGAGAGAATGTCATTTTTGGCTCTTCGAAGAGCTTTCCCCATCGTTCTAGATTCGGTATTGACAGGATGGCCTCGCGCATCATACTCCTGCATGTAATTGTCTGCATGAACTTCGGAGACCCGTCTGACGGGGGCTGAAGGGTCCACTGTTTCATTGTCTGGAACCTCATATGGCGACCGGCCCTGGATTAAGTCAATACCATAGTTTGCGAGTCCAGAGAAGACGGTGCAGTCATGTTGGGTCTTATGTATTCCAATATAAAGTGATTGTGGATGTGGGGCAAAGTGGAAGCTCTTTGATCTCGATCGATCTTTGGGGTAATTTGGGGCAAACACAAATTCAGTATTGTGACTCTTCGGTCCAACAATAATAGAATCAAGCAAGTAGAAGGTGTATTCACAGATGGTGGCCTTACCAAAGCGAGCCGGTTCAAATAAGCTTGTCGTCCCATATCTCAAGAGCACTGAGCCACTATCGCGGCCACATCACCATCAAGTCGATCAACGATAGGAAGCCTAGAGAAGCGCATCAATCGAGCGAAGGTCAACAAAAGATCAGCGAGAGAGATGAAACAGTCGCAGGTGGCAGTATCGCGGCTACAGCTGGGGCCTGAGGCAGACACCCTATCTTATCGCCAAACAAACAGTGCAAACACCAAAAAAAGTTGCCCGCTCGAGCTACCGTTTTTTTGCGACTCGATTATACACGGCTCTTCGACTGGCTAATGGCGTGCTGAATTTCTTTTTTTCACGCTGATATATCAAAGAGTCATGTCGAAAGCTATTGTTAAAACGACCTTCGAGGCGTCCCGTACGCTCCGTCCCATTTACACCGGTGGCAGCACGGCACTCGATGCCAGTGGCCGTATCTTGCTGAGCTGCGTGGGCGAAGATGCGTTGATCGTCGATTTGGAGACTGGTAACCAGCTTACTAGTCTTGAAGGAGTGAGTACATCTTTGTCGGATTAGTTTCGTCAATTGCAAAGCGCTAATCGCATGAGCCCTACAGGATGGAGAAATTGTCACTGGTCTAGCGAGTAAGTATTGGATGGCGATGCTCTATGATCGAGCGCTAACAAGTTTTCAGTCACACCTTCTGCCACACATGCCATTGTTTGCTCGCGCTCGATGTCTATGCGCATCTACTCCCTCACAACTTTCGACGAATCATCGCAAACCATTGAAGCAAAGCTTCTCCGCACTCTCAAACCTCACACAGCACCAGTTGTAACCATCTCGGTGGATCCCACTGGTACACTGCTTGCCACTGGTGGTGCCGATGGCTCCATCAAGGTTTGGGACATTCGAGGTGGCTTTGTCACCCACACCTTCCATGGTCATGGTGGTGTTGTTTCAGCCCTTTGCTTTTTCGAAGTTCCTACCGCCGACGGCGAGAGCAAGCGCTCGAAGCGCAAAGCTGCAGGTGATGAGGATGAGGAATCCACCTCCGCTGGTTCTACTGCAGGATTCCGCCTAGCCTCCGGTAGCGAGGATGGCAAGTTGCGTGTGTGGGACCTTCATAAGCGGAAGTCAATCGCATCGCTCGAGTCACATGTATCCCTCGTTCGAAGCTTGTCGTTCTCACCGTCAGAGAACGCACTGATCTCAGCTAGCAGAGATAAGACGGTGATTGTTTGGGATGCGCGCACTTGGAAGACTCGTCGCATCATCCCTGTTTTAGAGAGTGTGGAAGCCGCAGCTTTCATTGCGGACACTCCGCTGTGTGTTATCGGTGGAGAGAACGGCAAGCTGCGAGTGTGGGATTGCAACCGCGGAAGTGAGGTCACAGAAGAGCAAGAAGCCGGTGAAGAGTATGAAAGTGTTGTCGCCATCCAATACTCCGCTGGACTATCCTTCGTCCTTACTGTCCACGCAGATCAGACTTTGCGGGTTCACTCACTGGAGGCCCTATCAGAATACAAGCCAGGGTCTAGCTTGGAGCCACTTACAGTCGTTCGCCGCATCTCTGGCAATGACGATGAAATCATTGATCTTGCATATGTTGGAGCTGATCGATCTATGATCGCATTGGCCACAAACACCGAGACCATTCGAGTAGTCTCATGTGCCCCGTCTGAAGATCGACCTTCGGATCAAGGCGAGGAGTACTTTGGTGCCGATGTCACCCATCTGGAGGGCCACGACGATATCATTATCTGTTTGGACGTTGACTGGTCAGGACACTGGCTTGCAACCGGTGCCAAGGACAACACAGCCCGTCTCTGGCGCCTTGACCCCAAGACATCTTCTTATACGTGCTTTGCTGTCTTCACGGGACACGCCGAGTCTTTGGGAGCAATTGCTCTTCCCCGTGCGCCCCCAGCTGTTGGTAGCGCCGCTTATAACGACCCCGTGAACCACCCCCCCTCATTCTTGATCACCGGTTCTCAAGATCGCACCATCAAGCGATGGGATACCAGCAAGCTTGCTCCCTTGAAGGGAGAAAAGCACCACTCCCCCAAGGCGATTTACACTCGCAAAGCCCACGAGAAGGATATCAACGCCATTGATGTCGACTCTACATCCGAATTGTTCGCCTCCGCGTCACAAGATCGCACCGTGAAGATCTGGGCCGCCGACGAAGGTACAGCAGTGGGTGTTTTGCGCGGACACAAGCGAGGCGTTTGGTCTGTGCGCTTTGCTCCTCAAGGCACTCCGATCATCAACTCGGATTCCCGCACAAGCACAAGCCGTGGCCTGGCAGTCACAGGCTCGGGTGACAAGACCGTCAAGCTCTGGAGCTTGTCAGACTACAGCTGTCTTCTTACTTTCGAGGGCCACACAAACAGCGTTCTCAAAGTCCTCTGGCTGCCCCCTCCCCAGGTCTCTAACAGAGAGGATGAGGATGAGGATGAAGAGGCAGCTGCGGCACGCAAGAACGAGGCCATCCAGGCTCGCCCTCTTGTCGCCTCCGCCGCCGCGGACGGTCTTGTTAAGATCTGGTCTCCCTACACAGGCGAGCTCGAAACAACTCTAGATAACCACATCGACCGAGTCTGGGCTCTCGCCAGCCCAACACCATCCGGCTCACGTTCAGACGTGAAGCAGACCTCTCAAACTCCCTACGCCATCGCCTCCGGCTCCGCCGATGCTACTGTGACTTTCTGGACCGATACCACATCGGCCACCTACACCGCCGCTGTCAATGCCAACTCTGCTCGCGTCGAGCAAGACCAAGAATTGCAGAACTACATTCGTGCCGGTGCCTACCGTGAAGCCATCACTCTGGCGCTTCAGCTCAACCACCCTGGCAGACTCCTCTCCCTCTTCACGACCGCCATCAACGCCGCGGATGACCCCACGTCCTCAGCTGAGGACCGCGAACGTGCCGCTGCCAGTCTCTCTGGCAACCCTGACATCGATGAGGTCCTGCAGAACTTGGACCCAGCGAATCTGCGCACTCTTCTGCTCCGTCTTCGTGACTGGAACACCAACGCCCGCACATCCCGCGTCTCGCAGCGCATCCTCTATGCCTTGTTCCGCTCCTACCCTGCATCCACCTTCGTGGAGCTGGCGACACAGTCCGTTCGTGGAAAGAATGGTCGTGCCGCTGCCGGTTTGAAAGACATTCTGCAGGCGCTGGCTGCGTACACAGAGAGACACTACCGTCGGGTCGAAGAGCTGGTGGATGACAGCTATCTGGTGGAGTGGGTTCTCGGTGAGATGGATGGTGGTGTTGGACTTGGTGGACTTCGTGATCTGACTGTAGGTGATGTTGAGGAAGAGCACGAGAAGGATGTTATCATGTTAGAAGCATAATCTGGTTCTAGTTTTGTCTGTTTGTACATTGAATTAGGCGCTTTCGTTCTTGGAGTACCATGGGTGGGAAGGATAAAAGCCATTCTTCTTTTATAGAATTCAACAGTGTATCATGAGTATTTTCTGCTTTTATGATCCGGGGTATCTTGATATTGAAACAGGTTTATAGAAGAAAAGCTGGATGGGATGACTGCAGCCAGCCCCAAGACAGCATTTCCATGTACAAATTGATGCGGTAGCCACCGCTCACGTTAAGTTTCTATTCTAATCATCTCGTCGGCTGCGGCGAGAGTCGCGGTCGCGGTCTCGGTCGCGGTCATTCCGAGATGAGTGGGACGAGTGCCTGGAACTGCTGTACCTTTCATCCCGCGATCGGTGACTGCGATCACGCTCTCGATCCCCATCTCTTCTCCTGTCCCTGTCGTCGTCACGGTCTCGGCGACGATCCCGGTCGTCTCGGTCCCGATAGGGTCGATCATCTCTTCTGCTCCTATCGTCATCATACCGAGAAGACCGACTTGAGGAATGGCGGCCGGCAGATCGACTGCGGTCACGACGCGAAGAGCTAGTGTGTCGGCGAGAGCGATCCTCGTCATAGTCGCGTTTGCGGTACTCTCGGTCTTTGTCTCGGCCGCTCTTTTCAAGGTTGCGATCTCTTCGCTCGCGCCAGTCATCCTCTTGGGCGGGCTTTGACTTGGCCTCTTTTTGTAAGGTAGCGAGTTCCTCTTCGGTGAGGTGCTCGCCAGTCTTTTTGTTGCGCATTGTGACGGGCATGTAAACACCCTCAGCCTTGTCGTTTTCCTCACCCTGTTTCCGTGATGCCTTGCGCATAGCCGATTTTCCCCAAGCTCCAAGCTCAGTCTCGGCACCTTTGCCACCAGATGAATCTTTTGCGCCAATGCCGAGGAATCCAGGTCGTCGTTCTGGAACGCGAGGCTTGTTGGCCTTCTCGGCCGCTGCAGCACCGCCATAGTTGCCGCGCCCGATAGACTGCCCATCCTTCCAACCCATTCCGCGTAGTAGTGCGGCACCAAAATCTTCAACAGGGATGGCGTTGTAGGCGTCCAGGGTGGCTGACTCAGGGCGCGTTGCGATATCTGCGCGGAAGGAACCAGTTTCGGAGTAGTGAGCTGAAGCTTCCTGGTCATCATCCTCGTCTTTGGCGGCAGCCTCGATGACGAGATCCGATCTTCGCTCAACCTCACCCTTACTCTCGCTGATAAGTGCCTGCATGGCGATCTGATCATCGGTAAGAGGTTTGGTCTCGACTGGTGTGGCATCGGGCATGGGTTGATCTTCATTCGCGGCTTCGCCATTCTGCGTCTCTGCTGCTGCTCCTTCCTTCGCAAAGCTCAGCCCAAATGCCATACTCGGCGCGTCTGTCTCCACTGTAGGCCCTCCGGGCGCTTGGCCATTCTTCTCGGCCTCTTGCATAGCTTGCACCTCGCGGGGGAGGAGATTTTTCTTTCCCTTTTTCGTGTTTACCCCTGCCCGGTCGCGCCAGTTGTTTTTGCTTGTAACAGGAATGATCAATGGTTTTTCGGTATCTTCAACTGCTTTTCCCTCCGCGGTGATAGCGCCACCGGTATGAGTGTCGAATCCCGAGACTTCCTCGTGAGCCGGCGGGGCTTCATCTTCGTCGGAGTCATCATCGTTGCCGAGTTGGTGCGGCCGTCTAGGAAGGGTCCGGCCGTTTGCTGGGCCAGTAGGACGGCCGCGATTTGAGGATTGGATGTTGAAAGCCGTCTTTTTTAGGACCGTTTCGATTGGAGAGCGACAGAGAGAAGGGCTTAGAGGGGAGGTTGCTCAACCTCTTTCTTCTCGTGTGCCGACATTGCGACAGCTTATCTGATCATGCGACTGGAGTGTACAGCGAAGAAAAGCAAGTTGAGAGCGATATCTCGAGAGCTTGAGGCGGGGCGGTGGCAAAATTAAGAAGCGCGCGTTTATACATCCACGCATTTTATTTGGAAAAAGCACAAACTGCAAACTGGACTTTTATCTCTTAATTTCAAAATCTTCAGTGAATGGATTGAAATTATAGAAAGGGATTGTGTCAATGAAACTTTGGCTAATTCGACTGAACTTCATTGGCGCACTTCAAGCCGCGTGCCTAGTAAAGCAGGGAGCAGTGATGGTGCATTTTGAGCACCTGGGCACCCGGGTCTTCTCAGACAATGAGGTCACAGCCCTGGAGAATCTAGTATAGAAGCCATCTGGGCATATACGAAGAATGAGGAGACACATAAAGCTCAGCTCGAATAGGTGGGAAGAAAACAGAACAGCCCTTGGTTTAATTCATGAACTGCTTTTTCCTGGCATGCATCCATCGAATATCTCCCCTCCTGGGTGTTTTCAAAAAATTGAAGGTGGCACCCGTTAGGACGAGTGTTTTTCATCACCGAAGTATAGCCCTCCATTGTCGATCGCACTGCTTCCAGTTGGAAACGACAACCAGAAACCAACTTGCTATTCTAATTTGGCATGCCGACACGCTCATAGCAGCCCAGAGTTGGTTAGGGGCCTCGGTATTTATGGGTAGATCGTCGGACACAAGTGCTTCGGTGATGCTGTTCCAGACCGATGACCGGGTTCGAACAGTGAACGACAATGCATGGAGGCCAGAACAGATGATGATGACTTTCGACGCTCTTGTGTTGCCGTATGAAATAAAGCAGCCATCAATCCTCGGTTCAGAAATTAGTATGTTTTGAAGACTCGAATTTGCCATGTTCACTCAATGTTGAAGCAAGAGTATTCTTCTCAGTGAGACAGACTCAGGCTGCATCCAGCTAGTGTGTATGATAACTATAACGAGCACATTCCGGAACTGAGCGTTTCAATTGCTGCGAGTAATATTGCCTGTGCCACAAGGTCTGAAGCTCATGCTTTGAATGTGAGCTATGTTGAGACCTCGATGTAGATAGAGTGATGTAGTACACAGTTTAGATATGGCGGGGTGACCCGCAAAAACTGTCGGGTTGTCTTTCCCTTTTGTATTTGGCTGCAAACCTTCGCTCCTTTTTATTCTCGTTTCTCGTCACCTTTCAATTCTTTCTATCAACATGGCAGACATGTCTACAAGCTTGAAGCCAAAGGTTCAAGTCCTGCTCTCTGTGGATTTCGACGCCGTATCAGGCTTTCTAGGGACGGGTGCTTCAGCCACCACCAATCTAGCTGATTATAGCAGCGGTTTCTTTGCCGCCCAAGTGGGAGTGCCTCGTCTATTACGACTGTTCAAAAAACATGGAATCTCATCATCGGTGACTTGGTTTGTACCCGGACATTCAATGGAATCATTCCCAGAAGAGACCAAGGCCATTGTCAATTCGGGTGCGGAGATCGGTTGCCATGGATATGCACACGAGGGGTCAAGTCAAATGACAGAGTCTCAAGAGAGAGAAGTGATTGCCAAATGCGTGCAACTGGCAACCGACTTGACAGGAGAAAAACCCCGTGGTTGGAGAGCTCCGCTATATCAATTGCGCACCCACACAATTCAAGTTTTGGAAGAATACGGGTTCTTATACGGTAAATCACTTTTTCTTGACCCCTCCTGCTATACCTAGTATCTAAAGTTATGAATAGATTCCTCCCTCACTCACCACGACTCGTCATTGTACTTTGTGCCTCGCATGTCTGAGCCCACACCCATTGATTTCTCGCCTTCCAACTCTGCCTCCACTTGGATGAAGCCTTTGAGTCTCCCTGCTCCTAGGACCTCTCAAACTCTAGTGGAAATCCCTTGCAATTGGTATATGGAGGACATGACGCCGATGCAATTCCTCCCAGCTGCAGAGAATTCGCATGGGTTCGTCAGTCCAGTGACAATTGAACAAAATTGGAAGTCTCGATTCGAATTCCTTTATAGTGAAGCTCTTGAGAAGTCCATCGAGGAGGGCTGTGAACAAGGTTTTGTCTTCCCTTTGGTGCTACACCCAGACACCAGTGGAATGGCCCATGTGGTGGGTATGATTGACAGAGTGATCTCTTGGCTCAAGCAGCAGGGAGAAGGAGTCGAATTTGTTACCTTTGGAAATTGTGCAGCAGACTGGAAGAAAAAGCAGGCTTGAACTAAGATTACAAATGTGACAATATAACAATGAAATAGCGTGCTCTATAAAGCCAATGTGTCTGTGACAAGACTTAGAGACTGAGACTGAGACTAGAGATTTTTACTAGTCAGATACATTATATATCGCCTTGATGTGTAAATAGCACAAAAATTCTACCAGCTTTGTAATGACCTGGAGCAACGGCTAATATGCATAGCGGACAGCTCCAGGGCTTTTGCGGGGTGCCGATAGACCCTTATCGCCACTTGCGGGGACCAGTTTTTTTTTTTGCTTCTTCAACTCCTTCAACGTCTCCAGATTCTGTCTATCGCATGATCTAATCATGTGAAATAGATAGGATGCCGCGAAGAAAAGCCGCAGACCGGACGGGTCCCATCAAGACCCGATCTCGCGATGGTTGCAAAGAATGCCGCACGAGCCGTGTCCGATGTGACACTAAAAAGCCCGTTTGCACACGCTGCTGGGAGAAAGGCCTACCATGCACCAAAAACTTGGTGTTGAAATGGGAATCTGAATTTGCTAGCCGTGGAATAGCATTTGGGCGAGCTGGTGTCTGGAGCAAGGCAGGGGGGGAATCAGCCCACGCCTGGTTCCCTTTCTTCAAAGGAAGTGCATGAGTGGCGCCCGCTGCCGACGATCAGCCCCTGGGGATTTATCAATAGCAGTGTCTCGACCTTCGAACATCCCGATGAAGTGGATGTGGATTTCAATGAACTTAACGAATTGATCTCCGTGGCTCAAAGTTCCAAAGAAAACACCGACCAACTATGGTCATGGCTGCAACATTTCCCACAACTTGCCGAAATCACTGCGAACTACAACCTCAATCTTCCACCCTCCCTCGCACTGTTCCCTGATATTTCTCAATCGGGGCATGGAGAGTTATTTGATTATTATCTCCAGCAAGTCTGCCCTCGTACCGCCGCCAGCTCCACATTGTCGTCACCATTTGCATCGGTGATCTTGCCCTTTTGCCTATCGGCTTCTCCTACCCTTTTCAAGGCGATTCAAGCATTGGGGGCATGTCATTGGTCAAGACTCAACCCAGGCTATGGGCCCATTGGCCTACGCTATAAATCGGAGGCCTTGAGAGACCTTCGCCAGCGTCTTTCATCCGAGGGGACTTTGACATGCTCTATGGATCCCGAGGTACTCGTGATCATGATCATGCTATGTCTTTATGAGATAGTAGACAAGTGCGATACACAATGGACCATTCATCTCAAAGGCGCTAATGATTTGATCCGACTTCGGAGAAAACAACAGACTGCTCTGTCTAAATCCACAGAGCCGTCTGATCCCGTCACGGGTTTTGCAGAACAATTTTTCGCATTCCAGGATGTTATGGGACGCACCGCCTGTGCCAAAGAGGTTCTGTTCGGCACCGATTATTGGAAGCCCGAGGAGCGCAGCATCGATCTTTGGATGGGATGTAGCCCAGAATTGGTCTCAATCTTGGCCAAAATCACAGACATGAGCCGAACAAGACGGCAATATACGTCCGAGGAGGATAAATCATCCTATTTCCTGCGCGCCGCCTCTCTCGAACGACAACTAGAAGGCTTGGTTCAAGAGGTGGGAGAGGGTGAGGACGAGGTCCTTGCAATTGTTGCGGATGCCAAACGTCTAGCCGCAATGCTCTATCTGCACTGTGCTCTCTATGGCTCCGATCCAACCACACCTTTGGTGAAGAGCTACGTGCGCCAGATCCTACACCTGATCTTAAATCTTCTTGATCGCGGTTCGACTGCCAATGTGACATGGCCAGTCTTTGTGGCATCTGTAGAGCTTGATCCATCTGATGATGAACTCAACCCAGACTCAGAGACCGATTCAGGCTCTGGACGAGCGATTGTGTTGCGCTCTTTGGCAACGATGGCTGATTCAACAATCTCCAACATTGCTAGAACACGTGCTGTCATCACCAAACTATGGCAGACACGCGATTCCGATCTAATCAAGGGAGCCACTCCCCAAAATGACTGCAATGACTGGGAATGGCATGTGGTACCTATCAGCAACGCCATGAGCTTGGCGTGACATGTATTCTGAACACAGGCTTAAAGCCGATGTATGATAAATTAACGAGAATTTTAAGTCGAATTGACTACCTCTGGCGCATCAAGTAACAATATATATCCAAGAACAGAATAGTAACTACCTTGTAAAGATGAACTGAACGCCCTGGGGCCGAGGTCTTATGTACACGTCCGGATCTGGTTAGCGTATCATCTGATCTCGTTAACCGCTCAGTGCCAGCGACCTGCATTGCAATGTATTTCTCCCAATATTTTGAATCGAGCGGTTCATTACCAGCAAGTACATCTTGTGGCCTTGGGTGGACCTCGAATTTATAAACAGGCCCAAAATCTTGAGATTGGCGTCATTGAACGATGCCCATCAACTTGCGCGCTCTATATCGCTGATTCAGATCAGAGTGACTTAATGGCTGAGGTACGTCCTTCAGCGCCCGGGCGCAGTATATCAGCCCACGCGTTTGAAAGCAAACTCAGCCAGCAATTGTCGCAACCCCATTTTCCAGAACTGGAACAACATGAATCGTCGCGCTCACCACGCTCGTCCAAATCGCGTTCACTCTCTGATGCATCCAAACCTACATCTCTAGCGCAACCATCTACAGGTGATTTAAGTCGACCAGCAAGCAAAGACGAGAATGCGATTCCTGCCCTTCCCGCGACTCCTCGACGATCAAGCCTGCCTCATTCAAACTTATCGCTGAACTTGCCTTCCAAACCCACCGTGTCGCCATCTCTCACCAACCGTGCTCCTCTTTCTCCTAAACTCGACCCATCCACTACCTACGGATCACCGGGATCTGTTCTGCCCCGTCGATCCCGGGGTCTCGATTTCTCCCGCGCATGCACAAACCTTCACCATTCCACCCTCGCTGAGTCCTCCCCGGATTCATCTCCTACCGTTGGAGGGCGGGGCATGGCTATACCGCAGCGACACGGATCGCCGGGTGCGACTTCCAACCCGCCGTTCTCGACATCAGGACCGGTTGAACGTACCGCCATCTCAAGCTCCATGTCGAGTGTGAATATGATGGAATCAGACACGAGCAGTAGCGAGGATGAAGACGAGACCATGGGTGATCGCGACGACATAATGATTAATACACCACAGCCGACGCGCATGCATGGTCCGAGTCCCTTTGCGGGCACTATGCAAAGCCCAGGTAACGAGTGGATGGGTGGCTATTCGCAGGCGGCTGCCAGCTTGATGAGTTTCCAGCGCGCGCGTTTCCGCAAAGGTCGCAGTCGCCATAGTTCCAGCAGTGCGAGTGGGAATAGCTCCAAGCCCAGCCCTACCCCTCACTCACCACCCATCATGAAAAGCGTTGAACATCCCTCGGCTGGATATTTCGCGCCGCGGCCAAACGTGAATGCACGCAGAGAGAGCCTCAGCTTCGGCACCCGCGACTTACGTCTATCTGATATGAGTGACGATGGTGAGAGCCGCAATACGCGGAGTGGAAGCCCAGTTCCCAAACAGAACTCAGAAAGCGGCGGTGGGCCATGGGGAGTCATTCGTCGTGCAGTGACCCGACGTGGAAGCCTACTTGTAAGATTCTATATCTACCCTGTTTTTAAGACCTACGCTGACTCTGACGACAGCCCAAAACCAAAACATTTGCGCGAATTCGCGCTGCCCTCATGGAGGAGGGCGCCCCAGTCGATAGTGATATGAAACGTGAGGCAGAAGTCGTCCGGCAGGTCCGCGACACTGAGCCCGAGCCTACTCCTGCGTTGGGCGAATTCCCCTCTCTACAACCATCCACCTCATACGATTCCATGGCACCTGATGAGACGGCAGCCAAGGCCGGGCTGGAAACCCCATCGAAAGGCAGTTTCAACAAGCAAGCAAGTCGTAATTCGGGCGGCGTTGAGTTTTGGAACTCATTCGATGGGCGATACCGCACTCCACCACCTGCACGACAGGGTGGCCCTTCTTCAGTGGCCGATGATGACATATCTATGGATATGACACCCTCTACAACCATCGGTTCAGTGACAGCAGATTCCTTCAAGCCCCGCTCTCGCTCGTCAACCCCCCATGCTCCCGGTATTTCCAGTATTGGGGAGATTTGTCGGAAGCGACGTCGCGATGATGACTTTGACCCGAATCTCTTGAAGCGCCGGGCCGTTTCACCTAGTGTGAGCGCTCAGAGCAGCCCAGTCATGACACATTCCCACCACGTGAGTGATACGGGGCCCAATATCTGGGGTCCGCCTCCAAAGCCGGGTCTTGGTGCACCGTTCTCAGAGCGATCCAGTGCCGATTCTGGCCCTCGGACCACTCCCCATGGAGGTACGAAACGTGTCGGTCTGCAGGGAATGACCGAAGCCAGCGATGGATTTATGAATATGAGTATTGACTGAACTTCTGATCCGATTTATTTTCTTTATTATTGTCATTGGCGGTTGTTTTTCGGAGTGTTCAAGCATGGTGTTGGGGACCACTTTCTTTTTATGCGAAATTAAGATACATTGAGAATATTCAATATTTCAATTCGATCATGACCATACTCCTTATACTTCGAGCACTGTTTACCCCGTGTGGTGTAGATCCGTATTCCACGTGCTTATCGCTCTCCGCCTCCGCGAGAGCTTCTTGTCTCCGAAACCCCCTCCCCTCACAATAAGTTACTAGGGAATTCCAATTGCAGTCACTGCTATCTGTGAAAACCACCTCTGTGACAAAATGACTTCCACTATTGAGTTGGCCTCATCCTTCATCGAGGGTGCCCCGCCCGGAGAGGTATGTCAACAACCTGTGTTCCCCGGCCCTGCAGCTCAAGCCACAATAGCTAACATACTCTGTTCCAGCTTGCAGATGTCGTCTCCGGTAACTTGCCCATTTCCTCCGCTGCCTAGCCCAACTCCTCCAACCCCGACTCCCGCGTCCGCATACTCATACTGATCCCCGCCGTTCGATAGATGTGCAGGCCCTTACCTCCGAGGGTGAGGACATTGTTCCCTCTCTGGTCCCCGCATTCAAACGATACAACGAGTCCCAGCTTGCAACAGTAAAGCTGCCAGGGTCAAGCGAAGAGGTGGGGTGAACTATTGACTGTTGCGCGGATGTCGCTGACAACGCTTCTGGACAGGTCATCGTCAGTGAATTTAACGCGCTCGAGGATAATCGCTATTTCGACCCAGAGAGCCAGACTTCTTTTGAGGTCGATCATACCACACAGGTAGGCTTTCGACCCAATCGGTTGTTCGGACCCGCGGGGCTGACTCGTGATAATAGACTGCCTCTGGGGCACAATCATACCACTTGGAATCGGAGAATGCGGACTTAATGTGCGAAATTTTTGGTTTGGTTATTGTGACGCTCTGCTGACTAGAATAGTAAATCGCTACTCAAGTCGTTCGGGGCTCATGCCCGTGAACACTACCCCAGCAGCAGTTACGGCGTCTATCCTATCGAGAACGACTCCGCCGTCGCTATTCTCTTGGTCGCCAACCGATACTCCCCTAACAACTTCTGGTGAGCGATGAACTTGATCTTGGTAATCAAGTGAAACCGAGCTAATGATGCCATAGGAACGGTCGCTTCCGCGCAATTTACCAGGTCCCCGTCTCCTCCCCCTCCACCTTGACCGGCAAGATCCAGGTCGACGTGCACTACTACGAGGATGGCAATGTGGCACTCAACACTAACAAGCCCGTCAGCGTCAACCTCCCCTCCGTGTCTGCCGAGTCGATTGTTTCCAAGATTGCGGCTGCTGAGCGCGATTACCAGGAGGCTCTGAACCGGGCGTTCGTGCAGACTGCCGAGGGTTCGTTCAAGGGTCTTCGCAGACAGCTTCCCATCACCCGCCAAAAGGTGGAGTGGGAGAAGGTCGGTGGATACCGCCTGGGTCAGGACATCTCAGGCGGCAAGGGACGGTAGAGATTGATCATATTGTTTGAGATATATCTCTATTTTTGCAAGCATCTCTCGTTTTGCGTAGCAATTGTTTTCAATCATATCATCGAGTTCCAAGGTTAATTGTGTGTGTGTATGGAGTGTTTGTATATTCCCAAAGTGTAGGGTGGGGATGGGAGCCAACGGTTGATCCGATATATACATCTCCTACACATTCCCTTTCGGTCAAGTGCAACCGCGCTTACCATGCCCAACAACTGCATTAACAAACCTCTCCAATATTGGAACAAACCACTCACCGCGTTTTCAATTTAGCCAAATTAGGCATTGGAAGGATGAATAAGCAGAACTAGCGCCCACTTGCACGCGGAGCTCAGTTCTGAGCCGCCCGCTTCAAGCCTTAAACACATCCCTTAAGACCGGACAACAACAGTGTTGCAACGCAGCGATGATCCAGCAATTCTCCCGCTTCGTCAATACAGGCAGCGGTCTGGAAAAGTCTCTCCGCCTCATTCAATGCGTGTCGCAGGTCGTCGCAGCGCTCACTACGAGCACTGCACTGGCCGTGCAATTGACGACCGTCAAGTTGCAATTGGCCTTGAGTGAGTGTCTTATATGATTATCCCAGTGTATCATGAATAGTTCTGATACCATGAAATAGCACGGAGATATTTCCGCTTCTTCGGATTCATTGACTCCTTCCAGCGTGTTTCTGCTTTGCTAGGCGGGGATGGGTTCAGCTCGGTAGCCGGCCTAATCGAGCTAGCAAAGTGGACTTGCTTTGGCCTGTACTTTGTTCTGGAAGATCTGACTATTGTATGTGTCTTGATTTAATTTTAATTGATGAACAGTACTGACAATGAACTAGCTCCACGCAATAGGTGTCTATGCTGTTCCCTGGAACGACCCTGTCATGGACCAAGCCAACACTTTCTGGCTCTACGCTTTATCTTTCTCAGTGGCTGGAGCTCTTTGGGAGCTACTTTTCGGAAACCCCAAGCAGCCCTCTAAGGTGGAAAAGAAGAGCGAGAAAGCTCAACCAGAGCAAGTCCCACCCGCTAAAGTGACTCCCGCCTCCACCCTTGTCAAGAAGGTCGTGGTTGATGGATGTGACTTGCTCATTCCGTTGGAGCTTTTGAGATGGTGGCCCACCGGAGATGTGGTTATTGGATCGACCATGGTGTTGAGCACACTACTCACTGCCCAAGATATCTGGGCAAAGCTGTGATACGTGCATATTGAAACTGTTCATGTACAGACATAGACATACAGTACATTCAAAAGTTAGAATAGAGTTGTGTTGCGGTTCCAAGGTTACTTCCAAGGTTCACTCATCCACATGACAACCTCATTGCCAACCATACTCACAACTTCAAACCCCACAAAAAAAGAAGCCCAGCAAGGCCACAACGTCAATGGCCTCTCAGAGGAAAGCAAAAGCAAAAAAGAATGGACTCGCGGGGAATCGAACCCCGGACCACTCCCATGCTAAGGGAGTATTATACCACTAAACCACAAGCCCAGTTCGATGGAAGAGGCCAATATTTTTAGAATAATGAGCCTAGACAGCCGTAGTGTGAAAAACGTGGCAGGCACTAGCCCTATACAGACTAGCACCTAAATAGCGAACCAATTATAAGTCTAGAATGGAACCCTCGATTTCAGGGTCGCGTGGTTCCCGATTGGGAAGGTGATCTACACTTGATCTGGGGATGGCAGCTCCTTTTGGGGTCCAAAAACCGCAATACAATCAGTCATGTTTGGGCGTCCACGGAGTCAGGGATGTATTCTCTGTAGAAAGCGCAAAGTGAAGGTGAGTGATGTGATTGGAACACATCCTATACACTCCTAGAGTACGGAGTAGACGGCAGCTGACCGAAGCAGTGTGACGAGGGGAAACCTGCCTGCGGGAACTGTGCCGTGTATGGTAGGAAATGCCCGGGGTATCAGACGAGCATTCCTCTGGTATTTCGAAATGAGAATAAAAAGATTGAGAGATTGGTCAAGAAGGACCAAAAGGGATCACGAAAGAGCCGATCGCAGCGCGAAGATGTGACAGAAGTCGTTGTTCGATCTACTGCTATTCCGACACCCGAGCCTGATCTCACGATCCCTCGGTTTCTGCTGGACTCGTCGTGGGAATATCATGGGCACTGTTATTTTCTCGATCAGTTTACTCTACCCATCGAACCAGACGGGAGCCCTGAACCCCTTGATTCCATTCCCATGCTGTACACATTATGCCAAAGAAACCAAGCCGGAGCACCCATGGAGAGCTTGCGTGCAGCAATGGACGCTGCGGCATTTGCATCCATGGCGAACCATGCCAATGTATCATCTTTGGCGGTCCAGGCCCGAAAGAAGTATGGCCAGGCCCTCAAACATCTGAACATCGCGCTATCATCAGTACAAGAGCTGTCAGAGACGAGACCATGGGAGCCATAGTGTTGCTCATGCTATTTGAGGACATTAACAGCGAGCGACAGAGCCTCATGAGCACCCATGTTGCCGGTATCCAGTACCTCTTAAAGCTGCGAGGGGTCCAGCAGCTTGGTGATCCTGCGACTCGATCTTTGTTTCACTTTGCATTTACACAGATGGTATGATTGAATGTTATCGTGAGACAATATATGACTGACATCAACAGTTGATTCAATTCGTGGGCCTGAAAGATCCCGTGCAAATCGACCTCGATTGGTTATTGGAAGTTCTCAGTATCCCACACCCGATCTATCAAATGATGGCCGGGAATATCAAGATCACCAAATTCTGTGCTGCTGTAGCAAGTTTGCTTTCGAGTGCGGAAGCCCAGGCACTTGATACATCAACCCTTACGTCGCTGCTCGAAAGAGGCGAGCACATTGACCTGGAATTTAGCATGTGGCACAGCGGTCTGCCGGAGGTGTGGATGCCACGCAAGTTTCAAACGTCTGGTGGGGACAAGTTCATCTTATACCCAGATCTCACGTCGGCGGGTGTTTGGAATTACTACCGCGGGACACGAATAATTCTTCAGCAGACGTTGTTAGATATCTACAGGTGCCTTGATCATCTTTCGGTACTGTGGGCCTCAAATGGGGCTTTCACACTGCATCCTCCGGAGGAGATCATCATTGATATGGTCACTGAGATATGCGATACTATTCCCTTTGCCTTGGGCAAGGTTGATACAACCGGTCGCCCAATATTTCGGTCGGAAACAAAGGCAGTGCAAGGCTTTGCACTGCTTTGGCCGGTGTTCAGCGTGACACAGTGTGGCTATGCTACTGAGGCTCAAGACGCCCAGGCTCGGTCAGCACTCCAAGTTATTGGGTCCACGCATGGCATACGACTAGGGATGGATTTGAGCCGCGAAATGTTCCCGGTAAATCGCGCTGTATCAGCACACTCGCAGATTTTCGGAGATCGTATCGGGTTCATGAACAAGGCGAAGTAGAAGGCGAAGTTCTACGCAAATCCTGATCGACCCACAGATACCCATGAGATATTTCATAATACGAGGATGAACTATATTTACACCAATAGGCTTGTTTTCAAACGTGTGGAGACAAAGATGAGTGCACGAAGTTATACGAAATGCCAAGCCATTGGGTAGACCCAATCGTCCACGAGTTTTGGTTCACGCGCCCCATTGATCGTCATCGCCCAATTAGGCAATGCTCGTATTTACCTTCTTTGTATATAATCGCAAGTTCGCGAGAGCACCCAACCCAAACACAATCAACCATGGCTACTATCACATCTGAACACAAATTGAAGGAGGAGATCCAATCCTCCGCCTTGTCTATCCGGTCCGAGAGCACTGTCTGCACTCTCTCCGATGCCCATTTCCAGTCTCCGCGCATTCTAACCGTGAACGCACGAGGTATCGGTGCATTCCGCCTACCCATCCCATCCCGACAAACAGAAACCTTCATTTACAACCCCGACGCCACAGAGGCATACGTCTCCACGCGCGACAAAGTCTGCTCAGGAACAGCAGTCCTGTCCCACCCCAAACGCGGAGACTTAATCCGAACTGAATACTTCTTCGGTCCGAACCGAGATCCCGTTCTGCATCTGCTGCAAGTTCCCGAGTCCACCGGTGTAACGGTCTCTGGAAAATGGACCTCGCGAACTATGCAGTTTGTAATGCCTGGAGGCAGACAATTCGAATGGGAATATGCAAAGCAGAAGCGCGCAGACGGACAGAAAGTTAATTTGATTGTTTTCCGCGCCGTCGAGGCGGAGAAGAGCCACAATAGGATCGCGCAGCTCGTCCGCGGGGCCGATACTCGTACTCCGGGGACTTCGAAGTGTACCGCTGGGAACGGCGGGGAGCTGCAGATCGATGAGGCGGCGTTGCAATACCATGAATTGGACGAGGCGATCGTTGTTGCGACTTGTCTTATGATGCTTAAGAGAGAGATGGATCGTCGGAGGATGTTGCAATTCGCAATGATTGGAGGGGCCGCCGGCAGCTGAGGAAGCAAACTGCGTTATAGTATATACAGGTTTTTCATAGCGTCTTCAATTCATCTGGTATCTATTCTCTATCGGATATCTTTTCGTTTTCGTTCTATAATCTCACGTCTTCACACGGGTACCAGCCCCTCAATTGATCGAAATGGCTCACTTGCGCTCAGCCAACAGCTGCGCGATGTGTCCATTGAGCCAGTATCCGTCCAGCTCATCATTAGACATGGTCTTGGCTCCAGAGATCCAGCCTCTGCAGACTCCATCACCCGCCCCGCAGGTGCACTGGAAAGACTGGTCCATCTCCCACTCGGTGCTGGGGTAGAAGAAGGTGAGGGCGTCGCCTGTCTTGAGAGGACGGTTGTCTACGACGCGCACTTCCATGCGATCCATGTCGAAGTTCAGAGTAGGTGCGCAAGAGTGGTTGCAGTAGACCAGGTCGGAATTGAGCTCGATGTGGCTGTCCGGACCGGTCTGCACGCTGGTGTAGGCCTTCGTGCCGGGTGTAGCCGTGGTGATCTTGGCAAAGACAGCACCCGCGGGGAGGTCGACGAGAGAAGTGGCCCCACTTCCGAAGGCTTTGGTGCTTCGGTCGACGCGCAGGCGATCGGGATGGGTCGGAGCTGGGAGGATAGGCGCAGCAGCGATGGGGTCGGCGGATGGGGCCATGGTGAGAGATGGGAGGAATTGAGAGAGGGGGAGAATAGGAAAGGTATGTTGGTGCAATCATGCGAGGAGGGGAGAGTTTATTTAAGACATCCTTTCAACCGAGGGAAGTCAAAGGAAGAGCCAACAAGAGGACCGAGGCCCATGACGACAACGCCGCGGAGAGCAGACCTAAAAGTGATTAAACCGCATCCACTAATGCCCATTGGCATTAGTCGCGTCCATTAGGCTCAATGTGGGGGAAGTTGGATCTTCTAGCGGGTGATCCGACGCTTTCAGTCGCTCGGTGAAATGAACACATGCAAATTCCCCGCTTTCGGTTTCAGAGTGAGAATCATATAGAACACACATCTCTCTCTCTCTCTCTCATCCATTTCTACAGAAATCTACTTAGTTTAACTTCCGAAGCAGTTCCTTCCCGTCAAGCCAGCGCTCGAGATTCTCGGCGGTTTCGCGGTACCATCCTCGCAGTAGATCTTCCTCCCCGTATCCCATGTGGGGTGTCAGCAGCACCTCACTGCGCCCATCCTGACCCCAAGGGGTGGTCCGCCAAGGACTATCAAGAGGCAATGGCTCTGGGTCAAAGACATCTAACGCGGCGCCGCGGATGCGACCTGTATTCAGAGCCTCGAGAAGCGCCGTCTCGTCGATCAATGGCCCACGAGAAGTATTGATGATAAAGGCCGAAGGTCGCATGCTGTTCAGCTCGGCCGTACTAACGATGCCGCGGCTCCGATCGGAGAGCACGCTGTGTACACTAACAATGTCCGCCTGTTCGAAGAATTCCTGCTTGGATGCTGCGACGACGAATGTGCCAGCAGGTAGACCTTGAGCTTGAGCTTGCTCGTCGGCTTTAGCTTGAGTCAAGTTTGTTGACCAGGCCAGAACCTTCATTCCAAATGCCAGGCTTGCAATGTTCCCCACTTGCGATCCTAGCTTCCCCAAGCCGAGCAGTCCTAGTGTTTTCCCCGAAAGATTGACGCCGAGGGAGCCCTGCCATCCCCCACGCTTAACAGCCGCGTCATCGCGTGCAAGATTCCGTGCCAGTCCCAGAATTAATGCCCACGTGTGCTGCACGGTCGAATTGACACCGGGCGGTCGACCCTCGGTGCCCGCTACGGCCACATTTCCCCGCGTAAACGCCTCCAAATCTAACGCCAGGTTGCGAGTACCGGTTGTCAACAGGAGTTTCAGGTTAGGAAGCGCTGCAATTGTTTCAGCGGAGAAAGGTGTGCGCTCGCGCATCGCAAGAACGACGTCGAATGGGGAGAGTCGCCGGATGAGATCATCGCGCTGGGCCGGAATGCGGGGGTCGAGGGTCTCGGGGAAACTTGAAATTTCGACGCGCGATTCAAGGTGGGCAAAATATGCGGGCGCAATGCCCTGATAGTCATCAAGAATTGCAAATTTGATAGTCATCTTGAGATGGCGAGAAGTGAGAAGTGAGCGACAGCGATTTTGGAAACAATTCAAGGCTTAGAAATACCCCGGGTAAATGACGAGATTTCGGCTTTGGATTTATCCATCTGGTGGGGGGTCATTGCATCCCCAAGCCGAGAATACTCTCAGAATCGAACTGACTCCGTACTCCGTAGTAAAATGCAATTTAAGATCTTAACCGAATATCAAAGAATACCCATGTCTAATCTTGGTAGCCCCGAGCCTGCATCTAGAGACCATGTGCCTGAGGACTAAATGTATGCGGAGTAACAACCTTGGAAATGCAATGAGAATCCACGGCATCACAAACTCATGGGATCGGATCCCTGATCATAATGTAATATGTCTCAACTCCAGCACCGCCATAATCCGCATAGTCGAGTCTGACGTCCTCCACATGCTTCCATCCATATTTGAGGTAGGCCGGAACGCCCTCGGGGGTAGCCTCAAGGTAAATACGTGACTTGGTAGCATCTGCTTTCTCGATACCCCATTTCAACATCGCAGCGCCGTATCCGAGGCCTTGATACTCGGGTAGAACAGCCAAGAGATCAAGAACTGTCAAGTCAGCAATGCGCAAACGCGGGGTCAGCCTCGGAACGCACCTATATCCTCTTCTGTCGTATATTTCTTGCGACTCTTTTCTAGGACCCCCTTGAAAGCAGCAAAGACCGCAGTATTCATTGGCTGTGGCGCAAAGGCAACGGGGTCTTTGGCAGATAATGCGCCTTGATCACTCAGCGTGACGAGGCTTTGTCCGAATGAAGGCGGAAGCTGCCAGCGAGCATAGACGGCCACTTCGCCATTGTCGCTGTGAATTTTGAGAACATGCATGTTGGGATTTGCAAGATGTTTCATTCCAACATGGGTCTTATACTCTTGGAGTACAGTCTTGCCAGACTGTGGAAAGATTTGGCCAAGGGCAAGACGGGCGTGGAAACTGAAAACATTGATTTTGGCGAGTGCTGGCCCATCGGCCTCGACGGCATATTGAATAAGATTCATGTTGTGCAGTTGAGGAAACACAAACAGTTGAGTCAATCGACGGATGTAACCTAGAAAAGGTCCCAAGCCACTAATCCCCGTCGGTACCCCGATCCCCCCAATCTTAAGTCGCCGCACGCCTTAGCCGTCTGGTGAAAATGACGTCTTATGTTGCTACTTCGAAGCATTAATCGAGATTGAAATAAATGTATATGAAATTCCCTATTGCCTCTATGTACAGCGTGAAATAAACCAAAAAAAAAAAAAAAAAAAAAAAAAAAAAAATGAAATGAAGGACAACAAAAGATCGCTTTCCATACTCCCGAGGTCATTTAGCTGAGCGCTGTCCCATCTCACATTCCGACAATAGTATATGCGCTGAGTTGCCATCGCTAGTCTGATCGAACATGCCATTCTTGGTCAGACGACGAGCCCTCTTGATCAATCTGCCAGGGTGGTAGATGATAAGAACAAGCATTGCAAAGAACATCAAGAAAGCATCAAACACATAGATATAAACCTCCTTAGTGTTGACATCGGTCTTCTGGCCAGCTCCGAACTGAATCGTTCGCATCAGGTTGCGCACCATCAACGCAACACAGGAAACGTAGATCGCCCACATGTATCGCTGCCATGGCAGATCGGGATAGTGGTTGAGAATAGGAGTCGGCCTTTGCTGGAGACGTCGATGGAACTTTGCTGCAATGTAGATAAAGAAGGCAAAGACGACCAAGGAGAAGATCAAGCCTGCCAATACAACTTTCTTGCCGATCTTCATGATTTGTTCGTCACCTGTCACCTGGACACCCGCACCTCCGAGCTGCGTACAAAAGCACAGGACATCGTTCATGACAAACACAAAGGTGAGCCACTTGACGCGCATGCTTGAGAGATGTTCGGCGCCGAAGGAGCGTATGATGCGGCCGAGGACCATGTAGACTGTGGCTGCGACGAGGGGTGGGGCACAGAGGATAAGCATTTCTTGTAGTGCCCATGAACTGATCTCGAATCGGGATTCATGAGACCATGCTCGACCATAGTAACCGAAGGTTTCACCTGTGCGGATCGTTAGCTTCATGTTTACTTGGAACTTTGGGAGAGAAGGAGTTCATACATATTCCTCCCAGTATTAAGGGAATGAAGTAGGCTGCACGAAATGGAAACATCAAAACGATGTGCGCAAGGGTTGAAACTCCGAATATACCCATGAAAGCATATCCAGCTGTGGCGGATGGGGTATAGGGATAGAATTCTACCGTGGGCGCAGACCCGTTCACGCCGGGGTGGAAAACAATATCCATTTCGTGTGATCAAGAGATAAGACTTTTTGTCTTCTCATCTTCTCATCTGGGAGGAAAATGGCCAAGCTTTATAACGTGGGTTGAGGTTTGATCTTTGGGAACAGTTCTAATTCTAGATTCCCAAATAGGAAATTCTGCGAGCGAATACGTTTTGTGGGTCCCGGCCCCACTTAGATTAAGACTCTGCGTTTATGCTTGTTTCTCCAAGGGTCTATTCGAGATACTTTGAGAGGATCTGATACTTCAAAATGTATTTTTAGTCCAGTGGATCTAATTACAGATTCGGCATTGAGACGAGTGTTCCAAAGTTCCACGGGGTGCGGAGTAGAGGAGACAAGATTGGCTAAGTGGTTATTGTTTCTTGTCTTGACTACTCCGTATAGGCTGTGGAGTCGCGGACAAGGTTATTCCTCTCTGAATAACCTAAAGTTTTTGAATTAAAAGTATTATCTAGCTTGGTTGTATTATATGTTATATGTTCGCACTCCTTAACATGAGAACGGCATGAATGTCAACCTTGGAAGCATGTCTGTAGGGCTGGAAGCCAAAATAAGGATTCCAATACGAGTACGCGAAAGTCTGCCTGATCCGGTACCGATCAGCAACTGTACCGCAGTCCCGGCTGGTTATTGAACCATAACACCATCTCCTGAAATTCCAAGGTTCCTTGGCAAGTCTATTGATTGTTGCCTGTCTTTATACCAGGCACTCGAACCCTGGAAGATAGCGCATCACCGAATATTTTTTTCATTTTGGCCAATCCGGTATTTATGTCATTGTCCACAGGGAGGATCTTCTACTGTCTTCATAGATTCACTTGCTTATAGCTCCTTTAAGTACCAGTACACTTGAACGAAGCGATCCGACTTGAGTGCTCTATCTTTAGTATGTTGACCTTGTCCCAGTACTTTGTGTACCCCATGGACTCCCGTTATAGCCCTCCTGGAATCGCTAGAGTGGATCCATCCCCGTGAGTCGTGTTCGTATACATCTCCCGCGTCACAGGTATAAATGTTCTCCAGTGTTTTCTCTTATAACTTAAAAAGGGAGAATTCCCCCGAAATTGTTAAAGTATCTTTTTTCAAAGCCACATACTGAGATCTTCTCACCAACCTCATGTTGACATATCTCAACTTCTCCATTGTCGGGCTGCTGGCATTAACTGCAACTGCAGAGAAAGCTTGCAAGCTTTCCCCCAACGATGTATCCTGGCCATCACTAGATGAATGGCAGTCTCTCAATCAGTCCATCCAAGGGACCCTCATCAAGACATCCCCGGCCGGCTCATCATGTTACCCTGGCAATCCGTTTGGATCCACCGAAAACTGCACCGCGGTGAAGGATCATTGGTCATCTGCTGCATACCATGCTGCCTGGCCTGAAAGTATCGACTACTCCATATATGCGAACAACTCTTGCCTACCACCCGGCGTTGATGGATACACGAAAGGAAAGGAGTGCAGTATTGGAGGCTTGCCCCAGTACATTGTGAATGCCTCGACCGAACACCAAGTCGCGACTGCGATGAAATGGGCATCACAGAGAAATATTCGAATTGTTGTTAAAGGAACGGGTCACGATCTTGGCGGAAGGTAAGTTTATCGCAATTGATCTCTCAATTCAATGGCTTTGGCTGACTTCTCCTAGATCGACTGGTGCCTTCGCCCTCTCTATCTGGACCCACAACTTCAAGCGCATTCAAAGACATCCTCAATGGAGACTGCCTGGAACAAACCATACGGCAGACGTGATCGTTGCCGGCAGCGGAAACAACTGGGGAGGAGTTTATAATGCAGTGCACAAGATGAACCGAACGGTGGTCGGTGGGGAGGATGCTACAGTTGGCCTAGGTGGACTTATCCAAAATGGTGGACATGGCCTGCTCTCGAGTCACCATGGGCTTGCATCAGACCAGGTCTACCAAGTCACTGTTGTGACCACTGAGGGTCATCGCCTTGTCGCCAATGATGCACAGAACCAAGACCTATTCTGGGCTGTCCGGGGCGCAGGTGGCGGTCAGTACGGAGTAGTCACGGAGTTTGTCTTGAAGACACACCCCGTCCCTAGGAATGTGGTGACTGGTGGCATCTCTTTCTACCCAAGCCAGAACTCAAATGCGAGCGAGATTGCTTCTTGGAACGCATTTGCTGAAGTGATGGCTCAAATCCCAGACTTGATGGACACCGGAATCACTGGAACAGTCACAGCGTTGAACAAGCAAAAGGCAGTCTCGTATATGGGACTGGAGCAGGAGATGCCCGGTGTATCTGGCATAATCAGCTTCACTGGCTTCAACATGACTATTGAGTCAATGAACGCCTCCATCAGCAAGCTGGCAGCCCGCTTCGACCTTGCCAATGTGAATGTCACTATGCAAGCATCCTCAGCCAAAAGCTACTGGGCCTCTACCAAACCGGACCCTTCAGTCAGCAATGCTGCTGGATCCGTCAGTCTTATGACAAGTCAACTTTTGGGTAAAAATGAGCTTTCAGATATCCCCAAGAGCAAGCTTGTCGGCCATCTGAAAGCAATCATGGTCTCGCAAAACACCACAGCGGGAACCATGCTTATTTTCGGGCTACAGGCCGGAAAGGGACCTGCCAGCGTCCCCAAACTCAGACATGGCAGTACCCTGCCGGCCTGGCGCCAAGCATATGTTCATGCCATGGCATACAGTGCCTCAATCAATTCCTCTGGTGACCCTAGTCACGAGTTGAAGGCTGGATCTGACTGGATCAATGAAGCTCAGGAGCCTGTTTGGAAAAATTGGGCACCTCGGTCTGGTTCCTACATGAACGAGGGTAACCCCTTCAACATCAACTGGAAGCATGACTTCTATGGGGAGAACTATGAGCGACTCTTCGATATAAAGCGCAAGTATGACCCCAGCGGAAGCCTTTTTGTCTGGAGTGGAGTTGGAAGCGACGAGTGGGATTATAACTTGAACAGCGGGTTATTGTGTCATGTATGAAGAAGAGAAGCCCTATGTGATGCGACGTGCATAGATGAATGCCCCTCAAATTGTGCAAATACTCAACTAAGATACAAAGACCATAAAGAGAATCTGCACTCCGTTTGTTGCTATCGGAGAATCCATAGCCACTGAGAAATGATTGGCTCTTCTAAAGGGGCCGTTTGATCTCGTTGTCAACGTAAACAAGCACCTGAAGATCACTCGTTAGAAAACACCTTGAGCCCACTTGACAATCAGAAATATCACACTGTTTACGATCAGGAAAGAGGCGCACAAACACATTGTGAGTCAGAATTAGGTTAGTTTTGGATTAAACTCACATGGAGGATATAATACCACCACTACAAGTTCTACTACCTGTATCCTACAGTACATACATCGGCCAGGCTCTTGTCCTACGCCAGCAGATGGATAAGGACCAAATAAACTAAAACATTCCAAATATTGAGATACATATGGAAGAGAAAAAGAGCGAGCTTAGAAAGCCGTAAATTACTATCTCTTTCTTACGTTGCCCACTGCTGCCGCTATCAACCCGCTGTCCCCCCACTTCTGATTTTCACCCTCCGACTTGTCCACAAAATGGCCACGTCTCGTACTCTTTTGGCTTTCCAACATGATGCTAGTCTTGACACACTTCAGACGAGCGTGATATCTGTCAACACTTTCCATTCTCTCGAAGAATCCAACCGTCAACTTTTCAAAGATGCTGACGAAAGACACCATGTTGTTGTCACCGAGAAAACCATCTTCCACCCTCAAGGCGGTGGCCAGCCCTCAGATGTAGGCATGATGAAAGGCCCCTCTGGCAGCTTCACTGTCACAGCCGTTCGCATGGATGCTGCGGGGCAGGTGCTCCACCTTGGCCTTTTCAATGACGGCTCAATTTCGCAAGGAGAGTCAATTGAGCAAACAATTGACGCCGAGAAGCGCCTGCTCTACTCCCGTCTGCATACCGCCGGTCATGTACTAGGCTCAGCCGTCCGATATCTGCTAGAAAAGGAGATTGAGAACTTTGACGAGCTGAAAGCCTCTCACTTCCCCGACTCCGCGGCATGTGAGTTCCAAGGCTCGATCGAAGGAAAGTGGAAAGACCCCATCCAGAGCAAACTGGATGAGTTCATCGCTGCCAAGATGCCAGTCCAGATTGAGTGGTGGGATGAAGATGATTTCCGCTCCCGTGGGCTGGAGCGATTGATCCCTGATCGCAGTCTGGTACCTGCTGGTGAGAAATCTCGTGTTGTGAACATTGTTGGCGCTGAAGTGTATCCCTGTGGTGGCACGCACGTCGATACGACAGATTTATGTGGACCTGTTGCTGTGAAGAAAATCTCGAGGAAAACCGGAAATTCTAGAGTCAGCTATGTGGTCAAATAGCCGATTGTCCAAGGTGTGGCCATTATAAACCGAAAGCAATACTTCGGGCTCTGAGATTACCCAATAGACCGGAAGATTACCACATGGCTGTTACAGTAGACATGCAAAGTGTATGAACTCTAACACTATGTTACAAGAATGCGAACTGCAGCCTAAGCACAATCCCAGTGCAATTAGGGTTTATGAACAAGTAGCACTGCCTAAGTCGTACAGTTCACCGAGCCTCCGTATTCTGAAGTGGATAGTTCTCTTCTGAGGGACCGGCACGAGATATGAAGGGTCGCGAAAGACCCTGCTCTTCGTCGTCCAATTTGGCAAAGCCGTCCGGTCCAGCAAGATCCGCCTTGTCGTAGGGAACATCACAGAGAACCGAGCGTAGAGGTGGGTAATACCGGCGGTACGAGAACCAGGCTATTAACATACCCAGGAGCCCTCCACATGTCACATCATACACATCATGTCGATAGTCATCCAAGCGCGATATCGCGACCATGAGCGCACACAGCAGTGGAAAGAATGCTAGCAGACAGCGACCTAGATCTGTCCTGGGTCGGAAGACATGCATTTGACCAGAGAAGAAGCTATCACATTAGATGAATCAGCAATATCGGACTCAAAAACTCACAGATAGAGATATCCTAGACCGGCAAATGAAAAGCTACTGTGGCCACTGGGGAAGCTGCGCCATCCTTCTTGCAAGATGTGCTGATTCGCTTCTGTACAAACAGTCCATGCGACCAGCGCATTGTTTGGTGTACCGCGCGCGGGTTTGCAACGCGATATTAAATCGGGGCGAGGTCTTCCCGCCGCGTTCTTGACGATATCCGTCAGAAGCGAGGTCAACATCAAAGCCACGAAAAGGCCGAGGACCGTCACTTGTGTCTTCTGCACGCCGGCGCGAACCATCGCTGACCAAGCCAGTATTATGAGGAAGGGTATCAATCCGGCAAACACGACAGACCACACTGTATCCAATTAACATGATGCGACATGTATAGCGTTGTGAGGTGACCTACAAACAGGGACTCGCTCGTGAACGGCAAATGGGTATTGAATGGTTTTGTTGTCGAGAGAAAACATGCGGTGGAATGGGGTCACGAATAATTGAATCTGTTCAGTGGTCAGAATTGTTTCTGTTCATAAAAATTGGCTTCATACCAGGACCCATCCCATCACCAGGAATCCCAGCGCGATGTAGTCGGGGCCATATGAGTGTTGTGCAAAACGCGCTGCAGCCCCAGCGAGCCCGACTCGCTGTAATAATGGGACTGAATTATGCCCCGAGCCATTGTGAGACATCCTTGAAAATCCCCGAAGACTTTCGGAGAACTTCAGGATATGCAGCTGCGGAAGTTGCTGAAGTTGCGGAGGTGAAGGATATCAACGCACGGACCATGACGCGGCCAACTCCAACCTTGACCTTTCTCCAGTTTCTCAACTGCACTCCCAAAATGGCCGACGAAAGCCAACCGAGAGCCGTGAACACGGCATTTGCGCCTCCACCGCCATTATGGAAGCACTTTGTGCCCGAGAATATTGAGAAGTTGGACAAAATCAAGGCCGACGCATCCAAGGGCGAAGATGGACGACCTAACAAGAAGAAGCAATGGTCTGCAGCAGACTTACGCTCTCTTGAGCTGCCATCGGAGCTTCGCTACCTCGTTCCCCCTGATATTCCAGAAGGCCAATATAGTGTCTTTGGCGAATTACAAGCTGTTGGTGTCTCCGCTTAAGCTCCGAGATGAACAAAACTGACCACGAACTAGCTGTCAACCGCATTGCCATCGCTGAAAGAACAAGGAATCGATCAACTCTACCCAGAACCTTCCGCCCCTACAGCCGATCAAGACTCACAGCCATCCCCTCTCAACCACGCATACTACCTCCTCAAGATCAGCAAGTCCCTGCTCCTCAACTTTCTGGAATTCGTGGGTACTCTATCAGTATCCCCGGAGCAGTTTGAATCCAAAGTGCAAGACTTGCGCAATCTGTTCATTAATGCGCATCATCTTCTCAACTTATACCGTCCTCACCAAGCCCGAGAATCTCTTATTATGATGATGGAAGACCAACTCAATCACAGCCGAGAGGAAATCAAGCAAATGGACAAGGTCAAAGCAGACGTCGAGAGCTTGCTGGAACAGTTGCAGGCAGAAGGTCGTCGGGCCGTGCCTAGCGAGTCAGAAGAGGACAACGATCAGGCCAAGAATCTGAAAGAGAAGGCTGATGAACACTCCCGCCTAATTTGGGAATTGCTGGACAAAGAGAACTGAACATGACCTCAAATATCTCTCAAATTATCACATCCGTGGTGTGTTTCCATTGGAGAAATGGACATACCACAGTCGTCCGGTTGCCATCCACCGGTCCCTTATGTGACTCGCGCGCTAGATCCACCATTATGAGCGGACTCTCGCATTTATGGCCAAACAGCCTACCCACAAACCCCGAAAGTGAGGGGTCAGATATCGGAAAGCACATGCTGGCTGGTCATGGGCTTGGGTGTGCCAATTGCAATGCCGAGAAAAGTCGCATGAATCTCGAGCCAGACAGCTACATAGCACTGGTCATAGTCGATCGATCTGCGAACGAAATCGCCTCCGGATACTGTAAATAGCCACAGCAGATACCTATCGTTCGCATCAAGGAATGGTCCCACCCTATCCTGGTCGAGTCTGTCCTGGTCGTCAATCTCACACGCTCCGAACCGTCTACACTCTTACCTTTGTCCTGGGTACCGTTTTGAACTCTTGGTTGCCTGAGACCCGAGGATGATCACTAGGACATTTCTAGTTATGCCAAACAAACTGCCTCCGAAATATTCAGGTCCATGGATAAAATGTATTCCGTCAAAGCTAGCAGCTAGATCTACCCCTGGGGCCTGGATCTAGGTAGAAGCTCAGAAGTGCCCAGATGTTACAAAAGTCGAGTGAGGAGCAGAGATCCATTGAATATGACCTACCTATTCTACCTGATGTAATTGACCCGACCCAACATCTAATAATATGTCCCTATTATACACATATCATTATGTCCTTTATATCATGACCCATATCCACACTCCAGCGCCCGCCAGAAACAAAAACAAATTGGCAATCTACTGGCCTGCACGCTGCTCAGCCCAAGCCTTATCAATAGCACACTCAGCCAACCGCTTCAACTCTAAAATAAAATCAGCAACGAGCTTGAAATGCTCAAGCTCGGTATCAGGCAATTTCCGAGAGAATATGCGCTCAATCATGACCGTGGCAACGTTCAATCGGTCCAAGTCTCCACGAGAGTGTGGATCCAGTGGGTTCTGAAGGATGCTGCAGAATATGGTGAGCAGCGCCGACATCGGGTAGAAGATCAATGTCCTAGAAAGTTAGATTGAGCATTCAAACGACGTGGATGGGTACGTACCAGAAGACACCGTCTACCACCACATGCTCTGCTGCCTCGAGATAACATAGACTTGATCGGCTAGCTTCGACTGAAAGAGCCATGCTGGAGCTCACACCGTCCATCATACCGCTTTGGCCCTGTACCCACGCCTTGCACCTTCCACTCGCTTGATGAATGATGGTCATGCATAGGTGGTAGTTCAAACGCAACATGACGGAGTGCATGCTCATATTTGAATCGGAAGTCTCGGAAGAGAAAGACATTGTCGGACGCCACTTTGGGGGCACTGAAAGTCGCCATTCTTCCAACCCATCGTCCAGTTCACGGATCGATTTGAGGAGCTCGGCATCGGTCTTTTGAAGACTGCTAACTGAGTAAAGCTCACGATGTGCCCGTGCCTTTATAATGCTGAGGCGCAAGTCGAATGGGAATACCGGACCAAGGAACGGCGCGTCGTCATCCTCCACATCCATGAAGGCTCGATCAAGGTATCCAGGTGGTAGAGTAAGATCACAGTTCTCGTCAGTGATAGTTGGCGGTTGACCCGTCCGCAGAGCCAGGTCCTTGTCAATAGTGTAGCCAATCCAAAAGAGGTTGCGTAGTTGCTGTTGCTTTTGCTGGCTACGTGGGTCATGAATGAAGGTCTGATCTCCGTTGAGATTCCCGCCAAGCATGAAGATGAGTCGGGCAGAAATCGCAGCGTAGTAGTTCGTTGCCCGCATATTTCCCGAGGATAATTCAAAGAGAGTCTAGTACGATCAGACAAGAATAACATTTCAGGTTGTCAACTCACCAGCATTGTTAGAGCCTGGGCAGAATCTAAGCTAGCAGACTCTTGCAGAACTTGCGGCATCAAGAACTGAGCTCTAGTGGCAAGTAAATCATGGTCGATTGGGGGAATGTGAAGTGCACCGACGATCTCGTTGACGGGAGGTAGACGTGAGACAAATGTGAGGAATGCAATGACACAGACCCGAGCACTGGCTTGACCATATGTGAAAGAGGAGATGGACTGCTTGTAAGCAGTACTAATCGTCTCCTCAAAAAGTTCCGTGTCAACGACAGGAAAGATACGGCGCATGACCTTGGAGCGTTTGAAGGCCTCGACATAAACCCGCAGAATCCCGAGGTCAGGCAGCTCGAAGGGATTAAGAGCGTTCATGTTCATTAGCAGAGTATTGAAACTCTGCCCGCGCTCCTTCTCCCACGGCGCACGCGCCGGACACAGCTTGTCAAGTGAAACGGACTGTCCCGTACGAGCGGTAATCCATTCCTGTCCTTCGGGAAAAAGGAATGGTGTCCCAGTGAGTAGGCTAATCACACCCAACTCTTTGCCTGCAAAGTGGACCCGTACTGATGACGAGTCTGGGGGTTGATTAGCACTGGGAGAAGTGCTCGTGGTTGATGCTGTAGAAGCCTCGATTGACCGCGGAGACTCAGGTACTGGCACTATTAGCTACAGCCTCAAACCGAGTGAGCATGACTCACAGAGTTGTTCCCCTCTCAAGTTCTCCGCGAGCAGCTGCTCAATGCGACTGATTCGTTCTGACAGACGCGAAACCTTTGGCCGTCTGCGCTATTAGTAAAAATCTAAAATAAGCTCGTTCCAACTTACGGTTGATCCTCAGGTCCTTTCCGCTTTCTCTGTACCGCTCTATCGAATGTGCAAGGCATGTTATGGTGGCTACACCAATTACATTGCGGAACAGCGGCATCACATTTGATCTAGAGCAAGTTAGCTATAATCCATAATCCAAGGAAACAAAACGTACCTTTCGTCTATAGCATGAGTCACAGGCCCGAGGCGTCCGCCTACGGGACTCTCCATCAGATGCTGAATGCATTGCAGGTTAAAGAAATAAGCTCATGGCGTTCGGAAGGCGATCCAAAAGAAACTCCGCTGACAAAGACGCCGCTGACTCATCAGGCTGGGCCCCAGGTCCCGTAGAGTTTATTGGATCAAGTTTAAAAGGGTCTACTCCGTTCGTGTACACATCGCTGAAAGGTTCGAGTGGCCCTTATACTAGGGTTCTTGAGCCTGGTGAGATTTGCGTTGCTCAATTGAACGACCGAATATGTTCTGCATTGCTAAAGGGCTATCAAAACCGAAATCCAAACCAAAACCGCACAGTTCCCGAAAGCAGAATTAAATTAAACGTGGTATAGCGATATTGAATCCCCATGTGATATTCATGGCCTAGCCCCCTTGGATCGGTACGCGTGAACAGACCAGTGTTCAACGGTTCGAAGGGACCACATCGAGGTAGATCAGTGGCGATCGAGATAAATCCTAGTGGCAGCTCACATCACTGTGCAAATGCAACAATCGCACTCTTCATCGCCACAGTCGCAACCAAAACACGGCTTAGTCACTGGTTTGATGGGCTTTGTGATGGAGCTACTGGAGCTAGAGGGAAGGGTACAGTCGACCGGAGCCGAGGTAGATGTGACTGCCATGGCGTGTAGATCTATAAGATGATTAGACGGGAAACAAAACCCATGAAAGCTGGGAACGAACTTATTCAAGGATAGCGAGAGACGTAGGGCTGAGAACCGCGGGGTTTGGGGAGAAGAAAAGGGAAAAGGTAAAGGCCCAGGCAGCCATATATTGCCCTTCCCACTTGAAACTGCCGAGAAATCACAAATTATTGTCGTCGGCTCCGGTCTTGATAGTGCAATCAGTCGGTATGGGCTCGCCACGTCACAGGGTCCAAAGCTTTGCCCATCTCGTGCATGTACTTCGTATTAGTTTAGTGACCACTTCCCAGGTTGTCTTGGACATGTGCATCGTAAAAGCTCGGGCTGCTTGTGTGCAGGAAGAATTACATTACGTCATAGCACAGTTACACTACACAGCTACTAAGAAATTTGGAGTATAGAATCAAAATATGCAGTCATTGACAGTATGTACAGCAGCAACTTTTGAGGGGTTCATCAATCATCGCCGTAGTGACCGGGGTATCGTCTAGTCATCTCGGGCGTCCAAGCCATCCGTCTATCCATTATTCCTTTTTTTTGGTTCATCATCAATCAATAAATAAGATGCAGCTTACAGCTGCTCCACCCAGGGAGCGCTACCAGCTTGCATCTGGTTGAGCCACTTGACGAGCTCAATGAGCTCAGCCCGGCGCTCATCCTCCAACTGGTCCTCATCGCCGGTAAGGACGGCTTGGAAGACGGGAAGGAGGGAAGGAGTGAGCTCGCGAATGGTGGCATCCTCCCACTTGTACATCTGGCAGATCATACGGTAAAGGGGCTCGTTCTCCTCGAAGTCATTCTTCAGGGGAAGAATGTTGACAAGGGCGGGCAAAACGTCCTTGACGGGGACACTGTCGCGGTAGCGCAGGATCATGCGGCTGACGCAGCCAGTGGCGTTGTCCTGAAGACGGGAGACATCCATCTGGAGGCAAGACTCGAGACGGCTGAGGATAGTGGGGATCTCCTTGGCGATCTCGGCCTCAGCGTTGGAGTGCTGAATCAGACGACCAACGGCGTAGGCGGCGTTGGACTTGGTCTGGGGGTCCTCATCGGCAAGACGGTGAAGGAGGAGCTTCAGGAAAGTACCGGTCAGGGGGTGACGGCGGCACCCATTCCATTGATGCACTCAGCGAGAACACCGACAGCAGTGGCGCGCTCGAGGGACTCGCTGCTACCGGCGTAGCGGAGGATAGTCTTCTCGAAGACCTTCCAGAGCTCAGCGAAGCTCTGGCCGAGAGCGGCAGCCAGACCGGAGACAACGTCAAGGGCGGTGTCAACGACAATCCAGTCAAACTCTGAAGTCTCATCACCAGCCTCGAGAGCCTCATCCTCAGGGCCGAACTCGACCTGGCAGATGTGCTGCTTGGTGATGATGTCACCGACCATGGTGATGACATTGTGAAGCATGGTCTCGCTGGAGATAAGAGCGGGGCCGCAGAAGCGCAGGTTCTCAGCCATGTTGCGGTTGATATCCGCGACGGTAGAACTATTATTGATCGGTCAGCATTCGAATCAGGAATATGATGAGTGATAAAAGATCAAGTAATGAGGAGATTTCTCAGAGTGTAGACTTCGCCGTTTACATCAAGTGTGCTTTTTGCACATCAAAGTGAGCTGGGTTAAGCGGAAAAAATCATCATAGAAATCATGGGAATGGGATGGGCAAGGAATGTTAGGAGTAAAAACATACCGGTCGTCTTCCTCAGTCCACATCTTGACAGTGGCGGTCATGAGGATCTCACCGAACTTCTGGACCTCCTTCGCGGGCTGGACCTGAAGGGGAAGACCAGGCTGCCACTTGGCCATCTGGCCAGTCTCCTCAGCGATGGTGAAGAGCATGGCGTAAGAGCGGTGAAGAGTGCTGATGGTGCTCTTGCGAACACCCTCGTAGGGGTGCTCACAGAGGGGCATAACGTGCTCGATGGTCTTCTCGAAGTATGGGAGGAAAGAGCTGCGGGTGTGGGTGACGAGATCACCAATAACCTCAACAGCAATCTCCTTCTCAAGAGACAAGGGGGTAGTGGCGGTGATGTCGTCCCACTCATCCTCATCGTCAAGATCGACGTCCTCGATGTCTCCATCGTCTTCGTCGTCGGCGCTTGCAACCTTGACCTTGCGGCCGTTGAAGGTGACCTCCTGGCCAACAAGATCCTTGGCAGCGCTGCCGAGGTCGACGTCGAGATCATTCTCGTCCTGCTCAATGCAGTCGAAGAGACCCTGCACGACACCCTCGAGGAAAGGAGAGAAGTGCTCGCCGTAGACCTTAGCCATGGCACCCCAGAAGATGTAGGTGCTCTCCTTGAGGCGAGAGTGACCGAGGTGGAGGGCCTCCTCGGTAGCACGCATGAGGGGCTCAACGTACTGCTGGTAACGCTCGGGACCAGCGGCAGCAGCCATCTCACCCATGGAGTCAGTGACGCTAGCGCGGAGGTCAAGCTCATCCTCGGAGTCCTTGACGGCAGCGAACTCCTGGAGGAGGTGCATGGACTCGTCGAAGAAGGAGAGGAAAGAGTCGCCAGCAGAGGAGGCGAGGGATCCAAGAGCACCGGCAGCGAGGGCCTTGATCTTGAAATCAGGGTGCTTGAAGAGGTTGTGAAGGATGGGCACAAGCTCAGCCTGGTAAGGAGCGACGTCCTTCTCATCCAGACCATCAACAACGGCATCAATAGCGCTGATACCAGCCTTGATGATGTCAAGAATGGGACCATCTTCCTCACCCTTGTACTCCTGCATGGCGGAAGCCAAGTTCTGGAAGAGGAGGGGCATGAGACGAGCGTGCTCAGCGCTGAGGTCCTCAACGAGATCCTCGGCGAGGCGAGCAACGGAGTGCAGAGAAGCCTGGCGGACCTTGGGGTCCTGGTCGGCAAGGAGCTGGAGGACCATGGGGAAGATCTCCTTCATCTGGGTGCTGATGAAGTCGGGGGCACCCTCAACACACATGCCGAGAGCCATGATACCGGCACGGCGGTAGTCAGGGTTGGTGCTGTTGAAGTACTGGCCCAGAGAGTTGAGCAGGGGAACAACGACCTGGCTAGGGGGCAGGCTCTGGGAGAGGATGTCAAGGAGACCGAGGGCGGAGCGGGCAGGGGTGATATCGTCATCACCGATAGCGACATCGCCGAGCTCAGTGACGATCTGGAGAGCAGTGCGGGTGAGGTCCTCACCAACGCGCATGCCCTGAACCTTGAGCTTGCGGTACTGGATGGTCTGCATCAGGAAGCTGATGGCCTGAGTGCGGACATCCTCATCGACCTCAGTGTTGGCGGCGATCTGGTTCATCAGGATCACCAGGTCCTTGAGGTGGACAGTGAGCAAAGCAGGGTCGAAGCCAAGAAGGTTCTGGAAGACTTCGAAGCACTGAAGAACGTGGTCCTCGTCGTTCTTCTCAATGGAGTCCTTGAGAATAGCGACGGCAGCGGGAACGAGCTGCTGGAAAGCCTTGACAGGGGCCTCATCCTCCTCAGAGTCAAGGTGGCTAGCAAGCTTGCCCAATGACATAAGAGTGTTGATGCGCACCTCGGCACTTTCGGGGTCCTGGATGGTCTTGCCGAAGAGAGCGAAGAGCTCGCCGAACTTCTCCTCAAATCCTTCACCAATGGTGTCCAGGATAGTGAAAAGAATGTAGATGGCGACGGCACGCTCAGCAGCGTTGCCACCGTTACCAGCCTGCAGAAGCAGGTTGGGCAGATCAGCCCACTCCCCATCGACGAGATCAATCTTGGCAATGGCAGAGATGATCTGAGCAATGGAGTGCTGGACGAGAGAAGAGCTCTCACCCATAGTGGAGCGAAGCAGCTGTTCGCGGATCTGGGGCTTCTGGTCGGCGCCAACCTTCAACCAAAGCTTGGAGACGAGGGTACGGGACTCGACGGAAGCGAGCTGGCGCAGATTCTGATCATCGTGGGTGGTGCAGATCTGAATCAGGAAGACCAGAGACTCGGGTTTGTTGTAGAATTCCTTCTGCAGAACTCCGGTCGCCTCCTTCAGGTTTCCCAGGGAGGCTGGATAAAAGTCAGAAAAAGCTCTGGAATTTTCTTCAAGGAGTAAAACTTACGGTCCAGAATGATCTGCAGCTGCTGCAAAAAGCGTTGCTGGTCCATGATGGAGGAATGTGCAAGATTTTCAAATTTTTCGCTTCAAGGGGACCCAGGTCTCGAAGAGACTCAGGTAGAAAGAGCAAAGATTGAGCAGTCTGTCTCACGACAAACAACTCAAATGGGGTATCACAAAGCAAGTATGGACAAGGAAGAAAGGAAAAAAAAAAGGAAAAGAGAGATGAAGAAAGAAAAAGGAGAGTGGTGGGGGAAGAAAGAAGAAGAAGGAAAAAAAAAGTTAGGGGAGTGGGTTACTTCCGTAAGCGGCTTAGTGCGGGAACAAATGTCAACACGCGGGATTTTGGGCATCGAGTCTTTATGACCTCACTCACAGGTACTGTGATTACTATAAGCCGTTGCTTGATACAGAATATCTAAGAACATCTTCAGCTCTAATATGTATTGCTTAAAAACTGATATAATCCAAAACTCCCAGGTGAAAAACTCCGTCAAAATCCCAATCCCTGATGGAGACCATGTGCTTCCACCAGTAAAACAACGCCAGTGGGCATGCTGTTTAATATCCGACCATTCCAGGACCCACTCAAGTCCCAAATAAACGATTCGGCTAATAATCATCAGACTCGTAGTCGTCATGGAGCAGAGAGGCACGATAGCCACGCGAAGCAAGGTCAGCCTCCAGGCCACCATCCGATGCAGGGTCAAAGTAGCCTAAACTAGTTAGTCAAATCAACAATGGAGAACAAAGAATACGCACCACCTCCACCGAAGTAACTGAGAGCCACTGGTAAGAAAATAAGAGCATGGATAGCGGCGAAAATCACCAAAGCAAGCCACACTCGGAAATAGTAAATCTCAAAGATCTTGCTGCGAGTGAATGCCAGGACGCAGACGCCAAGAAGCTTGGTGACGGTGATGCCACTGAACACACTGCCACCGACATTGACCAATGCGGTCCACGCTCGGGCGTCCTTGCCGCGATATTTGGCTGGAACTTTCTCCATTATAGGGCGGGCTGGGAACATAAAGGCACGGGCGATGTGGGCGCAGAACTCAACACCAATACCTACGCAAATCACCAGGTTGACAAGAGAAACGGCGTTCAGCGAGACGCCCGCAACAGCCATAGCACCGATAATGTCAACCACGATCATGACAACAGTGGTGGTGACAACAGCGCCGGTAGCAATCGAGCCCAAGATCACTGAGGTCAAGAGGAAGATGATGGCAACGGCCGACCCGAGAAGTGTACCAGTGAGTCGAACAATTGAGACGTACTGATCGAAGAAGATGTAGAACTTCGAGTACGGGAAGACATCGATGTTGTGCTCATGTGAGATGTCTTCCGCAATCCGGCGAGCTGCGATATATGCCTGGATGAAATCGTCTTGGCTGTGAAGAGGCGTGTGGCTGGTACGGAAGTGGCTAGCATTAATAGTTTTGTGGGTTTCATCAATGACCAATGCATTGCTGTAAGGTGCCTTTCCGCCAAGAGGACATGAGGCATCAGTAGGGGCGTCAATCCACTTCTTGATGTAATGAACAAATTCAGATCCTTCTGGCATCCCAGAAAGTGAGATGTTCCACGCAGGAACACGATCCTCAAAGCAGATCTTGCCATTCTCTCGGCAACAGTCTTGCTGAGGATTCAACCAATAGAAGAAGTCATCAATCCAGCTGGCTGCAGATCCCGTAAGATAAGAAACATCTGGACGTTTTGACTCTTGTTCGAGAATGAAAGGTAGAGAATATTCTTCGCACGTGGTGAATCGCCCACAGAGCTGCTTCTGGTGGTCTCGCTCGGTGACATTCACATGGCGGGTCACGAAGTATACTGGGGGACCTGTGCCAAAGTACGCATCCAGATCGTTGAAGTAAGGAATCAGGTATGAATCACTGGGAAGCGCGATTCGCTGATCCAAACCAAGAGGAACTTCGGGGATGAAGGCCAGACCAGCAGTCAAAAGACCCAAAAAGAAAATGACAACGCCTGCCTTGACCCGACGATCCAGGAGGAAGGGGGCATAGATCCGGCGAATAAAGTACTGAAGGGGGCTCTCGACTTCCTGATCATCATATCGCCCATCTGAGAAGCCGAACGAGTTCGCTTTTCGCACGGTGAGACAGGGGATACAGTCTGCGCGGAGGCTCTGTACTCGTCTCTGGTTCAGAGCCAGCACAGATATAAACATAGTGACTTGTAAAATGGCGTTGATGAAGACAGCACCGGCAGCGTATGCGGCGAAATTCTTCACAGCGGGCATGCCGACGAACACACCCAGGGAAAAGGCCACAGTCTCTGTCAAAGCAGATAAAAAGATGCTAGGACCGATACGACTAACCGCTCTGGCCACTCGCTCATCAATCTCTTCGTCGGGGTGGCTGATGTTGACCCGCTCAAACTCGTGGACGATGAGGAAGATGTTGTCCACTCCCACAGCCAGAACCAAGAATGGAATGACCTCGGCAATAATCAATGTGACCTTGACACCGGCTGCCGAGAACAAGCCAACCGATGCAGAGACGGACATCAGCACAATAACGATACCCACAATTCCCAGCGTGAATTTGGACTGAACAAGCGCATTGGACGGGTTGGTCAGTAGAGATCTCCACGTAACAGTCGCCGAGCCCAGCGCAATTGAGGCGTATAAGAACATGATCAGATAGCTGATAACAATGATCTTTGCGTCTGTGTTTGTGGACTTGTTTAGTTCTTGTTCCAAGCTGACTTCAGAGTTGAACGACACGCGGAGACCTCGTTGGGAAGCTTCTTCTTGAACGTCCTGAAGGACGCCTTGGAAGCTGTCTTCCCATGCCATAGCCTTCTTCTCCTCTTTCGAACCTTGGGCATGATTGTTCACCACCCAAGTCACGACGAGAGCCTGGGCATCTAACACATTGCCTGTGTCCCCATAGCCACCGAGGATCATCTCAGGCTTCAGAGGCTGTGAGAAATCAGGGAGACAACTTAGATCTCCTGGTGACTCCGTGCACTGTGTTAAGCGGTTCTGCCATGTATCTGGGTCAAGGTTCGAAACATCGCCCCCGAAGTAACCAGTGAGAGATTGCACGACACATGCATCTCCAGTTGGCTTGAAGCAAACATCTTCTAGATTGAGGCCCTGGTCAAGAGAGATCATCCGTCTGACGCGAGTCTCGACCTCGAACCACCAAACAAGGGTCTCATAATCCAAGAGCGGACGGGTGTCGTTTGAGGGGCGATCATTCACCAAGAAAGCCTGCTCCGCTCGGAAGAACGGACCAAAGTTTTGATCGAAGAAGTCCTTCTCCTGTGCAGCAGCAGAAGATGGACTCACCCACAGACGTACCGGATCCGTTTCAACAGCAAAGCGAAGCCATCCTAAGCTCATTACAGCCACGACAACGATGCTGGACGATATTGTGATAGCTGGAAACCGTGCACAGACACCACCAATCCGGTGGAACAAGGCAGACAATGCCGTGTTGAGTTTGTATACCCCCCTGCGGCTGCTCCATGTATCCGCCGCGCCGCACGATATCGCCCTCATCTTCATCATCACTCGGTGTAGGATCCTGCAGCAGGCGTACCCGCTCTGGTTTGCGAAACCGGCGCTCCTTGTATGTGACATAGCTGGCAAGAGCCATGACGAAGAGCAAGAATGCGGAGTACACAATTATGACAGCGAAAGACAAGCACGGCAGAAGTCCTACGTGGCATGCCTTCGGGGGAGAGATAGCAGGTAACTCAGGGCAGACGTCAGGGCAATCAACACACGAGCAGCGGAAGTTCTTGTCGGGGTCGTTGCAGGCCTTCGGGCTCATTGGCAAAGCCTCCATACCTTGCGGGTCGGGGCCGGTAGGCTCTGTGTGGTAGTTAATTTGGAACGGACTCCCAAGGAATTTCTTATCGCCCAAGAACTTCATGAATGCCGTGTGATCCTTTGCACCACCGCCGATGAAATCGATAGCTTTGCCACCCGAGGCACCGTTTTTGACATTCTTGCAACTATCGTAGAACCCGCGTTGATATTCTTCAGACCAAATGTTGTCAATCTCAGTCACCAACCGCTTTCCAGAGCCGTGTTCTTCTGTTTCCGTGACATTGACAAATAGCGACTGATCCGGGGAGCATGTGAATGTACAGAATATGTTGAAGAAGTTGTCTCGGCACGCTGGACATGATGCTATGATTCCTTCAGCAAGTTTGAGGTTTCGCCCGAGCGCGTCAATCTGAGTAGTTAGCAGGTGAATCATATCACAAGGTTTGGGGCCTATTTCTTACCTGTTCATCACGGCAACAAACTGGCCCCTCGCTCCACTTGCTACCGCAGAGGTTCACCAGTTTCTCTCGCACGGAGTCCTCCGGTTGCTGCGCCAGGTCATTATCAGGGCAGGGCAGCTCTCCACCGAATATAGATTGCTTCCCACAATGACCGCGAATAGCGCAGCGACCTTTCTCGTGAATTTTGGTCTCACCCTGCGCTCCCACTAGGGTGGGTGCAAGAGAGCCTAATCCAACGATCGTCGCAATGGCACCCGGTAGTCGCATCTTGGATGAAGATTAAGAGTCACCCAGAGACTATGTTCCGAATTCTCAACCGAGATGCCTGGGAGGGTGATGCTCCACTAGCGATCGATGGCCATGCACCCTTCGGTTCGTGTGGGGAAATGTTGCAGTTCGGGGTTCTCGGGGCTGGTGAGAAGAAGAAACGAAATGTCTTGAATTGAGATGACTGTAAATATCGATTAAACTAAGATCAAATCGATATTCTAGGTGGTGGTTAGAGTAAGTAGTAATGGGGAGAGGTGGAATGACAGAGCAAAAGCAAGCTTCCGATGAGTGACGTGAAGGCGGAGACCTGGACCTGGTACATCCGTCCCCCGCACGGTCACACAACGTACGAAGTACTTACTCCGTGGTGAGCAGCGAATCATACCCACTAAACAACCCAATGGGACTCAGTGAGCACTTGGTGGGTACGAAGTATGCTTAATTACTTGGAGAAATCTCGAAGGTGTCTATTGTGCACTGAAATTACACCTAATCTATCCTAAAAGAGCACTCGGCCCTTTGGTTTTGTCTATTGAAGTAACATTTGATAGCTCTAAATAACTAGGCGACGGAGGAAAAAGGAAAAACCGGCAGAAAGGGTTCCAATATTAGCTTTGATTGATCCCACATATTTTGCCCAGGTGTGCCTGACGTTAGTGCGGTACTTATCCCCAATCCCTAATTCTCTGTTCACGGCTTAGTCAAGGCTTTGATTACTCGATGATGGTGCTAAATAAGAAAAGGAAGACTTGATAGGTACCTAGGTAGTAGACAGTTGGAAGAATAGTTAAAAGGATAGCCAGAAAGACACTAAAGAAGACAGTCAAGTAAACCATAAACACTCCCCAAGTCGATGACTACCGGCGTTGCCCAGGTGGAACTTGTTGGTACTATTGTATTCGAAAAACATTTTTTTTTACGAATGTGTAGGATCAATCAAGGCTGATATTGGAAAGATAAAGGAGGGAGTAACTAAAGGTGATTGAAAATAGAAAGCTTTTTGCTGTCTTTCTACTTTCTACTTTGTATTCAAAGACTACGCACAAGCGGGGACCGAGGCTCATGCAGCATTCGCAGTCACATTCACATAAATACATGAACGACGAAGTATGATTTGCCAAAGCCGCCTAGAATGTTCATTTTGAAAAGTTCATAATTCATTCATAATGGATGTGAGAAGTACAGATAACATACATATCACCGACTCCGAGCTATGGCGCGTTCTATGAGCAGGAACTCCGAGCCTCCAGACAGAGACATGTATAGATGTATCTACATCGCCAATCATTCAGTTAGCGATGTGAACAAAGATAAAAAGCATGAAACAACCGAGAGGTATCATGGAATGAGACAAGTGGAAAATTGACATAGCCGTTGCCCAAGCTGGGACATCACAACTGGGCTTAGCGACCTGATTGTGACCTAGAAACCTTCATCATCGGCCTGTTGGTAGATGTGGCGAGAGCGTGTCGGATCTTTGCGCATGGTTTGACCAGATCCTGTAAATCCAACTGGAAAGAAAAGTTAGCGTGGTTGTCGATATCGTGGAAGTAGCCTACCTCGTGCATTAACACCATCACCAGTGCGGAACATGCTGTCCTTCTTGCCAAACTTGCCCTTCCCCTTGGCCTTGGCAGCAAAGTCTTTCCACTTATTCTTGCCTTCTTCCAGCTCCTTGTTCGCCTTGACTTTGCGGGCGGCCTTGGCGGGACGAGGGGGTCCATCATTAGCCAGACTCGGTTCACTGCGGGCCTGAGTTGCCAGGGCAGGGTTAATATCTGCCGCGGCGGAAATCACGCCGGGGGGCGCGGGCGAGGGAGACGCCGAACTGCCTGGGGTTGCATCAGCCTTGCGCTTGCGTGAGTCAGAGCCGGAGATGGGTCGGAGGTCCTTGGCCGTCAAATTTTCCACAGTCGCATATGACTTGAACGACACCAGATAAACCGGGTTGGTTGATGAGCCTGTCATGGAGGTAATCTTGGCTGGGTAAAAGGCTCCGTCGCCAGAGACCCAGCGGGCGAGCACAGTATCGTTAACCGCGAATGAGGCCGGGGCTGGGTGTGTAGGGGCATCTTCGGTTTCGGGCTTGTGGAAGCTGTTCTTGAATCGGTTTTCCTTGGGTGCAGCCTTCGGGGCCGCAGCCTGTTGTTCGGCTTTTTGTTCAGCAATGGCAGTCTCGGTCAAGCTGATGAGTTCCCCAAGTTCAGTTTGAAGACTCGCAAGTTCTGTGTTATCAGGATCGGTCTGCAAGCTGGAGACAACTGTTTCATACTAGATGCGCGTTAGTGGCGACTCGGCGCGTGAGGGGACTGGTCACCTACCTGAAGCTTGAACTCCTTCAGCTCTTCCTCCTGGGCAGCAATGTCAGACATATTGTACGCTCAGTTGATTTATTCACGCGATGGGAAAACAGATGTGGAATCTCAGACGCGTGACGTGAATCGGTGATTGAAATCGGTGATTGCGGAGAACGAAGAGGCCGCAAAATCATACTGCCAACCGGTCACGTGTTTGTTCACCGCCATATCACAAATTCAAGATCATCGTCGATGGTTCATCCACAGAAAAAGGATGTAATATGTCATCTGAGTGTCATTATCAATCTATAAATTTTTAAGTTTACATCTAGTTTACTGCTAATATGGATTTCAAAACTCGAAGGGAAGGGGTATGGAGATTGAGATGTGGCAGTGATGCATTCTACGAGCAGGATTGGTCTGATAAGGACAAAAGCCCAGGTCGGGTAGCCCACTATGGATCGGCGTCGGGAATGCGGTATGCAGGTTAAAACGGGGTCTAGTTACCCCGGAGCCCGGCTTTACGCAGATGCCCGATCCTGTTTCCAAAGTATACTAGAGTGCTTTGTACCTAATGTACTAGGGGAATACTCCGTACTTCGCACATCATTTGGAAAGTGGCAACGTCATCGAATGGTCTGATACTCAGCAGATCTCGGACCGGGGATCACAACGTGGGGCCCCCGAAAGTCGGAGAGCTACAGTACGATGCAGCTCTGTATGAGTGTACATGAGTCACCTGCAGAAGGACATGAAAAAAGCTTAAAGAGTAGTCAAGATCCACTAAAAGAAAATTGAGGGAAATTGAGGTAAGGGACCAATCCCGAGAGAAGTTGATAGACCTCAGGAGCAGAAAGTGAGAGAAGTTCTGGAAGCGTCAAGCTGATTTCAAAGCAAAAGGCAGAAAACTCCAAATCGGTCCGAAACACGGTGATCCTCATCCAATCATATCCAGAACGTCTTCACCGCCTGTGGGTGATCGCCTCCCCCCTCCCCAGTAATACTCGGACGCTGCCATCATCCTCCCGATTAACTTACTTGGTCGCCTTCTCAACAATCAATTAAATTAGTCTGCAATCGGGCTTAGCCACACTCGACCGCAATTTGACTAGCGGGGATTTTTTGTTCCTCGCCTCAGGCCCCTCTTGAGAGCCTCTTGCAACCTCTCTTCCCCCTCCTTCTACACCCGCTTGACTTTTGTACTTGGGATCCCGGTCCTCTACACCCAATCGTATCGCTGGGATATTGTGGCTGGCCATCCTTGACAAGTCAAGCTTACGTTGACCGTTACTATCTTTCGATATTTGTCACGGGCCTGAAGGCCCGGTTGGATCTCTCGTGTTGCATTCTATCTGATCCTGCATATCTGACTTCTATCCATCATTTGGGAGAAATATCTTCATCATGGGCGATTACGACCAACGGTACCAGCAAGGTCTGTACCTTTCTCCAAACCAGCAGGATCTCCTGCTTGCCGCTCTCTCCTCCAACAACCCGAACTCCAAGCGGCAAGCCGGCACTCCCCCGATCAAAACCGACCACTCCCCCGAGCAGTCCTTGAACAGTATCAGTGCCCCACCGTCTGGTGGTTTCGACAATGGCAATGACTTTGGCTATGGGGACAATGAAAGTCCTTATTTGGACTTCAACCCCGATTTGGACTTCGACTTCCCCGGTTCTGCGGACCTGATTGGTGATCTACCAGGGTCGGCCTACGATATTGGAGAAAAGCGAAAGTCTGTTGATGGAAAGTCGGACATTGAAGGCGAGGAGAATGGGAAAAAGCGCAGGGAAAGTGAGGCTAAGAAACCCGGTAGAAAGCCACTCACGTCGGAGCCTACTACGGTATGCCCCTCTTAATGCGGGTCGCGACTGAGCCAGGACTAATCATCCAAAACAGAAGCGCAAGGCACAAAATCGGGCCGCTCAGCGTGCATTCCGTGAACGCAAGGAGAAGCACCTGAAGGATTTGGAAGATACAGTGGAGTCGTTGCAAAAGAGTTCGGACACGGCAAACCAGGAGAACGGCTTGCTACGTGCCCAAGTCGAGCGGTTGCAGGTCGAGCTTCGCGAGTACCGGAAGCGCCTCTCATGGATGGCTTCAGGAACTGGCAATGGCATATCGGCCCTGAGCTCAAACTCCATCCCGAATGCCCCCTCCAAGGGCGCCTACGGTCTTCAGAACAACGAGTTCCTCTTCGACTTCCCCAAGTTTGGTGACCTGCCTGGCAGTCACCTTTTCAACGGCCAGGCCAAGAACGACCAATCGAAGGCCAACGCCACCCCTCGACCTCCTGGTGTTTTGGCTCGTAACAACTCGAACGGTCCCTCACGGTCCAACTCGACCGAGGCGGGGTACACCAGGTCGGATGGTTCCAAGTCCAACGGCACTCCCAACAGCGCCACCTCCGCCAAGGGACCAGATTCTGGCTACAAGTCTTCCTCGCACACACACGACCACTCGACCTCGGAAAACTCACCATCGTCGTCGTCTGACTCTCATCAAAGCCAACTGCTTTCATCTAACGGGACCTCTCCCGAACCCAGCCTGAGCTCACCGGGTGGAAAATACCGCGAGCTTGGACCAGGTGATGCGTGTGGAGGCCATATCACCACCGATGGCGAGAAGTCATTCTGTGAGCAACTCGGCATGGCCTGTGGTAACATCCGGAATCCCATCCCCGCACTCCGGGACGGCAAATCTTTGAGTGTCTCCAGCAATCAGCCAACCCCAACCGACAATGTTGCAGTCGCGGAGGACCCTCAGGACCTTGGAATTGATTGGCTGGCCCACCAGAATGGCGGCCAGTTCGATCCAGTGCTCTTTGGCGACTGGCGAGAGCCTCAGGATGCCGTACTGTCGCAAGACTTCGGCTCCTTCTTCAACGATGCATTCCCTCTGCCGGACTTAGGCAGCCCATCACACAACCTCAGCGAGGTCGCTACTGATGCGCAACCTCAACCGAAGAAGAGCCTCGTTGCCCAAATCGACAGCAAGCTCGATGAAGACGAGGTTGTTCCCGGTGAGGACCAATCACAAATGTTGTCGTGCACAAAGATCTGGTATGTTTTTTTTCCTACCTAGCCTATCAACACAAACTAACATTCTCCAGGGACCGTCTTCAATCGATGGAAAGATTCCGCAATGGCGAGATCGATGTCGACAATCTCTGCTCCGAGCTTCGCACCAAGGCACGCTGCTCCGAGGGCGGTGTTGTCGTAAATCAGACCGACGTTGACGACATCATGGGCCGAGCCAAGTAGTCAAATTTCACGACCCAGCCTTGCCTCGACAAAGGCCTATTTTACGATTCACGGACCCACTCAACTTCGCGCTTTTGTTTACTACGCATACCCACCATCGAATAGTCGTTTATGGAAGGATCACAGCACGGCGTCACAAAGACGATTCAATTAAAATGAGGCCACCTCAACCGGAGGAACGCATCCTCTGTTCAAATATTTTGTCATGAAACAACAAAAAACAAAGCCCAAAAAAAAGCAAAAACAATCCGTATTGATCTTCACGATTGACAATCACTCTTTACTGGAAGATATCAACTTGCAACTTTTTCTCTCCTTTATCATCATATTCTTCTACGCTGTGTTCACATCATTTACAGTTGCGATCTAATTGGTTATCATTGTGGTTTTCAACGCACTCAGCTTGGCGAATGGATATCGGCCTCGTGGCCATCGAATACTTAAATACGGAATGGTGACTTGGATTTTGCGGGACAGGATGGCTTGCGTTGACTATGTCTGTAGATTCTGATTTTTACCTCGTTTGTACACAATTCAAAGGTTTATTCTGGAATCGTGCCAAGCGTATACTATCCACAAGAGGTCCAAGGTTGGGATATATAGAGCCAGCCAAAGGCGAGGTATAAACACTTATAGGCAATATATGAAGTAGCTACGAGGCAACGGACTACAGTTAGACTCCTACATGATTCAAAGAGTAAAGCGAAGCTGTGAGGGTATCGATATGGTGTCCACGGAAATAGAAATAAAGTACACAAAGAGAAAGGGGTAATCTTAAAGTTTTTTTGGGTTGTTTCTTTCTTGAGATGTCCTTTGCATCTTGTCTGTCTTCAACGACCACTCCCCAAGGGCTTACCATAGGACTCAATTCCGAAGTCCAGATTCACACGAAGATTTGTTAGAAATTCTCCCGTGCCATGCATCAGGGAAAACAAACCAAGTGTAACCAAACTCCATAAGTAAAAAGAAGAGACAAATGACGGGATAAAAGGAAGACACAAAGAATTAGAGTATCAAATGTGTGAACACGGGGCGTGTGAAAACAATGCCACCGAAAATGCTCGATAGCGGGAAGAATATGAGACGTAGAAAACTCGGCGTTACCAATTAGGCATCGCCGGAGGCAGCGGGCTTGTCAGATGGGGTGGGAGAGTCGGCAGAGCCGCCGCTCTTGAAGCCACCGCGACCACCACCGCGTCCGCCGCGGCCACCACGCTCACCACCTCCGCGGCCGCGACCGCCACGGCCACCAAATCCACCACGACGAGCGCCTTCGCTGTCACTGGCGCTGTTGTAACCGCGCTGGCCGGGAGTGCCACCACCACGGGTGCTAGCCTGCCAGGTTCCAGCGTTACCAACTCCGCGGTTGGTGTTGGTGCGCTCCTCGAAGTACTTGAAGTTGGTCTTGCGGGGTTGTCCGGGGGCGGAAGACTTCTTGTTCTCGATAGGCAGACGATCCATGGCAGCCTTGGCTTCCTCGGCAGAAGGGAAGGTCACGACATAGTTGAACTTGCCATATTTCTCGACCTTGACGACCTTAGACTTGTCCTCTTCGGGAAGGATGTCACGGATAGATTGCTCGTTGTCGGCGTGAGACACAAAGAACGCACTGCTTGGCTTTTTCTCGGCACGGGGAGCAGGAGATTCGGTCTTTTCATGCGGTCCGGTACCGTTGGTATCGGCAGCGGCCGATTCTTCGCCGGCGGGCTGGGCAGCAGCAGGCGCAGCGGGGGGCCGGGCTAGCTGACTTTGGAATAACAGGAACAGGCGAGGCACGAGGTCCCTTCTGGCCCTGAGGGATGGGTGCACGAGCAGGAGGAGCTTGGCCGAACTGAGGAGCCACGACTGGAGGACGGGCAGCTCCGGTGGGAGCGGGAGAAGCGGTGGTAGCTGGAAGACTGCTGGATACGGGCTGGGGAGCACCGCCTGCCTGGGGCTTGCCGGTACGGTGGGCAAAGTTGAAGCCCTGAGCTCGCATCTCGGTGGCGATGCGACCACCCTCAACCTCCAAGACCAAATATCCGAAAGCAGCATCAGCCAAGTTGAAGTTCCACATGTTCTTGAAAGCGCTCTCATCAACCTGACCAGCCGCATTTCCGGCGGCAACAGGACCACCGAATGGGTTTCCACCGTTGGCAATGGAAGGCATCTTGTTTACCACATCCAGCGCATTCTCCAACAAAGTCTTCTGGCCATCGTTGGAAGAGATAGCGGACTCAACCTCGCCGCGAACAGTCTCCCACACATCGGTGAATGAAGCCTTGGAGGCAGCAAGCTTGCCACGGTAGTGGTCAAGTGACGGGTTGACGGAGAACTCGTTGTATGAGGAGCCGTAACGGAAGTGAAGACCGGCGGAGACAGAGAAATCAGCCTTCAATGTGACGGAAAGCTGGTTCAGCATGCCCTCGCGCGCGGGGGAGGCGTGCGTGACGAAGACACGAGTCTCGGAGGGGTCGTACACCCGATTGGCGGTATCGATCAGCTCTCCCATTTGCAATAGGGTTGTCCACATGGTACCTTGGCCACCCGCGATCGTCGTCTTTCCTTCACCGTTGTCGAATAGCTTGTGCATCACCACGGCACCTCCCAGACCCAGCAAACGCAGCTTCACCCCACCAATATCGAGAAGGCGCGAGTTGGCTTCATCGATAATGTGCAGCTTATCAACCTTGTACTCCCCAGAACGGAACTTCTCCAGCACGCGAACATCTTCACAGGCACCCCAAACTGTGTAAACGGGAACGTCGAGAGTAATGCGCTTATCGAGAAGCATAGAAAGTTCGGAGAGGGGCAGTTGCTCAGGAGGGAAGCGTTGCTTAATAGATTGCTGGGGAGGAACTTGTGCGATAGAACGCTTCACATTCTCAGGGAGGAGGGGAGAGTATTGTGCAACGTGCTTAAGGGTCCTGTCAAACAGTTTAGGTTAGTAAATGCTGTCCTTCACTTTTTGGTGCCCGGTGAGACACAGTCGCGTTGGGCAGCAAAAAATGCGCTAGAATGATCGTATGGTGCACTCACTTATCCGCAATCCGCTCAAGTGAGGTATCATCATAGAAACCAAAGTCACCCGTGTGGATGATATGGTCTGCGCGGGCTTGCTTGGCCAGCTCATTCAGAGACTTCAGGTTTCCTGTAACGCAAGCTCAATTAGGATGCTGTGGCGGAAGAGCTGATTCCCAAGACACGTACCTCGCACGTCCGCAATGCATAGAATTCGAGTAGGTCCGCTCTGAATCACACGGCCATTGTTAGGGAGAAGCGGCGTGGCACCGGGGACGGGGCCCGCAGGCGTGCCATTCTGGAGAGGATAGCCTTGAGGACCGAAGCTGGGGCGGGGCTGGAGATAGTGCAAAGATGATCCAGTTAGCTAGTTGATCAGAAGAAGGACAAGATTCGGTAATCTGGCGCATTCAAAGCTTGGACAAAAGCGAGGGGAGACGATCAGGGAGCAACCTACAGAAGCCATGGGGGTGTCTGGAATTCGGTCGAGGATGGTGGAGGAGAAAGGAAGGGAGATCGGGGAGATGGTTGAAGTATTAAAGAGGGGCGGCTAGACCAAGAACGAAAAAGGAGACAGATGATCAAGAAGAGGACGAAGAATCACTTTCCTGGCGATGAAGCAGGCGTGACATGAGATTAGGTAAGCGGTCAGCGGCCCCCTGGGACCCAAACAATTCGCCCTTTACGGAGTATCTATTGACTTTCTTGGTTTATTCTATGCACGGGATATACCTTGGAAGTAGATCTTTCAAACGAAATTGAGATCGGTCTGCTCCATACATGCGGAAGACTTCTCGACGTACAATTATTATCTTCTTATCTCATAGGCAAGCGTGACTTTGGATACACAATTGCCTTTAAAACCACACCGCATGTCATGATGATGGTTTCTCAGACCTGTCGAGGCGCTAGAGAAGAGCAAAACACAAGCACTGATTCTGATATGATTGGGAAGCAATGTCTCCAGGTCTTCTTTGCTCAAAGAAAAAGTTGAAAAAAGAATGGAAAAAAAAGACCATCGACCGCAGGTCAATGCACGGGGAGGTCGTTATGAGTCTGAACCCGAGCCGAGCTCTAGCAATCAAGGTACACCAAATAAACAGTGCAAGCTCAAGTCAATTGAAAGTGAACTCTTTACCATGGAATGATGTTTGGCCTCCTCGGCGGCAGATCATGGGTGGCTCATACCGTCACTCATTGTGAAATGACCAGGCTAAAATCTACAATCGTTCTCGTGAAGGCTGAGCAGCCCCAAACACGGAGCCAGCCCATGCGACGTCGCTCATCTGCCCTGAACTATCAAAGCTCCTCTGTATGCTTTCCGGCTATATTATCCTTCTCTCCAGGAGTTGAGCATGCTGGATCCATCCTGCGGCAAGCAGATATAGACTGTAAAGAACGAGGCCCCTCAAGTGCGAGCAATGCAAAGTGACCCCCGACGGTAGGTCGTGCTCGACACAAGATAGGAGTACCAGGATCATTTCCTTGCTCCGAAGTTGCGACATATCGGTCAGAAAAAGGCCAATTGTGCTTCCCATTGGTCATGAACGCCCATAGGTCTTCAACAAACTCATCGCGTGTGCTTCTCTCAAAAGTTCCAGCCAGCCACATATTCCAATCCGATTTTGCCCAGTCTTGACGATTGTCGAGCGGAACTCCGTACTCGCCTCGAACAGATGCAAAAAAGGCACTGCTCATCTGATTAGCAGCTTTGGGGAATGTGTCAAGTCCCAGCAGAACATCAGGGAAAAGGTTGTACGGTGTCTTCCAGGTCTCTGGGTAGTCGGGATATTGCAACACGAAATGTGTTTGATTCTGATCTGTTCCCAAGCCCTGCTGAAATATGATGTTTGCATGGTCATCACCAACGCGGGAATAGTACTCGTCCCCACTCATCTGACCAAACGCTTTCAGGCCAACTGCCGCTTTAATTGCAAGATTTGTCTCATTCGCAAGTGGGCCAGCAGCATCGTTCGATGACAGTTGATTGGCAATGTCGATTCCATTCGCTACTAAGTAGTCAGCGTATTTGCGGAAGATCTTCGTGTATTGCGCTATCCATTCCGTGTCACCAGTTGCATGAACATATGCAGCCGCAAGGATCAGGACATTGCCACATTCTTCAATGGGCATGGGCTCTGCCTGTTGATCATCGTGGCCAATAGCATGAGGATAATGAGTCCCGAGGTCGTGAATTGCGTATGGCAGATGCCAACGACCAGCAGCGAGGTACTTCATCACAGGCTCCAACAGCAAACGAATGTAGTCTGGGTCCATAACGTAGTAGATTGGAAACGCTGGCATAATCACATCGATGGTGTTGATGTTTCCGTCGCTAGAGAGCTCTTTGATGAATGCCAACACGGCACTTGTGTTGCGTGAGTCGTTGGGTATAGCCAGGTCAATGCCTCCGTAGGCTTGTCGAGTTGAAAGAGCAAGTATATCTGCATATTTTGACCCCGCGGAAGCTGCAGAAGAGGTGACAAGCTCTTGATCCAGCTTCATTGACTCCAGCAATGCAGTGGGATAGTCATCCAAGAAGAAAGACAGCGCGCTTGATGTGGTTGGGTACTCTGATCGATAATAACCAGTGTAAGGCTCTCCCAGATAATTGATAGCAGCTTCCCTCTCGTATCCGACCACGAAATTGACAGAAAGTCCACCGGTGACTCTACCAAGGTCATGAACCAGTGCAACGACACTTCCATCGCTCCAGCTATCTTCGCCGCGAAGCTCACCATTTTCAACGAAAGTCCGTCTTACGTCCTCCGGTGCACCTGAAAGAGCAGACAAGGTCGTAAAATTCGACGGCCGAGAGGCCAAGATAGCCGAGCCCCAAAGAGCCATATCATCAGCTTCTTCATAAAGCGTTGCATCTTCAACCGTAAGTGAGTAAATAGCGAGGCCATCTACCGCCTCGAAGTCACACAGCGATCGACTTTCCCGGCCAGTCCATCTGGCATCAATATCCGAGTAAACTTGAATGCTGTGACCACGCGACTCAGACACGTGAACAGTCAAGTAACCTGCAATCGTTAGAGAAAAACATATTTGCCTGTTATAAACAACCTACTGAAAGGAAGTGATTGTCTCAAATAATTCGATGGCGAAACAGGCGACAGAAAGTCCAACGTCACCGCCACAGGTCCAGCGACAAGATCGAATACCGTGTGAGTAGCGGTAAACTCAGCACGGCGCACCTTGGCGGGGCGAATCAACTTGTCATCAGATTCAGGTACGCCCATCAGACTGTATGCCTGGCCATCGACACGGACAATCACAGACCATCCCAGTTCCTGGCCTGCCCAGAATTGAGGCTCAGAAATGGGTAGCTGCTGGACTCGATCGCTTGGCATCCATGCTGATAGATAGGGATTGCGGACTGCTAGTGGATAAGATGGAGGCAGTACAGGGTGGTGTGTGACCGAGCTTGGCTGTTGACCGAGGAAATAGAGCAATGAAGCAGAGAGGGAGCTTAGCCCCAGGCCGCTACCAAGCATTTTCAACAATGATTTTGTTTTCAAATGCTGTGTGGTCAAGTCTTTTGCATGGGTTTCAGTGGATTTGGTTGTTGCTTCTAATGAAAGTCAAGGATGCAGTGATACAGTTATCAGATGGCCCCTTGGCCTGCCGATCATTCCACGTCATTAGTATCCACTGCCATGCAACACCATTCTGCGCTCAGGCCATGAGGGGATTTAACTAGTCTGGTCTAGTTCATGGTGCCTTTTGCTTATGTTTCACGTTTCTATAGAATGACCAAAGGAATTCAATTCAATGTTGTGGACTTGTCCAACACTGTCACTTGAAAAGACAAAGTAAATAATCATAGCATTCATCTAAGTGTGTTCATGTTTTTTATTTCAAATCTCAGCTGAGACTTAAAGCTGAGCCTTCTCGATGCGTCGACCAATCTCGTCAAAGTGAATCTGCTTTCCTGATACAAGTGCCTCTTGGAGGTATGAGCCAATCTCAACCGCCTTAACAGCATTGGTCAACTTCATCGGAAGAGGTGTGTTATCCAAGCAAGCGGCAGTGAAGTCATTCGCCTCCTGGACGAAAGCAGGGCTAAAGCGACCCATGAAGTTGTGGGGGATTTCGCGAGTAATACCTCCATTGTGGTAGTGGTTCACAAAGTTGCGCTGGGGGTTTCCGTTGACAGTCAACTTGCCCTCCGTACCAATGATCTCAGTGGTATCCTCCTGACCGGCGGCCATCATGCGCGAGCAATAGTAGTAGGCGATCTTGCCGTTCCAGAACTCCACAATTCCCACAGCATTGTCGTAGTCGTTGTATTTCTTGAGCTCGGGCTGCACGGCAGTGATGCCGTGAGCGGAAATGCTCTTGGGAAGGACTTCGTCTCCAAAGAACCACAGACTGAGGTCGATGTCGTGGACGGACATGTCGACAAAGACACCGCCGGACCAGGCAGCGTATTCAACGTAGAAGCCTGAGGGGTCGAACTTGTCGCAGGTCTGACTGCGAATAATGGCTGGACGACCGATGAGACCCTGCTCCATCTTGGCATGGGCATCGCGGTAGGAGTCATCAAAGCGACGAGAGAACCCGCACATCACCTTAAGATGAGGCTTCTTCTTAGCAGCTGTGACCACTGATCTGCACTATCAACAGAGTCTTGTCAGTATGCGAATATTTCTAGCAGGGTTCCAAGTCTTACCACTTCGACATCAGTAGACAAGGGCTTCTCGCAAAGCACATGGAGGTCTGCCTCAATGGCCTTGATAGCCTCTTCGGCATGCACAGAGGTGGCAGTACCGATGGCAACGGCTTGGAGACCGGGGTGCGTGAGCATCTCATCGTAGTTGGTGTACAAGGTCACACCGTGGGGCTCCAAGTTGACTCTGCCCCATGCAATCTCGCCAGCGTCGGGGGTGAAAGCCGCAACGAGCTCTGCGCGAGGGGTCTTCTGAAGGAAGTTGATTGCGTGAAGCTTGCCAACGCGGCCAAGGCCGGCCATACCGACTTGAAGTTTTTGAACAGGCATTGTGAATGTGGGATTGAAGGACTCTGGTTCTCTGGATTGCCTGATGGGCCCTCAAGGGGGTTTAAATAGCTGAGCAAATAGCAGCAAATCCATGTTCACGATACCTCCAGAGGTGTAGGGCAAAAATTCCCGTACGAAGACCAACTTGCAGACGGAAAGAATGTCCTCTCGGGACGAAAAGGGTAAAGACTGGGGAACGGGGGATCGGCATTTCCCCGCACTCAACGGAAAGAATTTCCCCTCAACACACAACGGCAATGTCTGCAAGGAGAAGACGTTTGGTGGCAGGCTGGTAGGTCTCTCCGTGAATTCATAGATCGACGCTAATTGTTTCTAGCCAACGATGTCGTGGTAAGTGGTATATCCTGCTGGAATTGGCCAATCGCTGATCGCGCAGAACGGCATCTTAAATGTAGGGGCATCAAGAACCACCCAAGTCATTTACTTACTAGGACAGGTGATCTTGATGATCTGGGCTGCGGGAATTGTCAACAGGCTGGGGTCGATTGTGACCGAAGCAACATCCGATTTCGCAATGGCTTGTCTCTCCCCGAAGAGCCCGAACTTGCATTTCCTGACCAAGCCTCCTGGCCCCAACTGCATGGCAGAGGTATGTTATGAGATTTCTTTTTTCCAGGTAGCTCTAACGTTATTGTTGCAGTGCGTTTCCACAATGAAACAGCCGAGATCGCAAGTCTTTATTCAACGGAGGACCAGCCCACGTTCCTCGAGAGTATAGTATTCGAAGCACCTGAAGTTATAGGGGACTCACTATACACAAACGCATCCAGTGCACTCAATCCATTGACAACCGCTGTAGCGAGTCATTCGTCATCTGTTTCGTCGTGGTCTTCTCCGTCAACCCAATTAAGAGCTTCCTCCAAGGTTCGGCATCCGCTATCTGAAAGGGAAGCTATTTTGATGAGGAACTTCGTCGAGAACATGGCCTTGTGGGTATGTATCTTTGAGCAACAATTATAGCAGTTGTTAACTCAATCTAGGCTGATATTACAGACCCGCAGAGACATTTTGAAACAGAGGTCTCAGTCCGGGCATTTAAGGAACCGGTCTTGCGCTATGCCATCTTCGCATTTTCTTCTCGTCATTTGAATAGAAAAGATAACAGCGATGCGACAGAGGCACTTCAGCATCACAATTGCTGTGTTCAATTACTAATTCCAGCCCTTTCTGGGCCTCGTGATAATATCACAGAGGATATCCTTGCTGCAGTGGCTATCCTCCGCCAGCATGAGGAAATGGACGGTATGCATTGAACCCAATATGTCCTGACTAAAATCTCACTGTGATAGGGGAGGATAACCAGTTCCATCTCACTGGCACAACTCATATCCTCAACACGGTATCCACGTTTGGATCATCGGGTGGTCTAGGCGAAGCTGCGGCCTGGCTTTGTTTGCGACAGGATATATACATCTCGCTGACCAGCCAACAGCCCCTGCGGACTGACCTGCATAGCTTTCACCACTCGGATGTATTTCAGAGAAATGACGACTTTGCATGGTCCAGCCGGATGGTTTTCCTGCTGGCAAAAGTTGTTCAGAGCGCCTTCACCGACCCCACCATGGCCCACGGCGTCCAGCACGAGATAGAAGAGTGGTACTCCAACAAACCCGACACTTTTAATCCCGTTCGATCGGCCCCGCGAGGTCCGGAACCAGACCGGCGATTCCCGACGATCTGGCTGCTGCTACCCGTGCACGGTACATGATCCTAGTCAATCCCCAAGCGAAGCATACGCAAACTGACATGAGCACAAACACCTGACAGTCATCGGCATCCAATACTATCACATCGCCAAGATCCTCTTGGCGCTTTCAGAAGCCCCGCAGGCATCTTCGGCCTATGAGAGCCTACGCCACTCTCGGGTAGTGGAGGTTCGTTGCAAAGTGCCATATTCATGCCTGCGAGGCGAGCCGCTCACACAGGATATAGAAACATGTGCGGCATCACCTGCTCACGGTGTTGGGGTTGGCGCAGTCAAACAGCAGAGCGGAGAACACGTTGTTCACTGCACGACATAGTCTAGTGGCTTGTGAGTTATCGACGATCCCCCGGGTTTGTGTAATGTATTAACTTGGCAGGGGGTTGGGTCCTTCGGCATCCCCTGGATCAAAGCGCGGCGGAGTCATTATTGCAAGCCATGGATGCAAGGACAGGATGGAATATGGACACGCTAATTCAAACTTTGCGCGCGCAATGGCAGGAGATGGAGGGTGAAAATTGAAGGTCATTGGCATCTCAGCCGATGTCCGGAGTACGGGATTTCCGACCAGAAACTCCGAGTGAAATTAGGCGAGGCACATGACCTCTTTGTTCAGAAATCTGTTCAGCAGCAGAAGGGGCAAAAAGAACAGACAGGAACAGCAGAGGCGAGAGGGGGAGCATAGCGATCCCTATGTCATTGGGAAACATTGGGAAAGGGGTCTACGTAGGCCCGCCCCACCACTTCTCCATTTTAAATCCGCATGGCCCCTGGGGATCGTCATTGCATTGTACCTCCTGTCAGACTTAAAGTCGCCTGTCATCTCTGTTCTGCAATTCTTTCTCTTCTGAAGAAAACCACAACTCTATACGAACATCAGCACAATCAAGCCGAATTGTCTCAGACTCTCAGACTCTCAGTTCGTCGCCCCCGCAAATCCACCCGCTAGTGCCAACGGGACCCTCTTCCCCAGACCTCGGATAGCGTATCACGCGCGACTTTTGGTCTCGATAAAAAGCCTCGCTTCTCGCTGCTCGTTATTCGCAAGCAAACCGCATTATATATACAATGGACACTCAACGCATCGCAAAAGAGCGCGAAAGCATTGCCTACACGGCCCTTCCACTGAATGACCCTACTCCCTTCGACTCTATCTGCGCTATTCCCTATTCCGATACTCCACTCAAAGCCGCGTCAAGTCCCGTCCCGCCCTCGTACAACGACGTCAGCGGCCCGGTTATCATAGACAAGGACGGGAAGCCACAATTCCTCACACCGGAGCAAGAGGTCGAGCGCCAGCATCGATTGGAGACTGCGGTGCGCGAGAAGATGCTGGGGTTACCACGCACAACGACTTTTGAATGGCACCAGGGACCTTCATCTTCGGTTTCTGAAGAATTACAATTACCACCCTACACGCCCAAAGAGGAAAAGGAATGATTGTGTTTTGTCGTGCATGCATTAGCCTGTTTTCTTGTTCCTGCTTTTCATCTGTGTTGTGTTGTGTGTTTTTTTGGACTATTTTTCGACTGTTGAATACCCACTGTGTATGAATGGAGTTAGGTACATCGCCCGAGGCAGATGAATAAACATCGTGTACGATTGTGAATGCACCGAGTTCGCCTTTTTGATTTTGGTCGTAACTACCTAAGTTTTGTACAATGCGTATATACACTAGCTGCGGAAGAGTCTCAGGCCTCCTTCCTCGCGGTCGGCATCGTCCTCTTCGTCGCTGCCGCTCTCGTCACCCTCGCCAAGGAGACCACTGGCAGATCGGCCAAGCAAGGAGGCGAAGAGTTCGTCGCGTGCGCGCGTGCTCCACGACCCACGGTCTTCGGGGGCCATGAAGTTCTGCAGCTTCTCATGCACGGTGTACTTCATCTTGCGGCCCTTGGAGGCACGGGTATCGATATCTCGCTTGACCTTGTCGTTACGCATACCGGTCACAGGGTGGATGGGCAGACGGGTGGGCAATTGATGCAGGTTGTCAAAGCCACTGGTGGCGCCGTCGGAGCCGGTCATGCGCTGCTCGACGAGATCGCGGAGAAGAGACTGGTAGAAAGCACTGTCGTCGAAGAATGACTCCTGTTGGTCCGAGCGCGAGCGCTTGGAGGGACGTTCACCGACTTCCGATGCGACCTGGGCGTCCAGGACTGCTGTGATGGTTTGCTGGCGACTGGCGGAGCCAAGCAATTTACCCCTGCTGTTGGGGAGGGCGGCAGAAGTGCCCCGAACCTTGGAGGACCACTTGTCGAGAATGGAGCGGCGATGAGGAAGGGATTCGGATTCCACTTCATTCATGCGTTCCCAAAGGGAGGCTGTAGGGGTAGTGGGGGATACAGGGGAAGGCCTCTTGCGCTTTTTGCTTCCTTCTTTCGCAGTAGCGTCAGCCAGGGCAGTGCGAAGACCCTCGAGAGTAGACCATAATGCCATGGCCGCGGACTCTGCAGACTTGATCGCTTCTTCGTCAACCTCTTCCTGCTCGGTCGCATTCCCTCCCTCCTCACTGCTCGCCCCCAAAACAGCGTGAATACCATTGATAGACGTCAACCCGCTCTGCAGCTTGATACGAGCATTCAGAAGCGCATCGAAAGTGGTACGTTGTTGCTTGACAGCCTTTCCCTTGGTGGCATCGGCCTTGGCCGCGGAGGAAATGGTAGCTGCGATAGTTTTCTGATCAGTCGCCATCAGTCGTCGAATCTCGTCGCGGTCGCCGGAAACCTCGCTATGTTTGACAGCTGGAGACTTCTTGTTGGATTTCTTCCGTGGCAGATCCTCGTCGGACTCCTCGCTCTCGTCGTCTTCTTCGCCCTCTTCGTCCTCGTCGGAGTCCTCCTGAGCCAATGCATCCTCATCAATAGCAGAATCGTCGGAGTCGATTGCGGAGATATCGTCTGAGCCTTCTTCCTCTTCCTCCTCCGAACCGCTTTCGGAGGCCTCGTCGCCGTCACCAGAACGAGCAGCGAAAGGGTCATCATCACTATCCTCTCCTAAGGCATCGCGACTGACGCGAGCACCATCATACTGTTTTCCAAGGGCCACGGGGTCGTCGTTGCGGAGTTTTGCTTTTCTGTCCGATCATTATAATTAGCGTCTTTTGATACCAATTCGATACCCATTTTCACATACCCTACTTTCTCGTAGTGCTCCCGTCCAGTGTTCACTTCCTCGTCATCTCCACTCTCCTCGTCGCTCGACTGTGCGCCATTGTCGATGTCTTCGGGATCGAAGTCTAGCGTAGATAGCAGGTAAGCATGGGGTCTTCAGGAATTCGTAGGTAATGCAAATTTACCTTTAGGGGTAGGGTCTTCGAAATCAGCGAGCTGATCAGCCAGCGAGCGAGCTCCGCGTGGTTTACCCATGATGTTGATGTCTTAAGAGAAGAGCCTGGCGAGCAACTTTTTTTGTTGGTTTTTCCGGATAACGGATCAATTGTCCAATCTAGGACTAGCCTCATGTAAGCGGTCTCGATCCGCGCGCAGCGAGGCGGGCGGTCTGCCTTTATGACGGCAGTATATGCATCTGCGCAAATAACCGCCTGGGGACGTTCAATCCATTGACACCCATTTTCTCATTATTAACATAGCCGATTGATATGCTAGTCTCACCAATTAGGGTCACTGCGCCTTGTGTGAGGCTGTTCTCTACATGTCGAGCTTTGCAGCATGATAATCCATTGGTGAGTCTTTCTATTCAGAGCTTCTGCATAGCTTCATTTCAATGATAGCTTGTGCTTGAGCTCAATTATATGGGCCAGCAAGCCCCAAGGCATATATTGATTAACTTTACCAGGGACTTCCCAAGTCTGGTACCCCTCCAGCATTCCGTTCGCGCCGTGGGATGCCGCAAAAGCGCAAGATTCGCGATGTCAAGAAAGTGGTTGCAGTGTCATCGGCGAAAGGTGGAGTAGGAAAATCAACAATAGCAGGTAAATGAAACTTGTTCCTCTTGATTCCACGCCAATTTTTTGCAAAATACTAATTCAACCACTAGTTAACCTTGCACTGTCGTTTGCACGTCGTGGTATCAAGACCGGCATTTTGGACACTGACATCTTTGGACCTTCGATTCCAACACTTCTCAACCTCTCCGGGGAACCACGCCTGGACGAAAGTGAGCCCCGGCCAGTTACCCAGTACTATGTCATTCAATACTCATGATTCTCCAGACGATTGTCTCGTTCCTCTCACAAACTACGGACTAAAGTCCATGTCCATGGGCTACCTACTCCCTCAAACCCAATCCGACAGCACAACAGGCGAAGTGCCCATGGACTCAACGCCAATCTCCTGGCGCGGACTGATGGTAACGAAAGCCATGCAACAACTCCTCCACTCCGTCTCGTGGGGCCCACTGGACGTTTTGATTCTAGATCTGCCACCAGGCACAGGCGACGTCCAACTAACGATAAACCAAGAAGTTGTCATTGACGGTGCCGTGATCGTCTCAACGCCCCAGGATATTGCTCTCCGCGACGCTGTCCGTGGAATAGGCATGTTCCAGCGCATGGAGGTCCCAGTTCTCGGCATGGTCCGTAACATGGCGTTCTTTGCCTGTCCGCAGTGCGGGCATCAAACACGCATTTTTTCACACGGAGATAGCCACCACCACGAGCATGGTGAGAACCACGGCGTTGTAGCTGAGTGTAAGCGCCTTGGAGTGGACTTCTTGGGCGATATCCCTCTCGATGCCCGTGTGTGCGAAGATGCCGATAGGGGCATGCCGACTGTTGTTGCAGAAGAGAGCGTTGAGCGCAGTGCTAGGCGCGAAGCTTTCCTAGGTGTCGCCGAACAGGTGGCCAAGAAGATTGGTCTTGATTGGCGCTGAACAATGACCTGGCTTGTTCAATATGGCCCCAAGTCACTCAGGCGTGACCAAGGCGTTCACGCTTAATCTATGTACAAATAAATCTGAAACCTCATATCAAAGCTGCCAGCTGATAAATCATCTTTCATCTTAAAGTATTAGGGCCCTTCGGATGATTTTTCCTCTCAGCTACCGTGCCACCATCGCCTTTTTATAAGACACTGGCTTTTGTCACATTTCTGATTGCTGCAAATTTTAAGAAAAAAATAATTTGATTTCAAAATGGGGTATAGATCGTGTACGTTGTTCGACTTATGAGGCCGACAATAAGCCCCTAGGTCGTGATCAAGATCGGGTATATCAGATATAGAAGAATGAAGATCAAAGAAAAATAAAAGATGCTCAAGGTTCAGAGCTCCAAAAAGGGACGCGTTTGCAAGTGGTCCAAATATCAAAACATTAGAAGAAAAGTCAGAAACGAAAGATGATGGAGGTTTGTATCCAAAAGTGTCAAAAAGCAGGACAGAAATAAATAGCAAAATTTCTTATAACACCTCTTCCGCGGTCTTGAAAACGTCCCTCTCGGGCATTTCAGGGCGATGCGATGTTGAATCCCGACCAGCCGCCGAGAAAACGGAAAGAGTGTCTGTGGAGCGACGAGCATTCTCACCAGCCATGATATGAGCCGACACTCCCCTAGCACCCATAACAGCACGGGTACTAGCTGCATCAGACGCCGTGTTCATGTAAGCAACAGAGTCCTTGTCGCCGCCAACGGTACTGGCAGTATCCGACATGAATTCACTTCGGCCTGTGGTTGAGCCTGCAGCAGATGATGGCCGGTATCTGCTTTGCACAAGTGATACATCCGATTTCATAGGCAGAGAGCCTGCCGCATGGAAGAGAGCCCGTGTACTGGCATTGTCGTCCGTAAATTTGTGGTTGTTCACTTCAGGTAAAATAAGAATGGGTGCAGAGTTGGTCTGAACAGATGCCCGCGAAGGTGCTTCGGGGGATGTGCGGCCATCCGAGAAGGTGCCACCATTGGGATGTTCCTTTTCATCCCAGGTGACGGCCGAAGTGCCCGCTCGGGGCTTGGTCTTGGAGGCTTCTGGCTCACTCTTTTCATTTTGGGTGTTTAGCGCTGGTGTGCTAGACCATGCCCCCGCCTGGCTGGCATCGACGCTGGTACGAGTCGACGGCCGACCTGACTGCTGCGCCTGGGATTGCCTTTCCATTGTGCGCTCATCATGCTTACTTCCCCAGCCGCTCCACATCATCATACCATAATTCTTCTTGGCACGAGGTTTGGGGAGGACGCCAGGAGCAGCCCGACGAGCTGCCAAGGAACTTGGGGGAGGAATTTCTCCCTCGAAATCCTGGAAGCCATGAGCGAGCTCTTTCATCCGCCGACTCTGGACGCGAAGCTTTTCTTTGGAGAATCGGATATCCCATTCCTGCTTTGCGTTCAACCACTTTTGAATGAGTACTGGGTTGATAGCACCGATTTGGGAAGCGGGGAGATCCAAAACAGGGTAGGATGATGGGGGGTCAAGTGGGAAGGCTTGGCCTCCTTTGTCGATCCGTTGGCGTATCATGTGGTCTTGAAACGCTGGAAGGGGGTCACCGGCTCTCCCAACAGACTCCGGCCCTGGACCTGGCACTGTTTTGTTCAGGGCAGACTGGGGACCCAAAGATTGATCACCTTCCGAGCTACTCGATGAGGCCGGGGATAACATGATATCATCTTCAATCTCAATCTGGCCATTTTGCGCACGAGCCAACGCCCAAGATCCAAATTGGGCGATGGATCGGAACATATACTTCGCTGGTTGCGTGAAGCTCAATGTAGGCGCCACATGGCAAAGGTGGTCCCAGACCTGAAGTTGCACATACGTGGGCTCATATTTGTGCAAAATTTCCCGATTCGGGTCGTGTTCATCAAGATAGACATCAGCAGGCGGATACGCTGTTGGATTCGCAGCCTTGTGGGCAATGTAGAATTGCTCATCACGAAGCATCTCACCACCGCCGCTCAATATTTGCAGTGGAGGGAGGCCACCTAGAGAGGGCTGCAGGACTGGAGAAACAAGAGGGTGGGACATGAGTTGGTTTGTCGTATACATCTGGATTTGATCCTTCAATTCTACCGTCTTTCCATCCAAAACGACATGGATATTATCGGGTTCGGCGTGTAGGGTGCCGGGGTTTGGGTTCTGCTGCTGGCCAGGGTATGCAGGGTCAGCAGGAGGAGGGGCGTTCTCATGAATAGTGTAACCTCGGACAGCGGTTTCTTCGGCGTCACTGTTGGGTGCAGGGATTGCATTATTCACATCCTCAGAGGTGACGGTCTCCTGCTGAGACATTCTCTTCATCTTCAACACATCATCTGCATTGGGAGGAGGCCAGGCGGTCGAAGGTTTGTGACGGAAGCCATACGGCGGAATATAGTCTCCAGGGTTGTCCGCAACAATGCTAGGGAAAGAATGGGTCAAATCAACCCAAGGAGAGATCAGAATGGCACCTGCGGGCAAAGGAATGCCCTGATCACGCATGATGACCAGCATCGAAAGAGCCAAACCTCCGCCAGCAGAGTCACCGGCGATAATGATTTCCTTTGGCTCATGGGATTTCAAGAGCCAAAGGTATGCTGCCAAGCAGTCGTGCAGACTACACGGGAAGGGAAATTGTGGTGATAGTCGATATTCTGGCGCAAAAAGACGAGCCTTAAGCTTGCGAGCATGCCGCTGCATCATATACCGATGAGTGTCGACACTGCCAAAGAAGTAGGCACCGCCATGGACATACAGCATCACACGATTGCAGCGCTTGTTGGCCTTCTTGGTCTCATTATAATGGTTTCGCATCTCGATCCACTCTCCCTTCAGGTCTTCAGCTGGCCCGCGCCATTGCCACCACTTCTCTCCTCCAACACGTATAATACCCTTTGGGCCAAGCTGTTTGTTGACCGCATCTGCAGCAGAGGAGAGGAACTCGGCGGGGATTGTAATGGCCTCAGTTCTCACCCAATGAGGGCTGGGCACCCACTGTCGGGTGAACGCCTGGAGGTCTTCAACGGGATGCTTGGATGCATATTGCAAGAATGAGCGGACAATCTGGATCCCTTCGTCATAGGTGATATGCACGGTAGGTTTGTTGTGCAACGATTTGCGATTTAAGTACTAAGTCACGCGCTCTCAGTGAATGGACCACATCTTTCTCGAATCAGCACTTACATGAGTGACAAGAGTGTGGAGAACAGTCGGAGTTAAGACCGCACCAAGTGCGACCGTATGCAATGGCATAATGGTTGATCTGATCGCGAAGCGATCTCGGTGTCAATTGAGCCAAGGAATAAGCAAAGAAAAAAGAAACGGCGCCTACACCGGTGTGTTAAGGAGAGAATGAGAGGTCAGAACAAGTTGATATCAATGGAATTCCCATAGACACAAGACAGACATAAAGAGGAAGCGAAGAGTCTCCGAGCGAAAGGCTGTTTGTCGGAACGAAAAGCGACAGGGGCATTCCCCAGATGACGTCACCGTTGAAGCCATCGCCGATCTTCTGTTGAATCCGTCTTCACCTCTTTCACTATTTCATGCTCCTTGCTCGTTATCTGCTATCTCGCTGCTATCAAGCCTACGCAAGACGTCTCCTCGGTCTCCCAACCCAACTAACAACAGCAATGTAAAACACCCCAATGATTCCAGCAACCACGCTGGTCGCAATGATAGCCCCACGCGGCCCTTGCGCCAGCTTGAAGCCAAGCCCAGCATTGATCACCCCTAAAATTATCATCGTCCTTCCAAACCATCGGTGTGTGTATGCAAAGACACCCTTTCCGCCTGTTTTGCGGAAGTATCGATGCTGCAAGACACCCATGGCAGGCTGGAAAAGCACAAGACTCGCGACAACAATAATCCCAATGATCGCATGATAAGAGTCCACCAGCTCGATCTGTCGTGCCAGTGAGACACCGACTCCGAGGCCCGCAATGATGACAGCCAGTGTAAGCAATTGGAATGTCCCATGGATGTTCACTGTCCACTTGGAGGGGAAGACATGAAGTCCCAGCGCGAAAAAAGGGAACATGATCACGAAAGCCAAGACCATGAGCACAGCATGCGCTGTCTTTTTGCGATTGATGGTGTCTCGGATAGACACAGATGTGGGATCCTCTTCCGCAGATGATACAGATGCTTGGCCCGACTGAGCAAACGGATTCTCCGAGCTGCCGCCGGTTGCCTTTGTCAAATCGATGGAAAAAACACCATTGTCGTCGTGTTGGCTGATACCCTCGGACACACTGCTGGAGCGGAGCGATTGGCCATACTTGACAGCCCAGATCCATGAGCTTGAAGAACTATTCACGTTTTCTGACCCCCCACTCCACTTGATGCAGGTATCACATCGGAAATTAGCGGTCGTGACTCTGTTGTGCACACCGCTGCCGTTGAGCATTATGATCTGGGCGTCTTTGTTATACAAAGGTTGAATTTCACCAACGCCCGACCGCGGAGAAACAGTAACGTTGTTGTCAGATGTATAGACTACAAACATATTGGAGCCAGCCATCTGTCTTCCCTGGCCCAAGGCAAACCACTCGACCTGGCGCGTGACATTCATCTGGATGAATATAGGACCAGAGCCGGTCGAGGAGGTGTTATCTGGTACATTGATGCTGTAGGTGATGTCATCGTGGCCTCTGGGATGGAAGCTGTGCACTTGGCCTAGTACAGGAACGGCTAAAAGCCAAGTGAAAGTATACCGAAGCATGATGCTAGACTGAATGGCACTTTTTGCCCATCTACCGGGGAGTGATCTACTCAATAAATAATTATGACATTTCTGCTGATTGTTGCACGGCTGGCATCTCAACCGGGCTGGGCAAGCCAAGACCTTGGTATGGCAGATCGTCGTCACTCCTGTATACCCGCAGGGGTGGACGTTCAATGACACCCGTCAAATGCTTTGAAATGGCATTTTCGCAACATGCCTATTGGAGAAAATTGGTTTGCCTATCTTCGTTCTCGTTTTCGCGAGCCCCATGAAAGTCAGATTGACCCGTATGCTGCGCCTCCACGTTCTGGAACATCACTCGGCCGTGGCGTCGACCCAGCCTGAATGGCCGGAGCGACCTAGGTAAGCTGGCTTGGCCCTTTGAACGCGGAGTAGCTTTCTCTTGAGTTTAGTCTTTGTTTGGATGTGGGGTTTCAATTCATTCAGGGTCCAATGTTTTTCTTTGTCTTTTTTAGCCACGATACTTAAGCTTTATGGACATTAACTATATCGAGTATAGCGACGGGTTGCATTCCTCAGTAGGTTTGACTCCATTGTTTAGCTCGTGGCTATGCTGTCTCTCATCAGGTGTACCGGCATTCTTGATTCCAATAACAATAGGCAGACCGGTGATAGAGTTCTACAACTGAACCCCAGAGATAAAAAGATCTAAGAGCCCATTGATCTACAAGCTAGCACGCAATCGACAGCCCTTCTTACAGAATTTACGAACAATGAAGGCATCTCATTTCATTCTCGCAGTGCTGCCGCTCATCAATGCCCAGTATGGGAATGCTGGTAAGACAACTAGCGCATCTTCGACCGCAGCATCGGCACCAAGCACTATCCACAAAGTTGATGTCGGCGAAGATGGTTTTACATTCGATCCAGACACCTTGAATATTCCACCAGGGGAGTCAGTTGAATTTCATTTCTACCCGCAGAACCATTCAGTGGCTCAGGCTTCCTTCGACAATCCCTGCCACCCCGCCAATTCCACCAGCTTCTCCAGTGGATTTCTTCCTACCACACAAGAGTCTGTAAGTGAGCTTGAGAATTCCTTTCTCGTTCAATGCCTGAGCCTACCAGAAAACCGTCTTCACTGTGACTATCAATGACACAAGGCCGATTTGGTACTACTGTGGTCAGGTTGGCCACTGCCAAGCTGGCATGGTAGGCGTCATCAACCCACCGTAAGCGTATCATATATTCCTATGACCTGCTAGCTTACTTTCTCTTAGCTCTAATGACCAGGAAACCCTTGAAAACTTCAAGCAGGCCGCAGCAAATACAGATGGTAGCACTATACCTGCAACTGTGCAAGGCGGCCTGCTTGGCGAGACCAAGGAGTCTACAAGTAGCACGACGACTCAAGCAACGACTCAAACAACCAGACCTACTGTCTCCCCAACTAGCTCAGGAAGCAGCATTGCGACTGCTGTAGGTATGGCAATCGTCATGGCTCTGTCGTGTTTTGTCTCTTTGGCCATGATATAAGCGATTCAAGCTCGATTCTGTGACCTTAGTCCAGGTTGAAATCTTTCCAATTTTGATGCAGTGTTTTAATCTCTTACTCGGATTAGGCTTTATTGTTTGAATTTGATGGAAGTACCTGGATGAACTAGCCTCCTGAAACGGCCTTTGTGGCTGCATCACTGTTTCCTAATTTCATTTCTGCAAGTTGAAGGCAAGATTGAGCAAAGGGAAGAGCAAATTGATGGACTGGGGGAACGTACACTTTATTATGTTTTTATTTTCTATTGATCCATTTACTGGCACGTCTGGAGTTACAGTAAGCGTTTACCTAATTGACACTCATATCCATGGATATGGAACCCAAGGATACAAAATGAGATTCAGGGAACTAGATGAAAGAACTCAAGTAAAATTAGGCGAGCTAGAAGCTTCATGCACACCAGCTTTGATACAATATAGTTTCTTCGCGGATCTGAACGGTTTGGCCACGCGTGAGGGAGGGAGGCTATCAGTTGTCAACAATTGGCAATGCAAGTGCTGATCACAAACTTCAATTTACTTGCCAAGCACGGGGTCTCTTATTGTAGCTTGACATAAACTGATTACTCAAAGAGGTCGTGCAAAATTCAAAGATGCAGGCCTTAGAGATCGTCGCTTTGTAAGGTGCTTCATTGGCCCCAACATCCAACAAAACCCCATGCTATCCAAGTGGTCTGGCCTTGGCGGTCTACACGGTACTCGTCTGTCACTGTAGATCTCGGAAAATTGACTCAGGAACCCGAATTGAAAGACTGAAAAGCTTCTCCAAAGGTACAGTGGGATGTTGTCGATCCCATTGTGCCTTCCTTGGCACCGCCAAAGGTCCCCGAACTTCGAATTAGCGAGCGAAATGGATGGGTATAAATATAAGGGTCAATGCAGAGCCAAGGAATGTGTGATCTCAATCAAGCGACAATGTTCAATAAATCTGTTCTTGCAGTGGCCGCACTGGCGCTCGTCCAGGGTGTTCCCGGGCTAGCGAGAGCGACAGACGAACAGGAAACGGTCCGAGTGACGACGTCTGAAACCATTCGACGTGGTGAGCTTGTCAATATTCATTTGGATTGGCTTGATCATAGCTCTAGCACCATTAAAGCCATTTACGCCTCGTGTGATGGGCAAAATTCCACCAAAAGTGGACAGACCATTGGCCGTTTTTCAAGTCCCGGCGAGCCTCCCCAAAGACTGGCTTGGGCAGTGCCGGATAATGCCCCGACAAACCAATGCATCTACATCCTTGGCTCTGATGATCAACTCAGACCTTCAAGAGTTTTGGGCAAAAGCGATCCTATCCCTTTGCAGAAATCGCCCATGAAACGATCAACAGCAGATTCCAACATCCCACTGCTGAAGAATTTTGATGCCTTGGGAGCCTGGTTTGATGGGGTTGCCAAAATCAAGGAAAAGGTGAAGCAGGGTGGAGGAGTGGCTTCGAAAAGCTCCCCCAAGAACACTTCGATCGCTATCGTGGGAGGTGGCATTTCCGGACTTGCCACAGGTCTGATGCTCGACAGCGTCGGCATCCACAACTGGGAAATTATCGAAGCCAGTGAGCGCGTTGGAGGCAGATTTCGAACGAGATATGTCGCGGACACACAGGAATGGGCCGAGATGGGACCCATGAGACTTCCCCGTTCGGTTACCTACAAGAACGACAACGAAACACTCTTATACACAGATCACCAGCTGACCTTCCAAATGGCTGAGACCTTGAACAACATGAACAACAACGAGTCGCGGTGGAAGATCGATTTTATTCCCTGGGTCCAGCACAGCCCCAACGAGCTAATCGCGCAAGGGACCCGCCGCCATCCCGACGGAAGAATCCCAACGCGGGGTGAAATCGAAGACGATCCGAGCTTGGAGGATGCGCCGGCGATGACAAGTGCGCAGTACACCAACACTGAAGATCAAATGGACAAGATCCTCAAAGATGAAGCCACTCTCAAATCAATACAGAAAGATGTCTGGAGGGCCCACAAAACTGCTATGGATCAAGGACTTGACGACTGGAGTGAGCAAGCAATGATGCGTCACGTCTTCAAGGCCAGCGAGAATGTCACCGACGAGATCTGGACATCATCGGACTACGATATCTTCTGGGATGAGCTGCACCACAACTCCAATCTCGGTCTGGATGGAAGCAAAGACAGCATGGGTGAGACAGAGTGGGTGTGCATCGACGGAGGATTCAACAGGCTGTCCGATGCTTTCCTCCCTCACGTCCAGGACAGACTCACCCTCAACCGAAAGATCAGAAAATTGGAGCCTATCCAGGACAAAGATGGAAACACCCGCACTCGACTGTCATGGTACCCCAGTGTATCCAACCGAACATACGAGTCTAGAGAGTACGACTACACTATCATGGCTGCACCATTCACCATGACCCGATTCATGGATCTTCCCAAATTCTCCTCCGTCCTGGACCGAGCAATCAGCGAAGCCGGTCTACGCTTCAAGTCCGCATGCAAAGTTGCACTGCTATTCTCCGAGCGATTCTGGGAACAGGGCGACCGACCCATTTTCGGAGGGTACTCTAAGCCAGAAAGCAAGTCTGTTGGCGCTTTGTATTACCCGGTCTATGGACTCAATGAGTCACGCCCCGGGTTGATAATGCATTACCGAGGTGGAGACTGGAGTGATCGGTTCGTCAGTTTCTCTGACGAAGAGCACGTCCAAACAGTACTCGACGCCGTTGTCAGTCTGCATGGTGAGAAGGCCCGGGACTTATACACTGGCAATTACGAGCGTCTTTGCTGGCTTCAGGATGAACATACTGCCACTTCTTGGTGTCGGCCAGATGTTGAGCAGCATAAACTCTACATTCCGGCCTATCATCAGACGGAGCACAACACTATTTTCATTGGTGAGCATACTGCGCCGACACATGCGTGGGTTAGTTCTTCGCTCCAATCCTCAGTCAGAGGGTCTGTTCAGTTGCTTTTGGAACTTGGATTAGTTGATGAGGCAAAAGAGCTGAACCAAAAGTGGATGGGAAGATGGATCAAGCTGTAATAGTTTCCAAGGTTGCTACCTCTGAACGAGCCTATTTATTTAAGTCCTGCCAAGGTGTGCACTTGAATGATTCAAAAGCTTTGTATATATCAATAGAACTTAGAATGATAAAACCTCTCAGTGTGCTCTGAACAACATATCAAGTCACTTCTACCAAGGTAAAACTTCACCAGTGTACGTGATGAGTGTACCCGATGTACTCTCCCGCGTAGCACCATCAATAACCTGAAGTGTTCCCGTGATACTCTCTTCAATGGTGGTTGGTGGATCACCGGGGTAGTTCCACTGTTGCACCGAGTATTCACCAGCACGAGTTTGCACCCAACCCGGATGCAAAGCAAAAGCAATCAACTTGTCAGCTTCATGCTGGTTATGAATGGCCTTGACAAGCCAGTTCAGCGCCGCTTTACTAGGACCGTATGCACCACCTGGCAGTGGCTCCTGGGCGGCAATGGAACCGACGGAAGACGAGACAGCCACAAATTGAGGAGCGGAAGACTTTTGCAAAAAGGGCCAGAAGGCTTGGAAGGTCAATAGAGGGGCAATTGTGTTCACTTCGAGGGAGGCGCGCAGGTCTTCGGCTGAGGTCGATAGGGCCGGAATTAACGGGTGGACCACAGCGGCGTTGCAAATCAGGACGTCGACATGTGTGACGCTACTTGCCCCCGCTTTGGCGATATCGCGGATCTTGTCCGGGGAAATGGCGGATGAGAAGTCCAGTTCGATGATATGGATAACACTGTTCTCGCCTACTGCCGTGCTTTCAATTTCTGACTTGAGACTGAAGGCTGCCTCGGAATTGCGGACTGAAGCTAAGATTGTGGTGTTGGGTCTTTGCAACAGTTTCTTCGCGAGACCCAGGCCGATGCCTCGATTCGCACCTGTGACGACGAAGACTTTGTTCGGAGTGGAGGACATGATGGGTGGACTTCAAAATAGAAGCTTCAGTTTGTGTGGAACCGGCGAGGAGTTTTTTGGAAAGAAGGGAAAGGGAAGAGAGAAGATCAAACATAGAATTGCACCATTTATACTTAGGGCTGACTTTTCCGGAACGAACCGTGCAATGCAAAGCGGGCCTCCAGGAGATTGGGGACCTAATTTACTCTCCCACCCGCACTAAACCGAAAAATGAACAGACATGACCAACAAAGACTTCAAAGATTTGATATTTCAACTGAGCCTTTCACATTGGTCTCCTAAGCTGGAGTAATCCAGTTCCCTTTGTGAACTTTCAAGGTTTCTCGAGGACCCTTCACATAAATGGGAATGCCTTTCGGTCTTAGGGTCATAGATCTAGAACGCTTTCCTCTGCTTCGTAGCACTCTGCTTTGGTAGATGGGAATAAAGCAGGCAATGCCCAGCACGATTATAGATTATATGCTCATGGCAATCTGGTAGGCATCAAGACCTTGCGTTGTATGGAGTGCCTCCACCGAAGAGGAGAAGGGAAGAGGGAGCAAGAGCGAGAGGTCTGCCCCGTACTATCTATGCTCTTATCCCAAATGCCTGCGCATTCCTTCCCTTCCCAACTTGACCCAGTTTGTCAGGCTTCCCGCAGGTAGATAGCGTGGATCGAGAGTTCTCTGTTTCTTCTTCTTCTTCTTCTTCTTCTTCTTCTTCTTCTTCTTCTTCTTCTTCTTCTTCTTCTTCTTCTTCTTCTTCTTCTTCTTCTTCTTCTTCTTCTTCTTCTTCTTCTTCTTCTTCTTCTTCTTCTTCTTCTTCTTCTTCTTCTTCTTCTTCTTCTTCTTCTTCTTCTTCTTCTTCTTCTTCTTCTTCTTCTTCTTCTTCTTCTTCTTCTCCTCGTCTCAAAATAGACTTCATTATCGTACAGTTCTGCTCTCTTCTGGGTAATTTGTGCCAGAAAGCAAAGTGCTATCCGCTGCGCAATGAAGTACCATCGGCGGAGCATGAAGATATTTTCCGTTCGCTACCATCTCGAGACAAGCTTCGATGACCAGGACTTTGACACCCAATACACCCGCATAATCAACCCATTGAAACCTGACGAAGGTGATTTCGGGATTTTCTTGTCGGAGCTTTTCGACGACGAGTACTGGATCCAAGGGGGTTCTTGTTGTCACCAGTGATGGCTGGATTTAGGGCGGTCCCATCGGTGAGAAAGAAGATGGTGTTCTTGGCCAATCGAAGAGATGTAGATCAGGTATGCAGAACACGTGGAAATTATTTCAGCTGGTTGAAGAGGACTGGCTAGTGGGGTTCAGTTTGCTGCAGATTCATGTGGGTCGCAGCCTAGTATCATAGATACAGGGCTAACCCTGATGTGATTAGTGGTGCGTATCCGGATGAACAATACCACCTGGCTGGATGCTGCAACTCGGTTGTAGTTGATTGGGAGGGGCCGCTGCTGAACAGTTCTCCAAATCAGACCTCACAATTGCCGGTCAGTAATCACCGGGAATCAAGACTACGTCCTCTTGAGTCTTCTGTGTCTCGGGAGATGACGTTCATATTCACCATTACCTTCCACCCTCAAATGGCATACCCAATGCAGCTTGCTGGAAGCTTATCGTTCTGCAATTCCTTCGGATTGGATGAAAAGGGATAAAATTCCCTATTCCAAACCGAGCAGAGAGGTCGTACCCTGACGGAGAAGCAGGAAGGTTCGAGAATGTATGTATCGTCGGAGAGGCGGGGAGGCGGAGAGTAGTTAGGGAGAGGGGGAGAGAAGAGAAGCTCTTGACCGACGACCATCCACCCATCTGTGGCCCTGGGCAGCCCGATAAACCAGGCAGCCACCCAGGCTCCGACAACAACGCATAGTCAATATTTAGAAAATTAGTAGGGGGTCTCTGAGCCTATTCTATAAGAATCATTCAACTGTCAGAGAATGACAGTCAGTGGAATCAATTTTAACATTCCCAATGCTGCCCCAGGATCCCATGGCTGTTTCGGTCCGTTGAGCCTCAGATTAATATCACAAGCAGCGACCCTTCATAGGGAGCAATCCCTTATAATATAGTAGATTGATGTAATATAATAGACTTACTTCCAAACTTACAGCCTTGGAACTCACATCAGACGTGTTCTATGCATGAAGGCGCATGGAGAAAAATCACCTCAAGTTCGCTCATCTTCTTACCCCGCAAAATAGAAGCTACAATATCATCGAATTCCGTGGGTTCGTCTCATGAGCAATTTAATCATGATAACAACAGTCCAGAAAAAAATAAATTGCATCCAAATTGGTGATTCGAAAAAGGATACCTAGTGCATATCGCTGCCATTTGAGGTAGGTTGTAGTCATTATCAACTGACACCCGCCAAGACCGCTAATCTTTCACCTCCAGGTTCCCCAATGTGTCAATTTGCTAACGTCCCGTTCATATCAATCGCGCATCCGATAACTTCCGGAGAGACCACTGCCAAGGCCATTTGGAGAAAGTCAACCCCAAAAGCGGAGTTGAGGGGGTCCCTTATCTTGGAGTTGGGGCTTAGGGCGTGGGCAGATACCGGGGCGATAGGCAGCTCCACAGCCAAGAGATTGTGCCTGGGAAGACCTTGGCGACTCGGAGTCGAGCGCTTCTATAAAGCATGCAGATGTCTACGAAGACACTTACGTTCAATTATTTGGGCGTCCAATTATTTGGGACAATTCACATCATGGCTGCCCAGAAATTGCGTTCTCGGCTATGCAGGCTGTCTATATTCTTCCTCTCGGTCCCAGCTGTTATATCTACTTCCACTATTGACAATGGCAAGCTACTCTCGGTGAATGGCATTAGCTACTATAGTGGTGGAAATGCGGTCTCCTCTTTAATCACGTCCGTGGAATTCAACTCCACTCAATTTGACGACATCGTGCCTATCACAGTTATTCGGACAGACGAAACCCTCCTCACGAAAAGTAGCTTGAGCGAAATCATTGCAAATTATTCCGCTACTGATGATGTGTTCCAGGCCGGATTTCTTGAAAGTGAGTTGTTTGTCTCTCACAATATGTTGCGCTTGAGTTAACTCCGTGATAGCTGTCTTTCTTCTCTACGATGGTCACGGCCGGGGTCAAATCGACCCTACTGCCAAGCAAACTTTCAAGGACCTTGGAAGCAGTCTTTTGATGGCGTCCCCCGCCTATCGTCCCGAAGCGCATATCACACCAGCTAAGATTCGACATGATCTGCCCAAGGGACCCTATTTCTATTCCCCGAAGACGGGCGAATTGTACCAGGCCTTCCGCTTGTACGCTGATCACCAACTAGCATTCACTGAAGCTGCCCTGAGCGATGGTGCTGGTGGCTTTAAGCCTTTACCTGCAGCTGTATCGGTGAGTAAATTGAAGGGCCAAAGACTATTCTACTCAGATGTATTAATTCCCTGCAGGGTGCCATGACCAAAAGTGTTGCTGTGCCGTCGAGGCTTTACTATACACCCTCATCACAGAAGCCACTCGCAGGGGTATGTTCAATCAAAAAGCTCAAGAAGGCAGCATAGCTAACTTTTCGCAGCTGCGCGTGGGAATCAAAGACATCTTTGATCTGAAGGGACTACGGACCAGCGGCGGTAACCGGGCCTACTATGATTTATATCCTCCGCGCAATACCACCGGCCCCGCACTCCAGAGACTCATCGATGCCGGCGCTGTAGTGATTGGTAAGATGGGAACGGTTCAATTTGCGAATGGTGATAACCCCACTGCCGACTGGGTGGATTTCCACTGCCCCTTCAACCCACGTGTGAGTGTTACTAAATACCACCACTTTACCGAGCATCGACTGACCGGTCTTAGGGTGATGGCTATCAAGCACCAGGAGGATCCTCATCCGGACCGGGTGCGGGTATGGCCTCCTACGACTGGTTGGATATTGCCATCGGTAGCGACACCGGTGGCTCGATGCGCAGCCCGGGAGGAATGCAGGGCCTATTTGCCAACAGACCCTCAACTGGAGCTGTCAATCTCGATAATGTGATTCCACTTTGCCATGCGCTTGATACCGCTGGTGTCTTTGCTCGTAACGCGGCGACCTGGTCGAAGGTGATGCATGCTTGGTATGAGAACTTCACTGACTACACGGAATATCCGAAGAAGTTGTTCTACCAGAACTCGTCTTTCCCTGCTGTGAACACCACGGCCGGTGCACTTATTGAGGAGTTTGTCGGAAAGGTGGAGAAATTCCTTGGGGCTAAGAGGGAGTTCGTGAACATTTCTTCTCAGTGGGAGGAAACTCAGCCATCTGGAACAGCGGCCATCTCCAAGTTTTTGAATACTGTGAGTTCCGCGCGATATTGTTTCCCCATTCATACACACACTGACCTTTTGTAGACTTATGCTTCTCTTGTATCCGTTGACCAATATCGTTCGTTGAGTTTACCATTCTATGAGGACTATGCAGCAAAGCACGAGGGTCGCCGGCCTTTCGTGAACCCAGGTCCTTTGGCAAGATGGGCTTGGGGTCAGGAAAATGGCGGAGACGCTGCTTATGACGAGGCTCTGAAGAACAAGACCGTGTTCAAAGACTGGTGGGAGACGAAGGGATTCGGCAAGGCTGATGATACTACTTGCTCTGAGGGCATTTACATCTACCCCTACAGCAGGGGAGAGACGCAATACCGGAATGCTTATTTCAGGTGAGTCAAGGGATATGACCTCTTCCCAGTTTCAATTACTCACTGCTGTTAGCGCCCCATCTGCACCTCCTATGGGTTTCTCCGATGGTCGCATTGCCGTCTTAGCCGGTGCTCCGGATCTAGTTATTCCTGTTGGCGAGATTCCGTACAACTCCACTATTTCACTCAAGACGGAGTACATGCCTGTGACAATGAGTTTTGTCGCGGCCAGAGGCTGTGATTTGATGCTGGTCAACCTCATTGAAGATATGGAACAGGCGGGTATTCTCAAGCCCGTGAGTACCGGGTCAAGGATGTATCCTGAATGAGCTTGAATACTGCATTCATAAATGTTACCTGTCCTACATGGACCAATGTCGGATTTAATTCTCTTTATATATTCACTTATGCCTTAAGAATCTTAAAGAATTCTATACTTCTCTCAATCACAAAGGGTCTTAGGCGTGCGAAATGTCTCGCGGTCCACCAGGGCCTTCTTCCAAGCCGTTCCTTCGGGGTGCATCGGGACGCCAACGCCAGAAAGGGCGCATGAAAGACGTACTTTTGTCGCCTTTCTCAAGAATATCTGCTGCATGCTAGAGGGTGATTTGTGAGTGTGTGTCAACGAAAGACGGTATAAATAACTCACTTGTCCCAAAATTGGTAAAAACTTTGCGCCATGACCACTGCCTCCGGTGCAGACAAACACAGAGTCCTCGGCATAAATTGGTACATGGTCAATCTGATAAGGCGAGGAATTAGTTGTTTTGTTCTCAGTCGAAGATAGTGTCAAATGGTACTGACCACGAATGAATTGTCCAAGGAATCAGTATACCAGCAAAGTTTGGTAGAATGGAAAGGAGTGTTTTCAAAGTCGGGCATGAAGATCGAGACAAATTGCTTGACAGCATGCAACGCCGGCTCTGGAAGGATCGAGGATTCCTTCAATGGAAGAGGCACTGACCATTGGCCATTTTGGGCGAAAGGTGCCCCTTGGGGAGCAGGCTGAAAGTTGGTCCACTGCAAGAGCCAGTCAGTGGGGAACGTGAAGAATTTTTGTGATTTCCACCTTGATTCCACGGTATCCAATCTTCACAAGACCTTCTGGAGTTCTCGGTAAAACATAGATGCTCCCAGTATCTTTGCCTGAGGTATCGCGTGGGGTGCTCTTCCAGGTCATGACAGGAAAACGCTCTGGAGAGTATTTCTCCCACAGTTCGGTGTCACTTTTGTCTATCTTGAAGGTTGCAAGACTCCCCGCGGAGGACTCAAGATGATAGCTCAAGTCGGGAAGTATTTGCGTTGAGAATGATCCAGCTGCAAAATATCAGCACAGCAAGGTGAGGGATAATCGTGGTACCCACCAGCCACAACAACAATATCAGCGTTATGGATTGCTCCATCCTTGGTTTTCAGGCCTGAAACTTTCTGTTTGTTTGCCTCGACACTACTAGCAACTTTGACCAACGACTCAACAGCTCCAGCTTCTGCGCCCAGATGAAACTTGACTCCCTTGGTAACAGCCACTTCACGGTAGTGATCGCAAGCGTTACTGCACCGCAAAAATCCAGCCAGGGTGTCCAGCACTGCTTCATAGCTCTTTTCGGGGGAGTCTGGGATTTTGAAATGAAGCAATTTGTGTTTCCACCCCAATCTCTCAGCGCGTTCGCAGTCTGCCGTGTCACTCTCGACAAACTGTGTATCTCTGATCCCGTCACGCTGCATATTTGCCAATGTCTCTTTTTCCAGAGTGGCTAGGTGATCGGTTGGCTGGACTCGAAGCATTCCACTGTTGACAAACAGCCGCTTTTCATCTATATTGCCGCTGGAGAATCCCCGGTTCTCATCTTCCAACACCCACGCTTTGCGGCTCTCCAACGCGAGGCGTTGGTAGTGAATTTCATTGCCGTATGATGCGCGAAACTTATCACTGTCAGTTGAGGCACTGCGCAGAGCTATTTCAGTCCGTCACACATACTATCTTGTTATGATCTGCGGATGCAGCCTGCACATCATCGGCTGTAGGGTCATATCCATTTTCGTCGTACTGGCTCCGGTCGAAGACAGACACCTCATAATCTGAAAAGATTATCAGATAAGTTTTTCTTTCACGTCGGATGCCAACTCACTCCTGTCTCGCAGTGCATTGGCCAAAGAAAGACCAAAGATTCCAGCTAACATTTTTGTCAGTTGCTGTGAAATGAATTGGATCATTGGGATTTCGACATATTTACCTCCAATGATAGCAACCGACTTTTCATGTGTCATTATGGGCAGATTGAATTGAAAGTGAGAACTTCAGGGTATCTTGGGAGTCAGAAAGGTAGAGGGGGAGGACCCCCGCAGCTTCCCCCACTGTCGTCAATCCCCACCCTTGATGAGCCATCTCTTGACGCTTGAAATTCTTTCTTGGGTAAGCGGAAACTCATCTCTTCGATCGGGTGCTCTGGAAAGTGGTGGGCGGGAAACTGTATTTCGCTAAACGTTTCATCTGATGCATAGACTTGATTCTACTTTCCCGCTCCTCATGCTTGATTCGTTACCGTTTCCGTACTTTTGGACCATTGCGTCCCAGACTTGGTAAAATATCATTCGTGTTTCAAACGACTTCAGGTGATCTTGATTATGAATCGGTCCTCACCCGGTCACCGTTGATCAGAAGTCGTTCAGACACGGACGAAGCGCCTCATCTCTTCAAGGTTGCAAGGACTGACTATGGTCAGGTTCATTCCGACCCCAAGCGCCCAAGCAGCCACGGTAAAGGGGTTTTTTCCAGAGCAAGAAGTGCAATCATTATGCAATGGCTCCTGTCAACGAGTCCATTCGATCGAATGTCGAGTTCTTAGTCAACGGTTCCGTGGGGCATGGATGATACGAGATATTGCTACATCTTGACCTCATTCCCTCGTTGATTGGACATATTTAATATTGAGTCCAGTCGGGGCAACTCAACTGTGAATGACAAGGGCAAGTATGGGCTGGTCAATATTGAGGGCGGCTGCATTCGACATTAAGCGTTAGAACATCGTGTTGTTTGGGAGTACAATGCCACCGGGCTTTCTGGTGATCAAACAACCTTCGAGGGAAATGAGCTTGAGCTTTCAAATAGCAATGGGCCACGACATCGAACCGGCTTATCGTTGTTCGGCAAAGCTTTGCGCAATCGTGTACCCGAGGTCCGCGAGATGATGGAAACCGAGGGTCGGCGGGCAAACATATCCCAATTGCGGAAAATGCATGCTGAATTAAGGGACTGGGAAGCATATCAGAGAATAAAACTCTTTTCTACACGAGAGCCACCGGCGGCTACGTGCATGGAATCTATTCTATCTTCTTTTTTGCACCCTGATGTTCGTCATTGTTCAAGTTACTCGACCGCAATCTATTTCACAGTAGATCGCGTAAGTTGGACGCAATCATCTTATCGGCTGCACGAATCAACCAAAGGCGCCTTGTGCGAGAAAGCCAAACCAGGGTCTCGATCCGATCGTTCGAAGGGTGAAGCTTAGTTCTGCCCGTACTCAGCAGATCATGGATCTATAGGCTATGTACTAGTACATAATTTGCGGAGTAATGTGTAATGTACTCCGTAGCTTCGAGTGTTTTATGGGCATTTATCTGTGGAATAAAACCATTGGGACACTGACCAGTATGACGTATAGCCAACCCTGAAAATTTTGCAATTTTGTATGATACTCGTGCGAGTATGCGCTAAGTACGCGCACATAGACAAGGTATCATCCTATGCACCCCGTACCACGCCCAGTTGTGCTAGCGGACGATCAAAAATACCCCCACGGATCTTCAGTCGAGTTCACATGAAACTCAGAGCAGCAGTTCCAAGGTATCCTCGGACCAGCGATACGTGTCGTGTTGCGAACGGGTACGGGGTAGAGATCTCGGAATCGCAATTTACCACCAAATCAAGCTGCTGCAGATCGCCTTGCTTGTACGGAGTAGTGTATTTGTTTATTGTCTTGCATTTGTTTGAGCCAAGCCATTGTTTTCAATGTGCATGTGCTCACACCAATCTAACCGAAAGTACGGAAGATTCGTATAAGTGGACCATGGTTGGCCGCCGAAATTAAAGCTCCACTGAAGACGCAGTCCTCAGGGCACAGATCGCTTCGAGACTAACGACTTGATCCAACATAACTCCGCTCCTCCTGCTAAGCACTCACTATTCGAGATGAGCCGGGGCGAAGGATCCACCGAAAGCAATTTTTTAGTCTGGAACTGTCACTCCTTTCCTTTCGGGGAGCTCGGGCTTAACTTCACGAACCACAATTCATAGAATAGATCGCATGCTGATCGTGAGAAAAAAAAGAAATAAACTTGCACAGACAGTAGTTGTGATCGCGCTAGGCGATGCTTGGTTCGTGAAATGAACGTTCGACCATGGTTCCGGGTCAGGGGTTCACTAAAAGTACTCCGTACTTCTGCTCCTGATTCTCCACTGCGGCTGATTCTGGTGCTTTCTAGCGAGTCTTTTCAGGTACTTCGTACATTACAAGTGTGTAGAGCCGTGGCGTTTTAAGGGTAAATTGGAGGTTGCTTTTTACGGAGTAGCTGTATTCTTTGCTCCCTTGATTTGTATAATTACGAAGCAGGTCATTAGTTTCGGCCATGTACTCCGTATTCAAACCGAGTTGATGTAATTCGTGTTCAGATTAGGAAATTGGTTGGAAGTAAGTATCAGCCGCTGAGAATATAAAGATATCAGGGCCAAACGATATGTACAAAATAGTAATATAAGAAAATGAGTGAAGAGAAAGGAAGAATAGGTCATGAAAAAGGCATCCCGCTCAAGAGGGTCGGCGTGCTTGTTCGTGCTCGTGTTCGTGTTGGCGCTCGGTGTGCTCATCAGATTCATATGCAGAAACTGGTTCGTGCGAAATTTCAATCGTAGTCTCTTGATACACACCACCAAAATTCGACATTTCCATGTCATTCTTGTTGACAATATCATCAGTCGAGTCGTCGAATGGACTCGCTGCCTTGACGTCAACGTGGTTTCCGCTCTTCTGGAATCGAGAGCCGAGGCGGGATCCTTTGTTACGGGACTTGCGTGACTTAGAGCCACCTTGAGTTGTAATATTGGTTTGCCATTGTGAGTCGGTGTTGTTGTCGTAGTTGTGGTCGGTGGTGCTGTGTTCGGTGTCGAGTAGCAAATGACGACGTGTCAAAGTGTAAACCATGACATCGAAGAACCCAGATAGGGCCATCAGGGAACCAGCAACACCAAAGTATGTTTTGCTAGGTGCGTCGCCTCTTGCGGTGGCCATACGGCCCGCGGCGAGGGGCAACGACAGGATCAGATATAGAAGCGGGTAGACAACCATGTAAATGACGACACGATTCAAACGTTGTAAACTTTCTTGCTGGCCACGGCGGAGGATCTTCGCTTGGTTCATACGTCGGCGGAGATAGAAGAACATGACGGCGTAAAGCGCAACCGTGCCGAATTCAGAAATGAAAATCCAAATGTAATGGCCCCAAAGACGCTCGTTTTCATATTGCGGACTCAACCAGCACTGCAATAGAGTCAGCCTAGTCCAAGATAAACACAGATGACACAACGTACCCAATTGGCCTCAGAGACCACGAAAACTTTCTTGCCATATAGACCGACTGGGATAAATCCCAGGATCAAAATGAATGCCCACAGTCCAACGACACACCATGCAAAAGTACGGAATGATAGTTGACGACCACGCATGACGATTGCGCCTGTGTGTAGAGCAATAGCCAAAACGAACAGTCCACTGCCTGGATCGGCTGTCATAATCCACCATCCTTGTAGATAGCAGGCCGTTTCGCCGTAGTGAACACTGCCCCGTGAGACCCAATACAGACATATTAGGAAGGCAATGGCTTGCTGCAAATCGACGAGAAGTAAATTGTAAATCAGAACGACATATTGGTTCTTGGCCAGAGGGTTCTTGTAGTATCGTTGCCAGTAAACGAATCGATAGGTTAAAAAGGAAAGCAAAAAGAGAGAGGACACCAGGGAGAGCAGAGCAATCACACCCATGGTAATAAAGAGCGACCGGTCGGAGCCCACGAGAGGAACCTCGTCACGAAACTCCCATTTTCGGCGGGCGAGAGAGGCATTATCCTCAAATGCAAGGGAGCGTAGGACATGAAAAAGCATGACGAAGAGGCCGTGATGGTCGGACAATCGTAAAGCGATACAAACGAGGGGCCCCGACAGTATAAGAATGTCAATTGAGGAGTCATGACCAGGGCGCTGGAGCCAGCGGAGTACATAGCGGACATACTTCCCTGATGTTCTCCACCCAACCCGTGCAAAAAGGCTTCTCACTTCTTAGCAGTGGGGTTCCATGGTTCACGATATACACTACCACACTAGTCGCCAGGGCTAGGCTGTGTGGAGAGAATGATCATACTTGTATTGTAGGCAGGTACGAATAAGTTCCATACATACACGTTGTCAGAAGGGTGCAGCTCATGTGTTGCACGAATGGGCGTTCCGCGTGAGACCCAGACTTCCGGATGGGGAGAATAACCGGTTACCGAATCTTAGCACGTCCCACTTCTGTGCGTCGTGCATTAGCAGAACGCTTCAACTTTCGTAAAGCGGTCCTGATCGACGTCGTAGATTTGAGCCGGCTTCAGCCGCACCTCTCAGAAATCCCTGAGTACAGCTACTAATAGTTCATGGTTAGTCGGTGGCGCCGTAATTGGAGTGGATTCTTGTTCGTATTGGGGCCAATGTGTAGATCCACAATAAGCGATCGGGTGTTTGGGGATAATCAGATTGTGTCTGTGCAAAGATTGCACAATCCAACACATGATTCATGGATGAGACGAACATGGGACTTTCAGTCTCGGTGCACCAGAGAAATCATGCACAAGAGCTCGTGCGAGCCCCTGGATGGTGTAGATCTAACAATCAATTGGGATTTGAGTTTGATATACTCCCTAAACGTGGAAATGTCCGATGCATCAATGACAGCACAGGCGAATTGTGGGAAACCGCTCCAGATCCGCTCCTCGTAATGCAATGTGTCCGCCAGCGAATTGGAACAGGAACATTGGAAGTCTATGTGAACTCATTTTTGAGCGATCTCCGTGTGGATGACCCACTTTCGTGGGGGCAGGGAGACAAAGTTCATTACATGATTCAGTGATGTTCTGACGATCAGGAGAGGTTGAAGTCGATGAGAGTAGGAAATGACGGAGGTGAATGGGACTTGGCCATTGCTACGGAGTACGTCCTTAAGAAACAGTAACTTACAGCTTATTTTCAACAAATCGTCTCCGTGGCGCAATTGGTTAGCGCGTCTGACTGTTAATCAGGAGGTTGGAAGTTCGAGCCTTCCCGGGGACGTTTCTTTTTGTTTTCTTTTTTTCTTGCACACCCACTACAGTGACATACTATCCTATCCACCTTCACTTTGGTTTTTTTTTAATGCTATCTATGTCTTTTTGTTTTGTTTTTCATCAGGCTGAATTGCGACTGAGGCTCCGATGGGAATGAAATGTGGCTGAGACCTTGCCCCAGTGCAATCTCGAATGCAGTCGCCCACTTGGGTACGGTTAGGTACACTTCACGGCTACCATATGCTATACCGTAACATCCCATCTCGCGTGAGCTGTGGATCGACTGCGCATCTGGTAACTTCGGTTGCAGATCGTATCGAAATAGAAGCCAAGATATGCCATGTCTCACCCTCTGCAGGGTGCATTCCTGGTCAACCCCACATTAACTGCCTCGTCCTATTGCACCAGTTGGGCAGCTTGTTTATTGCGGGAGTATCGGCTGATGGCGGATCAGAATGAAGTCTTCCGATTTGGATAGTGTCACCTGAGTATCTAAGACCTATATGCAGTGAGGGATGTGAGAAAATAGATATCTTGGCTGGAGGCCTTTGGGGGAGATATATAAAGGGTTGTCCCCAGGGAAGTAGACAGTATCAATCCAAGCAAACATTCCACAACAACAAGTCAACCAAAAGCTAAAACCTTGGAACAAATACAGAAATTGCCCATCCGTTCCATCCATCTCCGTCCATCTCCATAATGAAGTCTGTCATTGCTTTCACCTCCGCCTTCCTGGCTACCCTCAACTTGGCTACCGCTGCTCCTGCACCGGCCGTAGCCCAGACTGTCTCTGTCTCATTCGACCCCAAATTCGACGTGGGCACCTCTTCTTTGAACACCGTCACCTGCTCCGACGGACCCAACGGCTTGGTCACAGCAGGCTTCACCGATTTCGCCTCGCTGCCCTCTTTCCCACGCATCGGCGGTGCCCCCACCGTTGAGGCCTGGAACAGTGTGAACTGCGGTGCATGCTACGAGATTCACTACGCGAACGACAAATTCGAGGAGACTATCACCGTGCTTGCCGTTGATTCTGCCCCCGGTGGCTTCAACATTGGGAAGCAGGCCATGAACCTGTTAACCCGCAACCAGGCTGACCAGCTCGGCCGAATCGATGCCACTTACATTAAGGTGGCGGACAGTGTGTGCGGCCTGTAAGGGCCCAGGTGGAGATACGATCTCACGGGGGAATCAGATTGTACATGAATGACATGGTAATATGTTGAAAATTTGGGCCAGTACTTAATCTACATGAAACAAAATACATGCAAATTCAAATCATACACCACCTGGGCAGAGCTGTCAAATTAGCTATTTCTACAGAGTATATGAGAGGACCAAGGAACCGGTGCAGCTGAATTTAGGCCCCTCAATGGGGTTCGAATTGTTTGCTTAGTGGGTAAGCCAATTTACGAATTCCAAGAGCACTGGATACCTGCCTTAGTTTGAACTGATGCAAAGGGGTGGCCCGAATAGCTTCATGCTTGGCAATGGCGGTGATGGATATTTGCAAATATTTCCAATTGTGATTTATGGGTGTAGTCAAGGAGGTTAATGATAACCCTGTACATATTACCATAGAGGAATCAACTGGCTGTGCGACCTCGGGAGGATTGTGTGTACCCGCCTTATGAATGACATGGGTTTGAGGTTGCCGTATTCAACGGAGGCTCCGGGGGAATGCAGCATTAAGGAGATCAATCGCGTTGATCCGCTAAGAACGGGGGTTTGACTCCTGTGTCCCCGTCAATTATTTGGTAGAGATATACCGATCCGGAAATTCGAGTTTAGATCGAGGTTTGCCCATGACTTCACCACGCTTCTTTTCTTCCTTATCAATCTGCAGCCAGTCCTCCCAGGAGGTAGGGTGCAAACCAAGGCGCTGGGCCTCGGCCTTCACGCCGTCCCACCCCAGTCCACTGCTTTGACCGGGTGGATGTAGAAGAGACTTTGAATCACCACTCTGTGCTAAGTCATGCACCATGCTGTCTGCAGTGGTGAATGCATCCGTCATTGTCGAAGCAATGACTCCCGTTGGCCCTCGCTTAACCCAACCGGCACAATACAGTCCGGGCAGCTGGGAGATAAGGGATCCATCGGGAAGATCTTCAGGCTTACCCTTGTTTGTGAGGCTTGTAATACGACCGAAGCCATCGTTTGGAAGAATCCCACGTTGCGTATCGAAGTCAACACCGAGATCCTCAAGCCCTGGAACAGGGAGGGATTTGTAGCCCACGCTACGGAAGAAAACACTGGCGGGGATGTCGATCTGGTCCCGCTCACCAGTAGGCAGATTCTTGGGCAAGACCTTGGAGCTGGGAGTATGGGGATCGGAGGGATCAAGCTCATTGCGGGAGAACTTTACATGGGAGATATGGTTTGGGTGTTCAGGTGACCCATGCAGAGATTCCGGCGCAAGCAAGAAATCCAACGACCATGATTTAGGTGATGTCTTGGGATCATTGTTCGATCCCTTGGCTAGGAGCTGCATGATGCGCTTTTGCGCCCGAGGCAATCCCGAAATAACACTGTCTGGAGGGAAGATATCCTTGGGAATCGGATCAAATGAGACACCTGGAAGCTGAAGCATCTCACGTGCTTCCTTGATGGTGAATGCAGCCTGAGTGGAGCATCTTAGCACACGCGAATAAGACCAAGTCTTTAGCAACTTACCTGTAGGGGTCCACGACGCCCAACAACGTGCACCCGTTTGATTCGACTTTGCGACAGTTTTTCCACAGCATACTCCGCAATATCGGTTTTAGCGAGGGAGCTGACATCAGAAAGAAGAATTCGAGCGACGTCAAGTGCGACGTTCCCTTGTCCGACGATCACTGCAGTCTCCCCGCTCAGGTCCGGATCAAGGTCCCTGTGTTCAGGATGGCCATTGTACCACCCAACGAAAGCCCGTGCTGCGTGCACATTGTCCAAAGTATCTTCTCCCGGAATGCCAAGCTCCTTATCCTTTGTGGCTCCGTAGGAGAATAATATGGCATCGTAATGAGGCTTAAGTGCGGCGAGTGGTAAATCGTGTCCAACCTCAATGTTGCCGATAAAATTGAAGTTTGAGGATGACGCTACCTCCACAAATTTGTCTTCGCAATTCTATTCCAGGACCGATCAGCTTGACGCTTCAATGGCTAGCATTGGGGCCTTTATTTTAAGTGTTGGTGACTCACCTTGACCTCGGGATGGTCCGGGGCGACACCGTACCTCGATAAACCAAATGGAACTGGCAGCTTCTCATACATATCAATCAGTATGTCATCCCGCTTGCCCAACAAGCGGTAAGCAGAATAGAAGCCGGCCGGACCGGAGCCAATTACGGCCACACGGGGCGGTTGCTCGCTTTGCGCAGCACTGCTGTTGAAGCGCTTAGGGGACAATTGAGCCAAACATATCCTTGGCTGCAGAGCTGGTCTGCGAGAAAGCCGCACCGTGCACTGAGCACGTACAAAGAGTTGATGCGAGCGCATTGTGCATAGTCGGAAAGAGTGCGGAGACACTCGGAGATGATCAGATAGCACACGTGACCCGTTATCAGTTGTTGCTACAGCAACAATCTTGTTTGCGCAGGCGCTCATCTGGGCACACCCTAGACTGCTGAGAGCTGACAGTCGCATTCCAGCACCATCTAACATTCCTCTCATTTTCTTCGCGTGGATGCCACGAGCTCTCAGTCGCTACAATGGGGACCTCGTCACCTCCATTCCTTTATGATCGACCGGCCAATTATAGCTTCAAAGGCCCGACCGATCGCGGGTTTAACCCGAGGGCCGCGACAGAGGCAAGCTGGACTCGACCAGCTGAAAAACCCCAGCCGAAGGGGCCCTTGGTGAATTTCAATCGCCACCCCGATACAGTATGATAGATGATGCGCATATTGTGGATTTTGCTAACAGTGGGTGTAGTGGGGTTCTTTTAATACGGCCAGCTCATTTACGCCGATGAACCCAAGAACCAAGGATCGGGTCAAATATGCACGGACAATTCAATTGGTTCTTCGCGTCCTCACCCTTTTGGGCGCCCTTGGTGCTTTATTCTGCTCTATTGTTATCAAGGGAGCTGCGGCGACCGTCATTTGGATCATACGTGCCGGCGTGAGTCAATAAATGCGACAGTAGTCAATACGTGACCATCACTGACCTAGATTTTAGCCAATTGTCGCAATTCTCCACACGATCTATGGCATTATACACAATTCTCGTTCCGTCGTCAACCGGCCCGCCGGCTCTCAAGCCAGCTATGGTGTGTTCGCATCAACTCTTGACTTTGGACTGATCCCCTTTTATGTGTTCACTGCATACATGTCATACGGAGAATGGACATCGGATGAATACAATTGGGGAACTCTTCTCAACAACAAAGACATCACACCTACAATTGCCGAGACTACGTTTATCTTGGCTCTCGCAAATGGCGCCTTACATCTCATCTCTCTCGGCATATCCATCTTCTTGGCTGTAACTTTCCGCAAAATCTCCCGATTGCCGCCAGACATGAACCCTCTCGAAGATAACTTGACCGCACGCCCTCGCAAGGGCCGCCAGGGGGTTGACAAAGACGAGAAACACCTTAGCCAGTCGACCCTGAACTCCTATTTCGAGGACCCGCTCATTGGGTCTCCCCGCAGTGTGCCTTTCATGCATACACGCGAGCAGTCACTCGGTGGTGACTCCAACCGCGAGTCAATGGCGATGATGGACGAGCAGCGCCAATCTTACCCACCGGTTCTTCACCACCGCCTTTCCCACCTCGAATCTCCTACGGAGCCCTCAAGTCCGGAAATGCTCTTCAATCACCCCGCAAACCAGCCGTTCGATCTGACATCAACATCGCCATCCCCCACTCCGGAATATCGAAACGTTGCATCACACGCTCCAGAGATTATCAATGCCACTGCTCAAATGCGACATGGTTCATCTCGCACCGCTGACCGATCTGACACCGTCAGCCCCTTGTCTGATAATTGGATTGCGTACTCAGAAAGATCAATGTCACCCGAGACGCGGAATATGAATGAGAACACCCTCCGCCAGTCATCCTCTGTGTATAGCCGCCAAACAGAGAAGACGACGACTTCAACTGGCAGCGGCATTCGTGATTGGTTTGCGTATGGCACCAAGCCTGCACCCAGCATCGGGAGTGCTATCCCAGAAGATGTTCGCGGAGAATATGCATCGATCGCAATGCACGAGTATTACGGTCTTGACGACAGGGAGTACGAGCAGGATGTCGGTGACCAGCGCATGGATATCTTCCCGGACCCGGAGGAGCACAACGATGACTTTGTTGACGATCGTAATGACTCTATCCCATTCAATCCTCTCATGTTGAACCCTCCCACTCCCCAGCCCATCTTGACTCAAACTTCCGAGAACACCGACCCTGTACGACGTGTTGCCCTTAACGACCACCCAAACCTTTCCTACAACGAAAATACTCAACCCGTATCTGTTCCGCATGAGAGCCCTGACCCCTCCTCACCCAAGACTCGATACTACGGTGAACTGGACGTGGATGGCAAGCCTGGACTAGGACTGGATCGGGAACCCAGTGTCCAAATGGCACGCAAGCCGACCAAGTTGACAAAGAAGCAAAGCAAAAAGATGTCTGCATACGCTGCTTTGAAGAAAGATGACAGTGGCGATGAAGCCGGATATCTTTCCCCCAAGATCCCCACATCCCCTCGTGCCATCGAGAGTGATCGCAAAGGCCGTGTTGTGAGTAACACTGGTGCAGACACCGCAAGGCCTGGTATTGCAGCTGGCGTTGGTGCCTCGTTGTCTTCCTACGGAAGCTACATCGCCGGTCTAGGCGTTGGCCGTCGCCGTGATGTGAGCGGAAAAGTTGCCGAGGAAGGGCGTGGTGCACCTGTTGAGGAGCCTATTCAGAACCCGACTCCAGGTGCCTCGCCAACCCGCGCAGCGGGATGGGCTCGCTTTGCAGGACTTTAGGGAGGATATTTGGGTTGTTCTCATACCTGGAGTTTGACGGTTTTGATTTCATGATTGGCATGTAGCGACTTTTTTGATTGATTGGGAACACATCTTCCCCATTTCCACCCAGCTTTCATGGAAATATGTATGGACTGGACTTGTTGTATTTTTTATTTTGATTTGTATGTAGTTTTGACTGCCAATTGAACACTCAGCCTGACAGATTCTCCTGACATCAACCTTGGAGCCAAGGAGGCCAACACTAGGCCTAGGGAATGTCGCACCCAAGGATGTAGAAAAAGTGCCCTAACAATTGTGGCCCAGGTACGGAGTAGGTGCCTATCCTCTTAAAAATCAGTATAGAGCCCTAGGAGGTTGTAAGTCCCGAGGTCTCAAAGATGGCAGTCCGTTGAATTTCCCAAATCGGGCAATCAAGGCCGCAGCTCCACTTGACCTTATCAATCAGTAGAGTCTAACCAGAACAAGTATGCTGCATCGATATCCCCGAAGCTTGGCCACGCGTTCAACAATACTTACAGTCCCAATTCCCCTCGCAAAGACTTTGCAATGATCCAGCACCAGAATGCGACCAGCACACTACCTCTGGGCACTATGCCTCGGCCTCGCGAATGCCACCGAAGACCAACCCGAAAATGCAAACCACATCTTCAACGCCATCCAATCATCCCTCAGACACTATGAAACAGCCCTCAATCCACACGGAATGTCTTTCCACCTTGCAGCCGTTCCGAAGGGAACACGCTTCTACCATGGAACAGGTAGACCGGACCCCATCACCGGCGTGGAATGGCTAGCCTTCAAGCCACAGCACTCCCTTGGTTTCGCTCACCGCAGCGGCCGCAGATCCAAGAGATCAGAAGAGCAACAGCCTCTCAATGAAGCTATGCATACCACATCTCATCTCTCGACTCAGGCTGGGTACTTGCATACCTATGCCGCAGCAAAAGATCTTCGTCTTCTGTATGTAGATGGCATGTCCGTGGGACCGGGCGGCGCGGCTGAATCCCAGGATCGGATTCTGTTCAATGATACCATCCACAATCCGACCCCTGGTCCGCGTCCTCCTGTTGGTGGACCACCTGCGGAAAAGGAACGAGCGTTCCAAACGTGTCGGATGGTGAAGGAGGTATGGGGGGATCGAATTGATGGGATTGTGCGTACGGAGGGTGATTTCGAGATTATTCTGTGTGCGTTCGAGCGTGATTTGGACGTTGTGAAGATAACGCAGACAAAACCACAGGATGACTCTGGCTCTAGTCCTGGCCCTGGTCCTCGGAACGGTATCAAAAAGAAGGGGAGGAAGGATGAAAAGGGTCGTGGGCCGGGTGGTCCTCGTTCACCTCGTGGGCCATTCAGGGGCGATTGCTGCTCTATTGCTGCTAAGTACGATCAGTTACTGGGCCACAAGGTTCTTTTGGATTTTGATCATTTTGTTTCGGCTTTTGGGTATGGATTGGATCTGTTCCCTGGTGATTCCGGTCACCCTGTCTTGGACCATATCCCGACTGAGAAGTTAGAGCCCATTCGACGGGATATCAACTCGATGATCAATACCTTGGAGCCCTCCCTAGGCTCCTTCAATTGGCAGTCTGTTGCTGATATGATCGTCTTTCGGTATTCGGAGGAGTTGCAGGTTCTTGCGTCTGGAAATTTCACCTCCGTTGACTCGATTCATGAGAGGATTGAGGTGATACTGGAACCTTTCATCGATTATAGAGACTTCGAGGCGAAAGAAATGATCATTGACCTGTGTCAAAATGAGTTCATTCCAGATTCTGCACCTTTGGGCAGCGTTGGGGGTCGTGTCATCTCTTCAATCTCCAGGACTGTCTGCTCGACTTTGGTTTCAGGGCTGCTGGATGAGAAAGATTTGACTGAAACGGCTGAAAGCTTCAAGCGACTGGTTCAGTACTTGGATTGGACTACCTGGAAGGGGACATGATTGTGTGGGTACTAGCTGGCGTCAGGAGAATCCCTATCTGTTATATCGACAGCCAACGAGCATCCGCAGTTTGGATCGTCTAGCTGCTCAATACTGGCCCTCTACATGGATATATGGTTACAAGCGAGAGTGGGCAATTGTAAATAATTCATTGAATCCTCGTGTTGTGCCTGGTTATTTACATAGCCACAGGAGTGAACGGGTGATTGGCACTAGGAGATCAAATATTCCATGCGTTTGACGGTCAATGTTCAAATTCGCCCAAGATAACTATTAGGGGGCATTATGATGTGACCGCACACAAAGTTCCAAAATGACACGGGGATTCCCGCACCGGCACTCCAAGGAATTTGACTATTTGCAGACAGTTGAACAACTCAACTATCAGTCACGAGGGTTTGGATGCCAAGGTCCTAAGATTGCAGCTGCTGCGGGTATTGAGGGATTTTCTAAGGTGGTCATCTGTCACGGTATTGAATCAATAGAGCATCGAGCCGATAGGCAGAAATCTGAGTCGCTGCCAATCAAGGCTGGTAGAGCCTTCCAACCGGCTCAAGTGAAGATGGTTTTCAGTCTTTACCGTCTCGCGTCGACCCCACGGCAGGCGGGTCCGAAACCTCGGGACCCGCTTGCCCGGACGAGAAACCCGATGCAGTTGTTGCCGAAGCTTGAGAAGTCGTCAATTCTCCAATTTGTCTCTCTGCAAAGGAAGGTCAGTACGTTGGTCCTACGTAGCGAATCCACCGTCGGGTGGAGTTTCTACCAAATCAACCCAGCAGTGCGTCAGGGTCACTTACCTAGTTCCCGAATTCGTTGCCGAAGAAGTAGGTTTTCTCGGCCCAGCGAGCTAGCTTCGGCCTGGTAAAATGCACTTTCATCCCGACTTCCCCGCCGAGACAGGTTATCCCGCAACCCGGGGAAAGGCTCCACGCCTTCTGGTCCCCGCGAGTCGAGTGGTCGCAAATTCGGCGACGTCGTCTGGCTCGATGGTCGTGAGAGGCGACGGTTTGAAAATGAGGAAGATATCGATAGCCTGTTGCTAGCCGGAGGTGGTGCCGGGCCAGGAGGGAAGAATGCTGACCGCTCCGAGGAAGGGGTAGTGTCGTCGATAGCGGCGGATGACTGCGGGTTCTGTTGCGGTTGGTTCTGCTGATATTGATGAAGCTGGGCCTGTTGGCTGCGTATCATCTGCAATAGACGGTTCTTTTGTTCATCACAAGGATTAGCCTGCTGTGCTCCTTCCCGGAGTGAGGGTCCATTCTGAACTCACCACCTGCGCTTCCTGCTCTTGCTCCAGCTCTTGATGCAACTCCCCCAAAGATGGCGCCCGTTGGTGATGGGGGTCTGCTGTAGCAAACACGGGACTTCCGTGACTGGGCGGACTGGCTGTGCGGAATGCATGTCCCATGGAGCTACGATGGTCTGCTGGGGCCTCGCTATTGGCCTGCATGTCATTCAGATTTAAATTGATACCAGCAACAGATCGCCGTCGCTCAGATACTGACAGGCGGCCGATGCTCGAGCCACGAGAGGGTCTGGGGGAAGCATTGGGGTTCCCCGGCGCACCGCTTGCGGGCGCAGCCGGCATATTTCGAGCCTGGACTGAAGAGGAGATGGAGGACGAGCGAGATGGAGGAAGGGAGTTCAGATCTGGAGACATCTTCATATAAAATTGGTGAAGCTAGAAGATGATGATCAGAGCTCTGTCCGTGTACGTCAGACATCCTGCAGCTCGGGAGCCTCTGGATCCATTTCGCGGGGTCGTCACGTGCCGGCTGAGTCAAGCTGGCTGACTCAGGCGTTGATTTTCTTCAATATATTCTCAAGCACCATGTGACTAGGCAAAGCCGCGCTTCCGAATGCTCTAGGGCTTCGAGAGAACTTCCGTAACACCATTTTCGTAAATATAAGATTTACACCCCGATATGACTGGCATGTACTGAATACAGACATGACCTTCCAACTCGGTGCTTCCGGAACACGGTCGAGACCAATGGTACCGGGGTACAGCGAGCCACATGAAGTCACCCTTGTTAACCCAGGGGATGTGGCGGTCGAAATGTTTACGTTTGTGTATCATGTTTAACTAATGACCGCTCCCGCTCATGGATGTTTATTATAAAGATCACCACAGGATCGCGTGGCCCTTGAGATACGATCTTGTCGATCAATTCAGCGCCATGTGCAGGAATGTAAGGTGGCATTCCCCCGGGTCCGGGCTTCATTTCTGGATGTTTCCGGACAGTGTAGAAGGGGTTCCACCCTCGGCGATGTGACTTGGATCAAAAACTTTGTTTGGGCCTTTTTCCCGCCGAATGGTCCAGGGGCGCAAGTCGCATTAGGGCGCAAAGGATTGTGCCATTGCCACAGCAAGGGATTACCCAACCTGCTGGCCTGACATGCAAAGAAAGAGACGTTTTTCTGCAGATCACAGGATGAGAGAAAAAAAGATGTAATAAATAAGCAATGTCAGAGAATATCCACCTACCCTGGAAGGTAAGCGGAGTCCGAGCGGCAGTCAGAACAAGAGTCGGGGGGCCCCTGCCATGACGATCGCGAAACGCCACGACCGTAATAAAGCGTGCCATGGACGATGTATTTGGCGCATTTAGCCGTAAGGCCAGGTCTTGGATCCCGTATGATCCACGAACGCTCTGTTGGGCGTAAGCGGCCTGACGTCAGTTTTCCAGGGCAAGCAAGTATTGAGCGATCTTGGCAATTTCTTGTTCCATAATCCAGACATCGCCTATCGGCCTCTGCGAAATTGTTTGAATTGACTCTGATTGTGACCCCGATTGGAATTTTCTCACAATATCCGGGGAAACCATGCGGCCGCACGGTCGCCAATAAATCCCGACTCCTTGCATCGCGGGGCACCATATGGCACTTCGCTCAGAGTAGACCGTCGATTCAACGTCGACTTGACGTTACAGAGTAGGCATCCCGAAGCGGACACTGGGCATCGGCCCAGAGCGGTATCTTCGGCCAAGATTGTACGGGAAAAACCGTAGTCATCGCTTTTTCTCCAGGTGTGGGTCGTACCCCGTTGCGGACTCGGGGGTTGCCCATTCCGGACTCGGGTTCTACCCAGAGACAAGTCGACGGGCAAAGCAGACAGCACGTCGACATCGCTGAATAGCGCTTGAGAGAGAAACCACTAGCAATCTTCTCGTGGAAAGTCGTATATCGTATGAGAGTCTGGGGAATGGACCGGGGATAAAAAGTGGGAAAAGTGGGTATGCCTCACCCACGGGGTAACGATCAGTCGGCATCCCGCCGGATACACCTTCGATACAGTAAAGTACCAAGTACCAGAGAGTCGTAGACTAATAGAATCACAGAATACCTGATACTTCGAGGTACAAAACAGAAAGTCTGGAGAAAAAATAAAATAAAACAGTGGATCCGGCAAAGTTTGGACTGCATTTGGCACTTGCCTTCCACCGTTTTCATATTTAACCCTCTTTTCTCCTTCTGTTTTTTTTCTTCTTCTTATTGATTCTTTACTTTCCTCTCCACCTCTTGAGGCTTTGTTTATATACTGGTCTCCACAGTTTACCTTCACCATGGCGATCGATAAACATGGAAGGGACACTGTGCAGGCAGCCGAAGCTGCCCACGCCCAAGCTGTCGTCAATGCCGCCACCGAGAAGCTCGAAGAAGATCAGTGCGAGGAGGCCTCCCCTTCACCAGCTGAACAGACTGAGCTCACGGAGGATATGTGCTATGACCAGCTGGGTTACTCTTTCAGTGAAACCAAGAAATGGACTATCATCACCGTGATTTTCCTGGTCCAAGTTTCGATGAACTTCAACACATCACTTTACTCCAATGCCCTCGGAGGTATCTCCGAAGAATTTGGCGTCTCCATGCAAGCCGCGCGATGCGGTGCCATGATCTTCCTCGTCCTCTACGCTTTCGGATGTGAGCTCTGGGCCCCATGGAGTGAGGAGCTGGGTCGCAAGCCCATCCTCCAGGCTTCGCTGTTCCTTGTCAACGTTTTCCAACTCCCCGTCGCTTTGGCTCCCAACTTCGCCTCTATCATGGTGGGTCGTGCCCTCGGAGGTCTTTCCTCTGCTGGTGGCTCGGTCACACTGGGTATGATCGCCGATATGTGGGAGCCCGATTCCCAGCAATACGCCGTGGCCGCCGTCGTCTTCTCCTCCGTAGGTGGATCTGTTTTGGGTCCTGTCGTTGGTGGTTTCGTCGAGGCCTTCTTGCCGTGGCGATGGGCTATTTGGATCCAGTTGATCTTCGGTGGTTTCGTGCAGATCCTCCACTTCTTCATGGTACCCGAGACCAGAACCACTGTGATGATGGACAATATTGCGAAGAAGATGCGTAAATCTGGCGAGAACCCTCAGATCTACGGCCCCACTGAGGGCATGTCCTTCCGCGAACGCTTCCCGCCTTCGGAGATTATGGCCACCTGGATTCGTCCTTTCAAGATGTTCCTCACCGAGCCCATCGTGTTGGTGCTTTCTCTTCTCAGTGGTTTCAGTGATGCTCTGATTTTCATGTTCATTCAATCTCTTGCTCTTGTATACGACCAGTGGGGCTTCAACACTTGGGAGAAGGGTCTTGCCTTCATTCCCATTGTCATCGGTTACTTCATTGCATGGTTCTCATTCTTCCCGGTCATCAAACGCAACATCAAGGAGCGAAAGGATCACCCGGAGAGCGAGCGTGCTCAGTATGAGTCTCGTCTTTGGTGGTTGCTGTACACTGCGCCCTGCTTGCCCATCGGTCTCATCGGTTTCGCCTGGACCAGTTTGCCCACTACCCACTGGATTGGTTCCATGATCTTCGCTGCCATCATCGGTATTGCCAACTACGCTATCTACATGGCCACCATCGATTACATGATCTGTGCCTACGGACCCTACTCCGCATCGGCTACCGGTGGTAACGGATGGTCGCGTGACTTCCTTGCTGGTGTTCTTACCATTCCCGCCACACCGTTCTTCGAAAACATCGGCGGCGAGAGGCACCTTGAATATGCTTCGACCATTCTGTTCTGTATCTCAGTCCCACTCGTCGTTGCTGTCTACATCATCTACTGGAAGGGTCCTGCACTGCGCAAGCGCTCTCCCTTCGCCCAGCAGCTCGAGGATGCTCGTGTGCAACTGCACACCAACATTGACAGCCGCCGTGGATCAAAGATTCCCGAGTCGTCTCGGGCAAACTCCTGGGCTCGCTCCCAGCAAGATCTTCGCATCCGCCCGAACATGGGTAGCCGAGGCAACTCACGAGTCAATTCGCGCGTCAATTCGCAAGCCAACTCGCGTGTCGGTTCACGCCGCAACAGCACTATCAACGCTTAAGCGTCTAATACCTGCTTTGGATAACCGGCTTCGGTGCAATTTGTGAAATCAACCTCAATTGCCCAGGTCAACCTGAGATTATTTCCATCTCTTTTCTGTGCATCTTTTCGACAGCATGAGTTAATGCTGTGCGCGGCCAGCTTTCATTCTTGTCCCCGCGCTCGGTGAATATTCCACTCCTGCGAGCTTTGCGTACTTATACACAAGGCGGAAGCTCGAGTTGCTTTTCTTGCCCTGGTTCTGGGTGCGCGTTTTAAAACTAATAGTCTTGTTTGTTTGCTCCAAGTGAAAGACTTTATGATCCGGCGATGTTATGTACGCTATAAGTACGACTCAGACTCAGTGATACCAGATACGAATTATACCCTTATCATTGGCTGTTCTCAAATTTTTACTCTGTGTAGCAATCCAATTCTAGTAGACATGAAGATATTCCAACCTCACGACAAGTAATGATCTACAGTGGAGATAGCCGATCAGGGGCCCAGAGGTCCACGATGATCTCACCTTCTCGCATGGCCTCGGGCGATCGCCATCAGACCGAACTACAAGAACGCGGGAAGAATTGTCTAGCATACTTGCGTTGCAAGTGTTAGACTTCCGCTTTCGGGTAAACCGAGGTACGGTCAAAATTGCCGAGGACCAATGAGCTATCTTGTACATGCTATTCAATTACGGAGTGGCTGCCATAAAGGAAGACCTTCAGCAAAGTCTCACTGAAACGGGATTGGGTGGCATTGTGGCTTGGTTTTGACTCTGAAGCAACACAGGCATTAGGTTCTTAGCGTTAAGGTTAATTCGATGCCCAGGTACTACATTTGGGCGACTCAATTGTTTTATATGAGAGAATTGACCGGAAAGGGCTGGGCACCTTGCAGCCCTGGAGAGACAACGGATTTACATAGCTTCCACGGCTCGATAATATCGTCAGTCACATAGCTTCGGGGTCTATAGAGGAGCCAAGCCCGGGTTCCGACTCCGAAGTCAGCCCATTGCCCAAGGGTTTTCAAATTACAGTGAAGATCGAAATGCAGTGAAGCATAATCTGTAATATCCTTAATATTCATAGTCTATTAATATAATCTTGTAAAATGAAGTACTGAAGATTGCAGTCTCAGCTACGTAAGTTGACCTGGTCCGTGCACCCGACAGCTCCCATCAGTGGACGCTTCGCAGGTCAACTCGGCAACCATCCAGTTCAGAATGAACAGCCTGGCAGCTCTCCGCCTCTGCGCGCGCCCATCAATCGCACGACCGGCTCTGCGGTTTCCCGCGTTCCGCCCGAGAATGTCTTCCAGCTTCCACTTCGCTGAGGGCGAGGATGTCCAGCAGCTCACCCGCGACGCGGACTCTCTGCTCCAGCAGGGCTGGGCACGGGATGGAGATGGAAAGGGCATTACTAAAACGTTTCACTTTAAGAGCTATTTTAAGGCGGTGGTAAGTGTCTGCAGGGTGCGATGCGCGGCGCGCGATGTGCAATAAGTCCTCCGCGAGGCATGGCGCATAGCGCAACAAGCATGAAACATGATGTATAATGTATGAGACTGGGCTGACTATATCAGGCATTTGTCAACACCATTGCTGCCGAGAGCGCATCGAAGAAACATCATCCTACTATGACGGTGGTAAGTGCTGCCTAGTGGGAAAAGACGAGAGAAAAAAAGAAGGGGAAAAAAAGAGATTAAGGCTGACGCCCCATAGCGGATTGGCTCCGTCGACGTGCACTGGACGACCCATCGCCCGCGGGGATTCACCCAGAAAGATGTGACGATGGCGCAGCATTGTGATCGAGGCGCTGGTCTGATGGGTGCAGTTGATCCTGGTCAGGGTATGAAGTGCGGCCCTTAAGCTGCGACTTGACTTGACTCGACTCGGACTCGACTCTATACTCCAATATACTCCAAACACAACGCGGCAGTACGATGAGATAGATCTAGATCTCAAAATTGCGGTGGAGAATTCTCTTTGTTCTGGCAGAGAACTCCCAAAATGAAGCTAACTTGGTCTCCCCAACACCCACTGGTAGATCTTCGCCCCCCCACTGGAACTAGTCTGGATGCGAATTCCCCTTGAAATCCTGCTTTGCTTTTTTTCCCCTTCTTCCCTCCTTGTGTATACCTTCAGCACCCCAATATGGTTATTCCTCTCTAAATCGGCTATCAGCTTCACCTCGTGCGACCTGCAATGACGGCAACGGTGCAGGCTCCACGTTCCGATGATCAGCGCCTTAAACTTTGTCCCGTCGCTCCTTTTTTCTGCACAAAATGAACGAAGCCCAGTCCTTTGGGGAGCGCCGAGGTCATAAGCTGGCACCGCTGCAGACCAATTTTAGCCGACCAGCGCCCAAAGCCCGGCTCCAGCGACCTCGGCCAACCGAATATCCCAGTACCAATGGATCAGAAGGGCCGGTTCCGCTCCAAAGTCCCGTCACGGTCAAGCGCCAGTCCTCCAAATCAAGTTTGCGCAACATTTTTGGTCGCGACAAGTCGCGCGTAGAACCCAAGTTGGATGAGATTGTCGAAACAAAATTGCCAGAGCCCCAGACTGCGATTTTCAACGATCCGATGTCGCCCTCTCTCATGAGCCCCCGAACTATAGACTCCAATCCGACCATCACCTCCCCGACGGACGTACGATCGCGCACTCTGAAAACTGCTCGCCCACCCCCAGACCCTAAAGTTCCCTCTCAGGATCAGTATGGGTGGAAACCGCCCCCGCTATTTCAGGCCTACCCCCAGTCTGCCAAGCATGATACCCTGGCCGCGCCTGCTCTCTCTGCCGATACAATCCTGCGATTGCACGCGACAACCACCAGGAGCGCAACCGAGGATACGCCGGTGAACCCGTTGGAGCAGGATGAGACTGCCGCGGCCGCTCGGAAAAAGCGCGAACAAAAGCAGAGGAAGCATCTCCGGACATTGTCCGGTACAATCAACAAGGTGGAATGGACGCAGAAGATATACGTTTTGGCCAACGTGGGATATATTTTACAATATGCAGGCGAAGGAAAGCATGATCGTCTCCCGGAGAGGATGCTACTCTTGGGCCCAAAGTCTGTCGCATTCGCTAGTGATGCGATCCCAGGCAAACATTGGGTACTTCAGATCTCTCACAATTCCACTGCTGATGTGAACTCCAGCGCACCGGAACCACCAAAGCCTCGGTTTCCGCGCTTTGGCTTCCACAAGTCCAGTAGTCGCCGATTGTCCCATAGCTTCTTGTTGGTCTTTGATAACCCCGAAGCTATGATTGGCTGGTTGGTTGCAGTCAGGGCAGAGATCGAAAGACGCGGAGGACCCAAGCTCACGCAAGAGAAACACTCGGACGAGGATACCATGCCTCAATTGCGATCCAAGTCCAGTATTCGTCAAATGGTCAAGAAGGACCCGCATCGTATCTCCAGCTTGTTCCTGCAGCCCCAAAACCTTCAGTCGCCCATTGAGGATGATGGACAGTCTGTCGGTGGGGCAACATGGCAATCTCGACGCAGCTCATACACGTCTGTCAATCGCCGATCGGTCATTGAATCGCGATCCGGCTCCGTTTCAACCAGCCGGACTGAGGCTACGAATCCTACAAATGGCTCTTCGATTGCCTCAGACGTGCGTTCTTCGTCGCTCACTTCATCAAATTTCCCCAACGCGCCGCCGACAAGCGATGGCGTCTATAGATCTGACGAGCCTTTACCTGAAGAGCTGGATCGGATCTTTGCCCGCAGTCCCCCTTCTTCTAGCCAAGGGAAACGGCAGTCATTCTATGCGTCTCAGCCTCCACAGCCTCCACAGCCTCCACCTATAACCGATTTTACAGAAATCCAGGACTATCCGCCTGTGCCCGAAACCCTAGTTCGGAGCGCCTCACCCCCAGCACCAAATTTCAGTGTTCCTTCCTTCAGCAAGAAGTTTGTCCCTCGGGGTGGTCCGACTCCTATCCATGCCTCTCCTCCTTCGTCGTTGAATGGCTTCGTACGGCGTGAATCTGTCGACCCAAAGGCGTCTGCATTAGCCTCTCCCCCGCAATCTCCGACCTTCAGCGTCGCCAGCTCGCGCTATACAGAGTCTTCGGAGCACAGGCGTGTGCTGCGTCCTTCAAACTCCGAGGATGCTCTAGCCAAAGCCGCCAGATCTGCGCAGCATGCTCCAAACTTCTCTCGCACGCCCAGGACCGCACCCCCTACAAAGCCTTTGCCAGACTTCCACTCTTCTCGTCCTCTGAGTCTTGTTGGTCGATCTGGCATGACGCCCCAGACAATTAACGAGGCCGAGGTTGAAGCTCCCCCAGCACCGGAGCCACCGCGCACCAAGCTCCCAACCGCGGGGCTTGATAGCCAAGCACCCCCAAACATGCTGCGCCGTAAGAGTATGCCAGGACTAGGGGTCACAATCGGTCCTCCGTCAGCCCCTCCTCCCAACTGCCCCCTCCCCAAGCTCCCTCAACCCGCCAACCCTACTCCGGCTGCGCACCCGGCTCCAGTCCCCACAGCAGCCCCTGTCCCTGTCCCTGTTCACGCCCCTGCTCCTATCCAAGTCTCTTCCCCGGCCCCTGCAACCCCATCTACCCCGCAGGCCCTGTCTCCCTGGTCCCCGACTTCTCCAAAGCAACGATTCTATGGGTCACAGCCAGTACGCGAGCACGTGGAGGACCGACGCAGGAGCGGTACCAACTCCGGCTCAGAGTCCCAGGCAAAGCCAACCTCGAGAACGGCCCGGCATTCCAAATTGGTCAAAGGACCCCCTGTATAAGCAACTTCAATGACCCCCACATGACTCCAAACAATACCCCCGACGCCTCCGGCATTTCCTACGATATCTCCCACGACAATACCCCGAGATACATTCGCTATAATCTTCCTTACTTCTCTTCTTCGCTGTGTTCATATTTTACATTTGTGTATCAATACCCTCGCATCACCTTTGCATCCTATACTTATCTCATTCTTTCGGTTCATCGGTTTATTCGCATTTGGTCCTGTATATATACCCTTTTCTCTATAATTTTCTTTTCCTCTCTGGACTTTGCATTATCTGGACTTTGCATTCATGCATTTGAATCGTTCTCTTTCGTATGTAGCTTTTTTTCTCCTTCCAATCAGGGTTGGATCCCACCTGGGCATTGTTCGGCGAGTGAGTTGCGTTGATAGTGCTCTTGTATATTATCAAATTGACATTTTTGAATCGTTGCATGATCGATCTACAACTTTGGAACCTTGGAATAGCTCTACCGATTCTGCACGTACACGTATGGCATACCCACGCCTAGATCGATTCCATGACCGCAGCATACATTCCACTTGGTCAGTCACCGATGCACTAACGAGACCTCGGATTGTCTGAGAAAAGTCGACTTTTTGATTGATCTCAATTCATTCAACATAGGGACAATGCAACAACGCCAGGATGACTATGGAAATACAACTCTCGTGAGGAGAGCCTGAAAATAAACACTCACGAACCAATCATGGTCTCGAACTTTGATCGCTGGAAACGAAGAAACACTACTCTTCAACCTCTTCCACCTGGGCACTCAAATTCCGCCTCGCCGCCGCAGACGGAGTAGAAGCGGGCTCAGCAGAAGATGTAGTTGCAGAAGGGGCAGAAGCTGGAGCAGAGTCGACGGGCGCAGACTCGGCCTTGGCCTTGGATTTGCTGGACTTTTTGCTCTTCTTGGTCTACATTTCAGTTAGTTTCGTGATTCCAACCCACGGTTAAATGATCGAACATACCTCTTGCCAGCCCCAGAGAGGCTTGAAACTGTCGAAGAATCCAACATCCTCGAACAGGTTAGGGAAGAGCCAGAGACCCGGCGCAACGGTGAAGACAGTAACACAGAACAGAATCAGACGGAAGATTGCCATGGCGAAGAACAGTCCGAGCAGTCCCATCATACCGACACTAAGATACCACACTCCCTGGCGCAGCATCATGGGCCACAGAGGGAACAGGACAACGGCAAAGATACCCGCAACCACGGCTGCGGCCATCGCCTTCTGCTTCCATTGCGGACCGTCGTATAGCCAGACATAGTGCATCATCGGGTCAGTCTCTTGGTGTTGCTCGATCTTCACGGTCCACAATCCCTTAGTGCGGTTCTTGGGTTTGGCGTGGTCGTGACCGGCGTGCGGGTCGACCTTGGACACTCGCAGAGCCAGAAGAGACAGTGGAAGAAGCTTGAATACATTCTCGGCTGAGGCGCGGTCGGTGACAGGAGGGAGGAGGGAGTTCTTTTTCGCAGCTGCTTTCGCGTAGGCGGGGGATTCGATAGCGCGGATAGCTCGCTTGACTAATTTTTTGAATAAAATGTTAGAGCAGACCGGTGAGAGCAGCTGGTCGTGTGGCTATTTCTTACCCTTGAACATGTCCTTGCGCTGCCCGTCCATGATACATGTGCGTGGCTTGAGGTTCTGCGACCGCAGCCAGTTGGCCACGGCAATTGCCTTTGGGTCAGGAGGGTTGTTAGGGTTCACGGGAACCTGTTGTGTAGTCTGGTGCTGGTGCTGCTGGGGCGCAGGCTGCTGTTGAGGTTGTTGTTGTCCCTCTGCGGCCTGGTTTTGTTGTGCCTGAGCTTGCTGTTGCTGTTGTTGCTGGTGGGCTTGCATTGCTCGCGCCCGCAGCTGCGCAACATATTGCTCTGTGGTCAGGCCGAGCTTTTCGGCATCGGCTGTGAGCTGCTCGCGTTGCTTCTCAGCGAACTGCTGGGGCGTCATCCCTCGTTTAGCGGCTTCGGCGGCGAACTGCTGTTGCATGGCCGCCATTTGCTGGGGGCTGGGGCCGGGCGCGGCCATTATGAAGATAGAATATTATAATCGGATAAATGAAAGTGAAGAAGAGGTAGAGGCGTCAACGGTGGGAGGTGCAGTTGTGAAAGAAAGAAAGAGAAGTGGCCAGATTGACTCGGCTGATTTGCGCTCCGCCCTACCGACTCGGACTTCCAAGGTTCTTTGTGCATGTAATGATCACCGCTCCGCATCTATGGCCATTATGCTCTCGGCCATTTTAATGCTCCCTCTCAATGTCTGTCACCTATGACTCTTCAGCTACCCTCTTGAATGCTACATGGGTGGCTGTCTTGCTGGTATGTGTCTCAATTCGCGCTTCATAAAACCCGCGCTTATCGATTCAGAGTGAGCGCGATGTGGCCGGGCAGATCCCACTCAATTTCGTGACGAACCCCGCGGTCTCCCTATCGGCAGCCTGCTTTGGAAATGGCGTGTATGATAAAGAGAATGCCGCGCAATGCTTCTCGAACCTGCTGGCGATCGGATACCGGCGGCTCGTTGTCGATGTATACTGGTCGCCTACCCGGAGGACGTGGTCGTTCTGCCCAGTGAATGTCCCGGACAAATCCGACGTCACCGTCTCAAGTGAGACGTCTACCATGAGTACGAGCTCGGAGACTTCGACTGTCACTACAGCCGAGACCACGAGCACGGCAGCGAGTGCTGACCCGCCGACCATCACCGGATACGAAGATTCGCATGGATATACTGTCTACGAGCTGGGACAGTATAAGTGCACCGACGACCTCGACCCTTACACCTTAGCTGAAGTGCTTGTTGGCTACTTCAGGGACACCAACTCCCAGTTGACCGTGTATACGTCATACCTCGTGCTCAATCTCCATGTCGCAGCAAGTGAAACCACACCGGATGAGCCCGCCTCTGCCATCACAGGAGATGATTTACCTTTAGGGTCGGAGCGGGTTGGGGCGCTCCTTGGTACAGCCCTAGGCGATTTTATCTACAGCCCAGCCCAGCTTGCGACAGACCGAAGGAATCTCAATGATTCTTGGTACCGGGTTGAGCAGAGCTACATGCCCATCACTGAATACTACACTATCCACGAAAATGAAGCTGGGGAACAGAGTACTCCGGATGGATGGCCCTCATCAAAGTATATCCAGTTGGCCAAACGTGATAGGGTCCTCATTGAATACGGCACAGTTGATCCCCAACTGGCGGATTATGACTTGACCGCAGATGGGAATTCTATCTTCCCTCCTGGGTACTTGTCGGCTACTTCAAAAGTTGATGCAACTAGTAATGGCACACTGACATCAGGCTGTCTCTACAACCCTGGGGCCACGGATGTGGCCAAGGCAAACTCATCATGGGGCATCTCTGATGGCATTCCTGTCCCCGTTGGTCTTTCCACCGATGATACAATGGGCTCAATATCCAACGCCATCTCCGACATCACGGCTTGTGGTCTCTCTCCAACACTCAACACTACTCTCTTTGGATCAACTGCCGACACCCAGATAGAGCACTACCGAAATGTGTCTTTATCTTCTTCTTGGGCCTGGGCCATCGGTGAACCACACGATGCAAATTATGGTGGCGGCGACGGAGACCCCAAGTACGACCGTTGTGCAATCATGGATCTAACACTTGAAGGCCACTGGCGATCAACAAACTGCACAGAGCAGCGACGCGCCGCCTGTCGAATCGGGAATTCTCCTTTCTCCTGGGTCCTCTCGGACACATTTGCCTATTTCTCCAATGTCTCAGATACCTGCCCCGAAGGATCGAGTTTCGCTGTACCACGCACGGGACTGGAAAACAAATACCTCTACCGCCATCTTCTATCCCTACCGGAATCGAAAATCGATCCGGGCTCTTCTAATGCGCTTCTGCGCGAGATCTATGTGGATTTCAACTCGATCGATGTGACCTCCTGCTGGGTTTCGGGTGGGTATGGGGCTACCTGTCCCTATGCCTCTGACCCGCAGCAGCTCGAGCGTAAAACTGTGCTCGTTGCTGCAGTTGCTGGAATCATTATTCTTGTCATTGCTGCCTTGACCTTCTTTGTCAAGTGTAATGCTAATCGCCGGAACTCTCGGCGCAGAAAGCGTGCTATCGACGGGTGGGAATATGAAGGTGTCCCCTCCTAAGAAGTCCTCATATCAAACATTTGATCTGGGCTTTCAAGGATGCTATGCTGCAAAACCATCTGTGTACCTTCTCATCTACCATTTACCCTACTACCTCGGCCTTATTTGATACCCAATCGGCGCATTTTGCATGTCTGTCATGAATTATGTAAACAATTGAACCCATTCTCATAAATCTACTCCCCAAACGTAGTTGAATACGAACGTCTTCTCCTCTGCTATTTCCTTTCCCTTCCAATGTTCCTCTCTAATGCTCAGGCCTTGCTGCCTCCGGGGCTGTTACCCCACTGAGGATCACTAGGTCTGGGCATGATATGCGCACATTGGCTAAATCAACCTTGGAAAGCAGCAATTCAAAGGTTGCAAGCGTCGACAATGATCTGTGACCTTGGAATGGTCCAATTCGTATACAAAATGATCCATGGATGTAGATACAAGACAAACCCAACAGAAAAAGATATATTCATCTATCAGACGCTGGAGTAGCACAAATCCAAAATAATATAAACACGGGTATATGCAAGACACTACAGCTTGGGCTTCTCGGGCTGGGCAGCGAGGTCGGGCATGAGGAGATCACGGAGCTCGGAAGCAGCCTCGTTGAGGTAGTGGCTCATGCGCTCGGCACCGAGACGCTTGCAGACGATGTTGAAGTTAAGGCTGGTAGAAAGGAAGGGTTAGCAAGATGGCATTAACAAAAGAGTGCTGCGGGAAAAGGAACATACCTGTTCTCGTTGATCATGTACGCAATTCCGAATCCGTCATCAATAACCTGGCTCCATCCGTATCCGTTGAAGAACTCGGAGCTGAGCTGGGAGGTGGATAGGTACCAAGAGGAGGAGTAGGCGAAAGCGGGATCTTGGTAGATCTCGGGCAGCTGCTCGCCGGGCTGGAGGAGCTTCTTGAGACCGAAGAGGTGGCGGTCGACACCGTGGCCGGAGCTGGCTTCTTGGGTGTACTTGGTGTGCTGGGCGAGGGCGGCGCGGAAGAGCTTGACGACTTCCTCGCGGGGGGGTGGTGTGGTCCTGGTGGGCCTTGCAGAAAGCGACGCTCTCGTCTGAGACGGTGCGGGTGGTCTCTGTGCGGCCTTCGGCGTACTTGCGGGTCGAGGCGGACTCGTAAGTGGGACGGTTCTTGCCGTACATCTTGAAGTAAGCGAGCTGGATGGTCATCTGAACAAATGCATCGGGGCTGCACTTGAACTTCTTGATCAGACCCTTTCCGTAGCCCTGGTAGGCTTGCACAACGAGCTCGTGGGAGGCGATCTGCTTGCGGTGGTACTGGGCCGCGATATCGATGGCCTCGTTGGAGGCATCGTTCAGCTTGAAGTTGATAGGCTTGGGGTCCGCGAGCTGCGAGCGGATAGACTTGGCAGAGAGGTCAATTTTCTTGTTGAAGATAAGGTTGTTGACGTGGTCATTCAGGCGGTGGGTGGGGGTTCCATCCATCATGCTGTGCTCGCCCATGAAACCGGCGGATCCATTGTCATTGATAATGAACTGGAGAGGCTTGTCGAACCAGCGGTTGGAGCCATCACCGTGCCAGTATTGCTCTGCGCGCTCTGCAAGAGTAACGGGCTTGGCATCGTCCAAGCAAATGACGAAGCCAGCAGACTCAATGTCCTGCAGAGCCAGCTCGTTGGCGGCGTCAGCAGCAACAAGGGTCTTGCGGGCAGCAGTCCAGTGATCACGGTCTGCAACAGTCAGCACACCAACAGGGGGTGCGGGCTGTGCGATCTCGTAGATGCGCGCGAACTGCTGCTCCAGCTCGGAGACATTGAGCTGCTGGCCGTCCACGACGAGGGGAACCTTGAAGAACTGGTTCTTGCGCACGACCACAATGTGCTGGTTCTCACCAGCGGGGTACTTGCGGGGAAATCCTCGCCATCGGCGGGAATACGGCAGCAGTTGAACATGTACTGGTAAGAGCTCATGGCCTGGGGCTCCTTGCGCAGGTACTCTGGCTCCAATGAGCCATCGTCAACTTGGGCCTTGAACTCAAGAGCTGCGGTAGTGATAGCAGCTGCGCGCTTAGCCGGGTCGCGACGCTCACGGTCGTCCCGGTAGGAGTAGAAGTAGGAGACGTAGGGAATGACGGGGTCGCGGTATCCGAGGTAAGCGGCCTGGTTCCACCACTCGGCAAGCCAGTTCTTAATTTTGGGGTCGGCAGCACGGGCCTCGAGACGCTTCTGCAGAGACTCACCCTGGCCGCCAGGGCGGATGAAAGCCTCAACAGCGCTCTTGGTGCGTGCGTATTCGGCCTCTGACACGACCGCGTGCACAGACTTCAGGTATCGGCGACTGGTCTCCTCCAGGGTGGGAACGGGGAGTTGGGGGAGGGAGTCTTCAAATCGGAGCATCTTGCCCTTGGAGATGTCCTCCTTGTATCCTGCGATTCTGTTAGTTCTGGATGCGCGCTCTGGTAAGGAACGGGAGCCAGGCCAGGCGCATATCACACTCACCCTCAGGAACGGAAGATACTGCTCGACGAGGAGCCATTGTGAGAGTCTGTACACGTGTCAATGGACTGTCGGGGGAGTTACACTGCTCCAAGCAGTGGTTGCGAACGGTGAGGGCTTACCGTGCGGGCGAGGAGAGAAGTCGGAGGAAGCCGTTGCCTGGAAAGGGTGGAGAGACGGCTTCGAGCAGAAGCAGTGAACATCCCTGTGTATGTGAAAAAGCGATTTGGATATAAGTTGGAGGAAGTTGGAGGGCAGCTTGACGTTAAGAAGGGAAACCGAAGGGGCCTCGGCTGGCGGGGAAGCCGGTAAAACGCGGTACCGGCGCTTCAGATCGGTCCCGTCCGAGCTGCTATTCCCACGGGGAACCGGCCGTAGTTTGACTGCATACTTGGGGTATTTAGGTGGTGATGGTCTGTGATTGAATGTCTCTATGACTCTCTCTCGATTTAACTATAACTACTGGTTTGAATGGATTCTCTGTGGGAGATATGCTCAATACGGAAATACCAATACATACTCCACACATGTGCCTCGGTCCATCTGCAGTTGATCTCTCGGTCATATGGGGTGGATCTATCAGGTGAGCATCTGATAGGGGGCGATGAGGTATACTTGTAGCTCTGGAATTCTTGAGAAACAGGCAAAATAATGTAGTATCTACGTACAGAACTGTGCATCGTGAGGCGGAAAAAAGGATTGCCAGATACGGGGCGATCAATGGCGGTATGCGGGGAGAGCTCCTAGCGTTAAAGGTTGGCTCAATGACATATTGCCACACTCTATTCTTACGAATCGGAGACAAGCGAGTGGAAGTAGTAAGATATTCAAGTAGTTAAGTGGTCAGATTATGTATATGTGAAATAAATAAACGCATGCCTTTCGCCCGGTCCCGTTGGTCCGATCACTTCGATAGGACCAGAGGGGAAAATGAAAAGGCCGGCACCACCGTATCCAAAGTACTCCAGCTCACAAAGAAAAGTAAATCATAGGAAAGTATTCAAATCATGTAGAAGTATCTCCATGCGGCCACGCAGAGGCACGTGAATCGCATGTTATCAAGAGACGAGCTGCACCGCCGCCGCCTGGTCCTGGGTCTCCATGGAGCGAGGGACCTGCACACCCGTGCGGCGAAGCTCGTTCATTTTTGCCATCGCAGGCCCGGTGCAGATGCGACCGGTTTGCATGAGAGTGCGTAGACGTTTGCGACGAGCCTCACCGCCGCGCTCTTCGCCTCGGCCGACGCCCTCGTCGACCCAGTCGACGGCATGAACTTTGAAGCTCATGCCGTCATGACGACCATCCCATTTGCGGGACTTGAGACCAAACAGAAGAGTGGAATCGTACTGGTTTACGCGAGGGAGGACAAGTAAAGTGATGTGCAGATCCTTGTCTGCCGGGGGTACCGGTGGGATGCGCGGCACCTTGGCCTCAGACTCGGGCTTTTTGCCTTCGGCATCGGTCGGGGGCGGGGCGTGCTGATATGTGTCTTTGATCTCGAGGTCGAGCATCGACTCATCGACATCCTCGCCCCAGGCACCGCGGATAAAGCCAGAGTGGATGGCGGCGGCGACGGGATCTGAGTCGTCGGTATAGACACCAGTACCCCAGATTGCGCGACGCGCGCAAATCTCCTCCCGATGGGACTGGTTGATGCGCCAGCGGGGCACTCGGACGGTGAAAGTGCAATTCTCTCGCTGTTCGAAGCGGGGAAGGGGTTGGGGGGTTGTTGTGTACCCAAACTTGGAGCTTTCCACAGAGGATTTCGCCGTGGGAGCACCTACACGGGGAGTGTAAAGTGTGGAGCCAAGATGATGACGAGGGAGGTGAGAGACACTAGACACTATTGGCTCTATAGTGACTGTAATTCGAGGCTCTCGTATGGGAGACGCAGCTGGGATTGTGGCTTGTCGAGGGGGGTGGTGGTGATGGTGATGGTGGTGGTGATGTCCAGCAGGATCAGCTGGGGAAGTGCGGTGGAAGTTGGTAGGACGATGAAGAGAACTCAGAGTGGCGGCCTCTTCATCTGCTTTGTGGCGGTGATGGTGGTGACTAGAACTTTTGTTAGCACTGTTACCTGTACTGATATGAGATGAAACATACTGGTGATGGTGATGATGAGCATGCCGAGAGCGACGTGCATTACGTGCTGATAACAATCCTCGAGGATCATTGGCCTCAATTTCCATCTGTTCCTCATCCCGCGTTTTCCTTGAGCGTCGGCCAGAGGCGGAGGAAGGTCGAGCGATCCGTGCCGCTTCATCCATCGGCTCTCCATTCATTGAACGGCCAGTTAAGCTATCGCGTTTGAATGGACTTGAGCCTAGTGGTGTCGATTGTCCACTACCACCAGTGGTGGCACCCACACCACCAACGCCACTTCCAATACCCGAGAAAACACGGCCAAGTTCATTCTTGATTGCCGTCTCCCCAGATGGGCCAATGAACGGAGCCTGGGCGCCTTGAACAGCTTGGGGAAGAGGAGATGCACGACCTCCACGTTTTCCATCAGCACCAACGGCCAGTAAGTTGCGATGGTGGAGGAGCTCTTCGCTTCCTTTGCGACGTCCCTCGTCAGCTAAAGTGGCAAGACTCGTCGAGGCGGCAACCGTGGATGCAGTGATACTAGGCGTAGTACCGAGACGCGGTAACTGCGACTGTTGTCTGCTGTAGGGATCCTGGGGTGGAGGAGTGGGCTGGTTGTTCTGAGACTGTAGGGAACCCGCGGGCTGTCTGTTTCCGCCAGGCTGTGATCCTAGTGATTTCGTGTAGCTCTGTATAGCACCAAACCCGAAAGTCGAGCCGTGATCCGGTGCGTGATAACGTTTATTCTCCGGCGAGGGAGGGTGCGAGCGACCGTGATCCCATGACGAGCCGCCCTGGTGACGATCAAGCGGCTCACGCTCGCCGTAGTGTGAACCATATCGGAATGGCCCAGACTGGGATGGTTTGGCTTCGGGCGCATGGGTGGGAGCGCGTTCGCGATCCCGTTGTGCAGTCTCCTCCGACCGACGCTCGCCAAAGATGTTTCCAAACCGACCGTGTTGCTGTGGGTCAGCAGTCGCGTATGACCCAGACGCAGACCGTGGGCCAGATTCAAATGCACGTTCTGCAGTAACACCACCAGGTTGAGAGATGGGACTGTATCCTGGTGGACGCGTGGATGCATCGACCTGAGGTGGTTGGCTGCTGGGCCGAGCGATCGGCCCGTTCAGACTCATGCGACGAGGCTCTGTGTACGGCGTGTCTGCCGTGGAAATTCGGGGCGAGGGATGTGTTGAGTGCGGTTTCTCGGGGTATTGAGACAACGATGAGCGCGTCAAGCCCCCGAACACCGATTGCTCTGCACCGAGCAAGCTGGAACCACCACCAGATCCAGACCGATACGTGCGGGCGCCTTGGGGCCGTGAATATGGCTTTTCTGGTGTTTGCGAGCGACGGAACAAAGAATTATCAAGAGGAGATGGCCTTGCCGGGGCGGTGGGTGGCGACATCGCGGCGGAGGAAGATGAGGGGGGTGCATTACCGAAGATCGATGATGCCGATGGTCGCGAGAAGAAAGGCCCTGATTCACGCACTGGTTCTCGCGCAGATCGCTCCGGCTCGGAGCCTAGCATAGCGGAAATCGACATGCTACTGCCGGGCCGGTGCGCTTGGCTACTAGGGACATCGCGCGACATCATGGGCCCCCAGGTGTGTGGTTGGACTGGGCAGATTGGGCTCGCGAAGAATAAGAGTGTGGAGGTGAGGGAGGCGGCATTTGACGAATACCAAAGGTGGGAGGGGCCGATTGTTCGTGTCCTGTCAGGTGAATTTGCGTTAGTACGTGCTATGTGTGGGAGAAAAAATCCCTAGATGACCGCGCCTGTGTGATCGACTTGAGTGACGAAATGTATCGCGACACGGACGGTTGCACGGGTTTCTCGGGCCTGGGTCGGTGCTCACCAGTGAGTCCAGGACTCCCACTACTGCCCTGCGAGGTACGACGCGCCGTATCGTGTGGCGTATGGTTCATAACGGAAGCATTCAAAAGCCCGACTGTGACGAGTAAGCAAATGAAAGATGGGAAATGCAAGGGCCAGATCGAGGAGAACCCGTGACTCCGGAAGCTCCCACGCTAGTCTTAAAGGGGCAGGGGCTCCTCTGTGCACGCTAGACCTGACCTGGACTAGCGCTCCCGAGCTGTCGTCCAGTCGATCTGCGCCACCGGGGAAAATCTATCAGGGGAGTTGGGCACTTGGGGGAAATCAGGTATGACGGTCTGGAAAGGGCGATCGCAGAGCTTCGCTGGTTACGATGCGCAGAAAACAGACCCCAAGTTCACAAAGGCTCGTTACCAGACAACTCCGATCCTTGGAAACTCTCGTGAATCTGGGGCATCGGAACCAGCCACGCGACATGAAACAGAGAACGAACCAAAAATAAACAACGAACCTTCATGATTTCGGACAGTGTGTGGTTGCGAATTATTCCGGCGATGTGTCTGGGTATGGTTTCGGAATTCCAAACTCCCATGCCGACGATGTGCCTGACCTTGTCTCGAGGGAATATATGCGCCGAGGGTATCTCCACGGAGAGCAGCGAGTGACCCTCGGGTGGCGGTCGAGTGGTAAATTTGCGACGGGGAGGGAGTAGAGTTTGCAGAAGGGTACGCTCGAGGTTTGTCGGATTCGGGTCGACGACCGTGAGACTCAGGCGCAACGGAATGCCGATCGACACGAGGCTCTGAAGTTCCCAGAGGCGATGGCCGGGGCGGATAGGAGTGTTGGAGTCGCCGGTAATCCATTCCAAAAATCCGGGGGGTCTTTTTGGGCAGCGATTAAGGGGGAGGGATAAAAGAGGGAAAAGATAAGATGCAGATAAATATAAAAGGAAAATAGAATGGCGGTGGAACGTATGCAAAGAGGGAAGAAAAGGGCCAGAGCTGAGGGTGCAGGATCGGCTGATCGCGCGACTCAGGCCCTGTAGAAGATAACGCTCACGGGACGGAAGTGGGAACGTGCAGAAGATCCTGAAAGACACGAAGTTGGGCAGTGTTTGGGGGAAGAAAAAACGGTGAGTGATGACGCTTTAGCGCGACGGGGCAAGCCAAGACTTCATCGTGCATGCGGGGGCAAGTATATACCCTCACAATTCTCCCATAGCCAAAGGTAATTTTCAAATCTCCCCTTGCTCATGTTCAACCTCGGGATGTCCATGCGGCCTTTGACTAATGGACTTTGCGCGTCCTACCTGTTCCTTGTGTACTACAAGGATATGTACTAAGCCCCATTTGAAACGTGCATATGCAGGTAATGTAGCAAACCTACCCTAGATCTATAGACGTACGTCTGGGTATCCATTGGTCCCAAGGCTACCTAATTAGCCAAATACCCACTTCATATCCACCGATCAAACAAAGAAGACATTTGGTTTTACTCATCTCGGTTCCAAGATTGGTGATGTTAACCTGGCAGCTTACACGAATACACCCCCAACCATATGAGACCTGTTTGAGGCCAAAAACCTTGAAATAAAATAAACTGATAGAAGTCTTGGAATTACTCAATACAATATGTTGTACAGGACCGATAACAAAAAAAAAAAAAAAAAAAAAAAAAAAAAACAGTTATTCTCCAGGTCAATTTCACCTTCGAATCTATACAAATTATGATTCCTCGAGCTTGATAAATGGATGCTACACGAGAAGCCACCTATCGAGCGCTTGAATCAGGCGCACTCGAGCTATTATACACAGCTATATACCCGCCAATAAGTGCGGGCAGATAGCATTGTTCAATAAATACTTAATTCCCCTCATGTACAAACTTTGACAGGTCTCGCATACGACATGGAAGTTGTCAAAACAAAACACCCGCGCGTAACGCGATACCCCACAAATTCCATCCAGATCTATTTTGAAAGATGCAAGCGACGCTTCCACTTCATTCTACTCTTGGTGAAGGCACGCTCTGTGCGTTCCCAAGGATAGTTGACAGGAGACTCACCACCAGTGAAGATGAACATGTCATACAGGAAAGCACCCATGAAACCGCCGCTCAGAGCACCAGCCCAGGGTCCATAGAACCAGTATGGGTTTGTGAACATCGAAGTGGGGAATCCGACAGCGAGCAGCGCGAGACGGGGACCAAAGTCACGACTCGGGTTGAACGCCGCGCCGGTCTGGTATGCAAAGCACATACTCAGACAGGTGATGACGAGTCCGATAATCAGCGAGTTCATACCCGCGCCTGGAGGAGCGTTCTGGTCATCACCAAGTGCCATGACAGTAACGACCAAGAAAGCGGTGCCCATGAATTCGTTGAAGAATGCAGTCCCGGGACCGACCCATGTCTGACGTGCGTTTGTCACGAAACTGTTGATGATACCGGTGTCGGCATTTGTGAGGAGATAGTGGTCGATGGCCTGGTAGTAGATACCATACGCGGCCAGACCGGCACAGAAAGCAGCGAGGAATTGAGCGGCAAAGTACTCGGGCATCTTGTTCTTGGGGAAACCACGGAAGAACCAGAGAACGATAGTGATGACAGGGTTGAGGTGCGCACCGGAAATACCACCAGAAATGTAGATGGCCATCATGGTGGCCAAGCCCCAGGCCCAGTCGGTTGTGTTGGGGTTACCCTGATTGTTGATGGTGACAGCCAGGTCGACACAGAAACCCATGGTCAACTGAACAAAGACGCCAAGAGCTTCGCCGAGGGCCTCACGGTGGTGGGTACGGATAACAGACCAGGTAGTGTGGTTGTTGTGCACTTCATCCTCAACCAGCTCTTGAACAAGCGGGTGCAGATCCTCTGGGTAGCCTGCCTTTTCCAATTCAGAGGAATCCAGAAGATCATCAAGCCTCTGGCCTAGATCCTCATTCTCTTGAATGGCATCCAAGCGCTCGTCGTCCAAGGGCCGCTCACCCTGCTCATCGTTGTCCTGAGAGCCACCTTCCTCCACAGTCGAGAGCTGGTCCTGAGGGACGCCCCAATTGGAAGTGCGACGGCCCCGAGTAGAGGAAGTACGCGACATGCGCGAGGTCTGTCTCATAGATTGGCCATCGCCATTGATGATCTTGTTCATGAAGTTGTTCTCACGCTGCAGACGAGCATCCTCGACCTGAGCGGCCATCTTGCGTGGGTCATTGGTCTTATCAATCCGACCCTGTTCGAGATCATTGGCATTGACATCTAATCCCAGCTTCTGTGAATTCTCCGCCGGACGCTGAGCATTGGCCAGACTCTCAAGGAGCTCTTCCTTGGTCGGCACCATGCCGGATCGCACCACACGGGGAGTGGCTTGGCCAAAGACCAAACAGGTCTGGCATTGGATGGCTGTTCATACGAAGGGTTCAAGTCTGCATAACCGGGCTGCACGAAGGGCTCCTGAGCCAAACGCAGCTGAGGAGTTTCATCCGGTCCAGCAAGAGTGAACCGTCCCTGAGTACGTTGAGCAAGAGTGGTGCGAGGAGCCAAGCTAGGCACTCCTCTGCCACTGCGTCTCGAGGCAATCGAGCTACGTCGACGAGTACCGCTCTGGTCTTGACCATCATCGGCACCGCTGGCACGGGTAGGTGAAGTGTTATCTGCGTCGCTGGTAGCGCGGTTGCGACGCGGTGACTGAGGCTGAGAATCGGACTACGAAACAAGTGGTTAAACACATCTTCTCCTTATACTTGCTTCGCACTCACCCTGGTCCTCGTGCGACTGTTATCGCCTTCCTCCATCTTGAAGACAGTTGGATGCGATCTACCCGGGTATACGGCAAGATTCACAGCAAACGAAGAACCCACGCCAACAGATCAAAATGCAATGACCAAAGCAAGAACAGATCACAATGGACAAGGGGAAGGAGGAAAAAACGAGACGGAATCCCCCCTCGGTGGATCAAAGACAACTCCTCAAACTAAAATTCCTAGTTCCAGGCGAAATTGAGCAAGAATTGACCCAGTTACGCAATGCCGACAAGATCATCGTGGAAATCCCCATCTGGCGTTCACGACATGGGCCAGTGGAGCCATCGAGCGACATATCAGAAGCGCACGATCCTGGAGTTCTTAGCCAGGTTGACATCATTCGGCAGTTCCTGGCCTGTTGTTGGCCCACAGAGGCTCCGCAAAAGCTTGCCTGGTTGTTAACCCGTTGAGTTCCGTTCAATTTTTTGGCTTTCTCCTGCCGTGATACCCGTTCAAATTGCCAGATATGAACATCGAAAATTTGTGTGCATACTGTGAATGCCAAGCTGTGCATACACGTACTTAAATGCTCCGCGTGGGTTTGATGCACACTTCCCATGACTGGGGCTTGAGTTCATGTAATTCCACTAATGGCGGGTCTGCAAGATTGGCAGGTTTTTAAGCCCGAAAGAATCGCCCCTGACCAACCACAGCCAATTGGAGACCCTCATCGTGATCTTTGAAAAATCTCATGGATTTGTGGTTTTTCGCCTTAGTCAGAGGGGAATTTCCTCGTCCGATCCATGGTTCAATTTGCACAAAGCACTGGTACACAGGGGTGATTCCGCGTACAATGTGTTTGTACAATTTGGTGTTCATGTTCACGGAAGTCCACGTTAGATGGCTACCGCAATCCACGGATGCTGAATTAGTGATTCCACTTGACCCTCCTTTACCCATCTAAGCAAATCCCGATCCAGTCATGTTTGCTTTCCACCCTCTTAATTGCTTTTTTAGTGGCTCCTAATGACCTTTCCAAATATCCCATTGGCAGTCGAGCTGCAAAGTACTCCGTACTTGTACATGATTAAAGTACTGTATGACGTAGTATATACTTGTACAAGTACGGAGTACAGCATACTCCGTACACAAGCACCCTGCAGGCGAGGACTGGAGTGATCCAAAGTTGATTGATAGGCGTGAAGCCCACATAGGGTACGTGCATATTTGCTGATCAACCGTCCGTTCGCCCCTTGCTCAAAGCGCGGAGTTGCGGTGACAATTTCAACGATTTTTCTCATCTCGGTTCGAGGCAATCTACCTTGTATTTGGGGCCTATAAATATGAGGTACATGAGATTGGGATGGAATGAACAAACCTTCCAACCGGAATAAATAAACAAAATTCAATGCATTGGTTCGCTTGAACCCCAGTTCCGGATATGCAAACCTGAAGATAGGTGGAATCACCTCGGTTGACAAGTGAAGCAAAAAAGAAGTATTTTTACGGCTCAGTGTCCAAGTACCTGACCATATATGCTTTAGTGGTCATATTCTTGAGTAAATCTTGCGCTCCAAGGTCGGCGGAGAGTGTAGGCCAACAAAATTGTAATTGATTGAAGTGAATATTATTCGCATACGAAGTAATAGAAGCTCAAATAGGGTATCTCAGAAACAAAAATAAAGAAAGAAATCAGGCTACACAGACAGGGAAGAGGCGCCGGAGGCCATCTTCCATGATTGAGCTCGCCGTCGTCCGTGCTTCTGGGAAAGCAGACCAAAAAATATCAGAGTGATTGACATTCACGCAATCGCTGTCGGGAATAGCCTCGCTAGTAACAACAACAGTCACGGGGCGTTCAATGACAGACTCCCCATCCCAGTGAGATAGATGGCCACTGCGTCGGAGGGCATCGAGCTGCTCGACAAGAGCAGGGAGGAGATCGTGTAGGGGGCTCTTAGCATCGAGCATCAAAAGGAATGTTTCCGATGGCTCGTCCAGAGAGCTGGTAGCGATAGGACCAGGCGCGGAGGCGGCAGCATGGTTCATCTTCGCAAGCAGCGGGTCGAGACCGAGTCGGTTGAGAGCGGCGTCCGGGCTGTGTCCGGTGACCGCATTGCCGACCTGCAGCTCGCCGTGGTGCATCCACACGGGCATTCGCACTCCACCGCATCCTGCCGCTAGAGATGCCTCCAGAGCCTGCGGTCGCGTGTCGAGTGTGGGGAAGGTGCATGTACCAGTTTGAGGACGTGTGTGGATGTGTGGGGACGTGTCATGCGGAAGGGACTTGGTATGAACCGGTAGGAATCGAATGATTTGGAATGCAGCTCTGGTGTAAACGATCAGTTTGGTCACTGGGACAAGATTGGTCGTTCATACTCACAAGCAGCCAATTAATATACCCCCGCGCGTAGGAGAGCCTTCGTCCGCTTTCCAATGGTCTCGTCTAGATAGGCCCCTAGTCCTGGTATGCACTCGGTCGGATAGGAGCGCAAAGGATGGTCGTCCAAAAGCCATGGATCGTATTCGTATCTATTGGATTCGAGGTCGAAGGTCTCTGGAAGATCTTTCTCGGACTGAATGGATTCCATAGCTGAAATAGTGGAGTCTCCGACAGGGCGGTTTGGACTTGCACGGAGTACGTTGGCTGAGTATACCTGATGAGCGACAGGATACTAGAATGTGCACCTCAGCAGAGTTCCGCTAGGTATATAAGCCCAGAGCCAAGACGTGAGGAGACATCGCGCAATTGTGCAGCGAATTGCGAGAAGCACGCAATCATCATTGGCAATTGCAAAGCTCGGATGATCGTCGACAGCTGCAAAACGACAAATCTCACTTCAATCTCACGTGCGCATTCTTTCAATCAAGGAATACCTCCACATGGCGGTCAACCCAAATGGAAGCCCTCCAAGGTTGGGGAATGAGGCTGAGGTCAAGAATCGCGAGTTATGGTGGTTAGGGGGTCAATCTTGAGCTTGTGGCCCCGGAAACCTTTTGATGACGTTATCCGTCGGGTAAATTGCAAAGGTCAATAGAATCGTTTAGTTGTTTCACGGAGGAGTGATACGCAATGTATTTTAATCAGTTAAGATCTTACGTGTGATCGCCATCATTTTCTAGTCAAAAGACAGCTGCAAAATGTATCTTCTTGTAACAGTTGGTCGAAAATCTCGGAGAATCTTCAAAAATCCTCATCTCGCCGTTACAGTGGTAGCTTCGGGAATTATAGCAATGCCGCATTATCGATTTTCTTCCCATGCTGGCTCATTCGGCTTGCACTTCTTGATTCTCTGTCCTCAACGCCCCACTCCAAGCTGGAGAAAGCCGGGGGCAACGAGTATGGGCGTTGCGGGGACGGGGCCGAAACTGCAACTACTGGGATGGAATTCAAGTGCTCTCTCAATAGTCATGTTCATATTTTCGCCGTAGTTTCAATCCAAGTTGACTGCATGCTTGCTGTGCTTGCGGATCTGGGGACCATAGATATAGAGCAAGTAAGGGATGACAGCCATTACAGCACTGATGGATCCCAAAATGGTGAGGGTGTAATGTGCACCAATTGCTTCATAGATCGGCCCTCCAGCAACAGTGAAAATACCAGCAACAACGTATCTGGTAAAGACGAGGAAGCCCAAAGCAGAAGCAGAGTATACACCGTATGCATCGATGATATACATGTAGGCCACAAGGAAAATGGACATGATTCCATAACCAAATAAAGCAGAAGCAATAAGTGGGGACCAGATAGATATAGAAGGCTGCACAGAACATCAGTATTATGGGAGTGATGATCCGAGCTATGATACTCACATAGTTGGTCCAGCCCATCCAGAACAAACTGACAGGCACAGCTGGTGCACCACCAAGCATGGCATACCAAAGGCGAGTTTCGGGAAGAATGCGACCAGTCTTTTGGTACTCTTTTGCTGTCCAAGAGTATACCAATGGGACAGTGCAGCCAGTCAGAATTATACCGACAAGCATCCCGGCCCAAGAGACGTTGGTCAGCCCTAGTGATAGCCCATATGGCTCTCCAAAGACGTAGGTGTACCCATCCAAGAAAGTGAAAAGAACAATGTAAACCACAGTAAGGTAAATCGACATCAAAATGATGATCAACTCGGTATAGCTCCATAAGAAAGGTCTGTAGATGGCAGTCAACAAGCGTTGTCCAAGACTCTCTCTTCTTAACTCCATCGGCGCTCGGTATCTTCGATCACCTGTTTCCGCTCTCAGGATCGAAGCTTTCCAATGCAAAAGAAGGTTTCCATATGTCTCTGGCTGCATAAGAACAACCAAGATAAGGATGGCTCCTCCCATAATGAGCATAAGCCATTCGAGCCAACGCCAGCCTAGATGTTGAGGAACAAAACTTCCAATGATTTGTCCGACCATTGGGCCTATGAAAGCCGGGATAGCGTATGCGGGGAATGCGTAAGCCTTTTGCACGGGATTCCACAAGTCGGCTACGGTACCACCGGCGCAGCTAAGAGGCGTGGAGCCGAAGAAACCAGCGAAAAAGCGGAAGACCAAATGGCTATGAATGGTCGGAGCGACAGCGGACGCCAGGACAAATATCAAGAAGACCAGCATCGTGATCAGATACACTGCATTGCGTCCAAATGTCTCTGAGAAAGGACCGGACAGTAGTGAGCCGACTCCGAAGCCGACAAGAAATAGGCCTAGAATTCCATGTAAGCTTCTATGAGCTCTTCGCTGCGTTGCTTGTGACTGACCTGTTGCGAGAGATCCAACCACTTCTGAAACATGGAAGTATTCACTATACTGTTTCACGCCGCATGCATCAATTGCCGAAGCCGCGGTGACTGCGAATGCAATCATGGAAACCAAAAGGGTCATGAACAGCTTTCGTGAAACACTGCAGTTTGTCGGGTTCAGGGGATCATCTTTGCCATCCCAATCGACAAGAATAATATCGTCATCGTTTATTTCTTGTGGTGCCACTGAGGGTTCCTTTTCCAGGGTTGGTAACTCAGAGTTCCCCAATGGGCAACTGAATCGAAGTATAAGCAAAAATGCCAGATGGAACTCAATGCACGTATGGGTGACAGCCTACCTGTCATCGGCCTGGGACCCGTTTGTAGGGTGAGTATCTCTGGGTTTCTCATTCGCCAGCTGCTCCCTAACCGCTTGTTGAATCCGTTTGTACTGGAAGTATGATTCCATCTTGGCAGCGCACAGCTCTACCTCAGCAGGGGCCTCGAAAGTGAAATGACAGGAAGAACAAATAAGCCCCCATGGGACTCTCGAGTTTTCCACCCATTAACGGGCGACGGATCCACAGCCAGAGTTTGACCCATAGCAAATGGACGGAGCCTGGGCTTACAGACCCACAAACAGATGAGAAGCCCCTATTCGGGCGTCTGCCTCATCCTTGGGAGATCATCTCGAGCTGGACACAAATAGTGAGCTGCTAGTACGGAGTACTCGTACGAGTCATGATATGGTGGTGCCGTCCACTTTTTCATCAATTTGTGAAGATGATCCACCGAGGCGCACAATGTGGATTGAGTTGCGGTCCGACCTTCGGGGGAGTCGGAATTTCGGGAGTCCCCCCATCGGAATGTCCCCCGGCGGGCTTAATTAAGCTTTCGGCACGGGCTTTTTGTTCATTTTCAAACCCGACTCGATGCCATTCTAACATTTTGGCCCGGTTCTGATATCTTGTTACGAAAATCATCTAAAAGAGTAGTAGATGGAGATTATTATTCGCTTTAGCTGGTCAGTCAAAATAACGAAAAAAGTACAATGAAGATAACAAGTAAGCGTCAAGGTGCTCTCGAGGTCAAAGATAGGAGTAGCTCAATTGCCATGAGATAAGCTGCAACGTAATGATAAGTTGGAACAAATGGCTTGATGCAATTCTAGGTTGCTTTGAGGATTCGCATCAATGATATAGAAGAACAAAAACAAAAAGCATATGTCCAGGCCGTTACATGATGGGCCTCCGAAGAAAACTGATTTCTCATCAATCGCCTTAGGAGATAGGATAGAATGACAGAAAACGACGGTCAACTCCCAGGAACTGCCATGATTCTCACAGTCGGGCTTGTACTTTCCCCTCTGGCGTACTGGTCAATATCTGACTATGGGGGCTCTCAAGTCTGGACAAGGTAGATTCAAACAGCCGCGGTAGTTGAGTCTGACTGAAGCCAACGTCGTTGACTATCATCTTTGCCACACCCTCAGCCGCGAGAAATATTTGCGGCATTCCGTGTCCAGTGAATCCGGCAATTATGTATTGTCCGTCTTCTCCTGGAACCAGGCCAACATGTGGTAGTCCATCGGAAGAATATCCCATTACTATTAAGGAAATCAAAAGTTAGCCACATGGAAAAAAATGTTGGTTTGAGAGATCACATACTACCAGTCCAGACACGGTCAGTGTACGCATGGCTTTGCTCCCATCCAGCAAAATTGCGTTGCATGTAGTTGTCCCAGTATCTGATAGCAGGCTCAAGTACTTGACTATCATCGGTAACGTTGTACCAGCTATTCAAATCGTTAATGAAAGCTGGCCGCGCACCGCCGACGACAATACTGCCATCTGCACGAGGAATAAGATAGTCGTAATTCCAATTGTTCCAGCGAAGAGTGTAAGTTTTGGTGAGACGAGGAGCTGAAGTACCAGGTGGGACAATGATACGGCTGCAGGTTCCCCGAACTGGAACAATCTTCTCCTTATACTGAGGAGCCAGAGCGGAAGTATACCCGTTCGTTGCAAGAACCACCTTTCTGGCCGATATTGAGTCCCGTGCGGTGCTCACAGTCCAGCGATGGCTTTGACTCGCTTCAGAAGAATGCGAAATTTTAGTGACCGGAGTATGGGTTTGAAGATTGACGCCTCGGGCGAGAGCATGTTCCAATAGATGCAGCACAAATTTGTACGGCCAGATATGACCGGCTTCATAAGTAAAACAGCCTTTTGCGCCCTTGACTCCCGTGAACTGCGATATCGTTAGTCGAGGATCTGGAAATGGAGTGATGGTACATTTTCCCAACCTTTTCAGCATCAGGCGTATCAATACATGTTGCATTAGCCGTTGGCCTACACCCGTTCTTTATCAGTCCCTCATATCCATTTTTGAGCTTGTTGAAATGATCCTGAGACAATTGAACATCAACAGCTTTTGTGACAACATATTCACAGTCGATCTTTTCCCGATCGATGAACTCCTTCAGATATGTGACATGTTTGGCTTCGAATGCAGCCACTTCTGCAGCGGCCTCAATACCATGATCGGCTGCCAACCCAACGATTCCGTTGTAGACATCTGGCTTCATATGACCCCCTAGGAATTGTACTAGTTTAGTAGGGTAATATGGAATCCTGATTGAATCCACTCGTACCGTTCCGACCAGTGGCCCCAGAACAAGCCTGCCGAGCCTCTAAAATCACAATCGAAGGAGGAGTTGACCCAGGACTTGTTTGGTTGAGGATATTATATGCGACCGAGGCGCCCGCGTATCCAGCACCCACAATAACAATATCGCACTCATCGGGCAGTAATTCGGTAGACCGGTGGCTATCCAGGGCATGAGGCTCCGTTCGCCAGAATGATGTCATCCCATTTGGGACGGGAGTAGCCTTCGAACTCATGATAAACTGGTGATTAGCGGGCTTGGTCAAGAAGCCAAGTGAAAACGTTATTTATCATCAGCCGTTGTTGTCCCGGCGGCTTTTCCACCGGCGAAGTTCCGGCTCTGACCCCGCCGATAAAGAGAGCGCCGGGGACAAGGTCCCAGCTGTGCGGGGTTATCTTGAGTACCTTGTTGTGGTGAAGTTGACATTGAAAGTGTGTGTCAACCTTTCAAGAGCTAAGCGAGAGGAGTCATAGAGGGGAATAAGTGAGAGGGGGATGTTGGAGGCATTCCCCAGACCAGCGTGCATACCACGCCCCTCTCTCTCTCTCTCTCTCTCTCTCTCTCTCTCTCTCTTTCAGTTTCGAATTTATTAAATCGACGAATTCAATACCCCTGATATTTCTGTGTGGTCAATCCCAAGTCACAGGCCAACATATGTCGCTTAGAAAATTAAACAAAGAATAGAAATTGAATCGAATTTGTGATTATTTGATTGGTAACTATGAAGAGAAATATATGATCTCAAGAAGATGCTTGATGGGCAATGATCTTGTCAGCCATTCCTGGCAAAGTATCATCCATGACATCCATCTCTCCAAATAGCTCCGAAAGTGACTCCTTCTCCCATACAGAGCAGTATGCACCCTTGAATCTATGTGGCACCGGGTCAGTAAACTTGTTTGCAGATGAGCGAAGAGAAAAACATACCCAGCTTTTCTAGCAGCAGAGACATCCCACATATGCGCCGCCGCAAACCACGGTGTCTTTCCATCATTTTCAGACTTGAGCTTATCTAGCAAGGGTCGATAGGCTGCCAAGTCAGGCTTTCCAACACCTGCATCGTCACAAGAGAGCAAGTTCTCCGCGGGAAGTTCCACGCCAGCATTCTTGAAGTACCCTCCGACACGGTTGATGTCTGCAGCTGTGAATGCCCAAACTGTGAATCCGGCATCACGAAGCTTTTGGACACATTCGGCGGCATCAGGACGAAATTCAAGCAGCTGGTACTCCTTCATGATATATTCAAGATCTTCAGGTGAGGCCCATTGGCGTGGCTCAGCAATACCGGCCATCCAAAGCATGCGGTAGAAAAGGGCGCGGAAAACTTCGCCAAATGGAACATATGTTTGTGCAAGGCTGAGGTTGGTGTACTCGCGTTCCGCAGCTTCCATCCAAGTGTACCCGAGCAAACGAGGCTTGATACCCTCTGCACGCAATCGATCGCCTAGACGGGTATCAAGGGCGTCGAACACATGGTCATATGCTACCAGTGTTCCGACGATATCAAAAACGACGTGTTTCGACGACATGGTGAAACCTTTTGGTTCTTATCTCAAGAGTTGGTGTCTATCGGATAAGGCGACAGAAAGAGGATCGGGGGAGAGAACCCCTAAATAGCCCCCAGTGAGTCAAGATGTTGGACATATCTTTGATTGCCGATGTATACCCCGCTCCGGTGAGGTGTGTGAGATCCCGGCGGGAAGTCCGCAATCCCACCGGCAAGCTACGCCAAGAGATACTAGATAGCGATAGGGTCATGTATGAAACATAGAAATATCGGATGATATTCGTACGAATGATTGATTTTAGGTTATGACTCAACTTGTGTGTAAATTGGCAGAATGGACCATACTCCAACGCAAATATCGAAGGATGATCCAGATTTCAAGGGAATCGAGGCAAATGACATAGAGCGGACGGCCACCTCTGGCACCGAAAAGCATGGAAGTACTCTTGTTCTATCGGTGGGAGATGATGTCGGCTACCATCGATCCCTAACAAGGCGTCAAATCATGATGATGACCTTCGGTGCTGGTATTGGAACGGGGCTATGGGTGGGAACTGGGCAAGCATTGCATTATGGTAAGAGCAGAATATTACGTTCAAACTGTTGATGCTGACTTAAAAAACAGCTGGCCCTGCTGGCACGGCTATCACCTACACCATAACCGCGTAAGATCTACCATGCCGCGATCTCTAGCATTTGATACTAACATATTGCCCCAAGAATGATTGTCTACGCTCAATACTCCTCTATCGGTGAAATGACTACATACAAACCCATTCATGGTGGTTTTATTCGCCAATGTGCTGAATATGTGGATCCGGCCTTTGGCTTTGCAATCGGTGTGAACTTCTGGTTCGCGGTATGTGGCTCTAAGTTATGATTAGAAAATCACTGTACGCTGACTTTCAACAAGTGGGTCATGATTATCCCAGCGGAGATTACCGCTGCTATATCAGTATTGAAATACTGGCCGGAAACCGATGTGGTACCCTTAGCAGCATACATCACCATATTCCTCGTGGTGATAGCGGTTGCAAACATGTTCCACGTCCGCGTTTATGGATACATCGAGTACTATATGTCATTCGTGAAGTGCCTCGCAGTCGTTCTTATGATCTTCTTCATGTTTATCATGACCTCCGGGGGTATTCCTGCCACCAACGGTCCAATTGAGTTCACGTACTGGAAGAACCCCGGAGCCTTTAACAACGGAATCAAAGGCATTGCCAAGGCATTTGTGCAAGCGGCTTTCAGCTTTGGTGGCGGTATGGTACTTTGGCAGCATCAAGAGGAAACCTCACTAATTACATTGATAGGTGAGCATATTGCTGTGATCGCGGGCGAAGCCAAAGACCCCCGACGCACCATCAAGAAAACAGTCAGACCAGTCTTTTGGAGAATGTTCACATTCTTTGTGGTCAACATATGGCTTGTTGGAATGTGCGTCCCTTCGAACGACACCGATCTTGTTAATGCAAGCGGGACTATGGGAAGTCCTTTTGTCATTGCAATCAAGCGAGCAGATGTATATGGTCTTGCCCATGCAATCAACGGCTTCATCTTCCTCAGCGTGATTAGCTGTGGAATTACCAGTGCTTATATCGCAAGTCGAAGTCTCACAGCTCTGTCGGACCTGCAGATCATTCACCCCTTCTTCGGAAGAAAAGACTCACATGGAAGACCATATGTGTCACTTGTCATCAGTTTGGGTCTTGGCGGAGGACTTTGCTACCTTAACACCAACAGTGTGGGCACTCTTGTCTATGGCTGGTTCTCTGCCTTGGTAAGGAGAATCCAAGAAACAAACCTCGAAGATTTGGGTCACACATGCTAATAATTATCATCCAGGTGGCAATCGCGACACTGTTCCAATGGGCCTCGATCTATATAGCTCATCTGCGATTCCGCCAAGGTCTTCGGGCACAGGGCAAGGATCTTAGCAGTCTTCCATTCAAAGGTCTGCTCACACCATGGGCACAGTACTTCGGTCTTGTGATTGTGCTGTTCGTCTTTGGTTGTGAGTTTTACTTGGCATGTTGGCCATTCGGAGAAAAGGGCTCAGTCAAGAGCTTCTTTTCCTCTTACCTCGCAGCTCCATTGTTCTTTTTCGACTACTTTGTCTACAAGGTAAGTTCTTTTCCAAATTCCAGAAGAGGAGCACATAATTGACATTTACAGTGGTATTACAAAACCAAGATCGTCAAGCCAGTTGATATGGATTTTGGCCCCGCGAAAGCCTTCGATGAACAGGATGTCATCAATGCGATTGCCACTGAGAGCACACCACCGAGCTTGGAAGGAGCCGATAAGCAACGCTGGTTTAAGCGTGCTCAGTATATGATTTTTGGATAGTTCACATCACGCACAGAGTTCGTGTGTCGGATTCGTTGTGTCTTGCTAAACTTTATGCAGTCACTCAGATAGTAACGAGAGAATATTTGAGTCAAATTCAATGTTTCCATTTGACCACTCCGGATTGAAGAAACCAGTCATGTCATCGAGCTGAGGATTCGTAAGACCATCTGTCCCGGGTGTCAGATGTGACAAGGGGCTGAATGAAGCCAGATCTCGGTTTTCAGTGGTAGATTGATCCTTTTTGAGTGTTTGTGTCCAGCTCTTGAACTTCGAATATGCAGAGGTGGGACTTTGGCCAGAGTCCGGCTGAACAGCGTTGTCGCGTTCGGGGGTAGCTAGATATTGACTGACGGCTGCTTCGATTGATTCGATATAAGAGATCTCGGATTGTGTTGAGCTACCACCGATCATCTGGCGAATGAGGCTCATTCCACGATGAAGCCCGTCCTGGAGTCTTTGTGACTTCCCAGAATTGAGGCTCTCGGCAAGGATCACAAGTAGGGCTGCTCTGCACGCGCCAAACTCGTTGTAGGAAGCGCGACACAAACCAACATGATCTGATAGTGACTGCAGAGTGTTGAGAATATCCAACGCACTAGCCACACAGTCGTCAACTAAGATTGATCGACGTGATCGACATGAATCAGGATCTGCGGTTGCAGTCAGATCCTGTTCAGCATCTGCTCTATCGTCAATGAAAATGAATGGCCGACCCATATAGATATATATAAGAAGGTAGCATAATTTCAAATGAAGGTTTTGTCGAAACAGTGGGCCTTGAGAGCAGAGGTCACGGCATTCTTCGGTTGCAGGTAGAGTGTCCCACCATTGCTTGATCTGAGTTCTCAGCCGCAAGAGCCGATCAGAATATTCGGACAGAAGCCTTTTGGGACACTTTTTGAATTGTGTACTTGAAAAAGTCAGTAAAACTGATATTAGCTGGGCAAAAAGTACTCACAGCGTATCTGAAACTTCTCCTAGGTAAAATATTAAAGTATGGAATGCCATCATATTACTAAATCGCGGCGAGCTGAATGTAGAGCAAGCTGTTGGCATATCTGCGTTGATGTCGGACTTTGCGATTGATATGGGACGTCCATGCATTATACTGACATACCTAGTTTAAGTCAGCTGGAGCACTTGGGAAATGATTTTGTAAGAGCACATACTTCTCAACAGAATATGCCGTCCAAAATAGACGGTTTCTTGTTTCGAGTGTTTTTGAATCGCAGTCACCATCTGTATATTGCCGATGCATGCCATTCTGAATCGCCATTTTCATCGCCAGGCCATAATAAGTGTAAGCCAGTCCACCGGTGGAAACAGGGAGACAGTAAGTCGCCAGAAGCAAAAATACCTGCACACTCTCGTGAGATGCTACCAAGAGAACATCTGGGATAAGCCTGCAGGCCACGTGGTAGAAGACTAATCCGACCGAGTCCTCGGAGCACAGTCTGAGCTCGTCGGTTAACTTCGCGTCTGTCTTTGGTAAATCCTCTTCCATGTGTGCCACCTGGGTCCCGATGGCCAGAGTAGCAAAGACTGAACACACCCACGGAAAGTCGCTAGCCGCGTAAATTGTGTTCGGGTTGTAACAAATATCTATCTTCTCCTCAATCCACTCGCGCTCCATGTAGAAAGAGTTGATCTCGACGTATTTGAAGAACAGGTTAATGAGGAAGTCAGCAATCGGTCTCGGGGGTAGCTGCGTTATTGATTCGACAAGAGTTTGGGGTGATGACTGAAGTTGGGTTGGTCGCCAGTATTCTGTCACCTTATCGCAAGTTTTATCGTGTCAGAAAAGCCGGAAACCCCAGACCACAGGGCACTTACCTGTGCAGCCAGGGGATCAACCTGACCATTCATCTTGCGTCTCAGCTTCTGAGAGAAATTCCAGTGTGAGAACTCTCCCGAATAATGCGCGATATCCTTGGACACGAAATGAACGTCAAATGACTCGTTGATATCCAATGCAGCCTCCGTCCGAGCGCTTTCCGTCCTTGAATTTTGCAACCTGTTGACAATCTGAGTTAAGTTGGCATCGTCCAAAGACAAATCGCCAAGAAAATGGCGTGCAATATATTCCAGGTTCTTGATGCGGTTCTGATCTCCAGAAGGGGTCGTGATTGGAATGGAGATGGAAGGTGTCTCTGTGGGAGTCGGCTGGCCTTGAAAATGACATGGTCGACCTAGACGCTGGCATCTCCAGCAGGGCGGTCCACCTTCGCACTTCTCTTTCTGCTTTCGACAAGTTTCACAGCTGGTGAAAATCGTTAGCTCTGGGGCAAAACTGTTTGTTATCTTTGCACTTACGCCAAGGGGGCACGTCTGCTTTCCCCTCGCTTTCGCTTGTTCATCGGAGGAGGATTCGGTTGGAGATACAGTACAACGATTCAGCTTGGCGAACAGCTCAAATAAAGAGTGTTGAAATTCAGGTCATCGACGACATGAAGACAAGCTTATCTTTCTTATCAGGCGCTAGTTGGAATGGGAAAATGCGGGGTAACGCATCCATGGATCCATGAATGTATACGGCACCTGGCACGGAGTAAGTTTTGTAGTCTTGCAGCCTTGCAGACTGGGTCTGGAATATGGAGGGCTTCTACCAAAAAAGAACCACAGATAAATTCTACCTGCTGCAAAGTGATGAAAACACACTAATTTCGATACCCCTACCTATTCTAACGAACTTATGCATTTCCTGCTGGACGGCGTCTGAGCAAGCTACCTGGGCTTTACCCCAGAGACTAGAGCCCTAGAAATTCACATCCAGTTCATGTTCACAGTTAACACTTGCCATCACTGTCGTTCACAAGTCTTCATCACTGCTGGAGTCGTGATAACCAAATCTATCCATCCAATCCGTGATGTAGCGACAAAATTCATCAAAGTCTGCAGTTGTGACATCATCTGGTAACTGCGACTTTGAGGTGCCACAGTTGTATCTGTAGATAGCCAACTCAACTTCTGGCCATTGACTCAGTTCACGCGACACCACAATGTAAGCATCCCAGGGCTTCACTGCATGATGCCGCATACCACGCGTCAATCTTCTTTTCATTGCTCTGAGGAAAGCCCCGGTTGTGTCGTAGTCACTGCGTTTAGCCTCCCAGACATCGAATGCCGAGTTTTGGATGGTGCTGTGGCCCTTGCCGAGCAGGTGATTCTTGAGAGCGGCCATGAATTCGTCGGCAAAAACACAAGCGTTGCCATCCAAGATCGCTTTCACCAGTGCGCTATCCACTGACTCTTTCAGAAAGGTTGCCACCTTCTGCGAAATGAGGTACCATGTTATGGCGTCGGTATCATCTCTGAATGGTCGAGGAATCTCAACGTTGATCAAATTGTGCAGATTTTGGGGTTCCAAGACAGTGAGAACTGCCTCATACCATCGACCAAAGTTTTCGGAGCTATCAAGTGGTGGCAGGACCTTGCGCAGCTTGACTGTTTTGGCTTCAGGCAGCTCAAATGCTTGATTCACAACTGTTGTATTATTTTCCGCCTCGTTCCAGTTTCGGTCATGTGGCGCATCTGCACCAAGGATCGGCGATGAGGGCGGATCTGAGTCTACTTCCATGATCAAGGATGGAGAGAATATGGATGATTCTCTCTTCAGGCTTCAAAAATATATTAGACTTGTTAGTATGGGTAGGCATGGCAGCTGGGCGCCAAGGATAACTCACAAATTGGAAGTTTCCCGGAGGCCAACAGTCCAAATGCAAGAGAAGACGAACAGTTGAATATGAGCAAAAGTAATGAAGTCGAAGGCGAAGATGAGGATGGGGATGAAGATGAGGATGAAGTTGAGGATGGCGAGCTGTCTGCACCTATTTATAAGTGGGTTGATTCACAAATATTTTGGGGTATTATTCACGAAACTGAGCAAACAGATCCTTATCAGAACCTTGAAAATACATTGCCCATCACAAAGGAGCAAACAAAAAGAGGAGAACGCATATGCAAATTCAAACCAGTATGCTTTATGGCAACCTAATCGGGTACATGAAGGAATCAAAGATGTTACCTACACGGCCACTGCCCAAGTGGGCCTTTTGTGAGTAATGCCACTGTGACCTCGCAGCTGTAGCCTAGACTATAGCACAACCCTAGGTACACCTGGGCATGTGCATCGAAGTGTCGTGTTTTGACATGAATAAAAGGTGTCTGTGTCCTCATGAATTTCCCGGTTCTACTTCTCACAGAATATTGCACTGCTTGACTGGAGCACTTCGTTTGATGCGAGATTGTACATATTTTCCAGAGTCGATTGATATACAAGAGCAATATTCGGAGACAATCTTCAAGGCATTACACCTGACAACTCTTTGGGAGACACTTGCACTACCAAATAGAGATCAAAAGCACCCCTGGATTTCGTTGCTATCTATGGGAAAAGATGAATCTGATTGTGAATCCTGCTCACATTCAAACATACAACCAATCGAGTCGCAACAGTAAAAATCCATTGATGCAGTGACCTCGGTCCTCTCAATTCCAAGATATGGTGATCTCTTCTTTGACTTGAATGTTAGAATTCGACGCCATGGGGTCACTGCTGTGTTTTCCACGCAAGAAATGTAATGGCCATCCGGGGAAGCTAGTCAGCTGCACTTCATCGCCGTGATTATCATGATGGTCATCTTGGTCGTTGTCGTCGCTCGTTTGATGCCTTGAGCGATTGATCCTGGAGCCTCCTGTGCCATAGTAGTCCTGCTTTTTCTTCGACCCCGACCGTTTGACACCCATTATCGCCCACCAGCGGCGGAACAACGGTGAGAATGTGGGCAGGCATGCACAGATAATCCCGATAAAGGGTTCAACACAGGACCACACAAACACAGGGGCAATGGTCCAGGATGGATCCAGAGAATGGGTATTCTTATCTAGAAACACAACCCGAATTATACCGGCGACGCAGACGCTAGGAATGTGATATTAGCAAATATCCTCTCATTCATGACAGAAATGACTTACAAGCCACCGAGCAACAATATGCTTATGACAGCGAGTCGTTGCGTTCTCGGCATCTGTAGTCTCCAAATGATCGGAGCAGGAACACATAAGATCATAACATCGATCAAGACAGAGATGATCCCATTGATCAAAAAGAAATCAGAAGTGTTGATACATGTTCCTTGGGCGCTAGGATCAGTGTACTGCAGCCAGAAGTGGGATAATGGACGACATGCAACTGAGATGGTCGCGATGACAGCCACAAAGTATCCCAAAATAATGGACATTGCAAAATACAATGACCAGCGAAGGTTAAATATTCGACGATAGAACATGATGATCGAAGACTTGGTCAGAGTCACGGTTGTCGAATATAGAAAAACATGGGCGAACAGAAGTTTCCACAATGAAACAAATTCAGAGTCTATGAGTGTCTGTTGATGCCACCCATTTTTATATTTTGTGCCTGTGAAGACAGTCAGAGCTCCACCTCTCCACGCGGCCTGTAGGCAGTTTTTGCTTACTGATGATCACACATATTGCGGTGCCATAGGCGAAGCACTAGGAGCAAGATTAGTGACTCTCCAAGGCTATTCCCGAGTTCCAAGGATCAGGCATACCAACGATGCGAAAATGAGATAATCATCAAGACCGAAATTTGTTTGTGAACTCTTCGCGCGCGTGTATATGCGCAAAATGACCGCCAGCGTCCCAATGACCATGAGGGATATAACAGCACCGAGCATCTGAACTTGTTGATTCTCACGAAGATCAACATCAGCAGGCGCCGGCCCAAAATCACCAGTGGCGCTCATAGTGTACTTAGCAAAAGCACCACTGAACTCGGAAAAATGGCTTCATTGGGCTCGAAGCGTGAAACATTCCCCGGCACGAAGACACATCGACATATTTAAGTAACGAGCTCCAGACCCGCGTCCAAACAATCTGTCAGTGATTTCAAGACGCGCGGTTCCAAGGTTGAGTATGGAGCTATATGGAGCTAGGTCTGTGCTTTCTGAAGAAGTGATCTATCAACATTGCACCCATAAGCCTAGCATTACGGAGTACTCCGTACTATCTTTCGATTTGCAAACAGAGATTGTGGATAGAAATTGTATCTCAACAAAGCGGCCATTGGACTAATTGAGGTCATTCAAGTAAAGACTAGCTATCCGAGCATGAAGAAAGGTAGCTCCCATGCAGGCCCACCTGAGGATAAATTCTGCAAGTCGCGGCGGGCCCAGTCCAAGCAGGGTTTTGCAAAATTAACGGGAAGTGCCCTGATTGACCAATTGGTATAGATATGCGCCAGCTATGTCACTGACAGTTTCATCCAAATTAAAATAACATGGAAATCAAGATCCGTGGACCCTGTCAGCCACGAGTGGAGCGGATCCCATCTATATCAGCCGAAGTGGACCCCCGTGGGCACCCACTTAATCATTTTGCCGCGCTCTCAGACGCCTGACAGGCGAGATCGAAGGTTATAGATTGCAGAATGGTATGGCTTATTCCTATTTGGGATATTGGGGCACTTTTGGCAGGTCCATCGAGTTTCAGGGATTATTTGGCATCCCTACTTTTTGCGGGGATAGCCGCCTCTTCAGGAGTCTAGACTTTCCCATCAAAGGCGTTCATACAATTGAAATAAAAACTGACTGAGATATTACTGGATATTTTCTTGCTCTCTTTTCTCTCCTCTCTCACTGTCACTCTGACTCTCTCATTCGTGCTCCATCTTTGTTCCCTCCTATAGGTCATATCTTGACCAAGTATGGCTTTCTAATTTCAGTCATAGATCTGATACGATGAAAAATGGAGCGATTCAACTCAACTCATATCCATAGCTATCCGGTGTGTTTGACCACTACGCAATACACACCACCCCGGCTCAATGTTTATATCCAATTCTCAATACTAAAACTCGGCGTGACCGACCTTTGACCGAATGCACCCTCGGCGATTACGCTGTTTGCTACGAGAACACCCCGCCATGAGTCAGATGCAGGGTCAAACCGGGTAGTCGGAAATCCACGGTACCCAGCCCTACAAGAGCGGGAGAAGACCCGCCTATTGCTTTGTCTACATACAGCACAGCCATACCACGATGGAGAGTTCTCTAGAGCCCATGCAAGCTGAGAGCAGTCAAATCTCTTTAGGAACTCGCCTGTACTTCTCTCCTCCCTGACTCGCACGAACCAAACTAACAATATCGCAGACAATCCATCAGTATAATCTGTGCCTCGACAGCACTCGTCTTTACGGGATGTGGAATCAATTTCGCATTTGGTGTCTTCCAAGAGCTGTATGACACCATGTCAAAGGAACCTAACACACCATTCACTGGAGCCACACCCGCTCAGATCGACTTGATCGGCACTCTTTCCATCGCGCTCATGACCATCGGCGCCCCATTCGCAACAACATGGATCAAGCAATATCCTCCCCGCAATGTCATTTGGGCAAGCGGGGTCATCTACTCCGGTGCCCTGGTACTGGCAAGCTTCAGTCAAGCCCTATGGCAGTTTATCCTCACACAGGGATGTCTCCTGGGAATCGGCACTTGTCTCATCTATATGCCCTCTGTGACGGTAGCTCCAACATGGTTCTCTCTCCACCGCGGTCTAGCAATGGGAATCATACTTGCGGGGACAGGAGTCGGCGGTGTCGCTTGGCCACTTGCCTTCCGGTATCTCATCGACTCCGTCGGATTCCGAAACACACTCCGTATCACAGCGGGCATATCATTTGTGCTGGTTTCTGGCTCCGGGGTGTTCATCCGTTGGCCGGCAAACCAGCTCGCTCGCATTCAAGTTGAGAATGCCGCTTTATCGCGTTCATCCAACATCTTCCGTCTACCGCGGGTTGACTGGCGAGTCGCGAGAAGTCGCAAATTTCTGGCACACGCTCTCGGTGCGGCACTGCAGTCTGCTGCATACTACACGCCAGTGTTTTTCTTCGCATCGTTTGCTCGTACATTGGGTTACTCGCAGGCAACTTCGGCTAATTTCATTGCAATCTCCAATGCTGCAAATGCAATTGGAAAGGTCGTCATTGGCCATGCAGCAGATCGAATGGGCAGACTCAACACACTGGTTCTGACCACTCTCATATCAGCAATCTCCGTACTGGCTTTATGGCTTCCCTCTTGCCTATCCACAACCCAGTTGAGCGGGAGTAATCTGTTCATCGCATTCACGATTTTCTACGGCATCTTTGCCTCGGCTTACGTTGCTCTCTTCCCAACGAGTCTAGTTGAATTGTTTGGTGTGCAGAACTTTGCCAGTGTCAACGGCTTGCTATACATGATCAGAGGCTTTGCCACGTTGGTTGGGACTCCGGTTGCAGGTGCTTTGATCAGAGGTCATAATCAGAAGAATATGGGCCCCAGGAGTTATGAAAACACTAGCATCATGGTTGGTGTGTTAATGGTTGTGGCAACCTTGGCCGTCACCTGGGCGCGACTGGAGGCTACTCTCGCCCTAGACGGGAGCCAAGGCCACAGAAGAAAATGGTTAATGTAGGAATTGGCGTGTACCATGAAAGATCACGTCTGAATAATTTTCGCAGTGTACATTCCTCTAGATTCGACGAACCCATGAACGTAGATGGAAATGAATCACATAACTCCGAGGCGGATCAACCAGATACGACCCCAATCATCAATCATAGATCTTCATCTCTAAATCCTCTTCTCTAAATATTCTCAGCCTCACAATCCAGGAGTCTGAGCCCCTTCTCCAATGCCCATCAATCCACCGGCAAGTCCGTTCATTCGACGATCCAAGATATCCTCCTCGCTATCCAGAGAAGCAATACTGCGACCTCGCGGACGAGCGGTCGTCGGACTTTCCGGCGCACTGTTGGTCTCGTCGGCATCGAAAGGATCACCACGGCCAGCTCTCTCCAAGTGTCGAAGCTTGGCAATAAAGTCATCTTTGGCTCTGCGGTCATCTCCCAGGGATGTGAACCCTTTGAGCTGCGAAGAAGCAAAGGAAGACCGCGACCTTCGACGTCGCCTGCGGTGCTCGGGTTTTGAGTCTGATGCCGCGTCACCAGCATTCAAGTTGACTTTGCTCAGACTCATTTCCAAGGGTCTATCGTCGTCACCCGAAGACTCGCCTGTGAAGGTTCGGTGGTGGTTGCGTCCCAGTGTTATGGGATTTGGTACAAGGTCGGCCGACCCTGACCATTTGAGAGATGTATTCGCTTGGGCACCATCATTGATGGCTAATGAATTGGCCACGAGGGTGTCCGTTTCGATGTTTTTGAACAATGTTTCAAGCCACTCCGCACTGCGATAGATGTACTTCCATGCATCGGGGAAGAATCCGGCCATTTGCATAAACCCATGTGACACACCAGGAATCAAGGAAATCTCAACGTAGTTCTTCTCATTGAAGGGGCGTCTGGCTTTCTCCAGTCCCAGATCCTGGCGCTCGCGGAATTGATGAAGTTTCGCTTGGCGTAGTCTGCCAGCAAAGATGACAGTGTCATCGACCAGAGGGTCCCGCTCTCCTGTCATGATGTATGTCTTGGGGAAACGAGCAAGCAAAGCGTCCGGTGCTAGAACAGGCGACAACAGGAAATCGGTGTTGAAATCTGGCCGATAGTGTGGTCCGATGTACAGAATGATCATTGCGCGAGTCATTTCGGGGGTGAGAATGCGATCATGCACGTAGGTGATCATAGACGAGACAGCAAGTCTGGTCTTGATTGGTTTGACGTTGTCTTCCGTTTTGATAGGAGGTTTTGTGCCGAGCTCCTCATTCTTCTGAAGCTTCTTCTCCAACGACTTTGCGGTTTCGGTCGCGATATCAGTCTCTTTCTCCTTTCCCTTGCCTTGTGGGGATATAGCAGTCAAGTCTTCAACTGAGCGACCGGGGGAAGTGAATGGTGTGAGTTTGCGGTATTGATCTTGCTTTCGTTGAAGGACACTGCGATTTGTTTGTCGGGAACTCTTGTCCTGGATTAAAGACATCTGCTCGTCGCTCATCCAGCTTTCTACCCTCATGTTCAAGGCAGGATATCCCAAAACCAGGCCATCGGGGGCTGGAAGCTCATCTTCCCTTCGCCAGCCTTGGGACATCGCCGATTGCAGGATCATCAAAGTCATTCCTACAGCCAGATTCCCACCGGCACTCTCTCCAGTGACAAGAATGCGTGGTCGAACCTTTCCTTCGAGGCCCATGCAACGACCATTAGTAGCAACTATACTATGATAGACATCATAGCATTCGTGTAGTGCATGCGGGTACGCATACTCTGGTGCCTTTTTGTAGTCAACGCTGAGGATGGGAACTTTAAGTCGCCCGGCCCAGGCAAGCAGCTTGTCCTCTGAGTTTCTGGGACTCATGGCGACAAATCCACCACCCGGAACATCCAAAACAACAGAGGTTTGCTGTTTCAACGCACTGAGCGGGCCGTCGAAATACAACCACGCATTCACGGGCTCGGTATAGATTGATTGGGCTGGCCGAGGAATTCGGATCGCTCGAGCAGGATATGTTGTCATGCGAGGCCGTAAAAGTCTGGCCATGTTCCATAAGTAGGGACTCGTAGCTTTGTTCCATGAAACACGTAGGTGCTCCAAAGTCAGAGTGGCTCGAACACGGCGGACCTTCTCGTCTGCTTGTTCGGCCGCGATCAGGTAGTATACTGTGAAGACCAAAGACGCAATATCCCGGAGCCACTTTGGCTTGATGTTCATCGCGGTCCAAAACCCAGCATCCAGGCCTGTGGTGATCCACGTCGCTCGAAAGAAGGACCGCGAATACATGTTAGCCAATGGCTCCGGGCATTCTAGGCCGACAATCTTGGCAAAGTTTCGGCTGAGGTAGAGCCACAGAAATATGATGACGGTTGTCTGCCATGTCGTCAATTTGCTAGTGAAGCGAGAGGAAAGTGATCGGATGAATGGTGGGCCATGTTTATCTGCTCTACAGGTATACGGTGATTAGCTCTTGTCAGTGCGGTTGACGGGATATGACGGACTTTAGTAAGTACACTGACCAGAAGGAGACTACCGCAAATACTTGGATCTTGCGGAAGCGGGTTGAGGGTCTCCCCAAGACGTGATCTGGATACTCGTGAGCTCAGTACTCGGCGCGTTGGCGATGACTGCATACCTATCATCTTTCCAAGGGCTCTCTCAACAGCTCCCGGTTTCTATGTGAAGCCAAGAGAAAAGGAAATCCATATTGACAAAGGATCAAGAGACGACGTCAGCCCCATCGCTTAGGCTGGGCTGAACAATCAATCACCCCAGACTCGTCATTGGCGAAGGGATTCACATGTGAATGCGGATCTCACATGTGATCCCCATCAGCTGACCAGTCACGGGATTTGTTGATCTACGTCGATCTTGGGGAATGTGCTTGTGCATGTGCAACTCCTTCGTGCTTATGTCCTTGTGAATCTAGTTATGTTTTCTGTCGGCAGTAGTTCCGTCCATGTCCAACTTGCCAATTACACAACGAGACCTCCCATCCCATACTGAGCAACCCGGCAATACAGATACCGCCAGAATCGCTGACAGTGGTCGCTCCAAGTGAGAATTCACGATCTTCTTTCGGTACGCGATCGGTAATCTCGGCAAAGGTATTGACGTACACTACGCCGCCAAGGAGTCCTTCCCAGAAAATGATGATGAACACAATCCATACACTCGGGATGAAGTCGAACAAAGCGTGAAGTGTCAGAATCACCAGGTTGAGCACCTGCAGAAGCGATGGAAGGTATAGGTGATGGATGCGGTAGAACGGGGTCGAGGAACGGGAGATAAACACGCCGATCTGGTATATCGCATTGTATGTGGGATAAAATGATCGAAAATGTTCAAAGGGCGACTCGCGGAGAGGGAAGAGGAGGGTTGGCGCCACTCCTTGATTGATCACATACTCGGCAATGTAAACGAGTAGCATAGGGACCATACTAGAACACTGTCAGCACTGGGGGGGGATACGGATCGGCCCGAGAGGAGCACCCACAATGGGATAAAAAGCCCCTTGACGCGACGTAGATTCACGAGAGCCTGGTCCTTCCAGGTACCATCTTCGCTGGGATTCGTGGATTTTTGATAATTGGTGGCACCGTGCGACAATCCCAAAAGTCCCTCATTCTCACCACGTCCACTATCCATCTCGTCTTCCTCCACTTCCTCTCCGCCTTCGATCACACGATACCTATCAGCGCTGGATTCAGCAGATCGCAAAGGTGTCATGGGTAGCACAACGAAGAAACTCAGTACCATCACAGCCGGTAGACACGCAGATACCAACAACGTGATGTGAACAGAGAGCCCCAGCGCCGAAGTTGCCAGGGCATAAGCACCCGCTCCAACTAATCCAGCAGCGCCAGTGCCACTGCCCCATGCGGCCAGACTGAACGGACCGTAGTAATGTGTAAGACCCATGAAGCTCAGCTCGCCGCCTCCACTGGAGAAGCTAGCAAGAATGATACCTGCGATCTTGGACGAAATCGTGCCTCCATCTGTATAGCTCGGGCTCATCGCCACCACCAGCATGCCGACAGCCGAGAGGAAGACGAAGATGATGATGCGCATCCAATAGGGAACCAGATGGATGAAGTACGGGGCGACGAGCTTCGTCACAAACGACGGGATCACATCCGCGAGGAGAACGACGCCTTTGGGTATATCTGGACCGACTAGATCTACGGCTGCGGAGAGGATGATCACGTAAAGAACATTGTTGATAAGGCCTGTTTGCGATTAGCGGTGTCTATCTCGAGGTGGGTGAATGCGCACCAAACAGCCAGAAAGCGACACAGACTCGAGGGTCTGCGCCGCTGAAGGCGCCGCTAAAACGGGCGCTGAGGCGGGTCCAGAAGGAAGGCTGCTCTTGGGAGGAGATTGCGTCCTCGCCGGAGGGTGGACGAGGCATTCAGTTGCGTTGGGGTTGACAGACTACAGGTGGGAAATGGAAAAAGTCAAGCGCTGGAGTCCATTTCTAATTCAGTATGAAACAGGGGAATACGAAAGTGAAGAGCACAGAGTGACGACTCCTTTACCGTCAGATCCACCGCTTCCGTCAACGCGCGTGGCTGACACTTGGCGCCCCACGCGACACATTTCCTCTTCCCCTAGCGTTAGGGCTACTACAGCCTCCCTTTTGGAGATTGTTAAAATGTCAATTAAAATCTTGGACAGGATGCCCAAAGAGAAGCATACACCTTATTGAAGTTCAGAAGCTAACTCAATTAGACACTTCTAAACTCCAAAGGTCTACGTGATACGCAGAGCAGCAGCTTCCCGAAATCCAAGGTTTGATGTATATCGATTCCTTTTGTTAGCCAAATATTTTGGCTGTGGCTAGCTTTTATCATTTATATAAAAACGCAAATGCTCTATATCACTTGAAGGTATCAGGAAAACAAAAGTCGTAACCGGCATTCAAAATCATTCATGCCTGGACCACAGACTCGATGCTCTGCTCCAAAATGCGCAAACCAGTCTGGATCTGGTCATTGGTGATGGTCAACGCAGGGACGAAACGGAGACAGCCGTCACCAGCAGTGATGATCAGCATGCCACGCTCACGGGCAGCAGTGATAATGTCACCAGCCTTGGCGGTGTACTCAGGTGCAAGCTGAAGACCAAGAATCAGACCACGGCCACGGATCTCAGAAAGAACCTTGGGGAACTTCTTCTGCAGAGCCTCAAATCCAGCAACGAAGAGATCGGACTTCTCCTTGACAGACTGCTGGAGCTCAGGCTCAGCGAGACGCTCAACAATGTGGTGGGCCACACGGCAGGCAAGGGGGTTGCCGCCGAAGGTGGTACCGTGGTCACCGGTCTTGATGTGCTGGCCAACAGACTGACCGGAGACAATGGTGGCACCAATGGGAATGCCGTTACCCAGGGCCTTGGCGGTAGTCAAGATATCCGGGTGGGCAGCCTCGCCAGAAGCAGGGGCAAGGGAGGGGTGAGCGTGCGCCCAGAAAGAGCCGGTACGCGAGAGACCGCACTGAATCTCATCATAGATCAGCACAGCGCCGGTCTCGTCGCAGCGCTTGCGCAGAGCAGCAAGGAACTCGGGGGTAGCGATGTTGACACCGCCCTCACCCTGGATGGGCTCGACAATGACACCACAGGTCTTGTCGGTGATGAGGGTCTGGAGTTGCTCAATCTGGTTGTAATCTCCGTACTTGAATCCCGGAATCATGGGCGAGAAGGGAGTCTGGTACTTGGGGTTGGGGGTGGCGGAGAGGGCGCCCATCGTGCGGCCGTGGAAAGAGTTGTTGAAAGAGACGAACTCGTGCTTCTCACCCGAGGGGTTTAAGGTACGGCCAACCTTGCGAGCGAACTTGATGGCGGCTTCGTTGGCCTCGGTTCCAGAGTTGCAGATGAACACCTGCGAAGCATCGCGCATGGCACCGGACTTCTTGGTCAACTCAATCAAGAGCTGGCTCAGGGCACCGGTCCAAGGGTTGTGGTAGAGGTTGGAGGCGTGGAGAAGGGTCTCGGCCTGGAAATCAGATATCCAAATCAGCAATTGGTCCCGCAAATAATGTGTAGAAAGTGGCGCACCTGCTCAGCGATGATCTTCGCAATCTCGGGGTCACAGTGACCGAGAGAGTTGACAGCAATTCCAGCAGTCAAATCCAAGTAGCGACGGTTCTCCATATCCCACAAGTAGCAACCCTGTCCCTTCATCATCATGGGAGCCGGGCGGACATAGGTCGAAACCATGAACGGAGCGCGCTCATTGACGAAGGACGATGTGACTGAGTCGGCCGCGGGGTCGGGGTTGGGCAAAGTCGTCTCCTTCTATGAAATCTTTAGTATGAATCAAAGCATACAATTCGTCCAACGTACCTTTGTGTTCAGGTCCTGGGGAGCATTGGAGGTGGTGGCCAATCGGCGCTGCACCGGTGACTCAAGGGCAGGGACAAACCTCGATGCGCGAGGAAGACGGCGCGCGGCCAAACGAATAGCAGACATGATCTATGGGTATCAAGAAAATTGCCAATCGCAAACAACAAGAAAAATCGCAAGTATGACTGATTGGATCAGCGAGCTGCCGGGAGAAATAGAAAAAGGCGATATCGGGATCGGCGAATCTTAGTCACTGTGGAGATTTGAGTCAATATCTCCGACCAACTCCAGAGCATTTGACTCACTGGACATATCATTGCCCTCGTACAAAATGCCACTCTCCATTACTATTCGTCGTACAATCCTCTCGGCTACTGCGTCCCGCAGCGCTATCCGGTCCTTTTCCACAGGGCGCGCCTTGCGCCAGAGCGACGACAAACCGTTACCCTTCTCCAATTCCCCGGCTCCTCCGCGCCTCCCGAAGGAAGAACAAGAGATCTTCGAGCAGCTACAGAAGCGTTCGACCGGTGCATTCAGCACACCGCAAGTCAACCAGTCTCCGCAGGGAGAGATCCAAGCCGATGGTAGCGGTGGCGAACTTCATCCCGATGCGCCGAAGGGACTGAAGCCCGAGTTTGAAGGCGAGAAGAACCCGAAAACTGGCGAAGTTGGAGGACCGAAAAATGAGCCTCTGCGCTGGGGTTCTGGTAGTGACTGGAGCTATGGTGGACGTGTCACTGATTTCTGAGTGACTGCACCTGGCCAAAGAATCTCGCATACATTGGCGTTGGTGTTTGTTGTCGGAATACCATCATGTAAATAGGATCTTCACTTGTATCTCTGTACGTTTTCATTCTACCTGCATGACATATACTTCTTTTCCCTCGGCCTTTTCTTATTTTTTACAACAAAGAAACGAAATGAACCATATTGATACACAATACCTGGACGGTGTTGTACCTGATATTTGCTTTCATTTGTACCGCAACTTTCGAAGTGCATACACAATTCTGGCACTCAACACCACCAACCTCATGACTTGATCAGATAAACATACATTGGTTTATGACAACCAGCTATAACGAAGCACGCGATCAGAGCTTCGATTTCTCCTCCGCAAGACGTGCGAGGGTGGCTTTACCAGCCCGGCTTTCGTTAGCTCGCCCCAGCTCCCCGCTGATCCATGATCCAACCTTAGACATCTCATCCAGGCTAATTCCTGTATGCATTCCCAAGCTGTGGATGGTATGCACTAGGTCCTCGGTCGCCACGTTTCCTGTCGCACCCTTTGAGTATGGGCAGCCACCAAGGCCGCCCACGCTACTGTCGAAAATGCGAACACCATGCTCCAGCCCGACGATGGTGTTCACCAATGCTTGTCCATATGTATCATGGAAGTGCAATGCTAGGTCTGTATTGGCAATGCCGGCAGCCTTGAGCGCTTGCAAAAGCTCCATGGTGCGAGGGGCGGTGCCCATGCCAGTGGTGTCCGCCACCGAGACTTCATCCGCTCCCATTTCCAGCAGGGTGGCAGTGATGTCAGCAACCTTGACAGGGTTCACATCGGGACCCTCGTAAGGACATCCGAGGGCGACAGAGACATATCCTCGGACCCGGATATTTTTAGACTTTGCTAATGCAACAATCGGCTTAATGCGCTCGAGTGACTCGTCGATGGAGCAATTGGTGTTAGCCTTGGAGAAGGCCTCCGTTGCTGCAGCAAAGAGAGACACTTCTGACGTTGTGGCGGCATTTGATGTGTCTCCCCTTGCGTCTGCGGGGACACCCGTGTCCTCCATGATTTTGACCATATTCTCTAGTCCTCTGATGTTGGGGACTAGGTAGTTGTATGCAATGGTAGACTGGGCTGGTGGAGGCCGGGTGAGAAGATGCTCACAAATCTCAGCTGTGCTTGCCATCTAGTGTGGTAGAAAGTCAGTGTCGAGACCAGCTTAAGCTGCAATGGCATGATCGGCGACATCATACCTGTGGTACCCATTTGGCAGGGACAAACGAGCCAGCTTCGATGGTTGTCACACCTGTTTTAGCTAGCCGTCCGATCAATTCGAGCTTTGTTTCCTTTGAGATCGACTTCTTCTCGTTCTGCAGACCATCTCGGGGGCCGACCTCAACGATGCGGACATGGTCCGAGGTTAACCGCGACTCGGTCGCAAAGCGGCGTGTAGCTAAGGGCGAACGCAGGGCAGAGAAAAGACGCAAATTGGGGCGTCCCGTAATCATGGCGAAGAGTAGACCAGCTTTGTAGATCCGCAAATAAGTAAGGTTAGAGTGAGCAGCTCGCAGAAGGAGAACAGCTTGGGGAAGGAAGAGTAGCAGGCCGAGATGCGGAGAGCGCTTTACCCCTTTCGGACTAGTAGATCACCCCACCTCTTATTCAGCAGAAAAAAAGTGCCCGCCCTAAGTGGGATGATCAACGAAATAGTGATTACAACATTGATATCTGAAGTCACATTCAATACCATGGAGCCACAGCCTATATCCACCGAAGATGGCTCACAGGCCAGCCAAATGCGCCAGCCCAAGAAGAGATTTGTCGGCCGACGAGCGGCAGATGCTCAAGCACAGAAGGAATCGACCGGACAAAAAGATGTAGAGTCTACAGCGGTCCAAACAGGTATCTCACACATCGCCTTCAATCAAACTATAAGTCGCTAATACTTTTTTTTCAGCCGCGCCCCGCAGAACTGCTCGCACGCTCAACCAAGTCCCGCCAGAGATCCTGAACGACCCCGAGATCAAAGAAGCCATCGAGCTCCTGCCCAGCAACTACTCCTTCGAGATCCCCAAAACAATCCACAGAGTACGAACATCAGGAGCCAAGCGCGTCGCCCTTCAATTCCCTGAGGGTCTCCTAATTTTCGCCACCACGATCTCCGACATCCTCACCCAATTCTGCCCAGGCATCGAAACCCTAATCATGGGCGACGTCACCTACGGCGCCTGCTGCATCGACGACTACACAGCACGCGCCCTAGGCTGCGATCTCCTCGTCCACTACGCTCACAGCTGCTTGATCCCAGTTGACGTAACGAAGATCAAAACCCTGTACATCTTCGTCGACATCAGCATTGACACCAACACCCCTCCTCGCAACACTAGAGCGAAACTTCAAACCAGGCCAATCAATCGCAACTGTCGGCACAATCCAATTTAACGCTACTCTCCACGGCCTGAAGCCTGTCCTTGAACGCGCCGGCTTCCGCGTCATCATCCCACAGATCACCCCGCTCTCCAAAGGCGAGATCCTAGGCTGCACTTCGCCCCAGCTCTCAGATACCGAAATCGACGCCATTCTCTACCTCGGAGACGGCCGCTTCCATCTCGAATCCGCTATGATTCATAACCCCTCTATCCCGGCTTATAGATATGATCCGTACTCTCGCACACTCACGCGTGAAAGCTACGAGCACGAGGAAATGCACACGATTCGCCGTGATGCCATTGCTACTGCGAAGTCGGCGCGGAAGTGGGGTATCATTCTTGGTTCGTTGGGTCGGCAAGGTAACCCACACACCATGTCGATGATTGAGAAGCACCTGCGTGAGCGCGGAATCCCAGTTGTCAATTTGCTTCTTAGTGAGATTTTCCCAGGGAAGCTTGCTTCGATGGCGGATGTCGAGTGTTGGGTGCAGATTGCTTGTCCGCGTTTGAGTATTGATTGGGGATATGCGTTCTCGCGGCCTTTGTTGACGCCGTATGAGGCGCTGATTGCGTTGGGTGTGAGGGAGAATTGGGATACTGGGAATAAGGGTGTTTATCCAATGGATTTCTATGCGAAGGAGGGTCTTGGTCGGACAAAGCCGCAGATTGCATAGGTTTAATATGTTGCATCGGGCGAAAAGTATATACCCCCATAGACTAGGGCAGCAGGTCTGACTCTGAAGGCACGACATCCACATACATGAATTTCTTTTGGCATATCTACAGCAGTTCGCAAGCTTATAGACGATCGTAGAGAATAGACTCATTAATAACAGCCAGGCTATCGAAGGCCCAGCAAAGATGTCATGGCATTAATATCAGACAATCCTAATCAAATACAAAGTTCATAATACAAAGTGGTGGTATGCTTCACCCTTTCACGTCATCGGCACTATCCGTGTTAAAGTCACTCGCACTGCCGCGTCTCAAAGAAAGCACGTTCTTATTCGCGAGCTCGTCGGCAGTACGCTCAGCAGCGCGCCATCGAGTAACGGCTTGTTGAACATCCTCAAACATCTCTAGAGAATCCTGGATGATGCCGCCTTCATCACCATCACCGACTTGAGTGCTTTCGCGGGAGCCACGGTCACTGGACATGGGGAAAGCAGGTCCGAACCCGCGTTGCGGAATAGGATTGAACATGATAGCATTTGCAAACATGCGGATCAGCTCCTTCTCCAACTGTGCGGAGTTTACGATGCCCTTTGGAGGGACAAAATCCTCAGTCTTGTTGAGCATGAGCACGCCGCTTTTGGAAGGCGTGCCGCCCGGAGCAGGAGACTCGCCATCCCCTGGTGTACTGAATGATTCCCCTGCGGTGGCAACCGCCTTGCTACCCTGATAGACCGCAGACTTGATGGTTTTCAAGTCCTGTGGTCGATAGATAAGATCGTGGTAGCCTGGCGCATCGCGTTCCCCAATTGGTTTGCCAAATATGGAGGCAAGCTTGTGTGTTGCAACGTCATTCAAGAGCGGCTGCGCAGTGCGGTGGAACTGCCGGGCAGCCATGACATATTTGGTCGTGTCAAATTTAGGAATGTCAGCCGGGTGAGGCTCAATATCTTGGGCTTCACTTGCTCCACGCTTCCGTTTCGATCGGCCCTTTGGGGTTTCTTCATCGGCAGTAACAGGTGCACCCTTGAGGCGGCTGGATGCTCGCAGTGTGTCATCAGAAGGCGCAGCTGATCCATCACGGGAAGCCAGCGATCGTCCTCGACTGCGAGAAGAAGCCGAACTGACGGCCCGCATCCTCCGAGTTGAGGGTGGCTTTTCAGTTTTTATGGTTGGTGTAGACTTCGCGTCCGGTTGGCCACGCCGTGACCTTCTCTCGTCCGAGGACTTCCTAGGAGGGGGCGACATTTCCATCGCATCGATTGGAGACCCCCGTTCGCTGATGGGACTCACGTCCTCTGGGCGAGGCCGTGGCGGTGATGTTGGGGAATGGGGAATGTCAGGTCGCGGAGTCCTCTTCCAGGGAGTTGAAGAGCCTTGTGTGTCAATTGACAGACGGGGGTGAGAGGCGCGTGATTCGGAGAAGGAAGGTAGTCTGGAAATTGGGGTGTGTGGTATGTGCGGACGACCAATTGGAATAGGGGTGTTCACCCCAGAAGCAACGGCGCTGGGCGTCTGCTGGGTTGGTTGTTGTTGAAATTGGGGTAATGGTGTGTTGGTTGATTGTGGTAGAGGTCGCTTGGTAGAAGCCTGCCCGGTTTGTGGTGTGGTTGCCCCTGGGGAGATGAGGGGATATGGCGAGTGAGGAGAGGGATCCAGCTGCCACTGCTGGAAGGTTGGTTGGGCCGGGGTTCGTTGGGACGCCGGTAACAGAGGGGCGGGTTTAGCTGCCACACCGGACGGAGGTGGAATTGGATTCGCACGAGGTGCGATCTGTGACGGGTGTGAGGGGGTAGTTCGTGCTGCGGCGGGTGTTGTGGGTGGTATTTTCTGAGCTGAAGGCGCAAGAGGCTGAATGGCCGGCTTCCCGGTGGGTTGGGGCTTTGCGGTTTGCGGTTGCGCTGGCTGCTCCGTCTGCCCTTCAGGTTTGGGCACCGGGGGTTGTGTTTGAGTGATCGACGAAGGGGCCACCGGTGGCACAGGTTGTGGTTTCGGGGCTTCTCGTACCGGAGCTGGTATGCTCACTTCAATGCGCTGCTTTCGCTGCTCGGCCTGTTTCTTGTCTTGGGCGACGGGAACAGCTTCCTCGTGCGGCTTGCCTGTAGGATCTTGCACACTTTGGCGCGGCGTCTCCTCCTTCACATCAACATCCATTGGGTCGGTCGGCTCTTGCTCGGGGTTCTCATCCTTGGATGGTGTGGCGTCCAGTTCAGCTGGCTTGTTGTCCTCCTTCCGTAGCTGTTCCAGTTCCGATCTTATCTCCGAGTACATCTTCTCATCCTCTTGGATTTCCTTGGTCACCAGCTCTTTATATTTCGCGTAAAGATGCGCTACGAGCTCCGGGACGAGGGTGGCATGAGTGATCCCCTCAGCCAGTTCCGCGGGCCGTGGGCTGGAGATTTTGCGCTTCTTCGGATTGGGGCTAGATGCATCTGGCTGTCGACCCTCCGAGGCCGCACCGTCACGGCTGAATCCATCGCGCATTAATGTCGCGTAAAGATCCTCCAACGCCTCCGGAGTGAGCCGACCGGCATCGAACTTTACATTGTCGCGAACCAGCTGATTGTTGCGCAGCAGCGTGGAAATCGAGCCGAAGCTTGTCGGTCGGGCATCGGTTGTCGCAAGAGATTGGAAGAAGAGTAGGGACTCAAACGTAGTGTACGCCGACAGAGGAGGCATCCCCCATTGCCTGTCGAATCGGCCGCCGGGGGAGAGAGCTTTGGGAATTGGGGCCACGGTGTTCGGCGATATGATCACGTTGGGATCGGTCGAGCTTAAACTGATCGAAAAGTACGCGACAGGCTGTGAACCGCAATACGCATCGCCCAGAAAATTCGGCAAGAAAAAATTTGGAGGTCAACTTCCACGGGCCAACTGGGGTAAAAACGGGTTGGGGTCAGGATTTCTAGGTAAAGAGATGGGATACAGTCACTCGTGAGCTGACGATCAATGATGAGATAGGTGGAATGGGAAGGGGGATCAATTGCCCAGTTCCTGTATGGGATCATGTGACCACAGTTGCCAGGGAGGAATCTGCCAGAATGCGGCACGTTAACTACTCAGTTGGACACATCCCATACTACGTCGATTTACTCTCTTAATATCTCGATATTTTCTTGACTTCAAGGGAGGGAAATATTCAAATGTGTTTTGCCTCATATTTGAGGATCAAAATTACACATGTTCGCCCCTAAAAGCCCCTAAACCCCTAAGTGACCCAGGTCTCCATAGTAATTAGCCCCAATGGTCCTATAGAAGGGTGACCCCACGCTGTCAGGGTGTGTGTGTGTCCAATGCTCTCGGGAACATGCGCCTTCAACCATGCAAGTGATGAAGGCTACTGTAAATAACGCCCCCTTTTCTGCTACTCCATACCCTATTTGTTTGACAGTCCGAAGCAGTAAAATTCAGTTAGTAGCGTAGGAAGGATGTAATAGATGTATTAAAAAAGTCCCGAGCCCCTGAATCTCCATACCCCCTTTTTTATGCGAGACGATAATTGCGTAGTGGTATTACGCTGTAATGATCTCCTTGCTCCCGAGTTAGCAGGGTGGACTAGTAATGATCAGCTCTTTCAATTTCACTCTTCTCTCTTCTCTCCCCTCTCCAAGTTTCATCTACAAAGTATTCCGAATCTTTACTGTCTATTCACAGACAGTTTCCACGCTCTTGACACTTTCTACACTTTCTTCGCTTATCGCGCCAAGGTACCATTTGCCTGAAGTATAAGAATCAACAACGAAAACTAACTTCTTTCCCCCCGATCAGATCCGTGAATTCTGTAATCGCCTACTTCTTTGACACAAAGAAACTACACAGACTCGATCCTCTGTGCATATAATCCCCAAGAGGTTACACATCGTCTTCCCCGCCATCAACAATCTTTTGGGGTCCCGAACGTGGCCCGCGCTTTTCCAACACATCATGTCCGACCAGGAATGGAAGCCCAAGATGCGCCCTCAGTCGTGAGTGACCCTCATCTACCTGCGTCTACTGCGAATCTCGAAGTATTGACCATAATCAGCACTATGGCGCAAGCATTCTCGTCCGCCTTGGACAGCGCATTCATGCTTGACTCCGATGTCAACAACCTATCGCAAACCGTCGATCAGAAGTGAGTGGAGCATACGGTCGCAACCAGTACATATCCTATGCATCGTCGCTAACATCGCATTCCAGGAAGCAACAGATGATGATCCAGAATCGCGAGCTGGAGGAACTGCAGAACCGCATTCGCGAGGCGGAACAACGCCTCCAGATGTCCCAGAAGGCGGGCGTGGCCCCCGCCGGCTCAGGGCAGCAGGGTGAGCGCTTTTGATCGTTGTACCCTGTTCGGTCATTTGATATAGCCGGTTTGTTTTACTCCAGGGTCTGACTGTGTGACAGCTTCCCACGGATTCGAGCACTCTGAGCAGCGGGCCAACCATTAAGCCAAATCACGGGTGTTTTTTTGTTCGGCCTCCTGGGATAGCGAGGTCAGAAGATGTTCGGATCGGATCCATCTGGGACTCGCGTCGCGTCTATTGACGCATTTTTCCCCCGGGATGATTTTGCTGCTTTTGCTGCTTTTGCTGCTTTTGATATATTCTTGTTCTGGCATTTCTTGAGAACCCCTATGTATTGGAAGAAATGCTTCCTAATCGCCCCTCGTTTGCACCGCTACGGCGGCCACCTGCGATGTACCTGAGTGCTTTTCCTCTTTTTTTTTTTTTTTTTTTTTTTGGAATGGAACTTACAAGCTGGAATGACCTGGGAAGATCAACCAGTGTGATATCAGATTAAACCCACACCTAAGCAGTGCCCAGGTGTCATTGCGGAAGTAATATACAGGGTACACTTTTAGTTCACAAATGAGCTGTGCTGGCCCGGGCCTTAACGATAACGTAGTCTCGAACCAATCGACCCTGAGCCGCGCACCAATCACACCTCGCCATTCAAAAATCCACCACTGTCTCTGTCGTCATTATGCCTTGATTGTTGGTTGTTGGTGCAGCGAAAAGTGTGCAAAGTACTGGCACGGGCTACAAGCTGTGGAGCTCCCCCAAGCTGGAGTTGCGGAGTACCTGATTCCCCTCCATTTGCCCTTTTCTCTCCTCTGTCCTTCTTTTTTTCTTTCTCTTCATCAGCTTGGTTTTATTACTCTTCCATCTTGCGCCTGCTGTCAGGCTGCATTTTTCTTTGCAATTGTCGATTTATTCGAGTAATTGTGTCCATCATGTTGATCGACGGGAAAGAAGTGTTAACGGCCGAAGAGAAGCGTCTGAAGGAAGATCGCGAGAGAACAAAGTACTGGAAGGTATGTCAAACACGCTAATTGCTGGGGGGTGGGGGTTGACTCGAACAGCGCTGGGGACCGTACGTTGCGGAGAGACAGTGGGCTACTGGTAGGTGCGCAATCTGGAATGCGCTGAACAAGATACTGATTTCCCCTCAGTCCGCGAGGATTACAGCGCAGATGGCGATGCTTGGAGCTATCTGACCTACGATGACGCTCGGTCGCGCACTTATCGGTGGGGTGAGGATGGTATCGCCGGTGTCTCCGATACCCACGGCCTGCAGAACATCGCCTTTGCCTTTTGGAACGGGGAAGAGTATGTGTTTATTGTCCTTACGGGAAATTGATTTGCTAATTTATTCCCAGCGACTTCCTAAAGGAGCGTCTGTTTGGCTTGTCCAACCCACAGGGTAACCATGGTGAGAGTGTCAAGGAAGCGCATTTCCATGTGGACAATACTCCGACGGTAGGCGATTGAATCCCCCGATCCGGCTGGCCCTAAGCTAACCCAATAATAGCACTCTTACATGAAGTTCCTCTACAAATACCCCCAGAGGAAGTTCCCCTATCAAGATCTCGTTGATGAGAACGCCAAGCGCTCGCGCTTGGAGAAAGAGTACCAGATCCTGGATACTGGTATCTTCGATGAGAATCGCTACTGGGACATCTACATCGAGACTGCCAAGGAAGCCGATGACGAGGAGGAGCTTATCTTCCGTGTCATTGCCTACAACCGTGGCCCGGAGCCTGCCCACCTACACATCGTGCCACATGTCTGGTTCCGCAACACGTGGGCCTGGGGTGACGAGAAGAAAAAGGAAAAGCCCACCATCAAGAAAGACGGTTCCCTGGTCGCCAAGACCGAGCACAGCAAGATCGGCGAGCGCTATGTCTCATTTGCGCCCTCGCCTCCCGTCGGTGACAGTGACGACGACGTTCAGCCTGAGCTGATGTTCACTGAGAACGAGAGCAACAACAAGCTGCTATGGAATACCGAAAACAGCTCTCCATACGTGAAGGACGCCTTCCACCGCCACATTGTGGAGGAAGAGAAGGGTGCTATCAACCCAGACAACGAGGGCACCAAGTTCGCTGCCTGGTACGCATTCAACAACGGCGAGGGTGTCCCTCCCGGCGAGTGTGCTGTCGTTCGTTTCAAAGTCTCGCGCAAGAAGGAAGAGTTCGTCGACGAAGAAGTTGTCGATGATGTTATTGAACAGCGTCGCGCTGAGGCCGATGACTTCTACTATCACCTCAACCCTCTCCCCATGAGCGAAGATCTCCGCAACATCCAGCGTCAAGCTTTCTCTGGAATGATGTGGTGCAAGCAGTACTACAACTTCATCTGGGACCAGTGGGCGAACGGCGACCCCGCCGAAATCCCTCCCCCAGAGGGTCGAAAGGGTATTCGCAACGAGCAGTGGCGTCACTTATACATTGACGATATCTTGTCTATGCCTGACTCGTGGGAATATCCCTTCTTCGCTGCTTGGGATACTGCGTTCCACTGTATCCCGCTGGCGATGATGGACCCCGAGTTTGCGAAAAAGCAACTCGACCTTCTGACTCGTGAATGGTACATGCACCCCAACGGCCAGCTTCCTGCCTACGAGTGGAACTTCGGTGACGTGAACCCTCCCGTGCACGCGTGGGCTGTGTTCCGCACATTCAAGATCGAGCGTAAGATGTACGGAAGGCAGGATCTTGATTTCCTCGAGCGTGTTTTCCAAAAGTTGCTGCTGAACTTCACTTGGTGGGTCAACCGCAAGGACACCAGTGGCAAGAACGTCTTTGAAGGTGGCTTCTTGGGCCTTGATAACATTGGTCTGTTCAACCGCTCGGAGCCCTTGCCCACCGGTGGTGTTCTTGAGCAAGCTGACAGCACTGGTTGGATGGCATTCTACTCCCTGACCATGCTGAACATTGCTTTAGAACTGGCCAAGCACCGTCGCATTTATGAAGACATTGCGTCCAAGTTCTTCGAGCACTTCCTGCTCATTAGTGATGCCATGACTTTCCGTAACGGAGATGACACTGTGCAGTCACTCTGGAACGAAGATGACAGCTTCTACTACGATGCCATCTCCTACGGTGGACCGTGGACCCAGCAGCTGCCCATCAGGTCTCTTGTCGGCTTGATCCCTCTCTACGGTGTTCTCACCCTAGAGCCTGAGCTGATCAACAAGTTCCCCTCGTTCAAGCGACGAGTAGAATGGTTCATCGAGAACCGATCCGATGTTGCTGAGCGCAACATTGCTAGCATGAAACACCGCGGTAAAGACGACAGACTCCTGCTTGCCCTTGTAAGCAAAGATCGTCTGATCAAGATCCTCGAGCGCATGCTCGACGAGACCGAGTTCCTCTCCAAGCACGGTATCCGTTCCATGTCCAAGTACCACGAGGAAAACCCTTACTCCATGGACGTCAATGGCGAGACCTTCAAGGTCGGCTACGTCCCAGGAGACTCGGACTCTGCCCTCTTCGGCGGAAACAGCAACTGGCGCGGCCCTATCTGGCTCTGCGTCAACTTCCTACTCGTCGAGTCCCTCCTGCGCTTCTACATGTTCTACGGCGATACCCTGCAAGTCGAATGCCCCAAGGGCTCAGGCGACTACATGCACCTGGGCCATGTAGCCGAAGAGCTCCAGCACAGAATGCAGCACCTGTTCGCGCGAGACGACGAAGGCCGTCGCGCCGTGAACGCCGGCTCCGACCTCCTCGACTTCGATGAACACTGGAAGGACAACCTCTGGTTCCACGAGTTCTTCGACGGCGACACAGGCCGCGGTCTCGGTACTTCCCACCAGTGCGGCTGGACCGGTCTGATCGCCAAGATCATCCACGATACCGGTATCAACTGTCGTCTGCCGCAGACTCCTCGCTCGCCCTTCGCGGCTGCTTCGCACTACTTCGATGATATCTTCTCTCGCTCTGGTCGTCCTCGCGGCTCTGGCCGTCCGTCCGTTCGTCGGTCCTCGACGACACGTTCGATCGGTAACCGCAGTGACTTCTACTCTGGAGAAGCGACGCCCGCTGCCTCCACTGTCCTAGACGACGAGGAAGAGAGTCGTGGTCCTAGCCGTGCTGTGAGTCGTCGTGGTAGCACTGTTGATCCGGAAAATGAGGATCATGTCAGTCACTACGTCGAGAGCCAATTGCAGCGTGTGCGTAGCTCGGCTTCGATTGCGAACTATGAGGACGAGTTCGAGACCAAGGCTGATAAGTCGAATGGCGAGAATGGTCAGAACGGTCACTCGTAATTTGGACATGCTTTCTTCTTTGGTCATACTCCAAGTACTGCTTGCTTTTGACACGATCATGACGATTTTTTCCTGATTTGGTTTATGCGCCCTTTCTCTCTATTTTCCTATTTTATACGTGTTATTGCATTTCCCTAGGACTTTTTTACATTTTCGGAGTACTGTCTTGATTCCTAGTGCATTTGATAGCTGAGTACACAATTTCAACAATATCATTGGTTTCCATTAGACTGCTAGACCAAGGCATGAGTATTTGACCTCGAATTGTAGCCAGTATTCAGATCAGATCTGCAATCTACGAGATAAATTTATACCAGCCAGATTGATGGATGAATTTGTGCAATTGACAGGTAATGAGAACAAACAAAATGAAGGTTGAAAGGGAATCTAGAAACTCTCCTTTTCCCTTCCAGGAACGCTACCGTTCATCCGGGACGATATGCTATAGTCTAACCATCCCCCCCAAACGCAGAGGCTTAATTTACATTTAAACAGCATCAGTGAGAGCCTTGTTCATCTTAGCGATCTTGGAGGAAACGCTAAGGTCAACGGTGCGGCCACCGATCTCAACGACGAGTCCACCAACAAGCGCGGGGTCGACCTGGACAGATGTAAGTATTTTTTCCGCAATCGCACAGCATATCGAGCGTACCTTGGCAACAACCTTGAGCTTCTGGCCCTGGCTGTACTCGGACTTGGCAACGGCCTTCTCAAGACGGGTGAGGGTCTTGGCGTCGAGCTCCTGCAAAAGCTATTAGATGGCAATTGGTGGTCGATCTGTCTCTGGGACATACCTGAGCACTGGTGATGTTGAGGTCGATCTCACCACGGTGAGCACCCATCAGAGTAGCGAACTTCTCGCAGACACCGTTGAGGGAACCGAGACGGTTGTTCTCGGCAAGGGTCTCGAGGAAGTTCTGGACGATACCGGCCTTGTCGGCACCGGCAACCTTGGCGAGCTCCTCAACAATGGACTTCTTGTCGGCGTTGCTGAGAGTGGGGGCGCCGAGGATGTTGACGAGCTTCTTGTCGGCCTTCAGGGTCTCGCCGAGGGAAGCGATGGCGCGGGCGGTCTGGTCGAGGGCAGAGGACTTGGAGGAAGCAGTGTACTAATGACAGGTCTGTTAGAGGTCTGTTTCGGTTGGAGGGCAGTGTATGATGAATTTCAAGATTGAAGATTGTTTTGAACGTCCGGGGAGATCCCTCTCTAGGAGGGGTCGGGGGTGGACGGGGATTGCAGGAGTAGTTGGCAAGGTCGCGTGTAAGACTGAGGCAATGGATGTGCATACCAGAGCGGTGGCATAGGTGCCATCGACGCCGAACAGAGCGACGGGAGCGCGGACCTCCTGGGCCGTGGCATAGGAGCGCATGCCGTTAACGGCGGCAGGGCGAGCGACGGAGAACTGGGTGGCACGGAGGCCAGCGCGGGCGAAGCGAGCGGACATCATTATGCAATTGGGAGGTAGGCCTCGGGGGGAGAAAGGGTGGTGGTTGAGTAATATCGAGCGACGTTCGGAGTGCTGCTTCGTCAAGGTGCAGGTTGAGACGAGGTCCGAATTGTTCCCGTCACACGTGACTCGGATTGAGCATGGTGGTCACGTGATACCAACGCGAAGTCAAATGTCTTGGCATCTCGGGTTTTCTCTTCCGGGCCAGCACGGCTTTCTTTAACTAACTCCCTTTGCCTCCGTAGACCAAATCGAGACTTTGTGGAGAGGAATACTTGCTTAGTGCTGACATGCTTACTGATTAGTCATTGCAGAAGCCATCCATGGATGGCGCTCTCGCTCTCGCTCTCCGGTTCCGTCTTCATTCAATATACAACAGGCAAGCTCCCAAGTCTCTTGGAGTTGCCTCTGCCCAGACTGCAACCTTGAAACGCTACTGACCGTTGGACTAGCATAAGCATGGAGTGTATTCAAGGTTTATAAATTAAATGTCACATGGGAGAGATATAATTCACAGCCTGACCCTCGTTGGCACGCCATCTTAGTGTTGACATGCATGAAAAACTTAGAATAACCTTGGAAACTATATTGACATTGGCTAATATTCATTGATTCAAGTCTACGGAGTATATGGGAGGTGTTGGCCGTGTCAAGACATCACGCTAAAAGTCAAGGTGTGGTCTACTAGCAGGGATATAAAATTATGGAGTCCAGATCAGGAAATCAAAATCCGGTTTTTTCGCGACCACGATCGATCGCACTCTGATTGTCAACTGCCCACACGGAACAAGTCAGACATGGGTAGACCCGTTGGGGGCTTGAGGCGTGATAAGACTGGCTGCTGCTGCATTTAGTGGCTGTCAAGCAGGTGAAAAAAAAAAAAAAAAAAAATAGAAAAGGTGAGCCAAACCCGTGCCATCAGACGATAGACACAAGAATCTGAAACCGATCGTCCCTCGTTGTTTGATTTCGACTGAGGCTAACGTGGAACGATCCAATAGACTCTAGCGAAAATCCCGTGGTTCATCATATTGGTCGAAGGGGGGAGGGATGTGTATTTCCGCTCCGCTCTTATACTCTGGCTCTATTTGACAATCCACGTTCCCCGGCTCCTTTCTGACAGCTCTCAATTGAGTGAGCATGGATTTGAACAACCCAGGGAAATCCCTGGCACCAGCAACAGATCTGGGCCCGGCTGAAAGTTACCCCTTGAATCGGACGAAGAAAGTCACCACGGCTTGCCAGGCTTGCCAAAAAAGAAAATCAAAGGTTTTCCGGCCCTCCAGTCCACTAGAATCACCAGTCTAAGCAATCTTGATAGTGTATTGGGGGAACACCCTGTGGACCTTGCCAAAAAGCAAATACGCCATGCGTCATTAATGCAGACAACGATGGACGTCGGCGAATCACTCTCAAGCGCAAAATCGAATCGTTAGAACATGACCGTGAGATGCTTTTGCGACTTGTGGGGACAATCCGCAACCAGAATGAACCGGCCTTTGTCGATGTCATCAATCTCATTCGAAGCAATGCGCCAATGGACGAGATCAACGCTTGTCTGACAGCTAGCCAGGTCCTCGACCATGCGTCTGTTGAAGATGATGGCCCTGCCAAGATTCCGAAACGGTCTCCTTCCATGTATATGGATGTGAAAAGAATCACTGATATTCCTGTCTTCCAAGTCCCAGCTAAGCCGTGGACGTCTGTGACAGCAGATGATGCTTTTGTGTCACATCTCATCTCTCTATATTTCACCTGGCAACAGCCTACGTTCATGTGGGTTGATCGAGATCCTTTCTTGAGTGATATGAAGGCTGGCAAGCTTGGTTCGAGATTCTGTTCGCCACTTCTGGTAAACATCTTGCTCGCTGTGGCCTGTGTAAGTACCCTGAGCCGTCAATCACAGTTTCATTTCCCTGAAAATCAATCTAAACGGTTAATGTCGCGATCTAGTTCTATTCCGACTATCCTGAGTCCTTTGCAAACCCGAGTGACCCCACGACTCGGGGTGAACACTTCTTTAACGAGGCAGTGGACCTGCTCAAGAAAGAAGAGGGGAGGGTACCATTCACCACTTTCCAAGCAATGGGGGATATGTACACATGGTATATTTCCGTATTCCATATATTCTTGAAATTGATCTCTAACACCGAAACAGTGCGTGTGTTCTGGGCAAAGACAGATTGGGATGGCAATACTTGGTCGAAACAGCCGATTGCATGCAACAAATCATGAGCAAACAGAAGAAAATAATAGCGGCCGCTAAAGAACAGGGCGAGCAAATGGCAAGGTCTATTGATGTTGCATTTTCCGGACTGTCTAGCTTCATTCCGTAAGTAAACAAGACAACAAAAAGACCCGCAAACTTATACTGACAATTCATAGAACAAGCACCATAAGCTTCCAGAAACCACCGCTCATCAAGAGACCAACGTCACTCAACCGTTTACCAGAGAACCATGACCCCAATGATACCTGGACTCCCTATCCCCACCACGCTGGACCGAAACCAGCCCATACCAACTGCCTGCTAAATGGTCACTCAGATCTCGCACCTGTGGTATGGGATATAACAGACTACCTCTTCGGGGATCATGAACCCTCAACCGTTAGTGTCGCGGATATCGATGTTTTCCATCAACGCCTTGATACAGTCATGGAGAATCTTCCCGAGTGTATTCGCCCAGGGAAAACGTCAACTATTGGTGCAATGGACTTGCAGTACGTAACAGAAAATCATGTATGGGTGTGCCAAAGCTAATCCCCATTCCAGTATGAGGTACCACAATACTGTCATGGTGATGTCCGGGATTGTCAGCACGTCCATCGGGGAGAACGACACAGAAACAAAAACCCGCATCAACAACCAGCGAATGTCCTCAGCGCGCCAAGTCGGCACCTTGCTAAGCCAATATCGGTCTACGTGGCCGACGGAGTGCATGCCCATGGGAATGATGCAATACTCGACCCTTGCTCTATTCACGCTACTTGAGGGTCTGGACGAGAAGCAAAATCAAGTATCCTTCGTGGAGAACCTGATCGCCCTCCGTGCACTGGCTCGGCGCTGGCAGATGGCCAAAGGCATGCTCCGGCTTGTGCAGCTCACAGCAATCAAGCAAGAAGTCCAACTTCCTCCTGAGTCTGATATTCTTCTGAAGGACTTTGAGACTGACTGGAGCACCAATGACCGGAAGAGCTTCAGCAGCCATTACCCAAACTTCTCGGTAGCCATCCAACAACAAAACGATGACTCAATAGACGATGTTGAATTGGATTTGTTGCTTGAGGAGTGGGACAATCTCGCTGTGTCCGCGGAGACATCAGAGAACGATACCAGCGGTCAGTCTAGGGGCGGAAGCAGTGAAACCAAGACATCTACATCAAATTGAGTTATGTATCTCCATGGCTGTCAACGGTCAACTTTGGGAGCTGCCCAGGTGAATCCTCCACCCCAAGATTGGTTGGCGTTGAGCCGCTTGCTCGTGTATATATCATCCATAGTGCGCATTGTATACTTTGTTCTGTCACTTGCTTCTCTGTTGGCCATGAACAGCTTCAATCGTGTTATCTATGTATCTTCCAAGACTGTCTATTGATTCCAGCTTCCGCAGCCTTGGAACCTTCGTAGGGGGTTGGCAAACGACTTCCAGAGCCTGCGGGTCCAGGATTGGCTCACATAACTTTGGAATGCGGCTAGTCATGCGGAATAGGCACGCCAGCGCTAAACGCCCTCTTGGCGCTGTCCAGGTGGTTTATGAACAACCTTGTCGTATGTCTACCTTCTCATCCACTGTGTCAACGATAACCGACCATTTTGAACTCACTATCCATATTTCATCATCTCCAAGCATATAACTTTGGAAATCACGATTCAACAGCACAGTAAGGAAGCACATATCTCTATTTCAATGCCCATTTGACCTGAGTCGTCCTACCAGGTCAGCATGTGTGAGGAAGAACTCATCCAATATACTTGCGGCTGCAAAGGGCAACTCGAATTCAAACAATGCAGCAAACATCACGACACGAACATGAAATGCAAGACTGTCACCAAGGTGCTGGGCAAACACCCAACGCATTACTGTTCGCGTCATTTGGTTACAAACCCAGCGGCGATGCACTTCAGGGATAAAGGGAAGGCACAAGAGTAGGGATTATACGGGATAATCTTATAATGATGTGCATGGATTCAGAGTCTCAGTCTGGGTACAATGTTAAGTCCCATAATGCCTAAAATCCCACGTATTAGAATACTTCAATGTATGCACCGCCCCCAAAACGCCGTGAAGATCTCCTGAGCCTTGTTTCAACCAGTATGGTGCTGGCAGCGGAGATCAGATGCAAACATGATTCCGAGTCTGGTAATATTCCAGCTCTAATCGCTGCGTAGCATACTGTCCACCAAATCACCCAGGGGACCCCAGAAGTCCTTTCCGCTGGCAAGCTTGTGTTCGTCAATGAAGAGTACATAGTGCTTGAAGCTGGTGTTGAGGTGGGGCTCGAGACCGAGATGCACAACCACTGGGTAGTGGTGGCAGTAAATGTGGGCATACACTCGGTAGAGACGCTTGAAGATCTGGCGCAGGAGACTGGGGAAGGTTTTCGGGAAGGGAACACCTGGTGAAAGTCATGTGTTAGCTATCTGCAGATGCGCCTGGGACATTGGGAACCTACCGATTCGGCTGGGGAACATCTGTTCATTATCAACGTTGCTTTGGACCCAAGCCATCAAGTGCTCAATGTATTCGGGTGCAGACATCTTGGTTGGTCGCTTGTAGTTCTCTGAATCTTGCCAGAGATACTCGAATCTAGCCAGGTGGTGAGCAGAGGGGCCTCAAGCAGCCGTCGCAGAATTATCATACTCATCTGTCGCCTTCATCTCTGGGCATGTCTGCGGTGAGCAGAATTCAGTTATTGAGCCATAAAGCAGATTGATCTGGTTGTAGAAGTCGACAACTAGTTCAAAGGGGTTAGTGGTGATTCTCAAGGAAGACCAAGCGGGTATGCCCTACTGTTCACAGCAAGCCATTCATTGAGATCCTCGCCCTCGGGCAGCTTCACAGCCTTGCGCAAGCTACCACTTCCAAGTGTAGCTTCGGCAAACTGTCGCAGTTGGTAGCTGCTAGTGCCTTTGGCCGCAGAGCGGGGCTTGAAAGGGGCCCGGGTGCGTGCATTGCTGGGAGGTGTTAGTCCAAGACAGCCTTGTTTGAGCGCGCGTACTGCCGGCGACAGATAAGAGGGAGGTTCCAGGAGGGGAAGGTGGGAAGTGCGAGTGGTCTGATATTGAGAAGGGCTGATGGAGACGGAGGGGTTGGATCGCGATTGAGAGGCTTGCTCTCCGCGAGATGAAAACTGAGCAGTAGGAGGGGTAGCAGGTACGGACATTGTGGTGATGAACGAAGACATGTTCTCTCAAGGTCGCGATAGAGCGATCCCTTTCGGCGTATATTTGGCGGGGTTGGCGCTGATCGCGAGTGGCCTACATTCCAGTCAGAAGGGCGCGAATGGACGTTCCAGGAATGTGGACTATACCGTAACAAGGTGCAATTGGGGAGATAAGTTTGAGACAAAGAGTTGGAATAGAAACGAGAGGCGCAAGGGGAGTTGGTTCAGCTGGTCGAAGTCGATAAGTGAGATCCGATCGGCTTATCCGCGTTGCCCCAGTGACCGCGCATCTTCCAACTACACTCTGCCGTACCGGTTTGAATTTACAGACAACACATTACTATATGGTATTATGTTTAAATTGCAATTCTGGATTTGATTTCAATTGTACATTTGAGTCCAGACAAGTACCTATGTGTGCGTGGCTATACCAACAGCACAGGGGAATATCGAAAAGAGGATATATCAACGCATGAAACACATAACAGCTGCACATGTATATTGGAGGCTTCAGATTGAGTAGCCTTCCTTCTCTTCAGGCAGACGCTCTCGCACAGTCTCTCCATATACAGTCAAAGGGATGGCGATCTCGAACGAGTCGCAGTTAAGATGCTCCATGGCAGAAACGACCGTTCCTCGATCATCCGACGATAAAGCCTCAAGTAAGCGAGCCCCAGATGGACCGGGACCTACTTCGCGATGCGCATTGGATGTAACAAACTCAAATCGTAATTCCCAATCCAAAGTTACACCGCTCGTGAGAATAGATGGAGTGGCGGAAATGGGAATTGCAGGGCTAAAGGCCACGCGAGTTGCATGAAGGGTGTTCTCGAAGAGAGAAGCGTGGATACGACGTGTAGTCCGGTGTATGCTCGCGTTAGACCGAATGGCCAGGGTGGGGGTCACCTTCTCAGATGTCTCCAACGAGGCTCGGACTGCGTAGCATGGTATTGTAGCATTGCCAAAGTCCAAAGTGGCGATGATGGTCTCTCCTAGCCTATGGACAGGTCGATTCAAGACAACCACTGCAATCCGTTGGCCTTCACGGGCAATCTCAAAGCGGTTGGGACTGCGCCGGGAATTAACCGCCTGGTTGCTGCGGAGGATGGCAAAATCAATCATGTCCTTGCTCGTCAGCATCTGCGGCAATCCGTCTATGCTGGCTCGTCTTTCCGGTGAGGCACCAGGCGGGAAAAGTGTGTTTGAGCGCGCACGCTGTGCCAGGATTTCGTCCACGTAACCCAAAAAGTCCGTGGCGGAGTGATGTGTTTTGCTGATGCTTTCATTGTGAGGTTTGACAGGCAGAACAGGCCCGACCTTTTGCACCTTCGCTTCATCGCGTAGAATCACATATGGTGACATGAGGTCATGCCCAAGGACATCTCCTTTCTCTGTGCAAATGTTAGCAGAAACCATCAGAAGATCGGCAAGCGACACCTACCATTAACGCCGCTAAACACGCGGAAGGGAATATTGATCCGATTGACCTTTTGGGGCTCATTTGGCCCGCTAGGTCGTTGCGTGCCGATGACAAGATTATATGATATTTTAATCGCCTTTCCTTTGTGGCTCGCCGGGAGTCCTTTAGGTAGGGAGAAAGAAAAAGAGTAAGACTGTTCTTCTCCAGGTGCAAGTCGAAGATCGACGAAGAGGAGTGACTGTGAGGTTGACAACAGCGGGATCGAACGCTCAGATGATACGCCGCGCATGTCGCGCAATCCATCCAGCTCGTTGTTGGAAAGAAGACCGTTGATAGATTCTTCGATGGAATTCCACTTAAGCGCGCCCCAGAACCCGCCGGATTTACGGGGACGCTCTGCGGTTGGATTGGGACGACCAGGCAATCCTCCTGAGCCTGCCTGTCCACCCACGACTCCCTTCCGTTTCACCTCTTCAAACGCCGACTGGTTTACCAGTGAACCATCGACGGTGAAGGATGCGCTCACTTGTGCATAGCCCATCAACAGCGCCTGGCTGTTTGGAGCTTTTGAAGGGGATGCCGCAAAGCTGGCATGGCGTCCATGCCGCATGGGAGGAGGAGCTCGTGCACCCTGGGCCGAGAAATTCGTGTACTCCGATCCCAAGGTTTCGGACGAATGGCCGCTGATGGAGTAGAACTCTCCACTGCTGCGACTACTCCCATTTGCGCTCGTGGCCGATATGATCCGGGTCAATTGTTGATGCGCGGGTCCAGTCAGTCCCTGTCCTTCTGTCACCGTTGATCTTCCAGCTGTCGATGTGGTACCGGCGGTAGTCGCAGATCGTGGGGATGGAGTGCGCGGCCCGCGACTGGCTGAGTCCGTCGAGGGCGCAGCTGGAAACTTGAAATCGAGTGGAGGAGGGTGTGGCCGTCGTACAGGGGGGCGCAATGGCTCTGGTGGCCCCAATGGGCTGGTTGCTAACGAGCCAGGGCGGCTGGCTCGACCTAAGTGGGAGGTATCGACTTTGAGACTGCCGTTGGGGTGCTCGCTTTGCGATTCCGCTAATGGAAAGGGAAATGCATGAGTGGGGGTTCGCGCTGGTCATTGATAGAGATTAGTCTCAACGTCTTTCGGCAATATGCGTGGCATCAGGTACCTACCTTTCTTGTAAGTGTCATCGTAGCTGTTGTTCCTCCTCGGCGGAACCTGAAGACTCGCTGAGCGTCCATGGCCCCTGACTGGTTTGGGTCGGCTGGAATGGTGCTGAAGCGGGGAAGGCGATGGATCGGTTTGACCTTCACTATCAATTGAAAGGATAGAGACAGAGCGTTTATGGCTGTGACCGGGTTGCCAAGTCCGGGGCGTAGAGGGGCCGTTGTTTGGGGGGAAGCTATGTGAGCCGGGGGTCAACGGGGTGTTCAGCGACGAAGCTGTTCGATGGTAGGGTTTTCGCTGAGAGCTGATAGAGAAGGAACGTCGACCAGGGAGGTTGAAGCCAAAGAAAGATTCGGAATTCGAGCTCGTGTGGTTCGTGTGGTTCGCGACTCGAGACCCTTTCCTTGAATGTTGAACCTCGACATTGGGTTCGGCGCTTGTGTCAGCCACGTTCTTGAACGTAATTGTACATTCCACGTTCTCGCCCGCAAATATAGTCTGGTCTTTCCATTTCACGAAGACCTGAATGTCGGATGGCATGGCGGGCGCGTCAGCATGCGGACTGGGGCTCTCAAGTTCGGAGGAGAATTGCCAGCCGGCACTTTAAGCTGTATTCAAGTTGAAGCCGAATGGGATGTGCCGACGTGAGCATTCTGCATTCTTTCAACCCGAGTGAACCATGTTGGTTGAGGAGTTGAAGGTGATATGATTTGCTCCAGTTAGCTCCCGAGCTGCGGAATGACATACATCCCGAGGTCTTCTGCCCTGGATTGGTGCTCTAATCCGTACTACGGCGACAGTCCTGTTTTCATGTCTTTCCACCATTAAAGTCCTTGGTTTAAGTAATTTTGCAATCGCGAAGGAACGGCAGTTTGTTCTAGATGGAATTCGTCGGCAGGGAATTCAACATGGTGTGAATTACATTATTGTTGATGACGACAAGCGTAACAAGTCATCCAATAAACTCCAATGCGCATTATTTGTTATACATGACGAGGCAATGCTTTCAAGCAAAATTATATAATACATGGCGTCCCTCCAGCGGTAGCAATTCAGGACGATTTGCGATCGTTGGCGTTGTCCTTATAAAGGACATGGTAGTCAGACGAGGGTTGTTCGCGGTTGTTTGAAGGACGAAGACCAAGTTCAACCATGCGACTCCAAATGCGGTCGTGTCGCTTCTCCCATCGCTGGCGACGACTGTCCATCTCATCTTCAGTAGGACGCCATCTGCTTTTCAAAATTCGTCGAATGGCCTCCGGGGACATTTCAAACTCCCGCGCGAGGACGGCGGTGGTGAATTGTTCAGGAGCCTTCGCGTGGAGATGACGGATTCCATCAAGTGCATCGGGCGATAGCTTTTTAGGTGGGTTCCAACCGCCAGCAAACTTCTCTTTCAAAGCTGCCTTCTGTACTTGCCAATTCTCTGGCTTTTTCTTTCTCTGCTTCTCAAATTCCTCCCTGGCCTTTGCCTTGTCTTCCTCCCAGTTGCGAGGTTGCTTTTTGATCTCCCGTCGGGTTTCGTTACGGAAAGCCCTGCGCTCTCTGTCGGTCCTTCCACTTTTTTGCTCTGGATCTTGCTTCTGGCTCTTGGGCTGGCGTTTGTGGGAATTCCATCCACCCTTGTCGCCGGGCCGATCAAATGTCTTCCGGGGTTTGCGCTGAGACGGTGCGGCATCGGCAGAAGTTGAGGCATCAGGGGAAGTCAACTCGGATGATTCATTTTGAGGATCGCGTAGGTACGAAGAGGAACTGAACAGTCGACGAAAGTTGCAGTGTGATGAAGGAACAGGAGAAGAGAAGCTGAATCGTCCGTGATAGGGGCTGACCAAAGCGCCAGTACTACCGATCATCTGTGAGCGATAGACATTGCGCAGAGCGACAGACAGCGCCAATTTCGAGGAAGCGGCACATGAAGTCACCATCTTGAATTGTCGGACTGACAAAAAAGTAAGAGAGGTGGCAATGGGGACGCGGACTTTTGAAGGGAAATTCCTCGCGATAAGATAAGCATATTGTGGCCTGATCTATCGGGCCTACACGCGAATCAGCCTGGGGTATCCATCCTTCTGGCATCATTTTGCCATTTTTGGAACCTTGGAAATCTTGCGCAGGTCCTTGGTACTTCTCGAGAGTTAGACCCAACAAAAGAAAAGTTGGATCCTCTGAATATCATGCACATACACTGCGCCCCTATTGGTTGTCTGAAAAGCGAACTCCCTGCGGGTGGTGCTCCTGACGCGGCATACGCAGTGTTATCAGCACTCGCGGTGATCTCGGCGCATGCGCCGAACTGGATACAGCATCAATATTTCGATGCTATGAACCAAAATGTGGTGGGAAAAAATTATTGCAGGCTCTAAAGTAAGATAAAGGTCCCACGAATGTTGCACTTTCAATTGTCAAGAGTTGAGTGCAGAGATCTCGGCATGTGCAGTGGTTATGGGAGATGCGTCTACGTGATCACTCAGCTGCAAGGATTGTCACCAATCAAAAATCACCAATATACAAAACTCATCACACTTTGGGCCTCTTGCTGCAGAGGGGTCTCCTGAAATAAGAGCGATTGCCCCCTGCGAGGACCTGGCCACTTCGGGTATGGTTCTGATATGTACGTCTTCAGGCTTGTTCGTCCATGGGCACACAGATAATTGATATATATGTTGAAAATGGATGGAAATGCCGATGTTGATCTCGACAACATCATTTCCTCCTGGTAGGTTTGGTGCATCTGATGCTACTGGTTGAGAAAAATGTAGAGCCGCTGCGTGGTGTCCGTCATATACACTCACCCCTACTGGTTCTCTGACAAGAATCGGGGTTGTTCTTTCTCCAATGTGACTTGAAGATAATTCCCGCAACTGAATAATCATTTTTAGGTTATTTAAAACAGCATGTTAACTGCTTTGAAGTCCTGCAGAATGCCAAGTTTCAGCCACAAAGTCGAAAAGGTAGAGGTGAATGAATCAAGGGGGGATTAGTACTGAACTAACACGACTGCCGTTTGTCTATCAAAGGGCCTTGACACCCTCATCACATAGTGCCTCGGGCTAGCCTATCTGGCCTTTACATTTCTATTCTTTCTTGGGTAGTAACAAAGGCAGGTTTCCAAGTTGTTAGGGCACACATGAAATCAGATCTATGTTGTGTAACACAAACATGCTATCATGGGGATGGGATCTGCATTTTAACACTCCCTACACCGTATTTTGGCCATGATAGCCTGGTGCATGATCAGAGCTTGTCATCAAGACCTCGTGGTAATAAAGCCCACATGGTAATCTCGTGGCCTTACATGCCTCAAGATCGTCGTCCAGGGTGGCGGGCTACCCTAAAGGGTTGACCTTGTCTTCCGCAATTCTAAGTGGAATCTTTCTTCTTGGCTCTGATTAGAAAAGTCAAAGCTGCATCAGCATTTCGCATCAGGATCAGCGAGGCCAAACCGCTGCTTCTCGGTGAGTCCCTGTCTCTATGACGTCCGTGTTTTCCAGAAAAGACATATAACTGCTTTCAAGAAAGAGAATTTCCCTTAATTCTTCGCTTCATCACAGAAGAGGCAACATATTTCCCTTTCATCATGGAAATTGAACATTTTGAGAACAGAACTCGACCGGCGTCCGCTGGACAACACCATGAATTTGACGACGAGGGAATCTCAGCCTGCCACGAGCCCTCAAAGCTCCCCACCAAAAATGAATCTCTATCAGCTGGCTCTGTTGGAGAGGTTGAAGATCAGAGAGTCATCAGAGGCAATGAGAACTTCCAGCGACTTGGTTGGAAGCGTCTTACCATAGTGCTATTCGTCGAAGCCATTGCTCTTGGAAGCCTGAGTCTTCCCAAGGCATTTGCGACCCTCGGTATGGTTGGAGGAGTAGTCTCTTCCCTTGGAATTGGTATTGTTGCGACTTATGCTAGCTACGAAGTTGGAGCTGTGAAAGTGAAATACCCCCATGTTGAGCACTATGGTGATATTGGGAGGCTTATTTTGGGCGAGTGGGGCTTTTGGATCATTACCGTGGTCTTCATTCTCTCCATTGCATTGACTGTGGGGTCTCATACTCTCACTGGAATCATTGCTTTGACAAATATTACCCAGAGTGATGTTTGTGCTGTCATATTCGGATTTGTTTCAACAATCATTCTCCTGTTGTTGGCCATTCCACCAACCTTTGCTGACATTGCCATTCTGGGCTACGTCGACTTGGCGTCCATTCTGATCGCAATTGGAATCACAATCATTGCTACTGGTGTTCGGAGTGCGCAAGCCCGAGAGAATACCAATCTACCAAGTTCAGATTGGTCTGCATGGCCCAAAGAGGGTACTGATTTTGCCTCTGGGATGGTGGCAATTAACAACATTGTCTTTGCCTACACATTTGCACCCGCTCTACCGTCATTCATGAGCGAGATGCATACCCCAAAAGACTATACCAAGGCTGTATATTCATTAGGGCTTATCGAAATGGTCCTCTATACTCTGATTGGGTCTCTTGTCTACGCTTTCGTTGGACAAGACGTGAAGTCTCCTGCTCTGTTGTCAGCTGGGCCTCTTTTGTCCAGAATTGCTTTCGGTGTCGCTCTACCAGTCATCTTCATATCCGGCTCCATTAACACCAGTGTTATTGCACGCTACATTCATGGTCATGTATATCGTTCGTCTGTTGTGCGATACGTGAACACCAGAATGGGCTGGATAACCTGGATTGCGCTCGTCTCAAGCCTGACCTTCCTTGCGTGGATTGTTGCCGAGGTGATTCCGGTGTTTTCGACCATTTTATCTATCAGTGCTGCTCTTTTCAGCTCTGCTCTTTGCTTCTATATTCCTGCAATTATGTGGTTTGTCCTAACCCGAGAAGGCAAATGGTACGACAACATTCCAAGAGCGCTCTGCAATGTCTTCGTTTTCATATTCGGTATGGGGATACTAGGATGTGGCATGTACGCCAACGTGGTTCATCTGGTAAGTTCAGACGCATCACCAATCATCGCAGCCTGCTGATCTTTATCCATGTTTCAAGATACAAGAGTCGCAAGACGGTATTACCGGGAGGCCGTTTTCATGTTCGACATCGTCTGAGTGAAAATATTGGAAATTATGGGTTGGCGTGTCACTCTATCTAGAACTACAATACTCCGTACCAATAAGGAGCACAGAGGATATTTCGCTAAATAGCTCATGTTGAGAAATTCAAGGTTATCGTGCAGCGACAGAGTGATTGATCAGATGTACCGAGACCCTCTCGGGCAATCTCTTGGCGTTGATGGATATAGCATGCTCAAAGCTATCCAGGGTTCTACTTTGGAGCTCACAAAACCTCACCGTAAGTCCACGAAGCCCTCCGATCATCCTTAAAAGCGGTGTATATGGCATACAAACACCTGTACGAAGTAGCCATTGAGGAGCATGGAAGTTGCAGCACGGAGTAAGGGGTATGGTGATCCATATCTTGCTGATAAGATGAAACATAAACTCCGTTTATGACCTCGGGAAGATCTTGATCTTGAAGCTATGCATGCACTGTACTCCGTAGATCTGAAACCTCGTCAACTCCTTAGCAGGGTAAGTTAGCCGGATCTTGAGGTCCATGCGCTGCTCCTGGGGCCAGAGAAATGGTTGTCAAAGACAATACGTAAGCAGGCTGTGTCTCAGGTGACATGACTCGCTGGCAAGGCTAGGCCCCTCTTGTTATATTGGCCTTGATAACTCACATTGCTGATGTTCCGTTCTCCATACATTAGCCTGTTGCCTCACAGGTCCCAATTTCCTTGCTGGAAGTAAGAACACAGACAGTATTTGTTGTGGTACTGGATCTTTTACCAGATTTTTTGTGCTTCAAATCTCGGAAACGCTAACGGTGTCAGGATCCAGTCAACGGCCCCTAGCTCTGGCGTTAATATTAGTGGCGTTGGGGCCAAAACCCCCCCCACTCAAAGGTATACATATGCTTGACAGAGGTAGATTTAGACTAATTTCCTCCTTGTTCTCTTAACTATCTGCACGGAGTACATAACTTGATTTTCCATTTAAGACGTGCTTACAACCCCTTAGAAGGTCAAAGCTATCTATTGACCTCGACCATGTCGTCAGAAACGCCCCAAACTCTCAGCTACACCATGCACAACAACTCAGGTGCGGAAACGATTGTCCTTATCCACGGAGGTTTCAGCAGCAGTAAGGAGTGGGAGAAGGTGCTTCCAGCGTTATCGGAAAAATACCACATCTTGATCCCAGACCTCCCGGGTCACGGTGCCTCCTCGCACGTACCCTTCAGTGTCGAGCTATCGGCAAAGTTAATCCTGGATCTGATCAGCGCACTTGCCCACAATGGTCGTGCGCATGTAATTGGCTTCAGTCTCGGTGCACACGTTGCTGCTTGTGTTGCAGAACTTGCTGCCCCAGGCCAGGTTTCTTCGCTCTTCGCTACTGGATACAATTCTTTTGCCCCACCTAAATTTGTCATTCCGATCTTGACTGCCTTTGTTTATGCTCTCAGTCACTTTCTGATCGGTTTGACTGATCCACGAGCTCAGTGGGATGCCTGGGTATCGGGAACTTGCTCATTTGCACTTGCAGGTGCCGTTGTGCGCTCTTTGTGTGATGGGCGTGAATTGGGGAAGATCCCCGTGAGGTCTTTGATCATCGCTGCTACAGGAGGAGTTCTTCTACCTAAAGATAAGGTGGGCAGTGCGAGAGAACTGTTTGGAGTCGTTGTTGATGGATTGTATGGAGGTAGTCGGGTAGTGCAAAATCGTGGGGTGAATCATCCTTGGCATGTCAGTTCCTCGAAGCTGTTTTCGGAGACGGCGTTGGCTTGGATTGAGGAAAGAGAATTGCCCATCTCTTTTGAAGATATTGAGACCGCGAGCGTGAAGATTTAGGACTCGACTTTCCATGTACCCTCTTTTGTTTCGGTTGTGTTTTCGTAAACAGATTTGTGTATTTTCGCCTAACTTCTTCCATAACCCAGGTGACTTTTAATGAAAGATGATTTGAGACATTTGGTAAAAAACTCTCGCTGTTAACCTTGGAACTATATCAACAGACAGTTGATAAAGACGTGGGATTCCCAAACTGTGTTTAGTATCTGGCCCTCCTCATCTTGTTGAGCATTGAGCCTATCAGATCTACTTGAAGCTTAGCTGTACTGCCGTTCCAAATATACACCCATGAATAAAAGTAAATCGGCATCGATATAGTTGAGGACCAGAACAAATGATGCTGCCAGGTGGGTCAGGAATATTCAGGCATCAATGTGTGGCCTGAGATCACGTGGTGAGCTAGCCACCTCGGGCTAGCGCCAATTGATCGAAAAGAGCCGGAGTAACTGCAGGTTCCGCAACATCGAGATATAACGCTGTCGTCCACCTCACAATGGGTCCACAAATCAAGATGTTTGCTGGGCCACTATCCGCCTGCGCGCGGCCAACTCGTAAGAAACAACAGAACTCCAAATTATGGTCTCCAAGTACTGACAAAGAACGCAGTGTCGGCACCGCTGGCAACATTTTCTCTATCGCGATGCTTCTCCACAACATCACCCTCCCTCGACTGGCTGCGACCGAAATTCCAAGAAAAGTCCAAATCTCCCAAGGGTCGCCCTCACGTTGCCACTGGCGGATCCACCCGAGGAACAACAGTTGTGTGGGGAGACTTCGGTCTGCGGATGAAAGACCACGACCGCCGAATGCCCGCATCTGCGTTGAAGATCGCCGAAGATACCATCAAGAGGCGGCTACGAGGAATGAACTACAAGCTGTACAAGCGCGTCAGTGCGAATGTTGGTGTCTACACCAAGGGTAACGAGCAGCGTATGGGTAAGGGTAAGGGTAAGTTCGATTATTGGACTGTCCGTCTGCCCGTGAGCCGAATCGTGTTTGAATTGAAGGGAGATGTGCACGAGAAGATTGCCCGCGAGGCTTTCAGATTGGCGGGTCACAAATTGCCAGGTACGTCACGCCTTGTTTTATAATTGCTCAATGCGTATGAATTCTCATTGATTTGAATCAGGTCTCTGGGAATTCGTGAACAAGGACGACCCTCCTGTCGTTGGAATTACAAAGCTCGGAAACGGAGTTACTCTCGAGAGCCTCAAGCGCGCACGCAGAAACCCACCCATCGGCACCGAAAACACCATTTCTCCCCCGAAGAGCGCCTCCTCCAGCTCCGACCCTACTCAATAAACTTTTGTTTTCGCATGATACCGTCCGCATTTGTCTTCCGGTCATGTCTCTTGCTCTCCTCGGTCAATCAACCCCCGACGCCAGACCCAGGTCCATACCCCTGTAGTCTGCGGGCCTTGGCTGCTGCATCGTCATCGAGTATTTTATCTGTACATTATCATCAGCTTTTTGCGTCTCTTTAGAACCATCGAAGTACGGGGTTTTTTCTATGGATACCTTGCTTCGGTACTTGGAGTTAGGCAAGGAAATATATTCAGGATTCACCTTTACTGGACTGCGCTCCTAACCCGAGTTTCTGCGCTTGCAGTTCTTCGTCCTCTTTGGATGACGGAGTGTCTGTTCCTAGGCTGGGGCTCGCCTCGCTTTTAGTGTGTGTCTCATTTCCTTTAGGCGTGGTCAGCTATCTTATATTCACCCTCTGAATCCCCTCGCCAAAAGAAGCTGCTTACCACCTAGTTGGCCGGTCTGCTTAGGGGGACTTTGGGTGTACAATCGGATCGACTCATATCTGCATAGTGTCAGTGATGAACCAGTGATATGGTGCTAGTGGGCAATACTGAGTGCTTTCGCCGCCGGGCTCCATATCAACGAGTCTTGGGTCTGACATTGTGGTTATTCGAGCGTCAAAGATCTTTTCAGGTTTGTTCGACAAAAGATGACGGGTATGCCTATCGCAGTAAACTGGATGAACGAGATGTACTCGAGCGTGCCCAGGTGCCCGGAGTTGATGACATGTATGACGTATGTCAGCTAGACAAGGTTCTCCTCCGATCTACAACAAGGGCAGGCCTCGTATCGGCTTCTTTGCCCATAGCCCTCTAATTATTGTGCGAAAGAACTAAAAATGAAAGCGGGGAATTCGAAAACGACCCTGGGAGTAAGGTCGAGTGATCCATGCAAATATCTCTAGCACGAAATGATAGATAAAACGCCATCCTGAGCAATATCTCAATGCGCCCGAGAAGATAGAAAAATAAGCGGATGATCAGAAGGGGTTAAGCAAGCCGCCACTTCATGGTCGAGGCCATGGCTGTACTGCTTGCTCGCCAAGAACCATCTATTGTACAAAATCGTTATTCATCGATTGGCTTTCTTCTGATATTTTAGAAGTCCATGCCCATGAGATAACTATACGTGTCAGTAATAGACATAATTATCATTGAAAGGGACCATACCTTTCGTAAATGCGCATGAACTTGGCCACGAAGGCTTCGAGGTGGAAAATGACTTTCTGTTGTGGCTTGTATTCAGCATTCGATCACTCAGATTCAGGCAAGAAATGCACTTACGCTTCCCAACTTGATACGATGCTCGTAAAAGGCGGACCACTTGATCACGTCGGCCTTTAGCGCATCGTCAACTCGCGCGACAAGCTTGAAGGTCAAAGTCTAGATTAAACAGCAAGTGAGTCTCATGCGTGCTACTCGGGACACATCAGTCATACCTTCAAAATAGTAGTTGGCGGGATGCAATGAGTCAAGAGATCGTAGAGACGAGCGCGAACCTGTAGCAGACGAGCTGGTGAACGTTCAGCCAAGATCTCATCTGCAGTCAGAGTCACAAGGGCCTCCCAATCCGGTGGAGGGATTGGAGTCTTGTCCGTGACCTTCTCACTATAGTTCCAATCATGTGAGTCTTCATGCTTGATTTGTAAATGCACCATTGACTCACTTTTGCGCATAAATGGATTCAAACATGAGGAGTGCGCGACGCAGATTGCGCCCGCTCTCCTTTGCGATTCTCTGGTTCAACATTTCGGACTCTGTCCAGCCCTCTCTTTTCCCTGCCGCCTGGAGCGCAGAGCAGATATCGCTCTCGGTAGGCGCCGCGACCCTGACCAGCAGGCATCGAGAACGGATGGGTGCGATGATGTTGGAGGTGCTGTTGGCCAAAAGGATCAATCGCAGGTTAGGACTGTATTTTTCCATTGTACGTCTGAGAGCAGCTTGGGCATCACGCGTCAAGTGGTCAGCCTCGTTGATAACGACGACCTTGAAACGCTGCTTCGCGCCGAGATCCACCTGCTGTGTCTGTGCAACCTCTTTGAGCAATTCTTGAACCACGACTCGGTCATAATTTCCGACATCTGCTGGGGTGATCTCCATATGGTAGACGGAAGACACAATGTTGAATTCTAGCTTTCGATTACTCGTCGTTTGGAAGACTCTGGCGTCAATCTTGATCTTCTCAACACCGGGACCGTACAGCTCCTTCAGTGTTGCGATAATGCGTGTTTTCTTTCCAGCCCCCGAGGGTCCATAGACAAGTAGATGAGGGAAGTCTCCGCTTTGCGCCTATGTAATTTGTCTTGTCAGAACTGTCAATCTCGCAGGATGGGACTGCTTACCAATGAGCGCAAGCGATCAGAAAGCTCAGGGTGGTATGAGAGAGCATCGAGATTGCGTGGCCGCAGCTTGTCAACAAGGAGAGCCATACTGGAAGCTCAGTGTTGTGTATAGAGGGATCGAGATATGTTTGAGGTGGAGGTTGAGTTGCAGACTGGAGAGGCAACGCGTGAACGCGTCCCGGCAGACAATTAATGCTTGGTCCGTGCACCTGCACTATAGTGTGCCGCACAAGTCTAGAGCTACAAACACGATGAGATTGAGCTTCTCGGGGCTGATTTAAATGGTTCCATGCAAAAATGTGGCAGGTCATAGAGCTCAAATTTGTTTTGGATTGCTAGCTTTGAAATGGCAATGTCTATAATACATGTAAAATTTGCTATGAGATGAGATAGATGCAACAAATTCAGATCCAACACCGTCGGCCTTTATTGTACACGATTCAAATGTTGTTATGTGAAATATTTGAAACATGATGGAATACAGCGTTCCACGACTTCCCTGGGGACGTCCCTGGGGATTTGGTTACGATGCAATGGGTTTCAGAACCCCATTGTCATCATATTTTGCTTCTGTGATGGGTCAGCAAGGCACGAAGACATATCGAAGTCGAGGGGAGACCAAAACTTACTGAAGAAGGTATATGAAAGGGTGATGGTATCAATACCCTGCATGTTAGGATCGGTAGCAAAGTCGGGATCAATGAAGAAAAACACAGGCATATCCACCGACTCGCCAGCATTGAGCTTCTGCTCCTCAAAACAGAAGCATTGGATTTTGCTGAAGTACGGCGCAACCTGACCAGGCGTGACACTGTATGTTGCAACACCAATTATATCAGTCGGGCCTTTATTCGTCGCTGTGTAAAACGCCAAAGCAGTTTCACCAGGAAGCACCCGGACCTCGCGCTGTTGAGGTGTAAACTTCCAGGGCATAACGTCAGATACGGATCCATTAAATGTGATGCGAAGGCGACGGGAGTCCGTCACAGGTGTTACGCGTGAGGAGGTATCTGCGTCTCCACCGCGGTGGGTGAGGATGGGCTGGCCACCCCAACCGGTCTGCGCACAGATCTGCGGGTAAAAACGATAAGCTTATTTATACACCAAAGAATTGTGGTCGAGAGGAATTGGCGTACCATTTTGTAAAGCGGAACGGATCCATATGCGAGAGCAGTTGTTCCGAGAATGAGACTGATGGTGTAAAGGCTGATGGGGGAGATTGTTAGTTAGTTCTGCCACTGTCAAACCAATTGGGGCGACTCACGCAGTAGAAGTATTGCGTTTCTTAGATGCTGGGGTTCTGAATGGTGCCGCAGATGGCCGGCTCTGCTCCTGCTTCAGGATGTTCCTCGAGAAATACCTCCGCTCGACCTGGAATACACTCTTGCGGACATATCGGGCTGAATTAGGAAAGGCACCTGTTGGCGCGCAATGCCCCAACGAGGGAAATAATCGTGAAAACATGGTTATACGATTTCAATGAGATCAGATGTTGAGTCTTGAAAGGAAGATCCACGACACGTGACATCTCTTATCGATAAGAAGCTTCCGGTCACGTTCCTCGAAATGACCAGTTGGATTTGACATCCATGGATATGTATTTTCCATGTTTTTGAGGCTGAACCAGTTTAACCTCCAGGGCTTGACTTTGCCTAATCTTCAGTCAACCAGACGGCGTAGTGGTCCTAATATATGTGTATAAAGAGAGAATGTTTTCATCGTGGCCATTGAGAAGTCAACATTGACACAACCTTGAAATCAACATGCTGACGAAGTATTCCTACTTTGCAGTGGGTTCAAATAGGTCGTCGGACCATTGGCTCCATTAAAGTAGATGGCTACCTATCCGGTCAAAGTGCAAGATTAATTAAGTTAATACAATGTGGTAGCATTCACACAGGCGCCCCGAAGTCTAAAACAACCAAAAAAAAAAAGAAGGGGATAAAAATACAGCTGTTTCCTTATTCAAAAGTCCAAACGGTTCGCTCCAAAGTCTAATTCAGCACGCTCGATGTGATGCGACCGAAGACTCCTCGTACCATGCTGGGTCGCTCGCGAAGGCAGGTGACAAGAATAGCAGCGCTAAGAGCAAATGCGACTTGTTCCCGGTGTTGATACTGGAAGAAAAGTGAACGAGTCAGCACATGATTGTTGTTCTAGTATTCGTCACAGGCCAATTTAGGGACGTCAAGAAAGGGATGGATAGGATGTGGGTGTAACCCTGTTGTGGACAGAGGATGCGAGGGTCCGATGCATACCTTTTTATCATACAACCGTGGCAGAACAGTGGCGGCAGCCCGAGGTGCCACAAATAGCGCCAATTCCTGTCTTTTCCGCGCCTTTTCGGCCAATACACTCCAACCACACATGAAACAGCCCATCCCAACGCATAGTCCCGAGTCCCACATTGCCGGAGTGACCGTCTTCGGGTCAAAGATCCTGGGACCGAGTCGAGTTCGAGCAAGGCACACACCGTAGTAGAAGAGGCTGACGAATGACGAGAGGAAGGCTGATGATCGCGCCGCATCAGCAAGAGCCCGGCGGAGGGCTGTGGCGGATTTCATTCCCCGTAGACGGAAAATTATCTGTAGGGGTATGTAGGTCGCACAGGCAAATTTGAAGGTTTTGGCAAATCGATACAATGCATGTTTTTCACAATTAGGCCCACAGCCCATGTGTACCATTTCACAGGGGATGCGGCGCATCTTTGCTGGGTCTCCCCACTCAATTGGCCAGTTGTAATCTTTGCACATTGACTGGAGAAGAGGTGCCTGGCCTGTATCTTTACCGTATACAAAGATACCCCTTCGGACACGCCGCAAGGCTTCAATGAGGCGTGAGTCGACCTGGGCGGCTTGTCCAATCCATTTCTCGTATGCCTTGGGGAGTCGTTCGGGGAGATAGAACCAAGCCCACATGACTATAGCAGAACTCAGAGCAAATACGCTCGCATCTGCCATGCCAGGTATGCGGGCCTCGGTAGTGGACCAGCGGTTCTGTGCCCGTCGACGACGGGACCAGCGGTTCCAGGCGACACACGCGACCACATCTACCGCCCTTGTGACCATGTAAATGGTTAAATCCATCGTCCTCCCTGCCAATTCAGGACGTTGGCGTTCCAGTGAATTCACTGGTACCCCATCAGCATCTTTCCCCTGGTCTGCAAAGTCCCGAGTGGCTTCGACATCTTCTGTTGACCGACAGATGCGGTTTCTGTTGAGAAGTTGAAAACTAAACCATCCTGATAAGAAAGTGACGAGGAATCGAATGAAGCGGTCGAGCCCTTGTGAAATCCGAAGCTCGCCTCTAGAAAGGCCGGCTGAGATCACTGCACAAATGCGATACAACCCAATAGGCAGTAGAGTCGAGCCGCCGACTAAAACAGCACAGGATGTTGGGAAACTGTTAGCACGCAGAGGCCCAGTCAATACTTTGACAAGCTAATCAATCGAGCCCAGGTTAGCTCTAGCATTGAAGGAAGGAGACCCTTGAATTGATCATTCTCAAGTCCAAGACACGACTGGAGTACGTACCTCTTCTAATTTTTGTTGCGTCGTCCAGTCCTTAGTACGTAGTCGACGCACATAAGACGCCAATTTTGGAGTGACAGAAGACAGGTACCCGAGTGCATAGGCACGAAGGAGGCTACAGTCACAATTAGCAAGGGCTTAGATCACACAGTTTCACCAAGCCACAAGGGTACCAGATCGCACTTACGGCTTGGCTATCCGGACGTTGTCCCTTCCATGGCGTCTCCGGGGTGCGGGTTCCATGTTGCCGGAAACTTTCATGTCATGATCCGTCGGGAGGTGTCAACATCACAAATTTCCCCCGAACCTCATCAGTTGAACTCTGCCAAACTCTGCTGGGATTCACAGAAAATCCCCTCCAATCAAGGTAATTCAACCGAAGGCCCAACTGACAAGGCCCGTGACCTAGAATTGCACCTCCCGAAAATTGGGTAGTATTTTGAGGGAGTTTGACACCTGCACGATCGTTTTATTTTTGGGGGGGAATGATCAGCCGTGGATCCTGTGTAACGGTCTGAGATGTTAGAGATTGTGGATGGACCTCGGTTCCTGGTAGTTTCAGATTTCAGAGAACCCCCGCAGACATTCGAAATCAGGGGCCGATTTCGTGAAGACAGACGATCATCCGAAGGGGGTTCGGTGGATGATAGTCGGTATAGCGGGGCCTGTCTAGGGTAGGCCGGGTGATTTAATTAAAAAGCCCAATGAGCGATCCCAGTAAAAACGCCCGAAAAGATGAACCGCACTGACCCAAATATGAGCATACGGGCTTGCCAATGCTGCGCGTCAAAGAGGGTCAAAGGTAGAAGGGGTGTGCAGTGTAGATGTACAAGGATGCAGGAAAAGATGTGGGAAAATGTACCTAGGGGATACCTGTAAGGTACCGGCGATGTGGTCTCGTGGCAGCGCCTCGGGCATGTTCCCCGGAGGTCCAGCAGCTCTCCCCAGGAACACGCTAAATACCCAGCAAGCCACAGCGGAGTGGTTGTAATTTCCGTAATTTTGGTACCGTTACGTCACGCGCAAATTTGCATGTGATGCGCCTCGACGGCCGAAGAGCCCTGGTCCATTTGATGTGATGACCTTCTTCTAGATATCTCTTTACTCTTGACTTCTCTCTCTCTGCCCTTCGTTCTCTTACTGCTTACTGCCTTCCGTTGTTCTTGTCCCACCGCCCCCGAAGACGTACATCCTGAGCCGCATTATCAGATCGGATTCCTGTGGCCTTGATCTACTCTCCCCGCGTCCCTCGTTGGTGGAGTCGAACCTTCTTTATCAACTCTATCGCAGACGATATCAATACGGGGTGTCCGAGGCATGACAGTTCAATCTCGGTCTACGCTATTCTTGACGTCAGAGTAGCACCATCTCGTTGACCGGGACACCCGCATACAAAACCCCCCATTGAGAATTAGCTAGTATCCACCATGAATGGGCATGGGACCGAGGTTCAACCTGGACGCCCATCTTCTCCGTCTGCCCCGTTCGGTTGTAAGTTGTCTTTTGCCTCAACGCTCTCTAGACACCCTTTTAACATCATACACAGACTCTTTCCTCTCTCCCATGGATACCCCCTTTGAGCAAGCGCCTGCTCTTCCCCCAGGACCATCTCTTCTTGACGATAATGAATCCAACATGCTCGATAATTTCTTTACTACCATGAACGCCAATCATTTCTCGAATGACTTCTGGATGCGACAGGAACATAAGGCCGGCGTTCCCAACTTTGAATGGTCAGCTGAGCTGCCACCCAACTTTGAGGGTTCGACCACTTCTTTATCACAACCAACATTTCAGCAACATGGACTAGGCAAAGTTGGAGGAGGGCTGATGGCAGGAAACCCCGCAGGTTCGGATATTTTTGCCGCAGCATCTATGCTCTATCAGAGTGATCTCAGCGGATCAGAAATGGGGGCCACGTTGTCACAACAACCCTTTGGTGGCCATTCTCTCCCCCACAATGGGGCCCAGTCCCGGAATCATTCCCATGCTGGAATACCTGGTCAGGCTCCAGTCCCATCTGGATCTCGATCCGACGTGCCGACTGGATATCACACATCGCAGATGTTCTTTGACGTCCGCGATCCAATTCCTGCGGACCAACATCCATCGCGGAAGGTCCGCAGTCTTCGATGGGGGTCAGATGCCAGTTTCATGGACCAGGGCTATCTCCGCCCACCTGATCAGCCCGATGAGGAGCAACGAACCAATGATCTACTCGATCATCTCGGATGTTTTGAAACACAAAACAGCGCAAATAACACGCGACCCCCTAGCCCTGATCGGATAGTTGGGAACCCTACTCGCCGAGCTTCCTTCCGAGGGGGCCCTGCACCAGAGGAGATTATTGCTCAACCGCGAAAACGATCCAGAATCGTGAAAGAGGAAGAAAGCTACTCCGACGAAGAAGATGGTAGACCCCAATCAAGAAGATCAAGAGGATCAGTTAGCAAAGCCCGACGTGTGTCCACAGATTTGTCTCGAAAACCCCGGTTGCTGCCAGGTTCTAAGACTGCACGCGAGAATCTCACCGAAGAGCAAAAGAGGACCAACCACATTCTTTCTGAGCAAAAGCGCCGAAATCTGATCCGTCAAGGCTTTGAAGACTTGTGCATCCTAGTCCCTGGACTCAGAGGTGGTGGGTTCAGCAAAAGTGCCATGCTCACCGGGGCCGCCGATTGGCTTGAGGACCTTCTTCGGGGCAATGAGATACTCCAAAGGCAACTGCATGACCTGAAGAGTATCAACGGCTTGGTCATGCCGCGATAATAACCTTGCCTCTATGTCACGCTCACTACCTAATTTACGATCTCACGGATGTCCCTGTCTCAGCTCTTTGTGGGCATTACAAGCGTTCCAGCGGGTTGGCCCTCTGCACATGCATTCTCTCGCACGCCTCTGAAGCCATGATATATTTTCATGCCCAATGTTTGGGGCACTCTTCTTGTCTGCATTCATTTACTCGCCGTGGTGATACTAAGTCACCTTCTGGCTGGTCCTCGGCACATATCGATACCCTACCTACTGCATAATTCAAAAGGCATTTACTACCAGAACTTAGTTTGGGGTTCTTACAATTTTTTGACTCAGAAAGTATGAAAATCCCAGTGCGAACAAGTGCACGAAGTGGATGAGACAAAAGACGTTGACCCACACGGACGCCTGGGCATGATCTCCAAACGTAATCCTTATTGAGAGTGCTCGGATCTTGTAATGAGCCAATGATAAAACCTAGATTTGATCGCACAGTACCCTCGTACGTATGAAGTCGTAACAGATGTAATGGCCAAGACTTCCAAGACATGGGGGAATGTGCAGCGCTATCTCCACCGCTCTGTTTTTGCCATGTGAAAGAGACGCGTCTCCAACCTTAAATCCAAGTACTTCCACCCCACGCCATGCCAAAGCGAAAGCACGATGATGCTCCAGAGAGCTATGCATATCTCAAACCTCAAGTTCGTCGCGTGCCAGAGAAGACCATCAAGTCAAAATGGGCACCATTGCCAGAACCCGTCCAGGAGAAGGTCCGCGACATGTTTCATTCGCTCGAGCGACCAGTGATCATGCGAAATCAGAATGAACGAAAGCGCATCGAGGCCCAGGGCGCTGTGCAAGCGGTGGTACGAAAGTAAGCATGCGCTCGGTCGGCAAAAAAGACCGCCCAAGAGATTGAAGCTGATCGCTGACCGTTGTGTTTAGTCTAAACAAACGCCTCCCGCGGATGCCCTTCCCTCCCGTAACAAAAGACTCTAATTTCGACTATGAATCTGCACTGAATGAGCATGTATGCGCCCGGTTACAAATGATGTGATAGGCTGTTACTAATGTCTCTATAGCGTTTGCTCGAGGCCAACCTGGCTACGATGAACGACAGTGTTGATCTATTGAAAGCAGAGATTGCCAAAGAAGAAGCACTGCTTGCCAGGGAAACCAAATCCCTGCAAGAAATGGACAAGAATGCTAAGCGTGCTGAGGCCGAGAGAAAGAGGCAAACCAAGAACGTACGTTTGGGATTTCCCAGCTAGAAATTGGCGCTAACATTGCCTCAAGGAACACCCGGTGCTTCGGCAACTGGATTCGCTTCCTCGAGCAGAGGCCCGCGCGTCCTCCGAGTTCATGCTTCTTGGCACGAAAGAAAGCCAATCCACCTTGGACGAGGTAAGTGCTCTGTCTCAGCTGGTTTCTATGCTTTCTAACCATGTCGACTAGTTGGATGATGATCCCGAGGTGCGAGGACTGATGAAACAGCTCAATGGTCATTTGCAATCTATGCAAAACAATACCGCACCCTTTGCCGAACTCGCCGATGCTATCACTCGTTCACAGTCCGCCCTGGATTTGTATTCAATGCCGAACGACTGATTCCTATCTGACACCATTCAACCTTGCAACAAACTCCCATGTTATGCCACTTGATGCTTAATAACACATGTAAACCTCGGGATCGAGTATGTGCGCTTGCTGAGACTGAAGAATGCGCACCAGTGCCGAGCCCGAGGACCAAGGACGAGACAATCCTTGTCATGAGTTTGGATTCCAATGCGACCAGCTATAGCGAAACTATGCAGGCATTCCATATCTCTTGTCACGGTCTTCACACCAGGCTTTCTCCGTGCAGAGAAGCCTCGGGTTGTCTAGCGGATGACCCTTGGCTTGAAGCCCTCAGATGAGACCCGATGTGCATGAGACTTGCATCACTTTATCTGTACGGAAGATGTCTGCCCTTGCATTGGTGTGCAGAACCCCTCATGGGCAGGAACGTCTACCTGAGCCCACATAATCAAATGAGCCACTACACTGCATAACATTTTATTTATTTCGCCAATTGTAAGACTAGAAAAAGTAATGTAAGCCCCCAACCGAGGTCTCGCCCCCAAAGGTGGCGGGAGAACGAAATGCGGAGCAGTTCGGAGGGGTGTGACTCCGCTTTCTCCATCCCCAAGAACTTTTTGACGTTTCCCATCTCCAAACCACTGGACTGCAGGCAGCCATTTCACTCCGGCCCTGGTGGTTTTCTCTAAACTCTTGCACCATGACCGACAAGAACGCGCTAGGCGCAGCCTCCAATGCGAAGGCGAGGGCTGATGCAGGGAAGGATACCAGCGTCAAGGACTCACAAATATCTGCGGCCAAGGCCGAAACGACCGGCTCGGGGAGTCACTCCAGTCCCAAAAAGCGCCGCAAGGTGAATCACGGTAAGGTGCCGTTGCGCAACATGCGACAGGGATCTGCGCGCGGCCGATTCTGTTGCGCATTGCGATATGAACCTCTTTGCTAACGAGCGTCTTCTGCATTTTTAGCATGTGTCTATTGTCGCCGTTCGGTAAGTTCAAGTTTGGAAAATCATGCGCGCCGGGTCGTTCTTTGGGGATCGACTCTGGTAGTCGCGCATTTATTGATTTCAAGAAGCTTCGCTAACGAGATCGCCTCGCGTGGGACAGCATATGACTTGCGACTCGGTACGACGCCTCTACCTACCCCCTTCCCTTTTCGCGACCCTTCATATTTGAAATCTCGGTCGTGAAATTGTGAGAATTGTTCACATCAGCTGACTCTGATTTCATGAAGGAACGACCCTGCACTCGGTGTATAAAACGAAACATCGGACACTTGTGTCATGACGAACCGCGAGAAGCTGCGAAGCGCGGACGTGGTGAGCACGAAAACTCGGCTGCAGACGAAGAAGGCTCGTCGAACAATGAACTGGGCAACGTTCAAGGCATGCCCAGGAGTGTTGACGTCGATGCTGCTGGCCAGCAACAATTCCCAGACAATACCATCGGAATCGCACCCTCGGCTGTGAACTCGGGAAGTGTGCCCCCGGCCAATCTAACCGCGTCTGGTCAAAATCTGGAAGGCAATAATCGTAAGTTTCTAGCGACAATTAATTTGTTTTTCACATGTGGGGTAAACTGACCATGCTAGTTCTGCAATATAACGATTGGGTAGGTGGTCAGAACCAATTCCAAGAAATGCATTCTCTCCACCCGTCATACATGTTCAATGCACATGAGGTTACCAACGAGTACAATCTACTCGGAGACTTCCTCAGCAACAGTCTGCTCGACGACGGGGCGATGTATCCAAACCAGGATATGCAGGGTGTGTACTCCGATCCATCCTTGATGAACTCAATGAACGGCATGGCGATGTCCAATGGCTTGCCCCCACCCGCACAGCTTCCACCACCGGCTCAAAACCAACCACCAACTGGCGATTCAATGCAGCAACCCCCAACTATGGGCAATGACAAAGCCCGGGAAACATATTACATGACTGCCGCCGACCCGGCAGGAACTGATCCGCCCGAAGAACGGATGAACAAGCTCCTCAAAGCAAAATACGACGCCGGTCTCTTGAAACCCTTCAACTACGTCAAGGGATATGCAAGGTTGAATCAGTATATGGAAAAGAACATGCAGCAAATATCCCGGCAAAAGATTCTCCGACAACTTGACAAGTTCCGGCCTAAGTTCCGAGAACGCATGCAGAGCCTTACTGACATCGAGCTTATCCTCGTGGAGATGTGGTTTGAGCGTAGCCTTATGGAATACGACCGTGTGTTCGCCAGTATGGCCATTCCCGCCTGCTGCTGGCGTCGAACGGGCGAGATCTTCCGAGGCAACAATGAGATGGCACAACTCATTGATGTTCCAGTAGAGGGATTACGAGACGTGGGTTTCCGGTGTCTCCTCGGGTCTGATAACACGACTAACCGGTCAATTTAGGGCAAGCTTGCTATCCACGAGATCATCGTTGAAGATCAGCTAGTGAGCTATTGGGAGAAGTTTGGCGCCATTGCCTTCGACAACACCCAAAAGGCAATGCTCACCAGTTGTACTTTGAAGAGTCCCAATCCCAACTCAAGCAGTGATGGGATTACTTGTTGTTTCTCATTCACCATCAGAAGGGATAACCACAACATGTAAGTCTTCACTCGTGACACAGGTGGTGCATAAACTGACAAATTCGGAACAACAGCCCATCACTTATCGTTGGTAACTTTTTGCCCATCGACAAATAAGCAGATGTAGTGCCAGCTCAAGGATGTGTTTCTGCTTTGTTGTTCTGTTTTGATTGATTCCCCAAGGCCTTTCTGCCACAAAATGTACAGTGTTCGATTTGGATCATCCCAAATACCTTCAATGTAGAGTATCAACAGTCTAGATGGAAAAAGATGTTTGCTCTTATGAAACTATGAAATTTGCCCTGACCAATGCTTTTGAACGCTCCTTAACCATCCAGCACTCAATTTTGGAAAACCTTGAAGAATAATGTAGGTGTATGAGTGCAATGGTGTTCAATTTTTGTATCTAAATTCCGATTGAGCTGAGCAGATTGATATCCTGGGTACTTTGCTTATGTCGTCGGAGTCCCGCGAGTGGGATGTCACCTGGGGTGTATACCAGGCCAACTTAATCGTGTTTACCTTCCTTTCCCTTTCTCCCCTTTCGCCCTCTCTCTCTTCTTTATCTTCATCATTCCGACCATTGTCGCACTCATCATGGCTTACTCTCCACATCAAGATTGCAATTTCCTAACGGGTATGCATGCATCCATAGATCTAATACGGGTTTCCCGATTAGGAAATTCACTGACGGTGATAGATCTTGCTTGTGATTTGCAAACAAGACTCTCGACATCTACTTTAGGGCAGCCGCTTTTTCCTCCTGATGTCGTTCAACATCTTGATCACGCGCTCGCCATGAACCCACTGAATACCCTGGTGCGAGGTGATATGGACGCGAAAAGACTGGATGCCGTTGGCTCTTCGCTATGGAACGCTTGCACTCAGATGTTGGCTGTACGTGGCAAAACCGATGAGGACATACAAGCTCTCTCCAAAGCTCGCACTGCCGCATTCGTTCTCTTGAATTTGGCGGTGCCACCTACCATGCTTGGTTGGCTCAGGTCCCTAGGTGTTTCTCTCATTGCTGCGCAGACTTGCATTGGTAAGTATCATACCAACAATACTTTCCTTGTCTACGAAGCCAAAATCTCTAATGATCATATAGTAGCTAAACAACTTAATGCTGCATACAACATCCTGGGTGTGTCGGGGGAGCGACTTCAAGCCGTCCAACCATCTCACCTCGGGTTGGACCTTACTCTGAACTACAGCCTCACGACCAAATACTGGCTACTCCGAATTCGTTTGGTGAGTTACTCTTTTGAATACCATACGCGCCAAAGCTGATTTTCCTACAGGCTGCTGAATGTCAACAATTCGACCTTGCAGAGCATCTTTGGACCAAAGTCCCTAGCCCATTTCTGATGGGTGACTGCGGTTTCGTTCTTGAAACAACCTTCCTTGTTGGAGAGTCCGCTCTCGTGATCAATCCGCCAGTTGCGATCAAATGGCTACATAAATCATTCGAAACACTGCACAACTTGTATGTTGCCACTGGACAGGGTTTCGTGGGATTTGAAGACTGGGATTTGGCAATCAGACATTCTCTTGGTAAGCAGTGGCTTTGACTGGATAACTTGAATATCCCAACTGATACATGGCAGTCGTGGCATGCTTGCCGATGTTGACCCCAGACTCCGCGCAGATTCTTTGCATCGAGTTGGCCAATTTGCAACAGGTTTGTCTCCTCCTGAGTCCAAACCCATCAGAAATTGACTCTCATTCTTCTAGTCGTATCCGTCGCAGCCTGCCGTGATGCTTCTTGGTCTCATTGCGAGAACTACCCTACCAACTATCGAGGAGCTGGTCCAAAGTAAGTCAACCTCATTTCTGCTCAGATCAGATTCACTGATTTTGTCTCCCAGCTTTCAAGATGGTTGTTGCTCAAACTCCTATGACGAACGCAAACATGGGGATGTAAGTTGCTACTCAAGTCAACTGATATTTATAGCATCTAATAATGAGACCAGGATCTTCCAGTTCATCCACTTCATGGGCAAAAGAAGGTATCACTTCCTTCATCTCTTGTCTTAAGGCAGATGACTAACTTATACCCAGCCAACACGCTGCGTTTGAGGCTCTTGCCGCTCTTCTCTTGGTTGAGCTCCCCAGGGAATGGACGGAAAAGTGTTTCCTGGGGTATCTTGTGCTGATGACAAGATGCAATCCGATGGACCCAAACCACATCCGGACGACCAGCATTATGATGCAAAGTCTGGAGCACCGTGGATTCCCATCATTCGGCCCAAAGACCGCTCGGGCTGCTGTTGCCGTATGAAAAACATGAACCTTTTATAGATGAGAAGATCAGCTAACAGTACCGACAGTGTCTCTGGAAACTAATAGGTATCGCGGTTTCCGCAGGAGACTACTCCGCTGCAATATCATGGCTTCACATATGCGGCGATCACAAGAATTTACACGACTGTGACAAAGAAACCCAGTATGCGATCTCGAGGTAAGTCAAACACAAGGTGATCGTTATGAGCGAGCTCAATCTGACACTGCACTAGGAAATTGTTTGCGTGCTACGTGCAAGTTGGCAACGTGAAATCCGCTCGTGAATTTCTGAATCGAGGATTTCTGGTGAGCCGACTCGACTGCAAGAAAATGTACTTCGAGTACAAGCTGGCCATGCTGGAAGGACAAAACCTCTCAAGTATGCAGAACAACCATGCCAAATCCCAAATATTGCTGACTATCTAAAAGATTTCTTCTGTCTCGGGTTCCCAAGTCAACCAGTCTTGGAGAAGCAGACCGCGCTCCTTGCATGTGCAATGGAAGCTCAGCGACAGAAGAAGCATGCAGAGGCAATGAACTGCCTGGCACAGTTAACGAAATGTACTGGATTTAGTAACATATACAATCCAGTATTTTCTGTGGCTGAACATCACATGTGAGTGTATATCCAAAACCCTTACAAGCAATGCCAACATGAAAAGGTTCTTGATCTGTCTTGTCATCAACGAGATGGAGACATATCGTCCCATGGATTTCTACCGTCGTGCTGAGGAAGTCCTGGCAAATGGTACGTACGCATTCTCCTATGTCAGCATGGATACTGACCCATCTTATAGCCCTGGAATTTGCGAAGTCGCTTGGCTCTCCCACCGAGGGAGCTCCTGTAATCTCGATCACCGAGTTGCAATGGCTCTACCAAGCAAGTTATCGGGTCGCTTTGAAGGCCATCGAGCATCGTCAGCTTGATCTTGCCCTGCAGGCTCTCAAGCACTCTCATGAGGTTGGTTATGCAGTTGTCTTTTTCATTTACAATCTCTGACGTTCTAGCAGTTCACCATTGTGTATCGTCGCGCTGCAGGGATCGAAGGCAGGATGAAAGCACCTCGTCCCCACTTCTTTTTGATCAACTTTCTTCGCATTCTTATCTACGTCGATGCGGCTCGCAAAACTAACGATGAGGCTGAAAAGGTATCGTGCCAACATTCCCATTTCCATATATTCTCCACCATTGCCTGCTTTCTCGCATAAACACAGCAGTACTAAACTTTGACAGGTTGCACACTACACGAACGTGCGCGCATCGTTCAAGGCGCTTGCCGGGCTGTTTGGATGGGAAGACGGATTGGAAGATTCCGACAGAGAGTTGAGCCTGAATGAAACAGATCAATACGGACTCGGGAAGTTCTTCAACTTCGAGGCTACCTACCAACTTGGTCTCTGGTCTGAAATAAAGGAACTCTGCGAAGACAACCACCGATTCCCCACGTCCCAGTTCTACTCTCAAATGACTGAATGGATCTTCCACGAAAAGACTCCATGCCAGGTCCAGATCAAGTTCCTGAAGGTAAGCTCACAGAAGTCCGTCTATCTGCCATTGTTGAACAACAGCTGATCTTGAGCCAGCGAGTCATCTACGAGATAATAAACCTCATTGACCAGAAATCGGCCGGTTACTTCCATTGGAGCATGGAGCTGCCTCGCTACCTCTACTGCCTATTCTTGACGTGCACAAGCTTCAAACCCGCGAATCTCCAGCTTGGCGTGGAAGAAGAAATGATTGATTTCCGTCTCGCCGACAGAGTGCTCTGTCACATTTACACCATAGCCAAACGTGAGGCGAGCAAGCCGGATGACGTGAACAATGGACCCAACGTGCAGACTTTCCGATACGAAACGGGAGTCTACATAGTAGGTGGAAAGAACCCTTTCCCGGCGATGGAGTTGGAGCACGTTGCTCGCACCACCTTCAATGCAGCCATGCGGTTCAACGCTGGCCCTCATGGTGAGACTAGCATGCTATGGGCTCGCAGGGCTCGCGATCTTGCTCATCTTGTTCCAGGTGGCGAGGAGCTTGTCAAGGAGCTACAGGGACATTTGCAGATCTTGGCCCATCGATCCGAAGCCGCACAGGTGGAAAGTTCGTCGGCTGCTGACAAGCAAGGAGCTGATACGTCCTAAAATTCAGTCGGATACGATACAAAGCCTCTCGAGGTGGAAGGAAGGTTTTCGGGTGAATGGGAGAGATTGGGGTGAAGAAAATGTGATTGGGGAGACATAGTTCCGCAAATCAACGAGATAGTTTGAGAATGGAAAAATTAATCAGATTTAGCTTCAAGGAACAAAGTAGTATGTCAGCTGGCCCGCACCAGGGCAGATCCAAGTCTGTACAGAATTACTCATTGTATCCTACACACTAGTGTTACGTTAGGTGTAGTATGTAGTAAGAGCAAGTACATGTGTGCGGCCAAAAGGCACTTCTACTGTTACAGAGTAAGGAATGTGCATCGTGGGTAGCTACACAGGATCAGTTATGGGCCTCGGGACGTCTCCCTACTACCCTCACCTGCCCGCCGACTCGCACGAGACAAATACTTGATTGTGACCACCGTGACCCTCATCCCGTGGCATGGGCCCGGGGATGTGCAGCCAAGACGTCAGTGACCCAAGTGGGAGGGGCAAGCCCAACCCTGATGGGATTTGTGAGAGAGAAGAGAGAAGAAGAGAAGAAGGAGAAGAGGGAAGTGAGAGGTATTTATACCTGAGATGGGGAGGGAGTGGCAGGTGACTTCCATGGTTCCCAATTAGGAAATGCAAACATTCTGTTAGGGCATGGGACTTGGTCAGGTGATGGTTGCTTCCCATAGATCTCTGTCTCTCTCTTTCTCTTCTCTTCTTTACGCATCATACGTTCTGTTTTACGTACACACTGCTTTCTACTAGACCGTATTCCCCATACATTCTTATCCAGGGAATCAAAGACGTGGATAGCTCCTGTTATGGAGCCGTTTAATTTTGAAGAATCTAATTGTTGATGATGCATATAGAACGGAGCAAAAAGATGTGAATTGTACGGAGTAGTGAGGCGGCATATGGCCTGTCACAAAAGTGTAAATATGGGTATCATCAGAAGGGAATTTATCTCCAGGCCATGGGATAATAAAAAGAAAGAAGATCGCCCAATCCACCTACCAAAAACAAGTGGATGATGCAAAGATGCAAAGATGCAACGGGGTGAAAGGGAGAATATCAAGAGAATGCAAAGGCAAAAATAGCCAGTAGATCAAAGAAAGATGATAACAGAGAGCGATTGAAAATGCATCGCTTATGCATGATCAGCACCGATAACAGAAATGCAAAAGCCATCCTCAAATGTATGGCAGCAAGCAAAAACAAAGTTATTCTTCGCCAGTAGCATCAAACGACCGGCTGCGCGAGACTTGTCGTACACTTTTGGGTCGCAGAGACGGGGTAGAAGGCATATGGCGAGGAAGACAAGGGGATTTCAAGGACGAGCGACTAGGTCCTCGTTCATTTTCAATGTCCTTGCCACTGCTATCGGTTTCGGTTTCACCGCTAGCGTCACTGCTTTCATCGCGTCCGCTGATAATGCGGAGTGTGAGTCTTAGTTCACGCTCGAGTTCCTTGGAAGATTGGACGCGGCGGTTTGAACCGTTGACCTTTTTGCGGTAGGCGCGGAGAGTGCGGCAGACTTGTTCGGTGGACATGTCGAGACTTCCGAACTCGCTGCGGGGAGTTGTTTTGCCGCGATTGCGGAGATCGAGAGATGTGCGACGATTGGTTCGTGCACTGTGTGGTTTTCGGGCGGGAGTCCGTGATTTTGGGCTAACAGGGGATGGGGAGCGGCGGTTTCGCTCTTGGAGTACACCTGGGGTGGGGGGAGAGGCGACTTGGGGGCGATGTTGATTCTGAGAGGGAGTGGTTTTTGAGAGATGACGGGGCGAGAGACAATCTCGACATTTTCCGGAGGAGGGTTGGAGAATGCTCGCGGTTAGGCGTTGGAGTTGTGGGGTTAGGACTATCTGGACGCTGGAAGCCGGCCAACTCGCTACGCGAGAGCACCTTCCTGAGAGGAGGTCTCGCGGCTGTCATCTCCTTGGTAGGACCTTCATCATCATCGCGTGTACTTTGAAGAAGTTCTGGCGATATCTGCTGCTGGACAGAGAGGTTCCATATCATCAATATGCCGTCCATGCCGGTGCTTATCAAGGTGCGTTGGGGTTGCGAGTCCTCGGTATCGTCGCGCCCTTCTATCAACAGGGCATCGGTAACACCTTCAGTGTGTCCAAATTCACCAGTGAGAAGTTGGTCGCGCTCCAAGTCGTATACGCGGATGGATTTGTCGGTACCCGACACACCAATTAGAACCTTTGGGCTTTGGCCAGGGATCTCAGGTGCAACTGTCAATGAGCCCAAAATGACGGCATCGGTTGTCTCCGAGTCCGATGCCTTGAAACAGTGGAGATGCCTTCCTGATGGAATATCGAACTTCGAAACACAGCGGTCCATAGTGGAGAGATATAAAATGTTCGAGTCGTCCGGGCAGATTGTCATCGACAGGGGAGAGGCCTTTTGAGTAATTACCCGTGAAATAAGGTACGCAACGCATGTTTCACCATCAATCTCTCGTGTGGCACGATCTCTGATAATGACGGTGCGGTCCGCAGAGCATGAAAGCAGCTTCTCGCCATCATTGATGAACATCAACTGTCCGACAGCCCCAACATGATCGTCCATGGTTTGGGTCAAATGAAGCTCGTTGTCTCGTTTCTCAAATAACTGAACCATCCGATCTCGGCCACAGCTGGCTACTAGCCAGGAGTCATCCGTTGTTTCAATAGCAACGTCTGTAATCTCCCCGCCATGTCCACGGACTTTGTGCACACAGGCCCAGTCGGAATTTGAAAACAATCTGTTGTGAACAAGTTAGTTGAATCCGATGAAGAGTGTTATTAAGTTGCACATACCTCAATACGCCAAATTTGTCACCTGAGACGAACCACTCTGCATTTGTAGTAGTCCGCAAAACTTTAAGTTCATTCGCTGCATTGTCTTCGTTCCCGGAAAATTGATCCAGATCGATTACTCTGGATCCTCGACACTTCCCGTGAACGTCCCAGAAATTAACAGAGCCGTTACGCGACCACGTAAAGAAGTCTGCAGAGAAATCATTGGGGCGTTTCATGTGAAAGACTCCAAGGATGGGATCTCGATGCGCAGGCATCGAGGCTTCACCCTCTTCCTGTTCGCCGTCTTCAAGTAGATTATGAATCGGGTAAATATGAATCTCCCGAGTGGCTTCCACCGTGACTAGATGGGAGTTAAGAGAGCCCATGCAAGTGATAGCTGGTGCTTTGCTTTTCTTATCCAAGACTCCCTTATCGAGACGGACAGGTGACATTGGCGTGGACGAACCAGACGAGCGCAAAGTTTCAAATGTCACTTTCTGCATTCGCCTTCCACGCCCACCTAGCCAGATGGACTCTTGGTCGAAATCCACGGCCAGAGACGTGATACTGAAGCCCACCTGCTTTACGATGACCATCTTCTGAGACCCCTCGCGGTCATCAAGGTAACAAACTGCACCTGAATCCGTGGCAATAGCAGCTTCGTGGTCAGAGATACTGCTTACACAGGTAAAGACGCTGTCTCCCAGCGCGCCCATGAGGCAATTCCTACCGGAAAGTGCTTTCGGGGCCGGGTTTGGTGAGGGAGCACCGTCAACATTCAGCCGTGTCTTGGTGGGGGAGACAGGCCTCGTGATCGTGGGAAGACGCCAGACCTTGACGTGCCGCACGCCAGTGGTGACCAAGCTTCGTCCGACCCAGCACATATCTTTAATAACCGACGTACACTTATTCGCGGAGTGTAGCTTGGCTGATCCATTCTTCAGGTTGATCATCCAGATGAAAAGGAACCCGTCATTCGGGTTGCCCAGAGTTGCCAGATACTGGGAGTCGGGGCTGAACGCTAGACTGCGAACGCCAAATGTGTGGTCGTTCAGTATAGAGAGAGGAACGTCCGGTAATGCATCCGTCGCTGTGGAGAATATCAAAACTCGTGGGTTATAGCCGGTCTCTCCTACTGCGAGGAATCGCCCATTGGGACTGATCGAGACACTTGTGACTGCTTTGATCCGTTCCCTCGATGACCACCCTCGGGGGCTACCAGCCTCGCCAGCCTCGCTAGAGGGAGAGCCATTGGAAATATTCAGATGTGGGTTGGAGCGGATGTGGGAGAGGGAACGTGATCTCGGGTCCGGGGTAGACGGAGGGGTCGAGTTTGGATTGTAGAACGAAGTCGATGGATTGACACTAGTTGCAGAGGGACGGGCTCGGAAGAAGCGTTGGCTTATGTTGGCATCATCGTCGAGCTGTGCGAGCACTGCTGCTGAACCCGCACACAGAGCGAAACTTCTGCTTTGGTCGTGGCTCGAGAATCCATTGGGGGTTGTGGTGGTTGTGCCGATAACGGTTTGGAGAGACAAGGAGGACTGGTGGGATGTTTTGCTGGGGGATCGGGTCCCTGGGCGGAGGATTGGAGAATTCGAAGGAGTGATTTTCAAGGATGCGCCGGGTCCAGCAAGCTTGCTTTTCGGGGTGTTCAAGGTGGTAGTCATGACCTCGAAGGATATCAAGGTCCACCCGAAGATTGATCAATTGGGCGCATTCGTTTCAAAAAGAGTGTGTATATAAGAAGTAAAGTTCGAGGTGGCGGGATAGCGGAGTAGCGGAGTAGCAGTAAGGAGTGTGTGGGATGGCGGGGAGCTAAAGTGAAGCTATGATCGGCCCAGCCTTCCAAATATAGCCATTGTTCTAGAACGAGCGTGTCGAGTGAGAAGAGAGTGCGGAGTACGGAGTAAGAAGAGGAAGAAAAAAAAAAACAAAACAAGCTCAAATGGCGCTAACATCATTCCAGCCGATCTGAGGAATCTGAACCTTGGGTCAGGGGCCGATCCGCTGACAGTGCGAGCTTATAGTGCCCTCGAAGTGAAGTATAAGGCCTTCGAGTATTTTGTTCAGTTCTCTACACTTGTAATTTCAACATCCGCATTTATTCCCGATCTTCATATTTAGCTCGATCTACGGTCATGAGATGAACGGTGGGTCGGATTATACAGTTCGCACTAAGACGCCAGCCCTGAGGGTAAATCTCGTAGCTAAGCTCCGAATCCACCCGCCTAATGTGACACCGCTGTATGGACTCTGGGCACCCACGACTTATGAGTCTACATCTACGGAATAAATTGAACGGATTACATAGTGCGCAAACGCTGATGTCAAATGTATTGGTATAGAGGTGTGGTATTCGCCTGTCAAGCCTCCCAAACGTAAGAAATTCGGAACGAAGAATCAAATGCGATAATGTGCCATGTTCTTCTTGATCTCACTGACAATCTCATCTGCCTCGCCAGTGCTGCGTGCTTCAAAGTCATACCGCTTCTGTTCGGTGGCGTCGTTTCCTCGAACGATCATCACGCGGAAGCTCTTGGGGTGTCTCCGGCTGACCTTGGAACCGATCACATCGCTGAAACTGATCGACCGGGTCTTGCCTCCAGAAGCTGTTTTGCCGGTATCCCCAGGCACAATGTGCATGTAGTCATTTTCAAAGGTAAGGATACGATGATTGGAGGCTGTGAAAGACATGGGTTGTTTGCGGAACACGTGGTACCGGCGGTAGTATCCACCCAGGTGGTCCTGTTTCTGAGAAGCGGAAGGCAGCATACGCTGTGCACCCTTCTTGGCCTCCTTCTTGGCTTTCTTGGAGGTTGCTGGCTCGGTGCTTTCTACCATGAGAGGTGCGTTCGGTGATGAGCTACCGGGTGAAGTTCCGAGAGCGAGGGGACCACCACCAAAGCGGCGGCGAACCAGATCAAGCTCGGTGATGCTACCCAGTGCCTCCACAGTGCGGTCCAGAGGCGCAATCGTGTTGGACCCCATCACCTTGAGCAGGTAGTTACCCTTGTCTTGACCCCATCGCTTGCACACAGAGTCCAGGATTTCGGCAATATAGCTATCGGTGGATGTGTTGATGGTCATAACATGGGCAGAAGCCTCTGTGTTAATGAAACGAATCTTGAGGGTTTTCGCAACACCCATGCGAGGAGTGGCATGCGAAGTGGGCACTGCGGGTCGATCGGCGGGTGTGAGAGTACTGTGGTTGAGTGCTGATGAGAACGGCTGGCCCAGGATGGGATTTGCCCGAGCTGGTGTGATCTGAGGGGTCTTGCTGTTTGAGGTAGGCTGTTGGGTAGTCCCCGGAGCCGTCAGGTTGGCAGGTTGGTCGGTCTCGTCTGATCCAACACTGGAACTGAACTGTGGGTACAGCTTTTCATTTTCCTCAAACTCGGTCTTCGATGCTTCGACCAAAGCGAACTCGTCGTAGGGTTTGCCTCTTGTTCGCTGTCGGGCTTTGGGGGGTTGGTTATTGTTTGACGTGAAGTCCGTCATAGGGAGGGTTCGGCCAAGTGCTGGGAAGTCATATTCGACTTCGCCATCATCAACCATTCGTAAAGTCCACCGATTTACAGTCAACTTTTCACGGCCTAGCGCTGGGCCACGAGAATCTGCTGAGTATTTCCATAGAGCTAGGCCGATTGTTTCGGCAACAGTGACCGGTGCAGGCTGCTCTGCGAGCTTGGACTCGCGGGTCACCGGCAGATCCAGCGGATCTTCAGGGTCACTAGAGAATGGGGCGTAAATCTTCAGGTACAAGGCATCTTCTTGGCCTCGCCCAGAGAGCACCACGAATTTGTCCACCGGGTTACTTGGTGCGCGCTTCCGTGCCTTCAGTTGACTGGTCAACAGACTAACTGGCTGTACCATGCTGATAGGTCGCGGCGGAGGAAGATCTTGTAATGTAGGTGCCGGTGCACGACTTTTGCGGTGTGAACTGTTCTGTGGCCCTGTGCCTGGGGGTAATTTGTTCATCATCACCATGGGTGAGGACAAATTCAACCCTCCGGCAACGCCTGCCAAAAGCAAAGAGCCAGATCCTGCAGTGTTGTCGAAATCAGACGAGATTGCAGACACCACGGACTCGGCGCCAGAGTCTTCCTCGTCCTCCTCGTGAAGTTCTCCAAGAGCCAGGCTCTCTGCGCCGCGACTTCCAGTTCGTTCACGCCGCCTGCGAGGATGATCGACAATATGGTCGCTTCCGGAGAATGAAACCTGACTCTTGTAGCCTCGGTGATCAGTTTCGTTATCTGTCGATAGGTCGCTGCTAGTAGTTGTGTCTCGACGAGGCCTGAGCGGAATCGAGTTGTACTGGTTCGCAATGGTTTGGGTTGACGGAGATGTAATCATCACTTCTGGTCTCTCCTTCTGGTCTTCCGAGCGCCTTGGAGAGGAATCAGCTCGGTCTCGGCGAATGGGCATCTTGTGGAATTTGATCTGATCAACAGCACTGGTTTGGGTCAGCAAATGCAGCATTATTCCACAGCTTGACATAACCTACCTCCCGACATTGTCCCCTTCGTCGTCGTCGCTGTCGTCACTTAAATCACTGCTGTCATCCTCCTCCGCAACAGCTTGCCTCTGTACCTCTTGCTGCCGTTCTCGTCGACTCTTCTTCTTTCCGTTTCGCGCATGATGTCGTCGTGCGGTCATCTCCGTATGGCTCTTGCCGGTCACCATGCCCCCATCATCGTCACCGTCCTCCATACCAAGACCTTGCAAATCATGATTTGAGGGTCTCGCATTGCGCTCCGCGAGTTTGTAATACTCCGAAGATACATTTGCAGTAGTGGGAATCGGCGGGGAGTAGGTGCGCTTCAGGTGGGATGAGCTGTGTGTATTCGGGAACGCGGAGGCGGTTGACCAGCCCGCCGCGCGGAAACCCGGGGTATTCAGGACTGAATCATTGACGTTGATGAGGCGATCTCCAATTCCGTCTTTAATCGTCGAGAGGTAAGACGAACGTAGTTGCCAGATTGTGAAGCTGTGCTGATAGTCAGTTCGGAGATCAACACATCGGTTCACAATTCCAAATCCGACTCACTCCTCATTGTGAAGAAGGGACATTTTCTCGGCTGTGTAGAGGAATATGGTCCGCAGAAGTTGGGCGCGTTGCGTAGTCGGCGACCGAGGTTGCTAGGCCAATGTTCCTAGGCTGTCAGGTGAAGTCGCATGCTCGTGCAAATAGGTCAGGCGAAACCTAATGAGTCTCTAGTCTCCCAACAGGACCAGCCTGTAATTAAAAAGGAGAATAAAGGAGTGTTATATGTGCCACACGCACACCTCGGCATAGACGTTGAAGAAAGGGAAAGTCGGTCTCCGCAGATCAACAACTTCCCCGCCAAGGGGCCAATTTGACCGCTTAGACTTGCCTCGATCTTACGGAGTAATGGATCTGCTTACAGCACACCCTTTGTTCCTGGCTATTAACTGGTCATTTTGTGTCTTGAAATGTTAACTTCACATCAGGTCTCCTTAAAAGTCAAGACAAGGCTCTCTTCGCAAGTGCTGGCTATATTGAACACCCTTTCCCAATCATTCAAGGAGAATGTGTAAATGCACCCAGCCGTCGGGGGCAGTTTGAGATCTCCGTTCTCGATCATCTTGATTAATCCGCGGACGTCTTCAGGCTCATAGTACATCAACTTGCTCCGCATGGCGATTCTCTTGCACGTGACCAAAGGCTCGGCGTCATTTGGGTTCACAGGGCACAGAAAGGTCACTCCGGTTCGAGGTGCAGTGCTGCTGGGGGGAGTGTCGGTTTCATAGGTTGAACCATAAGCCGGTACAAGCCCCGTCTCCCAATCCTCTTCGTCTTCCGTCATGGAATAATGCCACGAATTCACCAACCATGGTAGTCCATTTAGCTGACTGCGCGTCAAAGCCGTTGTGCTGATTCCGTCATCCTCTGTCTTGGACGGGGCAGGCTCCATCAGACCGACCTCACTCGTGTCAGAGGGCAATGCGATCACTCTCAATCCTTCTCTCAGTCAGTCTCCGTCTACTCTGAACTTCGCCTTCCAAGGGGAGGGGGGCTTACCCATAGCCAAGGCTACAATGCAACAAGCAGCACCAACAGAGCTCGTTGCGGGGTATACCAGCAGAGTTTCGCCAGGCTGAAGGCATAACTTCTTCAGTTCACTGAATGACCAGACGATTTTCGCAATCTCACAAAGCTGAGCTGGCTGATACCCCAATCCTCCCTCTTGTTTTCCCATAAGTTTGCCCTCGTCTAAGGGGTAGCAATTTTTGACCCGAGCTCTCATGTACTCTGCGTAAGAGCTATCTTCAATGTCACTTCTCTGTGTAAAGGAGAGGCAAAACGAGCCTGGCTCATGATATACCCCGCTGGAGTATCGGACTTGTGGGTTGTGTTTGGATCTCAAGGCCGGATCAAAAAGACAAGTTGGCCAACGTGCAACGATGTCACATCACTAGCGACTTTGACGATTCGAGCAATAGCACTCGAGCCTGGGAGCATGGGCTGTCTGCCGGGGCGTCCCACGCCAAATTTTGCATACATGGCCAACGTCTCCTGGGCGAGAGGTGAGACGGGGGTTGCGAGAACGCGCAGAACCACACAGTCTTCCCGCAATTCTGGTAAGTCGGCTGATCTGACTTCGGCATAGAGGCGAAAGCCAAAGCCAATCATCAATGCATGATGTCTGTTTGGGATGTTTGGAGCTGGCACCACTGTACCGTGGGCAGGTGCTAGTGCAGGGGTTGAAGATTGGGTTACGGACTCCCCATTACTATGCTCGGTTTGTTCACTGTGGTTGGTCGACATGGTGACGCTGGACGGTGGATGGACGGTGGAGTGTCGATAGTGGCAGGCGTGGAAGTTGAAAAAAGCTGCGTGGAAGTGTCGTGTCGCGATTGCCGCACGGAGGCGGGGATGATTTACGCATTTTACGGTATAATGGCATCAGATTGAAGGCTTAGTCGTAACTATTATCAGGGCAATATTGCTAGGGGACCTTTAAAGAAGCACCCCAAATGGATGTTACCACACACCGTTAGATTTAAAAACACCCCTCTAACCTGAATAAGAAGGCTGATACCTTATAATATTTATAGGCAGAAGTGATTTAGCCATTTTGGGTCCTTGATGCCAACCTTGTGCCCCTTACCACTCATTGATCACATTACATTACTTTTTTGCAATGTTTATCATGCAAAACCGCATCATGTCATCACGTGACCGACTGGGTAAACTAGCCACCCGTATATTTTAAAGTGACTTCTATTGAGTGAGGGTTTATATACACCGTAGTCAAGGTAGGTACTCCGTACCCTAGAGGTCGACAGATTTCAATCACGTGACTACAGTAAGAATGGTATAGGTGTTGAGACGTGGCAATAGTCCTTGATGCGTGGCAGTAAGCATGTGCTTTCTCAGGCATCAAAATCAGGCAGGGGGGTGTGGTAACATCCATCGGGGTGTTCTTTTAACGGTCCCTTATTGCTAATCTACAAGATTAACACCTATGAAAAGCTGAAAATACTATGAAAGATACTGCCATAGAGTTCTGCGGTCATTTAGCTTCACCTGTTCAATGGCATTCCCGATGTAGTGGCTTTAGGTCTTTCAATGGATGGTTCAGCCTCATATTCCACTCCAGGGTTGAAATGGGTTAGGTCCCAAGGCCTATAAGTACATATCATACCGTAGTTCGTTTGTCCCAAGTGACCTCAGAATCGGGATGATATATTGTATCTAGTTCCCGAATACGAACGCGAGGGCTAATGTAAGTTTACAGGATCGTGGGGAGTTGGGATTGATACAGTTGCTCGAGTTTACATTGAATTGAACAAACAATAGATGGAAACACGTGAACGTGAAAGGAAATGCATTTGAAATGCACCAGACAACACCAGTGAAACACACGATGCTTTCGAACAAGATGAATATGTTACAAAAAGGCACTAAGCCTTGGCTTTGGCCTTGCCACGACCCTTCTTCGGCTTCTCCTCGTCATCACCCTCGGCTTTCTTTGTCTTCTTGCCCTTAGCCGGCGCCTTCTTCTTCTTTGGTAAACTGACATACTTGTCCTTCTTCAGGTCAAGTTCTTCCTCATCGTCATCCTTCACCTCATCAACAACTTCTTCTTCGTCAGACTCCTCGATGGCATCTTCAAGATCCGGCTTCTCCTTCGTCCCCTTCTTCGGCGCCACGACATTGCTAGCCTTCATGAACGGCATAGGGTGGGAACGCGCGTTATACATGCGGGTGAATGTAGCCTTGGTCTGTGTCTCGATCTTGATATTAGACTCGGTCATAGGACCGAGTCCCAACTCCACCATGGCATCGAAGTCTTCGCGGGTGAGATAGTATTCGTCCATGAGGTCAATGACAGAGTCAACACTGTCCTTGCCTTCGTCCATGAGTCGTCGGATGATTTTCTCTTGGAGAAGGGGCAAGTATTGCTGACGAATTTCATCACGGTTGCCTGTGGTGCGGAGACGCATATGACCTTGGATTTCTTTGACGTATCGAGACATTTTTCCTATAAGAAGGTCAGAATATGTGCCCAATATAGTAAGACACAGTCAGTCATAATCATACCTTGTTTACTGTTGTTGCCTAGCCAGCTGGTGAACCCAGCTCGTTCACTGAAATTGCCGTGCTGGAAACTGGCAGGTCGCACGAAGCTGAAAACTGCATGGACAGGCATGAGACTCCACTGCTGCTGTGTTCCGTGAATCATGCGGTCGACGAGGTCGCCGTCACTGATGCCCGAAGCAGCATTGTCCATCAATTCGAGTGCCTTTAGTTTCTGCTCTTTGCCTTGGTACCTGCCTGCAAGCGTAGGCTTGGTCTTGAGATAATTTTCTTGGAGCATCAGATAGCTGAACTCGTGGTCATTGAAGTAGAGCGCAATCTTGTCGTTTAAAGTAGAGGTGGAACTTGGGGCAAACATCTGAGCGCTGAGAATCTTGCTGACAATGTCCCAAGGCTTGAGAATGATGTGTTTCTCCCAGGCTTTTGACATGTCCTTGCCTTGGTCGTAGTTGAGACCCTGTTGGTCCAGTCGAGCCGTAGACAACATGTTGATGACCTGCCGGATGTCGGCGTTGGTTCCCTCAATCAGGCCATCAAGCACAGGAGGCGGGATTTTAAGGCCTTCTCGGAAGCAGATGGTAGAAAGTCTGGCACGGATTTGATCAGATGTCGGGCGTCTGAAGGGAATGTCGAAGGTAATGTGATCGAATGGCTTCATCTTGGGAAGTCTTCGCTCGTTACAGATGAGGATGATTGGAATCTTGGACTTCTTCACAATGGCAGCAACAGCTCCCACACCCCCACGATCACCAGCAGACATACCATCAACCTCGTCCATGATGAGCACAAGCTTTTTCTTGTCGCCCTCAATCTGCTTGCCTTCTCCAGCAAAGTATCCTTGCAAGGAAGTTGTATCAAGCACACCCAAGGTAGAGGTCTCAACGAGCTTCTTGCTTCGAGTATCACTAGCATTGGTCTCCACGATATCGAATCCCTCCAGCTTTGCCACAAGGTGAGCCGCTGTGGTTTTTCCGATACCTGGTCCACCATGAATGATCACGGCACGATATGTACCTGAGCCGTCTGCACCACCCTTTTTGAAATCAAGTTTAGAATTGCGGTGCCAATTGCGTAGCCAATTCTGGAGTTTTTCGACGGGAGCCTTGTTTCCGCAGATCATGCTGGTTGAGGTTGGGGCATACTTCGTGGTCCATAGATCACTGGACGTCACAGGCTGCGAGCTGGATGGTGCCTGTTGAGAGGCCGCGGACTTCGAGCCCTGGGGTGTCTTGGCTGGCTTTGCGTTCGCGGCCTTGCGTTTCTCTTCGGCGTCGATTTCGGCAGCCATAGCCCGGACCTTTTCCTCGTCGGCCTTTTGCTTCTCTGCATATTTCTCCGCGGCTTTACCATCACCGCCATTGGCAGGTAGTCTCTTGATCAATTCAAAAAGACCATCCTCGTTGATGGTCTTCAACTTATGCTTCGCGATAGTTTCCAGCTTCTTTGGGCCAGCATCGCCGCCGAGGACAACGTAGCTGGTCTTAGAACTGGGTGCGCCGACAACCTTGCCTCCGTATTTCTTCACCAACACGGAGCCCTCTTCACGGCCGAGAGACTCCAAAACACCGGTAAAAACAAATGACAGCCCGGCAAGGCAGTTCTCCTCGCCTGTAGGAAGTTCCTTGGTGCCGGACATTTCGGGGTCCCGAGATTGTTGTTGTCCGAACTTCCATTTTTTTGCCTCTCCCTGGGGAGGTTCTGGGGCATCGATTGTGGGAATACTGTCGAAGATATCTTGGATCTCTTTGCTTTCGACCTTATCCTCCTTCTTGGCTTTCTTCGGGCTAGCCTTAGGCTTCTTTGCGGCGGGCGATGCTGTGGATTTTGCCTTAGGAGCGGCTTTTTTCGTCTGCTTCTTTGGCTGCTCGAAATCTTCATCTTCATCATCGTCGATGAGAGCTTCTGACTTGCGCTTGCGGCCTGGTAGAGCTTTCGGGGCAGGAATCTTAGGGAGGTCTTCCATGACCACGTCGTCATCTTCGTCATCATCTTTGCGGGATGCCTTCTTCGCTGGCGCTCTCTTGGGCTTAGCAGCAGCAGGCTTTACCTCAAGCACCTCGAAGTCGCTGTCGCCTTCGCTGTCGCCTCCGGCGACGTACTCGTCGTCTCCTTTCCCGACCTTGCCATACTCTGATGCAAATATGTCATTATCGCCGAGTTTCTCGTCTTCGACGACCTTACTGGCCTTTTTTGGTGATGTGCGAGAGGTGCTTTGACTTGCTGCGGATTCCACGGCGGTCTTCTTGGGCTGTTCGCTGGAAATGTCCTCCTTAGTCTCGTTGGGTTTGGCCGGTTCCGTGGTTTTGGCAGGTCGCCCTCTCTTCTTGGTAGAGGCGAAATAGTCCGATGAAGTCGTAGGCTCATTTTTTGTCACTTCGGGCTTTCTGTGAAGGAGGCTCGTCAGTTCAAACACATAGCGACAAGGGTGTTCAGCTGGCAATGAACATACGGCTGGCTCTTTGGCTTTGCTTTCGCAGCTGGCTTTACGGGTGTTGTATCCTCTTGCTCATCGCTATCGTCCACAATCTTCCTGCTACCTGCGTTCGTGTCAGACCTGTGTTACCGGGATGGAGGTCTCAAGTGCATACGTTTCTTCCTTGTGGCTGATGGATCCTGCATCGCGTATAGATGTTAGCAAGTGGTTCTGACGGATTCCACGGGGGAGCCTATGTATATGGCATAGTCCTCCCCTTCTTAAGCAAGGCAGCATACCTCTTTTTTTGGCCGCGGGTTTTGCGGCAGCTGGGCTGGAGCCTTGATTTGGCTTACCGCCAAAAAAGTTTCTAATATCCATGAGGGATTTCTGCTCACACAAAATTGAGCGAGAAACAGAATCAAGGCACCGATTGGAGACAGTACGAGCTAAAGCTGCAGGTTGGCCGCACGGGTTGACGCGCGACGTGACGTGAATATGGCCTCAGGCATAATATTAGTCAGAAACCACTTAAAGACGCGACTGCCTGCAGTCTGCTGCCTCAACAAGTCCGCAATGAACTCCCTAGAAACTTTCAAGGCTTGATATTTGATTATTGGATACCATCAAACTTCCAATGTTTTGTTTCCATCCCGGGGTGGCCATATAGCCTTGTTGTACGGAGTAAACTTGGTGTTCTCGTGCAAGGCATTTTGTACCAGGATGTACATAAACTTCCATTACAACTAACTAGTGTGACTGAAAATGTTGGTGTCAAGCATATGAGCACTTCGTATATCATTGGAAGTTATTCATACATTGGAAGGAGCTATTGAGGTTATTGCCTCTATATCCATGGATATAATAAAAACATAAACCCACTGCAGTGAGCTTGCACTAACCAGCAAACAACATCAACCATGGAACTTATGACCGGAGTTAAAGTTCTGACTAAGACTGCTTATCTCCGATAACTCATGTGGGTTTGTTGAAACTTGGGAGCGTCCTACCTTCCAAACAGCATCCAACAATGAGACAATACCCACACAACCCAGCTATACAATGAACCCAGACCCCATACCGGCCACCGAGACAAGGCCACCAAAACAAGAGCCCCAGGTCGACGAATACACCACTTCAAGCCACAAAGGCAAATTCCGCTTCAAGAGCTCGTCCGGACGGTCCCATAGAAGCTCCAAACACGACGAAAGCCGCCAACATCGCAAGCGCAGACATCGCTCCCGCACAGATGGCGAATCTACCAAGCGTCGGAACAGAGACTCAGACCGCCACAAATCACCAGAGGCAGCCCCGCTTCCGACATCAGATGCCTTCCGCGAATCGCTCTTCGATGCGCTAGGTGACGATGAAGGCGCCGCCTACTGGGAGTCTGTTTACGGCCAGCCGATCCACAATTACAGTGTCCCCAATGTGCAGGGACCGGAAGGAGAGCTGGAGCAGATGACGGAAGAAGAGTACGTTTCCTACGTGCGGTCGCGGATGTGGGAGCGTACGCGTGAAGGCCAGATCGAAGAACAAGAACGATTACGGGCTGAGCGGATGAGGAAGAAGAAGAGCGAGGAGAAGGGGAGGGCTGCTGAGGAGGAGAAGAGGGCGTTCGAGAGGGCTATGGATGAGAGCTTAAGGCGCGGGGCAGAGAGGAAAAAGTTCAAGGCTTGGGGTGGGGTTTGGAAGGAGTATCTGGAGAGGTGGGAGAAGATGGAGGCAGAGAGGGAGAAGGAAGATCCTTCTCAAGCTCTGCGGAATATGATTTTCTGGCCTGTGAGGTCTGGGAAGAGGGCTGACGTTGCGAGTGATGCTGTTGACGAGTTCATGAGACATGCGCCTGAGAGCGATTTGTCGAACACACTCAAGACGGAGCGAATCCGTTGGCACCCAGACAAGATCCAGCATCGATATGGCGCGCTAGGAATTGACGATGTTGTCATGCGCAGCGTTACGGAGGTTTTCCAGATTGTCGATCGCATGTGGAGCGAGCAGAGAGAGCGACATGGTTGATGATGCGTATAGAGATCTTGAGGCGTTTGCATTTTACATTTGTTGAGATACCCCAGGCATTACGACACTGCACAGCCTATTGCAATTGAATGTTCATGATTTGAATTCATTTCGGAAAAAATAACAAAAGCTGCAGAAATCGTAGACCAGAAAGAAAAGCTTCATAGGGGCTATGTATGCAAAATCCATTTTGGAAGAAAGCAGGAATAATTCAGAAGTCAACATGAATCACAATAATTCAATGCCTTTACTTCGCCGAATGTCCGTTCGACGTAAATTTAGAAACGAGATGAGCGGGCCTTGGTGCGGTAGAAGGTGTAACCAAAGTAAGCACCAACAACGGCACCAAAGAACAAAATGGTCTTGAAGAAGAACCAAGTCCAGCTACCACCTTCCTTGGCGGGCCTGGGCGAAGTAGGACGACCCTTAGAACGGCCGTCCGAGGAGCCCTTCCCGCCGTTGTTGCCGCGGTTCAGGGAGTACAGGTTTTCAGCCTTGAGGGAGATAATGTCATGGTTGTCACTGAGCTCACCGGTCTCAGCGGAGAGACCGAGGTAGGCCACAGAGGGAATGGCGATGTTTGAATCCTCGGCGTTGAGGGTGAAGCATTCCGTCCAGGTGTCTTCGGTCTTGTACTGGAGCTCCAGAGACAAGGACTTGTCCTGGAAGTAGGTAAGGCGGGCCTTGGTGGGGATTGGGGCGCTGCGGAGACCACGAGCCTGAAACGAATGTTAGTGATGCTCTCAACGGCAACTCCAACTCAACTCACAGAGCAACCGGCCAATTCGTTGGCCTTGCCGTCGTGCGCCTGGTCATAGGTGGTCTGGCCGTCACCCATCATGGCCATGACGTAAGGGAACGACACGCCGGGGCGGTTGTTCTTGTAGGTGTCAAAGAAGATACCGAGACCTTCGAATTTGTCCGTTGAACCGAAGACAGGACCTTGCGTCGCGCGTTCCTTGGTGAGCCAGAGCGCGAAGCCATCACCATGCAAGTTGCCGGAGCCATGAATTTCGAACTCGAGTTCGATCTAGAGGAACGGTGAGTCTTCGCATGCGCCATATGCCAACGGACATCCTATTTACCTGCCAATTGGTCGCGGTGAGGGGCACGCGCGAGGCAATCCATCCTTGTTGCGAGGGTCGGTCGGCCGTGAGGCGGATATACCTATACAGGCCAGAGTCAGTTCTAAGCCAAAAGCCCCAGTCATGCTTCACATCCTTACTTGTCGGCGCGAATAACTGTATCTCCTCCGAAGTCGAACCAGCGGCTTTGGAAATCCGAATCGAGGTATGGCTGTTAATGGCGGTCAACATGGCTGTACTGAGTGCAACGACACAGGTCGTGCGACATTGTGCGCCGACAGCTTTCAGCTGGGCAGGAAACGGTCATACCGGAGAAAGGCTGTGGGTGCGGAGCTAGCAGGCGGAGTCAGTACCTCGGTCTCGACAAGGGAGCTAGCATAGACCTACAGGAATGCTTTTGATGTTCGCGTCATCGTAGGCAGCTACGGGCCCAGCGACCAGGCCGGCAAGGCAGAGGAGTGAGGAAATAGACGGAAGACGCATTGTATTAGGGCCCAATGGAGGGGAGGCTCAGGGTGTTCGAAGGATAGACCGGAGGTGGGAGTGGGGCAGGAACGGTGTCACCAGGACCCGAATTCCCAGGCAGTAGAGAAGGAATTGAAAATGTTCAAAAGTGGAACACAAGGAGTGAATGAATCGAGGTTCTCGAGGCGCAGGGTCGAGGAGGTGAAGTATACAGCTTGTTATGCTAAGGTGTCCACATCGGGTGTGGCGCAGGCACCAGCCACAACCCTCAGATCCTGACGAACTCCGACTTGTGATTGCATTCAATTCACCATCTACCCACGGTTCCTATAATCTCACCATCTCAAAATGTCGTCTCTTTTCGGTTCTTCCCCCGCCGCCCCTCAGACCTCTGAGGAGATCAAGGCCGCTGTCATGCGCCAGCTCCAGCAGGAAGCTGCCATGGCTAACGCCCGCTCCCTGATCGGAGTACGTCACCACCCCTTTGTCAACACAGCTTCAACAAGCTAACAGCACATAGAAAATCAACAAGCACTGTTTCCAAGCTTGCGTTCCTACCCCCGGCTCCTCCCTCTCGTCCAAGGAGAACACCTGCCTGTCCAGCTGCATGGAGAAGTACATCGCCATGTGGAACGTCACTAGCAAGACCTACATCGCCCGCGTTGGCGCCGAGACCAAGCGCATGGGTGGCCAGGATGCTGCCGCCATTGCCTCCATGGCTGCCGGTCAACCTGAGGGTGGCAGCGGTCTCCTCGGATAAATCCATCTCAATCCGAAAGAACAGAAAGAAGACCAACGAAAGAAGCAAAAGACACGCATCTCTGTGGATGAACTACTGTACGATAGAAGCGGCTTGGTAGCCCGTGTATAATATGGGCGTCTCTTGTATGACCCGGTGGTTGGAGAGCATGGGATTAGAGGGTTCATGACGAATCCATTTGTACATCAAGCGGACACTTCCAAAGACAAAAAATTGAAAACATGGATTTAATTGCAATTGCTAAAAGAAAAAGAAAAAGAGAAATAAGGAAGATTTGTGCAGATAAAATAGTATGGGTTTCCGTGTAAATGGCTCCTGGTTTTTCACGACTCCTACCGGGATCAGTTCCGGCCCTCACCCGGAGTGTGGCCTCTTCGTCGCGTCATAAATCATACAAGCACCTAGAAGTCGGGGAAAAGGTGACCATATCTGAGAGGGGTTAGTCAATGTATGCAATTGAGGTGGTCGTGAGAAACTTACGTATCCTCTCCTTCCTGGCCATAGTGCTCTGTCTCTTCCGGATACTTGTCGTATTGACTCGCATCACCCTGTCCACCCCGAATCGGGGGGATATAAGGCGCGTCGATATCCTTGCGGGCCAATCGGTCCCAGGTTACCTCGGCAAACCAGGGGTGATTCTTGACATCACCGGGGCCACCGTGCAAGTTGCCGAGACGCTTGGTGAGGTCGGATGTGATCAGCTGAGATAGAAGATCGACTGCGTCGGAGTGCAAGTATGGAGGGTACTTGACTTTGCCTCGCAGGATATTCTCATAGATCTTGACTGGTGATCCACTGTCCCAGAATGGAGTGAATCCACACAGCATTTCGAAAATCAGGATACCCAATGACCACCTGCAATTGTTAGAAGAATCCAATGGGAGGTGAGAGGTCAGGCGCACCAATCGACTGATTTGTTGTATCCTTTGGAGGAGACAACCTCCGGAGCCAGATAATCTGGGGTACCGCAGAGCGTCCAAGTAATATCAGGCACATCTTTCGCGAAACCAAAATCGGTAATCTTTAAATGACCATGACGATCCAACAGTAAATTTTCAGGCTTAAGATCGCGATAAATGATCTGGTGGGCGTGCAAATATTCTAAGGCCAGAGTGACCTCAGCGGCGTAGAACTTGGCCACCGGGTTGGGGAATCGCTGAAAGAAAGAACAAAAAATAAGCAATTTATCCCAATGTTTCAGACCAGCATTGAGTAACTCACTTGTGATTTGCGCAGGAGGCTGAACAGCTCACCACCCTCGACAAAGTCCATGACCATGTAGAGGTTTCGGGAATCCTGCCAAGTTCCCCACAGGGTAACAAGGAATGGATGGCGAACGCGATTCAGCATGCGGCGCTCGTCGTTTGTGTGCTCGATCTGCTTCATCTTGACCACCTGTGCCTTCTTCAAGACCTTCATCGCATAGAAGCGGTGATTGTGCTTCGACTGCACCAGGTGAACTCGACCGAAGCTTCCCGTGCCCAACGTGCGCTGGAGCTGGAAGTCCTCCTGCGAGTACTTGCCCTTTGTGACGCGCTCCTGCTTCTGGGGTTGTTCGCCTTGTGTCTGACCGTGGGCATGCTGACCGTGGCCCTCTTGGCTCTGGTTTATGATGTTGTCGATACTAGCGGCATTGTTTGGCGTCCCCGTATGCGAGGGTGAAGCGTGCGATTGTGTTTGCATGGGTGCGGAATCCTCCCCGAGATCTTGCGAATCCTTCGTTCGCCTCTTCTTCAGTAGTCCTCCTAAGCTCGGCATGGAGAGTTGAAACAGGGGCCATTGAGGGTGAAAGAGAAGGAAAGGACCGGATTAAGTGGGGAGGGGCAACCAGAATGACGCATTGATCTTTGGCTTAGCATCGACTACGGAGTGCTCAGAATCCTCCTAACTAATTCCCCTTCTCTTTTTCTCCTTTTCACTGCTAATTCTTTTGGTGGTCTTTGCGGCTAATTATGCCCCGTTCATTTGATCTGAAAATTGAGTCTTGTTTCTTCTTTAGCGCCACTGCTAACTCTCAATTCCTCGTATTTTCTGCTTATCTCATAGGCAAAAAGAGCTTTGAGGGAGTGTCAATATACGGTTCAATAGGAACTCGATAAAATCTCCGATCTGGAGCACTCGTCCGATCATGACTTTCATGACTTCACTAATAGGCGGAGAAATCGAATGATGACGTTGAGTGATGCGCTCATATGTTTTACCTGGCATTCGGGGCTCCGGACTACTAACACGTTGCATTGAGGAATGCATGGCCTTTGACTCGACCCGATTTAGCCATGGATAAGCTCCTAATGTAGTAAATTCATACTATCTTTGTCTTTTGCTTTCCGTGTATAGCATGAAAGACAGTACTCCGTGCCCCGTACTCCGTAAGATCGGACTATCTGAAAGCCAGAGGTAACTGAGAACAATCTTTCACGTCATCAAATCAGCCGCAAGCTCTGCCCAAGTAAATCCCCGAGAATTGAAGGCATCAATGTCGAGTACTCCGTACCAAGAGAGACCATATGATTGAAAGACACTGCGATTGCCAGCAGGGCACTTTCCCGAGTGGGGTTGGCTGCATGACATAATCATATTTCTGCCTGAATTGGCCTAAATTATTATCATCCAGCCTGAACATCCTTGCGTAACCATTCATCCACGTTCATCATGGCGCTTGTGGCCTATTCTGACTCCGAAGGCTCAGATGCCGAGCCAGATACCACCCCGGCACCCCCAGGCGATCAAAGCAAGTCCGATTCCAAGAAATACCAGGCCGACCACACCACGGGCAAGATTCGCGTTGCGCTTCCGCAGATTAAACCTGAACCTTCAGCCCACGACTCTGGAGATGGCCCGCGGAAGAAACCTCGTGTAGGCGGAGGACTATCGGGCTTCAACTCCTTCCTTCCAGCCCCAAAACGAACCGCGGAAAAGAAAACACCAGCGGCGACAGGGCGCAAAGCATTTGGTCTGAAAACCGGAGCCGGCCCTGGGTTTGATCGTGGCGCAGATGCAGAAATGAGAAATGACCTTTCTTTTGACAACCTGGCGGGAAAGACGGAGGACACACAGGAGGCTAATAGCCAAACCAATCACACCGCATCAGATGCGCCGCCAGCGATGAAGAAACAAGAGGATGTCAAGTTGCAAGGAAATCCAATGATGTTCAGACCTTTATCTGTCGGCCGGCCGCAGAAGAAAAGAAAGATCGTCAAGACAGCAGAGCAACCCACACCTGGTCCTGCTGCGACAAAGACCGAACCTGCGCCTCAACCTGCTACACAGGCCTCTGCCCCGCCACCCAAGCCAAAAGTCAGCCTCTTCTCTTTATCATCAGAGGAGTCAACACGTCCAGATATAACAACGGGCCCGTCGACGACGTATCAGCCGCTTGTATACAACGCAGAAGGGGAAGGCGAAGAATTATCAGAAGACCCAGCCCTAGCCGCATCATCATACGTCGCGCCAACCCCTGCAACAGCAACGGTCTCAACAAACCCCGGGTCGTCACTCGATTCGATCGCCAACGACTTGAATTTGTCCAAGTCCGAAAGACGGCAGCTGTTCGGCCGGAATGCGGTTCCTTCACAATCTCATGTGCGTACTTTCAACACCGACGAAGAGTATGCCTCCAACCAGGTTCTGGCTCAAGGCGAGCTGGCTGCTGCTGTGCACAACCCCGTGCGCTCCATTGCACCAGGCAAACACACGCTTCAGCAGCTGGTCAATGCAGCAAGTTCTCAGAAAGAGGCGTTGGAGGAGAGCTTTGCGTCCGGCAAAAGGAACAAGAAAGAAGCTGGATCCAAGTATGGATGGTAGGCATAGGATACTTGAGGACATTTTCAAGCGCATTTGTATTAAGATACCATTGAGATTACTCTTGCCACTTGGCAGAGAATGAGCATATTTGTTGTACAAATATTGGAGTGCATAATTGAGATCAGATCCCACGGTTTGGACAATTTCGCAACATGCATGGACTTTTCAATAATATTTGACCATCGTTCCGCCTACCTATACATCTAGTCTCGCCATCTACAATCTTGTTATAGTCATGTAGAATACAACAACAACTCTTGACTATCATACTTCTGAGCCTGTGGTAGTTCTGGCTACTATCCCTATAATCACAGGCGTTTAAGACAATGCATAGTTATGTGTAGAGGGACATGTACATTCGCTGATGTATCGCGTATCTAGAAGTCTATCATACAGAAACCACAATGCAATCAACCAAACGCCATCAAATGTAATATAAACGCCAAAAATCAAATCCAACGCCTTTTTGTTTTGTTTTGTGTCTCAAGACGACACATCCACAACCTCGGCAAACCACTGCTTCAGAGCGGTAGCCAACACAGACGGTAATTCCCTGACATCACGAACAACAAGGTAGTAAGGGAAGGGGAAATCCTCGAGGTAGCGCTTCATCTTGAGCTTCATCTCACCACCAGAATCAGGATCGGCCTCGAAGTTGGCTTGCGAGAGGTCGAGGATAGAGCTACCCTTGACAGCATCGACGATGATGAACACAACCATGATGCGCTCCTCGAGCGCGGTCCTGACAAGTCGGCGAATAGTATCGTGATCTTCACAGATACCATCGGAAATGATCAACTGAAGTTGCCAGAGATCCGCAGAGCCAGAACCAGGGGAACGCTTCCAGCGAGCCTCGCGGAACAGAGCGATCGAGTCGGCAATCAGCTTGCGCACATTCGTGCCAGTTTGCTGGTAGCTGAAGTGCTGGAAGACCTGGGAGCCGGCCTCAGAAGAGAATGGCTTTCCGAACTCGTGTGCGACGCGAACGTGGTCTTCGTTACCGAAACCGAGGACGCACAAATCACCGGCTTCCAACATGCTCAGACTCTTTGCGACGAGGGCAAGGGTCTCGAAAGCGAGTTGACCACTTCCACTTTCCAGCATAGACTTGCTGTCATCGACAGCCAACATAATCTGGTAGTTGCGCTTAGACGGAATGGAGCGGCGCATCCAGATCTTGTCACGCTTGTACTGGGATGCGATGTAGGGAATGATGCGCTTAATGTTGAGACGCTTTCCAGTGCGGAAGTCACCACGCAACTTGGTCGCCATTGTGGGTGCAAGAATGAGGCGAAGCTGCTCGGTCAGCGAGAGGGAGAGGTCGTTTGTAGCGGACTCGTAGTGCGACCAGAGGCGACGAGCTTCGTCTTGGGGCGTCAATGGAGGAAGAGAAGAGGAGAGGTGAATTGCCGCAAGTTGCGTGTCAACTTCGTCGAGCTCCTCGTTCAATGCTTCAGTGCCCTGCGCATCATCTGCGCGCTCGTGAGACGCTTGTCCGCCAGGAATGAAGGCGCCGGCGGACTCGCCATCGACAGGGGCGGTCTCGCGGTCGATTTGCATTTCATCCTCAAGCTGGTTGCTGATATCCTCTTGCTGGTCCTCGGTGACATCGGGAAGAACGTCGTTCTCACCGGGCTTCATGTCGGACTCAACACCCTTGCTTTGATCAAGAGCTTGCGTTTGATCTTCGTTTGCTTGGCCAAGGGCCTGGGTATCAGCGGCATCGTCGTCGTCCTTGAGGTGCTCAAAGTCCGCATCGGCCATATCGGTGTCTTCAGGCATGGCCTGAGTATCCTCCTCCTCTTGAGATGGGTTGAGGATCTCCTGCTGGCGACGGTGCCATTGCTCGAGAATATCGCCGAGTTTCTTGAATGCCTGCATTTGAGGTTCATTTGGCTTACTGTCTTCGCCGCCACCAGCGTCACGGCTAGGCTTGCTCTCTTCGCTGTCCTTGGCAGCGCCTGTCTGATCATCGACATTGGCACTGGGGTCCATGGAGCCGCTCTCCTGCTGGGCATCGCCCGATGCGCCCTTCTCTTCGTTTTGATCTTGCTCCGCGCCGAGTCCGCCTGTGACAGCCTCGCTGGGAGCAACGTTGTCACCCGCGGCTTCATTCTCGTCACGCTGCGCGAGGAAGTCCTCGGGCTCGGGTTCTTCGGGGTCTTCTCCACCAGCTTCCTCCTCTTGCTCGTCTCCAGCTTCTCCTTCGTTGGTTTCTTCGGCATCATCAGCCATCTCTTCGTCTTCATCGCCTGGAACTTGATCTTCTGGGGCTCCTTCAGCGTCTTCTCCGGTGTTCTCGTCGCCTTCTTCGACCTTTCCATCATCCTCAGGCGCAGGGCCGAAGTCATCGTCAAGTTCATCCATTCCATCGTCATCCTCATCACCATTGTCGCTCTTGCCGTTGTCATCATCAAGCTGCATTTCTTCAGGAAGTTCAAGAGTTTCTTCTTCCTTCGCTTGGGGATCAGTGACATCCATGTCTTCACGGCCAACTGCCTCGCCCTCATCTTCAGGGGCTTCTTCATCTTCAGTTTCTTCCTCCTCTTCCTCGCCCTCCTTTGGCTTTTCCTCGCCCTTTTCGCCGTCTTTGTCTTGCTTCTCTTCCTGAGCAGCAGCTTGTTGTTCGGCCTCAGACTGACCCTTTCCTTCTTCGTTTTCGGTGTCTTTCTGCTGCTCGTCATTGCCACCGTCCCAGAGCTTTTCGTCCACAGCGCCAGGGTCGAGATCGTCCACACTACCAGTCTCCTCATCAATGTCATCTTCGCCTTCGTCGGCACTTTCATCCTTCTCTTCCTCGTCTTCTTTGCGATCCTCAGCATCACCTTCCAACTCCTCTTGATCCATGTTGACGGCATCCTTGGAGTCGTCCATCTCGTCATCGTCACCGTCCTCTTTCTTGTTCTCTTGCTGCGCAAGCTCGGAGAGATCTTCATCGGCGCCAACGTCCTTGCTGATGTCCTCAGCACCATCGCCATCACCCAAACCGGTTCCGTCTTGCATTTGGCCTTCCTTGCTTTGATCTTGAGAGGTTTCGGCCGGGCTGCAGAAGCCTTCGGAAGCGACGGTATTGAAAGTCTTGGTCAGGATGTAGGATGTCTTGCAAATCTCGCGGTGAACAGCGATGAATCGATCAGCCAGGTCTCGGCAGATTTGGTAGTATCTGTTGGCGATAGGCAAGATGCTGGTGATCAGTGCAGCAGCAAGGGAGAGACCGCCAGCAGAGTGATCTTGCAAGCGGTGCAATTGATCAAGGACGGCTTCCAGCGTGGCAGTGATCTCGGTGAGACGAACAGCCTTAAGTCCACGGGAGAAGAACTCGTCACTTCGGGAGAGCAGACCATCAAAGGTGATGGCGGAAGGCACATCTTTGAGCTTTTGCAGGCCAATGAGCATTTTATCGATGGCGACCAGGAGGCTGCTGTCGAATGCCTTAATAGAAAGACTGTGTTCATTGACCTCAGGGTGAGCAGCCATGTTTGTCTTGACCCAAGGTGTGATTTGATCCAATGCAAAGGAGAGATCAGGACGAGCCACCGCCCACTTCTCCAGCCCAGCGGCCAACTCATTGAGAGATGTTCGTGTCTGCTGTGCGATTTCAAGGTGTGCCTTGGACGCAATTCGGGTGGGCAGAGAGGGGAGAGATTCGTAAGACTTGCGCAGGTCATCAAAGAATGCCTTCTTGGCGCGAAGCTCTTCAATTACCTTGGATGCATCAATTCCAGAGAACTTGGAGTGAACGCCGATAATCATTGCAGCCAGCCCAAGAATGGGGGCCAGCCAAGCCACAACTCTGGCCAGATCGGCACGCTCCTCAGGCGCGGTGGTGTGGTCCTGAGCCAAAGTTGTCGAAGTTGCTGTCCAAAGGTTCTGCACCTTGTCGAGTGTAGACTTCAAGTTACCCAGACCAGTAAGGGCAGGAGAAATCACACCTCTCTGGCGACGGATGGTGAAAAGAAGATGCTCAATGGAGCCCATACTTCTGAAAACCTCCACATTAGTGAGCTCTTCAGAATAGTTGCGTGCAGCCAGACGAGTCTTGGGCAAAAGATCCAAGAGTCGGTGGAAGTACCAATCGGCGCTTTGGACAGCACTGGAGGTCGCAGCGCCAGCCTCGAAGGCAGCACTGGTCGCGAGAACTTGAGGCACGGATGCCTGGGTTTCGATGACACTCGTTCCAGCATTTCGCTTCACGCCCATCTCGAACAGTTGCTTCAGAGTTTCAGCGTAGAGACGACGTTTCTGCGACTTGAGATGCTGAACATCATCTTTGTTGTCTTCGTTCAAGACCTTCGGGGTCTGGGACTTGAACTCTTTCATATCCTCAATGACAGACACGATGAAGCTATCAAGGTCTTTGGCAATATCGAATTCAGCTGGGATCGCTGAATACAAGTTCATCATGTTGCTGGCTGTGCCATCCGGCTTCTGGAATCTGACGGCTCGGGTGGACCACAGGTTCTTGTCCTTTTGACAAATATCCATTGCCTCTGGGAAGACGGCAGTAGGACGGACAGGCTCTGCTTGGGAAATTGAAGTAACATCTTCATCAATTTCTGAAAGGCCAGATTCAAGGACCGACTGAGCCGACTGACCAAGAGCTGCTCGGTACTTGCGAACAACCTTGAACAACTTGAGGTGTGAGTTCTTCGCACTTTGTCTCAAAGCCGCGATGTTCACATCTTTCCAGCTGGCCAATTGGATTTGCTCCTTGATGTCTTTCTCAAGAGCAGAACGCTTTTCGTGAAGAATCTTGTCCACCCCAGATTGGAAAGGTCTGTAGTGGTGGAGGAAATTGTCGAGCGCAGAGACAATTTGCTTGAGGCAGGGGTAATCCTTGGCAAATACCTCAAGCAGAGCTTGGAAGTTGGACACAAGCTTCAGACGACGGGCGAACTGACCCATGGTTGTAGATTTGAAGAATTGTTCCAGGGTAGTGACCAGGCTCTCGGTGTGTTCACTCATGTCCTGCTCGCCTGCCTCTACCATCATGATGGGAGCTCCGATAAGTGCCTCGTAAGCAATGAACCACCAGGCACTAACGTCATCTTCACACTTCTCTTTCTCGATGTCCAATAGCCTGGCCCAGGTGGAAAGCTCGAGGCGGCGCCATCCAATGAGAGTGGTGGTGATTTCGTCAAAGACGGTCACAGCCGAGTATTCCCTGCTAGCCACGGTCTGCCACTCGTGCACCATTGAATGAAGCTTTTCAACCTTGGTCATGAACTTGGCGACAGGCTCAGTGTGCCTGAACTGAAGGATCTCCATGCAGCACGCGAGAACATCAGCCAGCACAGCGTGCTCGGGCCAGGCAGTTTGAATTTGGGCGAAGCGAGCCTGAGCAGAAAGCGTAAGAGAAACCAGCTTTCTAGCCTCAGAAAGGTTGGAATCGGTGTAAAAGTTGTAATTCTTCTGGTGGCTTTCGGTTCCTTCGTTGATAGCATCATCTAAAAGTAACAAGACTGCAGGGAGATGGGTTTGAGGTGACACTGGCGAGAATGAAGTCTCGTTGTCCGACCAGATTGAGCCCAAAAGGTTGCCAGATTGCTTGACAAGCGTGGTCAGGGCCGTCCCGGTGCGTTCATTTGAGACAATCTTTGCGTGGAGTGCAGCAAGACGGAGAGCGACGGCCTTGGGGTCAATGCGGTCGACATGCTGGGCGCCTTGGAGAGGCTCCTCTTCGAAGGTGGGGAAAAGGGCATTCAGCTCAGCCTCATTGACTTCTTCCTCCTCCTCCCAGGATCCCTTGAAGTGATACAAGTCGCCCTTCTCAGCTTCTTCCTCCTGATCTTGCTTCAGCTTGTTTTTCCAGAGTTGGTGGAACTCGGCAAAGACGCGTCGCACGATGCCTCGTCCAGCATTAGTCTCCAAAATAGAGGAATCTGCGTCTTGTGCGGCCCAAAGAGCAGATAATTCCTGGAGCCGCATCTCAGTTGCGTTCTTGAGCGAGCCCGGCAGTTTCGCGTCAAATTGGGCAAGAACAGGGTGAATGGCGCCTCCCAAAAATGGTGTTCGTTGACTCAGAGTTTGGATGTCAGGCACATCAGCGGAATCCTCGGGCTGGCTAGAGGCCAGGAAGACACCGAGATCCAAAAGTTGTAGGAAACGAACCACAGGCACCGCAATGTCATCATAAGATCTGTAGTGAGTACTGAGACGACTACACAGCTGTTTGATGTTGTTACGGAGTAGCTGAATCATATCCTGAGATTCGACCGACCTCTCGGAACGGATCATTTGCTCCGGGTCTCTCTTCAAAACGGAGTTGATCAAATTCACAAACTCGCCTTGGAGAAGACTCAATTGAGAGTTCTGGGGTCGGTTGACCAAAGAAGGAGGGGGAGCAGAGCCTAGTCCACGAATTTCATCATGCAGGAGCTCAGATCTGAGGTTGGAGATCTGACTCGTGAAGGTCTTCTCAAATGCGAGAATGGCAGCAGATCTGGCAGTGAATTCATCGAGTCGTTGGGAATGACGCTTGCGTTGAACAACAATGCCCAGCGAAGGATCGAATGTCTTGTCAGGTACAAACAGCCGCAGAAGAAGCACGGCCAACTGCACTGTTGCAAGCCCAGTACTTTGAATCCCTTGGTGCTTGTTTGATGGCTTCGACCGCAACGAGGCTACCAGACTTGGTAGAGCCTGCTCGACGAGAGGCTTCAAGTAGTGCGTGGTTGGCAGACTTTGATCTAATTCGATCACAATTGGTGGCTGATCATCGCCCAGATCACCGCTCTGGATTGCCTCAAGAACAGAATTGAGGGTCTCAACGGAACCAGGCGCAAAGAAGTCGCCATGGCAAGTCACTAGTTCAGCCGTGAGTCGTGCAACAGTACGTCTGAGATCCATGGACTGATCTGTCGCAATTTGCTTGCTGCTGAGAGTGAGAGCCTTGGAAAGTGCCTTTTTCTCTTCCTCAAGCATGTCCAATTGGCCCAATTTGGCATTGCCGATGGCCGACAATTTCTCCAAGAGTGATAGCGACACAACGCCACCGGTGGCAAGTGCAGTCTCGGATTGACTGTGAGATCCAGCAAACAATGCAAGTCTGTGAAGCATGTTGGGCACGTCACTGTTGAAGTTTGATGCATCCACCGGGCGAGCTGCACGACCGGCCAGGAGTGGTACAACTGTCTGAATGACGGTATCTTGAACTGGAGCCTGGAAGAACGAAGAGATGTCATGATATTGACAAAGAGCTTCGAAATCGTGGGCAAAGTATGGATACTCAATGGACTCTGAGCGTCGGACCGCTTGAGAAAGCTCGGCCACGGTTTGCTTGATACTCTGAACAAGTACGTCACCATCGGCACCATCCAAAAGAATGAATCTCTGGGCATCAATCAATGAGTCCCGAACATGACTCAATTGAGACAGCTCCACACGAGTTTGCAAGGCCAAAGTGGTGAACTCAAAGACAGTAGACTCCAGCTCTGTCAGAGAATCTAACTTGCTTTGAGAGACTGGGGTAACATGTCTCCAGGAATCCCAAATCCTCTGCATTGAAAGACCGGTAGTCAAAGCCCAGCCTTCCTGGAAGCGATCAAGGGCCTGCGATAAGGCGACTTGAAGTGGCTGGAGGAGGGGAGAAGAGTCGAGAAGCGATTCGCAGGTTTTCCTTCCCATTTGCAGGTAGACCTGGAATTCACCTTCGTCAACTTGGCTCACTTCAGTTGCCTTGTAAATATCCCAGGAAAGGCAAATAACTGCCCGAAGGGCTGCTATGATAGATGTGCCCTGAAGGGCGGTTTGATCCAGCGACTGAATATAATCGTATAAGGCCTGGCCACAATCAGACAAGAATGAGGCCACAGGCTGGGTGGTATCCTTCATCAATGCGGGAATGCGTTCAGAGGCCAAGGATCGCTCTAGGCGGGTCATCTGGCTCGGCTTCAATTCTTTTCCGGAAGCATCCGCTTGAATCAGACCTTGTCTGAGGCGATGGATATCGAGTCTCAGCTCCTGAAGGTAGGCCAGGACAATCAAAGTAGATCGGAAGTCACTGTTTCCTGAAATTGCGAGTAGAGGCTCGTTTATGAGGGGATGAAGGGGCTGCAAAGCTCCTTGAATACCGAGATGCGCTCCGCCAAGAATGATCTCTCCGCTGGCAGCGTCGAGAGGCTTCCATTGATTGTTGTCGTGGAACAGAGAGGCATAACGTTGCAAAACATTGGAAGACTGTGCTTTGCTATCGGCCTCGGAACTGATGGCCACACAGTTCGCAGGCGACTGCTGGAGGTAGGACAAATCAGCTGGCGAGAGATGATCTAAGCACACCTCGAGGGCAGTCTCAAATGCGGAAGGCGACAAGGAAGTGTCCAAGTTCCAAATATGACGAAGTCGATACAGGAAAGATTCGCAGGTGTATGATGGGCCGATGGTAGGTTTGATGTCAGACAGTTCACTTGGCAAGAAGCAGATCTCGGTACAGCGGTTGCGCATGGCGCGAGACAACTCGCCATTGCGGGGGTCCATGGTCAAGAACAGTCTGAAGTTGGGATGAGGTGTGATGATTCGAGCAGAACCATCCTCTGTCCGCTGCTCATTGAGAATGAGAGTGCCGTTGGGTTCAGTCAAAGAGTTCAATCGATCCAGCACAGATGGATTGCACAGATTGGCGTTGTCGAGAATTACCCAGTGTCCATGCTGGACAGCCTGAGTGAGAACACCTTCCGTCCACTCAAATCCAACCTTCATCTTGTCAGATTGCTGAATGGCGTTCAACAAAGTCTGGGCTCTCTCAAGGAACTTTTGATAGGCTGGATCAACAGAAGATTGACAGAGGCTGGAGAGAGAAGCGATGACATTCTCCATCGAGATATCTGCAGACTGGAAGTGCTCGCAAATACGGAGGGCGGAAACCACAACATCAGACACATCCCCTGAAGCGAAGCATTGGATGAGCTGGTTTCGCAAAAAGATTTCAATGTCATGAACAAAGCCTGAAACTTCACGGCGGTGGTCGATCTGTTCGAATCCTCCAATCAGATCCATGGTATCGGTGTCAGCACTCAGGGCCAGCTCCACAAGATTGGCACCAGTGACGGCAGCAAGCTTTCTGATGAGGGTGGTCTTGCCACACCCAGCAGAGCCAACAAGGATGCTGGGCCAAGCATTGTCAACGCACAAGATAAGTGATTCGACAATGTGAAGATCCTTTGGCAAGATTCTCATGTTTGGTTCGGCCAAGCGCTGCAGCAGAGGATCACGGTTCAAGATACCCAGACCAACTTGCAGATACTCCGGTGTGAGGTTGTGGAAGTAGCTCTTCGATCCGGTATCAGAGTCAGTGAAGACTTGGTCGTAGATTTGAGCGACCAGGTTGCGGTCTTCTTCGGTTCTGAATCGTTGGTTGATGACAACGTCAAGGAAGTGCTTCGTCTGGATCTGAAGGTTTCCTCGATCGGCAAGCTGAAGCCATCGCTGGACATCTCGCAAATTAACCTCCCAGGGGCCGCCAATAGTGCCCAGTCGTCGCTCTTTCGTGATGGCCCTGTTCAGCAGGGAGATGAAGTCAACCAATCTTTCCGTTTGCACGGAAGGGCTGCCAGGGAAAAGCCTGGAGCAGATGGTCTTCAAATCATCATCAGTGAAACTATCTGCATAGACGACCGTGAAACGGTTGACGAAAGACGCAGGAAGGCCCTTTCTGCCTCCGCCCTGATGATGAGGGTTCTGTGCGGCGAACAAAACGAAATCAGGATGTCTCTTGAAAGTCTGATCCAACTCGGCAATGTACACTTGCTGACGGTGATCCAGACAGGAGTTGAGACCTTCGAGGACAGATTGAGAAGCCAAATTCATTTCGTCAAGCAAGACCCAATCACCACGCTGCATAGCTCGTAGGAATGGTGCGTCGCGCCACGTGAATTGTCCAACATCACCTCCCTCCACGGGCACATCGGATCCGAACAAGTCTGTAAGATCTGTCTGCTCCGAAAGGTTGATTCGAGTAAGAGGTTTTCCAAGTGCTCGAGCCAAGGCTGTCACAAGTGTAGTCTTACCCACACCTGGACTTCCTTCCATGAGGATGGGCTTGGAGGACTGCAAACCGCGAGCAATTCGTACAGAGTTGGCAATTGTAGTGGGGGCATCCATGGTAAATTGAGGATCGGGGTCTGCGTCGCCAGCAGCAGGTAGAGCAAATGGACCCACGCGGAGAATGCCTGGTTCCACAGAGACACCAGTTGACTCTCCGTAGATTTTGGAAGCATCGACACCGAACAGTTCACTCAACTTGGCGAGACACGACCTGCGGTTACCCTCCAGATTATTGAGAGACATGGCAAGCATCGCGGCTGGGTTAGCACCCAAAGTATCAACGAAAACCATGGCTGCACCTTGGATGATGGCGAATTGTGTGTCAGAACTTTGCGAAGTGTTGATGAAATCAACCCAAGCGAGAAGATCACGAATGGAGAGTGATGTGGTAGATGTGTTCTGGAACGCCGTCTTGAACCACTTGGCGAAGTGCAGCATGGCCTTTGTCACTTTCTCGTCCTTTAGATTCAATCTCATCGTAAGAATAGGCAGGATGTCTTCATCTTCAGACAGTTGGGGTGCCCAAATTTCAGTCATACGGTTACGAAGAGCCGCAGACAGCTCGCGCTTTCCGTAGTCACCACCAGGATTCATTGTAGACAAGAATTGGAATCCACCATCTGCAACAACCATCGAGTCGATCGGACCCTTCTCAGCGAGCAAAATTGACCTAGCAGGTTCCAGAACACTGTTAAGTCTTTCGAGGACCGAGTCATCCGCGAGAGAGATTTCGTCAAGCAGGAAGAATTGACCGGTTTTCATAGCAGTGATGAGACTTCCGTCGGACCACTCAAACAAAGCGTTACATCGGACGGCATTCTTTTCAATGCTATGCAGGAGAGTCTGGTCCTTGGTCTGACGCTCCTCTGCAGTCAAAGCGGTAAACTCCTGCTTCAGCTCATTGAAAGAGGCACCGGTCTGTTTTCCGTGCAGAAGCATCTGAAGATCATCCACAAGCAGCTTTTCGATTGCTGCTCGGTTTCGGATAGGTCTTTGAGCACCAATCAAGTCACCGGTCTCCAAGTTCACATGAGCGTTGACAATGAACAACTCTCTTCGGAAAGCCTCTGCAACAGCTTGGCAAAGCTGAGTCTTACCGCATCCAGTTTCTCCAACAAGAAGAACGGGCTCGTTGTTTCGGAGGGCCTTGGAGACAAGAACGAAAAGTCGTCTCATGGCCTTGGTCCAGACAATACCGGTAGGGAGCTCGCTCATCTCAGGGGCATTTTTCTCCAACTCTGCGGTGCTGTACAGAGTATCTTCGTCCAATTTGACCCTCATGACTTCCTCAATTACGGCTTTGACGGCAGCCTTCTCTTGGGGATTACGAACACGTTCGCCGAGAAGCATGTAGCCATTGATCGCAAGTTGTTCTTTGTCGTCTGCGTCGCGAAGAGCCCATCGGAAAAGATCACGAAGGGTTGCGAAGCTGTTCTTTTGCTCGAACAGGCGATTTGACTGACGGAGTAGGGAGAGCTTTCGGTAAACAGAGACAATTCGGGTGCAGAAAGACGGAGCAATTTGAGAACGTTCCTTGAGAATGAATTCCAGTTCACTTTCTGGGATATCGTCGAAATGAAGCTCAAGGAAACGGTTTCTGAAGGCGCGAGACAAGACCTTTCGACCACCGTATAGACCAGCAGGGTTCTGGGTAGCGAACAACATGAAGTTTGGGTGTGGGTGGACAACCTCTTGTGTCTCTGGAATGAAAAGCTCACGGTTATCATCAAGGAGACGGTTCAGGGCTTCGAGAACATCGGAAGGGGCCAGATTAAGTTCGTCCAGCACAATCCAATAACCGTTTCGTAGCGCTTCCACCAGAACACCCTCTTGATAACGCAAGCTTCCATCATCCGTGGAAATGTAAGATCCCAGATATTCTTGCAAATCTGTGTGTTCGTGGTTGTTGATTCGTACAAATTTGTTTCCAGACACCTTTGCCAGATACTCAATCATACTAGTCTTTCCGGCAGAAGTTGGTCCTTGTAGGAGGACAGGGAAACGCCTAGTTGAACTGGCTCGGACCAAGTTCTTGAGGTTTTTTTCGATGAATGGGGTGATGATGTAGTGCGGTTGCTCCTCCGGTGCCAGATGGCCACGGCGCATCCAGTAATGCTTGAATTGCACGTAGTCACTGCCATCAGTGGGGGGACGAGGGGTTTGGCTGAGGAGGGACTTTGCGTTCTTTGCATTGCCAAAGACATGAAGCTCAAGAAGGGGGATCAAAGCTCGCTCGGAGTTCAAGCTAAGGACAGTCAAGAAACTCATGCTGAAACCCTCGTAGATCGCTCGGCGCAATCCGTAGACGTGTGCGTGGTCGATCACATAAATCAAAGCCCGGACGAGAGTACGGATACTGAAATGGGGTCGTTGGCCTGCTCCGTCGGTGAGCTTGTTCTCATTGCTTAGCTTCTTGGTGATCATGTATAGCTGAGCAAGATCTGGAACAGCCCGCGGGTCACTAATGGTCAAATCCCCGAGGTACTTCTGGATGAGGGCAAGCAGATCATCCAGGTCACTGTCGGGTGAATGCACATAAAACTCGGTGAAACGAGACCGCAGTCCTGGGGGTAGATCTCTCTTTCCAGCATCGGTTGCGGGGTTCATGGCACCGAAAATGCGGAAATCCGGATGACCAAATACTCTCTCGACATCACCTGCCTCGGAGAGTAAGACTGAAGGCGATCCTTCACTGCCGTGGTGCAAAAGACTGGCGATATTTTCGAGAGTATCAGGAGAGGCCAAATTCACTTCGTCAAGAAGCACCCATTCGCCGTTTCTCAAGGCCCTCACGATTTTACCTTGGACGAAGGCAAATGCGAACTTGGCATCACCTTGAGCCACCTGGGCCTCAAAGTCGTTGAGAGTGGTGGCGAAACTCTCCCATCGTTGGCGCAAGTGTTGATATTTCGGGGAATCTAGCTTCCGCTTCTTGGCTGGCTGTTCATCACCATCGGCAGCCGGAGGGTTGAAAACGCCATTTGCGAGACGAACAGCCTCCTGCCACAAAGTCACCAATCGCACCCAGTTCGAAGATGCAGCACTCTTGGAGATCGAGGACAAGAACTTCTGGTTCTTCTTGGCGGAAAAAGTGAGTTCGAAAAGTTGAGTGAACTCATCCAGCATCGGGACTGCCATTGTACGAATATTCACTGGCTTGAAACCACCCAGAAGATCAGTGCTTTCACTCTGTTGGGATAAATTCACAACAGTGAGCTTTTGGCGCATCAATGTTGCGAGATGCTGAACGACAGTGGTCTTTCCAATACCAGTTTCACCGACAAGCAAGACAGGCTCAGCCATCTGGATTGAAGCAGCCACTTGTTCCATGAGCCCGAGGGCGGCTCTTGTTGGGGCAAAGCGCGAAGCTGCAGCAGCCATCTTTAATGCAGAGCCACTGGGCACTTTGACCTTGTGGCAGACCTCACGGCCAAGAACGAGGCTGTTGTTCTTGTCCGTGTATGTGGGCGTTCGTTCTTCGAGGCAGAACTGTGCTCGCTGTGGGGAAATTTGAAGTGATTCGGCAACAACTGCCGCAAGTGTACTCTGCATCGACTTCTCGGGCAGATACTTGATGAACACATCCACGACATCAAGGAATATTTCATCCTCGGTACCCTCTGATGTAGGTTCATAACCGGTCTTTGCACCCATCCGCTGGAGACGGTTGTGCAAGCGGCTGCACAGCTTGATCAGATCACGGAAGCCTGGAGTACGACCCTGAGAGCCCTTGATAGCAAGGCTTCCATGGAAGGCAGAGCATACACGAGCATACACGTTCATTATGGTTGGGACACGAGCCTCAAGCAAGGGGAATTTCTGCAGAATAACATCGCGCATCTCGTCCACTGGGAGAGAATTCACTTGGACTCGCTCCCATAGTCGGCTTCCAAGCATTGAGCTGTTTGGTGCAATCTCTTCACCGGCAATGTTGTATGATGATTTCATGGTTGCAATAATCTTGAAGCCCTCGGCGCACTTGATCCGCTCTCTGCGACTGGGGATAGTCAACTCCCCTCGCTCGATGATGGGTAAAATCAGACCCATCACTTCAGAGGGAGCACGGTTCAGATCTTCAATAAGAACCCAACGTCCTTCGCGGGCAGCCTTAGTCAAAACACCAGGTTGCCAAGAGAATGATCCGGAGGCAGACGAAGTAGCGTACATTCCGAGAAGACTCTTTGCGTCAGTCTGCTCGTTCAGGTGGAGCGTAACCATGGATTCAGCTTGGCCCATCGTGGCTGCAATGTCATTGATCAAGGATGTTTTGCCTGAGTTGGGCAAACCGACCAACAAAATAGGCTTGTGTCCTAGCAATGAGCCTGCAATTCGGCGCAAGTTCCTGATGGTCGTTGAGGTTTTCACAACGGATGTAGAGGCCGGAGGGGTATCTTTCAACCTGGGAATCAAAACTCCACAGATCTCTGCGGTCTTTGTAGTAAAGTATTCCTGTGTTCTCTCGACCAATGCCAGGGATTCGGATTCAACTCTTGAAGATCTCGCGTTCTGAATGGATTTCCCAAGAGCATCCCAGCGTCGCTCTTCCCATAATCCTAGCAATCGGTAATCAATTGTGGTTCCTTCCCACTCTCCTTCAATAGATTCGGCCCCGGTGTTGACGCGGATCATTTTTTCGGTGGCCGCATCTGCGGCATGCATGTACAAGGCGAAGCATCGCACGGCGAGATAGCGTGTCACTCGATCTTGTGACTGGAAGAGGGACTGCAATTGAAGCGGTGAAACGATGGGGGAGAATGTTTCCAGGTCAAACGAGAGGAGTCGGAAGAGGGCGAGGAGTAGTAGTCGGATGCTAGGTTGGTCCAACTGCAACAGTGTTAATTCCTTTGACATGGCCAAGGCTGCCAAAGGTCCAGTCTGTGATGAGGCATATTGACTGGCGAGCGACCGCAAATGCGGCGCAAAAGGTAAAATCTGCGCAAATGCCGCTAATACATGAATGTAGTCTGCATGTAAATCCGATTGAAGCCATCGAGCTGCAAGATCGACAAAAATCGGTTCGTAGAGCCTGAAAATGCTCTCTGTAAATTCGTTGTTCAATGCGCCAAGCGCAAGCGCGTGGAGGTGTTGAGTCCCCGATGCAGTCCGAATGAAAGTCGAGATTTCACTCGGAAGCTGCTCGAGCAGCTCGGACTCTGTGAGAGTCCTCTCATAGACCGGCCTTTGATCCATGGTTTCGGCCGTAAGAGAAGCTCTTATGTGTAGTTTGAAAACAAGTGAAGAATTCCGCTTCTCTCCAACTTTTTTTTCTGCCGCAACCTGTGGCGCAGCCCCGCCTGGGCTGCCCACCGCCCTGATGTGCGGAGCTTGCGCCACACTTGCGCGTCAGACAAAGCTGTCCTCCGAACTTTGCGACCGGACGATGAACTCGCGGTTTATTTATGTTTCACTATGCCAATGAGTGGTCAGGCCTCCGGTGGTGAGGGCAGGTCTTGGTCACAATCAAGAGATCAAGACGAACCCCAAGTGAACCGGGCAGCCGAGGGGCTACATGAACCGTTTGTACTTGGAGCTCCACCTTTGAGTATATCACTAACAATATCATATACTCAGAATCTCTTTCAAACGGAAAACAAAACCAAGATCGCGCTTCAGCTTATCCAGTCTTCTCTCCCCTACCGCTGGCGGTTCGGACACCGGTTTCAGCTCTCCCGCGCCGCAAGGTGGTCAGAACGGAGACGCATCGCCCCTCGATCCTTATGCGCCGATAGGGTTCGGTAATGGAGCTGATGGATCAAAAGACGGCGGTCCGCTAGATTGGTATGTCGAAGGTCCGGGCAGACGTGTGGGCTACGACGACTTCACTGCCATCGATTGGATCTATGAGTACACAAAAGAGCGACAGAGGAAACGGCTACTCTACTCCAGCGGGCAAGGCTTATTAGGACACGCTCGTCGACTTCTTGATGCAAGCAATGTCTGGTTGGTGTTGATCGCCACAGGTATTGCTGTTGGCATTATTGCTGCATCGATCGACATCGCTACGGATTGGCTGGGTGATCTGAAAGGTGGATATTGCAAGAACGGTAGTGGGGGTGGAAAGTTCTATTTGAACAAGAGCTTCTGCTGCTGGGGCTTGGATGGTAGGTCAAAATTTGTCCCCAAATGCGTTCGCCGCCGTACTTATTGAGGTATAGATCACTCGAAATGCCTTGACTGGACACCATGGGGCAACGCACTTGGTGCAAAGTCCACAGGAGGAACATACGCAGTTAGCTATATTTTCTACATCATGTTCTCGGTAAGGAGACCTTGACAACTTTTCTGTTGAGGCAGCACTGACCACATCTAGGTTTTCTTTGCTGCATGTGCTTGCTTCTTGGTCAGAAACTATGCCGTCTATGCTCGGCACAGTGGAATCCCTGAAATCAAAACAGTGCTTGGTGGAACTGTTATCCGACATTTCATGGGACCTTGGACCCTTGCCATTAAATCCTTAGGCCTAGTAAGTGAAGAATCCAGATGCCTGGATAGATGTCTCCTAACCATGATTAGTGTCTTTCCGTCGCATCAGGGCTGTGGCTTGGTAAAGAAGGTCCACTCGTACATGTTGCATGTTGTTGTGCCAACATTTTGATGAAACCGTTCGACAGCCTCAATGGCAATGAAGGTATGTCCCTTATTCCAATTTTTCAATATATCTATACTCATATAACAGCACGTAAACGAGAGGTTCTGTCCGCCGCTGCCGCTGCAGGGATTTCAGTCGCTTTCGGTGCACCTATCGGTGGTGTGCTTTTCAGTTTAGAGGTATGTCAATTTCAATCTGCGGCATCATCTTATGATGACTTTGTGTTGACACTCGCAGCAACTATCGTATTATTTCCCTGATAAGACCATGTGGCAAAGTTTTGTCTGCGCCATGGTTGCGGCTGTGACTTTACAAGCCCTAAATCCATTCCGAACAGGGAAGATTGTGCTGTACCAGGTCACGTACACTCGAGTCTGGCATCGCTTCGAAATTATTCCTTTCATCATACTGGGCATCATAGGTGGTCTTTATGGTGCCTTCCTTATCAGACTGAACACAAGGATTGCCAAGTGGAGGCGAGCTCGAACCTCTTCCCGGCCGATCCTTGAAGTGGTGGTCGTGGCTCTAATCACGGCTTTGGTGAACTATCCCAATCATTTCATGCGAGCTCAGAACTCGGAGCTAGTCCAGTCACTGTTCGCAGAATGTAGCCCAACCACTTACGATCGATTTGGTCTTTGTGCCACAGGATCTGCATCTATCGGCGTGGCAATCTATCTCGTTGTGGCCGCGCTGCTAGCATTTTTCTTGGCTTCTTTGACATTTGGACTCGAGATCCCTGCCGGTATCATTCTTCCTTCAGTTGCCATTGGTGCTCTTTATGGGCGTGCTTTGGGCATCATTGTTCGCATGTGGCAAGAAGCCTACCCGAAAGCGTTCTTATTTGCGAAATGCGAGCCAGATGTCCCATGTGTCACACCTGGGCTATACGCTATCATTGGGGCTGCTGCTGCTCTTGGAGGTGCCACTCGAATGACTTTGTCTATCGTTGTAATCATGTTCGAGTTGACTGGTGCATTGACATACGTCATTCCAATCATGATTGCTGTCATGCTATCAAAGTGGTGCGGTGACATCTTCGGAAAGCGAGGTATCTACGAGTCATGGATCCGATTGAATGATTATCCTTTCCTTGATCATCGTGATGACACTACACCACCAGATGTGTCTGCCCATCGTGTTATGACAACAGTCGATGATATCAGCATCATCACTGCGACCGGTCACACTATTGCCTCAATCCGCACTCTTCTGGCAAACACCACGTACCGCGGATTCCCCGTTGTGTCTGAGACATCAAGTCCTATCTTGCTGGGCTACATCACTCGCAATGAGCTCTCTTTTGCTTTGAAATATTCAACTTCTCCCTCCACCCGCAATCTCTCTAATGAGACGCAGGTCTTTTTTTCTCACCAACCATTTGCAGACCCTGTTGATACACTTGATCTGCGGCCTTGGATGGACCAAACGCCTATCACGCTGAACAGTAATATCACTTTCTTGATTGTGCTGCGAATGTTCCAACGTCTGGGCTTGCGCTATGTCTTATTTGCCAATAAAGGCATTCTCCAAGGGTTACTGACCAAAAAAGACGTTTGGTCTGTGCTTAACGGTGTTGAGTTTCGCCGTGAAGAAGCCCTTCGAAACGATGAGTTCCGGGATTTCCAGGATCGTCATGAGGCCGAGGAAGTTGGCTTACTCGATGGGAATGCTAGATCCAGTATCGGCAGCTCTTTAAGGCGAGACTCTCTTTGATATTTTCTTTCAAATCGATCGATCATGATACTCCATTTTTGGCTTGGGTGTTTGGGACAGTAACTTTCCAGGTACGGGATCTTATTTCATTGTAATTGATCGGCTGTTTTGTAGCAACCTGTACAGCAATCTTTTGTCGCATGAGAGCCGTCAATATACTATGTGCCGGAGAACCTTGGAATGCTTGACACTTGACACCTTTCCCTTTCCATTCTAGCCCACCTCTCCTCAATTTGCTTCCAAGCTTTCCAATACTATCAAGTTTACTACAAGTCAGCCTGTAGAATAGGTCTCAAAGTCTAAAGATACCTCCAAGAAGCGACTGTCACCTTATTCTCCCAATATTTCATCATTGAAAACAGGCGAACATACACTTTTTTTCGGCTCATCTCAGTGGAAAGAGGGCCAGATCTCGTATGTTCTGGTCACCATAAAGATTTCCAAGTTTGGCATCAGCGACCAAGCTCAGAAAATCGGAAACACGACGAATAAAGGTTTTGACAGAAAGGTGCCGGGCATACCAAGGAACGGCCAAGGTTAGCATCAATTGCGAATAATCACTAATACTTGTGATCACTTAGAGTGAGTATGGATTCAGTGACCTCGGGAGACATATGTAGCTGCGGCCCATGATACGCATCGGAATTGGTAAATTCATATTGATATTCCTCTCTAACAACCACCTCGGGAGTATCCATGGATGTTATGATATTCAATACAAAATTGGTTCCAACATTGAAATCTGATACCGGTGATTTATTCGAGGTGACGTGCCAATCAGCATAGCCTAAGCTTTCCAAAACACTGGTAAACGGTCTAGCGGTTTGGATGGTAGCCAATAGTCAGCCCCACATGTACGCAGTTCCGCTTCGAACGTTACACATGTATCCAAGTAAACACCCCACTTGCCGTCCACGTGTAGACTGATGGGCCGGGGTCTATTTTCCGTCTCGCTATGCTGTCATTCAAGGAATTTCGTTATTGTCACCCAAGATGTTTAAAAACAGGTGCATAAACATCTCTCACCCTATTTAAACATATGACACGCTAACATTAATCTGTTCAGACCCAATTCCAAGAAGCCCGACAAGAACCTTATCAACCAATTCCATGAATCCTTCTCCGACGTGATCAGGCCAGTCACCAAACACCATTCAGCGACGTTTGTCTCCCTACATATCTTCGCTCCTTTTGCGCATTCAAGTCTCTGGTCATAGCCATTTGCTAAACCCTCACATTGGTTCTGTAGACCAACGACCCGTAATAGGTACTTGGGTGATTTGCAATTCACCCCATTCAGAGATGATCACTTGCTCCCTACGCACACTGCACCCCACTCCTTCCATGACAATACCTCACGTGGCATGACCCCGGTGTCGCATGGCCCAGCTGGAGATCTTCACACGCCAACCCTCGGAAGACATTCATTGACGCCTTTCACACTGCTTGACCAATTCCCGGTCACACCCTTGCATCTACCCAAGGCCGACATATCCAATAACAGCTTTGATCCTCAACACTTTCCACAAGAGCCTCAGAATGCCGCTTTCCCGCCCAGCGCATTTGTTCACTCCACCTTTGCCGATGAACTTATTGGTGAACCCGGTGCACAAAACTATTCCAATGATGTGGGCATTCAAGGGCAGTCGATCTCTCAGCTCGTCTCCCCTAGGGCCAATCTCTCGGGAAATGAAATTGCGACTGCTCATGATACTAGCAAGTAAGTTTTGTTTTCTACAGATCGTGTTAGGAATTTAGAGAAGCTAATAAGTTTCCAGGTTTAGGTATCATGTAGCTCTGAACACACCCACAGCAATGGTTCATGACCCAAATGATCCCCCAATTACCTATCTTAATAAGGGTCAAACATACTCTTTATCGATCACCGATCTGAAGCCCCCGCCACTGGCCAATGGATTGATCAAGTATCGAACATCGATACATGTTTCCTTCGAAGACAAAGATCAAGCATCAAGGCCCAATTTTTGCTGGCAGCTATGGAAGGACATTCGTGGCCAGGAGTCCCATCGAAAAGATGGTCTTTTACGCGCAGTGGAGCTCGTTGACTTAGACCCAGGAATCAACCGACGCACTCAGCTAGAAAGAACATCTCTAGATGGCTTCAGTATCATATGGTATGCAGACCCCACCGCACAGGTATCGGGATGCTCGATCGGTGTCAAGTTCAACTTTCTTTCGACGGATTTCAGCCGTTCCAAGGGGGGTTAAAGGAGCCCCTCTCAGGCTTTGTGCTAAAACACAAGCCGGTGCAGGCGATGCCGAACTGAGATTCTGCCTTGTGAAATTGTTCCGTGATCATGGCGCTGAGCGCAAAATGTTTACGGACGTCTCACAGCTAAAACGTGCAATTGAGAAGCGCCAGAAGCAAGCCGCTGAAAATGAAAAGTTGGATTCAAATGACAGTCTTGGAAAACGAAAACGTGATGGTCGCTCGGCTGTTGACAGGCGCGGTCCCAATCTGGACGCTGAAGTGTTGAGAATGCAAAGTCTTTTCTCCTCCAATCACCCCGTCAGCACTTTTTGTCTTCCTGGTGAGAAGAAGGATGATCCGGATTTGTTCCCGATTCACATAGTGGATGAGACGCAAACCCACGACCAAGTAGACAACCCGACTCTGCAAACTATCACCCCTCCATCAACATCGAGCAGTAGGTCGAGAAGTCAGACAGACAACTCGGGAGATCAGCAGCCACGTGAGCAGCCTCTCAAATCAGAACCACCAGAGTTGATCAGCTGCAAGGATAACTCTGGAATTCCCATGCTATCTAATCAAAACGCTGAATCGGTGGATGTCAAATCAAGACCTACAGCAGCAGGTAAAATCTCCCAACCCAGACAACCTTGAAATGAACAGGTGCTTACGCAAAACTAGTAGCATGTTTTTATCTCCGTTTTCACCAAAGCAACGCACAGCAAGATAGCTACCACACCGCAGTTTATCTGGCAGAGCGTACCGCACAGGAACTCATGGTGAAGATCTGTGAGAAACGTCAAATTAGCCAGACTCATAGAGTCCAGCTGTTTCAGATAAGGCCAAACGGCATGAAAGTCATCATTGATGATGAAGCAGTTCAACGGATTCCGGATGGCCAGGATATGACCGCAGAAATAGGCGAGGTTCCTGACGTGGCTATTGATGGTAGCTCAGTGCCTGCCACCGTCGAGGTTAGCTTGTTCTTCTGAGTATGCAGAAGGTAAGCACAATATCGGCCACTTGTTTATTTTTGGTTTTTTGCCTGAATGCGTATTAGATAGCGGATGTCCATTTTGATAGAAAATCTTGGACTAAGTGGGTGAGCAACCTTGGAAGCAGCGTATCAAACATGCCTGCCTAATAGTGTTATACCGAGCAGATCGCTAGTTGGAGCCCTGGGGGTTCTCTCCAGGGCTTGGAATGACAGACATAGGTAGTTGCATTTGAGGTCTCTGGGCCGACTTTATAGATTTCCAAGGTTGCTTAATGCGCAGACCTCGGGATATATATTTCCTTTAGAGAGCTCACATGGATTGATCCCCCAAAAGATATTTCGATGCCATTCATGGACGGTTTGGAGTCTACTGGACAAATCCACGCGTTGGAAAATACCATGGACGCAAGAGAGCGCACACTCATCTACTGTCTTACTGGCGTCGCACAAGCCGAAACCGAACACGAAGCAATAGCGTCTGGTATGGATATTTTCCTGACCAAACCTGTACGCTTGGATAAATTGCTGCCCTTGATTGATGGCAAAACACCAACCTCGCCCCCTAAGAAGAAGCAACATAAACCTTGAAGAACTTCAAGGGGAATGAATCTATGGAGGTTTAGCACGCATGGGCTCACCGACAGCTGGATCAAATCCCCCATTTGGGGTATGCTGCCGATGGATCAAACTGTGCGAAGTGTATTCTTCGAGATCAAAGATCGCGAAAAGAGATGAGGTGAAGAGTTCTGGTGGCCACGATGGTATGAGATCCCTTATATGGGGCATTGGATGTTTTGTGAAACTGCGGAATCCGGCGCCAAGCCTCTTTCTTCCCCCACAATAGTTTGTCATCATTCCGTGCTGACCGCTCTCAGTCCCACCTATCACAGCACATGATGTCTACTCATAAAGATCCTCCAGGCCGTGGGCGAAAGACCGGCGACAAGATGATGATTGATCCGTTTGAGGTGCGCATGCGCTTCACCACACAGCTGCAGCATCTCAGCGCAGCTGTGACCTCCGCCCAGAAGGCTGCTCATTATGCGCTCAAGTATCGCGACCTGGATGAGGACCTCCACTCATGTATTCTGGAGCAGCTGGAGCGAGTAAGAAACCCTAGCTCAATTGGGCCCATTGCATGCTAACAACAATGCAATCAGAACAACATGAACAACCGAGCCAACATCATGTACTTCATCGAACATCTCTGCGAAATGGCCATCAAAGAAAACCACCCTCCATACGTGCGCATGATGCAACGCGACATCCTTCGTGTGGTGGACTCAGTCGTCCCCCCCAGACGGCACCGGTGCCGCCAACGTCAAGCACGTCCGTCATGTCTTGAGCGGTCTTCAAGCCAAGGAAGTCCTTGCGGCCGATACCATAGCCGAGATCGACGCTGCGTTGAAAGACCGCGAATCCGACCCCTCACACATGGACCTTGAACACGAGGAAGGCGCCGAGGAGGGCAGCAAGGCCAAGGTGGAGAAGCCACAGCTACGTCTTGATAAGAAGCAGATCGAACAACGTATCGAGGAAGATCGTGAGCGCAACAAGCGGTTGCGTGAGAGCATGTGGGCTATGACTGGTAACGATCGCGACGAATATAACCAGATGTGGGATGAGCTTAGTCCGATTGGTGAAGATGACTTCATTCGATCCCGCGAAGAGGCTTTTGAGCGCGCCGAATGCGCTCGCAAGCATGTGGAGTTTTACAGGAAGCTTTACGGCATTGAGGGTTAATTGTGCGGGGAAGCACCTGTCTGAGATTTGCATTATGTTCGGCGTTTGGGCCCATAGTCTCGGTGTTTATAGCGGCTGGAAGTGCTTTCATTTCTGGTGGAGTTTGGTTACATAACAGTTCATTGATATCAAAAGCAAATACTAACTTGTCTCAACCTCCGGCAAGATGTTTCCCTGGCTAGTCTTCTTCCGATGTCCGATGTATGTACTTCAGATATCTACACCGGGTAGGCGGAAAATCTATTGGAATACACTTGTTGGCTTGGGCGGATAAACGTCTCATTTGTTTTCTTTTCGACGGCGATCTTGTAATTCTATTGACGGTAATATTGCCACCTCGGGAAGCGATCGGCTCAAAGTGCCCTAAGTCGCCCATTGAGCGACCCAAGCTGCTTTGCTAACACGAGAACCACCACCGAGTTTTCAATAATCGTTTTGAAATCAAGGAGATAGAAAATATAGTGTGTCTGTGAAGCTTTTAAAAAAAGGAAGCCCTGAGCCTGGAGGCGCCACTGGTGGCTGTAGTCGAAGTAGGAACAGAGGTAGACTGAACTGATGCAGTGGTTCCCGTCGCTGTGGATGGCGTTGGAGTCACAGAGCCAGCCGCTGTGGTGCTTGTCAAGCTGGAAGAGGATGAGATGTGAGTAGTATCGGTCTTCGCACTTGCACTCGTGCTGGCAGAGCTTTCATCGCTTGCACCGTCGCCGCACTGAACCACAGTTTCCCAACCACCGGCATAGGTTTCCAGCCAGTATGATGACTGATTACCGAGAGCAAAGTAGTTGAAGGAATATGCCGAGCCAGGTAGCTCGTGTGCATTCTGGAAAAATTCAATTGCACACTTGTCGTCGCATGGGAAGTCGGTTTTGGCCCAATCATCACTGCTGGGATATGTCAGGTAGCAGTAGTCAGACCTGAGGGATTGTAAGCATGTGAGCCCAGGAAAAATACTTCTGATGAAACTCACCCGCTTTTAGCACAAGCCTGGCCGTATTTGTACTGGAAAACCTCTCCCACGGTGGCAACGGGAGCCTCATAAACATACTTGTTCCCACTGGCAATCCCGGCTAGATCACCATCTTTGCCACATGCGGCATTGACGTTTTTGACATACTGCGACAAGGAATCACTGCATGTAGTGGTGCACACAGCCTGCAAGTCCGAAGGCTGCGGGTCGAAGTCTGGATCCATTGACGCCACAAGCTTGACGAGGGTTTCATCGCAATTGATATTGGCGCTATAAGCATCCTTACAAGTCTGAGAAGTCTCGTCTCCCAAGTCCTTAGTTGTATAGGCCCAACTAGGACCAGAAGTGTTGAGACTGAAGGTAGCCGCAGTCTGGCCCAAAGCCGCGGACAACGCGAGGATACGAGATATCGTGGTCGTGGGTGCCATTGTAATTGTTGATTCCAAGATTGCAGAGGGTGACAAAATCAGTCGAGGCAAATGATTTCCGGTGATGCGAATTTAGATACAACCAGAGAACGTGTGCCTTTAAAAAGAAAAAGTTTTCTCGGAAATAATTTCAGGGCAGGGAGTAGCCTAAAAATATACGCCGGGAGTAGTTCTTACTATGCAAGCTTTTCTGTGGCCGAGGCCTGGAGCCGCTAGTACTATAAGGAATAGCCCCCAAATTATCAGGGGCAATTCCGAATATTGAGCCGCAAGACCCACGGCAAAAAAGAGGGTTGACGGGGACCTACGGAGTATACACCCAAGTACTTCCAAGAGGCTCACTTTTCCAACAAGTGTGGCCTATTTCCTTGAAAGCTACCTTGAAACAATCAATCCCACAGACCATAGAGCCGGTATTGATCCTAAGAATACGGCGGCATTTGGTTAGAGAACTAGGTACTGAGGCGTCCCCAAGTAGACCTTGAAGACAGAACCATACGCTAATAGAGCTTGTTAGCCTACCTACGGAGTACTCCGTATATCGTTGCATTATCCCACACTGTCGGACCATCTTTCCCAAACTAGTTACGACAGTCGGACAAATCACTAGATTTCCGACTTACTATTCATCGAACACTCGGGCTTACCTTTCTTCCCTATCCACGAAGCAGACTGAGCCCCACATAAAGGACAGCTCCTCTATCTATGCTCAGATCCTCTCACTTGTAGTCAATAGGATACTAGGATTTGGCTATCACTTTACCCTGAGGGAACGACAGTTTGCACTGGCTTAGGGCCCGTTTTGGGAGCATTTGAAATATTTTGAAGTACATTTGGTATGAATCGACACCAAAACCCTGGAAGAGACCATCAAATAGGCATTAGGAAAGTGTCGAAGATAAAGTACGGAGTAGAAGACAGTCAGTCGGTTGAGATTCATCCAGTGAGGGCTAGATTCAATGATTACATAAGCAGATTCCAGCCGCGGCCAACCAATGAGAACGCGTATTCAACATTATCTTCACGCGACGGCAGCGCGTCATATCTCCGGTACTCTACCATCGCGATGTCGACGGATTCGGAGTCGGATTATTTTGATGATGATGATGACTTTGTAGTCCCGTCTACCCCAGATGGTCCCTCCCGTGCCTCCAAACGCCGACGCGTTGAAACGGAGCGAGACGAAGACGGCACTTCTATCGATTCGTTCTCAGATGGTGAATTACCAGCGCAACGAGGATATTCACCTATCCAATTTGAAGAAAATCAAGGCCGCTCCAAAAATAAAAGTTGTGTCTTGAAAAATGCTCAGGTACCGAACGACATGTTCGTCACCCAACTCACGCAGCCATCTTCGAGCCCCGAACGAATACGAGGTCCACGATGGCAGAAGCCTAGTGCCAAACCCCCTCCGCCGAAATTTGATCAGCCCTCGAGACAAAGTGAACAGGGGACACGTGAGATGGCTCAGGACGATGAGGGACTGAGGGCTGCCATCGCGGCTTCCTTGGACTCATTTGAGGAAGAGAACATAAACAGAGCGGCCTTCCAGCCCAGGAGCTTTTCAAACAATCGCCCACCAGTCCCTGCGCCCCACCAACCGGCAAATGCAGATGGTCCAGTAGATGATCCGTTTGATCTCGCGGGCATACCCGACGATGCCTTTGACTCTTCTCCATCTTTATCGCCTGTAACGAGGCCAGCACCACCTGTCCCTGCGCAAGCCAATCAAGCCAGAGCTCCAATCCGACAACCTCACCTGAGACAAAGCACTCTGTACGGCATGATCGCAACAGACCCCGAGCCCTCGGCACCACAAGAGCCAGGCCCTTCACAGAGGCCTGAACCGCCCACCCAACACAAACTTGTAAAAGATGCCATGGACACATGGATCTATCCTACAAATCTCGGCAAAACGAGAGATTATCAGTTTAATATCACTCAGGCAGGTCTGTTTCACAATTTGCTCGTGGCTCTGCCAACTGGTCTGGGAAAGACATTCATTGCAGCCACCATTATGCTCAACTGGTTTCGATGGACGGAAGACTCGCAGATTGTCTTCGTTGCGCCTACCAAGCCTTTGGTCTCCCAGCAAGTGTCAGCTTGTCTCGACATCGCAGGCATACCCCGCTCAGATTCAACAATGCTTACTGGTGGGGCGTCCCCTGGCATACGTGCAGAAGAGTGGAAAGCGAAGAGGGTTTTCTTCATGACACCCCAGACTTTGATGAACGATCTGAAGACCGGAATCGCGGACCCAAAACGGATTGTCTTGTTGGTTGTCGACGAAGCCCACCGCGCGACGGGCGCCTACGCATATGTTGAAGTCGTCAAATTCCTTCGTCGTTTCAACAACAGCTTCCGTGTCCTGGCACTTACAGCCACCCCAGGATCCACAGTTGAGTCCGTTCAGGAAGTCATCGATGGCTTGGACATAGCACGAGTTGAGATCCGTACCGAAAACTCAATTGACATCCGGGACTACGTTCATGATCGCAACACCGAGATCGAAATATTCGAAAACTCAGATGAGATGATCTTCTGCATGGATCTTATGTCCGAAGCTTTGAAACCCTTGCTCGAACAACTCCACACCCTCAACGCATACTGGGGACGAGACCCCATGGGACTCACTGCGTACGGTCTCACAAAAGCGAGACAGCAGTGGATGTTATCTGACGCTGGCCGAAATGCCAATTTTGGCCTCAAAGGTAAAGTGAATGCCATCTTCACCGTTCTTGCCAGCTTGGCCCATGCCATCGATCTGTTGAAATACCATGGGATCGTGCCATTCTACAAACATGTCAATCACTTCAAGTCAGGCATGGAGGGACAGAAAGGCGGAGGCGGTAAATACCAGAAGCAAGTTGTACAGCATGAGAGTTTCAAGAAATTAATGGGTCACTTGGAACCCTGGAGCAAGAACCCAGAGTTTATTGGTCACCCAAAGCTGGAGTACCTGAAGTCAGTCATCCTGAACCACTTCATGGACAGAGGCGAAGGAAAAGAGACTGCCGATGGAACAAGCCAGCCTGCAACACGAGTCATGATCTTTGTGCATTTCCGTGACAGCGCGGAGGAAGTCACGAGAGTACTCAAAAGGTATGAGCCTATGATTCGGCCCCATGTCTTCGTCGGTCAATCCAGCGCCAAAGGCTCCGAGGGCATGGACCAGAAAACCCAACTCCAAATCATCGAAAAGTTCAAGAAAGGGACATACAATACCATTGTGGCTACCTCGATTGGCGAGGAAGGATTGGATATTGGAGAAGTCGATCTCATCGTGTGTTACGACTCGTCGGCATCGCCAATTCGAATGTTGCAGCGCATGGGTCGAACGGGCCGTAAGCGGGCCGGTAACATCACTCTGCTATTGATGAAGGGCAAAGAAGAAGACTCTTACGTCAAAGCCAAAGACAACTACGAAAAAATGCAACAAATGATCGCTAGCGGATCGAGATTCACATTCCACCACGATCGTTCTGCCCGCATCTTGCCTGCGGGAATCCGCCCTGTACCGGACAAGCGACAGATTGATATTCCCCCAGAGAATTCACAACAAGAGCTACCAGAGCCGAAACGCAAGGGCCGGGCACCAAAGCGACCACCCAAAGTCTTCCACATGCCAGATGGCGTAGAGACGGGGTTCACTCGAGCTTCGGCCTTGGATGGCGACAAACCCAAGAAACCCGCAGCCAAAAAAGCTGCACCCAAGAAAGCTCCAGCCCCGAAAAAGCGACCACGGACACCTACGCCTGAACCTGTTGATGTTCCCCCTCTCGACGATGTAGTCCTCGACGCGAGTGCGCAGAAAGACTTGGAAATGCACTACCAGAACGTCGGGGGTACTTCCCCGCAAACCATTCGATTCCCTCGCAACGACGCCTTTCCAAACTTGCAGCTTGTCCCTCGACCTACCAACAGCGTCACACACGGTTCACACACAAAGCGCATAGTAGCTGCGATGAAAAAGATGGGCGAGGCCGACGCCAGTTGTGATCGTCGATTCAGAGAAATCCTCGCTCGCGAACCCCCAGTTTCGGACAAGTCGAGTCTTTTGTATGAGGAGCCTCCGGCAAAGAAGCCTGCAGCAAAGAAGCCACGAAATGCTGCTAAGACTCCAAAAACGCCTGCCAAGTTGAATTCTAAACACACTCCAGCAACAGGCCACACAATCCCCGCTGGCGGGGAGGTCTTTTCGTTGCTATCTCCTGAGCCTGAACCCAAAAGCACGACTTTTGGCCTGGATGATGATTTTGATGATGATTCTGATTTTGACCTACTTGATCCTAGCGAGTTGTTCAGTAGTGGTCGCAAGAAAGCATGAGCGCACGGCGATTTTTCGGTTTTCGGTTTTCGGGTCCAACCACAGAGATAGATCAGTGTTGGATGCAATGATGAATTAGACCTCTTTGGATCAAGTTATCTAATGCAAAATACATACTTCAAATAAGGCAAGACGTCACTGATATTGTATCTTACCTCTCAAATCTTGCTACAAGATAATCACCTCCAGTGCCTGCTTTGACGATGCAGAACAACCTTGGAAATGGGCTTGATTGTAGGTAACAAGTGTTTTTGGTGCTTTGCAGCTATCAATTTCTTCATGTATTCCATTCTAGCCTAGGGCATGTTGAAGGGTGAAGCCCAACTACCTAAAACCGAGTAGATCGAAACCTCCATTCTATCAAAAAAAAAAAAAAACGAGAACGCCAAACATGGGCTGGGGGTATTTGGGTATTTGTGGTTGTAAAAGATGTCAAACGAGAAGAACAACCCGAGAGAGCAAACAGGACCGAAAACCATCGCGGAACGGATGATTCCATGCATGTGTGAGGTGTGTAATATGTGCGGAAAGCAAAGGAAAAGAAAAGCCGAAGTGCCGAGCTTCAAGTGTTATAAAAGCACGTCTTCGTCAATGCAAAGGGGATCTAAACGAGTGAACGACGATCAAACGCGGTCTCGGGCAAAGTCGAGAACCTCGCAGTCGTCTTCGAAAAAGCCATCGTCGGCTTTCAATGGAGTGGAGTGTCTCTTCTTTCGACGGGTTGTGATGACGACTTCCTCGACATTACCAGTGCTGTTGCCGAGAGTGATGAGGTTCTCTATCTCACCACCAGCACCGAGTGAGCTACCGTGGATGGCAGCGTGCTCATCGTCATCATCACCGTGGTCATCGCTGCTACTGTTGAATGATCTCAAATGAACTTTCGTGATTGGTATGTCATTACCGAAAACCCATTGACCACTTGGCTCGCTTTGTTCGCTGCCAGTGTTAAACACACTCAGACCGACTCTTTGGTCTGTGTGGAAGGGCTGGTACGGAGTGTTTGTCTCAATTTCGGCCTGCGAAAGAGGCTGGCAAAGTGGCCGAGCACTAGAGAGTTGAGAACTAGCGGATGGCAGAACGAGAGAGGCGTGAATGGTGAGCTCTGGATCAAAGGTAGCTATAGGAGCTGGTCCACACGGGCCTTGCAGGTTGGCAGGTAGCTTGACCTGAGACTCCTTGCCGCCCACAACAGAGTGAGGCTGACGGTTCTTCTGGCCAGACACAGAAGCACGCTTGAGGCGATAAAGCTTGAAGAACCCGCCATCCACAACACCAAGGAATATCATACCCTTGTTGCAGATCCACGTCACTCGAGAAGGCGCAGGGTCTCGAGCAAGCCCTGAAAGATGAAGGCGGTTCTCACCCACGTGGCGTAGGGTATTGACAGTACCTGTAGCCGCGCCCATGGACTTACTCAGACCAGCAGCGACAACCTTTCCGCTCTTCACGCTCGCGGCAGATGGAAGCGCAAATCCACTCATATTGGGGAAGGCTGCCCCAGTAGACGGGACACGGCCTCGGACGGCGGAGAAGAAGGGCTGCGCCTTACCCCCTACCAGTTTCATAGCCGCTGAGAGTGAGCTACCGCCAGCAGGCTCACTAGCTAAGTCTTCTGACACAGAGTCAGTGGGTGGCGCCTTAGTTGCGGTTGGCTTTCCACGGCGGAATGGAGGCCATTGGAAAGCACTTCGGGGCAGATCAAACACGTGAATCGTCCCTTTGCGTGTGATGACAGCCAGTCGATCACCCGTTGGCGCAGTCCAAATCACATCGACAATGCTGGATGTAGTTAGGCGTGCATATCTAGCGATTTGTCGCACGTTGGGGGTTTGGCCTGTTTGATCGTCGGCCACAAAAGCCATTGATCGGCAATATTTGAGTTGCATCAGATCCCATACATATTGTACATCACCCTTCTTACTAGCCGTGAATAGCATCAAGCCATTTGGAGACAATGATAGAAAGCTACAGCCGTTGGGGACCTGGAAGGTCGAGACAGGGTGGGTAAGGACGTTTCGGACATCGGTGCCGTCCTCAAACCGCCTTAAATCAATGATAGATACGGTATCAGGCTCGGATGGCGAAGCCTGTGTATCTTGACCATGTGTCGGTGGAAACAAGCCATATCCTTGGGTCTGTGGGTCAGGACCGGGAGGTGGCCGACGTGGAGAGGTACTCCCTGTTTGCTGGGCGTTCCAATAGTTGTTCCATGCCTGCATGCCTTGGTCTCCCATCCAGCGGGCACCTCGCACAAGTTCTTGGGCAACTCCCCGTGCCATTTTATCCAGGAAACTTTCCCCTTCACCAACATCGGTTGCACACGAGACCGAGGGCACCGCAGGGGGACCGCGGGTCTCAATCCCTGGAGCTTTGCCGTAACACAAATTAGAAGGAACGGTCCCCTGGATCGATCCTCTCTGAGACGAGGACGGAGGCGCAAAGGCCAGCCATCTTCCCTGGAGGGCCAAGATGGGCCTCTCAAGAACAGAAGAACGGTGAGGAGAATCCGAGCGGGTTCCCTCTGGATCGGTAGTCGAGCTTGAGGAGGTGGAGTAGCGACGAGTACCTTGTGATTGAACCCCGGTCCAGGTCTTACCCAAGCACTGGTAAGCGCCTGTTTCCGGGGACAGGGCATGTCTGTATACATAGACCTCTCCGCTGACACCCGAAGCCAGGACGATATAAGCCCCGGAGGTGTAAAGTTTCAAGCTACCGACAGCCGGGGGCGCAAAGGACGGAAGACCTGGAAGGGTTTCCAGGCATGGCACAGGCTTGCTTGCAAATAATGTCGAGACATGATCACCAGTCCGGAAAGAATAAACTTCAACTCGGGTCTGATAAAATTTGGTCTCATCCCGTGCACGTTTATCGTTCGAGGGGCCTCGAGCCATGGAAGGAGCGACATCATTTGCGTCCGATGCCGCAGACGAAATATGGCCTTCTTCCTCAGTCGGTGGCTGTGGACCATGAACTATCACCGCCACGTGAGGCCTAGATGACGAGAACGGGTCATTTGAAGAATGACCAGTCAATAGTTTGGCTTCGATCACGCGGCCGTTGATTCCGGTGATTTGTCCGACGAGGCGCGTTCGACGATCCTCAATAGCAAGGATCTCTACTCCCCCGTCAATGCCAACCAGCAAGACATTGTTTCCAGTCCGTGATGCTTTGGGCGATAAGTTGGGCAGTGTATCAAAACTGCAAAACGTGTAATTTCCGTCGGTGAGGGGTCGATTCTGATTCGGAAGAATATCGATATCCGGTGCTCCAAAGAAATGAGCCTGAGGAAGATGAGGGAGAGGATGCGGATTGCCCATGGGGCTTCCGTAGGAGTGACTCTTTCTTCGATCTGCGGATTGCTGTCTCGACTGCATGCTGCTCCGGTAACCTTGACCGTAACCATTCCCGTAGCTTGATGGCAATGTCCGAGTCTGCGGTGAAGCCGAGGATGGGCGACTAAAGCCACGCTCTTGTATAGTTGGAAAGTTCAAAGGAGATGCACTGGGCAGATCCCCGTCCATGAGGTCGGTGGGGGGACTCTTTCCATAGGGCACAGATTGAGCCCAGGTATCGGTGCGAGTGTTAAAGTCTTCACCAGCAGGTTCGTCAAGAGAGTCAAGTGCGCCGAGAGCAGGCGACGTGATAGGGGGGTTTACATGTTCAATAGGGGGCTCAGGGGGAGGTTGAGGCTGAGGCTGAGGTTCACATAGAGGCTCATCTAGATGTTCAGGTAAAACAGGCTCTGGTTCAGGCTCGGGGTCTGGTGCTGCAAAGGGTGACTCCGCCGCCGGCGGAGAAAATTCCGGGATACTGTCCATGTAATCACGCGTCAATGGCGCGCGTTCATCAGAAAGGCAATCACCGGGTACATACTCATCCGGTGGGGTTTCTGCTGCTGCCCTGGCTGCTTTGGCCTTCTTGCCTTTCTTCTTTTTGCTCTTCCCACTTGGTTCATGCTCCGGGATGGGTCTAGGCTGTTCCGGGATGAAGGAACTATCGTCTTCGAGTGACCGGCTGTGCTGGCGGATGAGATCGTCAGGTGCTGCCGGGGGCATTCAAAAGATGATGCCTCGGGGGGAGGCGGTATGGAAGCAAAGGAATGAAGCCGCTCTCAGGACCTCGCTTTGGTCTGAGAACGGGGGAGGTATTGTATCGCCCTGGAAGTTGCCACCGCGACCTCGGTATCACCAGCGAAGTGTCTTTCTGGGGAGTTAGTTGTGTGCAAACAACGATGTTTGGCATTTCTGTGACACACCTGGACAAATATAGGTCCAAACTGTAGGAAAATGGAGGTGGTCTGCAAGCACCACCTAGGGCGTATCTAGAGCGGAGATCACTCTAGACCCGCGGGGAAGCTTTGATAAGAGATAAACACGACAGGACAACAGCTGGAGAGGTTCCAAGCTGCAGAATCAAGAATAATCCAGAAAGACTTGCATCGACGACGCAAGTTGAAGAGTGAGATGAGTCAAGAGGGAAGAAGGATGATGTTATGGTTCGCGATAAGAAGAGGGGGGGGGCTGACCCCGGGTCATCAGTCAGGTACGGGGCTATTAGGGATGGGTATTAGGTGGGGGGTAATCGACCTGAGTCAGAAAATGGGATAATGACCCTCTGAGGTCATTTTGATTGGAAGCGTGATCGCGAGTCTCGGACATTCTTTCTACCCTACTGTTCTCCAATCCAGACGCTACAATGGCCCTTGTGCCTTTGCTTTGGCATATGAGGGGAAATCGTCAAACAGTGCAAACTCCGATAAGGCGTCAGTATCTTCTTAGTCATGTTCCATGGTCCTCTCTTTGAGACCTTTGACCATCGCCTCCTTGCTTTTTTAGCCGTGTCCAGCCGGGGCATTCCTTGTCACTTCTGGCCATTCCTTGTTTGTTTGAGGAATAAAGTTGGCCAACCGTTGAAGCGTGGACCTCGTCATCGTTCAAGGTCACGGGGCCCTGACCATGACGACCTTGGGAGCGTTGGGGCAAATGCGATCTGATCATCATTGGCCATAAGAACCCGGGGACCTTAGGCTGAGTTTCACTGCCAAACTACGCGAGAATCTGGTATACAACGCGATCCCCGGCTTCTCTCTTGCACACTCAGCCTCGGCGCTCATGATTCAGGACTCAGGGATATCGGTACGAGACTGGAGGGCATGGAAAGGTTGGAAGAATGGCGCACAACGGAAACAAGATTAATTATCTGAGATGGGCTTTGATAGTTGCATGGCTGGAGATGGCTGGTGGTACAGAGTGCTCTCAAAAGGCTGCCCTCTCCCCTAGTATAGTGTCCGTGGTCGCTTAGGTCTTCTTCTTGGCCGCAGCCTTGGCCTTGGCCGCCTTCTTCTTGTTGCTGTTGATCATGACAATTCCAATGAAGGTGCCCACAACGGCAGAACCCAGGAGGGTGAGGATAACGGGGATGCGAATGGCCCAAACACGGGGTGGGAAGATGTCGTGAAGAGGATGACCGGGGTCAACAAAGGGCTGTGGAGTAATGATCAGTAAAATCAATGAGATCCAATATAGCATAACATACCATCAACAGGGTCCACGCAGTGTAGTAGAGAAAGATCGCGGTTGCGACCAAAAGCATGACGGATCCCACGAGTTGGCCGAGCTATATGTCACAGTCAGTGGGAATCCCCTCAGATAGTCTTCAGTTGAATTCGCTTCCATACCATTCTGATAAGGAGTGGACTGCGAGAGCAATTAAAAAGAAAGTAAAAGAGCGGCGTCAATGAATGCTGTGCATATCAGGAGAGCTTCCGGCTAGTTGGCAAAAAGGGACCCACGTGACCGCTGAGCTTTCCTCCGTCCCTTGAATCGTCTTGCAACCCCGGCACTGAGATTGACAACCATCCCCTCGGTTCTCTCACATACTCATTGCTTCTGTAGAGGCTTCTCTACACGTTGAAAATGTCCGATTCGGACGTTCTTCAGTCTGCGGTGCGCGTCCCCACGCCTCCCCCAGGTGTGTCGGACTCACCAGCGACAGCCTCTCGGAAACGCTCGCCTCCGTCTCGTTCTCCCTCGCCGAATCGCCGTCGCTCTCCTCCTGGTGATTCCACCCGAAATGGCTCCGATGTCCCCAATGGTGATGCGGAGCGTGCTGATGACAGAGAACGACAACTCGCTGAGCGCGTTCGCGAACATGAAAAGCGCGAAGCAGCGCGCAAGCCGATGACCGAGGAGCAAAAGCAGGCCTCCGCAAAGGCAGAATACGAAAAGCTACTCAACATGCGATCGGGCGGTACCTATATCCCTCCGGCCCGACTTCGTGCGCTGCAGGCGCAGATCACAGATAAGTCGAGCAAGGAATACCAGCGCATGGCGTGGGAAGCTTTGAAGAAGTCAATCAACGGTCTTATCAACAAAGTCAACGTCTCAAACATCAAGTTTATTGTGCCGGAACTCTTTGGTGAGAATTTGGTGCGAGGCCGTGGATTGTTCTGTCGGTCCATCATGAAGGCGCAAGCGGCTAGTTTGCCATTCACTCCCATCTATGCGACTATGGCGGCGATTGTGAACACGAAGCTCCCGCAAGTTGGTGATTTATTGCTTTCTAGATTGATTGTTCAATTCCGCAAAGCGTTCAAGCGAAACGATAAGGCAGTTTGCATCTCGTCTACGACCTTTATTGCACATCTCTGCAATCAACAAGTTGCCCACGAGATGCTGGCAGCTCAGGTCTTGCTACTTCTCCTGCACAAGCCGACAGACGACAGCGTGGAAATTGCCGTGGGACTCACGCGAGAGGTCGGCCAGCACCTGGAAGAAATGAATGCCCCAATCGCTCTCGCTGTATTCGATCAATTCCGAAACATTCTGCACGAGGCCGACATTGACAAGCGTGTGCAATACATGATTGAGGTGCTGTTCCAAGTGCGCAAGGATCGCTACAAGAACAACCCAGCTATAAAGGAGGAATTGGACCTCGTGGAAGATGAAGATCAGATTACCCACCGTGCTGGCTTGGATGATGATCTTGAGACTCAGGACATGCTCAATATCTTCAAGTACGATGCAGAGTGGGAGGAGCATGAGGAGGCTTACAAGAAATTGAAGGCCGAGATCCTGGGCGAAGACAGCGACGAGGACGGCGAAGACGGATCGGACGAAAGCGAGGAAGAAGAATCGGATACCGAGGAGGTGCAAATGGACATCAAAGACCAGAGTAACACTGATCTGGTCAACCTTCGGCGAACCATTTATCTCACTATCATGTCCAGCATTGATTTCGAAGAATGTTGTCACAAACTGATGAAGATTAACCTGCCGGCCGGGTTAGAGCACGAACTTCCTTCAATGATCATTGAATGTTGCTCCCAAGAACGAACCTACTCCAAATTTTACGGTTTGATTGGAGAGCGGTTCGCAAAAATCAACCGTCTTTGGTCTGATCTCTTCGAGGCGGCCTTCGCCAAGTACTACGATACCATCCATCGTTATGAAACGAACAAACTCCGCAACATTGCGCAGTTCTTCGGGCACTTGATCAGCAACGATGCCATTGGCTGGCACGTGTTGTCTGTCATCCATCTCAATGAAGAGGAGACCACATCAAGCAGCCGTATCTTTATCAAAATTCTCTTCCAGAACCTTGCAGAGAACCTCGGCCTGCCAGGTCTCCAAACCCGCTTCAGAGATGAGATCCTCCGCCCAAGCTTCGAGGGCTTGTTCCCCACAGAGAACCCTCGTCACACCAGATTTTCCGTCAATTACTTTACCAGTATTGGCATGGGTGTGTTGACAGAGGACATGCGCGAGCAACTAAAGAACGCCCCTCGCCCTGCAGTCCCAGCCCTCCCCGCACGCGCTTCTCGGAGTCTGTCGCGCACTCCATCCGATCGCTCGCGCTCACGCTCCATGTGCTCAACATGCACCGGATCCCCACATTCCCGCCGCTCTCGGTCTCCTTCATACTCCCGCTCGCCCTCTCGAGGTCGTGGTCGCTCTGACTCCCGTTCACTTTCTCGGGGTCGCAGCCGCTCCTACTCTCGCTCACTCACTCGTTCTTCCCGGAGCCGGAGCCGGAGCTATACCCCATCCCGATCTCGCACTCCGGTTCGCCGTCGCCGTGATGTATCCGACAGCCGATCCCGTACTCCCGCCGGACGGTCCCGGTCCCGGTCTCGGTCTATTTCTCGCACTCCGGCCAAGCGCCGAGCTCGTTCCCGCTCCCGCTCCTACGACTCACGAAGTCCGAGTCGTAGCCGCAGCCCATATCGTCGCTCGGTCTCTCGGGGGGCAAGAAGGTACACTGAGTCCGCGTCGCCCCCTCCTCGGCGCAGACGCGATGATTCACACTCTCGCTCGCCTCCTCCTAAGCGTCGGGACGAATCACGGGGTCGAAGCTATTCGCGAACACCGCCTCGCCGTAGATAAACCAATACTTGTGTGGTAATTTGGATGGGTGTGCTCTGACTGCACGCTCGTGTCAAAATGTTGATAATGGAATGGCTCAAATTCGGGGCGAAAATATGACGCAGTTTCTTTTTTTTTTTTTTTTTTTTTACGGTGTCTGGAATTTTGAAAAGGTTTTAAGACTCATTAGCAAATTCATGTCCTCATAGTGTATTTTTACATTCAGCCATGTCTCCTACCTCCAAGGCTACTGTTCAGCCACCTGCACAGTTCCTTGTTTTTGCCAAACGATCCGAAAGGTTCATCGTAATCATAACTTTTTAGTAGGTGCGTCTATATACAACCTTTGGGGAAAATATGTACGGATGTACTGTGCTGTATACCCAGCTTAGACCTCGCCAGCCTCCCAAACACACCGATCACACAAACAAGTTCCCCCCAAAGCACCGGCAGCCCACTCTCTCCTCTTGACTACCGGCAAGGCAATATCACAATAATGGTTCAGAATCTCCTTATCCTTAGCAATGCCACCAGGCCTGAGATCTTTGACCTCACCCTCCCTCGCCCAAACAGCCGTCTCATCATCCCGTCTCGCCCGGAAGTTGATCTCACTGCTCCATTCCCACGTCACATTCGGATCACACGAATGGTTCGCAAGACACCATAATGGGTGAACAGCACACAGCTCTGGTCCACCATCCCACGTACTCAACCGACCAGATGCCGTGCCACGGAACTTAGCGTATAACGTGTTCAAAACCCATGTATCGAAGCGATGCAGCTCAACGTACGGATCAAGACCCATTTCATCGAGAATCCGCTCCGGTTGAAGAACATTCAACTGGAACGAGAAGGGAAGCGTGGCTTCCTCGGACGATGCCGGTGATTCGAGGTCATAGTCGTGGAAATCGCCCCAGATGTATTTCACCTCCGGCAGCTCGAGCGCGTGCTTTTCCTGCGTAGCTGACATGGCGATGGCACGCCCAACGAGAAGCAGATACAGGTAGTCTGCTTTGTCCTTTGCATCGGCGATGTCTTTGCCAATGGAGTCAAGACCATCTTCTAACCCGCAGATCGCTCCGTGATACACTTCTTGTGCTTTGTCGTGGCAGGCTTGGCTGCAGAAAATGATGTCTACACAACCGCCTTCGCAGGCGACGGGTGGTTGTTCGGCTGACAGATCTGGGAGTGGTGCATTGCATGCGTCACAGAGGTCATCGTGGAGACGGTTTGTGGCAGTCAATAGGGAGGACTCGCGAAGGATGATCTCGTCGGGTGCGATATCATCTTTTGCGAAAAGACCCAGCTGAATGGAGACATCCATGTTGTCGTCTGCTGTGGCATGCAAGACCGGTAAAGAAACTGCGCGGACCTCGCACTTCGGCGCGATGACTGATAGTCTCTCGTTAAGCATGCTCAGTGTCTCCGGGGAGCGACGATCGGGCTCGTGTCCGTTCCACGGGTAGAGAACGCGGCGGGCAAAGCCCTGACCCGGGAGCTCTCTCGGGTTAATGGAGGCCAGGTCAACTTTCGAGCCTGTGCGGGATTCATAGATCTCTTTAACTCGGCCCAGTTGTTCGTTAAGAACGGCTTCGGCTGAGGGGTAGGCTTTGAGTAGAGACAAGCCACGAATTCCGAACTCAAAAGCGTCACGGTAGCAGCCACACTGGACAAGACTGCGGACTAACAAAGTGTAGACTTTGTCGATGATGGCGTCGTATTCTTCCTGGGTTATGGGAACGGTATCGTCCTCATCGTCGGAGTCGGAGTCGGATCCAGAGCCATTGGATTCTTTTCCTGCCTTGGAAGGATCTATCTTCCGCTTTGCGTGGAATTCGCACTCATCTGGGTCAATGACCGATTCTAGAAGAGCCAGTGCACGGTATGCGTCTGCGGAGGCTAGGTCAGGGAAGCCTAGCTTTTCGTAGAGCACTCCTCGCTCAAGATGATGATGAGGGTTATGAGGGTCTGCATAAAGTCTGGCAGTGACCTCATTGCGTGCTTCTAACACTTGTGAGGCAGACATTGTGTAGATTATGTCCGGTGATATGGCTATTTATATCACGATGTTCACTCGACAGTGCAATCGATGGTTGATAACCAGAATAAATATCGACCTGAGAGTAGAGCAGCCAGTCTCAAACTGGCAGCAGATTCAATCCGAACGATTGAATGCAATATCAAGTTGCTATTCAGAGATCGCACCTTGCCCCTCTGTAGATATCGGAAAAATCTATGTTTGCATAGTTTGCACTCTTATCGATCAGACACCGGGTCTTTCTTCTGGTACAACAGTGTCTGACCTTGGAATGAACTTGAAACCGTGATGTTCCTTATATCTATCTTAACAGAAAGGTGTGTCAACTTTGAAGTCTTGCCCAGATGCAGTTGGTTGTGATACTACATTCCATCCATCCGTGCCCCGCCGATTAACTAGGCATAGGCACCTGGAGTCCTGGACAGCATAGACATCGGGATAGCGACAGCACACTTTCAATCCACCAATGTCAGGAATTTGAAAATTGCTTATAATTGAGTGGAAAATACACCTGGACCCTGGAGAATTGAGCGGTGTCACTAGGTGTGGCCTAAGTTTGCCTAGGTGCGGCTTCTGATGAGCACACATCACGCGCCCAAACACAGTCAGATCACCAAAAAAAGGAAAATAGTCATTTACTCCAAAATGCAGCTATTGCGTAAGCCTGAGGACTCATTCTAGCCATTAAAAATAAAAATTACGCCACGCTGTGCATTGAAATCACCCGCCACTCACATCACCTTTAGACCGTCAGTATTAGACTGAGCGCCACGAAGAGCTGAACCAAAAGGACATACCGTGCAGTTATCATCCGCAATCACTGTTGCATGCTCTTCCATAGTATCGAGGACCTCGAGGCCAGCTGCTGCAGCACCCTGTCGCTCTCTCAAGTTGGTAGTCAACCGTGCGAGCATCTCCCTCTGTTTAATAATCGTCAACACGGAATCTAGTGATTGGCCTGGGATATGCCGGGTGACTAGGAAAGAAAACATACTGTGATATGTGCTTCGCTCATACCGCCACGACGCTCAACGTCGTTCTGGCTCATGATTCGGTAGCTTTCATGAATACGCTTCTTGCTTTCGAGACCCCCAACCCTAGAGCCTCGACCGAGGATGTTAGATGCGTTGTCTGGGTCCAGGATGTTGACACCGTTGCGGGCATCCTCTTGAGCATTCCGGTCCGAAGAGAAGATTTTGATAGTGTTGTCGATTCCCGAGGCAGCGATCATTGGTTCGTATGGGTGGCCTGCATTGGTTAGCTTCCGCATTTTCTGGGGAATATGTACTTACCTTGAATGACATTGACTACATCACTGTCACCTTCTAGAATATTGACCAGACTAGAAGTCTTCCGGTCCCATATGAAAAGGTGGCCTGAGTCACTGCCACTGACCACGTATTCGTCATCCAAGCCGAAGAAGTTGACATCTTTCACGGTCTTGACGTTGCAATGTCCACGATAGCTTCGGATATGGCTTGAGCAAGGAGCTTGTCGCTCGACAGCCTCCTGGCGTAATTTGGGAATCACGTAACCAGATGAGGAAGAAGAGTCATCTGAGTCGTACGGATTTTCTTCATCCGAAGAGCTCAGGTGCCAGGAATCAATATCGTCGTCATCATCATCACCATCGTCATCTGCCTCGACAGCATTGGGTTCGCTGTCGCTTCCATCGTCATTAGAAATATCCGAAGAAGGGCCTTCTCCCCGAAGATCTCCAGGGCGACTGTCAGCCTGACTTGAGCGATCACCCGCCCTGATCAATTCAATACGCCGAATCCGTTCCTCCTCCGCATTGGGATCGATATCAGTTTGATCTCTTTCCGATTCACTATCGGAGGAATCCGCCACAGCACGCAATCCGCCAAAAGCATTGTTGACAAACATGTAATTGACGTCACTGCCTGCTTCCATCAATACACCTCTCCCGACTCTCAAGAGCCAGAAGCGTCGCGCAGAGGCACGATCAAGAGAGCGGACGTGCGAAGAAGGATCAGAGATCCTACGTCTGTCAAACGTGGCAGCCGAGTCACCAAGATCCTCCAAAGGTAACCGAGCAGCGTTCCCAAACGCTGTAACGGCGGCGCGCTGAGTGCGGAACAAGACACGAGAACTGTCGTGCTCAAATCTAGAGGCATCGACGTTCACTATTGGAACATCGCGGGCCATCTCCATGAGGTAGGGCACTAGTATAGTCTCAATAGCGTCTTCCTGACTCTCATCTGGAATTGGGTACCGGTCATGTAATCGGCGAGGAGAGTTGTGGCGCTGGAACCCTTTGAGGAGACGCTCCCTTCCACCTTGAAGCCATAATAGGATTGCTCGAAGGAACTCATAGCTGAATTTTGCATCGGGGTCCATACTGTCTTCACCGGGCGCAGGTTTGATCATTTGGAAGATTGATTCTGGCTCTATAGGTTCACTTGACAAAGCATAAGCGAGGGCACCTGATGCTTGCACGAATCTCCACGATGACTGGCGATTTCGTCGAAGGGATTGCTGAAAAGTAACAGTGTCTTGAGATGGGTTCATAGGATAACTCCATTGGCGCATGACTTCATCCATCTGAGGAAGATACTCCATCGCGATCTCTAAAGCAGTTGAGAAACATGCCTCGTAGGACTCAGGTTCGACTTCATCGGAGCTGGTGGCTTCTCGGATCGTCGCTTCAAGAGAGAAGAGAGTCTTGCGGAGTCTGACCAAACCTTTCGCGATATGCATACTCAATCGCTGGGCTTCATTAAGCACGGCATACCGAGCTTGCTCGAGGATACCCTCGGCTGTATCCGGGGCTGTATCCGAGAACGCATGGAAAGGAACATCCTCTTCCTCGCCATTCTCGTACTGTATCCTGAAAGTATCCGGCTCCTCGGATCGACGGCGTGATTGATGCCTAGCACCACTTTCTTGTGACGAAGGTGTTGCGGGCTTCTGGCGCTTGCGCTTTCGGCTCCGCGAGCTGCGTCGGGTTCTTGCACTCTTACCCTTCAGTGTTTTATTTTCTTCACGGCCTTCTCGGGCATCTGGACTGCGAACCAAATCAAAACTATAGATGTGATCTCCAGACCAGCTGACAACCATCTCATTGGGGTTCGCATCACTGATTTTACATGCAGTGATGTGTCCATCGGCGGCGTATTTTGGGTGATTTTTTCCACCAGGTGCAAATCTTCGTACGCAGCGTGTGGCCTTGCTCATCTCCTCATCTGCAGCACTACCAACGCTTGGGGTCCCTGCAGCACTTCTGCTCCCTGCCGACTTGTCACCGCCGATCATGCGTCTATCGTGCAGAAAACAGTGCATGTGAGCACCACCTAGAGCGATGTAGTGCGGCTGGCTCGGTGAACAGGAGATAGTGTTCAAGTCCAGATTGAAGGATTTGTAAGAAATCAATGGGGGTGGCACATTCGAGTCATCATGGTGGTGTCCTGGCCGGTATGACATGAACCCTTGGCCACCCCGTGGAGCAGGATATGCACTAGATGGTAGTCTCAGATCCCATTGGCGAACCTCGCCATCCTCGGAGCATGTAAGGAAGAGGTATGGAGAGGATTCGGTGACAATGCGCTTCACGCGATCGGCGTGGCTGCGATAGATCCTAGCATTGGTGTTGCCATCGGTCAGATATCGTGTATTGTTGAAGAAATCGGTGAAGCGGCGGCTCCGGGCGGAAGACTCGAACGTAGACGTGGTGGAGTCGCTCCTGCCACTGGAATATTCAATATCAAATACGCGCACGGTCGAGTCAGCTGCGCATGTGACCAGAGTCCCGTCATTGGAATGTGGCATGAACTTCACAGAGAAGATGTTGGCCCTGTGACCGGTGAATAGACTGGTATTGAGCGCGAAGGGGGCACTTGAGGATTCGGACTGGTAGGAGTAAATGTTGACATACTGGTCATCCGAGCCGGATGCCAAAAGGCGTCCTGATCGTGACCAACTGCGATGAGGGTCAGAAATGCCATGTAATGGACGATGGGCCATCGATTCACAGAAAGCTGCAAAAGACGTACCTGAGTGCATTCACACAACCCGTATGCCCGCCAAGCTCATTTACGATGTCCAGATCATCGACCCATTCCTTGGACCCGTAGATCCCTCGAAGCCCGGCATATTGGGACTGATCCCCGCATTCCCGGTGCCAAAGGCGATGTCGAAGTGAATTTTTCATAGCCGCTCAACCCGTGGAGTGTGAGAGAAGTTTTCGTCAGGTATGATCAACCATAATGAGAGATAATGATGAAGTGGGGACACTCTTTTTGCGGAGTTTTGACAGTCAAGATAGCTGTAGATGACGTCAGTAGCGAAGCTCAAATAAAGCTCCCATCACCCTGTGTTCGGGTGATTGTGAATAGAGCTAGGTAATGTAGTTTAGGAATAAGCAGACAAAAGAACAGGGAAATATGTAATAAGAACCGGTTTGTGGAAAAGAGAATGAGCGAGGTCGTCTCCAAGATCCAGGCCCAAGCAAACCTCAGGCCCGAATATGACTAATCCATCCAGTTACAGGCAGGTACCAAATAAGCTTCAGTTCGCCGCAAAGGTACATACTACGCTACATTCTATGGTACTGCTAGGTTATTCAGAGTAGTCGCAAATCTATCACATTATAATTCGCCCGCAAGGACTTGGCGCTCTGTGTCGGTGTCACTTTTTCCTCAATTCTATCTCATCTATGTTTGATGCGCATACCCAGGTGGAACTCAGCCAAGACCGTTCTAGATTCGACGGATTATTATAGCATAGCTTATTCCTCCAATGATAGATTACACTTGCAATGGCCTCGAATTTCAAAGTCGTAACGTATTTCTCGTTTCACATAAAGACAGGTTGAGCCTCAACCCGTCTGTCATTCATCCACTCCCAAGATCTCAGCATTATACAACTAGCATCTCCAGGCCCCAGCCCTAGGTGCCCTCGATTCTCTCGGGGAGCCTGAAATTTGACTCGCAAGCAAGCCAACAGCATCTCTCTCAGATCGTACAACATCCGCCTCTAGAGCCCGCAGAGCCCGTATCTCCTGCATCATCAATTGGGTCAGGTCGACCAAGGTCCTCGCTACTCTCGCAAGTGCAGACTGCTCCACACGCTCCACCTGGCCAAATCCAAGGATATCGAGTGATTGGAGCTGTCGAGAGAAAAGTTCGAGCTTGGAACTCAGAGCTTGAACTGGTTCCTTCCAGCTCCGCGGTAAAGGGTCGACGAAAGCGACGTCGATGCAGCCTAGTTCACGGTTCTGGCGGATTTGCTCTGCGTGTGAAAGCCAGGCTTTGAAGGTCATGATAATATAGGAATAATGTCCATTCTCGGCGATCATATCCGACACTTCTTGTAGGATCTGTGAAAGGATTTGAATTTGCTCGGAGAAATCATATGATCCACGATGTTCAGTGCAATTAGATAGCCAAAGGCCCAGCGCATGTACATTGAGTTGGTATTGTTGTTTTGTTTCATTCGCCAACAAGGACTGGTATTGAGCAGCGACGCCTTCGTATTTGTTTTGTAATTGGGACTCGGACTCGGACTTCCATTCCGCTTGCTGCTGCATAGCATTCGAGTGAAACAGGCTGAGTTGAAGGAGCTCAGTCTGTAGCGCAGTTATATCCGGCCATGACGAAGGAACCAGCAGGTTGTCTGACTGAGCGCCGCTCCCAGGGGTCGGCGTTGGGGGCTTTGAGAACTTTTTGGGAGAGGATGGTCGCTGATATGTGGAGATCGCACGAGTACGGCCGGTGGGTGTTGGCTCGACTGGCTTGGTGCTTTGGGTCAATTGGCTTCGGTGCCGCGTATGACCCTTTGCAACTGGTGGAATCTTTCCGGTATTGATGGGCTGTCTTAAAGAAGCAGAGCGCGCGGGACGTGGGGGAGGTAGCATCTCTGTCTTCTTTGGCGACGCGGGTATCCGGGCCGGAGGCTGTATAGGCTGCACGGGCGACCGTCGGCCTGGTAATTTACGGGGCGACGGCGGCGCAAATGAAGGCGCCGAGTTCTTTGATGCAGATGTTGCGGTCTTCACCGCAGGTATTTTGAGCGCACCAGGTCGCATGATACTTTGGCGCCTAGTGGGTGGTAAGACAGGTTTCACAGCTGTCGAGTCTGTCCGAGCCTGCTTCTTTCCCGGGGATGTTTCTTGTCGCGACGGTGAAGGATCTCGCGGGCTCGGTCTGCTGGCTGGTGGTTGAAACCGTACTTGGCCTGTACGGCTATTTTCTTGTGTGTTGCTGCGCTGGGGGAGAGGGATTCTCCCTCGAGCAGCCGGGCCATTGTCTTTCAAAGCAACCTCGGCCGGCGAGGGGGATGGACGGTTGTCATTGTTCGATCGGGAGGGTTCCTTCGAGCCGGTGGTATTTGGAGAGAGTTTCGTAGCGGGTCGTGCGATATTTGAAACCTTCGGCAGTTAGTATAAATCTCCCATGTTCGCAATCTCGGCATTGCGTGGAATGCGACGGCGGAGGGAGCTGCGGTAAACAAACAGAGGACTCACGTGTTTACGGGGTTCGCGCAGCGAGGCCGAACGAGTGGGGATGGGCATCGTCAAAGGTCATGAAGTATCAAAAGACATTATGTGAAGGAAACCGGAAAAAAAAAACAAAGGAAAAAGGAGAGGTGTGTGAGTTCAAGGTGATGTGACGCGCTGATCCCGCAGTTATCCACTCTGCTACTTTTCTACTTATCGAACTCCCGATGATTGGAGAGCTTGATCCTTGAACCCTCAGAGCTATGACAAACTTCAATGATTGTTGCCTCGTTCCAGGCAATGTTTTACTCCTGGAAATTGACCCGTTGATTGGCCCTGGCCCTGGCCCAATGAGTCCTTCCCTTTTCCCTTCCAAGGTAGCTAAGCCTAGTTCACAACATCTGTCTCACCATTGAAAACAACACTTCATGTGACCCTACTACTGGCGATTTGACGAGGTCTGATGCACAGCGCTATCTCGCAAGCTAATAGGTTGCATTATAGCTTATAGGTCAAGTTTTACAAGCTCACTTGGCCTGCCCAAAGACCACAGCATCAACATTCTTCTGGGCGATCTCTGACCTGGACCTCCAGAGATCGACCAGGCTTCAATGAAGAACTGCCATCAAAGATCAAACTCGGAAGCGCCCACACAAAGATGCCAAAACGCATTCAAGACCTTGGTCTCATCTCGCTACAATGTCGCATCGCATATGCAGATAGACTGTTTTTCCTTGTAGGTTATATCCAGTATCCAGGCTCACCATTGGTCGTGGCTTAAGCGGCAACCTGAAAAGCTGTTGGACATCAGCTCCCAATATAGTGTCTACAAACATGCACAAAAACCAGGGATTTTGGAAAGATGATATCTATTGCTAGCTCGGTCTACCGGAAACCACCAGTTTTCTCAAAGATGAAGGGAAAACCTCACTTTTGTAACCACAACTCAGAATAAAAATTGCAATAAACGCAAATTTCCTCACAGCAACGACTCCCACTTCAAGGCATCACTCCTCACAGGCTTCCACGGCGAGAGAATGCGACACCATCGACAGCGGGGTGATCAGTGAACCAGCTGACCTTCTCACCAGCACCCTGGTTGACCAAAGCAGAGGGAAGGCTAGATCCCTCCTCCAAGTCAAAGATTTGCTTCAGGATCTCCTTCTTACCGGCACCAGTCGCCACGAAGGCAATGTTAACAGCGTGGGTGACAACGGGCAGAGTCAAGGTGATGCGCTTAGGAGGCGGCTTAGGCGAGTTTGTCTCAGCGGCGACCCAGGCGTCCTTCTCACGGAGCAGGTCGTGGCCAGGGAAGAGCGAGCAAGTGTGACCATCGGGACCACAGCCCAGCAGGATCAGGTCGAACACGGGGAGCTTGACGGAGTCCTTAGCGGCAAACTCGCGCATCAGATCCTCCTGGTAGAGGTCTGCGAGTTCCTGGGGGTCGTCGTCGTGGACGTGCTTCTCGTCAATTGGGTGGATCACCGGTGAGCCGAGTTCGGCAGGGATCTTGGCCACCAGTTCGTCCTTCAGCAGGCGGTAGTTGCTTTCCTCATGGTCGAGGGGGACGGCGCGCTCATCGGCGAAGAAAATGTGCCACTTGGAGAACTGGGGGTGTCCTCTGGGGTGCCATTGCTAGGAGCGAGGAGGGCTTTGGCCAAGACGGCGGGGAGGGAGCCGCCGGAGACGGCTAGGCGGAAGCTCTCGTGGCGGCTGAGGGCGGAGTTTTGGGCACGTAGAACATATGTGCGCAATTGCTCGGCCAGGGCATTGCTGTTGGGGAAGCTGTAGAGATTGGGCGATGCGGCAGCCATGTTGTGTGATGTATGTGTGGTGGGACGAGGTGAGGGGCAGATTTTCCCGTTTTAGTTTTGGGCCTTGAAGATGTGGGGGGTTGCGATTTGAGCGAGATTAGGCTGAAATGAAGATGCCGACACCGTATATTTATTTGATGAGCTTTAGTGAGGGGCAGGTGCAGTAAGTGCAAATGTACTGAGGAAGTGTCGAAATGTCTGTCAGCACCAGGTATGACGTCGATGGGCAAATCTTATCTTGGAAGCCTCATTCGCTTTCTCTTCTTACCACATCCCACATTCCACATCCCACACATATCGAGATTCTTGCTGCCATCTGCATCGACACCCCATCTATCACAGCTTGCCACACCTTATTCGATCCTCATCTGCATTGCACAGATGAAACGTTGCCTATTTAGGCCTCCCGCATACTGTCGATCCCCTCATGACGGCATCGGTTGAAAAACATCTACACATTCATCTCACGAAGATAGGGTTATATAAGTATGAAATTACTATTTGAAGTAGGCTCAACATCATAGGAAGCCAACATGTTCAAAGGGACGTTGGGGAACGGTGGGAATTGAAGCTATCGGAAGACGGGGCGCAAAGCCACCTAGGCACCGGAATACTACTTGGGTATCGGAATACGTACACAGAGTCGGGTATGTCGGGATGGGAGATAATAAAGTCGTCTGGGGGTTTGCGAGACATTTAAAAAGGTCTTGGGGCCCTCTGAGCCCCTCTCAGCCTGGTGAACTCTATCCCTCTCTATTTAAACGACGATTCCACTACACTATATCACGGGGGCAAAGAACTCAAAAATGCGACTCACCCCCTTCCTCCCTTCTTCACCTTCAACCATGAGCTCCCCAGTGCAAATCCCACAAGATATCCCCCGAATCACTCAAGCAACCTCCCCTACCTTCGATATCGTTCGTTGTTCCCGTTGCCAGCAGTCTCTCAGCCTCAGTCAATCTGGCTCCGGTGCTGTGCAGTTCGGTATGAACTCCTATTATTGCAACCGCTGTGCATCCAAGGTCGGCTTTGGGGGATGAAAGCACGGGCAAATAAAGACAAAATTCCGCTTTATCTCCTTCAACCCACCTCCCGAGTCGCCTGGTCGCGGTGCGACCTTGTACATCTCAATGGTGCCCCTCACTCTCGATACGCTTTCGATACGCTTTCCTTATATTTCCAAATTTCTCGCCTGGGGCAAGCTCTCCAGGCTCTGATATCCTCGACACTGGTCACGAGGAACTCACTGAATTTTTGTTTGAGATGGTTTTGTGGTAGGGGTCCGGGGCAGTCCGGGGCAGTCCGGGGATCCCGACCAGATGCCGACCGAAAGCACTCGTCCCCCGGTGTACGGAGTATGGTACCCCGTGTCCTTTACGACCTGGTGCATTCTGGCTGCATTTCCGATCGAAATCTGCTCCTTGAAGGCCAAATTTCCTTGTATCTGAATATTGAAAGCGCGGTTCGCTCGACTCGAGTCATTGATGTCATACAGTATACGGAGTACTTTTTTTCATATTAATTTAGATACCTTATCTACACTGTATTAACTTGTGCATTACATTTACATTTATCTTTGCTGTCTGAAATATACACAAGATTTGATCTGCCACGGTCGCCACCTACATGTTTGACGTGTTAGAGCGGAACCACGGAGAATGTACGGAGTACACCGTACAGAATACTCCTTGCTCCTCATTCCAAACGATAGTGTCAGTGAACGCGTAGACCTTCTGAATGTTGAATTTCCAAATAGATCGATCAGAGTTTCAGTACGGAATATCAACCGCGGAAATCCATTAAGATCTACGTTGGATGTTCGGGACTCGGGCAGATCACCGTTCTAAAGTTGATGTTCGGCCGGAAAAGATTTTCCCAACTTGAGCTCCTCGGTCTGATATCCTTGTTTTTAAGGACAGAAAGGCGTCAATATTCTGTCTGCACGAAAGTCATATATCCAAACGATCATCCCTGGAGCCCGGTGCTTTGGTCGCGTGTCGCCATCGTTGAGTCTTGTGCTACACATAAGATACGCTCATTCGACTTGCCACATTTCCCCATCTCTAATTGAAAAAAAGGGGGAGTACAATGGGAGATCGATTTGAAGATCTGTGTCAAGAGCCATGAACCGTGTACTTCGTACTCCGTACTCCATACACCGAGCAATAACTAGTGGGAAACTCCAACGCGGCTGGGACCTGCAGTGTGACCCGTACTCGCTCAACATTATTCCCCAGCGTCCGTGCGAGGAAGAGAGAGATGCTCCACTACGAGTTCGTGCTTCCGAGTGATCGTGATCGTACAATATATGTTCGAAGAGGAGGGATCACCTGGGCACGAGTACGGAGTAGTGAATCTATGAGAGGGGAAATGGCACTGACTTGCCGCTGCAGGTACTCGAACACCGTCGAGTCAATAGTGGCAATGTGGCAGAATGTTGAAAAACGATAGCCCCGAAAGAAGAGACCAATAGCCGAATGCAGTTCGTATGACTGCTCATGTTGCAGGGTTCCACTTTCATCGACGATCCATTTCTTAATTCACCTTTCCTTCTTTTTTTAGGTCCCTCTTTTTTTGCTTTAATTATTATTGTTCCAAGAGAATCCGCTCATTGCTTTTTCCCAGGGTGTCTCTGGGCCGATCTGACAATGGGCAAAGACATGCAGAATACATGCAGAAGCCAATGTGATGAATACTTACATGACCGCGCAGGTCCACCTACGATCCGAGTCTAGCGGTGTAACGAGGGCCTTTTCGATCCATGATTTGTTCCCTGCAATAAGCACGGGTACACCCGGAGTCAATCGAGATAGCTCGAGCGAAGATGCCATTTGTCATTTCCACTATGTAGACCGGGGGGAATAGCGGGAGCGTCATGATGTTGAAGTCAACCCGGTGGGGTGGTACGGAGGACCACTCTATTGCATTCATGGCAGAGCTGAGCTCGGGCATGAAAATGACATATCTTAGCATGAGGAACGGGAAAAAACAAGGTGGTTCCTTCAATTTGACTGGCTGCGATGCCTCAGATGGCGTTACTATTCGTTCAAATCGTGCAGTATTCTGGGTCGCGAGCTATGAGAATGCATTATTAGCCCTAAAGAATTAATTAACTTGGGCTTGTGAAACCACGACACATATTCTTAGGCTCTTTATATCTTGCTCGCTCGCAGATTTCTTCTTCTTTGATCTCTATGTGCATATACTTCGAGTGACTGGAATTCACACAGCCGACCTTTCGTGAGTTTCTTTCGTGAATCCCTGTCCGATTTCATTCCCATTTGATGCTTCGTGTTTCATACCTCAATCCAAGGGGACTTAACGCAGGTATCACATCTATAGAATCCGAGCTAACACGGACCTCTTACAGACAATTGTCTTCTGGACTCGAACACAATCTTGGATAAGCCCGACTGTTTTACAACGTCGAATATCTACCATCAGCATCGACTCTCTTTATATTCTTTCAAACTAGCGCCCACTCGGCGCTTAGATATTGTGCATAACTCTATATATTTGCAGCCATGCCATTCCTAGGTCGTGATAAGGGTCGCTCCAGATCGCGCAGATCCGATGACGAGTTTGTGGTTTTTTTGCAAGGTGTACGTTCGAATCTGAAAGCCCACTGGTTTAAAGCTGACAAGAATCAGATTCCATCGCACTGCCGCTGGCAAGAGCTGAAGGATCTTGTGCGTCAAACTGCTCTGCATATCCGTCAAGCGGTAGTATACGACGACAGCCACGGCTTCCCTACTGGACTAGGCCAGATTATCATCAAAAATGAGGACGAGGCCTGGCGAACATATCGTGTGTACTGAATATTTCCAACACCCAGGCCATCTATCTAACCACATTAAAGATCGACTTTCAACAAACGGATGGGAAGGCCAAAGTCTGGTGGTCACGCTCTCGCGAACTAGCACACCCACCAAACCAATCGCCGGACCTACCAGAAGCCCATCTACCATGTCAGGTCACTCAACACCCCCACGAGCCTATGGAAACACAACAATGCCACCGTCTCCAGTCTCACCTGAGTGAGTCAAACGAAGCCCTATCTCTGCACACTCCATCTAACTCGATAGATCCGCTCAACCTCCCACCCCAACATTCACATACCCAGAATACGGCGCCATGATGCCCATGCCGATTCAGGGACAGTTCCTCCCAATGCTACCGGAAATGGTTCCAATGCAATGCTTCTCCCCATCCCCATCAATGAACGGATACGAGCCGCAATGGATGATGCCATACCCTATGACTCCACAACACAGTGGACACACAGCCGATCAATACTTCTACCCTCCGCCTTACAAAGCACCAGACCCTCAATCTCCGTCTTTCTTCCCGGACTGTCGCACAGTCACCCTGGATAATCTCCACCCATCCACCACACCCGGCAATCTAAAAGAGCTGGTCTCATCTGCTGGAATTGTCACGCAGTGTAATATGGCATTGGAAATCGATCAGACTCGTGCATCAATCACCATGCAGACAAACGAAGAAGCTCAACGTGCCGTCACCATGTTCAACAACACGAAGTTCATGGGCTCTCGTATCAGTGTCAGACTTGATCGTGGACCTCCCTCGCGTGGCTCAAGATTAAGTTCCTCCGGTACTGACAGTTTGACATCTGAGAGCGGCGACTCTTTATCTTGGGCTGATGAGATGTGTGGGCTTGAACAAAGGACTTGCAAGCCGCTGGTGATCGATGGGTCTGGGAAGTCGAGGTCGGATATGCTGTGCACGTCTGCTCCGACTTGATAGACCCTTTGTACTATTTGGCTCGAGCCCTGGAGCCAAAAAAAGGCTTTTCTATTTACTTTCTGCTTTGCTGTTTATTTTTACCATATATCTCATTAATCCATTGTGATCTGTCATCCTTGGCGCGTATAAAGTGTAGGATACTCCGTACTCCGTACGGAGTACATAATGCAGTCCTAGCGCAATTACATATCAGAAAACAATTGCTACCACACCTTCTCTTCTGATCATAAACCAAAACTTACCAACCTTGGAAGAAATGAATCAAGCCATAAGTAGTATCTGAAAGTTGAAAAGCCCTGGAAGAGAAAAATAATCAGGACAGGCGCCGGGGGAAGTGCCGTCGCCATTTTGAGCGGCATCCATCGAGCAGACAATATGAGAACAGAGTATTCCAAATCAAACCCTGAAGTCAGAGTGAGAGCACCTCAGTTTTCTTTACAATCTTGAAGACCCAGGAGGTTCGAAGCAACCCCGACGCTGATCCAAATTCGGGTTTATCATGGCCTGAGTTATCAAATACTCTTCATTTCTCCTTGGCGACTAGATACAAGTTCTCATAAGCAGTCCTTTCCAGACTCAACCTTTCTCTAGACTTTAGATGCTCCAGTACATCTCCATCCCCACATTCCAACTTCCAGCAAGTGCTTGACGACCGATTGTCAAAAGCTACCAGCACAGCACCAGCCAGTAGTCCAATCATCCTGGGCCCAAATGTGGGCTTTGCTGGACATTCGAAGGGTACAGACCCAAATGGCATAAACGCTTCTTTCTGAAGCGATGTCAAATTCAACCAGCGATCCGGATTGAAGGTATTCGCATCTTCGCCCCATATGTCACGGCGAAGATGGCAGCCCTCAATATCCGCAGAGAGAATAGTCTGTGACCTCGAGCTTTGACTACATTGGTACACTCGATAAATCCTCCGGGTAGGGGGCATAAACGAAGGCATTCCATGACGAGGTGTTTTGCAGATGGTGAGTTGTTGACATTCGTGCTGCTGTCCTCACCTGAGAGCTGATTCGTCTCCCGCGAACTCAATCCCGGGCTGCATAGAGCAGATGAAGAGGTTCTCTCAAATTCATCCTTAGTTGTTTTCATCGCAAAAGCAACCATAGCTTCTCTCCAATCTGGGTGGACGTTTCCTCTGATAAAGCCAAATTCTAGAACCGCTCTTAACACCACTCTCCACATCGTTTCGAAGGAGGGTATAATGAGGTTCATTGGGTTGTCTTTAGATTGGTCATATCGTGTTCCGAAAACACCAAAAAGCGCTTGTTGTAATGGAGCATCGTCTTCGAACTTGGGTAATTGGTGGTCTTCTTTATCCTTGGAGGCAATCCAAACTCTGTTTATGGACTGTGTGAGGTTGAGTATTCTCAAATCGCTTATTGAGTCCTGATCATGTTTATCGAACATGACTAAGAGTGCGACTCTCATTGTAAGGATTTGAACCATGCTTGCAAGGTTTATCCGGGAAGCAAAGCCGTCCTGTGCCTGGAGACAGGGCCGAAGCAAACCATCGCCCAGGCTTGGCAAGCCTATGCTACACCAGCGCTTTGTGATCATCTTTGCAAAATGAGAAACGGCAAGCCAGTCCGATGAGGCGAGATTGATTAGACTTCTGGCTGTTATGACAAACGGGGCAGCCCCGGCACTCGATGTTTGGGTGAAAGAATTGTTGATTCCAAACGCAACCCCCAACCGACGATTGGCGATTGCTCTAGACCTATGTGGAGATAGCACGTTTGATATCTGCTCGCGTTGAATCACTCCGGCGATTATTTCGCGACAGATCGAGGGATCCTGACTTGTTTGGGGGGATTGTTGTCGATGGCATATAAAAATGGTGTTTCGTTGTCTCAGCCATATGCCACTTAGTATTATCAACATGACATGTGCGATACAAATGGCTATGTCTCGGTCAGAGAACAACAGCTTCTCCGAAGATAGCATCATCGTTGGAAGAAAAACTTCTCAAACCAAAGGGGACTTCTATAGCTCAGAACTTATAGCAGATGTGAGCTTGAGTCACTTGATTGTGTTGTCGTTTGCTCTACTGATTGTCTGACCCATGCCTATTGGGCATCGACCAACCTTGGAAGTTGGTTGGCTGACAAAAAGTATCCATGGATATACCTCAGTGGTACCTGGTTGCAAGAAACATTGGAAGTACTTTTGAGATCAGTAAAGAAACTTATGCTTAAGTTCAGGAATAACTTTAATAAATCCAAAAGTTCACTTCATTCATGTAAAAAAACCTTGTGTACAATCATCAGTCATTCAAACAAGTGTGTATCTTGAGCGTTCGTAACAAATACCCATATCCCATGCCCAGTAATCGAAACAAATGTCGCAAAAAACACCAGAAACGCCAAGAAGATTACATAGGAGGTATTGGCTGTGCTGGTATTTCAGACCAGGCCACGTCTATTTTGCATGGGCAATCATCTCTGCATAAAGATCTTCTGGGATCTTACGCACAATTAGAACAGTCAATGCAATGATCTCCTTTGCGTCAAGAGGTGGGAAAGATCGGAGGATTTTGTTAGGGCTAGTTAAATTAGTATATAATCCTGAAGGTGAAGGGTCATATTTACCTGGGACTTTCGAAAATCATATCACGCATGCGTATTAACTGAGCAACGATGCATAGGATGTTTAGATGTGCGCCATATGCAAACAGGAAGTCCCATAAGTGCAACACCTCTGGTAATGGTGGTGTACAGGCACAAAGAGTCAACACCGATGGAAATGCATACAGCTCAGCATGCATGCCTTTAGAGAAAAGGTATGCTGCAAGCTTGGGCTCCACAATCTCAAGACATCTGTCGACCAGACGAAGACCCTTATGGACTCCGTCCATGGCCCCACGGATATAACCGGGACATTCCCGTGTGACGAAGCAATGGAAGAGAGCAAATGCTTCGACTTCGCTGCGGGTAGCATACAGGAAGGGCGCACACAAGACATTCATGCCCTGGACATACATTGCTGAATCAGTTGTAGAGGCGTTATTCTTCTCCAACTCTCCACCGAATTGCGATGCTGGCTCCTCTGCGATACTAGGCGGCGTGTTCACTAGAAGTTCCATCTCGCGACGTCGGGACGAGGTTGGTCGAGACCGGGGTTTCGGTCGGGCATCATGGAGTTTCCACGCCACTGCATTGAGTAGACGGATGAGACTTGCTTCAGTGACCCGCCGCTTGAAGAGGGGATCTGTCGCTAAAGTGCGGAAAGTATCGTTGCGAATTTTGGCGTAGGCAGGAGATCGACCACGGTGAATAAGTGCAAGATAGTCATCAGTGGGCATGGCGGGAACGTCAAGAAGGATCAACCAGAGATAGATTCTATAAGGCGACTGATGTTTTATGTTAGCTGTCTATCGCCCATTCAAGGTAGAGGATAATTACCATGCCATCTCCATCAGCATCCACTCGGCTGGATAGAACGAGGTATTTGAGCTCTTGTAGCCCTTCACGAGGATTATCACTCTGGGGGCCATCGCGCAAGAAGTTCTCCAATAATGAGCGCTTCAGTCCAATTCCTGATCCTGTTTTGCGCGCGGGCCTTCTCTGTGTTGTAGGTGGTGTTGTGGCAGCTTCACGCGCCGCTGCATCGCTGTTTGATCGAGCTCGTCGATGTGCACGCGCTCTTGTTGCGGAGCCAGGAATCCCGGCCGAGCCAATATCATCATTGGACCCAATTTGGTGGCCTTGTGTCTGAGCAATCAGCGCGCTGGAGCTTGACAGCACTTGGTGAGATTGGATCTTGCGCAGCGTTCGGAGGGTACGGGGCGAGGCAGGTGTTTCAGGGCCTGGAATACCCAGGTTCCAAGAGGGCTGAGGTTTCGTCATTGTGGTTCTCAGGTCTGGATCGGGCGACGTAAGAACATATCGAACGGCGACGTAAGGAGTTTCAAACGACGATGTAAGGAGAACACTGTTGACGGGTGGAGCGTATCAGATCTGGTGGCTGGAGCTTTTCTGCCGACGAAATTGCGGCGTTAACTCCGTCCTACCTCCACGGTTTAGTCCATACGTTAGACTAGTACTTTGTACGGAGTACTTCTGTTGTTAATAGTGATGCATTGTGAAGCTTATTATTACCTATAATTGCTTCCTATGTCAAAGGTATTCAGACAGCCTCCAAAAAAAGAAAGACAATGAATACAGCATGAATTCCCAACGCCCACTCGATTGAAACCCAAACGACCTAGGCATCATGCCTGTGCTGCATCTCCCTCTCGTTTCGCATTATTGCCGCTATCTCCGCCGACCACGCTGCGCACAAAGTCATGATACTGGAAGACTTCGCCCCTCTTGCCCATCCCTCCACTCTTCGAACCCCTTCCAGCAAATGCTCGACGTCCGGTAAACCCTTTGAATACTTCGTCGATTTCCCTCTCGCTCAATCGTGTCTCTCCATCCTCTGGGCTCGTATGTAAAAGAGCATCCCGAAGCTCTGTGATGTCAATTTGACCGTCATCGTCATCGTCGAATGCAGCCAGGGCATTGAGAAGCTCCTGGGAAGGTGACATCGAGGCCATGAGTGCGGACAAGGTATTCAAGAAATTTGGGAAATTGATAGTTTGGCTTCCTGTAGCCGGGAAGAAGCGCGAAACCGTGGACGGCGACGAGTCTTGGCCTATTCATGGTAGGGTTAGTTCCCGTCAACTGTAATATTGAAGAACACATCCGTACCCAAAGTTGTAAGCACGTCAATAACATCATCCTTATTGACCAAGCCATCGTTGTCTCGGTCCAATACTTGGAACGCCTCTCTGATCTCCCTTACTTGGTGTGGGAGGAGCTTTGCAGCTGCATCTCCAGCAGGACCTGTGAAACCAGTAGTCCTGCTACTGGCAATCGGGGACAAGTTCCCTGGAGACCGTGCTCCTTTGGTCGGTGAGGGAGGAAGCTCTCTGCCAAAGTTGGGCTGAGCGATTGGAGATCGGCTTTTGGGAGATTGCGATCCACCATCCTCTACTGTGTATGTCTGATTGAGCTTGCTTGGTGAGACCATAGGGGTATAGCCTCGACCAGGCGAGCTTCCTGGGGTATTGCCTCCACGATTAGCAGAGGGCGGGGAATTCGGCGTAGAGGGTCTCCGGAAGGGCGATGCCCTCGGAGACCCAAAGGACAATGGCGATGGTTTGAAAGTGGGATTATTGGCCTATAGTAGTATCAATTTTGTCAGTAAGGTCTCTGACGTCGAAATTATGGCCTTTTACATACCATAGCGGAAAGTTGTGTTGGATGTAAACAATGACGCTGTTATCGCCGTAAACAAGCAACGATTTGGTCACCGCCTTCTTCACCGCTCTGATGCCCTCGTCCATTTTGTTTCTCGAATTTCATCGCTGCATACGAGATCTCCTCCATAGCAACTACGGAGTAGTGTCCGTTATCTTTGCAATCCTGTAACCTCATTTTGTCGAGATATTGAATGTGCCCAACTTTCTGCCGGTCAGAAAACGTCATGGACCATATCTGCATGTGCAATCACATTGCGCTGTAGATCATCTTCGATGAGATGTATCAGATCTTATAGGGCACTGAAAGGGATGACAAGCTGATAGATCATATTTTTTGCTTAAAGTTATGATGCTGAACATTCTGTAGAGAACTCTTAACAGTATCGCATCCCCCATCTGTGTTATCGGTAGATTCTCCACAGCGGGGAGATCGTCCTTTTTCTTAACCCCTGAATAACCATCGCCTACACTCATTGGCCTAAGCATTGACCATTGGCTCACTGGGTCTGTCTCCGAGTTTCAGATTGTACCCCCTCGGTATGCTTCTCGATTTATAGCCCCCCGGAGCAATCGTCTCAACACATACCTCCGAAGATGGCTACGACGTTGCCATATCGACCGTCAAACGACTCGCTCTCCGCCTCAAATCGTCAGACGACAGGGCTGCCCCGGCTCTCACCAGCCCCCTTCCTTCATCGGCCGATCACCTAGCAGCTCCCACGGATCCTATCGCCGAATATCTACGGAGAATGCGGTCTCGTCCTTCAAGCCCCGCCGTTGTAAGGCGCAATACCCACTCGACTCGCCGGAGCGCCATGTGGAATATATCCTCGTTGCGTCCTTCCACATTGACCGGGGACCGATCATGGAGCACCAGTACCCCGCGGCAATCAGTGGTGACGAGAGCATGCTTGCCGAGTTGATGTTGCCCGATCAGACGCACGTGCGGAGTCAGGACTGGACAATGTTCTTTTTGCACAAAGACACTAGCGGTGATGGGGAAACCGACTCAGTGGAAGGAAAGAAGAAAAAGAGAAAGTCAAAATACCGTGGGAATCAGGAGGGGGCCGACATCCAACACGAGAACTCGGATTATGCATCTGATGACCCAGATAGCAGCGACGACGAGGGTGGTGAAGGGCCACCCTTGATGTATGTGTTGAATCTGGTCAATACAAAGCAGGATAACACGGTTCGGCGGTATGTCTATCTTGATCGCGAATCTCTCTTGTGCACGGGCTAACAACAGGTAGTGGTGCGGTGGTGAAAGCCATGGCGATCTGCACGCGCCACTCGTTCCTCCATATTTATAAAGTAAGCCTCCCAAGCTCTACTAAGGTGCAGCTAGATCTGACCAAAACAGCCCCTCCTTCTTCTAGCGCTAGAGGATTATTTCAAATCGCCGTATCCAGAAACACTTGCGTCCCTCTATGATGCTGTCAATGCCATGGATCTCTCGCTCATGCCGAAAATGTCTATATTGGAACGTCACATTCTGCAGTCCAGCAACACCAAAGACATGTTCCTGGAGAAATTTGAACAGATGATTCGCCAACGGGAAGAAGAAGATAGCCAAGACGGCGAATGTCCGCCATCCCCCAAGAAAATGAGCCGATATGTTTTGCCGCGTGATACACATGAGTACGAGTCGAAGGTGGTCTACAACGACATTCCCATCCCAGTCAAAATTCCCACAGTGATCTGGCCGGAGACTGTTGGTGACTTCTCTCTCATCAAGCTTGTTCAGACGTTTGCTGTCCCCCATGCGACCTCTCCGCAGGCATTCCCTGCTCACCCGCATTTGACGACCAGCGGTCCATTCACACACCCTATCATTGTTCTTGTCAATGCTATTCTCACCCAAAAGCGAGTTGTGTTCCTCGGGCACAACAGGCCGTCAGGAGAAGTCGCCGAGGCAGTCCTGGCAGCTTGTGCCCTAGCATCTGGGGGCATTCTACGGGGATTCACTCGCCATGCTTTCCCTTATACTGATCTTACTAAAATCGACGATCTTCTCAAGGTCCCCGGCTTCATCGCAGGAGTCACGAACCCTACGTTCGCTAACCATCCGGAATGGTGGGACATCATGTGCGATCTCCCCACTGGCCGGATCAAGATCTCAAGCCATGTCGAACCAGCTCCAGTGACAGAGGGGCTTCTCTTCTTCCAGCAGCAGAACTCCCTTCTGCCTAATAACACAAACACGACTCAAGACCCGACAGGCGACACTCTCTTCATGGAAGACATCCTCCGCAGTATAACCCAGCGTCATGGCGAGAATGCCGTGCGTGCCAAATGGCGTGCCTATATCACCAAATTTGTGCGTGTGGCAGCTGCCTTCGAAGAAGCCGTCTACGGCGCCTCGAATCTGTACATAATTGGACCCGGCGAAGAGCTCTCCCCAGATAGCCCCACCGGTCATCAAAGCGACGCAGCAGACCCAACGTCCCTCCGCGGCCATGGCTACGTGTGGACGGACGAGGTTGCCAAGCAGCGCGAGCTGTCAGCCTCAGTCTCCCGGATCGAAGGCTGGCGCAACACCCGCTCCTACTACTCTTACATCCAGGATATCGCCGCGATGTACTTTCCCGCACGCCCAATCCAGCGTCCTGATATCAATCACCACCACGATCGTCTGCGTACTCTCAAACTCTCACATCCAGAAGCGGCTTCCATCTACCTCGCTCTCTCTCATGCAGTCAAGGACTATGCCGGTATTTGCCAGCTACTTTGTGTTGCACCGGAAAACCAGGCTGGTCTTTTCTACATCAGCATGGGTCTTTTCCACCCTGATCAGGTTGTTCGCGAAGCTACTGTCGATCTACTTGACCGCATCGCGGCCCATCCCGCCGGACGCCATTTCTGGACCCAGGTTGGTCGCTTTGCGAAATTGGGGTACATTCGTGTAAAAAGGGAGCGGGACGCTGCTGCGCAGAGTCCTGTGTCCGGCGCGGCTTCTCCTACCATTCCGACTAGCCCGGGTGCTAGCTTTGGAGGGGAGCCGCAAAGTCTTGTTGGCGTTGCTATGGGTGGCAGTATCTCACGAAGGAGTTGAGGTTTTCCAAGTGGATTATTGTTTTGTGTTTCTACATTTGTGAGCGTTTTTTTTCTAACTTTCCTTTACTGTCTTCGCTGGGCCTGTTAGGTCTCAGCACATGACGACTATGAAAATGGGCTATGTTCCCAAGACACGATTCCAATTCCATTCTATAGATGAGCTCTTGGAATACAATGAATATTCTACATACAAATCTTGGAAGGCAGTTCAGATAAAGTATTCAAATCATAAAATATAGACAATAGCACTAAGATTACGTACAGATAAATAACCCCACAAACGCTCTCGCTGACATGAAGCATGACCGTAACCCAGACAGGATTCGGGAAAGAAAAAAGGTCTATAGACAAAACAACCCTGCGATATTCACAGCTAGACGAAGGTAAACGCAAGAAGCGCTGATATCACCATCGCAAGACCAGGTAATGGAACAGCAATCCCGGCACTACCGGTGACAGCATCAGATCCAACAGTGATATTGGTCACCGCGAACCCGGCCCCACAATGTGCATTGATAACCCCGGCAGAAGGTAAATACGTCGTAGCAAGCGACTGACCATCAACCTTGGCCCAACCAGAGTACACATCCATAGTGGACTGCAAGCACCTACTGCAAGTAGGTTTCGAGCCCGCGCTGAGCGCATTGCCCAGCGTCATAAAGTAAACATTATAATCATCCGGTGAAGTGGAATTCAAAGCCGCGTCGACAAAGCAATACTGCTGAGTAGACGGGTTCCTCAAGCATGTCGCGCGATACATGGGCTCGTAGGCGACCAGGTCGCGGTATGTGCCTTTGACGACTGAGTTTCCGTTATGGTAGTCTTCGCGACAGTTTTCATCTTTGAGGAGGTCGTTGGCGAGATCAGTCATGATGGCGGCGCACTTGTTTACATCTTGGGTGCAGGATGAGTTGAGGATGCTGGAGATGGTAGTGTTGGATCTGAGGGCGTGGAAGAAGGCGTTGGAGTTCTCGAGGAGGAGCGAGACGGCGTGGCAGTCTGTTATTGTTTTGTTCGCGCGCCATGCACTGTAGAAGTCTATGCAGGAGGTTGTGTTGGCGAAATTGTAGGCTAGGGTATCGTATGGAAGAGGCATGTCGGTGTCTGTAGTGTTTGATGCCGTGGCGATGGCTCGTGGTGCTTTTTGATGTGTTGATTGTCGATCTGTGACGATCTCCCCACTCGGATGTCTGCCCGACTGTACATTCGCATTTGGCTCCACTGGTTGGGCGGTTGCCATTGAAAGACAGAAAATGGTAATTAAGATTAGGTAGAGGTTGGATCGGGCCATTTTGGCGCAACGTCGAGAAGAAATCATGGCTGGAATACGGCAGAGGTATATTGAGTGATCTATACCAAAGCCAAGGCCACAGGCAATGTCAATGTTGATGCCAATGCCCAAGTCAATTGCCACAGACAATGGAATAGAAAGCAGAAAAGGAGTGACGGTGTGTTTCGCAATTTGAAATGAGTGTGTGGTAACGAGTGTAATAGGAACAAAGCGCCGGGTGATGTTATGACATCGTAGCTGGTGAAGTAAGTGCCCTCCTCCAAAGCCCAACAGAGAAGTTGAAGAAACTCGGGGTTGTTCGAGATCTAATAATTCCTATATCTCGCAAAGCTAAACGTGAGCACTAACAGCAGCCAAGGCCGAGAACCTGGGAAGCCAATGCGTAAAATCGGCGGAAGCAGTTTAGTGCGACTTTAGCAGTTGGTCTAAGACCGGAACAGTCCTGTGCTCACGGAACTAGACCGTTCGGTGGGACTTTTCGGCTCAGGGGCATTTTTGGGACTTCGTCATTTGGCCGGCAGCCATCAGCCCTGGGTTTTCTGTTTTGGGTCATTGGCAAGTCCAGACCGGGGACCGCTGATCATGGCTTCGATGCTTTTTTCTCATTTCTCTTTTTCTGACATTCTCGTGCTGCTCTGTCAGGGTCTCGAGTCGGGCTGAAGCACAAGGTCGAACTGCAGGTGGAATTGTGCAGGTGAAATTAAGGAGGGTTGCGGTCACGAAGCAAGGAGATTTTTGTAACACGAGCCCGATTTTTTGCAGATCGGATGGAGGGGGTCTGCCCGGGTGATGTACTCCGTACTCATTTCACATTGCCATCTACTCCGTGCCATGGGCTATATACTCCATGCTGCTATGATAATTACTTCTTAACTTTACATTCTGTCTATACTAATTTGGTCTACTTCTATACTATCTTTCATCTTCCTAATAGAACTGCGTAGAACATTAATCTCCCCGATAAGCCAATTAGGTAAGAGGAATTTCGGCGGCGAACTTCCCCCACATTATCGCATACAACTCCAACGCTTTCTCTTCCCACAATTGCATCACGATGTCAGATCAATTAGTGCCCGAAACACGGGTGCTCGCCGTGGCAAGTCATGTAAGTGAAGAGCCCACTGTTTTGAGCCCCAACTAATATCGCAACAGGTCGTCTACGGGTAGGATGACCCATTATCAATTCTACATCTCATGACCTGCAACTAACGTTCACCTGCAGTCATGTCGGAAACACAATGGCGACCTTTGTCATGCAATCTCTTGGCTGTGAAGTTGCCGCCTTGAACACTGTCCACTTCAGTACGTTGCGTTGCAATCATGACATTGGCATTCTGACTCACGCCAATTGCAGGTAACCACTCTGGGTACCGCCAGCTCAAGGGAACCCGTGCTACTGCACAGGAGATCTCGGACCTCTACCAGGGCCTTTGCCAGAGTAACCTCACTGATTTTGATGTCATGCTATCCGGCTATGCCCCAAGCGCAGCAGCCGTCGAGTCCGTAGGAGCCATTGGAATCGATCTGCAGCAAAAGGCAGAAAATAAACCAGGCTCCTTTTTCTGGGGTAAGAATGTCGACCAATATTACCTGTAAAATTGCTGACCAATCCAGTCCTGGACCCGGTCATGGGTGACCAAGGTCGTCTGTACGTGAACGACGATGTAATCCCCGCTTATAAGAAGATCGTCCCATTTGCAGACCTGATCCTGCCTAACCAATTTGAAGCCGAGTAAGTTGCCCAATCAACCTCTTTGACTCTTGCTCATTGTACCAGAGTACTCTCCGGTGTTCAAATCACTTCGCTGGAAACCCTGGCTGAAGCAATCACCGCCATTCATCGCATCTACTCTGTGCCCCATGTCATCATCACTTCCGTGCAACTCTTTAAGCTCTCCCAAAGTGGCTCCACACCTCCACCCCCAGAGAACTTCTTGACAGTGATCGGCTCCACCACCAAGTCCGATGGGTCCCCACGTATCTTCCGTGTGGACGTTCCAGCCCTAGACTGTTTCTTCAGCGGCACCGGCGATATGTTCGCTGCACTGACAGTCGCCCGACTGAGCGAGGCTGTCTCGGATACAGGCAATGATCTACGTGCTACTAAGTCTTGGGTCTCTCCCGATAGTGTCGCTGCGGTGGACCTGCCGCTTGCCAAGGCTGCTATTAAGGTCCTGTCTAGCATGCACAGCGTGTTGGAGCGGACGCTCGAGAGCCGCGATGCTGAATTGGCAACTGAGGTGCCGGCGACGAATGAGCAGCTTTCTGAAGAGGAGGCTGCTAAGAGGGGTTATCTGCGTCGCACTAAGGCTGCCGAAGTGAGGCTCGTGAGGAATACTAAGGTTTTGAGGGACCCTAAGATTCAGTTCGAGGTACAGAACTGGCGGAAGGAAGATCTACCCAAGCATTTGCAGTAATTTTTTGTTTCAAAGGTTTATTTTGATGGGTTATTTGTTTTGCATCATGTTGCATGATAGATAGATGTCATCAGTCCCCACAAGGGGGATTTCGGAGGCCTATTTGGCTTGTACATATATTTGATTTGAAACTCATGGAAGGCTGCCCATATGTTCGGTCTGGCTCTTCGCTTTCAATTCTTTCGTCGTAGTCAATCACATATTAATCATAACCAGGCATCTAGTCTTAATTTTTATCCTTTTGAGGATGTTTTGTTCTTAAACACCGGTGCTGCCGAAACCACCGGCACCACGCACACTCTCCTCCAGTTCCTCGACAACGCTAACCTCGGGGGTGTAGATCTAAAACGGTCAGTATAACACCGGATCAATGGCTAGGATCAAACGTACTCGCTCCAGCACAAGCTGGGCCACACGGTCACCCGCCTTCACAGGGAAATCGACGTCAGAGTGGTTAAACAGAAGCACCTTGACCTCACCGCGGTAGTCAGCATCAATGACACCGGCACCGGTGTCAATGAAGTGCTTGGCGGCAAGTCCGCTACGGGGCGCAATGCGGCCGTCTGCAATCTTGTCAGCAAATTGTCTCGACTTTTCCCAGACCACACATACAGGTTCCCTCGGGCACAGCGATAGCAATGCCAGTATCAACGCCGGCCTTGCCCTTAGCGGGGATAACAGTCTCCTTCGCAGCGTAGAGATCGTAACCGGCAGCAAAGGCCGAGCCTCGGGTCGGAGCCTGCGCGGTCTCAACGAGCTTCTTCACGAGAAGTGGGGGCAGCGGCTGCTGAATTGAAGTCACGGCGGGAGCAGTCATGTCGGGCTTGGAGCGTTTCGCGTTCGGGGAGGCTGGCAATGAGGGAGGGTTGTGAGCGGGCTTGGTTTCGGTTTCGTTGGTCATGGTACGGAGAATGGAATATGTGAAAGTAAGATCAATTGGAAGTGGATGGTTTGGTCAAATACCCCACTCTCAAGCAAGTGATGCCCCTAGCTTTTCCAAAAAATTGCGGTGAGCTCCACGCGCGCGCGCGGTTCACCGCTGCGACGCGACGTTTGTCCTGTTTGTCCTGTTTGGCTTTTGCATCCCCGCTCTGAAGCGGTGACGCCGAGGACAAGCTGGGGCCGAGGTTCCCCGGTAACATTGGTCGTCGCATTTATTGCTTGCATTCCCCTGTACGGAGTACTTCCCGTGCGGTTAATACTACCTCAAATACATATTTGTTTTCCTTTCGCTGTTTGTTCCTTCTCATATCTTTGCAATCATGGCGGGAGAAGTCCGTCAGCCTATAGATATTCCCTCGTTGGAGCGATACATTGACCAGAATGTGTCGGAGATCAAGACTCCTCTCGAGATCAAGCAGGTAAGTCTTGCCCAGTCAGTTCTATAACACCCAGACTAATGACCTGTTCTTGTAGTTCGGTTTCGGTCAATCAAATCCTACCTATTTGCTCACGGCCGCCGATGGCAAGCAAGTCGTGCTTCGCAAGAAGCCCCCCGGCAAGCTGGTCTCGAAGACAGCTCATAAAGTCGAACGCGAGTACAAGATCATCCGAGCATTAGGCGATACCAACGTCCCTGTTCCCAAGGCGTACTGTCTATGCGAGGACAGCAATGTCATCGGGACACCTTTCTACATCATGGAGTTCCTAGACGGGCGACATTTCACCGACCCAGCAATGCCGGGCGTGAGTGCGGAGGAAAGACATGCACTGTACGTCACTGCAAACCAGGCCGCATCGAGGACCACCCATACTGACCAAAACCGCAGGTGGAAGAACGCAGTACAAACCCTAGCCAAGTTCCACAGCGTGATCCCCAAAACCGTCGGACTCGAGACCTTCGGCAAGCCGACAGGCTTCTTCGACCGCCAGATCGCAACCTTCACCACCATTTCGAAAGCGCAAGCCGCCGTCGTGGACGCCGACACCAAAGAGCCCGTTGGCGAACTCCCCCACTTCGACGACATGGTCACCTTCTTCTCACAGAAGTCCACGCAGCCCAAAGACCGCGGCACCCTCGTGCACGGCGACTACAAAATCGACAACATGATCTTCCACAAGACGGAGCCGCGAGTGATCGGCATTCTGGACTGGGAAATGGCAACGGTGGGCCACCCGCTGTCGGACTTCTGTAACCTGACTAGCCCCTACACGATGGAAGGCGCCGATAGCCAACTGTCACAGTTCAAGCCGGGGGTTGTTCCAGGCCTGCCGGGTCGCGAGGAGTGCATCCGCTGGTACGCCGAGACGTCCGGGTACGAGACTGGCTCTGACGTCGCGTGGGGCGACGCATTCTTTGCGTTCCGGGGCTCCGTGATTATGCAGGGCATTGCGGCCCGGTTTGCTGGGCGGCAGGCTAGTAGTGCCCGTGCTGAGGATTATGCCAAGCGGGCGAAACCGTTCGCGGAGGGCGCTTGGGAGAGAGTTCAGGCTGTTAAGAATGAGAGCCTGAGGGGGAAATTGTAAGTAAGTGGCTAGCTGTGCCCAGGTGCAGCCCTGGAGGTGGGTGGATGATGTTGGTGGCTGGATGGGCTCGATCTCTCGGTATTGTGTATATACGAATATACGAAATCACACTTTAACTCTTGTACATATATTAAATGTCCTCAGGATTATTTTCTTTTTTTTCTTTCTCTTTTCTGCTTATTTGTTTCCCGAGGTCTGTTTGGGCCCTTCGCCTATCTTAGCTTCATGCATGTTTGGACATCTAGATCTGAATCTGACCCGAATCACCGATTACTGTCTAGTCCGAGACCGATATAGTCTTGGAGAGGTGATCGACCGATGTAGGAATGATTTCCAAAAGAACATGGTATGAAACAGCAGAGCAGAAGTACAAGCATGAGAACCTTGTACTTCTGACGCCTGACGTGGTGTCAGCACTTGACCCGATAGGGACGAAGGGCCTCGACCACCTTATAAGATATGAGAAAAATATGAGATCAGAAAGCAGATGATTCCAGGGGGCTTATGTGAAACCAACAAAGTTTAGGGCAAAATAGTCGGCGGTTGCAGTGTGATTCGCACAGCAAAGAGGGGGGGAAGGCCAATTGCCCTGCGGCTCTACGCGTTAAGTGAGGCTGAGGGGGGTGTGAAGAACTCCACTTTCTTCTCTTTTCCCACTCTTACCGGTAAATACCACGTATGGGTAATTTTTAAGACATCAAGTGGAGAGGGTTTCGGGTGGTGTCCGTGGAAATCAGCTGCTCTTGCCTATAGCCCGTAGACAGTATTTAGTTAGGGGAGACCGACTATCCTTAGCAACGGCACTAGTATCATGCACAATGGCATGTCACTCTCCAGGGCTCTTGTTTAACGAGGCTCTGAAACAACGTGGGCCGGCCGATCTCCTTGCCGCAGACAGCGCCTCAAACCGGGAAAAGTGATGATCCTGAGTCTGACGTGGGAGTTCCTCGTTGAAACCGGGATGGAAATTGAAATTGTGGGTTAGCAAGTGGGAAATAATATAGCCAAAATAAAATATAATCATACTGTAAATAATTATGATAAATAAATTTCAACACAAATCAGAAAATGGCGGACGGGACAGAACAAGGAAATGAAATGAGAAAAAGAGAACAGACCGTTGTGGGCCTGCACAACGGTAAAAGGACTGGGGAGAGTGGAGAGAGGCTACGACTTTTAGGCCAGTTGTACTCCCCCGGGTGTTGACTCCGAGGAACCAGGAATAGCGGTGGGGTTGATGATTATGGTGATGATTCTATTATGTGGATATAAGTGAGTGTGTGACAAGAATAGGTCCAATGGTCGGAATTAAATAGATTAAGGAGTATATCACGATCTCTCTCGAGGGTTTATAGACAAGAAGAAGTATTTGTTTGTACTTGTACTCCGTACTCCGCGGTAATGTGACGGTACTCCGCACGTACCATACCGGTAAGGACTCCACCGGCTGGTAATTATCCTCTTGATGGAGCCCGAAGAGAGAGCCGCATCCCCCTCGACGTTTATTCTCCTTTTTCTTTTGCTTCCCTATTTTTTTTGGTTAATTTTTTCCCTCCTTTCTGTCTCGGACCTTATACGGTTCTCTATCTCTCTCTCATCTCCTTTTGAATCATCTCACGTGGGGGAAAACGTGAGATCGGAGTGAACTCTTCTGCCTCCTGCTCTGATTTCCCTCCCTTGCGGAAGCGAGGAACTATCATCTGGGATATATCATCTGCAGATGGGCGCTGTGACATTTGTTCTTTGAGCCTCACGGGACCCATATCGCTACCCGTCCACCTTTCCGCTTGGGTAAGTGCACTTGTCTTTCTGCGGAGGTTCTGCGCTTGTCTTAGATTCCTGTTTCTTTTCTTTTTGCTTTTTGCTTTTTACCTTTTGTTTTCCCTCGGCCTTCATCCATACTTGATACCTCTTACCCTTTTCCCTGTTTCCCTGTTCTTTCCGATTCCCTAAGTCTTTTGGGTCCTTGTTCCTTGTCGATTGCTTTTTTTTTTTGAGCCGCGCTACTGTTCTCCGCGTCTGGAGCAACCCCTCCTTCTCCGCTCGCTCTCTTTCCTCTCTCTGCAGACGGCCACTCGCATTATACCAGAGACTCGCCTGCATTGTTCAATCCGATTCTCGGATCATACGTTCTAACTCAAACTCTATAGGCTTTTCTCTCCCACCTTCTGATGTGTGATTGCCTGTCAGATCAAGCAGATCAATCACTATAAAACAGGGTGCCTGATGCACCCACTTTTATTATGACGTCCACTATGTATGATTCGGATGAAGCTTGTAATAAGTCGCCACCGCTGGTAGCGATAAAGCCCAATTATGGAGACAAACCGTCGACACCGCCATTTGTCGACCCTGAAAAAGAAAAAGTGGCCGATGCAACGGGTCAATCCCGTAAGCACCAGCCGGAACCTCAGCGCTCAACCTTCGAGGGCGACCGAGTGCTGATGGGGTATCTAGCACCGAATTTACCACATATTGCTGAGATTGCAAGAGTTTCGCCCTTGGAGCCATTTACCAGAGACCGGAAACAGCCTACTCAACCGCCAGATTTCTTCATCAAAAAGCCTACTCCGGTTGAGCTGGCTCCTCGACCAAGGGAGCCGGAACATGGAGCCCCGCCTCTCATTGGAGTCACAGATCCTGAAGGTGCCACTCCATATACGCAGGCTCCGCCGCCTGATGGGATTAAGCGGGAGATGGCCCCAAGAAGTCGATATAATTCAGTCAGCGAGCTCCGACGACCTTCAGCAGATTTCACCAAACACTCTCCAGAGCTGAAACATCGACCTTCATTTCCATTACTACAGCCCATCAAATCGCCTGATGCATTCAGTCAGACGAAACCACCCGACAGTACGGGCAACACTCAACCACTACCTTCAATTCACAAAGCTCTCAGCGCATTGTCCGCCGACTTTGGCCCACCCCCAGCAGTCAACACAATGCCGTCCCCTTATCCATTCTCCCCATTGCCCGGATCTGCAGCTTCCGAGGCTAATTCCCCATACCCTTATTCGGGAAAATTCCCCATTGCCGCAAGTCCTTATGCTCATATATCCCCGGTGAGCATGAAGGATAGCTCTACCAATCCTTCTCCAGCTTCACACACTTCGTTTTGGCGCGCGCCAGCATCTGAGATGATGTCGGCCCAGACGCCATATGAGGCGTCGCCAATGACCGCCACAAGCCCAGCGACCAGTTATCCCACGCCGACAGAACAAGTCGGCGTTGGTATGGGCGACCGGATGTCGCTTGTCACGCAACCTAACGGCGGGCCCGTAGGTAGCTATAAGTGCACCCACCCAGGATGTACGGCTGCGCCGTTCCAAACCCAGTATCTCCTCAAGTAAGCAGCTGAAACATCACACATACACAAACAACCTGAGAATGAAACTTACAATAAATCCTCAGCTCTCATGCAAACGTGCACTCGCAAGACCGCCCCCACTTCTGTCCGGTGGAAGGGTGTCCGCGCTCTCTCGGCGGCAAGGGCTTCAAGCGCAAAAACGAAATGATGCGTCACGGGCTAGTCCACAACTCCCCGGGCTACGTCTGTCCCTTCTGTCCAGACCAGCAACACAAATACCCGCGCCCCGATAATCTTCAACGGTTTGTACCGCCCGTAATCCGAGTAATCTGACATCAGCTCACAGACTCTCACAGACACGTCCGTGTACACCACGTCGACAAAAACAAAGATGATCCCATTCTCCGTCAAGTCCTTGCTCAACGCCCTTTGGGTAGTGCTCGAGGTCGGAAGCGAAGAATGAATAATACTATCTAACTCCCTCTCTCCCCCATCCTCTTCCTCTCTCTCTCTCTCTCTCTCTCTCTCTCTCTCTCTCTCTCTCTCTCGCTTCCTCATACACACTCACATACACTCACATACACACACTCTCCCCCTCCCTCGCTCATCATTACCATCCACAGCCTCTCGCTTACATTTGCCATGGTGTTTTCTAGCTTTAGCACCGATGTACCACATCTACATGCCACGGCGTACTGCGTTTTCGCATTGTATTCACGCGTGATGAATTCCTCCTGTGATACCTCTCTTATCCGCCCTTTTTCCCGCTTACCCGCCGTGGTACACGTACTTTTGTCTCTTTTGGTGCTATGATACCACCTGTTTCTTTGTTAGATGTTCATGTTACATGTGTCATTCGTTAGCGTTCTACTTTTCTATACACTTGTCTGATCAATCGATTGCCCCGTGTGGCCTCATTCTCGATTATGCCGTGCCGCTGCGTTTTCCTTCTCAAAAAGCCTTGACACCCCTGTAGCATCACTCTTCGGGATCTTCGGTGGGAGGGCTCTGGCGATGTCATCCCACCGCGGTCTGAGCTGGGTCTATTATTGGATTGGGGCTCCAGGCGGCTGCGGGGGTTCGTTTTTGGATTTCCCTGGGTACTCGTGCGATCTACGTGCAGCCTATCGGGCACACATACTTGCGTGAAATCTTTCGAACTCTCGGACCCATTATTCTGGTTATCGGGATACTCATAGGGTTCGGTTTTCTCACGGCTGATTATCCACGTGTCAGTGCTTGGTCGTTCGTGATAGCTTTTCAAGTTTTTTCCATTTATTGTAGCACTAGATTTGTGGTCTCCGTGGCCCTCTTGGAACTGGTGGATGATGAACTGCTTGTGGAACAGTCTCCACAGTCTCGATGGGTGGACTTGTGATGGCGAATATAGGCGAGAATTGGCACAGATTAACACATTAGTGGGGCTCTACGGTGACGGAACCTTCGGGGACAGTTGTAAGCAAGCTGAAAAAGAGAACACATAGAGCGCATAGATAGCTACCGTGGTGTCTAAGGTAGCACAGTGTGATGTTTATACTTGATAACAGACACTCACTTCCCGGCAGGTAAAAATGACGGGCAAGAAAAAAAGAGGGTTCCGACTGTTGGGCAAGCGTCCTCGAGTATCCAGACTCCTCTCTTTCAAGTCATATCATCCTCTATTCAAGAAAATTGTCGGAGCCCGTGTCGGAGCCCTTGGCTGCCTGGTTTGTCAGGCTCCCAGCAGGTGGATGGCGTAGATCGAGAGCTCTCATCTCCCTCTCGTTCATCTCTCCCTCTCTCTCATCTCTCTCTATGCTTTCTCTCCTCGTCTCAAAATACACTACATTATATTACATATTTTCTCCCTTTTCGATAATATGTCATTTTTCCCAAGTAAGTTGGAACTGAAGCTGCTCAACTCGACAGATCTTGGCTGGTTTGAGATTAGGGTTCAAGATCCATATCGAGACTAAAAATCAAGCCCCCCTTCCCCCGGTTGTCCGTTGCCCAGGGCCCTGAGATGCACTGCTGGTGTTCTAGCACATGTTTGATTCTCTGATCTGCTGGGCCCCCTTTGTTTCGAGGGAAAACGAGCAACCAATACGCTTGACCATGCCATGGTGATGATCATAAATATGCTCCAGCTTGAGATATTTCCATTGCAGCAAGATATCTACAAGCATGTTCAAGTCTCGTCCAGGCCAGCGTCGAGGTCGCGACCGAAATAGACTCATTGGCGGCTAAGCGGCGGAGAAAATGGGGACGATCATGCCGCGGTTCTTGTGTGACTTGTTTTGAACGTTTTGATATGGGCGGATTCATTGAGTATCATACTTGATAGAGACGGGGCGGGGGTTCTTCAGCCCCGGACAGGGGTACGTGTTCAGCTGGGCAGCAACAGCGCTAATATCAGTGTTTCATATACTGAGAACCTCGGCCATTCTTTCACCACGGCCTACTCTGTAGTCTGTCTATCACCTTGCGTGTTTTTTTCTCGCCCTGGCGATATGAGGCTATTCAAAAGCAAGTTCAAAGGGAACTCTCATAATCAAGAACAGAATCTGTGAGCCATAAAAGAGCAATCAATGATACAGAACTAAGCTTACTGTGCCAAGATATTCTACTGATGGTCCTATGGGGATGAAGACACTCTATAATCCTTCCAATGCCGACCTCGAGTGAGTCTACTGTCTGAAAGGCGTTAATGGGTTGATCAACACCTCGAAAACTAACCTCCAGCAGCATAGTCTTCGTTCATGGACTGACCGGCAACCGAGAGAAGACGTGGACTCACAGCAATGGCACATTATGGCCTCGAGATCTCCTGCCTAAAGACTTTCCCAGAGCGCGCATCATGACTTACGGGTACGACGTCGACGTATTTAGGTTTTCGACAACTTCCTCAGATCGGCTATATGACTGCGGCCAGTCATTGGGATATTCAATTGTCAGCGAGCGAACCAACTGCTCGACAAGACCAATACTCTTCATTGCCCACAGTGTAGGAGGTCTGGTATGCCAACAAACATTGGTACTCAGCAATACCATAGACGGACTATGGCAAATATCATCATGTGCTATTGGAGTCATATTCATGGGCACGCCGCATTATGGGTCTTCGATTGCCCTACATAGAGAGAAACTCGCAAGATGCCTGGGAACGTCTCATTCCACACAGAAGGAAATGGACGGGACATTTTACCCGGTGTCGAGCAGCTCTCAAAGCATTGGGAATGATTTCCAATTCATGTTGTACCGCGGCGATCTTTCTCTCAGAATATTCTGCTTTTATGAGGCCTTTGAGATGAATGATGAAGTGGGCAAGATTGTGGAAGAGCACTCTGCCGTTTTGAGGGGGCATGAAAGCTGCAGCATTGACACAAACCATGCCAATATGACCAGGTTCCGGGGGAATACTGATGGGTGTTATCGTCTTATTCGGTCCATTATATCGAGGTGGCTTCAAGATCCGGATGAGATGTCTGCAAATAAAGCGTCGGGTTTTGTCGAGGAATCTACACTATGCCCTACCTGGCTGCAACCACTTGATACAGAGCCTTTTTCGGCCCCGTTGTCTGCCGAATCATATGCAGATTTCGGGACTTGGCCTGCTATTTCTACCCCTGTGACCTCTGAAAGATCATGGCCTGTGAATACGAACCATTTCAATGAAGTCACAAAGACTGAGAGTTCAATACAGAGACAACAGTCAAATAGGGACACGGATTTTAGGTCTTTCTGATGCACAATCAGCCACACAGTTTGCACTAGAGGCCCCGCTCCTTTATGTGAAAGCTTTGTCGTGTGCGAAATTCGAACCTTTTGCCATATTTTGCATCAGCGTTGCATTGCTCTACGCACTCCGGGCTCTCACGACTACCACTTTATCAATTCATCCTTAATTTTTCACCTTGGGCCGCGGCTTGTTTCACAGGGTGCAAAGCCGCCAACCTAGATCCCAGCCCTAATGATACATTTTGGACCAAGCAATTCTCTCGTGTTCTTTACGACTGTGCAACGGCAGTTAAGCTTCCAACATGGATACATTCACGGCCAGGTTCGGTCCTTTATATGGCTACGTTGTCGTTGGGTGGCTTGTCCTATGCTAGAAGAAAATGAAAAGCCAGATGAAACCTCGTATGCGCGTCGTCGCATTTCGACTTCAAGTCTATTTCTGGGATAACCTAGTAGGTAGACAGGAGGGGCCATCCCTACATACGCCTGGGCAATATCCAGTAAAATCCGGATCAAAATCAGTTTGCGGCTCTTCGGACGAACTCCACGGACTAGGACCTGTGTAATCCATGCAAATATTGGACTTTTGCTTTGCACCTTGATGTTTTGAATGATGATGTGGGATAAAGTAGACTTCGTTCATTTGGTTTTCCTTGGCTGATGTTATTGGTCTTATATTTCCATACCCATGCAAATGTATGGGGCCAACATTATGTTGCAGGGCTTAGATCGATTTGGATAGCAACACTTGGGTCGATATAATTAGTCGATTCTCGTCCATATGAGTCCATGAATAGCATGACAAGACACATTCACTATTGATAGATTTATTTACTTAATTAGAAAGAATCATGCTTTCATCTCGTCGACCCCGGTTCTACGGCCAAGGTGCGCAAAGGCTCACGGTGTTACGGGTCGCAGGCCTGATTTCAATCGATTCTATCTACATCAAAGTATCACGGGGCCTAGTCATGCCCGTTGGAAACAAGCATTTTATTGGCTTTCCCAGACAGGGACTGTCATTCGCCGTATTCAGGCTAGCACAAGGAGCCAGACAAGTACGTTCTGTTCATTTGCCCCACCAAATGAAAATCATCGATGACAACATACAGAAGTCCAATGTGTCTCTTAGCCACTGCAAGTACCCTTACCCGGCAATGCCATGGCCAAAAGGACTCTCTATTCTCTAGGATTCAATGTATCCCTAACGCAAGAGAGAGTCCTAACCCTTTCATACAATGTATAACCACCTGCCACCTGTACAACAACAACAAAGATTACCGGTGTTTTCAAGGTTTAAGTCCTACAATAATCGAAAGCGTCCGAATGTTACAACTTATATAATAGATAACCTGCTAATCCCCAACGGCAAGTCCACTTGTCTTTATCAAAATTTTGATTGACTGCAACGTTCCTCAATGTTCCCCAGGTGCATCTGAGCCTTGAAACACGCGTCACCTTACGTGAGTCCTTTGAGGGCCCCGGGGAAAGCCAATAGATCCAGTTTCAACAGTAGCGCTGAGGTATCGGTTTTATCCACATAACTTACAAGGTTGGACTCCGTAGGTAGCAGTCGACATCCTAGCTGAAGCAACTCGAGTATACTTGAAACTCTTGTTATAAGACTTGGCAAGAGATCAATTTCATCATATATTTGAGAATATCAGCGCATCGATACAGTTTGTAGTCTTCAAAAGGTTCCCTGTTCATGTATCCAGTTTGTTTTTATGCTTTTATAGAACAAAACAGTCAATTCTCACCAGGAGACATAACCACCCATATCCATTTCGCCAGACCCTAATCCATTTTACCTGTTAGTACTCATACATCGCTTTAAAATCAAAACACATAGTCACATAGTCCCATCGTTCCATCATGTTCAAAGACATCAATTCCTTCACGCTTTCCCCTTCTGATGAATCCGCCTAACATGATCCTTCATGTTGTCGACCCGACTGAACACCTTTCCACAGCCGTCCCATTCGCAAATAACACCAGGATTATGTTTCGCCTCGTGGCGAGCACGATCCTTCTTACTGCTGAACCCATTCTGTGTGGACTGAGCACACTTCTCGTACCGACAGAACAGATACTTCCGGTGGCGGTTGAAATGCTTTCTCAAATCACATCCCCTCTTGAAGAGAAGCTGTGAAGAGCACCCTGGGTGGGCGCAGCGCCATAATCCATCACTAGTCGGGATACCGTAATTGCTTAGATCGCTTGCGTTTGAGGCCGAGCTTGGAGCTGGCGGGGAGTCAGGGTCGGAGAGAGAGCGGGGCGGCGAAGAGGATATCGACACTGTTGTTGCGGTCGAAGGGTACAGGTTTGTATGTTGACATGGACTGGAGCGTGGGATCGAGAAGAAGGACTCCGGGATCGGGTCGGGGGTGGAGCGGAAGTTGGGCATGTGCCGTGGAGCCATTGCTCACTTTCAGTCACGTCGTTGAAAGTGAAGTAAGGCTCTGTGGGAACCAGAGACCCTATGTCTGGGAAAGATTGGGGTGGATAGAGATCCTCCGTCGGGGTGCTGTCAATGCACCATTTGCCGATTTGCTGATGATTATATCCTGACATGCTGGGAGTGTTGATCGCTGTCGGCAAGGCGCCCGAGCGGTCATACGCTGGCATGAATGGTGCGTTGAGTTCAGAGCCAGTGGGGGCTTCGAAGGACGACATTTGAGAGGAATTTGAGAGAATATCTCTGTTTAAGACCGTGGGCCATGCAAATGGAGAGCTGAATGTTTCTGCTCCTAGCGAGCCTCGTCTTGTGGATTGGTGGCTTTCCGGGGCTAAGAATGTGCGCTGATCGGGTCTGGAGAACATAAAGTCCCACTGTTGAAGGCTGGAGGGCTCAGAACTTGACGCAGTGCCGTTGGCGATGCCGGTAAGGCCTCCCATGTTTTGAGGCTGGAGAGCATCCGAGTACCTTGCACTGTCAGGTACAGTATTGTACATTGTTCTCGATCGCCGGTGACTGGGGTACATATTGGCCGTTTCACAATCGAGAATGATGTCGTCGAAAAAAACTTTTCTTCTTGGAATAGAAGGGAAACATAAAACTTCTAGTCAAGATAGTTCCAACGTAATTTCTATAAGAAGCTGTCTTCTCATATCAATTGGTGTGTGGAGCAAGTCTCTTTTGAGAGGTTGGACATGAACAGTTGGCTATGCACTGGAAGAAGCCTGACCAGGTCGAAGACTAAAAGCGTTATAAATTGTTGGATGTGTTATGCGGAGCTCGTGTTCAAAGCCAAGACACAACTAGACGTTATTTATGAGTATGGTAAGTGGATGGGGCAGTGCTGTAAGAATATCTAGGCGTTCCGTAATAGGAAGTGAAACGTCGATGGATCTGCGTTATCTCATTATAGAATTAACGATTTCCAGGCTCAGCCTTCACACTGGACAGCTGATACGGTTCCCTCAAGAATTGGGGTCCAAAATTCAAGGTGATCCAGAATGGATAACTAGGGCCGGGGCGGGTGTTTCCTTGGCATGATCGGCAACCCAGTCAGAGCTTGCAGGTACAAGTCTGCCATTTGTGGACATATGGAGCGCCCCCCAATGTGGAAGTAGGGCTGAAAATGTAAAAGACCCCCCAACGTGGTCCCAGGTATTTCTTAGACCAAATAGAATAGGGTTTAGTGAGTCATTAGACATGGACTATGTAGGTATGGCGTCCATACAGAGTCTGCAGGAATGTCTATCTACTGGTACCATTGGCTCGTACAAAAGCCACCTGATGCCCGGAACTCCGGGTTGGACCAGGACCCCACGCCTTACAGATGCTGAAACGACGTCTATTTGTATACAGGATGCCCCTCAAACACGTGGAGAATGATCTGTTTGGAGCCTCAAGTGTACATTACACAGATAGACTGTCGGTTGTACGCATGAACCTCAATTCCCCTCATTCATGGACTGGGACTGGGATAATTCGTGACCCAAATCACCCTGGTCGAGTCAGCTTGAACGTAACGTTAAATCAGGAGGTAGTATCTCTTCTGAGTCTTACTGGGAGCTGGGGTTGAAGATTGTTCGTTGATCATTGCTTAAGTCAGGCATCAGCGCGCGGGCGGGACTAGACCTCAGATCCACAGAAAACGGCATAAGTAGGATGTATCAGATGCATAGACTTCAGCCATGGTAGTGCCGAAGTCTGACACCGACGGCTAACACCGTCAATGGGCCTCGGACAAGCCGTAGTGCGTGCGGTGATAGGTTGGAATTGAGAATCTAGTGCTTATCCCTGTTCTTGACCACTCATATTATTGTGTGGAGGGGGAAATACGGGGCCCCCTCAAACTAAGGAGCGGTGTCGTTGGGGATCTGCATGAGCCTCACACACAATTTGGAATGCTTCGAAGAATCAACATGCGGTCATTGTTTGAACTGTAACGATCCCATTGTGTGACACGCCATGCGTTATCCAGAAAAGGCAGCCGGGCTATGTCCATGGGTGTTTCAAGAATGGCACGTTATGCGCTGGAGGCCAGCTTGTGAGACCGGTCTCCAATCTAAGAATAAAGAATGTCTTGCACTTTAAAAAAAGAATCGAGATCGCATTCCCCAAAAAAAAACAGTCTATCTTGCATGTTAATCGTGACTTGCCAGCAAACCACCTATGGCCGTTTAGATGGCCCAGGCTGAGTGAGATGGTTGGTGATCAACCGCCCCCACAATCGGTTGTCGACCCTTGCTGCTTCAACAAAAATAGAGGCCATTCTCTAATGTCTTAAATTCGGCCCCCAATCTGTGGGGCCCTTTCCAACGTGGTCCCCAAGTATTCTCCTTCATACCCGGGCTTCCACGCTATCATCTTGTTCAACCAAGAGAGGTGTTTGTTCACCGGGTGCAGGCGCTAACTTCGGGTCAGGACTATCGCGATATAAAAGGTAGTGTTGGATACAGAAGACTGCATCAAAGAATATAGTGACATTCCCAAGCAGCAATTTGACCGGGTTACCGGTGATACCGCTCCAGTCACTTTGCAGGCTCGAGTCAAGCACAAGTTGGATCATTGAGAGTACACCACCAGCCAGGTCTAGGATACAAGTCCCTATACTCCAGCCAGCAGTGGACTTTGTGGTATAATTCAACCACACCTGGGGTATGTACTTCACAATGGTGATGAGAAGCTTGATGTATGAGAATGAATAAATCTGATGATGGTCAGTTCTCTTATCCCGTTCCATAGTCTGATTTTTGTTCCAAGTTCGACACGGGAATTCGAAACACCCATTCTGTACTTACCACGTCGATCCATGCCCAGGAAGAAGCATCATACCCTCCATCGGGACTTTGCAACAACACGATGCCCGTCACCAAAACGGGGGTCAGGACGCTGCCCCACCAGATGAGGGCCATCGACCAGCTGACCCTCTGGAAGCGTCCGACATGAAACCCCCAAATCAATGGCCAGAATTGTGTGTAGAGAATGGAGCTCAGGACCACCGCGTGGGCTGCAAATGCGAAATCATTGAACCGTACAGTTGGCTCGGTGGCGACAGGATGCCGGGCCGCATACTGCGATTTTATCGTTGGTGAGTAGAGAAATGCGGATGTGTAGATGGCGTAGCTGATAAAGCCCAGTGGGTTGATGGTGGATAAGTCAATAGAGAGCCCGATTGTAGATTTCCGCTCCCAGTTCGTAAGGGGTTGAGGATAGAATGACCCGGACCAGCAGAGCATACTGTGGTTCTGTTAGCTTCCAAGTTGGCTCTTCCCGAGGGTCATAGGATAAAGTTGTATACTTACTATGCCCACCCCAAGAGTCTGTGAGGTAGATAAGATTAGAGTTCTGTTCATTTTGTTGGAGGCATATGGGTAGAGAGAATTCACAAACCGGGACAGAGCTCTGATGAATGTTTCTAGTTGGGGTGTCATCGTTGGTATAAGAGGTGTAAAAGGTTCATTGCTCCATGGGTGGGAAATCGGAGGTCATCTCGCACGCGATCGCGACTCCGGATCAGAACATCGCAGTGACCGTGAGCGCCGTGACCGCCGCCCAGACCCGCGCCGAAGATCCACTCTGATCACATGACGTGAGATTATCTGATTGATTATGTCATTGTTTCCATCTTGATTACTAAGGGTCTTCGGGTGGCTCGACATGTGACTCGCCAGTCACCTGACAAAGGTGGGTCCACGGCTGATCCACGGCTGGTTGTCGGGGTTATGCGCTGGTGTAAACACTGGGGAATCAGTCAGCCTCTTGTTGTCGTCCCTCTCTTCCCTGTGTGACGCTATTCCACTTCATATCCACCTCGCCAGGCGCTTTCTCAATCAAATTCGTATCTCCTATTTCGGCTCTGTACGACTACATTTCCTCACTGTCCTTGCGCTTCGTCTCAATTGCATACCTCGTGAATATTACCTCTCGACACCCTGTGAAACATTCGAGTCCTACCTTATACAGCTGGTCAATCAACATTCAATCCACCTGGTATCAAGCATTCCAGTCGTCTTCCTATCCCGCTGTCGCTGTCGCATGGTGCATTCCTCGGATCGGGAGATCGTGAAGGATCTCCTCCGGTAAATCCGACATTCCAGACCGAAGATCGTTGAGCATTTCGGCAAAAATCTACACAATGTCAAACTCAGATCTGGCCGCTGCTGGAAGCAGTACATACGCCTCGAATACCCTTCATGTTGGAGATGGAACTTGGGACTCGGGGCGGGACACTTTCCTGCTGCCCAATCTAATGGGTGTTAATTTCGAGACAATGCGATACAACGGTGAGTCTTGTGCCTTTGAGAGCAAACATGTCTCAAGGACAAGGGTATGACTCTTGTCAGAGCTCAACATAACTGACACGCCACAGGCATGGGTAATCGTTTCAAGGATATGGCTGGATACCATGCCCTAATTATTGCGCACGGCGTTATTGCAACCATCGTCTTCTTAGGCATCGTCCCAACCTCCGCCATAATAATCCGATACTACTCTCGGTGGAACCCATATTGGGCATTCAAATTGCACGCCTGGTGTCAGGTGTTAACCCTACTCTTGACGACGGTTGTATTTGTGCTTGGGTGGTTCGCTGTCGGGCCGGCACGAAGCCTGACCAATCCTCACCATGGGATAGGTCTAGCAATATATGTCATCGTCATTTTCCAGGTACTTTGGGGTTGGTTCTTACACAAGAGGGAGAGCAAGAGGCAAAGACTTCATGTTCCCATGAAACTTGTGGTGAGTTGTTCAACCAGCGAGAGTCAAGTCGGATTTACTAATTCATTGCAGTTTCACCGATGGTTAGGTCGTGCTCTCGTTATTATTGGCATTGTTCAAATTCCTCTTGGGCTTACCCTCTATGGCTCACCCAAGGTACTCTTTATCTTGTTTGCCCTAGCAGTCTTCGCCTACCTGGTACTCTACTTCATTCTTTCCTACAGATATGACGAGCAAGGATATCACATGGGAAGTGATCATGGTGGTGGACACAGTCATTACACGGGACCATCAGAGGTCTCAGAACCCCACAACCACCACACAGGGGAGGCTCTGGCTGCTGGGGCTATGGGTGCTGGGTTGGCTTCCATGTTCCGACGACGTCCACGCAGCCGACATGCCAGCCAAGCTTACGAAGATTCACGCACGTCTCTGTCTGATGAGAAATATTCTGATGAGTCTTCACGTCACAATGGCGGCGGCGGCTTTGGTAAAAAGCTGTTGGAAATTGGCGCATTGGCTGGGGCTGGTCTCATGGCAAAGAAATTTTGGGATCGTCGAAAGAAAAAGGAAGAAGACACCGAGTCCGGTCGTTATAAGCCGGCACATTCTCGCAGTCACAGCTACTCAGACGAATCCCTGAGCCGACTGGAAGATGGTCGACCAGAGCCGACCCATACTACGCCTCTAAATCGACCACCCAGTCGTGCACCGAGCAGATCACAAAGCCCGGGCTCGTCTTACTATTACAACAGCACCTATTTCACTGAGCCGCCCAGGCGAGAAGCTTCTCACAAACTTCGAGATACGGCTGCGGGCGTCGGTGCTTTCGCCGCCGTCAAAAGATTCTTCAGCCGCAATAAGAAGGACGATGCTGAGAGAGAAAGGTTGGACGATATCAGACGTCGCGAAGATGAAGACGAGACGCTGCAAAGAGCAAATAGCAAGCGACGACCTCAGGCAGGAGAGAGCTTCTATCCGAGAAGAAGGGCCAGTTCTTATAGTGAAACCGATCTCACCGAAACCGATCTGTCTCGGCCACCACCACCCCGACATGCCCCGCATGGTGAATCGGTTATGACTGGAGAGCCGCTTGCCTCGGGCGCTGTCCATAGCTCTGTGTCAGAAATGCCTCCCATGCCACCTGTCCACCATCATGGGTATTCTGGCGATCTACCGTCAGAGCGTCCTCATTCACGCCACTCTATTCCCCACGACGGATCAGAGTTTGCATCTGGTGCGGCCGCTGGTGCCGCCTTAGATGCGGCCTCTCGTCGCAACAGAAGCAGCAGCCGGCGCCGAGAAGAGGATGTCGCCTCGCCACCTGTTTCCGTCAAAGTGAAGATGCACAACGACGGCCGACATGTGACACTCCGCCGTCTTACTGAAGAAGAGGCAGCCGCAAGTCGTGAAGCCCGACGCAGAGAGCGAAGAAATTCACGCCGTCGCAGCAGCAGTGCAGGGTCTCTTTCCGGCAACGAAGACGCCGGTTACGACCGCTGGCGTCGTGTCGAAGAACTCGAACGCCAACAAGAAGAGCAGATGCGCCGTGAACAGGCAGCAGCTGCTGGTGGTCCTTCGGCTCCACTTGTTGCTCCTTCGGGCCCTAACCCTGCATCTTCATGGGCTGCTCCGCCCTCCCAAGTCAGCCAGATGCCACCACCGCCACCTATTCCCGCGCCTTCCAGTATGCCTTACGGCCCTGGGAGCATCACCTCACCTCCCTATACCGCCACCGAGATGAGTGGCTCGTATGCAAACAACCGTCGACGCAGACGTGCAGAACGAGCCCGAACTCGTCAGGAGAGACAGCAGCAGCATGGTGTTGAGTTTACTTAGTCTCCCTCTCTACCCAGCTGTCTCTTCGACTATCTTCCCCCCCCTTTATCTTCTTGTGTCTATTCAGGATACAGCTTACGACATGTACAAAACGACTTATGTGCTAAAGCACCGTGTTGATATGATGATCCCTTTTCACGGTCCCCTATGTCTTCCCTTTCTTGAATGTGCTTCGTTGCAACGACATGATTTTCTTCCCCTTAGCTAGTTATCACAATTCTTCTTGGCATGCCGGCGATTGGACGGATATTTGGGTCAATTGTTTGATTTTTCTTATGCATTTTTTTCCCCCTGAATTTTGCCAACATAACTGATCATAGGAGAGCATTTTTGGCACTATGTCACTGGCCTCGCGTCTTTTTAGCTGAACACAAAACGAATTTACCAATTTCAGATGGATTAATGTTTTTATTTGTATACTGCACTTCCCTTCAGTGCTAAACATGAACTGTGTCCTTGTAATTTATAGCTTAGCACCTGATCCCAAACGCCCTGGTATCACCAAAGGACCACGAGTTTCCAGTGGCAAACCTTGGAAGATTACTTATAGAATGTAATCAATATAGAAGAGAGGGGATAAGTCCTTTGCATCCTGGCAGCGCTGGCAATGGGTCGTGGCAGCTTTCGTCACCTCGACCTCGGGAGTCCCCAAGGTTCCAGTCAAGAGTTAGTCTTCATGGGGAGTGTACGAGAGCTGGTGATAACTGAGTGCTACTCCGCACTGGGAAAGTATGAGCGCCACAGCATTTGTCCACAGAAAGACCATTATAGTGAAGCAGGAAAGCATCAAAGTGCCCGCTCGGGTGCTTTCCAATTCATGCTTCGCTGTAGACAAGAAACTCAGCGCAAGCCTGATTGCCATCCTTGGTACCTCAAAATCAGCCCGCAAGACCAGATGCTCAACGGTGACGGGCCCAAATGTCTGCTCGAAGCCCCAAGGAAACTGTAGTGAGATACACCTGGGGAGATCTGTGATGTCTGCTTTAACACTCCGGAATTCGCAGGCGTACTTTGGAGTCCCCACGGCAGACGACTCGATTTTGTTTGGGTTCCTGTAAATCGAGAGAGAAACTTTGAGGTGCTGCTTGTTCTGTTGCATGTCGTGCACCACGGTCGATTTACTGATACCAGGTGCAGTTTGGACGACGTCAAATGTGGCATCAATCGCAACTTTGCTCGCATCACTTCGGGTCGGGGGTGAGACGTGGTTCCGCTCGGAAGGTGAGCTCGAAAGTGATCGATTGCATCTATCAGTTTGCGGTGGGGTCAAAGTACCTAGAATCTGGACCTCAAACGCGGGGTTGCGAGAGACACGCTTTCGGGGTGTTGGGCGACGGGCGATCCTCCATTTATCGCATTGCTTCTTCTGTCGATACGTGGTGATGTAATCCCTCTTTCGCTCAATCGAAGGCAGAGGACGACGCGTCAGCCGAGGAGGTGAAGATAGAGGTGAGGGCAGAGGCGAGGGAACAGCGCCGAATCGAACATACCTTGCCTCACCGGTATTGGCAGGCTTCCTGAAAGCACTACGATTTGTAAGCTTTCCATGGGCCTCAAATACCGGATCGTTTGATCGTTCAATTTCATCATCTCGGCGAACAACAAGACGCTTGACTGGTGAGTCGCGGAAACAATCGAATTTGAGTTCGTCGATCTGAGGGACAGGGCTTTCCTGCGTATTCTCCATGCCACAAGGAGGATATTCGGGCGTACATTCTCTCACGCTGTTCGAGGCCGGGGTATTTTGCGGATCCGCGGGCTCACTGAGGTTGTCGAGCAGGTGGCACCTGTCCACAGCGGCATCCAGCTCGAGTCGAGGACACTTCTGGCCAACATTGAATCCACCAAATGACTGGCGAAGCTCGAGAATCCGATACTCGGGCTTTGAGCTACTCTCCGATCCCATTCTGTCAGGTGGCCATTCAGCAGCCCCATCAAATCCGGCAGCTGGGGCCGAAGAGATAGAAGCGAAATCGCCCGTCAAACATTGATTCATAGTGAGCCGAGTGTCAAACGCACCCAAAGGATCTGTCTTCAATGATGATGTAGGGGCCATGGTTGCGCATTAGTGAAATCGAAGAAATCGGGGAGGGGGAGAGCCGGAGTTGAGCCCGGGTTATCATTGGGAAGGCACGATCCTAGATTCGCAAAAGTGGAAAGACAGAGATTGACAGTCTCTAGAAAAGACAAGAATAATTAGGGGGCAAAAGGTGAATTGCTATAATTCTACAGGTTGATGGGGGGTGCGATAATGGTATGTACATCAAATCTATTTGACGTGAGCCTGCAGGGTCTCGAGAACCTGTGGGGAAGAGATTAGCATCCAGTCATTCAGTTTGTTTCTTGAGATGAGAGTTCATACCTCAAGCTCGATCTTGGCCTCGGCGATGTCCTGCTCGCTGCCGCTGCCGCTGGCGATCTTCTGAGCCTCGGCAATCTGGGCGCGGATGGACTAACGAGAGAATAAGAGTTAGCATTGTTCGAGATATTGTAGAGTAAAACATACGTCAGCGCTGAACTCCTCAAGAGGGAAACCCTCAACAGCGTTGATGCTGAGCTGGGAGTCGGGCTGGACAACGGCGAAACCACCGGAGACTATTCAACAGCATTTTAATTAGCGAATCGGTTTTCATTGGCATGGGACCATGTTTGCGACATGTCCCTGGGCGCGAAGGTCGGACGTACGGAAGTACTGCTTGCTGGCACCGCTCTCCTCGAGGATCTCAACGAGACCGGGCTTGAGCTGCTCGATGGAGGGAACGTGGTTGGCGAGGACACCCATGTCACCGGAGGCGGCGGGGATGTTGACCTGGGTACTGTAATCGCGGAGGTCGGTCAGTATTTAGGAAAAGGGCGAAGGCACCGTCGACGCGGGCGCAGGTGGATGTTAAACATACACGCCAGTGGACTTGTAGATAGTCTAGAGCACAATTGTCATGTTAGCATTCGCAAGTCGAGTAGGAGACGGTTGCCGGGGTTGGTTCACGCACCTGGTGAGGAAGGGTCAGGGACAGCTTGATCTTGTCGGCGACGGCCTCAGCGTAACCACGGCGCTGGACGGGAGCACCGAGGAAAGAAGGGCGAGCCCGGAGGGCAGAGCGAGCGAAGCGGAACGAGCTCATTTTGATATGGGGAGAAGACGTGCAAGGCTGGATTATCCCTCTTGAAGTTGCGTTGCAAAGGTCGAAGTCGGAACGCCGGTTGTTCCCTAGCGGCTGGTCACGTGGCACGGGAATCCAACGGCCGAACTATGGCCAGCTTTACTCTTGTTTACTACAACCATTTAATTCGATTTCTTGGAGTGGATTTAAGAGGGCAATGTTCTAATGCATTTCAATTGCATGGAGCTTCAAGAATTATGTCTCAGCAAGCCATTCCGCTGATTCTCCCAATCAACCTTGACTCTGAACACCAAGTCTGAGCACCTGACTCGCTTGTTGAGTCATTGATTCAATTACCAAGGTGGCTCTTTAGTCAAATAGAACATTCACAGGAGTTATTTCCCTGAAGGTGAGTGATATTGGTGAAAGAGCTACTTGATGCTTGCTGGGGTAGATCCAGTCACGTGCGGTTGAGCTTGAAGTCACGTGGAAGGAAACGGCAGAATGGGGCTGGAGGAGAAAATTGAAAATTTTAAGAAACCCTCCATAGTGAGCTAAAACATATCGAAATCTAGATGCTTTGAAACAATCACTTCGATAAATAACGTAGCTCTCGTCATAGCTCAATAATATGACGTTGATTAGGCGCAAGCCCCTAAGTAAAAGCCCGTAGGAGATGTTCTAGTATGTACACCGCCCGATAAGCGAGATCCCACAACGGAATGAGCCCTAGCCGAGCCTCTTAGGCCTGACGTCCCCAGTTCCCTCTCCTCCCCATCCATCCCACCGTCAATCAGCGACAACATCCGACAAGATGGCCAGTACGTGACCCTTTCGATCATACGATTTCCGCTCGTCTGCAGGATGGTGGAAAAAGGAAAAAAAGCGCTGTGTCGCTGACATGATTTTCACCCACAGAGTCCAAGAACGCGTCCCAGCACCACAACAGCCAGAAGGCTCACCGTAACGGGTACGTTTACCCTTGAATATCCCCGACCCTATTTCCGGCACACCTTTCCGCTTTTTCAACGGTCGAAACTATGGATTTTAGGGACGGGTTGGTGGTGTTGAATGGGTATCCGGAGTGGTGATTCGGGGCATCTCGAAAATATTCACTCTGGCAATTGATTCGCCCCATTACATCCGTCTACTATTCACCATTCTACACCAGAACCGAGTCGCTGATAGATTTCCTCGAACAGTATCAAGAAGCCCAAGACCAACCGTTACCCCTCCCTCAAGGGTGTTGACCCCAAGTTCCGCCGCAACCACCGTCACGCTCTCCACGGCACCATGAAGGCCCTTGTATGTTCCACAACCCGACACGACACGATCGTGATGCGGAATACTGACCCATTGAACAGAAGGAGCGCAAGGAGGGCAAGCGTGAGATCGCATAGATTACGAACAGTCTATAACAAAAATGGGAAACATGAAATGCAACTCGAACGCGCAGGTCCAGTGAACTTAACGGGTGCGATCAAGGATGGTCCGCTGTGTCGAATAGGCCTGGTTTCTGCTTATTCCTTGCGCGAATCTCGAGTTGTTTGATATCGAGAAATCAACAGGCTTAATTCGATGTGCACAGCGGTGCCACTTTCCCAGGCAGAGTCTCTTCTGCTTTATCCTATTTTCTCTCGTCTCGAGGGTTGGACTTCGGCTACGTTGCGGCCCTTGAGCTTAGGCTCTTCTCTTCCCCTCCCCCATTTTCCTCTTCCCCAAACGGCATATGTGTGTACAGCTGCGTGCTTTTCTCATGCGCGATTGCTGAAGGATTTTTTCTTAACGTGCCAAGAAAAACTGTCTTCGATTGCTATATATCCTGTCTTGATTCTTCTCGATCGTGACAGGGTTCATAGTCAGGAGGGCTACATTCTGTAAACCGTAAATTTCTTATATACCCATGATCAATCAATCTATACGTTCATTTCAATCTACATTCGCTCTTACACTTGAATTGGGCAAGCATACCCTGTACGTCATGTCACCTTTGCGTGGGTAGAAACCTTGGAAAAGCAGGTATCATACGGAGTACATAAACTAGCTATACCTTCCAAACAACCACCCGTTTATCAAATGCGCCACTGATAACCCACTCTTCACGCACTGAGTTACCTCCTTCTTGGAGGACATCGACATATCCGGACCAGACAGTTCGTATCTTGCAGCCTGGTTCGTGGCCACCCTTCAGCAAAGCAACAACCTTTCCAGTCTTGGTTTCCACACCCCTCACCACGCCATCTTCGCCATTGACCCACACTCCAGATCCATCGGGTCGCCATGCCAGTTGTGGCGTAGAGTAAGCAGTCTGTGATGCGAATGTATTCGCCTGCACAAGAATGGCGGCGTCTTCGCGATTTTGAATCGCCAGGCTTGCCATTGCTTGAGACGCTTGGGTAATTTGATCAACTGTAGTCGAGCTGTCTGTCTCTATTTTCGCACTTGGGAACAGCAATCGCACGATCATGACCTTCATATGAGGCATTGTCGACGTAGCCACAGCCAGTAGACCAGGATCATTCGGGCTGAGGGCCATATGGGCAGGTGAGAACGCAACCCATGTATTAGAATGGGGAGCTAGGTTTTGTTGTCCAAGGAGTCGAGCTTCTCGGGGAGCCTCATCAGCCGGGGCATCAGCTGCTTCAACTTCGTAGTAATGGATGGAAGTAGAATCCCTGCGCGAGACCAAGAGTAGAAGCTCGTTGGTATCCACATGCGACACGAACAGAATTGATTCCGGGTTGGAAACGAGCTTGATGCGTGCAACAGGGTTGCCAATCTTCAGGGAAGAGGCATTACTCTCCTGGATGTTGAGACAATATAGAAGAACTGTGGCATCCCAGCCTGCAGTGGCAACCCACCACTTGGACGGATCAGTCTTATCTTGGTAAGTGACCACCTTGACGGCATACTTTGCATGATCCTTCCTGCTGTCCAATGTCCGGGGTCCGTGCTGGAGAAGCAGCTTTCCGGACATATTGGTCATGAGAATGTACCGTCCTTGAAGGATGGACACAAATGATAGCACGGGTGAATCAGATACACTTGGTAAGGAGCTGATGAGTGTGTTTCCCTTTTCTGTATTGAGTAAATGGACTTGTTTGTCCGATCCAGTGGAGACGATGTAGGATTGCCCTACATCATCCTCATCATCACCACCACGAGGGTTTTGCCATTGCTGTACAGATACCGCAAGCGGGTTTGCCGATGTTTTTGTGTCTAGAACGACAGGCTTTGATGGCGCTAAGAGTGGGTCAGATCATGAAGTTGAGTTCCACGTAAGGATGGCTTGTTGTGCAAACCCAGATCCTGAACACGAAATTAAAATGAAGGCTAGAACTCACCTGGTTCACTCCATAGGCCAGACTGTTCCTTGTCTTGACCGTATCGCTCAAAGTTTGCAGTCTGATCATAGGTCTTCTTTTCCTCGAGCAAGCTTTGGATGGTCCAGTCATTGATACCGTCTGGGCCCTGTCCCACATCAGATGCAAGGCCAGCCTCGCCGATAAAAGCCTCTAGCGTTTCAGAAAATCCATAATTGCGTAGGAAACGAGCAACTAAAGCGCTGGTCAAAGTGTCTATTGTTGCGGAGGGAGCCATGACTGGTTTTGTCGAGAGTGTGGTGAGGGAAGATTAGCCGGAGGCGTCAGTACCACCTGCGCTCTCCACCCGGCGGTTATACATCTGCCTCTCACTTCTTTGCTTCCAGCAACAAATTTTAGCCAAGACTATTAATTTGGTCAATTGTTAAACGGCACTTTTTTTTCTAAAGGATGAGATACTCAGTTGCATTGACAACGCAAAGGGCTATGTCTTTATCAAATTGTAGTATCTGACATCGCATACTCCGTATAGGTACCTAGTGACATCCATCCATGATTATCGTGATTGCTCTTGATAATGAATATCATTTCAATATGTAACGGTTTCCAATAATGATTGGACATCCAAAATTATTTAGATGTAGATAGGAAATATGAACATTTGCTCGAGGGTTGTTGTCTTGCTTCGATCGTCTATTTTTTTGTTCTTTTTGGAGAAAGGTGCGACACAAATGAGACTACTAGACCATTGTCATAGTTTTCAGCTTGTTTCCATCAATTCAATCAGCTGCAGGTATACTTCTCGTGCCTCTTTGGCGGGTATAGTATGGTCTACCGGTAGACATGAACAGGTATAGTCTCTCTTCGACGCCTATTTATTTGAAATAAAAAGATTACCGAGGCTGCAATGCATAATGCCAGCTGGATTTCAGCATTCCCACCTATTTACGGAGTATGCTCAACCATCTCCGGAAGACAGATGTTCATTGAAGATTTTCATCAAGGTTGCTGGCCTCGGCATGCATGATTTAGTACAGTATAGTGAGAGATCAAGATATCAGATGTATATGAGAGTTGAGCCTTAGAAGCATCTTTGATATCACATCGAATTGACTACCCAATCGGTTGCCTTGGAAGTCTTCAGTGTATCCCAAACAAACACTTTGGGATGTCAGAGCCGATATTATACGCTAGTCCTGATCGGGATAGCGAATCAAGCTACCGCGGGTCTTGACCGTAGTCGCCTCGCTCTCTCACTTCGTTCTTGCCCGCCATTCTTAAGGTCTGGCAATTGAACTCTCAGCCATTGATTCGACGCTGCTCACTCTCATCCCACAATATGGCGCTCAGCGAGACTGCGCCTGTCGCAGACATGGACATTGACATGGACCTCGACCTGGGACCTGAGCCCGAGCCCGAGCCAATTCAGATTCAGATGGTGAGTGTTGTCAGCGTCCGTGTGAAAACCTGACTGATTGCTGACTTGAATTGGATGTCAGGAACAGGCACCGGCCTCAAACCTCGACACCACCGTTGATCCCCTCACCGAGGAAGCGGTCTACGAAAAGGTTCACGTTCGCGGGGTCGACGAGATGACCACAGAAAACATCAAGCAGTTTGCTCGCGACTGCTCAGGCCAAGAGCCAGTGCGCGTTGAGTGGATCGATGATACATCCGCCAATCTCATATTCTCCTCCACCGAAGTTGGCCTCCAAGCTCTGGCTGCCCTCACCCAAGTCACCGAAGAAGAAGACGCGTCTTCCCTCCCCCCTCTGCGTCTAAGATCCGCGAAACTATTCCCGTCACATCCCGATTCTGTCCTCCAAGTGCGATCGGCAGTCAAGTCCGACCGCAAGCAAGCACGCGCCCATGAAAAGAGTCGCTTCTACCTCATGCACCCTGAGCATGACCCCCGAGAGCGCCTGCGACAGGAGTTCAAAGAAAGGCGACGTGACGACGATGGAGGCGAGGGCGATTATAGCAGACGCAGGTTTGACGACCGGGAGCACCGCCGCCGCCGAGATCGCGACGACAGCGAAAACTTCAGTGCCGATATGTACGGCGACAATGTGGGATCCGGTGGTTCTGGACGAGAGCGCAGAGGACGTGGACATAGCCAGAGGGAGCTTCTCCCCGACGCAGACCGAGCTAGTGGACGCCTCCGCAATCGCAGTGCATCACCAGGACGAGACACGTTGGAAGAAGAGCTAAGCAAGAGAGAAAGCCAAGATACCGGCAGACGATTCCGTGAGAGATCGCCACGCCAATCCCGCCGGAACCAAGGCAGAGAGCTTCTCGCAGCGGGCAGTGAAAGCACGTCGGGCAACCGCGAGCTTTTCCCAAACAAGACCACCTCCAGCTATATCAAGAAAGACCTCATCCCCACAAAGCCCAGCAATCATCGTCGGTCAGATGCGTTTGACGCTTCTCGTGTTCCCGACGAAGGCGCTCGCATTCGTGGCGCAGCTCGTGCATCCGGCGAAGATCAAGGGTTTGCCATTCGTGGCGGCGCATCCCAAGGACTGTCAATCAAGGGCAAGGGTGAGTCGGTACGCGAGTTATTCCCTTCGAAATACGGGAATGATAACAGCAACAATGCCGGCAAGGAATTGTTCAACGACACGTTAGAAGGACGCGGTGGTCGTCGACGTCGGGCAGAGGACATGTTCAGTTAAAAGGCCCGAGCAAAGTCCTCGAGGTGCATTACCATAATATTTAGGTTGATTGATGGAGTAGCATGGTTCATCGGCGTTTCACGAGGAAGAAAATGGATTTGTCTGATAAAGCTTTCATAATGACATACACTCTCAACTTTCCATGATGCGCAAAGTCTGTTCTCCAAGACATCGGAACAAGCCTGGAAGCTGACGAAATTCCAAGATTGCCAAAGGGGATTCTAGCAGCTAAAGATACAAAAGGCCTCTGAACATACTTCAAAACTTCTGAATATGGAGTACGGAGTAGACTTTCCAAGACTATGGGAGACATTCGTTCCGAGGTTTACTATAATACAAGCAACTATGATGACTGTCAAGGTCTTTTTGGATCTAGATCCATATGATAGACTGAAGTATACACACCGAAACCAGCAAATATCTAATGATCCACCTGGGCATGGATCATCTAAGTCTTTGATGGAGAGTCAAGGAAGAGCCCTGGAGAGCAAATGACAGATTTGTGAGAGTTCACCAAATAAACAGAGGCCTAGCCAACTGCCTTCCAATGTTGCTTCCGAGATGGTTTGTTTTCAAACAATAGTTGTCGTCGAGAGACTGCATCTATGTCCATCATCACAGTCCCACCTGAGAAGCATTGGAGGTATACTTCTCCAATCAGTCAAACCCATATACTACCCAAAGCAAATGTTCATATTTCTGTACCACCACCGTAGGTCATGTCTATTTTTTTGCTCCCCGCAACAGACATTGACAGATATTCGGGGAATGCACCTTGTCCATTTTTGGACAGGCGGAGATGTTGCCGTGATGCAACGAGAACTGTGAATTTAGCCTAATCACACGGGTAGACACTACCTATGACCTTGAGGTATTCAAAGACATCCCCACAGCACAGCACATCTGCCATTCCCAACAGCTTGTGGGCAAATGATACTGCTGTCTCATAGAGTTTGTGCATGGCTCTACGTCACTTGCTCAGATGCAGATATGGCTTCACACTCGTACTGCATGGTGAGGGGTACACGTCCTCTCCGTGATACTTAACCTTGCTTTCTCGACTGGATTGCTCAATTGCTAGGCATCATTCATCCTATGCTTATTATTACATCCGAATTGAAAGATTTTACCACAGTTAAAGCTGCATTTTCGATATGCTCTTCGCCGAAGACGACAAACTGGTCTTCCGTTTCGACGACCACATCCTCTGGATTCAACCTTGGGGAGAGAATGCTTTTCGCGTACGTGCCACAAGACAAGCCTCATTTCCGGACGAGGATTGGGCTCTTTCTTCCAAGCCTCCAACCTCAAGCCCAGCTATCACGACCTCCGACCAAGAAGCCACTATCACCAATGGTAAAATCAAAGCCACTGTCTCCCGCCGTGGCAAGATTATCATCTACGATTCGAATGGAAACAAACTCTTGGAGGAATATGCTCGTCACCGAAAAGACCCCATGGACCCAAAATGCAGCGCCTTGCTGGTTGAAGCTCGCGAGCTACGTCCTATACTAGGTGGCGATTACCATTTAACAATGAGATTTGAGTCCCTCGACCCGAAGGAAAAGATATTCGGCATGGGCCAGTACCAGCAGCCATACCTCAATCTCAAGGGATCCGACCTCGAGCTAGCTCATCGCAACTCCCAAGCCAGTGTCCCTTTCGCGATATCCTCTCTGGGCTACGGGCTCCTGTGGAACAACCCTGGTATTGGGCGGGCAGTTCTGGGAACCAATGTCATGAGCTTTGAGGCCTTCTCTACCAAGGCCTTGGATTACTGGGTGGTAGCCGGTGATTCACCTGCCGAGATTGAAGAAGCTTATGCTAAAGTGACAGGATACGTACCCATGATGCCGGAGTATGGTCTCGGCTTCTGGCAATGTAAGCTCCGCTACTGGAATCAGGAGCAACTGCTCGATGTAGCCCGGGAGTATCGACGTCGCAATGTGCCTTTGGACCTGATCGTTGTTGATTTCTTTCATTGGAAGCATCAGGGTGAATGGAGCTTTGATCCTGAATTCTGGCCTGATCCTGGTGAGTATCTTTCTAACCAATTCTATCCGGTTCCAGTATTATTGTTGTTTGCAGTTGTTAACGTGAATCCACTGACAATCTTCCCAGATGCCATGATCAAAGAGCTGAAAGACCTCAAAGTCGAACTCATGGTCTCCATCTGGCCAACCGTAGAAAATGCATCCGAGAACTTCCCCGAAATGCTAGAAAAGGGACTTTTGATCCGCCATGACCGCGGTATGCGAGTGGCAATGCAATGCGACGGGGACGTCACGCACTTCGACGCCACGAACCCCTCAGCCCGAGACTACATCTGGGCGAAAGTCAAGAAGAACTACTACGACAAGGGCATCAAAGTATTCTGGCTCGACGAAGCCGAGCCCGAGTACTCAATCTACGACTTCGACATCTACCGCTACCACGCAGGCAGCAACCTTCAAATCGGCAATATCTACCCGAAAGAATACGCACGCGGATTTTACGAGGGCATGACAGCCGAGGGACAAGGCAACATCGTGAACTTGCTCCGCTGCGCGTGGGCCGGGAGTCAGAAATACGGCGCGCTGGTCTGGAGCGGCGATATTGCCTCTTCCTGGAGCTCGTTCCGCAATCAACTCGCGGCAGGCTTGAATATGGGGCTTGCGGGCATTCCTTGGTGGACTACTGATATCGGTGGTTTCCATGGTGGGAATCCTGATGATCCTGCGTTCCGGGAGCTGTTCACCAGATGGTTCCAGTGGGGTGCATTCTGTCCGGTGATGAGACTTCATGGGGATCGTGAGCCCAAGCCGGAGGGTCAGCCTACGGCTAGTGGATCAGATAATGAGATCTGGTCCTATGGAGAGGAGGTATATGAGATATGCAAGAAGTATATTGGGATGAGGGAGGAAATGAGGGGGTACACGCGTGAGTTGATGCGTGAGGCTCATGAGAAGGGCACACCGGTGATGAGGACGCTGTTCTATGAGTTCCCGAAGGACGAGAGGGCCTGGGAGGTCGAGACGCAGTATATGTTTGGAGCCAGATATCTTGTTGCGCCTGTCTTGGAGTCGGGACAGCGTACAAGTAAAGTCTATCTGCCAGCTGGGGCATCTTGGAAACCATGGGATGGGACCAAGGTGTATGAGGGAGGAAAGGAGATTTTGATAGAGTGTCCAATTGATAGCATGCCCGTTCTCGTTCGTCAGTAGATGACGGAGGAGGCGTGAGTTGAGCGCCATACGACCAGAACTTGGGCATTTTGCCACCTCTGCTTCTCCTTCCAAGATTGTCAGGACCTGTCAGTACAAGCACTCACCTTCCTTCTTTGGCGAAGAACCTCATTTTTCTGGCTTTCGTATGGCGATAGTATTGCATCCAGTCAACCAGCCTGTGTTCGTTCTAAAATTCCAATATGTCTCTTACTGAGTTTGTCTCCTTCCAAGTTAGTACTGACGATGACGAGTATTGGCCTCCGCCTGGCCGAGCTTTTCAGAATCGCAAAAATTGTGCAGGGATCAAGAAGCTGGGGCTCGTCAAGCGCCAGAGCCGCATTAGGAAGGACCTCAAGAGCCAACCCCTTTGCTGCCACTTTGCCGCCAAAAAAACTCCCCCTGAGAAAGTCTTGTACTGTGTATAGAAGCGTTGACTCCATGATATCCGCAGTAAGCGTAGAGATACGGAGTATCCAAGGCAGCGAGCCAAACATGGCCAGCGCATTACTCCACTTGTGCAGCCCACAGAAAGTCAAATCGACTGGAAATGAGGTATCACGCCAACTCCGGCTCTGGAAACTTGACCAGAAGGAAAGAATCCCAAAAGAAAGGTGAAGATCCCTCGTGGTACGGAGTAGGCCATCTCGAAAACGGCCAGTCCGGAACAGCACAGCCACCCCGATAGCTAAGAAAGGCAAATGGAGGTGAGGTCCAGAGCTGCTCGAAAAATGAGGCGTTAGGAGGACCCGACTGTCTCAGGGGGGTCAACGGCTCAACACCGACTGGCGGGTACCTTTTCTGACCTCAGCGCGAGGTCAGTCTCCTTTGGGACTAGTGCGGTGCGGGCACCGAGATTCTCCGCTGACCAATCAGAGCTCGTCATCGGGCGCTTTAGTGGGACTGCCGCGGCTGTTGCGAACGCACCGATCCGCGGCTCGATCGATGGTTGAGCCAGGAGATGGTCTACTTCCACCTCATCCACTTACGGACTCTAGCGTCTTGCATCCTGAGTTCTTGATTTCAAGTTCAAATCACTTCTATGTACTCTGTACTCTGTAAGGGCTCGATACGAGGCTACGGGTCTGACGTTTTGAGATCGTGAGATCGATCGGCAGCGCAAAAATTGGACGAGAACACGCTCTACAGGGATATGTGGGTGTCGATCGTTTCCGGGGGCTTGGGTCCTAACGGGTACTGCAACCCATGGGTCGATGTAGATGTGTATATACGAGTATCACGCATGTCGGTTCAACGCGCTTTGCGAAAAAGAGATGGTTTTTTACGAATACTCCATGCATACATAGTAGAGTAGAGTAGTCAACGGGGTTCAGTCAACGTTACCCCTGACCCGTTCGTTCTTCTCCCATGGGTTTGTAGTTGTATCCACCCTGAAACGATACAACGGCTCGATCAGATCGCTTGGCGCCGTTTACCGTTCCCCTTTTCTGCCATCGTCAGATGCCGGCCCAAGCAGCTAGCGGCACTTTGAACTCTGTTTTCCTTTGAACCTCTGCCTTGGATTTTCAGAACAGGTTTAGCCTTCCCTTTCTTCCCGAGTCTGTCTTTTGCTGGGACTCTAGTGCATTGACAATGCGTCCCCTGCCCTGGTCAAATACGATTATTCAATTTTCATTCAAATACGATGTTTACTCCGTATACTCTGTAACTCTGTAACTCTGTACTGCCCGTCTAATACCGTATACTGCGAGTATTAAAATGACATCAGAGTTTTTTTTTCTTGAGTTCCACGGTCCGCATCCCGTCCGATCCACTCTCCCACCAAAGTACTATGCAGAGGGAAATGTAAGCTAAAATATTTCAAATAACATGCAGATCTCACAAAGCCAATGTGCCGCATTAATATCGCTAACATCGCTAACATCACACCGGCGCTGTTATTGCATCTGATTCGGTAGTTCAACCTCGGCAAACGATACACTATCACCTCCGAGCTGAGTGATCCCGTGTGTACTCCGTAATCCGTATTGCCGTGTGAGCGTATGGCTGGCTGATACTTTGTGCCCAGGTGGTATCTGCCTGAAGCCAAGTAGGGAATTTTGACTCCCTACTCCGTACATACTTGTGTACTCCGTACGCTTTAGTGTGTTACTAGTACGAGCCTGTCCATGATCTCGATCGATCTATGATGTTACGTGTGCTGTACAAGTATGCAGAGCGGCAAATCGGGACTAAAGACCACATGTGTGCATTGTAGTTTCAAAGTTCGACAGGTAGATTATGCCGTAAACACTTATTTTGGTTTTTTTGTACGGAGAACTTGTACTCGTTCTTCGATATTGTGTACGGAGTACGGAGTACTCCGTACCCGTATAGCCATACCCAGTACTGAATACTTCAATACCTTCAGGGCTAATACCCAGACACATCTCACCTGTTTCGAACTCCGTACTCCACAAATCGTACTCAATACTCAGTGATCAGTACACGTACTCTGTACGGAGTACACAAACAGTCAGATCCAAAAGCGAACTCAAATCAAAAGCAGAGCAACCTCAACGGTCAAGGCCCCAGCCCAACGCCTCAGTGGAAGCGGCAAGCACTCCCCGGGCGCGAAACCCCAAAAGCGGCTTGTACGGCTGGTACGGCTAGGGTGCATGCACGAACTCTGCGATTCATGTGAGACCAACCAAATCTCGCCTCTCAGCCCCGCCGTTCATCCTGTGGTGGCCAGTTCGCTCGATAACACCCGCTGATTGGCCACGCTCCTTCTTCTCAACGCTCATCCCGTCCGGCCTGCTGATGATTCGACCTAGACTGGAGACTGGTGCAAGAAACCAGATGGGCCAAGCCCGTTTGACTGGTTCTCGTCTCGCTTTCTCATTCGGTCACCCCTCTTCCCTTGACGTGGTATCGCTTAGGGCTAGCCACTTAGTTGCGCATTTTTACATGTGTACCTGTATCGAGTACGTGTACGGTGATCTGTGTGGACGGGGGGTCTCGGGTTTGCGAAAATCTTACCGCAGAGAGAGGCCGTTGCAGGTCTGGATGAGGGACGAAAAACCCACTCGCTTAGAGTTTGTGGTGATTCTTGGTCCCGGTGCATGTCACTGTCTTGTCTGTCACGGTGCAGGTTCGTGGTAGGTGCAGGTTCCATATACATGCATTTACATGTGCGATTCGCACGGAGTTTGGGTTACGTCTTCTGATCTTCTGATCTTCATTCTTGGTTCTTGGTTCCTGTGCATACAATGCATGAACATTAACCTTTGGGGTGGCTAGATTACCCGCTCTTTTTTGCTTTGGTTCCAGGTCTGAATCCCAGACTAGCTTCTAGGCGCATATGCTTTACTATGTGCAACGAGGTGGTAGTTTCTCAGCCCTCAGCTCTCAGCATTGGTTTTCGTGAACTCATGTCCAACCATGAAATCACAGACCTTGCCTTGTTAGACAAACCAGTGGGTCCTTACTTCCGTGCTTAGGCCGCCCTGACCAGAATCGGTCTCCCTTGCGTCCGTCCTCGTGAGCACAGCGTGTTTGGTGGCGCTTTCATCATGGGCATCCATGTCAAGGGGGATAAACGGTTGAAAGTCTTGCTTTTACAAGTGATGTGCTTGGTTTATGGTATTGGTAAGGTTTAGGCTCTTCATGCGCTCTGGCCAAAGCAGCCGTTGCACAGTACGAAAGTACAGGATGATCAGACAATGAGATGTATTAAATAGAATCGTAATGATTGGTACTATCAAATGAGGGCTGTTGATCTCCCCGATCTAGCCCAGGCCCGATTTATCAGGCGCTATCTAATTGAACAGTACGGAGTAGAACCAGAGATTACAGATCGGCATGTGAAATCAGTCCAAAAGACATAGGATTATTGCACCATATCATAGTAATACACATTAAGAGTATACAAAAGAAAATCGTAATACCTCCCAATAAACACAAAGCGCGAGGCTTTTGACAAAACAATGTACAACAGGGTTTCAGAGACCCAAGCGCAAGGGGGAATAAACAAAATCAAGTATAGAACAGAAGGAAAAAAGGATAAAAGAAACTCTTTGAGAAATGAGACTCGTGGCAATCATGAATGCAGGGGTATGAGTGGTGTGACTTTTAGTGTTTGGTTTCAGTTGAGAAGGCTGCTCACACCCATTCGGGTGTCACGAGCGGGCTCAGCTCTAGGGATCCATGACTTGGACAAGTCGGTTGGTTGGTGCCATGAGGCAAGGGTAGGCTGGTGGGCCATCCAGCGCTTAGAGGCACTCTCAGAGAGGGACTCTAATGAGCGAGCTGCGTAGCTGGGGGAGTCATCCACGACGTGCACGCTGGATCTCCGGCTCTCGTACTGCGAGCGCAGGTCGACTGGCAAAGGCAGGAGTTGCGGGGAGGGAATGGTGCGGGGCGAAGAAGAGCAGACGGAGTTGTGGTCAGAGACCATAGAAGGAGCCTCGCAGGAGTTCGTGTTAGAAATCTCCGAGAAAGCAGGTGAGGTGAGAGGAGTTTCGATCGGTCGGTTGATGGCGGGGAGAGTGTAGATGGGAGAGAGCTGGCGGGTAGAAGCCAAAGATTCTCTGCGGGAGTGGGAGAATTGTTCAGAGATGGCCGACTCGATGGAGTCAGTCCAGGATGGGCGAGATGAAGAGACGGAGAAGCGGGAGCGAGCTGGGCTCATCATTGAGGCGCGGGTGTAGGGCGCCTCAATGCGGCCGGAGTATGTGCGAGAGATGGTGGGGGTGGACAAGCCACGCTTCTTGCGGTTCATACTGCCATTCCACCAGTTCTTGACGGCGTTGTCGCTGCGGTTGCCAAGGCGGCGGGCGATCTCAGCCCAGCGCTTTCCCATCTCGTTGACCATGCGCTCGATCATCAGACCCTCATCGGCTGAGATAGGCTCCCGGTTGAGAGAGGGCTTCAAGTTTTGGTGGAAACGCTCCCGACATTGCTTGGGCGAGCGGTAGTGCATGTGTTGCGAAATGCGAACCCAGTTGTTAGGGCCTTGTTCCCGAACCAGTTGAGTGAGGAGTTGATCTTCCTCAGGG